AAAAATTAAAATAAAATAAAATTTTTTTAAAAAAAAAAAAAAAAAAAAAAAAAAAAAAAAAAAAAAAAAAAAAAAAATCACAAAAACATACCTTTCTGATTAAACCACCCATTGAAAATCCTATTAAATTTGTTGAAAGAATTGCAACTAAAGCAAATCCAACACCAAAATCAACGTTATAAAATTTATTCATTGAAACTAAAATATCAGTAGCATAAGCAGCACCACCATTAAATGAAGCATTAGCCATAATTGTGATAACTGCATGTTCTTTTAAATTGAATGGTCCTGGATTTAATGGAAGACCAAATATTTTAACATTTGGGAAAGCAAAAGCCCAAAATCTTCCCATTGGATAAGCTAAAATTGATGTAACCATGGTTGAAATAACAATAGTTGGAGAATGAAGTGAAAAATACATATTCATAGCAGACCCAATAGTAGTTAATATTAAACCCAAAGTCCATGCTCTGATAGTTGCTTGTGGCATTTCGAAATCATCTGAACTTGGAACAGCTGATCTAACTTCTGGATATGGAGAATCATCTTCAACATGAACACCTGCATAACCATCATCAATAATATCATTTATTAAATTAGATGTGACAGGATCAAATTCTTGAGATTTTGATACAACTAATTCAAGATCTGGTTGTTTTCTATCTGCTTCAAAATCATCATTAACAACTCTTTGATGAACATTTAATTCTGCTTTCTCATTTAAATCATGTGGATGTCCTTCATATGATGACGTTGAACCCTCACCATTACGATGTAATATACTTTTGATTTTATCCATCTTTGTAAATGTTGAGCTGAGTTGATTGGAAAGGTTAAAATGAAAATGTATATCAACAAAAAAGAACAATAAAACATAATTGAAAGATGATTATCAAAATATTATATAACTTTTAAATATCTCAAGATCTGTTATCAATTTAAACGACATTAGGTGAAAATGAGTAACAATAAAATTTAATTAAATTGGGGTGAAACACAAAAACTTAATGGATAAATATAAATTAAGTTAATCATTTCATAATTGTTTTTTTTTTTTTTATAATTTTCCAGGGCAGCCAAGAGAAACCAAGATATAATTTACATCGAATTATACGAGATCGCGGTGTCAACCATACAATTTTCTTGTACTAATTATTCTATGGTCCCGACCTGTTTCAAATTTTTTTTCTTTTTTAATTTAATTTTATTTCATTTTTGTACTCTTTTTCTAAACATTGGTTATGTACAAAGTGTTAAATTTCTATTATAATAGAATTTCCAATTATTCGTACGGCATCAAATATTTCTTTATCAATTTCCAATTACTTTTGTTTAAAATTGTTCAGTAAGTAAATCTTCTTATTTTATATTTCATACTTCCTTCATGTCGTTTATACTAAATTTTTTTGAAGTATGAAACAACGACTTTATCATGCAGGCGGTTAACTGTGCGGTGTACAGTTAAGTGTGCCACATCATCTATTGGATCGACTAAACCCTCAGTTTCAGTGTGGGTAAAGTAAGCATTTCTTTATGTTACAAATGCCTAGTCTAACCGATGTTTCATAATCCTCAAGATAGTTATGCAAATTAAGTAGAAGTCTAACGACCTTTATTAGTCTTCTTTGCATAAAAAATTATACTGTTTTAGTTCTTCGTAATAAAAGTTCAAAAGGGTAGCGATTCTGTCAAGAAATTAATTAGGTCCCCGAATGAAAAGGTTTTAGTTCAGACTTCGGAGTTACAACACGGGATTTCAAATAAAACCTTAAATCAATAATATACTTACATGACATTTGCAACAATAGTTAACTATTCTCTAACAAAACAGGCAGCGAAAAATCCTATCCCTCCATCTTCTTTTGGAAGGGTTCGTACACACCCACCAGCTAGTTCTTTAATAACATTAGGATCTCTCGAAATTTTTTCAAATTCAACTTCCAAACCTCTCCTTTCCCAATTTGGTAATACTAAATCTCGATTAGCTAAAGTCCAACCTTGTTTCTTAACTTCTTCATCAGATAATAAATCAATTACTACTCTTTCATTTTCCTCTGCATGTATAGAACATGTAGAATAAACTACTTTCCGAGCACCATTAAAAGATAAAGCATGTTTCATAATAGAAAATTGAAACGAAGCTAATTTTTCTAATCTATCTGAATTTTTAGTCTCTTCATCCATTGCTCTTCCAAATATACCAGAACCGCTACATGATGGGTCAACAATTAGACCTGTCACATCTTCATAATCTTCTGGCTTGATTGTTGTAAAATCTTGATTTAATACTTGTATTAATTTTTTTCTACTTTTACCAGTTGCCTTTTCTGACATAGTCTTTAATATTGCAGCTCTTTTTGAATCTCTTTCCACGGCATAAACCACCTCATCAACAAAAGTAGCAGCATGAGATGTTTTATTACCTGGTGCCGCACAAGCATCAATGATTTTGGAATGTGGTTCTTTGTAATTTAATATAAAAGCTGGAAAACAACTACCTCTGTCTTGTATAATGATCTCACCCAATTTATAAGCTTCTGTTGAAGTAGTTATTTTTTCTTTTGGATGAACTCCATATAAATTCGGTATATGCTCATCTTGATAGATCAATCCTGGTTTTGTGAGATCCTGAAATCTATTTACTGGTTGTAAATTTAATTTATGCTTTTTGAAAAATCTTTCAGGATCTATCTTTATTGTATTTATTCTAAACCATCTCACAGGAGTTTCATCTTCTTGTTGTATTGTTGGAAGTTGGTCCACTGATTTGACTTTGTATTTTAGTTTTAGTTTAATGAGTTCAGCTTGTAACCTCGTTTTGTTTTTCAAAAATGAGTCTTTTATATGATGCTTCCCACTTTCGATCCTCCCTCTTGAGCTAAAAAGTAAATCATGTACTAGTAAAGCTAGAAGTTCATCACTTATTTTAATTTGTCGATTTATTTTTGATTTGGTTATAATTTGATTGATGTATTCTTTATATTGTAATGTCAGATATACCAAAGCATAAATGTGTTTCGGATTACTTTTTAAACTTTTATCATTAAATATTTTAGACTGAAGATTACCCTCTGGATGTTTCAAAAATTTTTCTGCTTCAAAATATATTTTCATTTGATTTAATCATTGATGGAAATGATAATTCTCTTACATCATTTACATACTGATTTATATTTTTTTTTCTTAGCGCACTGACCAAATTGTTCATTTTTATCAACACCGCCTATGGTATGAATCAACCACCCAAAAATGCCTATCAACCAGGTACTCAATTGACTGTGGGGTCTCACAAAATCTCAATAATTAAGTACATTTCTGCTGGAGGTTTTGCCCACGTTTATACATGTAATATTGAACCTGCTTTTAATGGTTCAAAAGTAGCATGTTTAAAAAGAGTAGTGGTACCAAGTAAATGGCAATTATCATTATTGCGACAGGAAGTTGATGCTATGAGAAGATTAAGAGGTAACAAACACATTGTATCATATATTGACTCTCATGCTTCAAGACTAGGAAATGATGAAGTTCAACAACAATATGAGGTATTACTTTTAATGGAATATTGTCAAAATAATGGTTTAATAGATTTCATGAATACTAGATTAAGAAATAAATTAACAGAAAAGGAGATCATAGATATAATGTATCAAATAACTATTGGAGTAGCTATGTGTCATCATTTAAGACCACCTTTGATTCATAGAGATATTAAAATAGAAAACGTTTTAATTGATTCAAATCATATCTACAAATTATGTGATTTCGGATCTTCAGTCAATTACATGCCAGCACCAAAAAACCCACAAGAGTTACAATTAATGCGAGACGACCTAATGCAGCATACTACTCCTCAATATCGAGCGCCAGAGATGATTGATTTAACAAAAGGATTTCCTATTGATGATAAACTGGACATTTGGGCATTGGGAATTTTCTTATATAAATTATGTTATTACACAACACCATTTGAACTGAACAGCTTACAAGAAATGGAAAGAAATATATTGAATTGTTCAGAAACATTAAGATTTAAAGAGCAACCAGGACTGATTTTCTCAAGGAGGTTAAAAAATATTATTAAAGTTTGTTTGAGAGCTGACCCAAGAAGAAGACCAAATGCACTTCAGTTACTTAGCGAAATAAGTCAAATGAGAGGGGATGAAAGACCTCCTAATGTCATACCTTATAGTGTTACGTCTCAACCAGCACCAACACCTGGTTTTGGTAGCATAGACAAGTCTAAATCCAGTAGTAACATCACAAATACCACGATTAAATCCTCACCATTTGAACTGGAACCAAAGCCAAGTCGTCCAGTTAGTGCTTATTTTGATCATGGAGTGAATAAAATATATTCACAAGGTAATAAATCAAGTCCAACTGTTCAAGCTTATGTAAAACAAGAACTTGCCAAAGGATATGAAAGTACAGATGTTGGTGACACCGAAAACACATTGGATTTTCTTAAAAGTAGAGACTCTACTCATGATAACGGTATTAAATCAGCTTGGAATTCGTTAAGAAAAATTAGCACAGGAAATAGTAGTATCAGTGCTAATAGCACGGGGGAACTGATGAAAAAGAATATTAAAAAGTTATTAACAGGTAGTAAAGAAGAGAAAGAGAATTCAATTCAAAGAAGAATGCAATTATTAATGGAGCAGCAACAACAAAATTTTAAAAAAACTGCTCATGGATATGGCAAATTTACTGATAAAAATGTTATTGATGATATTGATTCTATAAATGCTAGACCAGCTAACAGAAATAAGAAAACATCACCACCACCTAATACCAAACCCAAAAATTCAACATCTTCATCAACAAATCACAAAGTTAAACATACTGCTTCACAACATAAAAAACTATCACCTCCAAAAGTGCCGGTCAACCTATCTTCAAAAAAGAAACCACCCCCACCAGTTAAACCCAAGCCCAAATCATTACAAAGTCGAAGATTATCTACAGGAAGTGGTGATTTTACAATTCCTGATATTGATGATTTAGAGAAAAGTTTTCAAAAAAGATTTCCAAATTATGTATAGAATTTGATTAATTAAAATTTATGTATCATGTTATTCATCAGAACTTGAAAATTCCTCTATATTATCTAGGATATTATCAACACCTTCTTCGAATTTTTCATTTATAACATCAAATAATCCATCCGCTTGTGCTTTCAATACTCTTCCAAATTTCCTTCGAGGACGTTTCAAATCTTCCGCTACGTTATTCCAGCATTGGTTATTTCGACTGGTAAATATGGTTGAATTTTGATAAAACCAATCTACCATACTTTCATCCATTACTGGTACTATTGGTTTCAAAGGAGTTTTATTGATGAAAGCAATTGTGAATTTAACCAACAATTTGATCTCTGCAGCAGGTCTTTTGCTATACAAATGAACGATACTTTGATATGAGTCCCCGAATCCGACCAATACGACATTTTTAAGTTGATTGAAGAAGGAAACATAATTATCCCAAATATACAAAAGTAGTTCCTGTGCAAAAATCGTGGAGTTATATGTTGATGAAGAAGTTGAGCCAGGAATAGGTAGTGGATATGAAGGTATGTTGACATCAATATAACCTACTGGATTGTTGTCTTCTTTTTCCTTTTCAATTTTGTCGATGATTTGTAAGAGGGGATGCTCCAAGACAACTGATGAATTACTCTCTATTATACCATTTGTAGGATTAATATTGGCCCATACATCTGGAGGATCATGAATTGTGATCACTAGAGAGTCACATTCATATATGTTTGGACTGGCAATAACCAAATTATTATTTTTATCAGGGAATTCAAAAGTGAAATTTGTCTGGTCTATAGATAAATTAATGAATTGTTTCATGTCGAATGCTTCATTGGTTTGATTTAATCTTATTGGATCAGAAATATTAGTTAGTTTGAATGTATCAACTCCAGGTAAATCATAAACATCATCAAATGAGGTCTCAGGTATTCCTGATTTTAAACATTTCCAGTATTTGGATTGAATTTTAATAACTTCATCAATAACTTCAATTGTGTCTTGATGAGGCAATTTTGTTATAGTATTTTCTGGTGGTTCACCAATTAAAACTTTAGCCACAGCTAATGCACTTTCACTAATGGAATCCAAATTATAACCACCTTCTAGTATCACAGCCATTTTACCTTTTGCTATACCCTTTAACATATGTGTCATATATCCATACCCCGCTGGACTAACATGGCATCCACCTATAACATCCCCATCAGCTGCATCAAATCCTGAACTAACAATAATTAAATCAGGATCAAATTCAAGAATCACGGGTATAATAACTTTATTAAAAGCATATACATAATCTCCATCATGCATTCCTGCTGTTCTCCAAGGTATATTCAAATTAAAACCTTCACCAGTTTCTACACCAACTTGATCTGAACCACCATATTTGGTACCAGGATAAAATTTTCCATTTTCATAACGATGTAAAGATATATATAAAACTCGGGGGTCATCAAAAAATGCTTTTTGAGTACCATTTCCATGATGGATATCCCAGTCAAGGATCACTATTCTTCTAACAGATTCTGGATAAGATTTTAGTATATTTTTTGCAGCTACAGCTACGTTACTGAATAGACAAAATCCACCTGGACTATCAGGTTCAGCATGATGACCAGGTGGTCTTACAGCAGCCAATGAATTTTTTACTCTTCCTTCAATAACAGCTTTACATGCTTCAATTGTTCCTCCACATGATAATTTAGCTGAAAAATAAGAATCATTATTAACATAAATAGAATCTCCAGCAGCTGTTTCCTTTAACAATTCGTCTTTGGTCATTGTTTCAGTAGATTTAATATGTTGTAAATGCTTTTCTGAATGTACTTCCAAAATTTCTTCCATAGTAGCTTCTCTTATTGGGATTTTTTGTATATATGGACCTAATTCATCAATACCTGAAAGTGAAAAATCCAGTACTAAACCTGCTTCAACTAATTTTTTATAAATTCGATAAATACGACGAGGATCTTCAGGGTGAGGATCAGTATACTCAAAATATGAAGTAAAAATTTTTGCATGATATCTCATTCTAACGTCATAAACTAATCCTGTTTTCAATGGTATATAAAATAATTGAGGTTTAGAAGGTGGTGCAACAACAATTGGTCTTGACCCATTTCTATTACCAAGATCTTCTAATTTTATTTTTTTATTAGGCGGACTATTACTAATATCATCATTTGAACTAGGTTTTATTAAATCTTCCGTTATGATATCTGGTTTTTCTTTTATTGATGTATTATTAACTTTCTCGGTTTCATGTATGTTTGAATTTTTCTCTTCTATATTATTTGGTTCAGTATCATCTAGTTTAATACTTTCTGGTTCAACATAATTTGATTCAGATAAATCAACATTTTCTGCAGGCGATATTAGTGACTCGCTCATTGTATTGTAAAACTTGAGTCTGTTGAAAAGTGTAAAATTTAAGTTTGATAATCGAATTGAATGAAAAATTAAGATTTTTATTTATTTACTTTTGACTTTTTCTCTCTTTCGAGTTTATAATTCTAAATGCAGAACTAAAATTAAGCGAGATTTCAATTCCTAATAATAATTTATGATTTCAACTTTAAGTATATCGTCTTATTGAAGACGAGACCATTAATGTCCTTATTGATACCTAATTCCAATGATTACCATGACGCTCATGGGGACTTGGATCAGGATGAGTTATATCGTCAAAACATACGTTCCAATTATTTATTTCAACCAGTATCGGGCCTTTTCAAGCAAACAGATCTTGAAACAGATGACATGAGTTTTAGATATACTGATGATAATTTCGGAATAAAAATTTCTTACAAAGATATCATAAAAAATTTAAAAGAATTAAATGACAATGCACCAGAGAATGTACAATATAAATTACTATTCCTTGCAAGACATGGACAAAGTTTTGCAAATGTAGTAGCTCGAAAATATACAAAAGAAGAATGGTTTGCAAAATGGAGATATATTGGTTTTGACGGAGAATTTACTTATGGTCCAGATGCAGATTTAACCGATTTGGGAATACGACAAGCATTAGAAAATAACAGAGCATGGAAGCGACAATTGGAGTTAGGATGTCCGTTTCCAAAATCATTTTATTTGTCTCCATTACAAAGATCCATTAAAACATTTAACATAACTTGGGGTGAAGATTCTTTGAAACGGATAGAAAATAAAGAAGATACTATTAATATTTCCCCAAATTTAAATCCCCAAGTGATTGAGCCGTTGAGAGAAACTATTGGAATTCACCTTTGTCACAAGAGGTCAAAAAAATCTGAGTTATGTTCCAAATTTCCTTATCTACAATTCTCAGAAGAATTCCCAGAAGAGGATTTATTGTTTGAAGAATACAACGACGTTAGAGAAAAATTATACCAACAATTTATGAGGATACATACGGTTCTTGAAAATATTTTCGAAAATGACAAAAATGATGTGATTTCCATTACCTCACATGCTGGAACTATAAGGGCGTTTCTTACGGTGATAAATCATAGAAAATTTACAATACCAACTGGTGGGATGATACCGGTAATAGTTAGAGCTGAGAAAGTAGATAAATCCTAAATGTAGAACAGTTGTTGCAAAATACTCCCAAATGCGCGCTACCATATAAAATTTAAAAAATCTTATAGTGCGGCTTGATGAAACATTTACGAATAAATTTCGATCGGTAAATAATCTCATCTGAAAATTTATCATATATAGATCAAACCATACTACTTAAACCATGTCTAGAACCAATCTAGAACATCATAACACTTTAAAACTAAAGAAACCACGAGTCTCAAAAGTCAATCCCCTAAATCCTAGCACGAACTTATCAGAATGTTTCAAAAAAGTTTCGACATCACTATATGTCTCACTAGCACCAAAATTCATAAATGATCCTATATCTGGGATAAAACAGCAACATCTAGATCCACTCATCATGACATACTATCCAAAAGTAAAAGGAATAATATTATCATACTCAAATATAAAACTTCTTACAAAATCTCAGGGTCAAAATCTAGCTAAAATTGAAGGTGCATCACCGTTCACTTTCATTTGGGTAAATGTTGATTTTCTAATATGGAGTCCTTGTGTAGGTGACACCCTAGAAGGTGACATTTATATGCAAACACCATCTCATATAGGTTTATTGATTTGTGATGTTTTCAACGCATCGATAAAGAAATATAACATACCAATGGATTGGTCTTTCACACCTAGTCAAGAGGATGAGGAGGATAATAAGAGGACATTTGGATATTGGACTGATGATTTGGGGGATAAGATAGATGGTAAATTGAAATTTACAGTAAAAGCTATATACACTACAGGAAGAGTAGTTAGTATTGAAGGAACATTAATAAAACCAGGCGAAGAAAGAAATTCTCAACCAGTGTACAAGGAGAAAAGTAGTCAAAATAAAGTCGATAATACTACCGTTAATACTCATAAGAAATTCGATGATGATGAAGAAGAGGAGAAAGATAAGAGCCAAGTTTTGCCTACCTATGAAGAGAGTGGAAACGATGATGAAGATTATAAAATAGTTAACAATTCCGATTCTGTTGAAGATGAAGTTGAATCGGATTAATTGTAAAATTCCAATCAAATATACCTTAATTTCTTGTCTTCTCGTCATTAATCATTCTCCAAATTACATCCTGATCTTTTTTAGTTGGTCTATCTAACTTCCTTCTTCTATATGAACCACCGCCGAATATAATTCTGTATAGCAACAGACTATCTTTTTTAATTGATTTTTCGTAGGAGGTAACGTTTTTAGTTGGATTATCATTGGTACCCATCATAGTCAATTTTTGAACCTTATGTAATTTTTTGAAATTGAACCACGTAATGAGTAAGCCCTGTATCACTGAAAATACAACAATAGCTCCAAAACCTAAATTTGAATCTTCGATGTAATTTTTCAAATTCATTCCGTAGAATGCCGGTAATAACGTTGCAACAGTTATTCCCAAAGTATATACAGTAACTTTTAATTCAAACAACATTAAAGAATTTCTATTAGCATCCAATATAATATTTACAATTTCCTCAGTTGCTTTTATATCATTCAACAAACTACCGGCTTGTTGAACAAATTCATCACATTGTCGGTAATAACTTTCAAGTATCATCTCTAATTCGTCAAACGACCGCGCATTTGGATTACTCAAAAACATCCCAGCTAAATCTTCATCATTTTCAAGTAATTCCTCCAAAACATCACGAATCAATACAGCCTTTTGATGAAATGATGATAACTGCTTCGATCGTATTAATAACTCTTGTAACTTTTTTCTATCTACTTCATTCTCCAATTCTGATAGCACTTGCCCACAGCTCTGTAAATAAGTTTTGATTTCGGCCTCAAGGTAGCTCATCACACTGACTAACATCAGTTCTAATGCCTTGAACTCGTACGTGGTTGTATTTGATTTTAATTTTAATTCCAAATCATACATGAATACTCCCAACTTAGAAGCTACTTCACTATTCGATGTGTCAAATACCATTACTGAGTTCTTTTTTATGATCGCTTTTATGTATAGTAGATTGACTAAAATAGCATTGGAAGGCCGTATCATTATCATTGGAACAACATCAATTGATGAAGTATCGATTTTTCTTAAGTCTCTTGGAAATAAGTGATTTTCTTTTAGGAATTGAACTTTGGGGAATTTTTTTGAAACTGCTGTTATTCTACCTTTCGAATCAAATACAGTGCATGAAACATATAAATCATTTGGTTGAATAGGTTTTAATCTATTTAGTATTTTACTGTCTGTGTTAGCTGGTATGGGATCCGGTAGTGGGCTTTTTGACTTTGTTGAAGTTGTTAGGTAACATCGGCATCTTGGGGCCATATAACATAGTTGTTGTTGTAAAGTCTTTAGCATTTTCAATGTAAGTGATGTATATGTGAAATATGATGTACAGTAAAGTTAAGATCAAGCTGATCATTGTAGGAAATTTTCTAAAATGATCTTGATGCGGCGCAATCTTAATTTTTTAAAGTCAATCGCAAAGATCAATCACAAATTTAACAAGCTAAAATGAGACATATTTAGTCGTTAGCTTACGAGAGTAGAAGTTAGCACATGAGTCTAAAAACAATTTTATCAATGTACGTATTAAACATTTCTAATCAAAAAATTTTCTGGTTAAAGAAGGACCAAATAATTCTAACCTTATAGCAGGTAATGCTTCTTCTTGCAAAATCTTTAATCTTTCTTCCAAGGTATTGTCTACTTCAATTTTGCCTGTCCCATTAACAATTACCACACCTCCTGCAAGATCTTTATTCAAGAAATCCTTATCATCGACAGTAATATCTACATGTTGACCAGATTTCTCTTCATAATTCTTACTGGCTTCTTTAGCAGCTTCCTTTGCCAAATCTACATCTTCTTTTCTCACTCTTAAACTTACTTTTGGTTCTAATAAAATCAATATACCTTCTTCAATTAATCCAACTAAAACAGGTTTATATTTTTCTTTATCGTTTGTAATAGTTTTTAATTCCTTTTCGGCATCTTCAAAAATTTGATTTAAAATTTGATCTTTTTCTCCTAAAATTCTTAATCTTGTTTTATTACCAATTGTTGATTTTGTAATTTGTTGTGCTAAACTTGCTTTTTTTAATTTTTGTTCATATGTGGAATCAATTGCAGAAGTTTCTAATCTTACTGTTGATGATTTTTCAATTTCATATTCTTCGTCTGCTTTCAATCTGATTTCTTTTGCTTTTTCATTTGCTTCTTTCTCAATGAAAGCTTGCATTTTTGTAAGCTCTGACTTAACCTAAAAAAAATTTAAACGTTAGTTTTCATTGCTCAAATCAATTGTTGCGCTAAGGATAGTGAAACTTACTTGTTCGTCCAGTAACGTCATGGTTTATAGTTGGTATATCTGGTGGTTTGTAGATCTGGCAATTTTAAATTAATCAATTGATATCTTGATTGTTGAGAGAGAACTTAAAATTCAATGTGGTAAATATTTTGGACGAATTCACACGCACCATAATTCTATCTACAACCTACCTTAGATACAAGATCATTCTCAATAAAAAAGTCATATAAATGCAATTACTTTTAAATTTATACAATATAGGTTTATATAATTTTATCTAAAAATTTTCTAGCAACTTCAACACCTAAAAATGTGGCGGCATTAGCAGGGAACGATCTACATAAAGCTGGTCCAACACCTGGGAAAAATGCTTTTATACCACCTTTAGCATAAATATTTTTGGCTGTTTGTGAAATTGAAATTGGTACATTTGAGGATTGTTGACTTGATTTAATTGTATCTATAGGGAAAACACCTAACCACATTGCAACACCAGCACAACCACCTGCAGTCATGATTGCACCAATTGATAAGTCTTTACCTGGACTAGATAATTTAGCTTTTATATATTCATAAGTTGCAAAATATAATGCAGATCCTGGTCCATCTCTTGCTAAAGTAGCAGCAGATCCTTTAAAAATTGATCTAATACCACCAGTTTTATACATTTCAGCAATAACAGCTCCCATACTTTTTGTTTTTGCACCTTCTTGAATTTGCATCATAACTTTAACTCTTTCAAATGGAGCTGCAACTAAAGTAGTTGGGATCGCACTTATAAATCCTGCAGTTGAAATATCTGCAATTGTAAAATTGTCAATAGTTTTACCAGTAAAATTTCCAACTAATTTTTTACCTACATCATAACCCCAAAATGAAACTGCAAACATTGGTGTAACCCCTAATAACGGTGGTAAAACACCTCTATAAAGTCCTTTCAAACCGTCCTTAGCAATGGTATCTTTAACACATTGAATTGATGAATTATATAATCCTGTTTGTAATCTAACTTTTACTAAATCAAATGGGTGTCCAGTTAATACTGCACATATACCGCCAAAACCTCCTGCGGCAAATGATTTAACATTATCTACCAAAACTGAATCAACGTCATCCATTGTTAATCAATTGAAACTAGTATATGAATAGTAGAAGTCTATAATTAAAAATCTAAACGAATAAGAAATGAGTGAGTATTTATTACAAACAAAAATAAAGATAATTTGAAAAATTAAATGGACTAAACAAAAGATAATAATTTTTTTTTTTTTTTTCATTCATGTTCATAAATCTGGGGGAAATCAGACTCAACTATTATAGTTTATTAAAGTACTTATATGGTCTAGTCTGATTACTATTATTGCGCTCAACCCCAATTACTTAATATTCACTGACTTTGAATTGGACCTACTCAGTCGAAATTACAACATTCAACAGTCTTTTTCTTGACAATGCTATTTATTTATTATTATCTTCCGAGGTTGCTCGTTTTAAAATTGAAATTTTCAATCAAAAAGATTCAATAAAATTTAAATTTATCGATCCAAGTCGCATAAAGTTTTTGTCCGATTATTTATACCCGACACTACGGTCCACACAAAATCTATCAATCTATATCTCAGTTGAAGTATTATATTTCATTCCAATTTGATATATTTTGAAACCTTTGTAATCAAATTTAAAAATACTTGGATTAACATGAAAATGGTATTTTTAGAGATTTAAGTATTACATACTTACACTATTATGCTCAGTTTTACTTTTAGAGCCAAACTCATATTAGTAATGAAGATCAAAGAATAGACTGGTCGATTTATCGCGAAGTTTGGACCAAAATTATATAGAAAAATAAAAAGATTTTGCAACAAAATCTTCTGCCATATCTAATTATTTTTGAGATTTTCCTAGAAGGATAGAAATACAGAAGTTATGTTCAAGAGTCAAAATGCATTAATCCTGACCTGGAGATTACAATGAAACTATTTTTTAGACTATATCTCTTCAATTGACGACTTCATAAAGCATTCAATTGCTCAAAGCTAGTGAACAGTACGTATCAACCCACTTAGTATAACCATCGTTTACTTACATGATCTGTGATCAATATTATAAGTGTACAGATATTTCGCACGAAGATTACAAGAATCTACTTCAAATCGACATGAATGCATGGCAATGGTTTTACCATTGTGAAATTTATGATAAACCGTTGGATCTATTTAAGTCTTTTTACTACATTTCAATAAACAAGAAGTAGTAGTTTTCTTCATTTGTCATTGATTCTTTATAAAGTATCATATACGTATTATACACTGTATGTAAGTTCTATAATTATCATTAACCTGAACTAATTATCATTCTAGTTGTTAAAGTGAATTTTTAGGAATAATTATAATAAGTAATTTAACAATAATTTATTTTTTTTATTAAAAAAAAAAAAGCTACAATATAAGTTGTAAAAAAATTCTTTTTACTAGTCTACAATACTCCATATCATTAATGACGACCATTCCCAAAATCAACTTTACCATTCAAAACTCAAGCGAGTAATAGTATAACTAAATTTGCTGGATCTGACCCTTATACCAAAATGTTAAATACCCATATGAAGTTTTAACCAACCTTCCGGATCACTCACACTGAATTTTTTGCCTTGTTATTTATCAAAGATTAAATTCGAATGAAAAACTCAGTTTCATGTATCATTAACTATACTGATAAAACCAGTCAGATTTAAGAGACAGGAAATGAAGTAACCATGAGAATAAGGGAAGATCATCAACATCAACTAATTGTTCTCACGTTTTTACCCATCTGATGAATTTGATGATCGTTGATATACTTCATTAATTAATTGATTCAGCATTTTTCTCAGCAACTCAAGCATTCGAAATTCAGTAATACCGAATGATTCATAGTCGACACAATTTAAAACTTTCATGAATGAGGTTTTGGGCTTTTCATTGGTTCCTACATCAAAGCCGCACTTGACTACCCTGTTAGGGAATGCTACACTTTACCTTATCAACGAAAAAAGTAATTGATTAAATTTTATATGTCGTGTCTCAATTTGTTATTTCAAGTTAAACTCAAAATATAGTAACAATAATAATTACTTGGAGTTGATTGTTTTTTTTTTTTTTTTTTAATTTTTAATTTTTAATTATTTGTCATAATAATTAATAAAAAATTCAACAACAATCTTTCCATTTTAACTTAGGAGGAGAACTTTTACACCAAGTCAATCAAAATCACTCAATCAATCAACTTTAGTAGACAATCAATCAATAGACTCATCATTATCTTACTTATTATCAAAGGGAACAACAATATCACATCATTTTATTATCATCTTTAAGTATTTATATTTTATGGAGTGTCAATTTTATATTTGCCATCCCTTTGTCGCTCAATTTTAATTGGACGAAAGAATAATTCACCAAAAAAAATTTTTTTATCAACTGCTTGTTTTGACATCCGAACAACAATAGTTAAGTGGAGAAATTAAAATATCAACACCATCAATCAACCATATCTTAATATCAATCAAAGAATAATATTTTGAATTTTAAATATTGGGGTTAACCCTGCGATGGCAATAAATCCAGCAAAAAATGAAAGCAAAGCCAATCAACATGCAGCTGGTGCAAGATTTCGTCAAAGAAAAATTTCAGTCAAGCAACCATTATCAATTCATAAACAAAGAGATCTACCTTCATTAGATGCTTCAGAACTAGAGCCAAGTCAAATACATCATTTAAATTCAAATAACATTGGACAACCACCTCGAGATATTAATGCTGTGGATACTGGAGTTGATAAAAACGAAGAAGATGAAGTTCATTTACAACAAGTAATAAATGCAGCTCAAAAGGCATTAACAAGTAACAAAACAAGTAATATGTACATACCTACTCCCGATGCATCAAAAATTTGGACAGAAGCTTCAAAATATTATGACGATCAAAAATTTAAAGAACCAGAGTCATATATTAAATTTAGTGCGACGGTTGAAGATACAGTTGGAGTTGAATATAATATGGATGAAGAAGACGAAGAATTTTATAATAACAATCTAAAATCTAAATGTACAGAATTGGAATTTGAAACAATGTGTGATAGATTGGAGAAAACTATTGAAGCAAGACAACCCTTTTTATCAATGGATCCAACAAATTTATTACCATACGATGAAATGCTAATGTATTTAACTGCTGAAAATAATCATAACACTGAATATTTATCAACCATCACTCTAAAAGAAAAATTATCAAAGGAAATAAATTATAAACCCTTTACTACAATATTTGATAAGGATCAAGATCATACTTCACAAATACGTCCAATATCTAAATTATTTGATTTATATGGAAAAACAGTATATTCTTATTGGAGAAAAAGAAAAATTGCAAGAAAAGGTAGATCTATTCAACCAACTTTAAGATTTGAAGATCCTAATGCAAATGAAAAAGATAATGATAATGATCCATATATTTGTTTCAGAAGAAGAGAATTCAGACAAGCAAGAAAAACAAGAAGAGCAGATACAGTTGGAGCAGAACGTATAAGATTATTGCAAAAATCGCTACATCGTGCTAGAGATTTAATAATGAGTGTTTGTGAACGTGAAATTTTAAATTTAGACAATTTGCTGGCAGATTTGGATATTTTTAAATTAAGGTCAGAAACTAAGAACGTTAAAAGAGAACTTGGAATCAAAGGTGATGATTATCTATTTTTCCCACATAAGAAAAGAAAAATTGTTAAAGCAAAAGAGGATGATGATAAGAAAAAAGAACGAAAGAAAACAGAATCAACGACTCAAGAATCTCAACAAGCACAACAAAATTCAACACAACAATCAACTGCACAAAATCCTGCCGTTTCAGAACCAGCACCAAACCAACCATATGTCAAATTACCACCTGCAAAAATTCCAGATATGGAGCTTGTTACTGTTTCATTGGTTTTACGTGACAAAAATGATACTATAAAACGTGCTGTTATGGAAAAACTCAAAAAAAGGAAGGAACCTGACAAGGGTTTCATCAATCTTACTGATGATCCATTTGAACCCTTATTTGATATCTCGACTAACAATGATTTGGTTGAATCTAATCATATACCATATTCATCAATTGCGGCAACTAATTTTCATCAATTCAATACTTCAAATTATTTAAGCGAACCATTAAAATCGTTAATTGAGGGTAACAAACCTTTACCTGGCGTAAAGACAATAAAAGGATCAAATGGAGAAATTATACCTACCAAATCATTTCCACATATTACATCCCTTTTGCATGACAAAATTTCTAATAATGAATATAATTCCACAAGCTATATCGCAAAATTGTTGAAGAATATTGAAAATAATAATTATGACAATTATACTCATGGTTTCATTAAGGACAATAAACTGGTTGATAAAAGTAAACTTTCAGAGCCAATATTTAGACTTCGTAAAAGAGTTGCTCGAGCTCATAGGACATTTATAGATAGAAGAGGACAACAAACTTCAAACATACTTGATGAGTTGGTGAGTTTTTCTGGAGAAGAAGATGAATCAGAAGAGGAAGAAATACCCAATGTTTATGAAAGTAAGGTTGATACATGGAAGAGATTGAAATCAAATTGGAGATTTGATGATGATTTATCTAGTTATCAAAAAGGAACATTGGATCCATTTAGTCTTGATCCATCAAAACTTAACAATATAAGCGAGGATACTCAAGCAATTAGGTTTGGCTCGATGTTACTTTCAAAGTCATATAGTTTACTCAAAGAATCAGTTCAGCAAAAGCAACAATCATTTTTACAACTGGCAAGAATGAGAGCTCTACAACAGCAGCAGCTTAAACAACAACATCAGAAACAACAACAGCAGCAGCAGCAACAACAACAACAACAACAGCAACAACAACAGCAGCAGCAGCAACAACAAATACATCAACAACAACAACAACAACAACAACAACAACAGCAACTACAACAACAACAACAACGCTCAACCCAACAATCTCCACAACAACAGCTGCCTTCTCAAGCTCATCAAATTAATTCGACTCAAGTTCAACAACAGCTGCCTGTTCCACAATATCAACAACAAATGAGTGTTCCTGTTCCATCTCAAAAACGAACTTCTTCCTCGTTTCAACACAAGACAAAACCATTATCACCAGCTCAAAACTCCATCAACCAACCTTCTCCTCAGGCAATTCATTGAAAAATGTCATTTTGTAAGGTCTATAGTGTATATAAAATTTGTAATATATTTAATCAAGATAGATAATATTAATAGATTTTGACGTAACAAGGAGGGGGATTTGCTTTTACGATTATTACACAAAATCGTAACTCATATATGAGCTAAACCACAGTTGAAAAATTGCTATTTCTTTAGTCTAAAACAGATATAAATATACAACTAAATCACTTCAAAATTAGTTTGATCATGTTCTTCCAGAATTAAATCGATAAAAATGTCTGTTAGTAAAGTCATAGTTTTTGGCGCTCATGGAAAAATTGGTCAACACGTTATAAAATTATTATCAAAACTTGATTATAAAACTACGGCTGTAGTAAGAAATGATGAACAAGCATCAACTATACAAAAACTTGCAGATAATTCTTCAAATGTTTCGTCAACAAACTTAACTATTGATGAAGCATCAGTCAAAGATTTAAGTGGTTCGATTAAAGGAAATGATGCAGTTATATTAACAGTCGGTTCAGCTGGTAAAAATCTTTTACAAGTGGATTTGGATGGAGTAGTCAAGACATTTGAAGCAAGTGTGGAAGCTAATGTCAAGAGATTGATTTTGATTAGTGCAATTCATGCTGAAAATAGAGAATTTGGTGAGAAATCTCAAATAAGAGATTATTATATTGCAAAACATTATGCTGATAGAATTTTAATTGATGAATTTTCAAACAAATTAGATTATACTATCATTAAACCAACTCATTTAACTGATGATCCATCAACTGGTAAAATTGATATAATTAAAAATTTGAATGAAGATGTAGGTAAAATCTCAAGAACCGATGTTGCTAAAGTTTTAGTTGAAATTTTAAATTTGAAAGAAACTTATGGTAAGAGCTATAACATTAAGAATGGAAGTCATGATATTGACAATCCTTCAACATATGAGGCCTAGCTTAGAATCTCAAATTTTTGTTTGATATTAGTCTATAATATTCTATACGTTCAATTATCTTTTTAGTATAATATTTTCTTTAAAATAGTCCCTCTATTTCTCCATCGTCGTTAACTTCTACATTCATAAATCCAGCATGAGTAGGTAATCCAGGTATAGTCATAATTTCAGCAGCTAATGCATACAAATATCCAGCTCCAGCAGAACATCTTACTTCTCTAATTGGAATTGTGAAACCAGTTGGGACACCTTTTAATGCTGGGTCATGACTTAACGAATATTGAGTTTTGGCTATACATATTGGTAAATTATCATACCCTTGTTGAGTATATGTTTCTATTTGTTGTTTTGCTAATGGTGAAAGTTCTATGTCCTTAGCTCCATACATTTTTTGAGCAATTGTGTTCAATTTATTCTCAATCGAGTCATTAATATCATATAGAAACTGTTGCTGACCCTCTGGCGATTGTTTGACTGCCTCGACAACTGCTTCTGCTAAAGCTTTTGCACCCAATCCACCTTTTGCCCAATGATTTGAAGGTACAGCAAAATCAGCACCAGCTCTTATGGCATGTTCTTGAATTAATTTGATTTCTGCGTCAGTATCAGTTTCAAATTGATTTACTGCAACAACCACTGGAACGTTATATTGTTTTATATTTGCAATTTGTTTTGCTAAATTAGCACAACCATTTTCCAAAAATTCAAGATTTTCAGTTACATATTCAGATGGTAATGACTGACCTGGTTTAACATCGGATGCACCTCCATGTAATTTCAATGCTCTAGTAGTAGCAACTAAAACAACAGTATCTGGTTTTAATCCAGAACTTCTACATTTGATATTGAAGAAACGTTCTCCACCCATTGTAAAATCAAAACCAGCTTCAGTTACAACGAATCCGGCTTGTCCATTGTTAATAGGATTAGATGGTGATGTCAATTTTAAAGCTACCTTATCTGCAACGACCGAAGAAGCACCAATTGAAATGTTAGCAAATGGACCTGCATGTACAAATACCGGTGTACCTTCAACAGTTTGCATCAAATTTGGTTTAATGGCATCTTTCAATAACGCAGTGATGGCACCGGCTACTCCAATGTCTTCGGCTGTTATAGCTTCTCCAGTCTCTTTCTGAGTTCCAATAACTACTTTACCCACTCTTTCTCTTAAATCTTTCAATGAATTGGAAAGTGCTAATATAGCCATAAGCTCACTTGCTACTGTAATATCCATACCTGTTTTTCTTGTAAAACCTCTTTCGTTTTTACCTTGCCCTATCGTCATTTCTCTGACAAATCTATCATTACAATCAACAACTCTTTTTATAGTTATTGATTCAGGATCAATATCTAATTTTGCAAATTTCTCAATTTCTTCCGATGTCAAATCATCAGGATTAGAATTATTTATACCTAATTTCTTCAACCTTTTCAACATGGAATTTGTGAATGCTCTCTTACCTTTTTTAACAGGAACCAATCTCTTGTAAAAACCGCCAATAGACTTGGAAGTAGCTTCATGGAACATTCTTGTATCAACTGCAGCACATAACAAATTTTGGGCAGCTGAAATTGCATGTATATCTCCCGTTAAATGCATATTGAACTCATCCATAGGAATAACCTGTGCATATCCACCTCCTGCTGCTCCACCTTTTACACCGAAAGTTGGTCCCATAGATGGCTGTCTCACATTTGCAATTGAATTATATCCTAATTGAGCACCAAGAGCTTGAGCCAAACCCATTGTTGTAGTTGATTTACCTTCACCCAATGGAGTTGGTGTAATACCTGCAACCAAAACGAAATATCCCTTATCGTCAGCTGATCCTTCAACTTGCTCATCTAGTCTCTTAATAACAGCTTTTGTATCAACTTTTGCTTTATAATGACCAAAAGGTTCTAATTCTTTATCAAGTAATCCCAATTCTTTGGCAATTTTTGTAATGAGTTTTGGTTTTTGAGCTCTTGAAATATCAATATCTGATGGTACGGGGGTTTTCAAATGTAATGGTAATGGTTTAAATCTATGCTCGTGAGCCTTTTGTGCATGCAAAACAGCAGCATCATAAACATTTGAACATAACATAGCAACTGTCATTGGACCAACTCCACCTGGAACTGGGGTAATAAACCCAGCTTTCTTTGCAACCTCTTCATAAGCAACATCCCCTACTAACTTTTGACCATTTTTAGAGTTGGTATCCTTGATATAGTTGATACCAACATCAATAACAATGACTCCATCTTTAATCCAAGATGCCTTTACATATTCCGGTATTCCCACTGCTGCTATGACTATATCTGCTTGTGCAACTACCTCTGGTAAATCTTTAGTGTGACGATGACATATTGTGACTGTACAATCTTCATTTCTCAACATTGTTGCAACTGGTGTACCTACAATATCTGATCTTCCCAACACAACTGCATTTTTTCCTCTCAATTCTACCCCAGTGGTTTTTATTAACTCAATAATTCCATTTGGTGTACAGGGTTTGAAATGAGGAACTCCTCCTTTTTTAGATAATTGCCCAACATTATAATGGTCAAATCCGTCTACATCCTTTTCTGTAATTACAGAATTTGTAACTAATGTTTCATCAATATGCTTCGGTAAAGGTAATTGAATTAGTATTCCGTGTATTTTTGGATCCTTATTTAATGCATCAATTTCTTCTATTAAATCATCCTGACTTATATTCTCATCTAATTTAATTAGATTTGAATTTATATTTGACTTTGCAGCTGCTTTTAATTTTGATCTTACATAAGCTGAGGAATCTGGTCTTGAACCTACTTGGACAATCGATAAACTTGGTTTGAATTTAAAAGACTCTGGTGTGTCAATTCCAAAATGTTCTTTATTATAGTTTACAACTTTTTCAGCAATATCATTTCGTATTTTATTAGCTAGCTTGGTTCCTGAAACTATAGTGGCATTTAAAATGGGAATTGATTTTGTAAAATTTCTCTTGAATACTGGATCAAGTGGTTTTATGAACCTTTGACCCCCAACCCTTAGCATCGAGTATTTTTATGTTGATATTATTTAAATTAAAAGATGATTCACGAAATGACTTCTTAAAATGACTACATTTTTTTTCACGTCCTATGTAGAAAACATACGAATAAAATTACACAAAGACTAAAAAAATCCTATGTAGGCCTAAAAGTAGTTTAATACTAAAGTTTATACTTTCTTCAAAATCTCCTGTTTGAAATTTTCTTTATCTTCATTTTCGTCGACTATACTTTCAGCTTGAACACTAGATTGACTATCACTTTTCTTGTCTGTTTGATCTTCAGCTTGTCCGTTTCTTAGTTGTTGTAACATAACTTGAGCACGCAGAACAGTGTTGATGTGATCTACCTTAGTTATTTCCTTATCATTATTTTTTTTCCTATTTGTTAACCTTCGTTTCAAATTATTAACACTTTCGTATTCAAGATCAGCTGTACCTGGTGCATCCGAATCTGATGATTTTGAATCAAGATAATCGCTTTTATTTTTTTTGGTTTTTCTATCCTTCTTGTGTCCAGCAGTCCGAAGTTTTTCTAATAATCTATCAATTGCAGCTGATGCATCTTCAACACTATCAACATATTTTGATCCATCCTGTAAATTTTTTGCCAAAACATCTTCAATTTTCTTTTTCCTCATTTCATATACTTTTTGTTCTTCTTCCTTTTGAATATTTTCAACGTGTGCTTTTTTGTATTCTGTTACAAAAATCATTATTTTTGAAAAAAAAGTGTCCCTCGATGAATTACCATCATTTATACTCTCACCAAAAAATGTCATAATAGATTTATGCTTGGACATTGTGTCTTTCATGTGAGTTTGAAGGGACTGGATTTTTTCATCTGCATCTTTCATGGAATTATTGAGTATTGTAATGATTCTATCTGATGGATGTAAATCGTTTTTTCTGCTTAATTTACCGTTCTCCAATGCATTGTTGATGATGTTTAAATTTTTGATCATTTCTTGACAATCTAACTCTAATTGCTCCGTTGTAATATTCTGGATTTCATATAATTCATTTAATTCGTCTACGAAAGATGAATATTCTGGAAATGATTGCCTTATAATTTTTTCAATATAATGCAAAAAGCTCATAGAATTCAGTTCATCCTTCATAAATTTCAACCTTTGTAAAGTATCTAAAGTAAATCCTGAAGCTTGTTTTGAAGCACCATTCATAAAATTTCCAATCAATTTAATAACACTTAGTACTTTTCTAAAATTTTCTGACCTATTTAAGCACTCTATTCCCATGTCTAACAAATCTAATCGCATGCTCAAATCATGATAGTCTTTCTGGTAAGTTTGAGCAAACAACAATGCTTTAGACCTCGCTCGCCAATAATGTCTTAAATTGAAACACAACTCCAAAAAAATCCTATCAGGTCTGTCCAAATTATTTGGATCTTTAGTTGGTAATCTCTTGGTTCTTGGATCACTTGAATATGGTAACAAATTTTTCAGTAAACTATCACTAATTTCGAATAAAGCATCGTTGTTGAAAAATTCAATGACACTAATGTTTTCCAATACATCTGAATGGCATCTCAAAATCTTCATTACTAATTTTTCCTCAGATAAACCAGCAAAAGCGTATAAATTAATACCAAATTGTTGAGCCAAATCTCTGGGTAAAAAACTAATTTTATTTGTTGGTTCATTCTCTTTCTTTTCAATTGTCTTTTTTGTATTGGGGGTCGTAGCCACAAACACTTTTTCAATATCGTCGAATACTCCTTGTTCCGCGAGCTTATCGGATAATGATGTAAGTTCCATATCTTTCCAAAAAGTTCTCTCGATATCATTGATTTTGTTCCAATGAAACTGTTTTAACTTCACCTTTGGTCTGGATGATGACAATGTGATGCCTGCATCTTTGTCTTCTGCACTTATTGACAGATTGTTGTCTGATTTTGTTGCAACCGCTTGGCTCTTCTTCTTGGACGAATGCAGAAAGACTTTGGCTAAAGAAGGTGCTATTGGAGGGGCTAATGGAGGTGCTGGTGCTAATGGAGATGCTATTGGAGGTGGTAAAGGAGGTGCTAATGGAGGTGCTGGAGGTGCTAATGGTGAAGTTGAGGACGAGGTAACTGCCGCTGGATTGTCTGTTTTTGAGTTTGTTGAAAAGTTCGGGGATAAGTTAGATGGATTTATGGCTGGCTGCAAAAATGTTGGTAACGATGGTGGATTGGGAGCTGATGATGTAGCTTTCTTCAAAAAATCGGGTAATGGTGGAGCTGAAGCAACTTCGGGCGGTTCAGTTGATATGGCAACATTTGGTGGTGGTGAAGAATGAGTTGAAGATGAAGCAGATGTTTCCTTACTGTCAAGAAAGCCGGGAACTGGTGGTGGAGTTGGTACGTTAAGGGGTGAACTTGACTTTATCGTCCCAATATCATTCGATGGCTCTAAACCCAAAAGTCTGGCTAGATTTGGCTTCCTAGTGGGTAATTTAATCTCCGAATCTGAAAGGATGTCAAATTTTGATAATAATGCAGGTGGAGTTGGTGGACCTCTATGAAATGAAGAAGAACTCGTGTCATTTAAATCAGCATAAACGCAATTAGCTGGAACATTGTTTGAATAAATTGTTGATTTTTTTGGTGAATTTTTCCTTGTATCAGCAAGATCATCAAATGAATGAGTTATTATTCTTTGACGAGCACTTCGACCTTTATCTTCTTCAAATTGTTTAATTTGTCTTTGTAATAACCCTATTTGTTTCTTTTGAGACACTATCTGTTCATTTTGTAGATCAATTATCTTTTGCTTTTCTTCTGTATCTTCAATTGAATAGTTTTGTTTCAATAATTCATTAGACTCCTTCAAAAATTTAATTTCTTTTTGCAATTTCCCACACTCTTCAATAGCTTTCCTGGTCGTAACCTCTGATGCCAAACCATCAATCAATCTTTGAATGGAAACATTTGATACATTATCATTTGAAAGTAATTTTGTTAATATGATTTCAAATATTTCAAATGTCTTTTTAATATCATTGGACTTTTGGCCTTGCAGAAAAAATTCTTTAAAAATAGTTTCGATATCAATGTCTAACTTTGTTCCATGAACAATTTCCCTAGAACTGGAAACTAAGCAATCTTCATTTGAACTTTTGACTGGTAGTCGAGGTAGGCTTTTACCTACTTTCTCCCTTGAAAATTCATTATCTGCAAGTTGAGACGAAGTATATTTGTCAATTTCATTCCTAATCCTAATGTTTTTAAAATAATTAGCTTTCTCGAGTATATCTGCAATACCTGCCTTTTTGTAATCTTGACGCAATAGACATCTCTTCCTTAGTGATCCAGCACTTTGGAGAATGCTATTAACCATCATCAATGTGATTGTGAAATAATTTGCCAAATATGAATCAACATTTTCAAGTAACCAGTTATTTGATAATGAAGATTTTACCACATCAAACCAAGACTTAAATTTTCCAGTTTCATTTGAAATACTATTAATTATTTCTTCGTCTCCTTTGCTATAGTAGATTAAATTAATGAATAATTCTGTTACCAAAACTCTAGTAGCAATACGAGGTGATCTCAATGATCTGGATAAAGCATTAATAATAGTCTTTTTGGAATTTGCCATCCCTGATTGTAAACTTTCTTCCCTCTCAAAATGAAGAATATGTTTTAAACATTTGATAATTAAATATTCAATATCTAACTCTTCATTTGATTTAACACTTCTCTTGGCTATCTTTAATAGAAATGCAGATAGTGCAGAATCCCCTTGATGAAACAAAAAGCTGTCCACCCAATTAAAATCAGAATCATTTAATTGAGATTTATTATCTAATTTTTTTTCTAAAGTTTTGAAATGCATTAATTTTAAATTATTTGCCATTATCTGCGAGATATACCATTCAGGCAGGTTATCTTTTATAGCGAGTTCGTTTTTAGAGTTGAACTCTTCAAGGTCAAATTGACGTTCCTTAATAAGTTGATGAGGTGTAACACTTAAATCAAATGAACTGTTAGTCTCATTTTCTCTTAATAGTAACTCCCATTTTCTTTCTAATGATTCCCGTCGTAATGAATTTACCGCTTCTTTTGAAAATATTCGTATTGACAACAATTTTTCAAATAAAAAATTGACAATTTCTTTATCTGGTATCTTGTTCCTCTTATAATTTATATTTTGAAATGAATTTAATGTTTCATTCTGACTATGTTTTGTTGTCACATGCAAGACTTGAGATGTGAATTTTGACATGAAATTATGATGAAATTGATAAGTAAAACACAACAAATACTAAAAATTTCGATATGATAGTAGAATATACATTTATGAATGGTGATTTATTAAATGTTTTGGGTTCTGGAACGGTATAGTAAATCAATTAGTGGTTGTTAATTAATGTTTCAATAATTAAATAACAGATCAAAAAATAAAAGACGAACACAATAAAAAGAGATCTTAAAATGTATGAAGAGAAATTAAGATAGAGAATCAAAACAAGTTGGTAGCAGCTTGTTTTATCAATCACTAATAAATTAACTGAACTTTTAATGAACCATTATATTGGTGATCTAGGTACTGGATTGCTTGTATAATAGTGAAATCAAAAATAATGCCGTTCTTTTTTGGTAGAAAACCCTTGTTTAAATAAGCAAACAATCCGACTGGTGTTGTTTGTACTAGTAAATATACTAGCATTAATAAATGGAATCTACTGTTGATTTTGTGACGCGTACTTACTTTACTTTTATTTACAGTATGTAAGATCTCTCACTAAAATAAAACTTCAAATACAACTTAACTTTTTACAACCAAATTATTTATTACGTTTACCACTATAATTCCTCAAATACTAGAGAAATTACTTCCAATTCAAATTTATGACAAGAAAGAAAGTAGAACCAAAAGTACCATTTGGTCAAAAAGTAATATCAGAATTTTTTGGTACTAGTTCAAATTTTAAAAAAGTAGAAAAGAAATCCAAAGTATCTAAGCAAAAAAACCATACAATTGAAAGACAAAGTTCAATAATAAGTATTACGGATATTGATGACGATGACGGATTTGGTGATGGTCATGACGTATCGATTGATGCAGATACAAGTGCAGAAATGATGAACTTTCGAGATCCAAAATTAAATAGTGTATTACAGAACAAATTCAATAATCCAAATAAAAGCTCGTCACAACTAACAAGAACAAATTCAATATTGAGTGAAAAAAATTCCAATGATTTGAATCATGAAACTACATCAATTTCATTAAAAAGATCTAGTACAGATTTATTGGATTCATTTGAGGGGGGTAAGGCTAAAAAAGTTTTAAAACAAAGTAGTGTTGTATCTAATATTGAAATTCCAACTTATAATCAAAATTTAAGTTCAGAACAATTGGAAGTGATAACTAAAGTAGTAGACCAAAAATTGAATGTATTTTATACTGGAAGTGCTGGAACTGGAAAGTCTGTTGTATTAAGAGAACTAGTGAGAAAATTAAAAGCTATTTATAGAGATAATATTGGGGTAACTGCTCCTACAGGTATGGCTGCTTGTAACATCAATGGGCAAACAATATATAGATATCTTGAAATTGGTCTTGGTTTACAAAATCCTACTGATTTAGCAAGAATAATTCAAAGAAACCCTGCGAAGTTAAGAAAATGGACCATGATGAAAGTTTTAATTATTGATGAAATATCTATGGTTGATGGGTATTTTTTCGATAAACTAGAAGAAACGGCCAGAAGAGTTCGAGGCAATGCTGCTCCATTTGGAGGTATTCAAATAGTTTGTTGTGGAGATTTTTATCAATTACCTCCTGTTTCTTCAAATGGAAAAGTAACTAAATTTTGTTTTCAAGCTAAATCGTGGAATTTGGTGATTCAAGAAAATATAGTATTAAAACAAATTTTTAGACAAAAAGGAGATAACGAATTGATTGAAATGTTAAATGCACTCAGAAACGGGAGTATCAAGAATCAACCATCAATGATCGAAAAATTTCATAAATTAAATAAATCAGTTAAATACGACGATGGAATAGAACCAACTCAACTATATCCAACTAGAAGAGAAGTATTGGAAGCAAATGGATGTAGATTAAAACAATTAAACTCAAAAATTTACGAGTACTCAGCAATCGATAGTCACCCTGAAGAGTCTTATAAAAGTCATTATTCTCAGTTATTATGTGAAGATAAACTAATTTTGAAAGAAGGTGCGCAAGTAATGAATATAAAAAATATGGATGATCAATTAGCAAATGGAAGTTTGGGCACTGTGTTATGCTTTTTGACAAGAAATTTGTTTTTCAAAATCTTGGAGTTGTATGGTTCAATCGAGGATTTGGATCCGCAAATGTTGAAAGAAGTTAAGTTAATATCGACAAGAATTGGGGTTGTACAAGAATGGAATGAAGAAGAAAAGCAAATAATTGAAAACATGCCAGACGATAGAAAATCGAAGTTTGAACTGCTTGTTCAATACACTGCTCAAGAAACTAAAGCTGATATTTTGCCAGTTGTATTATATAAGTTAAATGGTTCTGATCAAGCAAGATTGGTAGATAGAGAAGAGTTTGTTATAGAATTAGGGAAAGAAAAAACAGCCACGGGTAACCCAACAAGAATTCAACTTCCTATAATACTTGCATGGGCAATGTCCATACACAAAGCCCAAGGTCAAACCATACCAAGATTGAAGGTTGATTTAAACAAAATCTTCGAAAATGGTCATGCATATGTTGCTATATCAAGAGCTGTAAGTAAAGAAAATTTGCAAGTTAATAATTTCAGACCTGATAAAATCAGAATTTCACAAGTGGTACATGATTTTTATAAAAGTCTTGAAGCTAGATCTGAAAAATCCTAATGAATTGATGATGCATAATTATTAGAATTAAGTTTGTCTCTCAATACTTTCGTCACTCTTAATATTTGTAAAGAAAAATCAAAACTTGAAAGCGAAAACCGCTTAACAAATATTGAGAGACTAAATTAATTATTTCGAGTAAATTCTCTTGTATAATCAGCAGCATAGAACACCTCAAGAATGTCTTACACACAATGAATGAAAAAGCGGTAGAACCAATAAAAAAGATCTACGACGTATCGGATTTGAAAAACTTTGAAAAATCCATAGCGTATAAGGGTATTCAACAAACATTGAATCAAATACTTTTATTAGTGCAAGATGTTAAAGTGCCGCCAGGAGTATTAAGCAAATCTATAGTGACTAGGGAGAGCAATCAATCTTCCAATATAAGTACATTACCAGCCACTGCTTTTGAGCAAAAGGATGAATTTAAATGTCAGGGAAATATTCAACTAATACTAGACATATTTGACAAATCCACAATATTAATTAATGAAACGGAACCAATCAAAGGACCTACAAGGTTTGGAAATATAGCGTATAGGGTATGGTACGAAAAGATGGATCAAATTTTGCCAGAATTATTAGATCAACTACATTACAAACATCATGACAAAGCTCAATTTATGACAGAGTTAAAATATTATTTAATTAATTCATTTGGATCGAAAATGAGACTTGATTATGGAACAGGTCACGAATTATCATATCTAGCATTTATTGGAGCATTGATTCAAAATGAAAATGTGCTTTCGAAGCCCACTGGTGAAGAAATATTGGTATTATTTGCCAAATATTATGATTTAATACGAAATTTGATTTTAACTTATAATTTAGAACCTGCTGGATCCCATGGAGTTTGGGGTTTAGATGATCATTTTCATTTGATTTATATATTAGGAGCATCACAATTTTGTGATGACAAATTTGCTCCTTCGGTACGACAAGTGTTACTGAGTCAAGTCATTAATGCATACAAATTGTCAAATTTATATGTAAATGCTATTGCTTTTATTTTTAAATTGAAAACTGGTCCATTCAATGAACATAGTCCTATAATAAATGATATCCATATGACAGTCATACTGTGGAGTAAAGTCAGACAAGGTCTTTCAAAAATGTATATGGTTGAAGTTTTAGGTAAGTATCCAGTAATTCAACATTTTTGGTTTGGTGAAAAGTTGTACCCATGGAAAGATCACGATGGTAAAACTTTACCAGTATTTCAACCAGAAGAGAGTAAAAAATCTACAAAAAAGAACCCTACATCAAATCAAAATATTCCGATGACAGCTGCTCCGTGGGCTAACAGATAGTTTTATCATTACTTGTACTATATGATGAATTGATTAACTAGCCTCTATATTTGAAATTAAATGCCGAACGACATAATGGACAAGTGGAATTTCCTGAACTCTTGAACCATTTGTATAAACAAGCAGCGTGGAATTTATTATTACAAGTTTGACATGTCTTTGAAGGTAATGATAAGTCTTGGTGTAAAATTGAATAACAAATTGCACAATCCTCAAATCCTGAAAAATGTAAATTAATGTTTTTACAAAATAGTTCAATTGAATCAATTATGGATCCATTTTGTAAAGTTAATATCTTTTGAGATGCTAGTATCCAAGCTTTCCATCTATTTTCTTTTACACCTACTCTGGAAGGTCCATCAAGTATAACATTTTCCAATGGGTAAAGCACAGGAATTTTTATAACCATTTCCAATTTTTGTTCATCAACAATGTACGTAGTTTTAATTTCATTTGATACAAAATTAACTTTGATAGTTAAATTATCTTCCTTACCTTGTAATTTATCTTTCTCATCATCTACCAGTTGAAGAATTTCATTTATAATTGGTGGTGATAAATATTGCGTTGTAAGTTTTTCAACCTTCATTTGTAATTGTCTATCCCTTATTTCTTGAAACCACATTTGAACTTGAAATCCACTATATCTTAAAAAATTATAGTATATGTTCAATCCAATTAACTTTAAATTATAATCTAAGTCGTGATAATCCGTTCGGATGATATCATAATGCGAAAAATCTTGAGTTGGTAAAGGCAACATAAATTTGTTATTTATATCAATATGCTCGAATATCAAGTAAAGCAAATTTTGAAGGTCTTTGTGTTCCAATATTTGATTCAAGTAACTATTACGAATAGATATAGTAATGTCTTTGAAGAAACTTGATATTAATAACCACGAAAGCATGTACCTTGAAAGTTGATGATTTTCCTCAATTTTAAATTCAGCTATAATTTGCAAAAGTTCTGATGGTAACTGAGCTTTCTTATTTTCATCTTTCGATAATTGATACTCAACAATAAAATCATCTTTCTCATTTTCATATATTTGAGATAAGAAAAACACACATAGCCTTTGAACAGTGATTGATGAACTTTTTGAAAATAATTGAAGAATTTGTGGTTGATTTGATTTTAGTGTACTGATTGGAATTTTTGATTGTATAAGTGCTTTTTTCAAAACTTCCTCTACTATGTAGGAAATGTGAACATTCGCTTCAGTAGTGTTGGTAAATATTTCGAGCAACCTTTCATCTTGATTTTCCAAATATTCTTTCTCCTTATCTAAACTGACATAAGCTTTAAGTGTGTAATATTTTAAGTCAATTCTATCGTCAGCCATGTCGAGGTTATCACTCAAAATTTTGTTGATTAAGTCATAATATGAATCAGGTAAATTTCGCTGAACATTTGGTAAAAGAGCTAAAAACTTTAATGCCTGAATTCTCATGTCAATAAATGCAGCATCGTACGAAATTGATGAGTCAAACCAACTATCGATTTGTTTCAAAACCATTGATAATTTAACAACTGGAAAGATATCAGCTTCAGTAATATGGTCATTCGACATAAACGGAATAATCATTGTAATCCATTTCAAGCCTAATGTCAAGATATCTTCTTCTTTTTTAACAACCAAAATTTCGGAGAAGACGTAATTTCTAATACGATCAAACAATTTCGAATGTATGAATTTTTTAAACCCGTTGATGACAGCAATAAATTTGAAAGGCGTCTTGACCAATTGGTTCAAATTGATGGTGGTCAGTTCGAATTGTGATAAACTCATACTCTCCGTTTGATTTTCGACTTGTTCGGTTAGAACTCGTGCAGCATAAAATGCCATAAGACTATTACCATCAGTTAATTCAACAAGTTGATTTTTGTCTCCCAATATGATGTCTAATGGTACCTCATGTGATGAACTTAAAATTTCTTGTAAGTCTTTTTCGACTTCATCACTTAAATTTTGTATAAATAAAAAATCTTTTATATATTCCTTTCCAACCATCATCAATGTTTGTAATTTCTCATTGTTGCTATTCACTTTGAATAAAAACTTAGTTAAAATGGGTATGATCTCTACCAAAGGTTTCGATCCGTAATCACTTAAGTATATAGCCAGGTCTAACGGGTTGGATATCGCAATTTCGAAAGGTGATAAATTATTTATTGATGAACCGAAGGTGTCAAATATTAAATCGATTGGTAACAGATCATCTCTAACAAAATTAACCAAAGAATCCAATTTGGTTTGAATGGAGCATGAACTCAAGTATCGAATCATTGAATCAAAATAAATCTCTTGATAGTCTTCTTTTAGTGAATTTAAAAATTGTTTCAGTTCATCAACGTTGCTCCAAGCTGTGTGCAAAATTTGATCTATATTTAAGTCAATTATGAGCGACAAATGATTCGAGATTGTATTCATAAAAACGAATGATGAATCAAGGTCGAGATGTTCTATTATTGATTCCAAAGCTTTTGTGTCACTTTTCTCTATTAATTTGTTTAAATATGATGGATCAAGAGTATCAGTGGTAGATTTGTTTTGGATATATTTGTAAATATTTGGATATTTCCTCTCGTCTATATCAACTTCTACTTTGGACAAAAAGAAATCTTTGTCATCATTAATCGTAAATTGATCATAGACATCATTTATCAAATCTGATAAGTCTTGTGGTTGTAACAAATTTTCCTTATTGATGGTATTGATTAAGTCAAACAGACTTTGACCTTTCACATTATTGACTATTTTGTATGTAACGTCCTTCATTCTTGGTGCAAATTTTTTCATTACCTCAACATAAGGTAATGTGTAGTTCAACATTATTGGATCTTCTATTTGCTTATCCTCCCATTTCGTAATTGTAACTTCAATCAAATCTTCAATGTTTTCTTCAAATCCAGAAGTTTTTAAAATTTGAAAATAATTTGATATGAAAGTTTCAGTGTATTTATCAGGAGATGTTTGTATGACTTTATTTAATGTTTCAAAGGCAGAAGATAATTTATCTGAATTTTCATAATCGCAAATTTGATTTTGAATATCATTTCTAGTTAATTTATTTCTTATTCGACTCAAATTGTCTATCACCTTCTCTAATACTTTCGGCAATTCATCAGAATCAAATAATGATATAAACTTTAGTAAACACTTTAAACATCCCGGTTTAAAACTATCACGAATCTTTTCGTATTGAATTAACAAGTTGTTGATATAAAAATCAGAATCTTTTTCACTCGAAAAGGTGACAACATCAATATTGTTATCTCTTATCTCTCTGAATAATGAAAATAGTATTTCAAAATACTTGGGATCCAGATCACAGCAACCTAATTCAAAATAACTCTTAAGTCTCAGTGGACTTTTACTACTATACTCCCAAAAGTTTTTCTTCTCTTTATTAATTATTGCAAAACGGGTTAGATTTAGTAGCACTTCCCAAAATGGGATTATAACTGATGAGTAAATCAAAGCAGGTTTCTGTTTGCTAAATTTAATTTTCAAAATTGATTTGCCGATAGGTTTGTATATCGACTTCGTATCAAATTCGACTTTTTCATTGTTAAATATTCTTAAAATTAAGATCAAAATAGTTTTAAATAATCCTAAATTCATAGTTTCCTCTTCCACACTGGTTGTCAAACTTTGCCAAATTGAGTCCAGTTCTATAATTGTATTGATTTCTAAAGTCTTTTTCGATGAATTTTTTATTAATTTTAATAAAATTTGCAAAGCAATATTTAAAACTCGATCATATTTAATTTGAACTTCTGATTCATTAGTATACCTTGGATCAGATATTGTTTCAGGTTGTTCAACATTTATAATTGTTCCAACTAAATTTAAAATTTGATCTTCAAAAATTTCCCAAATTTTATCAATTTTACTTTGATCACCTTGAAAATTTTCTAATAATTTTGAACTAGCTATATTTGATACTGATTTATCTGGATCAAAAATTCCCATTAACCATATCGGAATGGTTGTTTTTAAATATTTCCCATAATTTTTACTACCTATTGATTGTAGAAGGGAACCTTGTATTTGATGAGTTAATGATCTCACTGTCTTGGAATTATCTATAGATATTTTGGGATACAATTGAACCCAACATTGTAAAATTGGATCATCAAATATTTTTGGATCTTGATCTTTAATGAATGATAATAACTCTTGAAGAGCTTTTTCCTTGGTCTTTGGATCTTTTTTACTTAATGATTTGAAAATAACAATTAAATCTGGATTCGTGATTTTGGTGATATCTGGTTGATTTGTGAAATAGTTTAGCGTAACGTCTAAACCGTTATAGCCTAAGTTACCAGTAAATTCAAAGTCATCTATGTTGGACATGGGTTTAAATACAGAGTTTGCAAAAGCGTTATTGATAGTAATTTTGCTGCTAACTTCAATTTTTTTTTTTCACTCACAAGATCTTAAAACGTAATTGCTGCAAAATTTATACAATTAAAGATAATGATCAAAGAAATCAAAAAATTTGACATGAGTCTAAAACGTGAGTTTAAAATCTATACATTTAAGAATGATTTAAGAAAGAAATGAAATATTATCATCATCAGGTATTTGGTTCAAGAAATGGATTCACCTCTTCAACTTTTTGTTTTATAGGAAAGAAATTTGTTAACGTTTGCTGACCAGCAGCAAGAACTACTTTTTTAACTCTCTTTCTTTTCGTTGGGGAAAATTTAGTTGGAGACCCTTTTGTGGAAGACTTTTTTGGTGAGCCCAATGAATCAAAAACAGGAGTTGGGATAGGAGTTAAATCAATCAATTTGAGCTTTTTATTTGGTGAATTATCTAGACCTCCATTTCGTTTAGTCGGAGAATTTAAAAGTGAATCCAATGTTGATGTTTGTCTTGAAACCCCATGTTTTTTGTAATACTCATTAGCTTCTTTTGCCTTATCATATGAAGATACTTTATCGGGACAGAATAAATTCAATAATGATTTGGGAACCCAAATATAACTTTCACTTTCAAGTCTCTTCTCTGGGGATTCAGATAATCTTCTAAACTCTATGCATTTAGGATACAACTTTGTAATCTCTTCATTAGAATATTTCAACATCATCAATTCCACATCATTTTCAATTTTATCGTTTGTTATTTTGATAACCTCGCTTTTGGTTGCTAATTTAAAAATGATGTATCTAACGTTAAATTCGTAGTCTTCAGGAATAAACAATTCATTTGAACCTAAAACAATGAAAGAAGTGTCTTCATCAAATTTCATACCTTCAATCTCACTTATTCTAAACATCTCTTCTTCACTGGTTATTTCAATTTTGAAATCTGTTTTGAGTTCACCAAAACTCAATGTATCTGGAAGAAATATTGGTAATTGTTTATTTACAAATGGAAAAAAATATAATAACACATAATATTCATCAAATTTCAAATTTTCAACTGATAAATTTCTTCCAAAAATATGTCGATTTGGTTGTTTTAAATTATCATTCATTTTTCTTAAAAAAATATCAAATGCAATTTTTCTTGTGGATCTATCTTTCATATATTTCCAAGGGCTAATAGAAACTACATCATTTTTCACGAAACAATCACGAAGTTCCATAGCAAAATCAGGTGGAGGTTCAAAAGTTGTATTATACTTTTTCAATTCTTTCTCTTCTTGTTTCGTTATTTTTCTATTATAAAACATTGAGAATGATGTTCCACATAAAGCTAAATTTTTTGCGTTTATTTTTCCAACTCTCGAAACTCCTGATGAATAATCCCCACCTCTCAATGATGCAAGAAATACTAATCTTTCTCTATTCAATCCAGTTTTTTCTTCCACATTCTTCATATCAACAGGAGTTACATAATATTTCTGTTTCAAAGTTCCATCTTTAGTTGGTGAACCAGGACCAATATCTTCAAGGAATCTACTATAATTTCTCAAAACTTTTGTTGCTCCAAAAACTAAAGCATCAACATCGTTTGTAATGACATAATCAACAATTTTCAATTTTTGAATATGAGCACATTGAGCTTCACCTTCAGCTACTGCTTGAACATATTCTATTTTTTGACTTTTCAAAATTCGTTTCAAATTTTCAACAAATGGATTATGTTCCGAAAAATCTTCATTTTCTTTTAACTTGGTTAATTCATTTTCATAATCTAAAGCAATCCCATTTCTTGTCTTATCTGGTTTTAAAATTCCATCAAATACAACAAGTACAGATATATTTAATCCTATTAATGCTAATATTTTAGACATAAAATTTTGAATCATAATATTTCCAACATCATCTTCAGGGATTGAACTATGATTTGATTGAAATATAAATAAATACGCGTCTAATGCAACTCTTGGTGTTCTACCATATTTTTTAATATGATCATCTACTAATTGATCTAAAGATATTCTTGTATCAAATCCAGGGGCTAGTACGTCCCATAATTCAGGTATACCCATATGGAAATCAACATTTATATGTGGTAGTCAATGTAGTTCGTATTAATGCTTCAAAGATCGAGTATTTCCAGCAAAGAACGTATTGAATAAACGATAATATGTATTAAAATAAAATCTGAAACTCTCTGATATTATTATTCGTAACTGCGATTAATATTACCGGAGTTTAAAGAAAACTTTATCTGCAGGAAGCTTTCAAAGGTTTTCATAATTCCATTTGATTTCATGAATAATGAATAACCAACCATAAAACTTTAACTCTATATGGGCTGGTATTGGAAGCCATTTTGTCTTTAAAATTAAAGGTCTAACATTGAGCCTTTACACTTGTCTAGAAGATAATCAAAATTTTGATTCTATTGATTGTGGAGGTGAGTCTATATCAATTCTTCGATTTAGTGTAATGAAATTATTTACGATCTTGTTTTGTTCCATTTATTTACTTTAAGTACTTTAGTTTTAAGATCAATACATCAGAATTTTACAACTTAATATCTACAGTACTATCATCTTTCAAATAACATCTATTCATACATTCATTCATGAAATTAATCTAATTAAAGTACCTTATTTAAAACAATGGAGGAAAGAGCGGGTCATTTATTATGTGGTGGTTTTCAAGGAACAAAAGTTACTTCACAAGCTTATCATTTAATAGTTGAACAAAAAATATCATCAATGATATTATCAAGAAAAAATGCTATAAATGTAGAACAAATGTCTAAATTAATAAAAGATTTACAATATATTGCTTTTACTCAAGGTAGATATAAATATCCTTTAATGTTTGCAATAGATGAAGAAGGAGGAATTATGAATAGTTTATTTGATCCTGAATTTTTAACTCAATATCCAAGTGCAATGGCATTAGCTGCTACAGGAGATCCAAATTTAGTATATGAAATTTCAAAAGCTATAGCTATAGAATTAAAAAAAATTGGATTTAGTATAATTTTAGGACCTGTTTTAGATGTTGTTACTAAATTATCTCATCAATTATTAGGAGTTAGAAGTTTTGGTACAACTTTAGAATCAGTACAAAAATATGGATTAATGTGTGCAAAAGGTTTAAAAGATGGTGGATTATTTACAGTTGGAAAACATTTTCCAGGAATGGGGAATGCAAATGTTGATTCTTTATTGGAATTACCTGTTATTGGAGAATCTTTAAATCAATTAAAACAATTTAATTCAATACCTTTTCAAACTTTGATTGAATCGAATGTATTGGATGGAGTTAGTGCTGCTGGTTGTGCTGTACCAAATATTAGTCCTGATGAAACTCATGCATGTTTATCACCTATAATTTTAAATAATTTACTACGAGGAGATTTAAATTTTAAAGGGTTTGTAATAAGTGAATGTTTAGAAATGGAAGCATTATATCATTCAATTGGATTAGGTCAAGGTGTAATATTAGCAATAAATGCAGGATGTGATTTAGTAATGGTTTGTCATGATTTAAAATTACAAAACGAAGCAATAGATTCTATAAGATTAGGTTTAAGAAATGGAAACTTAGATGAAGAAACAGTATTAGCAAGTTTGAATAGAATAGAAAATTTACAAAAAAGATTACCTACTTGGAAAGATATTTTCCCTAATGGATCAGTATCTGCTAAACAATATCCTACATTATTTAAATTAGAATTTCCTGAACAATGGTCAAAACATCAACAATTATCATCATTAGCTTATCAAAAATCAATTACTTTAGTACGAGATTATAATAATTTATTACCACTACCGAAACATTTTAAATCAAATGAAATTGAATCAATATTAGTTTTAAGTCCACTTTTAATGCCAATAATTCCTAAAAAGAAACATGCTTCAACAGAAAGATTATTTACTGGTGAAGAAGTTTTTCAATGTTTTGGAGAATATTTATCAAATCATAAATTAAATAAAAATAAAAAATATGTTGTTTTACATACTACATATACTGCAAATGGTTTAACACCATTACATGAATCATTAATTGAAAAATCTAAAATAATTATAGTTTTCACAAGTGAAGTTTCAAGAAATATGTATCAAAGTGGAATTGTAAAATATGTATCAATGTTATGTGGAGCAAGTCCATCATCATTTAATAGAAGGGATGGATTTTCACAATTAAAAAAACCATTAATAATAGTTGCAACACTGTCACCATATGATTTTTTTTATGATAAAAATATGGGAAGTGCATATATATGTTGTTATGATTATACAAAAAATGCACTTGAAAAAGTTGTTGATTTAATAATGGGAGATTTTGAACCTGAAGGTTGTATACCAGGAGAGGAAATAAAAAATTTTGTTCATAAAAAGCTAAGATCACATGAAGAAATAGAACAACAACATCAACAAACAATAAAACTGAAACAACAAATTAAAAGAAGATGGTTAGTTGATGAATTTGATATGAAAAGAGATTTTCAAAGCTTAATAAATTTATGGAAAGAAAATAATGAAATTGATGATTCTAATGATTCAATAAATTATAATGATGAACAATTTTATAAAAGATTAGGAGGATTATTAATAACTTCAAATCAAAAACATTTTGTTATTAGAAATTCTTCATTAAATATATTATATGGAATTGTATTAACTTGGGTTGAAAATAATATAGGTCATATTATATATATAATAGTCGAAAAATCAAAAAGATTTCAAAGTATTGGAAAAAATTTAACAGCAAGAGCAATAAGATATTTAAATAAAGAAAAACATTGTTTAGAAATAAGATTAGGTTCATCATTTCCCCTTATAATGTTTCCAGGAAATAAAAATTTAAATTCAATTAAATTTTTCAAAAATTTAGGATGGGATTTTAATAATAATAATTCAAAAGAAAAATGGATAATGACATTAAAATTAATTGATTGGCAAGTTCCACAAAAGATATTAAAAGAATTAATGATTGTTGGAGTTAGATTTGATATATGTAATGATTTAATACAATTAAAAAAATTATTAAATAATAATGATGATAATAATTTAAAAAATTATTATTCAAATATAAATTTAAATAATAAAATTCCAAATGAAATTAAAATTATTATTGCATTAGAACCAAATTCTCAAAATATTATTGGTTCAATTATATTATTTACAAATAAATCTAAAATTTCAAAATATTTTCCATTCATTGATCAATGTATTGATGAATCATTAATTGAAAATAATAATGACCAAGGACAAAAACAACAACAACAACAACAAAATTTACCATTGATTGGTGGTATAGTAGCTCCAGTGATAGATGAAAGTTATTCAAATTTAATTGATATTTTTAAATATGGATTGGTTTGTAGTGCAATAACTATGTTAAAAAGTTCAAATTCAAATGCATCAAGTAATAGTGATTCAGATTCAACGAATAAAAATTTAAATGATATAAATTCATGTATAATGATTGATGTACCAAATGATAAATCTATAAAATCTATTGAAGATATTGGTTTTAAAAAATGGAAAAAATATTATGATTATTATGGTCAAAAATTTATATCGGAAAATTAGATCCACTTTTATTTTATTATTATTTCAGTCTCATATTCATTTAAAATGAGTACGAATGGAAATGTATAAATTTACGAGAGAATACTAAAATAGAAATATGATTTTAGGCTAGAATGTTTCACTTTTCAATTCGGTCCCATCTGCACAAAAATAGACATCCGTACGACCATACATGATTTATTCTGTTGACATTATATAAAGTATTTAGTACGATCTTTCAATGTATTATAATCAAACGTGAAACGAGTTTTATATTTATCCGAAATCAATTCTTTATTTTTTTATTTTGGTTGCAAAAAAATAAATCAATTGAAAAAAACGGTCTAGAATCCGATCGGAAAAAAAAGAATCAGTTTGTCCGAGTTTTTGTGTAAGAATATGTTTTTTCTCTCCATTCATCCATTACATTGCTGAATCGGTGACACTGAATTCGTAAATTTTATATAGTGGGTCAATTGGTAGCAAAAGGTGGAGCAACGGAAATCACGATATGAATGATATCTCAATTGAAATATCAATTTCATTCAGGCAAATTAGTTAGATAATCAAAGCTCATTGAGAGTCAATTAGACTTTTTACAGATACATCCAACATCTTATTATATTCTCTACCATTTATGCACTCAAACTTAGAAGTTCTGTTGGTTAGGAAAAAGAATTTGTTGAAATAGTTCCACATATTTTGGGTGCCCGGGACTAATTTTATCCAACCTAATACATAATCTTCTCCTCCTTTTTGATATTTATCTATTAATACACACTTTATAGTGCTAATAATAATATATCGCTTAGTCTTATTATATTTTCTACTAAGCTTATAAGCTAAGCCTAATCAAAAGAGTAAAAAATCGTTGTAAATTCGTTTATTGTAACACAAAGATCGTAAATTACTATTTTACTGTATAGAACAAAAAATAGTTTTTAATACTATACGGATGAAGTCGGAGAGTTAAATACGATAATACTAGCCCAGTTAGTAGAGCTCGGTATTCTTTATTAAATTGTTTTCGAGAATAGAGTGAGATATCGTAGAGTTAAAACGAATTAATATGCTACAATACAGTAGTAAAGTTGTAAAGCCTTGCGGTATTTTTTACTTTTTAATTGTTTATTCTTCCTATATTTTCACCTTCAATTCAATAAGCTTGTTTAAAATCAATTGAACTTGAGTACTTGCTGAAAACAAGGCTTTACCTTCAAGTAGGAAGCTATACCAGCATCAACTTTACTAATTGAGTCTCTATTTATCTCGATACTTCAAACATAGGAGAAATGAGCATACAGTATATTGTAAATATATTAAAGTCGGCCTCTATCGGATTATTCAATACATTTTTACCCCATATTTTCTTTTTTATTTATTTTTTTATTTTTATTTATTTATTTATATTTTAACGCATACATTTTCAAAATGAGCGTTCTATAAGATACCCAAACTTTGAAATTGAATTGCCAATTAGAGCAAGATTAACAGCCTTTTCTTAATCCTTTTCAGCTGACTCTCTCGATTTGATTCAATGCACCCTTAGAAATAAGAAATCAATTTAGGATCATTTAATTATGTAAAACAAAGTAACATTTAAAAAAAAAAAACATATGTTAGTTTGTACTATTTTTGTGTAACAACTATTAAGCATATGAAAAGAGAAAAATATTTCAATTTATTAGAAAGCAAAAATAGAAAATGTTGAAAAAAAATAAATTATATAAATGATCGAAGATATCCTCCAAATTTGTTATTTTTAAATATCAATTTTTTATAGCATTTGAAATTTACTGAATTCAATTTCATTTTTAAATTATTTCATATATTCATATATTCATACAATACATAAATCAACAAAATGTCACCATCTGCTGTTGAATCAACTATAAATTTCGATAATCATCGTTCAATTAAAACTACTCAAGATCCATTAGTTAAAAAATTAAGTTTAGCTAATGATACTATTATTAGACATAATGCTCCAGCTCCAACTTTATATGAAGATGGTTTATTAGAAAAAGGTACAACAATTTCTTCAACTGGTGCTTTAATGGCTTATTCAGGTAAAAAAACTGGTAGATCACCAAGTGATAAAAGAATTGTTGATGAAGAAACTTCAACTCAAAATATTTGGTGGGGTCCAGTAAATAAACAAGTTGATGAATTAACTTGGAAAATTTCAAGATCAAGAGCTTTAGATTATTTAAGAACAAGAGAAAAATTATTTGTTGTTGATGCTTATGCTGGTTGGGATCCAAGATATAGAATTAAAGTTAGAATTATTTGTGCAAGAGCTTATCATGCTTTATTTATGACTAATATGTTAATTAGACCAACTGAAGAAGAATTAGCTAATTTTGGTGAACCAGATTTTACTATTTATAATGCTGGTCAATTCCCAGCAAATGTTCATACTAAAGGTATGACATCATCTACATCAGTTGAAATTAATTTTAAAGATATGGAAATGGTTATATTAGGTACTGAATATGCTGGTGAAATGAAAAAAGGTATTTTTACTGTTATGTTTTATTTAATGCCTATAAAACATCAAGTTTTAACTTTACATTCATCATGTAATCAAGGTGTTGAAAAAGGTGATGTTACTTTATTCTTTGGTTTATCAGGTACTGGTAAAACTACTTTATCTGCAGATCCAAATAGAAAATTAATTGGTGATGATGAACATTGTTGGTCAAATAATGGTGTTTTTAATATTGAAGGTGGTTGTTATGCTAAATGTTTAGATTTATCACAAGAAAAAGAACCAGAAATTTTTAATTCAATTAAATTTGGTTCTATTTTAGAAAATGTTGTTTATGATCAAGAAACTAAAGTTGTTGATTATAATGATTCTTCAATAACTGAAAATACAAGATGTGCTTATCCAATTGATTTTATTCCATCTGCTAAAATTCCATGTTTAGCTGATACTCATCCAACAAATATTATTTTATTAACTTGTGATGCTTCAGGTGTTTTACCACCAGTTTCAAAATTAACAAATGCTCAAGTTATGTATCATTTTATTTCAGGTTATACTTCCAAAATGGCTGGTACTGAGGAAGGTGTTACTGAACCACAAGCTACTTTTTCAGCATGTTTTGGTCAACCATTTTTAGTTTTACATCCAATGAAATATGCTCAACAATTATCAGATAAAATTTCACAACATAATGCTAATGCTTGGTTATTAAATACTGGTTGGGTTGGTGCTTCAGCTGCAAGAGGTGGTAAAAGATGTTCATTGAAATATACAAGAGCTATATTAGATGCTATTCATTCAGGTGAATTATCAAAAGTTGAATATGAAACTTTCCCAACTTTTAATTTACATGTTCCAAAATCTTGTCCTGGTGTACCATCAGAAATTTTAAATCCAACTAAAGCTTGGACTCAAGGTGTTGATGCTTTTGAACAAGAAATTAAATCATTAGGTAAAAAATTCAATGAAAATTTCAAAAAATATTCTGATCAAGCTTCAGAAGAAGTTAAAAAAGCTGCTCCAGAAATATAATTTTGTTTTGTTTCTAAATAGGATGGATATTTTATAAATAGGAATTTTCAAATTTAATACAATCATTTATTTCGAAATCTATTATTTTTGTAAGCTTTTTATCTTAACTACTATATAAAACTTGAAAACTCGTAAATTTGTGCCCACCTTGGAAGTAAAATATCATAATTTTAAGTGATATATCAAACATCAAACTACGAATGGAATGTTCGAAATGAATTAATGATTTATCAAGTTTCCATAGCCACCAACTTAAAATCCAAGTTCAAACTCAACTACAATTCGTCTATACAATAGTTTGAGTTTATCACCATTTCTTGCACATTGGATTTAATCTAATTAATTCTGGATTCAATTGATGATAAATTAGTAGAACTAATTCAAGTAGGGGTTTATACTTCTAATATCCCTTCGATGAGCAGAAATGTAAAGTAATGTCTGATTAAGCATGATTTTGTACAGTAAAGGGATGAAATTGATACTGGACAAACATTAGAATTTTCAATATTTTGTGATAGCAATAGAAGGAGCACAGATTCGAGTTTGAACAAGTTAATGTTTGTGTTCTCAACATGATAGTGGTGACTGTTCAAGATAAAGAAAATGGAGAAACAAAATTCTGTCCTCAACTAATTCTAGATTTTGTATCTTACAATTCTATTTAAGGTGGAATCAAATTATTCTATATTTTAAACTAGTTATGACAAACGCATCAAAGGAGGTGAAACTTAATAAAGAGGCATGGCAGTCATATCGATAATCTTGATACTATAAAAACTGCTTCAAACATGACTCACCGAAACAACTGAAAAAATGCGTAATACTTCTTCATGAAACATTCAAAACTTTGAAATTCTCGTGAACGAAAATTTAACGATACAGTTTCTGAAGAATCAATATGTTCTAACTTGACTATTTATCTCCAACTATCAATATGAAATATGAATACTCTTTGTTTTCAACACTTCCTTTCTATTAACTCTATTGTAATGTAGAGAAATATAACTCAGTCAATTCATTCTTCTAATGGTAATCCTAGCATGATCAATTTGTTCCTTTAATTTTGCATCAAAATTAAATCGATTTATGTTTTAGCCGTACACTCAAAGGATATAAAAACACAATTACTACTGCTTTACTAAATAACTTTATTTCCTTTTGTTATTGCAAACCTTCTAAAACCGAAAATCATGTCAATTCAGTTACATTTAGACAAATATCTGGATTCATGTAATAACTGTTTGCTCGTAATTTAAAATTTAAGGTTTCAACTTGATTCTACATCCAAACATCAATACAAAAGATCTATAACAATTTTGTAACCCCAAACACCATATAAAAAAAAGGATCTTAAATTAAAGTTAAAATTTAGGTACAGTAGATGAAATTTTTAAAGCCTATTTTTTGGCCCATAACCAATAACACCGAAAGAAATAACTAATTATCAACTCTCAACCTAAAATCAATCAACTTCGAAACTTGAAAAATAGGGGCAGTTTTATCAACTTATTGTTCAATAAAAATATTGATTGTTCATCATTTTGCAACTATAATTACTAACTTATTTAATAACAAACCATGTGGACACAGATCAAATCTATTGTTTCATCTTAAATATTAAATGAAATTTTGAAATATTTTTTTTTACAAACAATAGTTTTTTTTTTGTTTAACAATACCTACCAACCTAGTATGATCAATCAAGAAATTTCAAACGTTTGATAAGAAATGAGTACAATAAAAATCAATGATCAATACCAAGAAGTTACTCTTACATCACTAGACCTATTGACTACAACTATGAAACTTCCCCTTATTTTTCTCATCTTTGTTTTAAAGCCAATGTTAGCCTAAGCCTTATTTAAAGTATGGGGTAAAATTTTTCAAATAATTACATGGAATAAAAAAGGAGCTACAATTATTGTAATTGAGTAAATTCAACAATCAACGATGAAAAATTTAGAAAAAATTGAGATTGTTAATTGACAAAGACAGGCTTAGTTTATTGTTGTATTCTCAATCCACTTTATCACTAACAATGTAAAATGATGTGAAAATTAAATTAATTTTTTGTAACTATAGTTTGCTTGTTTGTGTCATTATGATCCGGAGTATATTAGTATTCGTAATAGTAATTTAATTCACATTCATTGGCTAAAATTGATCGAAGAATGGGACCAAATATGATAATTGATTTAACGAAAGATTTAAAATGTAGAAGAATGTCCTTAGGTCTCGAATAGTAGTCAAATTTACTGTATCATATTCTTACACGAAACCTAAAGGGATGATCTTAAAGTGACCAAATGTTTTTGTTCAACATGAAATACTCTTAATCCTGTTGGATTTTAAAAACCATTTGATATTGTGACATTTTGGCTGGAGATAACGAGGTAGTTTGTGGTGTATATTTTAACTTTTACGCTTGATTTATTGTAAATTAACACTACTATCAAAAAAATGGGGAATGAGATATTGTTTCAACATTTGTAATTGAAAAACCCAAAGAATAGAACAATACCTACGATGGATAGTTGGATAAACCCACTTTATAACTACAGACTTTTTATATCTTTTGAGTATTGTTTAAGTTTTAAATTAGTTTCAGATTAGACTATATTTTGTAATCTATTAAAATAATTTATTGTACATTATAATAGATAATATAAACTTTATTATTATTTCCTTGAGATTACAAAACTACTTACTCTTTAACTTGATACAAATAAAAAATCTCCCATTATACAATACAAATACGTTTGTACATTAAATTTTATAAATATACTTCAATTTCTCTTATAAATTAATCAATTTAATCAAAGTGATCTTACCAACTATATCATCATTTTCAAAGCTTTTCATATTCATAGTTCATTCAATTAGTCCATACTTAAACTACCCCCATAAACCAATACGAGAAATTAACACAAAATAAATAGATATCAATTAGCATAACACACAATTTCATCAAACATATATCATATTCAAAATGTCATTAACAATTAATGATTTAAATATAATTGAATATCTCACCAAATGGTATATATCATTACCGTTATTACTAGTTGTTTACAAATTATTTGATGTTTTTTATGAAATTTATTTAAGAAATAAATTAGGTGCAAAACGTGAAACCAATATCGAATCAGATGGATATTTTGGATTCAAAATGCCTTTTATAATGATTAAAAAAAAAGATGATGGAGTTTTACCAGATTTTTCAGTTGAAAGATATGAAAATTTATTAAATCCAAATATCGCAACTTATTCATTTAAAATTTTTACAACTAAATTATTTGCAACCAAAGATCCTGAAAATATTAAAGCTATTTTAGCTACACAATTTAATGATTTTAGTTTAGGTTTAAGACATGCTCAATTTGCTCCACTTTTAGGAAATGGTATATTTACATTAGATAAAGAAGGTTGGAAAGATTCAAGACAAATGTTAAGACCACAATTTGCAAGAGAACAAATTAGTCATGTTAAAATGTTAGAACCTCATATACAAATATTATTTAAACATATTCGTAAAAATTTAGGTAATACATTTGATTTACAAGAATTATTTTTTAGATTAACTGTTGATTCAGCAAGTGAATTTTTATTTGGAGAATCTGTTGAATCACTTAAGGATGAATCAATTGGGTTTCATATTGAAGATTTTGCTGGTAAAAAGGAATTTGCAAAATCTTTTAATTCTGCTCAAGATTCAATGTCTGTTAGATCAAAATTACAAAAATTATATTGGTTATATAATCCAAAACATTTTCAACAATGTATTAAAGTTGTTCATACATTTGCTCAACATTATGTTCAAAAAGCCTTAAGTTTAACTCCAGAAGAATTGGATAAACAAGAAGGTTATGTTTTCTTGTATGAATTAGCTAAACAAACAAGAGATCCAAAAGTTTTACAAGATCAATTATTAAATATTTTAGTTGCAGGTAGAGATACAACAGCTGGATTATTATCATTTGTATTTTTTGAATTAGCAAGAAATCCAGAAATTTTTAAAAAATTAAAAGAAGAACTTTATTCAAAATTTGGTTTTGGAAAAGATGCAAGAGTTGAAGAAATTACATTTGAAAGTTTAAAAAATTGTGAATATTTAAAAGCTGTATTAAATGAAACTTTAAGATTATATCCTTCTGTACCTCAAAATTTTAGATTAGCTATTAAAGATACAACATTACCTCATGGTGGTGGAAAAGATGGATTATCCCCAGTTTTAATTCGTAAAAATACAACAGTTACTTATTCAGTTTATGCAACTCATAGATCAGAAGAATTTTATGGTAAAGATTCTACTATTTTTAGACCTGAAAGATGGTTTGAACCAGAAACTAGAAAATTAGGTTGGGCTTTTTTACCATTTAATGGTGGACCTCGTATTTGTTTAGGTCAACAATTTGCATTAACTGAAGCAAGTTATGTTACAACAAGATTAATTCAAGAATTTTCAAATTTATCAATGAATCCAAATACTAAATATCCACCTAAAAAATCATCTCATTTAACTATGAGTTTATTTGATGGTTTAAATATTGAAATGTCATGAATTTAATTATGGTTTAAATATTGAGATGTCATGAATTTAGTTATCCTTGTACTTACACCAATTGTTATTTATATTCATCTCTTGATAAATTAGGTTTTCAATATTTAAATGCTTTTGAACTTAAAATTGGGCCTACCTCTCTCAGATTTAGACATGTACTACTTGAATGTTTTTAAACGATTTTTTTGCAACCAAAAATTGAGCTAGAATGCGAAACATGAAACATAGACCAATATCTAATGAAGAATTCATCACATCGGCTGTTGCAGAAGTTTTTTTAAGATGTTGGAAGTATTGATATAAATGAAAAATGTATGTAAAGATTGTTAAGTATTATTTGGTATCCAAAAACAATTTTGAGACTTCCATCGACTGTTCAAAGTACCGCTCAATTGCAAATTTTAGATGAATATGAATGTCAATTGTTTGCAGTATTTGATGTTAGAAATCAGTTTGTTTCAGGTGAGTTTTTGTCATGATGCTATAGTCAACCTCACAAGAATATTCCACTTGTCTTGGCTCCAATTAGAATTTCAAGTAATTGTCGATAAATTTTTTACAACATACGTTATGAAGGGATATCATAGTTTGTTCAAACCATTATCTCAACAGCTGTAAGCTTAATTCATATGTCAAGTTCAAAATTATTCTTATTGCCAAATTTATAGACACTTAGTTTTTTCCGTTAAATTTTTCAACCGATCAGATTCCTTCATAAAACGTTTTTTTTTCAATGATGTATTTCTACTCCGCAGATCTATAACAATCAATCTTTAATTATTTTTTTTTAGTATCTCTGATCGGAGTTTGTAAAAATTTACGAAACGTTTGAAATTTATCAAACACAATGTTCATATGATCAAATGTTAAGATCATGAGAAAAATCTGATGAGATTATGAAATTTAAATCCTAACAACAGCCTAAGAAATAGTTTCATGAAAGTAAATCTATAGGTAATAGATTACTACTGAAGATCTACCAAAATATGAATAGTTATTTGAGAACCCTTTTAATTAAACTTGTATAAAATTAACAATAGCTAATTCTAAAATTTAAGAGTAATATCATGGGTAGGAACTATTTCTGCTGAATAAAGAAAACGGGTTTTGCTTTAGTTTATATTGTAATCGGGTTCTGATAAGTAAATTGTGATTCTATTGTTGTCTCTATATTTTAGTAAGGTATAATAGGAGTTAAGTAAAAAATCTATTTCATCGCAATTAATGTAAAATGATGCGAGATTCAAAACAACTTTGCTACTACGGTATGCTACTTTTGTGTTACGCTACGGTGAATTTTATTATTCCATGAATTTTTTTCTTATAAATGTCTTTGTCACACCATTGATAAAAACAATTTTGACATCTTTTCTATCAGTATATACAAGGGGATTCAAATTTGTTGGATAGAGAAAAGAATTGAACCTCTGTTGAATTAGATAGATAGACTTTTAGGGGTATAAAGCTTATCATCTTATTGAGTATAAGTTTATAATGATATTAGACTATTATACTCAATATAGTAAAATGGATAAATTTGAATTTGAAAAATGGATAAAAAAATAGTTCAATATAAAGTAACAGAATTATCCGTTTCTATTATTATTATCCTTAGACTAAAATATTATTGTGATACTTTAATCTATTATATCCGTTATTATATTATAGTATTATAGTATTATAGTACTGTAGTAGTAATAAATTAACCCACTTTACTAATTCTATATTCATATGTAAATTAACATTTGTGTATTATAATATTATAAGTAGACAATTCTATATATATAAATTATCAAGATCATTTTTTACAACCATTAGAATTTCATATTTTGATCCTTATTTAACATTTAGTATTAGTATATAGTATAATCACAATCTACTCCACAATAAAATTGAAAATAATTTAATATTCCTTTGATTTTAATTAACACACCAGATAAGATTCACTCAGCACAACGTAGAACATCAAACTTATATATATAATGTCACAATCAATAAATGATTTAATCATAACTGAATACCTTACTAAATGGTATATTTCAATACCTTTATTACTAGTCATTTATAAAATATTTGATGCAATATATGAAATATATTTAAGAAACAAGCTTGGTGCAAAACCAGAAACAAATCCAGAAGGTGATGGATTTTATGGATTTAAATTACCTTTTACAATGATTCAAAAAAAAAAGGAAGGTAAAATTACTGATTATGCTTATGAAAGATATTCATTTGTTAAAAATCCTGATATTCCAACTTTTTCATTTAGAATATTTACAACAAAATTATATTCAACAAAAGATCCAGAAAATATAAAAGCTTTATTAGCAACTCAATTTAATGATTTTAGTTTAGGATTAAGACATTCTCAATTTTTACCATTATTAGGAAATGGAATTTTTACATTAGATAATGAAGGTTGGAAAGATTCAAGACAAATGTTAAGACCACAATTTGCAAGAGAACAAATAAGTCATGTTAAAATGTTAGAACCTCATATGCAAATTTTATTTAAACATGTTCGTAAAAATAATGGAAAAACTTTTGATTTACAAGAATTATTTTTTAGATTAACTGTTGATTCAGCTACTGAATTTTTATTTGGAGAATCTGTTGAATCTTTAAGAGATGAAACAATTGGAATTCAAATTAAAGATTTTGCTGGAAAAAAGGATTTTGCAAAATCTTTTAATGTTGCTCAAGATTATTTAGCTTCAAGAGCTCTTTTATCAAGACTTTATTGGTTATTAAATCCAAAAAAATTTCAAAATTGTTGTAAAGTTGTTCATACTTTTGCTCAACATTATGTTAAAAAAGCTTTAAGTTTAACTCCCGAAGAATTAGATCAACAAGAAGGTTATACCTTTTTATATGAATTAGCTAAACAAACAAGAGATCCAAAAGTTTTACAAGATCAATTATTAAATATCTTGGTTGCAGGTAGAGATACAACAGCTGGTTTGTTGTCATTTGTATTTTTTGAATTAGCAAGAAATCCTGAAGTTTATGCAAAATTAAAAGAAGAATTATATTTAAAATTTGGTTCTGGTAAAGATGCAAGAGTTGAAGAAATTACTTTTGAAAGTTTAAAAAATTGTGAATATTTAAAAGCCGTGTTGAATGAAAGTTTAAGATTATATCCATCAGTTCCTCAAAATTTTAGATTTGCTGTTAGAGATACTACATTACCTCGTGGTGGTGGACCAGATGGTTTAAGTCCAATTTTAGTTCGTAAAAATACTACAGTTACTTATTCAGTTTATTCAACTCATAGATCAGAAGAATTTTATGGTAAAGATGCGAATGTTTTTAGACCTGAAAGATGGTTTGAACCAGAAACTAGAAAATTAGGTTGGGCATTTGTTCCATTTAATGGTGGCCCAAGAATTTGTTTAGGTCAACAATTTGCATTAACTGAAGCAAGTTATGTTACAACAAGATTAATTCAAGAATTTCCAAATTTATCAATGAATCCAAATGTTGAATATCCACCTAAAAAATTATCTCATTTGACTATGAGTTTATATGATGGTTTAAATATTGAAATGTCGTAAATACTGCTATATTTATTATATACAAATCGTATGTTATTTAATTTTCTTGAATAGAGCTTGTCTTGTAAACTCTTCTCTTGCACTGGTCTGAGTTTCCTTTTGATTCGAAATATTTTACAGCACGAAAAAGTAACGAGAAAAACTGAGATCAAAAATTAAATTGGTAAACAAAACATAAAACGCAACTCACATCTCATAATAACTGTATCTACCATAAGGAATGTCCTACCAATGGAACGTAGAAGTATTTGCAGAGATATATAATGCATTAAAATTTCAACCAAATGTGGATATTTCAACAATAAATTTTGATCCAATATCAAATGATTTATTACAAGTTTTAAAAACTTCACAACCAAAAAATTCAAGAATAAAATTAGATTCTACAATTAAATTTCAAAATGGAGATGAAGTATTATTAAATGAAGCATTTATAGAATTAAGTGGAATTTTATCTATTGAATTGGATTTAGGTGAAGTTGATACTGCAGAATTATTGTTTTTCAGTGAAGATGTAAGTTTTAAAAAGGGTACAAGTTTAAAAGATAGTGCCAAATTACTGTATTTTACAAGATTTGAATATATTTTAAATATATTAGGATACCTTATAACAAATCATGAACTAACGCATGATCCCATCACCATTTTTAATAATTCAATTGAAAGTTTTGATAAAATTAATAAATTAATAAATATACTAAATGATTTAATTGATAAACAGAAAGTTACCGGAGATATAGATAATCTAGAATTTATAAATGGAATCAATTATGCAAGAATTCAATTGTTTAAATGTCATGAATTATTGGGTTTAGTTTTATATGGATTAAGTGATCAATATTTTGAAAAAATAGGGACAGTACAAAATTATGAAAAAGTTATTAAAATAGTTAAAACATTATCAAATGATGATATATTGATTATTCATTTTTTACCATTTGTTTTAAATTTTTATGAGAAATCAAAAAATTCGAAAGTTATTGAAGAATTGTATACATCAATTACCAAATCAATACCTAAAGATTCTAAACTGGAGACATTTGATTTATCTAAATCACAATTACATGGGTTTGAAATAGTAGTAAATTTTATATTTTTAACTGAATTCATTCCATGGTGTAAAAAAAACAAAGATTCAAGTTCAAAAAAATATGATTTTCAAAATGATATAATAAAATATATGGAACAATTTATAGGTATTGGAGTAATGGAAATTTTACTTAATTATTGTGCTGAAACAAGTACTCCAAAAACTCAACAAATTTTTGAATTATCAGAAACTTATGATTTTAGATCATTATTACAAAAAACAATTCCAAAATTAATTCCATCAAAATTTATATATCCAGGTACTGAAGAATTAAAACATTTAGAAAAGCAAAGGTATGGAATATCAAATATCCCTAAATTAATAGATGTATCATTTTTAAGTTTAAATCCTGAATTAAATAATTCTTTAATTTCACCTTATTTTCAAAATTTTTTTAGTACATTTATATCAAATGCAGCAATAATTTTAACATCATTACGAGATAGTGAAGAAGATTTTGCATTATCATTTGGTGATAAAAATGAAGAAATTAATGAAGAAAACAATGATTCTGAAGAATCTTTAAAAAATAATAATGAACCAATTCTGGAATTTGATGAAATTGCTCAAAGAGCAGATTTAGAAAGATTTTATTTAGCATTTGCTTATACTTTTAATGATAGACCTGAATCATGTTCTAATTTTTGGTCAGATGAATCTATAAATAATGAAGTTTTGGGTTTTTTATCATGGGCTTTAAATAATAATACATCACCATTAATTGTTGCTTGCTTTTGTGTGTTGTTAGCATCATTAACTTCTGGTGGATCAACTTTTGCAACAAATATTTGGGATTTTTTAATAAGTAGTAGTCATAATTTAAAAAAGAATGATTTTTCCAAGATAACAATTGATTCAATTTATGAATCATTAAAATATTATATTGATTCATTAATTTCAAATTTTGAAATAGACTTAAATGATCAATTATCAGTACATCAAAAGAAACATGAATTAGTATTTGCTAATAAATCTTTAGATATTGAAGATAATGGACAGGATAAAATTATTATTGAATTAGCTGAAGATTCTATAGTTTCAATATCTGGTTTTATTCATTTAATATCATCATTAATGAAAAATTTATCTGATTCAACAAGAGCAAAAGAAATAAAAAATATAGCTTATCAAAGATTTATTCCATTAATTAAAAATTTTTTTGAATTTGATAATTTAATTACTGGAGGTAATATTTTACAAGTTGATTTAAATTCAAATAATTCATCAACTTCAACTCATTATGTAAATTTACCACAAATTCATGTTAGTGATGATTCAAGATCTTTATTAATTAATTTAATGTTTAGATTATTAGGTAATTTTGTTGATGAAGATTCATATATAAGATATGAAATTTGGAGATTAATTGATAGTTGGATGTATCATGGTCTTCATATAAATTCAATTCAACAAAATGATCTTTTTGGTAAACCATCAGATAAAAGGAAATATATTAGAAAAAAACCTTTAGGTACAATTGAAGTATTTTCAAATAATTTAACTCATTATAGTGAAGTTTTCAATTTTATAGATCTTATCAAATCATTATTAGAACCATTGGGTAGTGGAAGTGCATTTGATAAATATACTTTATCATTTCCTTGTGATTTAGGATTTGGTTATAGACCTAATAATCAATTAGGTATAGGTGCATATATTGAATTTATATTAGTTGATGTTTTCAGTAAATCTCAATATTTAACTAATGAAGATGATAGAATAGCATTACAAAATTTAATATTAGAATTTTGTATTGACTCATTAACTGAAATAAATTGGAAATTTTTAAGTGAAATAAGTTTAAAAGTTATAAGAAATTTTAATAATTTTGAAAATATATTTGATTCATTAATACCTGGTTGTTCAATAGATTATGAAAATTTTGTAAAATTACATCATTCATTAGCTATAATAACTTATTTTTTTGATAATAAAGCTAATAATTCATTATTTGAAATTATAAATTATGGAGTAGATACAATTAATTCTTCTCATAAAAAAGCAAATTTAGTTTTTAAAGCATTAAATACATTTGATTTATTATTAGATATACAAGGAACTTATAAAACCACACTATTACCAATTTTAAAGAGTAAAAATATTGCTCAACAACCAATTCATAGAAATTCAATATCTGGAATAAATACTTCAATGAATTTAATATTAGCTCAACCAACAACAATTTTTGATAATATATATCAATCCAAATTATTAAGATCACAAGGAGTTAATTCATTTTTTGACGTGTTTTTATTTAGAATTTCATCAATTGTTCATATTGCATTATTTGTAAGTTGTGATAATGAAATTTCAAAATTTTCACTTAAAATATTATCTAAAATAACTAATTCAAATCATTTTAAATCAACTAAAACAAAAGCTGATCCATTAATTAATAATGATAGAATATTAACAACTTTTTTAAATATTGATGAAAGTGAAAAAATTAAATTTGCATTTATTGATAAATTTGAAGAAGTTGAAGATAATTTTGATATTAAATATCAAATTTTAAAACTTATTTCAAGTACTTTGGGTAAAAATATAAGTGTGGGACATTTCTTATTAGGTTATGAAATTAAAGCAAATACATTATATTTAAATAATGATGATCATAATACTTTACTTAAAGTATTGTTAAATACTTTAGATATAAGTTTGAATTTAATTACAGAATTAGATTATGGAAATGGAAATCGTCATGTAATTGATGTTGGTCCTGCTAAATTATCATCATTAATTTTAGAAGTGATTATTAAAATTTGTACAAATCCTGTATCTTCTTATATAACAATGACAGCAATTCGAAATCATAATAATTTAATTGAAAATTTGATAAATTTTCAACCTAGATTAGACTTATTAACTATTTGGTGTGGTCATGAATTTAATGGAGATTTAAGTATAAATTCAGAAAATCATTTTATAACTTCTTTACCAAGTATTGAAGCCTTCATATCATTCATAAATCAAAGAGAATTAGCATTGAAATTAATAGCCTTGGAATACTATAGTACATCATCAATTACTAGAAAACAATATTTCACAAAACTTTTAATCGATAACAAGAATCAAATACCTCATCAATCTTCAAAAATCTTAGATTTTTTAGATGTTTTAAATTTTAATTTTAAAAATTTTGAAATTGAAAAATACGATTATTTAAATCAATCATTTAATATGAATTTAATCTTACAATTAGTATCTAATGATCCAATAGATTATTCAATTTTAAAAGATATTTTTAAAATTTTATGTCAAAGTTCTAATTTAATAACAACAGAATCAAAACAACATTTTACAGATGAAATTATGATTGAAGGAAATAAAATTCATGAATTTGTAACAAAATATTTAGTATTGAATAAAACTCGTAAAGTTCAATTACAATTTTTAATATCATGGTGTCAATTAATTGAAATATTAGTGGTTGAAGATGATTCAATTTCAAATGAATTTATTGTTGAAATTTTAAATTCTATTTTACCTAAAATTTCATCATATTTGGATTCTGATATAACTTTTTCAGAAGAATTAGTATCATTATGTGGGACATTGTTTGATATCTACTGCGAACATGTACTGAATAAAGAAGATATTGAGTTAATTTTTGATCAATTATTACCATTATTTCAAACTTGTGTGTCAGCAGTCATTAATTCAAGCTCAACTCCAACTTTAAGATCTGAAATCTATCTAATTTTGAATAAGTTAATTTTCAAAAATGAATCATTATCATACAGAATTTTCAAACTTGTTAAATCGAGTAATAAAAAACTTTTCCCAGTTTTGGCAAATGATGCATTATATTCAGAAGATCTTTCAAGAATCAATTCAGTATTTTTATTGGATTCATTGATCAAAGTAGGTAACAATTTAAAAACAGATTATATCTTGGATAATATGATTAAAACAAATTTAATATCACAATTAATAAGATCAATAAGAAGAACAGATGAAATTTTAAAAATTGCATCTATAAATGTTCCACAACCAGAATATTCATTAAACAATATATTTATTGAATTAACATCATTTAAAGCTAATTTATATTTATTAAATAAAATTGCACAATCTCAAATTGGTTCATTAAATTTAATTCAAAATGAAATTTTTCAAATTTTTAAAAATTTAAATCTTTTGAAAATTGATCCTGATTTAGGTCTTACATTATATTTAAATGAAATTGAAAATTTTAAAAAATTTAATATAATATTATATTTAAATACTCCATTATCATTAGTTGATTTAATAAATCAAAAAAATAATACTAAAGATAATAACAACACTTTTAAAAATCAAAATTCAATTTCATTTAATGAATTAATTATTCCAATTTTTGAATTAATTGTAACAATATTGTTGTCAATGGGTCAAAATTATAAACCATCAATTAATCAATCTAAAGAATTTATGAAAAAAATTGAACCATTAGTTGATAGTGTTTTAAAAAGAGAATATTTATTAAGTTGTGATAATGAAATAAAGAATGATTTATCGAAAGAAAAATCAGGTAATAATGCTAATGAGATTGTTTTATTGAGTAAATTGGTTGATTTATTTACAATTATTCATTCATTGACTGAATGAGCATATGGAGCTAAGAGTTCATAGGCTTTATAGGTAATTTAAAAGTAACGTCTGTATTTATATCTTCAAATCTTGTAAGTACAAATCTCTATTTTAAATAGATATGTTGTGAGAGATTTTATAAGTAAAGAATCTACAATTACAATCACTAATACATTTTAAACTTTATGAATTTTGATAAACAAAATATATTCAAACAATTAAATCTATAACCTCAAATTTAATGTTCTTGAGCATGTTTTAAATGTTCATATTCTAAACTATAACCAAAAATAATAACAATAATAGCTAAATGAAGTAAAGGTTTACCACTTGCATTATCACCATCAAAATATTTTTGTCTATATTTAACTAAAGGATTTGAAGATTTTGTAGCAGCTGGAGCTTGACCTTGTGGTAATTTTTTATAAAATTTTACAACTTCTGACATTCTTTTAGCGGCTGATCCACCTCCTAAGTTCTAAAATTATAACGTTAGTAATAAGCTCAAAACTTATGAATGTGAGAGTCGGTTGAACGGTTTGACATGAAAACGAATGAATTAAACACTCCCGATTTGGAATGAACTTTGTTTCAAGTAATTATGCTTTCAATTCCTCATCGAAATATTCTTCTTCCACAATGATGCAAATTGGAATGAGAATTTTAAAGGCCCTAAGTAAATCAAAAGCCCAAAATGTGTTTGTTTCGATCCTGGTGAACCTTGTATTATCTTTGAGAATATAGGATTCATCAATCTAGTTTGATAATTCCCATGGTTCAATTGAGTAAGTATGAAGTCTCCAAATATGTGATTAGTCTATATCTTCATATTCAAATCAAAGTCTAATTCATGTATATACTCCTTACTTGGTAGAAATGGAAAATGCATTCGTTGTCGGACTCATTAATAATTTGGTGCATCAGTCATCCTCTTTCAATATTGACTCCAATGAATGATATAACATACTTTAGCAGAAGCTATTTTAGGTGGAATGATAGTAGATAATTGTCTTCTGATGATGAATGACATGGTTTATAGTTGATGTTTATTGTAGAGTTTTAATTAATGTATTGCCGATATTTAGTACAATTTTTTTTTTTCAATTGGAAGCTACATCGATTTTCATTTGATAAAATTCGACATCCGTAACTACATGTTTAACGCGCACTGAATAGAAATATAAGAACAAACTACAAGTACTTATCATAGTTTAGACATCAATCTCATTATAAAATTATATTTATACTAACAGTCGTTCAGTTGACGAAGTGGCCCATTGATAACCAGATTGTCTCAGTAAAAAACCAGAGTTCATTTGTTTGATTTCAAATCCCAAACTCCAATCGAACGAATTGAATAATCTCATCTCTGTAAATGCAGATTATGGTCAACCTCCTCTTCATAAATACCAGTACCCAAACTATAGTATTCTACTCAACTTTCACCAATGTAAAGAACTGCGTTATATGTTAGTACCTATAAGTTATATCAAAAAACAAAACATGTATCAAAAAACATACCATTATTTCCTCTCAAGAAAACATCACCATATTTTCTGGTTACTTTCCCATTGACACTTTCTTCTCCATTCTCTAATACAACATTCATATAACCATCAATTGTTTGTAAATCACCTTTATATTCTACACCATTATGTAATTTCACTACAACTGAGGAACCAATTATGTCGCTCAAAAATTTTGACGGGTCTATTCTTTTGAAATCGGTAGATGATTCTGTATCTGCTGACATTATATATCTGGTGATAAGTTTAGTCTTTCTAGCTTGTTTGCTTCGGAGTATGATAATTCAAATTGGTCTACTGCGTTATAAATTTTTGTGTTCAATAAAATCAAACCATGTCGTATAAATATAATTCCTGACAAATGTTGAAGATCACGTCTATAATGGTTTTAACAACATTGATTCTATTGTTAAACGTAGCTGTGCTTATGAATCTAAGCCTAGAACCAAAGTTGTATGTATCGAAATTTTCGTCGAAAGCCTTGCATTTGGGAAAGTGTAATAGAGATTAATCAATTAAGCTTCCGATAGAATTTTACTACAATTGACAAACATCGGAAAACAAATTCTGGTAATTTTCATATTTCTTTTGAAGATAACAAGATTAGAAGCTGATGGAAGGTAGAAGACAATTGCTATGCCTTTTCGATACTTGAGTATGGAAAATTAGGAATCACCTCTAGTTCAAAAATATATTTAAAGATGTTGGTAATTATAGAAGTGTTAAGTCAATTATAAACTCTTCTATAATTATAGAATTTATACGTACATGTATTACATACTAATTTGAAGTATAATGTCTCAAATTGGAATATTCTATCTGTACAAGTTTATACAATTTAACTTTCTATCCGACCAAATTTTATAGATGATCAAACCGGCTGCATAATTAATGTAGTCGAAAAATATTTTGATCAAAATTAATTACATTGGTATAAACACAATAGTAAGTGACCATCTAAGTAAAAATAATCAAGTCAATTAACGTTTGATGTATTATTTTTTTACGTTATTTAGTAAATTAATCAAAACAATTAATTGAACCATTTTAATATATGATATCTCTTACTTTTGGTTTGCCCAATGCCATAATCCCACAAAAGTGACATTAATGTTTTACCCAACGGTTGAGTAATACATAACGAGTAAAGTCTATATAGAACAATTACATTAAATTGACCTTATAGTAACATAACTTCACTCTGAATAATTTATTTTTGCTTCTCAAAACAAAATAATAATAATAAATTTATCTACAAGAGAAAAAATGTAATAGTCTACAAGATAAAAAAAAAAATAAGGATATCAATTTAGTATTTATCAAATTAAACTATACTCTGAAGATAATACAACCCATCATTATCATAAGCTTTCCCAGTTCATCACTTAAGAAGATCAATTAAAGACCGTTAGTAACTATATCAACAAAAAGAACCAATTGTACAAGCAAAAAATACCATATCAAGAATTATAAATCTACAAACCATTAGTATATTTATCAAATATTCATATTAATAATGGATGGTAATCAGCCATCAGTGAAGCAACAACAACCGCAAATTCAACCACAGAATGAATATCAACAAACCTCGCAACAGAATATTCATCTCCAACAACATCAAAACTATCAACCTTCATCGAATGAAAATCCATCAAGAATTGCTGCAACTCCAAGAATGCTTAGAAGTTTAAGTGGTGTTAAATCAAAATCTGAATTGAATCAATATGATCAATCTCAACCATCAGAAAGTAATAATAATAACAATAGTATTAACAGTGGAATAAGAAAACCGTCTGACTCTCAATTATTACCTCCATTATCAATACCTTCACCTGCATCAACTCCACTTGGTGTTTCATCACAAGATTCAACTGATTATAAAACTAATACACATAATAACTATGATACAAGACAATTACCAAAAGTGAGTGATTATTCACCAGGACTGAGTAGAACTATTAAGAACGTACAAAATCAACAATTTATTCAACAACAGAGTTATTCAAATCATACATCACAGAATGATCAATTCACACATTTACAAAGACAACAGCATCAACAATCGCAACAACAACCTCAAGCATTATCAAATTCTCAATCCAGACAACAACCAAATTGGTCAGCTCAGCCTCAAACTGCATCTTCTCAACCACATAATCAGCATCAGCATCAGCATCATCATCAACATCAACATCTGCAACCTCAGCAGCAAGCATATCAACCACCACCTCCGCAAGCACAACCACAACCACAACCACAACAGCAACAACCACATCAGCAACAACCACAACGATCACAACAACCACAGCAATCGCAACAATCACAACAAACCCAACAACCGCAGCAGCAACAACAATTTCATAGAAAATCCATTGGAGATTGGGATTTTGTCAAAACTATTGGAGCGGGTTCAATGGGTAAAGTCAAACTAGCTCAACATAACTCAACAAAAGAAATATGTGCTGTCAAAATAATTCCAAGAGCTGCAAAATTATATCAAAGAGCTCATGCTAATGACCCACCGCCACAAACTTCTCAAGAAGCATCTCAAAGACATAAGGAATTTGAAAAAGAATTAGCTAGGGATAAAAGAACAATACGTGAAGGTGCACTTGGTAGATTATTATTCCATCCATTTATATGTCGATTATATGAAATGGTACCAATGACAAATCATTACTATATGTTATTTGAATATATCGAAGGAGGTCAAATGTTGGATTACATTGTTGCACATGGATCATTGAAAGAAAGACATGCAAGAAAGTTTGCTAGAGGTATAGCATCAGCATTAGACTATTGTCATAGAAACAATGTAGTTCATAGAGATTTGAAAATTGAAAATATCATGATCAATGAAAAAGGGGATGTTAAAATCATCGATTTTGGATTATCAAATTTATATTCTCCAAAAAGTCTTTTAAAAACATATTGTGGATCACTTTATTTTGCAGCTCCTGAATTATTAAGTGCAAAACCTTATTTGGGACCAGAAGTTGATATATGGTCTTTTGGAGTTGTATTATATGTTTTAGTTTGTGGTAAAGTTCCATTTGATGATCAATCTGTTTCAGTATTACATGAAAAAATTAAAAAAGGTAATGTTGAATATCCAAATTTTCTTTCAAGAGAATGTATATCTTTACTTTCGAGAATGTTGGTTGTTGATCCAACGAAAAGAGCATCTCTTTATGAAATTTTGACACATCCATGGTTGAATAAAGGATATGATCATAGAATTTCAAATTATTTACCTAAAAGAGAACCTTTACATTTACCATTAGATCCTGAAATCATTAGACAAATTTCAACATTTGATTTGGGATCTGTACAAACAATAACTGATGAATTGACGAATTTATTGACAAGTGTAGAATATCAAATGTGTTGTGAAAATTGGTATAATATGGCAAGACAAGGTAAAGAATATGCTTCAGCTCCTAATGCTCATCTTTTACCTGATCCAACTGGTGGTTTCCATCCTTTAATTTCAATCTACTTTTTAGTTCTTGAGATGAGAAAGAGAAAGAAAGCTAAAGAAGATGCAATTAGAGCTCAAGCAGCTCAACAAGAACAATTGAAACAACAACAATTACAGCAACAAGCTCAAGCTATGTTACCAAGTCCAAGAGAAGATACAACATCATTAGAGCAAGATCTTACAAAACAACCCTTATCTTCTACACAACCATTCCAACCTCAACTTCCATTACAATCTCAACCTCAATCTCAAACTCAACAAACTCCAGTTCAACCAAATTCTGGTACAGCTACTCAAGTAGAAATATTGGGACAATATTCATCAAAAGATGCTACGACTCCACAACCACGTATAATTGAGACATTCGCTGAATCTCCTTCCAAGACATTAGATCCCAAACAAACACCTGTTTTATCAATACCAGAACAAGCTCATACAACTATGAATTCCCCATCTATTAAAAACAATTCAAATAACAATGTTGATCCATTGGCAATACCAGAACAACAACCAAAAAGTCCAAGAAGTACAACTCCAGACACTTTGGATCCTAATAGAAATTCACAACAACCGGTTGGATTCAATAATATATTAAGAAAATTATCAACCAAAAAATCAAAGGGCACTTCATCACCAAAGGGAAGTGATAGAGATTCTTCAAGTATTAAAATTCTGCCACAAAGTTCTACTCATTCAAAAATTGATCCAATGGTTCGTCGTGGTATTAGTATGAAAGTAACTGCTAAAGAAAAAGAATCAAGTTCAAGATTATCACCAACAAAAGATATTATTAAAAAAGAAAAAAAATCATCTTTATCACATTCTCGTACTCCATCTTCTTCAAAACCCCATGGATTTATACCTGTTGAATATTTACCACCATTACCAAATTATGATCCATCAACAAATACTTTAATACAAGATTCAAATCCTGCTGGACCACCACCACAAAGACAACAAACTTTAACGGTACCTTCAAGAAAATTACATCCAACAGCTCGTGCAAAATCTGTTGGAGGACAAATTAGAAAAGATGCTTATGGTAGAGCTAGAAGTGCATCAACCAATAGAAATGATACAAGTAATAGTCCTCAAGGAAGTGGATCAATTGGTGACCAAAATGATGGTACTTTAGTATTTTTTGATGATGTTAAATTAGATGATATGGATGTTCAAGAAGTTCCTCAATTAAGTGAAGATGAAATAATGAGACAATATCATGAAGCTAAACCAGGTACAATGCCTTCAATTGAACATTGTAAAACATTATTTCTTAAAGGATTTTTTAGTGTACAAACTACTTCAACAAAACCATTACCAGTTATTAGATATAATATTATTAATGTATTAAGTAAATTAGGTGTTAGATTTCATGAAGTTAAAGGTGGATTCATATGTATTCATACACCTTCAGTACAACAAGCTTCACCAAATCATCCAGATGCTGAAATAGAAGAATTAGAAGATCATGATGATGAAGGGGATGAAGAAGATGAAGATGAAGATGATGAAGCCGATCAAATTTTAAATGCATATGCTAATGAAGATGAAGAAAATCAATTATATGGTGATGCATTTAAATCTAAATCATCTACATTGAAATCATTATCATTTGAAGATAAACCTGAAAGTATACCTGATGGAGCAAAAACTCCAAGTAGACAACCTTCATTACATATTCAAACTCAAACTACTAATCATGGTCTTAGTGGAGGTCCATTATCACCAACTAAATATCATAGATCATCTAATTCAATAGGTGGAGGTCATAGAAGAAAAGTATCATTTGGTAATGCAATTTTAGGATCTTATAGAAAGAAAAATGGATCTCAAGTAATGATGCCACCAAATACTCCAGCAACTGTTAAAACAGTTAAAGGAATATATGATGAAGATTATTTACCAAATGAACAAAATAATCATAACAATAACAATAATAATAATGGTAATGGAATAGATGATGCATTTGAAATTGATAATTCAGCAGAATCATTTAATAATTATGGAGGAGGAAGTGATATGTTAATATCATCAAAAATTGAACATAAAATTCATCATAATCGTTCAACAAGTACATCAAGTAATTCAAATAAGAATCATCCATCAAGTAAAAGTCCTTTAAAATTTGAAATTCATATTGTTAAAGTACCATTATTAGGATTTTATGGAGTTCAATTTAAAAAATTATCTGGTAATACTTGGAATTATAAGACATTAGCTGGTCAAATTTTAAATGAAATGAATTTATAAAAGAATCTGAACAGAAATAACAACTTTATATATATATATAGTAAATAATAAAATGATGGGGAATAAAAAAAATTCCATTTTTTATTTTCAATTGTTCACTGTTCTTCTTCATTACATGTCTAAATACTGCATTATTAATGCTAACTAAACTACTATTTAAAATCAATAATCCAACTCAACATTCTCATTCATAGCTTAGCATTAGTTTTAACTCTTTTTTTTTAATTGTCTAGATACTTGCATTACAAACATATAGTTATAAACCTATTATTGAATTTTTTAGCTCATCCTCATATTCGATTCATGACATTGCTTAACCTAAGTTTTCTCTTTTTCTCTTAATCTTAAAGATCTTTTTCTAACAGCCAATAAATTAGCTAATTGAATTTCTTTCTTTTTAGAAATTAAGAATTTTCTTTTCTTTATCTCATTTTCAAAAAAATTTTCAATTATTTGCAGTTTATATAATTTCATATATATTGGTTTTAATGCTTTATTATTCTTGATCTTTGTTAGGTATTCATTAAATTCAAATATATTATTATATAATAATTCAAATTTTATATTTTGTTGTGATATGTCAAATTGTTCAGGTTTATAATATTCATTTGGATCTTGTGGTGATGATTTTAAAGTTTTAGGTACTTTTATTTCATTATATTTTATTGTTCTTTTATATAATCTTTGATTATCAAATAATAAATAATATTCTTCTCTTGCGGGAGCATTGTTTTTAGTGATTATATTTGAATATATGGGATCAATTCTTGAAAAATCAGGTAAATTATTTGATTGATTTGAAATCCATGATCTAAATTTATGATTTTTAGATATATAATTAATTATTACATATAATGTTTTAAATTTATCTTCAATTAATAAATAATCAAATTTTGGTAAATTTTTTGGGTTGAAGTCTTGTTGATCTTCTTGTTGTATCTCTAGTTTTTCTTCTTTTATTTCGTCTCCTTCCTCTTTAATTTCTTCTTCTTCTTCCATATTTTCATCATTATATTCTTCTTCAAAACTTATAGGAGTTAAATTTCTAAACCATAAATAAACAATTTTTTCAAAATCATCTAACTCATACTTTGTAGTTGGTTCTAAAAATTTTAAAATTGATAATTTTAATTTATTTATAAATAATACTTTAGAATTTAAATCAGGAAAATAATTTAATAATTCTAATTCAAATAAATCCACATCAAATGATTCACTACCTAAAGGTTTTAAAAACGCTCTGAATTGATAAACCCAATTTATTACAAAAATATATTCATGTTTGTTTTTTAAATTTTTTAAATTTTTAAAATATGATTGATTATGATTTTGATTTGGTAAAATTATTGGATTTAAATATTTTTCAAAATTTAATTTTTGATCTTTTGTTCCAATTGTTAGATCTGATATTGAATAGGTCTGGTCATTGCTGTCTTCTTCTTCTACGGATCCATTTGAATGTAGTTGAGAAACCATTGTATTTTGTAGGTTTTTTTAATGTATTGTTGTAGAAGTTTGGAATTTAGCGTGTTTTTATTTTGATCTTTTTATTGAAAATTTAATTCCATTTTTGATATATTATTTTACTTTGTGTTTAGGGATTTTTAATTCTACAATCACCCAAAAAACATTGTTTAACCAGTATAAAATTTTACATATATTTATTAATTTAATTTATAAGCTATATAATGAATAAAGAATTGAATTGAATAACATAATTTTTATATATCTCGTAACACAATCACCCATGTTTTTATCTATTTTCATTTATTTCTATTTTCAATTCAATAATGCTTTTAATTTTTCATTTAATGATTTAATTAAAATCATTTCATTACTAATTCTAACTAATGCATTATGTTTTGATAAATTTGGTAAACCATCTTTTGTTTTTAAAGCTCTTTTACTTTTTCTTTCAATATCATTTTGATTATTATGATCAGGTAAATTTTCAAATTTTTTTAAATCTATAATAAGATTCAAACATCTATTATAAGCTGTTTTACATGCCATTCTTCTTTTTTGTTCTGATGCTGAATGATTTAATCTTTTTTGAGCTAATGTTAATAATGGTTTATTTGATGATCTTCTTCTTTTTTTTAATTTTGGTTGTTGTTGATTCTCTGATGATGATGATGAATTTGAATTTACTAAACTTAATGAGTTATCTTCTTCTGATGATGACATTTCTTCATCATCTTCTTCATCATCACTTTGTCTTTTTTTACATTCATCTCCTGAAATTGGTGGTGTTATTAATTGATTTGTGGTAGGTTCAGTTTTGATTTTTGGATCAGTAGTCGTCGGTATTGATTTAATTTGCTTTGAATTTTGAATAGGCTGTTGTAGTTTTGGTGATTTTATATTAGTTGATACTTTTTGTGTGAAAGTTTCTGTTGGAGCAAATGCTTCAGCTAATTCTCTTTTAAGAGTTTTATGATCTTGATTAAAATTACCACTTTGTAAAAAGGGATTATTCAAGATAGGTGGTTGTACAGTTTGTTGTTGAGATTGATTTTGCACTAATTGATGATGAAATGAATGTGGTGGTGATGGTTGTTGTATTATATTATCATTTATATTTAAATTTGAATTATATGATGATTTTTGTTGTTCATAAGGTGGTGAATGCATTTGTTTTGGCTGTTCATGAAGTTGGTTTTGATGATGATTTTGATTTTGATGTTGTGATTGTGATTGTGCTTGTGATTGTGACTGTAATTGTGATTGTTCTTGTTGTTTGAATGATGGTGTTGGTACTTTCATAGTATGCATTTCAAAATTAAAATCTAAATCAAGATCTTTATGAGCTTGAATATGATGATTTGTTGTTGAATTTGACCTATAAAATTGTAATGGATCAGCTGATGAATTTGGATTAGCTAAATTATCTAAAAATCTTTCTAAAGCATCTGATTCAGTATTTGTGAAAAATTGATCATATTCATCTTCTTCTTGTGGTTGTTGTTGTTGTTGTTGTGTTTGTTGTTGAATTTGTGTTTGTTGTAGTTGAAGTTGTGATGGACCATTTAGTATTTGTTGTCTTGAGAAGGCAAATTCATCCGGAGTTGGTTGTGTTTGTTGTAAAATTGGTGGTTGTACTTGCTGCTGTTGCTGCTGTTGTTGTTGTTGTTGTTGCTGCTGATTTATAGAAGATATTGAACCAGATTGATTATTTAAATTAGTAACATATTGACTATTTAATTGTTGAAATTTATTTAATTCTTCAAATGATCCAATAATTTTAGATTGTTGTAAATTATTATACATTGAAAAAGCTTGTTCAAAATCCATATCAGATGAGAAAATATCTAATAAATTATCAAATTCATTACTATTATTTTCATCTTCATTTATTGTTGTATTTTGTTGATTAATTGAATTATTCGCTATTGATTGATTCATTATTTATGTGTTGTATGTTTAAGTATAGGTATAATACTTTAAGAATTAAATTTGATCTTTGGTATGAAAGTAGACTGGTAAGATGTTTGTTGTTATTGTTGAAATTGTATTTGTTAAGGTCTTAAACTTGAAAAGTGTTTGGTTATAAATTTACTTCGTAATATAGTTTGAAGAAACTTATCAATCAAATTAAAGAAATGAAATTTTTATAAAACAAAATGAATATGATAGATAGATAGATCTATACTATAAATCTAATTGATTTGAATATGTGGGTATACCGATGAAAGGATGGTATTTATGAATTGTGAAAGTGATGATAGGTAGTAGTAGTAGTAGTAGTTTGAATTGTTTGATTGTTTGGTTGTTAAATTTTAAAATTTTAAAAGTATGGTAATTTGATTTTATTATATTATTGAGTTACTTAGTTGTTAGTTGTTAGTTAATTAGAGGTGGTTAATTAGTTAGTAGTGATTTAAATTATAGTAGTGTACAAGTAGCTAAAAAATAATAAATTACTTTTTTTATTTATTATTGTTGTATTATGAAGCTACCAACTGGAGTTAGTCTAATTTAAAGGAATATCATATAGGAGTTAACCTGTATATAAACTAATGTGATCATTTATATACAGTTTAATACCGAATCATACTTCAAAAAATAAAGTGGGGATACCATTTATATATGCAATAAAACTTAAATTATGCTATATCTAGACTGTTGATTGATTTACTACTAAAACCTTATTATGAATCTGTTCAATAAACTACAAAAGATGTAGAGAGTTGAACATCAATACAATAAAGTAAATGAGAAACATGTAGCTAGTTTGATACCACAAATAATCTCAAAGATTAGGTGATTTGATGAGTCCTTTGAGTTAGCCTAACAGGTTCGAACTAAAATTACTTATCTATTCTTTAAATTTGTGGTTATAACCTTTTTCAGATCAGTCAAATTAAAGGGTCAAATCATACACAAAAATGTATATCAACAAAAATTTAATCAAAGTTTATAATGACTAAATTGAATTAGAAGGATGATTACTTTCTTAGTATCCGATAACTTTACCTGTTTTTAAAATTTTGATGATTGAACTCAAACGTCAATTATTTTTACAGTTAAAGTCATTCTTTGGAAATAATATTAGCGCATATTATAATATTAAAACCGTTGAATAGAACAACAACAAGATTCCGTGATACAAATTTGAAAAATATATTCTACGGTACTTACTTACATATAAAGACTTCCTGTTATTATATTACAGTAATTTCAATACAATATAACGGTCCTTTTATTATATTTGTTCTCCTTTCATTGCTCCCCCACTACAACCGCAGTGATATCACTAAAATTTTAAAATTGATACGAAATTAATAAAAAATACGGGGCGAGCAATTAGAGCGAAAATGAAGAAAATACCATATTTAATAAACAGCACAGAAGGTAAAATAATAAGTTTCCTAAGCATAAGAATAACCCAAAAAAATCTGATATAATATCCTCTACTCTATCCAACGAATTTAACTCGTTGAGATTGAACTATTGTACAAAAAAATAGATATCAAACGAATCTAAAAGGTTTCAAATAGGTATCAAGTATTGAAATAGATCTATAAAAATAATAATAAAAGGCAGTGTCTTACAAGTTTCATAATCTTTTTCGTTTAATCTCGATTTCGTTTCTACAGATGCAATGCACTTCTCTAACATTCAATCTTTAAATTAAGGTGGGTGGGGGCATGACTGCGAAGGGGTGATGATTGCGAATGTGGTAGCACATCCATACATTAACTAATAAAGTCTTCATCATGAAACCATGCAAAAGACCTATATAAACTCTGAAAAATGCAAGTTTTATAAATGGCTGCTTATCTAACATGATCTGTCTTGAAGATAACACAGTTTTTTTGGTGAAATTTGAGTACTTTCGTATTTTCCAAATTTTTGGTGCAAATTTGCAGCAAATTTTAAAAAAAGTAAATTGAGTAGATCAAAATGACCTTCAGAAATACATCTAAAGTGATTCTGTGCTTTGATCATTTAAGTTGATGGAGCTAATCGAAGGTTTTATAAAGAAATTTCGTACTGCGGTACGGATGTCGCGATCATCACCCCTTCGCAGTCATGCCCCCACCCACCTTAACAGAATGATTTACGTATCTTTTGCTCGTAGGAGTTAAGCGTATTTTTAGATTTAGTGTTCATTAATTAGTTAAATCATTATAATTTTGTGTAGATTACATCAACTAAATTATTTATTTCTAATTTAAGTAAAAGAAGTTTCAAATTAAGGTACTACAATGTCTAACTATCCCTTTAATATAACCTTCCTTTCAAACTGTATCGAGTAATTTCAATTCCATTCTCATTAAGATTTAGACGTTATAATAATGGTTTTGTTACATCGACAATCTATACAACGTCTTAATAATATTGTTCGTATGTTTGTTTGTTTGTTATAATATATTATTAACATTATTAACAATATTCAAACGAATAAAACGTTCTTGATTATAGAGATTTCATAAATCGTTAACTCACTATAATTTAAAATTTTATCACTCTTGTGTACCTTAAAGGATAATAACATATACCGTATTATATTTTGTGTATGAGATCATTACAAATTTTAAATATCAACATGGTCATTAGAAGTTAAAGAAGTCTATTTGTTACAAAAATTGACGATATTATATAATCCTTTGAACTATTTGGTATCGTAATGTAATCACCACCCATGTTCTATATTAAACTTTTTAACTTATGACTGCTTCATATTGGTATGTTACTTAGTACAAGCTATTGACCAATTTTTGACTTTTATAGTTTGAAAGAGGTCTAGAACTTCCCCCATATTATACGCGTCTAATAAAGAGAAATAATAATATTTTGATTCGCGTACCAATGAAAAAAAAACAAGATGAACTATCAATGCGTAAATTTAGGATGAGATCTTTTAGAAAACATCAGAGTTACAAACCAACCAATCGTAGATAGGAAAATTTCATTCTGCTAATCAATCTTTATATTATCAATTCAATTTTGAAGTTATATGTCAAATACATCATTATCAACAAAATTATCGAATGTTTTACCAAAAAATTCAAAATTTAAATATTTATATATTCAATCAAATCCAATATATATAAAATCACCAATTCATCAACTTCCCAAACTAAAAAATTTATCAAATACTTTAAAAATTCGTCATTTTTTTATACTAATTGAAAATGATATTATAATATTAGGTATTGAAATATTTATATATTTACAAATTTTTGATAATTATATTGATCAATTTATATTTGTTTCAAAATGTGATACTGTTGGTTTGAAAGAGATAAATTTTAAAATTGGTGATGTTGTTAGAGAAGTATTGGATTTTATTATAAATTATGATATTAATAAATATCAAATTAAAGTTAAAAAGGAAAAACAAAGGAAAGATACTGATGACGAACCTATATATAATGGTTCGAATGAAACAAATGGTACACTTTTACTACTAAATAAATTGATTAACAATTTAAAGCAAAATCCACTGACTTTCAATCAACTTCCATATTATAATAAAAACCGATCTAATTCAAAACAACAATCACCAAAAACACTTTTAAAACTTCCAAATACAATTAATTTAAAACTTTGCATCTTCACAAAAACAGCACCACAATATATTTTCCCAAATTCTTCAAAAAATAAATTAAAACATAAAATAAATGGTCAAATTTTATTAAATTGGTGGTTAAAAATTGTAAATTCAATAACTTTAAATTGGACCACCAAGAAATTAATAATTCCAGGATCTGATAATCAATCTATATTAAATTTTATAAAACCATTTAATAATAATTGGTCAATTGGTCATATTTTTGATAACCACAACCAAAATGATTTAGCAATTTATTCTATCCCTTTATTTCCTGATGATCCAAAGGGAAGATTTTTAGAACATTTAATTATTGAAAATAGATATTCTAATATGAATATTTCACAATTTTATAAAGAATTGGGTTATAGACAAGAATTTAGAATTGGTGATTGTGTTGGATTAATTGGATGTGAATTTAAAAATTATATATTTGATAATAATACTACAACCACTGAGGATAAAGAAGATGATATAATTAAAGTAACAGTTTCCCAATATAAACAATTTATAAATTTATTAAAAAATATAAATTATAATATTGAAATTGATATAAATTATATGATTGAAAATGAAATACCAAATTTTTTTATAAATCAATTGGGATTTAGGGATTTTGAATATGGGGAAGTTATTGGAAGTAAAGAGGTTGATAATAGTAATTCAAAAACTCAAGATTTAGGTCAGAAACGTATTCAAACTAATGATTTAACTGGATTAATTAAACGAAAGAAGAAGTGATTTGATCTATACAATTCATGCATATTTAGCTTATTCAAGTTCGGCCATCTAAGTAATATCAGAACTGATGAATTATCAACGACTTTCATACATTTCAAGAACTTAGACATTACCTTTATAAATTCTTATCATCAACAAAGACCTCATAAAAATTTGTTATCAATCAAATTGATTAAATTAGTAGATCTTAGATCTGCTGAAACTACTTCGAGCACAAATTGATGATTGACTGCTTTTTCAAACACAGATCTCAGATTCAACACATAACAAAACAAATGTACAAATTCAAATGCAAATCTTGATAAAAAGATTATACTTTTAATCAAACCAAATCAACTCATTCATTTGTATAACATCAAGAAAAATGAAAAAATTTAAGATTATCTTATCAATTTTAATTTTTTCAATTTCTAATGTCGTTTTATCATTATCACCAGAATCATATTCATTATCAAAAAGATTTGGAATTTCATCATTTAAACCAAAATTATTTAATTTTAATCCAAATGATCATCAATCAACTTCTTCATCCCCTTTGAATAATAATTTTAATGCAATAAATAATGATGAAGCGATCACTAAGAATAACAACAACAATAATGATAACAGCGAACACATCATAAATCAATTATCAGAAATGCCACCATCACCAATGAGATTTCCACCAAAATTACCATTTCCCAAATGGCTTACAGATTTTACAGGATTAAAAGAATGGCCAGATTTAAATCCTCCTTATATACCATTAGATTTTATAAATTTTAATAAAATTGAAGATTTACCAATACATAAACAATCACAATGTTCAAATCCAATATTAAGAAGTCCAATTGCATGTTCATTTGATTGTTTTAATTGTGTTGAATTTGATGATATTTATACATGTCCAAAAATTTCACAAACTTTTGATGATGGACCATCACCACATACAAAAAAATTATTAAATGCATTAAAACAAAAAAACACCAAGACTACACTTTTCACATTAGGTGTAAATATTATAAGATTTCCAGAAATTTATAAAGAAAGTTTAGCAGAAGGTCATATAATGGGATCACATACATGGTCACATAAATTTTTACCAAGTTTAACAAATCAAGAAATTATTGCACAAATAGAATGGTCAATATGGGCAATGAATGCAACAGGAAATCATTTACCAAAATGGTTTAGACCTCCATATGGAGGAATTGATAATAGAATAAGATCTATTTTAAGACAATTTGGAATGCAAGCTGTGTTATGGGATTTTGATACATTTGATTGGAAAATGTTGGATAATTCAAATTTAAGAAATGAAAAAGACATATATAAGGATGTTTTAGATTTTAAAAATTTGAAACAATCAAAGGGGATAATATTAGAACATGATGCTATTTTAAGAACTGTTGATGTTGGAATTGAAATTTTAAATAATATCTTGGGTGATCATGAACAACTAACTATACCTAAATGTGTTGGTGGAATTGATTATATAAAAACTTTTGATAATCCTTAAATAATTGGAATTTGCTGTATTTAGTTATTATGAGTGATTATAGTGATTATGGACATCAGAATAAATTGTTCATTTATCTCGACTTATTAAGCTCTGGTTGATCTATTTGTGATATGAGATTCTCTTACTCTCAACTACAAATTCGATAGAGTTGCAAAATCAAGGGGTAAAACCAAAATCAAAATCAAAACCTACAAAAACAGTTGCAAAAAAGCTATCAAAATCAAATTGTTGAAGGTAGATGATAATCAATTCACCCCAAAATACTAAGATCAAATTCAAATCAAATTAAATTTGAAGATCAAATCCAAATCAAAATCGAATCATATCAAATCAGATCAAAAAAGTGAAATAAATATATACCTCAAACGTTTTATAAAAATATTCATAATATAATTTTACCTCCTTAAAACAAAGTATTTTTATTTTATACATACTTTTGATTAAAACGGTTTTGATAAATCAATAAAATAATAGAAAGATAAAGATGACGTTTGATTGAGTCTTAGATACGCCCTGTTTATCGTATTTATCGGATAAAAACTCTTAAACAAAAGGTCCTATTTTATTGTCTTTTAATTATAGATTATCACTTGAGTAAATGATTTTAATGTATTTATGTATGTCGTGGCAAAAGTATTGATGAAATCTTTGATTTGTTTAATAATCAATTCGGGACGATTAAGCAAGTTAGGATAAGTAGGATAAGAAGAATCTTCCATGAGGATGGTTTGTATCAATAGGATCATTAGGATATTCAGGAATATAAGGAAGAACTTAGACAAATATCTGAATACTAAGAATTTTGAATCCCGAGAATTGGAATAAAAAAGCCACTTTAATTCTTTGATAAAAACGACTCAAACTTGAAAAGAAATGATCAAAAAAACATTATCAAAAGAAAGGTATCATGGATGAATAATCAGTGATTTTAAATTTGAATCAATCAGTGATAAAAATAATCAACAAATTAATAAAATTAAATAAATAAAGTTTCTATCACATTATCATTATTTTTCTCTCGTCAATTAAAATTATATCGTCAATTTACTCGAATTATTATCATCAAAATATCTCAAAACTCTAAGAAATCAATAAATGCATAAGTATCAAGTAAATAAACAAGCTTATTTAATTTAAGTTTGCTCTACGTAACTTTATATACTTCAATAAAAGAAAAAAGGATTGGCGTACAGTAATATTAATAAAAATGGTGGCGATGATGCATGACTATGATTGATGCATTATAGATAGTAAAATTACTTATAGATATACATTTCAACTAACCACACCTATTTCAACTATAACCAATGCTCATATTTTTTTTCTATATTACTGTTATTGTTATTAATATTGTTATTGTTTATTCTGTGCAAGAGATGAAAGATATTTCAATTGTAAATCCTTTTTGTTTTATTGCTGTTTTGTGATTATCTATTGTTTACTTTATATTTATTTATCGTTTTCAAATTTAAATATTTTCTTATCTGTTGAAAGAAAGTTTCACGAATAATATTTTCATGAGAAGAGCAAAGTAAAGCAGATTGAAAAGGAGATGAAGTTTTCAATTCAATTTGATGGATTGTTCATAAAATTCGATAAGAAGTAATGATCTTAAAATGGTTTTGATATCTTTTGAAAGAAAGTATATTATGTATGCATGTACGTAAGTAGGTAAATAATGATAAAACAAAAAAAGAGGTAATTGTGGAATGTAAGCTAGGATTTAATATAATATAATAATAATATGGTATTAATTAAGTAAAAATAATAAACAAATCTTTCAAAAAATTTGAAAATATTTAAAAACAAATAATATAAAAAAATAGTAAGGTAATAATGATGGTGATGAATGAAATATTGAGAAATTTTTAATTGAATTAAAGCTTAATTCTAAATTCATAAATCTTAATTCTTGATTCAGATTCAGATTTTAATAATAAACTTATAAGCTTCAAGCTTCAAACTTCAAGTATTTCAAGCTAAAGCTTGAAAAACTTATTCAGTTTGGAAGCTTTCAGTTTAACCAGATACTTGTACAGGAGTATTATTATTAATAATATTTTCAGCTTTTGTTTTATATTCTTCTAATTTTGGATTAATTTTTTCTTTTGTATCAGCAATTAAATTTTCTCCACGTTTATAACCACTTGCATATAATTCTTGAGTTTGTTGTTTTATTGGTATTAAAACTTCTTCATTAAAAGTATTATAAGTTTTGTTGAAAGTATTTATTGAAGCATTAATATTTTTATTTACAAAATTTAAATCTTTTGAATTTTGTTGTTGTAATTCTTTGTTAAAAGTTGAAGAAATTGTTTTTTGAATTTCATCTCCTTTGTTTATTGTTGTTGAAGTAATATTTAATAAAATTGATTTTAAAGTATAAAAAATTTGAAATATACCATCTTCTGTTTTATTTTCTAATGGAGTTAAATAATGATTATTTATTTCAATAATTTTTGAATTAATTGGTTTTATAAAATTTTTTTCAAAATTTTGTAATTGTTGTTGAGGTAAATTTAAAAAATAATAATCAAATTTAATTAAAATTTCATTTATAATTGAATCAAATAATGTAAATAAATTATAAATTGGAGTAATTGAAATAATATTTATATTAATAAAATTATAAATTGGTAAAATTAATTGTTTATATAAAATTTGAATTATTGAAAATTGTAAAATTATATTTAAAAAATATTTAACAATTGAATATTGATTTAAATGATTTAAAGATTTTGAATCAAATTTTTTATTTGTTTTTGGAATTTGTTGATTAATTTGTTGTTTAACTTTATCAATTTGATCAGACATTGTAGTTGTAATTAGTTGTAATTAGTTGTAGTGGTGTAGTATGAATGTAGCAAATGTAGTAAATGTAGTAGTGATTCTAATTGCTAGTGGTTGTTGTTATTATATATACTTATATGATATATATATTTCAAGGGGTATTTATCACGTGTATGTGTAACTTAGTTAGATAAATCTAGTTGATTAATTGATTGAGTGTAATATCTAGATTTAGATATTAGATAGTTCTTTCTATGAAGAAGATATAATTGATTGATGAATGAAAAGATGAATGAAAACTAAGTAAATGGGTTGTAAAAAATCATGAACAAAGAAAATTTTAAAATTAAGGAAAATTTAAGGATTATTTATACTTCATTGAAAATATTAATTATCTATAACAACTTAAAGTCATATGAAAAAAAAAATAATTATTATAGGAAAAGAGAGAGATAACAAGTTTTGTAGTACAAAAGTATTAGTACCACGTCTCGTTTTGTACCACGATGATCGTATTAAATTTAGTACTAAAATTAATTCGTAATAAATAAGTCCACGTCTAAATTAAAACATGATTTTTCTGTTTCATATTAAAATTATGAAATTACTTTCTATTGTTTGTATAATAATAGATACATAATAGAACTTGATTATCTTGCTTAATTTGCTATGGTTTATACATATACAAATTCAAAGTATAAATGTCACGTTAGGTTTATTTCATTTGGTCTACTTCATTCTTGAAACTGTTTACAATATTTTTCATAAGATGATAGCTGAATATTTGGTTGGTTCATTGGTTATAATTATAAATATTATTTAGCATGTGATAATTTATTAATATATTATTTTTACTTATATAATAATAATTTAATAGACTAACTAATAATAATAATAATCTAAGTAAAACTAAACACAAAGATTATTTCTTACACAAACAACAAGTATTAGGAGTATTGTTATTAATCTTAATTAAGTAATTAAATATACTAATTAAGTAGTACTTAGTTAGTAGTACTTAGTTAGTAGTAGTAGTAGTAGTATTAAGTTTAAAGTTTAAATAAGAATAATTTGAGATGAGATATATTTTTCAAAAGATAAGTAGAACTAATTTGTTACTTCAGTAATGACTGTGCATTCAATATTCCAATTATAATATATCATTTAATACTTATTAACGTTATATGACTAACTTTCTCAATCAAATTATAATAATTATAATTTTGTTGAATCATTTAACTTAAGTTTAGACTATTTGAATTTCTATTTTTAAAACAAATATTTTTTTAATTTTATAACAAAGGATTTACAATACAATGTTGTTAACAATATGAAAATTGAAAAAAAAAGTAAATAAACGTTTGATAAGAGAATAAATTGTTAATCATATCACATCACTGTGAAAGAAAAAATAGTGGCTAGAATTTTAAGAACTTGGCCACTCGATGTACAATTTCATTATCTTTCAAATTATTTTATTCTATACTACATAAAGCAGAACAGACCAATTACGCTCATTGAGCAAAATGATGTGACATATTTTAATCATAATTTTGAAACACTGATTAAAATTGACCCATCTATCATCATATTCATTATTACAAAAGGTGACACACACCTCGGGATTTTGTGTTACACATATATTAATATTATTTTTCAAATTTTGCACCCGTTTAATTCCCTCTCCTAATAATTATCATATAGGCTAAAACTACAGTAATTAATTCAACCAACATTTTCCCCTTTTTTTAATTGGTTTTTGTTTTAAACACTCAGGACCTAATAAAAATTTATGTCATTGATACTACAGTATCTTATGATTTTATCATAATAATTATAATTAAAACATTTAATTTAGGAATGAAAATGATAAGCGACAGAATTTCTTTTCAAATAGAAAACTTAATATTACAAACTATGGAGTCTTTTAATTAAATAGTCAAATAGTTAATGTATCTACACAAATATTGAATATTAACAATCTTGTAAAGTTAATTAAGAGGTCAATGAAATCATCAAACTTAAAGCTTAAATTTGAATCAACTTCAATTAAGAAATTAGAGAATAAAAAAAGAAATTCAATTTGGGTATTGGGTAGATCTTTCTTTTTCTTCTTTTTCTTCTTGTCTTCAATTTGAATTTATAAACGGTGTTGGGAAATTGAAAAATTAATTGGACCTTCGATTTAAAATATAATTATTTCTTTATTATTTAATCCTCTTAATTAAGGAACGAGGATATAAAGTAAAATGTGTGAAGTAAGTGATGCTAAACTAATTAATTTATTACAATATAATTATAATAATTTATTATTAACAGATACTTCACCAACCAAATCATATTACTTTTACATGTGATACCAAATTTCTTTGAATCCTCAAAATACAAGTTAAATTACCTCAATTTTAACGATACATGAAGATCATTACTAAGACATGGATTAGAAGTTTAAATCAAAAGAGAGGAAATTAAGAGAGGTCTTCTTGCCACTTCTTCCTTCGTTCTTCGAATCTGTTTCAATTAAAACCCTTTGATAATCAAAAAAAGAAAATGAAAAGTATAAACGTTTCATAATTTTAAAAAAGGATCTACGTTTTAAAACATATTACACAAAAAAAAGTTAATCTTAACTTAAATTAAAACCATAAATGTAATACAAAAATTATGAAACCTAATAAAATGTATAATGCCACACTAGACTTTGTTTGTTAATTAAACTCACACATTTAATGAAAACAAGATTCATTAAGTTTTATTGGAAAACAATACATTAATTTTTCAATATCTAGCTTTCAAGTAATTTTAAACCTAATTTATTGGCATAGGTAAAAATCTAATAAGATCAAACGTTTGATAAATGTAAACCAAAAAATCTAATTTTACAAGGTAAGGTAAATCCGGGTCGTTTTGTTAAATAAATAATTTGTTGAATACATTTTACTTTATATGAAACGTTTGATTAAAATGTTTTTACAATTTGTCAAGTTCATTAGACGTGAAAGGACTCTTTAGTTTATTACTGTTTTAACTCAAATTTTTGTAAATTAATTGTTAATTAACTTACATGTGAGATCTACTTAGTTTATTCTTTCTTGATTAGGTTAATTAATTGACCAAACTTTTTCCGTTCATTTGTGTTTTTCCATCTTTTTTGGACCACATATTTTGAATTGTGTATTAGGAAGTAATAATTAAATTATAATTTTTGATAATATTCGCTTTTATGTCTAAATTTTAGCAGTTATTTAGCTATTGAAGCCCTTTCTCTCAAATGATTTAACTATGAGCTGATAAATATATTTTGAATGAATTAACTTCAAATCTAATAAGAGGAGGGGAAGAGAGGGGATAAATGAATAATAGATCTCGATTCTAATAAATTAGAATTGTTTATTTAATTTATCCTATTTTTGTATATTTTATATGAGAATACTTGTTTCACTTTCATTTTACACGAATGAGTAAACGAAGATTAATTGTTTGTGTTTACATTTTTGTAGTACTAGGTCTAATTGCTCATTCGAATGGTTGAAGAAGGAGACTTCGAGAGAGTATGGAAGAAAATTTATGAAAAGTAGACAGAATTGACGTACAAGTGATTGGTTTACGAATTGTACTAATCCCTAATTTGTCTATTCGATATCTAAAAGAAAACTACAACCGTGTAAGTTATTCGAATATTTGCGTAAAAGTTATTTTATTATATCCTCAGACTTTTTAGTAAGAGATGATACATTCCATATTCACGTACACTTTCAACAAGAATACTTAAAGTTTATTATTAAAAGATATATCATAATAATTATTGTTGTTTACATTCAGGAGGTGGTTGTTTTTCTTCATTATTACCCAGTTCTTCATTTTGTTCATCATCATCTTCATTTTCATCATCTTCATTTTCATCATCTTCATCATCATCATCATCTTCACCTTCTTCATTTGAAAATTCTCCTTCTTCATCACCTTCAAATTCATCAGGATAAGCATAATCTACTGCATCACCAGTAAACCAATCTACTGCTCTTGGAATTAAACGATCTTTTATTTCTTCACCTAATTGATAATCTAATTCTAATCTTGCTTCTAAATCTTCATCTTCTTCTTCTTGTTCTTCATCTTCATTATTTTCTTGTTCTTCGTCTATATTGTTATCTTCATCATTTTCTTTATTAAATTTTTTAGGTGGTTTTGGAGGATCAAAAAAATTGAAAAATGATTCAGTTGGAGTTAATTTTTCAACAGTTCTTGTTTGTTTTGTAGTTTTATTTCTTTGTTTTCTTCTTTCTATATTAATAGTTGGGTTTTTCTCTTTTGATTTCCAATTTATTTCACAACCATTTGCATGATCATAAACGAAATCTCCTGAATAACCTAATTCTGCTTGATAATGATAAGTTTTTGTTAAAATTTTATTATTTAAAAATTCATTATCTTGAAATTCGAATATTAATTCAAATCCTGGAGTATTTAAATATTTCATTCTTATATCAATTAAATTTGATAAAATTTCTGAATCTCTATCTGTTATAGTTTCTTGAATTGTTGTTAAATTTTCTAATGCAGTTAACCAAAATCCTGGAATACCTTTTTCATTATCATCTTCTTCTTCTTCTTCATCACCATCTTCTTCTTCTTCTTCTTCCTCCCTTTCCAAAGTTTCATCCAATTGTTTACCTTCTTCAATTTCATTTTCACTAGGTTCTATTTTCCCAATTATAATTTCTTTTCTTTTTAAATATAAAGGTTCATATTTTTTAAAAAATTTTTTTTCTAATTCTAATAATTCTTTTTGAAATTCTGCTTCTAATTTCATTTGTTGTTGTTGTATTGATTTTAAACCAAATATTCTATTTTTTATAGGTTTTGATAAATTTGCAATATAACCTGAATTTTTACCAACTAAATCACCTAATTTACCTTGAATCATAGATAATAAAACTGGATTATTAGCTAATGTTTGATTTAATTTATCTTCATTTATATCTTCATTAATTGTTGAAACTGTTGGAGGTTGAGATTTTAAATATGATGTGGTTACACTTGATGGTGTATTTTGTGGTGTAGGTGCTTTTGCAATATCACCGTTTTTCTTCTTGATTGGTTCAGACATTGATTAATTGATTTATTGATCTTTTATTGTGATGAAAGTTTTAATGGAAGAAGATGGAATTGATATTTCGGATTGATATTTTCATCTTTAATTTTTTTTTTTTTCTTCTCCTTCTCTTTACTTAGGATTATTATGATTAATACATCTAAAGTTTAACCTTATTTGTAAGGATTCGATCTGTAGAAAAGGTGATCCAGAATTTACATCTTTGTAATCGTTTTTCGAAGCAGTTATGGCTAGCTTGAGCATGTGTAAACGTTTTGATTCAAGCTTCTACTCTTCTTATTAGTGACTCATTTATCGCAATACCTAAGATCTGCGCGTTTCTTGATTAAGTAATTTTCAATTATCTAAACCATCATTTGAGCGAAAAATTTACAACATCATTATCAAAAGACAACCACCACATTAGAAAGTATGACAGGACTCACATCAGAATCCCTCAAAGAAATTATACAGAAGAGATTGGAAGCAGAATTAGTTCAAGTTGAAGATATGTCAGGAGGTTGTGGTCAAGCATTTGCAGTTATAATAGTTACATCTAAATTTCAAGGTAAAAATAAATTAGCAAGACATAGATTAGTTAATAATGAACTACGAGATGAAATAGCTGCTATTCATGCTTTTACTCAAAAGGGTTATACTCCAAAAGAATGGATAGATTTAGGAGGTAAAATATAGAAATTGTTTTTACCAATTATTTATTAGATTGTTTGATTTTAATCAATTGAGTTTTAAAGTCTAAATCATATTCCTTCTATAAACTTTTGCAAATTTAATGATAATTAATGTCCAAAATAACAATAGTGTAGCAAACATAATTATTATAATTATAGGATAAGCTTTTAATCCAATATCACTACTTTCAGCTAATAAACCAATTAAAAATGGAATACCAGCTGCTCCAGCTCCACCAAATGCACAAATAAATCCAATACCAACTGTTTGATATTTTGCAGGTAAAATATTAACCAGTGATACAACTGTAGTTGGGAAAATTGGTCCTACTACTATACCAGTTATAAAAACTATAATAAATAATATTAAAGTTAATTGAGTAAATGAAAAAAACCAAAATAATATATAACCAATTAATGAAATTAAAATATAAATTAAATTTGCTGTTAATTCAGTTTTAAAAAAATTAGCAGTAACAAATCCTAAAATTATTCTACCAATAGTTAAACCTAACCAAAATGTTGTAGCCATATATGATGAAACTTTATATGATAATTTTTTAACTCTTAATAAATAAGTGACTAACCAAGCTCCAAAAGAAGCTTCTCCTCCAACATATATAAATAAAATTGAAGCAAATGCCCATATAAGTGGCAGTTTAATAGCTTGACTAAAAGTAGCAGAATGTTCATTATTATCATTATTTTCGTCACTATCTTCATTAATTTCAAAATCATCTTTATTTAAATCATTTAATTCAAATTCATTTTGATTTTGATTTTGATTTTTACTTATTTCATGTCTTGATTGAGCTAAATATTTATATTTTTTAGGAGTTTCAAATCTAAAAGTATAAGCAACAAAAATTAAAATAGATGAACCACATATTGCTAAAAATATATAATATTGATTCCATTTCCAAGGATTAAATTTTTTTTCTAATAAAAAAGTAATTAAACTTGGAGTTATTAAACTTCCAATTCCATAACAACCATGTAAAATTCCAAGTAATTGATTTGAATCAATTAAATTACCCATCCATGCATTTAATGATGCATCTAATGCACCTAATCCAAGTCCATGCAGTAAATATCCCAATAAAAATATAAAATATGGAGGTTTCATTGATCCAATTATATAAGCTAAAGTCATTAATGTTGCACCCATTACAGAAACTCCTCTAATACCTAAATAATCATGACTTATATTATTTAAAATAGCCATTATTAAATAACCCATAACTGAGGTAAAAAATATAAGACTTACTTTTAAATCATTTATTTTATAATCTGATTGTAGTTCTGGTATAATTGTACCAACAGTTTGTTCACCTAAACCAAATAATATAAATACTAAAAATGAAGCAATAATTTGTAATTTTAATAATTTTGAATCTCTCCAATTATTTGAATCAATTGTTAAATTTTCTCCTTCAAATTCTACTTTTTTTGGATAAGTTTTTGATAATGAATTTTGTTCATTTGTTTCATTTATTTCATTACTTGTTTCATAACTATGACGATGTATTAACTCTTCTTCAACATCTGACATAATATTTGTAAAACTGACCTATTTTAGATGTTAACTAATGGTTGTTTGCTTTAATTATTCATTTGAAATCAGTACTAGTAAATTTAGATGGTTGTGATTAATTGTCTTTTTTTCAACGGAATTGATATGTTCCATATTGAATTTAAGAAATGATACATTTCGCTTTCTAAATCTAAATTTTTGAATTGAATTGAGTTTCAAGTTGAGTCAGAAATTTATTGAAGTGTCAAATTTGTTTCATACTTAAAACCATATTCATATATATTTATCCTTTTCATACTCGAAATAAATTCTTATACACCTATCACATATAGAATTATACTTCATTCTCATTGCAAAATGGATAATAAAAGTTTATTATATTTTGGTAATATAACTGATCTTCCTGAAGAATTAGATTCCACTCATATCAATTGTATACTACATGGTATGAGTATCAATGTTGATTTTTGTTTTAAAATTTTTGAAATATTTAAAGATAATGATAAATATCATTTAGCAGGTTCTTGTATATCGATATTTACAAGTAAATTTTATTTTAATTATTTTTTATTAAATACTTATAAACCAACTAATTTCAATTTTTATAATGGATTCGAATTTGAAAAATATAAACAGTTAATAATAAATTTACCATTTTTAAAATATAGTTTAATAAATTTGGTTATTATACAAAATAAAAGATACCTTAATGAACAAATAATTCTGTTTATTGATATACCAGAATTGAATATTTTAAATACTTCTTCTACTAACAATAATTTAACAGTCTACAAAGATCAAGTGAATAAAGCTCAAAATTTAGGATATATGTATAAATATTATGATGTTGAAGAGAATATATACTACGATGAACCAAAAAAAATTTCATTAAAACATATACCTGAGTATAAGGATCACAAAAGAATTCTTTATTATGATGAAGATATAGAAAATCAAGCTTTAAAACTACTTGAATAATCTTCACACAATTTACCTACATAACTTAACATTATATACTGGTTTAAATTCAAAGATGCTTTCCTTTTATTTGTAGTATCTACACCTTTTACATCATCGTCTGAGTATGACGGTGTTAAACACTTCTTGAGACTAATAGTCTTCTTGTCTTGATCTATAACCAAATTTCTTTCATAAATGAATTTGTAGTTTGCGTCCACTACTTTCATAGGATTTGTTTTATCATCAAATCCGTAATCATTTATAGACTTACATCACTTTTTGAAATCTCCAATTTAACATGGATTTTAATTCCAATAATGTCTGTCATTTGCTTATTCAAATAAAATCTTTATAAAAGCAGAGATCCTTTTCCAAAATATTCACCACCAAAAAAATCAGTATTATCTAACTCAAGACCAAATTTCAATGGTGCCCCTTTATAGTTAGCTAATACAGATAACACAACAAATACAGTACGATTATTATTTTCAATTTCTTTTGATTGTTACTTCATATCACTAAATTTAGACTTTATATATAATAGATTTATATCTTCTCTGTCTGCGTATGTTTCTACGTCAAATGGATGATCAATTATTCTTGAAGAATCTGTTGAATATACTTTTTCCCTTTTAAACTGTATTATCATATCTTCAATTATTTCTTTTGATACAATTTTATCTTTTTTCAATCTATATATGAAATAAGCATTGAAAAAACTTGCTGTGACTAATATATCGTTTACAATTTCTTTCATACCTTCATCGCATCTTGAATAGTATTTTTTAAAATCTTCAATATAACCATAGAAAGTAGCATAAACCAATAGTTCTTCTTCATCTTCTGTTAAACTCATGATAAATTATACCAAACAAGCATATACTAACATTTTATACCTCTTTTCTAATTCACTATATGTTGGGATATATTAAGATATATTGATGTTATAAACTTTCTTGAGTACCTGTGATATCTGTAGTCTCTCCTATATGATTTGATAAAAACCTTGATGATGTAAATAAGTTGTTGCTTAATTTCTTAGTTATCTAATCACCTCTCAGGATATAAAGAATTTCGTCACATTATTTAAATCTCAACATTCAGCTGATCCTGCATGTTGAACTTCTGCACTGGATTCATTTTTGAATTATTTATGCTCAATGCCAAAATATAGCTTGAAACACTTTACTGTGTAATTGTGGAGTGAAAAGGGGTTGTCATACATGTTGATAATAATGAATATGATTAATGAGGTTAGGCGTGAAGAGGTAGAGAAAACTATAATTAAATCCCAAAGTCTTTTCCATACTCAAAGATCAAAGTACCCTTGATTTTACAAAATCGTAAATTTATTAAATTTTCGTTCCGACGATCTTTACACGTGCCGATAATTAATAAATTGAAATCTTGAAATTTTGAACAAATCTTGATAAAGCTTTAAAAAAAAGCTTGGTCTTTTGAAATTCGACTCAATTCACATGTTTTGACTCACACTTTGACACCTTAACGAACAATGTCAGCCGTTTTGACTGAGACGAATTTATTCAAACCTATAACTATAGGAAATGGCATACATTTAAGTCACAGAATAGTACATGCTCCCACATCAAGATCCAGATCTACTAACGATGGTGAAAATTTCCCAACTGATTTGATGATTAAATATTATGATTCAAGATCTAAATTTGAATATTCATTAATTGTATTTGAGTCATGTTTGGTATCACCTAGAAGTGGTTTAGTACCGTTTAAGTCAGGAGTTTTCACCACTGAACAATGTGAAGCATTGAAGAAAATCACAGATAAGATTCATGAAAATAAATCATTTGTTTCTTGTCAAATATTCAGTCCAGGTCGTGTTTCAAATATTCAATTAGTAAAAGATAAAGGATTACCGTATTTGGCTCCTTCGGTCATTTATCATGCTGAAGGTCACAAGATCACAGCTGAAGAATTAAATTATCCATTAAAAGAATTAACAATAAACCAAATTCATGATATTCAAGAAGATTATGTAACAGCTGCGGTAAATTGTTTAACTAAAGGAGGTTTTGACTTGGTGGAATTACATGGGACTTCAGGATTTTTGATTGAACAATTTTTATCTCCAATTTCAAATACTAGAAATGATGAATATGGTGGTAATCTTGAAAATAGATGCAGATTTTTGATAGAAATAATAACAAAATTCATAGATCATCCACAAATAGGTAGTTCTAAATTTGGTATTAGATTATCTGCTTGGTCAATTCATTTTGGAATGAATTATCCAGAAGATAAGTATCCTATAAATGATACATATCCACCATTGTTATTCTGTCAATATATTTTAAATCATTTAGAAGATTTGAAAAAAAATGGTAAAGAGATTGCTTATGTTTCAATAATGGAACCTCGTGTTTCAGGATCATTTGACCAAGATCCTGATGGGAAATCTAATTCATCATTAGTTAAAGCTTGGTCAGGAAAATTGATTAGAGCTGGTGGATATGCAACTAATTATAAAGGTGATCCATCGATACTTAAATCTAACAATCCAAATGTAAAGATTACTAAAGATGGAGAAGTAGAACATTATTCATCTTTAAAACAAGATATAAATGCAGATGATAGAACTTTGATTGCATTTGCAAGACCTTTCACATCAAATCCTGATCTTGTTCATAGATTAAAAAATAATTTGGAGTTAGATTTATATGAAAGACCTTTTTTCTATTCTCATCAGCTTGAAGGTTATTTAACATTCGGTAACTATGTGGATGAGAACTTATACTCAAATACTTTACAATTTCCAATAGACGAATTGAAAAGAGAAGGAATCTCATTAAAAAGTAAGTAGACTTATAGAGTCAATCTACATTTATTTGTAGGTAGAATAGATTAATAGACGTGTTTTAACATTTTGTGTAACGAAATTATTTGCAACTTTTTTAAACTGATGTAAGAGAAAAATAAACAATAGATCTAAGTATACACTTTATATTAATCATTCAAAAGTTTATGATAATTAGACATCAACTACTATACCACCCATATGCAATCAATGAATACGAAACTTAAATTTTACAAGAATATACGGCATAAATCACGATAACAAAAAATGAGTTATGTATCAGATTCTGAAGAAGAATCAATTGTACCGGTAACATCACTAATATCAAATCATAAATTGAATGAAAAACTCAAAAATTTGTCATCACATCAGAGGAATAATATTATAAAAATGGTTCAAATCTTGATGCCCAAGATGAATTCCACCACTGTTCCAAATCCAGATATCATTGACGATAGTGAAGATGAGGCAAATGATCCGCTTCGACTATTTGATTTCATACCTCATAACGAAGAAACTCGAAATATTACTGATTGTACAGAAGAAGACGTCCTTGTAACCGAAAATAAAGAAAATGAAAACCATTTGAAAGCTTATATGAGTTCTAAAGCTCAAGATTATGCACCCATAAGGACTTTAAGAAAAAGGAATTTTGCAAGTACTCATCCATACTTATCAGATCAAGCTTATTATTTAGGTTTAGCGGACATTAGTGAATTAAATTCTATATACGAAGAAAATAATCATAGTCTTGAATCAATTGTTAAATTACTTAATTATAATTATATGAAATTGAAAGAAAAATACCCAAGAGATGAAAAATTTAAACAAAAAAACTTTTATGCAATTTTAGGAAAACAATCTAAAGCTGCTCAACAAGTTGAAGCTGAAGAATCAGGTACACAAATATCAAATGATGTTGAATTTGAAGAACTGCAAAATGCAGCGAACGAAATATTACCACTGCAAATGCTGGTTCAAGAGTTTGCGGCATCTGAAATTGAGTCACCAGAAGAAAGTCAAGATGAAGATGAAGGTTCTTCTAGTGATGATGAGGAAATTCAAGATAAAGATGTTTACGTTAGAGTTGGTGGTAAATTTAGAAAAGAAAAATCTGCATTGAAAGGAATTTTACCAGAATCTGCAAAACATTTACCTATTTATCGTAACAATAAACAAAATGGGAGAAAAAATTCAAAACAAAAAACAATCGAAATTAGAAAAGGAATGGCTATAAAGAAAAGTAGAAAGAATAGATCTTTAAATGTAAGAGAAACTATGGATGATTTGATTGATGACAATATTTATAGTGAGGATGAAATTGATTTTCAAGCGACAAATTATCAGAATATTGATCAACTTGCCGATTTGGAGAATGATTACAACATAAATTACACTAGTGACACGTTCGACCAGTGGGATGACTCTTCATCGATAGATAACACTAATTTTGATGGTACTTTTCCGGGTGCACGTTCTGTTTCACCAATAGTGTTGTCGGACTTTTCAGACTCATCCATGGAACCAGAATCAGATGACGATTTAAATTTATTTGTTCACTCGGACCATGAAGAGGAAGACTTACAAGCAGTCATCGATCTAAATGATGAAGCTATAGAAAGTAGTGTGATTGATAGAATGTTGGCTCCAAATAACATACGTAAATCTAATCCCAGCATTAAACCCAACAAAAAGTCATCAAACACCACAACAAAACCAAGATCTTCAAACACAAAGGCTTCAGGAACCCCTAGTAAAAGAAATGGTTCTACAAAGTCCAATAAAAAACCAAAACCCCCATCACGAACCCCTAAACTGAAGACAAAACACAAGCAATCAAGATTATTCCGAGAATCATATCGACAATTGTCAGTGAAGCCAATTTCCAGAACTCAATCCACAAATAAGAGGAGAAAGAAAGAAAATACGAAACAAAAATCAATGCAAAAATCAATAGACAAATACATCAATCCTGGACGAGTAGATAATTTAAGAACCCCTATATACGCTACAACTGCATTTGAAGCTGAAGGTAACCAATCAATTAAAGTTACAAAATATCAGAAATACTCCACAAACTCAAACATAATCAACTTATCCACTCAACCAGAATTTGTTCCTGGGTGTATACTCAATCTTATTTCACTTAATCGACTACATCATGCAGCAGATGGGAAATCTTTACATAAGTTCACCGATCCTATTGAACTAACTTATAAAGAAACCAAATTTTGTTTCTCACTTATTAATTTGGAAAATTCAATCGATGGAGCTGAGTCATTGTTAAAACTGATTAATAATGACATTTTAAAACTGAATTTAAATGGTAAAGAATTTGAAAGAAGTATTTACGACTGTATGAAAGGATTAATAGGATGGTACTTACTTCTGCAACGCTCTCCTACATTAGTGGAATGGGCTTTGGTTAATTCCTTATTGTCAAATGTCAAAGAAAGCACCTTGATATCAAATTCCAACAAATTATTTTTTGTTCCATATGTAATTTTACTACAATACGTAATGTTTATTGGGGAGCAAATTAATGGCATAGGGGCTAATGGAAAATTTTGTGTTCAATCAAGTGGTACTTTTTATTGGAGTTTGTGGTTCCCCATGTTTGATTCTAATGATTTTGAAAAAATTAATTATGCTGGTGGAGATGGTATTAGAAGCAAAGAGACGGAATCTTTTTATATTATTTGCACTATATTAGAACTTCAAAAATCTTGGTGGTCAAGTATTACAGCTTCAATTGATGAATTCTATACCTCGTTTGATCTTGAAATTTTGTTAGAGGCAATCTTTTGTTTAATTCAAATCTCAAGAACACCATCATGGAAACCATTACAAGCTTATTTCATGAAACTTAATGACGATATGGATGCGGGCATTTATTATCGTTACGTGGACATTTTATATAGTACATGCCAATTCAGAAACTGGCATTTAGATGAAAGTTTATTGTTGCAAATACATGGCAGTATTTTGAAAAGGAACTTTGCAAATTTACAAGATGAAGAAATGGATCAAGAAATATATCATCAAATCAAGTCTAGATATGACATCGGCGGAGAATCATTTTATGATAGATATATGCAACTATTGTCATGGCATATATCATCCATGTCGGATGATTCTCAGGTTAAAAGGTTCATTACCAAGCTATACTCCTCAAATGATTTCCAATACTCAAACGATAAGAAACATAGAGTAATGTTCATCAATAGATTTAATTTAATAATTTTGTTAGCTCTGTATTCGTCTTCAGATCAAAGAAATCAAATACTGAATTTAATTAATTCTATGAAAGATGTAACAGACTTAAAATTTGTAAAAGCTGCAGTCAAAGGTCTTACTGTCACAACACAAATCATTTTCTCCAAAAAATTGAAGTTGCCAATGGATGCATTGCAAGCGATAATGATTAAATTAAATTCCATTTGGTTCAATAAACCGGGTATGAAGAAATTATGGAACTATTTTATGTCACCAATAAATAAACTAGTAGATGACAATGCTGATGAAGCTTTCCAATTCTTACTATTGGCGAAACCGTTGAATGTAAACACAACTAAACAAATGAATAATGGCATTATCAATTTATGTTTGAAGATTATCCAATCACTTAATTTACCGAAGTTGAATCATGCTCAAATCAAAATCATTCAAAATGTAAGCGGTATTAGTTTAAAGCTATTAGAACACTACATGATGGAAAATTCAGATAGAAATCAAGAGGTAATTAAAAATTGTATATCTTTGTGGATTCTGACTTGGAACGCACTTGGAAATAATTGGGATCAAATTGTTTTACAAAAATTTCCATATATAGGAGTTGAAAGTGAAAGAGAGAAATATGTTTTATTCTTTTACTCTAAAGTGCTTGTTTTTCATGACATTAGATCATGTAAGGAGATAGTCATATCAAATATATTGAATGGATTGATGTTACCAAAACCACCTGTTGATAGTATTGAGTTGATGAAAGCTCTAGCTTATAAGAATTGGGATTGTTTTTCATTCATGAAAATGTATAACTTTGACAATATGGAACATCCAAGGTTGAGATTCAATATTTTTTCAAAATTGATTCATAGTTTATCTACTAGATCTGATTTCAGTACCTTTGTTTCAGAAACTTTGAAGAGATTGATTAAGGACATTTGGGATAAAGATTTCGCAAATTCAGTTTTAAAAGAGTTAAGTAAATATACAAATTTGGATTTTAAAGCTCAAACGCAAATAACAGAATTATCGAGTAAAATTGGGTATGATCAACCACAATTTCAAATATTACCTTTTGAACAACAAATTGAAGCAGTCGATATAGAATTATCTAAAGATGATGATGAATTCGAAACTGAAGATCTTGATATTTTATATTACTTTATGGGAAAAGAGAGTACAAACAAAAACTGGCACGTCATTAATAAATTGGTTTATCAATTTCATAAAGCACTTTTCAAGTATAAATTCAAATTGACTAATTGTAAGTTTTACGGTTTTTTGAACTTGCTTCAGACAACTTGGCAGAATGATGGAGATAGAGACTATGACGAAAGTAAAATTTTAGCCATGATTACTATTTGTAATCTTTTCTTCGATATTAAATACATTTTATTTGAAGGTTATTGGCCGTCGAAAACGTTTGAAACATTGTATGAGAATTTGAAAGTCTATGTTGGAGAGTTTAGTCAGCACGGCCACTCAAATGCTGAGTTTAAAGAGGCGCTTGAAAAAATACTTAAATAGCATTCTTAATGAGTTAATGAATTGTATAATAAAATTTTTATCTTTAATTACATGCTCAGCTTATTGCTGCTCATGTTGACTTTTTATTAGACCTATTTCTGCTTCAAGTTTGTCTCTAGCCTTCTTCACATCTAACAATGTTACCACTGAACGTAAAAGTTCGTCATATTTACTCATAGTTCTTCGAGTTGGCATAATTGGTTTCATAGAAGTACCACCCGCAGTTGGTACATCTAATTCTTGTAATAACGAACTAACTAATTTCAATACAGATTGTCTTTGTTGTAAACCAGGTAATCTTTGTTGAGATCTTAACGCGACACCTGGTGTCAATTTTTCAACACCATGATAATGAAGTCCGTAAGCTTCTTCCTCCTTTTGAGTGAGTTTTTTTTGTAGTAATTGATGAATTGAATTAGCTTCTTGTCTAATTGATGCAGCTGAATGATAATTTTGTTTTAAAAGTGATGATAAATATTGTTGAAGTTGAGTTTGGAAACCACGATCTCTTTTATTTGATGACGATGCTGCAGGTGGTATTGGTGGTGGTACAGGATCTTGAATAACTTGTTGTTTCTTTTTCTTTTGATGTTTGTCATAAATCATTAAATTGTTGTATAAGTTTGCTATACCTTGAGATGATTGATATTGAGCTACGTTTTGAGTAGATTGTGGGGAATCAAGCAAAGCCAATAGATTTGATCTTTCCATTAACATCTTTTTTGCAGCTAATTCGAATCTTCTAGCCTCAATGACTAATGACTCTTCCTCCGCTATTTCTGCAGGTGTTCTTAGCAATAAATTTTCCAAGTATTGTTTTCTATCCACTTCTCGATCTTTTGAGTATGAATTTAATGAATCTATAAGGGTTTGGTTTTTCTGCTCTTCATTTGATAGTATTTTGGAACTGAATTTGTAAAAATGTTGTTTGAGTTCTTCTTGTGTACGTTTTCCTGGGAATCTATCATGTATGATTGGCCATTTCAATTCAAAATTTCTACAAAGTTCAAATAAAGATTTTGTCTCCTCATATGTCCAAGAATTTCGGTTCTCCTTTTCATCATTATTACCATCTTCAACTACATCTTTCTCTTTCTCTTTGTCCCTCTCTTCGTCCTTATCTTTATCCTTACCTTTATCATTTCCTTCTTGTGTCTTTTCCTTCTTTGCATTTTCACTCTGTGTCTTCTCACCCAGTGTCTTTTCACTCTGTTTTTTCTCACTCTCTTCCTTGTTTTCAGTTTGGATTTCCTTCAATTCTTCTACTTTCTTTTGTCTCTTTGCCTCTTCTTCTTCTTCAATTTCAGTAATATATCTATCATAAACTTCCTTTTCAACAAAATTCGGTATATCGACATTAACATTGAATTTATCAAAGAAATAAGGTTTCAGTAATTCTTCTTCAGTATTTAGTAAACTTTCTGATCCTTTAACCCAATGTCTTAATTCAAGTCCATTTTTAGAGGGTTTGAATGTAATATGAGACCATGGACTTGGTTTAAATGCTTTTTTCTCTCTGCTTGTAGTTGATGTAGTTAACTGAACTGGGGGAGTGTTTGGACCTACTAAATTATATAATTCTCTAGCCATTCCAGTTAAAGGTTTTGCATCAGACGCGGGTGCAACCTTTATCTTCTTCTTTGCAGGTTGCAAATCATCTCTTTGAATATTGAGCACATCCAAAACATCGTCTGCAGACATTCTATGCTTGTATTGATAATGGATGTGAGATTAACTAATGAGTAAATGTGGTAATAACTAAATGTAGATTCGCTCTGTATTATGATTTGAAAAATTTAGACACGAGAAAAAAAGAGTTTACGACAAAAATTCTAAGACACGACATTGAAAGTATTAATCAAGCTACTAAGTTATATAATGATACAAATTTCTATCATCAGAGTCCCTCTCCAAATATTCTTTATCAATTAGGTCTTCAATTCTTTGTTTCATCAAAACCATCAGAGGTTGAAATCGGTTACTTAATTGTTTAACAATTCCTTCAATTAATTCATTATGTTTTACAGTTCTTCTCGATTTCATTATTCTTACAATAGCAGCATTAATTTCTATTTTTCTACCTTCTGAAATATGTGAATTAACTTCATCTAACTCACCATTTGATTTTTTATTTGATGAAGAGCCAGATGATGAAGATGATGATATAGAAACAGTTAAAACTTTTACTTTAACACTTGGAGATTTAAATTTTTCATTTAATTTGAATATGTCATCCTCATTAACATCTTTCGTCATTGGAATTTTGACTAATAATCTCAGCTTTGGTGCCACTGCGATAGATTGTAAATGTCTTTTTAATTCTTGAGTTGGAATACCAGTTAATTCAGCTATATCCTTATATGAATATTGAATCTTTTCAGCAAAAGCCAGTTTTACTTCACCTTCAAGTGACAGGCCTGGAGCAAATAAAAGCATTATAATTGCAGCATATACTGATAAATTAATGTCATAAGTTTTAGAAGGATAAGTGATTCTCATATCTATTGAACCAAATTTTGGTGACCAATGTAATGACTTATTATCATTCTTTTTACCAGAAAACCAAAATTCTTCAAATTCTCGTATTGTTTCCCTTAATTGACGTGGCCATTTAAATGATTGTTGTTCATCATTAACTTCAGTATTTTTGTAATCTTTAGTTAATGATTTGGGCCACATTGAAACATTACAAATTTTCAAATCTAGTTCCATCGAATTTGGTGTTTTATTTGAATTATTCATCCATTCTCTTGTTGTATCTTTTGATGTTTTAATATCTTTATTCATTTTAATGACTTTATCTAATGATGATGTCCCCATTTCCTCACACAATTTTGAAAGAACCATATCTTCTATATCAACACCTTTCATTGATCCATAAGAAGAATTCTTGGAATTTAAAAATCTTTTAGCAAAATGATTTGCAAAATGAGCTTCAAATGCATCTTTATCTTTAACAAATCTGAGGAATTGTATTGAATTATTAATTAAATTTTCTGCCAGATCACCTGAACTTGTCAACTCTTTACCAGAAGTACCTTTGTTCAATTGTTTTATATGATAATCCATGTATATCGATAAAATTTCTGGAGCGTTTATCGCGTTATTTTGACCACTGGTTCTTTTATTATAATTATTGATGAAATCTCTCATTGCAAACATTAATGTTTGTTCAATAATTGGATTCAAATCAAAAGAGTTTGTCCAAATTTGTAACATTTCCTCTCGATATTTCAATACGGCTTCAATCCATTTAGTTGCAAATGAGGTTTGATTAGATCCTTTCTTTTCTGTCCCCACATCTAATGCATTTTTCACGAGTTCTGGTAATAATAAACCTTGTGCAATTATAGCTTCTTTCAATCTAATTCTTAATAGTTGAAATTCATCATCAATTCTTCCAATAAGTCGATATAACAATTTTAATTCAGTATAATGATTTGACTCTATAATTCCGTCTCTTAAAAGATTTGTTAGCACTGGTTCAAGCCAATATTTTAAACCTTCATTAGGTAGTAGTATCATCTTATCAATTTTATCTTTAATTAATATATTATCCATTAAACTTGATAATTTTGGATGAGTTGACAGAGGTAAATAAAATTTTATTCTATTTTCTTCATCTTTTATAAATTGCGAAGTAGCATGCAAATATTTTGATCCCAGATTTAAAGCTACGTAAGATTTTGATAACATTTGAAAAAAATTTTCTGAATTTTTCAAAAATACAGGCTCGAATATAGATTGATAATAATTTTCACCATATTGAACATCTAATGATTGATTATTTTCAACCAACATTTCCATCATTTGTATTATCTTAGTTATATACATATTTGAAGTGATCACTATCCCATTCCTACTTTTTGTAATTTCTTCTAGTATTATCTCTGTAGTTTTCGATCCAATTTCATTATTATTATACATTATAATGTAATCTTTAAAAAGTTGTACACCCAAGTCGTATATTAATAACTTTTTTTGTTCCTTTACGTATACTCTATTCAAATACATTAACACGTCGCTAATAAATTTCATACTTTGTAAATGTTCATCCCATTCACGTATTAAAATTTGCATAAATTGTTCATGACTTGATGAAATTAATAATTTTGATCTTTGTTTCAATAAATGTTCTTTGATTGCATTCCCAACATTATCATATAATCTTCCTCCAAATTTTCGTAGTACTAAGACGTAAGCTTTACGATATAATTGTTCATAAGATAAGTTGGAAACATTTTTATTTTGAATTTGAGATATTGCATTTTCTAATATGGACCAATTTTTATCAAAATCTATAGTTGGATCGGTGGTAGAATTTTCTATTGAAGAAGATGAACTGATTAATGATTTTCTTGGTGGTCTTATTTTAGATCTTCTGCCACCTGCTGGAATCATCTTATGGTGGTCTTCCTGGAGAATATTGTTGATAATTTAAATCAAAAGTATGTATTGACTGCAAAATAATTAAAGTCCGCGATAGAAAAAGTATCGTCTTCGATTTTCTGTATTTACTTCAATCAAATTCTTTAAAATTTTGCAACCAATTCCAACACAAGATATAAATCACTCTTTAACACGATTATGAGTGCATTAGAGATTTTTTTTCAATACTCACAATTTAAGTCATCAAATGAGGTTATGTTAATCGACCGTGAAGTAAGACAAGTCTAATGGCATACTTTCAATTCTATCGTAGATTCTCTCACAATGAATCATCATTCTACGATGAGTCGTGATGCACTCTTCGTATATTTACAGTGTAATAAACTTCAAGAGCCTAATGAGTTAGAGTTTAGACTTTTAAAGTGATGATTTACAATGTTTGTAAATAATTGAATTATTGGTAACAAATTTGAGTCTAAATCAAACTACTTAAAAGATACATTTCCTTAATTAATTAAAATCGTCTTTATGAATCTTACACCGAGAACTGATTGCTGTTTTCTATCATCAGTCAACCAAAGATGGGTAGGGAGCATTCTAGTAAGAACACCATTTCAACGGATTAAGCTTTGTTATATCTAAGATTCATATGAAGTTTTGCAACATCTGTACCTACATATTATGAAAAAATATAATGTAACAACCATACCTCAATACATAGATTTTGAAGTATTAAACTATTAATTCTTTGTTAGAGAGAAAACGACTAACTATGATTAATCTACTCATATCAATATTTAGCAATTAATGATAAACCAAATTGTATCTTTCCATTCCTTGATGCCTTTTGTTTCTAGACTTTTTGAATGCTTATGAATTTAGTATTTATGATTGGATCAAAGGTGACCAAATTTTAATTACAAAATTATCATTTTGTTACTTTCCGGACACCGGGCCTTTTCAGCTTCTAATCTTAAATATGGAGATAAAATTAATATGAACTGAAAAAAAAAAAAATCTGTCATACTTTCATATTGTTTTATATATAGTTATCTATAATTTCAACAAACTTATCCCACCTTAATACAATTCATAAATCAACTCACTTAGAAAAGAATAGAGAAATGGCACCAAAGACATTATATGATAAAGTATTTGAAGATCATATAGTTCATAAAGATGAATCAAATTCATATTTATTATATATAGATAGACATTTAGTTCATGAAGTTACTTCACCACAAGCATTTGAAGGATTAAAAAATGCAGGTAGATCAGTTAGAAGAACTGATTGTACTTTAGCAACAGTTGATCATAATATTCCAACAATATCAAGAAAAAATTTTAAAAATGTTAATACATTTATTGATCAAGATGATTCAAGATTACAAGTTATGACATTAGAACAAAATGTTAAAGATTTTGATGTTACTTATTTTGGAATGAGTGATAGTAGACAAGGAATAGTTCACGTTGTTGGTCCAGAACAAGGATTTACATTACCTGGAACTACTGTAGTTTGTGGTGATTCTCATACTTCAACTCATGGAGCTTTTGGTTCATTAGCTTTTGGTATTGGAACATCAGAAGTTGAACATGTTTTAGCAACTCAAACAATTATTCAAACAAAATCAAAAAATATGAGAATATTTATAGATGGTTCATTAAATGAAGGTATAACTTCAAAAGATTTAGTTTTACATGTAATTGGAGTTATTGGTACTGCTGGTGGTACTGGATGTGTTATTGAATTTGCAGGTAAAGCAATAGAAGAATTATCAATGGAAGCAAGAATGTCAATATGTAATATGGCAATTGAAGCTGGTGCAAGAGCAGGTATGATAAAACCAGATGAAACTACTTTTAATTATATAAAAGGAAGACCATTAACTCCAAAAGGTGAAGAATGGGAAAAAGCACTTTCATATTGGAAAACTTTACATTCAGATCCTGGAGCAAAATTTGATTATGATATTAAAATTTCTGCAAAAGATATTGTACCAACTATAACTTGGGGAAATTCACCACAAGATGCATTACCTATAAGTGCAAGTGTACCAGATCCAGAAAATGTAACTGATCCAATAAAAAAAGAAGGTATGATAAGAGCATTAAAATATCAAGGATTAAAACCAAATACTCCATTAAAAGATATTAAAATAGATAAAGCATTTATTGGATCATGTACAAACTCAAGAATTGAAGATTTAAGAGCTGCTGCAAAAGTTGCAAAAGGTCATAAAAAAGCTGATACAGTAAAAGAAGTATTAGTTGTACCTGGATCAGGATTAATTAAACAACAAGCTGAAAAAGAAGGATTACATAAAATATTTGAATCTGCTGGTTTTACATGGAGAGAAGCTGGTTGTTCAATGTGTCTTGGTATGAATCCAGATATTTTAAGTCCTGAAGAAAGATGTGCTTCAACATCAAATAGAAATTTTGAAGGTCGTCAAGGTGCAAGATCAAGAACTCATTTAATGTCACCAGCAATGGCAGCAGCAGCAGCTATCAAGGGTCATTTTACAGATATTAGAGAATTTGATTATATTAATCATAAAGATGAACCACAAGTCACTATAGAAAGTGATGAAGATGAAGAATTACAAGAAGCTGTTTATAAACATGAAAAAGAACCAATAGATAATGATGATTCATATTCAGGAGAAGAAGATAAAATCAATGATATACCGAAACTGAATTCAAAAAAAACTTTTGATCCTTCACCATCAGGAGGATTAGATAAATTTACTGTATTAACCGGTATAGCTGCACCATTATATAAAGCAAATGTTGATACCGATGCCATAATTCCTAAACAATTTTTAAAAACTATCAAAAGAACAGGATTAAAAGATGGATTATTTTATGAATCAAGATTTATAAAAGAAAATGGTAAAGATGTAGAAACAGATTTTATATTAAATCAAAATCCTTATAGAAAAGCTGAAATTTTAGTTGTAACAGGTGATAATTTTGGTTGTGGATCATCAAGAGAACATGCACCATGGGCATTAAAAGATTTTGGTATAAAATCTATAATAGCACCATCATTTGGTGATATTTTTTATAATAATTCTTTTAAAAATTTTTTATTACCAATAAGATTATCACAAAAAATTATTGAAACAAATTTAATACCAGTTATAAATCAAGGCCATAAATTAACAATAGATTTACCAAATCAACAAATTAGAGATGGTGAAACTGATGAAATATTAGTTGAACATTTTGAAGTTGAAAGTTTTAGAAAACATTGTTTGGTAAATGGATTAGATGATATTGGATTAACTTTACAAAAAGAAAAGTTTATAAAAGATTATGAAAATAATAGAAAAATTAAATTTTCATTCTTGGAAGGTGGATCAAAATTAATTAAACCAATAAAAGGTTCAAAAAAGAGTAAATATGGTTTAAAAACTCAAGAATGGTAATTTTAATTAAAAGCAAAGAGAAATAAAAAAATTATTTATTATTAATACATCTAGTATATTATTTATATTATTATTATTATTATTTATTAATTGTTCATTATAACAGCATCTAATCGTTCATAAATATATTATCTCTTTCTAAAAAATAAATAAATATATATTAATTGATTGTCTTTCAATCAGCTCTTTCTGACATAACTTGTTTTACAGGTTCACTATCACCATATAAATTATGTTGTTGAATATATCTTATAACAGAATTTGGTAATAAATATTGTACTGACATTCCTCTTCTTATAAACAATCGTATTTTTGTTGAACTTATATCATTATAAATTAATTGTTTTATAACTAATATATTTTTCCTATGTTCATACATTATATCATGACTTAATAAGAAACTTCTTACATCTGATCCTGTTCTTTCAACAATTAAACAACCATATTTTCCTAAAATATGATGTAAATCAAAATCTGCCCATACATCAGGTTCACCCATTGATTCAATTAAATCTCCACCAGCTAATAACATAATTTTAACACCTCTTCTCTGACCAGATTTTGTCATTATTCCACCTCTTTTTATATTAATTTCTTCATTAAAATGATCCAATACTAAAGCAGTTCTTGTATATTTTGGTTGTAATGATTCCCAAGCATCAACCATTAACCAAGATGAAGTTCTTTCACAAGCTAATTCACACATTCTAACTCTATGATAAGCTGAAGCTAAACCTTGTTTTTTATAATTTGAAGAAACAGGAGAATAATAACCTCCAACAACTTCAAATCTTGTTTGTTCCATAACTGCATCTAAAGCCATTTCAAACATTCTTAAATGTAAATAAGTTATTGGAGAAAATGAACCACATGCAACAATAACTAATGGAGATTTTGATTCATCTGATAATGTTGTTGCTAATCTATGAGTTGGAAAATGATAATCTTTTAAATGAGTTGCTTGTCTTTGTATACCATGTGGAACTTCTTCTAAATCTGCAATTTGAGAAGATTTAACTTGAATTGATGGAGGTAATATTTCTTTTTCAATTTCAATTTCTTCTTTTTCTACTTGTTTGTCTTTATTTATTTGATTTTGTAGAGTTGATTCTAAATTATTATAAGAATTTTTTGAATTTATTTCTATTATTTCTTCATCATCTGATGAACTATTCATTAATTCAGTATGTTTTCTTGGAATTTTTGAATGATATCTTCCACTTGAATCATCATTACTATTATTATCAAATGATATTTTACTTATTGAAACTGGTGGTCTATTTAAATTATTTAAATTATTTGATGATGCAGGATGTGGTGCAGGATCATCTAATGCTTCTCCTAAATCTTCCATTACAAATGGTTGTTGTATTGGAATATTATGTGGTATAAATTCCAGTGGAGCAGTTGGTTCAATTTCTTTTTTTAAAGATGGTGGTGTAAAATTTGGATCATTAGTTGGATCCATAGCAGCAACTGAATGATGGTAGTCAATTTAGGTTGTTGTAAAAGAGTTAACCCCCTTGATAATGAATTTGTAATCTTATTAATTGTGTGGTTCAGATATTTGATAGTAAGAAATCAAAGATAAAAAAAAAAAAAAGTGCGGGTAGATTATTCTACATAATAAAATTATTGATTAGTATATAGAATAGAATTATTAATATTTCCGAGATATTTTGTAAAACCCTGAGTAAAATAAGAGAAATCTAGTCGAGAGATCGAATGTTCTTGAATCAAATAGAGTTGGTTATAACTTTATTAGTACATTTAATTGATTGTATATATGAAAATTTTTGATGTGAAGTCTGCCTTTTCCTTTCTAAAGTTTTATATCAAATTTAAAGTATAAGAAGAATACAAAAAGATATTGTGTAGATCTTAGTGTTAATAATAAATTAAATTAAAAGGGTTTAATATTCAATTCATGAAACCGCTTCTGTAGATTTGTATCGAGCAACACCAGAATCGGCTTCATTATTATATATGGCTAATGTTTCTTCCAAAGTAATTTGTTATTGAATAGCCTACTTAAAGTTTTTACTCGATTGACTCACAAGATATTAAAAGATATTATATGCAGAATACAAAACAATACAATTTAACGGTTCGTAAACGGTCCGTAAAATATTTTAATTTTGATTCAACTACTGTTGTACAAAGATACAATTGCTGCGAAATAAATTTTCATAGAGAAAGGACTACTCTTATGTAGAAATTCAGCAAAAGAGTTAAAGTTCAGTATCTGATAATTAGATAATTTGTTGTAGTTGAACTACCTATATCAATCAAAAAAACGAAGACCGTATATCATATGTTGCGCTGTAACAAAAGTTTCAACTGATCTGTGTAATGAATTGGAATTTAAAATTAAAATTGATGAATTCTGAAATAAATCTAATTTTTACATAACCTTTTCCTATGATGTTTATTTCAGTATTGTTTAGGAGCCTAGCAATGATCGTTGAGCTTTTTTCCTGATTAGTAATGCCTCGCAATGAATGAATCAATTTGACTCATATTCATTGCTTTCTATTACTTTAAGGTCTTGTTTATTCATAATTATATTAGAAATTTTCTTCAATTTAGCACATATCTTTGATGAACAGATATTTTGGTTCCTTTCATTTCTTTCCATATATTTGTGATTGTGTTTACTTGAATAATTTTTCTTCTATTCAGTGTTTTCTTCATCTTCTGTATTGTAGTCTTCATCATTATTTTCATGGTAATTTATGTTGTTTATACTTGACATGATTGATCTAAGATTGTTTGAGATTTTGGTACAATTATGAAATAGTCAAAAAGCTTTAAATAGTTCTTTTGAAAATGAATATCGCATTCATGAACGTAAACTCTTATAGCAAATTGATCTTTATCTAAATATTCTGACATTATAAATTGTTTCTAGAAGTCCTATGCCCGTCTTTATAGATTTGAAATTTCCTTTTGCGGATTGAGTACTTGCAATATAAGATCTAAAATCTGAACAATATACCAATGATATTATCATTTTATCCAGTCCAAGTTTTGGAGTAGACAAAATGGCAATAACAGTGAAAATTTGTTCACTTTTTTTTTAAAAACCGACTGGACTTGATTTTAATGGTCTTTCGATAAACTAAGCAACTTTTTTATACTCCTTTTTTAAAAATAATAATGAGCTTATGAAAATAATTCTCTGATTCATTTTTGAAGTTTATTCTGGTGAAGGTGAGAGTCTCTTCCATAATTTTTATCCAATTAGTAGTTTGGCTCTTCTTTCTCTATTGTGTAAACGTTAGGATTGTAGACTGATAGGTGACATTTTTGGTTTGGTGATTGAATAATTTAAAGCCCATCACTTTCGTAATCAAGCAAAGCAGGATCTCAACCAACCTAAGACCAGCCCAACATTTAAGTAAATAAAGCAGACATTTACTTACTTATCCAACAAAAATAATTCCATCTGATTCAAAAGAAGTGAACCATATTGTCGATAATTATATATGAAATATATGGTGACCATGTATATCGACAATATGTTTCTTTCTTCTTAATCAGATAAGTTTAGAAACTTGTTTGGTAAGTCAGTAAATGTCAGCTTTGGTACTAATTCAGTCAACATGTTCTCAACTTTTGATTCCTTAGCTTTATCCAAATATACTTATTTATCATAATAAAGTTGACATTGCCGTTTCAAAATTAAAAATAATCGGATCACGTGTCAGCAAACGTCATTTGGTTGCGCCGAGATATCTCAGATTTAATATTTGAGATTCAAAAGTAGAAGAATACTTAGTATTGTACTAACAATTATTCATCATTTTAATGACTAAAATATCAAAAATTAGACCAGCTCAAAGATTAATGAATGTTGCTAGTGAATGTTCAAAAGATGGATTAAATTATGGGAATTGTATATTATTAAAATATCAAAATATTAAAAAGGGAGATTGTGAATTAGAATTTAAAAAATTTAAAACTTGTATAAATTCAAAATTAATTAAAAAATAAAATTGGTTGATTGACAAGTAATTTGATGAAACAATTCACTCTATTCAAAGATCATGTTAGTATGTTCAAGTTCATGTTAATCAAATTCAGAAAATTAGAATTGTATTAATCGATCATTGATGACGTTCTTTCAATTTCTTGGATCTTTACCTCGGCAAGTTGCTATTTAATTGAGTTAAAAGAGTTTAATGAAGGTTCAAAAAACTTGTTGGAAATTAATGGATCTGAGCAGTAACACAGAAGTCTTCGATGAAGAATTATGAACAGAGTAGTGACTTCTACATACTGTTTGATACAACAACATATAGTCTAGCTATTGTAAATTTAAAATACATAGAAATCTTCTTTGTGTAAATTTATTATTTCGTTTGATTCTCTATCAATTTTTCTTTCTTTCTCTCTCCACATTAACATTCACTTAACATTACAACATCATCAAATAATACTACTTCATCATATAACATATATTCAACCATCTGTAGAAGAACCACATTAGTTTAATCAATCACACAATACAAGATTATTACATACTTATAGACAAACACAGCACTCAAACCTAACCATACACACTCAAAGTGTGTCGTTTTATACACTTTTTAATCTACTAATTGAATCAACAAAAGCAACAACAACAACGACATATTCATCATGATTAATATATCACGATTAGCAGGATATAATAAACAAGATTTGAAAAACTTGTTATTATTAATTCAAGAATTTGTTATAACATATAAAGATAATAAAGTTAAAATTAATTATCAAAGTCGACCTGTTATATTATTTTTTAGTACATTAATAGCAACAGCAGGATTTGGATTATATTTTACTATAAGAAATATAATAACAAAATATAATGAATTCAATTTAACTAAAAGATTAAGAAGACCAAGTTTAATTAGACAATCTTCAAATATTTTAAGAAATGGTTCAAGAGAAATTTATATCCCCAAGGGTAAAGATAAAGTAACAAGAATTATTATACCAAAACCAAATAATGATCAATATGCAGCTGATAAATATTTATATAAAGATTTTGTAAAATCTCAAAATATTTTACAACAACAAAAGGGAATAATTTTTAATTCAAAATTTCTAAATCAATTAGCAATAATTTGGAAAATTTTAATTCCAAAATTTTATTGTAAAAATACTTCATTATTATTATCTCAATGTTTTTTTTTAATTTTTAGAACTTGGTTATCATTATTAGTTGCAAAATTAGATGGTCAAATTGTTAAAAATTTAATTGCTGCAAATGGTAAAAAATTTGCAAGAGATTTAATTTATTGGTTATTAATTGCTTTTCCTGCTTCTTATACTAATGCTACTATAAAATATTTAGATCAAAGATTAACTTTAGGTTTTAGAACTAATTTAACAAGATATATTCATGATATGTATCTTGATAAAACTTTAGCTTATTATAAAATTGAATTAAATAGTAATGAAATTCAAAATATTGATCAATATATTACTGATGATGTTAATAAATTCTGTTCTTCTTTAAGTTCATTATTTTCATCAATGGGTAAACCTTTTATTGATTTAATATTTTTTTCAGTATATTTAAGAGATAATTTAGGTACAGGAGCAATTATTGGAATGTTTGCAAATTATTTTTTAACTGCTATAATGTTAAAAAGAGCTACTCCATCATTTGGTAAATTATCCGCTAAAAAAACTCATCTTGAAGGTGTTTATTTTAATCAACATTTAAATCTTATGACAAATTGTGAAGAAATTGGATTTTATAAAGGTTCATTAATTGAAAAATCAAAATTAAAAGAAAAATTTGAAACTTTAATGAATCATATAAATAAAGAAATTAATATAAGTTTTTGGTATGCTATATTAGAAGATTATGTATTAAAATATACTTGGTCAGCATGGGGTTATATATTTGCAGGATTACCAGTATTTTTAGATGAATTATGGCCTGCAGAAAAAGATAAAGATAAAGAAAATGATCCTGCAAGTGAACGTAAAAATATGAGACAATTTATAACAAATAAAAGATTAATGTTATCATTAGCTGATGCTGGATCAAGATTAATGTATTCAATAAAAGATGTAAATACTTTAACTGGTTATACTGATAGAGTATTTGATTTATTAACTCAATTACATAGAGCTCATTCACCAAGATTTGATTATGGTGATAAAATGGGTATATCAGATATTCATGGAACAATACAAAATAATTATCCAAATGGTTTAAGATTTGAAAATATATCAGTTATAATACCAACAAGTGAAGGTTCAAAACATAAACCATTAATTAAAAATTTAAATTTTCAAATAAAACAAAAAAATATGTTAATCTTGGGATCAAATGGTTCAGGAAAAACTTCAATTTCAAGAATTATTGCAGGTTTATGGCCTTTATATAGTGGATTATTATCAAAACCAAATGATGATGATATTTTTTATTTACCACAAAAGACATATTTTACAACTGGAAATTTAAGAGATCAAATTATATATCCTCATACTTATGATCAAATGTTAGAAATGGGATATAATGATGATTATTTATATCATATATTACATGAAGTTAAATTAGAATATTTATTAAAAAGAGAAGGAAATTTTAATGTTGTTAAAGATTGGAAAGATGTATTTAGTGGAGGAGAAAAACAAAGAATTAGTATAGCAAGAATATTATTTAAAAATCCAAAATTAGTTATATTAGATGAAGCAACAAATGCAGTAAGTACAGATGTTGAAGATTATTTATTTGAATTATTAAAATTAAAAAAAATCCCATTTATAACATTAAGTCATAGACCTTTATTAATGAAATATCATGATTATATATTAGAAATTGAAGATAACGAAAATCAAGAAGGATCATGGAAATTACATGATTTAACAAGTGAAGAAAATTTACAAAGTATTGATAAAGAAATTGAAGAAATTGAAAATAAATTATCACAAGTTGAAAATTGGGAGAAAAGAAGAGATGAAATTATAAATTTTTTAGATGGTGAAAATTTAAATGATATTGAAATTAAAAAAACAATTGAAAATGATGAAAATGAATTAGATAAAAAAATTTAATAAGTAAATGAGTTAATATCAATAGTTTTTTTTTATAGAGAATTGAGACATTTGTTTCTTCGTTTGCTAGCTATCTCTTCTAACTTGGTTGTCATATTTGTTTTATCTTTGTAATAATAATAAAGAATAAATCACCAGCTACATAAATCTCGTTCAATATCTATTATCATTATCATTATTATTATTAATTTTATTACTACTTAATTGTTACATAATATTTACTTCATTAAATTATCATTTTCATTTTCTTTATAAACATTTTCCAATTTATTTAAAATTTCTTTTGTTGAATAATCTTTTTCAGAATCAAATCCACAATTTTCAAAAATATTTAATAAATCAATAGGAATTGTACTTAATTCTTCATGTTGTTCAATTAATTGATTTACAACTTCAATAGCTAAAAAATAATTTTCACCATTTCCTCCTCCATTTGATTCAATTGATGTTATATTAATATTTGATGTACCAGACATTGATGAATTAGAATTAGAAGCAGCTTGTTTTGAAATTAAAATATTTGGAGCTAATACAGTAGCTAAATTATGAGAATCCATTTTAGAACCACTTTCTTCATCAACTTCAGAAAATGATGCAACCCAACTAAAAAAATATAATAATACTTCTAATAAATTTCTATGATCTCTTGGTAATAAACAATAAATTAATTGTAATATTCTTTTTCTAATTTCTAAATCTTTTTCAGATTGTGATAATATCCATAAATCATAAAGATTAAAAGTTAATAAAGGTATTGGTAATTCTCTTAACCATTTTTTCATTAATGCTGCTAATTGTACTGCAGTTTGTGTACTAAAATCAGGAGATTTCAAAGGATTTTTATTAATTTCTTCAGTTAATTCTCTTAATTTTTTAATATTTCCATTTAATCTAAATATACCTTCAACTGACATATCTTTTTGTTTTAATGCATTTATAATATCTTCAACAACAATTGGAATTCTTAATTTTGTCGGTCCAACACCTAAATCAGATTCAACTCCAAATTTTTTAGTTAATATACTTAAATCTACTCCAAATACTCCATTAGTTTTTTGTTGATTTCCACTACTATTACCACCACCTCCAAATCTTAATTTTTCCCAAAATGTTGGTGATTTTTTAGTTTGAATTAATGTAAGTAATTCATCTTTATTAAATTTATCAGAATTTATTTGATTTAATGCTTCTATAGCTAAATGTCGTATAATGAAATGTTCTTTTTTATTAAGTTCTGAAACAAATTTTTGTTTTGAAGTTGATGAAATAGTTTGATTTCCAGAATTAAGTATATGATTTAATGCACTACTTGGAGAAGTATTTCCATTAGTTAATGGACTATTACTATTACCACCATTTTTTAATTTATGAGAACCAGATCTTTGATATAATCTATTATGATGTTTAAATGCATTTGGTCTTTGATCTCGAGCTTGTTCTGCAGCAACAATTCTTGGTATATCATCTAATGTTAAGGATTTCTCATTTTTTAATAAATCAGAAGTTCTATCCAAATGTATTGAAGTTAATTGTCTCAAAGGTTCATCTCTAATTTGTAATTCCTTTTTCACTGATATTTCTTCATTATTATCAAATGAATATTCACTAACTTTTCTTTCCATTTTCATATCAGTTATACCACTGGTAACATCATCGACTAATACATCACCTTGATCTGCTTCAGGAGCAGTTACAATAATAGATTTTCTTGCTTTTTTCTTTACAGATTTAGATAATTTTTGACTTTGTCTTCTACTTCTCAATCTTGTGACATCATCTAAAGTTTTAACATAATTATCTTGTTCCGAACTTTGCTTATCATCCGTTGATGAAATTGAAAAATCAATATTCATCACTGATCTAGATCTTAATAATGCAATTTTCAATAAATAAACTAACTGAGATAAATCAGAAACATATTCAAAACCGGCAATACCTTCATTGATACATTTCTTACAATTTATTGCTTGGTGAGAAACATTAAAAGTAACACCTTCGACTGATTCAATTGGAGAATGACATTCATTACATATAAAACATTTCAAGTGCCATCTATGATCACCGAATTTCATGCAACTTTTCTCTATACTCTTGGCACAAGATGTACATGCATCTGTGGAACTTTGTGGAGTATATAATCCAGTCTTAAGATCTTCAATATCTAACGTATTAATTGATTCAAATTTAGATATTAGTTGTAGAAAAGTTTCAAGAGCTTCCGTTGTACCTTGAATTTTATTCAATTTTAAAGCATTGTATAATCCAATTCTTATTAACAATTTCAAATAATGAGCACAACCTGTAATTACTGATAAAAGCTCAGCTGATAATGTACCTGATTTCGATATGCTCCCGGATTTTCTTAAAATCGCTAAATAACTCATAATTTTACCAGTAATATTTCTAGGTTCTTTTTTAATTATTTGAAAATAGTTTTGTTGTTCCTGATCATTACCATTTATTAAAGAGCTTTGTTGACATTTTTTGCAATTGTCCAACACGTAATCTAATGCATTGAATAATATCTCAATGTTTAAAATCAACTTTCCTGTAATTACTAAACCACCGTATTTATTTCCTGTGCACGCATTCAAAAGCATGTCTGATATACATGAAGCAGTTGCTTGTTCATAACCAGACAACATTAGCCAACAATTCATTACAACTTGTTCAATATGTTGTTCCATTGCTATTAATTTGTTTGAATCAATTATATCAGACATTTTAATTAGTCGAAGATCAATATCACTTTGTAAATTATACATTTTTTGTAACCCAACAGAATCTGCGGTAATGCACACATTCCAGAATTTATGTACCATGAAACATTCTGGATGCCAATGTTGATTTCTACCACCTCGAAATAATTCAACAAATTGTTTTACAATTGAAGATTGACATCCTTCACAATGAGATGCATATAATTTTGAAAAATGATAATGACAAAATATATCATTCCCATGTTCATAATAACTCTCATCTGAATCAAAAACATGTTGACATACCGAACATTTGAAGTGCTCAAGATGATATTTGTTACCTAATGCTGTGACATAAGGACCTCGTAAAGCATTGTTGCAACTAAAACATATCAAATTCAATTTCTTAAAATAATCATACTCACATAAAGCTATTTGTTTCGGTTTACCATTTTCTACTATTTCTGATGGAAAGAATTTTGCTGAACATTGTTTACCACATTCATGACAATTGAAACAATTTACATGATAAGCATTTTGTAACGCTCTAACAAATTGACCTGTGATTTCAAGTCCACATTTTTTACATGTTTTTCTACTCTTTTTCTTTGGTGGAATATATTCTATTGGCTCTCGTGAGATTTCATCATTCATCGTAATATCTCGATTGTCTGGGGAAGGGGAAATTGCTATTGAATGTCTTTGTGAAGGATCTTTCGACGCGTCTTTTGTAGTAGTGAAATGAAATTCATCTTGAGTTGAGGGTTGTGGTGGTATTAGACTTGTCCAATTTTGCGGCTGTCTCTGCTGTGGTTGTTGTGGTTGAAGTTGTTGTTGTGGTTGTTGCGGTTGCAGTTTTTGTTGTCGTTGATTTTGAGTTTTAGCTTGCGATTGCAATTGTTGAGATTGTAATGGAGTTTGTCGCTGATGTTGATGATGCTGTGATTGTTGGAAATGATAAAGGGCCGGTGACCCTTGCTGCTGTTGTTGTTGTTGCTTTAAGTGTGAAGAAGGTGATTGAGGTGGAGCTGACGAAGGAATGGGTGAACCTATTGTACGATTTTGTTGATGTCCATTATGATTTAAAGGATAAAAGATTTTAGGTAAAGGATTGGGATTAACAATATTATGAGAATGAGATCGAGAATGACGCGAGTCTAATGGTGGTGCTGTATTTACTATTGGAAACAGTTCTGATTGATGATAATAATTTTGATTAAGATCATTTGAATTCTTGTTATGATATAATTTATCACTTTGAACATAAGCTGATGGGAGAGGTTGTGGAAATCCCTTCAAATTTCGCTTAGATGAAAATTCTTGCTTTTGGTTTTGACTTTGATTCATGTTATGAATTATTTAATCCTTGACTATTTAAAAGAATGACGAAAGTTGGATATTAAAATAAAATTTTTGGAAAAGAAAAACAAACAAATAAACTTTAATTAGTTTATATTTGATAAGGACAACTATCCAAAACAAAAGTAATTGATGATAAAATTATATTTGAGTTAATTAATTTATCTCGTTGAATGATGGATTGATTGATGGAATATGAATACAAAGGCTGTTGTGATGCAAATTGATTGATGATATGTTTATAATTATACGCTTACACTTTACTTTTTTTTTTGTTTTATTTTTAAAACTTTTGATTTAAAAATTTAATTTTTTTTTTTTTTTGGTCTTTTGAATAAAATTTACGAAACATTTATAAATAAACTGAGACATTGATCTTTGACTGCGTTAATGGTGCTGAATATACAGCATCAACGGAAGTAAAATGGTATCAGACTGCAAAATAACTTAGCTGGGTCAAAAAGCAGGTAACTGATTTGCTTTTCCTTACTTGTTTTAGATACCTATATGGCTTTCAGACATTCATAATATTAGAGTACGGTGTATGTCTCAGAATACATATTCACGAAATAAAAAATAAATAGATGTAACACAGTGTAACATGCAGAAGTCGTGTATCGGTTTACAATATATAATTACATCAAAACATTCAAAATGTTTAAAACAAGATAATGAAGAGTTTGGGACTTCGAATAATGTCAATTCTGTAAGATTGATGATCCTATCATTATTTTTATTGTCTTATTTTTACTCTGTTTAATTAAAATTCGACTAAATAGGACCTGTTTCAAACAAACAAGTGTCACCATACTCCAAAGTAAAAACTACCAACAATACTATAAATAAAGTATGAAGCTTAGAATGTCCCGCTTCTTGAGTAATGAATAATACATATAGAGTTCTTCATACTCATCTCAATATAAAACAATACTAAACTTTGAGTATAGCCTTTTGATGACACATGTGTTGCTGGGCAAAGACTAATTCAAAACAGGATAATACAGACAAATTTTAATTAAATTACCTCTGAAAATCAAAATATTACCTCTCATTGAAAATTAAATCACCTCTCAAAATAAATAATTTGCCTTGAGAAATTTTTAAATCACCTAACAACAAAGATTAATTCACCTTGCGACCAGTTTTAAGTTATTTCAGAATGTATGGGATTTACATAGTTAAGAAGGTAAATTAATAAATTTTTATTGGTAATTTAAAATTGGTTGTAAGGTAAATTAAATTTATCATCAGGTAATTTTTTGTTTAGAAAGGGTTATTTTATTTTGAAGAGTAGGTAATTTATTATTCTTCAGAGGTAAATTAATTAAAATTTATCTGTACAAATTAAAATCTAACAACAATTCGATCGGGGAACTTTTCGAATCCGATACTATGAACCGATATTGCATTGTCCATTACCATCAAATTAAACAAATTGTTTTCATCAACAGGAATTGGTGGAGTCATTGAATTAACTGAATAAGTGTTTTATCAAATTTACAACATTTAGAATTTTCAATACCAAAATTGACTTTTTCGATAAACGATAAACAGGGGTCGAATTCAAACATGTCCAAGAGTTAACCCATTGCGCAGAAATAATTCGCGCCTTTTAACGCTACTTGAATATTTTGATCAATAGTTTCATCAGATAATTAATACTGATAAGGTTTATCATTTCGATCAACATTCAGATCGAATTATGCAACCAGAGTCAGCCATAATTGTGGGATGACTCTCAAAAGCTTCAGGATTTGGTTAGACATATTTTATTCTCTGCTTGATGATACTACGTTAAAATTATTCCAAATAAGAAAATGAAATTGTCAAAGTTAGTATTTGTGATTGTGTAAAACTTATTTAATCACAAATTTGAATTTTCGAACGTTTAACATGTATTTTGGGAATTTAAATTCAAGTCCAAACGTTGGTGAAGTCATAAATGAAGTCAATATGTTGATGATCTTCTTTTTCATTTTCGTTTTCTTTTTTAAATCTATATAAAAAGTTGTGTTTCATATTATCGGATTAATCGTATTAAAATTGAGTTAATGAAGTATAGAAGTGCAACCAGAACAATGCCAAGATCTTTCAACGTTCTTAATAGGGTTATTATTAATTTCAAATATCAAAAGATAAGGTATTTAATAAGTCAATTCATAGTGGTTCATAACACTTTATCATGGAGAATAAAAATGAAACAATAAAAAAACAATTAACAAAAAATTGGTCGCCTGCGTTGGAATGGCTCAAACTTTTTTTTGTTTATCTCAAAAGCGAAAAAAAATATTGGAGATAGACAAAGAACACAAAACAAATTATCATACCAATACAGGAATAGAAGCAATTGAAATTTGATATGATAAAAAATCTAACATCAATAGAATCGTAAAAATGTTTTTAGCCAAGCTTAGTAAACTATTGATCCGATGAGGTACCTGAATACGAAAGTCTTGGAAAACATCGTAACATCTGTCAAGAATTTAATTCTTATATATCAAAGAAATTTGCTGAGAAAATCTCTTAAATCTTGAGATCTTCAGAGTGAAGAAAAGAAATTATTTTGATTAACTTAAATTGCATAAGTATTCATTATTACTTGAATTTTTCCATATTCGAATATTTATGTCAAAAATTTAAAGAATTCAAAATTTAATCAATCATACAGATTTATATTAAATAGTTTTAAACAATAGAACAATACTATCATGATATATAAAAATAGAAATTTGTAATATGCTCAAATTACTATTTATATTGAAGACCTAATAAATTTGGAAATATTAATTTATTATCTTATCAATTTGATGCCGAATGATAATACTTCCTCCGGATTTTTTTGTTCACCTCAATTAAAATTTCATTCACCACATTACAACCCCTCTGAATACTGTGGGATTGATATTGGGAAATTCTTGAATTTAACAGGAAAAAGCACCAATCTTGCAATGTCAATTATTGTTTACAAATGTCGCATGAGCTTTAGTTGATTGACTGATAACACTATTATTATCGTGCTGAATTGATTTGTATAATCGAAATATATTGTATCTGATTGAAGAGGAAAAATAGTATAACCGCAATTTTGTGTCATTTACGATATTAATATATTTTTGGTTAGGCGGTTAAATTTGATAAATCACTTATCATTTGATTTCTTGTAGTACATCTTGTATACATAATGCCGTTTGTGTAAACATGAGAGACTGATAAAGATTTACCTATGTTCTTGTTTCACTTCGTTATCTTCTAAATTGTAAAAGCTGATAGCATGATTATCCATATACGTTTCTTAAATTCACATCAAAATGTTTTATCATAATTCTTTCTATAAATAACAATCAATTTGCAGAATTTAACTCGATCTTTAAATATTTGTTATTCAAATTCCAATTCAATTTCAAATACGTTAAAATGAACACTGAGAAAAGTCACTCAGGACTTAATAATGTCACAAGTGTTGGAAGTTATTTGCAAACAGAAGATCATGATGTTAATTTAAATGCTATATTATCAAATCCACAAAGTATTGGAGAAGTTGGAACCTCATTAACTAACGCACAGAAAGATTATGTTTTGAAAAGATTACATTTTGATGCTTTAGAATCTTTCCAAGATTTACCACCTGAATGTACTTTTATTTTTGAAAAAATTGAACAAATGTCAACAGAAGAAGGAATAGAAATATTGAAAGAGGCATATGAGGAGCACAAAGATGATGTCAATGTACCAGATCATGATTTAAAATTATGGAAAGCATTAATTGATTACAATTCAGGTGGTGTTACACATTATGATGAAAAACAAAATTCAGATAATTCAATTGATTTGAAGGGTGATAATGTTAAAGTTTCAACACTTTCTGATTCAAGTGAAGATATTGATTCTAAAAATGATCCTTCTACTGGTAAAGTTGAAATAGTTGATTGGAGTTTACAAGTCAGATTAGAGGCTGTTTTACTTGCATATTGGTCACCTTATCCAGAAGTTAGAGCTGTTACATTTCCATACGATGATCCATCTATTCCTGTTGAAACAATAAGAGTTTATATTATTGGTATAATTTGGACTGGGCTTGGAGCTGTTATTAATCAATTTTTTACTGAAAGACAACCTAGTATTTCACTTGCGGTATCAGTTGTTCAACTTTTTTCATATCCTTGTGGTAAATTTTTGGAATGGGTCTTACCTAGCTGGAACGTCAAACTCGGGAAATTTTCATTCAATCTTAATCCTGGTCCATATACATACAAAGAACAAGTTTTGGTTACTATTTTCTGTTCCGTTACTGGTGGTGCTACATCATATGTTTCTTACAATATTCTTATGCAAAAATCAGAAGTGTTTTATGGTAATAAATGGGCTGATTTTGGTTATCAAGTTTTACGTATGTATTTTTTTTACTAAATGTTGCTACCAACAAATGCATCATATTATTACACAAAGCAGAACATTTTTACTAACATTAAATCTTAGTTATTTTATCAACCAATTTCTTAGGTATTGGATTAGCTGGTCTTATGAGAAAAATTGCAGTATATCCAGTTCAAGCTTTATGGCCTTCAATCTTACCAGAATTAGCATTGAATAGAGCATTGTTAGTTCCAGAAAAGAAAGAAAACATTAATGGTTGGAAAATATCAGGTTATAATTTCTTCTTCATTTGTTTCTGTGGAATGTTTTTATATTTTTGGATTCCAGATTATTTATTTCAAGCATTATCTACTTTCAATTGGATGACTTGGATTGCACCAAATAATATGAATCTTTCTGTTGTTACTGGTTTTGTTGGAGGTTTAGGTTTAAATCCAATCTCAACTTTTGATTGGAATATTATTGACTTTAATGCATGTTTACAAGTTCCATTTTATAATCAATCTAATATGATTTTTGGTATGTTCATTGGTTTCTTTACTATATTGGGAGTTTGGTATACAAATTTCAAATGGACTGGATATTTACCAATTAATAATAACGGACTTTTTACAAATACTGGTGAGCGTTATCGTGTTACTGCCGTTGTCAATGAAAACAGTTTGTTTGACAATGAAAAATATCAAGAAATTGGACCTCCATTTTATACTGCTGCTAATTTAGTCGTTTATGGTGCCTTTTTTGCTATTTATCCATTCCATTTTGTATACGAGTTTATTATGCAATATAAACAAATGAGTCATGCTATGGTTCAATTATGGAAAACAGTTAAAAACTTCAGACTTTCAACTTACGATGGTTTCAATGATCCACATAGTGTTATGATGAGAGCTTACAAAGAAGTACCAGAATGGGCCTATCTTATTATTTTAGTAATTTCATTAGTTTTGGCTATCATTTGTGTTAAAGTGTATCCAGCTCAAACACCAGTGTGGGGTATCTTCTTTGCTTTGGGTATAAATTTTGTCTTCCTTATACCATTAACAACTGTTAGTGCTAGAACTGGTTTCTCATTTGGTTTAAATGTTCTAGTTGAATTAATAGTTGGTTATGCTATCCCTGGTAATGGTTTAGCTTTAGCATTTATAAAAGCGTTTGGATATAATATTGACGGTCAAGCAAAAAATTGGGTGAATGATTTAAAATTAGGTCATTATGCTAAAATTCCACCAAGAGCTATGTTTAGATGTCAAACTCTTTCCATTTTTGTTGCTTCATTCATACAATTAGGTATATTGAATTTCCAAATTACTGGTATTAAAGATTACTGTGATCCATTAAATAAACAAAAATTTACATGTGCCAGCACCAGAACATTTTATTCAGCCTCAGTCTTATGGGGAGTCATTGGACCTAAAAAAGTTTTTGATCATTTATATCCACTTTTAAGATGGTGTTTCTTGATTGGATTTTTATTAGCTTTCCCATGTGCTGCTATCAAGAAATATGGCCCTAGAAAATACTTTAAAACTTTTGAACCATCAATTATCATAGGAGGATTTTTGAACTTTGCTCCTTACAACGTATGTACCAAGACTTTAAGATTAAAATTAAATTAAACTTACTAACCATATTTTTTTTAGTTATCATACTTTTTACCAGGGGTTTATGTGAGCTATGCGTTCATGGTTTACATAAAAAACAAATACCAAAAATGGTGGCAAAAATACAATTATCTTCTTGCTACTGGATTTAGTGGAGGTGTTGCTTTTTCATCGGTATGTATTCTATACTAAAGTGTCACTTTTATCGTTTTGAATCAAATTTAACATCAAATTCAAATCATTTTAATACATTCATCTTCAAGACTAAATACTAACCAATACTTTAGATTATAATTTTCTTTGCTGTGCAATATCATGATAAATCAATTGACTGGTGGGGAAATAATGTTTCATATGGTGGAATGGACGCGGAGATTTTTTCAGTCGGTCGTCTTAATGCTACCTTACAAGCTCCAGATGGATACTTTGGTCCAAGAATTGGTCATTTCCCATAAGTTTTATAAATTCGTTTCTGCTTGGTAAGAAAAAAATATTGTAGAACTTTAATTTATAATTCTGTATTTTTTAATTCGATTATTTAAAAATTTGTACCTAAATTTTGTCTTTTTATTAACACTTTGCCTTTAAAACTAATAGCTCGTTCATCAAGCATATGGATAAAAGTTATTGTATCTTGACGACAGAATGAGAATTATCACTGTTACTTCTTAAGGAGATTGTTCAATGTTAAAAAAAAATTAATAAGGCTGAAACAATATCTCATCAAACAAACTGCTTAATTTTCAAGAATTGTATGTTTTTTTTTAATTCAAGCTATGACTCCATAGGTTGTAAATTTGTAGGCTTAAAGTTTTAGACAGACTGTCATCAGACAATAACTTTTCATTCAGACCGAGTGTTTTTCATTCATTAAATCTAATACAAGTTTGGAGAGTTCAATTAAAGGCTAAAATCAGATTCTATAACTCGAAAACGCTAATAATAAAGTGCAACTAATCAAGTGCAGCTCATTACCTTAGTTTCTGAATGAGATTTCAGAAGGCTTGTGTTTAGAAAAACACTCTGAATACTTTGACTTAAATATAATAGTCAAAATGATCAAACGTATGGTATGAAATTAGCACTTTTGAGCCAATTAATGGGATGAAATTTGGGTGATAAAGTAGTATTAATTTATGTCATTTACTTGATAAAAAAAATTACCACGACGCTATAATGCATTATTTGACGCATCTAATGCTATATCGGTCAAGCATGATACTATAAAAAAGAAATAATTAATAAACAAGGGTCCGCTCAATTTTGAGCCAAACAAAACATATCATTAGATATTAAATCTTTATCTTACTCACAAGCGTATATTTTTGACAATAATCCAGCTAAAATTAAGGGAATAATTCAAAGATGATTGAAACGTTCGTATACTTCTCAGTTTTATTTGAGTTTTTTAGACTTGTCAAAATTTTAAACTTTAATAAATATTGCATTTACTTCATACAACTTAAAATTTATTCTGAACTAACGCGCAATTCTACGTCAAATTATGGCCGATTGATAGTTCTCATAGTTTGATCCTACCTGTCCATTACCAGCAACAAAAGAGCTTACCATGTATATTTATCATATTTAGCCAAAACACATCTTTTTGATAAGTTATGTAGAAGAGCAAAATTTCGACGATAGTAAATAAGACTTTATGGCTTAAAATTTACCAAGTATGATTTTATGCAGAATAAATTTCATTTTATTTTTGCGTAATCGGCATGATAATGTATCTTTTGTGACACAGAAGAGGATGATATTACTTTAAAATTGTATTCTTTCAATTCACAAATACACTACGTTAGTTGAATTGCCTGTGCTAACTCAACACACGAAATGATAAACTTACTTAATGAATAGCATAAGCATGTTAATGAATAGTATATAATTAAAATGCTTCTATCAAAATTCGATTTTGATTTATTTTATTGAAATAAAGATCTCCGACCGTACTTTTTTGTGTAATTTTTCCAAATATAGAATCAGTATCTAGTGGAAAAAAAAAAATTAATCATAGGCGACTAAATACATGCGCAATACACTTTCTATACCAGAGGTTTAATCAAGTTTTTTGTAGTCAGAAATGGTGCCGTTTATTGCAAAACATTAGATGATGAAACATGTTTTTACTAAACTTCTTAATCTACAATCAAAGGGTGATTTAAGTTTTATTTTTTATATAAGTCATACTAATTCTGCAATGTTCATGTTCAAAATTCATAAAATTTTCATTAAATTACAACTACCTTCACTATAAAATGAGCACTGAGAAAGACCGTTTGGATCTCAACCACGTCGCAAGTATCGGGAGTCATTTACAAACAGAAGATCATGATATTAATTTAAATACTGTTTTGTCAAGTCCACAAAGTATTGGAGAAATAGGAACCTCATTAACTAATGTACAAAAAGATTATATTTTGAAAAGATTACATTTTGATGCTTTAGAATCTTTTCAAGACTTACCACCTGAATGTACTTTCATTTTTGAAAAAATTGAACAAATGTCAACAGAAGAGGGAATCGAAATTTTGAAAGAGGCTTATGAGGAGCACAAAGATGATGTTAATGTCCCAGATCATGATTTAAAGTTATGGAAAGCATTATTTGATAATAATTCAAGAGGTGTTACTCATTATGATGAAAAATATAATGGAGATAACTCAGTTGATTCAAAAGGACATCCTGTTCAAGTATCAACACTTTCTGACTCAAGTGAGGATATCGATTCAAAAAATGATCCTTCTACAGGTGAAGTTAAAATAATTGATTGGAGTCTACAAGTTAGATTAGAGGCTGTTTTACTTGCTTATTGGTCACCTTATCCAGAAGTTAGAGCTGTTACATTTCCATACGATGATCCATCCATTCCAGTTGAAACAGTAAGAGTTTATATTGTTGGTATTGTTTGGACTGCTATTGGAGCTGTGATTAATCAATTTTTTACTGAAAGACAACCTAGTATTTCACTTGCGGTATCAGTAGTTCAAGTCTTTTCATACCCATCGGGCAAATTATTAGAATGGATTTTACCTAAATGGAAATTCAAGATAGGTAAATACTCAGTCAATCTAAATCCTGGACCTTACAATTACAAAGAACAAGTATTGGTTACTATTTTCTGCTCAGTTTCTGGTGGTGCTACATCTTATGTCTCGTCAAACATTCTCATGCAAAAGTCAAAGTTGTTTTATAATAATCAATGGGTTGATTTTGGTTATCAAGTTTTACGTATGTACATCTGAAAATGCTACCAAAAGGTGCTTCACTTTTTTACACAAAAACCGAATATGTCTTACTAACAGTCAAGTTTAGTTATTTTATCAACCAATTTCTTAGGAATCGGAATAGCAGGTATTTTAAGAAAAGTTGCTGTTTTTCCTGTCCAAGCTATTTGGCCCGAATTACTTCCTAGTTTGGCTTTAAACAAAGCTTTAATGGTTCCAGAGAAGAAGGAAAACATTAATGGTTGGAAAATTTCAGGTTATAATTTCTTTTTCATTTGTTTTTTTGGGATGTTTTTATATTTTTGGATTCCACAGTATTTATTTCAAGCATTATCTACTTTCAATTGGATGACTTGGATTGCACCAAATAATATGAATCTTTCTGTTGTTACTGGTTTTGTTGGAGGTTTAGGTTTAAATCCAATACCCACCTTTGATTGGAATATTATTGATTTTAACGGATGTTTGCAATACCCATTTTATAATCAATCAAACATGATTGTTGGTATGTTCATTGCTTTTTTCACAATTTTAGGAGTTTGGTATTCAAATTTCAAATGGACTGGCTATTTACCAATTAATAGTAATGGGCTTTTCACTAATACGGGTGAACCTTATCATGTTACTGCCGTTGTCAATGAAAACAGTTTGTTCGATGATGCTAAATATCAGGAAATTGGACCTCCATTTTATACTGCTGCTAATTTAGTTATTTATGGTGCGTTTTTTGCTATATATCCATTTCATTTTGTATACGAATTGTTGATGCATTATAAGCAAATGAAACATTCAATGTTACAATTGTGGAAAACAATTAAAAATTATAAACTTTCAACTTATGATGGTTTTAACGATCCACATAGTGTTATGATGAGATCCTATAAGGAAGTTCCTGAATGGGTATATCTAATTGTGTTGGTGATTTCATTAGTTTTGGCTATCATTTGTGTTAAAGTGTATCCAGCTCAAACACCAGTTTGGGGTTTATTTTTTGCTTTAGGTATTAATTTTGTATTCCTCATACCGTTGACTACAATAAGAGCTAGAACAGGTTTTTCCTTTGGTTTAAATGTATTAGTTGAATTGATAATTGGATATGCTATCCCAGGAAATGGTTTAGCTTTAGCTTTCATCAAAGCTTTTGGTTATAATATTGATGGTCAAGCTCAAAATTGGGTTGGTGATTTAAAATTAGGACATTATGCAAAGATACCCCCTAGATCTATGTTTAGATGCCAGATTCTTTCAATTTTCATTGCTTCATTTATTCAATTAGGTATTTTAAATTTTCAAATCACAGGTATTAAAGATTATTGTGATCCACTAAATACTCAAAAATTCACTTGTCCTGGTACTAGAACATTTTATTCAGCTTCAGTCTTATGGGGAGTCATTGGTCCTAAAAAAGTTTTTGATCATTTATATCCACTTTTGAGATGGTGTTTCTTGATTGGATTTTTATTGGCTTTCCCAAGTGCTGCTATAAAGAAATTTGGACCCAAGAAATATTTCAAAACTTTTGAACCAACAATTATTATCGGTGGATTCTTACAATATGCTCCTTATAACGTATGTATCAAGATTTCATGATTTAAAATTGAATAAAATTTACTAACCTATTTTAGTTATCATACTATATATCTGGAGTTTATGTAAGTTATGCTTTCATGGTCTACATTAAAAACAAATATCAAAAATGGTGGCAAAAATACAATTATCTTCTTGCTACTGGATTTGGTGCAGGTGTTGCTTTTTCATCGGTATGTTTTCATAATCATCGGATTTGAATTATTGTCACTAATTCAAATTATTTACTTGTTTTCTTTTTCAAAAATCAAAATTACTAACTAAAACTTATATTTAGATTATAATTTTCTTTGCTGTACAATATCATGATAAATCAATCAACTGGTGGGGAAATAATGTAATGTATGCTGGTATGGACTATGAAATATCTGCAATTGGTCGTCTTAATGCTACTTTACAGGCTCCAGATGGTTATTTTGGACCAAGAAAAGGACATTTCCCGTAAATTCAATAATTTAGGCTCCATGTGTGTATTTAAATCGATTTGATGAGAAAGTGAATCTTTCAAATATTATTTGTATATTTATTTGTCTTTGTTTATGTTTATTTTTCGTTGATGAGTTGGTATTAAAACTGGACAGCTAAGTAATAAATTAAAATTTAACTCAATGTATTAACGATGATCTGCAATTGTATTTTCTAACTTTTTTCAAATTAGGGAATTACTTGATACTTTTTTCATTTCTTGAGGGACGGAGTTGCATTAACTCACATTTACGGATCGTAAGACCTATAAATTTGTAGCTAAAATTGTAATTCTCATCGTGGCAAATTATTATGTCAAACAAATGTAACGATGAATGCAAATCGTAAATAATTTGGTCTGACACAAAAATAACTTTGAATAACATGCGCGTGAAAATTTGTCTTGGTATCAGCCGCACCCAAGTTTGTTCTATCTCTTTCAATTCAATACAATGATGGTTTGTTTCTTTCAATATCTTAACCGTATATATGGCAATGAAGCTTATTTAGTTAATGTTAATTTTTGACTGCGACTAGGAGAAGAATGTCATTATTTTTTCTACAAAATGAAAATTAAAGTTTGCACAGAGACATGGCTTTGAAAATTTATCATTCTGAAATCTTTTAGTTAGATATAAATGATTTAAAACATGAAACTGGTGAGACAGCTTGTCTTCAATAATGAGGGATCTTGCGCTGTTTTAGTGATGATAGTGCGGAATATTGCTGTGTTACTACTTCATTAATTGTCAATTTAAGTTGATCATCATACTTTCATTTATTCGGCCTTAAGCGAAGTATCAATCAAAAGAATCCCAGCTAAAAGTTTGTATCTAGTGTGACAAAGGTAATAAAAAAGATCCAGTTAAGTTTGAAAATATGATGATAAGTTTGGTAATATTCCACCGTTAGAAGTAATATCAAATGTACATATTTATATCTACTTATAAAGAAGTCGTTTAATTGAACTACTTTCCAAAATGAAATACGTCTATACGGAAGGTAATAATTTTTGGTATGAAAAGATGATGGATATGAGATGAACTAGTTCGTGTATAAGTTTTATCAAATGAATCCAAGTGCTTAATACGTAAGTAACAAAACATCACCATAGCAATTCAACGAATTCATAGAAATTTGAATTTAATATCAACTAATTTTTTTTAAAAGTTTGAAATTATGTCATGTTTCATTATAAAGTTTTATCAACATGAAACACTAAAATTTCCGATAAGTATATGTCATATCAAAAACTAAAATTTAAACTGATTTTGTTTAGCTTATCTTCAATTTGAAAATTTTGAAAAATTTAAAAATTTGATAGACTATCAAATATCAAGAAATTTCAAGAAAATCATCGTAAAAATTTAGATTTTCTTATATTATTTCGAATAAATATGTCAAAATTTTAAATTAAAGATTTAAGTTAATTAATTTTGCGTTTATTATTATTAAGTACTTAATTTATTAATTAATATAATTAATTAGTGTACTTACTTTTTCATCATTTTTACTTTATAAATTTATTGTTTTATAAGTTTTGATGCCGAATGATGGATTTTACCACAATTTTTTTAAATTTTTCGAATGGCTCAAATTGTTTTAATAAAATTTCTCACCCTTGACGTAAAATTTTTTTCATATTGGTGACTGACTACTTTTTGTTAAAAATAGAGCAACTGTCACTTCAAAATGGACAAATGACGGTCATGTTACGTATATCTTTTCTAGAAATGGGGTTATCGAATAAAAACCATTTGTTTTGTAATAAGAATTTTACAAAGATCTTAGCAAATAAAATAAGTTATGATTAAAAAAATATAATAATTTTGTGTCAGATTCCACAATAAAATTTTAATTTGTGTTAGGCGGTAAATTCTTAAAAAATATTTCTATTATTTACTTACACCACCAATTTTAAAAATAGATTGGTGGAAACTTAGTGCCGCTTGATTCAAACACAACGCTTTAAAGCCATATCGTATGCTAACTATCTGAATATGTGTATTGTGTGAAAATCTAAAACATGATTATCGCTATTGTTAACACTTTTAACATCTTATCTCTTAAACTTTACAACTGATCTAAATTGTGGTTGCAAATGAATACCAATTATATATAAGTAACTTCGTTTCTTGTATTTCCATCATGTTTGAAAATTGAATCCTTTCAAGTAATATATCCATTGAACATATTTGCACAACATGAGTACCGAAAAGGGTCACTTAGATCTCAACCACGTCACAAGTATTGGAAGTCATTTACAAACAGAAGATCATGATATTAATTTAAATGCTGTTTTATCAAATCCTCAAAGTATTGGAGAAATTGGAACCACTTTAACTAATGCACAGAAAGATTATGTTTTAAAAAGATTACATTTTGATGCTTTAGAATCTTTTCAAGATTTACCACCTGAATGTACTTTTATTTTTGAAAAAATTGAACAAATGTCAACTGAAGAAGGACTTACAATTTTAAAAGAAGCATATGAACAACATAAAGTTGACGTTAATGTACCAGATCATGATTTAGAGTTATGGAAGGACTTAATTGATTATAATTCAAGAGGTGTTACTCATTATGAAGAGAAACAACAAAATTCAGATAGTTCAGTTGATTTAAAAGGACATCCAGTAAAAATTTCTACACTTTCTGATTCAAGTGAAGATATTGATTCAAAAAATGATCCTTCTACCGGTAAAGTTGAGATAGTTGATTGGAGTTTACAAGTCAGATTAGAAGCTGTTTTACTTGCTTATTGGTCACCTTATCCAGAAGTTAGAGCTGTTACATTTCCATTTGATGATCCTACAATTCCTGTTGAAACTTTAAGAGTTTATATTATTGGTATAATTTGGACTGCCATTGCTGCTGTTATTAATCAATTTTTTACTGAAAGACAACCAAGTATTGGTCTTTCTACTTCAGTTATTCAACTTTTTTCTTATCCAAGTGGAAAATTATTAGAATGGATTTTACCTAGCTGGAACATCAAACTTGGTAAATTTTCTTTTAATCTTAATCCTGGTCCTTACACCTATAAAGAACAAGTTTTAGTTACTATATTTTGTGCTGTCAGTGGAGGTACATCATATGTGTCATCAAATATTCTTATGCAAAAATCAGAATTGTTTTACAATAATCAATGGGTTGATTTTGGTTATCAAGTTTTACGTATGTATAATAATAATAAAAAATTAAAAGATGCTACCAAAAATTGCATCATCTTTAAACACAAAATTGAATTTAATACTAACATTTATTTAAAGTTATTTTATCCACAAACTTTTTGGGTATTGGATTAGCTGGTATCTTAAGAAAAATTGCTGTTTATCCAGTAGAAGCTATGTGGCCAACTCTATTACCTACTTTAGCTTTGAATAAAGCATTATTAGTCCCAGAAAAGAAAGAAAATATCAATGGTTGGAAAATTTCAGGTTATAATTTCTTTTTCATTTGTTTCTGTGGAATGTTTTTATATTTTTGGATTCCTGATTATTTATTTCAAGCATTATCAACTTTCAATTGGTTAAGTTGGATTGCACCAAACAACTTGAATCTTGCTGTTATTACTGGATCAGTTGGTGGTTTAGGTTTAAATCCAATTCCTTCATTTGATTGGAATATTTTGGATAGTAATTCAGCTTTAATTTTACCATTTTATAATCAAACTAATATGATTTTTGGTATGTTTATTGCATTTTTTACAATATTGGGAGTTTGGTATTCTAACTTTAAATGGACTGGATATTTACCAATTAATAATAATGGACTTTTCACTAATACAGGTAAACCTTACCGTGTTACTGCCGTGGTCAATGAAAACAGTTTATTTGACAATGAAAAATATCAAGAAATTGGACCTCCATTTTATACTGCTGCTAATTTAGTTGTTTATGGTGCTTTTTTTGCCCTTTATCCTTTCCATTTTGTTTACGAATTTCTTATGCAATATAGACAAATGAAAGTTGCAATGGTTCAATTATGGAGAACAGTTAAAAATTATAAACTTTCAACTTATGATGGTTTCAAGGATCCTCACAGTACAATGATGAGAGCTTATAAAGAAGTTCCAGAATGGGTTTATCTAATTGTTTTAATCCTTTCATTAGTTTTAGCTATTATTTGTGTTAAAATATATCCAGCTCAAACACCAGTATGGGGTATATTTTTTGCTTTAGGTATTAATTTTGTTTTCCTTATTCCGTTAACTACAATTGCTGCCAGAACTGGTTTTTCCTTTGGTTTAAATGTTTTGGTTGAGTTAATAGTTGGTTATGCTATTCCAGGAAATGGTTTAGCTTTAGCATTTATAAAAGCATTTGGTTATAATATTGATGGTCAAGCTCAAAATTGGGTTGGTGATTTGAAATTAGGTCATTATGCTAAGATTCCTCCTAGAGCTATGTTTAGATCACAAGTACTTTCTATATTTATTGCTTCATTCATACAACTAGGTATATTGAATTTTCAAATCACAGGTATTAAAGATTATTGTGATCCTTTAAATACTCAAAAGTTTACTTGTCCTGGTACTAGAACATTTTATTCAGCTTCTGTATTATGGGGTGTTATTGGACCTAAAAAAGTTTTTGATCATTTATATCCACTTTTAAGATGGTGTTTCTTGATTGGATTTTTATTAGCTTTCCCATGTGCTGCTATTAAGAAATTTGGACCAAAGAAATACTTCAAAACTTTTGAACCATCAATTATTATCGGTGGTTTCTTACAATATGCTCCTTATAACGTATGTAACATTTTTTATCATATTTTTATTGATTATCAAATTTACTAACTCATTCAATTTTAGTTATCATATTACATTGGTGGAATTTACATTAGTTATGCTTTCATGGTTCATATCAAAAACAAATATCAAAAATGGTGGCAAAAATATAATTATCTTCTTGCTACTGGTTTTAGCGCAGGAATAGCTTTTTCATCGGTATGTATATTCTATGCTAAGGTATTAATTTTTTGATTTTGAATCAAATTCAATCAGAGGATTCAAATCAGAAATCTTTATTACTATCATTTTTAAGACTAAATACTGACCAAAACTTTAGATTATAATTTTCTTTGCAGTACAATATCACGATAAATCAATTGACTGGTGGGGAAATGATGTCTCTTATGCTGGTATGGATTATGAACTGTTTGTCGTTGGTCGTCTTAATGCTACTTTAGACGCTCCAGATGGTTATTTTGGACCAAGAAAAGGACATTTCCCATGATTTATGGTTGCAAATGATTATTTCATTAGATTTGTTACTTTAATCGTTACGTGTATATTTATTTCAATATAGATCTAATTAATAAATGTGAATTTTGAAAAGTTAAAATATTTGAAGAAACGCTTTTTTCAGAATTAATCTATCTTATTACAGTTATAGGTGTATATTAATTAACACAATTGAATCAATTGAATAATTCAACCTATATTTTAACTCACTTTTTAATTTTTAACAATTTCATTTATCTTATCAACCACAATTATTTTCTACTTGAACAAAGTTTAGGAAAATATTCAAGATCAAGAAATTAAACAAATAAAATATGAATATAATTTCTCTACAATATTTTATAACAATTTTATTAATTGTTTTTTCATTTCGTAATATATACAAAATTATACAACGAATTAAATACGTATATATCGATATAATAATATAAAATAAATTTAATACAATTCAATTCAAGAACTAAAATAATGGTATCAATTGGTAATCAATGTGATGGGTGTGTGTATTTGTATTAATGAAACTTTTTAAAGCAATTTATATTTAATTTTCCTTCTATTATTCCTATTTCAATCAATCTCTATTATTATCAATTTCATCAGCTGCAACAATGAATTTTTCTACGACGTTATTTCTAAATGTTAATACATAAGAAGCGACATTTTCAATTTCTTCAATCATTAATTGCCTCTTAACTTGAATATCTTGTTCAATTAATTTTTGATTTAAATGAGCATCTTGAAAATCTCTTTCATGATTTAAAGTATTTGTTGTAATTGAAGTTTTAGTATCTCTTATTTGTTGTTCTCTTTCTTCTATATCTTTGGACATTGTTGATTGTAAATTAAAAATATCTTGAGATTTTTGATCATTTTTTTTTTTATTTAAATTTTCTTTATCTAATTTATCATTTAAATTTATTCTTTGTTCTAATACAATTTGTTGTTTTAATTCAAATTGTTCTTGAATATTTTTATATTCTTGTTTTAATTGAATTATTGATTCTTTAATTTTATCTCTTAATGATAATAATTTTATTTTTTCATCATCAATTTTTTTATCTTGAAATAATTCATCTCTTGCAAATGCTCTTGTAATATCTTTTAAATCATTTAATGTTAACCCATACTTGGTTGTACCATTATCATTATAATTTAAAGTTTCAACTATACTATTATATCGCCTTACAAGTTTTTCAAGATCAATTATTTTTCTATCAACATCAGATATTCTTATTTCTAATTCATCTTTTTTATTTTCTATTTTAACAGTTTCATTATCTATTGATTTTGATAATTTATCACGTTTTAATTCTAAATCATTAATATATTTAATTGATATACCTTTTTGTTCAAATTCATTTTCTAATTGCTTTTTCTCTGTTGTTAATTGTTCCAATTGTTTATTACTTAATACAATTTCTTCTTGTAATTTTTTTAATCTTTTATCCCATTCTGGTATTCTTTTTTTAACTTCTTCATTATATCTATGTAATTTTTCAAAATCATCTTCCAATGCAAAAGTTTTTTTATCAGCATCATCTTTTAATTTTAATTCTACTAATCTTTGATTAAAATTTTCATCTAATTTTTCACTTTGTAATATAGTTTCTTCTTCTTGTTGTTTATAATTTTCAATTTCTTCATTAAAAGATTTTATTAAAATTTCTTGTGGTAATTCATAATTTTCATCAGCATCAAGAAATTTTAAATAACATGTATAACTATATTTCATAAATATTCTATCAAAATCATCTTCTGTTGTATAAAATTCATCAGATTCACTATTTATTGTAGAAACATATTCAACCATCCAATTTAATATCGCTAGAAATGTTGGCCAATTTTGTCCACCAACTGCATTGAAATGTAATTTTGGAATTTGTTTTAATAATGGATATTGTAATGAACTTAGTATAAATATTGTTTCTTGATCAACAGATTTTTGAAAAATATAATAAGGATCAATAAATTTATATAAAAATTTGAAAATTTCATAAAAATTTCTTTGAGTTGGAACTTTTAGTAGATTTTCATTTAAACTTATTGATGATTTAAGATCAAATTTATTGTTAACTAAAAATTTATAAATAGTTTGTTGCATTATTTCTTGATTTGATTTTTCTTTTATTCGATCTATAATTGGTAATGATGATTGATAATTTGATCTTAATTGAGAATGATTTAATTGAGATGACAGTGGTGTTTGTGATGATACAAATGAAAGTGGTTGTATAGGTTGAGGTATTGATTGTTGTGGTTTATTTGAATTTCCTGAATATTGCAGACCTTGCAGAGATGGTAAACCTATACTTTGTCGTTTTCTATTTGTAGATGGAGCATTTGCAAATAATGCACCTCTTTTTCTATTATTGGCAATAGGAGTAGTCTCAGTATTCAAAGTGGATTGATGTATTGGTCTGAAGTTTGAGTTGTTGTGAAATTGATTATGTTGATTAAAGTTGTTGTTGTTATTATTATTATTATTACCATTATTTTGTGCTTGACTATTATTAATTAAATGTGATGTTTGAAAAGTTGAGGATCTAGTGGCAGAGCCTAATGAAAGTCTAGTTCCTCCATTTGAATTTGAATGTGTATTATAATGAGTAAATTGAGATTGATTATGTTGTTGAATATGTTGTCGTTGCAGTTGATGTGATTGTTGTTGTTGTTGTTGCTGTTGCTGTTGTTTTCGTAGTGCTAACATCTGATTTATGGATGCTGATGATGAATAGTTCATTCTATTTCATAATTTTAGTAAATATTTAATTTGATCGATGAAGTAGGAGTGTATATCTATGTATTTAATCCAATTTTCAACTTTTTTCTAATTATTCTTTCCTTATTGAATGATTCTTTCTATTATACAATCAATTGAATCATGAACATGCAAACTTAGTTAAAATTTTGGTTTGATATACTTGGATCAAGTATTGTATATATTGTTTTAAAATATGTTTTGTATATTTGTATATGGTTTTAATGTCTGAAAATGAAATAGTTTGTCTTGTACTTAATCTTTTTTTTTTTTTTTTATGAATTGATTTGTTTTGATTTTAATTTTTTTTTTTTGAGTTTTATTATGGAGTTTCCTAAATAGGAAAAGAACCACATTGAATGAGGTTTAGTTCATTTGGTAGTTTCGAAAATTTGATTCAATATTGACTACAGAGAGTAATGAAGAACCATAATATGTTTTTGATCTAAGGGATAAAAGAGATTGATATGAAGTAGATATTCACAACATACACTTTTTTGAAAAGTCGTGGAATTCATTTTCCAGAATCTTTCGTGTTTTCGCATTTTTTTTTTTGAGTACTAAATCATGTACAAGCTTCCACCACATTAACTCTCACATTGATCCAAAATAATTTAATGTTTCAACTCAATTGATTTGAATAAATGAATAAGCACAATAGTAACGAAAGTGATTGAGATGAATTAATCTTAAACAGAATTAATAATTAAAAAGAAATCAAAGAGATCAAGTTCTATTAGTTATTATGCAGAAGATGATCAATCATCATCATAATTAGATTATTATTATGTATGAGTTTAAAGAGTAAGTTAGTAATCTCGTAAATTAAAGAATAAGTTTTAAATTGGAATGACCAGTTATTTGAACAATTTACACTACTACTATCACTATTTGTTATTTTATAATTGCAATATCGAACTAATAGAAATCACTCATACTTTGAATGTACGGGAAATATCATCATACAAAGTAGTTGACTTGATGTGATTAGAAAGGACAAATGATCTCATGTGCTTCGATTTTAATAAAATGGTAATTTGAAATTGTAATTGGTCATGTCAAAGACTAAAAACATAGACATAATAAAGTTAAGTAAATAAATAAACAATAAACAGTTTTTATATAGAACACGAAAATACTAAATAAGTAGAACACAAAAATTTTAAAACTTAATATATTTAACTTACAAATACATATAAAACAACCAATAATTTCAACAAATTCAAATAGGAACCTAATAATACAGCTCAAGACAAAGAACTAGATAGGTTCTTCTATTGAATAATTTGCTTTAACATCTGGTCTAATCATAATGAGCAAACCATCAACACCTATATCATCACCAAGAATACTGCAATCAAAAGAAAATTTACTACCTAATATAACAACTACTTTAGATAATAATCTAACTAATAACAATGGTTTACCTTCAAATCCTAATAAACGACATTCAACAGATAACTATGATTCAATTAACAAAAAACCATCAACACCTTCACCACCAAATAAAAAACGATCATCAATTCAATTTTTAAAAACTCCTGAACAATCAAAAGATTCTTCAATTAAAAGAAATTCAATTAATCTACCTTATACACCATCTTATAAAAGAACAAGTTCTGGTTCTTATAAATCACCAGATGGTAAAATAATATATCATAATATAAACTCCCCATATAATTCAAATCAATTATTAAAAACTCCAAGACATTCTTTTATAGATAATGAAGGTAATAATATATCAGAAGATGAAGATGAAAATGAAGAAAATGGTAGAAAATTAAAATTATTAAAAACTCCTCAATATTTAAATAGTGCTAAAAAATTATTTCAAAATGATATTGGTAGTAATAATGAATTTAGTCCTAATAGAAATGATTTAAATGAAATAAGTTCAACTTTAAAAAATAGATTAAGTACAGCTTTTGGAAAATTACAAAAAGATGAAGCTTTAAATACTTCAAAAATTTCATTTACTGAATTATCATTTGATTCTCAAACATCTCCAACTAAAAAATATAATTCTAATACTATATCGAAAAGAAATAGTTTTACTAATCAAACAAGTTTATTAAATAAAGCAAATTTAAATTTACAAACTTTACAACAATCACCAATGGGGAAAGCAAACAATAATCTTTCATTATCTCCAACATTTGATCAAAATTATAAATCAACAACAAACCCAACCACTATAGAATCAAATTCATTTTTAAAAAATTCTCCAATATCAAAAGAAAGAGATGAAACATTTGCAAGATTAAATGATATGCCATCTCCTGATGAAGAAAATAGTGCTCATAATGCTTTACTTGCTACATTATCAAGACAAAAAAAATCAAGATCTTCATTTAGTAATGGTAATGATCCTTCTACAACATCAAATTCAACAAATTTTCAAATAGTTAAATTACCACCAATAGATGTTGCTGCTCCAATAGATGTAGCTGCTGCAACTTTAATATCATTATCATCACCAAGAAGTATAAGACAACAAAATATTAATCATACAAGAAATCATAGTATAAATTCAAATAATGGTTATAGTCATTCACCAAATTCATCAAGATCTTCACTGGCTCAAATACCTTCACCAACTTTTAATAACTCAAATCAATTTCATAATAATATTTCAAATCAATCACAAACACAAACACAAACACAAACATTACCACCAATATCAAGATTAATTCGACCTGACGGTCAAAATGACAAAGTAGAAAATTTTAAAAGAGGTGGGATTGTATTTAGTGATGAAACTGATGATGAAATTGACGATGATGATGCAATGAATAGTGTTGATGATAATGATTCAGATCGAACTGTTGATGAAGATAAATAAATAAAAATTTATAAACATTTATGTAATAGAGAATAAACGATTTTGAACTTTCAATTCTTTGTATTGGTAGTACCCCTAATAACCTCTTTAAAGTTTGTAGAAATCTAAAAAACAAAAACGAATTAAAAATGTAAATTTTGGCAACACTTTTAAAGCTTATTTGAACAACAACAATAGAGGAATACAAGGCAGTTAAAATGAATGTCACAACTTACAGAATGGCAATTTAGACAAGTAACGCCACATATAAATTCAACAATACCCAATTTAAAAACTTGGTATCTTTCAAAACCTAACTCCCTATCTCATCAAATTCATTTAGATTTATTATATAATGATTTAATTCTTGACCCATTTGTAAATGATAATGAATTAATTGTTAATTGGATTAGTGAAGTTAAATGGGAATATAAAACATTATTTGAATCATCAGTTAATACTACTATTAATCAAGGTTATTTAATTTTAAATCAATTAGATAATGATGTTAAAGTAATTTTAAATAATGATATAATTTTACAAAGTGAAAATTCATTTCATAAACATATAATTGGACCAATAAATTTTACTACCAATACCAATGAATTGAGACTAATTTTAGATTCTGGGTTTGCAAGAGGTAAGGAATTGGAGACAAAATCTGGTTCAAAGCCATGTTGGAATGGAGATTGTTCAAGATTATATGTTAGAAAACCTCAATATCAATATGGTTGGGATTGGGGGCCTACTCTACTAACTTGTGGATTTGATGAAATATTGGTAGTTTTTGAACCTTTTGTTGAAGATTTTTTTATAAGATATAAATTTAATAATGAATTAAACATTGCGTTTCTAAATTTTGAAATTAATACATTGATAATTGGTCAATTTAAATTTAAATTGGGAAAAATGGAAATTTTTAAAAATAATCAATATTTTGAAACTTTACAATTCAATAAATTTGATAAATTTACTAATATTAGTTATATATTAAATGATGTTGAATTATGGTGGCCTAGAAAATATGGAAGACAAAATTTATATACTTTTAAATTATATTTAAATGAAAAATTAATGATAACCAAAACAACAGGTTTTAGAAAAATTGAAATTATAACAGAATCAGATGAATTTGGTGAATCATTTTATTTTAAAATTAATAATAAATCAATTCAAATGATTGGATCAAATTGGATTCCTCCAAATTCATTTATTTCAAATATGACCATAGAAGATTATATATATTATTTAGATCTTGTGGTTGATAGTAATCAAAATATGATTAGAGTATGGGGAGGAGGAAATTATGAAAATGATGAATTTTATAAAATTTGTGATGAATTAGGTATATTGGTATGGCACGATTTTATGTTTGCTTGTGGTATATATCCATATGAATCATTTATCATTAATAATAATGAAAAAACAGTAAATTCAATTGAAAAAGAAATTATTGATGTTTTAAAAAAATTAAGAAATCATCCAAGTATTATTATATATGTTGGGAATAATGAAGATTATCAAATTGCAGATTCTTTAAAAATTGATCAAAATAATAAAACTTCTTTTCCAGCTAAATCAATTTATGAAGAAATTATCCCCTTCCAAATTTCAGAGCTAACTAATAATGTAATTTATAGATTTGGATCACCATATTCAGGAACTAATATAAGTTCATATGATATAAATTATGGAGATTCTCATCAATGGAATGTATGGCATGGATCAAAACAACCATATCAAAATTGGAATAATTTAACAACAAGATTTACAAGTGAATTTGGTATGTTATCATTACCTTCATATAATTTATTAAAAACATATATAACTGATCCACTCGAGCTAAAACCAAATCTGAAAATGATTAAATTTCATACAAAAGCAAATAATAAAGAAAATTTACCTTATTATGTATGGATGAATTTTAATAAACCTGAGGATTTAGATTTAAAGCGGTGGATTTATTTAACTCAAATAATGCAATCAGAATCTATTGAATTAGCATTTAGATATTGGAAACAAAAATGGTTTCAAAATCAATGTGGTGGAATTCTAGTTTGGCAATTAAATGATTGTTATCCAAGTATATCTTGGTCAATTATTGGATTTGATCAAATTCCAAAATTAAGTTATTATGGTATGAAAAGAGAATTAAAAGATATTGTTATAGGTTCAAGAAGATATGAAGGTGAAAATATTTTGTCAAATACTCTTGAAGGACAATTGATCCTTTCAAATTCAAAAAATGTTCTTAAATTTGATGTTTGGGGGATAGGTAACAATGTAACGAATTCAACTTTAAAAATGGATTTTTACACTAGTGAAGGATATTTGTTTCATCAACTTGAAATAAATTATATTGATCTTAAAGATAATGAAGTTAAGAATATTTTACAAAATCACGTATTTGAAAAATTTAATTTTAAAAATGATACAATAGTTTCCTTACGCTTAATAACATCAAAAGATGAAGTTGTAGCAAGATCATCAAATTGGCCAAATTATTTAAAAAATTTAAATTGGCTAGTATTAACAAATAATTTAAATCTTACTTACCAATATTTAAAAAATGGTAAATTTAAAATTTCAACAAATAAACCTTTAAAAAAATTACAATTATATTTTGAAGATCACAACAAAAATGAAATAGATTATATTTTTAATGATAATGGAATTGATTTATTTCCTAATGATGATCAAATTATTCAAGTATTTAATTTTAATGAGAATGATTTAAAATTTTTGAAATTAAGATACTTGGATTTTTAAAATTTAAGTATTATGAGGAGAACTTTAAAGAAGAGTGAAATGAAGAATCTGAAGCTTTAAGAAAATGAATGATTAAATAGGTATGTAACGACTGATTGATATAATTTAAAGTAACCAATTACTAAATGATTAAAATTGATTACTTTCTGTGTACTTTAATTTACATTTAGATATTTAAGAATTTCTTTTTTCCCTTACTAATATTATCATAATATTATTACTATAGTATTACGTAATTATTAACATAATATTACATAATCAATAAGAAATTTCCTAAATAAATAGAAAATGAGTAACAAAAATAAAAATCAGAAAAAAAATAAAATTTATCAACTGATTACAAATGAAAATATAAAATTCATTTATAATTATCAACTTATACAAGGAATTATTCTTTTAGATTCTACTAATATTAAAGTGAACGAAAATTCATAAAATCGTTCATAATTTCATAATATATATTCTACAACAACTCGTTCATTAAATTTGAGCTTTTCCGAGACACGTCTATATACTTTATTTATTAAAAAAAAGTTCAATTCATTCACGTCAATAATATAACTAATTCAATTTACATTCATTTCAAAAAGTCACATATAATCATACAAAAACACATTTATATTCCACATAACAATGAGTACGAGGATACTATTATTACTACACCCAACCGTTGTAACGGATGAAGCGTTAGTAGAAACAATAAAAACCGATATATCAAAATCTCACAGCGACTATACAATAGATCAACAAATTATAAATCGTATAACTCAAGGAGATATAATAATAGATAAAAATTCATATAATGAAATAATATATATAAATCCAAATGATTTAAAATATAAAGAAATGCCAATTCTGTTAATCAAATTATTATATGAATTATTAGAAAATGAAGGAAAATTAAAAGGTGATTTACCAATTAATCAAAATTTAGATGTTTTAATGGAAGGTTTTATAATACAAGATGATGGATCTTGGTTTAAACCTGAACCAGTTAAAGAAACCATAATTTTGAAAAAGAAAAACACATCTACATTAAATAACGATAGACAATCATCAACATCAAGTTATACACATTTAAATAATAAATCATTACCTAAATTTAAAAAATTATCAGATAAATTATCATCTCCTCCATTACCTGGATTAACAGATACTTCAGCTCCAAATACAGATGAAGAAAATGAGATTGGAAATGGAGGAATGAAAAGAAAATTAATAGATACAAAATTAACATATTTTAGTGATTCATCATCAGATGAAGAAGGAGAAGGAGAATTTGATGAAGAAGATAAAAAATCATCAATATATATAAATGAAGATGATTTAATTTCAAATATAAATAATGATAATTTAATAATCCCCAAAAAATGTGAATTACCAAATGGTAAAAGAAGAAGAAAAGCATGTAAAGATTGTACATGTGGTTTAAAAGAAATTGAAGAAGAAGAAAATCAATCTCAAATAAATTTACAAAATTCAATATTAAGTAAAATGGCAAAATCAGCAAATGAAGAAGCTGCAAAAATAGAAGAAAGAATTAGGGAAAAAACTCAAAAATTAAGAAATGATAAAATTAAAAACTTAAAACAAAAACAAGCAGACAATGTTATTAAATTTAAAGATGAAGATTTAAATGAAATTGATTTTACTGTACAAGGTAAAACCGGAGGGTGTGGTTCATGTGCTTTAGGTGATGCTTTTAGATGTGATGGATGTCCTTATTTAGGTTTACCACCTTTTAAACCAGGAGAAGTTATTACTTTAGATGGAATGGATGAAGATATTTAATTTAAAACACTTGAAAAGAGAGAGAGAGGGAAATAAACGGTAATTTTAAAAAGTACTTTTTAATGGAAGATAAAATTTGATCTTCTTGATATTTAGCTAATTTTTATAGTTTTGCAATAACGTTAATAATGAATAAACAATTATTTATTTTAATCAAGTTGAATTAACAAACCACGATCTAGCGAAGTAACTCATATTTTGTTTCTTATGTCTTATTGTAATGTAAGAATCAAACGGCTGAATACAATACTAAGCGATCCTTCTTATTTATTGTACCTGTTATATCTATTGTTATTTTGAATTGAACAATAATTACATTGTTAAACTTTTATTGATCTTGAATTATTAGAGTATAAATTTAAAGAGCATCTTTCAAACCATTTGGTTTTTTATTAATTCTTCAACTACTTACCCTCTTATATGTTTAAAAGTCATTACGATCTACTGGATCCAAATCTTAAACCCTTAAATTGTTACTGTTTATAAGTACTATTTTTTAGTGCTAACTGTTCTATTATTTTTTCTTTTATTGTGTTTTCAATTGTGTTTAATAATATTATTTTGCAACTATGTTGCAATACATTTAAAAATTTAAGATTATAAAAAAATTTAAGTTTTAATTTTTAGCTTAAACTTCAATGCTTTAGCCTAAATTGTTTCTTTTGGAAGATGAGTTCAACGGTTAACATGTTATATCATAAGAGATATGGTAGAAGATCAAGTTCTTACTACTGATTTGTTCATTTTCGATTCAATATCAATATTTGAACAGAATTTTTCCTCTTTAAAATTTTCTCTATTTTGTGTCGTGGTAAACTCTTCTTCAGAAATTCCATTGAAATTGTGAATCGGGAGTTTGACCATTCAGATATCAATTATTCTTCAATGCTTTCATTCATCGAAAAAAGATTCATAACTGAATGGTAAAAAATATCATTAACTTCAACACTAGCCATAAAGAAAATCTTATTGTATTGTATTCAAAACAATATAAACATCAAGAAGAAAATAAAAAAATGTTACTGTAAGGTTTTCATTTTCAGGAACTATTATATTTTTAAACAATAAGATCGTAAAATATTTTTGACAAAGAAGGATACCGTACTTGAGTAATATTTTACTAATGTACTGAACTTAGTAAACAATTATGGAAGCATAACTATAAAGTCTAACATATTATTCTAAGGACTACATTGCGGTCAACTAAATTCACCAAAGGATTATCTGTTATCTCTTCTTTGGTAATGTCAAATTTTAAATTAATTAAATAAAAATTAATGCAATTTGAACTGAAATTAAACCCGGTCGATCATCGGGATTATCATTTAATATCGTACTGTATGTCCATAGATGCAGTATAATATCAAACGTGCATTTCTATTAACATGTAAAAATAAAAAGTTCGTACAATTCTTGTAAAATTAAATGTATAAACGCAATAATAATAAATGCATGCTAGTTTGCATTCAACCATTCTATCTCTTAAGAAATTTCTTGTCTATTTACTAATCAAAAATTGTAAGTCTCAAATTTATTGTATTCAAGTTGAGAAGTTTAAAAAAACAATACAATTCTTCCGTTAATTATTCCCTTCGGTAGGTATTAATCCTGATTTCGTCTTCCCACCTCTTTAAGGGTTTCCATTTTCTCCTGGTTTGTGATAGTAAATGGTCTTTCAATATTTTTATTTCTACTCTAGTCGTTACTTTCATCAAAATTCATGGTATGAAAGAAACAATCAATCAAAAAACTTGATTAAATCCATAAGTAATTGAAAGCAATAAATTAGGTGTAAAAAAATTATTAATTTTTGCGATCAACCTTATAAGAAAAATCCTTTTGTGTTTATTTTTCCAACTGAACTCGCTCGCAAGTAAGAAAATATTTTTTATTGGCATAGTAGATTGATAACCCATTTAACAGAGTTTAAGTCAACTTACTTTAAGTCCTGTAATTTTTTTTTTTTTGTTACTGTATACCCTTTTTTTGTATATATCGTTCAATTTGGTATTTAAACTTTTTAATTTAATTATTGAAAAGTATCACAGAGTAAGGATTAGTCAATTGGCCACGTCCTTTATTATCTTTGTCCTTTGCTTTAAGGTTAAAGAACTCCATCTTAATCAATAATATAACCAAATATTAAGCTAAAAGAATTTGAAAACTATCTAAAACATTTACCCCAGGTCTAACTTACATGTACTCAAAGGAAGAGTAAAACAATAAGGAACAATTTCACAGGACAATACGTTTTGATTGTTGTTGTTGTTGTTGTTGATATGTAATTAACCCCCAAATTTCATTACTATTATTTAATTACATCATTATATTGACATTATTTTTTTTTCCCTTTGACGCAATAACACAAAACACAAAATCTAAAATGGTAGTGTAAATAAGTCAGATACCATTCATAATAAATAATTTCTATCAAATTTCAGGCACGAAGATTTCAAATTTAAATTAGTTGAAGATGAGATAATCAAAATTATAGTCAATTATCATAACCAGATTTTGAATTTAAATTTTAAATTGATTTTTTTATCTTCGAAAAGGAAGTAGTTTTTCAAATAAAAGAATGGAAAGTTAGAACAACTACAACTGATCGCTTAATAAACTTGAATTTATGTTATCTTTTTTTTTGACTTTTATTATTATATAATCTATAAATCTTAAAAAAAAAAATTAGTGATAATATGAAAGTAGTTCCCTCTAAATGAACCAAAATAATAAAACAATGTATAGTAGAAAATAATACTTTTTATCTTTAAACAGACAACTATGATACGAAAATGAAAAAAAATAGTAACAAAATGTAAATAAAATCTTTCAGCCTTACGTTACCCCATGAAAGATTTCAGCACTTGACTTAAATCTCTCTATTGATGAAAATTATCAAATCCATAAGCACCGGTATTATGTTGAAGAACAGGTGGAGGAGGAGCTGATTGAAAATATGGTTGTTGATGATGTTGTTGTTGTTGATGTTGAGGGTGTAAAGAATAATCTACTGGACCTGCAGTAGTTGTACTTCCTAAATGAGGAGCTGTATAATGATTTTGTATAGGTTGAGCTGTAACTGTAGTAGTAGCAGATGCTTCACCATTTGCAGCGGCGGCAGCAGCTTGTTGTTGCTGTTGTTGTTGAGATAATGGAGATAATTTATCATGATCATAAAATTGTAATGATGTTAAAGATGTAGCTGAAGTTGGTTGTTGTTGTTGTTGTTGAATAAAATTATAATTATTTGGTAATGGTAAATTTGTAGTTGATGAAGATGAAGTAGTTGATGAAGCAGATAATGATCCATTAGTACCAGATGTATAATGATAAGGTTGTGGAGGATATATAAAATTCGATGATGAACCATTGCCACTGGCATTATTATTATTTGTATTATTATTATTATAATTACCAATAGTTGTATTATTTGTATATAATTGATTTTTAAAAATATCTTGAGTTTGGAATTGATTTGATAAATGATTATTTGAATTTGCCAATAAAACATTTGAAGCAGCTAAAGCAGCTTCTGAATGATGTCTTTGTAATTGAATTTGTTGTTGAACTTGTTGAGCTTGTGATTGAACTTGAGCTTGTTTTTTAGCAGCTAATTTATTTGCTTTTAATTGTTCTTTTAATAATTGTTTTGAATTTGAAACATTTGAATTAGGGGGAGTTATTTTATCTTTACAAACTAAACAATTTTTATTTTTACCATTTCTTCTTGGAGCATATTTATAATCAGGATATTTTAAAGCATGATTTTTTTTTTCTTCTTCTGCTAAATTATTCCAATGTTGTTTTTCAATTGAAGTTAATGATCTCCATCTTCTACCTAATTCTCTACTAACTTCAGGATTTGTTCTTATTACTGAACCTTCATCTAAAACAGTTTGATGAAATTTTTGTCTAAATAATATAAAAGCATTTCTTGGTCTTGGAATTTTATTTGGATTTGTTTTACAAATACATTGGTGTTGATTATTATTTCCATTTCCATCATTTGATGATTCTGTTGGTGAATTAAAACTCGATTGTTGGGGAATTACGTTTCCATTATTATTATTATTATTATTATTCGAGTTTTCAAAACCTGTATATGAATTTGTTGGTGTTGTTTGAGCAGTTGAAATTTGTGAATAAGGATCTATATAACCAGATTGTTGTTGTATTGGTTGTGTTTGTTGTAAATGTTGAGTATAAAATCCATTACTTATAAGTGGTGAAGTTGAATCATTTTGAATAGAAGTTTGTTGATGTTGAGGTGGTGGCATAATTTGAGATAATGATGGTAAAGTATGTCTATTATTATCCTCTGAAGTATTCATATTTGGATGAGTATAATAAACAGCAGTTGACATAATTTATAAAAGATAGTAGTTAAGATTTAAGTAGGTGGATATCCAAATTCTCTTTGTTTTGATTTCAAGTGATGGACCCTTTAATTTTATCAAAAATTTCGTGAAACGATTTATATGATGTATCTCAAAAACAAACGAAAAGATAGTAGCGACTTTTATTGGTTGTGAATATTAGTTTCTTTAACAATTGGGAAACTATTTGAAGATGGAACTGAACAAATTAAAGGTAACAATTTTTATGAATTTTCAAAACTAATGTACTTAGAATGAAATTTTTAAACAGGGAATTGAACAAAAAAAGAAACAATGATAAAACTTAAACTGAAAGTGAATGGTTTTGGAGATTTTATTCAAATTTATTTTTGAAATAGTCTTCGAATAATCAATCAAAAAATAAAATGTATGAAAAGTAATAGAAAAAAAATCTTCAAAAAGAAAAGTAAATTGAAAAAGAATAGAAGGAAATTTATATATATAAATATTTTTGTGAGTGAGTATCAATATTTATAACTGAGACAAACTGTGTAGAATGAAATGTATAATATTGTATTCTATATTTCCTGTATAATTTCTATTCTATTTCTGTGATCTATATTATTATATTAGCTATGGAGATAGATAGATAGATAATACTTCAAAATTATAAACTTAATTTATCTTACTTTTATTCAACAACTCCAAACTTAAACATTCTATTATTTTTTTAATCCGTATTACATTTTTATTATAATTATTAATTTATTACTATTTTTATGGGATTGACACTTTTTATTATTTAACTTTGTGTAATAATGTGAATATTATAGGTTAGAGGTCGTGTAAATTTGGTTTAATGTAAAACTTCTCAAAACTGTATATTATGAGTTTTAGGTTTTATTTGTATGCAGTATTGGGTTTATTATGGGTAATTTAAATAATTAATTTGCGTTATTTTATTTTTAAATTAAATTAGTATGGTTCAAATTCAAAATAAATTTTTAGAGATGGGTTATTAACCATTCCCTATACTTATAGTATGGAAATGTGGTGATGTCAACAACTCTTTGTTTCAAGTATCTACTATATAATTAGTTTCAGCTATTTTTTCAGGAGATTCTTTTTTACAACATCCCTCACTTTCTTATGCTTTGAACTGAGCACATAGAATATGTTTGTGATTTAATAAAAAATATAAACAGATATGCTTACTTATACCCTTTCTCTCAAAAATGTATTTTGACTTTTTTATCAAATTTTATTAAATGTCAAACATGTTAAAATTATTGGTACCCCCAAACTTACCATTTTAGGTTTTTGTAACCACTACTAATTTAATTTAAAAATTAATTCAGGGGGTTAATCTTTATTGAATCACAAAATCTATAAAAAAAAAAAGTTTAGATTTCATATTAACTCTTACTATTAATTTTTATATTACTTGATTTGATAAAAAGATAATGTAGTCGATATTACTTTTTTAATCAATTAAACATTTTGACAGCTGGCACAGACAAAGCAAAACAAGGTTATGGTTCTATTATATCCTTCTTTTCTTATTTATTTATCATTTATGTTGATACTTAATTTTATGGATCATTTCATCGATGAATGAGATCGATTGAAAAACAAATACAACTAGCAATAATCGATCTAATCTGAGACCAACGCAACATTCTATTGATCTAAATAGTTATAAGAGTCTACATAAACAATTAGATTATATGTAATAATAAAGCAAACCTATTATTATCTTTGTTGTTTATTTCACAATTAAAAAAAGAAACAAAAATAGAAATTTTATGAGCTAAAAGGACAAATAAATTTGGATCATGGTGAACAGATTAGATTGGTCTCTCTCTATCTCACTGTCTAAATTAGCTGAAACCAAGCAAAAGAAAATTATTTTTAATCAAAAACCACACCACCTCAACGTGGATAAAAGATTACACACATCTTCTTCTATACATTTGCGCTGTTCTTTTTTTATTTAAGATCACACAAAAGGTGTCAAAAATAAACTTTACCCGATTGAAATTTATGCAAATTTGATGAGTTTTTTGATTTTTATTATTTCATGTCTGATTAAGCTTAATATCACTCCTGAAATTCTGGTTTTATTTTTTTTAATAAAACTAACTTTTGATTTTTGTACCCTTTTTAATATTGTGTTTTTATTTTTCAAAGGATCGGAATTGTCAACATCCATAATTATTGAGTATAGGCTTATTTTAAGAGCAAGAAATTATGCTACCTCACTATTTCAAATTCTGTGCTTTCAATTTTCATTCAAACATTTGAAAAGATGAATGTAAAGTCATATCCATACTCTTTGTTCATAAATTGTTTGACAATAAGATGTTATCAAAGCTATCCGAATTTCTCATCTTATTGATATTTTTTGACAATAAACCCGGAACGAAAATCTAAAAATTGAAAATAAAAACAAACAAATAGACTGAGACTAAAGACAAAAAAAAATCAAAACTCATTAAGATTGGTAATTAGAAATAAAATAAAAAAAAACGCAAAATATAATTTGTCTAAAAAACCTTAAATTTGAAATTAAAAATATCTCAATTTAAATTTAAATTTTTATTTTTATTTTATTTGATAAGCAATTTATCAAATCTTTCTCATACAAAGCTTGCTTGAGTTTCATGAATATGTTAATCTCTACTGACTATGTTAATATCTACTTAGTATCGATCAACTCTCTACTTCAATACGACCATTTCTTGATTACAGCACAATGTAAAGAGTTATAGAATAAAATACCCCTAAATTGATTACTAAATATAATTTACGCAATTAAAATTATCTCATTCAAAGCCATATATTGATATGAAATAATAATTAGATTTAGATAGAAAACGTTTTATTGTGAAAAAAACATTCACACAATTTATTTATTGGTTAGTCTTAAATATTTGCGTTAAATTTCTTAAATTTCATTTTCCTTGTCAATTGTTTGATTTATAAGATTAATAATAATTGATACATTGATAGCTACTATTTATAATTCGTTAAGATAAGAAAGAAAAGAATTTATGTATGTATTAGCAAATGTTTTTTGTATTGTTATCATAACTATTATAATTTAAAATTTGACACATTTTTGCTTTATATGTAAAAATTTAAATTATTATATTGATAATAATTAAACCTTATATTATTAAATAACAGAAATAAAAATAAATTAAATCAATATTTGAAAAACGTGTGCTTGTTTTATAATTTAACATGAATTTTAACTAGTGGAAAAATTTTATATAATCTTTGGATAATTCAAGAACAAAGCTTAGATTAGCGAAGATAAATAACAAGACATTTGATTAACATGAAATAAAAAAAAAGAACAAGAGATTGATTATCAATTTTCAACATCAAATTAGTACAGTTTAAATCTATATAGTTCAAATAAACAAAAAGATAGAGATTCGATCACATTGTTTAATTTATCCCCCATTTTTTTAAAAATCAAATCACTTTGTTTTGTAAGTTTGTCATTATGTTATGATCCCTAAAGCTTTATTTATAATTCATCGTTTTTTCAATTATAAAGTTAAAGGCGTAAAACAATAGAATGCTTCACAACTTTATTCGAAATAACCCTTTTTCAACCTTCTTTTTCTTTATACACTGGTTCAATAAGTTGTGAATTTAAAATATTCGAGCCATTGCCATACTTTTGAAAAAAAGGGTTAAACGTATGTAATTAAAATTTTTTCGACCCTTGATAATACCCCAACTCACCCAAAAAAAAGTATCAGGTATCGCAAAATTTATTTATTTCTCTCAAACGCATAATATTTTAGTGAATCCCTTTTCTCATAATAATCGCTGCAACTTCTTTTCTTTTTCTTTTTCTTTTTCTTTTCTCTATTGTTAATGCCTTGCTCTATACGTATGTTTCAATAATATCTATTTATTAAAATGTAAATAATATGACAAAACATTCTATGGAATTCATTTCTTAATTACAAACAAACCAAAAGATCTGTTGATCTAGTGGGTCTCTAAACTATTGGAAACAGTTGAATGGGAAGACCAACTTTTATTTCTCTACATTCTTCAGTCTGCCCATTTTGAAAATTGGTGTTCCAGGAGAGTCAAAAATGAAAGTAAATTAAAACACAATTTTTCAAAATAAAATGAAAAACCCCCTACTTTGTCTTACGCTTTTGATTTTTACTAAAAAGTGGAAATCATTTCCAAATTAGGGGATGAGTTCCTTTCCTATTCAAGTAGTTTGTGCCACTTTAATAGATTTGTAAAATTTCCCTATCCCTATGACTAAGTATGATTGATTGATGATTAGAAAGATACTCAAAAGCTATGTTAAATAAAATAATATGTCAAATTAATTAGCGCTTAATAAAATTGTCCAAATATTTGTATGCAACACTTATTAAAATTTAAACTCAAAAATAAATAAAAAAACATTATTTTCAATTTTAAAAACGGATCAATTGAAATATGGATAAATGTTGTATGTATGTATCCCATCAAGAAAAGAAATATTTTAATAATTGTTTACTTTATTCAAAGGAAAATCCACTTATGTCACCTTTCAACCTTAACTATAAAATCTTTTTGTTTTATTTTCGGTTGAATTATTATCAAAAATAAAAGATTTACGATATTATGAAATATAAAATCTAATTTTAAATTTCGACAAAGGTTCAAAAACAATGAAGTTTTAGTAAAGTTCATTTAAATGAAATTGAACCACAGTTTTTTTCTTAGAAAGAAGGTCTCTCTTATTATATCCAAATGTTAAATTGTGTGATAAAAGAAAACTAAAAGTTGGGGATGCTTTGTTAATAACATTTATAGATTTTTTTAATCAAAATAACGTAAATTAAACAATCTAATTGAACTAATTGATAACAAAATTAGTTATATCTTATCAAAAATACAATAATATTATGTATAACTCCATATTGTTTTTCAATCAGATTTTATGTATTAATTTCTATTATTATTATCAAACACTGCAAGTTATGCATTAATACCGTTTGTTACTTTTAAATTGGTTTTTTGATTGAGGTTGTGTGTATGTTCAGATATACAATTTAATAAATTATACTTAAAACAACAATAGAAAAGTGAAATATAATAATTTGACAGATTACACTAAATAAACCAATCTTTATTGTATAAATCTGATTATCTTCTCAAGTCAACAATAAGTAGAAAAAGGGTGTTAAATTGACCAATTTTATTCTATTATGTCACTAATTTTAAACCAACGTTATCTTAAAATTATTGAATTAAAAATCAATTTGCTCATAATTTCTACAATATAAAATCAGATAATCAAAGCATTGCTGCAATCTACAAACTATTGTATTAAATATGGAAAATAATGAATATTAGTTTAAATGATCTCCTATTGATCATTTTTTAGAAACCAGTTTTAAAATGTCCTAAGGTTTTAAAAATCAAATAATGTCTCAAGTTAATGAGGTTGAAATCAAATTCATACAGAACTGATCATATTTTATTATCTGACACTCTTTATGTTAATTTATTTTTTTATTTCCGTCCTTTTTGAAAATAAGCCGTATTATGAAGTACAAAATTGAATGATTAATTTGCGCATTTTTTAATTTTGAGTGAAAGCTAAATTTTAGCTTTTAAAAATAAGAACTAACCATCATAATTATTTCTATTCAAATATTGATATGATTTTAGTTTGATAATAGAATTGTGATTATCGTATCTGCAAGGACGAATAACTTTAAAAAATATGAATTTTGAAATCCAGTCTAAAATTGGGGGATTAATATTGTCTTCCATATTTGAAACAGAAGGTTGTGAAATGAATAAATTAATTGTGAATGAAATAGGGATTTAAAGCAAAAAAGGATAGTAACATGTTATATTCTGTATGAAATTGCAATAATCCTTTCAAGCATAGCTAATGATGAAAAACCATCAATTTGATATTTTAAAGAATTTAATTTCATGAACTAAAATATGAATTGAAAAATGCTTTTTGAAAGAACTATAATTTTGTAATTATCTGATCAATCTTAATATTTTGTGGTTGGCGACTTCATGCATTTCAAGCTTCAAACAAATTGAACGACATCAAGTCTGAAAAATCGATCATTTGAAATTCCCACTAGTTTCTTTTGCATCAAAGTTTTTAAATTTTTAATGCTTGTGAACTGCTATGTTACAAACTGAGTCTATCTTTCAACATGGCAAAAACACCTAGCACCGTATTCTTCATATACGTTTACAGGTTTAAATCGTCATGAATTTGTTGTTAACTTCTTTTAGATCTTGACTTTCAACCAAGCTTATACAAGTCTATGAATTGACTAAATTTTGCAACCAAATTTTTGAAAAATTGGTTTATGCTAATTATTTATGAAGTTATTGCGATGACTCTCAACATAACATTTTTACTTCAGCTTCAAGAAACGGTATCACTATAAACGACAAACCAAGTACACTTTGGAGTGTTTCATCACGTTTCTAGCTTTACAAGAGTAAAGATGTCGCAATTAGTGTCACAAAATAAAAATCACGACTGTCTCTTTGGATCTCAAAAAGATCGTAAATTTAAGACCAATTCAGGTTTTTACAACCAATTATTTGTTAACAGAAATCAACATCAACACTCCTGATCCAAATGAAACTGATATGAATATAACCTACGAATCTGGTCCAATTGATGACAGCTCTACCTTGGATGATATAAACTCATTAAATTATGATCTAAACTCAGTGGATAATAATTTTCCATTTCCAAAATCAATAGTAACAACAGATTTTAAAAATTTTAATACTGAAGAAATTGATTCATTTTTATATAAAAATCATAGATTTACTTCAATAGATCAATTAATCAAAGATTTAAAATTATTATCAACAAATTTAAATCAAAATTTATTAGATTTAATTAATTCTGATTATAAAGATTTTATAAAATTAGGAAAATCAATTAATGGTGGTAATGATTTAATTAATAATTTATTTGAAGATTTAAAAAATTTTAAAATGGAATTATTAGAATATATGAAAAAATTTGAAAGAATTGATGAAGAAATTGAAAAAATTTTAATTACAAGGTATAATTTAATTGAATTAAAAACTAATATTAAATTAAATTTACTACTAAATGATCAAATTTTGGAATTTGATCAATTTATAAACCTATTGAATAAAAACAATAAGATCCATAACAATAATGATAAAGAAATTCATATTAATAAAGGTAATTTGAAAAAATTAACAACAATTTATTTAACAATTTTAAATATAAGTGATTATTTAGAATCAATGAAATTGAAAAATTCAAAATTTGAATCAGATAATCAATCAAATTTATCTTCTTCTTCATCAAATTCAAAATTAATAATAAGTAATTTTGAAAATAATTATATATATGGGAAAAAATCATCAATTATAATTGAATATAAAAGTTATGCTAAATCATTATTTAATGAAATTAAAAAATATAAAGATGATCCTGATTTAGTTATGGAAATTTTAAATATTCAAAATATAATACGGAATCATTGATTGGGAAATTTTTAGGGTTTGAATTGAGTATACGTCATTTCGTTGCTGGTTGAACTAAAGATGATTAATTGGAAATAAATATCACTAGATTGCAAGAGGATTGAATTCTTTGACAGTTGCACCAGATTATTTCATTAACACTCATGATTTCTCCTTCATCTATTCCTTACAACTTTGTTGAGCCACGAGAACGAACATCGACATCTGATTCATTGAAAAGTACCTTGAATTCTTCTAAACACGCCTATGGGAATATAGTTCCTAATGACTAATTTATAGTCTTGTAGAACTGTCCAAATCAGGAAGATTGTATCAGTAAAACTTGACCCTTTGATCAATCCATCTTCAGGACGTTGATATTGAATTCGGATGTAAGACCTAACAGTTTCAGATTAAAAATAGTGTTAGAGGTTTCATCAAAATTCAATATCAATATTGATTAGTCAAAGGAAATACCAGTATCGCTGATAGTTCTGCGTGTGTCATAAAGAATACTGGATAACACAATACTGCATGGTAAAAAAACACTCCCTTTTCAAGTTAAGGTTATCAGACTCGTACTTCGAAGATGAATATTTCCATCAACACTGCTGACTATTCTTCTATGTCCACACGCCACCTTTTGGGCATAGGCTTAGGATTTGATTGATTTGTGGTTTAGAATCAGTTCTTACTTCATCTTACTTCATCTGACTCATATAAAGAATTAATGAGCTAGTTTCTTAAAGCGTCTAGATTACCATCTTTCAACTTATTCTCATGATATTAACTGTATCTTGTTTTCGAAGTACAAAATTGAACCAACCAAATTTTTCGAATTTGAAATAAAAAAAATAAAATTTAATATAGAGTAATCGATATCAAGAAGAAAATATCCAACCCAAAAGAAACAACGGAGTAATTCAAACGTAAGGACAATTGATAAGTTCAAAAGCTTTATTCATATACTCATTAATTAGTACATTTGCATAATCATATATATAAAATGTTTAATTCTGACTGGAAAAATACAGAGGAAACTCCATTACCAAATAATATACCCGAAGTAGATGAAGTTGGAGCAACTTCTGCTCCATTATTATCTGCCTCATATTACATTGGAGATAGATGTAAACCATATAATGATGATTTCATGTTGTGTAAAGATGAAAATAATGGAGGAGCAATAGATTGTTTAAAAGAAGGAAGAAGAGTAACAAGATGTGCTATATCGGTATTAAAAGATTTAAATAAATATTGTTTCGATGAATTTAAATTACATTATGATTGTTTAGAACAAAATAATCAATATTTTAGTCGTTGTCGTTCGAGTGAAAAATTACTAGGTAAATGTGTATTTGATAATTTAAAATTAGTGAAAAAAATTCCTGGAGTTAAAGAACAAATTCAAGATAAACCAAATCCAATATATAAAACTAGTTCCAAAGATGTTAAATTAACTAATCAATTTATACAACTGGAGGAAAATAAACAAAAATCTAGCTAGAATTGGATCATGTAAATTATTAATATAAAATCAAAAGTTATAAAAAATCTAGTACTACATGTAGACCTTACTTCTTAAATTACTTGGTTTCTCTACCACTTGGTCCTCGAAAGATACCACAAGTTTTGGCAGGATTTTGATTTTGATGTTTTTATTTTAACAGTCTCATCAATTCGATTTTGCGAGTTTTTAAAATTTCACGAAAAATATAAACAAAACTCAATTAAGATCTAAACAGATAGTATACAAGATTTAATGTTTGGAGCAAGTAACAATACCAGTTCAGGATTGTTTGGCTCATCAAACAACAACACCAATTCCAGCACAGGTGGTGGATTATTTGGAAATAAATCAGCAACAACATCAGGTTTTGGTTTTGGTCAATCTCAACAACCACAACAACCACAACAATCAAATGTATCTGGTCAATCCAATACAACAACGGGCAATACAGGTGGTAGTTTGTTTGGACAGTCACAGAATAACAACACCGCGACTGGAACCGGTGGTGGTTTATTTGGTTCTAATCAACAAAAATCAGGTTCAACTGGTGGATTATTTGGATCAAGTCTGACAAATACGGGAACTGGATTCGGAGCAAGTACGGGTAGTGGGTCATTATTTGGGAAACCGAATGAAACATCTACAGGTGGTGGATTATTTGGTGGCAATAACACTCAACAAACTAGCACAACTGGTGGGGGATTATTTGGAAAGAATCCACAACAAACAAGTTCAAACACCAGTGGTGGGTTGTTTGGTACTAATACACAAGCCAATAGTGGCACAGGAGGTTTATTTGGTCAATCTAATACAAAACCAGCAGAAACAACTGGGGGTTTATTTGGAAATAAACCAGCATCAACAACTACTGGCGGAGGTTTATTCGGAAATTCGAATACAAATACTCAATCGGGAGGTGGACTTTTTGGAAATAAGCCTTCAACAACTACATCCGGAGGGTTATTTGGAACGCAACAGCAACAACAACAACCACAACAGCAAACCTCATTATTCTCATCAAACACGACCAATAACCAACAACCATCATTCAGTTGGAGTCAACCTCAGCAGAATCAACCAGTAGTGAATAATACATCAAGTTTATTTGGATTCAATCAAAACACAAATCAACCACAAAACAATCAACATACATATGCACCTGCTATAAATGATCAATTGACTAAAGTATGGGAACAATGGGATCCAAACTCACCAAAATGTGCATTGAAAACTCATTTTTATAACAGATTCAATGATCAAGAAATCAAATACTTATTACAGCAACCTCGACCTTCAAATGAAACGGTAGAAGATTGGGACAAAGCTATGAAGGATCGACCAAATCAAAATTCATTCCCTATCAAAATTTCATCATATGACGAAGTCGCACAAAGAATTGAGACTCAAATAGATTATATATCAAAGGAAAAATTGGTTTTGAATCAAATCAATGAGAGATTAAATAATTTATCAGCGAAGCATGATTTGGAAAATACGACCAGAATATTGAAGGCTAAGGCTAGACATACCCAATTATCAAGAAGATTATTGAGATTAGCTACAGTTTTAGCAACATTGAAATTAAAGGGATATCCATTGTTACCAGAAGAAGAAGAAATAGCTAGACAATTTGACAATTTAACTAATAAAATCAATGATCCTAATAGTCCAATTGGAAAATTAAGTGATATCTTTGCAAAATTGAACATACTAAAAGAAAGAGCAGAAGATATTAATTCACAATTTGATCAATCAATTCACGTTATAAATAATACACTTGATAATGGCTCAACAGATCAAAACAAAGCTTCCACGAGTTCTGGAAATAGTAATGACATTATTGAAAAATTCACAAAAATTTTAATGAAACAACAAATTGGGTTGAATTATTTGAACGATTTATTGGAAAAAGACTTCGATAAAGTAGAAAAAAGTTTACGATCTAAAAAGTAATTGTATAGTTTATGCAAATTTAATAAAAAAAGTACTCGATTCTTTTCATTATTTAGTTTTATTTAAAAGCAGTTGAATTAGATCTAGCTGGAGTTGGATTTAAATAGCTGAACTAGATGCAGTTGGAGTTGAATTTAATTTCATTTGAAACAAATCCATTTGATTTATAACCCGACTGCATCTAATTCACCTATTCTAGATCCAACTGCATCAGATGGATCAAATCCAGACATAGTTTTATATCCTTGTAAATATCCTTGTCGGTATTCTAGATGCGAAAAGTACTCGACTCTTTTCATTATTTATTTTTATCTAATGGCTCTTGTAGATTTTGCAATATTCTTCTAGCATCATCTATGATTTCGATATTATCAATTTTGTGAAAATATTGATAATTGTGCCGTATTGACGCTCTTAGTTTAAATTTGTTTATGGTCGGATCACTTTCAATAATAGTTATAAAAGGATGCTCAATTGATGAATTAGATAATTTGAATTTATTATAAAAAATTGACCCTTTGCTCGATAAATCATATACAAACTTGAGATGATTCGTATTTGTGAAGAAACCAGGATTATCATTCTTTAGGTAGAGGTATCTCGGAATCGCTATCAAGTTGTATAAATTATTGATAAACTTTGATTTGATTGTTTTAGATACCAAGTCAGATTTCTTGTCTAATGTTGGCATTTCCTCCTCACTTAATATTGGTCCAAACCTAGATCTTTTCAAAATTGGATTGAATATAATTTTGAGCCAAAACCCATCATTTTCAATTATTGATACATCATTCAATGTCGTGTTAACTAAATATTCAATAGTTCCTAACTTTTCAAAATTTTCAATTATAAAATTCAACTCTGATGAACTTTTTGGTGGTGGTGTGATTTTACATCTAAATTCAATGGTAGATTTGAAATATTTGATTAGTTTTGAAATCCCTTTCTCTTTCATACAAGTTGTTGTGTTGGTTGAATGTAAAAATTTCAGTCACATAAATCTAACTAATTATAAACTATTTTAAATGTAATTTTTGTACATCATTTTGAAACACCAAGTAATGAACAAAGATGAAAATGAACATATAACAACAACTATTATAGATAAATTAGCCAAGTATTTAAACAAACCCCCCAATGAATCATTAGCCAAAACGATCATAAGTCAGGCAACTGCAAAAAGTTCAGAAGACTTTTCGAAATTTACACAGATTATAGGATTAAAAAATGAAGATCATATATCAGATGTATACAATTCTGTGAAGGCTGCTAATAACAATAAACCAACTCAAGTTTCGTACAAGTTACGAACAAATGATAATCTTAAGCCAAAGCAAAAACGCCCAGGTGTGACATTATCTTATGAAGAAACAGAGAACGATGAAGAAGAAGAAGAAGATGTAAATGAAGACGAAACAGTAATGCCAAATGTGAAAATACGACCCAGAGATGAATCAGCCAAGTCGAAACAAATGTCGTTCAAAAAGATGAGGAAAGAAGATGCAGCACAAATGAAGCAAGTCAGTCCAGAAATACAATCCCATCATTCTACGAAGACTCAACCACATATAGAGAGAAGAAACCAAATTGAATTTAAAAAAGGAGGTCACAAACCAATGAAGACTAATGTGCCAAGCGATGTTGGAAGGAATACTAAAAATGTGAATTCAGAAAGTCAACAGGAGTCTAATGTAGGGACTGGTGGATATTTCAACGAAAAAGGAGATTATGTAGACAACGACCATGCAAAATCGAATGATTTTAGTAGGATTCCCATAGTGAGCCATGTTTTCATTCCTCCATTTTTGACGAAACTGAAAGACTATTTGACATTACAAATAACTGGAACCTCCGTTAAAGGCGTTGGTCCAACTATTAATCCAATCAAGAATATTAATTCAGAGTTGGCATCCATGGCGAAGCAAGGTTCATTAGTGGTCCAAAGTAAGAAATCGACTAAAGAGAAAGCCAAACAAGCAAAATCAAAAGTAGGGGTCGATACGAAAGAGGTTGTAAGTGAGGAAGTAAAGGACAAAGAACCAGATGAAAAATATGACTACGATAGTATTCAAAAGCAACGACAAAGTCTACCAGCTTATGCTGTCCGAAATGAAGTAGTATCTGCAATAAAAGAAAATCAAGTTACAATTGTAATTGGTGAAACTGGTTCAGGTAAAACTACTCAATTAGCTCAATTTTTATACGAACAAGGTTTGACAAATGAAGGAAAAATTATTGGATGTACGCAACCAAGAAGAGTGGCAGCAATGTCAGTGGCAAAAAGAGTCAGCGAGGAAATGGATGTAAAACTAGGAGAAGAAGTTGGTTACTCAGTCAGATTTGATGATAAAACTGTTAAATCTAAAACGGTAATTAAATACATGACGGAAGGTATTTTACTTCGAGAGTTTTTAGCAGATCCTTCATTAAATGATTATAGCTGTATTATAATGGATGAAGCGCATGAAAGAGCTTTGAACACTGATATTTTGTTAGGGTTGTTCAAAAGTTTATTAGCAAGAAGGAAGGATTTAAAATTAATAGTGACATCTGCTACAATGAATGCTGACAGATTCACAAGATTTTTTGGAGCAGCTCCACAATTCACTATACCGGGAAGAACATTTCCTGTAGACGTCTATTTTAATAAAAACGTAAGTATGGATTATGTTGAGACCGCAGTTAAACAAGTCATTTCTATACATTTACAAAGATCAGCAGAGAATACGACCAAATTCATTAATGATGGGGATATCTTAGTATTTATGACAGGTCAAGAGGATATTGAAATAACTTGTGACATGATAAGAGAAAAACTCGAAATGTTGGAAAATCCACCACCTTTAGACATTATTCCAATTTATTCGTCAATGCCACAGGAATTACAAAAAAAGATTTTTAATAGATCCAATCCTAATAAGAGGAAGGTAGTTGTTGCAACCAATATTGCCGAAACTTCACTTACAGTCGATGGAATAAAGTATGTCATAGATTGTGGTTTGGTGAAAGTTAAAGTGTACAATCCAAAATTGGGTATGGATACATTACAAGTTGTACCTATTTCAGTTGCAAATGCAGATCAACGAAGTGGTAGAGCAGGTAGAACGAATGCTGGTGTAGCTTACAGGCTATATACCGAAAGAGCCGTTGACCCTCAGAATATGTATGAACAACCAATTCCAGAGATTCAAAGAACAAATTTGAGTAACACGATGCTTTTATTAAAATCTTTGAAGATTAATGACATTAACAACTTCCCCTTTCTTGATCCGCCACCAAAAGATCTATTAAATTGTTCATTGTATGACTTATGGGCAATTGGGGCAATTGATAATTTAGGCGAACTAACCAAATTAGGCTTGGATATGATTCAATTTCCAATTGAACCGACGTTAGCAAAACTTATTTTGTTGTCGTGCAAGGATGAGTTTCATTGCTCTGAAGAGATATTGACCATAGTTGGAATGTTGAGTGTACCTAATATTTTTCAACGATCAAAAGAAAGAGGTAGTGAAGCTGATAAAGCAAGAGAAAAATTCATTATTAATGATTCTGATCATTTGACGCTACTCAATATCTACAATCAATGGGAAACTCATTCCAATAAGGTAGGAAATAGTTATTCAAAATTAAATTTATGGTGTGAGAGCAATTTTTTGCAAATGAGATCTTTAGTAAGAGCTAAAGAAGTAAAAAGACAATTGACAACCATAATGGCGAAACGAAAATTACCTATATTGAGATCTTACAATGACGAAGACATAAAAAAATGTTTATGTGCTTCTTTTTATCAACAACTGGCACTACTAGTTAAAAATCATATCAATGGTACTCCAGAATTCCAAAATTTGCGTCATTCCTATATGAAGATGTATTTACACCCAACAAGTGGTTTGAATAATAGCAATTTGAGTTCAAACTTTGTTATTTATCATGAGTTGGTATTGACTTCGAAGGAGTATATGAATTATGTAACTTGTGTTGACCCCATGTGGCTCTTACAATATGGATTCAAATTTTTTGGTGTTCCATTGGAGTCAATGGATAAATTGATTGGTTTGAAGAATTTTACCACGAAAGAAGATTTTGAAAAAGAGTTAGAACAAGATCGCTTGAGGTTTGAAGACATTGAAGCTAAAAGTTTAAAAGACAAAGGAAAAGATTTACCATCATCTAGTGGTAAGAAGAGTTTGTTGTTCAAAAGAAGAACTGCATTTTGAAATGAGAGGAATTCAATTCGTTAATCGTCATTCTATTAACACCTTCATCCTATACGTGCATGCTCTTTACTTCAAGAGCATGACTAACTATCAATCTTTCTTTTTTAATGTCATTATATATATATGTATGCAGTCGTAATTCTAGTGTAATTTTACTTTTAAATTTTATGTTTAATTTAAAATGATATTGTCAATTAATCTCGTAAGTTCGTTACTATTTTCTTTAGGAGCTTTCACAGCACAGGAAACGACAGCACCCAAGCCTGGTTTAACTTCACCCAAATCTTCCAAAGTCTCGGGATGGCTGACTGCTATGTATTCTATTTCAAAATCTGGATCTTGCTGTATTAAGTCGGCAATTTCTGAGATTATTAATTTAGATTCAACTGATTTTTTATGATGTAGCTTAGTTTCTTTATTGAATAATTCTTCACCTTTTCTTAATGCTCGATATATTATAGAACTTTTGTCTTTCATTTCTTTTGATAGATATTCATTTCTTGAAGACATCGCCAATCCATTGGATTCTCTTAAGGTAGGCATAACTCTCACTTCAGTTGGTATCATTAAATCTTTGACTAAATTTCTGATAACCACACATTGTTGAGCATCTTTTTGACCAAAATAAACTCTAGTTGGTTGTACTATATTTAGTAATTTTGTGACTACTGTAGCAACTCCTCTAAAAAATTGAGGTCGGGTTACACCTTCTAATTGTTCACTTGATCCATGTACAGTTACAAATGTGCCTCTTTGTTTCTCTACTTCTAAAACTATTCCGTTTGGATACATTTCTGACATTTTCGGTACAAACACAGCATCAACTGGTTTATTTCTAAATTCTGTGGACAAGATTTCTAAATCTCGATCCAAAGTTCTTGGATAATTATTCAAATCTTCGTGAGGTGCAAATTGTGATGGGTTTACAAATATTGAAACAATTGTTTTATCATTCTCTTTAATTGATTCTGCCACCAATGAACAATGACCTTGATGTAACGCTCCCATTGTTGGAACAAATCCTACTGACTGATTATTGATTAAAGTTTGATGTCGCCATTGTCTTACTTGTTGTACAGTTCTTAGTATTTGGATTTTACTTGATACGGTCATATCTTAAACTGTAATAGGCAAAATGAACCTGCTGACTGCGAAAACCCTATGTTGAAGTTTGTTGTCCAAGTAAATTTGAGTTGATGTGAAATAATTTGGTGACTGAGTTTTTATGAATATTAGATGATCTAATATTTCAGTAAGTAAATGTATAGAGTATTAAATTGAAAAATTTCGAGAAAAAAGAAAAATTATATTTTCTGGAGAAGAAAGAAATGAAAAAGAAACTAAATTTGGAAATTTTCTCAGCAGTCGACGAATAGTTTGAGTCAATCATCTGGGTTTGTAGTTAATTTGATCTTATATAGTTTCTTTAGTGCCAATACTAGGAGAGCCGGATTTAATGTTTTGGGGATAATTTGTAGTTTTAACGGTATGATTGCAAAATACTATAAATTTTATAAATTCATTATTTTTGAGTTTGAGTTTACGTCACAAAATTGAAATGTTTTAAATTTGGACTGTCAATTCTTGCAAAATCAGACATTAAAACTGCCGAGGGATCAAAAATTGTTTGAGTTCAATTTTTCTACAAATATCACGTTTTACCAGCTCTTGACAAAAAATATATTTAGTAAGACAGTCATTTTCGTTGATCGGAGATTAGCATCAACCGGAGATAGTAATAGAACTGTATATACGGTTTTGAATAAACTTGTTAGTGGAACAAAATCAATTCTTTTACCCGCCCCTCGACCCCATAAATTGATCGATATTGAGTCCTTTTTTCTTCTTCAAGTATCTGGGGAATCACAATTTAGAAATTTAAAAATTCAACACACTTATTTCAAATTGTCTAGATAATCACTAAAGCAGGAAAATGTCTTTCACATTAACCAAAAAAGAGGTTAGAGCTCACCCATACAGAGTTAAAGGTAGTACTTTACTAGAAAACGACACAAATGACTTGAAAATTGTTTACCACAAATATAAAACCAATAGTCCTCCACCCAAACCTGTGAATCAACTAAGATTTAACTTGATCTTTTGCCATGGAACTGGTTTTAACAAGTCAATTTGGAAATATCACATTAAAAAATTATATCAATTATCACAATCAATGCAAGTTCCATGGTTTTTAGATTCTGTCATTGCGATTGATGCATTAGGCCATGGTGATTCAGCTTTGGCTAATGCTGGAAAATTGGGTCCGGTGTTTGCATGGGATGATGGAGCAAAAGATGTTTTGGAAGTTATCAAACATGAAATCGAAACAACTGGTGATTTCCAAAATAATGCTGAGTCCAGGAACGTTATAGTAGGACATTCAATGGGTGGATTTATTGCATTATATGCAGCCTTCTTAGAAGCTTCGTTATTTGATTCTGTTATTCCAATTGAAGCTGTGTTTTACGGACAAATAGATGGCTTAGACAAATTCAAAAAAATTTTTAATAAAATCAAACAAATGATGATTGATACTTTTGATTCACATGAAGATGCATTGTTTTATTTTACTAAATTTTCATTCACAAAAAAATTTCAAAAAGAAGTCATGAAAGATTATCTTGAAGACGAATTAATTGAGGTAAAAGATCCAGAAACTGGTGATGTTCAAATTAAGTGTAAATGTAATAAGCAGTATCAAGTAGCAGGCTACTTTGGAGCTTTTATATCTATCTCAAAAGGAATGTTGGCATTACCAAGTATAAAAGTTCCTATTTTACATGTTATAGGTGCTAAAGGAGCTTGGAATCCACCAGAAAGTACCTCATGGATAAGAGAAACTATATATCCAAAATACTTTGCTGGTGGAGTTGACATTCCAAACGGTGAACATTTAGTCAACGCCGAACAACCAGACGATATAGTTGATACCATCGCAACCTTTTTGACTCAAAGGAACGATCAATACAAGAAAGAAAAATCAGAGGAGCCAGAATCCGTTTTCAAAGGCGATAAGGAAGCTATTGCCAATCAAGAGTTTTCCAAGTTGGTTGATGATTTAGATTTGGATAACATTTATGGTTTTGAGTTGGAACGTCGTGACTTATTTAATAGAGGTCTTAAAGCTAAAATCTAATAATGTTTTGATCAAATAGAAGAAATAGATTTTTGACATAGACTTATTTTCTATTTCCATCGTTTAACGTAATTTTCATAAATTTCTTTATCTAATCTGAATTTCACAATAGACTGTTTTGTGTAAGAAAAAGATTTACGAGACAAAGTAAAATAAAATTTAAATCTCATCGTCTGCATTAAACTCATTAAGCATCAACTGGTTTAAAGACTCAAACAATACAATTGCTGTACTACCACTAAAAATGTCATCCAACTCATTATTGAATAATTATGTGAAAAACCTAATAAGGAGCGATAAAAAATTAATGAACTTACCAAAGAAGGAAATGTCACGCTTGTTACAAAAAATAGACATTCAATTGGATTCCAAGATCAACAAAGCTATTAACAGTGTGTTGGACCAAAAGGTTGCCAAAACAGACAAAGATTCAGTGTCTTCCGGGTCGAGCTCTAGCTCAAGTTCAAGTTCAAGTTCATCTGGCTCATCGAGCTCTGACTCTGATGGTGATGATGAAAATAGCTCAGGCGATGACAGTGATTCGAGTGAATCAGAAGATGAAAGAGACAAAAAGAATTCAAGTGACAGTGAAAGCGTTGAGGATAAAATTGAAAACGCCGGAAAAAATCTTAGTATTAAAAAGGAGACTGTTTCGTCAAGTACTTCATCTTCATCTAATTCTTCAAGCGAAGATGAATCTTCATCATCATCATCTTCATCATCATCATCTTCTTCATCATCATCTTCCTCCTCCTCCTCCTCATCATCATCATCGTCATCATCATCATCATCATCATCATCATCATCCTCGTCGTCATCTTCATCATCCTCGGATAGTAGCAGCCTGTCGTCTGACTCAGATGACAAATCTTCATCTGAAAGCTCGTCCAGCTCTTCAAGTTCAAGCTCATCATCTTCATCATCAGACAGCAGCTCAGCTTCAGATTCAGACTCAAATTCAGACTCAGACTCAGACTCAGACTCAGACTCAATTTCACATTCTAAAACCAGTCGCAAAAGAGGTCTTGAAGATGGTGCACTGGCAAAAGATGTAGTCAAAAAGTCAAAAATTGCTACCCCAACTTCTGACTCGTCATCAACAGACTCAATCACCCTTACAACTACTTCCGAACCGGACTCTACAGCAGCAACAGTAGAACCAGAATTAAAACCTGGTCAAAGAAAGCATTTTTCAAGAATAGATCGTAGTAAAATAGCATTCGAAGATCAAGCATTAAAGGACAATACCTATAAAGGTGTTGCTGGTACTTGGGGTGAAAAAGCAAGCGAAAAATTATTACAGGTTAGAGGTAAAGATTTTACTAAAAATAAGAATAAGATGAAAAAGGGAAGTTATAGAGGAGGTAGTATTACCTTTGCAAGTGGTTCATATAAATTCACTGATTGAAAGCTTTGAAAATGGTTGCAAAAGATTTTGCTGTAATTACACGACTTTTATTTTTGTGTGACTTTTCAGAATTACTTATAGAATATTAGACTTGTATAAAAGAATTATTAATCATAAATCATTTTGAATCAATCATCTCTTCAATAATTAAATCCTCCTTCACCTCACCATAGCAATCCGTCACTTGCAAATATTATGTCTAGAAGGTCCAATGCAGTAAATTATGCAGAATTAGATGACGACAACTTTTCCGATGAAGGATATAATGAACCTATAGACTTGGAAGATAATGATTATGGAACAACTTCAAGCAAAAGAAGGAAACATAGATCAGCTACTCCAAGTGAGGATAATCAAGCTAAGCGCAAAAAAGCGAAAGTTACCGTAGAAGCTTTGAAACATGATTTGCAACAAACATCAAACGCCGAAGATGAACTAATAGACATAACCTCAGATATTCCAAAAGATTATATACCCGATGCAGTATCAAAATCATTTGGAAGGCAAGATTTTTCTTATTTAAAATTAAGACCAGATCATTTTTCAAGACCTATATGGATTGCACCTAATCAGAATGATATAAGAATAATATTGGAATCATTTTCGCCATTAGCAGAACAGGCACAAGATTTTTTAATCACTATAGCAGAACCTATATCAAGACCTTCTCATGTTCATGAATATAAAATTACGGTTTATTCATTATACGCGGCAGTGTCTGTTGGGCTCGAAACCGATGATATAATATCCGTTTTGAATCGGTTGTCGAAAGTACCGGTGGCAGATTCCATTGTACAATTTATTAAAGCAGCGACAGTATCATATGGTAAAGTGAAACTAGTTTTGAAAAATAATAGATATTTTGTTGAAAGTACTCAAGCCGATGTACTTCAGATGTTACTTAAAGACGAAGTAATAGGGCCTTTAAGAATCCAATCAACTGAAAATACTGTCACTAGTAATGGGTTAGTACAATCAGCACCTCCTCAAAATGATATAAATATTCCAGGAACTAAGAAAAGTGAAACGGAGAATGGAAATGACGAAATTGAAGATATATTTGCATCAGTCGTTGGAAATAGAGACGATGACGATGATTTGGATACAGTTCATTCGTTTGAAATATCTCATGACTCAGTTGAAATTGTTAAGAGAAGGTGTCAAGAAATAGATTATCCCGTATTGGAAGAGTATGATTTCCGTAATGATGCAAGAAACCCTGATCTCGAAATTGATTTAAAACCTTCAACACAAATTAGACCTTATCAAGAGAAATCATTATCTAAAATGTTTGGTAATGGAAGAGCAAGATCTGGTATTATTGTTCTTCCCTGTGGTGCTGGAAAAACCTTAGTAGGTATCACTGCAGCTTGTACTATAAGAAAATCAGTCATAGTCTTGTGCACATCATCTGTTTCAGTAATGCAATGGAGACAGCAATTTTTACAATGGTGTACAATTCAACCCGAAAATGTCGCAGTTTTCACATCTGAAAATAAAGAGATGTTTGCTAGTGAATCTGGTTTAGTAGTGTCTACCTATTCGATGGTTGCAAATACCAGAAATCGATCACACGATTCTCAGAAAGTCATGGACTTTTTAAGATCAAGAGAATGGGGGTTTATTATTCTAGATGAAGTTCACGTTGTGCCAGCAAACATGTTTAGAAGAGTTGTTACCACAATTGCAGCACATGCTAAATTAGGTTTAACAGCTACATTAGTCAGAGAGGACGACAAAATCGATGACTTAAATTTCTTGATTGGACCAAAATTATATGAAGCTAATTGGATGGATTTGGCTCAGAAAGGTCACATAGCTAACGTCCAATGTGCCGAAGTTTGGTGTCCAATGACTTCTGAATTTTATCAAGAATATTTAAGAGAAAGTGCAAGAAAAAGAATGTTACTATATATCATGAACCCTACTAAATTTCAAGCATGTCAATTTTTAATCCATTATCATGAAAAAAGAGGTGACAAGATTATTGTTTTTAGTGATAATGTTTATGCATTACAAGAATATGCCCTCAAGTTGGGTAAACCGTTTATTTATGGATCCACACCTCAACAAGAAAGAATGAAAATTTTACAAAATTTTCAACACAATGATCAAATAAATACTATATTTTTATCAAAAGTTGGTGACACCTCAATCGATTTACCAGAGGCAACATGCTTGATACAAATCAGTTCTCATTATGGATCAAGAAGACAAGAAGCACAAAGGTTGGGAAGAATTTTGAGAGCAAAAAGACGTAATGATGAAGGTTTCAATGCATTTTTTTATTCGTTAGTTTCAAAGGATACCCAAGAAATGTACTATTCGACAAAAAGGCAGGCATTTTTGGTGGATCAAGGGTATGCTTTTAAAGTCATTACTCATTTGAGTGGTATGGAGCAGTTACCTGATTTAGCATATGCATCAGCCAGAGAGAGAAGAGAGCTTTTACAACAAGTGTTATTGAAAAATGAAGACGCTGCTGGATTAGAGGTTGGAGATGATGCTGACACAAACTTTATTTCTAAGGAGCAAAGGCAAAGATTGGAAAGACAAAATGGCAACAATGGAGCAACACGTACTGCTGGATCTTTAGCTGGTTTGGCTGGTGGAGAAGACATGGCATATATTGAGTATAGTAAAAACAAGAACAAAGAATTAAGGGAGTCACATCATCCATTGATTCAAAAGATGTATTACAAGAAAAAACAACAACAGCAACAACCACAACAACTGAAATAGAGCATACAGTCGAGCATAATTGTATTACTATCTTGTAATTAGAAAATCACTCTTTTGATATAAAATCTCCAAAATCATCTTCTTCATAACTATTTGTAGACGAATTTTCACTACTATCTAGGACTCGTGTTTGAGAATCATTAGTAGTATTGTTATTTTTCCATTTTTGTTGTTTTCTTTCTATTATTTTATTGGCTTCTTTTAAAATCATATCATGATATTTTTCAGTTAAACGTTTGGTATCAAGGTCTTTTGAGTCAGATTTAGTCCATGGCTTTTTGTTGACAAAACTAGTTTCGATATCTTCGTTACTTAAAATGGAGTGCCACTTATCATTATAGTACGCTAATTCTTGATCTTCGAATTTCATTGTGAAATCATCCAATCGTTCACTGAAACTTTCTGCTTCTATATTTGTTTTAAATTTTAAAAGTAATGCTACTTGCTGATATTGATGAGAATTGTTGTCATCAACAGTGGGTGATATGCTTGGATGAAAACCAGTTCCTGGTACTTGCACTATAACTCTATACCAATTCATAGTATTGTAGTTGCCCCTATCTCGTACTAGCTTAATTGAATCTGTTCCGTCGTTTGATACTTTATCAATAAACTTATTAGTAATATTATACTTTTTGAACAAATATGAATTTGATTCTAATTCTGATTCTATAGTTCTATTTGTTGGTATAAACCATGTCTCTCCCCATAATTTTTCTATATCTTCATTTATAATGTTTATAAATTCCAACTTAACTCTTAATTGTGAATATGGTTCTATTATGTTTCTGTCTACCTCTTTTTCTTGCGATGGTTGTAATTGATCAACTGTCTCTTCAATCAATCGCACGCTACCCCTCCAAATACATTCTTTAATATTCTTCAAGTCAATTGGTTCAGGTAGATGTTGATTATAGTCATTGGTTGAATCTTTTATATTCGTTTGGTGAAAGGGTAGTATATATAATGAAGCTTTTGAAGTTTGAAATAGAAGTCTTGAATTATTGATTGATTCATCATAAAGTTCCTCCATTGACAATTGATGATATGTAGCAAGCGAAGGTTTGTGAATTATGTTTGAATTGTTGAGTTTCGTACAATATTTGTTAGTTAATTTGTGAGTTTAGTCTATTTAATTCCAATTACATCATAGATCAAAATAAACCGAGAAAACAAAAGAAGCGATTTTGTGCATGAAGTTAAAACAAGTAGAGGTAATTAAGAACTTTGCAGCCATAAAATTTGTTGCAAAAAGAAAACAGTTTCATCACCTCTAGGAATAATTTAATAATACATTAACAATTTACAAACAGCTTCCAAACTCTTTCAATTCATTGTCAAGTTTTAAATCCTCTTTAAAATCAACCAACAAACATTTATATTCATTTTCAAAATATTCATTTTTCAACTTTTTAAATATTCTATCCAAAGTGAATAAGATTTCATCTAGTTCATTTTCTATATTCAGGATATTTCCTTGTAAATTGTTCTCATAAATGAATAGAAAATCCTCCAATATTCCCAAATATTCTTGATTTAAATTAATAAATCTGTAAAATATTTGTAAGAAATCATGAATTTGACTTACAAAACTAATATTTGATCTTTTACCTAGATTTGAATCATCAAGAAGTTTTGTGTTAACAATTTTACCAAGATAAGTTCCATGTATAGTTATTAATTCATCAATTGTATATCTATTCACATTTTTGACCGCTTCCAATTCCTCTGCAACATTCGATTGTTCAGTTTGAGGCAAAAACAGTTTGTCTAATAACAAATTTGACTTATTATTGTTGTAATAAAACTTTTTCACTATATTTTCGTTAAAAGATTCCTCTATAACTTCGTAGGTTAAATACAAAACCACATCTTGTAAAAATTTAATAAAATGATTCCGTATAATGTTTATTTGATCAATTGAACTTAACAATTTCCCGTATTCTCGTGATAGCTCTCCAGTTCTTCCTATTTTTTTAATTTTTAGGCCCAATTCCATATAGTTTTGATAATTTGAATTAAATAATATTTGAAGATGTCGTATTTTCCAAAAGAAATGAAATATTTTCAAATATTGAATTATTTGATCTTCAAGAAGGAAAAAGAAAGGTAGATCGTCAATTCTGTAGTCTATTAAAAATGACTCCCAACCAAAGGTGTTAGACTTTGAATTAAAAATCTTCGTGTCTAACCTGTTTAGATATTCGCTTGATAGTTTTTTAATGGATGAAACTTGGACTGCGTCAAATAATATTTTATGTAAATGACTTGAAGAAATATCTATTGCCTTTTCGTTGAAAATTGATTCTCCTTTAATGATTAACGATTCCGTAAATTCATTAACTCCCATGAAATAAAATGTTTTGAAGTTAGTCAAATGATCAAAAAATTTATTCTTCAGATGTATTATTAATGTCAATGTATTTAGAATGTCTCTATATTGCTCGTCTATTATTTCAAGAATTTCATCAATTCCCATAGATGCTAATCCATCATTTTGTGAATAAATTTTAGTCGAATATTTCAGGTTATAATTATTTATCCACTGTAATTCTTTACAATATTTATTTAAAAAGATTAATGTTTTACCAATTTGAAAAACTTTTTCAGGTGACTGTATGAAACTGGGAACTTTTGATGAATGAAATTTTATGATTTTATTGAATTCTTTCTCATTAACATCAAATGATATGAAAAATTCATCGTTTTGGTCTATTAATTCCCCTTTGATTAACCAGAACTCCAAAATATTATAATATGGCCTAACAATGTTATCAAATGTCTTTAGAGCTATCTCTTTTATGGGTTGATCACCAAATTCTGTGAATTTATGTACATAAGTTAAAAATTTATCCCCGTCCAAATTTTCCATTTTCAAAGATGTTCTATACAAGAATCTCAATTTGAAAATCCAGTCGAATATTGAAGTATAGACAAAAAGAATCGATGATGGTTTATTGACAAATAGTTCATTAATATCTTGAGAATATAACTTCAAATAATCTTCAACTAATGCAAAATATGCTGACTTTATTGCTGATCTCATTTTGCCTTTGTTGATCTCAACACAGGCTAATAGTCGTTTATAAAGTAATGAGTATTCAAAAATCAACTTTAGTAGTGAGCTATAGCTATTGTTTATGGTTTTGGGTATCTCGATTGAATTGCCATCTCTTGTAAATTGAAATAATTTTGAATCCATACCCATCAAAGTGTACGGTAAATAAGTTAAAATTGTGTCTTCTGATAATGATTCATAATATGGTTCAATTAATTGGGATAATGTCTTGTTGTTCGATACATTGAAATCGGAACTGGATGAATTCAATTTATCGGGTTTTGACAATATAGAACTTCCTTTCAATTCATCCATGAAAACCAAATAGTTTGATATTTGATCCAATGTCCTGTATTTGTTTAATGCAGTAATTATTTCTTGAAATTTTTCCCAATCTTGTTTATTTGAATTACTAAGAAAAAATGTTTTATATTTATTGATAATTGTAGATATTTCATGACCTTGGTTATGTGTGTTTATGAGTTGTTGATATAAAGCATTGGCCATACTTTGAACATATTCATCTCCCAATTCCGGTGGAACCAATGAGTTAATTAGTCGATGAAGATATAACTTTATTATACTCCGTCTCTCAAATGTCATTACTGAATATGTTGAGAAAGTGTTTCAAGAATGATGATAGATTTTGTTCTGATTTATATGCTTGTTGGCATTATCTATGGAACTTCTTTGGTGATATATTAAAACTTGTTCTTTCCCTTTTTCATTTATTTCAAGATTTGTTTACCTTTTTGTTAAATTGATTCTATAAAATTTGATTTTGTACCGCGATTTACTGACTCGTCTTTTTTTTTGGCTTTTGAGAGTGTCATAATAGTATGTTCACGACAAGGGTTACATGAATAAATAGTATAGTAACATTTAGATAAGCTATGAAGAATTTGAATTCTAATTAAAACCTCAGCATTGCTGGATCTTACAGTTGAAGTCATATATAATGTCAACTAAAGTACTTGGATCAAAATGTTCAATAAGTCTTTGGCAATAACTCCAAAATTTTTTTCAAAATCAGTTTACTCCGTATTAAGATGGCCATTACACTAGACTAAGTTATCACCTCCAAAATTTACCAATAGATTCAGTAAATGAATCACTAATAGAAGACCAAACTGAATAAGTCTTGATTTTTTGCAACCATTTGTAGATTCTTTTCAAGATCAATTGTGAGTTCAAACGCGTTTCAAATTATTTTTTTGTCTTTGTGTGCAATGTTTATTTATTTACACATTTATCAAATTCTTTATATCTTACATCGACATCAACTACATGAGATGAATGATACAGAGGAACACACGTCGGCAAATTTATACACCGGTATCTTATCTCCACCAACCAATCCTATATCAAATTCATATGCCAATACCACAACAGACTTATATGGAGATTTGAATGATGAATCGTTTTCAATTCCAGAAGTATTCGATGATTTTAGTGGTGAAGATATTTTAAGGATGAATCCTAATTATAAACGATCAATGCACAGTGAACCACAATTGTCAACATCTCAATATTCTTATTCAGCAAGTAACAAGGAAAATATTCCCCATGGAATTCAGAACAACCCTGATCATCAGAATTTAAAATCAAAATCATCAATTTTAAAACCAAAACAAATAAAATTCAGTTCAATACCAAAATTGAATCAGAATACAAAATTTAATAGTCCAATTCATCAAAGTACACCCAACGTTAAAAAGTTATACGAATCAAATCAAGCCGTAAATGTAAATATAGATCCATTTAATGATCCAAATAATGAACCATATATTACTATAAAAAAATCAGATTATTTGAGAACTCTACAGCAAAATCAACAATATAAACAAGAATTTCAGAATAAGGAAAATGCAATCAATACTCAATTTTTAACACAATTAACTCCAATTCAAAATCAATTAAATGATTTGAAAATTAATGATGTAAATATATCGAACAAAGTGGAAAAGAATAAAATTGAAAGTGACAAAGTGTTCGAAGTGTATGAATTGAGTCAGCTGAATCGATATGAATTTATTAATGGAGAAATAAGTTCCATCAAAAACAAATTGAATAAATTAACTAAATTTATAAATGAATCCAACTTTAGAGCATCTGGAGGAGAAATATCCTATTTGAATAATAAACAAGATACGGAAGTCTCCTTAATTGATTTAGATCCCACAACAACGACCGATGTGCATTCATCTTCCGCTAAAGCCTCATCAAAGAAATCTTCAAGCAATGAATCAGACGGAAGTAGTCATAATTCGAATAAGCCTTCTAATTCAGAACAGAATGGAACCCAAACTTTGAAAAATGACGAGTTTACAGGTTGTGATATTGGTACGCTTGAAGAATTAGTCCAAAATAAACAATCAAGTACTTTGAATAACAGTGGTACTGAGGTTGATGGAAATGCAAATGCACACGTAAATGCACAAAATTCTCCTGTCAACAAGACTACCACTCTGAATGTTTCGGATCCAAAATATAAACCACCAAAAAAATGCGTTTGTGGAGCTAACGAAGACTTTAAAACCCAGAGTTTAGACTCTTCGAGTAATTTTTATGCCACTTGTACCGAAAATACAAAACCAGCAAGTGTTGCTTCTGATACTAAGCCTGTACATACTGGACAAAAACAACAAAATCATGATTCTAATGCACAAAATGAAAATGATCAAACCAATCTTGAAAATAATACAAGTGATACAACTATATCAGATGATAATCCTAATATAATAATAAATCAAGAAGTTCAACAAACAAATAAATTTCCAAATTTTGAAACAATGAAATATAATTATCCATTACCAATAATGAAAAAAGATGAAGAAAATTTAAAAAAAATATTAAATTTATCAAATCAAGATTTACAATTTATTGCAAAACATTTAATTTCTTCATTATTTATATCAATTGATGATTTTATTTTAGAAATTTTTAGAATTGGAAAATATATCACAATATCTTCAAATTTTTTAAAAAAATTACATTCAATATTAAAACAAAATCAAAAACAATTAAGTGTTGGTAAATGTTTAAAAGGTCAAATTATGAATAATAAAGGAGAAATAGATAATGATTTGGATGAATTAAATAAATGTCTTGATTCTATGATTGTTGATGTTAGTAAATTAGTTGATTTAAAAAGTCGAATTGTTGAAAAGAAAGGTAAAAAAGTTAGAATTGATTAAAAACATGAGCTTGTACACTTTCTATTTATAGACGAATTACTAATCAAATAAACTATATAATGGTAAGTTAATTGATTCTATTACGAAACTTGATATTTGTTTGTGTTGTTTCTCTTGATGAATTGACATAAATTACACAAGATCCTTTTGCAGCAAAAAGAAAAAAACAATAATAATTTTTGATTGAATAAACTTTAATTTAATCGTTAGGGGGTATTAGGGGGTAGGACATTATAAGTGATACTGTTGTTTTTCGATTAAAATAAGAACCAAGTATCTTTACACAAATTTATCAAACTATTCATTACTACTTTGAAATTATTGTTCTAATTGTAGTTGTAAAGTTAAATCAGCACTATTTGCTGATAATTGTCGACAGTCTGCTATTTGTTTCAGAAAAAAAAAAAGGAATGTTGAAAAGATCATGGCTCAGTTTCAGGTTACAAAGTTGAATTGATATTTTGAAAAGAAAACAAGATAGTTGCAGTATGCATTCGTAATTTTATTGTTTCGTGATGAAAAGCTCATTAATATAAATTGTTGTTTCTTCTTAACCATCAATACGACGAAATATTTAATATCACGAAAACAATATTTACAAGTTTTTAGAGATTTTCATGTAATGTAACATTATATCGACGATACAAGTTATTAAATTTGTTTGTTCTTCTGAATAGGCAGTTTTACATTTAATAGATACCACTATGATTGGAAACATTATGAAAATAGAATGTTACATTAATAACGAATATAAAACCAAAAACAAAACAAAAAAGAATGGGAACAGTGGGAAATGTAACTTCATGCAAATATTTAAACTTTAATGTTTCTTTTAAAATTTATTTTTTTTCTTTATCATTCTTTGAAAACTTTAGTTATATGATAGAAGGTTAAAATTAAACATTTGTTTCGATATTTAAACAATACATCAATTCGCATGAAAATGGATACATGTATTGGTCCAGGAGTCAAAAACCTCATACGATTTAATGTTCTGTTAAGCTCATACGTCAATTGATTAACCGAGCTTATGTCACTTCAATCATCAACACAGACGCATCATTAAGAAGATATAATTAAGGTTCCATGGTAGCATCATTTGTAGTGGAAAAAGGCTTGGTTGTTTGAAGTTTATTTTATTTTCAATAAGCAATTTAAATTACTTAACATAAAAAGCAATCATTCATTTACTTGAAACTTCTTACTGATTTAAAATTTGATGATTGGATACTTAAGTAGTATTATCATTCGAATTTCAGTTAGTATATTTAACACATTCTTCTGGAAGATTATCAGAGAATAGTATTATAACACAAACATGCTCATCAATTACATGGTAAATGCACAGAACAATTGATCTGAATGATAGTTTAATATATTAATAGATTTCTATATTTTTCTTTTTAAGATTCAAATAGAAGACACACGGATTTCAAAAAAATGGTAAGTTTTTTATCATTATCATGATTATTCTCACTGACTGGCATGAAAGTGCACTTGTATATATCTATTGAAACTGTTAGAATATGATACTATTCTTGTAGATTTGACATTAATAAGCATTCAAATATCTAGACTATGATGTTTCGATAATAACCTCAATTAATTTTGTCATTTAATTCTATTTTTTTCCCTGACTGGTTTTAAAAAGATACAAGCCTCAAGTTGGTGACTCTATTTTAAAACAAATACTATTCAAGTCCATTTCTAATCAAACATTTCTTTTATAAATACGATCAAATTAGAGAAACACTTTTAGTATTTTCTAGTTTCTGTATTCTTCTTTCAATCTTTTGATATTATAATATCAAATCAATCTATTATAATAATATTATTTAACTTTACTCATTTTTTGTATTTTATTTTTTTTTTAAATTTAATGGGGAAGTCCGCAATTACAAATAATAATTTTATACCATCATCATCTATTAATTCATTAATACCATCATCAAGAAACATATACAATTCACATAATAAAACGGATTCTAATACTGACTATTACATACCATCATTATCATACAATAGAAACAGTTTTGACTTCACAGATTATAATAGTCAACTCAATAATAACAACAATAACTACCAAATTTGCAATAACAACAATAACAACAATAACAACAACAAATTAATTGGATCATCTCAATCTTTTGAGAATAAAAATGATCAATTGCTCATAAGTAATAATAAAAACATTAATAATAATCAAAGAGGAGTATCTTATTCTGATCGAAATCTAACAACTGGGAATTTGATCTATAACAACAAAGATATAAAAAACACAAGATCAAAGAGCTCTCAACAACATCTAATTCATTCAAGTAATCAATACTATTTAACTCCAGCTTCAAATAATACATCACCTAGCCAATCCATTGATCATAAATATACATCATACATGAGTTATATCCAACAAAGTCAACAACATCCCCAAAATCAGCAAACTATGAATCATCATTCACAGCAACAACCTCATCATCAACAACAACAAACAATGCAGAATCCACAGCTGTTTACTAATCCCTACTCAAGTAATTCTATATATCAACAAAGATCTCAACAACCATCATCACAACAAACCAGTCCGTCAATACCGCAGCAACAAAGTCAACAACACTTGGCAAGCCGTGCTAGGGGAGATTCAATATTTTTACCTCCTCCAATAACTTCCAAATCAAATACGGATCAAGCGTATGAAACAACTTCGGGAAATATAAGTCAAAGCAACTTATTAGGTTCGAGATCAAATAGTATATTTAGCTCCTTAATTAATATTCCTGGATCTAATGGGAACTCTGTTAGTGAACCGTCTTCATCAATGATGCATTCTCAGCAACAACAACAAAATCAACAACCACAACAACAAAATCAACAGCAGCAACAGCAAAATGAACCGTTTAACTCCGCTGGCGGAAACAAATCTTACACAAATAATCCAATACCCAATTTGCCGCCTACAACAACAAGATCACGTCAAATGTCCTTAATACCCAATCAAGAATTTACTGTAGAAGATTTAGAAAATTTATTTGGTACCAATAAAGAGAGTATGGCTAATTTGTTTGCATGGCAACAAGGTGATCCAAAATTATCATTTAGTGGATTATCAGCTCAAAATACGGGAAACAATGGCAAATCAAAAGCTGGCTCTATTGATTTGTCTGCTTGGATGGATGGATCTAATCAACCTGGTTCAATTGGATTTAGTAATAGTATTACAGAAATTGTTCAAAATATGATTTCCAATGGTTCATTAGATTTATCAAATATGAGTACTCAAGAAAGACGAGATTCTATTTTGAAAATCATTAACGATCAAAACAACTTAAGAAGTCAAAAAAATCCAACAAATGCCAATTCAAATGCTAGTGCAAATTTAAGACAAGATATATTTGATAAGAATAAAACAAGTACAATTAAGGAAGAAAATTCTCAACAACTGCCTCAAGTAGTCTATGGTCAAACTCAAAAACGTGAAAAAGATGTATCACCAACCTCATCAATATCTTCAAAAGCTTCCAAACCAAAAGATGAAGCCCCACAATCTCCAAAGACGTCTCCGACAATGTTCAACAATTCTCAAACACAAGATCCTTATTCAAATAATCAAAGACCATCAATGAATTCCGTATCACAAAAATTATTCCTGAATTCAATAAATCCAATTTCTCCAAATAATTCTTATCCTTATTCACTGTTTTCAAGTTTTAATAATTCTTTAGGATTTCAAGGGATGCCATCAGTAGGAAATCGTCAAAATAGTTTTGTGGGGAATTATCAATATCAAATTCCGCCTCAATCCCAACCACCGCAACAAATGATGCCTCAACAAATACGTTCCCTGATTCCATCTCAACAACCTTATCAACCTATATCATATCCACCTCAAACAATTTCATCATTTCCTCAACAACAATATTACTTACCACCACAACAACAACATCAACAACAATTGTTTCAGCAACAACATCATCAACATCCACAACAATTTCAGCAACAACCACTACAACAACAGCAACAAATCTATCAACAGCCCCAGCAGCAACAATTATCAACTGCCTCTGACAACAAAAGACCAAGGAAACAATCGACCAAGCGAACAAGAAAATCAAAAGATACATTATCAACTTTACCAACTCCTAGTGTTCCTGAAAATTCCAATCTTGTACCAGCACAACAATTTGCACAATCTGAAGATGGAAGACCATTATTAGGAGCAACAAAGATTGATCAATTAATGTTGGTTATTCAAGCAAGAGAAAAAGGAGTCACAAAAGCTATTAATCAAGGTCCTGATGGAAGTATATTAGCATCACCTGAACATTATAATCAAGGTCCCTTTGATGAAGATCAATCAGGGGTTTTACCAAAACCAATTAGTTTAGTTGGAGGAGTTGATAAACCTCACAAACCGAAACATACTATTGTTAAAAATGAACAACCCAATCAACAAACTAATATTGATGAAAATGAAGATGAAGAAGAATCAAGAATTAAAAAACGTAAAACTAAAAATCAACAATGTCCTTATTGTTTAAAATATTTTACACAATCAACTCATTTGGAAGTACATATAAGATCTCATATTGGTTATAAACCATTTGAATGTACATATTGTCATAAAAAATTTACTCAAGGTGGAAATTTAAGAACTCATTTAAGATTACATACAGGTGAAAAACCATTTACATGTGATGTTTGTACAAGATCATTTAATAGAAAAGGAAATTTAGAAGCTCATAAATTAACTCATGAAAATGTTAAACCTTATGAATGTAAATTAGATAATTGTGATAAATCTTTTACACAATTAGGTAATTTAAAATCTCATCAAAATAGATTTCATTTAGAAACTTTAAATAGTTTAACTCATAAATTAGCTGAATTAAATGGTGATGCAATAAATAATTTACCAATTGATGAAAAAAATTTATTAATTTATTTTAAAGATTTATATAAAAATTCAAATAAGGGGATAAGAGGTAGAGGTAAACAACATAAAGATGAAGAAAAAAAGGCTAATGATGGTGGTAATGCAGCAGATGGGAAATGATGATGAACTTAATAATGAATTTTAGTACATAGTAACTATTTAATATAATGTATTGTATAATATAATTGTTTTTCGTTAGATTAAAATGAGTTCTGGAAATTATAATATTTCAAGATCAATTATTTCGCGTAGAATAAATGTTATCATTTTTTACAACCAAATTTTACAATTACCATCTAAGAACAAACAAACAAACAAATCTAAGTTGGATAACACAATTTACTCTTTCCCATTTGAAAATGAATTTCTTAAGTAAGACATTCAACACATTAACAGGAAATTCAATACCTTATACATTCAATGAAAAAATAGTAGATCCAACTACTCAATCAACAAAATTAGATCAAAATTCAATATGGACTATATATAATGGTATTAATCCTAAAGATAATTCACTTATATCAATATTCGAATTTCAATTAAATAATCCTAAAACTTCACAATATATAAATTTAGCTAAAAATGCATTTAAAAAATTAAAAACTATCAAATATCCGGGTATAATTTCAATAATTGAATTTTTGGAATTAAATGATACATTATATATAATTACTGAGAGAGTGATTCCACTACCAACATATCTAGAAACAAATCCAAATTTATCAAAAGATTCAATTATTGCAGGAATTTATTCAATAAGTAATACATTAAATTTTTTAAATGAAGAATGTAATCTACTATATGGTGGATTAAATTTTTATAATTCAATATTTATAAATTTACAAAATGATTGGAAATTAATGGGATTTGAATTAATTACAAATTTAATTTCAGATCCTGATCAACCTATTTATAGATTAAATCAATATAGTCCACTGCAAAAAGATATTATAGATATTGAAAATTTAAGAAAAGATCCTAAAAAATATGATTCTTTTAAATTAGGGAATTTTATATTTGAAGTTTTTAATAATGGTAATTTGGATTTAAACTTTAAAATACCAACAAGATTAATTGGACCAAGTAAAAGATTAATTGCCAAAAGAAATTATATTTCAAGTTTTCTAAAAGAAATGGATCCAATCTTTAAACAAAATAAAGTAATTAATTTTAATAATTTATTAAATGAATTAAAATTTATGAATAATGATCAAAAACTTGAATTTTTTAAATTTGAATTATTGAAATTTATAGATAATGATAATGATGAAGAGGACACTACATATCCTCCTGGAATGTTAAATTATAAATTATTACCTGAATTAATTACTCAATTTAATCAATTAAAAACACAACCAATATCATCAGATCCTCAACAACAACAAGCAAATCAAGAAATAATATCAATAATACTTAATTTTATAATAAAATTTGGAATTCAATTACCAACAGAAGAATTTAATAAACAAATTAAACCAATAATATTTGAATCATTTATATTACCAGATAGATCAATAAGATTAATTTTATTAAATCATTTACCATCATATGAAAAATTTTTAAATGATTCAGATATACAATATAAAATTTTTAATCCATTAATTACAGGATTTCAAGATACAAATTTTATGATTAGAGAAACAACATTAAAATCAATAACTATTATAATTGATAAAATTTCAATAAAACAAATAAATAATGAGTTATTAAGAATATTAGCTAAAACTCAAATTGATCCAAAACCTTCAATAAGAGTAAATACTTTAATTTTAATTATAACAATTTCATCAAAAATTTATAAAAATTCAAAAAATAATGTATTAATAACTGCATTATCAAAATCTTTAAGGGATTCATTTATACCGTGTAAAATGACAGCATTAAATGGGTTTAAAACTTTAATAAATGAATTTACATTAGAAGAAATTTGTTCTAAAATTTTAGGTCATTTAGCTATATCATTAATGGATAAAAAATCAAATAAAGTTAGAAAAGAATCAAAATTAGTTTTTGATTTATATTTAAAAAATGTTGAAAATTTTGCTGATGAATTGAGTGATAATGAAGATGAAGAAGATGAAGATAAAGAAGAAAAAGAATTTTTTAAAAAATATTCATCAACTCAACAACAACCAAATGGATCTGGACAAGTATCAACTGAATCAACTGAATCAAGTTTTGGTTGGAATATGATGTCAAAATTAACATCAATTGGAACAACTAATAATGCTGGTCAATTAAATAAAGATTTTAATCAATCAACTCCAGATATAACAAGAGTAAGTACACCAAGTCAAAAACAATTGCCATTACATAAGCAAAGTAATTCAAAATCAAATTTGAAATTAGATGATGAAATTAATGAAGATGATGACGGATGGGATAATGATGATCAACTTGAAGAGGATTATTTTAATGATGATTGGATAGATAATAGCGAAGAGGTGAGTAAAGACGAGAAAACAACAAATTTAAGTAATAATTTTCCAATTATTGAAAATACAAAAAAACTAAATCTTGGTAAATCAACACATACAATTAATCTAAGGAACACGCCCACAACAACAATAACAACAACTAGAAAACCATTATCATTAGGAACAACAACTAAAAAACCAATTACTAAATCACTGTTAAAATTAGGTTCAAAACAAAATAATAAACCTAAACTGACATTAAAATTAAATTTAACTGTTGATGATGATAAAGAAGAAGATGGATGGGGTGATGGTTGGTGATTGAGTTGATTTAATAAGGAAGTCAAAAAATAAAAGAGAATGTAGAAAAGAGGAGATCATTCAAAGAAGTTCATAATCAATTTGAAATTTCAATCAAATGTGAGCGATGAAATTCGAACATTTTACACTTCTATTTAATTTATGACATGTTATCATGTATCATTTTTCATTATAGATAACTGCCTTTTGTAATAACTTATTATTTTTTCTCAAATTAGCCCTAAATGTTTTAAATTTATAAATTAAAATGTAAAGAGAGTTATAATTGTTCTATACATGTTACACAAACTTGTTTTTTTAAAACTTGTCGCGTCATGAAATATTATTTTTATTTAATAAAAAAATAAAAAACGCGTAATCTTAAAATTAAATTAAAATTAATTTCATATTTCATTATCTTTCTTTATTTTTAATATAGATTACATTTTAATCATATATGTAGCAATCAATATTCAGAATAATATATATCCAACCACTTATCATATACATATTTATACACATTTATACCTTTTTATACCATATTTATTCTTATACCACAATTTTAGAAGAAAAAGATCCATTTTTTTTCAAAACTTTTAATTAAAATACCCCTTTATCTGAAATCAGATTGTTTTTTAAATTCAATAAAATAAATTAACATTTTAACAAGTTTATATATATCACCTTGAGTTGAAATCAAGAACTCGAATAGCCACTTTAAATCTCAAAACATCCAAAAGAAAGAAACAATATACTTAAAAAAAGATGTCTTCAATGGCTTCAGCGACTGATAGATTACAAACTACACCGAATAAATTAAATACAATTTCAAATTCAATTACAGCTACAACTACAAATTCCATGAGACAACCGTTACATGATACTTCAAATAATTACTTTGCATCAAATGATCAACCAATAGCTTCCAATTCTACAACATCCGTAATCAAAACTCCATCAAAATCGAAACAAATAAATAAACAAAGATCATTAATAACTCAAACTCCACCACAATCTACACTTCATGAAAGTAGTAATAATATTCAAAATAATGATAAAGATATTCAAATATTTGATGTTTTTGCAACACCATTTAGAGATATACATTTAGATCCTACAATTATTTCAAATTTAGATCAACATAATTTTGTTGTAAAATCAAGTTATTTATCACCTGCTTTATCATCTCCTCAGAATCAACATCAATTACAATTACAACAATTACATGAAAAAAATAAAGAAAATCAAGAAAATCATATTCATTCATTACCATTATTACCATCTTCCCTTGAATCATCAAAACAGCAACAACCACAACAAATCTCAACTCCAACAAAGAAGAAAAAAAAATCTACTGATACAAATTCAAATACATCTTCCACAACTTTTAATTTATATTCTGATGATAAACCACCTTATTCATATGCAACTTTAATTGGAATATCTATATTATCTCATCCAAATAAAAGATTAACTTTATCAAATATTTATCAATGGATATCAGATACTTTTAAATTTTATAGAAAAGAAGATGTTGGTTGGCAAAATTCAATTAGACATAATTTATCATTAAATAAAGCTTTTATAAAAGGTGAAAAATCAAAAGATGGTAAAGGTCATTTTTGGTGTATAAAACCAGGATTTGAAGAACAATTTTTAAAAAGTAGAAGTGTTAAAAAATCTTCTTATCATGAAGTAATGGATCAAATTCATCAAGCTACAAAATTAAATGAAGCTGCTGCAGCAGCAAAAGCAATAGCGGATGCTGAAATGGAGAAAACAAAAGAAAAAGAAGTAGTAGAAGAAGAACCAAAAGACGAGCAAGAAGTGAAGTTACCAAAAGATGAATCTAAGTCAAAAGATAAATCAATACCAAAAGTAAAAAAATTAAAAGTGAAATTAAAAGATAAAAATGGTGAACAAAAACAAATTCAAACTGATGTTTCACTTGATAAATCAGTTTTATTATCATCCCCCACATATAATGCAATAAAAAGGAAAAGAAATGATGATGAATTTCCTTCTAATACAAGTACAAGTTATCAATATGATGAAGAAGATATAACTATATTAGATCCACCAGTGAAAAGATTCAAATCTTTCAAACAACAAGATGATGAAGATGATAATTTTTTACAATTACCTTGGCAATCATTAAATTCACCAAATTCACAATTAAAATTACCACCAATATATCATTTAAATTCTACTCCAAAAAGGAATAATATAAATTCTTCATCTTCTTCATCAACGTCATCACAATCATCAAGACCTAATTTTGTAATTGATTCACCTGATAAACCTGTATTGGCGGAAAAAAATCTAACTTATACATCATCCTTTAGTTGTAATTCTAATTTTGAATTATCTCCCTTAAGAACAAGTGAGACTGGTCCTTTATTAGAACCATTAACTCCTGCAAATCGTTCATATAAAGGTCATATACAACAACAACAGCAGCAGCAGCAACAATCACAACCCCATTCACATCCACATTCACATTCACAACTACAGTCACAATCAACTAATAATCATCAATTTCAACATCAAATCTTACAACCACAATCACAACAATCTCATCATTTAACACTTTTAAATAAATCAAAAACTCCAAAATCATCATCAATTTCTTCAACAACTCCTTTAAGGACTTTAAAAACTCCACAAACTAATTCAATAATGAAAAGATTATGGAATAGTCCTTCATATTTAGATGATTTTTATTTTAGTCCATTAATAAGTAAAGCTCATCAAACAATTTTATCACATCAATCAAATCATACTAACAATTCAAATCTTCAATATCATAATAATCATTTAAATTCATCATATTCTTCAAGCTCCTATTCTTCATTACTTTCAAATAATATTCATATAGCAACTACTTCATCAACTCATTTAAAATTAAATAATATAATGAATAATAATCATAATAAACACAATAGTGGTAATCAAAATTTAAATTCTTATGATGATGATGATATGATAATGAGAAATTTAAATCATCCTCAATTATCTATTCAATCAAGTCCTATAATACATAATAATAATTCGAATAATGAGCTTTTTAAATTAAATTATTACTGAGGTGGAAATAAATATTGATGACTTAGTGAATATATTTATTAATAATAAATTGTATAATACACATTATATAAAAGGAACTGAAAATAACCTCTTAACCTCTCAATCATTAATCAGTTGATGCACAACCTCTACAACCACAATTGATACATTCAATATCAATCTTATCTTTTGTTTCATCTTTTTTCAATAATTCAAATTTTGGAACTCTACAAATACATATATTTTCACCATTTATACAATTTAAACAACATAATTTTTCATAACCTCGTTTCCGCCATTTTGAAATTAGGTTCTTATCACAATAATCTTGTAATATCAACCATTGATATAATGAATCATTTATTTTTTTATCTTTATGTAGTTCATAAATATATTTTGTTATTTGATGTATTATTCTATATAATTCCCATTGTGATTGTTGTTTTGTTGTTGCTTGTGAAGTGGTGGTTGTTGCTTTTTTTAATTTTAATTTATATTTTTCTATTGTTGGTTCTATTTTTGAATAACCTTCTGGTGGATTTGAATATTTTTTAATTTTTGAAGTTCGTGGCATTTTCTATTGTCTTTGTTTGCTTGTGATGATTATATTTTGCGTGAGTTTATAGACATATGTGATAATTTAAATGAGTTTTATGTAATGCTTTGGTGTATTATATAAAAACTGATAGACTGAAGTTGTTTAAAAGATGTGTGATAAACTTTATTTTAAATTAAATTTTTGAAATGAAAAAACTAAAAAAGCCGCTTTATTGTTTAACTTCAAAAATACATTAAGACAAACATTCTTAATATAGTTATTAATCCGTTTCAGCTTACTTTTATTGTTGAAACCATGACTTATCGCCCATTGATTGCCTGAGGTACCTAAGTCGTAAATCTGTTCAGCCAAAAAAAATAAGGACACTGCAGAATAGAGGCAAAAAAAAAAAATAATTTCAGATATAACGACAACTGCAGGATTCGAACCTGCGCGGGCAAGCCCAGTTGATCACAGTACTAATTCGTGTAAAAGTTCGAGTCAACCTCCTTAGACCACTCGGACAAATTGCCAAAATCGTAAAAAACAACTGTTATGTTTTCCTGGTCAATCCAAGCTTTGAAAAAATGTTAAGACGAAAGATTTTTTTTACTTCGATTTTTGCGTTTTGGATTTCACATAAAGCTAAGTCGATACAAGTCGATTAGACTGAGAGTCAAATTATTATTCCAAAATATACCTCCTTTCATAAATTTTGTCTTCTAAGTTAATCATTTCTAAATCAAATATTCCAAGAAGTATCTTGAAGGTTTATTGGCGTCAATCTCATTTAATGAATTTTGCAGCAAAATCATAAACCAAAACATGACATCTACTAAGATCGCCCTAGAAACGAAACCAATAGTAATTTAACCCGTAGTTCATAACATGACAATATGATCGTTCGAATAGTTACATTTGTCTAAATGTAAAAACTCGTTCTTTTTGGCGGGTTTCTTTAAAGTTTTCAGTTCTAGGGACCCAAAATAAATGCGTAATATTAAGTCCGAATACCCCATGATTTCGTATTTTTTTTTTCTGCCTAATCTATAAAAAACCACACAATTTTTAGATTAGTCAGTATTCAGCATATTAATTCACTTTAATAATTGATTAGGAAAATTTCAATTACTAAGCTAAATCACTTTAAATAATATTCTAAATTCATCAATTGCAAAAACACAAATTCGTTTTGTCAATTCAAATTAAATCATCAAATAGTTCAAAAAATGATTCAATTAAAAGGTAAAGTAGCATTAGTTACAGGTGGATCAGCAGGATTAGGTGCAAGTATATCAGAACAATTAGCAGCCGAAGGTGTCAATGTTGCAATAAATTATTCAAATAATGAAAAAAGAGCTTCTGAATTATCAAATAGATTAATTAAATTATATGGTATAGAATCAATTATTATAAAGGCAGATATATTTGATATACAAAATTTACATAAATTAGTTGAAGAAACTGTATCAAAATTAGGTAGAATTGATATATTAATATCAAATGCTGGATGGACTGAAATTATTCCTTATGATAATTTAGATGCAATGACTGAAGAAATTTGGGATAATACATTTAGTGCAAATGTTAAAGCTCATTATTTTTTATTTAAAGCTGTAAAACCATATTTTGATTCAAATAAAGAAGGTGGTACATTTATATCTTCTGCAAGTGTTGCAGGTAGAACAAGATCAGGATCTTCTATACCTTATTCAGTAAGTAAAGCTGCGTTAATTCAATTAATTAAATTTTTAGCAAAAACTCAACCTAATATAAGAACTCATGCTGTTTGTCCTGGACTTCTAGCTGAAACAGATTGGGGTAAAAGATTTTCAAATGAACAAATCCAAAAATCAATAAATTTATCTCCTATAAAAAAATCAACTGATATTGAAGAATGTGCTTCTGAATATATTCATTTATGTAAATTATCTACTTCAACTGGTTCAATAGTAGCACTGGATGCTGGATTATCAATTTTATAATGATTATAGCTATGGATTATATAGGTTTATTTATACAAGTTTTTATAGATTTTTCAATTGAATATTAACTACTGTTGATCAGGTGACTTGAAACGCGCAAATATAAAATTTGGTAATTACGTAATTGAATAATTTATTTTATTTTATTTTATTCACGTTGTAGTGTCACGAAGATTTAAAGCTTTTACATTTAGAATGAAACATAAATTGAAATAGGGGATTCATCTCTAATTGGTTTGGTTTCATGAATAAGAAGTATTGCGATAATTTGTTGTGATTCATATAAATATATGTATGATCTGTATAACAAAATTTGGTCCCATCTTAATCGTATCTTGTTTTGTTTTTGCTTTATTTTCATTTCTTTTTTTTTTTGCTTTTGATCCAAGAAAAGGCTGAAACATTTTTATTACCAAAACTTAAATTTTGATTATTATAATTACAACTTTAAAGTTGGTTGTTCATTACTACTACTTTTACTTCATTTGAAAATACTACAACATCAACATTCCTCCCTTCTTTCATTTATTTCACTTAATACTTACCAATATTCACTAAAGTCTCGAGAAATTGAATTACATCAATCATTTTTAGCTGTCTAACTACAAATCATAAACCACTAAGTTCAAATTCATACCCTTACCTAAGTCAATTGCTTCACGATTCTTTCAAGTATCACAACTTCATATAAATGGTTGCATCTAGTTCCCAATCTACATCAACTGTTGTTTCTACATTAGTAGCGAATCTTTTATTATTTGCAACTTTTATATCATGTTTCTTGATATTAAGATTAAAATTTAAAAGAATTTATAGTCCAAAATCTTCTTTTAATTTAGTTCCTGAAGATCAAAAACCAGAACCATTACCAAAAGATCCAATACGATGGATTTTTATATTATTATCAAAACCTCAATCATTTATATTACAACAAGCAGGATTAGATGGTTATTTTTATTTAAGATATTTAAAAATATTTGCATTTTTATTTTTATTTGGTTTATTAATTTGGATTATTTTATTACCTATAAATGCAACTAATGGGAAAGGTTTAACAGGATTTGATCAATTATCTATTGCAAATGTTGATTATCATGGAAGATATTATGCTCATGTTTTTATTGGATGGGTATGGTATGGAGCTATAATGTTTGTTATATATAGAGAATTATTTTTTTATAATTCTTTAAAAAATGTTGTTTTATCATCACCAAAATATGCAAAAAAATTATCATCAAGAACTGTTTTATTTCAAGGAGTACCTGATGTTTTATTAGATGAAAAACAAATTTATAAAATTTTTAATGGAGTCAAAAGAATTTATGTTGCAAGAACTTCAAGAACTTTAGAACATAAAGTTAATAAAAGAGCAGCAATTGTCAATAAATTAGAAATTGCTGAAAATAAAATTTTAAAATTAGCTGTTAAAAATAAAATGAAAGCTGATAAAAAGGGGAAAAAATTAGAACCCATTGATGAGATAAGTGCATATGTTCCAGAAAAGAAAAGACCAAGAACAAGAACTGGAGGAATTTTTTCTAAAAAAACGGATACTATAAGATATTGTCAAGAACAAATACCCATTTTAAATGAAGAAGTTAAACAATTACAAAGAAAATTTAGACATCAAATACCTTCTAATTCATTATTTGTTGAATTTGAAAATCAATATTATGCTCAAATGGCTTATCAAACAACAATACATCATAATCCAATGAGAATGTCACCTGCTTATATTGGAATTGAACCAGCTGATATTAATTGGATAAATTTAAGAATGTTTTGGTGGGAAAGAATTACAAGAAGATCATTAGCATTTTCTGCTATTGTAGCATTAATTTTATTTTGGGCTATACCTGTTGCATTTGTAGGTGTTATTTCAAATTTTACATATTTAACTAATAAATTACCTTGGTTAAGATGGATTGAAAGAATGCCAAGTCAAATCTTGGGTATTGTTACTGGTATTTTACCAACTGCAATGTTATCTATTTTAATGCTTTTATTACCAATGTTTATAAGAGCAATGGCTAAAATTGCAGGAGCAATATCTTATCAAAGTGTTGAAATTTATACTCAAAATGCTTATTTTGGATTTTTAATGGTTAACGGTTTTTTAGTTACTGCTTTAGCTTCTTCTGCAACTGCTACTGTTACACAAATTGTTGCTGAACCTACATCAGCTATGACTATTTTAGCTGAAAAATTACCATTATCATCAAATTTTTATATTTCATATTTAGTATTACAAGGTTTAGCAATTGCAGGTGGTTCATTATTTCAAGTTGTTGGATTATTTTTATATTATATTTTGGGATATTTATTAGATAATACTGTTAGAAAGAAATGGAATAGATTTAGTGGATTAGGAACTATGGCTTATGGTACTACTTTCCCCATTGCTACTCAATTAGCATGTATTACATTAGCTTATTCAGTTATTTCACCATTAATTATAGCATTTGCATGTATTGGATTCTTTTTATTATATATTACATATTGTCATAATTTACTTTATGTATTTGCAGAATGTCCAGATACAAGAGGTCAACATTTTCCAATAGCATTATTTCAAACATTTACTGGTATATATATTGGACAAGTTTGTATGTTGGGTATATTTGCAGTTGGAAAAGGATGGGGACCAATTGTATTACAAGTTATTGGATTAGTTGCAACTGTTTTCATTCATGTACATCTTGCTCAAGCTTTTGATCATCTATTAAAAGTTGTTCCATTAGATTGTATGAGAGCTTTAGATGGTATTTCAAATACTCCTTCATATAATGGACCATCTGAATTTCAATATAAAATATTGGACAAGAAAAGACATCATCATGATCCAAAATATGAAGCAAAATATCAACAAGAACAAATTAATGAAGAAAAGATTAAAGAAGATCTTGAAAAGGAAGTCACACAGCAAGATCATGAAGCAGATTTTGGAACAGATTTATCAAAAATATCAGTTGTTCCATTGTTAGCTGATCGTGATCATAAATTAACAAATCTGAAGAATCCAATAGTAAGATTTTTAAGACCAGATGTTTTTTATAATTATAGACATGTTAAAAGTTTATTACCTGCAACTTTTAATATTGAACCACCAATTGAAGATGATAAACATGCTTATGATGCTCCTGCAATTTCAGCCAAATGTCCTGGGGTTTGGATTCCTAAGGATCCAATGAATTTAGCTTCAATTGAAATTGAAAAATTATCTCCAGTTGTTAATATTAGTGATGAAAATGCTGGATTTAATGAAAAAGGTAAAATTGTGTTTTTTGGTAAACCACCAAATTAATGATTAGAATAATCTCGTAGATATATAATATTTAATATAAAATTGCATACATTTAGATAGGCCTACCATCTTGCCTCTCCTTTGATATAACATCATTTAGAGGTTCACGTTATACCTTGTTGCACCACTATATTAACGATCGAATTTACTATTATTTAAACTGGATATACTGAATATAATACAGTACGTAGTTTTGACCTGTGAAACCGCGAGGAATGTTCCAGCTGCAATCCAGTTTTGAAAAAATCTCAAGATTTGTGGAGCTTGTTAAATGTTAGCATCAACGGATAGCTTAAATAATTTTGAATCTTATTTGTATGGATCAAAAGTCTACTTTGCTCACTTTTGATTGACTTATTTACGGTTTTGCAACCTTTTTGCAACCTTGGACAATATTTAAAATCGAATAACTCTCTAATAAATGCCAAACGACACATACTTCAATCCATCTTTTTAATCAGGGAAAAATTCTGCATCTTTTGAGACCAAAAGCTCAAAATTGAAAAATTGAAGTGCTGATGGGGAGGTGGCCCAGTGGCGCCTACCAACATCCAATTTTGAGAAAGGACTGTGGTTACTTGCGACTTACTTTAAATGGATCCTTAACTTAATCCAAGTGTAACTTGTTAGGGTTAATTTTTATTTGAAGCAACATCCATTGCACAGGACTAGTTAATTGCTTCAAATGACTGAACTTTGTACTAAAAAAAGGGAATAAAGCGTTTAGTGGCATAATGCCCAATCGTAACAACCATCAAGTAATTCAAGTAGTTCATAATGTAATAGTCCTACAACTTATGACGTTGTATGAATTTTTAAATTCTCAATGTTTTACAACGACCATTCAACCGAAAGTTATTTGTTGTTTGTTTCATATGTCAATTTTTTCTTTTTTTCCCCACCAAAATAATTTTTTAATCTTGTACCGATATCAATATAAGCATAATTTATTAAATTAAGAAATTATATTATCAAATAATGAACTTATCAAGTTCAGTTAATCTACTATTCAAAAATCAATTGAAAGCTATGACCAACAATCATATAAATCCAGCAATTGCAAGACTAGCATTAACTAAACAACATTTAACTCAATCTCGTACAAACTCATCTTCTTCATCATCAACACCTTCACAAACCAAATTAAAATCTTCATCAGAAAGACCAATTATAATACCAACTTCACAAGGTAAGAAATATTCAGCCACATATGCCAATTATGCAACTACAAAACTTTCTAATAATGAAGTTAAAATATTATCATATTTTCATGATATTTCATTAGACCTAGATCCTATAAAAAGAGAAGCAAATTTTATATGTGAAATACCTCGTTGGTCAAATGCTAAATTTGAAATAGCTACAAAATTACCAGGAAATCCAATTGTTCAAGATGTTAAAAATGGTAAAGTTCGATTTGTTAAAAATTTATTTCCTCATCATGGATATATTCATAATTATGGTGCATTTCCACAAACTTGGGAAGATCCATTTATAAAACATTATGATCTTTATGGAGATAATGATCCATTGGATGTATGTGAAATTGGATCAAATATATTGAATACAGGTGATGTTAAAAGATGTAAAATTTTAGGATCATTAGCATTAATTGATGATGGAGAATTAGATTGGAAAGTAATAGTTATAGATATAGAAGATGAATTATCACAATATGTTAATGATATTGAAGATGTAAGAAAAAAATGTCCTGGATTATTAGAAGCAACAAAACAATGGTTTAAAGATTATAAATTAGCTGATTCAAAACCAGAAAATAAATTTGCATTTAATGGAAATTATAAATCAGCAAAAGAAACTATTGAAATAATACAAGAATGTCATAAAAGTTGGCAAAATTTAATTTCTGGAAAAGTTAAAGGTTCAAAAGATAAATTACCAAGTATTATAAATACAACAATTAAAAATTCACCTGGTTATATTAAAGATTATGAAATTAAATTAAATGATCCTTTAAATGATGATGATCCAATTCCAATTGATACTAATAAAAGTTATTATTTTTAATGATATAGACCGTTTACTTATTTATACAAACTAATATATATAGATTGAATTTTAAAGTTATTATTACATAATTCATTCATTTAATAAAGTTTTTAAACCTCTTATTTCTTCAAATACTCTTTTCACAAAGTTATTATATTGTTCATCACCTCTTTCAATAATAATTTGTTCTTCATGTGAACTTGGAATAATACGTGAAGTTAAAAATTTTGGATGTTTTAATAAATTATCAATACAATCAATAAAATCGTCTCTTTTTGATTCAGATTCAATTCCTGGTAATATTCTCATATCTATATCTTCACTATCCAATATTTCATTAGGTTGTTGAGTTTTTAAATATTCTTCAATATTCATAGCTTTTAATATATCATATATTACAATCAATTGATTAGTTTCAATTAATAATGCAGTTGAAATTTGAATACTTTTTGAATCATTACTCCAACTATTAAAACAAAATGAAATTTGTTTTCCAAATAATTGTAATGCTACACAAATTTCAGGTGCTACTGTTGCACCCAATTTATAAAGACTTGTAATGATAATTGGTAAGATTCCATTGATCCAAAGTTTATAATATTTGTTGTTATCAGTGATTGATAATTCCCCATTTCTTATTGGTTTTGATATTGGACTTTCTAATAAAGTAATATATAATCCTGAATTAATGATGTCATTAGCAACTGATTCAATTGACATGAACTCTGATAAAAATGTTAAACTTAATTGAGCAAATCCAAATTCTTCATTTAATTCAATTGGATGTGAATACATGTACATATTTATTAATGTCTTTATTGAGTTAAAACTTTTGATTGATGATGCTATTTTACTCAGCAACAATGGATTACTAGTTTGAATCTGCATGAAAACTTTAAGAATTGACAAAACCAAAAGTAAATCATCATATTTTTCATTTACTTTCTTTGACAACTCTTTAAAACCATTCACTTTGTATAAATAAATCTCGTTTTGTAATTCAATCGACAAAACTTTAATACTCTTTGTAACTATAATATTAAACAAATTTTCAAATAAACTTGTAAGTCCGAAAACTGTAGAGTTTTCTATCATTTTTAAAGCACAATATATGATTCTTAACAATGGCCTATAAGTTCCATTTGATGATGTTAATTCGAAAGCAAAATTCAACCCATCTGAAGTCAATAAAGTGCTTGCATTTTTTAAAATCTCAAGAGCTTCAGTTGTGTGTCTTTCAGGTTTTCTTGTATAAATGGAATAAATTAAATAAAATCCTAAATCTATTCTTTCAAAAAAAACTGATCTAAATCGTTCAGTTGGAATATTTTCTTCAATATCAATATTTAATAAAAAATTAGTAAATGTTAAATATTCATCAATTAATTTTCCTTCAAAACGAGTACAGAAACTTGTCAATAACGCTTTAAAAGAATGTACACCATTTAATTGAGCTGTTAGATATTGATCATTTATACTCGATGCTATTATCCTTTCTTTGATTTCATCCCAACTATCTGAACTTTTGAATAATTTATCCATTAATTTTAAATTATAAATTGCATCTATGCTGACTTTATCTCTTTCATGCAAGGAAGTAACGAAATCTGCTAAATTTGAAGTAGGATATGCAGCTTCAAATGAAGATTCCAACTCATTTTGTAAAAATGGATGATAATTATGAATTTCAAATTTATTTTCCACAACTTCTATAAATTCTTTTGAATTTAAAAATTCATTAATCTTCTTCTTACATTTTTCATTTTTCGTTGTGAACAAATATAAAGCTAAAATATCTGCAATTTTTGAAGCCAAGGTTACTTCATAACATCTACTAATATATCCCTCTATTGATTTTGGAGATTCTTTAATTTGTAATTTCGTTCTATCAAGTAATAATTCCACAAAATCCTCATCAAATTTAGTTTCTTTTACTGTGGTCCATGAATTACAAGATAATGCTATAGCATCAATTAAATGAATACTAACTGAATTTGGATAGTATTTGATTTCTCTTACATTTTTTTTCAAAATTTGAATTAATGATAATTTTGGTTCTTTAGACTCAATGTTGAATGCACCTTTTCCAGTGTTAAATAATACTATTAAACCTTCTTGACTACTACGCATAACAGCACATATAAAATTGTATAAAGACACTTTCATGTCGTAGTCATCAAAAGTATTGTCTAATCCATTGGCCAATGAATTTTGTAGTATTTTTGCTCCATCATTTCCCAAGTATGATAATAAAGATGGAGCGGTTTCATTTAACCAATCAGCATCAATAAGACTAGTTAACAAGTCTAATGAAAATGCTCCATACGATTCAATATTTGCAAATATTTGAACCAATTGTAGTGAATTCGTAAAAAGCTCTTGTTCTAAAGCCAGCGGTTTTACCTTCATATTATTCCTCAATTCAATAATCAATTTTGAAAATGAAAATGTGCTTTCAATATATTTGTAAGTCCAAATACCAGTATTGTCTGATAATTCCATAGCATTTAAATTTTGTGCCACTGCTTCTATAACATATAATAAAGGTAAAATTGCTCGTGCTGAATTTCTTGTACTAGCGGTAAACGAGTCGAATATTTGCTTGCTTGAATTAATAAAAACACTTGTAACTTTATTTTCCGAAGATAGACCATTTTGGACACCATAAACGGTAGTTAAAATTGTGGTAAAAAAATCAATAAGGGATACACTCATTTGTAATTTTTGATGAAAATGATTAAAACGGCTGTAAAAGATATTCTCAAATAAGAATATAAGGTGACTTGATATCTTGTGTAAAATCTCACTTTTAGTATTGAATGGATAATTGTAATTGATGGATATGCTTTCCTCTACCAAAGCATTAGCAAAATTTATCAAAGAAGCAGAAAATTTATAATCACCATTGACCATTTCAACAGAACCGAATATAAGTGCAGCTAATCCTTCTTTTCCATCTTTAGAAAATAATGCACTTTTAGTCAAAAATGGCCAAATTCTATTTGAAACAATAGGTATTAAAGTAGTCAATATATTGATTGTTGCAGTCAGTATAGTGACATTCCTTAAGTGTAATGCTTGTTCTAGGAAACTAAATATAATTTCCATTATATCAGATTCATCTGTATAAGCAGACATAGATTCTAACATTAATTTAATTTCTTCTTCACCATTATCTTTAGCGACATTGTTCATTAAATTTAAAATGTCAACGATAATTTCTTCTCTTAAGACATCCACATTGTTAAGATTTTTTGATAAATTTTGTAGCACTCGTCCAAGAAAGGCCCAGCCGTTATATTGATAAAGGAAAGTGACCAATACTTCATCCAGGTTTGCAGCTGGAAGCAACTTGGCTTTTGTTCCAGATGTTAATGCCATAGCCAATTTTTTGTTCGATTCAAATGGAGGATAAATATTAATTTCACTTGTGATTTGAATTAATTCTGGATCCTGTTCATCAAGATGATAAAGCTGATCAAAATAATCTTTTTTGTAATTTTGAATGTATGATCTTAAATCATTAAATTCATGTAATGCAAAGTTTCCATTGATGGAAGCAAGTTTAATATAAGGTGATAATAGTAATGGGAATTTGGCTCTAGCAATTATAAATGTATCGATTGTTGCTTCGTTGCTGAAAAAGTTTTCGACAATATTGTTTGGACAATTCCGTATTACATCCAATATGGTACTAGTGATTTCAGGAGTGAGTTCTAATAATGCAACAGATGAAGTAATAACAGTTGATAAAATAGCTGAATACAATGGATCATACTTTAAAATGTTATTAATTTTTTTCAACAAACCAAAAACGTCGAAATTTAAGCTCTTTTTGTTAAGTTGATTGATTGTTTCATTGATTGATGTAATGTCGAATTTTGTTTGAAAATTTTTGGAACTTTCAGAGTCGGGGTACTCCAGTAAAAAATATGACTTCCTTAGAAGCAATATCGACCAACTAAACGTTATTACAGAATTATTATTATAATCACTTGTGCAGATTTTATTGATGAAAGTGAAAATCTCGATGTCATTCATAAATTTGTCTGGACCATCATCATCATCAGAGTTGGATGTGTTTTCAAGATCTAATAATTCCACGGTTATGATTGTTATCAAAGCTTGTATTAAGTCATAAGCCTCTTGATGTAAAAGCGGAGACCCCACAGCTATTCCAAATTTAGATGCTTGCAAAAATTCGAACCACTCTTTAAGCATATTTTTGGTTACCAAGGGATTCTGCATCGATAATTCTATTAATAATTTCAAGGATTCAATAAAAAACAAGGCTAACTCTTTAAATATTGTTTCATCTATTCTATCAGATAGCCCCGTGATGTATGAACCATTTACCATACTCACGCTGGTATTTTTAATTGAATTCAACAATGAGTTAAGGTAGTTCCCAGATAGAAATATTTCTTTCCCTAGATTTCGGATTATTGATGATGCATATTGATTTGTTTTGTTACTTGCAAGTTCTGACGCAATCTTAAGAATAATTCTTCTTTCTCTCAATACGTTTAGTATATAGAGATTAAGATTTTCATTTTCAAAATCATGGTGCCTTTCGTCATCCAATTTGCTTTTAATATTCAATTTGTGTTTTGATTTTGGTGGAATTTTCTTACATGTTTGGCTTATAACTCTTATCACTTCTTTTACATCAAGGTTCAATTTAGAACTTATCAATTCCCCGTTTTCAATCATTTTTGAAGTCAAATCTGTAAAAAGTATCCCTCTAATTGAAATCTCTTTAGTGTCAGTTTTGATAGTTATTGATTTATTTTTTATTTCAAATGGTTCGGGACTTAAAATCACATCTTTGTTGAGTAGTAGAAATTCATTCAATGCGTCTGATAAATATGGGTCTTGACAAAATTTTATCAAACTCAAGGCATTTTCATATGTCCAATATTGAGTTGGTTGAATTGGTTTTGAAGGTAGCTTCGATGAGCCTGCTATGGTAGCAATAGATGAACTCATCTTCTCTTATATTTTCTCAACTAGCCTTGTTCTTGAAGTGGAAGCCAAGACGTGAGCTTTCTTCGTCAATTGTTTTAGAATTGTGTTGCTGCTAAACTTAAGATGTATCAAAGTAATATTTATTTTTTTTTCTCGTGTGTGTTGATGTTTTAAGTTTTTCATTTTTTCACAACCAATATCAAACTTAACTTCACTATCGTCGTATAACAAAAAAATACACGCTGCAACAATTGGATGACCTCGAGAAGTCTACAGCCGTTCATTGTCAGTGCGCCAGGTAAGGTGATTATATTTGGTGAGCATTCAGCAGTTTATGGAAAACCAGCAATTGCAGCAGCATTAAGTTTAAGATGTTATCTATTAGTTATACCGTCTGAAGACTCCAATACTTTACGATTACAATTTCCCGATATTGAACTAGATCAAACTTGGGATAAAAATGAACTTCCATGGGATGAGGTCAAAGATTTTATAAAACATGACAAAGATGGCAGACCAGAAATACCGAATGAGCTAGTTCCAGAAATCGTTGAAAAAATATCACCTTTAATTGATGGATTTAAAGACAACAACATACATTATATTGCTAGCTTTTGTTTTTTATATCTATATATCAATCTATGCAATAAATCTTTACAAGGAATGACATTTATTGTGAGATCAACTTTACCAATTGGAGCAGGGTTGGGTTCATCGGCATCAACTTCTGTATGTTTATCTGCGGCATTATCAAAACTTGGAGGATGGCTAAAAACACCAACAATTAATTTAACAGAAGATTCACCTGTTGAAGACATAGTAGAATTAAATTTTATAGATAATTGGTCTTTAATTGGTGAAAAATGTTTTCATGGTAATCCTTCTGGAATTGATAATGCAGTTGCTACACATGGTGGTGCAGTAATGTTTCAAAGAACTCCAAAACCTGAAAAATCATCAGTAAGAACTAATATACGAAAACTTCCTCCAATCAAACTATTATTAACAAATACAAAAGTTCCAAAAAGTACAGCGAATTTAGTTGGTGGAGTTGGTAAACTACATACTGAATATAAGAAAATGATAACTTCGATTTTGGATGCGATGGAGCATTTGGTTAAAGAAGCATATGAAGTAATGATACGACCAGGATTTGGAGCAGAAGAAACATCCATTTTGAGAAAATTATTCAATATAAATCATGGTCTTTTGGTAGCGTTGGGTGTTTCACATCCATCATTAGAGAAAATTAAAATAATTGGTGATAATTTGAACATTGGAGCCACTAAATTAACAGGTGCAGGAGGTGGAGGTTGTACTATAACATTGGTTAATGATGGTGTTGAAGAATCTGTTATTCAAAGTGCATTATTAGAATTTGAAAAAGAAGGGTATGATAGTTTTGAAACTTCTTTAGGTGGTAAAGGTGTTGGAATGTTGTTTTATGATGAAGAAAAGAGAAAGATATTCACATCGGAATCGTTTTGTGGTTACACAAATCGAGGTGAGGTTGAATCAGACTTGGCTGTTGAGAACGAGCCGGCATGGAAATTTTGGTAAATGAAGAACATTATTAATTAAATGCATAATGACTATATACAAAAATTTATTCAATATTATGCTATGTAGTCTAAATTCCCCTGTTGAATTCGACTGAGTTGATATGTTGTCCTTCCTTATTTTTCAAATGTTGAAATTTCTTCTCCAACCTACTAACTGGAAGAACTTCTCTTTGTGGAAATACAGCTAAAGCAAATGGTAATACAACCAATGAAGTAACAAAAATCAATCCGATATTAGTCAAAATCTCAACAGATTTTGGTTTATTTTTCAAAAACTTAGTCTTTTGTAATTTCACTAATATTAAAGGGGGTATCACCATAATTGGAGTAGCATTAATAACTCTACTAGCAGCAGTTTCTCCCACAGCATACCAAGCAGCAATCTTTGAATTTCCCAAATCTTTACCTTCTTTATCATAAACTGAAATTCCCTTTTTCAATTCTTCACTTCTCATTAAAAATACATTAGCAATACCAGCAGAAACAACAGCTGCAAATGGAACTAATCTACCTAGTATAATTCTTGTATTTGGTTTTATATTTTTCAATCTTGGTACAAGAGAATTTAAACCTAAAGCAACTGTACATGAAGCAGTTACTGCCATTGTATAATTTGTAATAATTTGTTTTGTAGTTAAAGGATGAGATTTATTTGAATTTGCAGTATTTATAGCAACATTCAAACTTTGATTTGCAATTTGCCAAAATAATGTACCTACTGTTCCTAAATTTGGAGTTAACATACCTGCTGTTACAACTAAATTAGATAAAACACAACTTGACATTCTAAATGGTAAAAACACAACTTCACCGGTATCTGGATGTAAAGTTGAATCCAATACCTTTTTAGCTCTCCATAATTCAGGACTCCATTTATTTGTAACTCCATTTCTATAATCCCATATCATTCTTTTTGCAGTTTCTATATCTTTTTTTGTATTTAATAACATAGTTGGATCGGAAATTTGAGCACAATGTTTAACTCTACCCCAATATGAGTTTAAATCATATTTAGATTGTGGAAGTGGAACAGGACCACTAATTGCTGATGCCATTGATTTTTGACCTGTAGTGATTAAATCGAGATTTGATGGGGTATTCAAAATTTGAAACAGAAAATGTACAAAATGAGTAATGGAATTTGATCCATATTACCGCCAAAAAAAAAACAAGCACGAAATTGGATTCAAAAGGACTTATTTTAGAATTAATTCAAGTAAATGAAAAAAATTGGGATTACATTAGGTATAGGTATCGATGTAATAAATTCATCAAGATTTCAAAAATTACTTCAAACAAAATCATCAACTTTTACATCAAGATTATGTGATCGAATTTTACATCCAATTCATGAAATTCCTAAATTTAAATCATTCACGACAGAAAGACAAATTCAATATATAACTGGTGCATGGGCTTCAAAGGAAGCATTATTTAAAACATTGGGTCCCGAAGATCAAAAAAATTACAATTTTAATCAATGGTATAGATATCATGATTCTTATAATAAACCATTTATTTGGAGTGATCATTACAACGTGGAAGATGAGGAATTTCATTTAAGTCTTTCTCATGATGATACATTAGTTATTGCTACAGTCTTAAGACAAAAAGTTTACAAAATATAGACATATTCTAATATTACATATTCATTAAAGTATTGTATTTTATCATTTTTAAAATCTATTCCCATTCAACAGTTGCTGGTGGTTTTGAAGTAATATCATAAGTAACACGAGCAACACCATCAACTTCGTTAACAATTCTTGAAGCTACTTTTTTCAAAAATGGAGCTTCAAATACAAACCAATCAGCAGTCATAAAATCAACAGTTTCAATAGCTCTTAAAGCAATTACTTGTTCATAAGTTCTTTGATCACCCATTACACCAACTGATTTTACTGGTAATAATGCAGCAAAAGCTTGAGAAATTTGTCTATATAATCCTGCTTTTTTAATTTCTTCAATGAAAATAGCATCTGCTTCACGAGCAATTTTAACTTGTTCTTTTGTAACTTCTCCTAATACTCTAATAGCTAAACCTGGACCTGGGAAAGGATGTCTCCAAACTAAATCTTGTGGAACTCCTAATAATTCACCTAAATGACGTACTTCATCTTTAAATAATTCTCTTAAAGGTTCAATTAATTTTAATTTCATATTTTCTAATAATCCTCCTACATTATGATGAGTTTTTATTGTTTGTGATGGACCTTTAAAGGATATTGATTCAATAACATCTGGATATAAAGTACCTTGTAAAAGATATTCAACTTCTGAACCATCATGTGGTTTAATTTTTGCAGCTTCTTCTTCAAAAACATGTATGAAAGTATTTCCAATAATTTTTCTTTTCTTTTCAGGATCTGTTATTCCTTTTAATCTACCTAAAAATAAATCACCTGCATCAACAACTGTTAAATTAATACCTAATCCTTCATCTAATGTTTTTTTAACACTTTCTGTTTCATTTAATCTCATTACACCATTATCAACATATATAGCATGAAATCTATCACCGATTGCTTCTTTCATTATTTTAGCTCCAACTGTTGAATCAACACCTCCAGAAACAGCACCAATAACTTCTGCTGTTGGACCAACTAATTTTTTTATTCTTGCAATTTCAGTATCAATAAAATTTTCCATACTCCAATTTGTATTGGCTTGACAAATATCAACTGCAAAATTTTTTAATAATGTTTTACCTTGTAAAGTATGAGTAACTTCTGGATGAAATTGAATACCATATATTTTCTCTTTTTCATTTGATATACCACAATATGGAGAATTGTCTGATGTTGCAACAACTTTAAAACCAGTTGGTAAAGCATGTAATTTATCGCCATGAGACATCCAGACTTGTGAATGATCAACATCTTTAAATAATGCACATTCTTTAACTTCAACATTTAAAGTAGCAGGTCCATATTCTCTTTTATCTCCTCTTGCTACTCCCTTTCCATTAATCCAAGCTATTTCTTGCATACCATAACATATTCCTAAAATTGGTACTCCCAATTTGAAAATATCATGATCAACATGTGGTGCATCTTCAGAATAAACAGAATATGGACCACCAGATAATATAATACCTTTAGGTTTCCAAGATAATTCTGAAATTTTTTGAGTACATGGTAACATTTCTGCATATACTTGGAATTCTCTTAAACGACGAGTAATTAAATGTGAATATTGAGAACCAAAATCTAATACTAGGATAGTATCAAATACTTTTGATACTTCAATTGGAACATCTTCCGGATTAGTTGGTGACATTCTTGGAGAAGTTCGTTGGATATTTCGATTTGAATGAAGATGTAAATGAATGAAAGTGAGTTGTTGATAAAAAAACAAAAGATTGAACTGAATATCAATGAGTATATATCAAAGAGTCAGATTATTTAAATTTTTCACTTTATTAATACTAGAATCTGAATATGCTAATAAGTTTAAATTTTTTTTTTTTACACAAAAGAATAATAAAATATTAAAACGTCTTTGAACTCATCTCTCTTCCAGATTTTGTTACATCAAATACTATTTCTTTTGCACTATACGCTGTTGAACTTCAGGATATGATTTTTCATATTGAATAGAATCTACATCCAATATAGATCAATCACATTTTGATCGTTGATAGATCAAAGAAAGTGTCACATCTCTGTCATACAATCTGATTCACTAGTCTATAATATTTGTCCCATTGGAAAATTTATTTTCAGTCACGATGTTGTAAAACCAGACTAGAGATGCGTGCGATAATGACAATAATAGTTTCTAATATATAAATAATACTGTTTCAATACTAATGATTATAAGAACAGCAGTTGACACTTGTAATATTAATATATATAATATAAATAATGAATAACAATCTAATAATTGTAGTAGTTGATGATAATCTGTACTTGAGTTAAAGAAACAGTTAATAATTTCATTTATCATTTCAAAGATACTTTTGATCTTTATATAATGTAACAATCATCATTACCCCAATTTCATTCAAACTCCTCTTTTATCAATAAATAGTATCACGTAAAACTTTATTCAAAACTCCTTGTTTCATATAATTAATAAACTTGTCATTGATTTTAGACTTGCGCTTAACGCGATGCTAGAATTCTCAACACTGCCCTTATTCGATGGAATTTATGAACGACGAATCTAATTATAGCAGATAAATCAAATTAATTGACCAAGTTTTATGATCATCCTAAAATTTCAAAATTAATAATACTTATAAATAATGAATATTTGATCTATGTCTTTTTCAAAAATGTAATTTCTTTAAACCACTTCATATGTGTAAAATAATTTATAACTTATTGTCTGATTGTAAAAATTTAATTAAATTGTAGAATTCACAAATTTTCTAAGAAAACCCAATCTTTATGATAAAATATAGTTCTTTATCTTCAATTCTAATCTGCCCTTTTTGTCCATCATGCAGAATAAACTTTAAAATTAAATTCAAATCTGCCCTTTTTATCCATCATGCAGAATAAATGTTAAAATCAGTATATGCTAATAAATTTTAAAATCGGTATATCTCCCCCTATTTGTTTAATTTCATAACAGACAAACTCATCTTAGTTTAAAATTTAAATAATTTTGAATATCAATTTTAATTATTCATACATCTATCAATTTTAATGATTCATGCAGCTAATATTCATGCTTTAATATTAAATAATATATTTTCCAATAGTTAATTTTCATATTCAATTTAAATAATAATATAAAAACATTTTTCATAATGTAAATATACTTTCCTTCAATCATATGTCAATTGCAATCTAATTTAATATATAAGAATTACCACATAATCATTATTATCATTTCATTCATCAATATCAATTTCGACATTAAACTTAATATCATTAACAGTATTAGGTTAAAATTTATAATTAATTTATACTTTCAAAATTTAAAGTAATAACTTTTCAATTATCAACTTTCAATCACTTTATATATAATGTATTTCTTACTAAATTCTTTAATTTAGTTATATAAATTTAAATATTTCTCTATTTGATAGTTTTAAATCTATCTGATCTAGTTGTGAATTGTTTAGAAAGCTCTTGTATTGTATGATAGTCTAAAAGATTATTTCTCTTTATTAGACATTGTACTTTTCTTCATCGTAGTACTTAAATTTGTCATACTATTCGACTTACATCTAAACGTTTAACACATTATTCTTCATCTGAAGTTATAGAAGCATACTTCTGTCTCACCACTTTGTGGTTCTCACTCCGATATATCTCCCATTGGAATTCATATTTATCTCAATTTGGTATTTTCTCTGTAGTAGTTTATAAATTAAATTATTATAATTATCTTTAATACCTTATTTAATCTCCCTCTTATTTTTGTGAGTTGGAGTTGAGATAATACTACCAACCAATGGTGGATCCTGAGCTATATCAGTATGTGATCAAAAGACTCTTCAGTTATATCATTTCTAGATCTAAAAACAAAGTTCATTTTTCATTTCATTTAAATACATTAAAAAATTTAAATTAAATTTATACTTACTATAAGTACATCTTGCATACTTAATTAAAATCTTAATTTTATAATTTTCAAATATCATTATCAATTATTCATCTGAATTTCAATAAATTTATCTTCATTCATATAATTTTCAAAATATTTCATAAATTATGTTTTGTCTTCAATCACTTTTGATAATGACAAAACCATTTTAGTTAATTCTTTCAATTTCTCATTTAAGTTTTCATTTTGATTCTCTTTCTTAATCTTATTCTCTTCATGTTCTTCTTTGATATCAATTTCATCATTCTCTTGAGATGTATTCAAATAATTTCTATTTCCACTGGTTTTATAAAACCTCTTATTCACATCCGGTTTAAAAACTCTATTATTATTATTATAATTTGTTCCCATAGTTTTATTTCTATAATCTGATGCTGTTGTTTTAACATAATTAATACTTTCAACAGGTTCCAATCTCTTTGGAATAAAACGAACATCATTTTGAACCAGTGTGAAAAAATCATCAACATCAGGAAGTTTAATTGTCTTATCATTTTCCCATTTTTTATAAATTGGAACTAATTTTTGACAGAACAATTTATTAAAATTATTATGTACAGCAATATAAAATGAATCAGTATAATGACCCCCAATCTGACCTTTATTTAATTTCAATATGAATTCAATTAATTCATCAGTCTTTCCAAGTTCTTCAAATTTTCTTCTTCTTTCTGGATAAATCTTATAATCAGTTGTAGTTAATCTGATTGTTGCTGCTTGAGCAAATCGATCATTTATTTCATTTGATAAATTTGGATCAACATATGACTTCAAATAATCCCAGATAATTTTCAAAGTTAAATCATCTACCTCAGGAATTTTATCTTTCAATTGCAATAACTTACCGTCTTGTAAGTCAGCACATAATTTTTCATCAAATTTTTGAATTAAATATACAATCTCAGAAGCTTCTCCAAAATAAATCATTTTCACTTTATCAACTTCTGGATCAAATTCATTAGGAGTTGTGATTGCTTTTTTCAAACCTTTATAATGATTAAATATCTTCTCAATAATCCCCTTCCATTTTAAAATACTCTCACCATCTCTAACATTTATTGCTGGAGCATCTTTAATAAATTTTGAATTCATACTTTCAACCTCATCATTTACCCATTCTCTTGCAAATTTTAAATACTGGAAATTTTGCATCAATTTGGTAAAATCGTTATGTTTTGGATAAACTCTGTATTTATTTTTCTTAGGTAACAAATTTAAATTTTCATCAATTTCTTGATCTTCATTGTCATCATTTACATCAGAAATTGCTTCAACTAATGCTTCATCTATGTCCATATCTGAATCACCATTATTATCAACAACAATTTTACTTCTTTGATCGACACTTGATGATGATTCACTTAATTCAACAGAAGTTTCTCTAGACGAGTAATTCATTTTGAATAATACAAATTCTTTCTTTTATTTTGATTATGAACTTTAAACTTTCAATCAAATGAATATAAATTGATAAACTATTACTATCAGCGAAATGGTTATCGCTTTTGACTTCTAATCTGTTGTAAAACCAGACTAGAGATGCGTGCGATAATGACAATAATAGTTTCTAATATATAAATAATACTGCTTCAATACTAATGATTATAAGAACAGCAGTTGACACTTGTAATACTAATATATATAATATAAATAATGAATAACAATCTAATAATTGTAGTAGTTGATGATAATCTGTACTTGAGTTAAAGAAACAGTTAATAATTTCATTTATCATTTCAAAGATACTTTTGATCTTTATATAATGTAACAATCATCATTACCCCAATTTCATTCAAACTCCTCTTTTATCAATAAATAGTATCACGTAAAACTTTATTCAAAACTCCTTGTTTCATATAATTAATAAACTTGTCATTGATTTTAGACTTGCGCTTAACGCGATGCTAGAATTCTCAACACACGATAAGCGTATGCTACCAACCGAGATTGTAAGTGATCCAAATCTTATTCCGATGGATCTCTGATCTAATCAAGATCATCAAGATATGTTTTCAATTTGAAACCACTGGAAAGGGTTCAGATTTGCTACTTATTTTTTAAATAAATTAACTCATTGAAAGTTGGTGTTACTCTTTTTGTAATTCTTAATCCGCATTTAGAACAATTTTGCAACCAAATTTGATCGAAAATTTGTTTGCAACATAATACTCAAGTCAAAGGTTATGCATTCATTATGCATTCATGATCGGTAGATTAATAAATATTTTCCAACAAGATCGTAACGAGGATTTTAATCATGACTTCTTTCCGACTCATCAATATTCCCTTAGTTTTACAAAGATATATTATTCATTAGTCTACCAATTCTATTACTTAAAACGATTACACAAAATAACGCAAATATAATGTACTGTGAAAAAAGGTACAAATTATTAGTAGAATTGTAGATGTAATTCTATAATAAAATAATAATATGTCAAAATTAGCTTCATCGTAGGTTCAATGAATTATTCCTAGAATTTTGATGTGTTTGTCAATGAATAGCCCTTCATCTACATGTTAATCCTGATATGAATTCAGATCTTATTACATCATTGATACATTACACTCAATTTGCTTTTTTTTTTGTTTTTTCACTCTTTTGTTCGTAAATGAAAATTTCATGTTTCCTTTTATTATCTCGAGAATAATAATAAATCTATTAATATTATAGCAATATTAAAATTCACACTGCAAAATAGTTTATCTATTTTAATAAAAACAACTTAAAATAATTAGCTTATACTTGTACTAGTCAATATAATACCAATTGATCTTAAATAAGTTGAATTAGCTATATAAATCTTGATTCAAAATGGCTGATGTTGGTGTTGCACCTGAAGCAGGAGGAGCTTCAAATGTATGTTATTCACACTCAATTGGTTAGCAGACCAAATAAAATCACAATTACAATTGCAATTAAAGAACGTTTACTAACTCAATTTATAATAGCCAAATGACCTTTTATCCCCTCCAAAACAAGTTGATATAGAACAAGCTCCATCGCCAGAAGAAGCATTAGAACCAAATAAAATTAAACAATTGAAAAAAAATGCACATCAAGATAATCAACTTAATTCACATTCAAAATCAAATGGGAATGCTCAAAATGGACAAATATCTAATAATAATGATCATAAAGATTTACCTAATCCATCAATTGGTGATGGTTTTCATAAAAATGTTAATGCACGTCAATCAGATTTTAATGAAAAAGACCCTACATATTTAAACAGACCACTTGTACCATCAGCTTCAGCTCAATCAGAAAATAAATCAATACAAAAGAATAAATCCAATGAATCAGAATCAAAACAAAATATTGAAGATAATGAAAAATCTGCAGTTTTTGGAAAACAAGATAATGCAGGTTTAAAACCAAGCCCAGATTTTGATATGTCTGATGTTAAAAGTAAACCACCACCAAGACAACCAGTGGATCCAACATTTAGAGGATGGAAAGAAGTCGGAGGATATGAAGCTGATGATGCCTTAACTGCAGCTGATGAATCAGTTGATTTATTATCAAAGGGATCTATATTCGATCAATATTTACCAGCTATAATGTATGGTGATTGGTATCATAATACAGCTTATTTAATTTTAGGAGGTCTTTTATCATGGATTGTAGGATGGTTTAGATTTTCAGTTGCACCATTATTTTTTATAATGGTTATATTTTCATTATTATATCGTGCATCAGTTAAAAAATATAGAGGTATATTAAGAGAACAAGCTCAAAGAGAATTTTCAGTTAAACAAATTGAAGATGATTATGAAACTATGGATTGGTGTAATTACTTTTTGGAGAAATTTTGGTATTTCCTTGAACCTTCTATTTCACAAATTGTTTGTGATCAAGCAAATCCTATTATGGCTGGTTTACCTATTCCAGCTTTTGTTTCAGCAGTTTGGTTAGATACATTTACTTTAGGAACAAAACCCCCAAGAATTGATAAAGTAAAAACATTAATTGGAACAGCAGATGATGTTGTTGTAATGGATTGGGGTTTTTCATTTACACCAAACGCTAATGTTGATGCTAATAATAAACAATTAAAAAATAACGTTAATGAAAATATTGTTGTTAAAGCAACTGTATTTGGTGTTACATTACCAATAACAATTGCTGATGTTTCATTTAAGGGTTTAGCTAGAATCAGATTAAGATTAATGACTTCTTTTCCGCATGTTGAAACAGTTAATGTATCAATGATCAAACCTCCACAATATGATTTTAACACCAAAATTTTGGGTGAAGCTTCTTGGTGGTGGGAAGTTTTAGCATTTCCTGGTTTATATCCTCTTATTAATGAAATGGTTAAAAAATATGTTGGTCCCATTTTGTTTAACCCAATGTCTTTTCAATTAAATGTTCAACAATTATTAGCAGGTAATGCTTTAGATTCTGCTATTGGAGTTTTAGCTATAAATGTTCATTCGGCAAGAGGATTGAAAGGTTTTAAAACTCTTGGAAATACATTAGATCCTTATTTAACTTTTGGATTTAGAAATAAAGTGTTAGCAAGAACAAAAACTATTAGTGATACAGATGCACCAAAATGGGATGAAACAATTTATGTTCCGGTTTCATCATTATCAGAACCATTAACCATTAGTGTTATTGACTATAATGATTTTAGGAAAGATAGACAAGTTGGTGCTGTTCAATTTGATTTAGAGGCATTAATTGATAATCCAAAACAACCTAATCTTACTGCAGCATTCTTGAGAAATAATAAACCTGTTGGTGAACTCAGTTTCGGTATTAATTATATGAAAACTTTAGAACCTGAAAAACAAGCTGATGGTGCTACTACTCCACCACCAGATTTGAATACCGGTATTGCAAGAATTGAAGTTGTTGAAGCCAGACATTTGAAAGGTGGTGATAAAGGAGCATCAACTAGTGCTGAACTTATATTTGATAATAAAACTGTTATTGAAACTCCAGTTCAAAAAAATACAAATACACCAGGTTGGGGTGCTACAACTGAACAAATTGTTTTTAATAGAGCAAAAGCAAAAGCTAAGTTATTGATCAAAGATCAAAATGGAAAAGTTATTGGTAAAATTTCTCATACATTAAATGAATTAATTGATGCTACTCAAGTTGAGCAAACTTGGTTTCCATTGAGTAAAGGTGGTGAAGTTAGAATCAATACTACTTGGAAACCAGTGCAATTAGAGGGTGCAAGTGGAGCTGGTGGTTACACTAATCCAATTGGTGTTATTAGAGTTGATATCGAACATGCAGAAGATTTACGTAATTTAGAAACTATTGGTAAAATTGATCCATATGCAAGAATATTAATTAATGGATTTGAAAAAGCAAGAACGGCAGCAGTTGATTCATCATTAGATCCTACTTGGAATGAAGTACATTATGTTAGTATATCTTCACCAAATCAAAAATTAACAATTGAAGTTATGGATGTTGAATCTCATTCTGCTGATCGTACTTTAGGTTCATTTGATGTTAAATTAAATGAATTCATTCAAAAAGATGAAAGAGGACAATATATTGAACATGTTGATAAAAAACAAAGAACTAATAAATTAATTTCGAAAAAGGGTCCAAAAGGTTCAGTTACATATACATTATCATTTTATCCATGTTTACCAGTTATGACATTACAAGATTATAAAGATGAAGAAGAGGATAAAAAGAATGCAGAAGAAGAAAAGAAGAAATTAGAAGATCTTAAACAAGATAGTAAAGCTCCATCAGGTATGGAAAGTTCAGATGAATTAAAACAACAAGAATCTAAAGATAAGAATGAAATTGAAGAAGATGATGAAGATGAAGAAAGTTATGGTCAAAAATTAAGATTATCATTAGATCAATTGATTGCTTATAAGAGTGGTATTTTAGTATTTGAAATTATAAAAGGAACTATACCTAAAAATGATACATATTTACAAGTTTATTCAGGTAATCAAGGTTATCCTGATTTTATATCTGAAAAATTAACTAAAAAAGAATCCAAAATTGAAATAACAGGAGATTCAACTATAACTGAATTAGAATGGTCTAAAACTTGTTTTAGATTAGTTAAAGAAAAAAGTGATAATAGAGTTGATAAATGTGTTGCAGAATTAACTATTCCAACATTACAATTATTAAAAAATGGTTATGATAAACCAATGTCAATTCAATTAGAAGGATCAGGAAATGCTTCTTTTGAAATTCGTTTTTCTTGGGTTCCATTAATTTATCAATCTGGAATTCCACCACAAGATTCTTCTGATAATTCAGGTATATTAACAATTAATGTTGAACATGCAAAAGGATTACCAGCATCAGATAGAAATGGATTTTCTGACCCTTTCATAAAATTATATTTAAATACTGAAAAAAATTCATTTTTCAAAACTAAAACAATTAAAAAGACTCTTGATCCTAAATGGAATCAAAAAACAACTGTTGAAGTTGCTAATTTATATGATTCGGTTTTAAAATTTGTATGTTATGATTGGGATATGGCTGATGCTAATGATTTATTAGGTACTGGATTAGTTGATTTAAATAAATATGATATGAAAAAAGGACCAGTTGAAGTTGAAATTCCATTAGAAAGTGAAGAAGGTGATCCAGCAGGATTTGCATATGCTGAATTATCTTTTAAACCTGAATTTGTATTAAACGTTAAACCAAAATCACAGACTGGTATTGGCCAAGTAGGTCATGGTGTTGGAACTGTTGGAAAAGGAGTTGCTGGTGCTGGAAAAGGTATTGGAAGTTTAGGATTTAAAGGTGCAAGTAAAGGTGTTGAAGCTGGTTATGGAGCAGCAAAAGGTGTTGTTAAGAAGATTTTTTAATTGAGAACTTTGTTATTGTTTAGATATTTTAATTCAAATTTGTATAATAAGCTCAAATATATGTTTGATTCAATTTGTAATCTCTTTTTAAAGAGTCAGAGACCATCAGAAGTGAATTGTGATAGTTCGTGATTTAGAATAGTTTAGTTTTTGTGTATTGAAATCTTTAATTTGATTTTATTCGGAAATTTAAATAGAGATGAGTTTTTACAAGTGCAATAGAAAAAAAAAAAATCAGATCCAATCAGTATACAATCTCACCGTATCACAATCACAAATTAAAAATATAATCAACTACTAGTGATAAAAATGGATATTTCGAAACCAGTAGGATCAGAAATATCATCTGTTGATTTCGGTATACTATCAGATGAAGAAATTTCAAAATTATCAGCAAAACAAATCACAAATCCAATAGTATTTGATAATTTAGGTCATCCTGTAAATGGAGGACTTTATGATTTATCATTAGGTGCATTTTTAAGAAATGTATGTACTACTTGTGGATTAGATGAAAAATTTTGTCCTGGTCATATGGGTCATATTGAATTACCTGTACCAGTTTATAATCCAATGTTTTTTAATCAATTATATATATTTTTAAGAAGTTCTTGTCTATATTGTCATAAATTTAAATTAAATCAAGTAGAAACTGATTTTTTTAAATATAAATTACAATTGATTCAATATGGATTATTATTAGAATGTATAGAATTGGAGAATTTAACTGTATCTGGAAAATCTAAAACTGAAGATGTTGATATGGATGATGAAGAAGAAGATGAGGAAACATCAGTTGATGAAAAATCGAAAAAAGAATTGAATGAACGTCGTCAATTATTTGTTAAAAATGCCATTGCAAATGCAATTAAAGATGGAAGAACAACATCAAAGGGAGTAATAACGGCATCAGTAAGTGAAGAAAGAAAATCTACAATTCATGATTTTTATAGAAGATTATTAAGTAGACCTAAATGTTCAAATTGTGGAATGTATTCACCAAGTTTTAGAAAAGATGGATTTGTAAAAATTTTTGAAAATTCATTAAATGATAAACAAATTACAAATAATAGAGTACGAGGATATCAAAGACCTGATATGATTAAAAAAAATGGAAGTTCAAAATCTAATTCTGGAACTACTGATATACCGAATATTAAACATAAAAGTGGATCTAAATATGTTTTAGCTTCAGAAATAAGAAACATTATAAGAGCAGTTTTTGAAAAAGAACAACCAGTTTTACAAAAAGTTTTCCATTCAAGACCTTATCAGCATGAACATACAAGTGGTGATATTTTTTTCAAACAATCAATATTAGTTCCACCAACTCGATTTAGATTACCTTCTAAATTAGGTGATGAAATTCACGAAAATGCACAAAATGAATTATTGTCAAATATATTAAAGACTTCAGTACTTATAAGAGATTTAAATAGTCAAATAACTAAAATGTATCAAGAAAAATTAAGTGGTGAACAAAAGAAAATTATTTTTAATAGACTTATGAATTCATTTGTTACTTTACAAAATGATGTAAATGCTTTTATAGATTCAACAAAAAATCAAAATGCACCAGCTGGTAAAATACCGAATCCTGGTATAAAACAAGCTCTAGAAAAGAAAGAAGGTTTATTTAGAAAACATATGATGGGTAAAAGAGTTAATTATGCTGCTCGTTCAGTTATTTCTCCTGATCCTAATTTAGAAACTAATGAAATTGGTGTACCACCTGTTTTTGCAACAAAATTAACTTATCCTGAACCTGTTACTTCTCATAATGCATCAGAATTAAGACAAGCTGTTATTAACGGTCCAGATAAATGGCCAGGTGCAGTACAAATACATAACGAAGACGGCTCACTAATTAATTTAAATGGAATGAGTTTAGAACAAAGAAAAGCTCTAGCAAATCAATTATTAACACCATCTGGATCATCAACATTTGTTGGGAAAAAAGTTTACAGACATATAAAAAACAAGGATGTAGTAATAATGAATCGTCAACCTACTTTACATAAAGCTTCTATGATGGGTCATAAAGTAAGAGTTTTACCTGGTGAAAAAACATTAAGATTACATTATGCAAATACTGGTGCTTATAATGCAGATTTTGATGGTGATGAAATGAATATGCATTTCCCACAAAATGAAAATGCTAAAGCTGAAGCTTTAAATTTAGCTAATACTGATTCTCAATATTTAACTCCAACTTCAGGAGCCCCATTAAGAGGGTTAATTCAAGATCATATTTCAGCTGGTGTTTGGTTAACTAATAAAGATACTTTTTTCAATAAAGAAACTTATCAACAATTAATTTATGGATGTATAAGACCAGAAGATGGACATACAAATGGTAGAAGTAGAATAATAACTGTTCCTCCAGCTATTTTCAAACCAGAATATTTATGGACTGGTAAACAAGTTATTACTACGATTTTATTGAACATTAAACCTGATAATGTACCTGGTGTAAATTTAATATCAAAAAATAAAATTAAAAGTGATTATTGGAGTGCAGAAAGTACAGAAAATGAAGTTATTTTCAAAAATGGTGAATTATTATCAGGTATATTAGATAAATCACAATATGGTGCATCACAATTTGGTATTGTTCATTCATTACATGAAGTATATGGTCCAGATGTTGCAGGTAAAGCATTAAGTGTATTAGGTAGATTATTTACAAACTATATTATGATGACTGCTTTTACTTGTGGTATGGATGATTTAAGATTAACTGAAGATGGAAATGAATGGAGAAAAGACATTTTAAAACAATCAGTTGATACTGGTAGAATTGCTGCAACTGAAGTAACTAATTTAGATGAAGAAACACCAAATGATGATAAAGAATTAAGAAGAAGGTTGGAAGAAATTTTAAGAGATGATAATAAATTAGGAATTCTTGATGCTATTACTCAATCTAAAGTTAATGCAATTACATCTCAAGTTGTTTCAAAATGTGTACCTGATGGTACTATGAAAAAATTTCCATATAATTCTATGCAAGCAATGGCATTATCTGGTGCTAAAGGTTCCAATGTTAATGTTTCTCAAATTATGTGTCTTTTAGGTCAACAAGCATTAGAAGGTAGAAGAGTTCCGGTAATGGTTTCTGGTAAAACTTTACCTTCTTTTAAATCTTTTGAAACTGATGCAAGAGCTGGTGGTTATATTAAACAAAGATTTTACTCAGGAATTAGACCCCAAGAATATTATTTCCATTGTATGGCTGGTAGAGAAGGTTTAATTGATACTGCCGTTAAAACATCTAGATCTGGTTATTTACAACGTTGTTTAACTAAACAATTAGAAGGTGTACACGTTAATTATGATAATACTGTTAGAGATGGGGATGGTACAATGATTCAATTCTTATATGGTGGTGATTCCATAGATACTACAAAACAATCACATATGAATCAATTTGATTTCTGTTTGGAAAATTATGATGCATTATTAGCTAAGTATAATCCTGGTGATGGTATTGATAATTTAGATACATCTGAAGCAGCATCATATTCTAAAAAGATTAAAAAATCATTAAAAAAACAAAAAGATATTCCTCATTATGATCAAGTTATTAAATATGATCCAATATTAAATGTTTATAATCCTTCAAAATATCTTGGTGCAGTTTCAGAAAAATTTTCAGAAAAATTAGATTCATTTGTAAATGATCATCCAGAATTATTTGCACAATCAAAAGAAGAAGCTAAAACATCAAATAAATTAACTGAAAAGAAATTTAGAGCATTAATGCAATTAAAATATATGAGATCTTTAATAAATCCTGGTGAATCAGTTGGTATAATTGCATCACAATCAATTGGTGAACCATCAACTCAAATGACATTAAATACTTTCCATTTTGCTGGTCATGGTGCAGCAAATGTTACATTAGGTATACCACGTATGAGAGAAATTATTATGACTGCTTCAGCTTCTATAAAAACTCCACAAATGACTTTACCAATATTAGATGATGTTACTGATGAACAAGCTGATGCATTTTGTAAATCAATTGCTAAAGTTGTTATGTCTGAATTTGTTGATAATGTAACTGTTACTGAAACTACTTCACAAGATGAAGATGGATCTAATAGTAGATCATATATTATACATTTAGGTTTTTATACAAGAGAAGAATATGAAACTGAATATGATATAAGTCAACAACAATTAGAATATGTTGTTACTAAATCATTTATTCATGCATTAGAAACACAAATAGTTAAAGAAGTTAAAAAACAAAAAAAACCAGATTATATGCCAACAGTTGGTAAATCAGCTGGTAAAACTGATATGGAAACTGTTAGTGGTAAAATTAAAGATATATCAGATGATGAAGATGAAGGAGAAGAAGAAGATGCAGAAGAAGAAAATATGAAATCTAAAGCTAAACAACAAGTATCATATGATGGACCAGACGATGATGAAGTTGAAACTATGAAAAGAGCAGAAGAAACAAGTGATGAAGAAATGGAAGATGTTGATGGAAAAGATACATCTTCTAGTGATTCAGAATCAGAATCAGATCTGGATTCTGAAGATGAAGATGGTGATATTAAAATGGATAATAAAAAATCAGAATTATCAAAATCAGCAAAAGATCGTCAAGCAGAAGTTATTGCAAATCATAATATGGTTACAAGTTTTAATTTTGATGATGACAAAGGTGAATGGTGTGAATTTAAATTAGAATTAAATGGTAATGAAACTCAAAAATTATTAATGGTAAATATAGTTGAAGATTTATTAAGAAAAACTGTAGTTAGACAAATTCCAAATATTGGTAGATGTCTTAGACCAGAACCTGGTATATCAGGTGAAAGAATTTTAACAACAGAAGGTGTTAATTTTAAAGCAATGTGGGAAGAAGAAGATTTTATAAAATTAAATTCTATAACATCAAATGATATTGCTTCTGTATTAAAAACTTATGGAGTTGAAGCAGCAAGAAATACTATAGTAAATGAAATTTATAGAGTTTTTGATACTTATGGTATAAGTGTTTCTTCAAGACATTTAGAATTAATAGCAGATATGATGACAAGAGAAGGTTCATATCTTGCATTTAATAGACAAGGTATTGATTCATCAACTTCAAGTTTTATGAAAATGTCATATGAAACAACTTGTCAATTTTTAACAAAAGCTGTATTAGATGGTGATAGAGAAGAATTAGAAAGTCCTTCTGCTAAAATTGTTATGGGTAAATTATCAAATGTTGGTACAGGATCATTTGATATTTTTGCTCAAATGCCAAAAATTGAAGAAATAAAAGAATAGTTGTTGACAACACTTTTAGATTTTGAATATTTCATTGTTTATAGCATAATAACAGAGATAATTTGATAACGTAATCATTAGATGACTTGTAGATTTTGTAAATCTGATCTAGTAGGGTTGGCATAACAAGTTGTATTTGAATCAATTCAGAAAATATAATGTTAAAAAAGGTTTTAAGGGGTATTTATAAAAATTTCAACTTTCCAAGAAAAACCCCACATTTTAATATTTTATAAGTAAAGTGCAACAACAAGCTAACTATGAATTATAAAAAGATGATTAAAATTTTAAGTTAAAGATATGAAATACTATATGATACTTCTCTATAATTTTTTCAAATGGTGTTCTTTTAATTTGACTGGAACTTGATTTTAAGAATAAGATGTCCAATTTTTTCAATATTCAAGGTTATGAAACTTTTGAATCAATATCAAATTTTCAAATATTTCTTAAAAATATGAAAATTATGGAAAAAGAATATATATTAATTTATGATGAATATTTATTAGATTCAATGTATGATAAATTATTTGGTAATCCAATAAATGAATCATTTATATTAGATGAAACAATATTTAGTAAGAATCATGATAGAAATGATGATACAGATAGATTAGAATTATTAAATGAATTAGAAAATAAAAATACAATTTATGAAATAAATCAAAAAATAAAAAATGTAATTGAGACTTCATCATTTTCAACATCATCAACTCCAACTGATTCTATATCAAACTTGTTATTACGAAGTTATACAATATAAAATAAAAAAAAAAATATAGACAGTCATTTGATTAAATAATTAGCTTTCAATTCAATTCAATTCAACAATGAATATTAAACATTATAAGCAGCAATAATTAAACTTAAAATAAATGAAATTTTAAAACTTGGATTTTTAAAAATTAATTGTTTTAAATCAATTTTTTTAGAACCAATTGAAATTATAGAATTCCAAGGTATTGAAATAATATTTTTATTTTCTAAAAATTCAATTAAAAAAAATGAACTTAGAGAAACAAATAAAAATACTTGAGATAATTTTCCTAATATTATACCAATAAATAAACCTGTTATTGACCCAATTGTTAATTCTTCATAATTTAATAATCCATTAAATCTTGATTCTGTTTTACCAGTTGATTTATTTACCCTAACATCATTTGAAATTTGTTGTCTTGGTAATGTTACTGCTGTGTCATTATTTATAAATAATTTTGTAAATGAAGTTGTTATTAAAATTGATGCACCTGCACTTGCAAATAACAATTTGAAAATTGATGATGATGATGATGAATTAGAGGAATTTTTGGAATAAATCTTCAATGTTGATGCAATTGATGATGAGTAATGACTTTTGGTGTTTGGGAAAACGGTTGAAATTGGATTTTGATATTTAAAAGTGGAATAAGATCTCGTGGTTGATTCTTGTTTCAATTGTGTAAATGATCTTTTAATAATAGTTTGTAAATATGGTGATTTAAACATTATTTATTCTTATTTATTAATATAACTACAATAGTCAATTGACTTATGAAGATGTTGTAGAATATTTAAGTAAATTTGATGATTAAAAACTTATTTAAAAACAGCAATTTTTAAATTAGTCTATAAATTACCTTACGTATTAGTTCTAACAAATGTTGGGGCACCTGTATATAAAATTAATGACATAAAACTTAAAAGACAGAAACGGATAATACACGATGATGAAACATAAATATTTCTTCCGTTCTATAAAGGAATCAATTGAATAAATTTGTATGGAAATAGCCTTGGGCATGAGTTACAATACGCCGCTGTTAAAAATTAGGCTCTTATTCTACATCACTTTAAGTTGTCGCCAAATCTAAAAGAAGTACTATCACTCAAGATTTTATCATCTTTGAATATCTTAAGACTGATTAACGTTTCGGTTCTTGTCGTTGTCGGTTTGATTGTTTCATTGACGGCAACTGGATATCCATTGAGATAGAGCATGTTTGAGACACTTAATGAGAGATGAGCACTTCAGTTTGGATACTTGTTTTTGAGTCCAGAGGTTTTAACTTGTGGTCATATGAGTAGGTATAATTACAATTAATTTGAATACTTTCATGATATTCCAGTTTCAGAGTCTGTCAATAGTAGCACATTGTCCCAGCTAATTCAATGGTAATTACTGCATGTCCAAAACTTATTCAATGAATTGTATCCAATCCATCAGGAAATATTCCTTTGATCTTGCAAAGCTGCAAAAAGGATTGTGTCCAATCTTGTGTGTTCAGACTTCATATCCTTCTATTTCCGACTCTAAGTAATGGTCGTAAGATTGATTTCCTTCTTTTTCTGTATTTATTTTGTTTTGAACTCGATTGGCGAAACAAATGCAGGTAAAGGAGAAAATAAGTCTTACGACCAATGCTCCCAATTATACAGTGTAGTAGATTTACTGGTAAAAGATATATTTTCCCAATGGATTTTGAAAGGGGATTGTTCTACATACTAATTTTTTTATAGAAAAACAGTTCGTCGATATCCATTTAACGAAGAAGAGCTTCGAGGTACCGGTTAGTTAACTTTTGTCATTTCCAATCCTTTAAAATCTGACTTACATATGAGGATTTTGGATTGTAATTTACTATTTTGTGGTCTTAGCAATTGCCTATAAAAATTTTGGCATTGAAATGTTGGATGATTTCCAAGGGTTCTAGTGGGAATTTCCTCCGTACGCAAATCAAATAAAAACTTGTATGTCTCTGTCTATGTATCGATAATGCCCTAAATTGAGCGAATGGAAATTAACCAATTCATATGGATATTTAATTTTGGCGCTATTGAGATTCTTGAAAAATTATTTCCATTTCGATTCACTAACTTTTAATTTCCTGCTTCAATTGTCTGGGATGATGAATTGGGTTAGTAACTGATCTTTCCTGGATTGTTGTCGAAAATTCTCCAAGTCTACCAAACTTTTTATTATCTGCTTCATCTGCAGTTCGGACACTTTGCTTTAAGATCATAAAAGGAACGAAATGATAAAAATTGACCGGTACATCAGAGCACTACTTCGACTAAATGGACATCGACGAATTCAATCGGAAGCTGAGCTTTCAGATGACCATATTAGACGATGGAAACCGGTATATCTTAAACTTGAATAAGTTATTTTCAAGTTTAGCTCTTGAACAGTTTAACACACATTCAGAAGTAAGTATGAAAAGCAAAAACAACACTTTATGACAATTCTTGACATGTGGTATTAACTTGTTTGTTGACTTTAGATTGATTGAAATTTTTATTGTATTCAAAGTATTTAGACTAGAGATATTACTCGACTAGAATAATTTGTGTTACAAAAGTATAATAAGACAAAATTTCTCGTAAATATTTTATTGGATTTGCACGACCTTCTACTTACTATAATAAGACATTAACATTACGTTATAAGTAGAACTTTTATGCTACCAAATACTGTCTTCAAAATTAAGTAAGCTCAATTGAATTTTTAAAAATAAATTTCTTTTCATTTCCCTTTTTTTTTTTTTACTTGCAAAATATTATTCATTCTGTACATATTTTTTTTACAACCAAATTTATTATATTTCCATACAGATATTCAATTGATAATTTGATATCAATCTATATTTGAATGTTCTTCTTTTTGGCTCAACCCAATTTAGAATATATATAATTGGAGATACTGAATATTGTATTACCTCAGAATTGATTATACTTTCAGTGGGGTAAATTTGTATATTGAATATATATTTTTTTTTAGTGTTTCAGTATACAAAAGAATTGTTTCATATTATTAAAACATTCTAAAACATAGAGCACATATATAAAGATATCAAACAACTATAGAGGACTTATTTAATTAAAGACTCAATCCATCAAATTATACTCAATCCTATTAACTAATTAAATTTTGGCGTTAAAAATCACAAACTTCAACTCGAAAAAAGTGTTGCAAAAAATTACAACCACAAAATGTTTCAACAACAACAACAACAACAACAAGGATTCAATCAACAAAACCAATTCCATTATTGTAATGCACCAATTGACAACACATCATCATTCTTTAATCCAGAGGTACCACAAGAAATTTGTCCAAATGTATGGTTAGGACCATATCAATCATTAATAAATGAATCATCGACAAATAATACAAGTTTTATAACAAATAGTAATGTTAAAGTTATAATAAATTGTGGAACAACAATGAAATTTTTAAATCTTGTTGAAAATTCAAAAAATGTATCAATTTCATCAGATATTTTGATATTAAGTTTAGATCCATCATTTAAAATTAATGAAGAAGAACAACAACAGAATGAATTAATTAAAAATTTTATTTCAAAATTTAACAAGATTTTACAAAATTATATAAATTCATTTTATTTAAATTCTCCTATAAAAAATTTAATTTATAAATTACCTCAACATAAAAGTTTCCAAATCAAAACACCCATATTAAATGATTTAAATTTAAAAATTCAATTATTTAAAATTATAAGATTAATTTCAATATTTAAATTAATTAATCAAAATTTACAAATATTGGTGGTGTCAGAAGATGGTAATTTAAATTTATCAACAGGAGTTTTAATTAGTTATATAATGGATAATTATAAATTTAATTTTACAAATAGTTTTAAATTTTTAAAATTAAAAAGACCAAGTATAAATGATTTTAATTTCAATTATTATGATGATTTATTAATTATTGAAAATTTAAAAAAATTTTATTTTGAAAATGTTGAAATTAAATTAAATGATTGTAATTTAATGGTTAATAAGTGTAAAAGATCTTTTGATGATGATGAAGGGGAGGAAGTAGAGGAAGAAGAAATGTATGATGATTTAATGAGAGATGAAATATTAGTTGGTGGTGGTATCAATGGGGAAATTAGGAACTTTAGAAGAAGAAGATTAAACTAAGATTCGTTCAATTGTCAATGGAATAAGTTTATCAACCATTTTTCAATTCACTATTTAAAAAAATTGTATGAATTTATGTATCATTATTCTTGTATTATTAAAATCCGATTAAAGTTAAATATCATCAAAACAAACATTATTCATCACGTCTTTGAAAACTATCTCTAGTTACTCTCTCTTCTCCGGTTTCAATCCTACGAAATTTTTCAAAATTTCTTTATTGAGGTACATCTAATCCAACTCTATTAGCAGATTTTTGAACATTTTCTTGTTGATCAAAAATTAAACCAGGATTATATCTTATCAACAATTCAAAATATTCTCTTTGATTTTTTAAATATATTAATACATTATTTAAATTATTTAATTCATAAGAATTATTTATACCAATTTTATCATCTATAATATTATTTAATAAATTTAAATCTTTTAATTCTTTGTTTTTATGAGTTGTTTGAGATGATAGATTCTTTAATTTTTCATTTAGCTCGTTAACTTCATTTGTTTTACCATTTTTTATTGCATTTTGTTTTAAATAATTATAATATGTTATTAATTTTTTATTTTCATTTTTAGAATTTAATTCAATTGTTTTATTTTCATATATTAATAATTCTTTTGATATTGATCTATATATTTGTTTAAATGTTGGTAATGATTTTGATGAAATTGACATTCTTTATCTGTTTTTAGTAATTGAGAGGTAGATTTTGGTTGAAGTAAAGTTGAAATTATATTAAAGATTGTTTTAGAAAAGAGTTGATATTTTACGAAGTTCTAATATGCAGGTTCAGATCTATCTGTGAATATCCAAACTACAACTATTCCATCATATGTCGTCATTCAACATTACGAAACACATTCATTCACCAATAAAATATGTCCACTACCTCATGAGCTTAAACTCAAGAGACTTTTTTATTGAATAGCTATTATGACAATTGAAAACGTTTTACATCATTTAGTTTAAGAACCAACACCATATTTGTAGTATCAACAACTAGTGATCAACATTGATATGATATTTAGATCTTTTTAAAAAAGCAAATACCATATATATCCTCAGTAAATGTGAAACTCTGACAATCTCCAATAATTTGTTACAGTTTTAACATTTCAAAGGTAAGTATTTAATACCACTAAATTTAATCCACATATTTTGATTGTCCTAAAATGCTCATTCTCTAATCGCATTAACTCATCAATGATAACTTTAAATCCACAAGTTAAGATTTTTGGATGTTTTCTCTTTTACCTTGCTGTTAAGATGTTATGCAGAACTGAAGTGACAAAAATCTCTAATTGAATTTAAATGTATCATCTTAAATTATCAATTACTCACTGATTATGTTTAAAGTCATGTCAAAGTTGGAAGTTATTTTCAAAACAATACTTTCGAAGTCGAATTAAGTTCCAGATCATTCACTTTACCATTAGTTTGTAAATCTCACAACCAAGAAAGCTAATATCAAAAATATATTTATAACAGGATAAAGAAATAAAATCCAATATGGTTTTAAATTTTCAAACCAATTATAATATATCAAGATTGAAACAATAAATAAAATCCAAATAAAACTTTCAAAAATATTTTTAAAAAATTCAAATTTTAAACTTTCTTGAATACCATCAATTTCTCTAGGTCGATTTTTATAAATTTTTGATAAAGTTTTAAATAATTGAGATTGTAATAATGTTAATATAAAAAATCCTATAATTTGATATTGTTTAAATTGTTGAGGTATTATTAAATTTATATATAATTTCAATTGATTATATAATTTTTCATTTTGATTTATTTCCAGTATATCTTCAATATCTATTGAATCAATTGGAATTGTATCGATTGAACATGAAGCAAGACTCAAGCATAACAAGCTTGAAATTGCCGATTTAGTTGATTTATTCATTCTGATATGGCTATAAAAATAGTGATGATAAAAATAATCTTTGATAGAGTTTACAAAGTATTAATTAGGTAATCAATGCGGCTTCGTAGTAATTTATCCGTCGGACTTTTTATTTATTAAACTTAAAATGCTACCAATTACGGATGAGTTTATTTTATTAACCAATTATATTCCAGTATTTCAACATATGAAATATAATATTTAAGGTTAATTAAATTCGGACTCGAACTCATATAGAGAGATAACACAATTCAAATAGAAAGCTCTCTTCAAAGAAAATAAAAAATATACACTAAATTCAAAAATAATATTTCTAAATTTATAAAGCCGATGTTTGAGTAAATGTAACAGAAGTATTCATTTCAATAATTCGATGAGATTAATGCATTTTCTCCTTTAGCAGAGTATCAACAGGATTTATTTTTTACTGAACCTTCTTTGAAATTGATGCTAGTCAACCTCTCATTACCATGATTGAACAAGGTATAGTTGATATTGAAACATCTTCTTTTTGTAATACTGTTTTAATTTTGTGTGGTTTTCGGAGTAAAAATTTAATTCTTTCGTTCTATCGTGTCAATTTTTAATGAAGATTTAAGAGAAGATCTCATCAGACGATGTTCTAAGATATAAGAATCAAGGACACATAATTCGTATCGATAAAACATTGGAGATCTATATGAACTAATGAATTCATACAATAATGAACACAGTAGAGATTTATATCTTTTTCAAATCAATCAATGTATCTCTGTGTACACATCATGTTAAATTGTAAGTACAAAAATTTCTTTTCTTAACAGTAGTTGAATTAATTTTAATGAGAAAATTTATTTTCATCAAATCAATTTAAATTTAAAACCTAAGGACTTTAACTATTCATTTCTTATAAAAAATATACAAATCACCAATTCTACTTATCCAATTCATAAATATGCTTAGAACAACCATCATTGCTCAAAGATCTGCTATTCGTTCATTAGCTACATTTGCATCACCAGAATCAGTATTACCAAAAAAATATGGTGGTAGATATACTGTTACATTAATTCCAGGAGATGGAGCAGGTCAAGAAATTACTGATTCTGTTAAAACCATATTCAAATCACAAAACGTACCAATTGATTGGGAAGTTGTAGAAGTTAGTGGTGTTGAAAGTGAAAGTGGAAAAAATCATGGAGTTGATGAAGCTGTTGAATCTTTAAAAAGAAATAAAGTTGGTTTAAAAGGTATATTATATACTCCAACTGATAAATCAGGAAAATCTTTAAATGTTGCTTTAAGAAAAGAATTAGATATTTATGCTTCATTAGTTTTAATTAAAAATATTCCAGGTGTAAAAGGTATAATTGATGGAATTGATTTTGCATTAGTTAGAGAAAATACTGAAGGTGAATATTCTGGATTAGAACATCAATCATATCCAGGAGTAGTTGAATCATTAAAAATTATGACAAGATTTAAATCAGAAAGAATTGCAAAATTTGCTTTTGATTTTGCTGAGAAAAATAATAGAAAATTAGTTACTGCTATTCATAAAGCAAATATTATGAAATTAGGTGATGGTTTATTTAGACAAACTGTTAAAGATGTTGGTCAAGATTATAAAGGAATTGAAGTTAATGATTTAATTGTTGATAATGCTTCTATGCAAGCTGTTGCAAAACCTCAACAATTTGATGTTTTAGTAACTCCAAATTTATATGGTTCAATTTTATCAAATATTGGTGCTGCTTTAATTGGTGGTCCAGGTTTAGTTCCTGGTGCTAATTTTGGTAGAGAATATGCTGTTTTTGAACCAGGTTGTAGACATGTTGGTTTAGATATTAAAGGTAAAAATTCTGCAAATCCAACTGCTATGATTTTATCTGCTACTATGTTATTAAGACATTTAGGTTTAAATGATCAAGCTGATAAAATTTCAAAAGCTACTTATGATGTTATTGCTGATGGTAAAGTTAGAACTAAAGATATTGGTGGATCAAATTCAACTACTGAATTTACAGATGCTATTATTGATAAATTATTAGCTTAAACAATTGTTTATTAATAACATTTATTTAGTTCCCAATGTTTATTATTAATTGATAGAAGATACAGATAATTTAATATAAAATAAAAGACAATTTTTTATTTTAGAGATTAAAGTTCGAAAGCTGCTATTCTTTTACTTTGTATTGTTATTCTAAATCTGAGTAGATGTTTAAAATTTAGACTTCTTAGGTAATGATTTATGTGACCAGATCTAATCTTCAAATCTTTTAAGTTACCATCAGGAGAATAGATATTCATTTTGAACCTCACCTTTAGCCTAAATTCATCAAGATTGAATCAATTAATCTATCGTCATCCCTGACTATGTCATTAGTATAAATAGAATTTAAGTTTAGTAGTTACTGATCTAATCCTTGCCCTGTTGCATGATGTTGAAAGAGCAAGGAATGTAGTTTTGGGGACTCAATCCTTCTTTTCTTTGTTTCTCTACTATTAGAAATATATTGTCGATAGGTTCGTAAGTAGGTGCACTGACTCTGCTAGGATCAAAATCGCGTCATCTTTTTCGTCATCAGCTTTGTAGGTAATGTACCCATTTGGCGAATATTGGTTTTATATTTGGTGGAATATCGACTATACCTCCGGTGTTGACTATGTTTGGTGGAGTATCGACTATACCTTTAAATCTGATGACCAAAAAGGCGACGTGTTGTCCGCTTGATACCTAGCAAAAGTTACAAGAATTGTAAGATTAGATAAAGTTGTTTAATTTGAGTGATGAGAAATGACCACAATGATGTTTATCTTTCTGTTCCCGTTAATACCAAAGTACCGTTTTAAGCATTGATTTAAATTGATTTGTGCTGGGTTAGATGCATCGAATAAATCTAGGATCTTTTAGCTCCAACAGGATCTATGTCCGGGGGATCATGACATAGATCCTGTGGGAGCAAAAAGATCTCTGTGCCTATATTCAACGATTCTCTAATTAGGCTAGGCTTGAGTTAACTTTCGGTATAATAGATGAAACTAGCTTGAATTCGGTGAAGTACAGTTAATTACCAGTATATCTCTTCCACATCCAAACTTATTAAATTTATTTAACCTATACCACTGACAATCAAAACTGCTTTATATGTAACCAAAAATTACCAGCGAGTCAATATTTCAACCTCGTTATAAATTGATGTATGGCTTCGGAATTCATATGGGAAATCAAATCGTGTGACAGTGGAAGAAGCTTGAAATTATTTATCGGAAACGATGAACTCTAAGCTTAGCACAACTCAAAATAAATCCAATCCTTTGTCATTCATTCGACAAATTATTCACAATTAAAACTTAGCCAATCTTTATACCATCTAAACACCATGCTTGAATCTCATAATGAACTTTCCCATCACGTCTTTGAAAGTAAATTCATACCATCACAACACTTCACAATAATTTTGTTTCTTTTACTGATTATATGAAAATTTCAATTTAAAATAATCCTTTATTTCTTTTTTTTATTGGTTAGTCAAAATCTCTCTCAATGACTCGAAATAAAACAATTTCAATTTCATTAAATTTTTTTTCACATTTTTTGGACTTCTTTTTTTCTTAACGATTTCAATCGTTCAACCTTTAGATTATATATACTAAGTTATATATTAATTTAAAAGTTTGTCTGTATTCACAAGACTATCCATCCATTTTTGAAATAAAGATGTGTGACGTTGTTTTAGGAGCTCAATGGGGAGATGAAGGTAAAGGAAAATTAGTTGATTTATTATGTGATGATATAGATGTTTGTGCAAGATGTCAAGGTGGAAATAATGCAGGACATACTATTGTTGTTGATGGTAAAAAATTTGATTTTCATATGTTACCTTCTGGATTAGTTAATCCAAAATGTCAAAATTTAGTTGGATCTGGAGTTGTTATTCATGTTCCATCATTTTTTGAAGAATTAAAAAATATTGAATCAAAAGGATTAAATTGTCGTGATAGATTATTCATAAGTTCAAGAGCTCATTTAGTTTTTGATTTTCATCAAAGAACTGATAAATTAAAAGAAGCTGAATTATCTGAAAATAAAAAATCTATTGGTACAACTGGTAAGGGTATTGGTCCAACTTATTCAACAAAAGCTTCAAGATCGGGTATTAGAGTTCATCATTTAGTTAATTCTAACCCAGATTCATGGGAAGAATTTAAAACTAGATATATGAGATTAATTGATTCAAGAAAGAAAAGATATGGAGAATTTGATTATGATTTTGAAGGAGAATTAGCAAGATATGAAAAATATAGAGAAGAATTAAAACCATTTGTTGTTGATTCTGTTGAATTTATGCATAAAGCAATTCAACAAAAGAAAAAAATCTTAGTTGAAGGTGCTAATGCTTTAATGTTGGATATTGATTTTGGTACTTATCCATATGTTACTTCTTCTTCAACTGGTATTGGTGGAGTTTTAACTGGGTTAGGTATCCCTCCCCAAACCATTAAAAAAATATATGGTGTTGTAAAAGCTTACACAACTAGAGTTGGTGAAGGTCCATTTCCAACTGAACAATTAAATGAAGTTGGTGAAACTTTACAAGATGTTGGGGCTGAATATGGTGTTACTACAGGTAGAAAAAGAAGATGTGGATGGTTAGATTTAGTTGTTATGAAATATTCAACTTTAATTAATGGTTATACATCATTGAATATTACTAAATTAGATGTTTTAGATAAATTTAAAGAAATAGAAGTTGCAGTTGCATATAAATTAAATGGAAAAGAAATTACATATTTCCCAGCTGATTTAATTGATGTTGCAAATGTTGAAGTTATTTATAAAAAATTTCCAGGTTGGGAAACTGATATTACTAAAATTAAAAAATATGAAGAATTACCTGAAAATGCTAAAAATTATTTAAAATTTATTGAAGATTATTTAAACGTTCCTATTCAATGGGTTGGTACTGGTCCAGGTAGAGAATCGATGTTGGAAAAGGCTATTTAAATCCCTTTAATGCTTAATCAACTGCTTTTCCTTCTTATAAACTTTGTTTTAACCCCTTTATGAACTGCGTCTATAGATTATAAATTTAGAAATAGATATATAAACATATTGTTAGATTTTTTGAAGTGTGAGTTTACTTTGGTGAAAAATTCAAATCAACAGACTGCATATACGTAAAACCATTGAATATCAACTCGCCACTTTTAAGGCTTTAAGTTCAGTCTTACTTTCAATAAAGTTATTCTCATTGCATCAACTATGACTTATAGATTGAGCTCAACTCTACTGGGGCATGAACAAGATGTCAAAAGTTTGGCTAACACAACAATTGACTCAAATCCAGTTTTAATTTCAGTTTCAAGAGATTCAACTACAAGAGTATGGAATAATCCGAATATTACATCTAATGATTCAACAATAATTTTCAATTCTCCATCAAAAGCATTCATAAACTCTACTGCTGTTATAGAACGTGAAAATGGGGAAAAGTTAATAGCTAGTGGAGGACAAGATGCAATAATATATTTAAGTGATTTAAATGATAATTTTGATCAAGATAGTAAATATCAATTAATTGGTCATCAAGGTAATGTATGTGCCATGAATTTTAAAAATAATGAGTTAATATCTAGCTCATGGGATGGAACTGCAATTGTTTGGAATTTAAATGAATTTATACCCAAATATATTTTAAAAAAACATGAATCATCAGTTTGGGATTGTAAAATAATTGAAAAAGATAAATATATCACTGCATCAGCTGATAAGACTATAAAACTATGGCATGGTGATCATGTAGTAAGAGAATTTATTGGACATCTGGATGTAGTGAGAAAATTACTAGTCTTACCGGGATCAAATCAATTTGTATCAAGTTCAAATGATGGAACAATCAAAATATGGGACTTAAACACAGGATCTAACATAGCGACTTTGGTTGGACATGATTCTTTTGTTTATGATTTAGCACTATTGTCAAATGGAAACTTAGTATCTACTGGTGAAGATAGAACAGTAAGGGTATGGGATTTGAACGCTAGAAAGGTTTCACAAGTTATTACATTGCCATGTATATCCGTTTGGTGCGTAACTACATTTCAACAAGGCAATGATTTTGCTGTCGGGGGATCTGATAACCTAATACGTACATTCACACAAGATCCAGAACGAATTGCTTCTGAAAGTGAAATTAAAAAATTTATTGAAGCTGTTCAATCTTCTTCTATATCTGAACAGTCATTAGATGATTTAAAGAAAACTGACATTCCAGGAATCGATGTTTTACAAAAACCAGGTAAAAATGAAGGATCTACTATAATGGTAAAAACAAACGATGGAACAATTGAAGCTCATCAATGGTCAGGTGGTGAATGGCATAAAATTGGAGATGTAGTTGGAGGAGCTTCGAAATCAGGTAAAAAACAGGAATATCAAGGTAAAATGTATGATTATGTTTTTGATGTTGATATTAAAGATGGTGAACCACCTTTAAAATTACCTTATAATTTAAATGAAAATCCATATGTTGTTGCTGAAAAATTCCTTGCAGATAATGAATTACCAAGTTCTTATACTGAGGAAGTAGTTCAATTTTTAGAGAAAAATACTGAAGGAGCAAAACTTGATGAAAATGTTGCACCAACCACACAAACTGGGGAACCTCAAAGAACGATTGATCCTTATTCTGATGCTTATGTTAGAGAACAACGAAAATCAAAAACTTTACTGGTTATTCCTGAAAAAGCATTCATATTGTTTAAAGAGTTCAAAAAGGATTCAATAATAAATGGGTTAAAGAAATTAAATGCCAATCAGACAAAAGATAAATTTGTTGATGATGATATACAACATATAAATGATTTATTATCAGATTTATCATCTCAAGATGCTGTTGAAATTATTTCTGATTATGCTCTTCAAATTATAGCAAATTGGGATGTTAATTCAAAATTAATTGGTTTTGATTTATTAAGATTAAGTATTCCTAAAGTTACTGCTGTTGATTTTTTACATGAAAAATCACCAACTGAAACTATAAATAATGAAATAATAGCAGGTTTAACAGCAATTGGACCTTCAAATTCTGCGTTATTAATGATGGTATTAAAAGTTTTGAGTAATTTTATAAATAGTGCTGGATTTATTCAAGCATATATGGATCCTGTTGGAACTAACTCATCATTATATCAATATAATGAAATATTTGAAGAAATATTGAAATTAATTTTAAACAAATGTAATATCATCGATACTACTAATAAGTTATATTCATCAGCCATAGTTTCATTGGCCACATTCATATACAATTTATCTGTTGTTCAACTCAAAACTACTGGATTAAAAGTAAGATCAGAAGAATCAGCAAAACCTATTTTACAATTAATAAATTCTGTAGGTCTGCAAATTATTGGTTCTTCAAATGAAGCTGCTTATAGATTATTAATCGCTTATGGAAACTTCAAATTCAGTGAAGCTTATGGTAAAAATAGTAAAGCTCCTGAATGGTTAAATAAAGCTTTAGAAAATTATGGAAACGAAACTAGATTTCAAACTTTAAAGACAGATTTGGAGAATATTTTTTGAAAAATAGTTTTTAGAAGTTAATACATTTGCATTTTATAGAAGTAATTGATGATCCAAAACATATATATATATAGGCATAAAAATTTAACTAAATAACTCCGGAGCTCTAGCACTTAATTCAACTAATTTTTCAGCAGCTTTTAAATTTGTATTATCAGTAAATTTTATAATCGAATACACGTTGATTTTTAAAGTATCATTAGCTACCTTCCCCAACACTTCATATATCTTATTTACTTCTAATAGGTCCTGGTGATCTGATGATACAGCTGATAAATCTAAAGTTATTGATCCATTACTTATTAATGTAGCTTCTTGTGATGCTGGATTATATTCTTCACATTTTCCAATTATTCTTACTAATTTGTTTTGATTTGCTTGGAGTAAAGGAGCATTTATTCTTTTTGTAGGAGCATCCATGATGTTGATTATGTGAATATATGAGTTGGTGTGTGCTATGTGTATATTGAAATGAATTTTATTACGCGTTCGTGATTTAAAAATTCTATACAAAAGTTCAAGCCGCACTAACACTAAAATTATATCGAGATCTATAACATTTAGTAAACTGAATAAGTACGTATAAATTTAATTTTATGCTCTATATACACTTGAAAACATCAAAAAATTAGCAGTTGCATAAATCATTTAAAAATTCGTCGGCCAAACCTCTTGCTTCAGCTCTCATCAAACTTTCTCCAATTAAAAATCCATCGACATGATCTTCATATTTGTATTTTTTAACATCATCAACTGTTGTAATACCAGATAATGCTAAAATTAAAACTTCCCCTTTTCTACCATTAGTATTTTTATTTTTGGCTTGATCAACTAAGGAACTAGTGGTTTTCAAATCAACATCAAAATTGGTCAAGTTACGATTATTTACTCCAATTATTAATGGCTCACTTATATCACCTTTGTAAGATAGTGTTAATGCCTGAGCAAGTTCTGGAGCATCGTTCACTTCAACTAAAGGTACCATGTCTAAGTCCAATGAGTATGAGTATAATTCTTGTAACAAGCTATAGTCGTTCAACATTTTAACGATCAATAAAACTGTGTCTGCACCTGCTAATCTTGCCTCAAGAATTTGATATTTATTAAATATGAACTCCTTCCTTAAAACTGCTGGTCTTTTGTAATTTGTTATTTCTTTGGTTTCGGGACATTCAATCACTTTACGTATTAATGACAAATCTTCTAATGACCCCTTAAACCAGTTTGGTTCAGTTAAGATTGAGATAGTTGAGCATCCGTTAATGGCATAAGTCAATGCTTGTTTCCCAGCGTGTGCCTTTACATTAATATCACCTTTCGAAGGACTTGCTCTTTTGAATTCTGACAATATAATTGTTTGATGTAATTCATCTTGTGTGTACTTTAGTCTATCATAAAAATTTATAACCGGTGGTGCTATACCTAATGACAATGCAATTTCCAAGTTTTCAAACGATCTGCCTGGTAAGTTCTCTATTATGGAATAGTCTTCTTTTCTCTTTTCATATATTATTTTTAAAATGTTTTCACCTTTACCAAATTTATTTGCCTTCTTTTCATTTTGTAGCTTTGATTTTATTTCATTATTTTCTTCCCATGTTCCTCCATATACTCCCAATATGTTGTCAATCATTAATTGACCTGATTCAGTCAATATAGATTCCGGATGAAATTGAACCCCCTCTATCGTATATTCCTTATGTCTGACTCCCATTATTACATTTGGTTGAGTTTCAGTAACTGCAGTAACTTCTAAAACATCAGGTAATGTAGCTTCAGTACCTGCCAAAGAATGATACCTAGTAACAGCTACTGATTGAGGTACATCTTCAAACATTCCTTTCCCATCATGCTTTATTGTTGTGGTTTTACCATGAACTATCTCTCCCGCGTATGAAACATCTCCACCAAATACATCGAATATACATTCTTGACCCATGCAAACTCCAAAGATTGGTAGTTTTCCTTTAAAATATCTGATAACATCACTAGAAATTCCAGAATCTGTTAATGGATGACCTGGACCAGGAGATATGAATATGATATCTGGTTTTATTTCATTCTCTATTGTAGAAATATCTATTTTATCATTTCTGTAAACATCTACTTTGCCACATCTTGAGGACTGATGTAGATATTGGTATAAATTCCATGTAAAAGAATCATAATTATCTATCATTAATACATGTCTCTTTTCATCTTTGGTTACTGCATGCATTCCGGCGTGAATGGTATATGAATGATTTTTTATAAAGGTTTAATCAATTTTCAAGTTTTTCACTCTAATAGTTTTGTTGCACAAAGTGCCTAATTGGGTTGAGTCACCACCGATATAAATATTCCGCTAAATCATAGAGAGATCTTAATACATTCAAGACCAAAATACTAAACTACTTAAAAAACTAAAATCAATAACTTTTATTTATCTTCATGAAGACTCTATAAAATTAGCCAAACTCATTCTTTGAGCTCTATAAATTCAACCTTCTCCTTGTTTCTAAGTCTATTACTAATCGGTTCGTAATCTAATTTTCTAGGAGTATTCACATATTCAACTCCATGTAACATTACCGAACTAACTAACTCCAAAATTAACATGAACAACGATGACAATATAGCTAAACAATAGTTTGAGATGGAAACCCCAATATCCAACCATGAACCTTCCGTCCTTACCAAAAAGAAGAAATTCAATGACAAGAAATCACTAGTTGAAATAATTAGCGTTGAAATGGTAAATTTTTTAATTTCTAATTGATGATTCATTATACCCAAACAAGTAGATAAAAGAACATATGGGATAATTAATTTTATCATCAATAAAGCTCCCATTGAAAAAGGATCAAAAATTGGAATCAACCTGTATACTGAATCTAATGAAAAAGATGAAATTGAGGCAATGTTACCAGTTCCAAAAAATGCCAATTGTAAAAAGAAAAACCCAATGATTGCAATTCTAATAACTTGTAACCAGTACCCTTTAGGAAGTCTACCAGTTTCTTCTTGAGATTTAATAATCTCCAGATGTGGTACTTTTAATAATTCCTCTATTGACAACCATTGTAGCAAAATCAAGGAAAATCCAATATAAAACAACAATTCAAAAGAAATTGTTAATATGATGAATGTTGGTGCAAATGTCAAAAAGATCATCAATAATCTGAATCTATAATCTTTTGAAGGGAATAATGAATGTAATAAAGGAAAAACAACCAAGGAAAAAATGAATAAGACCCAACCTAAAATTTGTGAATACAATGGAAGACCAGCTCTAGATTGTAAAGATACAATTGATACATCTGTAGCATAGGTAATTAAGGGAATAGTGAGTATTTGCAAATTGATCAACACTTTTTGAACACTTGTTAAGTTCGAATTTCGTTTCTGAATAGCATTGAAACCTGTGATACTGATGATAAAAGCTAATATTGATCCAACATTTATTAATAGTAAATTCTCAACTTTAATTGGATCAAGATTTGTGAAAATACACATGAATAAGCAACTGAAGAACCATATTATTTTCATCAAACCTGATATTTTCTCTGAACCCAGTACCAACGACGGATATATTCCAACGATAAGGAAGATCACGGAGAAAATGTATCTTTCAAAAAATCCATAAGTAATACCTTCATACATACCGATAAACGAGATCAATATTAAGATTTTGGTTTTCCAATCGACTCCATGTAACAAAATATCTAATCCATCGATCAAGTATCTTCTTTCATTTAAAATTGTATACCAAAAATATACTGGAAATGCAGCATACATATAATAATTAAATGGTGAATCTTGATAAAATAACAAATATGCAATTGATGATCCAAGCGTCAAGAATGAGCCTAATAAAATTATTGAATTAGATCTTTTGTCGGTGTTTGGAGCCTCTTCATCATGTAAGATGAATAACTTTAAAAATAATATGAAGGCAAAAATAATCCAACCAAAAAAACCAAATGTAACTACAGTTCTGAGCAATAACCAATTATAGGTAGTCAAATAAGTCAAACCAGAAAGTGCTTTTCTCATTAATTCTTCTGTAACTTCAATTGCAAGTTTTTCCACATTTTCATCCGAACCATATGTCAAAAGTTCAATTAGACTTTCAATTTCCTTTTGGTAATCTTGGATTGATTTAGTAGTAAATGGTTCAAATGGTTTAAATTTGAACTGATGACTTAAAACTTCTTGCTCCTTCACGATGTACTGCTCCACAATGGCCAAAGCATTTGCATATAATGATTTGATTTTCAAATGAGGCTCTGCATCAATATAGCTCAATGGTAATTCACCCACAGAATTAGCGGGGTAGTTTGCTCCAATTAAATAAGCCATGAGTGATGCAATATCGGCTTGATTTACATCGTTTCGCACTAAATGATCTAACTCCCATGTATCAAAATATGTTGCTTCATACCCACTCTTTACAGGATCTTGTTTTCTCAATTGTTTTTCAGCATCTTGCATATTCTTAAGATGAACGGGTTTGTTTACACCGGCACCCCAAGCAATTAAAGGTGTTCTTGTATTATCTGGATGTCCATCACCATGTGAACCAAAATCAGACATCCCATGATCAGCAGTAAATACGAAAGCAGTTTTATCGTCACCAAAGAAATCATTGATTTGTGGTACGACTTTCTCCAACATATCATCAATGTATTCAATATTCTCATAATATTCGGCTGAATAAGGACGGTATGCGTGACCTGCTGTATCAGGGCCCAATAAGTGCAAAAAAAATACGTTACCATCTTGCTTCAATTCGTTTTCCAAAGTTTTATTGGTTGTTGAGTTTCTCAATAAATCATCGAAATGTTTAAACACAAATGAGTCCAATTCGATTGAGCTTGAAGTGAAATCTTCAAATTCATGTCCATACATGCACACATCAATTCTACCAGGAACTACACCATCACCATAGGCAAACATGGGTAAAATATCAGGACTTCCAAAAGAATAGGTGTGTTTAGATTGGTTGAAAAACGAATCAAAGTTAACAGGGTTTTCCTTCCAACCTTTCGTGACTGCAGAAACATCTTCATAAAATCCAGCAATCATTGCAACATGACCAGGTCTTGATTCTGTTGGCATTCTTGTATTTGATATACCCCAAGTACCATTACCTAATGCTAAACTTCTTAAGTATGGAGCCAAGTATTTGGTTTCTCCTGTTCTTGGATGCTTCAATTTTTGGAATGTCTTATCAGCTCTAAGTCCATCTCCAACAATCAAAAATAATCTTTTTGCTGGTGGTTCATATGTTGAAACATGATGATCCATGCCATGTACTAAAGGCAGTACAAAATAAATATCAAATATTGACCATAGATAAAAAAAATGAAATAAAACTCCGACAATCAAAAGCAACTGTCTATTCTTATCCATTGCCTCTTTATTTGTTAGAAGCTAAGTTTAGCTGTACCTTTTTCTTAACTAAAAATTGACACTTTCATCATAAAAGTATATAGAATTTGTATTGAAAATGAAAAATCGCGTCTTGATAATAATACGTCATTAAATAGCACCTACTACTACCAAATGATAACTACTATTGTAGTCAAATATTTTTGCGTATGTTTGGTTTAATTCTGAATAATTTCAAACAAGCTATGAACCAGAAATGATGAAATAATGGAATTTTTTGGCACCTTTATGCCCATTAATTTAGAGTAATTGGTGTTTCAAGTCTACATTTTCATATACACAAGGAAATTTAAAATTATTTCGAGTGTATTTATATTTATACCTATTTCCCGCCAAACCATTTTTTGTTCAACGCGTACATTGACATAACTTGATGAAAAGCTAAAGTGGCATCTTTCAATTGTGAGACTACTTCCAAATCTCTAGCTATACACTGGTTGTAAACACCCATATTCAGGTCCAAAAGATTTGAATATAGTAGGTCTTTTTCAGTCCTTTCCATTTGATATCTAACAATCGCCTCTTTATATCGTAGAAATTTACTTTGATAATCCTTTATTGATTCAATATATTCTGACCACTTAGCTTCAGTAATTGTCGATGGATCTAAATTTATCGAAGGTGGATTTGGAGCAGTAAAGTTATGAACTTTCGGCGATGCGTGCAAATCAAAAACACTTAATTGTGTGGTGTTGAATGTGGATGAATGACCATGCACCGGATGTTTGTTGAGCGGTTTGGATAGTATATCAGCCTTCAATTTACCATTAATGTAATCAAATTTTCTTTCAGAATTACCTTGAATATTATTTGATTGTCTAGTTTTTCGTTTTTGATCGTCAGGTAAACTTTCATAAATCTCGTTAAAATTTACATCCTCTATATCCCCAACCTTTATATCAAAACCATTCATATCAAATGCTGATTGTCTCGAGGAAGACGGCGGTAGGTTAGTCGAAGATACTTTTGATCTTTTATGTGGTGCGGTTGGTTGTGGCCAAACATGGTTCGTTTTAGTCTGATTTGAAGATAACGTGAATGATATTGGATTTACTCTGCTTGTCCGTATTGGCGAAGCCGTGCTACTCCTTGGAGTTGTTTTAGGTTTAACATTAAATTGAATATTCTCGTTTAAAATGTCAGCATTATACTTGTTGGATCTGGTATTTACTTCCTCATTTTCTTCGAAAGAATTTGGATCAGTAGTTGCATCTGGTGCGTTCATAAAAGAGTTATTTGCTTCATCTTGCAGCTCGTCCTCATTTTCCGAAGAGCTCATTTCCTCTTCGAGTATAATTGGATGTTCGGAATCTTTGCCATTTCTGGTTGACTGCGATGTGGCTTGGTCAGAATCAAATTTACTACTTTGAAACTCTTCTTTCTCAACATTTGAAGTGTTTTTCTGCCTATTGTCTCGATAAAATTGTTCAGCATCATCATTCAAACCAAAACTATCCTTCATGTATTCATTTGCAATTTCTGCAGCTTCTTCTAAATTTCGTCTTTTCTCTTTAGCTGATTGATAATCTGTGTCTTTTTTTTTATTCCTTGATGAAGATGATTTTTTTCTATGAGATTTTTGTGAAAATGTGTCTGCATCGGACGGTAGTTCAACAATGTCGGGATCATCATCATCAATACCGCTTCCTTTGGTATATTCATTCTGAGTCTTAAATGCTCTCTGTGCCATCTTTTCTGCTTTTCTTGCACGAGCTTCCAGCTCTTTTCTAATATGCTCAGCTTCGGCTCTGACTCGCTCTGCCATCTCCTCTTTTAATCTTTCTGCATGTCTGGCTGCAGCTTCTGCTGCATGTCTTTGCTGCTCTTGTGACTTTTGATAGAACTGGAAATATGGATAGTCGCTTTTAGTTGTGCTTTCTTGAGCAAAAAAACTTGGATTATTTGGTGAATGTGTAGATGAGAAGGTTTGGCTAAATCTGGTGTAAAAGTATGTTCTCAGACTTCCTGAGTTTTGCTCTTTAGTGCTTGAAGATCGGAATGGGAAAGTGGAACTGAATGAAGTTTGAGTTGATGCAGCCGTCGAGGCACGTTCATTTGTGTAATTCTTTTTAACGTCCTTGTAATCTCTGATAATTTCAAATGCTGCATTAATTTCTTTAAATTTCTCATGATGTTTTGTATCTGGTGTTTTGTCTGGATGGTATTTTAATGATAATTTACGATATGATTTTTTAATTTCTTCGAAAGAAGTATTTGGACTCACTCCTAGTATTTGATAATGAGAAAGTTTTGGAACTGTCATTTTGATATCGTCAATCTGAATCTCATCACCTGGTTTCAAGCTTTTACTCTAGTTTTCTGTTAGGTAATATGTTTGTTGTGTGTTAGGTTTTGTGGACTTATTTTTTTTTTGATCTGATTCATACCTAATTTTTACAACTTTCGAGAGAATTACGGATGTTACTAAAGAGTCCAATTCATCTTCAAATATAATCAAATCGAAGAAAGTAGAGGTGATGGCAAATTACCAGATGACCAGTTCCTATTTAACTACACATGTTCTATAAAAATATTCTTATGATAATTCGTAATCATCAATCTTATTTCTATATTTGAGTAAGTTTCTTTTGATTTTGGAAGAATCCACCCAAGTCAAATAATCTTCGAGGTTCCGCGTAACTAAATAAGCTGGGTCTGTTATAACATTTGGTCCCACTCTGACATGCCCTTGTTCTATAAATTTGATAGCATCTGTTAATGTTTCTGCCATTTTTAACCTACACATCACCACTCCAATCCGTCTTCTACACATTGCAGATACGGTTATTTTGTTTTCTAGGTCACTTATTTTTGATTTTGTAGCTAATATTCCCATGTTGTATAATTTTTCCAATAATAATTGTTCATGTTTTATACGAAACGGGTCAGTTGGTTTTAATAATGAAAGTCTGTTCGCTAGTTTTCTTATATCACCACATATTTTGTTATATTTATGATAATCTTCTCGATTCTGTATATGATAAGTTCTCATTACTTGAGTATCTCGATGTCCTTGATCTTGCTTCCAATCTAGGAAATCCACTTTTCTCAAAAGCTTCTTTTCATGATGCTTAAGTGCTCTAACCATAATGCTACAGATTTAATGAGCTGAATGTTAAATAGTTGTTTTAAAATGATAGTGAATGATATTGATAAATGGAGATGAGTTTTAATGATACGGTTTAATCAAAATTCTAATGAGTACAAAATCACAAAATTTGGTAGCCATAAAAATTCAATATTTTTCATATTCGAAAACTTTTCAACTGTCAAAGCAGTGATCTAGTAGTAGCTGCACAGCATTGAAAGCCACTCATGTTTCTAAATCTAGGGAAAATTCAAACACGTTGCTTATCATCATCACAATCATGTCTTTCAAATATTGGTAAAAAACCATTGAAGCTACTGGAAGGAATATCGTATTCATTAGAATCAATTCCTGTGGAGTTTTGCAAATCATTTACAAAAAGAAACAAGAGATATATATTAGATAGGCAAGTAGTCGTCACAGGTCCTTTGGGAACATTGAGGACTGAAATACCCAAATTTGTAAATATAACGCATCCAAAAGATGATCAAAGTACCATTTCTATAAGGGTAGAAAGACCTAACAATAAAACTCAACGATCAGTATGGGGAACCGTACGTTCATTAATTTCAAATTCAATAATAGGGACAAGTGAAGGACATTTATCAATAGTAAAATTTGTTGGAACAGGTTATAGAGCCATCTTGGAAAAAAACGATAAAGGTGAAGATGTTGTAGCATTAAAAATAGGATTCCCATATACTCCAAAATTGGTGGTACCTGAAGGGATAAAAGTTTCAAGCCCCAATCCAGCTAGATTGATTATAGAAGGCATAGATAAACAAAAAGTGAAGTTGTTTGCTTCTTTAATCAGAGAGTTTAAAAAACCAGAACCATATAAAGGTAAAGGTATATTTGTTGATGGCGAGACTGTGGTTTTGAAGGAAAGAAAGATCAAATAGATTTACCCAAATACATGTATATATTCACTGACTCTAAGTACTTTATTCCTTATCTCTAATCTTCGAATTTCGGTGGGCTATTTTATTATCTTGAGAATTTATCAAACTGAAAAATAAAAATTAAACTGCCAAAAAAATTTTTGTAAAATACAAAGTCAACTTAGATCAATCATAATCATATAACCAAAAAAACCCTCATGTTCAGTCTAAGGCAGCTAAATAATCATGTGTTCATGCCCAGTTCAATCCTCCAAAATACTATAATACGAAGGTATGCAGCACAAATAACATCTATACATGCAATCACATCATTAAAAACATCACCAACAACAAAACAGCATACAGTAGAAGAAGGTAATAAAAGAAAACAATTATTGGAAAGACCTGGATTATTTGCCATCAAACAAGGTATGATTACATGGTTCACTGCAAAAGGTGAGCAAATACCAGCAACTGTATTAGAAATAGACTCATGTGAAGTCATAGATCATAAAACTTCAAAAGAGCATGGATACGATGCAAATGTCATAGGAACTATAGACAAATTAAAAAATTATCCAAGGCCACATGAATTAAAAATGTTTGAAGAAGCGGGTGTATCACCAAAACATAAATTTGGAGAGTTCAGAGTACGTGATTCTAGCAACCTATTACCATTAGGTACTGAATTGAAAGCAAGTTATTTCGCAGTTGGGCAATTAGTAGATATAAAGGGAATAACGAAAGGTAAAGGATTTGCTGGTGTAATGAAAAGATGGAATTTCAAAGGTGGAAGAGCAACTCATGGTGTTTCTAAAGCTCATAGAACTCCAGGTGCAATGGGTGGTAATCAAAATCCAGGTAGAGTTTTACCAGGTAAGAAGATGCCTGGTAGAATGGGTACAAGTAATATGACTGATTTCAATAAAGAAGTTTTACATGTTGATGGTGATGCAGGAATATTGATTTTAAAAGGTTGTATTCCAGGTCCTAATAAAGGAATCGTCAGAGTTTCTGATGCTTTAAAACTTTACGGCAAATCGTTAAATCAATTAGCTAGAGAGTAAATAAGTCTTGTACATAAAACTTTAATGACATGGGATATGTTATATTCAATAGTAATCTCCAATTATGTAATTTTCTTTTTAAAAAATCAAATCACCTGACTTGAAATTCCAAAAAAAAAGGCCATCATTTGACGAATGTAAGACAATTCCCGGATGGTTCTGGGAAAAGACAAGAACCATGTTCGCAATGAAATTGATCTTCTGATGACAAAGAAGAAAGAAAAGAAGAAGAGTCTGTAAATTTAAATTCAGTTGTGAAAAAAAAAATTTATCAACATGTCAGTCGTGTGCGCGGTTCAAAAATTGTTCAATCTACATAGTGCTGATCTAATCATTATCAAGAGTTCAAAGCAAAATTGTACTATTTTAATTTTTATTTGCCATTTATTATGGATGTATTATATTAACAAGTTCAACTAACAATCAATCGTCATCCATTTCAGACGGTCTAATTAATCCACCAACTTTTGAATCTAATTCTCTTTTTCTTCGATCTAATTCTAATTTTTCCATTTCTTTATCTTCAGCAAATAAATAATCAGTTGGATCACCACCAAATTGTTTTAATTGTACTAAGAAATCTCTTAATGTAGCTTTAAATTTATTAATATCATTATAATTTGTTGTTGCAACTTTTAAAAAATTATTTAATTGTTCAACTTGTAAATTATCAAATGCTGATGATAATAATTGTGATAAATATTGTTTTAAAAATTCTTGATTTGATGTACCTTGTGGTGCTTGATCTGGTGTATATAAGGGATTTTTAATTACATTATCTTGAACTAAATGAATTAAATGAGCTAATAATTGAGCTTGAAATTTAAAACCTGCTTTATGATCAGGTTGTGTAAATACGTAAAAAGTATCAGCTAAAATTTGGAAATAGAAATTTTCATAAAATGCTTTTGTAAATGGAGTATCACCTAAATCTTCAACATTTTTTATTAAATTTATTGATAAATTTAATCCATTATCTTCAACATCTCTATTATTATGTTTAAAGGCCCATAACGCAGCATTAATTAATGATTGGAAAGCTTCACCAGATAATTGTAACAAACCTTGGAATGATTTTGAATTGATTTCTCTTAATAATTTATAAAATTCAACCCTATGCTCTGGATATTCAATAAAGTCGTTTTTAATCATATCTAATGTACATTCAAAAACATTTTGTAATATTAGAACAACCCCATCAGGTATTAAATGACCAACTTTTGCAATCAAAGCCGTCAAACATCTCAATACTTCCGCATCCCTAGCATCAGGCACATTTGAACTATAATCTTCTAATACTGCATTAAATAAAGGAGTAGTTAAATCTCTTACTATTTCTTCTAAATTATCAGCTTGATTTATATAAGTTTCAATCATTTTCAAAATTTCTTTTTTAATGGTTCTTAAACCTCTTACTTTTGGTGTCTTTGTGGCAATAATTCCATCTTTAGCAACTGAATCTGAAATCATTTGTGATACGGCTTTATATAATGATAATAAATCAACATATAAAAATCCCAATTGTGAATAAAATCCAGGACCTAATGCTTTACATACTGCAACATTTGTTTTTATGATATTTGCAATAATTTTAACAGTTTCGGTATTTGTTAATAATGCTGGATCTTGACCTGCTTGTTGAATTATTGCTGACCAAGCCATATTAGGTAATGCCATTAATTCACTCAATAATTTATCTCTTGCTTCTTTGTTTGATTGTGCACTCACTATTATACCACATGCTTCGTAAAATGTATGGACTTGTTGTGGTTGTAAATCTTCTGTAATTGATTGTATTTCTCTAATGATTTCATTTATAAAAGGTTCTCTTTCATTTTGTTGAGTTACAACAAAATGTTTTTTACATTTATTTGTAATTTTAATAAATGTATCACAAGCCATATCTTGAACACCTTCATGAGTTTCATGCATAAATTCAAATAATTTATTAACAACAGTTTTCAAAAATTTCCAATGAGCTTTTAAAAATCTTGGATATTGTCCAACAATATACATAATATTTGAAGCAACTACTGCTTTATTATCTTTACCTCTTTTCATTTCAGTTAAAGACAATAAATCTTTAATGACATTTACTAAAAATCTTTTTTCCATATCTTCATTCATAGCACCAGAAATAGAACCAATTGCCCAACATAATGTATTTATATTTTGCCATGACCATTCACTTTCATCCAATTGTCTAGATAATTTTTCAATCATAATTTGTTCAGTATCTATGACATTCAAATGTGTTAAATAAACTAAAACTTCTCTCATTGATTTATATAATTGAATAGTATCACTTTCTTTGACAAATTCACGTACAATTTCACCTTCATCATTTTCAACAACTAGCACTTCTTCAGGTCTGGCCATATTTTCAATTATAACCAATCTCAATTTGGATAATATTTCAGAATATTGATGTTGTCTTAAAGGAAATTTTGCTAATAATGCTGGATCTGGCGCACCACCTGATGAACCAGCTCTTAATGCATTACCATAGCTCAATTGCATCATCGGGCTTAATTCTTGTTGTGGTAAATCTCTTGTTTCTTGAAACAATTGTTGAACAAAAACTTGCCAAAAATCTAAACAAGTTTTAAACAATTCTCTTTCATCAATTCTTGATAATTCCAATAAATAATAAAGTGAATTTTGTAATAATTCTTTTGCTTGTTCATGACTTTCTAAAATTTTTAAATGATTACTTAAATAGGAACATAAAAACATTGCTAAATCTTGTAAAAATGATTGATCAGATGATGAAGCAACTTTATAACTTTCTTTTAAATTAGTTGATACTGGAACAATTTGATATATTTGTTCCATTGTATTTTTAAAATATAATAAAGTCTTTTCATTTTCTCCAGGTAAAGTATTAATTTCAGTTAAAACTTTTAAAGTTATAGTTCTTGTATCAACTGGTGCTAAAAATTTATTTGTTAAAATTTCTAAAATATTTGTATCATATATATAATTTGATGGAATCCATTGAATATATTTTAATAAAGCATTTAAAGTTGCATTAATTAATGAAGGTTTATCAGTTTTTTCTAAAATTTCATAACATAATTTAAAAATACTTTCAAATTCATTTTTCATACTTATTCTTAATTGTTGAGCTTTTGCTTGAGTTAATTGTTCTTGACCATAATCAAAAACTTCTTCACTTAATAATTTTAAAATAATCATATTATTTTCACAAACATTAAAAGAAGATTTAGAACTTGCTACTAAATCAGGAATAAATTCGGGCCAATTATGAGGCCATTCTTGTTTTAAAATTGAAACTAAAGTTAAATCAATTTTATTTATTAAAGCTCTTTGAGTTTCAAATTCTTTTTCATCATTACATAATGCAATAATCATATTAACAATAAAATTTCTAATTCCAATTCTTTCATCATCAGGTATAATTTTCCATCTATATTGAATTAATTTATTTAAACAAGATAATGCAATATATTTTGATTGAGGATTATTTGAATTTGATAATATATTATCAACAAATTTCCAAGATTCAGGATGTTCTTGAAATTGATTTAAAATTGTTTGTGCTTTCTTTTGATTTTCACCTGAACCTTTATAAAATGCATCAACTGTTTCATCAAATAATTTAATATCTAAATCAGTTGAGAAATCTAATATAGACTCCATTTTGATCAATTTATACTTTTACGTGTCAGTCTAATCCCTAGTTTGATATAAATACTTGACTTAATGAATTTGATTTAATTTCGAATAGACAATGATAATGATTGTTGATTGGTGCTGTATATGGTATATTCTCTTCTATGTCAGTTGATTGAGTATAGATTCTAGTGTGAATGTATGTGAATTGTTGAATAAATATGATTGTTTTGCTTTTTGATTACTTCACTACTCAAAGTATTAAAATTGTATTGGTTCATTTATAATTTTTTTCTGTTGTTTTCCTTCATAACACAACAAATATATTTGATTGAGAGTTTCATGTTTACCAAGATAAAACTGACTTGATTCGTTGCAATTATAGTCTGCTGGACTATCTCGAGTATGATTGGTAAACGTTCAAGCTCAATTTGATCTTAAAGTAAACCCCACTGAGTCTGGTGCACTCTATTAGCTACATAACATTTATCCTGTCTTCTACAACGGACCATTGACAAAAACATCAACTACTACAAGTAACATTCAACTCAGTAAAATCCCGTTGTTTTTCTTATAAGGACCGCTAGATCTGATCTCTCCCCATTTGTATAACACGATATGGTGATTCGAAAGATTTGAACCTATGATTATATTTCTTACATTCTAAAACAACATATCCTCAAGCTATCTAAGATAGTCGAGTGATTAAATTATCTATTGCTTAATTGATATCAGAGATTCTACTTGTGACGAATGTCGTTTATCTTATTTTGAAGAATTTACAATGGTTGATATGAAATTTAAAGAATTTTATTTATTCTATTTTTTTTTGCAACCAATTTTGAAGTACATTCAAATTTCACAACAGGAAAATGATCAAGACCATATCCACCAAAATTATTGATTGGTTATATATTGTATTTATTGAAATAACAATAAATCCTGCTACAGATATCAAATCAATGCAAATGGAGTTTAACAAATTCATAAATTCATTAAAAGATGATCAAATTATAATGTTGATATTAACAAATAAACCAAATTTTAACATTTTCAATTTTTTACAAATGATAATATTAAAACCTTCAAAACGTATTATATTATCATATTTAATTGATTCAATTGAAACAAATATAAAAATTTTGAAAAAATTAATTACGATTATTGATAAAGAATTTAAATTAAATAATTCATTTAATATTTCAAATGAACAATTAGCTTATTTAATGTTAAATATTCCTGGATTAATTGAAAATTTAACTCATGATGATAAAGCAAATAATTCAATTTTGGTGGATTCAACAGATATGAGTGAAGAAATTGATATAAGATTTCGAGATTTTATTACAAAATATCCTACAATTAAATCAATTTTTAATTCAAATGAATTAGATTCTTAAACTTTTTTTTTTTTGATAAAGCTTAAAACTATATACTTATCATTTATTTAGTTGCAAAAGCTACACCTTTTTCAACATTTTTGGATAATTGTTCAATAGCTACTTCTAATAATTTCTTTTCATCATCATTAACTTCATTTAAAATTTCATATTTAACTTCTTCAATACCATTTTTACCTAATACAACAGGTAATGAAAAGAAATCTAAATCTTTAACTAATTTTTTAGCTTCATTAGCTCCTTTAATTGATGAATCTAAATTTAAAAAAGTACATTCAATAATATTTGATTCTCCATTAACAGCTTTTAAAATTGATTCAGCTAATTTATAACCTGCATAAGCCATTGATAATGTAGCTGATCCAGCACCATTTTTAGCTTGAACAACTTCATCACCACCAAATTGAACTCTATGAATTAAAGCTTTCTTTTGATCTTCATTTAATTCATCATAATATTTCTTAGTTTTACCAATTGAATATAATGGAACAATAGTTTCACCTGAATGACCTCCAACAACATTAACATTAAAATCACCAGGTTTAGTTTCTTTTGGAAATAATTGTGAAATAAAAGTATTTGCTCTTACAATATCTAAAGTAGTTACACCAAATAATCTTTTTGGATCAAATGTTCCCGCTTTTTTAAAAGTTTCAGCAAAAATTGGAACAGTTGAATTAACAGGATTAGAAATAACTAAAACAAAAGCTTTTGGACTATTTTTTGCAATACCTTCAGCTAAACCTTGACAAATTGATGCATTAATATTAAATAAATCATCTCTTGTCATACCTGGTTTTCTTGGTACACCAGCTGGAATAATAACAATATCTGAACCTTTTAAAGCATTTGCTAAAGCAGTTTTATCTTCTTTTGATTCTGGTAAAAATGATTGAGTTGTTGAATTTGAATTAATATGTCCTAAATCTGCTCCAACACCTGGTACATTAACAACATCAAATAAAGCTAATTCATCAACAATTGGATTTAATTTAACTAATAATGATAATGGTTGACCAATACCACCAGCTGCTCCTAAAACTGCTACTTTAACCATTTTTTATTTATTTATTAATGTATGTAATATATGTATATAATGATTCAAAATAGATAAAAGTTCAATTGACCTGAATTGAATTTAGAATTGGATTGAATGATTTGATTTAAAAAATTTTGAAAAATTTATAATTGGACGAAAAAGGAGTGAGGGATATTATTCTGTATTTATATATTAAATAATGTAGAACAGTATGCATGTGCGTGAGGACCCCACATAATTTTTCAAAGAAAACTAACTAAAGTTTTTAAATCGAGAATTACGCATCCCGTGGTCAACCGGAATGCGCAAATGAAGTTCCGAGATTAAACTCATGAAATAGATTCAGGATTTTGCAATAACATTTATCAATATTCAACAGTACAATTATTAAATGAGACTTTAGTCGAGCTTTAATCGCACTTGTAAAAGGTTTAAAGTCAAAGTTAAAGTAATCAATTTCTCGAACAAGCTTCGTAGTCCCATACATCTATCTTGATCTTTAATGATCTTACTATCGTCAATTGCGTGTGAAAAGACTTCTACTTAAAAATTTGACCATTTATCAAACATGTGGCTAATGATCTTATTGAGACTTTTACTTCTGAAGCTGATTGAAGTAATTTTTTCAATAACTGATTAAATTTTCTGAAGTTTAGAAGCAAATATTAAACAAATCTAGGTGAAAAATCGATCTTAGATAGAGATTTAAGATTTCTAGTCAATATTCAAAACAGAACATTACATATGTACTTATTTTAGCCTAAATTGTTGGTTCAAATAAGCTTAATTATTATTTAAATATTCGATTTTAGAATTTAGTTAACAAATTAATTAGGTCGAGAAAATTAATACTCTATTCGAGCAGTGATCGACTGAAAAAAAATAATTTTGACCGATAAACTAAATTTTTACTCCGCAATAATTGCTACATTAATCTCCTAAAATGATACATCGATTAATAGTAATGATGTCACACTTTAATTTTGATCTAAGAAATAATTCATCGTAGTTTAAATTATCTTACACTAAAAATAATAATCTTACTATCTTTAAATTTCTTTTATCAAATAATCATTCAAATTTTATTCACTTAAAATTATTGAATGTTACCAATCTAATTCATCAAATTTAAATTTTCAAGATAGATTGATTTGATAAGTTATACACCTATTATACAATTTATGATAAACTTATTTTCATACAAGAATTGTTAGTCAATCATCATATTAAATTTTTTATAACGTATCACATAATAGTCCATTTTCTTTATTAGTTGATTAACTCATCATAGACTTATATACATCCATCATACACTTTTAACAAAGATTAATATAGAATTGCAAATAGTATCATATACATAAACAACCAACTCAAACATGTCTCATCTAGATCCGACATCTCCTACATCACCAATATCTCCTAAATCACCGAAAACTTCATCATTATCTTCACCATCATCTATTGATGCAAATTTAAAATCACCAAATTCAAGAAGAAGATCAAGTATTAATTCAAATGAAGAAGATCCTTATGCTTTAGCAGAAAAATATTATGGAGATCATAAAAAGAAAACTTTTGGAAAAGATAGTCCATTATCAAGAGTACGTACATTTAGTACTTTTGAATCTCAAACTACAAAACATGATTTTTTGAAAAAATTAAATGAACAACATCCCATAAGTGATACAATTAAAGAACAATCTGAACCTCCAAGTTCTAGTGGATCTAAATCACCAACTCCTTCTGCAACTTCGACATCAACTTCTTCATCAAATACTTTACCACAACCTACCCCTGGTAAAGTCAATTTTAATTTAAATATTGGTAAAGATAAAGACGAGCATGAAGAAGATGATGAATCACCAAATGAAGTCCATCCTACAAATAATAATGAAATTATACCCAAACCCATTAACAATGATCAATTCTCGAAAATAAATCTTTCTCATGAATCATTGAGTTCAGAAAATGAAAGAAGATTTATTAGACAAAATACTGAACAAGCTTTGAAAAAACCATCTATTGTTCCATTATATGAAGATGAATCTCAAGCAGTAACTCCAATACAAAGTAATAAATTACATTATAGAAGAGCTTCATTGGATGATACTATTATTCGACCTAAGAAATATTATATTAGTGATGTTCAAGAAACTTTAAAAGAGTTATTAGAAAGTGAAGATACTGATAATAATTGTCAGATCACGATTGAAGATACCGGACCAAAAGTTTTAAGATTAGGTACGGCAAATTCAAATGGGTATAAGTCAGCATCTGTTAGAGGAACTTATATGTTAAGTAATTTATTACAAGAATTAACAATTGCTAGTAGATTTGGAAGAAGACAAATTGTATTGGATGAAGCTAGATTGAATGAAAACCCTGTTAATAGAATGAAAAGATTAATTTCAACATCATTTTGGAAAAATTTAAGTAGACAAGTAACTAGTGAAAATATTGTTGAAATGTCCAAAGATACCAAAATCAAAGAAACTTGGGTTGATGAAAATGGAGTGAAACATGAAGATCAAGAAAGCCATAGAATATACGTACCTTACAATAGAAAAGATCAATATGACTTTTTTATGAAGATAAAAAACAGTAGGGATGATATTCATTTAGATGTTCAATATTTACCCAAAAAAATAGATGCTGATTATATAAAATCTATTAATAAAAAACCAGGTTTATTATCCTTAGCTTCAAGAGTTGACCCAAAAAACCCAGACAATTTAATCAGTTGGCCTTATGTTGTTCCAGGTGGAAGATTTAATGAATTATATGGTTGGGATTCTTATATGGAAACTTTAGGTTTATTAACAGATGTTTCTCCAAATAAAAATTTGGACCATTTAGAATATGCAAGAGGTATGGCTGAAAATTTCATTTATGAAATTGATCATTATGGTAAAATATTGAATGCAAATAGATCATATTATTTGGGTAGATCACAACCACCATTTTTAACAGATATGGCATTAAGAATTTTTAACAAAAGTATGGAAGTTATACCTGAAGAAATGAATGATTTACTTGATTTTTTGAAAAGAGCAACTTTAGCTGCAATCAAGGAATATGAAACAGTTTGGTGTTGTCCACCTAGATTAGATAAAAAAACAGGGTTATCATGTTATTATCCAGAAGGTAAAGGAATTCCACCAGAAACTGAAGCATCACATTTCACTGCAGTTTTAAAAGAATATGTCGATAAATATGGTATTACTCAAGAAGAATTTATTGAAAAATATAATAATGGAGAAATCATAGAACCAGATTTGGATAATTATTTCCTTCATGATAGAGCAGTTAGAGAATCCGGCCATGATACTTCATATAGATTAGAAGGTAAATGTGCTTGGTTGGCAACTGTTGATTTAAATTCATTATTATATAAATATGAAAATGATATTGCATTCATCATTACAACTTTTTTCAACGATAGATTAGAAGGTAAGAATGGAGAATCTTATTCATCTGATATATGGCTCAAGAGAGCCACTGAAAGAAAAGCAAATGTAAACAAATATTTATGGAATGAAAAAGATTCAATGTATTATGATTATAACGTTCATGATGAAAAACAAGAAGATTATGAATCAGCTACAACGTTTTGGCCATTATATTCAAAATTAGCATCAACTGAACAAGCTGCTAAATTAATTGACAATTCTATCCCTAAACTTGAAGAACATGGTGGATTAGTTGCAGGTACTTTAAAATCAAGAGGTGAAGTAGGATTATCAAGACCTTCCCGTCAATGGGATTTCCCATTTGGTTGGGCACCTCAACAAATTTTAGCATGGATTGGTTTAACTAATTATGGATATGATGGAATTGCAAGAAGATTAGCTTATAGATGGTTATTCATGATGACAAAATCATTTGTTGATTATAATGGTGTTGTTGTTGAAAAATATAATGTCACAAAGGGAGCAGTTCCACATAGAGTAGATGCTGAATATGGTAATCAAGGTTTAGATTTCAAAGGTGTTGCAACTGAAGGTTTTGGATGGGTTAATGCATCATATTTATTTGGTTTAACATTTTTAGATCTTTATGCTCAAAGAGCTTTGGGTACATTAACTCCACCAGATGTATTTTTTAGAAATATGCATCCAACTCAAAGAAGAAGTTATCAATGAATCACGTAGTATAGACTTATATAGGTTGATGATGAATACATATCGTAATGAAAACGTAATTATGCATTCGGTAATCGACTGTTAAAATTCTCGCTATCTCCGTTGTAGCATTCTATTTTCCACGAAAAAATGTAAAACAAAATTTAAGTACGATATGAAAAAATCACCATCGAGTTAGCAACCAGATTTTTGAGTCCAATTGTATGAATTGCAAACTACAAATTCCAACTTCAACACATTGATTATAGAATACCAAAACTTGAATTATCCCAGCAATGCTAAGAAGAATAGTCGCTAAGCAGCGACAAATACTAAGACCTTCATCAACTTCACTAGCATCATTTCAATTACACACAATACTTCAATATTCAACCAATTCATCATTCCAAACCGCAGTTGAAACAGCTGAAAAACTTGTCTCACCTCAATCAAGTACATCATCACCAAAATTTCAAGATCCATTTTCTATTGTAAGTCATGAAATGTCTAATTTAGCAAAATCGATTGCAAATCTAATAGGTTCAGGACATCCAACACTAAATAGAGTTAGTTCATATTACTTTGAAGCTGAAGGTAAAAATGTTCGACCTTTAATTGTATTAATATTGAGTAAAGCATTACTGAAAATTCCAAGACTGGAAAGAAATAGAATTAAAATTGATGAATATGATGTTACTGAACAAGAACATATAAATGGTACTCCAAAACCTGGACAAGAATATATTGCAGGAAATAGTGTAGATGATAGTTTAAGTCCATTAAATATATTACATGGAATTAATCCTCGAATTATTTTGGATCCTTTAAGTAAACCAATGGACAAACTACCTGAAATGGATAAATTAAATGGTATATTACCAAAACAAAGAAGATTAGCAGAAATTGTGGAAATGATACATACTGCTAGTTTATTACATGATGATGTTATAGATTTAAGTGATTCAAGACGAGGTAGACCAAGTGGTAATATAGCATTCACTAATAAAATGGCAGTATTAGCAGGAGATTTTTTATTAGGAAGAGCATCAGTTGCAATTGCTAGATTAAGAAATCCAGAAGTTATTGAATTATTAAGTACGACAATAGCGAATTTAGTAGAAGGAGAATTTATGCAATTGAAAAATACTGTGCTAAGTGAAAAAGATAATACTATTGATAATGATGGACAAATTAAAAATATTCCAGAAGCAACTGGTAAAGTACCAACTGAAAAACATGAATATGCTGTGAATGAACAAGATATTGTAGATCATGAAACAAATGTACAAGCAGCATTTGAATATTATTTACATAAGACATATTTAAAAACTGCATCATTAATGTCAAAATCTTGTAGAGCAGCAGCAGTATTAAGTGGAGCTAATGAACCGATTATAGAAAATTGTTATCAATTTGGTAGAAATTTAGGATTATGTTTTCAAATAGTGGATGATATGTTAGATTATACATCATCAAATTCAGCATTTGGGAAACCAAGTCAAGCAGATTTAAAATTAGGTTTAGCAACTGCTCCAGTTTTATTTGCATGGAAACAAGAACCTAAATTGGGAGATTTAATTGCTAGAAAATTTAAAGAACCTGGTGATGTTGAAATTGCAAGAAAAGCAGTACAAAAATATGATGGATTAGAAAAGACTAAAGAAATGGCAAATGAATATTGTATGGCTGCTTTAGCTAATTTAAGAGCATTACCTGAATCTGATGCTAGAAGCTCTTTGGAATTGTTGACAAACTCGATCTTAACCAGATCCAAATAATTTATCTGGCATAATATGTAAATAGAATTAATTTAAAAGCATATAAAGTATAAATATACATGGATAGAGAGAATAACTTGTAACATTATGTTGTAATCGATTATCATTAAATAAGTAAATTAATACTCTTGTGACGTGATCGAGAGAAAAAAAACTTTTGTAGAAAAGATCTTACTAGATTGATTTTATCATCAAAAAATCACACACCTTTAACAATCTATCAACAAATCACATAAATAGAATATACAATGTCAGCGGAAGATACCAAACCAACCACTACAGAGGAATCATCAACCCCCAAACCACCAACTTCAAATGTATTCTCAATGTTTGGTGCCAAAAAAGAAAAAAAACCAGAAGATGAAGTAGCCAAAAAGGAAGATGAATCCAAAGATACAAAAAAAGAAGAAGAATCTTCAACAAAAGATAAAGAAAATGATGATGATGATAAAGCCGAAGAAGAAGAAGCTGATGTAGAATTTACACCAGTTATACAATTAGATAAAAAAGTAGATGTTAAAACAAATGAAGAAGATGAAGAAGTTATATATAAAGTTAGAGCTAAATTATTTAGATTTCATGGTGACTCCAAGGAATGGAAAGAAAGAGGTACAGGAGATGTCAAGTTTTTAAAACATAAAACAACTGGTAAAACAAGAATTTTAATGAGAAGAGATAAAACATTAAAAATTTGTGCAAATCATTTAATTAATTCTGATTATGAATTAAAACCAAATATTGGAAGTGATAGATCTTGGGTTTATAATGTTACTGCTGATGTTTCTGAAGGTGAACCTGAAGCTCAAACTTTAGCTATAAGATTTGGTAATAAAGAAAATGCTGATTTGTTTAAAGAACATTTCGATGAAGCTAAAAAAGATAATGCTAAAAAGGATTAATTGAATTGTATTTAAAAGTAAATAGATGAAATGACTAATTTTTCTTTTGCATTGATGATAAAATTATTGTCTATGGTTGAGTTATTCAAGTTTTTCACACATGTTTCAAAATTGTAAAAATTGAAATATGTGCAACTTCTGTGTGGTCTCAGCGTTCTGGACCGAGATTGGGGCTAATTTGACTCAAGCTTTTCGACAAAAAGAACGTGTTTTTACCTCGATCTCGTGTTGTAACGCATGTTTTCTATCGCACGTGTTGATAACCTCTATCACAATAAAAATAATAATATTATGTTTCCTGCAACAAATCTAATATAATTTTACAACCAAAATATTTTCAAATTGAATCCATCATTTTAATGATAATGATTAATTGAAAGTGAAAAGCTAGTGATCGTTCCAATATATTATTAATTTACCATTAAATAATTGTTTCCTTTAATTAAATTTTTACTAGATCGAAATGAAATATGGGAAATATCTTGCATCAAGACAATTAGAATTACCAGAGTATTCAGGTCATTTCATAGATTACAAGGCATTAAAGAAGTTGATAAAACAATTAGCATTACCAGCAAATCATAGTAATCATAGTTCAATAAGTTTATCCTCAACAAGCACAACTACAAATGGAGAAGTTCTAAATTCAGAAATACAACAATCTTTAAAAGAGAATAAAGCTACTTTCTTCTTCAGAGTTGAAAGAGAATTAGATAAAGTCAACTCTTTCTATTTAGAAAAACAAGCTAATTTATCTATCAATTTAAATTTATTAGTATTGAAAAGAAATGAACTTTTCACCAAATCTTATGAATATTTAAATCAACATCATTTGAATAATAACAATGGACAAAAACAAAATTCTAACGTCATTGATTCTTCAATTAACTCAAATTTTAAAAATTCCATTTCATTTTTAAACTTATATCAAAATTTTAAAAAGATTCATCAAGATTTAATAAGGTTACAACAATTCATAGAGTTAAATGAAACTGGATTTTCTAAAGTAGTGAAAAAATGGGATAAAAGATCAAAGTCACACACAAAGGAGTTGTTTATAAGTACAGCAGTTAGTGTTCAGCCCGTATTTCATAAAAATGAAATTAATGAATTGAGTGATTTGGTGACACAATCATTATTTGATATTGAAAGTATAATGGATGGAGATTATTCATGTTTAAATAATTATAGCAGTTTAGCACATAATGGAACCCCTATCAATGATCCGAATGTAGGTAGCAACGATTCACAAATAATCACCAGTCCAGATCAACTGCAGCAACTGCAACAACCACTTTTCATCAGACAATCATCGATATCAAACATTCAATTAAACAACAGTGAGGTTGATGAACTATACTCAAGTTTTGTCAATGTTGCTACAATCAAAGATCCAGATTTGTCATTACTAGCTAGATGGATTGATAAAGTTAATGGATCACCAAAATCACCGAATGAAAAATTCAATCCGGAAGTTAAATATAAAGTATCAAAAATATTTTTGTTATCAATAGCCAATTTGAAAATTTCAGATTCATTTCTTGAGTCATTTTTGAATTCCATTAACTTTGATATTAATTTTACTTTTGTTAATGATGATTTTAATAACAATAAGACCGTTTTACATGAATGTTGTTTCATACCACCAGCTTCAAACCATGAGAGTCATGTTGTCATAAATAATGGAGTGAAAGTTATAAGCTCAAACGATTCGATAAATCATTCAAGGACATTCATTGTTGAATATATTATGAAGAATTTATCACAAGATGAAATAAAAGCATTATTGATACGTAAAGATTTTAATGGTAGAAATTGTTTACATTATGCAGCACAAAATAATAGAGGTGATTTATTGGATATTATAATTGAATCATTTCCAAAAGATCATATAGATGAAGTTGATAATGAATCTATGTCACCACTACTTCTAGCGATTAAGCATGGTCATTTACATATCATCAAGAGATTGGTACAATTTGGAGCAAATCCGTTCCCAAGAACAAACAAAGAAATTTTACAATATTTACCTATTAATTATGCATGTAAATTTGGTGATTATAAAACTTTAGAATACTTACTTTCAAATGAACCTTCAACCGAATTAGTCAAAACATTGGTTAATCAACAAGATGTCGAAGGTTTGTTACCATTACATGTGGTTTCAAGAGCTGGTCATTATAAATTAATCAAATTATTAATTCAATACGGAGCTGAGATTAATCAGACAGATGGATTTAATAAATGGACACCAATATTTTATGCTGCAGCTGAAGGTCATGTAAATACAACTCAAGAATTAGTTAAATTCGGTGCAAAATTGGACATTGTTGATGAAGATGGATATAATGTATTATATTATTGTGTTGTTGAAGGTCATATTGGCGTAATTAATGAACTTTTAAGCTATCATCAGAAAAATTTTGATCAGGAGAAGCAAAATTTAGTGGATGGAGTTAATTTAGATACTGGAAATTCAATGGCCATACTAGATACAATTGGAGATGATGATGATTCAGATGGAGGATCGGTTGATAAAAATAATGTTGATAATATTCCAGATTTACAATTACCACCACCAATTTTACCATTACGTCGTTATGGTCATAATTTTTTGGAACAAAAAGTACTTATTGAATTAATTTTCCCACAAGATGATCAATTATTTATTAATTTATTTAATTCTACCACTGATTTAAAACCTGGTAGAATCACATTAACTTCAAATATATCAGATATTGTACCAAGAAATATATTATTACCATTAGAAGAAAAAAGTAGTAATAATAAATGTGTTTTTCAAACTGATGTTGATTCATTAAATGAATTTCGTATTGATTTTGAAATTTTTCCAAAATTTGGTACAAGATTAATTGCTAAAACTACAGCTTTATCATTTCAACATATTGATAAAACTTCACCTGAAATTAGTTCAATTGAATTACCATTATTTGATTTAAGATTAAGAAATATTGGACAATTGAAATTTAATTATCAAATTATTTTCCCATTTTCAGGTACTTTATTAGAAACTTCAAAATTTGATACATATTGGAAATCATCAACAAGTTTTGTTAAAAATAAACAAACATTAAAATTAAATGCTGCAGGAGGTTTATCACCAAACAACTTTTTATCACCAAATGCTAATGCTGCTATTAATGCAACAAATGTTTTAAGTCATCAACAACTGCAACAACAACAACAGCAACAACCACCAGCACAATCAGATATAGCATCTAGTTCATCTATAGTAACAGCAACTTCATTATCTGGTGAATATTTAAGAATTAAAGTTTGTTTATTAAATGATGGAACACCAGTAGTTTGTCCTCATTGGTCAATTGCAATTACTGCAAATATTGATTTGTATTTACCAAATTTATCATTACAACAATTAACATCAATAACAGATGATTTATTTGATTATTCAAAAGTAATACATGATTTATCAAGAATGACAGTAAAAGATATTGATTTAATAAAAAAATTATTAAGAATTATTTATTTACCATTAGATATTGTATTAGATATTTTAAGTCCAGATATAAATTTAAATTTAGAATTAATTTTCCCATCATTTTATGAACTTGAGAAATTACCATTTATAAATAATATATCAAAAAATTTAAATAATTTTATTGATTTTACATTAAATGATGTTTTTAATCATATAAAAACAAAATCTAAAATTTCAAAAAATTCAAGATCAATAATTTTTTTATCATCAAATTCTTTAATTTGTAAAATTTTAAATTGGAAACAACCTAATTTTCCTGTTTTTTTAATTATGAATGGTATTACATTTAATAATAAGTTAAAAAAATTTGAACAAAGATCAACTAATGGATTATTAATAGAAAATGAAGACCATCAAAGTAATGATGATGATACCAATACAAATAATGAAAATATAACAACTTCTTTAAATAATTATCAAGAATTAATAATTAGATCAATAAAAGAAGCTGTTAATTTTACAATAAGTAATAATTTATTTGGTTTAATTACATCAATTCATTTATTAAATTTAGTTCCAAAATTAATTCCTTTAATTAGATCAAGAGGTTTAATTTTAGTTGCATCAAGTGATTTATTAGATAGTTATAGTAATTCTCATTTATATAATAATAATGGTGGTGGTAATGATAATATTGAAAATGATAATTTAGAAAATGAAGATGAAGAAGAAGAAGATGAAGAAGAAAAATTAAAAAAAGAATTACATAGTTATACAAAAACTGAAATTAATGGTTTAAGATTTGATGATGTATTAAGTTTTAAAGAAGATATCACTATGTGAGGTGAAGACAATAATTTGTTTTAGACTAATGGATTAAATATTAATAAACACTTTATTCACTCATAAATCGTTTCATATTATTAATTAATAATTATATAAGTATACTTACTGTTACTATTTACGACGTCTTGGAGGAGGTGGAGGTGGAGGAGGAGCTTTTTTTCTCATTGCTTTTTGTTTTAAAGAATTTATTGAATTTAAAGAACTTGAACTTGAATTTCTTGTTGATGAAATTCCATTCAGATTATTATAATCATTTCCATTATTCATGTATATTTGTTGTTTTCTTTTTTCTGATATTGGTAATTTTGGTAATGGTTTTTGAATTAAATATTCATTTGGTAAATCCAAGATATTTGAATCTTCTTCATTTGGTGGTGATTCTTGTTTGGGATCATTATTATCATCTTCATCATCATCATTTTCATCTTCTTCTAGATCGATTTGTTTTGAAAATTGATTTAAAAATACATTATTATTATTCTCCATAAATAATGAATTCTTCTTGTTATGTGTATGTGATTTGGTGGATTTTCGAGATAACAATTTTTCACTATTTTTACGTTCTAATTGATTATGTACAGTTGTATGTTTATGATAATCACTTCTTGAAGATGATCGAACTGATGCGATTCTTGTAAAACTTTTTAATGTTTCCGTAGTTGAATTTGAAAGTTCTTCCAGAGAACTTAATGATTCATTAGTTGATTCATTTGGAAGTGAACCATTTTTCTTTCTAATTGATTTTTTTAACCATTTAACATTCATACATTTTGAAGCTAAATTTGAAATAGTTTGACTTTCATTATTATTATCTTTATTTACATTAATAATAGTATTACTTAAAACATTTAAAATTTCTTGATTTTTATAATTATTACATTCACTTAATTCTGAATATAATAAAATTGGATGCAAAACTCTTAAATAAGTTGAAATTAAATTTAATTCATTATTATCTAAATTATCTAATTCTCTTAAAAAAATATCCAATAAAATTTTTAAATCATTTTTATAAATTAACTTTGAAGTATATGATGTTGTGAAAACAAGATATAAAAATTTCAAAATTAATAATTTTATAATTTTACTTTCTTCTCGATTTAAATGATATATTAGTAAATTTATAAATCCAACAATATTTGATACATTTGATTTGTGATTTTTATCATCATTATGTATTAATTCTTCAAACACTTGATTTTTATTATTTTCTTCTAATTTATATGATATCATTAAATATTGTTCATTTATAAGTAATAATAATTTCAATTCTTCATAAGCTACTAATTTACTTTCATTAAAATCATTATTATTATCATTATCATATCCATCATCATCATCTCCATTAATACTAGTTACAGTATAATTATTAAAATTTTCTGATGATAATAAATCTTTTATTATAGTAGTTATAATTTCATTATTATTAAAAGTTAAATCAATAAATTCTTTTGATGATAAATATTCAAAATAAAATAAATATTCAAATATAATATCACAACTAAATTTTAATATAACAAATGAAGATTTATTTTGTGATACTGCTTTAATTTGAATATTTATAAATTGTGAAATAATTGATATAAATCTTGATTGTTGTAAAGTTTTAAATACTTCATCAACATTTATTAATTCAATAGCTTCTGAAGTATTTGATGATGCATTACTCAGTACATCACTAGCTAGATCATCATTTGTGTTATTATCAATTTCATTAGAAGTATTCTTTAATTTTAATAGTAGTAGTAAAGTAATACATAAAAATTCTTTTAAACATTCACTTTCATAACCAATTTGTTCACTAACTTCAACATAATTATAATCTTCGCTAGTTTCATCATTTTGACTGATTTCATTTTCCAATCTGTACTTAGTAACTGTAGTAAAAGTTGCTAAAAATGCTAGAATTTTAGCAATACAAAATTTATAATTTTTAACAAATAAATTTGAAGTTAATAATTTTAATGATATAATTGATAAATCTTGATATGTAGGAGTTATATCATTATTATTTATATAAATATTATCAATAATACATTTTATAAAAATTGAAAAATTTTCATTACATTCTTGTGAATCACTTATTCTTAAAATTGTTGATATTTCTTCATAAAAATAATCTTTTGTTGATAATTGTTCAGGTTCTGGTATTGAAGTAATTGAAAAAGAAGTAGTTGATGATCTTAATATTGGATTTGGTGATGAAGAATGTCGCTGTTGTTGAATTGTTTTTGAGTTATTATAATCCTTATATTCTTGATTCTTATTTCCATTATTAGTTGAAGAAGTATAGATATGAAACATAATATTCTTTTCAAATGTTATTCAGCAATTGTTTGTTCTTTCTATATTAGTGACATTTGTTCAAGGAAGTTTTATGTATAAATTGAATTGAAGATAAGCAATAGCACTAGGTGATGATATATTTAAGAAAAATTTGGTAATTTAAGTTAAGCTTTGTTTTAATGTTACTCTAGTACAATCAATTGATGATGGTTAAACTTGTTGATCATAATTTCTTCTTCTTATGTAAATAATTCTTAATTTTTATTCTACTAACAAAAAAGAGTAACAAAAAAACATCGGCCCGATTTTAGTGCAAGGGTATGGATATGTCAACCCAAATTACACCACGCTATGGTTGTAAAATATTAATAACAAACACAAGTAACACTGTTCAATGTGGATAAGGTATTCAAAAAGGTTAAGAAAATTTTAAAGCTTAATTTTATAAATGTAACAGATTCATACTAATACTATCTTAAATTATAATGATGTCATTCTTTATCATTACAATTCTCTCATCAATTTCGACTCAATTTGACTTTCTATCAACACATCTCACTTTAGATTAAAATCAATTCCTTTTATAACATCATTGTGATTAATCAATTGAAAAAAAATTTCAAACTTAGTACGTGACAATATAGATACTTTGCCTGGATTGGTAAAGAATTTGATTTTAGATAACAATAACAATAACAATTGTTGTCTGAATTCAAAATTTTTACCAGATCCCGATAAAGCATGTATATTATTATCACATACTAAGCTTGAAAGTTCCAAATGACATCACAATAATGTTTTTAATTAAGCTATTGGATAAAACCTTTGTTGATATCTATTGGTAGACTTGTGATAATATCAGTGTTCTTGCTTCAAAGAATTTGTCCACTAAGGTGTACAGGTATAATGAAAAGAAACTTTAATTGACGAATCCCCTAATGACCAATATTGTGGAAAAAATTCTAATGAAGTAATGAGCTGAGTGTGAGGTTTATGAAAGTCTAGGTTTTTGAAGAACTGTATTAATAACAGTGTAGTCTAATGTATGATTGATTTGGTTGTTGATTGAGTCTTTGATTCATAATTAAATTGAATTAACAATTGAAAGAATTCTCTTCATGTATTTTGAATTCCAATTCAAGGAATTTCAGCAACTATAAATAATAATTTGAATCCATAATATCTAAGATCTTTAAGCCGATAGGCACTTAAACTGATACTCACTATTGTATTGTCTAATTAAATAATAGATATATTCAATTCAACAATTTTTTGTAAGAATATTTTCGATCCCTTAAAAACGTTCAATAAAATTGATTTCGGTAAATACCGAGAATGACATCAAATACATACTATCTCATCGATCTCAACTATTTCACAGATAACTACAAGTTCGAATATTTAAATTTTGTTTTTTTATTATTTATAATAACCTATATCTTATAAACTATACAATACAATACGATGGATTTAATTCTCTGAAATTTATGAAAGAAAGTTACCAGTAACTTATTCTTTCATAATTTCAAACAGACAAATAAATTATTACAATTTAATTTATAATTTTTCACCTGGAATAGCTCTTCCAATAGTTGTAACATCATCATAAATTAAAGTAGTAACAAAATCAGAATATTTTTCACCAAGAGCTTCAGGTGCAAAATATTCAAAAGCTTGTTTAAATTTATTTCCTGGTTTTGCATTTTCTGTTAATTTTTTATATTCTTCATCTAATAATTTTTTAACATAAGCTTTATCAATTAATTTTCCTGTATTAGTTTTGGCACCATGAGTAACCCATTGCCAAATTTGAGTTCTTGAAACTTCTGCAGTTGCTGCATCTTCCATTAAATAATTAATTGGTACACAACCAACATTTCTTAACCATGCTTCAATATATGATATACCAATAATAATATTAGCTCTAATACCAGCTTCAGTAATAACACCACCTGGTACGAAAGGTGCTAATAAATCTCTTTGAGTAATTGGTTTAAAAGGTTCTTTTGGTGGTAAATCAATTTGATTTGGACCTTTCATATGTTCATTAAAAACTTTTAAAACAACTGGTACTAAAGCAGGATGAGCAACCCAACAAGAATCACAACCTAAAGTAACTTCTCTTAATTTATCTTTTGTAACATTTTCAAGGGCTTTTCTATTTCTTTCTTCATCTTCTTTTATTGGAATTTGAGCAGCCATACCACCTAATGCATGAACTTGTCTTTTATGAGTAGTATGAACTAATAATTTAACATATGATGACATGAATGGAGCAGCCATTGTAACTTGAGATCTATCTGGTAAAATAAATTCAGGATGATTTCTTAAACATTTAATATATGAAAAAATATAATCCCATCTACCACAATTTAAACCAGCAGAATGTTCTCTTAATTGATAAATAATTTCATCCATTTGGAAAACTGCAGGAATAGTTTCAATTAATACAGAACCTCTAATTGTACCTCTTTTCATACCAATATAATCTTGAGAATAATTAAAAATATCATTCCATAATTTAGCTTCTAAATGATGTTCCATTTTTGGTAAATAAAAATAAGGACCAAAACCTCTTGCTAAAGTTTCTTTTGCATTATTAAAAAAATATATAGCAAAATCAAATATACCACCTGAAACTGGTACACCATCAACTAAAACATGTTTTTCAGTTAAATGCCAGCCTCTTGGTCTAACAATTAAAGTTGGAATATGTCTTCCCTTTGATAAATTTAATTCATATTTTTTACCATTTGTTTCAAATTTTAAATTTCTTCTAACACCATCATATAAATTAACTTGACCATCAACTAAATTTTTCCAAGCAGGAGTTAAAGAATCTTCAAAATCAGCCATATAAGTAGCAACATTTGAATTTAAAGCATTAATAACCATTTTTCTATCAGTTGGACCAGTAATTTCACATCTTCTATCAATTAAACCTGGAGCTAAAGGAGGACCAGTCCAAGTTTTATCATCTCTAATATATTGAGTTTCTGGTAAAAAATTTGGTAATTTACCTTGATCTCTTAATTTTTGTTCTTCTTTTCTATTATTTAATAATTCTTGTCTTTTTGATTCAAAACCTCTATGTAAAGTAGCAACAAATGCTAAAGCTTCTTGAGTAAAAATATGTTTTGCATTATCTGGAATTGGTCCTAAAACTTGAACTCCCTTAATTTTTTCAGCTACAGTTGGAAATGGTGATGACATATTTTATTCTCTATTCTATAATTTGATTTGATTGATTGATTGATTGATTGATATATCTATGTTTCAAAAATAAAATCTAAAAATGAAATTAAGTTGAAAAATAAATTAAAGTTAATAACGTGGAAAAGCAATTGATTTTTATATCTTTAATTCGACAATTAAGGATTAAATAGAAAATAGAAAATAGAATGTGATAAACTAACTTAAGTAACTACCAATTGAGAATGCAATATTACCCCGGATTCTCTGTAGTTCAGTACGCTAAGATTAATACTACACCGAACAAAAAAAATATTTCAAACCGTCGCACGCAAAGAAAAAAATTATTGATATTGTACTACTAAAATTCAATTTTCGCATCAGAGGAAGTAACGTTTTTGACTCGAGAAATGATGAAAATAGAACGGAGCGGCTATGATACTTTGACTCTGTTCAGATTGGGTAATTATTAACGGACTTTTAATATGGAGATCTCAAAACCAACTATAACACCTTATCGATATCCATATACTCTATCAGACTCAATCAGCCCAGTAAAGAAAAGAACTAGATGGCAAGTGGTGTGTTAAGATATATTTCAATGAACAAATCGAAGTCAAAAGAGTATGCGATAATAATACGCCAACATCGGAGTCTTATTCACTTAGATAATAAATCTGTGTCGGTATTATGATGAAAATTTCAAATTTACTTTCAACCGAGGGCATACAAAATAGAAGATTTTGAATCATGTTACTTTTGTTTTATTTTTCAATGTCGAACAATTATACACGACTTTAATGTTTTATAACGGTCTTTTAAATTCAAGCAATAATGAATAGAATAACCGCTTGAATTATTATTACTTTTCCATTTATCGGAGTATAAACTAAACTCATTTTTTAATAAAAAAATTGTATAAAACTATGAAATTACAGGAATGATTTACTTGTTGTTGATGTAAAATTTGATAGGGGGATAAAATCAAACTAAAACCCTCGATATTATTCATTATGTTAAGCAGTTGTTAACTTTTTGAAGTTCTATCATTCATTGCTTTTTTAATTGCAAATAGAAAAATAAAAAATCTGGATTTGCAATTGAAAGAGTTATGAATGAAAAACTTTTTTGAAAGTTTAACTTAATAAGTTAGTACTGCTTTTGAGTTAGTGATTTGGAGTTTGGTTATTTGGAATAAGCACCCTACAATGGGTAAAAACTCAGTATAGGACTAAACAAAGCCAAACACTTGACAGATTGAGTGCATCATAGAATTATTTGGGATATGATTTATTTTCAAGAGATTAGTGCTCATTAAATGTGCTTTCTGTGAACAATATTTGCAAAATGTGATTCTTCAACATGCATATATCGAAACAGTTTTCAAACAATTTACTTTTGATTAGAATACAAATATATATATTATGATACAAACAAAGTCCATCATCATTATGCAATTATCTCAAGTTTTTGTTATTATGTGCAATTTGCTCCAAAAAATTATCAAATTTAAATTTGATCAATTTCACCTTCATATAAATTTAAAACTTCTTTTGCCCATTTACTATTTTCAAAACCATTACCCTTTATAGCACCTTGTAAACCTTGTTGTTTATTAACATAATCAATTCTTCTATAACTATTAATATTTTTTCTTAAAACAAATTGATAACAAGTAGCAGTACCATTTCTACTTGCAACAACACTTGAACTTAAAAAAAATTCCCAAATTCTAAACCATTTTATACCATATTTATTTACAACTTTATTTTTATTACCAATCCAATTTCTATACCATCTCCATAAAGTAGCAGAATAATGAACTCCAATATTATCAACACTTACAATTTCAAATCCAACTGATTCCATACATGAAGCAACAAAACTTAATGGAGTAGAAGCATCAGCCCCTGGAAAAATATATTTATTCATAAATAATCCCCATTCTAAATCTTCATATTGCCAATTTTTTCTTAATCCAGAATATTGTAAAAAAAATAATCCATCATCATCTAATAAATTTTTACATAATTCCATATAAGAAGTTAATTTTCTAATACCAACATGTTCTGCCATTTCAACTGAAGTAATTTTATCATATAATCCATTTGATTTTGTTGAATTTGGAGCATCTCTATAATCACAACAAACAATTCTACTTTGTTCAGGGGATATACCATATTCTTGTAATAATGAATTACCCCATTTTGTTTGATTTTTTCCCAAAGTTAAACCAGTTACATTTGCACCATATTGAGTTGAAGCATAAGTAGCCCAAGTACCCCAACCACAACCAATATCTAATACATAATCCCCCTGTTGTAAATCAATTTTTTCAGCCATAATTTTTAATTTATTATCTTGTAATTCTTCTAAAGTTTCTTCTCTTGTTGGATCACTTATAACTCCAGAAGTATAAATCATTCTTGGTCCTAAAAACCAAGTATAAAAATCATCACCACGATCATAATGATCTCTAACTTGTTCTTCATCTTGAGATTTTGAATGGAAAATAACTTCAGGAATCATTTCAGTTAAAAAAAATCTAAATAATCCTAAAGTAAATTGAAAATTTGCCCAATCATGTTTATATTCCATAACGTCCAAAGCATCACCTTTAAAACTTACTTTTCCATCAAAATATAATTCTTGAAAAGTTTCAATTGGAATTTTTTTACCTTTTCCATTATTTGAATCTTGATATTTTGATTTTAATTCTGGTGTATGATATTCTAAATAATATGAAATTGGTCTATTTGGATATTTTACTTTTTCATTAATTCTTGGACTAAAAGTTGACATTATTGTCCAATAAATCATTAATATTGGAATAGCTAATAAAATCAAAAAAAACACCCATACTTTAAAACCAAATCCTAATTTATAAGTAATATAACCAGGCACTAATCCTAAAATTGAAAACAAAATTGTATTTGAAAATGATGTTGAACCAGGACCATCAGCAGGTAATGGAGCATTATGAATAGTTGGAGAATCTGATGTTAATACTCCTGATTCATTTGTTCTTGATGGTTGTGGTTTTGCTTTGGGGGTTTTTATGAATGACTCGGATTGTAACATCTTGATATAGTCAATTGTTTATATCTATTCTTAATTCAATTGAGTTTATAAGAAAAGAAACAAACTTGATTAAACAATTGATAAAAAATTCTAAAGATTTATAAACATTGTTTTGAAAATGTTGAAAAAAAATTGTTTATAGAAAAATACACAAAAGCCAATTTTACGACGTGTTCGAGAATCAATTTATTTTGAACTGATATCAAAACCAGTGTGTGGAATGAAATGTTATGGATTAGGTAAGTCTAGCAGTCAAGACTGTTTCTATATATAGGACATGAATGATTAACTACTGAATGAAACGAATCACAATCGTTTAAAAGAATATAGTTCTATCTTACTTAATCAAAAATTATAGTGATTTTATACGACTTCGAATTGAATTGAATCGAAATTTGACACAAATCAGCTCAGCCTTGTATAAACTTTTGTTGCTTCAAATCAATATTTATATAACTTAATAAACGCAATTGTGTTTTACCTGCTATATACAGCTAAAGCCTGACTGTGTTTCACCTTCTAAATCGAGTTATCGCTAGTACTACTCTACTTTTGACAAAGTCAAATTCAATGGGTTCAAATTAAATAAACCTTAAAAGTCAGCAAATGAAAAAAAAAATTATTTATTAAAGCTATGAACATGAGTTATAGTCTATGTAAAATCAACTTTGTTTCTCAAAATTGAGCTCTAATATATAATTTACTTTTCAATAAGACATAATCTAATAAAAGATCATCATTATTAAAAAATATTTCACTAGATTTATTATTTTGCTGTTGTTGATAATCAACTACTGAATTTTTTAAAATTATTGGATTTAATTTTTTATTATCATCTTTATTCATAAACACGATACTTAATTTTAAATTATTTAAATTTAAAATTTTATTAAAATTCATAATTTTAAAAATTATTATATTTATTAATTCATTTATATTTTTTAATTTATTTTTATTTAATTTTATCAGTATATAATTTAATTGATTTATTTGTTGTTGTTTTTGATCTGATTGTATTGATTGATCATCTAATAAAATTTTTAATTTTAATATTGAATTATTTTTATTGTTTTCTATGTATGAATTTCTTTTTGATTTATGTATACTTGATCTTCTAGATTCTGGTTTATAATTCTGTTGTTGATGATGATGTTGATGTTGTGGTTCTTGTACTTGATGATGATGTTTATGTTGTGATTTATTTCTTGAAATTTGATTAGGTAAATAAGATTCAAATGAATTTAGAGTAGTATCATCATAACTCATTGAAGTTGGTGATTCTGATGCATTTGATTTATTATTATTGTTGTTATTATTTGTTTCTGAATCTTTTATTGAATATCCACTAAATGAAATTACTGTATTATTAAATTTTTCATCTTTAGTTGATGTATTATAAAATTCAGAATGTGATGGAAATTTTGAATTATTTTTTGAAAATTTTGGTGAAGAATTTGATGAATTTGAAAATTTTTCAAACGTGTGTGTAGATTTTGATGTATTGGGAGTTCTTGGTGTAGATGAAATACTTGAACTCCTACCTAATGAGTTTATATATGAATTCGAGTTTATGTTTGTTTGAATTTTAGGTTGCTCTAAATCTAAATTTAGTTTTGAAGCTTTGGCTGGTGAAGATGAGAAATTTGGTTGATTCGATTTTGTTGGAGTTTTTAGTAATTCTTTATCATTTGGAAAATATGATGAATGACGTAAATTTTCATTCTTTTTAACTTGAGATTTATCCTCGGATTTATCTTTTTCTTCTTTCCCTTCATGCCTACTGAATCTCTTCAAACTTTTACTATATCTTAAAGAAGGTGAAGATAATTTTGGAGTTGAAAAAATCGTTGATGATGAATTTTGTTTTGAAGAAGTTTGAGTCTGAGTATTTGCAGATTTTGAGTTTTTGGGTTCTTGAGTTATAAAAGGACTTGAATTTTTAGACTTTGATTTTAAATTTGGTGAAGAAATTGGGGTATTACTTTTTGATTCTGAATTTATATTATTATTTGAATAATTCTTTAATTTTAATGAAAATTTTTTAAATAATTTTGATGGTGAAAATGAACCCTTTGAAGCAATCGGTGTTGATGACGATGATAAACTTTCAATTTTAGGAGGTGGTTGTAGGTAATTCTTGTTGGATGATGATTTATTCTTATTAGATTTTTCTGGTGTAAAGAATATTGATCCTTTATTAGTATTTTGTTTAATTTCTTGTAATTGATCATCTTTAATTGAATTTATTGAACTTGGAGGAGTAAAAGAAATATTTGAAATTTGAATAGATTTATGATCATCAATGGTATAATTCTTTGCCTTAAGTTCATCTTCTTCTTCATAATCAATTTCATCATTATCAGATGAATTAAAATCTAATGGAGGAGTTGTATATAAACTCATTGGTCTTGGTTTATTTTTAAAATTAGAAGTAGGTGTTGCTAATGAAAATGAATTTAAAGATGGTGAAGTGGTTGTAATTTTTGGAGTTAATAAACTTTTATTAAGATAGTCATTTGTATTTATCATTTCAGTCATTTTGAAAGAAAGTCAGTGTAATTTTGTAAACAATGAGTGAGTTGTGGAAATGAACGACTAAATTTGGCACTCCGATGAAAATGTAGTAACTAAGTGAATAGTAAAATTAAGTTTTGTAAAATGAATAAATGAAAGGAATGAAATTTTACCTTTGAGATAGTTAGTTTGGTAATACTAAAACGTGAATTTGTGGAATATTTGATGAATTTAAATTAAATTTTTTAAGTTAATGATAAAAAACAATAGAACAGGGCGAGTATAATACAGCAAGATGGAATGGATGAAGGAATGAATGAAGGAATGAAATTGGTACAATATGAAGAATTTTAAACTTTTATAAATTAGATGGAAAAGTGTAAAGAATGAAATGAAATTTTGAGTTGTTTTATTAAAAGAATAAAGTTTTTGCAAAAATTTTAAAAAGTTACACAAAAGTCATAAGCCGCCCTTTCAAAAATTAAAATAGAAATATTTATACACACAGGCATACACATGTTTCACACAACTTTTTCTTCAATTTACAATATTTCAGGGTTCATGTTAAGAAGATCTGTTAAAACTAGAGCTATGAAATGTCAAACCAAAGAAGATAACCTAGCGACTAGAACTTTCGTCATTCTATTCTTCAATAAGATTAAAATGCTGGTTCAAAATCCCCCTTTTAAAGTTAGTTGGTTGGTTACTTAAAATAATAATTTATTATAAGATTAAATATCAAAAGTTTAAACTAAAACGCGTAATTCCCTGTCATTAGATATCAGAAAATATCATACATCGTTACACATCCAGTACGAAACTTTTTATTCAAAATTACTCAAAAAATCACTCAATGATCATCAATTGACAAAAATTGATCAAGAAATTGTAAAAATGCTCATAAATTCAACTATAATTCTAGATTTACTTAACAATAACCAATACATGTACAGTACATTGCGTTTCTTTTACTCTGAATTTTAAGTATATATACATACACCTTTATACAAAAAAGAAATAAGTTATAATACTTCATTCTTTTATTGCATTTGCATTATAAATTATTGATAGATTATTACATTAGCGAATTATATTAAATTGTAGAATGAATATAATATTGTACGTTTCAACAAAATGTTTATGGTATTCCATACTTTCGAAAACTTGGAATTAATGGTAAGATTTTGAAAGGAGGACATAGCTTGAATTTACTTGTATCAACCATATTCTGGAGCGATTAATCTTCCAACAATCACTCAAAAACTTTAAATCCTTCATGAAGAATACATTCAAATACAAAGATGTAAATTTACTTAATCTCAAATTGATTAAATTGATTAATTAAATTAACAAGTAAAAGAACTTTGCACATTCGTAAATCATTTTTTTTCGCTAATAAAGTAGAATAAGTAATAATACTTTTTATCCCCTTCCTTTTGAAAATACACAGGATTAGAATTAATTAAATCCTAAACTTGCTTTCTCTATTCCAATACTATTGTACGTTTGATTCAAAATATTAGTTCATTTATTGACTAGGTAAGTACGTTTATTCCTGCAAAAGTACTACTTTACTACCGTAAAAATATCGCAATATTTTAAGAATATCGTGTATTATTGCTTTATTTAAGTACGTATTTAGTCACATGCATGATCTTACATACTACGTATGTATAGAACAAATTTTGGGATTATGATACTTTTCATAATTTATTGGTCTTACATTAGTTTAGAATCAAGTAAGAGAATAAATTTTCATAAATATTTCATTCATTAATGTCTCTATCTGTAAAATATTCAAAAACCTATTGTTCGTTAATGTCTCATTCTGTAAATTATTTAAAGACCTATCAAAGCTAATTTACATTTATCAATATTTATAAGTGTTTTCATAAATTCAATTTCATTTGAATCATCAATTTCTCTATCATTTATTAAACCAATAATTTTTAATTTAAATGATGAACTTCCAATATCTTTACCAAGTTTTAAATTTATAATCTTTTTCAAATTTTTTAAATTTTTTATATCAGATTTTAAAATTTTAAATTTTATTATATCTTTATCAGAATTATTTAAATAAATTTTTAATTTTAAAAAATTTGAATTTGGATTTGAATTTCTTGAAGTTGGAGTAATTGGTGAGCTAACAAGTGAAGAATTATTTGAAGAATATGAGTCTCTTGGTTGTTCAATTATTAAAGGTGGTGTAATATTTGTAAAAAATTTATTAATTGATGAATTTTGGGTTTTTACAGTAATTGGTGATGTTGTTATTGATGTTGATATTGTATTTATTGAATTTTGTAAAGAATTATGTTGATTTATAGTTGATGATGTAGTCGGAGGAGTTGAAGTTGTTGTTAATCCATTATTCTCTAACAATAAATCATTTAAATTATTATTTAGAACTGGAGTTTTTGGTATATTTATTAATTGTTCAAAATCTTTAGTTTTTGTTTTGGATTGTCTTGATGAATTTTCACTCTTCTTGATATCAGTTGCTTCGTTACATTCTTCTTTTGTTTCAAAATCATGTATAATTTGACATTTTAAAGGTGATAAAACTTTTTCATTTTTTTGATTTTGATTAAAACAACAATCAATTGATGAATTATTTGTATCAATAGATAAATTATTTGAACTTAAAGTTGAACTTGATGTTGAATCTGTTCTTTTTGAATTTCTATTATCACTATTATTTATATTTGATGATTTAGTTTCATAACTATTTATAAGTGGTTTTGGTTCAAAATTTAAATTATCAATTTTATTATTTATTTCATTAATTTCATTCTCTTTAATTAAGTCTGTTTTATCATTATTTGTTTCATCTTTTTCTTTTGTTTCATTGTTTTCTCGTTCATTAACTGAGAAAGTTTCATCTTGTTCATTAATTTCTTGTTCATTAATTGAAGTATCTTCATATCCATCAATTAATGATCCATAACTCATTAATGTATTACAACTAATTGATTCAGGTAATTTTAAATGGGATGATTCTGTTTCCTGATGTTTTTGCTCTAATAGTGATTGAGAATCCTTAATTTGAAGTTGTTGTTCACAAATTACATTGGGGGTAGAATTGTTATGCGTTTCATATTCATTTTCATTTAATTGTTGTAATAATTCTTCTTCTTCTTCTTTTGTTTCAAAATTTAATTGATCTGGAATTTTATAAACTCTTGAATTTAAACTTGAAGAAGATCTTGATCTTGATTTTAAAGTTTGTGTTTGTGAATTTTTTCTTGATGATTTAATTGAATTTGGTGAATTTGGTGAAACTGGTGAATTTACAGAACTTGGTGAGTTTGAAGAATTTGAAGATTTAAAAATTATTGAATTTGGTGAAGTATTTGAATAATTAAATTTATTTAAATTCGATTTTGGAGTAATTGGTACTGCAGATGTTGAAAAAGATCTTTGTTGTTGAATAATTGGTGATATTTGTATTGGTGAAGAATTTGTTGTTATAGAAGATGAAAAACTTCGATCTAATTTTGGTAATGGTTCAGTTTTAAAATATTGATAATTTGATGATGAATTTAAATTTAAATTTGAATTTTGAATTGTTAATTTATCAATTAATATTGAATTTGTTGAAAATTTTGATATTATATTTGTTGTTGTTAAAATTTCATCATCATCATTGTAAATCTCGATAAATTTACCATCTTCAAAAATTAATTGATTTAATTGTAATTGAAATGAAGGATTATTTAGATTCAGCTTGAAAAAAGAATTTAGTTCAAAACATAATGTTCTTAATTGATTTATTACTTGTGAATTAAATTTTTTAAATTCTTCAACATTTTTTGGAAATTGTTGTAAACCCACATTATCTAATCTCTCATAAAATTGATTTAATTGTTCATAATTTCTATTTATATAAATTAACTTTGAATCATATTGAAATTTTAAACAATACCAAATTTTTTTATTATTTAAATCTTGATAAATTTCATCAATTAAACAATCAATTGGATTTTCAAAATTTTTATTAATTAAATTTTCATCCTCTATTGGTAATGTATCAATTTCATAATGATGTAACCAATCTAATGTAATTGGATTTAAAATATCATTAATACCAATTTCCATATAAGAAGCAGGAACTAACCCCTTATTTTGATTATTTTCAATATCACAAACTAATAACCAACCATTTCCAATTTTTTTAATTAATTTATAAAATTTTTTTGCCGTTATTGATAATTCATTTTGATTTTTTGATTCAAATATATATTTTGATATTAAAATTATATGATTTTCATAACTACAATTATATTTGTAAGTCTTTTTCTTTGGTGATGATTGATGAAATTTGGAATTTGTTCGATCTTTTATATGATTATTATTATTTTGATTTTGATTTTTTTGATTATATTTATAATTTTGTAAATTATATAATTCTTTTTCATCTATTGGACCTGATATAACAAGATTTTTTGATTTTTTTAAATTTTTATTCAGTTTAAATAATTTTGATCTTGAAAGTGATGAAGACATTGTGATTTGATGAGTTTTTGGGAAAAGACACTTCTTCGGGGTAAATCTCTAAAGTATACTTTGATTTTTTGAATTGAATTTAGACGATGTGAAAATTAAGTGGTAATTGCAAACTATACAGATTAATTTTGGAAATACTATGGTTAATTCTTTGAAGGGTGAATCAAGTTGTAAGTGTTGAAAATCTAGATCTTAATTTGAAAACTGGTTGTAAAATGTTTGTAAAGTGGTTGTAAAAAATTCAAAATTGTTATTTTGAATATTGGTTGTGAAAATTATATTGATCCTACTTTTGTTTTGGTATAATTGTATAATCTTTATCTGGATGTAAGTAGCTTTAAGTCTGAATATTGTACTTTGGTTGATGATAGATCAGTTTATTTGTTGGTTATCTGTTTGGTTGTTGATTTGGTAAGAAAGTGATATAGATTTGAGTTGAATTATTCTATTAATAAATTTGTTACTTTTTTAATTATTTCTTTATATTTTATTTATTAATTATTTTTGTGTAACATACTGTAAATAAAATGTAAACAGAATAAAATTATGTAATGTATTACGTAACTGAGAGTCTTACATAGTATGTATGCTAATTACACAAAGTAAAATCTTACATCAATAAGTACATACATACATACATAAATTACACAAATCACTAATATTATATACAGTACTACTTTGTTAATTAATTTATCTTATAAAATAAAATAGATTAACGAGATTAAGTACTAATAGCAAATTAATTCATATTAGCCTAAGTAGTTCAAAGTAAATTGAGTGAATTGAATTAAAAATCATTATAAGGTGAAGTTATACATAAATTAGTCTTAATTAATTGATTTATTAATCAAAATGTGGGTAGACTCATGTTTAATTACTAAGGAGAAAGAAATTCTGTGCTATATTAAATTGTCCTTTCCTATACATACAATACTTAACCTTTTTTTTTTCTGCGAACACTTGAAATTGTTTAAAAACTTCAAACAAAGACACCTGGAGGAGGCTGCTGGACCTTGTAGTCTTCAAATAGACGGTTGTAGGGGTAGTTTTTGACGATAGATTTGATTGCGCAGTTAGATTTGTCAAATTCTGGCTGGTTCTTGACTTATTGCCTAGGTACTGTTTTGTGTCACGAACTCACAGTTAAAAGGACAATTTAATATCATCCGAAATTCTAGGTTCATGTTTTTTTTTATGATTAGTAAAGAACAGGATGTATAAAATTTGGATAAAAATAAATTATTATATAAGATTAAAGGAACTGGGATATGATTTTAGTAATATTCACTCTTGGATCTTTTTTCTTATACTTAAAGATATACCGTGATTTACTTTTTCAAAAGAGCTTATATTCCTTCTTTTTTATGACTTTGAAATAAAGCTTTTATTAAAAACTATATTTGAATCGATTGAGTCAAATATTGATCGAATTTTCAAATCATAGTTCAGAGAACAAGAACATTTCAAGAAAAACTTAATATTATATTTGTTTACATTTATCTTATTTATAATATTAATTTCGTATCATCAAGATCCTTCTCTTTTATAGTATTGTTAATATTCCTTTAGTATAGTATTTTATGCAATCACACATTCACTAGTGCTTCACATTAAGAAAATATCTACTGAACCGTATCCAATACCTTCAACATCCTTATAAAGCATTTATAGATGTGAATGGCATTAGTTGTTTTTCTTTCCTTCCCAAAATCACATTATTCATAAGACTTTCTTGTTAATATCTTAATCAACTTTCATTTATATTTTAATTTTCCCCAATTTTTAAACTTTTGTCGTTGTAGAACATACCACAAAATACTACTGATCGACCTAATTTTACAAAAATATTTTGTTGTAATTGTTTACACAATAATACAAACTTACTTATTTATAACACGAGATAATGCAAAATTTTACATAAACTATTTATTATTTAATGTTTTTATCTGTTCCTTACATTAAAAATTATAAATATTATAGATAGCAAAATAAATCTCACAAAGTCATAAATTTGAATGTGGAAATTGATAAAGAATCAAAGAGACTCAACTAAATTCTTTGACTAATTGGTTGGTTTTAACTTATCTTTAAACTATCTAATCGTATCTGATCATCTCCTAAACGTTTTTTTTAGTTTTGTTTGACTTTTCCATTTGATATAACAAAGTAAACAATACGTGCTCAAAAAAAGGTTAAATCTCGAAGCTTAAAAAATTTGAAAATTATTTTTAACAATAATTAGGTTTACATACACTTTCAAGAACAATAAAAAGTTTAACTAAGTATAACTAAGTGAAATTAAATTTAATTTCGTTTAGAAATAAATAAGGTTATTATTATAATGAAAATTTAACATAAATCCGGATATAAATCAAAGAAACCTAAGGTCAAATATGTTCAATCCGTTTATGATTTAAAGATCTCAAATCTCAATGAGATATGAAATGAAAATGGTACGATATTTCAAGAATATCGTATATAATTAGAAAAGAAAGAAAAAGAAATATATAATTTATACTTGTCATGTAAGTATCACTTATCAACCAGATCTTACATCATTTATAATTCTTTTTTCACTATTTCTGTTAGTTAGACCTGACTAAAACTAAAAATTATCACGATAAAATAAAAATTAAATTGATGGAAAAAAGATTAACCGGTCTTTGTTTTGCTTTCCTTCCACGCACTGACTAATCAATTGAAAGATATAAAAGAGTAAACCAGTCGTTTGACGGGTTGGAAAATGAACCGAAATTGACCAATACCTGAGAGTCTATACCGATTCACATACTTGTATCAAGTAGAAATTGAAAACGTATGATATTGCAAGAAATACATCTTTTCATAACCATTTGACCATGATAAGTACAAATTTCCGTAACAAAAATAAGTTAAAAATGTCAAAAGTTTCATAACCACCTTAGTGGAATACAAACCAGATCATAAATAAGAATCTCAAATTTTTTAAATCTTTTGTACTTTTTAGTATCGGATTAATTTAGATATAGTCGACTTCATATTCTTTTTTTGGTCTTGAAAATAAAAGTGGTTATGAGTTAGATCTAATCTAATGAACATGTGGTCTGATTAATTTAAACTAAACCAAAACTATATATTGAATAAATCCGTAATAACTAAAATATCATCAAGTTGAGATCCTAAATAACCAACGGGTTTATTTTCAAAAAATGGAGATCTTTGATAATAAAAGGTAGATCTCAATTGATGCTTCAAACCAGAAACGAAATCACCCAAGTCAAACGTTTGAGTTGACCTGTCATCAATCGATTGTGTAAAAATTTTTCAAATAGACAAACAAAGAAAAATGAAAACCTCATTAGCTCTTGGTCAAATTTGATTGAATTGGTAAATTGTTTTGAAAACTAAAAAACTTAATTTCTAAAAAAAATTGAAGCGCAAAATTAATTTTTAGATTTTTGTCTAAATAATGTAAATTGGTTAAAAAGTTTATTCCGTTTGTTCGGACTTAATTTAGATTTCAAAAAATTGATATCTAGAATAGATCTGTAGACTAACAATAGTCATTAGATCAATCTTGAATTTGGAGTAATGAATTCATTTATTAAAATTCTTGAATTCAATTTCAAAGTACTTTGTATCTCAAAGTTTTGAAAGTCTCATTTACGCTAGTCACAAAAACTTCGAAGAAATTTTCAAAATTTAGACGATGTTCTTTATTAAACTCGATAATTGAACTACGTATTAAATCAATGTACGAGTGATCAAATGACCGATTAAAACAGATAAATCATTTGTATAAGTTTTTGCAAAACAAAAATAATTGTTCAATTAAATTTTGTGATGTTACGATCTAATTTGATTTTTTTGTTAAAATTTGGCTGCAAAATTAGAACTGAACTAAATTAAAAACGTCACACCATTTGAATTAAAAAAAAGTAGATTCTTTCACTTTCACAAAATTTTTCCTTTCAGTACAATCCTCAGTACTATCAAACTAAACAAGTAACAGATAGAAAGAAACAGATATCGATAAATATCAAAACAGTTAAAATTAAAATATTTTATTAAATTATAAATTAATACAAAAGTTATAAAAATACACACACACATAAATAAAAAAAAGATTAATAAATTAATAATAGTACAAATGAAGTATATCTGAAACCATCTTCAAATGAATCAGGCAAAAATATTCAATAATAAAACAAACTTTTTTTTCATAAAATTATTGAAAGAAGTAAATGAATTATAAATAAAACGATCAGATCCAACCGTATCTCCTAAAACTTCAGCAGTGTTAACTCTATCTCTCCCTCTTTTTCAAATCTTTAAAAACAATTGAGTAAACAATAACGAATTACGAATAACGAACCAACAACTCTAACCGAACAAACAAATTTTCAAGCAACTAAGTTCATTTCTCTCATTTACTTAACTCAACTAATTCTAAACTCAACAACCTCTTTTTAAATTAATCCAATTTTTAAATCAATTTCAGAATTAAATTTTAAAAATTCATCAAAATTAAATTTATTAACTAACAAATCTAAATTTTCAAAATTTTTAAAATTTGGTAACTTCATTAAAAGCAAATGTTTTGAATCAATTAAATTTAATTTTTTAAATACAACTCTTTTTAATGTTTTTATATTTAATATTTGAAATTTTGGTATACTTATATTAATTACTTCTTGATTTAGGTTTATTATTTTACATCTTAATATTTGATTATTTTTTAATGGATGTTGTTGAGGATTCTTTGATTGCTTCGTAATTGGTGATTGTTGTTTTGAAATTGGTGTTTGATTTGGAGTTGGATAACCTGATATGGGGAAAATTTTTGTATTTATACTTAATGGTGATAATTTAGGATTTTGATATTGAGAAGTTTGTGCTGGTGGTGGTTGAGGAACAGACTGATTATAATAATAAGTTGATGGAAACGGAGATATTTGAGGTGATTGATTTTTATTTAAATTTCTTGATGAATAACCAGGTTTTGAATTTGGAGAATTTGGATTTTGAATGAAATGAGTTGGTGGTGGTTGAACAGTTTGGAAATTTTGAGGATATTGGGGTTGATTTTGGTGATGGTGATAGTTATTATGATGTGGATGATTTGGATGATTTGGATGAGGTGGATGTTGTTGTTGGAAATAATGTGGGGAATTCGGCACCATTTGATGAGTTTTAGTAGGAGTTCCCATTCCTTGTTGTTGAATTGAAAATGGTAATGGTGGAGTTGGCATTGATTTTGGTTGTTGTTGATGTTGATGATGTTGATGTTGTGATGACGAAGGTTGTGATTGTTGTGATTGTTGTTGTTGAGACATTTTTCTTCTTAATTTAGGAGAATTTGAAAATTGATTTGAATCCATTGAAGTATTTGGAGTAACATTATCATTTTCTTTTATAAAACTATCTTTTGAATTTAAATTAATTGAAGTATTTGAAATATTTGAATTATTATTATTAAAACTTGTATTTGGAGTTGAAGAAATTGGTGATGACAGTTTTGATTTTGTTTTAGTTAGTGAAGTTACTTTTTTTGATTGTGATCTTTTTATTGAATTTGAATTTTGTCTAAATACATTTGAAGCTTGTTGATAATTATTATAAATATTTTTTGATTTTGTTCTTGATGGTAAATCTTCTTTTTCTGAATTTTCATCATCAGAATCTTCATTGTTTTCTCTATCATCATCATTTTCTTCTTCATCTTCTTCTCTATTAGCCTTTTTCTTCTCTTCTTCTTCTAATTTTAACCTTTTTTCATTATAATTTTTAACAACATCAATTGAACCAGGTAAAATTTTTTGATTTATATCATCATTTTCAATTTCATCAATTTCTAAAAAACCAGGTAAATTATTATAATTTAAATCTAACCAGTCTATTATTTCCATTGAAGTTTGAAAATATTTATTTAAAATTAATTTATTAATATAAATATTTAAATCATTACATCTTTTTAATAATAAATTTATATTTTCTTCTTCTTCTTCTTCCACTTCAATTATGGCGCTATTATTTTCATCATGTTTTAATCTTGTTGGTAATGGTTCAGGTAATTTAGGTAATTTTAAATCAACATCTTCTTCCAATTTATCTTCTTGGGGTATATCATTTAAAAATTTTAATAAATTTATATGTAAATTATAAAAATCTTGATAATATCTACATAAATAAATTTTAGATTTATTTGATAATTCAACATCTAATCTATACCAATATCTTTGTTTAAATAATGCAAAATTCAGTATTGAAACTAATATTGGATAAGGTTTATTATTTATTGTTTGAAATTTTGATTCTATTTTATTAAATTGTAAATTAAGAAATTTATGATCTTTTATAATATTTGATGATGATAATGATGAATCTGTAGAATGTAACCAATTTAATGTTATAGGATTTATTGGATCATTTATTGCTATATCAACATATTGAGCAGGTACTAAACCAGGAGGTTTTAATTTATCAATAAATTTTACTAATAACCAACCATTACTTGGTATATCTAATAATTTTAATATATCACCCTTTTGAATACTTAATTCATTACTTGTTTCTGATTTAAATGTAAATTTTGTAATTAATATAATATTTGATTTTAAATTTGTTTGAAAGTTATTTTGATCTTCTGTTGTTGGATTTGAAATAGTAAGTGATCTTAATGGTGTTGAAAGTGAATTTATTTTATTTGCTATAATTGATGATGTTTTTGGTAATGATGATGATTTTGGTGATGATGATGAAATTTGAATAGGTGATGATATAATTTTAGGAGATGATTTTATAGAACCATGAGATAAAACAGTTGGTTGTGTTGCTGTTGAAATACTCATTTATTGGTTTAAAGAAACTTGTGAATTCTTTAATTAATCTTTTCCAATTATTGTATAGTTAGTTGATAAATGAATGTAAAATGGTTGTTGTAAACTTTTTTCACCTTCTTGATAAGAATATTATAAGACCAAGAAGATATAGATATTTAAAAACAGTTGTTGGTTGTAAAATAATAATAATAAAAATATTTTTTAGAATAAATTTGAAGATTATCTTTTGTGTGTGTAAAGTTGTTGTTGTTTATATTTTATAATAATAATAGAGATTTGATTTGATAGATAAATTTATATTATAATGTTAATAAATTGAAAGATAGTAATACAGAGTAAAATTAAAGCCATACAAAAAAATTGTCTCTAATTGAGCTAAATTTAAACTCAAGTAAAAAATATACGTCGTAAATTGTTGTTATATTTTCTTATTGACAAGTATACACAGAAAGTCTTTAGAGGAAATATACATACGGCTGAAATTTTAAATTTACATACTAAGAGATTCAATAGAGGTAGTAATCAAACAGTAGTTATGGGGTGAAAGTTGATATAAGCCAACTTTCCTTACTTGACTGTATCTTCTATTGAAAAACCTTATTTCATATCTTCAATTGATTGGTTATTACTACCATCAATGTTAATTTAATTTGAACAATTGTTTATTATTATTTATCTATCTCAAATAAAAAAAAAAAAATTAATTTTTTAACGCGTCTTGTTATTGTTTTAGTTTTAAGATTTAGTTATTGAGGTATGGAAGTAATAAGTTTTTCTGTCAGTATTACACTACTTGGTACTACCAATTGGAACAAAATTTAAAATTAATTCGCGTTATTTTTTATTATTTAGGGGAAAAGAACAAAGAATAATATTTGTGTTAGATTTAATCAGCCTTATATTATTGATTAAATTATTAACCTGACTTAGTAGTTCGAGGCATTAATGATAGACTTGTATGATCAATACCAGTATTGACATTTCTAAAAAACATTTAAAGTCCAGGTCAATGATAGTCTTTGAAAGAAGCAGTTGCTACTTAGAATGAATTTCGTCAAATTGTTTCATTAAAGAATTTGGTTTATCCTCACTCCTAAAATCAATCTATCTAGTATAAGATCACCTCTATAAGAAATTATGTATAGTATCTAAAAAAATATCTTATCTTCATATTGGAAAGTTATCAAAATTAATCTCATTAGGCCAATAGATTATTAGTTGAGAACTCTCGGTATTATAAAAAATCAAAAAAGGAGAAAAAATGTATCCATCAAGCGAACCAAATAATTTCATTATAAATAGATTAGAAAAAATTGGATTATTTTAATAACAATGGACACCTATTTCAAAGTATTTATTCTCCTTCCAGCCATTTTTGCTTAACCAAATAGAAGTATGTATCAGTCTCGCTGGTACTCCGGAAGTGTGTTAATATGTATGAAGAAGAAAAGAAGAAGAAAGAAAAGAAGTCAATAAGATGTTAGATTGGTGATAATTTTTTTTTCGATGAACCAATGATGAAATACTCGATACTTATTACACGACTCGCAAAAGAAACTACCAACTATGCTTTCAGATTTCAGAAATGATTTAGCTGCAAAATTGGATGCATACAAGACTTATCTCTTTCTAAACTCAACTCAAATCCATCTGAATGAAAGCAATATATGTATATACAGATTAAGGGTAAAAACGGGCGATATAAATGAACTACACTAAGAAATAACATAAGAATGAAATTGTCAGCACCAGATTTATTATAGTTCAAATTCTATTGTTTGCAATTCTACTATTCCTACCATAAAGATCTTCCACATGTCTAATCAAATCAATGCGCAACTTACAATAAATCTTATTTTTTATTATCATAAGTTCAAATGCCGTGTTCAGCCAGAAACAGTGGTCGTTCCCACGGGTTTCCTATTCCTTAAAATTAATATTCATTTCAATTGTTTTAAATTAGAATCTATTTGTATTATTTAACAAATATTGCATTATGACAAAAAGAGAGAGATAAATCGGTTCGGATATGCACCTAAAGACAGTTGATACTCATTAAGTATTCCATCATATTTGAAAATATCAAAGAAAACAATAAAGTAATATTACGGCTGAATTTAGCAAAATCGATAGGTTTTTATTCATAAAAAAAATGCAACACAACAACAATGCATAAACCGTTGAAAAGTTTTTTTTTTATTTGTACATTGTGTTTCAATGTACCTGATTGACCTTCCTAATTCAAGTTCAAAAATTACATCTCGGTAGATCAGTTATCCCCTCACTTTTTGCATCGTTTTCAATTTTCTATCTTCTTTTATTCTTTCTCAATTAAAGTACGAGTAGGAGTTAATGATTTATTTCAAAATTCGTCGAAGTCATCTAACTTGCATGGTATTCACTAATAAATAAATTTTTACGTCAAGTCCCTGCATCATTTTTTTGTTTATTCGCACCCTTTTTTACATGAAGATAAAAACTTAGAGAATAAATTAAACCCGATTATGTTTAGTAGAGAAGTTTCCAATTCCCGAATCTAAAGAATCTTATAAGGTTTTCGATCTCTTCAACTGACTCAGTAATATTTTGTACATGAATTGATGTCAAAAAAAACGAGATTTCTTACGAGCAATCAAACTTTTTAACTATTTCTTTATAACTCTTATCTTCAAAGAAACTAAAGAAGTAGAAGCAATTTTACGAACTTGTTCTCTCAAAGATTGTTCTTTGTACAACTCCGTTATTTAATGAAAAACTTTTATTGCTCAAAAAATTGCGCTTACATAATTCAATATGTCACTTCCTAAAAAGTTCTATGACCTATGCAATTTCGATGATTCAAGGATTCTTAGTCATACAAAAGAAAAACTAGGGGGAAAAAAAGTTCGAATCAAGATGGAAGGTTTCATTTGCTTTTCATTGATTTTAACACATGTCAATATCAAATCAATTTAATTGAGTGCAGTCCAACAAATTCATTATTCAACAAGTGTGGTCAAATTACATACGTTTGAGATCATTAATAACAAGTGGGTTAAAGTTGAAGATTTTTCGTGTGACCAAGTGAAGTTATCTCAAATAAACTCTTACTAAAATCTGAAACAACTAAAAAATTTTTAGTTTCTTTTACTAAAAAACAAAAAAGATAGAGAGAGGTCTTAGATCTTGCATATTGAAATAATATTTTACTTATTTTTTCACGTAAATGTAAGATCCTTACTTTGGTTAATTTTGAAAGTTCGGTTATCATCGACCATGGTTTGTTACAATTTGACAGGAATAACTTTTTGATTGATGGAGTATCGATTGTAGATCTTAAAATCAAAATTTCATCTGGTTTAAGGTAATAGGTGATTTTTTGGTTGTCAAGTAATGTTTGTAACTTGTAACAAATTGTTTTTGTATCACAACAACCTGAAATTTCAAAAAGCTTTTTTTTTATTTTTTTTGACATTGAGGTTCAAGGGTCCAATGCTTCAAAACATTGTTTTTGAATCAATACAGCCCCAACATTTTTTAAGATAAGGGAATCTACTCAGATTGAATTCATTTGAGATCTTTTAGGTACGATCAAATACATGAATTCAAGTTGATCTTAAAAAACGTTTAAGTTTTATGATCTCGTATTACTCCAACAAAAGAAAAGTTGAGTCCTAAATATCAGTTTTGTACCATCTATTTTGAGAGTAACTATATAGCATGTGATGTCAAACAACCCAATAAGCATAAAATTTTTTAGATTAATGATGACATCAAAGAACTTGAGCAAATTAATGAATTCTGAAAAGATTATGGCCGATTAACTATTTGCCACAAGAGATTTGAAGTTTGATTACTCAAAATCTTAATTTAGGAAGAAAAGATTAAAGAAATCTAAAAGTTAGATCCACAAAGTACTCAACTTTCAACTTACAATCTCTGCTTAACGACTCGAATTTTCATTTTTCATTGTAAATCCCCAATTTGGTTAAAAGTAAAAATAAATGTAAACCTGAAACATCAAAAGTATTCAAAATGATAAAATAAGATCTGAAATTCGTATCAGTATCCAAAACGTAAATATGCTTTTTGAAATATCACTAAAGTCAAAAATTAAACTTACCTTGAAAATATAATAATTTTTATGTAGGTTGTAGTTTACGTTAAAGATACAACCTACATTAAGATCCAATAAAAGGATCTTATAATAATTTCATGTTTGATTGATTAATTTGATCAAGAATAGTGACAACTTTACATCTTCACTCAATTTCAATCTCCTTTTGAATTTTGTTTCTTTTGAAATTAAAACGGTTATATTGCATACTATGATAGATGAAAGGATGATCAAAAATTTCACAACCCTTCATAGTACTGAAAATACGTAACATACATTGATTGATTGATGTTTCAGATTTTTAAAATTGATGACTTAGTAGTACTTTACAACTGAATAGTAATTTTGTAAGGTAAATAAAATTTCATTGTTGTACAAAAAGTCGTTATTTTTTCGTAAACGAGTTGCCCTGAGCGTTTTAATTTTTAAAAATAAAGTAAAATGAATTAAAAAATTTGACATCATACGAAGTAATAAAGTCTAATTTCATCATTGCCACTCTCAATTATGGCATCAATTTATGTAAATAGAAAAGCAAAGCTAAAAAGGTATAGCAAATATTTTCCATCATCAAAAATATATGATTAGTTAAGTCAATTGACCATTAAAGTTATTTGACAAGTATGCTTTACTCAAACTAACTAAAATATTTTTAAATCATGCAAAGGTTTTTTAGTATTTGAGTAAAGATTTACAGTCCTAAATTTAAGTACAGTATTATATTTGAGTAAGTACTAAATTATAATTCAAATATTCTTACTTACATACCCAATGAAATATAATAAAACCGTAATTTGAAAAAAAATGAAATTGAAACATATTTTAACAAAATCTGGAGAGAAATCTAAACTGAAATTTTAACCATGAATTCAAGTGTAGTAAAGTAGTGAAAGGTCAAAGCAATTTTAAAAATGATAAATATTTGTCGACTATTGATGCCATTCCAAGAAAATGTAATTCATTTTAATCATGTCATCTCTTTAATTGCATAGATAGATAGAAATAGAGAAAAGAATAGAAGAAAGCAACAACCACAACAACATACCACCATTTAAACATATTTACCATCTTCCTAATCTTTCAAACGGCATTTTGGATAAATATTTAATCAAACTTCTTAGTTTAAATCAGCAAACAATAGATTATGATAAGATCTGTAAAATTAATTAAGTATAAATGTAGTATGTAAGATCGGTTAAATTACAGGACCTATACAAAGTACATTTTTTTTTATTTTCATGTAATTCTATTTTTCCATATTGTTAGTGAGAAATTTCTCCATGGAGTTATGCAAACCATTTGAGTTGTTTTTAAATTTGGAAGGTGGTTTTTTGTTTGATGTTTAATTATTTACACGAGAGATTAGAAGTGGAGTGATTAGATTGAAACAATTGAACAATACAAATATTTTTTGCTTTAATGAACTAAAAAATTTTTCATCTAAAGTCCGATTAAGGTGAAAAATTAGGACCATTCTAATTTTCATTAATTTTTCAGTTTTCACTTTTGACTTTTTACTTTGATATAGTAGTAAGTTCGTAATTCTTAACTTGTTCAGATATTTGAAATTTCTCCATAATTTCATACGGATATATCCTATCACTGAATAGAGTTTATACTATCATATCAAGAATTTATTTTATGAAAAAGGGTTCACAAAATGAAGAGAGGTTTATATCATTGGTGTAGTTATTTATATCAAATCAAGTAATATAATTTTAACAAAGTATGATTTCGTAAATATTTTTTTGTATGTTTACATTAGGGGTATTTTATAACCATACAAAAATTAATAAAATCAAAATAGTAAATCATTTTTTAACCTATTCAACCTCAAAGTATATTTTATAGTATTAAACTTTAATAAAATATACAGATACAGTTACTTAACTTAAACTTATAGTATGTGTATTCATTCAGATATATGAAAAAGCTACTTTTATTTGTGAGGCTTCAAGTAACATCAACAACTTTTGCTGTACACAATTTCATTTAAAAAGCTTCTATCCATGATCACCAGCAAAATTCTAAGAACATTTTCTGATGAAACTTCAATGTTTGTAATTTTGGTAAGGATAAAATTACTTGAATAAGGTTAAAAATTAAGGGCGATAAGTAACTAAAATGTGTGTGTCTTTATATGAACAAATTTTGATCTCGTTTAATTTTTTTTCAATAGGTCCCAGGGCTCTTCTTTCCGAGTTTTAATTTTTTAAACAATCATCTCTTCGCTAAGTTCGTCAACTACTAAATATTAGATGTCTATATTATACAATGAATAATAGGTTAGTTAGTCTATGCTTCGGACAAATATTTATGTAGAGTTTGTGTATTAACTTTTCATGAGATATACAATGCAATACAAAGGACAAAAAGTTTAAATATATTTGATTGACTTTCATATTCAAATTAAAGTTTAGACAAGTAAAATAAAAGGCTTATGAATCAAGCAATCAATTCAATTCAATTTTAATTGATAGATAACCTGAAGCTTGACTTGTTAACTTTAATATCTAGCGATGAGATTTTTTATATTTTTGACAAATATGTTTTGACCTTATTGATAAAAAAGTAATTTTATGGTTTGTTTACGAACGTTTTATTTATACAATTTTTCATAAGCCAATTCAATTTGACAGTTTTCTTTCAAGTTCTATCAACCACTCGTTAAAAAAAAGGGGACGACTAAAACATTACAGTAATAAGAACGGATCTTTTATAACCTAATTTAAATGATTTTTAATCTCTTAATTTTTACGCAATGTTAGGAAGTATCATAGATTTATACACACTCTTCTTACCAATATGTTTTTGTATAACTTAGGTAATTAATTGGTGATTAATAATAATAATAAATGAAATACTATAAAACGTATGGGATAAACATTTACATTTTTATTATAATATGTAAAATGAATTAAAATTTTTCAATTCCTGTTTTATTGTGATTTTAATAATAACTTAATATTGATGATGTACATTTACTAATGTTTAACAGCTTAAATATTAGTATATTTATCAACTACCTTATTTTTGTAAACTAAAAATTTAAAGACTAAAATGTGGGACCCCATTTTTTTTTTTTTATAAAATAAATAAAAATTCAAAAATTGAAAAATTTGAAAAATTAAGATGAATACACTTTATACATATTAACATAAACTTTACATCATAAATCTATGATTTTTAAATCACAAATCGGTTATAAATTTTGTAACTCATTATTAACTTACTATTAACTTTGATTTTTACTACCTATTAACAACAGTATATGTATTAATTTATTACTGATATTTTTATTTTTAATTTTAATATATTTTTTAAATTGATGCGTTTGTGTGTATATATATTTAACCTCATTTTTCTCATAATCTAATTTTTAGTTATTTTAAATTTTCATCAATTGATATCAACAACTCCATTCATCATCAATTGACCATTTGCTTTTAAATCAAACTTAGTCGTTGATTTGTTGTTTCATTCATTCATTCAATAGTATCATACAGTTTAACAATTGTCTAGTAGCTATCACATTCATTTCATTTTCAATTCAATTCATTTCGTCAGTTGTCATTTCAATTTAACTCATTTATGTCAACTTAATTTAATTATCTCAACTTTATTTTAACTCAATCGGATCTTGTTTACCCCTCCCCAATCTTTGAAATAATATTGATCATTCAAATAATATTCTGAAACAAATATTACCTCACAACCTAACACAAATCTCAAGATCTACTTTACAACTTAATTATTCAACATAATAGTAACTTTAACTATCATTTATCAAATCTCAAGTATATATATAAAAGTGCAACTCAATCTTCAGTTTTTCTTCAAGGGTATATACAAATTAACATTCAATCAATCAATTTATAGTATTAAATTCGTTTTAACTATTACTCCATTTTGTGTCATCTGGTGCCTGATTAAATAAAAAATAAATTTTATTATTAGTCCCTGATCACGTGTTTTGCTACCAATTTATTTACTTATTTTCATTTTGATTTCAGAATTCAAATTTACAACCATTTTTTATTCAACAACAACAATTCAATTGGTCAATTTTACTGCAGTTACCTACTTGTCAATACATTAGTTTTCATACTCAACTTGGTAATTTATCAGGACAAACTATTACTGCCATTTTTAAGTTTAAAATCCATTGACTCATTAGTACAATTTTATGAACTACTTGTAATAATCAATCAAGTAGTTCATTTTATCCATCAACATTATCATCCTTTCATATTAATTATTTCAATTTTTCCATTCACCACCCAATTATAAAATTTGTTTCCAAATTGACTATTGATAATCATTTTAATCCGGATTATTTCTTAAATATTATAAGTTATATGACTCCACCTGTTACAACGGCAGCCTCACCAACATCATCTATTGAGGCAGAAGATACAATCCTACTACCTTCTTCAGCCATGAATTCTTCATCACCAGTTAAAAAAACTTTTAATTTTGATAATAATGTTTTACAAAATAATCAACAACATCATCAATATCCACAACAACAACAATTTCATCATCAGCAACAACACAATCAACAACTACCACATGAGATTCATAATTATTCTGATAATATCCATCAAAATATACATAACAATGCAATTTATGATAATCATGATTTAAATCGACCTTCAATGTTAGATCAATTATTACAATTTGATAATTATAATTTACCACCACCTCCATCAATTCTTTTACATTCAAAAAATTATAATAAAAATGAAATTTATAATACTAGTAATTCTTTTGAAACAAATCAATCATCATCTGATTATGCTGCTGCTGTTAATAATCCTGAAGAATATGATTATAATTCACCAACAACTTCAAATTCACAACAAGCTGCTCAAGATTTTAATTCATCAATTAATAATAATCAAAATTCTTTTTATTCAAATTCTCAAGCTATAAATTCAGTTACATCAATAAATATTGTAGATCAAAATTATACAAATTCAAATAATTTTTATAAAATTAATGATTATACAAGAAGATCATCATTACCAAATCAACAAGATACTTCAAAATTTATAAATGCACTGAATAATGATGCTGATGTATTTGAAGCTGATAATGATTTTTCAAATTCCAAACTAAAAGAATTTGAATTAGCAAATGCTTCATTAGATTCAATACCACAATTTAATCATTCAAGTATTAATCAAGATTTAACAAATTATCAATATCATGATACAATTCCTTCACAACGTATTAGACAACAATTACAATTACAACAACAACAACAACAACAGCAAAATATATCAGTTCAACAAACTCCTTTACAACAAACATTTTTACAACCACCTTCAATACATTTTCAAAATGAATTTCTGCCACCAAAATTTAATCAACATAATTATCAACCTCCAACTCATATAAATACTACTACAACAACAAATTATAATTCAAGTTTATCAAGTAAAGATTTTACAAATACTCCAATTTTTTCAGATATTTCAAGTTTTTCATCAAATTCTTCATTTCAACAACATTATATTCAAAATCAAAATCAGCAACAACAAACTCAACAACAACAACATTCAAAACCAATAACAAATTTAAATCTTAGTGATGATTCATTACCTAAAAATTTTAAATTAATGAAAAGTCCCATTTTATTATCTTCGTCATCAACATCAACTCCAAATTCCGCGAATAATCATCAACATAGAATTATTAAAAAATCATCATTATCAAGAATTAATACAAGTTCAAGAAAAAATTTAAATTCTGCTTTAACTTCATCATTAAATAAATCATCAATCAATGTTAGTAATTCTATGGAAGTTGGTGGTGGTAGTGGTAGTACTAATGATAGGATTAATTCTCAAATTAATAGGACTCCATCAGAATTATCAAATTCAACTTTTACAAATTATAATCAACAATCATTACAACAACAACAACAAATTCAACCTCATTATCATAATTTTCAATCTCAAAATATAAATTTATTAAATCAACAACAACAACAACAACAACAACTACAACAAAGATCATATTCTCAACCTCATAATGATCATAAATCAATTTCAAATATTTCACAATCATCTAATTCTTTTCCATCTAATAATATTGATATGATTCCATTACGTCAAAATTCAGAACCTTTAATTACATTATCAACTCAAAAATTAGGAGATAGTCAAAGTCATCAACAAACTCAAGGTATAATATTAAAATCATCAAAATCACCAATTCCTATTGAATCTTCATCTACTAATTCTGCATCTACAACTGTTCCATCACCAACAACATCCACTCCAACATCAACATCTAATACTACAACTACAAATAAAAAAACTTTAAAACCCAAACAATCTAAAAAATCATTAAATCCAAAAATCAAAAAAGAATCTACTAAAAAATCAAAAACTCAAAATACATTGTCAAATAGAATAGAAGATATTCATTCACCAACACCATTACCATCAACTTCATCATCAACAACAACAGAAGAACAACAACAACAAGAACAAGAAAAGAAAAAATATACAAGAAGAAGATTATTACCAAGATCAAAAAAGGGATGTTGGATATGTAGAATAAAACATTTAAAATGTGATGAAAATCAACCAATATGTGGAGGATGTTTTAAATATGGTTTAAAATGTGATTATAATTTATTAAAACCTGATTATGTTGTTGATAAATTTAAAAGAAAAGAAAAATTAAATGAAATTAGTATATTAAGAAAAATTCATCAAAATAAAATTAAAAATTTACAAAATAATAATCATATTCAAAATAATCAAGATAATACTAGTAATATTCAAAATACTTCTGAAAATATAAGTAGTGAATGTTATGAATCTGTTAGTGAAGATAATAGTAATGGTGAAGTTGGTGATTCAAAAGATTTAAATAATTAATCAAAATGAAGAGTTTTATAATTTTCGGAGTTAGTTAATTAGGTGTCATTTTTCATTTTCATTTTTTCTTTCATTTAATAAGTTTCGTCTTTATTTCATTTTAAATATTTTATAATCTATTTAGTTTTGCATTGTTTCCATTTATACTTAATTTAAAAAAGTTATTTATTGTTTAAAGTTCGTATACCTTTTTATTCTTGTGTAAAGTTCCAACCTCTTCTCTCTATATACAATTTCTCTATATACAATTTACATATTTTTATTCTTACTAGTTTGGTCAAATTATCAATTCCTAATAAACGTGTTAAACCTGCTAATATCTAGACAAGATAATTGACAACTGTTGGTGTATCTCTGCATTTGTATTGTTGCTTTTGGCTGCAAAAAAAATAATAAATAATAAATATCATAAATATTACATTTGTGTTACAAAACAAAATTGTAAATAGGTTTCATTTTGCGTTCCTGAATTTATTACGTAATAGAAAAAGAGGAATTAAAAAAAGCGCAGCGCAAAGCGGAATTGAATAAGAGCGATATTTTAGCTTACCACCACTTACTACTATAGTAATAAACCAGATCCATTTAATTAATTGGCTAAACGTTTTTTTTTAAAATAGGGTTCTTAAACCTAAGCCTAAATATTTACCGACGGTTTAAACGCATTAAAAATTTTTATCCACAATTTCCACTCTTACCCATTTGAACTAAAAATTTAAAAAGATCCATACAATCAAAAGCAAAAAGGGAGACGAAAATCTCTTTCTAGAATAAGAAAAGCAAAAATTAGTAATTCATAACCAATAATAAATTTGTTTAATATAAATCATTAAATCTCTAATTACAGTTATTTAAATGAAGCCTAACCAAATACATTTAGAGTAGCGTAGCCTAATTATTCTTATTTAAAAAAGATCGTTATTATGTCCAATTTTGTGTCAAAAATTAGACGAGAAAGTAAAACAAATTATATGAAAAATACGTTTGAAAAATTATAAAATTATTAAAATTGAATAAGTTAAAAAATGTACTTAATTGGGTAAAATAAGAAAGTAAGATCTACATTTGAAGATACGATTTTTTGCATTTTACAGCTTACTAAGTACTTTTACTACTTGCTTTGTATTTGTTTAGTTTGTAGTACCTTTTATTGTTTTATTTTAGAGATTCTAGAAAAACGTATGTTCTGTTAAGAAAGTATACAAAGAGATATGGGTTCTAGATTTTTTAATTTTAGGAGTTCTATTTTTTATAATTATTTTAACTTTTGAGAATCTAATTGTTTGTTAAATTTAATTTAATATCCGATAAATTCATAGGTTTGAAGGGATTTAGGTGTAAAAAGGAAATTGATCTTTTATTTTTTTGAGGAGTAAGTAAAAAAAAGGGGTATATGGCGTGAGATTTCGTTTAAGCAATCTGCCTGTTTATTATGAATATGTATGCATGTATCTCTGTACATTACTTGCAGGTACTTCAATTGATTCATTAGAATTGCTATAGACTACAATTGAATAATTCCATCTGATCTTGTAAATGATATTTGAATCACGGCCTTTTGTAGATTTTCAGACTAGACTATTCGTAATTTTTATTTTATACTCAGGCTTCACATTTTTCTTGAAAAGATGAATTCAATTGATGGGCAAAAAATTATCAGGCGTGATTAGATAAGTAAGATTACATTAATAAATATTGTACCTATTAGATTTTTTTAAAAATTAAGATTATGTATAACTGTCAAAGTATATTATTTATCTATGAGGTGATTGAAATCTATTTTATCTTATTCCCATTCACTAACTATTAATTTTTTATTAATAACATTTAAATTACTTTTAAAATTATTGGTCGGTATAACATTTTCAGTTTGTAATTCAAGGATGTTTCCAATATGAGATTCATAATTTATCATTGATATAATATCTCCTGTAAATCCAACCCATGGTCCATTAAATTGATCTAATAATTGAGGATTTGTATAATCATGTGATGCTTCTCTATCTTCATCTATTGTTGATTTTCTTCTTGATAATTTTTTATTTTTATTTCGACCTATTGCATGTTGTTGTTCACTTGTTGATTGATTATTATTATTATTACATCTTGAATCTTCATCACCTAATAAAAATGACAGTTCATCAATTGGTTCATCTTCATCGTTGTTTTCATCTAGTATTGCTGATGAATTTATTGATGATGAAGGTGATGAAGAATTTTCACCTGAAGTAAAACTCACATCATCATCGTTAAATAACTTATCAAAATTATATGGATTTAATATAGCTCTCAAAGCAATAAAATTTAATAATGGAACATAATATTTTTCAAAATTATATAAAACATAAATTGTTATTAAAATTGTTGGAGTACATAATATTGATAATAATATAGCACTTTCTAAAGCTAATGTACCACACATAAATAATTGAAAAATAATTAAACCTAATATAATTCTTCTAAAAATCATTGGCCAAACTTTACCAGTTGAATGAGGTGGATGAACAAAATTATAAACTAATTGATACTTGTATACAAATAATCCAATTATAAAATAAATTAAACCACAAGTAACAATTTTTGTTGAAACTACTGAATAAATTAATATAATTATAAAAATCATTATATGTTGAGGTAAATTTATACCAAAATCAAATACTTGAGGAGTATAATAATAAGATCTATAATCTCTTGGAGTTTTTAAAATGAGACTTTTTAAAAAAAATAATTTCCCCAATATATTTAGTAAAAAAAAATCTCCAATTTGTAATAATTTTACAGGAAACATAGTTAAACCTTGTAATAAAATTAAATCAACATAAAATAATGACATTCTTCTTAAACTTGTTGCTAATTGTGTTGCTATCTTGGTTGTATCACTTATATATGACATATAATCCCAAAATGTTCCAGCTGCAATATAAATTAAAAATAAATTGAAAAATATAAAAAAGAAATTCTTGGATAATGTTGATAATTCAATTTCACTATAAGTTGAATACCCTTGTAATTCAGATAAATATTTATAAAAATATGGAAACAGTATATTTAATAATGTAAATAATAATGGTGGTAATATACCTGTTACAAATGTTGTTAACCAATTTGATTTTCCAATTATTTCACCTAATAATGGCCAAAATTTTGAAATAGTTTTTAAATCTAATAATGAAGTTAATGGTATAACTAAAAAAATTATAAAACCATAACTTAAAACAATTAAAAATGTAATTAAATAAGATTTCATTAATTTTTCATTATATGTTAATTTTAAATTTTTCCATATAATATCTCTTGGTGCAGGAGCTAAACTTACAATTAATTTATAAACTCTTGGATCTAATATAGTTTGAGCAGCCATTTGAGCAGATGCTACTGAATCCATTGTTATAAATGCTGATGGAATAATATTAAATTCAGGATATTGTTTTGCATTTATAGTTGAAGCTTCAATATCAAATTTACCTTGAGTTATTTTTATATTATCATCTAGAACAGTTAATTGTTTTGATAATTTATCAATTTCCTCTTGAATTGTTTGATTATTTTTTGGTTCTGACCATATAGGATTTACAGCAGGAACTCTTTGTTGATTAAAAATATCAATATCCATTATATATTCAGAAGAATATAAATGTTCTAGCCTCAAAATAATTTTTTTCCTTTTATCAAATTCTTCTTGTAATGGAGTCCAATTATAAATTAATTTAACATCTTCAACTTTTCCAATACCTAAATCTTCAATAAATTTTTTAATTTTTTCTCTACTTAATAATTTTTTTGGTATACCATCTAATTTTATAGTTCTATCAGTTATTGAATTTTGAGAAGCTAAATATTTTTGTCTTATTTTTAAAACAATATCAGTGTAGTTATATAAATAATAAAATATAACAAATGAAAATAAATATGTAAAAATTGGATAAACCCATAAAAATTTGGGAAAATCGTCACTGAAATTTGGAGGAGGTTTATTAGGTTTGGCAGTGGCTGTGAAACTATTTATAATTAAATCACCAAAATTTAAATTCTCTTTATCATAATCTCCTGTAAAATAATAACGAAATGGACTTAATATCAAAATTGAAAAAATTGTTAAAACAAAAAATATTTTAATACCCATTTTGAAAAATATTAAATAAACAAAAGAATCTAATCCCAGATAAGTTAAAATATCATCATCATTTAAATTATAAACAACTTTAATCCAACCAAATAAATTATGAGGTAAAGGTTTTAATAAATTTTTTGATTGTTGTCTTAAAGTTCTAACTGCATAAATATGAGGCCATCTATATCTCATAATACAAAATAAAAGAAATAAAAATATTCCTGATATAGTTGTTAATATTAATTGTGCAGTAAATACTCTTTGTGGTCCAACTGTTTGAATTGGATCTGGTTCTCCATTTTTTAATATTAGTAATTGTTGAATTGATGATACATTGCTGGTGGTTGTAAATTCATTATTTTGATTTAGTAATAGTCTACTAGTATGTAGTAGATCTAGTAGTGACATTGTATTGAGAATATATTGACATGAATTGATTGAATGAAAAGTAGTTGGTTAGATTGTTTATTATTATAGAAAATTGAAAAATAATAAACAATCTGAAAAAAGAGGTTACAAAATCAGATAATTTTTTATCATGGGCATATGATTGAGATTTAGTCTAAAAATGTTAGTGTAGTACTCCACCACAAGACCAGTTAAGTACGAATTTTAAAGGACAAATATTAAATTGCATTTGTACTAGTCTAATAAGATTTTTCAGTAGATTGAACGAAGTTAAGAAAAGGTCTGTGATAAATAAGTAGTAGAGCCTTACGACTTAAGTTTAAAAAAAACACCAAAAGACGCGAAAATTTTAATTCATAACTCATACACACATAACCACATTAATAATAAACTAGATCGACAAATACTACTACTACCATGAGCTATAGAGCCTATCAATGGACTTGAAGTCAATTAGTTAATTATGATTTCAGTAGTAATGGACATGGGCTTGAATGAGCTAAGCTTTACCTTATTTAAGAACTTATGATAGTCAAATGAAGATTTCACCCATTTTTCTCAAAATTGCCAGACAATTTTTTCCTTCATGTTTCTATGATTAGTCATATCGAAGTATCTCAGCATTTTGCTCTTGACATTAGGAATACTTCCTACTCTGATTGGACTACTGCATTCACTCCTCGCATGTCCAAGTCCTAAGCAATTATAACATTGGTAATTCCAAATATATGAGGACCCTGAAATTGTTCCATCCAGTCGAATATCTTTTTTCCTCAACTCTTGTATTCGACGTTCAACTCTACTTTTAGGAACTGTGGGTAAAGTTGTATCAGCCTTCGGCCAAGTAGATCCAAAATGTTCATAATATTCCGTCAATTTATCAGTTTTTAATTTTGGTTTCTGCAAAAGTTTATAATGCTCCGCTAAAGGATGCTTAGATAGATGTAACCACATGTATCTCAATAAAGCAATAGCTTTATCCTCCTTTAGTCCTTTCAAGTGTTGAAAAACATCATCTTCCACAATTACCCTCTTCTCATATGATAATTCACTGTTTATTAACTTGTCAGCTGCATCACATATGAATCTGATTTCAGCATGAGGTCTCATTTTCCCATATTTATCCTGAATTTTTCTCGAAAGTGATAGTGTGTGTTTATTCTTAATTTGAAAGGTGATTAAGCTATGATTCTTTTAATGCTTTCTTCACTTTTCAGCTTGAGAAAATCTGAAACAAAATTTTTGTTCATGAAACAGTTGCTACCACGTGTTCTTGAATATTTTTATAGTTCAAACCTTTATCAATTTCTAGCTTGATACATTCATAATCGAGCTAAGCTGATTTAACCTAAAAAGACTGATTGCTTAGATAAACTTTATTAATTTGGAATTCTTTAGGCTATGTAATTATTTGTAGTCGTTGAAAGGAATGCATTTACGTCACTCAAAACAGTCAAAAACTAAATGCACAATCACTGCCTCAATATCTGCTCTTGTCTATATCCCTCTTACACTATTTTCAATTTTTAAAAGCTATTTTATATCACTTACTATTTCCTTTGACCATTAATTCTCAATTCAATATTGAAATATTAAAGATTAAAATTGGTAGCTTCTCAAACTTGCTTAATTCCCAATTTTATTTACACAAAACACGCCTGTACTTATTATTTAATTTTATTATGTGAATATGTTTCATCTATCAAATATCTGATACAATTAAATACTTAAGATTACCATATTATTGTTAATGACTATAACCACTTAAAAACAAGACAAAATTCATATCAATCATAAGGAGAAAATAATGTCGGAAATTATATTAATTGATTCCGATTCAGAAAATGAAATTCAACCTCATAAGAAATTCAAACCAAATCCAATAAATGAATCTAAGATACCGAATAACTTATTAACAAAGCCATTTAAAGAAGTTTCCTCATCATCAGAGTCTGAAGAAGAAGAAGAAAATGAAGCACTCAATAATTCTAATAGCAATTTAAACTATAATCACACTAATACGAACACAATTTATCATCAAGATTCAGATTCAGATTCAGATTCAAATTCTAGTCGATCTCAAACTCCTTCAGATGATGATGATGATGATGAGTTTGAATATACAGATTTAATCAATGCAATAAATCCAAATGATATAGAACCAACAAGGAAATTTCTTAGAGAACATGGTAGTATGGAATTTTTACAAACTTATTTACCATCAATAACTTCATGTAAAGATATTATAAATTTAATATTACAATTAGGATTTATACCGAAAAATTTAAAACAATTAATTAAAAAATCAACTTTATTGAATGAAAATAATTTAAGTGAATATGTTACAATTTTACATCAAGCAATGATGAAAATTAAATCAATTCGTGAAAGAAAAGAAGACGTAAAAACTTATAAAGATGTTATAGAATTAATTAAAAAATCTTCAAAAATTTTAGTTATTACTGGAGCAGGAATATCAACAAGTTTAGGAATACCTGATTTTAGATCATCAAAAGGGTTTTATTCAATGATTGAATCATTAGGATTAAATGATCCACAAGAAGTATTTGATTTAGATTTATTTAAATTAGATCCTTCATTATTTTATTCAATTGCTGATAAAATTTTACCACCTGGTAAAAATTTTAGTCCATTACATTCATTTATTTATTTATTACAAAAAAAGGGAAAATTATTAAGAAATTATACTCAAAATATTGATAATTTAGAAAGTTATGCAGGTATTAAAACTGAAAAATTAATTCAATGTCATGGATCATTTGCAAATGCTACTTGTTTAACTTGTAAAGATAAGGTTGAAGGTGAAAAAATTTTCCCACAAATTAAATTAAAACAAATTCCCTATTGTTTAAAATGTAAAATTAAAAAACAACAACTCCAGAAAAAAAATGATGAATTAGAATTTCTGGAAAGTTTTGGAGTATATAAACCAGATATTACTTTTTTCGGTGAATCATTACCTGAAAGATTTCATGATTTTATAAATAAAGATTTAAATGATTGTGATTTATTAATAAGTATTGGTACTTCTTTAAAAGTTGCTCCTGTTGCAGATATAGTTGAAAAAATTCCACAGTCCATACCTCAAATTTTAATAAATAAAGATCCAATAAATCATTGTCAATTTGATGTTAGTCTTTTAGGATTTTGTGATGATATTGCTAGTTTTTTATGTAATGAATTAGGTAATGATTGGGATTTACCTCATAAAGATTATGATTCTATAAGAGGTCCCAAAGGAGAATATTTAAATATTGAATTGAAAAATGAAGAATTAAGAGAATATCATATTGAATCAATTAATAGAAAAGCTAAACTGGAAGAAGTTGATTCTGGTTTAAATGGTATTCAAAAAGATGATATTGAAATTAATGAAATTGAAGAATTAAGATCTTTACCTTTAGATTTAATATCGGAAGTTAAAAGTATAGAATAACTAATTGCATTTGATTGGAAAATGAATGATTTCCAGAAGAAGACCTGGAGGTCAGAATGTTGATATTGAATCAAGTGAAAGGATTAAGAATTAGAGTTTTTCCAATCTCACAACAAAGAGAGCAACTTGGTTCTTGTCTTCATCAAAAGAAAGGGAGCAAGGGATATGAAAAGGATAGTTGCATTGAAGCTTTAAGAAATGGAACACTACAATTACAACAACCACATCAACATCACATCAACAACATCAACATCAACATCAGAATCAACATCAACATCAACATCAACATCAACATCAACATCAACAAGATTAACATTAAAACAATCATCCACTAAAACACCATTTACTGTTAGAAGAAATTTAAGCTAGAGGTAGAAAAATAAAAAAAGACTTATTGATAGTTCTCTCCAACAACAACCACATCAAATGTTGTAAATACGAAATATAAATATCAATGCTGCTATTGACCTACTTCCAAATTCTGAAATCATATATCAACAATCAACAAACGTGAGTAATTGTTTAATGAATTTTTGAATACTATTTGTAGTAACTTTTCTAATTTTGTTGCTTTAATACATCTAATCTACTGAGCATGTAGTAAACTGAGCTCTTGGCTAATTATCTCAAAGGATACCTTAAAAGATTAGTAATTTGAAGCTAGCATAAGTTGAATTTTACGTTTCATTTATTTCAGTTTCAGTTATGATAAATTTTTTCCTACTTCTATGGAAATTTTATACAAACTTTTGAGAGATCTGAATTCAAAAGTTTGTTTCGACATTCCGTTCAAGGGTGTATATTTTTCGAAATATTTGAAATTATATATATAATAGAAAGATTAGCTGAAAAATGTACTACAATCAATGAGATTAGACTTAAAAGAACTATTATGCTTAATAATTAATTGATATTTGTATCCTAGAGAAATTAATAGCAATACTCCTTACCATTCATGACACGGAACACCCGCGCTTCATTAGACGTTGTTGCAAGCGCACAGCTTTCATCTTCTCTACCGACTAATTTAATGAATAACTCTTTTAATTCATTTGCACCGGTTGGTACCTGCAGTTCACTCACTTTTTTTAAATATAAATATCTTAATCTTAAACAACTATCGATCTTAATGCAACTTAAATCTTCAATGCTGTTGTTAGATAAATTCAATAGATGTAAAGTAGGAGGGAATTTTTGATGAACCAACATCGAGTAAGTGATATCACATTCCTTCAAACGTAAATGCAGTAATTGATCTAATCTGCTGAACTGACCCTTAATTTCTTTTAGGTGGAGCCCAAATACGTCTACATGATACAAAGAACGAGGAAACTTTTGTAAGTCCAACACTTGGATACTCAATCCTGCTAATTTCAAGATCTTTAAAGTTGGACAACCATTAAGACAAATTTGAGAAGGAAGTTGAATTGTTATATTTGAATCTTTATCGAACAAATCAGCTGGTACATCTGTAAAGCGGATATCTAATTCCAAATATGTAAGATTTAATATGCCAATCTGCAATGTTTGAGTCAATCCACATTTTACTCTCTTATCAAATTCGTTGATTGGATCACTTATCAAAAACCAACATGGATCAAAATATTGTTCTTTAATGCCCGGTGCAACTGAGATATGTTCTGTGAGCGTTAAATGATTTAAATTTATAGATTGCTTAAAATTTAGTTGGAAGATATTGGAAACTTTATTGCGTGAGAAGTCAATTTGTTGTATGTTGAGATCTCTTAAGCCCATGTCAACTTTTAATATTTCACAATGATTGATGTTGAGTTTTATCATACTTTCTGGTAATGATGTAAAAAGCTCGTTTAGATCAAGGTTCTGAATAAAACTAAGCTCCAAAGTGTGAAGGGATTGCAAGCAAAGGTTACTCCCCAACTCTAAACTTTTAGATTCTCCACTAATTTTCAAAACTTTTATATTCGAGGGAAGTTTGAAATTGGATCCAAGGAGAAATGATTTTCCATCTCTTGTAAAGTCTGATAATTCAAAATCTTCGATGAATCCTTGTTTCACGGATCCAGATAATTCAATGATTTTATTTTGATGGTAACAAGGATATAACAGCAAGGTTTCCAATGATTCAGGGGAAAAAAACTTGATGATTTGCAATAAATTTCGACAACGAGAGATTAGAAGGCACTTCAAAGAATTGTAGTTCTTCAAATTTCCTAAAGTTTCAAATTGACACCCGATAATTTTGATGGACTTGATTGTCTTAGATAATTGAAGAGCATCCAACGATTCCACCCCTGATATACCGTAGCAAGTAAAATATTCAAGACATTGCAATTCACTTAAATTCAAATCAACTTTTTCATACTTAAGGTACAATGTCAACTTTTTTAATGATGTAGGAAATTTATTCACAAAATCATAGCTAAATTCTATTGTCAATATCTTTATATCACTAGATTGAAGCACTTGTACATGATTTTGAAATGCTTCAGGATCAATTTCAGTCATGCGAGAATCAAAATCAATCATTTCAAAATTATTCTCAATCAGATATTTATATGGGTCGATTCTCCACAAATTAACCCCCACCACATTTAACTCTCTCAAGATCAGCTTCAAATCTACATTCATATGGTCTGAAATTGAGATTTCGAATTCGGCATGACGGTATAAATTCATATTCTCAAATTCAATCGAATGTTCCTCTTGTGAGTCCGAAAATTCTTCTTCCAGCTTCAATAATTCAAACAACTGATCTGCTTCTAGTATTATTCTTGAAGGTCTAAAATTGTAAATCTCGTATAGCGATTTCACACTTTTCATTGATCCATCAAGGGGACTAATTGTAGAATTAACAAGTTGATATTTATGATACCTTGCTTGTAAAGCATATTTCTGTAATGTTGGGATGGATATTAATTCTTCAATTCTTGAATTATCATTGATGTATTTGATGATTTGGACCAATAATTCATCTGGTAAGTTTAGAAATATATGCATCCGTTTTTCTACCCATGAACTTTGTATAAATATTTTGATTTGATCGATATTGTAATATTTGTTTTGATTAGATTTGTTGTGAATGTTATGATAAATTTTGGAGTAAATACTTTGATGAGTTTTGAAGTAAGTGCTAAATGAAACTTTTGTTGTTCTATTTGCCACTAATTTCTTTCAACAATAATTGAATTTTCTTGAACTTTATTTTAGACGTGTATTATGCACAAGCTACCATATAGCGTTTCAGAATTTTATCGTCTAATTTACGATTTACCAAATTTTTATGATTAACCAGCAAAACAGTCAATTTCAGAGAAATTTGACTCCTGTCAAAAGTTGGATATAATCCGGATCATAAGCAGCAATTGTCGTCCCAGTTGTATCGAAGTTACAGGCGAAAGGGAATCATCATATTCCCGAATAGATTTTAACGTTTCTCTCTCTGGCTATTTTCTAGTGCCTTTACTGACAATTCTACTCAGAGTGGATGTTCCTTTTAATTTGTTATAACACTTTCAACTCTAGGAAAAAAATTTCGAAACTTTCTGGAATTTTAAGACGAAATTTTAGTGAAATTCTGGAATTTCAAGAATTTATTTTGGTGAATTGAATCCCTTGAAATCATTCAAGAATACTTGATTAAGCAGCAATTAAAGTGAAGCATTTTTCGATTGTGAATTAATATTGTGAACTGAATTATGAGATTCTCAAAAGCATTTTTGTGGTAGTCCCTTCGCATTGATTCAAACTCCATTAAAAGCATTCAATTATTAATTGAATTCAGGTGTTCAAACTAACTATATTTAACTAATACTAACCAAACTTCATTTTATTTGACTTGGAATTCAGTTGAACTTTATACCGACTGGGATAAACTTTTTTTTTCATATATTGATATTAAGCTAATCATATTTCTAATCGTTCATGTCAATGAGGATGCTTATTAACTTCGGGTTCAAAGTTCTTCAATCTGTGTTGAAATTGAAAAAATATGATTTACCGGATTATAATTAGCTTTATTCGTCCTTGAAGATCAGTACATTTTGAAATAAACTTATTCATTGTATTCATGAAGTGTATGATCTTACATGTTAAACCTTAGTTATCCCGTGCTCAATTTTTGATTTCGAAACTGAGTATGATTTATCTTATGGGTCTTGCATGCTTGATGTATTGTTGGTGTATTTCATCGAATTGTTTTCGATCTTAAGATGCTATTCAGCTCAATTCATCGAATTCTGGAAGATTTCGATCTCACAAAACTATAATTTTACAAAACACAAAATTTAGAGTCTTCTTTTAGATGATAATGAAATTGAAGAACTAAAATTTTTACCGTCAGATCTTATATTTGATTTTAAGAATATGGAGTAAATAATTGTATTTGATGGATAAATAAATGATTCCGAGAGAAGATTTGAAGGTCAGAATGTTGATGTTGAGTTAAGTAAAATTGGTGAAGAATCAGAGTTATTTTATTGGATTTTGAAGATCCTTTCATAAATCAACACCGCTAAAACTGGTGCAACAGTTTTAATTAAATAACATACCAATCACGTATTAATAAATGATTCTTCTAACCATTGACTACCTTTCAACGCCCAAATCCTCAAATCATATATCAACAATCACAATTGCAAATCATACCTCAATACTTTCTGAATAATATAAATGTTTAAATTAAAAGCAAAAATCACTTATTTTGTTGCTTTAAGACACCTCCGTCTACCGAAGATGTATAAAGCTTTACACTTGACTAATACTATTTAAGAATACTATTTGAAAATTCAATAGCTCAACTTCACTTCAAGCTTTCATCTAATTTTTTTATCAAATTACAACGAAAGTTTTTTTAATTTTTGTAAATTTATAAAAGCTTTTAAAGACTTTTCAAGTCTAGGTTTGTTTCGACATTCTGTTCAATGGTGCATTTATCTCAAGAGATTTGAAATCATAGGTATTTAAAAGAGATTTTCAGAAAAATATACTAATACAATCAATTGATTAGACTGATAAGAACCATTATTATCAAGTATTAGTAATTGAATATTAAATTCATTTTATGCATTGAGGTTTAATTCTGTGTCCTATCAATATTCGTTGAAAGCCTTCCCATCGACGACATGGAACACTAACCTTCCCTCATACGTTGTTACTAACGCTCTGCTAGGATGCCTAGCACCAACTAATTTGATAAATAACTCTTTTAACTCATTTGCACCATTTGGAATCAGCAGTTTAGTCACTTTTTCCAATGTTAGGGTTCTTAATCTGATACAATTATCTATTTTTAAACAAGTCAAATCTTCGATCTTGTTTCCAGACAAATCTAAAGTTTTCAAAGTCGATGGAAATTTTTGAGCGACCAACATTGAATATGTTATTTCGTTGTGATCAAGATTTAAAAGTTTTAATCGATTTAACATACCAAAGTAACCTTTTATCTGTAATAATTCTAATTTCGTAATTGTCAAAGAAACCAAAGAACAAGGAAATTTGTTCAAATCCAACACTTGAATACCCAATCCCGACAAATTCAAAACCTTTAAAGCTGTGCAGCCGCTAACACAAATCTGAGAAGGAGGTGGAAGTGTGTCATTCGAAAAATTAGCTAAAGAATACCCTGATGGAAAGGATTTTGTTAAATCCAAAAGTGTAATACTAGCTAAATCAATTTGCAGTGTTTTAGTCATTCCACATACTTTCCTTTTTTTAATTGAGCATTCGCTGGTTCTTTTAAAAACATTAAGCTCATTTAAAAATAACCAGGATGGATCGAATATTTCCTCATTATAGTCAGGTGCAATTAATATGTTTCCTAAAACCCTTAAATGATCTATACTTCTTAACTGCATTAGATTTATTTGAAAAATATTCGATAATTTGTTGTATGTAAATTCCATATGTCTTATGTTAGGAGGATTTAAGCGGATATCAACTTTTGATATTAGACAAGAGTTAATTTGGAGTCTTATCATATTTTCTGGTAATGATGCAAAAAGATCATTCAAATCAAGGTTCCGAATTTTATAAAGCTCCAAATGTTGGAGGGATTTTAAGCAAAGGTTACTCCCCAACACAATAATACCAGGATTTCCATTAATCCTCAAAAATTTTGTATTCGAGGAAAGTTTAAAATTGGATCCAAGGAGAAATGAGTTACCATCCCTTGAAAAGTCTGATAATTCGAATTCTGTGTTTACTCCTTGTTTTACAGATTCATGTAATTGTCTGATCTTGTATCGATTGAAAGTCGGCCATAACATCAAGGTTTCCAATGACTCTGGGTAGAAACTTTTGATGACTGGAAATAAATATCGACAACAACGAATTTTTATGTGCCTCAAAAAGTTGTAAGCTCTCATATTTCCCAAAGTTTTAAATTCACAATTGATAAGTTCGATGGATTTGGTTGTTTTAGATAATTGAAGAGCATCCAACGACTCCACCCCTAGCAAACTCTCACAAGTAAAATATTCAAGACATTGTAGTTCACTTAAATTTAAATCAACTTTTCTATGATCAAGATTTATTTTCAATTCTTTTAATGATGTAGGAAATTTGTTCACGAAATCAAAGCTAAATTCTATTTTCAATAATTTTATCTTGCTTAATTGAATCGTTTGCAAATAATTTTGAAATGATAAAGGCTCAATTTCGAGATCAGAATCACTGTCGGTCATTGAAGACGGTTCTTCTTTCAACAAATGAACCCCCACAACATTGAGTGTTTTCAAAATCAGCTCCAAATCGACATCCATATAATCTGTGATAACTATTTCAAATTCGGCATGACGATATTCATTCATATTTTCAATATTAAATGAAAATTCTTTTCGTGAATCCGAAGGTTCTTCTAGCTTCAATAATTCATGTAATTGATCTACTTCTAGTTTTATTCTTGAAGGTCTAAAATTGTAAATCTCGTATAACAATTTCATACTATGCATTGTTCCATCAGAATCTGGATCCCATTCAACAAGTTGATATTTATAATACCTTGCTTGTAAAGCATATTTCTGTAATGTTGGGATTGATATTAATTCTTCAATTTTCGAATTATCATTAATATATTTGATGATTTGGACCAATAATTCATCTGGTAATTTAAGAAATATACGCATCGCTTGTACTTAAGTATTTTATGTTGATCGATATTTCAGTATTGCATATGAAGAGATTTGTAAGATTTTCTCGAAGAGTTTTGAAGTAATTTGATGAATTTTGTCGTAAGTGCTTTGATGAATATGTTGTATGAATATGTTGTATTGTTTCCCACCAGTTTCTTTCAACAATTTTTGAATTTTAAATTTTATTTGATTTCAAAATCTAACTGTAATCAAAAATCATCAACGATATGGGGCTGACGTTCATAAAGTGTGACTTAAAACATAATAAAGTTGTTTATAAATATGTGTAATTTAATTTCACTTTAAATCAATAAATTTTCATTTCATGTCACTAATAAAAACTGATTTTCAAGAAACTCTTCTGTTAAGTGGAAACTTCACAAATCAGATACATGATTATTCCACTCTTCAGTGAACCAAAGCTCTACCGTTGGCTCTTTTTCAATCCATTGCCTGACATTGAAGACTGATTTCGTTTCCTTACCACTGACTACTCCTAGACATTTGGAATTTCACTTTGTGTAAGATTCTTTTTCATTTAATATTTTTAGGCCAAATTAAATTTATCATCTCAAATCAGGCACCACTTCAACAAAATACTTAGTTATAATGATAACAAGAGGAGTATGCCTATCATGTAGATATAACACTAACAGAATTATACGGTATCAAATAAGGAATCAACATTTAAAAACAAATGAACATAATAAATTAGATGTTGAAGGTCTAGATGATTTATTTCAATCTAACTCACCAACTAAATCAATTTCAACTTCAAATGATGGAATACTACAAGATTTACACGATGATCAGTCTGGTGATAATGTTCCCAATAACAATAAAATGGATTTTCAAAAATTAAGTCAATTTATAAAAGAAGCATATGATAAAAAACCAACAACAAAATTTAATAAATCAAATATAAATTTTCAAGATGATGAATTTGATATAGATTCAATATTATCCAATTATAAAAAAGATCAAAATTCTTATTTAAAAGAAATGATACCAAGTTTTAATAATAGAATAACAATTCATTCAATAAATTTAGAATTAAGAGATAAATTATATAATAAATGTGAAATTGCATTAATACCAACTTTACAAAAAATAAATGAAATGAATTCAAGTTTAAAAATTTATGAATTTTATCTGAATTTATTAAATAATTTACAAGAAGAAATTAAAAATTCTAAAAATGGTAAATTAAATAATAGATTTTATTTAAGTGATTTATTTTTGAAAACAAATCAAATAGAATGGAATAATTTACATGATGAAGTTATAAATAAAATTCAAGCTAAATCAATTGAATCACCATTAAATCCAGAATTAAATCTTATATCATTACCAATTATAACAAATCATATTTTTCAAAAATTAGGTTTTAAATTATTCAACGCCAATTTAATTCAAACTTTTTTAAATTTTATTCAAAAAGATTTTTATTTATTTTCTTTATGTTTTAATCAAGAAACTTTTAATTTAATTTTAAAAATAAATTGGATTTATTTTGGTAATTTAGATTTATTAAATATTGAAAAAATTTTAAATGAAATGAAATTTTTTGGTTTTAACGGAGATTTTAAAACTTTTCAAATTTTAAAAATTATTATAGATGAATATAATTTATTATCAAATGGTAATTCCATATTTAATAAATTTGGTTGTAAAATTTTAACAAAAGATGACAATTTAAGAATAAAATATTTAACTAAAGAGTTTTATAAGTTGAAGAATAGACTCAATGAACAATTGATTAAAAAAGATGAAGAACTATTGGAGAGTTTGATATAAAATGTCAGAAAGACCACATAAGTTAGTTTGTATATAGGGTCTACACTTGTTGGTGTGGTATAATTAATGATGTAATGAATATATTAATTTAATAATGAGCAAGAGTTTTGAAATTTTGACGGTATATATTTGTATTGAGCTGAACAAACATCAACTCAACTCATTAAACCTTATCAGTAGTATTTTTGTCTTGTAGACTGATATTCAAACCCTTATTTAACCCCATACTCTTTTCTGTATGGCTCAAAATAATAATATGTCTCATAATTGTACTGATGTGCACTACCTCTCCCGTATATATTATTTAAATTTATTTATTTACAAATAGAGATAACCTCTAAAAAGTAATTACCAGAATCAGTAGCCATAATACATCTATAACCAAACCAATTGTATCTTTAAACCAATTAACGCAACCAACTTAACTATCAATTGATATATTAAGATAAACCTATATAAGCAGATTATCATTACGCTTCAAAATGTCACAATTTGATACATTTCTTGATACTTATATTAATGATAATTTAAATACAAATGTTACTAATAATAATTCAAATAATTCAAATTACAATCAACAAAGTCAACAACAACAACAATATCCTCAACAATATCCTCAACAGCAGTACAATCAACAACATCAACCAGCCTCACCTACAATTAAAAGAGAAAATTTTGATGAATTTATAAGTGGTTCACTAGATATAAAAAGACAACTATCACAATCTTTAGGAGGTGGTGGTGGGATAAGTGGTGGGATAAGTGGGAATAATAACTCATATACTAATACTAATGCTTATCAACATCATCATGGAGGAATTTCTAAACCTCATTCAAGAAGAAATTCAACATATATAAGATCACATGAAGGTAGTGATAATGAACAAGATTATGAAGAAGATGATCAAATTGACAATAACAACAGCAATAAAAATAGAAATAATAAACATCGAGATACAAATGATGATGAAAATGAACAAGATAATGAAGATGATGATAAAGATCAAGGAAATGAAAGGAAAAGAAGAGATAATATAAATGATAAAATTCAAGAATTATTAACCCTAATACCTCAAGAATATTTTATAACAAAAGATGAATCCACTAGTACAAATACTTCAAAAATAAAAAAAGAATCAAGTCCTCCTCCTTTCACAAATGAAAAATCACCAAGTGAAGAAGATATAAATAATACAGTTAGTAAAACAGGAACAAAAGATGGTAAACCAAATAAAGGACAAATTTTAACAAAATCAGTTGAATATTTACAATATTTACAAAATTTAATTGATGAAAATAATAGAAAAGAAGTTGAATTAATTATGAAATTAGAAAATTTAAAATTACAAAAAAAACAAAATAAACTAAATAATAGCAGTGGTAATAATAATAAACAAAATTTACCAATACGGATTGGTTATACATCTGCTGAAAAAGCATTAGGAGAAATTGGTGTTGGACCATGTTCAGAAGAATATTTTAAAGATGTTTTAGTTAAAAGTGCAAATTCAAGTAAATCAAGTAGGAAAAGTCTACATAATTAATTAATTTATAAAATTGATGCTCTTATCAATAATGATGAAAATTCATTCAGAAAAATGTCTATTAGAGCTATATCCAGTAAAGAAAACGTTTAAGTACTTTTAATTCTACCTAATCTTTCTAAAGCGTCAGCATCATGCCTTAGCATATAAGCAGGTAAATATTTCTTTTCATTATCATCATTCTCATCAGCATCATTGTTATTGTTTTGATCGTTATTTTCATTATTTTTATGGTCAGAATCAGTTATTAATAATTTTGGATTTGGTAAAGTATTATTAATACCTCCTAAACTAGTATACCCCACATCATATAATTTACAATAATTTATATTTGTTCCCACTAAAAAATCCCAAATTTCAATATATTTCCAATCTAAAATTGGATGAATTCTTAAAAATTTTGGCCAATTATGATCAGTAATTTGTTCTAATTTTAAATTTGAACCAAAAGGATCACTATATCTTATCCCAACTATAACAGATTTTATACTTTTATTTATATTATTTAAATAATTAAGAAATCCTGATTTTAAATTATCTTTTATTATTATTGGATTTAAATAATAATATTGAGTTGATTCCTTGATAAAATCAATTAATTCAGGAAATGAAATTTCTGAATTTATAAATATTGAATCTAATTTATAATCTTTTGGTATCATGTCATTTGAATAAAAATTTGTTTCATGATTTGTTATAAATTTTTTATATATGGTTGCCATTAATAATATTAACATAACTAAACAATCTTTACCTCCATTATATGATATTGCAATTTCTTTTAATCTAAGTAGTGGAGTTAGTAAATTTTCTATTTCATCATATCTTCAAAAACGAATGACAAAATTATTTAAACATACCCGTGTAGATCAATAGATTTCTCTAGTTTTTCCATACTTGATTTAATTTTTAATTTTACAGATGATCTTAAATTTGAATCATATTTATAACCTTTATGTCTTTTCGGTACTAAATCTGTTTTTAATGAATCATTTAAAAAATCTTGTATTAAATTATAACATTCTTCACATCTTTTAAAAAATCCTTGTTGTTGTTGCGTTAGATCTTGACTTGTCATTAGTTTTGAGGTTTTAGGTATTGGAATCAGTGTCTATTGGAGGTGTGGTGTTGTAATAAAGTTGATCTTTGGTTAATAGAATCATACCATTATTAATAGAATTTCCGATATTTGAAAAATTCTCGATTTAGTGATTTTAAGATTTTGAAAATTCCGATTAGTGGAGTTTATCAAACTAATTTCATTCATGAACTTTAGAACAACAAGTCAGAGATAAGTAGGAACTGTTTTCTTCATTAGTCATTATTCATTAATTTATAGACGTACTAGCTTATCCCTTCGTAACAGCAATTTTGAACAACTACTTCTACCATCAATTTTTATATAAAAATTGTAAATAAAATTCTTTAGTATCTTTATCCCAATACCACCAATAAGTATCACTCATTTTATTTTCATCTTGAGGTTTATCAATTTCATTTTTATTCGGTATTATGATTGCAATATTATCATATGGTTCAGCTGATATGATTAAATATTGGAATTTTGTAGGTTCATACTCTTCATCATCTTCATCTTCTTCTACTTCATCTTCTGCTCCTTCAACATGTTCTTCATTATTTTCACTTTTCTTCAATTTAGTAATCTCTTTTATACAAAGATTTTGATTTTTCGAAGTTAATTCATAAAATGACATTATTGTAAAAAATGGTTCATCAATTATAATTTTTGGAAATTTACAGCTAATTAAAAACCCAATTTGTAAAGTTTTTGGATCTCTTATTTTAATAATTTTATAATCAATTGGTTTACCAATTTTATTCCAATTTCGCTTTTCCACATTACTTATACTTATTTGGTTTTCAATTTTTTGTTGATATTTTAATTGTAAATTTTGTTTTTCATCTAATATTCTTCTTCTTTCTAAATTTAAATGATGTTTTCTACCACCCAAATGTGAAATATATGATGATTCATTATTATGAGTTGTTAAACATAATTTACATTCTAATATACCTAAATGATTTCTAAATACATATGGATCATTATCTAAATCTAATATATGAGTAGCTAATAATTCTTGTACTCTTTTTTTTGTATAAATATTTGATTCTTCTGTACTTGCTATCCCACCTGCTCCCTTTTTGGAGTTAACTCTTCCAGAATAGTCCATTTTTTGTTTGTTTAATTTGAAGTTATGATATAAAGAGTTAGTGATGATGCAATGTTTAATAGACTTTAAGTTTAAGAGGTTTTAAAGGGTTGAAAGAATTAAAGTATACGACATATTACAATGTCGGAAATTTATTAGTAAGGAGGACGTGTCACATAACACGACACATTACACGACATTGTACAACACGTTAAAAATTCAAAATTTAAAAAAAAGAACAAAAACAATTTCACAAATGGCAGCCATTTTTCAACATCAAACCTTTACAACAAAAGCAGGACTTATCACTAGATCTCATTATTAAGTCTATGTTTAGAGTACATTTAACGATATAGAACCACTTAGATTTATCTACATAAAAGAATTTCATGCAATTTTTCAACTACAAATTGACAGCTCTATAATTCAATCCAATAAACCATTCATTCATTCTTTAGTAAACACAATTCCCAGATTTTCATAAATTCACAGTAAATAATGGAGTCTCCTATCAATATTGGTGATCTAACCACAAATTCAATTCAACAAAAACTAACAAATACTCATATTAATTCTGTTTATAGTACAAATGTAACATCTGCAATATATTCAAGAATGAAAATAATTCAATTAACTATTAAATTTGGAGAAAATGTCAATAATAATAACAATAATAAAGATATTGAAAATACAAATATAAATGAATTAAATATTTTAAGAAGAGTTCAAGATTCTTTTATAAATATAAGTCAATTATTACAAATATTAGTTCAATTAAATCTTTTATCATCATCACAAATTGAAAGTTTTATAAAAAATGAAATATTAACAAATCCTGAATATCATGGAAGAAATTTAAATTCCAAAAATAATTCACAAATACTAGATTATAGAAATAATGATAATAAAAATTTAAGAGGTATATGGGTATCTTATGATAAAGCTGTTAATATTGCTTTAAAATTTGATATTTATGAATTAACAAAAGATTTATATTTAGTTGATGTTCATGATTTTGAAAAATTACCAAAATATAAGAAAAGAAGCTTGGATGATGATAATGATGATTCTTTTATTGATCATATTGGTTCACCTTCCAAAAAACAAAAACTCGAAAATAATACAACCAAATCTAATAATGAATCCTCACAAAATAAACAAACAACTATACCAAAAAATTCCAAAATAATAGTTGATAAATATGTAAAACAAAATAACAAATATCCATTCACTTTATCACCAAAAGTAATAGACGATAGTCAATTAGATTTAACAAATGATATAAAGATAGTATTAGGAGAAATTTTTAAAAAGGATGATAAATTAGAAGATGAAGTATCAATAGATGTTGTTAAAAAAGAATTTGAACCAATATTACAAAAATATTCAAAATCCGATCATCAAGATATACCATTAGATCAAAAGGGACAAACTGCTTTACATTTTGCATCAACTTTAGCTTCTTTAAATTTAGTATCTTCTTTTATTCAATTAGGATTAAGTTCACCAGTTTGTGGAAATGATTTTGGAGAATCACCTTTAATTTCATGTATTCAAGTTACAAATTCAATGGAAAAGGGAAATTTTAATGATATATTAACTAATTGGCTTTATCCTAATATTTGGTTATTTGATAAATCGGGAAAATCAATATTACATCATTTAGCATTACAATCTGATAAAAATGAAAGTTTTAAATTTTATTTAATTAAAATTTTAGAATATATATTATTATCAAATGACAAAAAATTAATTGAATTTAAAACAAATATTATAAATTCTAAAGATGATGAAGGAAATACTGCATTACATATTGCAATTGAAAAAGAAAATAAATGGTTAATTAAAATTTTATTAGAATTAGGAGCAGATGTTAAAATTACAAATAAACATAATATTAAATGTGAAGATTTTGAAATTTTGAATGATTTGGAAAAAGATGAATTTGATGATCATATTTTTCATTTAATTCAAACAAGTTATGAATTTTTAAATGAACGTATAGAAACGGTTGGAATTGATAACATAACGGAGGCAGAAGAATTGAAAGAATCTGTTGAACCAAATTTACCAAATTCATTTGAAGATAATTCCAATGAACCTGATAGTTCAAGTAAAATATTTCAAAGTATACAACATCTACTATCAGATACAAACCATCAATATGCAAATATATTAAATTCCAAAAGACAACAAATAAAAACTTTAGATCAAGCTTTACATGATGCAACAATTACAGCAGCAAATAATAGATTTCAAAGTAAAAAATTAAAAGAAAATTTAATAAATTTAGATAATTTAAAATTACAAGTTGTAAATGTAACAGATAAATTATTATTATTAAAACAAGAATATAATAATAACAATGATAAAGATACAAACGAAGAAGAACAAGAAAAATTTGATGAAAATCAACAATATTATGCTGATGCTCCATATATAATTGAACCAATTTATAAAAAAATTACAAATAATGAATCATTAGATGATTTAAAAAATGATACGGATTTAATGAAATCTTTACCACCTATAAATTCATTAAAAGCAAAAATAAATGCTTATAAACAAATTAATGAAAATTTAGAAAATGAATTACAAAGTTTAATTGATTATAGTGAATTAACTTCTAAATTTAAAAATGTTGTTAGTATATGTACAAATGTTGGTATTGGAGAAGTTGATGAATTATTAGATGGATTATTAGAAGCTGTTGAAGGTCAACAATAGACTGTTCATTTAAAAAACACACGAAGTATTATATCTATTTCATGTATCAAATTGTTTTAGTAATATTGTAATCATTATATCATTGACACACTTACCTGTAGAAGATTAACTTTCATCTATTGAATTTCTAATTATTATTTCATTCATTATCATTACACCATTACTTTTTCTATATCATAATTTTATTTCAGTCGTTTTAGCATTACACGAGTCCTTGATAAGTATTTAAAGCTGTATGAATTGAAGGATCCTTTTTAGCTAAAATTTTAAAATCATCTAAAGTTATATAATCAGTTTCTTTATCTTTTCCTAACAAAGAAAACCATTTTTCAGTTCTTAATTCAGGAGTTTTTTCATCTTCTGGTAATTCAACCATTGATCCAATCATTTTATAAGTTGCTATAATTATAGGTAATATATCATTATAATTTAATTTATTTTTTTTTTTATAATCATAAAATTTAAAAGTCCATGCAATTTTTTGTTCTTCTGTACCTCTTGTTGTTATACTTAAAGCTAATATAAATTCTTTAAAATCAATAAATTTTGAATTATCTTGATCAAATTGTTGAAATAAATAATGACAATAATCTTCTGGTTTACCAAATGGAAAAAATTGTCTATATACTTTAACAAATTCATCTTCTGATAATTGACCACTTGGACAATCTCTTAAAAATCCTTTATACCATTGTTGTAGTTCTCTTTTATCAAAATATGTATTTTCTCGAAGCTTTTTAATATCTTCTTTGGATAATTTTGATACAGTTTTACCCATAATTTTGTTTGTTTGAATCGGGAAGTAAGATTGGCAATTGGTGAGGGTGAAGGATCTTTGATATATTTGCAAATAGGTGAGTTCAGGCTTTCGTGAATGTGATTTGAACTGATTGTTTATTGTTTCAGATTTCTATGATATGTGAAACTCGATATTATTTGAAGTGACACAAATTAATATTTAAATAAATTTCAATTTTACATTAAACTATTCCTCTTACTTTTCAAAGGTATCCCCAAATCTAGACAAAGATATATCATGTTTAAAATGAATAGAATACAATCAAGGTCAATATCAAACTCGATAAAAAGGTTAGCTAATCATGGAAAACCTCAAAATCCACCAATAGATCCAACTTTACATATGAGAATATCACCAATTATAAGAACTGGAGAAACAATAGATGTTAAACGTGCAAGATTAGTTTATCAATCAAGAAAAAGAGGTATATTAGAAAGTGATTTATTATTAAGTAGATTTGCTAAAAAATATTTAAATCAAATGTCAATGGAAGAATTAGATGAATATGATAAATTATTAGATGAAGCTGATTGGGATATTTATTATTGGGCTACTAAAAATTATGAAACAACTCCATTACCTGATAAATGGAATAATTCTAAAATTTTAAAATTATTACAAGAAGAAGCTGAAAATAAAGAGAAAGTCATATTAAGGATGCCAGAATTAGATGAAAAAGATTTTGTTAAATCAGATAAAAATTAAAATAACATCCATCTTATTATGATATATCCACTGTATATAGAAAAGCCTGCTTATTTATCTTTATAAATTTTATGATTACCTGAAAACCTGAAAGAATTCACGTGTCCCTTTGTAGTATATCTCCTATTAAGCTTATAGTAAATCTCTTATCGAAAACCCACTGATTGTTCTCGCAATATCAAAACTACATTTTATCTCTTAATATTACATCATTTATTTGAATATAAACTCAAAATACAAACAACATTCGATATGCTGATTACAATAAATTCAATACCTGAAGAACTTAAGCTGGACAAAGATGTTACGTCGTATATACAACGAGCAATTGAACTTGAGGAAGCAGAGCCAATTATAAGTTACTATAGTAAAATTTATGTATTAGAACATATTCTAAATAACAAATTGCATACAAAATCAAAATCAACTGAAGAATTTACAATAGGATTATTAGATAATACAGAAGCTATCAAACAAAATTCATCTGATGAAGATTTGAAAAAAATATTAAATGATAAAAATTTATCATTTGGATATATTTTTAAATTTGCTTATACCTTATTTAATTCATGTCTTGAAAATTTAAATAATTATCAAATAAGTTCTAAAAATCAATTAATTTCAAAATTTAAAGCAGCTATGTGTTTTTTAAGTTTATTAACAATTTTTGAAAGTTCTGAAGATGAAATTGAATTTGAAAAATTTACAGGAGGTAAAATAAATAATTGGAATGATTTTAATAAATTAAATAAAGAGAAATTAAAGATATTAAAATATCAATTAACGAGGATTATTAAGGATGAAATAGATGTAGGGAAAAGTGAAGAAATTGATGATAAAGAATTAGAAGAGGAATTGAATAAAGAATTAGATCAATTAAGTACAGTTAATAATGATGAAATTAACAATGAGCAGGAACCACAGAATTTTGATTCACAAACAAACAACCAGAATGAAGAGAATAATGATACTAAATTCAACCTACCTGGAGCTCCAAAGGATTTGCCGTCTGAAAAAGGTCATGACGACCATGATAGTATCGAACTACCTGGAGCTCCTCATGTTGCACCAGATGAAGATCTGAATTTAGGACTTCCCAAGACTCCAAAATATTTACCGGATGATGATATTACGAACATAAATAAATCTGGTTCAATTCATGTGTTTGCTTCATCCCCTGACCAACCAGAATCAAAAATCATACCTGAGAAAAAACCATCAGTCAGTCGAGTTTCTCTGCAACAACATCATAAACCTTTAAGTAAAGAGAACATTAAACAAATTTTGAATCGAGATGATGCTATCACTCAAATTCAAAAACATACAAAATTTGCGTCGTCAGCTTTACAATTTGAAGATTTTGATGAAGCTGAAAAACAATTGATCAAAGGGTTGGAATTATTACGATCGGTAAAAAATTTTGATAATTCTTCATAGGATTTACGATATATTACGCAAATGCATTTCATTAATTACAAGGCTAATCTATACTTCTATTAATTCTTCATCTGATTGACCTTCTTCTTCATCCTCCTCCTCGCTATCGTCTTCTCCATCAAAACCTGAGAATTTGATACCCAGGGATTTTTTAGTATCTGGACCTAACCAACCTCCTTCATCATCATCTTCTTCTTCTTCTTCCACTAATTCTTCATCATCATCAATATCCTCATCTCCGTCGACTTCCTCATCCACCTCAAATCCAGTTCCATTCTCATCATTGTGATCACCGTTGATGTTTTGCTCATCATCTTTTAAATTTTTGCTCACTGTAAGAAAACTTAATAAATAATCATTCTTCTTTCCGATAGCCACAACCTCTTTCGCTGTTTTATTAAGATACCTAGAAATCAATTTCAAAGAAGATCTGAATTCAAACTTATGACTTGATATGTAAGCACCATGCAGAATCAATAAATTTTTAATCCAAATTAAATAAAATTCAATATGTGGGGAATCTTGTTTTATAAATAATTCTCCAATAAAGTTTAAAATCCTATTCACATATATTTTTGGCAAATCTTGACAAACCAATTTTATATCTACTAATGGTACATTTTCCAAAATTTGATGAATTAAATAGGATTCATTAAGACGTAATGCCATTATTAATGCTAATAAATATTCTTTGTCCTTTAATGCTTCTAGAGCAGATTCTGGGGTAATGTCAACATCCAAATCAAATGGGTCAAATATCAACTCTTGGTTTATCGAGTAAATCAAGAGACCTTCAGTGGTGGCTGCAGCAAATGCTGATGTAGTTGGTGAAAATTGTAGTGATAAGCACCTTATTTCTGGTCTTGTTTTTCTTTCAGTTGGATCCCCTCCTCTATTTGAACCTGGTAGACTCAAGTCCATTCTGTCTTCTAAGTCACTATTCTCTCCATCTTTGTCGAGCAAATCAGAGTTGATACCTGCATCTGTTATTTTTGAACTATTTAATTTTTGTAAAGTACCATCAATGGACATATTCTCCGATATTATGAATCTTTTTATTAACACTTCATTGTCAATATCGTACATGCAAATTGAGTTATTATTACCACCCGCCAACAAAGTCAGGCCATCAAATGAATAAGTAATAGTACTAAAATATTTCCCACGATTCGAATTTTTGCTTACAAATTTATCTTGTAAAAATCTTCCACTTATTATATCTTTTCTTCCATCTATTAAATGTAATTGTTTAGCATCTTCTATATCAAAGATTGTAATATGACCATCTAATGTTGATATAGAGAGCTCCTTACAATCAGGTCTCATACAAAGACACAAAACATCACTTTGAACTTCAATAGGCTCAACTGTTTGATTTCTTGCAAAGATATTCCACACTCTAACAGTTTTGTCCCAAGATGCAGACGCTAGTATTGAGTTTTCTTGACCAAATGTTAAACAAGATATGGGGCCCTCATGTCCAGTCAATGATTCTAGTAATTGACCGGTTTGAACTGACCAAACAAAAATCTCAAAACTGTCTTGAGATCCACCAACAATAATCTCTCCGCTTGGATCAACCGCAAGACAATTAAATTGAATTCTTGAAGCAGCTGTAAATGTCTTGAAATTTCTGAACCGTATCAAATCATAAGCACGTATTGTTCCATCCAACGAAGCTGAAAATAGTACATGACCTTTCTTAGCTACTTGTACCTGTGTAACGGCAGATGTATGTTCTGTGAATGTCACTAAGCAAAATCCTGAAGCGACATCCCAAATTTTAATTTTCCCATCATCAGATCCAGTGACCAACCTTGAGCCATCTGGAGTATAACAAAGAGTGTTCATCGAGTCAAAATGGCCCTGTTGCTTTAGTATGTATGATTCACTTTGCCACTCGTAGACTAACAATTGGCCCAATTTTGATGAGCCAAAAGCTAACCATTCCCCTGTGTTATTTATACTTACTGTGTTAACAGTATTTTGTCCCATACTTAACAGCTGTATAAGGTTAAATCCATCTTCAATTTCGTATACTCTAAATTCTCCATTACTAAACCCCACTACCAAAAGATTCGATTGTGCATGAAATGTAGAAGATTTTAGTTTTCCATTTGCATAAAAAAAATTTTTCTCTGTTATTCTCCATTCCATTTTGTTGGTTTGTTCTTCATGATTTTCTTCATGACCATCCTCGTCGTCTTTTGATATAGGTTCTGTATACTCCCATTTGAATAACGCTCCGTCTTTACTAATTGTGTAAATGATCTCTTGATTTTTACTGAAAAACGCATTTATAACATTGTCTCTATGACCTGAAAACGTCCTTGAGACGTTACTTTCATCTGAATCAATTGAATAGATTTTTGCTGTCATATCTTTGCTAGTACTTATGAAAAATCGTGAATCTTGTGACCATGATACACTTAAGACATCATCGAAATGACCCAGATAAATTCTATGCCTCACAAATGGGGCAAATTGTCTTTCCTCTGTGAAATCTGGGGTTTTCCACACTTGGACAAATCTTTCTATGGCTACTGCAAAGTAGTTCCCACATGGACTGAATTTAATAGTATTCACTTTTGATTTGAAATTGAAGTGATGCAAAACGATTCTTGAGATGAAATTTACTAGTATTGCTCTGCCATCTTCATCTATGGATATCATCAATGTGTTCTGTTTATTTAAAGCTAAGCATTGTATATTTTTTCTATGTTGGTAAGGAAAGGTAAATGATTGTGATTTAATTAGATCGAAACAAGACACACGATTTCCAACTGGGGATAATAGTTTGCTTCCATCTTCTGTAAATACTAAATTTCCCTTTTTATAAACGGTCCCTAGTAGATTTGAAAACTTAAAATCAGATTTCATGGAGCAAAAAGTTGAAGTTATTTGACGTTATTAATTATGAGCTAAGTAGTAAAATGAATTTTTCAAACCAATAGTTGAAAAAAGTATGGTGATGATCTTCTCTCTTTTACAAGTTTTAATAAATATAGATCAACGCATTATCTCAGTTCAATTCAAATTTGATACGGTCACAACTACTCCGGAACTCATCAAACTATATTAAAGCATGTCGGGGGCTCTATCTAGTCGGGTGAAGAACATGAAGTTCATGCAAAAGCCAGATGATAGTAAAATAAATGATACAAAAGTTCAAGAAACGAAATTACATGATTTATCAGAATGGGTATTACCAAACCTGCAAAGAATACTAAAGTTGGCATCAATGAAATCTCGAATAGAAAAAGTTGGATATGGTGCAATAATGAGTGATCGAAATTATAGAACGACTCGAAGATCATGGGGAAATAAATATGATATGGAAGAAGTTATGGATGACAACAGTATCAAACATGAAGAACTTCGGAATGTATCACGAGATAAAGACCAAGACATGAGTCTGCTATGGCGAAAGAGGAAAGCTGAACATTCGCCGGATTCGAAGAAAAAGAAAAGAATACTATGATGTTTGTTTCCATTTATACACCTTTCTTTCTACCAGCCTTTTCAGATTTCATGTCCTTCATAAATTCACCTTGAATTAATGCATCTCTGGCAGCTGCATTGATATGTTTGAATCTATCGGACCCTAACTTCACTCCCCCAAACCACCTACTAACAACAACTACTACATTCCATACATCCACCATCTTGCATATAGAATTGTTAGTATATCACTAATAAATGAGCATTTATTGCAAAATCATAAACGAAACATACTTGTAATAAATGTAGTAGTCTACTTCCAGCGGCTGTTTCACCGTCATCATCGTAATCTTGATAAACATTCCCTTGCTCTGTCTTAATTCTCCAGCTTGAAATATTATGAGTAGCTTTTGAAAGTTTTTTATCCATTAAAAGATATTCCAAATTTGAAAGAGCTTCTTCCAAGGTATTCACTGTACGAGCAAAGGCTATGAATGTTGATTGTCTATCTATAATAGGATGTGACTGGCTCCACCCAGCAGTGTAGTCTATCTCTTCCTTTTTGAAAAGTATGGCTTTTTTGAAATCACCTTCGTGAGATTCATCAGGATTCTTTGCATCTTTGGGTTTCTCTAATGTGGCATGTTCCTCATCATATTGATCAAACAACTTTTTCAAATTCTCCAACAATTCAAACATGACAACCTGTCCTTGGTCAAAAGTATCCATCAAACAAGACAGTATCATTTTCTCCACGTAACTAACGTCCGTAAACTTTGATTCATCTAAACTTACGACTTTTAAAAATTCTGGAGAATCATCTGGATAAGATTCTGGAAAATTGAGTTGAAAACTAACGGAATCATGATCTGGAATTTTAAAGGAATAGATTTGACTTAAATCCGCTGTCACACTATCGGGGTAAATTGAGTTAATGGCACTAATTTCGTCATGCAATTCCTGAATTGTCATTAATTTTATGTATAGAACAATGTATTTTTATTTTGCAACTATCAAGTCTTGTACAAAGTTTGAAAAATTATATCTTTGTGTTTCAAATTAATTATACGTTAAAGTCATTTCAGAAGGATGAAGACAGCAGAAGAATTGAAAACCGAAGGTAACAAGGCATTTGCTTTGAAAGAATATAAAAAAGCAGCTAAGATTTATCGAGATGCAATACAATTGGATACGTACAACCCTGCATTATATTCCAATAGAGCACAATGTTTTTTAAATCTAAAAGATTATGAGAGAGCTTTGAAGGATGCCATTAAAGGATTAAGTTTGACAGCTCCTAAAGAATTGAGTGTGAAGCTCAACTATAGGAAAGCAATGGCACTACTAGGCTTGGAATGTTGGCAGAGTGCAAAATTTGCATTGGAAGAAGTATTGAAGTTAGATCCTCAAAATCAAGCAGCTAAAACAGCTTCATTAAAATTACAGGAAAAGAATCAAGTTTATTCAAATGAAGGTGGCAACATACTGATACAAAAAGTTGATAATTTACCGAGTCGTTTTGCGGATTTGTTGCAAGCAAAAACCACGAGAGCTAATGAGATGGAAATAACACCAGACCATCACCATCAAACATCAAACGAGTTAGATAAAGAAATAAATAATTTGTTTGGAGCATCGAATACAAGAAATAACTTTGAAACTCAATCTCAATCGCAATCGCAAAACACAGCTGAAACGAAAAAACGACTGCCCATGCACTTGTTAGATGCGTTGACACAATTACCAAGTTCGAAGAAAATAAATGGATTTAAATATGTTTTAAATCTTGATCCACAATCTTATTCAGAGTTGTTCTCAAAATCCGGTATAGATACTGAATTTTTGAATTTCTTCTTAGATGCATCCAAGACTGCTTTGCTGGATAATATTATTTCGAATCCAAATCAAGTGATACTATCTCATTTAAAACAGTTTAGCACATTTAAGAGATATGATTTAACAATCTTAATGTGTGATGATAATATCAAAAACGCAATAATAGAAGTTGTTGCTGAAAAATTTCCACAAGATTTAACTATTTATAAGAAATTTATACATTAATACATAGCAAAAGATTTTTTAATAATGCTTAACTTCTAAACCTTTCAATAATCCCTTTTTGGAAGCTAAAAATACATTTGGTTGAGTCATTAAAAAATCTGGTAATAAGTGAGTAAAATCAAGATCAAAATATTTTCTGACGACGATAGGAACAACAAAAATACTCGCAAAAAGTATGATACTAAATATGAACAAAATCAAATATAAATTAGCTTGAACTCTTCTTTTCTTCTTTTGATGTTTTGATAATATTCTTGGACGAATCTGATTACCTGGTTTCAACCAAAATAACATCAAAGTATGCCATTTATCTGCGTATGGAAGTAATAAGATTGGGAATTGTGCATAAAGGATGAGATGAGCGGCAAATAAATCTCCTGCAAAATAAGACATTTCGGTTAGTTTGCAAATAAATTCTCTTAATGGTTGAGTAATAATGTACCATCCCAAACCTGCAGTAGCCCATTTTCCTGACCACCAAGAACGATTCGATCTATCATGTCTAAATTCTTTCGAAACAAATAAGATTGTAATGACTTGTAAAAACCAGCATTGGATCAATGTTGATAATGCAAAACCCAAAACGGTTCTTGCGAAATCCCAATTCTGTAACATCCAAAGAAGCTCAAAAAACAATACATGGTTGATCACAGCTAATGTATGAGCAAAAGCGGCAAAACACGATGGTACTTTTTTCCAAAATAATGTCAAAATTGGACCCAAAATACTTGACAAAATGAACACCAACAATAATATTGCAAAATTAACAACAATTGGACCAAAGCTAACAATTAAGATTCTCAAAACACTGTTGACTTGTTGTGCTCTATAAGATTCATTTTGAGAATTAGCGAAGGAATACGCTAATCCAACGATAAATACAATTGACAATTGAAACAATGATTCTGAAAATATAAGTTTTAATCTCGATGGTTTTACTTCGCTGACAGCCTTAATCTCTTCATTAATACTAAATCTTTTACTTTTCACTCCCACAATTCTGCTTCTTCTTAAACGGGTAAAATTGATCCATGATGATATTCTAGCTTTACTATTACCACGATGTAACCATGCAATATATTCTTTATAGTCTAAAAAGAAGTCATTCCAAGAAAATTGATTGGGGTTGTATAAGAAAGGACAAATTAGTAATCCAATAATAGACATCCAAAAATAAAGTAACAGGGAAATCCACATTGACATGGAACAATACAATATAAGCATTGCACAAATACCACCATAATACAAGCTTTCTACTGCAAATCTGGAATACAAGGTAACAAAAGAAACTCTAATTGTTGCAAAGCCTCTTCCAGTAGCAAGATAACGTGCTCCTCCTATTGAAATGTCACTTGCTAATGAATGACCATATATTTTACAAACAAATACTTCAAAAAGCGGCGAGAAGGATGCAAACTGTTTACCCAACCTTGTTATTGCTTTATAAAATCCACGCTCTGTGAGTTCTTGAACACCTAATGGAACAAATGAAATAATAAACACAATGAAAATTGAAAAAACACATCTTTGCAACCAATGAATGACAGGAATTAAATTATGGCAACCATTTGGAGTTTTTGGATCAGTGATTGGTCTAAATTTATCGTATTCACATACAATACTATCTTTTGTTAAAGCTGCCAAATTGGAGGCTACTAATAGGAACAACTGAATTGATACTATAATAAGAACATTATTTAAATGAAAACCTGGATGAGCATAGTAGAATGATAAAAATCTGTCAATTGGTAATTGTGTACCCAAATAAAAATATTCACGTGAAAGCATTTGCTCTCCCATGCCGGCTCCAATTTTTGTTGTAAAATTAAGAATCGAACCAAAACCTAAATCTCTACCTTTTCCACATTGCATGTACTCACAATGCTTAATTCTTCCTCCACGAAGAACAACATTCATGCCTGCATATATGTCTTCATTCAAATGCAATCCTTTTTGAGCTTTCGATACACCACCTCTTGTTGTCATGAATATTCCATTCAAAAAATCTGGATGCCCGTAATGTAATTTTCCACCAATATGAGCCAAGGTTCTAGCAAATAAAGTACCAAAAGTTTGTTCTTTACCTGCAGCAACATCTCCAAGTATTCCAATATTTTCAGAAAAAATATATTCTCTAGTACCAATAATTGCAACAGGAAAAGACAGATTCGAATTTTCTAAGTCATTTGAATATGGGTCAATCGGGAATGTTGCTTCTTCAAATTCAGCTAAAACACTTCTTATTTTAAGGCATTCTTCAAGATAATTATCTTGATTAGCATCAACAAGTTGAATATATTCTCCACGACAAAATATCAAAGAATGATTTTGATTATCTGACTTACCATCTCCAAGAATTGGGTTTCCAGACAATCTAATTCTATATTTTGGCTCCCGTTCACCGTTTTCAAGAAAAGAGCAACTGCCATCCACTAACGCGGAATAGTATGTAATTTCACCAGTCTCATCATCAAATTCTTCATCAAGGTAACAAATTTGAAGTTCAGGATAAGCTCTCAACAAAAATTCTGTGTTTTCTTTTTCCTCAGCTGTAAAATACTTCATTCTTTGCATCGAGGTAATAATTCTAAATTTTCTATGAGCCATAATTGCAGCCTGTTCAAGTTTTTCATTATCTCCTCCAAAAATACTCGAATCTGGATTCTCAACATCGAAAAGTAATTTAATTGCTCTAACATAATTCATAAAACCAGAAATGGTTCGATACAAAGTCTGAGATCTCAAGGAAGCCCAAATTCTTGTTCTTAAAATATATTCAGGTGTTGCAACTTTAAATCCTACGGAGTAATAAGGCAAATCATCTAACTTATCTTCATCCTTTTCAGAAGTTCCAGAATCAGTTTCAAATTCTTCAGCTAACATCTTGGTATCTTTCACAAAGCAATTCCATTCTAATGGGTGCAACTGTTTTAAATATTCCAACATTGTTACATGCGAGTATTGCTCTTCTTCTCTAATGATTTCTCTCAATGACAAAGTAATTTTTTCACTATAATGAGGAATTAAAACTGTAAATGAAGGCATCAAATGAACTGGACCTACTTCTGGCATCGGTGTTGATAATGATTGAGCGAAAAACGTAATCCTTCTTTGTGCTTCCGATTGATTTTTAAACAAAGAGGATTTAAATGATTGATCCTCTTGTGAAACAAAAAACATGGGTTCTTTTAAAATGCCACCTTCAATTCCAATTGTATCAATCAGTTTATAAATTAATTTTTGAACTTGTTCCAACGAAATCAAATGTTCTCTGTACATCGAAATAATGATTGAATTCCACACTTGAGAAATTAATAATTTAGTTTTAATGTTCTTTTCGTTTGAAACTGAAATTATTTTTGAAAAGATTCTCTTGGGTAGTCTAGAAAAGATATTTCTCCACGGAGTCCAGATTGATACACCAACATAAAAAGAACGACATACTGAAAAGATTGTATTCCAAATAATATACCATAAGTAAGTATCCAAAATAAATAACACCAAATTAGTTAGATACAACAAACCCAATACTATCTTAGGTTGTTTTGTGCACAACCAATTACCAAACCAAATCTCACCAGTACAGGATATATTATTCATACTGCTTAATTCACGAATCGGATCTCTCATTGATAATGTCAAAAAAAAATATGATTCTAAAAATTTTGACACAAATATTGCAAACCATAATCCAAATGATGCAATTTTGTCAGTATCAGTCAATAAATAAAAATTCATTAAAAAAGTCCTGTTTGGCAAAAACTTCCTTTCATTTCGTTTTCGGGATCTCAGAAAAACTTTTCCTAAAGGTGACAATGATAAATGGATGACTATGAAAATTGAAAATACAAATTGTAAAGACGCTATCGTTAAACCTATTCTTGACTGGGAATTAAGAGCAGTAAAACCAAAAAAATAAACACTAGGACCAGTGTTAATCAATAATGAACAAACAGTGAAAAACATTCTTGATGCTACTGATTGAGCTCCTGGCCATTTTCTTGGAATGTAAGATAGTTCATAAATTAAACTGACAAAATTAATAATTAATGCAATTGATCCAGCAAGGGAAAGTGCAGACAATTTGGCTTGAGTTGTGGGCTGATTATCTAATGCTTGCTGATAATTATGAGTATATAAAGTTGGTGAATTAAAAACCGTGTAATACCAAAAAACACATAAATGAATGATCCAAACTCTATTGTAATTTACAAGTACATGAGACCAACTTCTTTTTTCTTTGAAAGTTTTGTAAAATGCTTTGTTCCATTGAACATCATTCAATTTAGCGTATCTTTCACCAGGTGGTAGGCTCATCAATTTCCTTTTATCAGATAATATCAATCTTTCCAATCCCTTTGGGTACCAAAAAAGTTGGTTCATATCGTCATATCCAATAACAGATTCATGATCTTTATCTCTTCTATGATATTTTCCATCTACTAAAACATATAATTGATCTCTGAAGAAGTTATACAATGGTGTAATAATATGATCCAAGAAACTTTCTGTAACTTTTTTTATTGGAACATCGGGATCAATTGAAAAATAATAATCATTACAACATTTCATAATAAAGCAGATACATTCTGGCATAAATCTAATATTATTTGCTTCTCCCCATATCAACAAGTATAATGCTAATTGAATGACTGCATAAGTTGGAGATAAAGAATGCATGTTTGCTGACCATTGCTCTTCTGCGGCTTCTAAAGAAGGAATTTCTTCATTAACCTCTTTAATTTTTCCATGCTTGACATTTTCAAAACCAATAAAATCATCAATATCCATTTGCGCTGCAAAATACCATTTTCTAAAATTTGCATTAAAACCACCAATATAATCAGCATGAACTGATCTTAATGCATGCTCAGGTCCTAATCTAGAAGCTCTTGAATCTAATAATCTCATCAAATAATCAAACATATTTCTAGTATTATCAAATTGAAATCCAAAAATTGCAGTTAATTGTAAAAAAATTGCTTCAATTTCTTCTCTTGTAATTGGGACATTTTCAGGTGGATTCCATGCTGGATATGGATCAAATTTATTCGAGTAAATATCATAAATTCCGTTTTCTGCTAATGTTTCTCCAGGATTTCTATAATGATAAGATTTATCTTCTCCATATCCAATTTTTTCAACTTCTGCCCATTTCTTCTTATCTAATCTTGGTGTTTTAAATCCGCTCAATGGAAAAGCAGAGTTATAACCTTTTGGATTATCATCTATCGAAAATGTTAGTATGAATAAAAGATGTTTCTAAACATCTCTTTCATCTCAACGCGTTTAGCATACTAATAGCGGTAGCAGTTCTTTTCAATAATTCAATCGGATCAGACTCTTTTGTCCTTGCCAGTTTGTTCTTTTTTCCCGCCATTGTGGTTTGATCATTCAATCGTGTTTGTAATTGTATATATGTTTCTTTTGAATTGAATTGGTATAACAAAAATTGCTAGTAATAAAAATAAAGTATTGTTTATAAATTTTGTGTTCGTGGAAATTTTGTTTTGTGACATAGAAACCTTCGAAATTTAATGATTAAGCTGAATACCGCAGCTTAAAGAAAGATCCAATTCAATACGAGGAAATTTACCAACAACATATCGATCATGCTATAACTAGTCATACTCAATCTTGACTCAAACAATTGAACATGGTATAAGTAGGTTTATTTATGTGATATTATACGCTTCATGAAGTACAATGATTAAGTTAAATTCAAATTAGTATTTGAAAGTCATGAATGAATGAAGCTAATTTCCAGTCGGCAAATCATAAATTTCTCAATTTTGATACTCACGGAAGAACTTTTAAACCAAAAGTTAATAAATAAATTCATCCTTTTGAAGGATTCGAAGAGGAAAATTCGATTTTTAGTTGGATGGTTTTAATAGAGCTGAAGAGAGAACAAATAACTTGATAAGGACTACCACAAATTCTTCAGAAAGTATCATAATCCAGCTCATGATATTAAATTAAAATTGAAAAGAAAATTTAAAGATTTTACTTCTCATTAAGTATTCAAAAAAGAACAAATTTATTAACTACCAGGTTAGTAATAGTCGGTTTTAGTACTTAGATATAATTATAAACTGTTATACCTAAAATAGCCATTTCTAAAGTGATTTCTAATTTATGGATAATACTTAGTTGACTTTTAATCGCTTAAAAAAAGACTCGCTTTTAAAGAATAGGAAGAAATATTAAATATAAAATATTGTAATATTAAATAAACATGAATCTAAATAAAATAAATACTTGTAATAAATAATTAATAAACCAGTCTCAATGTGATATGTATAATTCAAATGATTAAATATGATTTTTTTCAAATAATTCTTCATCATCATCATCTTCTTCTTCTTCATAATACTCAGCTGCCTCAGCCATAATAGCTTTTTCCTTGACACCATTATAAACTATTCTATTCGGAGTATGTTTCCTTAAAAATAAGGATGATTTAGTAATTCTATTCTTAGCTGCCATTTTTAATAATGTAGGTTTAATCATGTCGGGCTCAACTCCTTCACTTAACAAATTTGCAACTAATCCCGTAACAATTGGAGATGCCATCGATGTACCGGATAGAACTTGTGATTTATCATGATTTTTTGCATCAACACTCTTAACATATGCTCCACTTGCAAAAAGATCAACACATTCACCCCAGTTGGAAAATCCTGCTACAGAATCATTATAATCATCAATTGCACCAACTGTTATTGCAAATTTTGAACTAGCAGGACTTGTCATACAAGCATTGATATTGGAATTTCCTGCAGCCACAACAAATAATAAACCATTTTTTGTAGCTTGTTCAATTGCTTTATTCAATACATGATTCTTATATGCTCCCAATGATAAGTTAGCTACTCCCTTTTTACCTGATTCTATTCTGTGATTGACTGTAAAATCAATTGCTGACAAAATTGTACTTAATGAACCAGCACCTTTACTATTTAATGCTTTAACTTCAACTATATTTACATTTTTTGCAACTCCATACGTAGCGGATCCTATTAAGCCTGCTACGTGTGTGCCATGTCCATTTGAGTCTCCGCTGCCTTCATTCGTAAAGTCATGACCTAATGAAGCTCTGCCACCAAACTCTGGATGATTTACTTCCACTCCTGAATCAATAACATATGCATTAACCCCTTGACCCATAAATTGATTATCATAAATATATGGGTATTGTTTATTGGGCTTCATTCTTTTCCTTCGACTAATCCTTGCTAAATGTCTAGGTGCATCTGCTTGCATTTGATAATCCCATGCTTTAAAGATGTGGTCTTCTGTTATATCTTGTACTAAAGGACATCTTTTCAATCTATCAATGATATCTTTTGAAAAATTACCGGCAAATCCTTTAAAGTCTCCAATAGTAACCGAAGTACTTATTAAATTTCTCACTTGTAAATGCTTTGGATATTTCTGATCATATTCCATAAAATGTTCAAGAGTCTCTGTTTTTTTCAAAGAAATGAAATATGGATCACTTGATGTGCAATGACTTATTAACGATAGTAGCAAGAGGTAATGTATCAATAACATAATGATTGATTAGCTTGATTCATCATTAATGACTACATCGACATTCAAATATCTATTTATTACAGCTCATGGATCTAGGACACAACAAGATTTATGAGCATAACAAAAAAACTTTTCATTAAACAATATTAGGGATCTACAAGAATCTTAGGAAGAAATAAATTTAAAATAAAATTGGCTGCAAAAATTATCTGCATCTTAGTTTTACTGCATATAATCAATCTGAAACTTCGTAAATTTACGAGAGTTTTAAAAATAGATCGTAAATTAATTAGAGGAAAACTAGATTGAATCACAAATCTATATTTCAAAATTAGGTCTTTCCTAACTATTATTAAATAAATTTTCACGGTGTTCAAAGATACTACTCAAATCTTATCAACTTTTTATTATAATATTCGGTTTATGACTTTTTCTCCACTTCAAGGTATGCAATTCGATTTGATGTTTCCGGTTTAAAATATAAGCTGGCTCTCGATATTCTATCCTTCGTTGCGGTTCGAATCAATTGATCTTTAATTTGATCTGGCTCAAACCCATTACTTAAGAAATTTGCCACTATACCAGCAACTATTGGACTTGACATTGAGGTTCCTGATAATATCAGGGAAGTATAAAAATTTTTGAAATCAACACTTCGAACATTTGAACCACTAGCAAACAAATCAACACAAGGGCCCCAATTTGAAAAAGAAGATATAGTATCTGTGAAATCATCAATAGCTCCAACAGTTATAGCCGTGGAGGAACTAGCTGGACTCATTAAGCATGCATCAATATTCGAATTACCGGCAGCTACTACAAATATCATTCCTGTCGATGAAGCTTGTTCAACCGCTCTATTCAATATATCGTTTTGAAAAGCTCCAAATGATAAATTTGTAACTCCTGGCTTCCCACTTCTTAATCTATGATTAACAGCAAATTCTAAAGCTGAAATAATTATACTTAAACTAGCTGTTCCTTTTGAATTTAAAGCTTTTACATCGATCAAGTCAACATTTTTTGAAGTACCATAAGTAGCAGACCCAATTAAACCAGCTACGTGTGTACCATGTCCATTAAAATCTCCCTGACCTTCATTTGAAAAGTCTTGACCGAATTTAGCTCTTCCTTCAAATTCTGGATTTCCTATGTCAATGCCAGAATCAATGACATATGCATTTACTTGCATTCCACTATGATCTCTATCATATATGAAAGGATAAATTCTAATTGGTAACATTCTTCTTCTCCTACTTACTCTTGCTAGATGTCTTGGAGCGAACATTTGATAATGAACATCAAAAGCTTCCACTGTTATATCAGGAATTATTTCTTCAACCATTGGACATTTTGATAATCTTTTGAGTCGATCATTTGAAAAGTTACCTGAAAATCCTTTAAGAGTACCTATGTGAAATGAAGATTTGACAGATTGTTGAATTTGTAAGTCAATAAGATAACTGGTATCATATGTCATAAAATGTTCAAATGATTCATTTTCTCTTAAGATAACAATATAATTGCAATAAATTTCACCTATTAGCAATGATACTAAAAAGTAAAAATTCATGTGGTGTAACAAAATTTAGCTGCAAAATAAATTTTATGCAACTTTCGCACAAAGACCAAAGCATAAATTTAGTATTTACTAAACTAATTTAAATAAAATTATTCTATATTTATACACTATATATTTACAATGACTTTATAAAACTTTGTTTCAAATCCTCTGGTAAGCTGTCAATATATTCTTTCATAGCATTGATGGTAGTGTCGGTATTTGATTTCATTAATTGAACCAAATTTGATCTATTAGTTTCTTTGGTTAATTCATCCAATTTTTTAGATATTTTTGAATGATGTTCTTCAATCCATGTACTAACAGCTTCATCGTCCTCATAATTTACAGTTGGCATCCAACTCTTCAATCTAGCAACTTTTTCTAATTTATTTGCATTTTTGATTTGAGCACCAATTAATTTTAAAACATATTCTTCATTTAATCTTCTACGTAATCTCCAAAAGAAGAAACGTCTAGCATCTGACCATTTAATTTCTTTTCTTATGACACCTTTCGCCAACATACGTCCTGATCTATCATGTAAATCAGCAAATTGAATTGAAACTTGAGCATAGATCGGCATTAATTGTTTCTCTCTTGAAATTAATTTAGCACTTACTTTTGAATGTTCTTCAGTTGATAACGATTGACTACTTAATTTTTTCTTTAATTCAGCATAAACTGGATCTAATCTTTGCATCGTAGCTAATAATTTATCACGTCTATATTTAATTCCAACCATTCCTTCGGGTTCCAAAACACCACCTCTGGAATCAACATCAGCATACATTTCCATCATATCTTCATTAATTGTGGGATCAACAACAACCCATGAACCTCCTCTTAATTCACCATTTGGAGGAATATATGTAAAAATAGGTTGTTTGTAATCAACTAATGCATCAACAATAAAAGACCCATATTTTAAAACTTCATTATACATATCTCTTTGACCACCTGAAAATCCCCTCCAATTAGCCAAAATCATCAAAGGTAATTGTTCACCATTATTGAAATCATTAATTGCTTGAGCAGTTTTAAAAGCTGAATTAGGATACCATACTTGACCTGCTTCTTGAATCAAAGATTCAGTTGAGTCTTGATTAGCAGGATCTGCTGGTATTAAATTCTCAACCAATCTAGTTTCAACACCAATAACACCAATTGGAATACCTCCAAGACGTGCTCTTCCAACAACAACACCTTTTGCCCAACCAGATAATGTTTCTTGAAATGAATTTTTATCGAATAAACCTGACTCAAATCCATCACTTGTATTTTTACCTTCAATCATCCATCTAACATCAAATGATTCTTGTTTTGGTGGATAATATTCAACTTCTCTGTCCCATGGATCTTCAGAATCTAAAATTGGAACAGGCATACCACGTTTACTTGGAACATAAGATAACCATTCCATGATTTTTTCAACTCCTTCCAAATCATCGTTTGCAGTTAAATGTGAAACACCATTTCTATACATGATTTGTGTACCACCTAATTGTAAATTGGATGAATAAACTTCACTACCTAATAATTTATTGATTGCTGGAGCACCTGTTAAAATAATTGGTTGACCTTCAATTTGAATAGCTCTTTGACCTAATCTAACTAAATATGCACCAATACCAACAGATCTACATGTAACTAAAGTGATAGTGAATATATCTTTATAAGCTCTTGATGTTGCACCAGCAATTAAACCAGATCCTCTTAAACATTCAACACCTAAACCATCTTCTGCACCAACGATAGATTTAATGATATATCTTTCTTGTCCTTCTTCAACAACCTTTTCTGTAATTAATGTATCACCTTTTCCATCTTCATCTATTGCACGTTTAGCTTCTGGTGTTAAAAATAAATATTTAAATCCTTTATCTGGTGATTCTTCATTATTCCAAGCAACTTGAAATAAAGGTATCAATTCTTCAGCAACACCAATTCTAGCTCCAGAATTTGCAGATAAATAAATTCTTGGAATTCCTTTACTTCTAGCAAGATCTGTACATTTATTGAAATATATATCTTCTTCAGGACCAAAAGAACCAATTTTATGAGTAATATCATTAGCAACAATAACAAATTGACGACCTCTTGGATATTCAGGTGTTTTAGCAGTAACTAAAAATCCAACCATACCTATTTTGTTTAAACCTGGATCTCTTTCTAAAGCAGTTAAACCACCATTATCATCTGATATTAATTCAACTGATAAAAACACATCTTTTGGAGCCTTTTTACCATGTTTTTTCCATTGAGACAAAGTTGCTTGACGAAACAATTCAGGGAAATCATAAACATATGTGGTACCCATATTATGAGCTTTATATCTTTTTGGTTGTAATGACTCTTTAACAGGATAAGTTGATGATATTGATCTCAAATGCATTGGACCTGGTTGACCAATTGATTTAAATACCCAATCACCCTTTGTATTTTTAACTTCCATATATAAATCTGATTTAACAACATATCCTGAAACATTATTAATAATTGCACGTAATGGGAATGAATTTCCATTCTGATCAGCACATACTATTCTTATTTCTGCACCAGTAACTCTTAATCTCCATAACCTTCTACCAAATCTTTCTAAAAATGAACCAAATGCAGCTTCAACTTCAGCCGGTTGAACATTAAATACATTCGAAAAGTTGATGAAAATATGATTTAAATCTGAATTTGATGTATCCATTACTTCTAAAGCATCTAAAATATCACTCATTAATCTATTTGATTCAGCAATTAAATATTCAGATATACTAATATCATTTTTGATTATACCAGTTCTTATTATACCTCTAGTAAAATACCTTTTATCAGATGGTGCATTTTTACCAATTGCTTCATACACATGAATATTTCTATTATTTGTAAAAATAGGTTTAATATCAAAATTTGCTAATCTTCCTAGTTCCAATTGAAAAGCTAATGCAGGTTCAATATGTCTAATGATTTTATTTTCCAAATAATCTGGTCCAGTAAATGTATAATATTTAGGATATGAACCAATGTCATGAGCAAAAACAAATGATACACGACGTATGCCTGCTTTTCTCAAATCTTCTTGATATTCTTCCAATATTTCATAAACTCTAGCCAAATATTCGTCTTCACTTACATAACCATCTATATTATTAATGACAACATTTAAAACATTTAACAATTCAGTTTGATCTTTACCTGTTTCAAATACAATAGCATCACTTGGATTTAAATTTTCTAATGCAGCACTCAACATGTCATCAGCGTCATCAAGGTGTTTACATGGTACTAATAACCCAGTTCTTTCAAGGTGTTCTGTTTTAGCATCCACAATAAATGATAAATCTGATACCGAAGCAGCATGTTTCATAGCAGTGGCATCTTCTTCTGTAGTTTGTTGAATAGCATTAAATCTTGAGTTTGTTGTATTTGGTAGTTTAAATTTCCATTCAATGATTGGTAAACGCTCATGAAAATGATATTCTATTTTACCTAATTCGTAAGCACGATAAGAACGTCTTACGTATACTTCAGCAGCGGCGATTGCAACCCATTCATCATTATTAACAAAAAATTGTGATAACACATCAAATACAGTATGTTTTGAATCAACTACTTCTTGTATAATTTCCAACTTAGGTTCTCTATGTTTAGCATAAATTTCACCATAAGAAGTCTCTAAAACTGCCGATCGTAAGATATGTTCCAACTGATCTGATCTTTCTTTAATTGATGGTAATGAACATTGAATTAAAATTTCTCGAGCTTTTAAAGCAACTTTAGCACAAGCTCTTGAATCTAATTGAACTAATTTTTTGAGGGCTTCTTTAATAGATGGTGCAATTGATGAATTCGATTGTAATAATGGCAGATACTCTTCTAATATTGCTAAGACTAAATTATTTTTGGCTGATACTCTTGAATGTGATAATGAAATATCAATAACTTTTTTCAAATCTGTTTTATATTCATCTCTTAACTTTAAAATAACATCATCTTCACGAACATTATCACCAACAAATAAACTTTCAACATCATAATATTCAGTAAGTAAAGAAGCAAAAAAATCATATTCATGTTCAATAACACCATTTTGATATCTTGTAGCAATTGTAACTAATGGAGCAACAACATCTTCCAATAATGGCAGATCAGCAACAAATTTATTAATATGTTTCAAAATTTGTCGAGCTGGGAAATCAGCATTTCTAGATTGAGTTCTTTCAATTAATGCAACTAATAAATCATCTAATTTTGATGGAATTCTTGAATGTAATGCTGAGATTTGTTGTTGCCATTCCGAAAATGGAAGTTCTTTTGATTTTAAAACATTAACAATTTTTTTAAGAGTTGAATTCATGATGACTTGATTATCATAACCAGCTAAAATGTTTTTTAAAATTGAAGTATAATGATGAAACTTATGAGCTGGTTTGGATCCTCTTACGTTTGGTTCCCCTAATTCTGGTAATGTTCCTTCAAATGGTTTAGCATGCTTTACTTTACTTGGGTCATCTAATGCCAAAATTGCTAAAATGTCACCAGCATTAACAGTTGAACCAGGTTGTTTTATCAATTGCACTATACCATTTTCTTGAGCAATTAAAGGCATACACATCTTCATAACTTCAACTTCAGCATAAGGTTGACCAGCATCAACATGTTCACCACTTTCAAGTAAATATTTGACTAATTTACCAGGTGAAGGAGTTCTTAATTGAGTTGGATCATTTTCAATTTCTAATAAACAAGTTTTCCCATCAACTGATAATCTAGTAGCAGAAGCTTCCTCTTTCCAATATACTGCATGTGATTTACCACCTAAAGTACACAACAAACCACCATCAGATAATGATCTAGCACCGATTGTACATCTTGAACCATTTAAAAACAATGTATATTTATCATCTGATGATTTTGTAGCAGTAAACTTATACCTTTCACCTTCATAAATAAATTCAACTGGAAATATAGTTCTCAATAAATTTTTATGTGGAACTTGACCTTTTTCTAATGAATTAATATATTCTTTTCTTTCTTCTTCAGCTTGAATATGAGCTTTAGCAACAGCACCACATACAACAGCAATAATTGGATCAGGTCTTTCAGCTGTTAATTTTTTAGTTATTAATTCATCTAACCAACCTGTCGTAATAGTATTATCTTCAAAATCTGGGGTTTCCAATAATTTTATCAAATATTCAACAGTGGTTCTAAAATCTCCTCTAATACTTAATTCCTTCAATGCTACAACCATATGTTTTCTTGAAGCTTGACGATTCTCTCCAAATGCAAAAATATGACCAAATTGAGAATCTGAAAATGAATGAATAGATGACTGATTACCAACTGAAAAATAACCCCAAACATTTGATGATGATCTAAAATTTAATTCATGCAATGAACCACCACTTGGTTTAAAACCTTCACCTGGATCTTCAGAAGTAATACGACAAGCTGTACAATGACCTTTAGGAGTAGGTTTTCTTTGACTTTTCAAAGCATCATCAGTAGTAAATTCAAAATCAATTTCTGATGCTGAATGAGGATCAGCTCCATAAAGTGTTCTTATATCTCTGATTCTATGCATCGGTATTCCCATTGCAATTTGTAATTGAGCTGCAGGTAAATTAACTCCTGTAACCATTTCAGTTGTTGGATGTTCAACTTGTAATCTTGGATTCAATTCAAGAAAATAAAACTTGTCTTCCGAATGTGAATAAAGATATTCAACAGTACCAGCACTAACATAACCAACAAGTTTACCCAATCTGACAGCTGCATTCTCCATTTCTGTAAAAGTTTCCTTTTTAGCAATTGTAACTGGTGCTTCTTCAATAATTTTTTGATGTCTTCTTTGAACTGAACAATCTCTACCAAATAATGAAATATTTGTACCATATTGATCTGCTAATAATTGTACTTCCAAATGTCTTGCATCACCTGCTAATTTCATAATAAATATAGGCGAACCGGGTATTTCATTTGCTGCTTGATCATATAATCTTTTAAAATCTTCTTCATTATCAACTTTTCTAATACCTTTACCACCACCTCCTTCAGATGCTTTTATCATCACTGGAAATCCAATTTTCTTAGCTTTTTCCAAACCATCTTCGGGATCTGCACAACAACCTTTTGCATATACATCATCATCAACTGATACTAAATTTGTTTTTGAATCAACATGAACTTCATCAACACCTGTGCCTGACCAAGGTATACAAGGAACTTTAGCATGTTGAGCAACAATTGTTGAAGAAATTTTATCACCTAAAGATCTCATAGCAGATCCTGGTGGTCCAATAAAAATGATTTTTTTAGGTGAAGCAGCTAATTTTTCTGGTAATAAAGGATTTTCAGATGCATGACCCCAACCAGCCCAAACTGCATGAACATTTGTATTCTCTGCAGTATCAACAATTAAATCAACATTTGCATAGTTATTATTATTAGTTCCTCCTGGTACTTCAACATATTGATCTGCCATACGAATATATTCAGCATTTGCCTCTAGATCTTCTGGAGTTGCCATTACTGTAAATTGTATTGCTCTTTCATCTCCAAAAGTTTCATAAGCCCATTTTCTAATTGATCTTATTTCTTTAACTGCTGCTATACCATTATTGGCAATTAAAATTTTCGATATAACTGTATGACCACCATGACTACGTACAAATTCAAGTACTTTTGAAGGTTCACTAACATTTATATTGTTTAATCCAATAAAATGAGGTGCTAACAGTAAATGTTGTTGAGTTAATTGTGAATTTATAGTTGATAAACTTGGTGTAGGACTATTACTTGTTGACATTTGTGTTAAATTTGATATTAATTTGGGTTGTTTAATTGATCTTAAAAAGTTGTTAGTAAATATTGATAGAATTTTCCATTTCATATAATGTAGAGTTTTTCTTAATTGCTATTTAATCATTAAAATGTTTGTTCAAAATATTATGATGTATGAATTTTAGTTTGAATATTAGATTTCTTGTATACATTTTCTTCATTTGAAATATTTATTAAATGCCGCGTAAATCTTTAAAAAATAAAATTTGTAAATATTTAGGTTACTTTGCATCGGACTTTTTTTTTTATGTTTGACTCTCATTTTTAAAGCTGGCTCGGAGTATTTCAAATAGAATTTGTTGATTGAAGTAAATGAAAGAATGAATGACGACATTACTGGTATCATTGGTTGAATAAGTTGAGGAGTTTCATAATCTGATCCAACTCTTTTCTTCCATGTTCAATCATGTCCTATTTTCCATTACACAATTTCCGCTATGATCCGTTATATTTTGAAAAACTCATACGCTATACTCTTGAATTTGATAGAAACATACCTTAATGAAAATGTATTAAATTTTAATTTGATTAAATTGATGATTTTAAAGTTCTTAAACTTGACTTTGAGTAAAACTTGACGAAATTTGACCGCTATTTGATTCACTTTGTTATTGAAAATACAATCTTTGGTGGGACTATTTCTTCTCCAAATCAAGAATTATATTTGTATTGAATTTTCAAGTATTATTTGTAAACTCTTATCAATTGACTGTTTTAACGATTGAATGAATAAAATTAATGTTGAAGTAGAAAAATATAGAAATTACAATTGATATATATTTGATGTCTTATACTAAAAATAATAACAATAGTAAAATATAATAATAAAGAAATACGAAAGAAAGATCAAAAATATAGAACACAAAATTGCAACCATAAGATTTGTTGAGATTAATGAAAAACACTTTGTTATAACCAGAATTATCAAAACTAAATACCTACTCAAGCTTTAAGGTGTCTCAATTGAAACGGCAGTTCATTCTCGTACACAACTCCTTAGCATTCTATTTTGAAATTTGATAACGCAGTACTTCCAGCGTAAATGAATAATATGTTTATTTAAACCCTAAATAACACGATCCTTGATAACATCACCAATCTCAGAAGGGTGGTTTTATTAATACTTAAGTCCACTATCTTTTGAATGCGCAGTGAAAAGGAGAGATCGTCGTAGTAGATCTTACAAATGTAGGCTATAGAAAATGAAGAATTGGTAGTTCTCCCAACACTAAAAAAATGTTGTATGTTGGGTTTAGGTAATAGTAATAAAATTTTATAAAATCGGATAATTTAAAACATCTTACAAATTATTTTTATTTTTACATAGTAATTAAAATCTGCGTTTATATTGACGTCAATAAACTGAAAATTATAAATTTACTATTGATTCATAACTCTTATAGAAAGCTAGAGTAAGTACTATAATGAATTACTGTACATTGATTAGCATCTATAGTAAAGGTTGAAATTTTGGTAAAATGGGTGGTTCATTAAGCGAATTAATTTTATTTTCTGAAATATCAATACTGTTTGAAATAGGGAAAAATGGAGTTGTAAAGCTATTAGATGATGGATTAATTGTGGCACTTGGAATAGGCGGTGGTAAAAATATTTTATGATGTGGATTTGTATTTATAGTTGTTGACTCTGGTTTTGTATATCTTACGCTATTTGAATCTGATGTAAAAAATTGAATAGGTATAGTTGGTTTTGTTGAAATTTTAAATTCAATTTGAGAATTAGAAATATGAACTAATTTAAATGATTTTTCTAAATCTTGATCATTTTGTATTATCAGATCCCTAAATTTGATTTCTAATATGCAATTTGAATTTAATTTAAAAATATTCTTGATATTTTCTACAAATTCATAATATTTTGGAATAGCTGAATTTGAAAGTGGATAAAAAAATTCAACAGTTTCGTTTAAAAATTTAAGTTTGATACTTTTCTTATTAATCGGTGGTTCATTGGATGAATGTCTTGAAGATGTAGGAGATAACCTTACCGACATGATTGAATTTGAAGAAGAATCATAGTCTTGTTTTCTTTCATCTTGTAATTTCGTAGCAACTTCTGCTAATTTATTTAATGAAAAATTGTCATTTGATTCTATAGATGTTAAATTTTTATTGATTAATGGATATTCATCTAAAATAAAGCCATGAAATATCTCATTTAAAGGTTTCATTACTTCATCAAATCCAAAATCTATAGTAATAGCTCCTACCAAAGTATATAGTGAAATTACAGCAATTTCGTCATTCAATGTTTCTTTTATATTCAATGGATCTAGGTCACGCATTACTTTTGCCAAATATGCTTGCAGTGTTACTTTCATTCTGAGATATTCCAAAGACTGCAAGTTAAAAACATTGAAATATTTTTCAAAAATATATCCAATACAACTTGAAATTAATGAACTACCTAAAAATTGTAAGTTGTTAGATCGTAAATTGTCTAAAGTTCCATTACAAGTCTTTGATCTTTCAATTTTATTTAATAAATTCGTTTTAGCTAATTCAATTTGCTTTTTTGTTTCAAAAAATTCTTGATTAGTTGGTCTAGGTTTAATTATATTTTGTATTGTATTATTAGCGTGATCGTTTGTTGAAAACTTTTTAGATTTATTATAATTAACATCATAAATATCATCATCACTTCTAACAATTTCAGATAAGAATCCATCTTCTTCCTTTTTCGTAGATCCAGGTTGGATTTTCCCATTTGAATTCATTTTTTTCCTTTTATTTTCTTCTTCCATTTCTCTTCTTATAGTTCTTTTCCTATTTCTTCTAACAGATTGTATACCAGCTTGAACTAATTTTCTAAAATCTTCCTTATAAATACTATCATAACCATATTCAGCCCTTAAAGTTTCTGCAACTCTTTTAATTTGTAAATCTTGTTCACTAGCTTTAAATTTTTCTAAATTCAAATGATCAATTAATTCTAATCTTCTGGCACTAAATTTTTTCCAAACTCTATCATCTAGGAAATTTAATTTTTGTCTTATTGATTGGGTTACTCCTATTTTCGAGGAACTATCGGTATGATTAGGTGAGTTTGTTTTAGTTGTTGTATCGGTTGTTGTATTGGTTGTTGAATTGGTTGTTGAATTGGTTGTTGTCAAATTTGATTTAGTTATCGTTGTAGACATTATAGAAAATCTTGCGAATTTATTTCCATTCTATTATATTAACAATGAAGGTTGAACTTCTTAATAATAGTTGAATCTACTACTTTTAGTTGTCGTAGATAGTTGAAATAAATATGATAAATTTAAAGTGTGTTGATTGATTAATAATAACAATTAATATAAATATAAATATTATTATAAGTCAATAGTCATATAGGTGATTCACATTTTCTATTATTAAATTTTTATTTTTTCTCTTGTGTATGGAATCACACTTAAAATAACATATCTCCATGCGGCAACAAAAAATTAATTGCCGTCTAAGTTAAATCCATTGTTGAGGTACGGAGTTTGAATTTGAAACATTACTAATTAATACCATTGATACCACCGATAATTTCTATTAAGAAGATTACAAACCATACCGATTACCCCAGGTTTTGCAAGTATCTAAGAGTCTTTTTAAGCTCATATCAAAACTATCAATTGAACTTTAAATTGTATGTTCTTTCTAATTTGCAACTTTTCGCATAGGAATCTGAGAGAAATGATAAACTTTATGAAATTACTATCAATGGAGATCCAGAAAGTAGACAATCATGAGATATTATTTTAATCTATAGCATTTGAAGATAAATCTTCGAAGTAGATTGATTTCTCGTTTCATCATGTCTTTTTGAAAGGATGTAGCATTTGATCAAGGTCGGAATTAACAACAAGTGTCTTTCATATCAGCCGAGTGTCTCACTTAATAGTTTCAAGACTTTGACTCAAAAGTAGTGCATTAGCTTCAAAACATTACTACATTAGGTTAAGCGCGATAGAGTCATTTTCAATTGATTCAATTTTGAAAAATTTTATATTTGAAATTTAATTCACCCTTTTTTCTCATCATATTATCATTCTTACCACAGTTAAATCAATTCAATTAAGCATCAAATAATATAAAATGTCAAAAGGAAAAGTTTGTTTAGCATATAGTGGAGGATTAGACACTTCGGTCATTTTAGCTTGGTTATTAGAACAAGGATATGAAGTCATTGCATTTTTAGCTAATATTGGTCAAGAAGAAGATTTTGAGGCAGCTGAAAAAAAAGCATTAGCAATTGGTGCTACAAAATTTGTTGTTGTTGATGTCAGAAAAGAATTTGTTGAAAAAGTTTGTTTCCCAGCAATTCAAGCTAATGCAGTTTATGAAAATGTTTATTTATTGGGTACATCTTTAGCTAGACCAGTCATTGCACAAGCCCAAATCAAAGTAGCTGAAGAAAATGGATGTTTTGCAGTAAGTCATGGATGTACTGGTAAAGGAAATGATCAAGTTAGATTTGAATTAAGTTTTTATGCTTTGAAACCAGATGTTGTTGTTATTGCACCATGGAGAGATCCTGAATTTTTTAATAGATTTGCTGGAAGAAATGATTTATTAGATTATGCTGCTAGTAAAAATATTCCAGTTGCTCAAACTAAAGCTAAACCATGGTCGACCGATGAAAACTTGGCTCATATATCGTTCGAAGCTGGTATATTAGAAAATCCAGATACAACTCCACCAAAAGATATGTGGAAATTAACTATTGATCCAACTGATGCTCCAAATAAACCAGAATCTTTTTCAGTTGTATTTGAAAAAGGTATACCAGTTAAATTAGTATTAGATGACCAAAAGAGAACAATAACTGACCCAGTTGAATTATTCACAGAGGCTAATGCTTTAGCTAGAAGAAATGGTGTTGGTAGAATCGATATTGTCGAAAATAGATTTATTGGTATCAAATCTAGAGGTTGTTATGAAACTCCAGGTTTGACTATTTTAAGATCCACTCATATTGATTTAGAAGGTTTGACTTTAGACAGAGAAGTTAGAGCCATTAGAGATCAATTTGTTACCCCAACTTGGGCAAGAATTTTATATAATGGTATGTATTTCACTCCAGAAGGTGAATATGTCAGATCAATGATCCCACCATCACAAATAACTGTTAATGGTGTTGTTAGAGCTGCTTGTTATAAAGGTTCATTAACTATATTAGGTAGATCATCAGAAACCGAAAAATTATATGATGAAACTGAATCATCTATGGATGAATTAACTGGTTTCTCACCAGAAGATACTTCAGGATTCATTGCTGTTCAAGCCATTAGGATTAAAAAATACGGTGAAGCTGCAAGAGAAAAAGGAACACCATTGGATTTATAGAAAACTCTTGCAATTTAGCTGTATTGGATATTTCTTTGATAATTTTAGTTTAATATATTTTGATCGTGTGATTTATAAAAATGAGCGGTTAATTGTAAGAGATTAATTTTTTGTGCTCTGATCCGAAATAGACTACTCGATATTTGTTTCAAATTCAATCAAAAGTTTAAGAAGAGGATACTGTCGCCCAATGAGTCTGAAGATGATTAGATTAAAGCCAACAATACGGCTATGTAAAAGATCCATATCTATATCCACTGAGGTAGAGAATTGCCAACAGATTCAATTCCTACAAGAGTATAAAATTAGAACAATGTTGGAACAACCAATTATACATTATTCCAAAAAAGAACTACCTCGATTCTCCTTAAATCATCTATATCATCAATCAGAAAAACTATCATCAAGCTTTATACTACAAAATGCAAGGGAAACAATAGAGCATTTGCTAATATATAACGCGAGAAGATTGAAAGAATTTCGAAAGTTACCTTATCTTGTGGTACTAAATCCATCAATATCGGAAAGCTATGATACTTATTTACAATCCATGAGCTCGTTATTGAAAGCGAGTCTATATACGCCACATACTTTGGAAGAAAATACCATTCTAGCAAATGATGTACTTTCAAAATTTATTAGTATTCATGCAGATACATTACCAAGCTTGTCGAAGGGATTTGGAGAAGTGAGTAACTTGTTAACAACAAAGCAGATTACACAATTTTTGGATAATCATTTGCATGAGAGAATTAGTATGAGATTGATAGCACATCAACATATTGAACTAACGAAAACAATAAATGATCCTGATAAGTTTGTGAAAGGTGGGAAGTATAATGGAGTTGTAAAATTATTATACTTACCAGATGTCATTAAAAAAAATGCTGAAGTAGTGAATGATATCACAATGATGAAATATGATCAATCTGTTCCTATCAAGATAGACACGAATTTGAGGGCAGTATATTGGAGTCAAAAAGACCCTTCTGAAACAAGTAAAGAAAATCATTTATATTTCCCATATATTGAGTATCACCTTGATTATATCTTTATGGAATTATTTAAAAATTCATTTCGAGCTCATATAGAGAATAAAGTTACGGATCCTGTCGCAATAACCGTGTCTGTGTCTCAGGATTCTCCAAAATTCATGGAAATTAGAATTAGAGATAAAGGTAAAGGAATATCTCAAAATACTTTGAACCACATTTTTGATTATTCTTTTACTACATTTGAGAGTAATGAGGGAGAGAGTTTCAAAACATTAAATGTACCACCAGAACAACTTGGTGGTGGTAATACAGTTGCAGGAATGGGATTTGGACTACCTTTAGCTAAACAATATATTGAAATATTTAATGAAACCGTTAATGAACGTGATGAGACAAAAGGTCTGTTGACTGTTCAAACTTATCCAAGTTGGGGTACGGACGTATATTTGAAAACTGTAGGATATTAGTTGGTTTCCATAGATTCAAATATATAACCATTTAATGGTTCAATAATCTCTTCTCATTTATTACACAAAATCTCTCAAATGTCTAATCCACAAAAAAATTTATCAACAACTGAGAAGAAAAAGTAATTACTGAAAACACGAAATTTTCAACTAGCTATCATCTTACTTCATTCAAGAAGATATCTTCAACAACACAGGGCTAATCATAGCTCCTCACATTCCTTTTGAATTTTGCTTTGTTTTTTTTTTCACTTTTTAATTCTGTATTAATATTGGGTCCCATTTTTTATTCATTATCATTCATTATTTATTTTGTTTTGGCATAGATATATATATCAATTAGGTTTCAAATTATTATTAAAAAATATTCATGGGGATGGTCGATTTTTACATTGTTCTTCATATATGCACAACATGCGATGATTCAAATACTTATGTCACCAAGGACTCTACTGAATTAGTAGCATTGTCTTGGTCAACTATAGATGTTACGACGTTAGAAGTTGTATTTGAAAAAACGATTTTAGTTCGTCCAACAAATACTCCTATCACACCATTTTGTACTCAGCAAAACAAGTTGAGTTGGGAACATGTTCGTAACGCAGGGTCTTTTAAAGATGCCATATCTGAATATGACATATATGTAAACAAAGAGTTAAAGGATAAGGAATTTTTGATAATTAGTAATGACAGTTCATTATTAAGAGTTCAATTACCACGGGAAGCAAGGGATAAAGGTGTCGTATTACCACCATACCTACAACATCCAAAATTGTTCGATTTATGTGCAGAATATTCTAAGTGGCATGCTAGTCATCCAGAGGCTTTATCATATACAGCATCATCAATTTCTAATATGGTCACAGCTTTGGAAGTTGAAAGGGATGAAGTAGATAATTTAACACCAGAAAAATCTTTACAACTATACACTAAATTAGTCGTTCAATTGATCAAAAAATCGTTACCGATTGAGTCACATTCTAACGTTTTCACTCAACCACAAGATATTGCTGAGGATGTTAAAGCATTTGTTGCCGAAAGATCAAAAATTTTGTATCTTTCAAATTTACCTATCGATACCACTCAGTCAGAATTAGAATATTGGTTCACTCAATATGGAGGAAGACCAGTTGCATTTTGGACTTTGAAAAATAATGATAGCAAAAGTACTAATGGATTTGCTGTATTTGGAACTCATGAAGAAGCTACAGAATCTTTATCAATGAATGGTAAAGCATTGAACAATAGAGCTGTCGAAGTCCAACCATCATCGACAAAAGTTTTAGATAAAGCTAGTGATTTATTGACACCATTTCCTCCATCCAAAAATAGACCAAGACCGGGTGATTGGACATGTCCTTCTTGTGGCTTTTCAAACTTTCAGAGAAGAACTCATTGTTTCAGGTGTTCATTTCCGGCCTCTAGTGCTGCTGCTATACAAGAGTCGATCTATTCAAATGGTAGAAGAATGGATTCAACATCTAAGCAACAACAGCAAACCCAACAACCACCTCAACAACAGCAACAAGTAATTCAACCACAACAACAGCAACAACAACAAATTCAACCACAACTCCAGCAAAATTCAATTCGTTCTTCCTTGCAGCAACAACAACAATATTCTCAACACTCCCAACCTCAAACGCATATTCAAACTCAGACTCAATCTCAACCTCAATCTAATTCTCAACCACACCAACTGCAACAGGAACGAAATTTTAATGGAGTACCATTCAGAGCCGGAGATTGGAAATGTGAACTTTGCATGTACCACAATTTTGCTAAAAATTTATGTTGTTTGAAATGTAGCGCGTCAAAACCGTTGGTAAACTATAATCAAGCTAACAATTTACATGCAGTAAATTCAACAGCTGCTGCGATTGCTGCTGCAACGGCAAGTGGCCAACCTTTGAATTTGAGTAATAATTTTTTAAATCTCCAACAGCAACTGCCTCAATTTCAACAACAAAGACAGAGAAATTTGAATGTGTACAGAAATTCAAGTACTCCTAATGTCTATCAATCACAACAAAACCAACAACACCCTCAATATAACCAGCAGCAACAACAACACCAATTACAGACAGGTCACCCTCAAGTTTTCCAACAAGTACAGCAGCAACAACAACAAAAGTCGTATCCACAGCAGCATCAACAATTGCAATCCCAATTGTATCAATCACCATTAAGTCAAATGAATAATTTTCAAAATGGTAACGCATCAATCCAATTTTTGGATCAAATTAGATATCAAAGCCATTCACCGGCAATTTACAATCAAAAAGTTTCTTTGAGAGACAAAATGAATTCATCAAATCTTAATTTTTAATTAATCGGAGTTTTTTTGTTTGCATTTCACACATAAGTGTAATTATTTTCTCATTTGTTTTACAATTTTTTTTTCTAAAGTGTAATTGATTTTAGGGTCGGGGAGTTAGACCAATACATTATAGGGACAGCATAATAGTTTTATGGTCGAGTGATGTAAAAGTAAAATAGGTTGTGTTTTTTTATTCACGGTATGTAAATTGTTCAATTTATAATATATAATTTTTGAAACATGTTTCTGAATTTAATTTCGTATTATTCTCTTTTGAGTATATTTTTTTTCCAAGATCTTAAATATTATTGACACGTAAAAATAGAACACTAAACACACTTCATTCCAAGTGAACTTCAAAGCATATTTCAATACTAATTATGACCACTAATAAATACTCGGTCATTTTACCAACATACAATGAAAGAAGAAATTTACCAATTCTTATATACTTATTAAATAAAACATTCACCGAAAATAAATTAAATTGGGAAGTAGTTATAGTTGATGACAATTCTCCTGATGGAACTCAAGAAATAGCTAAAAAATTAATTGACATATATGGTGCAGAACATATTCAATTGAGACCAAGAGCTGGAAAATTAGGATTAGGTACAGCTTATGTACATGGATTACAATTCGTTACAGGTAATTTTGTTATAATTATGGATGCTGATTTTAGTCATCATCCAGAAGCAATACCCGAATTTATAGCTAAACAAAAGACTGAAGATTATGATATAGTCACAGGTACAAGATACGCAGGTGATGGAGGAGTATATGGTTGGGATTTTAAAAGAAAATTAATTTCAAGAGGTGCTAATTTCTTAGCTACAGTTGTATTAAGACCAAATGTAAGTGATTTGACAGGAAGTTTTAGACTCTATAAGACTCAAGTATTGAAAAAAATCATTGATGTAACTAAATCTAAAGGTTACGTATTTCAAATGGAAATGATGGTTAGGGCTAGAAGTTTAGGATTTACAGTTGGTGAAGTACCAATTAGTTTTGTTGATAGATTATATGGTGAAAGTAAATTAGGTGGTGATGAAATTGTACAATATGCTAAAGGTGTTTGGACTTTATTTACTAGTGTTTAAGTATGGATAAGTAGTTAATAAATTTTAATATCAATGAATGTTTGTAAAGAACGCGCTATTGTAATAATTTTCTGAAATATTTTTGATAATCTCGAAACAACTTCACTACCACACACACATATAATGGCCAAAGATACATACCTCAAAAAAGTTTTAGGATGTCTGAATTTTGAAAAGATTCGAACCGAAAAAGTTTTAATGGTTGGAGCAGGAGGAATAGGATGTGAATTATTGAAAGACTTAGTATTAACTGGATATGGAGAAATACATATAATAGATTTAGATACAATCACATTATCAAACTTAAATCGTCAATTTTTATTTAGAAAAACAGATATAGATAAGTCAAAGTCTTTGACAGTTAAAAAGGCAGTGGAATCTTTCAATTATCTTGGTACCAAATTAGTTTCACATCATGGAAATATTATGGATAAAACTCAATTTCCCTTGGAGTGGTGGGAACAATTTAGTTGTATTTATAATGCTTTAGATAATATTGAAGCAAGGAAATATGTTAATAAAATGTGTTTATTTTTGAGAAAACCGTTAATGGAATGTGGAACAGAAGGATATCAAGGTCATGTAAATCCAATATTTCCATATTACAGTTCATGTTTTGATTGTGAACAACACACAGCTCCGAAAACTTATCCAGTTTGTACCATCAGATCTACACCTTCATTACCAGTACATTGCATCACATGGGCGAAAGAATTTTTATTTCATCAATTGTTTGACGAAAGCGAAGGTGATAATGAAAGTAAACTAAACGATTCTAAGGCTATTGAAAATGAAACTGATAATAATGAGGAGATTGAAAATTTAGCCAAAGAAGCAAACGAATTGATGGAGCTACGTGAAAAAATTAAAAACTCAAATGATTTTGTTGAAAGTTTAATTGAAAAAATCTTTAAAGTTGATATTGAAAGATTATTGTTGATTGATACTTTATGGACAACTAGAGAAAAACCGACTCCTTTGGATCTCACAAAAGATGGTAAAGGTTTATATGAATTATTGAAAGACGATTCAAATGAGAAAATATTATTAAAGGATCAAAAGACTTGGTCGGTACTTGAAAACTTATACGCGTTGTACAAATCAAGTTCAAGGCTACAGTCAAGACTAAAAAGCGGAGAACCATTTGTGTCTTTTGATAAAGATGATGAAGATACGTTAGTGTTTGTTGCAGCTGCCTCAAATTTAAGATCACACATTTTCAATATTCCAACTAAATCAAAGTTTGATATTAAGGAAATAGCTGGTAATATTATCCCAGCCATTGCCACGACGAATGCAATCATAGCTGGGTTTTCAGCAGTTTCTGGTTTAAACGTTCATCAATCAAACACGGATATTGCAGAACTTGCGAGAACTTCAAGTATAATGCATACTTGCCTCAAACCAAAACAATACATAACACACGCTCCAGTGGACATACCAAACCCCAACTGTGCGGCATGTTCATTAGTGTCTAGAGGAATTTTCAATATTAACAAAAATGATTATGAAACATTAACTTTAAGTTGGCTTGTTGAACAATTAGTCAAATTATATAAATTTTCCGAAGAAGATATTTCTATACAAGTTGGGCTATCTAAGTTAATCTACGATATTGATTTTGATGATTATTTGAACACAAAATTATCAAAAGTTCCAGGTTTTAAACCTACTGAAATTATTTTAATTCAAGATGATTCAGATGAGTTGGAAAATCTTGAGTTATATCTAAATGTTGGAGATGAAGTCGAAACAAAATTACCGGAAATAAAATTACGAGCCAAAAGAAAACCAAGTGAAAATTCTAATGTTTCAGGAAATGATGAGCCAGAGCTAGAAGATGGATTGGAGGTTATAGAAGGTGATTTGGATGACGAGCAAGTCATTGAAATCATTGATGCACCAGAAGAAGTTAACGAAGAACCACCAACAAAGAAAAGGAAGGTTATATAGTCTAGTATTTTAAATGTAAGTAGTTCCTTAACGACTGATATTATACATTATAAGGTCATGTGACTTCCTTATAATTTCATTCTGTTATTTTTTCTCGTGTTATTTAATCCAAATTACTTAGTATTATATTTTTTAGTATTACAATCAAAAGAATTATAATAAATTTTAATTTTATTGCTTAGTTTGATTTAAAACATTAATTCACTCACTAACTACAATCAATTGATACTGTTGTTTAAATAGAAGATTATCATGTCGTGGCAAGCATATACTGACAATTTGATTGGAACAGGAAAACTTGATAAAGCAGCATTATATTCAAGAGCAGGCGATTCATTGTGGGCTCAATCAGGTTCTTTTGAATTACAACCCAAAGAAATATCAGAAATTGCTAGAGGATTTGACGATGCCTCAGGATTACAAAGTCATGGATTGCATGCTCAAGGTCAAAAATATTTTTTGTTAAGAAATGATGACAGATCAATTTATGGAAAACATGAAGCTGAAGGTTTAATTTGCGTTAGAACTAAACAAACTATTTTAATAGCTCATTATGGTAATGGAGTACAACCTGGTGAAGCTACTACTATCGTTGAAAAATTAGCAGATTATTTGATTAGTACTGGATTCTAAACAAATTTTACAATTTATTTTGCAATCTTTAAGATTTTTTAATACAAGCATGATAAAGCATATTAAGTTTAATAGTTGGGTATAGTAATTTACTTTAATGGATAGAGATTGCTATTCGTATAAAGATACTTCTTTACTGATTTCTTGAATTTGGAATTAAGATAGATAGTGTTAAACACTTTGGAGTTTGACACAGAATCTAAGAAATTGACTTTAAGTAAATATAATGCGATCTTGAATCTTCTAACTTCGTTCAAAGTCAAATTGACTAGCTCAAAGTATTTTCGAAATCATAATCGTTTTCAAATTTATTTTTGCCAATTAGTTCCGTACTCTCGAGTTTCTTACATCATTTGAGAGATTGGAAAGTACAGCTCTTCTCTTACCTCATGAACGTCTCAACAAGGAATCAATTCTTAAGTTAATAAGAGTACTTATTTTGCAACTTAAATTTTCAATAGAAACTGAGAAAAGTATTGTAAAAAGGTCTGGACGCGAATTTAGATCTATGAGATCATCAAAATTTTTTATTTTGCAGCAATTGAATTTTTGATCACAACAAATAAGATCAAATTGAGCCTACACTTTATATATAAAACAGGCCCTCTTGACCCGCTTTGGATTATCAAAACTCAACCCGAAAGTCGAGCTTAGCAACGTTTTAATCTTTGTACAATATAATCTTTGTACAACTTCTTGATACGTCTCATCCTAACCTAAGTTGATTCGAACTCGCACATTCTTTATTATGTGGAAGTTTCAATCTTTAAGTACGATTAATCCGACTTATCTATCTACTACTAGTTTACTTTTTTTAAAGTGAATGGTAATTAAAAATTGAAAGCAACTACTTTATTATATTATATCTTGGTATAAAAAAATTGAAAAGAAAGAAATGAAAAAAGAAATGAAAAATTAAATTAAAAAGAAAAATACTTTTCAGAATATAAATTGACTTGAGAAGATCAGATCTTATTGACTCAATATATTTTCATTTCAGTCTGTCCAGGACTTGATTTGGACTAGACCAACCAATTAACTTATCATCATCCACATACTTGACAAGATAAATTATTTCTAACGAGGATACGATCAACTTACAAACTTCCATTAATTTTATTATTGCACACTATAGCTTTCGATACCCACATCTATAAATGATTAATCCACAAATGATGAAACATTTTCCAACAAGTAGCTTCCTATTGATTGGTCCAATATTTGTTCTAACTACTGACTTCATAATCACCAGGTTTTCAGGAGGAAGTGGTGCAGCTAAGAAAATAGCAAAAACGACTACTTCTGGTAGTTCTCCGTCGGCAATGAGTAGGAGTGGTTCATATAATCCTAATGCTTATAGATCTAGTTGGGTTCAACAATGGGAAGATCTGAAAAAGTAGTTACGCATAAGAGGGGAGAAAAACGAAGAAGAGGAAAAGAATTATTTCATGTATTTAGATAAATTATTTAAAGCTGGTCTTTGAATGATCGATTCGGGTTTTTAGTTTGATAAAAAATATATACAGGGTTTTTTAGTGTTAATACGCAAGACACTTATGTTTCATGACCTCTTGTTCTTGACTGGTTCATCTAAAGTAATTAAAATTTTGCAATCTTGATTCCTGCATATAACTTTACAACTTCTACGCATATACAATTTTGTTAGTATGATTTTTTTCACCTATTTTTTTATTGGTTTAGAACGAGAGAATCAGATATCATAAATCAACAAACCAATTCAACAACCAATTCAATAGACAAGTACATCGTACATTCTTTCGTCATCCATAGTCATCAACTTTTCCGTTCAATTAATCATTAGAACTATCCGATATAGCACAAACTGTCTAGCATTTTATTTTATTTCCCCAATTCCATATTTCATTTTAAATTATATTCATACAGTAATGTTTTCTAGAATAAGCACATCCAAACAGGCTATCGCTTCAATTACCAGGAAACATATAAAATTGGACTCATACAAAAGATACAATTCATCCCATAGCCAACATGACCATCATCATTCACCAAAAGAAGAAAAACCATTTGAAATAACAATAACTAAAATATTTGGAATAGCTGCCATATTAGGAGGTTTGTTGATGTACAGATCCAAAGATAAAACAGATGAACCTCTTTTTAAACTGGGATTATTTGAACAAGAAACGAATGGAGCAAGAAGTCATTTAAGAGATCAAGCTTTTGAAAATAGATATAAAATTGGATTTATAAAAACATTTATATTAGATAATGAAGGTTTGGGAAATCAAATGTACAGAAGAACTAGTGGTGAAGAAATTTTGAATAATAATTTAATTGGTGCACATTCTCCTTTTGGACAACAATATGGTGCTGGTATTAAACTAAATGATTTAAGTTCCAGAAGACCTAGAATTGAAAGATTTGCTCCACTTGAAAGTAAATAATTGAGTAGCTTACTTGAAGGGGAAAGATTTGAATGAGAAGTTTTAAGGCATATTTATTTGAAGTGTTTGACGAACATGTAGGTATATTAAGTTTCACTCTGTTAAAATTGAGCTGGATGAAGAGGAGAATGCCCATTTTACGCATGGTAAATAGAGGTTTTGAACACCACAAACTCGCTTCGAAAGTAATATTATATATTAATTATAATTGGGGGATGAACTATAAAGAACTCAATTAATTGATGTATAGCCAGCTTTCAATCAGTTCTACTATGATATTGGCTTCTTGATTAATTTGCAGTAGTATTAGCTTTTACAGTAATATCTTTTTTAAATCTATCCAATCTATTTTGATGATCTTGAATAAATTTAATAACTTTTCTTCTATTTTCTCTCAAAATTTCATTACCAGTAACATCAATACTATCTAATTTCATTAATTCTTTCAATAACATTTCATCAAAATATTTGAATTTAGTTTCAATATCATCAGTTGATAATTTTTTGTAATTTTCTATATAATTATCAATTTCTGGTACATATTCAGATTCAACATAATCTAAAATTTCTTGAATTTCTTTATTAGCCTTTTGAGCTTTTGATACTCTCTTTTTAGGTTTCTTTGTAGATTTAACTCCTTTTTCTTCTGATTTAGTTGAATTTGAAGAAGTGGATTTCGTTGATGTTGAAGTATTAGAAGAACCTATTATTTTCCCAAAGACAAATAAAGTAGTTAATGAAATTAAAGTTAAAGTTATAGTTATCGGATTGATTCTTAAATTTTTAAAATCATCTATAATAGTGTCATAATTTGAATTTTGTAAATTTTGAAAATGTTGATGGAAATGTGATTGAATTTCATTTAAATTTGTTGGAACTTTTGATTTGATTAATTCGATATAATAGTGAATATCTTCAGCTGTAGTTGGGAATTGAGACTTCAATTGATCCATTTTGGCTCGTGTTTATGTTATGGTGGTGGTAGTTCGTTGAATAGTTAATGGCTGAATATCAATACCTTGTTAATGTTGATGTCGAAAAGATTATTTTGTTTTTTCAGTAATGAATGAAATTTTGTGCAATGATTTCTGTCACTACTTTTTTCACAATCATTGCTTTGAAATTTGTAATTTTTTGAATTTCCAAATATTATGATAAAATTGCAATATCAGTCATGAAGAGTAATACTTTAACTTAATCTGTTTGATTAGAATTTTACGAAGTATGAAATATCTGAAATGCTAAAAATTCTTACAAAATCACTAATAGACTCAGTCATTATACGAGTAAATTGAAACGTATTCTCAAATTTAATGGCAACTTAGGAAACTTGACTTTAGACTTTAAAATTAATGTACAAACGTAATTTTTAGTAATATTCTGGAGAAATCATTGAGATCTAACTTTTGGCTATCAACTTATCAGATAGACTTGAGTGTCAGTTACCTCCCGTTTTTAATTATTTTCGTAAATATGTTTAGTAGTTAGCCGTTTCGTTGATGTTTGTTGCAAAAACTCATAAAAACTAACTTAATTACAATACACAAATTTTGCAGAAATCAGGCGGAGCTAGCTAGTATATCTAATAATAACAAGTATGTTTTTCCTACATTTCTTATAGTCTTAGTTGATTTTATCTCTATTCTTTTGCAACAATTCGTTTTATGATAATATTACCATACATTTTGTGAAACATAATTTACGAGGAATTATTATTTTTGATTGAAAAGATGAGAGCATTAAGTAATTAAATCTTTTGAGAATTCACGATTTCATCTGAATGGCCTTTGCATTTGGTTTCACTAACGAAGAACTAAGTGACGATGATGCTGAATCATCTTCAACAAGATTTAACTCAAGCACTCCGGCATCAAAATCGATAAACTATAAACTTGATACATATAAAGTTGAAGAAGAGCATCTACCTAAGGTGCATACCTTAGAAAGTATTTTAAAATCGTTAGAAGGCGTCAGGATAACATTCGACTATCACAAAACTACCAATGACAATATAATATATAGAAGAGACCTATTTGATGTCAAGCATCAAATCATGATGGAGGATTGTGATGATAAATTGGATTCCAAAGTAGTTATCAAAGATGAAATTAAAAACATAGTAATTGAGAAAAATGATTCGGATGTACAAAGAAATATCTACGAAGGTGGGTTTAAAAGTTGGGAATGTTCTTATGACACAATTGATGAAATTGGTAAACTTATGAACCAATATTCGGGTTCAACTGGTTTTTCTTTGAATATTTTGAATAGTTCGACTTTGGATTTAGGATGTGGGACATCATTACCTTCGTGTTATATATTAATGAAAAAATTTGAAACTAAATGTGAAAAATCAATGAAGCTAATACTATCTGATTTCAATTACGATGTTTTAAGATTAGTCACTGTTCCAAATCTAATTATAAATTGGGCATCCACTTTACCGTCTGAAGATTTGCAAAGATTGACAACAGATGAAATAAACTCTAGATTTGAGGCAAATGAATTATTTATCACCACTAATTTAATAAATGAGTTTTTAAAACAATTGAAAGACTCAAACACCGAAATCAAACTAATTTCAGGCTCATGGGGTAAAGAATTTAATGACTTGGTTTCAAAATACCACATAAATTTTATCATAAGTTCTGAGACAATATATTCGACAGTTACCTTACCAATAGTTGCAGAATCAATTAAAATTATACTAAGTGACTCAGCTACATTCTTTAAAAATAATGGGAAAACCTTTATGTGTTTATTAGCTGCTAAAAATATTTATTTTGGAGTTGGTGGTTCCATTGTTGAATTTTTAAGCCATTTCAAATCAATCAGTGATTCAAAGTTTAAAGTAGAAGTCAAAGAAATTCATGATTCTCAATTGAAAAGGTCTTTAGTTTTAATAGAATACTGTCCTTAAATCAATACGAAAATTTTACACCAAATCCAATTTGTACCGTTTTTATGGGTAACTCATAACCGGTCAATAAGACTAAGTCTGCAACTTCATTTGGTCAATTATGCACCTTTCCATCAAAATGAAGTAGACTATATTTTATATGGCGTGATTTTTTAAAATCGTTTTCGCCAATTTGCACGAGCTTCAAGAGGTATACGGATGGAAAATGAAGCAAATAGGTAGAAGTAAGGACTAACTAGTGGTTTTTAAAATCCTTTAATTATAATAAAGAAGGTTTAGACCAATTTTCTTGTTGTAGATTCCATCATTTCTTACATAAGTCATTCTAAAATATTCAATCCCATCAACCGGTTAGTTCAGCCTGTATTTAAAATATATTCAGTTCTGAGTTGAATCGTACAAACCAAGATTGAGCTCCGTTACGATCTATACTCTGATTATACCCAAAAAACAAACAGATCGTCTAAAAATTATTGACAGAGTGAGTCTAGTGATCTTAAAAATATTGCATTTGTTGTATCCTAGTGTAAGTTCATTTGTAGCTAATACTTAACCTTTTGCAAATAATGATAGAGTAAACAACAGCTCTAAGTTTAACCGAAGAACTCAACTAATCAATTTCCAAACATATACTCTATCAATAGTCATCCCCCTGTTCATTTGTAATTGCATAGAAGCTGGATGTTAAAAGGTAGTTCCCTTACCAAAATATTTTCCATACTTAACAAAATATAATCCAATCAAAATTATATAAGATGAATTTTTTTTTTGCTAATAGAGAATCAATAAGTTAAAAATTATATCAGTTTTAAAATATAACAACAACGTCATAACATACCATATCAACCATTGATCACTACAGATTTAATTTCAATTCTCTCTAATTACAATCCCTTCCACAAGTTCATAAGACTCATCATTAAATCACTTATTTTTAGAACATTATTCATCCGACATATTCATTCCTAATTATTAAATAAACAATATAAAAAATGTCTTCACAAATCTTCATTAAATCATTAACCAGACAATCAATCAGATTCAATAGTACAGTAGCAAAATCAACACCAAGAGCACTTTCAAATGCTTATGTTGGAAATTTAGAAACAAGATGGGTTGCATTACCAAAAGAAGATCAACAATCAATCATAGAAGAATTAAAAACAAGAATGGAATTGCCATGGTCTGAATTAACAAATGCTGAAAAACAAGCAGCTTATTATATATCCTTTGGAGAATGGGGACCAAGAAGACCTTTATATGCTCCAGGAGAGAAATCACAAATATTTTGGATAGTGTTTGGTTCTGTTATTGGAAGTATTGCATTATTTGCAGGACTTAGATCTTTAGCTGCTCCAGCTCCACATACTTTCAGCAGAGAATGGCAAGAGGCTTCCGATGAATACTTGAAATCTAAGAATGCTAATCCTTTTACTGGTTATTCACAAATTCAATAATTTATTTAATAGTTTTTTATTTTCTTTAGTATATTTAAATGAAGAATTAGGAAATTAATATTTATGTCGTTAAGAAATAAATGATTTTAATAAGATAATGATTATAATCATTTTGTTGTAGGTGCTTTTACTTTTTTTCTTTTTGAACTTGGTAAATTGACCTTATTATATTTTCACTACAAACATTGGACTGACTGATCAACCTCTATAAAATCTCTTAACACCAGTTTCTTAAAGTATTAGCTCCAGCTCGCACCACCAGCTTCATTTTCCAATTGATTGATTTGTTGCAAAAGTTTCAGCTTAGCAATTTCTTGTTGGTTCAAAACATAATTTAAATGATTCATATAAACAACAGACTTATTTAAAATAGTTGATTTATTGGGTTTCGTTTCTTTTACTTTTATTGATCCAATTAAATCCAGCAAATCTTGCGAATCTATATTTTGTTGTCTCTGTAGAGTTTGTACTGCACTTAATTGAGGATTCAATAATGATGGTGGTACTATGATACCTAGTTCTTTTATTTTTTCTTTTATAAGGTCTCTTCGTCTTCTTTCAACTGCGTTGTGGAATTCTCTTCTTCTTTTTAATTTCTCTTCCTTCGATAATTGCTTTGTAGGTATGTTTGCGGTCGAGGATGTTTGGGAGGTAGTGTTTGTTTCTCGGGTTTGTTTGGATGACGTAGGAACAGATGTACTTAATATAGATTGTTGTGAAGGTGGTGGTGATAACGATGACCAAGTTTCTTGCTTTATAAACGGTTGATTCGGTATTGAAGAACTAACTTGGGGTATTTGTGAAACTGAAGTTGATGTTGCTGGTTGATTCAAGTTCAAATGTTGGATCCTTTGACTATTGTACGTTGGAGGTGAATTCAAATACGAGCCACTATTGAAATCAGGCGATTGGTAAGACGATGGATTCAATTGAGGTGAAATGTATGAATTTGATTGAGGTATGGGATTTTTGTTGTAAGATGGCCCACTTATACTTCCAGGTCTTGATAACTCTGTTGGACTATAAACATTACTATAAGTGTTTTGCAAATTATCATTACCATTGTCTTCCGCTATTGATCTTAATGAATTGAAATGGTTACCAGATCTTGTCGGAGGTGAGAAATATTGTGGATTCAAAAATGAATTTTCGTCATAATTTTTACCCGGTGATATCAATTCATCCAAATTTGCAGAATTCATATATGGTTGGGAATTTGATAAACCTCGTAATGGAGGTGATAATGGTTGAGGGGATAGACTTTCTCTGAAATTATTATTGCTAGTTCCACTATGAGTGACGTGTAATTGAGGACCTAGTATAGCTTGAGAAAAAGCCATATCGTCTAAGAAAGGTTCACTTGTAAAAGAACCAGGATTTGAACCTGCAAAATTTGAGTCTAATTGAGATTGTTGCAGTTGTGTTTGATGATTTTGTATTTGATTAGCATTTTGATTATTCGAATTTGTTGACAGTTGTCTTTGCTGCAGCTCAATTGGAAAACTATTGGGACTTAAATAATCATTTTCTGATAATTGAGTTTTAGAATTTAAACCGGATTCGCTTGTATCAAAATTACTTAAACTGCTATTGAAAAAGTTTCCATCATTATTATTTGTATAATTTTGATCACTAGCTGTGTTGATATTATTACCTGAATAATCTAGATTTAAGGAATAATCATTTTGTGCTCCCGTATAATTACTTTTAGCTCCCTCATTGTAATCATTTTCAAATGATTGTGAATTAAGTAGCTTGTTATCATTTGTTGCACTGTATGTAAAGTTGGGAAGATTCTGATCGTCCAGTTGCGTGTTGAAATTATCATCATTATTATTGCCTGAGTGAAAATTTGAATCATCGTCAAAAGTGCTAAAGTCCGATGGACTATCTTTTAAGAATTGTTCCATGTCTCGTGAATTTTACCTGTAGTATTGAATGCTTTTAGCTCGAGTCGAAAGTGCAAACTTGGTACCTGTGAATAATGGAGGAAATTTAAAAATGTCTTTTCTTTATAAAGGGATTTAACGGATAATGGTGTCTAGTTATGAAAGTATCCTAACAAATTTCAGTCCAATTGAGTTCAGTTAAAACGCTTGTAAGTAAATTAATGTATGATGTTAATAATGAAGTTTTAATTGATACTCGATAGTGTTAAAATGTGCCAATCTATTAAATGGCACTTAATAGTTTAAGTTATCAATAAGTTGTAAATATATTTTTTTATATAATTAATTATTTTGTTTTCCTTTTTCTGTAAATAGATTTGTTTATTTGTGTAACAATTTATTATGGAGATAAAATCATTGCCTTTCTAAATTTTGAGTCTACCATTACACTGAACCTTCATCAGTCATTTACGTATTTGATCAATTAATTGTCAAGTAATCATACACTATCAGTCTTGGACGCATCAGCTTTTAAAGTCAAACTTTTAAATTTTAAAACGATGTCAACTGAATCAGAGAATATATTTAGACAGTCATTTCGAAATTGGAATGACAGAACTTCTTCAACAATAAATAATAATAACACAACTAGTGGTAATCGACCTATTTTATCAGAATGGACTGATTATTTCAAAACAGGAGCAAATGATTTATATCAAAGATTACCGACATCAATACAAGATTTAAATAATCCTAATTCAACTCAACGACAAGAACCTTCATGGTTTCAATTATCAAGAATAGAAAGATTGATAGGATTTGGTTGTTGTTTGTCTGCGTCAATTTTATGTTTTGTCATATGCTTTTTCATGTTCCCTGTGTTAGCATTAAGACCTAGGAAGTTTGGTTTATTATGGACTGGCGGGTCAGTATTATTTGTTGTATCGTTCGGAGTACTTCAAGGTCCCTATGAATATATACGACACTTGTTATCAAAAGATAGAATTATTTTCACTACTGTGTTCTTCACATCAATATTTTTAACAATTTATTCCAGTGTTATATTAAAAAGTAGTATTTTGACTATTTTTACAAGTATAATCGAAATATTAGCAGTAGCTTATTATACGGTTAGTTACTTCCCATTTGGTGCAAGTACTTTAACATTTTTTACGAGTTACATAGTGGGATATATAGGAGGATTAATAGGAGGTATTTTATAAAGACTTTCAATAAATTAAATTTTTTGAATCATACATTCAATTAAACATTTACTTACTTAAAACAACGTCACATCATACTCTCATCATATCATCAACCTTAAAAATCGTTTGTTCGCTTAGCTTCATTCTCTTTTATCTTAATCAAACTTTATAACTTTTCACTATCTAATTTAGCTAATTCCTCTTTCAATTCTTCATGTAATTTACCCAATTTAGCAAAATCAGTTTCTTGTGCAGGCCAACCAACTTCCAAACCTTCTTTATCATTTGGTTTAGGAATTAAATGGAAGTGAACATGATCAACCAATTGATGAGCAATTCGACCGTTATTTTGTAATACATTATAACCTTCTCCTTCAGGTGAATTATTTTCATCCAATTTTAAAACTTTTGTTAATTTTTTAACAACAGGTAATAAATCACTCAAATATTCATCTGGTATATTGTGTAATTTTGCTCCATGATACTTAGGAATTATCAAAACATGGCCTTTTGAAGTTGGTTGGATATCCAAAAATGAATAAGTTTTTGGAGTTTCAATTAATTTGAAAGATGGTATTTCACCTTTAATAATTTTACAAAAAATACAACTTGCATTTGAGGACATTGTTGGATTAGTTTTTATAAATTTAATGGTTTAGTTGACCAATTGATATGTTGCAACTTCGTTTTAAGAAAAAAAGTGGTTTAAGACTTCTTTCACAATTAAAATCACCTATCAATAATAATTTTCTCCACAGAGAATTCACGCCGCTATCACTTCCGAAAATGATAAGTTGAAGTAATATAGAGTTTGATAACCCGGCGTGTACTTGATCTACAACATGAGAGACAGACTACTCCATTTTCAATCAATTGAATTTAGATCTAACAGGGGCCAGTGTCTAATAAACTAGATCTATATATTTATGAGAATGTAAATCGTTATTAGTTGTGCTAAGAGTTTAATTTGAGTCCCTGTTTAATAAAGTATAGCTATACGTATTTAATATGATATTGCAACAGAATAGTCTCCAGTTTACTGTTGCTAACTTCCCTCTAACGCTCTAACGCTTGCTAACTCTTTATTGATTACCTCACTCATTAATTTCTAATATTTGTGTTTGAACAACGTATCTGAAATTAATTCGTTCAAAGGTTAAGTATTATTATTATTATTGTGCAACAAAATTTCTAAATATTTTTTCGATCGATAAAATCAATTTTAAATTTGCCATCAATTACAACACACAATATATTTAATTCATTATTTTTCATTCACTTGTATAATATTTTTATCATACGACCTAAAGCAATTCATTAAAGTATGACAGGTGAAGAGGATAAAAAGACTCATTTCGATGCATCTGGTTCATCTGCAATTGATGATAAAACAGCCACTGCAATTTTAAGGAGGAAAAAGAAAGATAATGCATTAGTTGTTGACGATGCAACTAATGATGATAATTCTGTCATAACCATGTCATCAAATACAATGGAATTATTACAATTATTTCGAGGTGATACAGTTTTGGTTAAAGGTAAGAAAAGAAAGGATACTGTTTTAATTGTCTTAGCTGATGATGATATGGAAGATGGTGTTGCAAGAGTTAATCGTTGTGTAAGAAATAATTTAAGAGTCAGGTTAGGAGATATTATTACTGTACATCCATGTCCTGATATCAAATATGCAAACAGAATTTCTGTATTACCAATTGCTGATACTGTTGAAGGTATTACTGGGTCATTATTTGATTTATATTTAAAACCATATTTCGTTGAAGCTTATAGACCAGTTAGAAAAGGAGATTATTTCACAGTTAGAGGAGGTATGAGACAAGTAGAATTCAAAGTTGTTGAAGTTGATCCAGAAGAAATAGCTATAGTAGCTCAAGATACAATCATACATTGTGAAGGTGAACCAATTAATCGTGAAGATGAAGAAAATAATATGAATGAAGTTGGTTATGATGACATTGGAGGTTGTAAAAAACAAATGGCTCAAATTAGGGAATTGGTTGAATTACCATTAAGACACCCACAATTGTTCAAATCCATAGGTATTAAACCACCAAAAGGAATATTGATGTACGGTCCACCTGGTACAGGTAAAACTATAATGGCTAGAGCTGTTGCAAATGAAACCGGTGCTTTTTTCTTTTTGATTAATGGTCCAGAAATCATGTCAAAAATGGCAGGTGAATCGGAATCTAATTTAAGAAAAGCTTTCGAAGAAGCAGAAAAAAATTCACCTTCAATTATATTCATTGATGAAATTGATTCAATTGCCCCAAAAAGAGACAAAACTAATGGTGAAGTTGAAAGAAGAGTTGTTTCCCAATTGTTGACACTTATGGATGGTATGAAAGCTAGAGCGAATGTTGTTGTTATTGCTGCAACAAATAGACCTAATTCAATTGATCCAGCTTTAAGAAGATTTGGTAGATTTGATAGAGAAGTTGATATTGGAGTACCAGATGCTGAAGGTCGTTTAGAAATTTTGAGAATTCACACCAAGAATATGAAATTAGCTGATGATGTTGATTTAGAAGCAATTGCTTCAGAAACCCATGGTTTTGTTGGTGCTGATGTAGCTTCATTATGTTCCGAAGCCGCTATGCAACAAATTCGTGAAAAAATGGATCTTATTGACTTAGAAGAAGAAACTATTGATACAGAAGTTTTAAATTCTTTAGGTGTCACTCAAGAAAATTTCAGATTTGCTTTAGGTAATTCAAATCCATCTGCCTTACGTGAAACCGTTGTTGAAAATGTTAATGTTACTTGGGATGACATTGGTGGTTTAGACAACATCAAGAACGAATTGAAAGAAACAGTCGAATATCCAGTCTTACATCCAGATCAATATCAAAAATTCGGGTTGGCTCCAACAAAAGGTGTTTTATTCTTTGGACCACCTGGTACTGGTAAAACTTTATTAGCAAAAGCTGTAGCAACTGAAGTTAGTGCAAATTTTATTAGTGTCAAAGGACCAGAATTATTGAGTATGTGGTATGGTGAATCTGAATCAAATATCCGTGATATTTTTGATAAAGCTAGAGCTGCAGCACCAACTGTTGTATTCTTGGATGAATTGGATTCAATTGCTAAAGCAAGAGGAGGTTCTCATGGTGATGCTGGTGGTGCTTCTGATAGAGTTGTTAACCAATTGTTAACCGAAATGGACGGTATGAATGCCAAGAAGAATGTTTTCGTTATTGGTGCTACTAATAGACCTGATCAAATTGATCCAGCATTATTAAGACCTGGAAGATTGGATCAATTGATTTATGTTCCATTACCAGATGAAGCTGCAAGATTATCTATTTTACAAGCTCAATTAAGAAATACTCCATTAGAACCTGGTTTGGATTTGAAAGAAATTGCGAAAATCACTCATGGTTTTTCTGGTGCTGATTTATCATACATTGTTCAAAGATCAGCCAAATTTGCTATCAAAGATTCAATTGAAGCACAAGTTAAGTTGAATAAAATCAAGGAAGAAAAAACTACTGAAGTTAAAACCGAAGATGTTGATATGAAAGAAGTTGAAGTTGATGTAGAAGAGGAAGATCCTGTTCCATACATCACAAGATCACACTTTGAAGAAGCTATGAAAACTGCCAAGAGATCTGTATCAGATGCTGAATTACGTCGTTACGAAGCTTATGCTCAACAATTACAAGCTTCAAGAGGTCAATTCACCAATTTTAGATTCAATGAAAATGGAGCATCATCAGCTGCTGATGGTGGTGCCAGTACAGGAGGTGCAGCATTTGGAAATGTTGAAGAAGAAGATGATTTATACAGTTGATTCTTATAAATAATAATAATAATAGTTATTAAATAAATTCTATATACTTGAATACTCTATTACTCTCAAAAAGAGGTGAATCTAGATTTTATAAGCAGATTCATCAACTCCATCCATCTTTTTAGGTAATCGAACAGCAACTCCAATCGGGAAAATTTGTACATTATTCAAATCCCATATTCCCTCTCTGGCATAAATGTCCTTTTTCAAAAAGTCATAGATTTCGTCTTTAGAATTTGCAACTAAATGGAATGAACTTCCAGCGAATTTCGACTTCGATTCATCAGTATAGATTGCGCCAGCTGATCTTATAGGGTTAGGGACATTAGCAGGTATATCTTTCACATGTTGTGGACGAACTTTTGATCTGTCTGCATTTGGAACATCAAAGACTGTGACTAAATATTCTTGAGACATTTTGGGGATTGTTTGAGTGAATTGTCTTTTGGTTGACAATGAAATGAGTGAATGTAAAGTGAATTTAGATGTTAATGAGTTGAACATATAAAGTTCCGAAGTAAAAAGTGTGGATTTAGGGTATTTAAGGTACGATTCGTTTTGTTCAACGTAATTTTTTGTCGCGGGGAATTGACTAAGCGAGATTTTCAAATTTCCTTCAAACAGAGTAAAATATAGAAACATAGTTGATCAAGAATTTACTTTATGTTAGCCCTAACTCAATATTACTATATATACAAAAGAATATATCACACTAACCCTAAATCTTTTTCAATCATAGATCTGCAAATTGGATGATAGAACTCTTTATGCTTATTGAATTGTTCTACAGCAAATTCTAAACTTATACCATTCTTCAAAACTTTATAACCAGGACGTGCATACTTCATTCTACCCGTGACTGAAAGCCAATTACTAAAATCTTTGACTAATTGATCAGTAGATTGATAATCACCATGCATTATTAATAGTTCATTCCATGGTGATAGTATTTCTCCATTTTTACTTGCTGCATATGTCGGATAAATAGATGGGAATTTTTTGATCAACTCCGGAGGAACATCTAAATTTTTAAATTTTTCAACAAGATATTCTATGAACAACATATCTTGTTCACCTTGATATGAATCAAGATCCTCTTCTTTAAAAGGGATGTTGTCGAAATTTTGTGAGGTTTTGATATACTCAACCCATTTATTACCATATGAGTAAACTTGATCAGCTAAAGTTGTATCCATATATGGTTTCTCCGGTAACCCAGACACGAATAATTCTTTGTCCCAATTGATTGTATCCAATACATCTTTTTTACCTCTAGGTTCATAAAACTCATACAAAGTTTCAACAAACAGTGAAGTATTCAATGATTGGTATCTGTATTTTTCAAAATAGTACTTAATAAAGTGATCAAATTCTTTTTTACCACCAACCTTATTCTCCAATTGAAATAGGAAAAAGAACCCTTTCTCGTATGGAATTCTTGAAAAAGCATCATCTGGATCTTGACCTTTTAAGTTCCATACTAATTTTGTGAAATCTGGATTGAATGTTTCACAAGTTTCAACTAAAGCATTCCAACCTCCAATAATATCAAAATGTCTAATTTGTTCTCCAATTTGTTCTGCTTCTTCATCAGATTTTCCAGCAAGTTTAGCTTCTTGAGCTCCTATAGCTCCAACAATTCGTCTTTCTAAATAAACAGTCCAACCTTCATTCAACCAGAAATGTTCCCATGAAGTATTGGTCACTAAATTCCCCGACCAAGAATGGGCTAGTTCATGTGCCATAACTTTAGTTTGAGTACGATCACCACTAATTAAAGTTGGTGTCAATTGGGTCATATTTGGAATCTCCATTCCTCCATATGGGAAACTAGATGGCAAAACTAAAGAATCAAATCTTTTCCATTCATATTCAAACACTAATGACTCTGCTATTTGTAAATAATTTTCCATATCTTTTTCAAATTCCCATTGACAATTTTTCAAATTTGGTTTTTCACAATAAACATCAGATCTTGGTCCAATTGGAGCTTTGAATAAATTCCCCGAGGTAATAGAAACTAGATAGGATGGTATAGGGATTGGTTGATCAAAATAGTAAGTATTAGGTTCATTTGAAGGTTGAGGTCTCCCCGACATGGTTACTTTAGTTGGTGATTTTCCAATAAATTTATAAGGAGACTTGACACCAGGGGTATCGAAACAAGGAAACAAACTTCTTGCATGGATCGCTTGACATTGTGAAAATACATATGGACCAGTATCACCTTGAATAAATTGTATTGCTGTACATTTATCAGTAGTTTGAAATTCGATATCAACTTTTAATGAAGTTGCGGTGGGTAACGGTATAATTAAAGCTGAACCATATATTGGAACAGGATTTGATAATTTGAATGACACTTTTGACCCATTGACTATTACTGATTTTATTGTTAATGCCCTTGTATCGAGAATAAGTTCATCAATATTTGTCAAATTAGTTAAGTCGTATTTCACTAATCCATCGATAGTCTTTGAATTAAATGAGACATCTAAAGTTAATTCTGTATGATTTACCTTGAAATTTTTGTAATTAGACTGAGTAGTTGGATCTAGATCATGAGACCTTTCGTTGATCTTTTGTATCAACTTCTTTGTAGAAGTAGATAAGCTCATGGCTACAAGCTTTTTCTAACTGAATTCTTTTTTTACTTTAATTTAATGGAATAAATATTTTGAAAAGACAAATCGAATTAATTTTTAGCGCCGATTTGTCCCTTTTTAATGCAGTGTTTTTTTATTGTTTATGCGGCAAACCGTACCTTTCGGTTCCATTGTTCTAGCTAGTTACAAATTTGCAGTCGTTTATACCACAAAACTCATTTCATACCTCATTGAGGTCTAATTTATTCTAAATTTTTGTGATAGGTGATGCCATGACATAAAACGGCATAATATTATATTTCCTCAAGATTCTTAGTTAAAACAGAGCGAGCTCATATAGAATCTACCACGTCTACAATGTTTTCAATGTTATTTATTCATCAAGTCTGTACATTCATCAACATCATTCTCTATTTACATTACTTTAAACAGCGCTTTCACCTTTGGCATGACCCTTCTTCTTCTTTTCTCTTTTCGTGCTTGCCTCAGCAACCAACGCTTCAAAAACCTTAGCTTCTTCGTCTTCTGCTTCTGTTCTGGTCACAGAAACAAAAATTTCACCTATTAGTCTTAACGCTTTAGCTCTTGCAATTCTTTGCTCATTTGTGATTTCTTCATCCTCTAGTACTTGATCACAAACAGCTCTTAATGTACCTTGAATTTCAAACTTAGATCCATTCCAAGCTGCAGCTAAAACTTTTGCTAATAGATATTGTTCCATTTCAGCTAAATCTTCTGCTGTATGTTTTGTAGGTTCAACTACATCTTTGTCAGCCTTATCTATTTTGTTTGACTCATTTATTGTAGATTCAGTTCCTTGTTCTTGAGATTCTTCTTCTACTTTATTTTTCTGTTTTTGAAGTTTTTCCAATTGAGATTCTTCTTCTACTTTATTTTTCTGTTTTTGAAGTTTTTCCAATTCTTCTTCTAGTTTATTTTTTTCCTCATCAGCTTTTGCCTTTGCTTCATCCGCTTCCTTTTTAAGATGATACTCATTATCCTGTTGCATCTTAGCATATTCTTCCATCGTACGTTGAGCATCTAAAGCTGCACTAACAGTTCTAAATGTATCTTTCACTACACCTCCCTTCTCCTTAACGGACCACCATAAACCTCCCCAACCAAAAAATGTTTGATTTTTTAAAAATATTTTCGACTTGCTTTTGTAAACAAGTCCTATTGTATGTAAAATGTCTAAACCAAAACTTTCCATTTTTAAAGATTCAGCTTCATATCTTATCTTTGATTTAAATGATTCAATAACATCGTCTTTCATATCTGTTTCTGTAACTAATGATAATTTCTCAATTAATGTCTTAGCTAATTTATTTCTGGTCTCAATCTTCTTCAACCTACATTCTTCTTCAAATTTCTCCAATTCTTCTTTTCTCTTTTTCTCTTCCACTTCTTTATAAGTTGCTTCGTCATGACTTTGATGTGATAAAAATTTTTGATCTTTATTTATAGGATCGGTAGATTTGTATTCATAAGTAGATTTGGATGATGCTTCTTCGGTTTTCTGATCTTTTCCCTTATCGTCTGGTTTTTCTTCTGATAATTCAGCTGATTTCGTTATTTCACTAATTAAACTTAATTCTCCAATCCAATCCTTAAATGCCTCTCCTCCAAATATCATTGAAAAGAATTCAGCAGGGTCTTCAAAGCCTTCTTTTGGTATTGATTCTTGTATTCCATATTTATCATACTTTGATCGTAAATTGTCATCACTTAAAACTTGATAAGCTTGACCAACTTCTTGAAATTTTGCTGCTGCTGTAGGATCATCTGGATTTTTATCTGGATGTAATCTGATAGCTTGTTTTCTGTATGCCTTCTTGATTTCGAGTGATGTGGCTGTAACTTCAATATTTAGTAAATCGTAATAAGTTGTGTCTACTACCATTTTTAGATGTGGTTGCAATTCGTCTATCTTTATGAGTCTATTATGAGTTTATAGCTATGGTATCAAATGAGATGGATTTGCAAAATCTTTATATAATTGAATTTCTAGGATTATTGATTTAGCAATGAAAGCAGTAGTTACTTGGATTGCAATGATGTAATATGGTTGTTCCTTTGATATGCTTTTTATAACTTTAATTAAAATTATCACAGCTTTGATTTTGGGTAATAACTATGACTACCAAATGCAGTCTGATGAAATCTTGTGAACACTATCCTAGATCTACTATTTACAATAAGATGAAGAAAAAGATCATTATACTCTTTATTGTTCTCTATTTACAAAAATACATAATTAATCATTAGAGTAGTAAGCTTTTCTCAACTCAACAACATTTTTACCTCTATTTAAAGCTAACTCTTCAATTGTTTTTTGTTGAGTTAAAGCTTTAACAAAACCTTGAGCAACTAATACAGGATTTCTTGATTTATGAACTTTTCCTCTTAAATCTTTAATACCAGCTGCTTGACATATTTCAAATATATTACGATTACATCTTAATCCGAAACCCACTGGAGCAGATTTAAATTTCAAAGTTGTTGCATGATATTTCAATTCAATCAGTCCCAATATAGTTCTATTATCATATCTTTTTATAGGAGTTAAATTCTTTATTGCATTCCAATGAGCTTTTGTTGCTGCCGTACGTATACCATCTCTTGATTTTCCAATTCCTAATCCAATCATACCATTCTTATCACCAGCTACTGACATTACAAAAAAATTGGCAATATTACCCTTAGCAGTTTTTAAAGAAACTCTTTTCATAACTAATGGTCTAATGTATAAATTTCGTATACATCTTTCGTCTAATCCGGTTAATTGACTTAATTCTCTTGCTATTTGAAAAGGTGTTTTAATAGCCGTATTGGATTGAGCAGTATCATTTGGTGCTCTTGGTGCATTGGAAAATCGAATTTTTAAATCCCCACGATCAGCTGAATGTACCTGAGGAATTGCAGGATAAGGAGTACGTCCTAAACCTTGATTTGGATATAGTATTGGTTCTTCCCATTCTGGATCATTTCTTGAGTAATCAAAATTTTTATTTGTCGGAGCTATTTTAGATAATCCATCACGTCCTTGTAATTGTAAATTAAGATAATCTTTTGGTTCTACTACTGATTCTGCTATTTTAATGCTTTCTAGTATTTCTGGAGTGTAATATTTTTTGAGAAAATCCAAGTGATGAACTATAGTGGATTCTTTGAATACAGGAGATGAGGTATGTAGGAATTTTTGAAATGCCTGTATAGGTCGAAGGGTAGACCTGAACATGGTTTATTGTATGTTCTAGTGCTTATTCAAAACAGGAAGGTTTGTATGTATCAAAAAATTTTTCAAATTTTTGGTGCATAATTAATTTTATATGTCGCACCAAATTAGATCTTGACACATTATTTCAACGATCACCTGTGAGATAAACTATTGGGAATGTTTTGATTCAAGAAAGAGGTGGTACGTGTAGATGTAAATATAGGGGTAGAAGAACGCATTGTGAACATTTTATGCAAACTTGTAATAAATATTAAATTGAAATCAATCAGACATACACTCTATGTTTAGTCCATTATTCTTGACGTCCACCTTGAACCAAATAATCACAATTAAATTTAAGAAACTTATTTAGCTTTGCTGCTCTCTGTTTTCAACCCAGATTTAGTTAACTTTGGAGAAGCTTTTTCAGTTTCTAGAACTATACCATCATCATTAATTTCATCATTTTTCAAACCACCTTTTAAATCATCATAATTCTTAACATCTTCATCCAATACTTCTCCATTCTGATTGATTGAGCCATTAACTGGTTTGTTCAATGGCGAAAATTGTAATTTCTCATTCTCTTGTTGTAACTTACCAACTTCCCTTTTCAATTTATCAACTTCTTTTTCTAATCTTTTACCAAATACATCTATATACCAAGTTGCTCCATTATAACTTGCCCATATGAATATAAAACATACAAATGCTCCACATGCATGTTTATATCTGAACCAAATTGGACATGGCAACATTGTTAATAATTGATAACCAAATTGGATCAATGTGAATGCTAATGTTTGCATCCATAAATATGGCAAACCATTTACAAATTTACCTAATTTTGTTGATTTATTTTTATTTTTTAAATAAGAAAAAGAAGTTACTTTCCCTTTTTCAATTTGATCTTTTCTTTTAATGGTTATGAAATAATGATATGTTACTTGCCAAATTGTATAATATATAGATGTTATGACTAATGATGCTGCAAAATTCCAATTTGATATGGCCGCTATCCCAGGATATCTTTCTCGTATGTATTCTGGACTTAATTCATGAACCATGACAAACATTGTGATTGGTGGCATAACATGAATGAATGATGATGTAGTTTTTTCAACTGAATGTAAAACTAATGAATTTCTCCATGTTATAACTGCCCAAGATAATGTCCCCAAAGATAATGAAAATACAGAAACAAATAATGTAGGTGATTGAGGAAATACCCAAATGAATAACATCAATAACAAATTTACATAATAACATAAATCAGCCAAATAATATTGAAAACTTTGTTTGAAATATGTATAAAATCTTATAGGCATTAATACAATAAATAACCCAGTATGAAAATGTGGAAAATAATTTGGATATTTACCAATAACAAATCCAGCACAAGCTATTATAAATACACTTAAAGCATAAAATAATTTTTCAGTTGATGAACTTGTTAAATTTTTATGAATTCTTTCATCAAATTTTAAAAGTCTTTGATTTAAAATATCTTGTAATTTATCTAATTCAATATTTCCTTTTTTATTATATATATTAAACCTTTCTTTAGTTTTATTTTTCATACTATTCAATCTTTTTTTAGTTAAATCACTTACATTATTTAAATCTAATCCAAAATCAAAATCATTTGCAAACATTAATTTTGATAAATCTAAATATGGAATTGAAGCCGTTGAATCACTTCTCATTAATTGTGGAGAATGATTCAAAGATGAATAACTTGCATTTGAAGAAGTATATAAATTTTGATTGGTCAAGTTGGATTTTTCATCATCTTCATCATCTATAACAGCTGAATCTGCATTGTTGAAATTATTATTTGTTTGTGGAGATATTTCTTCTGTTAAACCAGGCAAAACAGGTTCACTTGCTACTTTTTTTGCCATTTAACTAGACGTTAAGAATAAATTCCTTAGTAAATAAAAATGATTATTATTGTTTGTAAATTTAATATAGTTATGTTAATAGTAACTCCTTTGATTTCGTTACTTATTTATGTGATGTTTTGATTATGAGATTTTATAAAAAAAGTGAGTTGCTAGTACAAAACCGAAATTTTATGTAGTTAAGTGGTAATAGTTGGGGTTGTTCAGGTGATTTATAAAATCGTGACGAATTAATGAAAATTATTTATAACAACAAAGTTAATTGACAAGTACACTGACTGAAGCTTAAGTAATTTGTAGTAGTAGTTGTATAAATGATGTTTTTGGTCTGCTAGTGATATAAAGAATGAATGATGTCAAGTCATTTAAAACAAAATAAAAAAAATAAATGATAAACAACGACACAAAATTGAACAAAAAGCACGTGTAAATTATTTCAAAAAAAAACTACCATGTTGCAAAAGGATTTTTGCAACTATAAATGATTTCAAAGTGTAAGCTTGTTTTACATAAAGGAATGGTCAATCGGGACAGAAAATAGCACCTCCACTGAAAAATTGACGAATATGATGTATATATACGATCTTTACTTAAACTTTGATTGAAAGATGGTGACCCTATTCAACGTCAGACAACATTCACCATATAAGTCTGAACACAATTCTTACATCGTGTGTAACTAAAAGAGTAAAAATACACTTAGTCTAAGCAAATAGTGCAACTAGATGGATTGAGAGATCGGAAATAAGTTAAAAAACAAATCTATGGATGTCATTTAAAACTTACATCTTTGTATTCAAAGAAACTATCAAAATCAGTATTTTCGACCTTAGCCTCTGCGTATGCAATATTCTACTAGTAACTAAACATTATGTCTTGTCATCATTGCTTGAGGAGTGTCGAATCAATTTCAATAATTCAATCCAACACTTATATAAATTAAAGTCATTCATTTTTGAAGTAAGTATTAAACCTAATTGTTTGAACCATAACACAGACTCTCACAGACTCTATCGTTTTATTGCGTCAAAATTGTACATTTTTTTGTTGTTTTTCCCATCAGATTTATATGGGTGTTTTTGATTATATAAATAAGTTTCTAAAATACATTTTTTAACATTATCAACACTTTGTTGATTTAATTGAAAATGACATGCTATTCTACCTCCCATTAACTTAATATTGTATTTTTGATGACCTAATTTTATTAATAATTTATCATCCATTTTATTTCTTTTAAGATCTATAAATACAAAGTTTGTATCTACTGGTGATTCCAAGATTATTCCATGTTGATTACAAAATTCACCAATTTGTTTTGCATAATTATGAGATTTTATTAATTTTTGTAAATTATTTTCAATTGCGTATATTGCCATTGATGTCATTATTCCACTTTGTCTTATACCTCCTCCATTTTGTTTTTTAAAATGATTTGCTTTTTTTATAAATTTTGAATCACCAACTAATATTGACCCCATTGGTGCTCCCAATGATTTAGATAAACATAAAGAAACTGAATCAAAAAATGAACAATATTCTTTTATCGTAATTCCTGTAGCTATAGATGCATTCCAAAGTCTTGCTCCATCACAATGTAATCTTATATCATTCATTTTACAAAATTCACTAATTTTTGCAATTTCTTGAATTGGCATAATTATTCCATGTAATGTATTTTCTAAACTTATGACTTTAGTAGGAGCAGCATGAATATCCCCATCATCTAAAGTCACGTTTTCCACAATATCTTCAAAAGTTAAATAATTTCCATTAGAGGGTATAACCGGGTGAACCATAGCTTGAGATAGTGATGCTAATCCATTTGCTTCATGGAGAAAGATATGAGATCTATAATCACAAAGTACAGAATATGGAGGTTGAAAAAGATTAGCTCTAATACCAATTTGATTTGACATTGTTCCAGAACTACAAAATAATGCAGATTCTTTACCAGTTATATCACACATTAATTTTTCTAATTTTAAAGTTGATTCATCTTCACCATAAACTGAATCTCCATATGTTGCATTTGTAAATCCGTGTTCTATCATTCCATAAGTTGGTGTTGTGAAAGTATCACTTCTAAATTCATTATAAGTTTGTGGGAATTCTTCTTCATCTTGAGTCATTTTTGATTAGTAGATATCGATGTGGTTGTTGCTAGTATTTCGGGGTTTTTCTAGTCTTTGATTATTAGATCTAATAATGATTGTTGCTAGTATTTCGGAGTTTTTTAAATAATTCGGAGTTTTTTAATTAACTTTAAAAACTAAATGTATGTAAAGATATATTGTAGAAACAACAAAGTCTTTCTTTATGCAAATGATTTAGTCAAGTTCTTTGTTAGTGAGGATGGTTATAAGAAGAAGATAGTAATGAAATAGGGATGAATCATAATTAATTTAAAAAGAATTACTCGTATTTAAGATTGAAGCAAAGTAAGAGATATTTTTATTTCTCAATAGGCATTTTTAACGGATAAAATTTAAGGGGAAAATAAGGGTAGGAAAAATATACCCACAACCAGAAGAAAAAAAAAGTAACTTTCGTAAAGGAGAGCGTGAATATATGATTGACTATAGCAATCATATAGCCAGAATTGATGGCAAACATTTGAGATAGTGTTGTTGTGTTAGAGGAGAAAACCTTTTAAAAAGTGTATGTTCTGGAGGGGTTTTCTAGTTTTAGTTAGCAAAACTCTCAAATGGTTAAAACATAAATAACGGTTTTTAAATTTCTTTTTTAAAATCTTCTTATGCCGTAAATTTAAGTCACACAAAAACCGTTTAGTTTCAAATTAGAGATGATGACACATTTTTATTATTAATAATTTATGAAAAGAAAAAGAAGGTTATTTAAAGCGAGTTTCATTTCAATTTGTTGTCATTAATATTTATGACAAACTTACAAATCACAATGTCTGGTTCATGTCTTAGCGTATACATTCCACTACTTTGAATCATATTAATTAACCTATAAATGTTTCTGAAAGGTCAATTGTCTAGATTTCAAAAACTACTATAAACCTTTGATCCTTTAATAGCCGATTATTCTTTTCTTAATTTAAACATTTCAGTTGGTAGCATTTCGACAATTCCGCGCGATTAGTTGGAATTAAATGAAATTAACGATTATTACCCTTCTTGTCCTCTAATAGCTTCAGATTTCGTTACTATCTTTCTTATTTGAAACATCACTTTGTTCAGCTACATTTGACGCCAATTGAGTAGAATTATCGAGGTTAGATTGTATATCTTTGAAATCATTTTGTAAAAAATTATTGTTTGTAATATTAATACCATCATTTTGACCAAAAAAATGATGATAATCTCTTGTTGGATTAGGAGATATGGTCGAATTATTATTGTTAATTCCCGTAGTGTTATTGGCATTGTTGTTGTTGGATTGACCGTGTAATGAATTCATAGAAAATAAATCATTTCTCCAAATTTGAGAATTATTTGAAATTGATCTCGTATGACCATTATTTGATTTTTCATCTAACCAAATACTTTGAGAAGATGGAGTCATTAAAAATCCTTTTGCTAAATTTGATGTACCGACATTATTATTTGGATTAGTATTATTAGCAGTTGATGTATTTGTAGGGGTTAAAAACTCGTTAAATGTTGATTGGTTTGGATTTGGATTTGTAGATGAAGATACTGTTGGTAATTGAGGATTCCAAACTTCTGAAAAAGATGATCCGGAATTATTATATCCAGTATGGTATAGTCTTGAATTGAAGTCGTTAGTTGGAGTTGACCTGAAATTATTGAACAACATTTCATTTTGCGGAGGTAATGGTGATGTTACTTTCGGTGGCTGTTGTAAATCTTGAGATGGTTGAGATTGTTGAGGTTGTTGAGGTAAATATTGATCATCGAAATTAAAGTTTTGAAATGTAGTATCGTTGACTAAACCAAGATTGTTTAAGTTTAATAAATTGTTAGGTAAAGTGGGTGAATTTAAACTCATGTCTATATTTCTTGATTGAGCTGCATTTATTTGCTCTAGACTGACATAAGGATGCTCGGTTTCAAATTGTGATTGATCTGGCAAATAATCATAGATTTGCAAAGGGTTAGTTGGTTGAGGAAGTATATTTTGTTGATCGTCAGTTTGGTATTGTGGGTATAATTGTGCCTGATTAAGTGCAGGTTGAGCGGAAACAGGTGATTGAGAAATGGTATCTTCGTTCTTTCCATACGTTTGTGCATAATAACTATGAAAGTTTGTACCTCCATTGCTTCCTGTTCTGTAGTCATCTATTGAATAATTGTTTTTCATTTGATTATTGTTGAATTTCGGTTTAGGCAAAGCATTACTATATCCACCAAATTCAATTGATGCTTGATATTCACTAAGTTTGACGGGTTGATAATTATCATCCCTACTTAATTTTGCTATTTCTAATGACTGATGTATTGATACAAATTTTTTGATTTCTGCTCTGAATGCATTTTTCCATTGATTCTCGAGTTCTTGATAATTATTGATTTCTTGCATGATTTCATCTTGCCATGAAGGAATCAATTGTGATATTCGAAGTAATGCATCGAATGAATTTTTGGTTAATGTCCCATCTTTGTTGAAAATTGAAGTATTGATGTTTGAGTTTGTATGAGCATTCGATGCTGGTAATGATGTTGAAGACCCATTTGGACCAGGGCTTGGTGATGGCGAATTTTCTGTTAAATGTATTTGATTGATGGTACTATTATTATTACCTGACAGGTTTAATAACTCTATTAATAATTTGAACTGGGAAAGTATGGATGTTAACTCTTTCTTTTCTAAAGTCAAATTTTTTATATTCTCATCAACCTTATCATATTCCGCTTTATTCTTTCGCATATTCTCCTTGATTTGATTTATTTCAACTTCCAACTTCAATTTTTCCTGCTCTTCCAACTCCGGCAAGCTCAAATTTCTCTCTTCCAATTTTTTGACTTTTAAGTCACTCTCCTTAAATTTGTTTTGATATAATGCTAATGAACTTTTGATACTATTTAATTGTGATATTAGTTTTGACTTTTGAAATGATAAGTTGTTTTTTGATTTCTCCAAAGATTTGACATCATGATCTTTCTTGTTCTTAGTGTCCGTCTCTTCTTCAAATTCATGTTTATAAAAATTCAAATCGTCTTGTAAATGTTTTTGTTCAAGTTGAGCTTGAGTTTGAAAATTTTTATACTCCAAATTTGCTTTCGTTAATTCATTCTGAGTTTTAATCAAGTACAAGTTTAACAACTTGGAATCGTCTATCTCTTTAATTTGATCAATAGATATGGTACTAGAATTCTCATCTTCTAAAGCTCCAATTTTTTGCAAATCTGATTCTTCAATGTCTAATGGTCTTACTATATCATTTTCCAAATTCTCCAAATTAATGATTTTCTCAATGTTGTCTCTATTAATGGTTTGTACAATCACAGGTTTGGATTTTGATTTGAAATTTGTGATAGAATTATTAGCAATTATTTCAATAGTATAAACTTGATTCGATGATAAATTTTTTAATTTACATGAAGAAGATGTAAGTGATGCAACTTCTTGACCATTTATCAATATTATATAGTACAAGTTTTCGTCATTAGTTTTCTCTATGTCCCAATGAATCACAACTGAAGTATCATTTATGGAATCAATACAAATATTTGGCATATGAGGAATCTCAATATTTAGATCTTCAATGATTTTTTCAACTGGGGTTTTCAATATCGTGTAAAACCGATATAGTAGCCAGCATATTGAGGGTATAACTGTGATGAGTATTTCGATCATAACGATAATATGAAATATCCTCTCTGTTATACTCCTTTATTATGTGGATGGTTGCAAATTTTATAATTTGTTTATTCTAATTTGCAAATAAAAATTGAAAAATTATTTTGTTTTTCTCTTACAAATTTTATCAATAAAATATTGATATGAGAAGTATTTCTGTCAAAATATAAAAAAACGTGACATTCATTTTAGACAAAGCTGAAACACTCAAGGTAGAGTTGCTCGTCCTTAATGGATATTTCACTCATAAAAGGTTCATGTATTAAAATCTATATTTCAAACTGTTTGATCATTGTCTTCAGCTTCAATCTCTTCTCCAATGGATATGCTTTTCGTAGTCTCTCTAACAAAAGTATAGTACACTCCTAAAAGAATTAAATTGAACAATCCCAACAAAAAGAATGGTCCTAAAATCCAGAAATCTGCTAAATATCCACCAACAAGAGTTATTATCATAATACCAATACCTCCACAAAAACTATAAAATCCACTCAATGAACCCATTATTTGATGAACATTAGATATGCCACTTAAAATACTCATACTACTTATTATCAATCCAATTTGAGAAAACCCAATTATACTGACAAATAAAAAACACACAATAGTTTTAGGATCATAATGTCTGAAATTAGTATTAACTAAACTAATTCCAAAATTACCCAAAGCTCCAATTGATCCTGAGATAGCTAATGTTCGATATTTTCCTACTTTTGAGTTATCAACTAAATAACCCCATAATGGAGCACTTATTAATGCAACCGTTTGAGCAACACCAGTCAAAATTGCTGAAAAAATGTAGCCTTCATAGCAAGTCATTTTACCTGCCCAATCGCCACTTCCATTCTCACATTCACCAATATTATAATACCAATCATAAACCATTAATGGAATGAACAATGAAGTAGCAACAGTGGTTGATCTTGCAACAAATGCACCTACATATGCTAATTGGGCTTGTTTGTTTGATTTTGAAAATTCAAATCCATCTTTTAATATGTGAAAATATGGTTTATTTTCTTCTCGAGTTTCCTCTTGTAACACTTTTGAATCTGGCTTGTATAGAAAGATATATAAGAATATTGCAGAAAATATTGCAAATCCCATTACTACCAAATAAGAATATTTTAAACTCCATTTCATATCAATATCTGGATTCCAATCTTGAAATCTTACTGGTAAAGTAACAAATGCTGAAACTGAAAAAATAGCACCTAAACCAGTTGCAATTCCCATTATGGCTGAATATTTCCCATTTTTCTTAAGATCAACTTGAGAATTATTATTCAAATTAATAGCTTCATAATCATTTTTTTTCCAAAATAATAATTTTTTCAATGTAAAATCGGAATAAGATAATTCGTTTAAAATAACAGTTACCATACTCATACATCCTGTAACACCTAAAGCGAAAATTCCTCTAAATATGAACATATCAGGAATTAAATGTGAATTAATTACTCCATAACCAAACAAAGCAATGGCTAAAATTAATAAACTTGAACTTTGTATTAATTTTGATCCTCCAAATCCTAAAGTATTTAATTTATCATTCAAAGTTCCCAACAAGGGAGCACTAATCATTGAAATCAATTCATCAAAGAAACCCAATCCTCCAATTATATGACCTATTTTTGTATCTTTTATATTACCAGGTCTTGGTTCAATTCCTATTACTTCTTTTATGTAAAATGGTTGAGTTGCTGTTAAAAATACAACAATTGAAATACAAGCAAAACCAGCATAATTGAAAGCTATATAGTTCAACGATGAATAATGTTTGTATCTAACCTCTGTCATTGTTGATATTTTTATTCAGGGTAGTTTGAAGAATATGAAGAACATTTGGTTAAGTCTCTTTTTCAAACTTAAGTTTCGGGAACTCTACTACCAAAGAAATACATTTTTAGATCTTTTAGATAATATTTTCAAAGGTAAATCCGATGTAAGGTATTGATCATGTGACTGATCACATGATTAAATTATTTGTTTGTCATGTGACTATACACGTGATAATATTTGTAGTAGTAAAATAGTTGTTGATCCACATTAAAATTTTCCCAAGGTAATGCTACTTTCTTTTTTTTTTTTTATTGGCTATCGTATGTAAGTTCAATGGGTCCAAATGTATCAAAATTATGAGACAAAATGCCTCATATTTTCGTTTATTTGCTATGAAAATCGATTCTAGTTTGGACTCGTTCTTTTTAACTCCTTAGTTTCGAGTGATGCCAAGGCTAATGAAAGATCTATTACCACAGATTTCCATATTAATTCTATTAACAAAAAAAATACCAAGAAAATTTATAATTTATGTATGAAACAATTAAATTAAATGCAATTTGAACCACAAACGTCAAGCATTAAAAATTAGCCCACATGTTCAACGGTTTTTCTTTCATTTTTTGTTCATACAACTGGATTAAATGATGTAAATAAATGATAAAAAAGGTTGTACTATTTGCTTCATGAAGTTTTTGAGATTTCGATACTTCAGTCACAAGACTTTGTTTCCTATCTCAATTAATTTTAAATTATACCAAATAATAATTAACTGAAATATGGAATAGTTAATTACTAATATTTACGAGTTAGGTCTAAGCTTAATTATAAATTTATTTGAAATTGGTTTTATTGTTTTGCTATGGTTAAATATTTAGAACAGATTCTTCAAATTTTGGCCTTGAAATTTTATTAATTTCTTTGTTTTTGTATTGTTTTGTTTTATTGTTAATTATGCACTTAATTATGAAACTTTAAATACTAAAACTTTAGTATTTTCTTAACATATTTACATCAAAGTCTATACTAAAGAATTTATATTGATGCCATGTGGTTCTACTTACTCCAATTAATAAACTTTTCGTATAGTCGAAAACCACACTATACTTTGATATTTGACGGAATAAAGATTTACAATAGTTTAAACCCCTAAATTGTATTTCCACAAAAATTCTAATGGCTGCAAAATGAATGGTATATAAGTAACCATTGTTGTTCATAATTTATCTCCAAAGTTTTAAAAAAATTTCAAACATACTTATACAATCACAAACATTACAATCTAAACTTCAAAAGATCAAACTTTAAGATCATGGCTTTTATTTTCCCAAAAATTTTAAATATATCTGCATTAGCATTAGCCGTATATTTTTATTTATTTACTGAAATTTGCGCTGCTCCAGTTGATAATTCCGTTCCAAAAAAGAAAAATATTATTTTTTTAGTTGGTGATGGATTAGGTCCAAGTGGAGTTACTTTAGCAAGACAATATAGACAATATAGTGAAAATTTACCTTTTAATGATTATTTGGAATTAGATAGACATTATATTGGTACTCAAGGTCATAGATCAAACAGTTCATTAATTACTGATTCAGCTGCTGCTGGAACTGCATTAGCCACTGGTAAAAAAACATATAATAAAGGTATTAGTGTTGACGTCAATGGTAAAGCTATTGGTGCTGTTGGAGAAGCATTAAAATTAAAAGGCTATACTACTGGTTTAGTTGTTACTACTTCAGTTGCAGATGCTACTCCTGCAGTATGGTTTTCTCATGCTAAAAATAGAGCTTATCAAGACATTCTTACAGAACAATTAGTTGGTGAAACTCATCCATTGGGTCATATTCCATCATTAATCATTGGTGGTGGTAGAGGCTGGTTTTATGGTTTAGATGAAGGTGGATTAAGACCAGATAATAGAAGTTTAATTGAAGAAGTTCAACAAAATGGAACTTGGAATTATATTGAAAATAGAGAACAATTTGATGCATTAGATGAAGGAAAAAACGTTACTTTACCATTATTAGGTTTATTCGCAGAAGAAGATTATCCATATAGAATCGATAGAGAAGATTCGGAATATCCAAATTTAGTTGAACAAACTAGAGTTGCATTAAATGCTTTAAGTAATGCTACAAAAGATTCAGATCAAGGTTTCTTTTTATTGATTGAATCATCAAGAATTGATCATGCCGGACATGCTAATGATTCTCCAGCTCATATTCAAGAAACTTTAGAATATGATGATACTATTGCTGAAGTTCTTAAATTTGTTAAAGAAACTGATGTTGATACTGTTGTTGTTGCTACCGCTGATCATGAAACAGGTGGATTAGTCCTTAAATCAACTCAACCATCTCATTTTGCAATCATTTCAAATGCTACTCATTCAACCGAATATTTAACTAAAGAACTTATTGGATTTCAAGAAAAAAATGATACTGAAGCATTAAATGAATATATTAGAGGTGAAATTTTTACAAATGGTTTAGGATTATATAATATTACTGATGATGAAGTTTCAAGAATTGCTGAATATGTTGAACATGGTGCTTTAACTACTGGTAAAGAAAGTGAAATTGCGGTAGCATTAAGTAATTTAACTTCTTCAAGAGCTGGTAATCTCTGGGGTTCAACTGATCATACATCTGTTGATGTTGGTTTATATGCATTTTCAAATGCTCCATATTTACAACAAAAAGTTGAAAATATAAAATCTGGTTTAGCTGGTTATCATGAAAATATTGATTTTAGTGTTTTTATTAAATCAATTAGTGATATTGATTTAGATGAAGTTACTGAAAAAATTGCTGATATTCCATTAACTCGTTAATTTTATTTGATACCGGCTGCTGATTTTTGGGCCTTTTATTCACACATTTTTTCGTCGTTGTTTGGTTTCTTTTTAATAAAAGTTTTATTATTATGCTAATCGTACTGCTTTATATTTTGCGATACTTGTTTTAATTCTCTCAAATGTATGTACTGATTTCAATACAATTATTTAATAAAATATTAAATGCAGCGCTTGGAGATAAATAATCGTTTCAAGTTCTACAGCATATCATAGGTTCTATTTTAAATCATCTATTCTATTCTATCTAATCATAATGTATTGTATAATCTTCTTTACACCATTTGGCTCTAAGTGTAGCACCGTACAAGTAAAAACTGAATGGGACAAGAACCATGGCTAATGAAACAAAAGCCAATAACCAACTAGCCCATTGTAAACCAAGACCTTGATACATATAAGTTATAAATAAGGGCATTGCACCACCTAACCCAGATCTTAAAAATACTTTTGTAGCTAATGCCAGCGCAGCACGTTTTGCATAACTATCAAGAATATAATTATTACATGAATAATATATTAATGTCATTCCAAAACCAAACGCAAGTCCTGATGATGCTGGACCAACCCAAATTATATGTTTATATGAAGTAGCTCCTAATATAAATAATGCAATACAAGGGAAAGGAGCCCCAATCATTGCTCCAACTAATCTATCTTCTGGAACTGGTTTCTTCTTTTTTAACATAACATTATATTGCTTTTCCAAGATATAAGTTGTTCCGACAGCAATTGATGCACCAATTAAAACAGGTATAAACATAAGACCAATTTTATCATCTTTATAACCATATAATTTACCAAAAATGTATGGATAAGCAAAGAAGAATGCATACAACAAACCATATATTAATGCAATAAATGCACATACTAAATCTAAAACAGGTTCAGTAACAATAAATTTTAATGGTAAAACTAAATTTGTATTGACCATTTCTTTAATTGATAAAGGTTGAGCTTCTTGTTCTGTTTTAATGTTTGGATTACCTGTTTCTTTTCTTAATTTTTTAGCTCTTTTCTTTAAAATTGTTGGAGCATAAGTTTCTGGTATCATAGTTACTATTATCCACATAACTCCTGCAAATGCCATATTTACCCATATAATTAAATCAAGTCTTTTTGTGTTAACACTAATGAATCCATTAACTAAAACACCTAAAATTGGAGCTGAATATGGAGCAAAACTAAAGAATGCAATACTCAAGCCTCTACTAGCTTCTGAATGAATATCAACTAAGCTCGCTCCAACGTTGGTTAAAGCACTAGATGCACAAACTCCACAAATAAATCGGCACACTAATAAACCACCAATATTTGGAGATAATGCACAAGGAATGTTGAAAATTGTATATAATCCAAAACTTATAAAATATATTGGTCTTCTTCCTATAATTTCTGAACCTGGACCCCAAATTAAAGGACCAACTGAAAATCCAAAAACCATTAATGAAACAGTTAAAGTAGAAACTTCAGTTGAAACATGATATTTATCATTTATTGTAAATAATCCACCGGATAAACATGAAGATCCATATGCAGCAGAAATAACTAACCATGTTAATAAGAAAGTATAAAACCATTTTTTCCACATTGGCCAATTATGAGGATTTTCAGGATCATCTATTTTAAAAGTAACAAATTCTGTTTCATCTGTTACACTATGATGAGAACCACTTATAGTTCTTCCTAAACTTTCCAAAGTTTTAGCACGAACTAAACCAGTATCAGTTTCCAAATGATATTCTTCTGGGAAAATTGGATCTTCTATTGGTGGATCATTAATTTGTGGTGGTGGTTTCTCTTTCGAAACTCCTAAACTTTTAAGTGATTTTTTTGTTTCTGTTCTTTCTAGTTGTAAGTATTCTTTTGGTTCATTGTCATTTGATATTGTTGATGATGATGAGGTATTATTGGAATCAGGTACTGAATGTTTATCTGATAAAATGTCACCATAACTATGTATTTTATCTTCTTCGTCTTTATGAGGATAATAATTTGGCATTTTTAAAATTTCGTTTCTTTAACAAACGATTGTATTAACGTTGTATTTATTGAATCAGACCAAACTTTTCCATTGAATAAATTAAATCATCTTATATATATATAGCATGTAATAATCAAAGCAGCAAGTTTAAACTTTGTATGAAAGATTAATTTTGTGTTCCATCTGAATAGCCTTACCCGTTTAAAATATCTCAATTAAGTAATGATGCATATCTCATTTTCATTCAGTAACTTAGATTTAAAAGATTTTCTAAATCTTCCATTCGGTTACTGCTTTGAGGATTTTTTTTTTTTTGAGTTTATCAATTATTATGGCTTTCTTTTCTTCGTAAATTTCGGAAAAAGAATTTCAACTTTTTTAATAAGCCATTTAAATTGTAATTAACTATTCTTAACAATGCTAATTCAACGACCTTTTAAAAACCTTAAAGTTTAAAATTCATCAACAAAAGGCTTTCAACGGTTTCATCAGGTCCATACACTCCTCAAATTGACCAGTTCTTAATCAAGCCTAGTCTCTAGTGATACTTTTTGTTTGACAATTTGTTGTTTTCTAAGCTTTGTAAATTCCCAAAACTACAAATCAATGAATTCATTTCTCTCTCATGGTTTACCGTTTAGTTTTTTAATCTTTTTAGAGATTCATAGATAAACAAAATTGATTTAATTTATTTTAATATTCCACGGAACAATCGTAGATCTAAAAATAATAATCATTATTTTTGTATCCATAGTCTTGTGTAAGTTTTTGAAACCTCACTCTGAACTAAATTCATCACATTACCGAATTCTGGATACTAAAAAAATTCAAATTTTTTCACTGATATGAGTGAGTGGTTTTTGTGTATTGTTTGAGATTTGATTTTATCTGAATACACACGGATAAATTCAAACAACTAAATTACACAAAATTGAAAGGGAAAATACGAGAATATTATTATTTAGCTAGATGAAACATCTAAATCTAAAATATGAAAAAGTCCGAATTACGCATAAGACTGCTTTCGAAGTAGTAGATTACTCAAATTCAGGATGCAACACTTCAATAATTGGCGTATTATTAAGAGAGAAAGAAATTGGGAAATATATTTATAGTTCTAAATTGTATCACTCGTAAACATTATATATAGACAAAAGAAATAAATAAATAAATTTAACTTCAAAGTTGTGTTTAAACGTTTTCATGAAGTTTATTGATTAAAGAATCATGATATTGATCAACTTGAAAGGCGTCATTTTTTTTGGGTGAATGATCAGTTGATTTTATCATTTCAGAGATTTGATTCAAATTTGAACCAGTTACTGATTCCATAAATGCTCCAATTTCAATATTTTCATGATTACCTGTTAAACCTTCATAAGATTTTCTTGATCTTAATTTCTTCAATAATTGAGGTGAATTAGTATGAGCATATATATTGACATCAACCGCAGAATGAACATGTGTGGTCCAACCAATTTGTGCTCTAAACGACACCATATTGTTCAAAAAGTACAATACCTTTTCTATATTTTGAGAATTTTCTAAAATTAATTCAACCTCTGATTTAGTATAGTCCTTTATACCCATGGTTTTCTCTAAAATGTTTTTTTCGATGAATTGTTTTAAATCTTGTTTAGATCCTTTGTTTCTATGTTCATAAATTTTATGAGCTAAATAATCTCCAGATTTGGTACTATTTAATAAGACTTCAGGGTTCCATAAATAGTCAGGATATGATTCACTTACTTGTCTTGCAGTAACTAACCCACCAGTTTCGTGATCACTAGTAGAAATGGCAATTGTTTCTACATCTGTTGAATCGATAAATGAAATAACTTCTTCAAATGCTTTATCATATGCCAAAACTTCTCTAACTTGAGAAGCAGGATCATTATGATGACCAGCATGATCAATTCTTGAACCTTCAATCAATAAAAAAAAACCTTGATCAGAATCTTTAGTTGCTTCTGATAATGCAGTTAATGCAACTTTAACTTGTTCAGCTAATGAGGGATAATCTTTTTCATCTCTATCAATATCATAAGGTATATCTCCATCTGCTAATAAACCTAATAATGGAAATGTTACATTTTTACCACCATTTAAATTATCAAATTCTTCTCTATTACCAACATATGACCATCCCTTTTTCTTAGTTTCTTTTAATAAATTTCTATTATCTACTCTACAACCACCAGGGATAGTAGATGGGTAAAAATGACATCTACCACCACCTAAGATTAAATCAACTGCTCTTCCAAATGGATATTCCCCAATTTGATGTTGTGCAATCAAGTCTTCCTGAAATCTATAGTCTACATGAGAACTGAAAGCTGCTGGAGTTGCATCAGTAATTCTAGTGGTTACAACTAATCCAGTGTAATAACCTTGTAATTTCAAAGCTTCTAATATAGTTCCACATGGATTTTTATTCGAATCAACACCTATAGCTCCGTTATAAGATTTCAAACCACATGAGAAAGCAGTAGCACCAGCTGCTGAATCAGTAATTAATGAACTTGATGATCTCGTCCTTGAAGTTCCAACAAGATATTGATCCAAAGTTAAAATATCATTCATGGGTAATTTATCTTTAAATTGTCGAAATGATCTTGCCATTGACATTGATGCTGGTCCCATACCATCAGTTACCATCATGATTATATTTTTCTTGCTTGTTGGATCCAATGGTTTTTCTTCATTTTTGGGCAGGTTTGTAGTTGAATTGTTAAAGTATAAAAATGCTATAGTAATTAATGTTATGCAGTTTAGTATATATGATAAATAAGGTTTTATATTTGATTTTGATTTCTTGTTGTAAATAGATTTATCTCCACCTAATAATGGCTCTCTTTCAAACATTTTCAGAAATGATTCACTCGTGTCTAAAATTGTATAGGTATGGCTGTGTGTCTATAATCTCCAAGATGAATAAGTAGCTTTTAAATGGACTATGAGTTTTGGTCTTTTAGCAGTTGTAATTAAATTTCTTTCGTTACTGTAATTTCTTTTGCCAATAAAAATGATAATATTACACAAAACCTCGAGGTTTGACTGTATGGCGGAGCCGTCGAATCTTACTTAATAAAGACATGAGGTCTTTATATTATCATAGGTATAGAATATGAAAGAGTTGGTTGAATGTGTTAATCACGCTCAATAAAGTATAATAAAAACAAATTAATTATTTTGTTAGAAATCATTTACAATCACTGCTTCATCTCCAATATTTTCATATACTAATTTACCGATCGATAGGTCCATTATGGATAAACCAACAATTTTTTGAATAGTGATATTTGAGGATTTATCTGTTACTTCTCCCACTATTTGTTTGCTTTCATCTCCATATAATTCATGAAGTTCGATTAGTAGTTCTTCTTGATATCCTGATTGTATCAACTCACCAGCCTCGTGTAAAGTATGCTCTTTCGAATCCACAATTATTTTAATACCTTTAGATTTCAAATCTTTTAAAAGCTTTAGGTCTAACTCTATCATATTTGGTTTGTATGAACCAATTAATGAAATAAATACAGGGTGTTTAGGATCTTGATTCAAATAATCTTTTTTTATGATTGGTGAAGTTGATGGAGTACAACCAAAAATTATTGAGCTATTTCGTAAATGTTCAATAAAAGACTCTTCATTTTCTTGATACAGGAATGCATTGAATTTTATATTTTTAAACTCTTTGGTAAATTGATCTCTAAGCTTTTCAGCATTTGATAATGTTCTATTCAATATGTTGACCGTTTTAATGAAACCTTCATATAAAACTAATGCTAGTTTAACATGCCAATATGCTTGTAGTCCAACTCCAAAAACTGATATTTCAGGTAAAATGTTTTCATCATTCACATTGATAACTTTTGTTAGACCCAACGTAGAGGCCAAAGCGGTTCTAAACGCAGTCAATGTATTAGCATTTAAAACAGCTTGTAACTCACCGGTAATCTCATCCAATATAAGCACACAACCTAAAAACCCCAACCCCTTTTTGTTGTTGCCTGAACCTCCACTAATTACTTTTATTCCTACTTCATTTGGTGAAACACATGGCATGAATATGTGCGTTGTATCTGAATTTGGGTTTTTTGATACCTTAGAAGTTCTTGGTGGAACAATTTCGTTAGGATTTGATGAATATGTTTTTAATCCACTGATCAAAGTTGGCTGAAATTGACTAAGGAGTGACAGTTGAGATAGCTGTTGGTTTAAAAAATTTAAAACATCTTTGTCAGTGATGACTTTCATAGTGACAGCAGATATCAAGCAATTGTAAAGGAAATGGCCCTGAATGAATTTTTAATGTTAAAATTGGAACATACTTCATAAAATAGACATTTGCAAGACGGCTGAACTAAGCGAGATTAAGTTCCGAAAATTGTGAAATTTGTACGGAATCTGCAGCAGAGAGGAAACCAGGATCATGTTATAAAATCAGCTCCCACAAAACAAGTGTGCGATCGTCAACCAATTTCAGAATAGTTAGAAAAACAATTCATACTAATCTAGCGAAATATATAATTAATGACGCAAACTAGAATGAATTGAAAAAAATGAAGTTGAGTTGGTTAGGAGTAGATACAATTAATTTAATATTAGTAAATATCGATTAAAACTTTTAAAACTACCTAACAAATTCAAAGAATAATAATTTCAATTCCAAACGTTGTACTTATAGCAGGATGTAATTATAGGTTTATCGGGTTCAGGTGTATCGCTTGAGTGCATATTTCTTTCATAGTAACTTAACTCGCCATTTTTGTTTAGCAAAATGATGGTCTGTGTTCTTGTACCATAGTATCTCCCAATTGATAAAACATTACTTTCTGGACCATTCCTTTCTATTGGTGGTATAAAAATTGAATTTCTCAATTCCATTATTTTAGCATCAAAATCTTTCCCTTCATATATGGATCTATTGAAGGTATCAGTTTTTAAAATATCAAAACATCCTTCAACTAATTTGCTTTCATCATAATTATTTTCCACTGACTTTTTTATCAATGATATTAACAATTTTTCACCCATTTTCACTTTCTTCCACGGTTCATTATATAGTGAGTTGGACAAACCAAAAGTTGTCTTTTCTGCAATTTCTCTTTCATCATCAAATTCAGATTCACTCACATTCATACTTCGATTATCTTCAAAAATTTTACCATGATGACCTCGATTACTTAAGATATTCAAATGCTCAACTTTGTTCGTTTTTGGGTTTAAATTTAATGTACCATATAGTAAACTAAATCCACCAATTTTGGTGATATCTATTTCTCCTTGATCACTTTCCATATTAGACATCAATTTATCTCTCCATTCTTCATCCAGTAAATCTGATTTTAAATAACTTAAAGGTAGCACTCCTCTTGAGACTTCACTTAAAGTGCCTAAAATTGTTAGTATTTGTTTCAAAATTATGGGAATAAGCTGTTCTGTTCATGCACAAATGCTTTGGTTTAACATACTTTCGGTATCTATGTCTCTGTAATTGACCAATACTGCAATTTTACCTGTTGTTGTTATTCCAATCCATGTTCCATGCTCTGGTCTGGCCATATCTAATGGTGTTAGTATCTGGACTTTTTCGTTTAGTTTTCTAAACCGAGCAGGATCAGTTGGTCTTTTGAAGTATTCATCTCTATTTGACAATAATATAAATGGAAAGTCTGGATGGCTCGTTGTGGCTATTGTTATACACATTTGCTGTCTCTAGATGGTCAAGAATGATTATTATGTTCTGTATTTGATTATTCAAATTGATTCCAAAAATTGATCCAAACTAGGAAAAAGATTTGCGGACATTTTATTTTCTGGGGTAATCCCGACTACCAAAAGAAAATCAAAAAGATTATATCTATCACTACTTTGCATAGGCAGTGATAAAGTTTCGTAGATGCAATGTATATTTTGAATTCAATTTACTACATGGTATAACTTTGCCTTAAGTTCAAGCTACTGGTGATTGTAAAACCAAGTAATAATTCTAAATTTAAAGGATGTACAATTAGCTGGTTCTGAATTGCAACAAATATAGTATACATTACTATTTAAAATTCTTAACACTACAATATCTTACAAAAGCTACACATATATGACATTAAAATTACACAGCAAAAAGATACAAAAATTTTGCCCGACTACTTTCTACTTCTGGTTTCTTTCCCTTTTGCAATTTGTGGATCATTTGAAGCATTCACTGTATTCGAACTATTGGATGCCAATCCTGTAGCCCATTTAAGCTGTCTTTGTGAGTCACCACCTAAACGACTATTCCTGGGAATGGAGTCAGCTCCAATACCACCAACTTTATTTGCATTGAACCATTCATAATAGCTTTCATCTAAAAATTCGGAATTATTATTCAAGTCAGGTGACATATAATCCGAAAAATAATTTTCAAACTCTTTGCTCATTCCATTTTCATCATTAATAGTTAAAACCGATTTATCATGAATTATCGTTGCAGTTTTTCTCAGAGAAGGGGAATTTGATATACCATTGAATTTCAAATCTGGAGTTGATTCATTTTCATAATTTTTCTCCAACATTTTAATAAAATCTTTAAAGTATGACATTTCACTTAATTCAAATACAGTAGGTCTAGCATTAGGATCCCACAACAAGCAACAACGAATGACTTCAAGCAATGAAGGATTGGATTCACATTGAACTACTTCAGTAATTTTGAGACCTGGTTCCATAGGTAATATTAGTCCCAACTTTAATGCAAAATTTGTTGCTTCTTCCCATAATCCTCCAATTGGAACAACATAATTCGAACCAATTTGATTAAAATCAGGCATCATAGGAGATCCAATTACTTTTAAAATCTTCCAAATTTGATCTAATTCATTTGCACCAGGAAATAAAGGAGTAAAATTTACAACTTCAGCAGCTACTGTACCAAATGCCCAAATATCAATGGGAAAGGAATACCAATTTTGTCTTAATAATATTTCTGGAGATCTATACCATCTAGTTGAAACATATGCTGTATAAGGTTTCATGTTTGATGCATGTCTAGCTAATCCATAGTCACCTAACTTTATAATGAAATTATCATATTTACGATATGGAGGTACTAAATCTTTTGAACCATAATAATGTAATGTGGGAATTATTAGAATATTTTCTGGTTTCACATCACGATGAAAATAGTTATTTTTATGAATATGTTTAATTGCACATAATAATTGACTTAAAATACTTTTTAATGTGGTTGGGCTAAATCGATCAGCTCTTCTTGATTTAATTAATTGATATAAGTTTTGATTAAGTGCTTCCATTGCAATATGTAACTGAAAATTAATATCATCAATAAAAACTTCAAATATTTGAACCAAACAAGGATGTGAAGGTACCGTTAATATAAAGTTTAATTCCTTTACCTTACTATAATCTTGGAAATGTGACAATTTCTTTTTCATTGTTTTGATTGCAACAAAATTAGAAGTGTTACGTTTTGATTCTTCTAATGGAAACATCATAGTTCCAACTTTATTTGAGTGAGATTCTAGTAATTCGATTTTTGAAAACTTTATTTTGGCCAATTCAACCGTTCCGAAACTACCATTTCCTAAGTTACTTATTTGTTGATATTTTTGATGATAGGAGTGGATTGTTACATCTTTAGGAGGTGGATCATTATAAGGAGGAAAATATCTAACGTTTGACATGATTTTTAACCACTTTTAAAGTCGCTATTTGGCACTAAGTCAACTCAAATAAATTGAATATTTGATTTTTAACTCAGCGCTGTGGTTTTGTGATGATGAAAGAAGATGATTATTCAGAAAAGAGTTTGATATTTTGGTGGTATTAGTTTTTGCAACACATTATTATTATAATTTTTAATGTAAATTCTTTTTTTTTTTTTTCTTTGTTAATATTAAGATTTTGTGTGCAAAATGATAAGTTAGAAAAGAATACATCATTACAAGATATTAATCGTTTCCTTTATCTGTAACTTGACTAACTCTTCCAGAGAATTACTTGTAAGAGTTGGTATAAACAATATTATAAAATGCGAATGTACATTGACTATAGAGACTATTCATCTATACATTGGCACTAAATATTATTTTTTTAATTTTTCCTAACCATCATCTTCTAGCTCCTCTTCATCATCAGAAGAATCGGATAATTCAATTATATAATCAGTTGAGGGAGCTGGCTCAATTCCTTCTTGTGTGCTTTGTACATCAATAAAATATTGATATCGTCCCATATCGTCAGTAACGAGTAAAACATCAGGAGAAACGCTATAACTATTAATTACTATCCTTTCAGTTGTTGAAAATTCTTCCTCATTTTCTCCTTCAATAACTATTTCATCTTCTCTAATATATGTATTAGACTTTGTACTAATTTGGTTTTGAATTCTTTTTGTGAATTGATGATTTAAAGTACAATCATCTCCCTTTGAACAATATTGCTCTTCCTCATAGTCCGGACAGTTCCAAACATGAAGAAATGGACAATTTTTGCCTCTTGAGCACCATGAACCTATTGAAAATGGCCTGCATACCCATAGCTCATACTTTGGATCCTTACAATGCTTTGGAAGATTATGACTATATTTACATTGTGAATTATGGCATTTACCCTCGAGATTATATCGACATAAAGGAGTGTTATGATCATTTGGTTGATGATTTAATAAACAATTTGAATTTACACATGCACCATTCAAGTATTGAGAACAAATTTTGATTTTTTCTACTGCATGATCATATTTACATCTTGAACCCTTTTGACAAGAACCTTTTAATTTCAGGGCTCATTAGAAAACCCCTGATGTTAGTATTTTGAGTGTATATAGTGTGAAGTCGAAAACTATTGCAACATACCCGTCGATGTGAAATATCGACACGCTTCCTTGCTCTTCCTAAACAATTGTTAGTATTACTTGTGAGCAATTTGAGAACCTTGACACATACTTCACTTCATTTGATACCTTCTTGTAAGTCCCACTATTCAACTTTTTATACAAATTCTTGTTCCACATTACATTCACGGGAGCATTGATAGGATTCGATATTATTGGTAACAAAACTCTTCCAGATCCCCCAACAGCATATTTTGTGCCATTTAACAAAATTCGATCGCAATGACTGCTTTTGAACTTATTTTTTGAAAGTCTGGATTTTATCTTTTCTATCTCCTTCTGTTTCATAACATCCTGAAAAACATTTTGCCTTGCTAGTGCTAATTTCCTCATCCTACCATGCTCTTGGTTGTAGATTTTCAAGTTGAAGAGCGCCATTCCATTTTTCGACTGAACTGTTACATATTGTTGCGGTGGTGAAGAAGTAGAATCTCTCGATGATGCGTCTTCAAAAGACGAAGCTGAGCTGGTACCATTGTGAGGGCCTTCTGTAAAGTTGTCTGCCGCGTAAATCAAGTTAGAGTATGCCTGTCTGAATGATCCCTTATTATTTTTCTCAACTTTTGAAACTCGAAAACTTCGAACTCTAGCTAGCGCTTTTTGTTTCTCCTGCTTCTCATGAATGGACTTTTTTAATGAAGCAATCTCCAGATACATGGATTTCACTTCCAACGAGTCCACCACTCGCTCTGACATAATTAGTGTATGATCTATATGTTTGAATGATTGTTTATTGTTGTCAAATGAATTTGTTATTCCGATCATTTTTTTTCAAATTTTTTTTTCTCACAACTTATCTTTATTCCGAAATTGTTTCAGGTTATTAAATTTCGTTTAGGACTTTGTTATAGAGGAATTGACGATGTCGAGACAAAAATCAAAAACAACCTCCGAATTGCTCAGAACTAAAACAAAATTAAGTGATGGTGATAAAAAGACTAACAAAAGAAACATAACGAATTTAAATGAAATTGAATCTGTGTTAAACGAATTAGAGATAAACAATGTAGCTTTGAATGAAGAAGTGAGGAGAATTTGCAATTGTATGGCTAGGAGGCATCCGTTATTTGAAATTGCACCAAACTGTTTGAGCTGTGGTAAAATAATATGTACAAAGGAAGGGCTACAGCCATGTTCATTTTGTGGAGCCGATATTATTCCTACGAAAGATAGAGATGCCATAAAAAGTATATTGGAAAAAGAGCGAAACGAGCTACTACACTCAAGTAACAAACAGCAAACCCCAATTCAATCCATTAACAAACCTAGGAAAAAAATCGTTGTCAAAATGAATCCTGGTGAGAAGTTTTGGGAAGCGCAAGATAGAGCTTTTAAATTAGCAGAACAAGAAATCAAGAATGAGGAATTGGCAAAGTTAGAGCAGCAAGAACAGCAAGAGCAGGAACATGTAAAAGCTTTGAATAAGTCTAAGCTCGATGATAATGATTCAGATTTGGTAAAAGCTCAAGAAAAACTTGAAACTTTGTTGAATTATCAGGAGACAGGGGAGGAAAGAACTCGAATTATTGACAATGCAGCAGATTTTGAATTACCCACTCAATCAATTTGGCTATCGCCGGAAGAAAGAGCTTTGAATTTGAAGAAGCAACAAAGAATGTTAAAAGAGAATCAGATACAACAAGAACGAAATGCACGGGGTGAAAAACATGTAGAAATGGTCATCAAAGATGGGAAAGTTTCTTTGGTGGAAAGAGCTGTTCCCAATAAAGTAAAAAGATCCGATGAAGAAGTAGGAGAGGTTGTGAAGAAGAATATGGATAAACGAGACACAAATAATGAGCTGATGTGGGATTATGATGAAGATAAAAAGAAATGGAAAAAACTAAGATATTTTTCAAACAAGAACGATGAAAACAACTTAACCCTGGATCAAAATATCAATGACAAAATCACAAAGTCAAGATTGCAATTTGATAAAAATAATGATCCTATGGAATTGTTGGTATCTATGTTTTAAGTCGATGAATTTACAAAAATCGGAGAAGCTGGTTATCTTCTCATTCTTTGTTTAAAACGTTTAGATCTGGGATCGTTGATCTTTAATTTTTTATAATTGGCAGTAATTGGATTTCTTGTCTTTTTTACAGGGCTTCCTTGATCACTCGCTTCAATTACATCATTATCACTTTCTTCATCCTCTGAATTTATGTATGCATGAATATTGGATATACTCTCCTGTTCTAAATTGTGTATTTTTGAGTGAAGGTCGACATGATCCAAATTTTCACTCTCGAAAACAGGCCTTGGTGCCATCTTGACTCTTCTTGTTTGTCGTTTTTGAGTTTTTCGTTTCTTTTTCCTCTCGATTGATTCATTAGTTGATAAATCTTCATCTTCCTTTTCACTATCCACTTCAACAACCGTTTCTTCCTCAAACATCCCTTTCATATCTGCTAACTCTTCAGCCTCTTTTACTGATGTGTTGTATAATTCTGATAATTTAAAACTAATGGATCTATGGGGCTTGAAAGGAGAAGGGGATGTCAGGAAATCCTGTAAGGACCGAGTTCTAGTGAAAGTCGGTGTTTGAAGATCATGCTTTAAATATGGTGGAGCATTAGTATCAGCAGCTTGTTTAAATTTGTTAATTAACGAAATGGGTGTTGTTTCCACTGGTTTTAAAGGTGAAGATTTTTTGGGAGTTGTAAAAGATAATCGTCGATTAGTCTTGATTGGAGTATTTTGTAAGCTATGCTCAGAAAAGTCATTCACTACCCCATCACACATTGTTGATTTAGCTGCCAAAGGAGATGATACAGGTGGAGTTAATTTGTAGTCGAAGATAGATAGAACTCTACCATTGGCCTGTGGAGTTGGTCCCAATTCTCCTTTAGGAGTTGCTGGAATATATTCTTCTTTAACGCTAGTGTTGCTAGTGCCCTTTACTTCATTTTTCTCTTTTGCATCTTGGTCTAAGCCTTGTGGAGACGATTTTGATTTCTGTTTAATTGTTCTATACCTTGAATATAAACCTTTTATTTTTTGATTTTCGTTGATATCACTTTTTGACGGTCGTCTCTTGTTTTCATGTAAAAACTTATGCTCCCATTCTTTAATTTCTTGTTTTAGTTTGAAAAGCTCATCATTGTGCATTGCCTAATATATGGGATTGATGATGAAATGAGCGAAGTTTGTTTAATTTTCAATCATATTTGAAAAGTCGCGTCTACCTTTATTTTACTTTAATAATATTTACGGTTATTTACACAAAGTTAACAAATTAAACTATTCACACGAGCTAATATCCTTTAATAGTCTATACTTTAAAAGTTTGAAACAAGTTCAGACCATTTACTGGTAGGGTATCTATTTCTGATGACAGTCGATGCTTTCCGCAAAGCCAACTCTTCATTCGTAGAACTGAATTGATTTTCATTTTTCGAAAGTTCTGTTAAAAACGATGGTCCATCAGGATTATTCCAATAATTGTTAAAAAAATCTCGTAAAGCTATTTTATCGTTTATGATAGTCAAAAGTATCACAACCTTAGTAAACATTTGTAAAAAGTCTTTTGGATCAACCAAAGATTGCATTATTGATTTCCATTCCTTCCAAAAGTAAACCCAGTTTTTACAATTCGCATAAGTACAAAGCATATGCTCTCTTAACCAAAGCGGAACTTGACCTCTATGAGAAAAATTAATTTGCCTAATTAATTCCCTGACATTTTGAGCAGACCTTGCATCCTGTATACAAGGTTTGTGTTCAACTTCAATGCCTTCCCCTTTGGATTGTATTATTGAGTCAATTTTGGCACCATCCGTTTGAATGTATTCATTACATGTTAAGGACCATAGCAAAGTTTGAAATTTGTCAACAGCAAAAAAATGAAGCTCATCAGTTTTAAAAGCAGCAATTTTGGAAAGGAAATTCGATAATTTAGATAATTTCTCAGTTGCGTTTAATCCACTTGGAACATCTAACAATAATTCCATATACCTGATGACATCATCAACTATTTCTTGGTTCCAATCAATATCCTCAGCAGCTAAATGAAAAGAGGAATGTTTATCTAACAAAACATTCTCCGCATCCTGTATGGAATAACCACTGGGATTTGTAAATGTCAAAATTTTATAATGATAGAATTTTTTGTTGTAAGTTTCCAAATTTTCATTGCTCAGTCTATTCTGTTGATGACTTTTTCTGTTCTCGACTTCTTTAAGAAGGAAATCTGGTTTGATGGGTACGATATTCAAATCTTCGAGATTATTATTATGCCTTGTACTTGTATGAAAGCCTTGTCTTAAGCCAAAGAATATGTCATTTTTGTCCTCGTTACGATATTTATTATATGGGATGGTTTCAGCAAGATCATAAACTTCTCCATAAATCTCCTCTATTCTCAACTCTGATCTTCTTTCAGGGCTTAAAATATGTAAGACAGCCCCATCAATTCCAGTCTCACATCTAACCCAAGAATTTGGTCCAATTCCAAAAGTGCTATGAGTAGCCGGTGGTCCCTGTCTAGCTCTTTTAGCTAGTCGTCTTCGAGTTGTAGCACTAACAGAATTTGATACCATACCGTCTATTCGTGGAGTATATCCAAACTTTTGTTTCATGTATTGCTTCAAATCGTACGATGCTTTATATATGTGCTTCTCTGACTTACCTGATGTGACGATTATATACTTTTCATGAGATTGGTTCTCTGTACTTTTGGGATGATCCAGAGGAAGTAACGATAAATCAATTATTATAAAATCAATTAAACCATATTTTTCCTTTAGTAATATTGAAAAATCTTTCAATGCTTGGGATGAACTTTTGGGGAATTCAATGATTTCGTTTGAATACATGGGTTCTGCTTTAGATGTATTCTCATCTCGGAGATACCATGGGATTGAATCATTATCTTTGGGGGATGAATATGCTCTTATAGTTGTGGTGAAGTTACTTTGAAGATAAGGACCTGAACATTTGTATGATGGATTTATTTTACAGAAACTATGTAGTCGTCTCTTACATTGTAAAAGTATGCTCTCTTTCATTATATGATTCTATTTCAACTTACAAGTTGATGTATTTTTTTCAAAAAAAAAAAATCAAATCGTAAAATCAAAACCGTTAACTAATCCCATCTTAATTTGCAACCAAATTAAAAATTCAAAAATGGCAAAATTAGTACATAATGTTCAAAAGAAACAGCACAAGGAAAGGTCCCAAAGAGATAGTAGAGCCAAGTATGGTTTACTTGAGAAAAAGAAAGACTATAGGTTAAGGGCGGCTGATTATCATAAGAAACAAGCAGCATTAAAAGCATTAAAAGAAAAAATCAAAACGCATAATCCTGACGAATATTATCATGCTATGACGAAAAAGAAAACGGATGATAGGGGGATTCTTATATCAGATAGGGACAGCGAAGTTTTAAGTGTTGATCAAGTTAAATTATTGAAAACTCAAGATATAAATTACATACGAACGATGAGATTAAACGAAATGAACAAAATTGAGAAAGAGCAAAAGGATTTATTATTCGAAGGATCAGGTAAACATACGATCTTTGTTGATTCTAGTGAGGAGCAACAAAATTTCAAGCCAGAGGAATATTTCAACACAGATGAATCATTACTACATAACAGACAAAATAGACTTAGAATAGATCAATTACGTTCAAGCTCAGGAGTAGTTAAAACAAATGATATAGATTCCAAATTGAAGGATAAACTTGATAATAAAAAATTAAAACAATTTAAACAATTACAAAGAAGAATAGCTAAAGAAAAGGAGATACGAGATGTTGAACAAATAATGAGTTCAAACTTGGAGAAAATGAAAAATGGTAGTAAGAAAAAAGTTGTTGGACCCGATGGTAAAATACATTTTAAATGGAAAAATGAAAGGAAAAGGTAACAATATTACAATGCTTAACTTAATTTATTTAGTCGTTATTTAAACTTCCATTGAGATAGTCAATGAACAATGGAATTATTCTATCTTTATCTATGGTCCTCATTCTGTTTAAATTTATGAATGATCTTCTTATCCTTTGCAACTGCGCCGTACTTACAACGCCCATCGGAATTTCAATTGTGTAATCATCTATTTGAACATCACCCAGAGTAATTTGTTGCTGTTGCAAGATCTTTGATATAATTTCATGGGTTTTTCTGTCTAATTCTTGTAAAAAGGTATTATCTGAAGTTGATTGTAGTGTTGTTGCAGCATTTGGCGTTGGTGCCTTTTTTAAAACTAAAGCATTCCAAATATCTTCAATTGGTATCATCTCTTGTTGATCGTTCGAAATTATCTGAAATAAAGGTGAATCCCATCTTGTATCACTATTTGGTTCTTCATATCTCATTTCCAACTGCTTAATCAAAGTAGGTTCCCATTGTTCTGAAGAATCCCTTGAACTGTTCCACTCAAGGCATTGTTCAATAGGTGCAATAACGTGAACAACACAATGAGGTGTAGCCATGCCTTTCGATTCACAATATAGTTGATAACGAAAACCCTTTATATAAGCCATGGAATCAAGTATCACGATATTCGTCTTTGATATGTCTCTTTTAACCGCTGAAATCTGAGACCCTCGAGCCAATTTTTCTTTATTTGAATCCTTGTATGTATCATGACTAATTCCTAATGTTTCATCAGAATGATAAATGACTTTGTAGTTGTGGCCAGGTAAATGATTCAGATCTTCTTTAGCTAAACAGATCTTTTTCTCTAGCTGCTCAATTAAGGCTTTAGCCCATTTAGTTTTTCCGGAACTAGGGTATCCTGAAAGTATAATTAATGGCATTAATATTGTATGAAAGTGAAAGTGGTAATGTACTAACTAAAAGTTTGATTTCCTATAGAATATTTTTTTTTTGCAGTCTATTTTTAATTTTGAAACATATTTGTTAATGTCAAAGTTTATACCGAGATCAACATTTCCCAGCTATAATATTCCCTTATCTAGCTTTAAAGGTCACCATCAAAAAGCTTTATCGAAACTAGGACATCTTTCACCCCAACTTGATTTAATAATTGAAGTACGAGATTGTCGAGCTCCTATTGCTTCAACCAATGCTTTATTTGACAAACTATTAGCAACGAAAAGAAAACTTATACTATACAGCAAGAAGGATTTATCAATACTAAAACCAAACCTACTAGATAAATGGCACGCTTTCAATAATGAAACGTATATGTTTATTGATTGCAGAAACAGAAATGACTGTAAAAGATTAATCAATACCATACGGAATATATATGAAAATTTGGAATCAAAACCTCCATTAGGATTGAGATCGATGATTATTGGCATGCCCAATGTTGGTAAATCTACATTGGTGAATACCTTGAGACAGGTAGGGTTGGAAAACGACAAAGCTTCAATTTCTACAAAAATAAAAAAAGTTGCCAAAACGGGAGGACAGCCTGGAGTCACCAGATCGACAAGTGAAATAATTAGATTATCTAATGATCCAGAAATAATGGTGTATGATACGCCAGGTATAAGTTTACCGACAGTGAAGGACTCAGGTACGATGTTAACTTTGGGATTGGTTGGATGTATTCATGACTCATTTATAGACCCTGTGATATTAGCAGACTATTTATTATATCTATTAAACTTTCAAGACCCGCTGGGAAAGTTATATAGCGACTATATGTCACATCCAACCAATGACATTTATGAGTTAATGTATAATATTGCTAAACATAGAAACACTTTGAGACCCAATGGGACATATGATGAATTAGGAGTTGCAACGCATTGGATCAATTTATGGAAACAAGGTAAGTCAAAAAAGTATAGGGGCTTATTTGACCTTTCAGCCATTCAAGATATTAATGAAGAGAACTGGAAAGAGATAAATAATTTGGAAAGAGAAAGAGTTGGTCTGATGAAAGTTCATCAAAAATTGGTTGACAGTTTCGGTAGTAATGGTGCTTCAAAAACTTTTAATAGGAAAAGAACCGCTAAAGACAGAGATGCTGACATGAAGAATAGAATGTTCAAACTTTAATTTATCTTTTTATTATCGTGTTTTCAGCCATTTAATATATCATCAACATCAAAATATTCGTCAAATCCGTCTGTAGTTTCTGGACCAAAAAACCCTTCGACGCTTCTTTTTCTTTTATTTGTTTTCTTACGAACTTTGAATTTGACATCTAGGAGATTTTTTAGTTTGGTATCATATTCGTTATCCTTTTGGCGATCGTAAGTTTTGTAATAAATTTCTTCTTTAGTATCAAGAACATTATCAAGATTAAGTAATGCATTTGTTTCGTCGGCTGTAAGATAAGTTTCAATGAAATCCTTTTCACGAACAAAATCTTTTAAACTTTTTACTTGACCAAGGGATTTGTGTAAAATTTTATTGACATAATGATTGAATCTTTTATTTGCTGGGCTAGAAGATAACAATATCTTTTCCAAGGTTGTTTCACGTGTTATTGAAGGTGTAAAAGATTTTGATTGTGTAAGACCTGCTTTCTCATTATCTAAAACATTTGGAGTAGATTGATCATTATTGAGTTGTTTTCCCCTGATAAAATCTTCCATGATCAAATCGGTAGAATCATCCTTCATCTTCTTTAAATCCAAAAAATTTCCCATTTTTTCATCTTCTTTCATTGCTAATCTATTCATGATAAGTACAAAACCGGTTTTTTCACCAAGCTTTACCTCTTGAGGAAATCCAGCACATATTTGAACCTCATCATCTGGTTTTTGTACAAATCGTATCAAAGCAACAAAGTCCAAGTCTAACAATGCCTGAACCATGGAATTAAAAGCTGTACTGTTATCATTGTATAGTTTCATATCGGGTATCACATAATTTGATTCTTCAGTTAAGTATGCCACAGGAAGGTTAGCCCTAGAAATGAACCCAAGTATATTAACCCCAGGTGTTGTTCCCAAAGTAGCTGCTTGGTCGAGTTCAGATGAAACAGGTAGAATATTTCTTTGGGTATATTTGAAGCCAGGTGTTATATCACGATTACTTATGACTATTTCTTCATCTTCTTCTTTTTCATTAGGAGTCTGTTCGTCCAAATTTAAATTTTCATACACTTCATCTTCAATATTTGAGTTCTTTTTAATAATATACTTTGTGTCCCTTTTAACCTTCAGTATTTCATTCTGATCCGAATCCACTATGAATTCATGACCATGGACTTGATTTTGACATCTAATTGATGGATATATTTGAATTTTTAAGCTTACACCAAGATCGTTGTCTTGACCGCGTCCCATTTCAGCAAATGATAAGTAAGTATCACTAACACATCGTGGTCCAATAAGTTTCACGGGAGGTCCCGCGTGCATATATTCATCATAATCATATATATTGAAATCACTATCAAGTTTACCACCAAATTTTTGAATGATTTCCTTTGCGTGTGCATTGTTTTCGTTGTTCAAGACTATACATGTAGTATTAATGGTGTATAAGTTTAAAATGGAGTTGAGGTAATCTAAACTGTTTGGCTCATTGATATTACCAAGACCGTTTGTGATGATGTAGATGTTTCTAATGAACTTATTTGCTATTTGATTCTGCAATGCATCTGAAAATGAACTTATTATATCAGCTTTATCACCAGTACCCGTGTCATCATGATGCATCTTTATGGACGCGTCATAAAATTCTTTTACATAACTCAAAGTTATTGGTCCATCATTATATATGTATTTTGATTCAATTGAAGTGTAAATGACGAAAGCATATCTATCCAGTTTACGGTTTTTTAATAGTTGATTAGTTAAATAATTGACTGAAAATTCGAGAGCTAACTCAAAATCTGTTTTTGATTCGGTCGTTGCTGACTTACTATTCATTGAATTTGAAGCATCAAGAACTATAGTTGTATATTCTTTGTTTGACATTGTTGTTGTTCATTGTACAGTTATGATGAATACATATTTACATAGGATATAAAATAAATTTAAGTTTTATTTTACGTGTTTCAAAAACAAAACTCAAAAAATTAAGCGGTCTTGGTGATTTGAGAAAAATTGCAGAAAAAGAAAGAATGAGCTAACAATTCGAAAATACATCTAATTAATATGATTCTATAAAACTAACTTGTTATTTCCCATGTTCTAATTGTACCGTCTAAACCTGAGCTAATGAATGTTCCAATTTTTTTATCTCCATCAAATTTCTTCCAAGCCAAACTGGTCACTGCTGCGGAATGAGCTAATGGAAATTTAATAACTTTCGATGGTTTCTCTACTGAATATAATAGTAAACCTGTGTCAAGCCCACCACTAATTAAATATTTCGAGTCCTTCGTCCATTGAGCGTCGTAAACTTTACTTGTATGAAATGCCCAACGTGATGTAATAACCGATCCGTCCAGTTTATACAATGTATACTTACCTGTGGAATCAGCAACTGCAACGTACTCACCATTTGGTGATACCTTAATTAAAGTAGGTGGTGATCGTAATTTCGGGAATTCTTTATCTGATTGTGTGATATTATTGTCTGATATTTTATATTCAACAATTGTGTTTGAAGCAATATTTGTGATCAAGAAAGTTGAATTTGATAAAGGAGCTACACAAGTAGTAGGAAATTTCAATTTGTAATCGGTTTGCAACTGAAGTGAAAGGTCGTGTAGTTGTATTTCTGACTCAAATAAAACAATAATCGAAGTACCTATTTTTTCCAACTGTTTAGGCTGTGAAGGAAGATCTATTGAATTTGTTACTTTTCCATTTTCCCAAACTTTTAACTTATCGTCCCAGCCAATAGTATAATTTACTGAATTTTCTGACAAAATATCAACCACATAGTTTGAATGTTCCTCTTCCTTCGACCCTTGAAGTGTAGGAAGAGCTTCAAGCCCTTCCTCATCAATTTTATATTTAAAGATTTTACCATCGGAACTTCCACTAAGCAAAGTATCATTTTCTAACAAAATCTTAGTAATTGGCGCTCTATTTCCTTGCACAACTTTAATCAATTCGCCGTTTTCATCAAAATAATTTAGATCTCCGTTCGAATTAAGGGAAAGAACGTAATCTTTTGTTATAGCCAACCCAACCTGTTGATTATCTATTGTAGGAGTTTCAACACTATTATATGTCGTGACAGCTACACCATCGTTTATAGACCATTTTTTCAAACTACCATCTGCAGAAGCTGTTATGAAATATTTTGAATCAGGTGCCCATTGGACTGCAAAAATACCACCTTCATGTGCTTTCTCAATTTTTTTTATAAATTCTCCTGTCTTTCCTTCATATAAACATATGACTCTATCTGAACCAACTGAAACGATAAAATCACCATTGGGACTAAACTTCACATCTCTCACGACATTTGAATGTAATCCTCTTAAACTTTTTTCAAATTTGAAAGGGGGACCTTGAAAAAATACCATTGCAAAATCATCACTCACTGTGGCAGCTCTGTACGGTCTTTGAGGTTTAATATCAACAGCATTTATAGTTGAACTATGACCTTGAATATCTCCAATTGAATTTCCAGAATCCCAGGAGAAAGCATGTCCAAACTTTTCCTTACCTTGTCCTACGGCAATTATTCTAGAATTATCAGCATCCCAAGCAATTGACTTGATTGGGCCTGATATTATTTGAAATTCACTCTTTATTACAGGAACATTGAAGTTTTCATCTCCCTTTTTGGGTGCTGCGTCCCATATTTTAACTTGACCTGATTCATCACCTGAAGCTATGTAATTTCCAGATGGGGAAAATTTCACTGCCGTTGTAATGTGATTATGCTTTGGAAACACAATTATAGGAGAATTGGATTTGAAGTCAGCGGGTCTAATAATTATTGATTTTCCATTGGTATACGCCAATCGGTCGTTTACTGAGTCATACGTAAGGTGAGAGGCTTGACCTCTTTGAGTGTTCGGATGAGGTGCAGTCACTGAAAGTGGTTTTATGGACATTGAATTTGTGAATTAATTATGATTGGGTAAATCTAATAATAATTAAAATTGATTGTAAAGGAGAATAAAAATGAAAAATTAAATTGAAGTTAACTTCAACAAGATCAAACTCAAATAATTATGATTAGATTAACTAAATCAAGAATCACTATCAATGGAATTCGTCGTTTGACAAATACAGCTGTCAGATTCAATCCCAAAAAGATTGATTCCCCTCCACCAATTCCTGAAATTAAGAATGGAAATTTTGTAATTGCAACTCCACCAAGTATAAATCCAGTCCCAATTGAAAATGAAATACCTCCTCCTCCTCCACCACCAAGTCCCAAGAAGAAGAAGTTTTCATTTAGTGGGTTTTTATTTAAAACTTCATTACTTGCAATAGTGCTTTATGGAGGAACCATGTATTTGGCAACAAAAAATAATAAGGTATTGGATTTTGTTCTTGATAATGATTTACCATATAATGAACAATTAATCGATTTTTTCGAAAATCTTTCGAAAGAAGATTTTGAGGAACTTTGGTATAATATTCAAAACAAATTCACTGATGTTAAATTACCTACTAAATCTGAAATTGGTGAATTAACAACAAAACTAGAACATAGAAGTGAAGATTTCCTTAAAGAAACTAAAAAGAAATTATCAAGTAAAAAAGATGTCAGAAAAGGTACTGATTTGACACCTGTAGAACAATTGCAAAAGCCAGTTGAAGTCGAGAGTTTAACTAGAGATGTTCTTCGTTTACCATTAATAGAACTTGATGCTGAAGTTGCTAATTCTGTTGATTCTTCAGTAAAACAAATTATTTCATCTTTTAATAATTTTGTACAATCAATTGATGCAAATACTTTAGAAGGTTCCAATTCAAATTTGATTAAAGCTATCGACACTAGTGTGAATCAATTGGCATCCAAATTAACTAATTTAACAACAAATTTCGACAACGAGTTACAGAATAAATTGAAAGTGTCACAAACTGAGTTAGTCAGTTCTTTTACCAAAAAGGAGTTAGAGTTGACTGAAAACTTGATTTATCAATTCAATCAAGAGAAAGCACAATTAGAGAAAAAATTAAACAAAAGATTAGAACAAGAAGTGAAAGCTGCAAGACAAGCCATTAGTCAAGCTGCAACTAATGCAGTTTCGATGGTTAGAATTGAACAAACTAAAAATTTTGAAAAATTAGTAACAGAAAAACTTAACGAAGAAAGAGAAGGTAGATTGGCAAATTTGGATAAACTTAATGATAAAATCAATGATTTGGAAAAATTTGCAGAAAGTTTCGAAAAACAAATCGTTAATACTCATAAGAAAACATTGATACAGCAGTCAATCAATAAATTGAAATCATTATTATTGTTCTCCCAACCTGAAAATTCAACGCCAAAAAGCATAGGTCCTTATGTTGATATTTTGGGTCAAATTTCAACTGATGATGAAGTTTTAAATTTAGCTTTAAAAGATTTGATTCCTTTGATTTCAAATGAATCCACTCACTCGATTTTAAGTAATTCACAATTATTAACTCGTTGGGAACAATTAGCACCAGAATTAAGATCAAGCTCATTGTTACCACCTAATGCTGGGTTATTGGGTCATTTGTCATCACTTATATTTTCAAAGCTTTTAGTACCGGTTAAAGGTGTTAAAGAAGATGGTAAGGATATTGAATCTGTTATTGGACGAGTTGAATACAGTTTAGCCAGGGGTCAGTTAGATGTTGCCGTGGAAGAAGCTACAAACTTGAAAGGATGGAGTAGAAGATTGGCTAATGATTGGGTCATAGAAGGTAGAAAAAGACTTGAAATTGAATTTCTACTTGGTTTGATCGAATCTGAAGCAAAATTGCTTTAGACTCCTTTTGTGTAGTACTAATAATAAATATTATATCATTGATCTATCTTCTTCTTCAAAGAAAAGTTTTGGTTGTGGATTATGATGCGGTAGATTGTCTTCTTAACTAAAAATTTAAAATTTTATTGTAATCTGCGGCTTAAGATGTGATTTCAATTTTAACCATTCAATATCATTAATCATTAACATACATTCAACTCAAAATGAAGGCTGTGGTATACATTAATAGTGACGAAGTTTGTCAAAAGTGTAAAAATGAACAAGCAATACTTAAAGCAAGGAACGAACTACACTGCAGGGAATGCTTCTTAAGACTCGTAAGAGGTAAGCAAAGAAAACAAATGTCAGATGAGAGATATAAAGTAAATTACAAAAGAAATAAAAATGAGAAAGTGTTATTGGCATATTCAGGTGGCATTTCATCGTTAGTATTGCTAGATATTATTGCAAACTTACTCGCGGAACAATCCGAGGCACATAAAGGTTTAAAAGGTTTTGACCTTGTGGTCATCAATTTGAATGAGTATCAATATAAATCACTATCTGCTAAATTGGATTCCATCTTACCACAATTATGGAAGCGATATTCAATACCGATGAATTTTAAAATAATATCTATAAATGATTATTTGGATGAGAATACGTTATACGCTATATCGTTGGATAATGAATTTAAATCCTTTGCAAAACAAATTAAAACCAAAACTACTATAATTGATTTGCTCAACAAATGCCCAAACAAATCATCAGCAGAAGACTTACTTTCAATTATTTTGCATAAGTTATTGTTAAAAGCGGCCAACAAAGAAAACTGCAATACTATAATTTATGCTCATTCCATGACAAGAATCGCCAACGAGATATTAGCCTTGACTGTGAAAGGTAGAGGCTCAATGATACATAAATCTATATCTGATAGGACTGAAAACATAGATGGTAAACCCATAACTATCATTTACCCATTAAGAGATGTTTTACATGATGAAATTATTGAATATTCAAAATTATCTCATTTGCAAGAGTATATTGTAGATTCAACAATTTTAAAATCGAAAATTTCAAAAAACTTGACGATTAAAGATTTAGTAGCTAATTATTTCACAAATTTAAATGAGACAGGTTACGCTTCAACTGCTTCAACGGTTATGAAAATAGGTCAGAAATTAACATCACCACAATCAAATACTGAAACAACGACAGTCTGTAAAATATGTGGTGTTGAAATATTTCAAGATCCTCAAACATGGTTGAGAAGCATAACTGTTAATGATCCAGCCCCAATTACAACTGAAGAAGAACAAGAATACTATAAGATGTATAAATCAAGCAGTGCTCACGATATTCTGCAGAACGGAAGCAATATTGATTTATGTTATGGATGCATTACAACATTGAATGGAACAAACGAATTCATTTGGCCTATAAACCCATCCATAAAGATTCTGTATGAAAATTCTCATCAAAATGTGCTTGATGAATTCGTTTTAACTGATACCGAAGAATAACAAACAAAAAAAAAAAAAAAAAATTATTTGTGTATATTACTTTATAGTATGTCTACAAATCACCATATAATGAGTAATCAGAATGTATTCATCGTCTGATCCTTTTCCAAAGGGTCTCCATCACCTCTGGTCTAAACACAACTTGCCAAATGATTCGACCCAGATTGCACCAGCATTGTCTTCATTTACTGCTGACTTTCCAGGTCCAAACCTATCAGAGGTAAATAATTCAAACGATTTATCATTATTATTGAAGGTCAAACAACAACAACTTGACAATATCAGACTTACTGGATACTCAATAATTAGACCGATTGGTATTACAAAGACAATGGCAGAAATTGATTATTTGAAAGAACAAAATTCAAACATAGTGAATGATGAATCATACAATAACATACTGGAAGCTGCTGAAAATTCACGTATTGAAGAAGCCGAAACTTTACCATTACAACAAGATTTGGATGCCCAAATTTTAAATGCTGATGAAACATTAAATTCGGAAGATTTTGAAGAAGATGAGAATTCCATTTCTGACGAACCTAGTTTTCAAGCAAGACAAAATTTACACATTCAAAATGTTGATGAAGGATTTATGGCAGCTGATGTAGAGTATCAAGATGATCATAGTTTAAATTCCGAAACAAATACAAATATTTTGATGAATAGTGGAGCTACAACTGGTTTAATTACCCAAAGAACAGCCACAACGAATCCAACAACGGCAACTTCATTACGAACAGTTGAAGAGCGCTATGTTGATGAAAATGATTATTCGGAACAAGATATGCTTGTTGATTAATGTATATATTTATTTTTTATTATATCTACTTTGGCATCTTGTAAATGTATAGCCGGTACCATCCATTTTCCACAAGAACATCTCGACCCTTTCCAACTATAGCCTCCAATTTTCGTACTACATTTAGGACAATTGAATTTACCTTCCAATTCAGATTTTTCTAATTCATCTCTCATCCATTCCACGGGTTTTTCGAAAAAATAATGAGAACATGAATTACTAGCTTGTTGAGTAGATATGATTCTTCTTGAATTGGGAGCTGTTTTGATGAATTGTGACTGCCTTGAATTAGAATCAGGTATTTCATGCTCTTCAATATTGTTGTTATATGCTAAAGCTTTACGACATCTTTTGCATCGTAACTCATATAACTTTGGCTTTGAATTTGCTACTTCTGAATTCACTAGTCCATCATTAATTGTTATTTCTCTTAAATTTTGACCCAGTGGATCTAGTTTTAACGATAATTCTGTGATATATGCTTTGTACGCGGGATTCTGTTTGTTCTCAACATAATTCATATCTTCATATAATTTCAATTGTTTTAGAAATGATGGATTTGGTTCTGCTTCTGGGAATTTTCTTCGTACAGCATAAAGTGCCTCTTGAAGTTTTAAGTGATGCTTCTTCATTAAATATGCTGCTATGACTGTCACCGATCTCGACACTCCTTGAGAGCAATGTATTAGTATTTTTCCTCCTTTTGCTAACTCTATAAATTCAAAACATTCATTAAAATAAGGAATCATATTAGTTGTTACTTCGTCTGTCACCTCTATTTGTTTCCATTCATAGCTTGAAAAATAAGATGTCTCTTGGACTTTACCCGGAAGAACTGATAGTATATGTGTTATTCCATACTCCGACTTTAAGTCTACCTGATCATTGATTTCTTTTATTGATGAAAGGTATAGATTATTCAATATTCGATAGATCATTTGATTTCAAAGTTATGATGAGCTAAGAAGTAGATTTGTGCGGCTTATAATTAAAATATTAAGTTGAGATTGAAATTATTTACTAAATATTTTTCAACTTGTTAATTTCTTGAAGTATTTCGAACCAAATAACTTTAAATGTACAGTACGCCCGAGTTACTACATACACCAGTGAATGAATTAAGGGGGGAGACCATTCATTTTCTATAAAACGGTACAATGTAATTGATCTACATTTCTTTTATAATTACGAATTCTGTGGTAGCTAATAAAAACTGAAACATGGTAGCTATCACTCAACTCTTTGACGTTACGTTAAATAGATTCTCAAGCATTATGCAATTTGAGTTTTGTTTTTCGTTTATAAATTGAGGCAGTTTTTAGTTAATTGACCTAATTTTCTTTTTTTAATTTTCGTCTCATGAAACTTTTCTCTTTCAGTCAAATCAGAAATTTACCCCAGAATATATTTTTTATTTTCTCTTTATGACGACATTTAGTAGAAATTGAATAAATTTGTCGCAATATATGAGATTTATATTTGCCGACTACTTACCATTATAGCTTTGGTGATCATCTCTTCAATTTGATCATAAACCAAATTTTTTCTCGTCTTAAATCGTTCGAGATAATTTCTTGTGTCGTTTCATATTTGTTCAAAGTCGTCATAAATTTAGGTTAATATTTTGATTTTTATTTTAATACGAATATGAATTCTGAAACACTTCACATTAATATTCTGAAACACTTCACATTAATATTTCGAAACACCTCATATTAAAGAAAAATACAGATCAAATCGTCAAACAAATATGAAACAAATCAAATTTATAAATAAAGATGAAATCCCAATAACGACTGAGCTAATGAATCTAACATATTCAATAGCAAAGTTCAATGTCCACTAAAAATGCTCTTGATAAATTATATCAAGATGATGAAGACGTTCCAACTGTTTTTATTGATTCGGAGAAATACAAGGATCTTAGTTCAGTTAATAAAATTGAATCATTGGTTTTAAATATAAAATTTGCTAAGCTATTTCCATACTTTCATTTAAGTGTTAATCATGAACTTCAATACGACGAAGTTAAAGAGAAGTATATTGTGGCAGCTTACTCCATCTGTAAACAGATGGGGGAGTCTAGGGATGTTGTTGGTAGAAATTTATACTATCAAGGGAAATCTTTTTGGAATGATGCATCAGAATGTTATGAAAAATGTTTTGAAATTTTTAATCTACTTGAAATAGATCCAACAGAAATCGGAATTAGATTCATCTATAAAGCTCATTATTATACCAATATTTTTCCAATGGATACATTTGAAGAATTGCATCATCGTCATTTAGATATATTTAAAAATCAGGACCACAATCAAGAAGTATTATTGATCGTTTTGGAAAAAGATACTGTTTTTTACCAAATTTGTGATTGGTTGAAAAAGTTAGGTGACAAATTCAAGAGAAAGGTTTTAATTTTAAGTGGTCAAGGCCAACCATCAATACCAACAAAAAATTTTGTGAAAAAATTAACAGAATGGTATAAAAATAATTTAAAAACCATTGGTTTATTCGACTATGATCTTCATGGGTTACTCATTGGAAATCAATACCAACAAAAATGTGAAAGAATCAAGTTTATAAAGATTATAGACCCAGAATGTACTAGATATCATGTGGAAAAAAAAGATAGAACTGGTTTAAAAAATTTAGCTGACGATCCAATTGCACCAACATATATTAGGAGATCAGCAATGGATTTATATTCTTCTTTCGATGAGAATATTCCCAAGGCAACCCCAATTGATTCACATGCTACATTGCTGCTTCAATTAATGAAACTTATTTTGAACGAAAACTTTGATGAATTATATGCTAAGAACATTTTTTTGGAATTAAACATTCCAGAAGCAAGTAAAACAAGATTAGGATCATTATTTCCACCAATCAAAAGAATAATATTTCAAGATCATGATTCATTAAATAAGAAGAGAAAATTCGTTAACGATGATGATCGTAAAACTTTACTGCAGAAAAAAGTTAAAACCAATACATCTCATTCCAATAAATAAATTCTATAACAATAAATACTATATATCAAATAAAATGCTTATTCTTCACAATTATGTATATTCGCAATTCTTTAAACTGTTTAGATATCAAAATTAATTTACTAGGCTTCAATTAATCTCTGTATTTTTTTTTTTTTTTTTTTTTTTTTTTTTTTTTTTTTTTTGACATATGCAATAATCTTGAAAAATTGTAATATCACGTTTGAGATTGTCAATATCAAAACTAGTATTCTGTATGACAAGTACAATTAAATCAATTGTAGTGCTCTAGGAGAGAGGTAAACTTGCCTTGTTTAATTTTACAGAACAATTTTGAAACCTAATTCATCGTATCTTCAAAAAAAATAAAAAATATGTATAAAAACAATCTATTAATTTTGCTGCAAAATATAATTTTGAAATTCTATTTTGTGTAATGTTTATAGTATCTTGAAACTTTCAGTATTAGAATTGTATTTAACATTTCTCAACTTCTCAAAATAATCAACTCAAACAGGTATAAACCCAAAATTAAATCATATTTGCTTTAATGGAGCTAAACTTTAATCGATTATCTTCTAAATTATAGTACTTAGAAAAGGAACGAGTGAAAAGTTTTGACTGTTTAGCAAGCTAGACTACTGATTTAATAAATAATTAGTTTTGGAAAAAAAAAAGAACAAAATATTTACATTAAAATTAAAATTTTGTGTCGTACAAAATACGGATGCTGCGAAACAAAAGGAAAAAAAAAATAAATAGGAATAAAGTGGTATATAGAGAGGAGCGAAAAGTGTTAGAGTTGAGTAATATATAATCATCAAAGTTTTAGATCATGAGATAATTCGTGTAGTTTATCTACTTATACAATTAACAAACGAAGACCGTATATCGTATATTGCAAGATTTTGTATCATATTTATATACTAAGAAAAACATCCGTACCTCCATAACATTTCCAGTTTACATCCGTACCGCAGCACACAAGAGAACCATTATTTGCTGTACAAAGGGTCGAATTAAATTATCGCCAATAATTTATAAATTATTTCTTCTGTCTCATTACACCATCGTCTTACTTTTAGAATCATTTGCTGATAAAATGTTAGATAATTCAATTCATTCAATTGATCACGAGTTGAAATAATTCATTTAAAAACAAAGGACCATTATCATATCCTGAATAAGGATTCATTGTTGCAGAAGATGCATTTCCATTACTTAGATCCGCTTTTTGAAAAAAATAATGGATCCAAACGAAAGATCATGGTATAATACTCAAAAACAACATGTATCAAGAGATAATATTGATGATTTTACTAATGGTCCATTAATTACATCAAGTAAATTAACTGAAGAGATTACAAAATGATTCAGTTCAAATTTATTTCAAAATCATAATTATTTAGTACTTAGTTAAATTGAAAGATGAGCGAATGAAGACATTCAACATGATAAATACCGAACTTGAAAAAAAAATTTTTCATTCAAAAAATGAGAGGAAAAGAGTTTATTTAATCGATTAGATTTTTTTAATAAGGTCCTTTACTTGATGATGGACACTTAAATTTTTCGATTGCAAATCTTTATCGAAAATCTGGACATTTCTTACAACAATAGTTACAAAGTTATTGGAATGGAAATATAAATACAGGTACTGAACAACTCAAGATAGAAGAACAAGAAAATTAATAAAAAATGAAAACAAAAAAGTTCAGGCACGGTTAACTGGAGTGTAATGAATTTGTTTGAAAATTTGCAAGTTTTGTCAAGAAAATAGATCCAAAGGTTAAAAAGACTCGACAAGAATTAGGAAGACAACATTTGAAAAATTTATGAGAGATGTCAATTTGATACTTCAAACAATTGTCACGGACGAAATTAAAAATATGGCTTGAATGATTTAAAATGAATATTCAAATTGAATTAATGATCCAATTACAACCACAATAAATCAGAATAATCGAGTGATTTCGAATATGATTTAAATAATGAGGATGACCTAAGTAAAAAGATTCGCGAATTTGAATGTTGTCTTTAATAAACAAAATAAAGTTTATGAAGATTCAAACAAAGTTCTTAAAAAAGTAGTTGTGTAAACAGAATACGAATTGAAAGAAAAAGAAATTGATCAGGGTATTGGTGATGATGATGATGACAAAGATGAAGAAGAAGATGGAGAATTTGAAACTGCTGATTATGAATTTGGATTATTAGATAGTGATCTTGAATATTGATACGATGATGTATTGAATGGAGATAATGAAGAGCAAAAGGAAGATGAGAATGTTAATACGTGGCGATGTTCTAATACCAATACATATCGCAGAGACACTCACCCCAAAGAAGAAGAATTTGAACATCCAAATGGTGAAAATAAATTAAGAAGTAAATTTTTACGATCATTAGAAAATTTTATTTGAAATATTCACATTCAAATGATGAATGGAACCTAAACTATAGAATAAAAATGAGTTATACTTGCAACATTAGCAATATAACTTTAATCATGGTAAATGCATTTAATAGTTCAAATCATCAAAAAAAGTACCAAAACCGTTTAATCCACTCATCGATAATTTGATGAAAAGATAATTCACTTTAGTTGAAGGAATAAATTATGCTGCTACTAATGATATTGAAAAAAAAGAAAGGGAAACAAACGAAAGTATAATCACCAAGTGAACTATAAGAAACGTTATAGAATTTATAAAGCATATTATTTTAAAAATCAGAATGTATTTTAATGATCTTTACATTATACTATTAAGAAAGTACTTGATCCGAACTTTATAAATTAGAACAAATAATCTGATAGATAGGCCTTCACAAAGAGCATTCTCAAGTATTATTTCATTTGCAAAGATGGGTTTATTAATACTACTATTAATACTCAAGATCTAGGTTTGACATTTAGATTAAAAGGATCTTTCTAACAATGTTTTGTGATTTTATTTTTCATCATTACATTGAAGATATATAATCAGTGCTACAACAGTTCGTTGACTCAAGTACCATGTTATGAATTGACTATGACCTGAACGACACGTTATAATGTAAAAAGTTTAAAGTATAATAGGTTCAGAATATTAAACAAAAAAAAGTTGGTATTATAAAAAAACTTCAGTACCAATAAAGATGATCATATGACATTATAATAACATATTCACGATATAATTTTTGTTATTTATTCAATTTTATTCATTTCTATTCAATCAGAACAAATTATATAATCATGAAGACAACACGAACAAATGAAAAAAAAAAAAAAAGAAGAAGAAAGGAAGCAAAAACAATTAAGTAAGCAAAAACAATTAAATCAAAAAAGATGAGAATAGCAACCACTCACTTATTCAAGGACAAAAACAAACCAAAAATGACAACGACAACGACAACAAAAAAACCAAAAAAAATTCATAAAAAAACCGAAATAAAAGATGAGAACAATAACAGCAACCATTCAAAAATCAATAATTACTTTTATATCTTTATCTTTCATAAGCTTTCTCATTAAGTTTTTCAATGAATCAGAATCTCTATTTCTGTAAAAGCCTTTTCCAGATAAGGCATTTAAGAAGTCATAAGTTGACATTGATTCATCTTTATGATCATATAATGAAATGAACAATTTCATTTCATTGTAACTATAATTACTTGAAAGTGCTCTAGGTTTATATTGACTTGAATTTAAGTTGTTGACCATTGGAATTGAAATATTTTCAATTTGTTCAACATTGAAAATATCATTTAAATTATGTTCTCTCATTCTTTGAATTTTTTGACATAAGGATTCAGTTGGTCTATTTTTGAAGAATTTGTCTTTTAATTCGCTGGAACAAATCAAATTGGCCAAAGTAATTGATGTTATATCATTACTGGCAAACGAGAAGACCAAATCCAAAATAACTTGTTCTTTAAACAGAAAATCTGATTTCGTAGGTTGACACACGAAGTTGTTTAAATCGATTTTTTCTTTAACAGCATTCATTAAAATTGTTTCATCTAATTTGAACTCTTGATTTAGTGGTGATTCAATTAAATTTAATGATAAGATTTTTGTGTAAAGCCCATTTCGATTCTTAAAGAATCCGTTTGAAGTGAGCAAGTCCGCGAATTCTGTTTTTACAATACTCTTAGATGATGGCTCTTCTGAATCAGCAAGGAACAAATTCCACAAATGATTTATTAGTTCAATTTCGGCTTTTTTATACTCACCAGTTGGTTGGGCAAAATTTTTAAATTGATATTCAAGTACATCCTTCATAGCAATTGAATTTATATCGTCAACGTTAAAATAATCTATAAGTTTTATTTCATCTAAAACTTCTATTTTGTTTCTTGCTTTTAATTTGTGTAATGTACTAGATAATGATCTTTTTGATCTATTTTCAAATAAACCTACGTTACCAAATTTATTAATAAAATCACGAATTGTGGTCCCTTTTGTGGAATTTTTAAAAAGTTGTTGCAAAATTAATTCTTCCTTATCAGAATAAGGAGCATTAGACTTTGAAATTGCAACTTCAGTTATTCTTAAATCATTCATTGCGATTTTGATATCCATTATAGGTTGAGAATCATTTGATCTATTAATTTCAGAACTGAAATAACTAATCAGTTGTTTAGCAATTTCATAAAAACGTGATTGCAATGACTTAGCAGTTCTATTTTTAAATATGGAGGTGCCAGCAATAATTTGTGTAACTTGGTTGATTGTTAAAGAATTGAATTTTTGTATAATATATCTTGCAATTTTTATTTCTTTCTTTGTTAATTTTGATCCATTAGACGAACCTTTTATTTTTGTTAAATCAATACCAATTTCTTTTTTAATTGTTTCCACATCCATAATTTCTTTCCATTCGTATGTTTTTACTTCATTTGGTTGTAATGCACCTGAATGGAATTTATCATACATTGATTCGAGATTGCGATTTTCAAATACCCCTTTTGAGCTTATAGCTTTACAAATATCTTTTGATGTATAAAAGTTTTCGCTCGAATTGACTTTAGAAAACACATGATTAATAATTTTGATTTCCCAGTCTTTGTATTTGGAACTTTTTTTTGATGGGACAATTTTTGTTAAATCAATATTTAATTTCTCTTGAATTTCTTCTTTGATAACTAAATCATTGTATTCTAATGGTTTAACATTCTTCATTGGATTAAATCCTTGGTATGTATTTTCATCTACAGTACCAGCAGTACTGGCTTCATATTTATTTTTTGCCATGCAAATTATATTTTTTATTGATTTGGTTGATCTGTTTTTAAAAAAACCTTTATCTCCAAATTCTTCCAGGAAAAATTTGGAAGTTTTATAAGCTTTGAGTTTGAATAAAGCATCAACCACATCCGTTTCGATATCCGATATAACAGTTTTGAATGGAGCGAAATTTTCTCCATTATAATCTTTTATCATAGATGCTGTAATATTTGAAATGGATGTAACACCAAAAATTTTGTGAGCTTCTATTGTTGCTGGATCATTCGGAGAAATTTTACCTCTTTTAACCAATTTATTTAATTTGCTTGACAAACTTTGAGATGAATAATTTACAAATATACTCTTATTGGCAAAGCGTTCACAGAAATGACCCCTGTCTTCACCTATTACTCTATGGTTTTTCCATAATTCAATTAAAACTTCATTTTTATTTTCATAAGTACCGGATAAATTATTTTCAGTTGTGTCTTGTTCTTCATCATCATTAAAATTTAATTTTTGTACTACTTTTTTGATAATTTCAGATGGATGTTCAATAGATTTTGGAACTTCATCATTTTCCTCATTTCTGTTCAGACCCGTTGATGAATTATTGATATATTCTTCTTCTTCTTCTTCAATATCATCATCTTCATAAGAATAAGAATCATCTTCTTCGTTATTTTCATCTTCTTCTTCATCTTCATCTATGGAAATATCATCACTATTGTCATTCCATACATTAATATTTTCACCAATTCTTGGTATATTTAAATTATTGGTAGTTGAAATTAAAGAATTATTGAAAGTAGGGTTATAAGATAATGTATTTGATTGATTGATAATGGGTTGTAAAACTTGATATTGTTGTTGTTGCTGTTGTTGATGTTGTTGTTGATATTGTTGAAGTAGATCATGTTGATAATTGATTTGTTGTTGTTCTAAATTAAAATCATCATTAGTTACCATTGATGAAGTTTGAATTTTATTAAGATGACTCGTGACAGAATTTGTAATTGATTCAGTTCTATATTTTTCAAACCCTTGCCGAGCAAGAAGTTTATTGATTCTATATTTGTGTTTTTTATGGGAATTAAGCATTTGAAATTATTAATGAATAAATAAATGTAAATAATAATTTATGATTGATTGAAAGTAAATCTTGATGAAACTTTTATATATTAAGATAATGAAGCAATTGATTTGTAATTTTGAAAGAATTTTTTATGGCTTGAATTGAATTAAACTGAATTAAATTGTAAAAACTTTGGTGTAATATAATGTTGAATGTTGTTTTGTTTTTTTGGTTTTTGGTTTTTTGTTGTTATATATCATTTTAAATCTATAAATCTATTAAATTATTTGGTAGTAACACAAAATAAATTATTTGTGTTATAAACTGAATAATTAATATTTTAAATCTTTATTAAAGTTATTAATTAAAGAAATAACATCACTTAACATCACTATTTTTCATTTAAGAATAACTTATTAATCATTAAATCAAGTTAAAATCAATAATGTCATCACCAATTTCAAATACTGAACTTAATCAGCTAATGTCTGCATGTAGTGAATTTTTGACAGAGTTATCTGTCGTGAAAACTAAAACAAAAAATCTGTAGTTTGAAGGTGACTATCTCTGAAAACTAATTTCTATTATCTGAAATGATATAAAACAACTTGGTAAATAAATGTTTATTTTTTGTAGAGAGAATATCTTGGTGAAAATTTAATCAATGAAATATAAAAAGGTAAAAAAATATTGGAAATTCGTCCATAATTAAGATAATCTTTAAGCCTTAGACAAATTTTTTTGATGGTGAAAATTTAATAACAATAAAGTGAAATTTTCATTGTAATAATAGAATAAAAATATAGAAATTTCAATTTTTTTTTTTTTTTTTTTCTTTATAACCTATTTATTAAGTCATCTATACAATTCACTATATAAATATACTAAATATATTTACTTCGATATAGTTCAATTGTTTCTGTGCGAGGAAATTTCTAGCGGACGCAATATTTACACGACAAGTGTACTTTTACCACTACAAAAACAAAAGCAGTTGACTGTGAGTTAAATGAAATGTTATAATGAGAAAGAATTATAGCATAATAGAATTACGGTATTAAAAAAAAGTTGATACTAATGATCATATGGCACACTATGATAATGTCTTCAGGATATGAATAATATTTATTCAAGTTTATTCAATTATAGCACATTATATAAATTATATAAATTATATAAATTACCATTAAAACAACAAGAACAAATGAAAAAAAAAAAAAAGAAGAAAGTAAGCAACAACAACAAATAATCCAAAAATGATGACAATAACAACCACTCATGACTTATTTAAGAACAAAAACAACGACAACGAAAAAACCAAAAAACCAAAAAACCGAAAAACATAAGAAAAGATGAGGACAACACCGACAACCATTCAAAAATCAATAACGACTTCAATATCTTTATCTTTAATTAGCTTTCTCATTAAATTTCTTAATGAATTATAATCTCTATTTTTAAAAAAGCCTTTTCCAGCTAAGGCATTTAAAAATGTGTTAATGGACATTGATTCATCTTTATGATTATATAATGAAATGAACAATTTCATTTCATTGTAACTATAATTACTTGATAGTCCTCTAGGTTTATATTGAGTTGAATTCAAGTTATTGACCATTTGAATTGAAATATTTTCAATTTGTTCAACATTGAAAATTTCATTTAAATTATGTTCTCTAATTCTTTGAATGTTTTGACTTATAGTGCCAACTCGTCTATTTTTAAAAATTTTGTTTTTTAATTCGCTGGAACAAATGAAATTAGCTATAGTTTTTGATGTTATATCATTAGTGGCAAACGAAAGGACCAACTCCAACACAAATTGTTGTTTAAACAGAAAATCTGAATTACCAGGCTTATACAGAAAGTTGTTCAAATCAACTTTTTCATTAATTAAGTTCATTAACATTGTTTGATCCAAATTAAATTCTTGATTTGTTCTCAATATTGGGTCATTCAAACCAAGAGTCAAGATTTTCGTATATAATCCTGTTCTATCTCTAAAAAATCCGTTTGAATTGAGTAAGTCAGCAAAATCTTTTTTTACAATACTCTTAGATGAAAACTCTTCTGGATCAGCAAGAAACAAATCCCATAAATAAATTATTAATTCTATTTCAGCTTTTTTATAATCTCCTGTTGGTCTTGCAAATTTTTCAAATTGGTATTGAAGAACGTCTTCCATTGAGATTGAATTTATGTCGGTGACATTGAAATAATCTGTAACTTTAATATCATCTGGAAGTTTCAACTCGTTTTTTGCTCTTAAGGTGTGTATTTTGTCAGTTAATGCTCTTTCTGATCTATTTTCCCAAACCCCGACATTACTAAATTTATTAACAAATTCACTAATAATTGAAGTACTTTTAATAGAATTTTCAAAAAGCTTCTTCAAAATTAATTCTTCATTATCAGAATAAGGAGAACCAGCTTTTGGAATTATGATTTTGCTTATTCCTAAATCACGCATAGCCGTTTTCATTTCAGTCATAGCTTGGGTATCATTAGAATTAGACTCAGAACTTAAATGACTAATCGGTTGACTAATATGAAGTAAAGAAACTGATGATATAACAGTTCTATTCTTGAAAATTGAATTACCTGCAATAATTTTTCCAATTTCATTTGTTTTTAAAGATTTGAAGTTTTCTATTATATACTTACCAATTTTCACCTCCTCATTTGTAAATTTTGATCCTCTAGGCGAAGCTTTTATTTGTAATAAATCTAAACCAGTTTCTTTTTTAATTGTTTCATTATCCAATAATTCTTTCCATTCGTATGTTTTTACTTTATTCGGTTGTGACGCATTACGTTTGTGTTTCTCTATTGATTTAGCAGTTCTATGTTTAAAAATTCCTTCTAAGCTCAAAGCTTTGCATATAGCAGTAGATGAGTGTTGGTACTCTTTTGACTTCTCTTTGAGAAACACATGATTAATAATTTTTAATTCCCATTCTTCATATTTTGATCCTGCTTTTGATGGGGTAATGTTGGCTATATTGATATTTAGTTTTTCTAAAATTTCATCTCTTATAATCAAATCATCATATTTAGGACTAGATCTTTCAAAATTGATTACTTCTGTAGCACCAGCAGCATTAGCTTCATGTTGTTTTTTCTTAACCAACTGAATTAAAGCTTGAAGTGAAGATTTATTTCGAAATTTAAAAAACCCAATATTTTCAAACTCCTCCAGAAAGGATTTAACTTGATAATTGTCTGGGTTAAATAATCTGGATACCACATCCGTTTCGATATCCGAAAAAATATTTTTGAATGGAGCAAATTTTTCTCCATCAAAATCTTTGATAATTGATTTTGTAATATCGTTTAAGCTTGTGATTCCAAAGATTTGAGAAGCGTCTAATTTGCCTGGTTCCATTAATGAAATTTTACCACCTCTGCTCAAAGAATTCAATTTGTTTGTTAAAATATCAGCTGAGGAATTTTTAAATATACTGTTATTGGCAAAACGCTCACAAAAGTGGCGTCTGTCTTCCCCTTTAACTCTATGATTTTCCCACAAGTCCACTAAAACATCATTTCCAATTCCATTTGCACGAAATAATATTTTTCTTCCTTTATCATGTTTTAATTTTTGTTCCATGTCAGCATCCACATTTAATTTTCTAATAATTTTTTCTATTATTTCATTTGGATGTTCAATAGGCCCTGGAGTTTCATCATTTTCCTCATTGCTGTCCACATCCATTGATGAATTATTAATAATTTCTTCCTCTTCATCTTCTTCTTCTACTTCATTTTCTTCTTCTTCTACTTCATTTCCTTCTTCTTCTTCTTCTTCCTTATCTACTCCTTCTTCTTCATCTTTTTCTCCATCTTCATCTATGGGAATATTTTCACTATTGTCATCCCAAATTTTTATGCTTTTGCCAATTTTCGGTAAATTCAAATTTTCGGAGGAAATTAAGAAATTATTAAAAGTAGGATTATAAGAAGATGTATTTCTTTGATTAATAATGGGTTGTAAAAATTGATGTTGATGTTGTTGATGTTGTTGAAGTAATTGATGTTGATGATCAATTTGTTGTTGATATTGTTGTTGATGTAGTTGAAGTTGTTGATATTGATAATTTATTTGTTGTTGTGTTACATTAATATCATCGTTAGAATTTTGAATTTGATTAAGATGATTTGTTACATTATTTGTAATTGATTCTCTTCTCTGATTTTCAATATCATGTCGAGCAAGAAGCTTACTGATCCTATATTTGTTTTTTTTATTGAATCTAAGCATTTGAATGTATTAATGAATAAATAAATATAAATAATAATTTATGGTTGATTGAAATAAAAAATAAAGTAAATCTTGATAAAACTTTTATATGTATGAAGTAATAAAGCAATTGATATATAATTTTAAAAGAATTTATATTGGTTGAATTAAAATGAATTGAATTAATGAAATTTTAGTGTGGTGTAATGTTGTGTGTTATATATCATTTTAGATATCTATAGACAGTAATATATATATATATTTTTAGCCTAAAAAAAAAGATTAAGTAAGTTGAGTTTGTGTAATTAGCGTAAAACAATACAAACGCGCAAAATTTATTATTTTAAAATGATTTTACAGAATTTACAGGATCTTATAACTACCTTTCTGAGTTCAAGTTATGTTTATTGTTGAATTATGGGAGTCGATTTTCACTCCAGGTACTACTCCAGCTTTAATAACAGCTACTCATGCATCATTCATATTATTAATTATATCATTAATTGTGTTTTTCTTTTTAACAAAATCAATACATTTTTTTAATTTATTCATTATCGCAGTTCTACTTTATGGAACAGTCGTATGGTTTATCAACGAAATAAAACAAATTAAATTGAAAGATAATGAGGAATTAGAAAGAGATCAAGAAACACCAAAGGCTACAAGCACACAAGTTGAAACCAAAGATATTAAGCCAAAAAAGAGAAAAGTTTGAGTTAGAAAATTGTATAATATGTACTTTTAATAAATAATCTTCAAGGAAAAAAAATAAATTCGTTAACAACTTTACAAGTGTAAATGAGCTTTAAAGATGCGTTTCAACCTATAATCAATCATCCAGAAGAACATGACTCAGTTTTATTCCATGATGATAATGTAGTGATAATCAAAGATATGTTTCCCAAATCAATTCGACATTTGTTAGTCATTCCACGCCATAAAGAAGTTACAAAAAGACATCCATTGGATGTATTTAATTCATATTATACTGATTTCACTGGTGAAGAATTATATGATATGATTGATGAATATGTTGAAAGAGCTAAGGATATTATTATTGAAGATTTCAAAGTAAAATTAAACATATCAGACAACCCAACAATACAAGAATTACGAAATAATTTTATACAAGCTGGAGTTCATTCAATTCCATCACTAGATAACTTTCATATTCATGTCATGACTCAAGATTTCAACTCCCCACGAATGAAAAATAAGAAACATTATAATTCATTTACAACAAAATTTTTTGTACCATTTGATCAATTAAATCCTTTATATAATGAAAAGTATAACAAATTGATTAATAAAAATGAAGATTATGATTCAACTTCGGATATTTCCTCCTCGGAATCAGATTCGCCTGAATACATAAGACACATAAGATCTAAACCTGCATTGGAAGATATGATTAAATCAACACCATTTAAGTGTTCAAGTTGTGATAAAACGTTTGGTAATTCGATGGTTAAATTAAAAGCTCATTTAAATGAAGAATTTATAAAAAGATTTAATACGTTTGGAGATTCAACATCTATTAAACTTAATAATATCTGAAATGTTGCGGAAAATTTATAAATTACTGACGCCTTGGCTACTTAACCAAATCTGTCATAAAAGTATAAATCAAATTTGTAACTTTACTTCGTATATATTCAAAAAACCAAGCATATAGTCTATATAGGGAATAAATTGCCTTGTGTAACGAATATAATTATACTCCAACTATATAATCTTCATTTGGAACATCGTTATGACTAAAGACATTGCTATCCCCACAACTCAACAAATCTTTATCCAATTAATTTGTTTGAAACATTACTCAAAATTCAAAGCAAGAATTTTTTTTTGAATTTCTTCTGATTGTTCTTTTTATTTCGGAAGAATTTAATAAGGTTATGTACCTTGAATTAAACTCGTATATTTTTATTTGGGGGATCCAGCCTTACTCATAAAAATAATTCACCACTTTTAAGAGGTTTACTAGATTATTTGAGCTAATTCTGAACCAGATCTAAAATTATTTTCGGTCTAAATAACCTTTAGTCATGACAATGTTAATTAAGTGTAAAATCAAAATTACAAAGAAAAAAAGAATACTTCATAAGTTTTACACAAAACCGGAATATTTAAACTTATAAGAGATCTACGTTGTTTTGCAGCCTAATTTTTAAAGCCTACTTATAAGAAAAGAAAACCAATAAAATATTTAATAATTATTGCGATTAATTAATCTTACATGGAAATCCATTATTAAAAAAAATAAATTTAGTTCGTAAAGTTTGGGGAATCAATTTGGAGTTAGTGAGCACTTGAAATAAAATACATTGTGGAAATGAAATTTTCATAACTGAGGTAGAGGTTGAAGATTGTTAATGTGCGTGTTGATATAGGTTGTTTGCATGATCTCAATATTTTTCAAATGGATTCCTTAAACACTTCTTGAAACGTTCAAACTTAAAAACTTTAATAACACTTTTTACATCGGTAGTGTACTAATGCTAACGCTAATGTTTTTTTTTTTTTTTTTTCGAATTAGCTCACTAATGAAAAGTCACAATAATACAGTCTAATACAGTCAATAGTCATAAAACCTCCTCATACTGATATTACTGAGACGATGCAATAGGCTTTATCAACATCGTACACTAACTCGAATACACTGACCACAACAACTCGTCAAATCATTTCAATATATATATACATTCAAACACTAAATAAACAATAAACAGACAATCAACTATCAAACTATACCTTACTTGCATTACACATTGCACTGTACCAACAGAATTTAGTTAAAATCCATGATTTAATCAATGGTGCATTTCATCCCCACCATTTTCAGACTAAGACTACGGGGAATTTTAGAATATAAATAGATTATGAATTCCCGCTCTTAATCATGAATACTTGTATAACTCATCAATATCGAAAATGTTTACAACTGAGTCAAACGAGAAGGTTCAAGTAGTTAGAGAAGAAAAGGTTCAGTTCGAACATGATGAAGATTCATCGATGGAATTAGGTGCTAATTTTGATGTTGATGCTGAATTTGAAAAATTTGCAGAAATTGGAGCTCAAGAAAAGCAACAACATTCATTCTTCACAAATTTAAAGAATATGGAGTTTCCATTGGATTTTGAAAATAAGATGGTTATGGTTTGGTTATTGGGAGGATTTGCGGCTGCTGGTGGTATGCTTTCAGGAGTCGATCAATCCATTATTAGTTCAGCAGCCTTAGGTATAAAAGATGATCTTGCTCCAAGCTCTTCAGAAAATTCATTAATAAGTGCTCTTGTTCCATTAGGAGCTGTTGCTGGGAGTCTTTCAATTACACCATTATCAAAATTTGGTAGAAAGAAATTATTATTAATTTCTTGTTTCATTTATACTGTTGCTGGTTTAGTCTGTGCTTTAGCTCCTAATATTGGAGCTTTATATGCTGGTCGATTTTTACTCGGTATTGGTATTGGTCAAGAAGGTGGAGGTGTCGGTGTCTATATTGCAGAATCCGTTCCCTCAGATAAGAGAGGGCGGATAGTCAGTATGATGCAATGCTTCATCTCCGTAGGAGAACTAATTGGATATTTTACTGGACTAATTCTCTATGGAGTTGATCATGGATGGCGGTTGATGCTTGGGAGCTCGCTTATATGGTCCACCATTTTATTAATTGGTTTATTTTTCTTGCCGGAATCACCAAGATTTTTAGCAGCAAAAGGAAAAATTGGAGAATCATTTAATGTATTTTCAAGATTAAGGGATATTAACCAAAGAGAATATAAAGTTGAATTTATACAGTTAGTTCAAGCAGCGGAAAAAGAAAAAGAAATTAGACTGACACATAGTAAAGCCAAAGCTTGGACTGAATTATTTACAGTTCCAAGAAATAGAAGAGCATTGTATGTATCTAAACATTTCATAGGTTTGCAGTTCTTTTACTAACTTTTTAATAGGATTTATGGTGTTATGATGATTTCACTTGGTCAATTAACTGGTATTAATGCTGTTATGTATTATCTTAGTGATTTAATGGGTCAGATTGGATTTTCTCCAAAAAATTCCGTTTTTATGTCAGTAGTTGGTGGCGCTGCATTAATGTTTGGTACAATTCCAGGCGTGTTATTCATGGATCGTTTTGGTCGTAGAGTTTGGAGTTATAACTTAATAGGTTTCCTAGTTGGATTAATATTAGTTGGTGTTGGTTATCTTATACCGCTTGATACCCATCTCGCGGCAGCGGAAGGTGTTTATTTAACTGGTCTAATAGTATACATGGGTTTTTTTGGTTCTTATGCGTGTTTGACTTGGGTGGTTCCTTCTGAGTCTTTCAATATTGGAACTAGATCACAAGGTATGACTATTTGTTCTGCATGTTTATATTTATGGGCTTTTGTTGTTACTTACAATTTCAACAGAATGAAAGTTGCAATGACTTATACTGGTTTGACCATTGGATTTTATGGTGGTATAGCTTTTCTTGGATTTTTCTATCAATTATTTTTTATGCCTGAAACTCGTAATAAAACTTTGGAAGAAATAGATGAAATCTTTGAGAAGCCAACCATGCAATTAGCAAAAGAAAATATTCGTGGAGTTAAAAAGTTCTGGGGGTTCTAGTAGAGGTTGATAATATTGTTTGTTTAGTTATTTAGTTCTTTATTCACGAATTTGTTTATAAGTATTTGATCAATGTTCCTGATTAGAAACTGTGACTGTTATGAAGCTCTTTTTAAAGTTTGGTTGCAAAAATGAGGTACATAGAGTATAAAATATTAAGGTTTTGTGTTAAAAATTTCCTCAATTTAATATAGCACGATTGTTGAAGTTGGGAAGAAAAAATTAGAAAGAAGTTACTAGAATTTTTGATTTATTTCATTTTTATTAATATCAGCATTTTTTGAATCACTAAAATCAGTTAGATGATGAAAATTTCAGTCATAAGAGCTTGGACTATCACACTAATCATCAAGTTTTCATAAAGCCATATCTGTCATTATCCTTATCAGCATATGAACCATTTCGTCTCTCATTATAATTGAATGAATTAAAAAGGTCATTAATATTATTAATTAGTCTATCTATAAATGTTCTAAATTTGTTGTGTTCGAAAATATGAATTTCTTTATTAATTTCTTTTGTTGTTGTAGATATTCTTTCATAGCATAGTTTGATTTCAATGTTTCAACTTACTTAAAAATCCCATATCTTTTAATATTGAAGCTTCGGAATCTTATGGTGTTATTATTGTGTGTATGATTGTTGTTTTATATCTTTATGATGATATTAATAAATTCATGAATATTGATTATGTGGTTAAGTTTGTGAGTTTATCGGGGTTATTGTTTAGATTTGTGATAGATATGTTATTTTTCCCATTATTTGAGTGGTATTATGGACTATTTCCGTGGCCTGAATTTACGGGGGTGTATTGATGGAAGTAAGGATTGTTTGTGTATTGTATGTGATTTGTTTGTTTCATGAGGTTGTGGAAAGGGATGTTGTAGATAATCTTGGTTCACGTGAAACTAATCTAGTGGCACTATTCTCGATATTTGTGGCACTATTTTTTGAGTTTAATGTAGTTTTAGGCCCTTTGGCAATTCTTGAATCTATTGTTTTGTTGAGGAGGGAGATTGATGGAATTGTTTGAATATTAGTAGTCCTGAGAGACTTCTTCTTTGGGATGGTGTTGGATTTAAAAGCTTTAAGTTTTGAGTTGATTTCAATGTAATCAGCAATTGTAGGTGTTGATTGCGCTTCTATTTCCTTTAATATTCGTAAATCTTCGTCATCGTTGTCAAACACAGATTCATCATCTTCATCGGTGATTGAATTTAAGATCTCGAAACTGTTCGTTGGTTGAGTTGTGTTTGTTGAGACTGTTTTTTTTTGTTTTAGTAGTTGATTCTGGTTTGCCGACAGTTTTGAACCCATTTCATTTGAATTTTTATTGTTTGTGACTAAATTGATATTTGTATAATTTGCTTGATGGGTTGGTGAAAAGTTCGTGAGTTTTCGTTTTTATCTAAATTTTTTACACATGTTGCTTTAGTATGATTCTGTGAATGGCATATGGAGCAAAATGTCAAAAATGATTGGATCTTCAACTCAGTGTATTTCAAATTTCTATTAGTTCTAGGTGGAGTTGCATCTCCCAATTGCTCGATAAGAAACATGTATCTTTTTCTTGTAAAGGATGTGTCATATTGTGTAGCAAAACTTTTGATTGAAAAGGTTGTCAAGATTCTAAACCTTGAAGATGTCTCCTTAGTTGCTTCATTCTATCCTTGTATGTCTTAAACTTATCTAGAAGTGTAAATGATTTTGCTTACTTGCAGAATATTCACTTGCGTGTAATATTATCAAAAATTGATCTTGGATATTTTATCATTTTTAAACAGTCAGTCCAAATTTTTACCAACCTATAAACCAAATCAATCAAGATGACTACAATGATAATTCCCGACGACTCGTTTATAAGTGATGACGAGGAAGAATATTGGTATGTCTTTTACTTTTTGTCACAATATTCAAAGTTTTTGTTACTAACATTTGCAGTCCATTATGTGTTGAAGAAATGGATATATCAGATAAAAATTTTAAACCATGTCCTTGTGGATATCAAATTTGTCAGTTTTGTTACAATAATATCAGGCAAAATCCTGAACTAAATGGAAGATGTCCTGGATGTAGAAGATTATATGATGATGAAAGTGTTGAATATAAAACAGTTTCTGCTGAAGAGTATAAGATTTTGCATTCCAAGAAGGAGAAAAGAGAACGAGAAAAGAAGCAAAGAGAAAAAGAAAGGAAAGAACTGGATATGGCAAACAAGAAACATTTGGCTGGATTGAGAGTTGTACAAAAAAATTTAGTTTATGTTACGGGATTAAATCCACCATGTAGTCCAGAAGAATTACATTCAATATTAAGATCAGATAAATATTTTGGACAATATGGTAAAATTAGTAAAATTGTAATAAATAAGAAAACTCCCAATCCAAGTTCTACACATCATCATCAAAGTTCAGGTTTAGTTGTTTATGTTACGTTTGCAAGAAAAGAAGATGCATTAAATTGTATTACAGAATTAGATGGATCTTTATGTGATGGAAGAGTATTAAGAGCAGCTCATGGTACAACAAAATATTGCTCTTCTTATTTGAGAGGTCATCCATGTCCAAATCCAAATTGTATGTTTTTACATGAACCTGGAGAAGAAGCAGATTCATTTACAAGAAAAGATTTATCAACTCAACAAGGTATAAAGATGGGAATGACTTCAAGACAACATACTACATCATTTGGAGAAAGTTCTTATATTCCAAATCATCAATTGAGTGAAATGACAGATGAAGATGTTCATAATTTTAATCAACAACATCCTCCTCAAGTTGCACAACCACCACAAGAAGGTAGCAAAGAACATTTACCAGCTACAGCTCATTGGGCAAATATTCAACCTACAATACCAACACCTACTGCCCCAACTAATAATTCTGTAAATAATATACCATTAGCTAATTCAGCAGCATTCCCAACATTAGGAGAAATTGCGAGAGATCATAAACAACAGCAAAGAAAAGAATCAAAATCTAGAGTGTCCAGTACTAAAATTACAAAAGTTACAAGTCAAATTGTACCGGATGATATAGATGTTGATGACGATTCTGTAATACCTTTTATTGAACTGATAACAGTTGAATTGAAATCCCTTAATGATATTAAAAATACACAATTTAAAAAATTAGAAACCGGTTTACCATTATTTTCGTTTACAGGTAATTATTCAAATGAATTTAAACCTGAAGATGAAAAATTATTAGCACGTCAAGTAATTGAAAAATATTTATTGAGACCAATAAAAAATTATCATTTAGCTTATCAAAATCATCCAATAATGCAACAACAATCGTTATTACAACGCCAACAGCAAACACCAATCATGCCTGTAGCACAATTGCAAAAGTCTGAAGAACAACATGCATTATTAAATCAATTGCGTCAACAACAAATACAGCAACAGCAACAACAGCAGCAGCAACAACAACAACAACAACAACAACAACTAAACATGGTCAAATCTATTGATCGAGCAACCACATCAACACCACCTCCTCCTGGACTTTTTAACAAAACACCCGCATTACAAAACAACATACCAATTAATTCTCAACGCCCCTCATCACAATTATTAACCCAATTAATGAATAAAAAATAAAACATGTAAAAATATTAAATATTTAAATTGATTTTCTTAACTCAAAAACTCTATCATCTAAAAACTTTCTCGTTAGATTGGGATTTTGTTGTTCAAATCCTGATATAATTTTTCCACCTTCTTGAGCATTTTCACTTAATTCTTTACGATATATAGTTAATTTTGGTTCCACTTGAAATAAATCATCCAAATAAATTGAACTTTCTATATCATTAATTTTAGTTTGAATTTGTTCTAATAGGATTTTATTTTTTGGTGTATTATCTTGTTTTGATTGAAGATAAGATTTTATAACATTATATTCATACACCAATTCATCTAATTTTAATAAAATATGAAACAAATTCTCATATATTTCTCTTTCTTGTTCATCTTTAAATGATTCTTTTAATTGTTTGTATTGATTGACTAGTGCATCTTTGTGTTCCATGTAACCTTTGATTCTTCTTGTTGATGACATTTGTGTTATTGAGATGTTATTATTGTTTAGTGAAAGCGCGATTGTTGAAATTTTAATTTTATTCTCGTGATAATAACTTAATTACTTTTTTTATTAGATTCTATTTACATATTAACATTATCATTATTTACAACGTTTTCACATTTATTGCATAAGGTATCTGGCTCCTTTGCTGTAAATTTCCAACAACGCAAGCATTTCTGATCGTCTGATTTTCTTATAGTGACACCAATCTCTTCTCCATTCACATTAAATGTTTGCTTTAAGTTTTCATCAATTAATGAAACTTTTGAAACCAAAAATATATCATCTAACAACGATTTATTTTTTTCTAAAAACTTAAATAATTTTGAATTACCTGATGGATTTGATAATTGTATTTCTAATTCTAATTTATTTGTGAAAAATTTATTTTGTTTTAATAATTCTATATCTTTATAAATTTCATCTCTTAATTTGAATAATGCCGTCATCTCATTAATATTAGCTTTGTATTTCTTTGGTAATGAATAGAAATCCCAATTTAATTTAAATGGCGAATCAATGTCGGATTTTATAATGGTTTTATATTCATCCCAAACTTCTTGTACTAATAAAGGTTGTATAGGAGCCAATATTCCAATATAAGTTTTTAAAATTTCATTCAATACAGTTTGAATTGATTTCCTTCTTACAGAGTCAATTGAATCAGTATATAAACAATCTTTACTAACATCAAAATATATTGCACTAAGTATTGAATTGACATGTAAATTAATAGAACTTATAACCCTTGAAAAATTGTATTCTTTATAATTTTCAATACATGATTCTTGTAATTCATATAAACTGTTTAAGACATATTTATCTAATACAGATAATTGATCATATTCTATTGGACCTTGATATTCAACCAAATTACCAAGTAAGTATTTGAATGTTAGTCTATATTTCTTATGAACGTCACTTACTCTTGTTAAAACCTCAGGATTAAAACTAACATCTTGTTTATAATTTGATGATGCAACCCATAATCTTAATCCATCGGTTCCCAAATATGGAGTTAATGGTTTCTTATTCCCATCCATTGCTTGCTTTGGAGAGAAAATATTTCCCTTTGATTTTGACATTTTTTGACCTTTCCCATCAGTGATAAAACCATGAGTAATTGCATTTTTGAAAGGAGCTACAGCTTTGAAATCATGTCCATCATCACCAGATGCAATGACTTTATTTAATAATGAAGATTGAAACCAACCTCTATGTTGATCACTTCCTTCTAAATAAACATCAGCCAATGGTGTTTCGGAATCATTACATTCTTCAACTGTATCACGTAGCGTAGTCCAAGATGTTCCGGAATCAAACCACACATCCATAGTGTCTTGGCCTTTGTAATATTCCGTTCCTTTCATACCATTGGGTATCCATCTACTTATGTCATCTTCTTTGCTAAACCATTGATCAGTACCAAATTCTTTCATTTTATCAATTATATGATCAATGACTTCCAATTGCAACACAGGTTCATTAGATTTTTTCTTGTAAATTATTGGTAAAGGAACTCCCCAACTTCTTTGTCTAGATATACACCACTCATTACGATTTTCAATAAATGAACTCAATCTATTATAACCAGATTTAGGATAAAAATTAGCTTTACTGATAGCTTTCAAAGCAACGGGTTTTATTTTTTCAACATTTACAAACCATTGAGGAGTAGCTCTTTGTATCACTGGAGTTTTTGATCTCCAATCATATGGATAAGAATGAGTGAATTTTTTATTTAAATGGAATATCATATCTTGTTGTTTTAATAATTCAACACATAACATATTAGTTCTGATTTCATTTACTTTTAATGGACCTAATTTTTGAAATCCTTTAGGTAATTGATCAACAATATATTTTCCATGATTATCTATAAATGACGATTCTATATTAATGTTATTCTGTTTTGCTGTTAAATAATCATCACCTCCATGAGCTGGAGCTGTATGAACTAATCCCGTACCTGTAGATTCTACTACATGATCTCCATGTAGTACTGGCTTTTTGATCCCATCTTCAGCTGCGGGGTTAATATATTTGACATTTATTAATTCTTTCCCAGGTATATCAGTATCAATATGTTTATAATCTTGGTCTAGTTTTAGAATTTTCTCAACTAATGATTTGGCAACCACTAATACATCATTTTCTTTTTCTATTAATGTATAGGTAAAGTTTTCGTTAACACAAATTGCTTTGTTTGCAGGTATTGTCCATGGAGTACTAGTCCAAATCAATAAATATAAATTTTTGTCCCTAACATTCAATTTATTTTTCAAAGTATCATCAACAACTGGAAATTTAACATAAACAGCAACTGATTTGTGATTATCATTATATTCCAATTCAGCTTCAGCTAAAGCAGTTTGAGTTTCACAGCCCCACCAAACTGGTTTCAATTGTTGACTTAATAATCCATTCTCTATCAATTTCCTAAACACAAGTAATTGTTTATATTCATATTCATTATTCATGGTCACATAAGGTTTATTAAAATCAGTCATTATTCCTAATTCTCCAAATTGTAATTTTTGTTTTTCAATCCATTCTTTAGCCCATTCTTTACATGCTTTTCTTATTTCCATTGGATCTTTGAATTCTTTGGTACTTAATTTACCTTCGACTTTTAATTCAATTGGTAACCCATGACAATCCCAACCAGGTTGATATTCAATTAATTTATCAGTATATATTAATTCAAATCTGTTTATCATATCTTTACATATCTTGTTGAGTGCATGGCCAATATGTAGGTCTCCATTTGCATAAGGTGGTCCGTCATGTACAATGAATGGTGTATTGTATTGTCTTTCCTTTTGTTGCCATTTATATAAATCTACTCCAGTTTGCTTTATCAATTGCTCTCTTTTCCCATCTCGTGGTATTTTTGGTCCGAAGTTGGTTTTAGGTAAATGTAGTGTTTTTGAGTAGTTCGGTTTATTGTGTAATTGTGATTTGGTATGAAACCTTCGTAGAAATAGTTTGACCATTTATAGAATGATCATTGATATGATGAATATGATGGAATTGATAAATTTTGTTGCAAAAAGAGTAATTCTGCGAGCAAAAATAATTTTGCAATATTTCAACAAATTGATCAGTCCAAAGGTTACATTTACAAAATGTCTTTCAAAAGTAGTAGCATAGGTACGGATATTTCCGTTAATGTTCGAAAAGGGAGTAAAAAGTTTATACTTTCATTTGTTATAAAATGTTGATGCATTGGTAATAACTAGTCATGGGATCAACTAATTATAAAATATGCTCAACCTGCTACTTGCAATGGAGACATATAAAAACTTGTTCTGCAGGATTCTTTTTCGAATTTCATTGATTATCGATTGAGAGAACATTATGATTTTTATGTTCATACTTCTTTGGTACCAGTTGGCATTTATAATCTCCAGCCGTTAGATATAAACTGAATATGATTAGGATTTATAGAATATGTCACAAAAAAAAAAAATTGAGAGAGAAAAAAAATTAAGAGCGCTACTAAGTCACGAATGTTTCAAATTAAAGATACACCTTATCTGAATCTTCCAATATTCCAACAATATTGCTAGAACACAACACCTCTAATTCTTTTCAGCTCCAATGTTCTTAACTAATTCAATGTATTTTTCAGTTGAAAATGATTTTGGTCTTTCAATTGGCATTCCAACAGCTCTATCAATTATTAATTGTGGTAAGACACCAAAAGCTCTAGAGACACCGAATAAGACTGTGTAAAATGATTCTTCTGTAAGTCCGTAGTATTGTAATAAGACACCGGCTAAAATTAAATTTGTTAGTAAAAATGTTTTTTGATAAATAAAACAAATTTCGAGGAATGGTAGAAATGATGTGAAAACATCATCACAGCACCACCAGATCATTAGATCACCTCAAACACAATAGTAAATGGTACATACAATGACTGTCTACATTTGGCCATCTAGAAACGTTATAAGTTAGTATTTTTTCTTGTAAATGTTGATGATTAAAACATCATTGAATGAGTTTTATTCATTGTCGATTCATAAATATTCCAATCTTGAAATTTTACATACGGATTCTTTGTTTTTCCATGTTTTGTCAATACATTTGGAGCAACTTCATAAATATTTGAAACTAATTTGAATAAATCATAATCAGGCATATGTTTTAAAGCAAATTCTCTTTGTGCAGTATATCTTGGATCTGTCTTTCTTAAAACAGCGTGTCCATAACCAGGAACAACTCTACCAGCATTCAAAGTTTCCCAAAGATATTTTTCAATAGCTTCTTTTGAGATATCACCATTTAATTCTTCTTTCAATTTAAATAACCATTCTAAGACTTCTTGATTTGCTCTACCATGTAATGGACCAGCTAAACCATTTAAACCAGCTGCTAAAGATAACATTGGAGAAGATAAAGCTGAACCAACTAAATGAGTAGTATGAGCAGAAACATTACCACCTTCATGATCAGAATGAATAGTTAAATATAATCTCATTAATTCTAAAAATTCTTTGTTATCTCCGAAACCTAATAAAGCAGCTAAATTTGCACCATAATCTAATTTTGGATCAATTTGAGCTGGTAATTTTCCATCATGGAAAACATTTCTATAAATTTTAGCAGCAATAGTTGGTAATTTAGCTAATAAATTGATTGAATCATCAAAAGTATATTTCCAATATTCCTTTTTATTTACACCTTTAGCATAAGCTTTTGCAAATTCTGATTCTGATTCTAATGCATTAACAGCAATTGCAAATTGAGCCATTGGATGTAATGAAGTTGGACATCTATCAAGAATATCTTCAACATGTTTTGGTAATTCGGCTCTAGCAGCTAATTCTTCTGAAAAAGCTTTAGTTTGAGCTTCAGTTGGAACTTCACCAGTTAATAATAACCAGAATAAAGCTTCTGGTAAAGGTTCTTCACCACCTGGAGCTTTTGGTAATTCTTTTTGAATATCTGGAATAGTTCTATTTCTAAATCTAATACCTTCAATTGGATCTAAAACTGAGCCTTCCCAAACAAGACCTTTAATTCCTCTCATACCACCATAAGCTTGTTCTAATAATACTTCACCAATAACAGTTTTACCATGTTCTTTTTTGAATTGTTTAATTTCTTCGGCTTTTTCTGGTAAGATTTCTTCTAATCTTTGTTTTAAAGTTGGTTCAGCAGTAGCATAAGTTCTAATTGATCTATAAAGACTTGACTTAGTCAAGTTAGTTGAACGTTGAATTGATCTTAAAGCAGACATTGTTTGTTGGTAATTTTCAAAAAAGTTCTAATATAAAGTTAGTTGATTAAGGGAATTGAATTTTTTTTATAATTTTCCAATTTTTTAAATTGTACTTTTATTAATCTTTTTGTTCTGATTTGGATAACACGACTTTTTAATATTTTATTGGATATTAAATTCCGGAAATTAAATAAGTTGATTTCATTTGTTTTAAAAAAATCTTAAAAATCACAATGTTCATAAGAGATAATGTTCATGAATGAAGTATCACTTGGAATAAACTTTAGTTCGAACAATGTAAAACCATTTTTAATATTTAACTTTGTTTGTCGGTTCTATGATTTAAGTTAAATTAATTGGTCGATTCAATGTCGTGTATAAAATTATTTGATATATTTAGTTACAAAAATAAAGTCATAGATAAATTTTTCAACTTTTCACATTGAAATAATTTATTATTAAATTTTTACATCGGAATAAAAGAGTTAGAATCATCTCATTTGCTTCAGCAAATATGGCATGGTGTTGAGAGTTTTCATCAACTTGACGCCTGAGATTTTTATCATATAAATTTACAATTTTCACTGATACAAGTGGATATCGTTTATTTGCATATAGTTGTGCCTCCACATTTCAGATTTTAGTTCTGATTGATGAATCAAGCATTTTGATTGGCTAAGAGCTTTAGTAGTTTTGTGTAATATGGGCCAGGGTTCTCTTAACACTGTAGCATATGCTTATGTTACAGTATAGTGTATTCAATTGAACAATTATAGTTTTAAACCATTGACCAACTACAAATGCTTAGCAAATAGTAGCATTACTTTATGCTCTGTCAATTTAGATCACACGTCTGCCCAAGATATAACATTTCGTTCATGTTTATAGAAACACTAAAAAAATTTTCATAGTACTTTCCCCAGATTTTCGGACTTTTCTAATTTGCCGAGGAAATGTGCACAAATTACGTAACAGAAGAAGAAAAAAAAAAAGTCGTTTTAAAACTAAACAAATGAATAGATTTTATAACCGTGTTTCGAAAATAATATAATCAATTGAAGAACCAAGAGATTTGAACTAATTCTAGTTTACAGTATTAACTTACAAGTCTAATTCAAATGTAAGTGACCAAGTAATTAGAAGTATAAACTTTTTATTGTATTTATAGAAGTCGTGTTGATTTCTTATTTTAATGAAATCAATGGCATACCCTTTATATCTGTCTAAAATAGCTTTAGATACATCATTTGTCAATGTAATTACTTCAATCAACATAGATCATGGTGTTGCAAGTCTTTACAAAATTGTCTGATATAGGTACTAAATTTTGTGGGGATAAAGTTGAAACATCTCAAAATGGCCCTATTTCTTTATACATTCGATTTTAAAAATATTGGCATCTAACGGTATAAAATACGTTTTATTGTCAAAGTCACACAAATTTCGAGTATTTCGGAGTTTTAAAATTTTTAATCAATTTTAAATTTAAAGAAGTGATTTGATCTGAAACTTAATAAATTTCACACGGTAGTTTTCAAGAATTTATTTTAGTGTGTGGAAAACTCTTAAAATATCATTAAAATATTTGAAGATCAGATGATCTTATAACAGTTCGAAACTAACATAGTCTAATACATTTGCGTGGCATTAAAATGTACTTGTCAAACTTATAAGTCAGTAGTTGAAAAATCTTCAGTTCAATGTCTGTCTTTATATATGTTATGTTATTATTTCTTCAAATTAATCAAAAAGTAGATGATGTTTTATTGGAAGATTGTTTTATTGATGTTGAAGTTGTAATAGTTGTTGCTGATACCGTGAAGGTTTTTCTGGCTGTTACATTTCTTAAAGCTTCAAATGCAACCATCCTATCTATATTTCTTGCTCTTTTTCTTTTGATGTTCAGTAAAAATATCTCATCTACTTATGTCTAAATTGTTCTTTCTTGGGAGACTGGTATAATTACTTTTTAATTTTCACCATTATCCTTAACTCAACATCAACACGTTGATCTAAGGATTTTCTTGTTACAACCATATGTTTTGCAACTAATGCATCATTTATCTTCTACTCTCAGTTTCAAGCATGATATCTAAAGGTAAAAGTTCTTCAACTTCGTTATCTTTCAAAAGAACTCTGAATTTGTGTTTCGTGGAATTTTGATTTTGTGACATCGACGAACAAAATTGAATAAAGCAGCTTTATCAGGTAGATCCAAATCAATAGGATGAAAGAAAGCAACGGCACATTAAGTATGCTACGACAAGTCATACTCAGTTCTGAAATCAGCAATTAATCATGGTAGAACTAAGCTTTAATATGTAGCGCTATGAATACAATGAACAAATTTATTTCAAAAATAAATAGTAAGTGAAAGTCATGATTGAGTAAAAGCTAATTATAAGCCGGCAGATCATGAACTTGATACTGATTATAAATAAATTATCGAACCACGACCACCCATAAAGTTTAAAAATTGTTCATAGAGTCAGATCTCAAATTGATGTATGAAAAGAGTACAGTAATTAATATTGTATAAAAGTTTAGATCTCGTAAATCGAAAAATATTTAATATTTCAAATCCAATGTGAAAGAAAAGAAAAAAAAAATCTTTTAGAACTTTTACTTACAGAACATCACTTATAAACAAATCTAGACGAAAAAGAATTCATTAATACGGGATGTTCCTAATCATTAATAATAGAGTGATATGATCATCTATTAAACAAAAAGTTGAAAAATCAAGAAATTTGATCAAAAGATCAATTTTTTTTTTGATTTAAGTTTTCAACATTATTTAATCAATCATCAAAACACATACAACAAACTATTTCAACATGGAAAAGATTGGGAATTTATCTCCGGTTGCATGCCTCAATTCAGATGTACTCGGTAAACGAATCCCATAAATTGAAAAAATTTATCAGGCATTTACAGAGAAGTTAATATTTTTTAAAAATTTCAGTATATTTAATCTTTTTTGAAGATGTCTTACATTTTATTATGATGATCTATCTTCTAATAATTAAAAATCTATTTAGCTACTTCAACTTTTCCAATAATAGATTTAGTTGCAACACTTCTAGCATTATCATGAACTATACTAATAAATATTTGAGAACCCTTTATCTCAATTTACCCCAATGAAATACATTATTGCAAAATTCTAATATTTACATTTGCTCGATGATGATTTTATGTTCTACCTCCCTTTAACTACTTTATTTCATTTTTACCGGTGATAAAATTAGTTCAAAACCGCAATTTATTGAATCTACTTGTATTAGCATCTTTTTGTATTATGATGATCTTTGCTTGATAAATATTTAAGAACTCTTTATTTCATTTTTTCCAATAATACATTTACTTGCAAAATCACAATATTTACATTTATTTAAATCATCAACAGCTTCAGGTTTTGTGGTGGTTCCATTCCAAAATTTACTTGCTTCTACGAGTTGATTATTAAATAAGATTTCATTATATTTATATTTTATAGTCTTGAAATTTAATTCAGTTTTTGAATTATGATATTCAACATAAGTTGAATCTGAGTTTATGAAATTTTGAAAAAGTGTATAAAATTGTGATGATCTTGATGCGAAATATCGTAACGTTGGTGGAGTTTTCCAATTTTTTAATAATGGGGTTATTAATTTTTGATAATTGAAATCTGATGAATTTTCAAGCTCTTTCATGAAGCTAGTAGTATTAGGATTATTTAATGAAAAAGATTCTAAATCTTGAAATAAAACCCCAAAATTATATGACGTCTCATTTGTATGGTTATCAAATGGTTCGAATCCTATTGGTTCCCCATTTGATAATTTTAAAAAATCTTCATAAAATATATATGAATATTGTTTTAATAATTTAAGAACCAAAATTTGATTTATTGGTTCATCAATATTACAACCTCTAATTTCTGCATTTTTAATTAATGAATTATATGTAAAAAACGGATCACTCGCTAAATTTTCAAACATATTTTTATAATAATAAGTTTGTAATTTTGCTCCTTTTAATACTGAATCATAATTTGGTAATTGATTCCAAGTTCTTGATTTTATATCAACTATATTAAGAGATAATTTTTGGTTGTTATATTCATTTAAAATTTCTTTAACTTCTTTTATGAAAATTGATAAATCTATTATTGGTAATTTATCATCAATTTTTCCAAATTCAAATTCAATTAAATTTTGAATATCAACAAAGAATTTTAAATCTTTTGGAGTTTTAGGGTTTCTAAATTTCAATAAATCAATAACTCCACTAATTAATGTAGCCCCCGGTAAGTCTGAATCGTTGGTTATTAATTTTCCCTGATCTAAGTTAATAAACCCATGAACTAAAACTTCTCTTGATTCAGAATTTACAATTAAATTAAATAATCTTGAAATAATTTGATTACTCCAATCATTAACTAATTCATCATTCTGATTAAATTCACTAAGCTTTTCTAACTCTTTAAATTCATTATCATTACATTCTAATTTTAAATTTTCAATATTTAAATTTATAAATTTCAATTCATTTTCAAAATCAACTGAATCATGAGTTATTTCTTCTAATTTTGAATGATAATTTTGTCCCTGTTTAATATTATTTCCCTTTAATTTTTTAGAACCTGAATAAATTTGATAATATTCTCTTAATTGACACCAATTATTAATTAATAATTTTGTAACTGATAATCTGGGGAATTTTATAATTGATTCATTTGAATTATTTGTTATATAATATTCATATGGGGAGACAGGGATTGGTGATGTTATTGGTAAATCTTGATCTTGATTTAAATTCCAATTTGAATATAAATCTTTTAAATTTTTATTTAGTCTTTTTTTACGTTTTTTTGGTGACGCGTTTATTGGTGTTGATTCAACAAGTGATTCTTTTATTATCGATGTAGTTGTAAGAACAGGCTTGTTCAACTGAGTTGAATAAAGTCTTTGAAATCTAAGATTTCGTGGTAAATTATATCTCATATCATTTAGTAATAGATAAAGAGTAACTTGTAAAACTTACGCGATTATTTTGTTTGCTTATTTGCAACCATTTTTTTTTTTCAACTAGTTTACAAAAGATAATGAAATTGTTCATTTGTTAAGTATACAAAAGAATGCAAAGGTCTAATAACACAAAGAATTGAATAAATGAATAGATGATAACTTTTAGCAATATGATTAATGTTCTGCAAAGATATTAATGAATTCCTCTTTTTAATTTTAATGAATCTCTTTTTTTTTCACTTAATGATACATGATTAGGTATATTTATTTCTTCAATTTGTGTTGGTGTAGTTGGTTGAGAATTTTCTCTTTGTTGTTGTTGTTGAGGTATTTGATAATTAAAATATTCATCATTTGGTGTTATAGATGATAAAAATGGAGAATCTAATGAAAAGCCATTAGCTGAGTTATTATTCCGATAATTTGTATCTATTGATAAATTATTTTTAAATGAAGAATTTGTTGATGATGATGAACTTTTAGTTCTTGTGAACATTGGCATATCTGAATCATTGTGTATTGGTGGTGGAGTATGCGGTTGGTGACTAGTTTTTGAAATTATTGAATTTGGAACATAATCCATTAAAGAATCAGTACTTTTATTAAATTCAAAATTATTATGTTGAGGTCTTATTTGATTCATATTACCAATATGTAACCAGTTATTTGAATTATTTCTTGTTAAAGATTGTTTTCTTAAATTAATCAGTGAAGATCTCGATCTTATTGAAGAATTACATGTTGAATTATTATTACATTGTTGTTGTTGTTGTTGATTATTATAATTCATTATATTCATTTCACTTAATGATAAATTAGATATTGATGAATTTTTTATACCATTATTATTATAAGGATTTCTTTTGGTGGTGGTATTTGGTTCATCTATATCTGTTAAAATATCATCACTTCCATTATATTGAGGGTTTTGATACAAACTTTGCTGCTGATGATTATTATAAGAATTTTGATGATGTAATGGAGGTGGTAATAAAGGATTTGCAGGAGCTTCCATTGGAGTTTTTAAAGTTTGATCAATTGGTGTAAAAGGTTGTTGATTATTTGGATTAAATTCCATTTTATTAAGTTGTAAATGTAGATTTAAATTTTTATTTATCATGGTGATTGGTGGTTAGTTATATATATGCTTTGGTGCTGGTTATATAAATTGTATTTTGATTTGATTAAAGTTTAAGAATGACTTGATTTAATGAATGGAATAAAGTTTAATTTATTGATTAGATTTTGTAGAAAATTTCAATAATTTTAAATTGAAAAATTTCCAAAATTATTTATATAAATTAGATTAAATTCAATAGCAATGAATTACCGAATACAATATAACAAAGATTCTATCTCATTTAAGTATTGATACTTAACACCTAAGATATATAAGTAATGTTAGAAAGTGGGTGATTTATATTCCAATTTGTATTATCAAAGGTAATTTAAAGTTGTTGTGTTGAAAATCTTAACTTTTTTAAATTAATTTATTCACAAGCGGTTAAATGTATTTTAGAACAATACTCTCGAGGTAGAACAAAGAGAAAAAAAGGGTTGTGTTGATGAATAAGACGCGTATTATAATTATTAATTGTAACTGAACACAATTATTGCATCAGGATAGGATGGAAACTCTAAATAATGACTTGTAATCTATTAGTGTACACCAATCGGTATAAATGGATAATGAAAGAATCTTATTAACCACTAACTTTGATGTGTGGAACTTAATCAATTATGTAATATCTATTCTATTATTCTTTTCTTCTTCTTTTCTTATTTAATATGTCAATCATTCAATTCTCATAATTTTCTATTTTAATTTAATCGAAAGGGGAAATATTTTTATTCACTATCAAGTATTATTTCAACGCGTTTTTATGCAATAAATTTAAAAACAACCACTTCACTACTGAAGTCATCAATTTTAAGAGTAATCCCAAGGTTGAATCGGATAGCTTTAAACGATTTTATTCATTCAATGAATACACTTTTTATTGTACATCGATTTGATCCGTACAACTTTCAACAATTTTAATAATTTTTTTGCGTTTCGAGAATCATTATGGCTATGAATTAATAGTTAACTTTGATTTACAATCTATATTGTTTCTTCTGATTATTGTTAATTATTGATTGTATTAATTTAAGGGGAACAAGATATGTAAATTTACGTAATTATAACATCTTTTTGTTGAAATTTAATAGAAATAATGGATGGTAAAGAATTTGTATAAACAAGAACTCCGTTTAAACTTTGGTAAATAAGTAGGAAATCAAATGGAAATCCTATCTATTGAAAAAAAATGTACATCAATTAAATTGATTCTATTATTCTTACATTTCTGCATATACTTTTCATACGAAGTCTAAAATTATCTAAATTATCTTGATGATCATTTTTAATTTTGGTTAGTAGCATTTAAAGTACGTGATATTTTGTGTAAATCGTTTAATTAGTTTAATAATTTAACTTAATTAGGAATTATTTATTAATATTTGATTTAACATGCATCGATTTTGTATTGAATATGATTTAATTTAACTTTTTTAGATTTATGATCTCGATGAATTGTTTGGGCTCTTGATTATTGTACTATTCATTGCTTATAATTACTTTTAACATGTTTTTCTGGTCTATTCAACATTTACAAGGTCTAAAAAACTGTGTCATGTCTGAAACTTTGAATTTGTGACATAAATCAAAAAAATCAAAAACAACTCGAATTCAGCATTTTTTGATTTGTTTGTTTTTCATATAACTTTTCTTCCACCAGCCTGAACAAATCAATTCAACTGAGTTTTAAAAACTCACACTCTACATTATATCATCATCATATACAAGATTCAATTTAATGGATTTGTTATTAAAAACTTTATCTATAAATGTGAAACAAGATTTTTAAGTTGAAGTTGAATATAAACCCAGGATCTTTAAAGGTATGTATTAAAATCAATAATTCAACAAAATTTTGATTTGTATTTGTTGGAGGTTTATGTATCAAGAATCATTAGTCAAGAAACGTTTAGGTAAATTCTCACAACTGAAGGTTTTCAAGGAGTATGGAAAGAGTTGAAGGTAATTGAGATACATACAAGATATAGTCTTTCAAAGATTGGATAATGAACTTAAAAAAAGCTGAAACTTGAAATTTGAAACTTGATAAATATTTATTGCCAAAGAAAATAACGATTAAGTGTAAAGATAAATTCAAAATTTGAGGCATTCTGATCAAATGCATATTGAGAATGGTTTTTACATTGCTAGCTGTTACAACAATGGATTAACTATTACGTGATAGGCGATCACGTCATTTCCATGTGGGAATTGAATTGCAAAATGGTAATTACACTTGAAACTAATAATAATCTCCTGTTGTCACAAATCGCTAAGCACTGACAATTAACTTAAGACAATACACATTAATTTCTAAAGAAATCAGTCAGTGCTTAGCGATTTGTGACAACAGGAGATTATTATTAGTTTTAAGTGTAATTATTAGGAGTAATAATTACAGAGATGAAATTATATATAAGAATGAAATTCTTAGTAATTTATTTATTCAATTGAAAATTTTGAAGAAGATTAAAAATACGAAGGACAATTAGACAGTACATACCAATATAAAAATGAGAAATGAATTGGAAAAGAGTTTAAGCTATAGTAATGATGCCAAAGTCTTTGAGTTTTTGAGGTTTGCATTATTTACATAGTTAAAATGTCATAATTTGTTGATTAATAGAAAAATTCATCTTATTAGATGTTTTGGCCTTAAAAATAAGTTGAATTTCAATTACATACAATATTTATTCTATTATCAAATATTTTTCCAATTTTTGTTTTTCATATTGTTGAGTACTGTATAATTGTCTTTCAAGTTTTGTCTTAACAGTAATTAAATTATTAATGGGTACAAGATTAAAATTCTTTAAAATCACGAGGTTTGAAAATTAATGTAACAGCTCATGGTAACCAAGGATTACAATTGGGCTCATCAAAGTTCTGGTCATTGTGAATTATGCTTTAAAGGTAAAAATTATGTTTATTCGTGAATAAAATCGTGAGTAAAAATATTATGCTAATAATTAGTTTATGAAATTGTTATATTCCTCTCTAAATTTGAGGATCTTTAATGTAATTATTCTGATAAATATAAATATTTTAAAAGAATCTATATAATTAAAACCAAAACCAAAAAAATTTGAGCTTAATTCTACCATAAAAGTCTTTAGTTAATGTTGACGTTGATGTTGATTTTTCACAAACTTTCTGAATGTGAACCCAAAATTCTTTTGAAACTGAACCTTTCAAATATTTAACCTCCAAGCCCTTAATTTTGCCATAATTTTGAGATTCTTATTCGGTAGCAATCGTTCAATTGGTCGAGCAAGCTACTATTGTTTAAAAACTGTTTATGATTGACTTCTAGTTGAATGAAATTAATCAAATTGTTGAATATTGTTTCAACTATGTATTCACCTGTAGATTTTTCTGGATATTGTTCTTCTCTATCATTTGAGTTGATTTATCCTAGTGGTTGCGGTTTAAAAAGAATGAAAACAGTTTCGTAATTTTTTCTAATTGGATTGAAGCAATCTAATCTCACAATTTAATTTTTACTCACAATCTCTAATTTCTTTCATCTTCCAGGTTCGTGCACTTTGTGAACTCGATGATTGTAACGAAAGTTTTTTCAACCAACATTTTTGTAAATGTATCTTCCTGAGATTCCTTTGTCTTTTAAAAAAATATTAATTATGTTTCAACTCTCACGACATTTAACTACCAATTTTCAGGCAGTATTTGTTGTATTTAGCTTTTAGAAAGTCCGTGGTATGATGTTTAATGTTAGATCTCACATGTTGATTCATAATATTTGAAAACTTTTGCAAATTTAAAAATTTTTCTGCAACAAAAAAGAGCTGAAAGATTCGTATCCTTTTTCTAACATGTAATTATATTCTTCAAATTGAGCCAATCTTTTTCAAAATCAGGGTCTTATCTCCTTACGAGAAAGTGAGGTTCTCTTGGAAATGAAAAACACCCTAACTCTATAATTCTCTAGTGAATGTTGATATTCAAACATCGCCTCTGATCCAAATAAAACAGAAATTAAAATAGAATATTATATGAAAAAGTAAAAGTAGTGGTGGCATCATACCATCTTGTGATCTATCCTGAAATTAAATCTTTAAAGATTCATTTTCTTATTCATAAGTTTCTTCTTCCTCATCCATCGGTTGATCTAGTTGCAAGCTTGTAGATTCCATTTGATTTGATTCGTTGAAAAGTTCATTATCCTCTTGAATTATATCCTCATGGAAAGTTTGATCATTAAACTCATTATTATTTTCATTTTCATTATCATTTTCATTCTTATTTTCATCATCATTCTCAATAACATCTTGATTTTTAATCAATTGATCTTCAAATTCATCTTCATCTTCTGCTACATTAACAAGATTATAAGGCAAAAATTTCCTCAACTCTTTTTCCTTTTTTAATAATTTCAAATTTTCTTCAATTTGTTCTTTATTCTGACTACTCAAAGATTCATCTAATTTTATAATTTGATATTGATTTTGATCTAATTTTGTCAATGTATCAATTAAATTTTTAAAATTTTCATTTGAATTTGGATGAAAATTTGAATCATTTTGTAAACTTAAAAATTCTTTTAAGATATATTCATTTAAATTTAAATATTTTAAATTATGACCTAATTTTAAATTTTTTTCAATTAAATAATTTAACCATTTCATTTTGGCAATTGATTGATTTAAAATTCTTGTTTTGGCTTTTGCTTCTTCATTTTCTAAATTTTCATCAATTTGAATTTGTTTTTGAATAAGGTCATTATCATTTAATTTTAATTGATTATAAAATTCTTGTCTTTCTTTATGTTTCTTTCTCTTTTTCTCTAATTCTGTTTCTAAATCATCATCATTAATTTTCCTTTTTTCAATTAAATTTTCAATAAGATTTTTAGGTACTCTATTTAATTTTGTAATTAAATTGAAACCATAACTTTTTAATATCCATAATTTAAATGAATTTATAGATTTTGTATTATATTTTGATTCTTCAAAATATTCATCATATAATTGTAGAAAATTTGTAGATTTTATAAGTCCAATATTTATCATACTTTGCATAATATCTTGTAATTCTGGATCATTAGTTTGAGTTCTTTGTTGACTACATTTTATAGATTCTTGAACTAATTTATTGAAAAAATTTATATATAAATCTGTGACGATGTTTAGTATTGATGGTTTGCATTTATCAAACCCTTGTGACTTTAGTATTTGTGCTACTGATATCCTTAGTAGATTGAAATTAAATGAATCTTCCATTGTTGGTGTATAAAGTTGGTTGTAAATATGTTTTGCAAAATAATTTAGATCGCGCGAAATTCTACGCATAAAGAATACTTAGAGTCGATCTAACAACGTAGTGTTCATTCATTACTTCTATAAACCTTGATTTAATCTTTCACTTAATTTTTTACCTGCAAAACTTAAAGCATTAAATAATCCCTTTTCACTAATATCTATATTTTTTAAATCAACTGTTGAAGCAATTGGAGCATTTGTAACTCTACTTACAATAGTAGCAGGATCATATTCAATTATAATTCCATCATCTATAGTTTCATCTATTGCTAAACTTACTAAATCATAATTTTGTATAATTATTTGTTGATCAATTGAATTATTTAATAATATTGTTATTGCTTCAATTAAATTTGATAAAGTTGTATATGCCATACATTCATTTTCATTTATTGGTGAAGTTAATATAAATGTAACATCATTAATTTGTTTATATACTATCAATTGATTATCATATAATATGATATCTTGATTTATTTTATTTATTTTTGAAAATAATTTTTTTTCAAATTTTAATTGTGTTTGAGATTTTGATGATGTTGATTTGGAAGTAGTTGTTGATTTTGATGTTTCTTTTTGAGGTTGTTGTTCTTCTAATGTTGATGTATAATATTTAGCATATAGTCTATTACCTTCATTGTCTAATATTAGCAAAGCTGAAACCGTGTATAGTGATATATTTAATGACATTTTGCTATGATTTTGCTTGGTTGATGATTGAAATATTTTGTTGTTGAAATAAAATACACCGTGTAGAGGGAGTTTGTTGCTACCAGATATTTCAAAACCAGAAGAATTTAAAGCACTACCAAACATCAGCTTCGTCGAAGTTTTCATCAACAACCAATCCTAACTTTATGCTTATAACAAATGCCATCAATAGATATTTTAACAACATTTAAACCTAATATATTGGCTATACAGCAGGGAAATTACGCCAGTATAAATCACTAAATCGAACAATTAGTAAGTATTGATCATGAAATCCAGATCTATTTTATTTTTAGCCAAGCAGATTTTGAACAAACTTCCCCTAAATCAAACCAAAGGGTTTCCCAAAAAGTGGACAAGAAGCGACTTCTGAACCAGCCATTGAATTATTACCTGAGCAATCTTTTGATCCAAGAAATCTTGAATTAAAGATGATTTGCCTAATTTAATGCTTTTGGAGTAAGGTCAGAAAATGTATAGATGCGATTATTTAACCAAAACTAAGAAGTGGAGAAGGTCGAATCAACCCACTACGATGTCCAACTATTGAAAAGCATACCAAATCTAACTTTTCTGAGATTTAGACTTGAATTATAGGAGTTCATCAATTGCTTAATGATCAGCAAGAAAATGCAGAAAAGGTTAAAAAGGTTCAATAAGCAGTTGTGAACAACCCAGTTAGTGGAGTGAAGAAATTAAGTCTACAAATATAAGATTTAGCTGCAAAGATCCAAATTTTTACATCTTGAAAATTTTCAAAGTATCAGTAATTTCAAAGATTTCAACCCCGGAACAAAAAATGAGAAGATTGAATGCAGATTTTGAAAGCTCATATGATAAAAAGAATAACAGGAACATTGAAAATTATAGAAACTCCGCATTTAGTTATCAAGTGAGAATTTAGAAAAGCTTAAATGAGAGAGCCACCAAGTATGTATAACCTTACCATCCTAGATCTTACTAGGGACTCCCTGTATAGATTTTTTTGGACGAGGATTAAAGAGGACTATTCGTTGATGTGGTTATTGATTTGTGAGTAATTAATGTATTTAGCATATAATTTCAAGTTGTCGAGTCGTAAGCAAGATCTAAAAATTATTATCGTCAACTTTGATTCAAAAACGACGACTTGGAATTATATGCAAAATACTCAAAAAAATCACCACAACGAATAGTTCAATTTCTAATCGAGCAACAAATTTCGCTAATATAGTGTATTCTTGGTAAAGTTATTTTATCACTGACTTTGAAAATATATCAAATAATTCGTTGGAAGAGTTAACCAATACGTTACATGAAGTTTGAAACGGTAAGCGAGTTTCATCAACATTATCTATCGACGAAGAAGATAGTTTGACAAATCCTGACATCATTTCAAAAGGAAATTTTTACAAATCACGAATGCTTTTTATATGCGTCACTAGAGGAAACGGAAGTATGATAGAAAATTGGATTTGATCAAGAAAACAAGAAGAAAGACTACAACTTTGCTAACTTTGAATTTCACCTGCTTTTAACAATATTAATTTTCCTCACATTTTGAATCTTCAGTTATCTTCAGTTCGTGCTTTGAGAATTTTAGGTGTTCACAAATCCAAAAAAAAAGTTGTTGAAGCATTTGTTATTCTGGGTGCTACTCTGAAGAAGGAAGGGGGAATATGTGTTATATTAAGTTACCTAATTTAAGCACTATCAAACGGTTATCAGTTTTTATGGATTCAACAACCAATCTATATGTTTTATATACTACATATGCGGTTAATAGATGTTATATAGTAGAATCTGACTCGTTAAAATACAACAAAGGTAAACCTGTATGAAAGTATACAAATACTGAATAATTATCAACTTTCACTTAAAAGTTCTTATTAAATTATTTATCTACACATCTTAATTAACCATTTCAACAACAAATTGATGAATCTTTTTATGAAATTGATTATTATTATAAAATTCATTTTCATAATCTAAATTTAAACTTTTCCAACCAAATATAAAATTAATAATTAAAGCAATAATTAAACCAAAAGCAATAATTAATGGTCCCACGGAATTATCTAAATGTTTATCAGATCTTTCCATTATAATTTTTCTTCTTTCCATGAAAATATAATAACCCCAAATACAACTAAAAACCGTTAAAAAAAAATAAAAATAAGCTAAATAAGTACTTAAATTTGCAAAATTTGATCTTAAAGTTGATGAATATATAATAAATGTTACTGATGATAATAATGTTGTTACATGTAACCATCTATTAAAAGTTCTTTCATTTGCTAACCAAACTTTTGGTTCAATTTTTAATGGTCCCATATTTTTAATCCATTGTTCTGGTTTTATTACTCCAGGTGGTAATTCAATTTCTTCATCTTCTGAATCAACATCAATTAATTTTGAAAATTGATTTGTAAATCTACTTATACCAGTTGATTTAGGAGTTTCTTCATCTTCTTCGTCTTCTTCATCATCATCAAAATCTGATGATTGATCATCTGTTGTTAAATTAATTTGTTGTTGAGTTTGTAATTTATCAGTTGGTGAAATTTCTTCATCAATTGTAACTATTTTACCATTACTATCATCATCAACTTCTTCTTCATTCTTGTATAATAAACTACCAGAAAATGAAGCAGATCTTGGTTGAAAATTTGAATTATTATTTTTTAAAATCATTGATTTAAATTTTGATAAATTATCATCATTACTTAATTCAGTTATACCATCATTATTAACTTTTGAAGGTATAATTGGTAAATCATCATTTATATCACCTTCTAATTCATTAAACCACATTGGAATATTATCTAATTTATCATCTTCTAAAAATAATGAAGCAACACCATGAATAAATTTTGAAAAATTAGGAATTTCTTTAACTAAATATGAACTATTAATTAATTCATTTATCCATTGTAATTTTTTAAAATTTTTAACTGATGATTTTTTAATTTTAATTTCCATTGTTGAGAAAGGAAATTTATTATATTCACCTTTTCTTAAAAATTGTGGTGTGTTTTTAGAATTATCTAAATCTAATCTATGCCATTGATTTGGATCTCTTATTGGTAATCTTGAATCAAAAGAATCTTCTCTTATAAATGTTAAATTTGAATCAATTATAATTCTAATTTTATCATCTCCTGGAATTTGAAAAGCTGTTCTATTATAAGTTGTTCTTAAAATTGGTTGTAAATGATTTTCATCAATAAAATTTGATAAATTTTTAACAGCTGATTCATCATTTAATTTTAAAATTTTAGAAGGAATTTGATTTTGAATAACAAATTGATTAATATATTTTTGTCTTAATTCAATTTTATCATCAATATGAAAATTTGAATTAATATCAAATTGTTTTTTTTCCATTGTTATTTTAGGTTTATCTGATAATTTACCAATCCATCGAATTCTTAAAGTAGCTGAATTATTTAATTTTGTTAATTTATGATTATATAAATCAAAATGTTCATTATCAAAATATAAACAATTAATAGTTTGATCAGTTTGAGTGACTTTATGACCTGATGAATTACCTTCTTCTTCGTCGTCATCATCATCGTCATCATCATCATCATTTTTAGAATTATAAATCAACACAGGTAAATGCCTTAAAATTGTAGTTTTAACTTCCATTAAATTATCTGGATGAATCCAAAATTTAAAAGATTGAAATTCACCATTTAATGCACCATCATTAAATGAAGATAATTTTGATAATGATTGATCAACTTCATAATTTTCTCTTAAAAATTGAAATAATGTTCCAACTTTATATAATAAAGGTGAATAATCTTCTGAATGGAAAGGTAATTTTTTTAATCTAACATTTAATAAAGGTTTTACAGAATATTCTGGATGTAATCTATCATGTTTTTTAACAATTTTAATAAATCCAGTATAATTTAATCTTTGAAAATGTTCTAATTGTTGAGCTTCATTTAATAAATTATCTAATTTTTTTGAAAATGAATCAACATCAAAAGTATTTGCAATTTCAGTTTGTTGTTGTAATTTATTTAATTCTTCATTTAATTCATCAAATTTATTATGTTGAAATCCAAAAACTTTTTCTAAATTTTCATCTAATGCACTTACAAAATTTTGTTCATCTTTATCAGTCCAATTATTTTTTAATATTACACCTTCTTTTAATAATTTTTTTAATTGATTATAATTAATATAATAATCTTTCCATGGAGGATAAGTTTCATGTTCTAATTTAGTACCAAATAACATTCTTGATTCACCCGATTGAGGTTGAGAAGATTTTGTATCACTTATCTTTGATTTTGGATCTTCACTTCCTGACATAATATTTTAAATGTTGAATAAATTAGTAATTGAGATTAAAATTAAGAATTGGAATGTATCCCTGTGGTGTAATCAATCCTGTTATATATTTTATCCTTAATCTACTACCTAATTTAATTTTGTTTAGAAAATAAGGTAGAAGTAAAAAAGGGAATATTTTGGTTACTATATATATAGTTGAAAATTTTTTGTAACTAATTTATAATCTTTAACTCAATTGATGGAATCAAATGATAATCTTTTGGTGAAAAAATTATATGATTATTGCTATAATGTAATTGATATTGATGATGCTTGATCCAACTTGATTTTTAAGTCTCTAATGTCTTAATTGAATTCAATAATTGAACCGTTGATTAGTATGAAAATCGTAAAACTTTAAACTATGGTTAAAGAAATAATGATAAAATGTAACCTATTTTTGAAATTTAGTTTCGTTAATGAATTTATTATAAAAAGTTATAATTTTTTTTATCTTGACTTTTTCTTAAAATTTTAGGTTTAAATTTTAAAATAATATTTCAATTATTATGATTGAGTAATACTTGACTTTTATTGAGATGAAATTTGTGATGGTTGTTGTCGAAAAATCTAATTTGAAAAGTTTCAACTTTTAAGTTGTTTTAAATTATAACTTTGTTAATCAATTAATTAATCAATGGTTATGTTGAAAATATATTGTCTTTTTAGTTAATTATGCATTAAAAAAGCCGCTTTAATGTCTATTGCGCAACTTTGTGATCAAGTAGTTGATGATGTGTCAATTGTAATTGATTTAAGCTAATTTGGACTTGCTCTGGCTAGATATACAAGCACTATTTTAACTTATAGACCAATTTTTTTAAAATCAATTGAAAGAAAGTAGCACTATCAAAGTGGTTGTAAAAATAATTTGGTTGTAAAAAGTTTTGTATCTTTAATTATTTTTTGTGTAATGAGTTACAAAAATGTATTTTTATTTTTTTCTTACACGTGGTATAGAAATAATAATAATTAAACAGAACACACTCTAAAAAAGAACCAAAGAAGGCAGACCAAATGAGATGAACTCGTTTAAAATAAGAAGTTGGTACGAAATTGCTTTTATTACTGTTTAGGATCTAATTTTTTAGAGTTATGCAGCATAATTTAAGTTGAAATCGTTTTTAAAATACCGTCTCAAACTATCAAGTTGAAACTTGGTTGCAAAAAATTAAGATTTAGCTTATTCATAATTTACGAGATGGTACTACAATTTGATTGATTATGCAAAAAAGCATCTAATGTAAAACTTTGTCAAGATGGTTCTACCCTTAATCTTTGTTAAATCATTTGAAATCATTTGAAATCATTTGAAATCATTGAACTCTCCCATTGAAGCTTTTCGCAACCAAATTTGATAATAAAAATAAATTGAACACTTACTTACATTTGTTCAAGTTGTTGCGCATCGAGAGTGTTTGTATATGATGTAGTTTCTACCGCAGTATTTACAAAACGCCAACTCATATTGAGATTCATCTTGAGATTCTTTTTGATTGAGTGGTTTTAGAATAATAACCTCCTGATAATTGATATTTTTTTGTATCAAAGTTATTTGAATTTGAGTTGTTTAATGATATCTTATTACTTACCAAAGACTTACTATGTAGGTATGGATGTTAAAGCTCGTATCCTACAAATTAATGTGTTACATTGTTACTCTAAAATTTTAGTATGTATGTACGGAGGTTAGTCCCTAAATAAGGATTATTCTACCAAATTAAGATTATTACTTAGTCCAAATTCGGAATACTAATAGTTAAAACATTTGTTACTGATTACACTACCATACATTATTATCGCAATAATAATTATAACTAGGAGAGGCTAGTTTATATTAGATACGAAGAATAATATCAACTTACATTCTAAAAGATACTCTTATACAACATTGAAAATGGTATCTTTTTCAATAACTAAAGCTGCAATCATTGCAATATCATTAACATCAACAGTACAATCAATTTCAATTGTAAATAATTATTTTGATAGAGCAGTAGAATTATTTCAACAAACAGAAAAGCAATTGCCACATTTTTTTCAAATTCATAAAGAAGAAGAATCCAAAGATGATGTACAATCTCAAGGTATAAATACTAAACCAGTACCAGGTGGATCACCAATTGAAGTTTGTGATAATGCTTTACCTCAATTATTAACATTAGAAGAAGTAATTATATCACCAAATCCACCAGAAGTTGGAGCAAATTTAACATTTACAGCAAAAGGAAAAATTGATAAAACAATAGTTGATGGTGCATATGTTGAAGTAGATGTTCGTTATGGTTTTATAAAATTGATTCATCAAACTTATGATATTTGTGAAGAAATTACAAAAATTGATTTAGAATGTCCAATTGAAAAAGGTGAACAAATTATTAAAAAAATTGTTGAAATTCCTGATGAAGTTCCTCCTGGAAAATATATTGTAAATGCAAGAGCTTTTACAAAAGATGATGAATTTATTACTTGTTTAACTGCTACAATTGAATTTCCTTATAAGAAATGATGATGATATAGTTCTAATTAGATTAATAAGATAAAAAGTACATTACGCATATTTCTATGTCGGAGTTTTTTGCGTCATAGATCTTCGTAGATAAAGTTATAATGTGTAGAAATTTAATCATACAATTTTTCAAAACCACTCCACATCAACGATGGTTGAATTTCAAGAGATATTCTCCGTGCAGATATTCTTTATAATTCTACGAGAGACTTTAGAAACTGCAATTATTATATCAGTACTTCTATCTTTTATAAATCAAAGATCACATAAACAACAAGTCGTAAATGGTTCAAGTTCACAAAATAGTATAGCACCACCAACTAATCATACAAATAAATCATTATTACAAGTTCAAAATAAATTAAAATTACAAGTTTGGATAGGAGCAATATTAGGACTAGTTATTTGTTTTATTATTGGATTAATTTTTATTTTAACATTTTATTTTATTGGAAAAGATTATTGGTCATATACTGAAAGAGTATGGGAAGGTGTATTTTCAATATTATCAAGTATTATTATAACAGTTATGGGAATTGGATTATTACGTATAAATAAAGTAATGAAATTAAAATGGTGGATTAAATTAGGTGATGCATATAATAATAATGATGATAATAATACAGAAGAAATTTTAGATGAAGAAGGAGAAAGTGAAATTGCAAAATTAGCAGAAGATGATAATACTGACGAAAGAGGAGAAGATATAAATTTAACTGAAACTATAAATGATCCAAGTTTAAATTATGGAGGTATAAGATCAAGTTCAGAATCTGAAAGTATTCCATTAACAGGATCTAATCAAACAAAGTCATCAATATCAAGAAGATCATCAAAAAGTTTTAAACCACAACATAAGAAAAGTTGGAATAAAAAATATTATTTAGCAATATTACCTTTAGTTACTACATTAAGAGAAGGATTAGAAGCAGTTGTATTTATTGGAGGTATAGGTATGTCATCACCACCATCATCAATTCCATTATCAATTATATGTGGTATTTCATTAGGTTCATTAATTGGTTATTTACTTTATAAAGGAGGTAATAAATTATCATTACAATATTTCCTTATTTTTTCAACATGTTTTCTTTATATTGTTAGTGCTGGATTAATGAGTCGTGGTGTATGGTTTTTAGAATTAGAATCTTATGTTAGAAAATGTGATGGTTTAGATGTTAGTGAAACTGGTAGTGGTCCAGGTTCTTATGATATTGCAACTAGTGTATGGCATGTAAATTGTTGTAATGGATTAACTGATGGTTGGTGGATGGTTTTAAATGCATTAGTTGGATGGACAAATTCAGCGACTTATGGAAGTGTTTCTACATATATTTTGTATTGGTTATTTGTTATAATATGGTTAAAATTAAAATTATATGAAGAAAAAAATGGAATTTTACCTTTTATACCAATAAAATGGCAATTAAAAAGAATTCAAAAAAAAATTAAATTATATGAATTAAGAAATAGTCAAAGTTTAGATACTGTAAATCAAATTCAACAAGAAAATATTGAAGCTCAAGCTGAATCTCAAGGATTATTGTAAATAGGTTTTCTAGTAAAAAAAAAAAATGCATTATATTACTCATATATTTTGAGAAAAATATCTAGGTTCATCAAAAACATGATATCTATGACCTCTAACTCCATCACCTTTAAATAGTTCTGGCATTCTTAAATTTTCTTCAATTTCATCTTCACTAACAATTGTATAATCTTGACTCCTTAAATCATCTTCTTCAAAAATTTTAAATTTTGCAATTTGTAATTCTGTATCAGTTATTGTACTTCTTGAAATTCTTGCATATGCAATTTTTTTTAAATCTCTATATAAAATATATTCACACCAACGATCCCAATCACTTGAATCAATATCTAACATTCTTGATTTTTCAGATACATAATTATTATAATTTCCTTGTAATGGATCAGTTACTAAATATCCAATTAATACCATTGGATTTTTGGAGTTTGACATAATTTCTTCAATTCCTAAACTTTGTAATCTACGATCTTCAATATCTTCTTCTTGTCCTGAATGGAAAACCATTATATCAACCATTTCTCCATATATTTCTAATGTAGCATGAATTGCAGGTGCTAATTCTCCAACTGGTGATGGTAATAAATGATGAGTTGATTGAATTATTGGAAATTTTGATAATAATGCTGCACCCCATGTATGTTTATTTGGTCCAGGACCATAATCAACATACATTCCTAATTCTTCAGCTATTTTTTGAGTAAAATCTCGATCTCCACCAATTAATCTTTGAGTATCAGTTTCTAATAATCCTATTATATCAACTTCTGCTTCTTTTATAAGATTTAACATTCTTGTTTCTGATGACCACATATCATTATCTAAACCAAAATGAACACACCATATTCCCGTTGTAAATGTTTTTGAATCTTCATTATATGGTTTTGGAGTTGATGATGGATATCTTTTAATTGTTGTTGCTAATGATAATGCAAGTAATATAGTTATAATAGTTGATATTTGTTTATAAGTTTTTTTACTATAAAAATTGATCTTGGTAATTTCATTAATTCTTAATTTATAATTTGTAATACCAGCATAAATCAGTAATAATGCTGCTGCCAATATTATATCTGTTCTTTCTCTTAATAATGGACCACCAGGTACAAATGCATATGCAACAATCCAAACACTAGCTAAGGAAATGACTATATTTACAAAATATCCAATAAAAAAAGCACCAGCTGGATTATATCCACTAATAGATTGCCAAATTATTGGACCAATTGATACTAAATAAAATACATAAATTAATGTAGCAATATAACCTAACCAATTTTTAAATAAATAAGTAGCTATTGTACTTCCACCTCCAATTATCAAATTATAACTCCAACTACTAAATCTATTTGGATGAGAATTTAATGTTACCAAAATAGCAATTGCAAAAATGAGAAGATGTGGGAAAGCTCCAGTTATTGGTGTTGGCCCTTTGATTGGATAACCTTCCCATGTAAACAATGTTAAAGTTCCTGAATCTGATAAAAATGATTGTAATGCAAAATAATATCCACCAAATCCAATTGAACCTAATAAAAATGATCCAGAAGTTTTTGATTGAGGAATTGATTTACCAATGATGGAAACTGGTGTGAAAAATGAAGCCAATAAACCTAGAAATATCCCAATTGCATTATATCCACCATTTTCTTTATGCATAATTGGCCAAATTGGATTATTTGAATAAGAAAGAAATTTAAAAACTGATGTGGCTAATAAACCTAATGTAAAAGTTGTAATATATGAATTTATTTTCTTGTGTTGACCATTTAAAGCCCAAAATTCATTAACAACAGATATAACACCAAAAACAGTACCAGCAGTAATTGATAATAATCTTTGTTCAGGATCTTCAACTTTATAAGCACCAATTCCTAATATTACTGTTAAAGATCTTGTTAATTGTGGATTTTGAGCAAGGTAATATCTAATAGATGGAATAATCAATAAAAGTGGAGCTAGAAACATTGATACAATGACTGCTTCATATCCAGAAATTCCCATATGCCATAAGGGAAAATACCAAACACATAAAAATAAAGATGTAACTACTGTCCAATATATATATGAATTTATTAAATTAAAAAAAACTTCAAAATTATTAAATTCATTTATAACAGCAGTCTCAGAATCAACAGATTTTGTCAATATCTTTTGAACGGTCTTTTTTTTTTGCCCAGTAATTAATTTAATACCTTCTCCTGTTATTGAAATTTCAAATTTTTCAAAATCAATATATGACCAAGAATCAAATAAAATATCTAATGCAATTAATCCCCATTCAAAATATGCATAAATAGAATAAGCACCTGGTCTTACATGAACTTTATGTTGAATAAACCAATAAATTAATGGAATTAAACTACCAAAAAATGTAAAACATGAATAAAAACGAGCTTTTCTTTGAAATGAATCTTTAGGTGATAATAAAATATTACACATATCCCATGGTATTGTTAAAAAAATATATCCAATCATAAAAACATCATGAGCATCATGATCATCAGTTGAAGTTATATACATCCATCCACCAGCACAAAAAGTTCTTAATATACCAGATATTAAAGCAATATAAGGTAAATAAGAATTTTTTTTAAATAAACTTATAAAATTAAAAGCAATTAATAAAAATCTTGGACCTGCTGTCATTGCAATTATTATTTGAAATACTGATCTTTCAGGATATCGATCTCCTATAGTTGCAGAAACACTTGGAAACCATTCATCAGGATAACCAAAAGATGCATTTTCAACTATTTTATAATAATGTAAAAATGAACCAACTGCCAATGCTGCTAAAAAAGATAGACTTGCAAAAAATGTATGACTATATGAAATATATTTTGCATTGAATGTTATTGATTTTGGTGAGTCAAATGTGGATGTAGTTGATTTCTCAGACATTATAATTTAAAATGAAGTATTTGCTGGTCTTTTGGATTGGCTCTTTAAGGGTATTGATTGGCCCAACCCCGTCAATGTATTGATTGAATTAGATGTTTATGGTTTGAAAAAGTTGATATTTTGATGCAAAAAGATCAGATCCTTAAATGCGTCTTTGGTAGCGGTCTGAAATTTTAATTTTACCCCAGATCACTTCCTTTACAATTCAATCAGTGAGCTCTAACATATCTTTTGAAACGCTGAGCATTTCATTTATTAAAATTTGAGCTCTTCACCTATGAGCTCAACAAAGGTATATAATTCGATTCACTATACTGAAATTTAGTTATAAATTCTTCAAAGACCTTGTAAGTGTCACAACAAAGTATTTTCGGTCTTTATTTTTAATGCGACAATCTCAGTATTAAAATGGTCCAGTTAAATTTTTGTTTTTCATCATTACGAGATATCTGAAATATCAAAACATCAATACATAGACTCAATCAAACTGCTATAAACCACCAACTTATCATTATTATACCCATTTCACCATCTTTTAAACAATACAAACCAATAGCACTACGCACATATACGTAATGGGTATGTATTTTTTATCAATTTGTTTACAGAAGACTGGTCATCAGATACAATAGAGCGTCACAATAAGATTCGGAGATACCTAGTTTGACCAACTGATTCCACTTTAGGTGAATTGAAAATACTAACTTGGTTAAAGTAAAACTAGACAATTATAAAAATCATAAAAGATCAGATTTAGTATCATTTGATGATATAAGTTATAATAATTTAACAGAAGTAACAGCAGCAAGAAAATCATATTTAAAAGAAGAATTTATAAGAACATATGAAAGAAGAATTGCTCATGAAGCTTTACAAAGATGTGCAGCATATCATAATGAAGATAAATTAAGGATATGTAAAGGTTTAGCAGAAAAATATAAATTAATGCTTGAATTTTCAAAAGATACTGGTTATCAATTTTATCAAAAAAATGATGTATCTAAATAGATTAACATAAGGTAGAAAGTTGGGGAGAGTTGATAGACGTTCGAGTTATGTATACTAATAACATATTAATTTATTCAGAAACAACTTTGAGAAAACATGTTACCATACACAGTCGATTGATTTTATCCATTCCTCCCTCTGAAAACAACTACTTCTCACTAATTAGCTAAGTTGCCCTTGTGTCATCTGTCTATAACAAGTTGATTCTAAACTCAAACTCATAAACACAGATTCTTGGGTGAAGCTTAATATGAACTAACCTTAGGAGGTTTTTCATCATAACTTAAGAGGTAATTCAATTAAGTAGTGTAAACTGTACAATATATTCATTTACCCAATTAAAATAAGTAACCGAAATATTAGTGCGATATTATTAACAGAAGTGAAAAAAAAATTCAATAGTGTTGAAGTAAATCGTTAGCTTTAAAAGGTTTCACTAATATATATACATTTACAATGTTTCGTTTAGGGTTCACTAAAGCTACTCGTGTAGTAGCTCCACGTGTAAGGTATGTTTCATCATCACTGGATTTACAATTGAGATTTTTGAAAGTGGACAAACAACATCATCATACAACAAAGTTCATACTCAATTGACATATCAAATCAAATCAAATACTAACTCACTGTATTAGAAACTATGCAACTTTACGTGAAATTGAAGATAGATTAAAATCAATTAAAAATATTGAAAAAATCACAAATACTATGAAAATTGTTGCATCAACAAGATTAAATAAAGCTCAAAGAGCTATGCAAGCTTCAAGAGTTTTTAATGAATCAGAAGCAGATTTTAATAAAAATGCTGATCCAAAAGAAGCTGAAGATGTATTAGAACAAGGAGAAAAATCAGGAGAAGTTAAACCAGAAAAGACTCTTTTAATTGTTGTATCATCAGATAAAGGATTATGTGGATCAATTCATTCACAATTAGCAAAAGCTTCAAGAAAAAGAATTAGTCAATTAGATAATAATGTTGATATTGTTGCAATTGGTGATAAAGTTCGTGCTCAATTATCAAGAACTAATGCTGATAATTTAAAATTAGCATTTAATGGTGTTGGAAAACAAGAACCAAATTTTACAGAAGTTGCATTAATTGCTGATGAAATTGCAAAATTAGGTCATTATGATAATGTTGAAATTTTATATAATAAATTTGTATCTGGAGTATCATTTGAACCATCAACTTTTAATATTTATGCAGCTGATATTATTGCAAATTCTCCAGGTATAAATAAATATGAATTAGAAGGTGAAGATCCTGTTCAAACTTTAAGTGAATTTTCTTTAGCTAATAATTTATTAACTGCAATGGCTGAAGGTTATGCTTCTGAAATTTCAGCAAGAAGAAATGCTATGGATAATGCTTCTAAAAATGCTGGTGATATGATTAATTCTTATTCTATTTTATATAATAGAACTAGACAAGCTGTTATTACTAATGAATTAGTTGATATTATTACTGGTGCTTCATCATTGGAATAGATTAAGTTAAGTAGTTAAATAAAAAAAAACATTAAAAATAAGTTAATATTACAATTATTTCTATTTACTCTAATTTTACAGCTTTATATATCTTACTTATAAATACTAATCCAGTTAGTACTCCAATTGATCCACAAGCTATTCCAATTATAAAACAAGCTAATGCCATATAACTAAAAAACAAAATTGAACTTATAAAATCATCAATATTTAAAATTTTAAAAAAATAATAAAATGAATATAAATAAATATACCATCCAATACTAAAACCATTTTGAAATGATAACCATGACCAATTTGGATTATTAAAATAAATTAATGATATATAAATTGATATTATTGTTTGTTCAATAATTATTATAATTAACATTGATATTGTAATTATTAAAAATCCATACATATAATAAAAAGTTGTCTTTTCTAACCATACTGAGTTGAATATAAATAAAAGTTCAACGTATACTATTCCAAATGGAATTAGGCCGAATATTAATACATTCTTGAAATATGAAATTAGTGAAAATGATTTTAAAATGCTCTTGATACTAAATTTTCTTGTATGATTGAATTCTCTTGGAGATAACGGAGTTGATGGAGTAGTAGTGTCATATTTATAATTTTTAAACTTGTAGTTGTTACCATAAAATCCTCCAATTATCCCCAATGGACATTGAACTAATATAAATAATAAAACAAATATAACAATTGTTCCAAAAGGTAAAGCAGTTGATGAATCTTCAGCCCATACAAAAAAATTTAAAATTAACATTAATAAAAATAAAAATAATGGTAATACTGCACTAAATAATAATGAATATAACACACACTTGTAAGGTGAATATGATTTATTTAAATTTTCATTTTGAAAAAATTTATGTAATATAATTCCCACAAATGAACTTAATAAACCTGATCCAAGGAAACAAAATATTGATAATGAAAAAAAAGCTCCTTTATGAGTATCAAAAAATGAATTCTTAGCGAAAAATGCTATGGAGTTTAATGTTAATAAAATTATAACTCCAATTATAACAATTAACATTTGAATACCACCTGAAACTAAAGTAGTTAAAATTATTTCATTTTTAGGAATAGTATGAACTTCATTAATTAAATTTCTCCAATTATTACCACCACCACCAATTTTTTTTTCAGAAATATTATCAATATCTTTTTCATTTAATGGTAAATTTATTTCATTATTATTCATTTGAATATCCTTTTGTAAAATTTTATAAAATAAAATCATAACAATTAAAGAAACTAAAAATATTAAAATAATTGAATTTATAAATGAAAACCAATGAATTTTTTTTTTAGAATTTTGAAAGTCATGTTCATAATATAAATCCCATCTTGATTCATAATCTATTGTATTATCTTCTCTCCAATATACTGAATAAGTATATGGAATTAAAGTTCTTTCCTTTTTTAAATTTCCATCTTTATTTGTTTGATATTTTAATGCAAAATTTTTATAATCTTTACTTGATCCAGGACATTCTTCATTTATAACTGATTTTGGATATACTTCAAATCCAACAATAATATTTTTTTGAGGACTTAAACTATGATATCGAATAACTAACATAACATGATTATAAATATAACTTATATCATTTTCAACAAATCCCAAAGGAAAACCCGCAGCATAATATTTTGAACCTTGATTTGAAGTTTGAAAAGTTGTTGCACCAGGTAAATCATCTATAGACCAATGAACAACGTAACCATCTTTAATTAAATTTGAAGCTCTTCTTATACCATTTTCACTTGCTTTTAAATCACAAAGCCGTAAACATGATTCATCAATACCAAATTTTAAATTATAACTACTTTGCCAAATTCTATCACCTCTTAAAATTTCACCAAGGGATAAATGTAATGGTTTTGCTCCATTCATTGGTGGACAAACAAAAGGTAAACTATAATATCCATATGGTAATTGAGTTTTATCTGATTCTATCTTGTTGACTAATAAATCTACTTGTTGTCCTTTTTGGTAGTAATTTGGTTGTTCAACACCTAAAAAACTTAAATCAATTGCATCTGTTAAATTGATAAATATTACTAGAATAATGAATAAAGTATGAGGTAGTATCATTTTTCTTCAAAATATGTGCTTTCTATTCTTACTTTTCTTTCAATTCTTTATATGTATTAAGTCGGTAATTATTATATCATCAATATCTTTCCGTTATTTTTCATTAAAACTCAATTGTTTTTATTTTCAAATGGTTAGTTGCTTTTCTTATAAATTTGAAGTCTAAATTTCTGGTCTAGTAAGTTTTTAAGGTTTATTTTCTAAAATAATTGTGTGTTAAAATTATTATAAATAGCGAATGGTGGGGGTAGTAGTCTTTATTATAATTCTAGAAAGAACGGATTTATTAAATTGGTTAAATCCTTGAATATGAGTTATTGAGTGTTTTCAATTGAATTAATGCAAGTATTATTAGTTATTTTTGAAGCTAAAATGAATGAATGTAGATAATTAAAGGGAAATTCTGTCCTAATCCTAATCTTTTCTTATTGTTGGTTTTTTAGTTGATTTTTTTAGTTTAAAAAATTTTAGTTTTTGGTTTTTTTCAATTTTCAATTTTTCTTTTTGTTTTTGTTTTGTAATTTGAAAGTTTAGACTTTTTAGAATAAAGGAGTACTATTCTATGGAAACTAATCAAGTGAGCCATCTAGCACTAGCTCAACAACCATGATAGACATATAAGAGAGCATAGACTTACTGAAAACCCGCGATTTTAGAGTTTTGAATGCTCTTGTTCAAATTTATCTTAGTAAAACAAAATCGTTCTTTTTGTGTTGATTTACAATTTACAAAAGTTATATAATTTTTAACAGGGTCCAAATAATATTATAACATATCAATCATTAAAACGTACATTGAATAACTTCATAAAACTATATATCATTACCACGCTTAATCCCAAACACGCAAATACTCAACCGATTCATCAACTATTTAAAGATTCCATTGCTTCTTTTATTAAATAATTCCCCTTTGGATCTAATGTTAAAGCAATAGTAAATTCTTTTATAGCTGATGATTTATTATTTGTTAAATTATATAATTGACCCAACAAGAAATGAACACTTGCTTCATCAGGAGCTAAATTTTTTAAAATTTCAAAATTTTTTATTGATAATTTATAATTTTTTAAACTAAATAATAATTGAGATTTTTTAAATAATGGTAATGGATTTTTTGGTTGTAATTTACATGCTAATTCATATTGTTTTAATGCTAGTTGTTTTTTATTTAACTTCTCCAAGATCATTCCACAACAACATATTAATATTATATTTATTGGATTTATTGATATTGCTTTTCTAAAATAATAATCTGATTTTGAATAATCTCCTAAATTCATATAAATCATTCCTATACCATAAAGTGAATTAAAATGTCTTTGATCTAATAATAATGATATTCTAAAATTTTCTAATGACATTTCATAATTATCATTACTAAAATATTCATGTCCCTTTAATGTATAAGCATAAACAAATTTAGAATTTAATTTAATTGCCTTGTTAAAACATTTTATTGCTTCATCTGGTTCATGATTTAAAGAAAATAAATTCCCAATAATACACCATGTAATAGGATTTTGAGAATCAATATCAAACATTTCATTTGATAAAAATGTTAAATCTATTTTTTTATGTAAATGCCATAATAAAGTTGAATAAATTTCCATATCTTCAATTCTTGTTCTATCTATATCTCTTAATTTTTTAAAATAAATTTCTGATTTTGAATAATTCATTATTTCATAATATAATTTACCTAATTTACTAAGGACCCATGGTGTCAATTGATCTTCTTCATTTATTTGAGTTTCTAATATCTTTATAGCTTTATAACAATCATATTTACATAGCTTCTTAAACGCTTTTGCAAAAATCAGATATTTATTAAGCAAAAAAGTTTCTGTTTTTTCAATTTCTTTTAAATACATTATTGAAGGTTGTTGTTGATTGTTTGAAATTGAATTTGATATATTTGTTGACATTGGTAATTGATGTATAACTGGAGCTGAATTTATAGATGATGATGACATGTTTGAATTAAAATGTTTGGAATTTAACGTATTATGATTTGTATTTGTTGTATTTTCTAATATTATTGAATTATTTCTTTTTAAATTTTTCTTATGAGGTGTTTCCATTGGATTATTATTTGTTGGTTGTTGCAGCAGTTGCAGAGGATGTGAAATTAATCTTGATGTTATTTTTGAATAATTATTTTTAAGACTACTGTTACTATTTCGTTTTTTATTATCTTGATAGTTTGGTTTAGCAAATTCAAATGTATTATTAGTTATTGATGTATTTGTCATATCTTGGTTTTGGTGACTACTATTTTGAGGTTGATTAATTCCATTGGTATTTAAATTTGATTTACGTAATGGAGCATCAGGTATTGAAGCACTTCTTATTCTTGGTGTTGAATATTTAAATTCATCAACATGTATTGTGGGTGTTTTTAATGGATTAGTATCTTGTGGTTGCTGTTGTTGTTGTTGTTGTTGCTTATCTGAAAAGGGATTAGTCAAATCGGGTATTTCATGAGTACCCAAATTTTGAGGAGTTTTAAAATGTTGTTGTTGTTGTTCGAAATTTTGCGGATATAATTGTCGATCTAATTGCTCACCCTCTTGCTGTGATAAATTCAAATTAATTTTTTGATATTTATAAATATTTTTAATTTTAACATCAATTCCCATTTTACATAATTTTTGTAAAGCTTCAAAATCAAATTGATTAAATTTTAAACATTTTAAATAATTGAAACAACTTGATTTAGAATCATTTATTTCATTATATAAATCACCTAATAAATGATAAATTATTGATATATCAGGTATAATTGATCTATTTTTTTCAAAAAAATTAATCTTTGGTACAGGTTGTTCTTGATTTTCATTTTCATATAAATGTTTATATTTTTGAAATTGAATTATTGCATCTTTTGATTTATTTTCTAATTTTAAACAACATTTTCCAAATAAAAATAAACAACCTAAATGATTTAAATTTAAATTTTGTCCTTCATTTATTATATTTTGATTATTTATATCATCATCAATTTTCGAACTTGATCCATTTATAATTTCAATTAATTTTCTATAACATGATTTAATTTTATCTTGCTTGTATAAAGTTAAACAATATAAATATATTGATTCTAAATTTATAGAATGTTGTTGTTGTTCTTTATCTATAGCTATTAATCTTTCACAGGCAAATTCAGCATTTGAATAATTTAAATTATCTAATGAATTTATTATTATTGATCGTAAGTAGGATTCAGTAAATTGATAGTTTGATTCTGATTGTCTTTCATTAAGATTTGAATTTGATTGTTTTTGCATTTAATCTGGTTGATTGATCTTTTGGTTGGTTGTGTAGTTATGTTATAAATATTTTTAATTTACTTTTTTTTGTTTGTTTATGTTGTTTCATTTTTGTGATATTTATATCAGAAGTTAAAAAAATCTACAAAAAGTCTACAAAAAGCATACAAATATTTAAATTATTACTGTATTAATTCATTAACTAAAACTAAAAGACTATAGAAAGAGAAGGTCATAAAATATTTTATTATAATTGTATTTATCATTGTTTTGCTTCATTAATCATTATTTTTTAGGTTTTATAACAAATGTATGATTACCAGATCCATCAGAACTAAAAGCCATCATTTTTTCTTTTCTTCTACCACTTAAAACTTTACCTGCTGAATTTGAAAAAAGTGCTTTATTGTTAGAAGAAGATGAAGGTGTTGAAGTTGCTGATGTGCTGTTGTTTATATCATCTCTTGGACTTGATGTCCCACCATTTCCATTTATATGAGTAACTGGATTTATTATATTCAGTTGTGAATTATTTGATGATGCTGTAGAATATGGTGTTGATGATATATTCTCACTATATCTATTCGTATTAATAGTTGTATATGGATTATTATTCATATTTGGAGTTGTAGTTACATTAGTATTATTTTGAGAATTTTGACGAGATGGTGGTTTAAAAGTTGATCCATTATGATGATGAGGAGGATCTGCAAAATAACCAGAATTAGTTGAAGCTGGTGTTTCACTTGGTGATGATGTTGTTCCTGATCTTGGTGATAAATAACCTGAAGCTAAAAGATAAGGTGAAGCAAATCCACCTCCACTTTGATGACTTGATGATGATTTTGTTGGTAAATTTGGAGTTAATGGTGGTGCTTCTAAATTACTATGTCTATGATTTTGAGTATTTATCGTTAATTTAGGTAATGCTGTTTTTTCACCTAAATTACCATTACTAGTTGATGTTGAATACATTGATGATTGAAATGAAGTATCATTTGAAAAATCTTCATCACCTCTAATATAACCTTTTGCTCTTAATTCTTCATCTTTTAATTTATTTTCTTCTCTTGTTTTTGCCAACATTTCTTGAGCTTTAGTTAATGAAACTGTTGGTGTTGAACAACTACTAACTACAGGAACTGAATCATCAATATCAATAGTTGCAGTCATTAATGCTTTTATCCAACCTCTCATATCTTCTTCAGATTCAACTGCAAAATAATGGGTTTTTGGTTGTGTAAAAGTTAAACCCTTTTTAAAACCAGGTGCAGGTGGAACAATTTTAAAACAAAAACTTCCAGCCATTGTTGTTGAAGCATACATTGCTGCATATTTATCTGCTTTATCTAAATCATCAGCTTCACTATTTATTGGAATAACTTTATGAGCAGTAATATCTATTAAACCTTTTTCCTTTTTATCTTTTAATGATGTAAAATATGATAATCTTGTTCCATGTAATGTGAAATATCTTTGTCTCCAAGCTAATGTATTACTTGAACGTTTTGACATATATCCACTATGATTAGCACTTTTAATAGCTTCATCTGGTGTAATATCTCTTATACCTTCAGTAAATGCAGAAGTTTTCAGTTTTTTAGATCCAGTCATATTACGGAAATTTTGAGTTGAAACAGTTCTAAAACTTTTTAATCTTGATGCTTGTGGACGAGAACCGGTATTTGATTGTGGTTCACTTGCAACTCTACGATCATCTTTTAATGTTTCGTTAGGTCTTGTTTTCATTGAAATGGAATTCAGTTTTTTAGGAGACATATTAGCATCATCAATATCAACGGGTGAACTTGAAAGATCAAAGATTTGTGATCTACGTTTAGGTGTTGTATTATTATTTTGATGAATAATGTTATCTTTTTTGATTTGTGCAGGACTAATTAATTTTTCATCTTGACGAATTTGATCATCTTTTTGTAAATTTTTACTTTGTAATTTTGGTTTATTAGATTCATCATCATTACCAGAAAGGAATGAAAATAAAGATGAATGTCTTCTATGATTGTTTGCAGTTGATGATGTCTTTTTATGATGTTGACGATAATTTGAAGTTTGTGAAAATTGTCTATTATGAGTTGATCCTTGATCATATACTGATGAAGCAGGTCTTGATGAATTTAAAGCGTGATTTGATGCATTTGTTCTAGTCATATATAATCCAGGAGTAGGTGGTTCTTCATTGCTTTGACTTCCAGCACCAAATTTATAATTAGTATCCATTGGAGTTTCACTTGGAGGTTGTGGTGGTCTTCTTGGAGAAACAAATGAAGAATCAAAATGTTGAGATGAATTATCCATTGATTGTGATCGTTTTCTTTGATGTTTTAATGATGAGCTAGTATTATTTCCAATGACAGCTGATGGCATTAATTCATTTTGATTGGATTTTACGCTATGTAAGAAATTTTGTTGATGATTATGATGATCATAACTTTTAGTATTATCATCATCATTTTCATGGAAAGTTGTTAATTCAGTAGGAGATGAATGTGAAGTTGATGAAGTGGTGGTAGTATCATTTTTATTTGAAGTTGAACCAGTAGATTGTGAATTAGTTCTTGATTGTTGTTTTAATTTTTGAGATCTTAAACTCATTTCTTTTAATTTTTCAATTTCTTTATGAATTTCAAATCTTGTTCCGAATGAATCAATTTCTAATTCTTTTAAATGTCCTAAATCTAATTCAAATAATATTTGACCTGTTATTCTATGTTTAGCAAATTTACTCGCAATTTCTTTATCATATCCTAAAACTAATTGAAAATATGATGAAACTTGTTTTGGAGTCCAATTACTAGCTTGTAATGGATTTAAATCATCAGTTAAAGATTGTGCTGATGGATTCCTTATGTGTTGTTTGCCATTATTTGAACTGTTAGCTACTATATTTGACTGTTTGTGATTATTATTGGAAGTAGTACTACTATATGGGTTCAAAGTTGATGAAACATTATTATTCTGACTATGACTGCTCTTGTTTCCTTGAATTTCTTCTAATGCTCTATCAATTTCATTATTTAAATGATTTGATCCATTCGAATCATTTAAATTTAATTTTTCAAAATTTTCTTGAACATTATTATTTGAATCAGTTGATTTATTTGGATTTAGATTACTTGATTTTAATGGTGCATTATTGTTACCACTACTACTATGATCATTAGAATTTTCATTTTGTATTTGTTTACTTGGTGGAGTCATTACTCTTCTTGACCTTGATCTTAATAAAGTTTTATCTTCATTATTTGTTGTACTAAATATTTGAGTAAAAGTTTTTGGATATAAACCAACATCACCTGTTAATAAATTTTTACCCATATACCAACCATCATTATATTCTCTATCATCAGCTAAAACTTGGATTTTATCACCAATTTTAAGACTTAATTCATCACCTAATCTTGCATTAAATTGTTTTATACAAATATAGGTTGAGCCATCCATATTTGATTATGAGGTATTTGTTTCAATAAATTAGGAATGATTATTTGAAATATGTTTGTTAATGTTTAATGTTAATATGATAGACCACTTTAATGTTGAAATTGATTGATTGATTAGTTGTAAAAAAGATGGTTGTAATTTATTTTCTTATTCTTGTCTAATAAATATATTTTAATATAAAAAATGTGTTGTAATGTAAGAAATGATATAAATGTTTGTTTTGTTGAAATGGTTTATTTAGTTCTGTAGTAGTATACTTTTAAAATCTAGAGTGTACACTTTGTATGCTTTGTATTTAATAAAGGAATGGAATGATATATTAAGTAAAACAATATGGTTGTTGTTGTTGTTTAGTGCTTGTTATTTTCTCTCTCTTTTTCTACTCTGTTGATATTTTTTTTTTTTAATTTAATTTTTGGGGTAATTTTGTGATACTATGGAAGGTAGTGTAAATTACTACAAAAGTTGAAAAAGTATAAAATTTGGAATAGTAGTACTATGATGTATTATATTTTTTATACCTTAAAATTTCAAAAAATAAAGTATAATCTAATCATATATTAATAGCTTAAGGCTGTGATTGTTATTTTAAATGGCAAAAAGAGTAGAAAAAGTACAACTTTATCACAAATCGTACAACTTTCTACTTTATTTTGTGTGGTATTTGTATATGTAAAACAAAAAAGAAAAAATAATAATAATATCTAAACGTACTTACATATTATCATTTTTATTTGTATCATTTAAAGTACTGAGTGAAATGAAAAGAATATGATAATTAATCCAAGAGTCAATACTTAATTCATTTGTGGCTCTAGCCAAACTTAAGACAGGTTTTAAGGACTCGTATCTTCCACCTCTATATCGAACAACAACTTATCTATAATCGTAAGATTTTGGTCCAGCCTTTCTATGTATTGACATCTCTTACACAAATGCATATTTAAATTTATGCATTAATTACGTTTTACAGTATCAAGTAGTAAATCTGGAATCGCATTATCCACATCAAAACATCAAAGAGTCTTTCTTTTCTTCTTCTACACTTGTAGTCTAGTTGACGAATGAGATATGTAAATCTAATAAATGATTTACCTTTGGCTTGCTCGAAACTTAAAACTACCGGTATTTCAAAGTTGAGTGACTTTTATGTCTTTTGATTTTATATATTGGTATCAAATTTAGTACAAAAATTGAACATTTTGAAAGAAACCAGTTTGAAAATTCAAATCAAAATAAAAACATCATATAATATTTCAAAACTCAATCAAAGGATAGTAGTTTACGGGATTTTACACATTTATTTTTATCAAAGAACAACTGGACGACGCCTTCGACATGAATCACTGAGAAGTATCATCTCATGTCAAAGGCATCGTCCAGTTGTTTTTTGAAAAATACTTGTGTAAAGTTTTCAACTTTACCTGATACAAAACGACAGCTAACGTATACATTTCCTTTAGGTACAATTTGTATGAATGGCTATCTTTATAGTCATTGGAGAGCCGATTTGAGCTGAGAAATAACATGGCCATAAAGGTTCTCCACTGAATATACATTCTAATAAAGTATTGCCGCCTCTTGACTATTTTCCTCATTTTTAATCCAACCTGATGTGTACCATGCTCGCTTAAACGTTTTAGTTACATCATTTTCGTCTTCGGCTGTAATTAATAAATGTTATTAATAAAACCTCTTTTTGATCGTTCTGCCATAGTTGCACCTCTCTCAAAGTGAACAAAACTTGTTTGCCATATTCAACTCTCTTCTGTCCTTTTGGGCCTTTTCAATAATTGAATCAAATGATGAAGTTGAATAACTTTCAAATGTAGACTTGATGGAAACCAAATTCTCAGGACAAAATGATAAGTATGTATTTTATTAAGAACATAGAATGCCATCACTTAGTTATTCTCCTTGACTTTCCTATAATTCTGTTTCTAATCAAGTTTCTTAATTTTTGATCTTTAGCGAAACCTGAAGTAAAGCTTCCATCTCTTTGAACTGAATCTTCTGTTTTCGTTGAAGTTGAATTTTTTGTAAATTTCAGGTAATTTTTAATTTTTCAAACTGATAACAAATCACAATAGGACAATCTATTGCGTTTGAGATGTATTCTACTTTTCAGGTCAAAGTCACAGTATTTCAATGTCGCGACGGCTAAAAACTAAAATCAATCTACTTTTGCCACATTAAAAAAAATCTTACCTCAATATAAAAATGTCTCAATACTCTAAATATTTACAACCATTATAATATATTATACTTAATTAACCTAAGAATTTATTAAATTAAACTTATGACATATTTGCAACCCAATTCTTATATCATTATAAATCAAAGTCAATATTAACAAACAATATACAAAAGTCAAGTCAAGCATTAAAAGAACTTGAATCAAAAATATTCAAACATCAATAAATCAACTGCATTCGGTTACTTTTTTTGTTTTTCTCACCCTTAGTAACGAATCAAATCATTTAATATATTCAAATATTTAACAAATCATCAAATTCCGAAGAGAAAGTTTAATAAAGTAAGTAAAAGGGAATAAGTCATAATAGATAAATTAGGAGATGGTCAAAGATCAAAGTAAATCTCGAAAATCATCAATTGAAGAAAATAAATCTAATATAAATACAAGTAATAATGATAAATCAAAAACTCCCAAAAATCAAGAAGAAATAGAAGAAGACAATGAAGATGATGATGAAGACAATGAAGAGGATTCTTTAATAAGACTTTCACAACAAGCACAGCGAAGAAAATTAAGTCAACAATCACGAGATTTTCATGAACCTGGAGTTTTAGTTGATGAATTTAGTGGTAGTGAAAATGAAGATCTACGAGATAATCTTGAACTTGATAGTGGCTTAATTGTTGAAGAAGAACATAGTGATGATAACAGTCACGATTCTGACGATCATGATGATGAAGAAGAAAATGAATATAACGATGAAGATAACGATGAAGATAATGATGACATACATGAGCATGATGAGGATGAGGACGAGGAAGCCATTAATGAAGAAGAATTAGAAATGATTGAAACTGCTGATTTTTTACGTCATTTGATGCATGCAAGAAGAAGAACTGATGTTATAACAAATTCAAATGAATCAAATAGTGGAAATAATAATGGTGAAGAAAGTCAATCCAATGACACAAATAATGGGAATGAAAGTTCAACAAGAAATCATGAGGAAGGAGGTGAAGATGATATGGATGAAATGGAAGATTTCGATCCAAATGATCCAAGAGCTGAGTTTTTAAGAGCAATTGGTGCACTTCCTGGTGCTAGAGGAGAAGCTAATGGTGGCGCTCCAGGAGCAAATGGAGCAGGATTTGTAGATGTAATGCAAAGATTAATGGGTGGAGGTGTCATGTTTGGAGGAAATTCTGGAGATCATGGAGAAATTGAAGCATTAATTAATAATTTAGAACAAAAAGATGATACATATATAGTTTTAGAATCATTAAATGAATTATCAGAACGATTATTAATGATGAATGGATTAACAGCAGAAAGATTAATACCTGCCAATAAATTAGCAAGAAGTCTTGTTGGTATAATGGAAGATCCAAAATTAGAAGATGAATTAGAATTACATCTTGTTGCATGTCGTTGTTTATATAATTTTTTGGAAGTAAATCAAGATTTTATTCATGATGCATTAAATAATAATGCTATACCAGCATTATGTAATAAATTATTAGAAATTAAATATATTGATTTAACTGAACAAGCATTACAAACTTTAGAAATGATTTCAAAAGATACAATATCTCATAATAGTATTATTTCAAATAATGGTTTAACTGCATGTTTACAATATCTTGATTTTTTAACAGTTCATGCTCAAAGAAAATGTTTAAGTATTGTATCAAATTCTTGTACTAATATAACAATGAATAATTATCCAAAAGTTAAAGAAGCTTTTAATAGTATTACTGAAGTTGTTAAAACTCATAATGATCAAAATGTTGTTGAAAATGCTTGGATTACTATATCAAGAATTATAACTTGTTTTAAAAATAAACCAGAATATTTAAATGAAATTTTTACTGGAAAAGAATTATTTTTTAAAGAATTAACAAATGTTATATTGATTAGTTGTAATAAATCTTCAAATACTGGATTAGAATTAGAAAAAGTTTCTGTATCTTATGCAACATGTTCAAGTTTAATTGTATCATTAATTATTTTAAGTAGTGTTAGCATTGAAGTTTCTAAAATATTATTAAGTGATTGTGATATAGGTTTAATCATTGTTAAATCATTAAATAAATTTGGTAGATCTAAAAAGGAACAAACGTCTTCAACTAATGACGGTTCTCACATAAATATTGAATCATTAATGGCTGCTCCCAAGGAATTGATTTTATTATTCATAACATTAATTGGTAACCTTTTACCTATACATTATTCGGCATCTGAATCATTATATTTAAGTTCAAAATTTGAAGAATATGATGAAAGAAAAAAAATCAATAAAGATAGAATAGAATTATGTTCAAATATTATACCTCAAGATTATAAAAAATTTATAAATGAAATTTGGTCATTATTAACTTTAAGTTTTCAAGCAACTATGGATTTTGAAATTAGAAGATCTGGATTTGTTGATATTTATAGAATTATTAATTCAGTTGATGAACAAGATTTGATTTCATTAAAAGATTCAGATAAAGTAGCTGTGATTTTAGCTTCTGTTGTGAATCAATATCAACCAATGTTATTGAAGGATTTACAAAAACATTTTGAAGCAAGAAATAATGATAAAAGGATTAAAAATGGTGGTGGTAGTAGTAGTAGTAGAGATAGTGAAGTTTCTGAAGATGTGGATATGTTAACGAGCGATATTGATGATGACAATGACACTAATGATACACATGATAATGAAAAGCATAATGAGGGTGATGTGAATATGGATGATACTGATGAAAGTGATGAAAATGATAATGACGTAAATATAGATTATGAAGGAGAGGAATATAAAGGGGTTGATAGATTTAGGGAAGAACATGAACATGATGATGATGAAGATGACGAAGACGAAGACGACGATGAAGATGAAGAAGAATTTTATTCTGCTATTGAAGATGGACCAAGGGATTTAAACAAAATAAATTCTACGTTATTGATACTAAGTGCATTAAAAATTATGAATGTCTTATTCAAGAAAGCACCTACATTTTATTTACAAGCTTTTGAAAGAGAAGGTTTAATTAATGATGTCAAAACTATTATTCAGCAATTCAAACCTCATAAAAAATCTCGTAAAATTCATTCATCATCAAATTTTGATTCTCCAATGAGATCATCATTTGGTAATAAATTCATTGATTTAGAATTTTCAAAAGATTATGAATATAAAACTTCACTTATATCTACCTACTATAAAATTGAACAAACCGGTTTAGATATTGTTTCTAAATATAAAGAAATCAAATTATCAGAACAAAATGATGTTTCTGAACATATGACTATATTACAAAATATTAAACAAGTTTTATCTGATCCAAGAGAAACAAAACTTTATACATATGATCAATGGATGGAAGTATGGGATAAATTAAAATATGCATTAAATGGAGCTTCAAATAATTCTCAAGTTTCAAGTTTTGAATTAATTTCATCTGGATTAATTGATCTGTTAACTAATTTATTTACATCGAATGATGTTGATTTTAGTATAGAAACAAATTTATCATATAGTACATTTGTTGATAGTTTTTTCCAAAATGGATTTAATGATGCTAAATCATTAATTCAAAAATTACTTGAAACTTTAACAAGATCAGAATCTTTTGATATTGTTTCAATTGGTAATAATAATAATTCAAATCATTCTTCAAATCAAAGTCAAACTACTTTAATGGCTAATCAAATTAAATTAAAATTAACAGCAGAAGGTGATATGGGTGATTTGAATTTACCAACAATTATGAAAAATATGTCATTATCAGTTCATGCTATTGCAACTTTTAAATCAATATTATCTTATTTAAAACAAAGAATTAATTTTATGGAAACTATGAGTAATATTGGATTAAATAAACATGAAAATATTGATGAAAAGAAAAATAATGAATTTAATATTGAATTTTTAATTAATGGAGAAGTCATTCCTTTGGAAACAACTATTTATGGAGCAATTTATAGATCAATTCAAACTAAACCTGATGAAGTTGTTGAACCAAGTAAAATTTGGTCATCTGTTCATAATGTTACATTCAGAAAAGTTTGTAGTGAAGTTAGTCGGGATAATTTGCATAATAATTATAATTTTAATTTCAATGAACATGAATTAGATGTTTATGATAAAACAACAATTAGTATTTTAAAATTATTAAAAGTTTTATTTAAAATGAATGTTTTCATTGGTAGTACAGGTAGAAAAAATATACCAGTAAAAGATTTTACAAATTGGAAATTAACAGTAAAATTAAATCGTCAATTAGAAGAACCTTTAATTGTTGCTAGTGGTACATTACCAGGATGGAGTATTCATTTAACAAAACAATTTCCATTTATTTTCCCATTAGAAACAAGAATTTTTTTTTTACAATCAACATCATTTGGTTATTCAAGATTAATTCATCAATGGCAATTAAGAATTAATCAAAATTATGAAAATGATCATAATAATCGTACAAATAATAATAATCATAATTCAAATAATTCAAATCAAAGACCTCAATTAGGTAGACCAACGAGACATAAAGTTAGAATTACAAGATCAATGATGTTACAAAGTGCATTAAAAGTATTAGGAATTTATGGATCAACTCCAGGTATATTAGAAATTGAATATTTTGATGAAGTTGGGTCCGGATTAGGTCCAACATTAGAATTTTATTCAACTGTTTCAAAAGAATTTTGTAGAAGTAAATTACAATTATGGAGAAATAATGTTCAACCAATAATGTCTATTAAAGATGAGAAAAAACATAATGATGAAGGATATGTTGATAATTCAAATGGATTATTCCCACAACCAATGGATAGAGAACAACTTAGTAGTGAAAATGGTAAAAAAATAATATATATATTTGCATCATTAGGAAAATTTATTGCAAGAGCATTATTAGATTCAAGAATTATTGATTTTAATTTTAATCCGATTTTTTTAAAATTAGTTCAATTATTAAATTTAAAATCTCCTCATTCTCATATAAATCAAAAATTTATAAAAAAATTTACAACAATATCAAATTTAAAATTAGTTGATCCTCAATTATCAAAATCATTAAATCATTTAAATAAATATTTAATTGAATTTAAATCATATATGACTGAAGAAGAATGTAATTCTATTGAAATTGATGGTGCTACTATAAAAGATTTAGGACTTTATTTTGAATTACCAGGATATCCAGAATATAATTTAATTAATGGTGGATCAAATATTCCAATTACTGCAAATAATTTAGAATTATATATAAATAAAGTACTTGAAGCTACATTATATTCAGGTATAATTCATCAAACAAAAGCATTTATGGAAGGATTTTCAAAAGTATTTCCAATAAATTCATTAATTATATTTTCACCAAATGAATTAGTTCAATTATTTGGTAGTAATGAAGAAGATTGGTCAATTGATACATTATCATCTGCAATAATTGCAAATCATGGTTATACAAGAGAATCAAAAATAATAAAAGATTTAATTTCAATCCTAGTTGAATTCAATGATTTAGAAAAAAGAGAATTTTTACAATTTTTAACTGGGTCCCCCAAATTACCTATTGGTGGGTTTAAAGCATTAAGACCAGAATTAACAGTAGTTAGAAAAAGAGCAGAAGATGGTTTAAAAGATGATGATTATTTACCAAGTGTTATGACTTGTGCTAATTATTTAAAAATTCCAAATTATTCATCAAAAGAAATTATGAAAGAAAAAATTTTACAAGCTGTAAAAGAAGGAGCTGGAGCTTTTTTACTTTCATAGGTTTATACCTTAATAATATTGCATATTTTCTATTAATTTGTAATCGTAAATGAAGTATTATTCGACTAGATCCTAATTTGTCTGTTTTCTGTATCTTCATAATATTGTAATATTGTATGTGCTGTATTGTACTTTGATTTTGTGTGACCAGATAATTGAATATCTGAAAATCAATTTAACAACTTAATCAGAACTTAACACAAGTGAAAATCAAGTCATATACTCATGTACCCTACCCTACAACTTATCAAATAATACAATATAATAATGAGTAATCTATATTCTCATAGAGAAGAACAAAATAATCAAAAATTTGAACAATTAGCACAAACATTAAATCAATTTAAAAATACAATAAATAATGATATAAATGATTCAATAAATCAAGAATCTGGTTTAATTAATCAATTAAATGAAAATTTTTCAAATTTAATGTCATCTGTTTCTAGAACTTCTGGAAATTTAAGAACTGTAATGAATAGAAATCAAAGTTTGACTAGAATTGTTGGAATTATATTGGGTGGATTTTTTATAGTTTGGATGTTATTTAAATTGATATGATATAGAAATTAAAGCTATGAATAGGTTCGACGCAAATAGCTACGACTGGTTTTAGTATTTACCTTCGATGTTAATCCGAGTCTGATATGAAAGCTATGATTAGTTTAGTCATAGGATAAAGTCGATTCATTTGGTTATAAAATGCACGCTCATGGCTCAGAGCTATTTTTACTATATAAGAGACGGTTTAATGAATTCAAGATTTAATGTATAATGTTAATAACAGTTTTAACTTCAATTACTTTCTAATTCTATTTTTTATGAACAACATCAGATCCTAATCTATAGTTTCCAATGGCAGAGCCCCAATTCAATTTCGATCTTGTAACCGGTAATAATCTTCTTAAATTTTTAAAAGAATTTTGATTTAAATTAACAAAACTTGAAATAATTTGATTTTCAATTTGATTTTCAAAATTATTTATAAAATTTACAATTGAACTTGATGTATTTGATTTTAATTTATCCGTTGTTTTTTCATCAAATTTAAGTCTAACATTTCCATCTTCAAAATAATGTATATCTAAATTTATTTTACCTTCTACTTCATTTGAAGATATTTCGTATTCACTTGTCCATATTCCTGTGTAAAAATTCTCATGATTTTGTTTTTCACCTATGAGAATGATCTTGTATGCATCTTCATTTATTGGAATGATTGTAATATTAAAATTAATATAGTAATCGTTACCATACTGTTCCAATTTTGAAACTAAATCTTTTGGAACATTTAATTCATTTTCATAAGATTCAACATCAATGATTTTTTGATTAATTAAATCGAAATTAAATTTCTCGTTTCTGATATAGTCTATGAATTTGGAAGAATCGGAATCTTTATTATCAGCGTTGATTATATAGCCATCAATGATTATTGAAGTTTTGGTTAAATATTCATTAATGGAGTTTTCAATTATTGAGTTAGTAATATCTGTAGATAGAATTTTTTTCAAACTTTTTATAACATCTGGTAATTCTGTCGATGGTGCAGATAATATTAATGAATTTACTATCTCCTGAAGTTGAAGTGACATATTAAGTTGAATTGAATTGTGCAAATCAAATGTTGAGTAGATACTAGTAGTTTGTTGAAAGTTAATATATAAATTTTGCGCACATAGGCTATCTAACAGTTTAGTGTAATCTTTTCTTCAAGAGAAGTGACTTTTGTTCTACATTTTGCGAGAAATGAATAGATAATTATCATATTACTCATGCTTTATAAAGATTATATTATAAACTAGTAAGATCCATTGCCAAATCCGGCACTGGTATTCTGTTCTTGTATTCTTTGTTGATATTGAGCATAGCTTGGTTGAGGGTATTGAGCTTGATTAATATCAGGTTTAAATTGAGGTTGAGTGAATTGCGTGGGAAGAAATTCCTGATGCGTAGGTTGAGATTGATTTTGTTGAGATTGAGTATGATGAGGTTGAGTAGGTTGTGATTGTTGACCAGTGTATTGAGTTTGATCGTTATGAGATGAACTGGGTTGACGATTTTGATTAAACTGTCCTTGAACATGTTCAGACCGATTGTATTGAGGTTGATTTGGTGAAGAATCATAAGGTGGCTCATTGTAGATGGGCTGTGTATAAGGTCCTCCATATGACGTTCGTTGTTGCTGATAATGTTGTTGAGGTGATTGTTGTGGTGCGTTTTGTTGTGGTTGAGTAGGGTGATGTATCAATTGAGGTATCGACTGTGAAACTGCTGGATAAGGAAGTGCATGATTGTTGTTGGGAGAATTGAATTTTGTTCTATTGTTTATCAGTTTTTCTAGTAATTGATTGTAAGATTTAGCTTCAGTTGTTAATTGATTGTTTAAAACTGTTAATTCTTCTTGACGTACACTATACTTGTCTATCAGATTTCCCAATTGAATCCGAGAGGAAATAACACTATTGTACAATTCTGTCACCTCATCTTCATCTACTTGAGAAATATCATTTGTCGAAAGTATAGCTAACAACCTCTCTATTTTTCTCTGATCTATATTTAATAAATGATCTTCTATTTCAGCCTCTTTAGCAAGTTCTTGCGGTGTTTTGTTTACTATTGGAGTAACATAATTTAAAGGAAAAATACCAATTTTCCCATTTGGTAACGAACCTCTCCACCAATCTCTGTAAACTGATTCAATAACCGTGATTACATCACCTTTTCTGAATGACAATTCATCTTCTTCATATGAAATCAAATCATATAAAGCTTTAACTTTTGAGACAGTTGCAACAGTTTGTGTTTCATTTGAACTTTCTGGCGAGGAAGGTGGAATTGGCTGAATATTACTATTTTCAGCATCAGGTAATGGCTTGTTATTTAGATACTGCTTCTTCAAATTCTGTTCATCCTCATATTCTTGTAAAGACAATTTTAAAACTCTTTGTAATTCCTCGTCTTCTTTATTTTTATCCTGTTGTGTTCTTTCCTGTTTGGCCGGTTTACTTGGTCCATGTTGATTCTTGAAATATTGTGGATATTCGTTTTTAGCTTTATTATAAGCATCGTTGATGGGTTTTAAAGATGGATCACTTTCAAAGCTTTTATTCAATTGTTCAAGAACTTCAATTATTCTATATTTCACAGTAACATGCAATTTTTTATCTTGTAATTTTTTGATAAAACAATCTTGTAAAAATGACTTTGTTGCAATTTCTTGTTTCATTCGTGACCCACAATTCTCTGCTATTGCAGTAATTAATGATAATGATCTTAGAATTGTATTGGCATCTTTTGTTGATGAAATTTTGGATTTAATTAAATTTATGGCTCTAGTTGTTTCTAATTCAGGGTCTGAGGATATTTTATCACAAACATCGAGTATATATTGCCAGTTATCTGACGTCAAAGTAGGATCAGTAGCCTTGTTAATAATTGTATCTAATGGAGCCATCTTTGTATAAATTAGATTCAATTATCGTACTATGAAATGAACTTTGCCACTTACTAATAGCTGATTTAATTATGTCTAAGCAAATATTATCTGGATAAGAAATTTAACTATATGCAGGTCATGATTTGAAGATATCAACTTTACGAGTTTATAGATCTATTGGAAATTTTTGGTTGCAAATAGTTTGTATCAGTTCGATAAAACTATGTAGCGGTTCAGAAATGACAAAATTTCTGTTTTTAAGCTTTGATGAACACAGCAGTGATGCTGGAGAAGTTGGGCAACATTCAAAAATTTGGATATAAACACGAGATGGTTGACCAATTTTAGTTTCAAATACGTGCTACGTCTTGAGATGTCCTTTTCTATTCTTTAACGACTGAAAACCATACTGATTCTTCACTAGTTTTCCGAAATCCTGTTGTTTCAGAGAATATTTCAGAAAGTCTCCAAATAATAATATTTTATTTAGTCTTTGAGTTTTCTTTTCGTTTTGAATTATTATTTTATTTATTTTGAATTCAACGTTGATTTTTCAAATTTTTTTTTTTTTTTAATTCAAGCATATCATAACCAAACCTAGTGACAAGACAAAACAAATCAATAAAGCGCATTACAATCAAAGATCTTTTCCTTTTTGAACATATTATCCATAGAAAGAAGCATACTCGTCAAGTCATACATAATTGATTTTGACAGTCTCAAGTGAAGAAAAGACGTTAATAAATTGATATTGGAATAGGGGAAAATGAGTACATCTGCATCAACATCTTCATCTGGTAAAAACAATCATTTGTCTCCCAAACCACAACTGCGTCATCGTTCTTCATCATCTGTTGGTAATATCAACGTTGGAGACACGTCACCTTCTTTATCAACAATGGCCACATCATCTTCATCTAGAAGAAAATCAAATGCAAGATTAATTGAATTACAAAAGGAATCCAAATCAGATTTTGCTATTGCCAAAAAATTGATAATTGGATTTAGAGAATTAACTTATAGACAAACATGGATATTACCATTAATTGTTTTGATTATTGCATTTTCAACTTATTATCTTTCAAGTCCTTCAGGTGAAATTCATCAATTTTTAAAAGACATGATTGTCCCATCCTATCATGTACCAGGAACTGATCAATATGGAAAAGGTGTGAATGATTTCAAATTCGTTGGATTTTATGCCTTATTTTTTACATTTTTGAGAGAATTCATGATGTGTTGTGTTTTAAGACCACTTAGTATATTCTTTGGAATCAAAAAAGAAGCTAAACAAAAAAGATTTTTGGAACAAACTTATGCAATGTTTTATTATGGATTAAGTGGTCCAATTGGATTATGGATCATGTCCAGAACTCCATTATGGTGGTTTAAAACCACTCCAATGTACCTTGAATATCCTCATAAAACCCATGAAATATATTTTAAAGTATTTTATTTGGGTCAAGCAGCTTTTTGGGTCCAACAGTCAGTTGTTTTGATCTTACAGCTTGAAAAACCTAGAAAAGATTTTAAGGAATTAGTTTTACATCATATTATTACAATTGCTTTGATTTGGTGTTCTTATAGATTTCATTTTACGTGGATTGGTATTGAAGTATTTATCACTATGGATGTTTCCGACTTTTTTTTGGCATTATCAAAAACTTTGAATTATTTGGATTCCAAATTGACTGGACCGTTCTTTGTTTTCTTCATTGGTGTATGGGTATATTTAAGACATTACATTAATTTAAAGATTTTATGGTCAGTTTTGACTGAATTTAAAACAGTAGGTGAATGGGAATTAAACTGGGAAACCCAGCAATACAAATGCTACATTTCACAACCTATCACCTTCGCTTTAATTTTCGCTTTACAATTAGTTAATGCTTATTGGTTATTCTTAATCTTAAGAATTTTATCAAGATATATTTTCGCAGGTGATAAGAAAGATGAAAGAAGTGACGATGAAGAAGAGGATGATGGAGAAACTCAAGAAGCTGAAGATAAAAAGCATCAATAACTTAATAGTAGCTTTGGCAAATAAGTCATAAATAGAAGTCTAGTAGAGTACGGCTAAAACTTAATTTAAATACCTAATAATTTATTCATATAAAAACGTAATAATATTTACCCCTTAATACCGCTTAAAGATAATCTTTAGCTACCAAAGTGTTTATTTACATTTTTACTAGATTTGCTCTCTTAATTGTAAATTGTAAAATATCATCATCATTCCTTAAGTCTTAAATAAACTAACCACATTCAATTTCAGACTACAACCATAGACGCAAATGCGTCAATCATTGAAAGAACTACAGGATTTTACAAAAGATGAATTGATTGAAAAAATTTTGGAATCAGAGACTGTTCTTACTGAATTTCAGGAATCAAGTAAAGAATTAGAAAAAGCATTAGAAGAGGAACTAATAGATTTGGAAACGTCGAATAAAAATTATCAAATAGAAATTCAAACTTTAAAGAATCAAATTCATCCATTACGACAAACAAATTTGGAAAATGGAAAACAAATAGATGATTTACAAGAAATACTACGATCCAAAAATGACGAAATTAGCTCGATTCGAAAACAATTGATACAGAACGAGATTTTGAATGATTCCATGGAGAATCAAGACAGAATACTACAAAACAAGCACCAATTACAAATAAAATTTAATCACGAATTACTTGAGAAAATCGCAATTATTGAGGATGAACTTGAGCGATTAAGGAAACAAAATTTCGAGAAACAACTATATATCACCAACTATCAATCACAAATAAAAGAGTTGAATGAAAAAATAAATAATTTAGAATGCACGATGAAGGATAATGAAGCAGGAGATAGTAATGAAGATATAGGCGATATCCTGCTTGTTTCAATAAAAGAAATGTTAATATCTACACCTCCATCACGTAAAATTAAGGAGCAACAAAACACTACATCAAATTTGAGGAAGTCGGACAGTCTACAGAAGCTCAAAAATTTGACAAAGGATATTGAATTATATTTAGGTAATTTTAATCAGCAGGTGCCAAGTAGGAACGGAAGACTACCTCATGATAAAATAGAACTGTATAAATCAACTTCATCTAATCATTTAACAACTTCTGTTAAAGAAGGAACTGAGCTTTTTGATGAGAAAGACGATCAGAAGAAAAAACGCGTTAGTACTCACAAGAGGATCTCACTAAGCAAGAGATATTCAGACTTGTCATCAAAAACAGGCAGACCAACATCAATGATACAGCTGAGATAGATGTTTATAACAATTTTGAGTAGATGTATATAAGTTAATGTTATGAAGTAGACTAATGAATACCAATTTTAATGAAAACCGTAACCTTAAATGTTTTTGTGCTCGAAATTAATTCTTAATATTATTTGTTTATTGTCCTTACTATTTTTCAACAGTTCTTACAAACATCAAAGTTGAGAAAACACACATCAAAAGAATGCAGAGTTTCACCGATGCTATTCTGAAATTCAATATGTACGACATATTTACGTACCTTGTCGATATGAATAGAGATTTAGCCAAACAAGACGATCAAAAAGACTCGAAAAATCAAATATACTTGAATCAAATACTACAAATCGTTGAGAAGCAAAGGGATTTAAATCCAAAACAAACATCTAAGAACAAAAAATCAGACCAAACTGTCTCAATTAAGGAAAATGATTCAACATCAATCAATGTTTTTAAGTTGGCCTCGCGGAATCTCGTAATTATCCTTCAATCGTTACAATCTAAGACCTATGATATAGCTAATCAATTCTTAAATGATTTACACTTGGATGACCAAAATGAATTAAGTGTTGTTTCAAAAACTTCCATAGTTTTCCTTATCGATTTATTTGATCATTTTCCTGGCCAATTGGGTTCATTAATCAGTTTCAGTACTTCGCAAATCTATAAAATATTGAAGAAAGATCCAAATATTTCAAGTAATTTGTTGTATCTACTATATTCAATTTCCAAGAATGCAACAAAAATAGATATTGATGATAAGTTGAATGCGAAATTAATCAAAATTTGCACAAAGGCCATTACTCAGGAAGCTATATCGTTTGATTTAAATGACGAAAAGGATAATTCCTCAATTTTAATTAAAAAAAATTTCATATTATGCCTCAAAAACTTTTTCACATTGAGTATCTCCAGTCGTTATGAAAGTTTATTGGAAACCTCGGCTAGTTCAAATCAAGCTGGGGCTAAATTAAAACCTGAAACTATCATGAGTCAACAACATCAATTTCAAAATAATCTTTTAAAAACAAATGAAAAGCTATTTGACTATTGTCTTTCCAATACTCTGAAAGAAATAAGAGTTGCTACGACAGATATGATTGCTAGTTTATTAATCAATTTCATACCGACAGGAGAATTCAATTCCATAGAATTTTTGATAAGATTATATCCATTACCTGATTTAAATTTGTGGGACCCGAGCTTGCAAAACAAACTTGATTTAGATGGTGAGACGATCATTGAATCCAGAAAAGAGAAAAATACTGTGGCAAATCATGACAGTTCTTCAATCTTGAATTCAGCCTTAAAGCTCAACTTAAAACAGTCAAGTGTAATGTCGACCATCATTTTTTATATCCAAATGGAACAATTTCAAAATCCTGAATTTTTATCATCAAATTTGATTTATATACTAAAATTAATTCTTTTGAAATTCAACGACCTGGAAAACATTGTACCATCGATGCTTCAAGTCCAAGACACTAACTGGTATAAGACTTTAAATAATTGGAGTACATTAATAGATTATTTGATAACAGAGACGGGTTCAGCTGCTAATGATATACTTAGTGAATTCATCTATTCTAGATTCGAATTAGGTCTGGAATCAAAGTTAGATGAAGATAAAGATGAATTCACAGAAATGGGGTCTTTGAATAAGGAAAAGAAAAAAGAATCGAAGATTTTTGTTTTTAAAAGTAGCAAATCTAACAAAAAAAGGGAATTAAGTAGTAAAATCAATATCTATACAAATCCATATCAAGCATGTTTGACGATGCTTATTATTCAAGTTGTTTTACCTACAGGAATTAACTTTGATTCATCTAATAATCTGAATGGTGTAAACGAGAAAGCCAGTTCTGAAAATCCCGAAGACGAAGATTATGAAATTGCAAAGAGTTCAAATGATGAAGGCTCTTCGTTTTTAGAAAGTGCATTATTGACATTAATAGTTAACGACAATTTTTACATAAGAACTAGTGCTATCCAAACTTTTATTGCATATGCAAGGTACAACCAGGCAATAATCAATCAATTGATATTGAGAATTTTCAAATATGTCAATCAAGAGCAGAAGCATTCCGAAAAAGAATCCAAAAAAGGGGAGAAAAATGAAAAGAATGTTTGTGGTATTACTTCGGTCAGGCTATTGAGTTATTCCTTAACTCTATCAGCGCTAATCAGACAAACCGATCCCGCGTTACTTCAAAATTCAGTGATTGTTAAAATCTTAAGTTTTTGTACACAAAATTTAAAACATAGCAGTAATACATCAATAAAGAACTCAAGTTGTTGGATAATATTGTCTTCCTTGATATCATTATATAATTCTTCAGAATATGTGAAATTAAATTCATCTCAATTTTTGGTGTTTTGGAAAAACTTACTCACTTCCCAATTTCTTGGAAATACAATAAATTCTGATGTTTCAAGTGATAATGAGATTATCTCCAATTTAAAATTGAGAGCTTTTGCGTTGGGTTGTTTGTTGAATTACCTAAACTCAGTTGAATTAACTCCGGAGTCATTAAAACAAGTGCTGTTTCTTTTGAGTAAATCTTATAATTATTTGTCCCATTTGGAAAGCAGTATTGAGAGCGTGGGAGCGGTAACAACTTTGAATTATTCTTCCTTCAACAATTTTGATTATAATCCCAACATATTAAATAATATACTATACTCCAATTACTCATTTAATAATCAACTCGTGCCAGAGAAGATGATCATAAGTTTGATATTTTATAGTAAAAAACTAATATTTCAAAGTTTTATCAGGATAACTAAAACACTTAAGAGTGAAATCAATTCGAGCATTGTCATTTTTCTTATCAAAATCTTTAGCGATCACAGATTATTCGCCAGAGAAACATCAATTGATTTGGATAAATCTTCCAAGTCAAAATCCAAACAACCAAAGATGAACTATACCCTTGACGCCGATTTTTCATATTTGAATGATGAATTCAACTACCATTATGGGGTCACAAGCAAATCAACGACACTTTTCGATTCAGAAAATAAAATCAAGTCTGATAATTATGATGCAAATTCCAGATTACATAGTGTGTTCAACATGAACGCACAAAATGGGGCTTCTTACTGGTTAGATGTGTTTGAAAAAACAGCGTTAGATTCGACAGAAACGTCTTTAAATTATGATCCCAATGTTTTGATTACACAAGATCTTAATTCACATAATAATGAATCTCCAACTTTAATGACATCTTTGGTGGATTTATCAATTGAATTATTTCAAGCACTGTTTCCATATTTGACAAGCAAAATCCAATTTTCATTGTTAGAACAAATAAGAAATTCTTTATCAGCAAAACCTATAGATGAATTCAGATTTTATGCCATTCAAAAAAATGTATCAATTGCATTGTTTGGAGTTGCATTGAATGCAGTGACAAACAACCTCACCTTCAAGAAAGATGTAGTCATGACTATCATTGACATTATTAGAAATCATGGATGCAAAAGCAAGGAATTTACTTCAATTAACTCCAAAACGATAGGCTTATGCTCTCAAATTATTAGCCACGATGACGCACATGGATTAGTTACTACTTTTGTCAACGATATTGTTAATAACGATTCTCCATTTCAAAGAGGATTTGCTGTTTTGAGTTTGTCTCAAATATATTCAAAAAGTAAGGTAGGATTTCATGAAACCTACAATATTTTACTGCAGGTAATAAGTGATCCAAATCCAATAATGTACTATTATACTATTCATTCACTTATCTCAATATTGAACTCCAACATAGAAAAACTATCCATTATTCCAGACCTTTTGAATAAGATTTCAATCAATTTTTTAAGTAATGCCTTTAGTTATGATTCGGATAACAAGATTTTGGATAATCTTAATACTAGGTATAGTGTTGCTGGACCAGTTGCTCAACTACTACGTTTATTTGTGACAAATTTAGGACCAGCATTGAGAGATTGGCCAAGTAGAAATAAGACTATGCTAAGAAACCTCATTATTTCTTTTAGTTATGGAATAGGGTTGGCCACTCTTGAAGATTACATACAAGTATATAAACAATTAATGGAGCTATTTCAGGAATTAATTATTTTTGATCCAAATTTGATCGAAGGAGAGGTTGGAATATTCACAAATTTGTTGAATTTAATAATATCCAAGAATTTAAAAGTAGCGGTTGGTAATATATCTCCTACTTCATTGAATGCTGAGACTATTTTTCCATTCACAACGAGTTATGATTTATATACAAGTGCCTATACTTGTTACTATGAACTATTGAAAATATATGGGACATCAATACTTACTCCAGAAACTGAATATTTGATTTGGGTGTCAATGAATGTCAAACCATGCGTTGAGTTGGAGCGTCTTACTAATTTGTGGTTAGAGTCTAGTTTGGATAAGAACTGGTTTAACACATTGAATACATTGTTCAAATCTAGTATGAAGAAACTTGTTGGGCCATTTCTCGAATCCAATTATCAGCAGAAATTATTACCACTATCACAGAGACAAAAGAAGAATAAACGAGATAATGCAGTTGATTTCAAAGATGAAGAAAACGAAGGAATTGTTGGAGGTGATGAAGACAACTTGGAACAAAACGAACCAATTTCGTGGAAATTCAAGTTATTTATTTACGATTCTTTAAACAACTTATTAAAATTAGCTTATCATAATATTCAATTGACCGAGAAATTGAAAAGTAAAATTCCGGATATTGTCAAGCTTTCATTTTTGGGTTCCACATCGACAATCTCGGAGTTGAAAATAAAAGGATTAGATGTATTGAATTCAACATTGGAATTATTTGGCGAATTTGAAGATCCATTATATTTCTCAGTTTCAATACTAGAGCAACAGCAGGCTCAAATCATCAGTGCTTTGATTCCATGTTTTACACCGGGAAACGATTTTAGAGTAATTGTCCATGCAATAGGAGTTTCGTCAAATTTTATGAATTTACCAAGAATTAAATTTTATTCCAAACAAAGAATATTGAAAACATTAACTCAACTATTGGAGGAGATCTCATCTAATAAATTTTTAAAATTTGGATTTTTGGAGAGCATGTCTGAATTTGGCAAAAAAAGCATCCAATTAGCAATTCTTAACTGTTGGGCTATTTTAAGAATTGATTCAAATGAAAAAACTGATGGTAGTTCGGATGAAGAATTTAAGCAAATTTTGGAAAAATACTCTAAGTTATTGGTGTCGTTGTGGATAATGGCCATCAGAGAATATTCAGTGATCAAGTACAGCGAATCTACTAGTAAGGAAATGGAAATTTATGGAACATATTGGATCAATTTGATCAATGTATTAAGTTTGGAGTCAAATAAAAATGAACAATTGGTAAATGATTTACTATCTGGAGAAGCTCAAAATTTTTATTTCATTCTATTCAGTCAATGTATGGAATCATTGGTGAAAAATAGAAATGTAGTTCAGGTTCTTCATTCGACTAAAAAATTATTGAGAATACATTATTTGGTGGATTTAATATTTACTGATCAAATATTCATTGAAATCGTGGACATTTTTGATAGGTTGGTCTTAATTGATGATAATACTGAAGTGCAATGCTTATTATTGGAAAACGTCAACATTTTATTTCAAACTTTTATCTCGTCTCACCCTACAAACTTGGAGACTGGATTTGACAGATTATTTGAATTAATTAGAATTACTATGCTTCCATTATTCAGAATTTTACCTTTTTTAAAAACTGACTACGAAGTCACGGATGAATTTGCCCATGAAAATTTACTCAAGCATGCAGAATCTGCTGCCAATTTATTAGTATTGAAAAAGGCATTTGACAATCTAGTTGAAATGATCTCGCTTTTCCCGAAAGTCGTAAAGATGGATTTATACTCATGCTTGCTTTATATATTCGCAAAAGTTTATGCAACCAAAAAGATTTATTTGATTTCTGTCATACTTCCTCATTTGAAGCAAATTTTGATTGGAATCAACGAATTTAATAACACTTCGGTTACCAATTTTTTCAATATTATTAAAAATTATTATGAGATTACTCCTCAAGAGAACTATACAATTATTACTACTGTGGTTTTACTCACTTATGGAGCCATAGAATTAGATGTGAAAAACTCAAAGAAATTAAGCGAATCCTTATTATCTGTATTAAGTGACTCAAATTCAGCTTCATTAAGTTTGCAATGCATAAAGTCTTTAATTCAAAGCAATAAATCAAATGTTCAACCTGTGTTGAACTATTTATTGAGTGATATACTAAGAAGCGTTAGTGGATTCAATGAAAAATTAGTGGTAGATAAAAAATTATCTATTGAAATTTTGATAATGTATACAAAAGTGATAAAAAATGACTTACCAAAATCAAGAATAATATATTCTATTATTATTCCTGTTTTAGCGAACAACGAAGGAAAATGTGACGATATATTTATTCATCAAAAGTTAATGTATTTAGTGAAATTGAATCCGGCAGTCTTCAAAGAAGCAATCAACAACCATTTAACAAAATCACAGAGAGAAAAAACTGAGAAATTGATGAAAATGAAAATACAAACTGATAACCAAGTTGAAGACACCCCTGCAATAGAATTAAGAACTTTTGTATAGTTTTGGTATTAGTTAATGAATCAATGTATGAGTTTGTTAAAAACGCACTGAACTCTATCAATACGCGTGTTGATTTTTGACACGCGTTTTATTTACTTTTTCAAAATAAAAGTAAGATTTTAGTAACCACATCATTCTAACTCATCATAACAACTTAGAAATACTCATAACAGTCAATGCTCGCATCGAAATGAACGAGATTCAATCAAGTATAGTAGGGGATATCAATATTAGCCATTCATTACTTTTCAATCCACACACCTCCTCGGGCAATGATGAAATAGATAAAATACATGAGGATGAAACTAATGTAAATGATTCAAATCACTCTGAGAACATCGAAAATATTCAACCACCAGAAAGTCGATCTGATAACTCCTCCTCGGGCAATGATGATTTAGATAAAGTATATGGAGATGAAACTAATGTAAATGATTCAAACCACTCTGATGACATCGAAAATATTCAAGCACGAGAAAGTCTATCTGATAATTCTAATAATATTAGTATTAGTGAGGTTAATTCGGACCAAAAAACAGTGAAATTACTAAATGGACAGTGCATAAATTTGTTAAGAAGAAAATGTTCAAAAGAGGCAAACATTCCATTGACTGCCAATTACTCATACTTGGATATGAATCTGTTATTCACTAAAGCGGAACTCAAAAACAAAATCAAAAGCAATAATCAGAATTCGAAATCAGAAGCTAAATCAAAATCGAAATTTACAACTCAATTATTGACAGAGAAGTATAAACCACAGAACCTTTTACAACTATGTCCAGCAGGAAATGAAAGGCAGTATCGACAGATTATGAAATGGTTGAATAAATGGTCATCAGTTGTATTTGGGAAAAGCAAAGAAGATACTGATAGTGCTGATTCATTAGGCAGACCCTTCAAAAAACTTTTGTTAATACACGGACCTCCTGGTGTTGGAAAAACAGTTGCAACTCACATATTAGCTAATCAATTGGGCTATAACATACTGGAATTAAATGCAATGAATAGTTTGGATACATTTCCACAAAGCACAAAAGAATCAATAAATTCTTCAAGCGCATTAAAATTGAAGATTAAAAATGCCTTAACATCAAATTCTATTTCAAAAAATAGAAAACCCTCTTGTTTGCTCATTGATGAAATTGATTCTTTAGCAAATTTGAATGATGTTGTCAAAGTATTGAACGACATCGTAAGCTCAGATCAAAGAGCTTTCAACAACCCACAACAATTCAATAATAGTCGAACCAGCAATAAAAGGACATCTAAAAGAAATCATCAGATACTAACTAGGCCCATTATTTGCATTGCAAATGATATTTACTCACGACCATCGGGAAAATATGGTCCAAATCCATTGGAACGAGTCAGAGCTTTGTCGGAAATTGTTGCATTTAAGAAACCAGCAATAACTCAAAAGATGACAGGTGTTAAAGTTAGTGGGAATGCAATGAAATCAGTGAAGGATTACCTTATGAGTATAAATAAAAAGGAAGGTTTAGGGTTGGATTATAAAGATATTGGTGAAATATGTGAGGTATGCGACGGCGACCTTAGAGCATGCTTGAATCAAATGCAATTTGGTGGTAGAAAGTCATCCAACTACCTGAAAAAGTCCTCATTCATGGACAAAAACGTATCTTGGTTTAATATGGTGAATGATATGTTGAGAAGAGACCCACAGTTAAAAAAAGAAGAACATTTTAATAAACTTTTGGATAAGTATCTTAGTGGTAATGGAAAAGTATTAAGCTCAAATTCGGATCTATTCGATAAGTTTATGAACGGTATTTTCAACAAATATTTAGATGTGATACACACACAAGATGATTCCTTGATAAAACCAAGCGAGCTAAGTGATTGGTTTAGCTATACGGACCAATTTTCCAGAAATTTCAATGATACTGGTCAATATAACACAATTATTGCATTAAAATCTTATTTATTATTAAGCGATATAAGACAACAAAAAGAATCAAATCCATTAATAAGTAATGCCAATTCCCAATTTTTCGAAATGGTGGAATCTTTGAAAGAACATCGTCATATAAGCAAATGTGTCATTGAAAATTTACCAGTGCAAACTCGTCTTGCAGTCGGTAATACCAATGCTAACACTGTTGCAACTTATATTCTTCCTTGTATAACCAAAATACTCAACCCAACCTTCTCATCCAAACAAAAGTCCAACTTAAATTCGACAGAGTTAAAATGGTTAGATAAATTGGTAACGATTATTCAAGATTTCAAAATTTTATTAGAGTATCATAAAATATTTGATTCGAATCAACAACAATTGGTATACACACCAAACTGGGATCAATTATCAATTTTTGAAAATGGTTCAACAAGTAAGACTAACACTTTAGACCAAAAATTAATACAAATAAAGCGTCAAAACATTTTTCCATTAGTCAAAGCCGAAATTGACCAAAGATTAAATGCAATCCAAGCTTCTAAACGTCCATTAACTACAACAACGGAAGAAGAACAGCAAATCTTGAAAAAAAGAAAATTAATTGAAAGAGATCTGCAATATTTCAAATCCCAATATGATTCAGTTTTATCTAATTTGGTAGGAGTTTCCGAAAATTCTCAAAAGGAAGAACAAAATATAAACGAACATATATCAAGAATTTGGGTCAATTTTAAAGAAGGATATTCAAACGCTGTTAGGAAAGAGGTGGTCTGGAATGACATATGGAAGGCTTAATATAATTTTAATATGTAATATTGATATAACTAAAATACTAAATTTACATACTCTTTAAAATACATAATCGTATCAGTTGCTGACTCAGATTTTATAAAGCTATTAAAACTTATTTTTCTCTTCATCCCGCGTTTAGGGTAGTTAATGACATTTGTTTGACCTTGTAATTGTAGTAGACCGTTTGAAAAATTCTCATGCATTTTCTCATTGTTTTGAGAGAATGGGTCCAAACTAGTTAAAAATTTAGGGTCTTGCTCCAATTCAGGTTTCAATATTGGTCCAAAATTAAAATATATGTCGTCCTTGTCACTGGTGGATTCAGCAAAGCTTTTGATTAAATTGGACGTCTTTTTTAAAAATTTTTTAATTTGACTTTCAAAAGGTGATTTAATGCCTGTTTCTTTGATTTTCACAAAATCTTGACCCTGACTACACGTAGAAGCAATTGTGGCAAGCGATTTATTGGATTGAGTATATTCAGGAGATGATTCCACAAATGAATTCATTTCAGCTGGATGATTATTATAGTTACTACTTTTCAGGAAGTAGTGCTTGAAAATTCCCAGGACTTTACTAGAATTTCCTTTTTCTTTTATTTTTTCAACATTAGGTTTTTCCATGTCTGACAACGATGACAACTTTTTTAAATCAATTTCCGCTTCACCATTGTCGGCTAGTAGTCTGTTTTTAGCAACAACAAACGAGACAATATCATCATTATATGAACTGCGTTGTGCATTCAGCGTATTTTGATCCGAATCACGAAAGGTATATTGATCCATTTTCAGATTTGTAGGCTGCATGATAACTGTTTGAGAACAACGCTGTAAATTTGGGGAGTCTGACCATTTTCTTTTTTTATTAGTTGAATTAGCTGTTGTTTTAGGGACTGTTTCAACATCTACTCCTTCCTGTTTACCTATTCCAGTAATTTTATGATTCCCAAATTCTGCTGGAAGATTTGTAATGTCAGCATTAATATGACGAGATACTCTTAATTTTGTTTTTGAACATTTCCGTAAATATTTGTCTTTAATTGATTGATCATTTGTACAATGGACGTTTTCAGTTCCTGAGACTGTTAAAGGTTGACAATTTTTTTCATGCTGGAGTTTCCTATTTTCAATAATATCAGATCTCACAGGTAATTTGGCTTTGCCCAATTTTAAATCAGGTATGTGACTATTTGCATTATGAATTGTCGATGAAGTTGAAACATTCTTTAGATCACTTAAAGCTGATACGTTTTTCAAACCATGTACCGATCCCTCAATCACATCACTATGACAACGTTGAACCCGAGTTGAAGAATAATTGCCTTCGATAGATGGCAATTTCATGTCATTTAAAGCACTGCATGATTTGCTCCTTCTGATGCTGGGGGGTGATAACGCTAAACCTTTGTCTGGTGAATGAAAGTTTGAATGTTTGATGTCCTCAAAAAAATCGTCCAACCGGGCTGCAAAAATTTCTTCTTTCAATTCTGATGATAATTGACCGTTTCGTATACTAAATCCTGTAAAACCACCGGAAGGTTTTGGTCTTAAAAATTCCGATGTCTTTTCGTCTGTTTTAAATTGCTCCAACTCCTCAATATTTGTTTTGCTAATCATCTTCTTGGTGTTGTATCTTGGATTAATGATAGCACCTAATCTTGGAAAATGAGTTGAAAAAGGTATTTGTAGATGATCCTTGTCCATTCCAAAGGGTCTGAAAAATTGAGATTCACCGGAAAAGATTAAATGATTCGTAGTGTTGATCATACTGACTCGTTATTAGAATATAATTGAGTGACCAAGCAACTTCATGTAAGATGATGTTCAAATATAGGACTCAGTGTGAACTGATATCAAACGATTTTGATAAAAACAAGTAATGAGACAATTTCATTCATTATATTTAGTAAAGAGCCAACTCATTTTGTCAATCAGTGCCGAGTCTATCATGTGCTTGTTTTAAGTTTGTTTCAAAAGACGTTTTGAAAATATTATGTTTCATTTTTTCTACAATGTGCAGAAACTCAAATTGTTTTTCACACTCAAATTAAATATTTAGAAAACTTAACTTACTAAAAAATATAAAGGGAGATTCAAATAAAGTGACATCTCGTATCTTGCAAAGCCTACGTCGAATTCATTGAGATAGCTGAATCAAAAAAAGTAATCACCAAGTAAACTTAAAAAACAACTAATGTATATATTGTAAGAAAATGTATAAGAATTAAAAATCTAGAAAATATCCCCCGAGCCTGCTAAATTGTGCTCTTTTCTTTGCGGCCAATATTCACCATTGTATTCCCAGTACATATCACCAGTAATAGGATGCTTCTTTTTGATAAACCAATTTGGCTTATATGTTTGACCAGTTTCTTCTCTTTGTTTTCTTGCTTGTCTTTGTTTGACTTCAACTCTATGCTTTTCATCTGCTGCTTTATCATACCTACCTTCTTCCATATCTCTTTGATCAGGTCTCAATCTTGTATCAGTAGGTGCTAACCATTTTTTCAAATTAGAATCAACACCATTTAAAGTAACTGCAAATTGAGTTAAATTAAATGGAACTTTTGGTCTTGGTGCAACTTGCCAAACTAAAAACTTGTTTCCAGAAAAAGGATCAGTTGAAGTTGTTGAAGATGATTTATTTGGATCGTCCAAAATTGACATTTTTCTACTAGAATCATGATGTTGTTGATCTTTAGTGATTTTTTTAGCAAATATTTTCGAATTCCAATAACCCCCCATTGCCCATTGTGGGACTCCTTTTGCGTCTAAAGCTTGACCTGAAAGTTGATATGCAGATGATGCTCGCCATCCTCTTTGCTTCATGTCAACTGTGATTGTATCACCTGTAGTATGGTTTTCAACAATCATCTTACCATAATTGTCTACGGTAGGATTACCAATCATAATTCCAACAACAGCAGTATTGACTTTTTTCCAACTATATAATTCCTCACTCACCAAATTACCTTTCTTATCTTTAACTCCATTATTAGGTCTAACTACTGCAAACATTTTTCCTAAATGTTTAAAATCAAATGATCTTCCAGAAAATTTGGAATCAACTGCATTCTCACCATAATATTCCCATTTTGGAGAAGTGGCATGACAAGCACTAATAGGAGGATGATGACTAACTTGTTCAACAATTAATCTATAGTTTTGATCAGGTCTGGAGTATTCAAACGTCTCACCTAATAATGGGTTAAATGGTTTTGCAATCCTATCAATAGTTGAAGAATATTCAGTAGCTGCAAATGTAGCAACATAAATTAATCTCAATGTAGAATCATCATATCCAGCAGCTTTATTTAACAAATCATTATATTCAATATCTTCAGCCAATCTTTGTAATAATGAAGTTGGTTCATTAAAGGAAACAGGTAATGTCATTCTAGTCATATCCTTTCCAATCATTGATTTTAAAATACCCCATAACCCAACTTTCGGTCTATTATCTTCGTCCATACCTAGCTTTTTTCTTGGTGGATTTTCATAACCCAAAAATGAACCTTCTGCTTGTAATTCATGATTGACTTCTTTTTGCGCCGGATTAAGACCTTCATCACCTGGAATATTTTTGTTCGTGGAATCAGCTGTTTCAGCAGGGGCAGTGTTGGAAGGAGGAACTCCCTGTTGATTAGATTCAGATGGTTCAAATGACAGATTATCAATTTTTTGTTCAGGCGGTATAGATTCATCTTGTGACAGAGCAATACCAGCACCTGCCGCTCCTACTGCACCAGCACCAGCACCTGCTTTGACCGCAGGATCTAAATTAGTATCGTCTCTATTCGAGGGTGGTTGTGTAGCAGCAGTTTCATTTGATTGATTGACTTTAGGTGCTTCTTCTTTACTAACATCTTGTTGAACCGGTGCTAAAGTTGAAGAATCAGTTTCATTTGGTGGAGCAACAACATCAATTTCATCATCGAATTCATCAGCATCAAAAAACTCATCTTCAGAATCATCACCTAATAACTCTCCTATAACATTATCGGGTAAAGAACCAGGCATATGATTAACTTCTTCTTGTGCAGCAGTAACTGGCAAATCTTCATTGCCTACCTCATTTCGTTCAATACCTCCCAACTTATTATCGATGGCATGAATTTGATCTTCTTGAGGTTCTTCACTCAAGATCTCACCTTTAGCAACACCAGTTGCATTACCATCACCATTATTTGTCGATGGAAGTGGTGAAATTGCACCACCAGATTTAGTACCAGCTCCTCCTGAAAAATATTTTCTCAATTGTTTTCTTTGTCCTTGTAATACAGCCAATTTATCTTCTCTTGATTTAATTTCATTTTCTAATTGTCTAATGGATCTTTCCCAAAGTTGATTTACTTCTACTTGTCTATCTAAATCTTTTCTAAGTTTATTGTCTCTAGTATCAACGATTATATTGTATTTCGTGATCAAATCACTAATAGCCCTGATTGTATTATTACCAACCACGCAAACTTCCGCTTGTTTTGAATTAGGTTGAAAAACATCTATGCTCATTACTTGATGAAATAACTCTAATAATGACAGTAATTCTATATGTAACGATCTTCTGGTGGCTGCAATAGAATCATTAATCTGATTAATATCAATAGTATTTGAATCATTATCACTATCATAATCTTCTCTTTCAATTTCGTCTGCATCGTAATCAAAATTTTCATGATCTGTGTCTTGAACGCTATACTGTTCGTCCACACTAGCTCTGGCGTTCAACTGTTGATTGGCAATTGAATCGGCAAGAGTGTGAGATGTCGATGACCTTGAAACATCACTTCCATTTTCAAACGATTCTCTAGAAACTTGACTGACATTACGTTTATGATGTTTTTTTCTTCCAGGAATTCTCAATCTGTGTTTTTTCTTTTCTCCAACTGATTCATTGTCTTCTACGGTCAGATCTTGTAACTCTTCAGGTGACACTGTTCCACTTGCTGTATTATTTGATAATTGATTTCTCTTTCTTATATTATCTTTAGAAGCAGTTATAGCATTTTGTAATTTCCAAACCCATCTATTGGTTTCAACTGGGAAATTAGCTTTCAAATGCCATCTAAGACCATTTTTACCATATATTTCAAACTTCATTTTCTCAGATGAATCCAAGTGTAATGTTGCATAACCTAAATTTAGCGAACCACGACAAGAAGTATCGTCTTGATCTGCATAGTAAGATAATATACCATTTTGATCTAAAATAAAATATCTTAATTTATAACCTGATGCAAAGTTTGTCCATTTACGTAAATAACCTTTGTAGACTTCAATACCACCTGATTTAGGTACAGCATTTGATGTAGCCACGGGATCCATTATCGTTTGATCTTTAGAAGCATCCTTTATTAACTTTTTTAATGGTTCGTCTTTAGCTTTGACTAAATCTACGGGTAATTTACCACGTTTATCTCTTTTGAAAGGATCACCACCATGTTTCAAAATCCAATCACACATTGGTAAGTCATCTTTACTAATAAATTCATGCAAAACAGTGTTCCCAGTTGTTGGATCAGCACCATTTATATCCAATAATTCAGAAGCTCTTGGATTCAAAATCAAAAGGTTTTCCAAATTTTCAAAATCTCTATTGCTAAAGAAAATTCTTAAATCACCAGCAGCTTTTTCAACGAATTTAGCTCTTTCATATTGCATTAATTGGATTATATCTTTATCTTTACAAACTTCCACAGGTTGTTTCTTGTCATTATTAACTATAGTGTCATTAATATTCGGTAATGATAATAAATATTTCACAACATCTTGTCTTGAGGCAATAGCAGCTAAATGTAAAGGAGTATTGCCCTGATTATCTTGAGCATTGATATCCAATCCATACTTTTGTTGGTTATTGATTAAGTATTGTATAGTGTCTAAATTTGCAACTTGAACAGCATAATGTAAAATTGTTTCTCTTAATTGTTTGAGATCTTGATTTTGTATGGTTGCTTTACATGAAATTAATTCTTGGATTATTGAATCAATTTTTGAAGTATCGCCACTTCTCAAAGCATCTAATAGCTTCAACCTTAGTAACGATGCATTCAATTGAGCAGACTCGGACATCTTACTAAGATTAAATTCGTCGTGGAGCTTGAATTTTGGTAAGTTTTTTGGTAAAATTATTTATTGAGACTAAAGTGGTAACAAAAGCAAAAATTAATCTCAATATTCTGTAAATTGTTGCCTGAGATAAAATAAATTATAAAAAGCAATTGAGAGAAAAGTAAACTACTTATCAATTGAACAAACAGATCAAATAAATGTATATGAGAGATCATATTTTTGGGTCTAGCGATACATCAAGAAATTCGATGTGAGTTGAATATTGAACGGTGTCGTTATGATTTATTACATGGTTGTATAGTAGAAAGTTGTGAGTCTTACGTCATATCAAAATCAAGACGTTTAGAAATTATTTAAATTAATTATCATCATCTGTAATGTCATATTTGTTTTCACCTTTCAAATCAGCTTATTGGATCCAATTATCGGTCGTAAGAGCTCTAACGTATAGATCAACTTCTCTCTGATTATCACTCACAACCGCGACAAAGTGATCCTTTTCTTTCATTCCATCAAAGTTGCTATCATATTTGATTTAACACTTTAAGCATACAAATGAATACGATTCTCTCAGTTGAAATGATTTGAAACTGTGTTGTTTATTGTTCAAGAACAATTTCTTCTAGCCCTTGGATCTCTTTTTCGAAAGTTAAGAACGCTGTATTTAATTCTTCAAAGTAGACAAGGGTGACTTTGAATCAAAGCTTTTTCTTGAATCTTGTCTTATCCTAGATTTGGATGCTGTTCCTAGTCAATTGTATTTAAAATTTCCCAAATCGTGGAGGCTGATCAATCAAACATGTCCATTGCTTGAGATTCTATTTCTAAATCAACGTTAAGTGTTCTTCGAATGTAAGTAATTGATCTTCAGTGAAATTCGGTCCTCCACAATATGGACTTGCCGCTTTTAGATCGCGAAATTTTTAGTTTTCAATCTTAGCAAAGACTTACATCTAGACTAAACTCACAGTGGGCCAAATTCAGACTATTGTTTAACTATTGATTAAAATCAATACATAAATCACAAATACCCACAATGCCTTCAACGAAACGACTGCATTCTGATAACAGGATTTCAGAAAACTTGAAAGAAAAGAGTCAAAATTTAAGCGACTTCAAATTAAATCATACACTATACATCAAAAATCTTAATAATAAAATCAATAAATCTCAATTGAAACACACATTGTATCTACTTTTTTCAACTTTTGATGATATACTATCAATACGGTTTGGTTCAAATGTTCATGAAGCATTCATAGTATTTTCCAATTCAAAAGCAGCTACATTAGCAATGAGAAGTTTACAAAATGAAAAACTTTATGGGAAAGAGATGTTAATTAGTTTTTCAACACATGAGTCTAAAATCATCGAATCACTTAAAGATAGAGAAGTTAAGGATGAGGATGAAAATGATGATGATGATTCCGTTCTACCAACTTACGATTAATGAATAAATAAATAATTGAATGAATGAATGAATAAATAAAATTAGAATCTATTTACAGTAATTTCGTTGCATCTTTTAATGCATTACTTACACAATCTGGAACTCCAATACCATCACCAAATACAGTTCCACCGAATGATAACTTAAAATTTTCCTTATCAACAATATTAAAAACATTTGCCTTTATTTCTTGATACCCTAAGTTATACTGTGGAATACAATTTTCGATCAAATTGTAACTTATAATTATATCGTTATCTCCGATAGAATCTATTTTAAAATCTTCATTGGTAGGATCATAATCTACTATTTTTATGTTGAATTTAGATATATTAACTTTTAATTTATCTTGTAAAATTTCTTTAACAATTTGTAAATTTACATTATTTGATGGTATATTCCAATTATTATAATAATGTCCTCCCATCATCACAGTAATCTTATTGTACTCTTCATATTGAGCAGGATTGGATTGTGTTGAATCAAATAATTTGACTACATTTTTTTCAATGTCAGAATCATATATTACTCCTAATAAAGCTTGTGGATTATCTTTAATTTGTTGATGTCTTGGTCTTAAAAATCCAAAACCTGGTTTGTTATGTGGTATTAATATCGATTTTTTTGAATAAATATTTGTTAAAAATATGGATATGTACTGCACTGATTTTAAATCTGGTATCAATGGGTTATTTAAAGGTAATGAGTTTGCTAAACTGTATGAGTCGATGGTACTTCTTATATGATCATATTCTTCATCATTCACAAGACCTATTTTCGGATCGCACTCTATGATTGGGGAGTTGAAATGAAATTTTATGTTTTTGTTTTGAGATAAATATGATGCTAATGCTGTTGGTAATGTTTGTAACCCATCATGAAGTTTAATCATAGGATAATCTTTTAATTTACTTTGAATTGAACTCAAATTAGACTCGGGAGATATTTTAGTTTCATATGTTTCTAATTCATCCGATAGCACATGCTTTAATGAAATTGGTTTTTTCTTTTTGATACTTTTCAACATGTGTTTAATTATTGATCCAGATTCGTTTTCTAAATCTTTCATGAATGGCATGGTACTCTTGATACTAAGTTTGGAAATATCTCCAGCGTAGACCCCATGTATTATTGCACTTGCAACATTATCGGTTAAGGAGGTACTACCCAATCTTCTTTTAAAAAATTGTTCAACAGATTCATCTTGTTCCAATGGTTTCACAAATGGTTCTTTTAATATGCCAAAAAATAATTTCGAGTCAACTGCTTTAACATTCTTCATAAATTCAATAAATGTTTTCAAAGAATTCGGCACTTGAATCAATTCACCAGTTGAATCTGTAATATATTTTTTATTAGCTATACTCAGTTTATGAATGACTTCAATTTGATCTTCAAGACCTAATTTTCTTAAAATGTCAATCATTAACAAAGACCCGTCTCTAATCCCTCTTAAAGTTCTAGGACCCTTTTCTAGTATTATTAATTCTCCAGAGTCCTTTACATGTAATGAAGGCAGTGACATCCATCCTCCAACTTTCAGTGATTTTTCATATATGTCAAACTTTATATCCGGTCGTAATTTACTTAAAAAGTATGTGAAGGTTAAGCCTGATATACCAGCTCCCAAAACTGCTATTTTACCATTTTGCGGTAATTTTTTCAATGACATTATTCTATGGTCTTATTATTTCGTTAAAACATTGATCCTATGATGATTTAAACAAATACAGCATGATTCAATTCGAACCTCGATTTTGTGTTTATTTTTTGATTTTCACCAACTGTTTTTTGCTTTTTGCAACTACAAGGTTTGATCTTGACCCAATTGTGAATCGGGTCTTTCTAAAGTTCAGACCGTCTTTAAAAACCTTATTTTTACGAAGTGACTCCTATCTCGATTTAATTCAACACAACTTGGTAAGAGTAATTAGAATGATTTAAGAAATAAAAATTTTCATGGTAAAAAGCATTGACGTAAATAATTTCTTAATTTGTTTTACCTCAGTTCAAAATCTAGGGTCTTGAAATAAAAGTTTTCAAAAATAAAATTCCTAGTTTAATCTGATCTGATAAGAGAAGATAATATTATAAGACTATTAGACTGAATATTAAAAGTTGAAACAATTTGTTTGTTTTTTTGCAACAAAATGTAGGTTAACCAAGGTCAATCCTTGCAATTAATTCTAACTACAAACGTTCATTTCAACTTTTACTTCTTCACACGAACTGTTGAACTTCTCAGTCTGGAGATAGACACAGGAGATAAGGAACAGGATGATTGATTTCATTTATATTCTAAATACTCTCCACTTTAATCTCCACTTTTCAATCAAACTCAAAAAATGCAATCTTATCTTTTAAGCATTACACAAAGTAAAACCCGCTAAATTGATTATTATCTTTAAAATCATACAGACATAAAAATATCTTAACTTTAAAACTATTATTGGACCATTAACTCCACAAAAACTTTGATTCTTTTCAAAATTATTATAAATTGATTTGATTTTATTCAAATATAATATTATCATGTTATTTCATGAATTTAATACGGATGAGGTTACCCTATCAAAGTCCGAAGGATAGATACATAAAGAGCACTTGTCTCTATTCAAGTACCTTACTCAGCTCAATTCACATATTATATTATTGCATTTTCTTCAGCATAAAGATCAAATAATCTCATTCAACGTTACAATGTCAATTGAAATTCCAAAAACTCAAAAAGCTATAGTATTTGAAGGTTTTAATGGTCCTATAAATTTGCAAGAAATTCCCGTTCCAGAAATTCAACCAAATGAAATATTAGTTAATATCAAATATTCAGGAATTTGTCATTCTGATCTTTCTACGTATCATGCAGCTTGGGGTAGTTTAACTAAAACAAAGTATGTATTAGAAAATATAAATTAAGTCAACCTTTTCAAGTTTTATGACTAACACTACTTTAAGAATTTTAGGACATGAAGGAGCAGGGGTAGTAGTTAAATTAGGTTCAAATGTAACTGGTTGGAAGATTGGAGATTATGCTGGAGTAAAATTAATTGATTCAACATGTTCTCAATGTGAACATTGTCAACAAGCAAATGAAGTATTATGTCCAAAAATTTCATTAAATGGTATAAGTACTGATGGAACTTTTCAACAATATGTAGCTACTGATGCTTTTAATGCTGCTCATTTACCATCTTCAGTTGATTTATCTAAAGTTGGTCCAATATTATGTGCTGGAGTTACTGCATACAAAGGTTTAAAGACATCAAATGCTAAACCTAATGAATGGGTAGCTATTGTTGGAGCTGGTGGAGGTTTAGGATCTTTAGCTATTCAATATGCTAAATCAATGGGATTAAGAGTTATAGGAATAGATGGTGGTGAAGATAAAGCTAAATCTGCAAAAAATTTAGGTGCTGATGAATTTATTGATTTTACTAAATCAGAAGATGTTGCAAAAGATGTAATTGAAATAACTAATGGAGGAGCTCATGCTTGTATTAATGTTTCAACTTCTGAAAAAGCAATTCAACAATCAGTATCATATGTTAGACCTAATGGAACTGTTGTATTAATTGGATTACCTCCTAATGCTAGTATAAATGTTAATATTTTAATGGCTGTTTTAAAACAAGTTACAATTAAAGGTTCATATGTTGGAACTAGATGGGATACTACAGAAGCTATAGATATTTTTGCAAGAGGTTTAATTAATTGTCCAATTACTGTTGTTGGTTTAAGTGAAGTTCCTAATGTTTTTAAATTAATGGAAGAAAATAAAATTGTTGGTAGATATGTAGTTGATACAAGTAAGTAAACAATAATAAAATATATCGAAAACGAAATTATCTATAATAATTAATACTTTATTGATTTTAAAAACTAAACCTACTACTTAAATTAAATCTAACTTATGATTCTTCTTCAAAAGCAGTGTGTAATGGTGAATATACATTTTTACCTTTGTAAAATTTAATAACTTGTTCAGCCTTTTTAGCAACACCTTCAGCAGTAAAACCAAAGAATTTAAATAAATCAGCAGCTTTACCAGAAGCCCCAAATCTATTTAATCCAAATTGTTCATGAGAATATTTAGACCAACCAAAAGTTGACATAACTTCAACTGATAAAATTGGTACACCATCTGGTAAAACTTTTAATCTATATTCTATTGGTTGTTTATCAAATGTGAAGAAATCTGGAACTGAAACAACTGAAGCTTTAACTCCTTGTTTTTCTAATTCTTTTGAAGCATCAATTGAAACTGAAACCTCTGAACCTGATGAAACTAAAATAATATCTGGTTTATCTTTTGGCCAGATAGTATAAGCTCCTTTTAATGCTTCTTCAAGACTTGAATTTTCCAATTGTGGTAAGTTTTGTCTAGTTAAAGCAATAATAGTTGGATGAGTAGTACCTTCAATAGCTGAAACATAAGCAGCTGATACCTCATTACCATCAGCTGGTCTCCAAACTGACATATTTGGTAAAGCTCTAAAATGAGCTAAAGTTTCAATAGGTTGATGGGTTGGTCCATCTTCACCTAAACCAATTGAATCATGAGTTGCAATCCAAATTACACCTTGATGTGATAATGCTGATAATCTAACAGCTCCTGCTGCATATGAAACGAAATTTAAGAAAGTACCACCATAATTTCTATAGTTAGCACCAAAGGCATCAATACCATTCATAATAGCACCCATACCATGTTCTCTAACACCATATCTGATATATCTACCAGCATAATCACCTAGTCCAGTTGATGGTGGTTGGAAATCAACTGCACCTTCAGCTCTAGTTAAATTAGAACCAGTTAAATCAGCTGAACCTCCAATAAGTTCTGGAATAATTGGACATAAAGCATCTAATACACCTTCAGATAATTTTCTGGTAGCTAAAGCTTTATCTTTAGCAGTAAATTTTGGTAAATGATCTTTCCAACCATCTGGTAATTTACCGTCTAATCTTCTTTGAACTTCTGCTCCTTCTTTTGGATATTTTTCTTTATAAGCTTTAAATAATTCTTCCCATTTAGCTTGAATTTTTTTATTTTCTTCAACTTTTTCAGCAAAATAATTAGCAACTTCATCTGGAATGAAAAAATTAGATTCTTCATCAAAACCCCATGATTTTTTTAATTGTTTTAAATCATCAGCTTTTAATGGAGCACCATGAACACCTCCAGTACCAGCAGCTTTTGAACCATAACCAATTGTAGTAACTAATCTAATTAAAACTGGAGCACCAGTAATTTTTCTTGCTTCATCAATTGCATCTGAAACAGCATCAATATTTGTATCAGCATCATGAACTTCTAAAACTTTCCAACCATAAGCTTTATATCTTTCTGGAACATTTTCAGTGAAAGCACAAGCAGTATCACCATCAATTGAAATTCTATTATCGTCCCATAAAGCAATTAAATTATCTAATTGTAAATGACCAGCTAAAGAAGAAGTTTCTGAAGAAATACCTTCCATTAAACAACCATCTCCCAAGAATGTAAAAATTTTAGCATCTGAAATTGGGAAATCTGGTTTATTATAAGTAGCAGCAAATTGTTTTTGAGCAATTGCAATACCAACAGCATTTGAAACACCTTGACCTAATGGACCAGTAGTAACTTCAACACCTGGAGTATCTAATCTTTCTGGATGACCAGGAGTTTTTGAATTTAATTGTCTAAATTGTTTCAAATCATCAATTTTTAAATCATAACCATATAAAACTAATAAAGAATATAATAAAGCACATGCATGACCATTTGATAAAACAAATCTATCTCTATTAATCCATTTTGGATCTTGAGGATTAAATTTCATTTTTCTCCAAACAGCATGAGCAGCTGGTGCTAAACCTAATGGAGCACCTGGATGACCTGATTGAGCAGCATTAACTTGATCAACAGATAAACCTCTAATGGTACTAACGGATAATTTATCAATTGCAGTAGCCATTTTGTTCTAAAGTCTTGTATAAAATTTGTATCTACTTAGATTGAAAATATATATATATATGAAGTAATTGAATCAATTGAGATTGAATTTGTTGAGATATATATGAAAAATAAAAGTTGATACTTAAATAGAAGGAAGAAAGGGAAGAAAAGAAAGAAAAGAAAAAGGAATGAAAAGAGAGGAAATAAAAATTAATAAGAATTGAATGTGTTGAAAAATTTAGTACAGACAGTAATATTATTATTATTATTATAGTATAGTACTTACAGGAACTAGTATATTTGTATTACAAAATTTTAGTAATTGCTTGCTTTAGTCTAATATAAATTTATTAAACTAGAATTACATTATATTAAGATAGGTCGGTTTCAAATTGAATTAATATTTTTAACTAAGCACTTTATTAAATTCAAGGGTTATATATTTTAAATATATTTTAATTAACAAGTACGTCGGTCCTTGTTTTTTAATAGAGTTTAAAATTCAATTAAAACTAATACGGAGGACTTATTTCAACTCTGAACCTTCAATGGGCAACAATTGATCAATTAGGAGTTCACTATAGGATTGTAGGTCGATAGTCGTCCATCAATTGCTCAGTAAAATGATTTTTTGAAACTTAAGCAATTGCTCATTTCTTGAACTTTTTGCATTCTGGAAACAAAGCAAACTAAATTTATTAAAGTTTAATTTACTGAATCATACATTAAAAGATCAATGCATGATTACCCGTATAAAAATCATCGAAACATTAAATAATTTTCCATGAAACAAACAAGAAGGATTAGAATGCTTGCATGAGCTAGCGAAGAGTTCTGACTACTTATCGTTGTAATCCGTAACCTATTGAACCATTTTTATGAATCGGACTACAAGTAAACGAACAATCTTTTTACAATTTAAGATTTTGTGTATTTCATTAACCCCCAACTATTTTGAAACAATTCAATCTTAAAGTCATACACGTGACTTTGAAGATTAGCCAATTTCCGAAATATGGAAATAGGTATTTACAATAAATACATTAATTAATTCTACAAACTCGATTTATGTCAAGAAATATATAAAATTGTTCTAACAAAAGTCTATTAATACAAAATACCATTACAATCAAGGATCATTAAATGGACTATTAAGTGTCGTACTATCAATTGTAATATATGTATCATCTCTACTACTTCCACCAATTCTTGTTTCACTACCACTTCCTATTCTAGTATCACTTCCACTATGATCATGTTCATCATTTGATTCCTTTTTAGTCAAATTTTTGTATGATGCAGCTCGAGTTATATGGCCAATGTCAGAATCTACATCACTATCAGCTTCATCATCGAAGCTACGATCATCCTCATTTTCTTCATCTGATTCTACAAAGTTATTATTATTAACAGCGACCCCGTCATCATCATCATCAACATCTACCTCTTCTTCTTCATCTTCATCCTCCTCTTCATCCTCTTCTTCATCTTCTTCTTGAATACGATCAACATTAACTAATCTAGGTTGTGCCTTTATAGCAGTCATAGTTCCATTATTTACAGATTGATTCAGTTGTAAACTTTGAGGAGAATCTTTATTTTCAGTGTTTGAAGATGAAGTAGAAGCAGAATTTGCAATTAATACGTCTCCAACAATACTTGCATTTTCAATAGTATTTAAATCAGAAAATAAAGAATCTGAATCATATGAATAAATTGATCTTGTATTATCTTTTGTTGGTCTTACTGTAACTCCTGGAACATAAGCTATAGGTAGTATATTTGAAGCATTTGAAAATGATGTAGCTACTGAATTTCTATTTGATGGATTTAAATAAATTTGTTGTTGATGTTCTTGAATTCTTTGTTGTTGTTGTTGTTGCTGTTGTAAATTTGCTTGTTTGATTATATTTTGTTGACGTGCTCTTCTTTGTTGTGCTAACATTTGTTGTTGTTGTTTGGTTTTAGATTTACTTGCATTTGGTCTAGTAAATGATTCATATGATGATACTCTTCTTACTGTTTTCTTTTTCGTATTTTGAATATTTCTTCTTTGTTGTGGTGGTGGTCTATCAATAACTTGTCCAGCAATTATTGCACCATTAGCATTATTTGAATTTATTTTGTCATCATTTCCATTCTTTGATGAAGGTGAATGAGTATTATCTAAAATATCTAATCCAAAAGTTTTTGAAGCAGGACTTGTAGGATTTGATCCATCTCTTAATTCTCTCATTTCAATCTTACTTCCATTATTATTAAAATCACTACTTTTATCAGCATATTCATCAGTTTCATAATCATTATAATCATAATCATTATCATAATCATCAAGCATAACTTGATGTTTTTTCTTATAAATCATAAAATAGTATAATATTGCACCAATTAATCCTAAAAATGCTAATCCACCAATAACCCCACCAACTATTCCACCTGTATTTATTGAATTACCTGTATTGGTTTTTGGTACACAATGATTATAAGCACATTTTTCACAACTAGTTGTAACTTGAACACATTGTTCATCTTTATTTGAACATACACAATCTGGTAAAGTAGGACAATTTATTACACATCCATTTGAATCTCTTTGCTGATCAGAGTCATCTCTTATATATAGATGTTCTTCAAATACATTTGGATATAGAATTTGCATGATATGGTTTATATATTAAGGATCGTATTGATTTGTGAAAGAAAGAATAAAGTAAATGAGGCTGAGGTGATCTTAGTAGATTTTCTAGTAATTAGATCTTATTTATCGCAGAATCTGAATGAAGCGATTGCTAGGTGTTGTAGATACGGTAGTGGTGCTAACTTCTAGGTGTATTATATTTGAAATAACAAATGGTGAAGGATGAAATTTAATTGATTAATGTTAAAAAATAAATTATAAAAATTTAATATTTTTTTTTAAAATCTGTATTTTATTTACGAAGATAATAAATGTACACTTACTCTATTTATAGTAACAAAACAATACTAATAAAAAAATAATTTATAAATACCCTGTGTAAGAGATATTGCAAAGTTCGAAGTGGTTTTCTATACCTATTCGCATCTTTATTGAATACTTTGAGATTTGGAAAGAGAATCCAGATGGGTTATGTTCGATCAAATCGTTATCGCTTTTTTTTTCAAATTTTTATTATTTGATTTTGTGTTCAGTTGTTTTGCATAAAAGTGGTCTAGATTCAAATCACGTAAATGTTTAACTCAAAATTGGTCTAAATCAAGCATAGTTCATATGACCATAAGTTTAATTCTCTAAGTATTTGAAAACAACTTTTACACCATACTGTGTTATATTTTTCAGCACAAGTTTTGAAGTATGTGACTTTTTTCTACGCGTCGAAATTGCTGGAATTTTCTCTTAGATATCTCATAAGGTTAGTATGAAACATCTGAAAAATTTAATACATCAAATGGTTTCAAAAATATAGTACTCAACTTTGAAGAGTATAACAAGAGTCACTTCCAAAAGATCGAGTATACATTACCTAAACATAATTACGTATAAGCCAAGAATTTTCATCAAAATATCTTTTAAATTTATCATCATTTGAATTTGATCCATCATTTTCTTTTTCATTAATATTTCCATTACTACTATTTTCTTTAGATTGATCAATATTTTTAGTTTTAGAATTCTCTTTAGTAGATAACCATTGATTTTTTTCAATATTAAAAATCCAACCTCTTTTAATTAATTCTTTTGAAGAATTATATTTTGCAAAATTATCAATTCCTTCACTATAATAAAAACAAAAAAATAATAAATCATCATCAAATTTAGACATATAATGAGAAGAATTTAATTCAAACATCGGTTCTTGTGGATAATCTATTGAAGAAGGATGAACATTACTTGGACTATATTGTCTTGGTTTTTCTGCATCAAATGAGTCTGGACAATTTAATAATGATGTTTCTAATAATGAACTTATTGATTGAATTGGTAATGGATCATTTAATCTACTATTTGTTATGTTTAACAATTTATTTAATGAATCACTCAAGGGATCAGTAGTTGTTGATACCGATGTTATAGAAGGTGATTGTGAGATATTTGAATTATTCGATACATTCTTTTTCAATTGTTGAGTTTCTTCATGTAATTTAGATTGAGTTATCAATGGTGATGTAGATGTAGACTTAGTGATGTTTGATGATGCAATATGATTGAATCCAGGAGGTAGACTTTTAGCAGGAGTAGTGGAATTTGATGTTGAAGCAGTAGGTGCCGATGATACAGCAGAAGCAAGTGCAGTAGCTAAAGGTACATTATTATTCATTGTCGGAGTATTATTGGAAGAATGTTGAGTATTTGATGAAGTAGCATGACCATTATTAATATTATTAGCTTGAGCAGCTTTTATAACATTTGAATAAGAATTAGCACTAGTAATCGGAGGAGGAGGTGCTGGTACAACATTATGTTGTTTCAACTTCTTGACTGGCGTTGTGGAAGATACTGGACCGTTTCCAACATGAGAAGGTGTGTTGTTACTTATACTCTTTGTGGAATCACTAACTGAGCCCGCCCTTCTAGGGGCGGCAGGTTGTGCCGACGTAGTAGAAGGTACATTGGACGAAGTCACAGCTGATGCGGATTGTGTAGCTCTGGTTGCTTCTGATTGTTGTTGACCCAATTGTTGTAATTCCAATCTTTTTCTTTCCTCTTCTTCAAATGATTCTGCAGCCATTTGTGCTAGACTTCCTTCCACTTCTTCTTCCTCTTCTTCTATTGGTTCCAATTGATCATAAAAATCATCATACTCCACATATTCTTCATCTTGATTCATTTCAACATAATAATCCAAATCATCTTTTACATCATCAATTTTTGCGGGGTCCAATAAATCATTTTCAAGATTTTCTAAAACTACCTCCAATTTTTCAATATGAGTATTATTTCTATCTATTTTATACTTGATATCATCTATTGATTGTTGAGCAGATGAACCTTTTTTCTTCAGTTGTCCACCTATAGATTCTAGATCTTGTTCCAATTCTTCATTTTGAGTATTTAGCTGTTCAATAACAGAACTTACATAATCACAAGCATCCGTTAATTTTTGAACTTCACCAAATCTAGAATGTTTTCTTTGTTTTTCAATTTCTAATCCTTCATTTGAAAATTGTTTAATCTTTGAAATTTTTTCCAATTCTTTAAAAGTATCCATAGCATGTTCAATTTTAGTTCTATTTTCTTGAATTGCATTTTTATCCAATTTTATACTACTATCACCTAACCAGATTTTCAATTGATCTCGAGATCTTTGTAGTTTTTTCAATTCTTTTTTCAAATCATTTTCAAATTTATCTCGTTGTGAAGCTACTTCTGCATGTTGTATTTTTTCTTTTATGTCATAAAATGCAGCTAGACCTTCATTGATTTTCTTATTGAGTTTATCAAACTCTTGCTGTAGTTTTCTTGCACTCATATTGTTTAAACTGAGTTTGGTTCTTTTGTTACTGACAACTTATGATTGTTTTTGTTAACTATATGTGTATCAGGTTTTATTTCATGTTTGAAAAGAAAAATATGAAATTTTGTGAGACATAGAGATAAACTTTTACGACATGACATGACTTGAAACATTCATTAACATGCATTACTATTAGTCTATAATTAATCTAATCTAGTGTTCTAATCTAAAGTACCTATTTCTTGTTTTAAAAATTCATTTGTAAAATGATTGATTTGTTTAAAGTTATACTCAAATCCATCATTACCACCATAATAAGGGTCACTAACAATTTTATCAAACTCTTCATTAGTCCTCCATTTTCCAAATATATCAACAACTGATTTATTATTCTTTGGTTTCATATAACGTAAATCACTTAAATTACTTTCATCCATTCCAATAACATAATCAAATCTATCAAAATCTTTACCACTTATCTGTTGAGCATGATGTTGTACAGGAACTCCATGTTTTCTACAAGTTCTAGCTGATCTTGAATCTGGACTCTCTCCTATATGCCATCCTGATGTGCCAAATGATTCTATGTTGCTGAAATATTTTTCATAACCTAATTCTTTAACTCTATGTTTAAATATGGCTTCTGCCATTGGTGATCGACATCTATTATTTGACTGTTGTCAGTATTAATTGATATATTATTTGTTTAAAAGTAACTTTAGTACATACATATTTCCCAAGCATACGAATGCCACAGATATCTGCTTCTCATTCGGATTGAATAGAGGCGCCATTTTTTTTGTGTATGCTGGATTGAATAATTAAATCGTTTGGGTCAGAGATGTCAATATTGAAACTGAATCTTAATTTAGAAAATAAATTAAGGTCTACAAAAATATATTTTTCTCATCATGACATCATTATCTACCATTCGGTTAATACAACTAACTATACACAACCTAAAATAAATTATCTAAACAAACTTCATTGATTTCTCTTACTTGTTTGAAACTTGAACTTATAGCTTGTAATGTAGCAGCAGATTTGATAGAGCATTCACCATTTTCATCAATGTCTAATAATTTTTTTAATGATTCTATGAAAAATTGTCTTGGATCTGTCAATGATAATTCTCTTCTTTTTATCAGATCATTTGAAACAGAAAATATATCTATTTCAGGAGCATCTAAAACGTTTTTAGGTGGTTGGTTTATATTGGCAATACTTGAAGCAGTATTGATACCATTGATTTTTGGTGTAGTGCCAGATGCAGAAGGAGTAGTTTTCATTGGTGGAGATTGACCTGAGCTTTGAAGCAGTGGTGTTGCAATATTATGAGGAGTCTTAATTGAAGATGCTAATGCATTTGGAGTAGCAGCTGCAGCATTACTGCTAGTACGTTTCTTTTTTGGAGCTGCTTTTTTGGTTTTTGGTTGCAGAATTGAATTTCTTTGTGGAGGAATTTGTTGAATTGGGGGTTGCTGTTGTTGCACTTGAGGCAATTGCTGTTGCATCTGAGGTGGAATTTGATTTTGATTAGGAATCCAGTTAGGACTCATACTCATTTGATTACCGACTAAAGGTTGCTGCTGTTGCTGAGCCTGTATTTGTGGAGGATGCTGTTGTGGTATAGCATTTGGTGGTTGATTTATTGGTGTTTGATACATTTGAGGTGACGATTGTGGATTTTGACTCAAGAACGCTTGATTTGCTCTATTATTTTGATCTGCCATCATTGAGTGTTGCTGAGGAGCAGGAGCTCGCCTCATCTGTTGCTGTTGTTGTGATGAAATAGGTGGTTGAACATGTTGTTGAGGAGGTACGATTGAGCTATTGGCACTTAATTGTTGACGTCTTAAGTTGATCTGTTCCTTCACATAATCGAAATATTTAGCGTACTGGCTTTTCAATTTCTCCAACAAATCAGGTGCTGCTAAGTATATTCCTCTGTGCAAATTATCAAGTATATTTTTAGTCATATATTTCATTTGTATTAAACGTTTGGTGCCCTCAGCATTTTTTGTAAGTAAGAAAAAATAACTAATTATCGAATCCACATTACCATACTGTTCTTGAATTCTACTCATTGCTTCTCTAACATTTGATTTGTCAGTTGGGGAAAGTAAGGTTGTAACATCTTTCAATAATACATTATTTTTTGAAACATCTTCAATTAATTGTCTTAAACGAAGTTTTGCTTCGTCTGTTAGTGGTGGGAGTAATGATGCAACACTTACATTTGCCGGAGCAGTGTTTGGTCTACCACCTAAATTGTTATTTGGCATATTTTCTACTACGGCAGTAGCTCCTCTTTGATTCATTAAAGGCGATGAAAGGTTGTTTTGAACTGCGTTTGGTTTCAATTGAGTAGCTGGGACGGAATTATTTAATAATGGCAGAGCATGAGGCATATTCGCCATTGGAGGTGGAACAGCTCCTTTTTGTTGCATTTGTACCGGTACATTCTGTTGCTGTCTGACTTGTTGTTGAGGAATTTGATTTGGCTGCAATGCTGGATTTGCTTGTGGAACTTGTCCTAAGTGCGATGGTTGGTTTGGTGGAAGTGAGCTAATACCTAATCCGGTTGCATTGTTTTGTGAGCCCATTTGCAGTTGAGACTGTTGATGCAGATGTGGAGGAAGTTGTTGATGTTGGGGTTGGTGTTGTTGTTGCAGATGTTGTTGTTGTTGTTGCTGCTGCTGTTGTAGTTGTCGCTGTTGTTGTTGTTGTTGCTGCTGCTGTTTCCATAGCTGATTTTTCTGATGCAAAATGTATTTACGTATGAATGTTTCTTTCATTGTGGGGTCCAACTGAGTGTCAATTTGTTTCTGTTGTTGCAACCTATTTAAAACTGACAAAGCTTCATTTGAGTATTTTGCAAAGTCTTGTTGTGTAATTTGGAATTGAGGAGGCTTTTGTTGTGACATCTGACTTGGAATTTGAGATTGCGTTTGGTTTTGTTGAATTGGTTGCTGAATTTGAGGATGTGGTGGTTGTTGGGGTTGCTGATGCATCGGAGGCTGCAGAATATTGGGAGTTCCTTGAGGAATTTGTTGGGGTAAAGGAGGTTGTGCTTGAGTTTGAGTAGAAGCTCTTCGAATACCTCCTTGATTTTGTTGAACAGTGTTGAAACCTTCTTTTTGTGCAGCCAATCTTTGATTCTCCAAAAACATTTCACGTTGCTTGGGATTCATATTGTTCAAGTTCACACCGTTAACACCCTGATTGACCATATTCACTTTATTGTCACTTGGTTTACCATTTGGAGCAGTTCCATCGTATCTCATGTTTAACTTTTGTTGTTGCTGGCGCATAACTAATTGCATATGAGTTGAGTGAATATCTTTAATTAATGGAAGCATATCTTGGGATATTATTTTCTTTCGAATACAATCAAAAATTTGATTCCAAGTTGAGACTCCTTTTGGTAAGTTAGGGATTTTACTTAATAACGGCATTGGTATAGGAGTACTTCTGATTAATTGGAGCAATTGAGGTGGAACTTGTTGATTTGCAGTGCCCAAAGTATTATTCTCCCCCATTGTTGGTCCTGTTTGTTGTTGTTGTTGTTGTTGTTGTTGTTGTGGCCTTTGAGAAACATTTCCTCTTTGATTTTGAGGAACTTGTTGCTGAGATTGTTGTGGTCGCTGTTGCAGTTGAGGTTGTTGCTGTTGCTTTCCTTGTGTTGGATTCATAGCCGCTTGGCTTTGTTGTGTTTGTTGTATCTGCTGTGGTCCTTGTTGTTGGTTTACCATTTGTCGGAGTTGTTGTTGTCTAGCTTGAATCTGAGCTTGTGATTGACTACGAACTTGTGCTTGCTGTTGTAAGAATTGCATGTTTTGAGCATTCATAGGACTCATATTTCCAGTTGTATTTCGTACAACTTGAGGAGGTTGTTGTTGTTGACTAGTATTTGTTGGACCTGATCCTCCTCCCAATTGTTGCTTTTGCATTCTTAATTGATTCACTTTCAGTTTTATAGCTTTCAAGTAATCATCTCTAGAAGGGGATTTTTCATAAACAATTTTTTCAAAATCTTGAGCCATTTTTGTTAACTTTTGGAAATCAAAATTTGGATTAGTTCCATGTAAATCAGATAAAGTATCCATTATAATCAGAACAACCCTCTGTCTTTCTTCCCCAGTATACATTCCTTGCCAAGGAGTCAGACCATTGGGCACTCCTTGAGACACGTTATTGAGGTTCATAGAAAATGCTAAATTGTGGATGACTGTCTGTATGGAAATTTAAGATAAATTGTAAAAGTACAATGTGCAAAAATCGATTTGAACCACCTCAACGATATTATCACACTTTATACTATGAAGATTCTCTCAGTAATGAAATATATGATTATATGCAATGATTTTTTGGGAAATATACTCCACCTATGAATTATGGTTGATTGAAGTGGTATAGGAATTAAATTTAGAATTTTAAAAAATAAAAAAAATATATTAAGACTAAATCATAAAAAAAAATATTGTAAATGAAAAACCCTAAAACAAAGAGATAGTTGAAAACGTCGAATCAACAAGAGAAATAAGTTAATAGATTAAATGATTTAAATTAGCTTATCACAGCCCAAGGCTAGCTTAGAGTTTTTTTGATGAAAATTTTTCATCAAGTCTTAAAATAATAAGCATAATTTAAAGTGAGCTTCCCCCCACTTGAACAGAAATCAAAATTAATACTACGCTTTGTTTCAAAAATAACAAATTTATGGTCCATCTCTAATAATGCAATAACTTTTATTGACAACTATATAGTCTTATAAGTACGCTTAATAGCTCTTTTATCTTCATATGCTTGTTGTTCCTCTTGATCGATGAACTCCGTAGCATGAGTCAATTTCCATTGTTGTTTTATGAATCTCAAACCCATGGTGTTTACTCCAACGGTATTACAAGTTTTGGATAAACTTTCTCGCAATTGTTGTTTAACTGATAACAATTGGTTTTTCAAAATTGGGTCCTTTTGATTGATCAATTCTTTGGAATTAGAAGATATTATGAAAAATAATACTCGACATATTAAAGATAATTGAGTGATATTTTTGTTGATGTTTCCCTTCTGAGTCCAAATCTCAATCATTTGAAATAGTTTTAAACAATATGAGAAAGGCAAGACTAATAAAGCATCATCCAATTGTGACGGTTTAATTTGAGTCAATGTATGCATTACATATTGTGATCCTGTCATGTTGAATGCTAGCAATATTGAATTTGGTGTTGGTTTAACAGCATTTTTACTTATCTTCAACTGAGCTTCATACAGTCTTATAGCTTCTAAATCTTCAATACCTATATCCAATGCCTCCATCAATTTTTCTCCTGCTTTCAAAGTTTCCATAGTTTGTTTACCAACTCTTTCAACTTCATCAGTTTCTGCTTCCAATTCCTCATCCGTTTGTTGTTTAGGTTCATCATTTTCCAATTGATCTATTAATTTATTTTCATACAATTCGTCCATTTCTTTCTCTCTTTCTTCCTCCAAAAACACTTGATCGCTTGTAGCAGACCACAATCTGATTGAATGATCATGAGAGGTGGAACACATGAATAAACCATTTTTACTTATAGCCATACACCATACTTCACTTTGATGAGCAGGTAATTTTTGTATACATTCAAATTTATCACCATCCCAATATTTGATTAATCCATCTTTACCACTTGAGAAGAAATTATGCGATTCTCCAATAAATTTGACGTTCATTACTGAATCTTGATGTGCAAAAATTGATTTATGACAATCACCAAAGTCAAGACCCCAAATTTTGATATTTTTATCAGCTGATGAAGTTATGATTAGCTTTGAATCTGAGGATATATCTATTGACAAAACAGGTAATTTGTGTCCGTATAATGTTAAGAATAACTTCAATGTATCTAGGAAAACAACTTGTACATTGTTATTAAGTAAGGAAACAGCAAGATATTTATCATCTGGGGAGATTCTTACACATAACACGTCCTCATCCAATTCCAACGTTTGTGTATGGATAATTTTCAATTGCGATATTACCGTATTTGTAGCTGGTATGATATCCTTCTCAACTTTGAAGTTCCAAAATTTAACACATTTATCATTACCACCTGTCACTAAGGTTTTACCATCGGATGTTAAATCTAATGACCATACAGCAGCACTGTCCTCAGCTCCAGCAATTTGATGTGCATTTTCAACTCTATCAACTAACGAAGATGTAGTTAAATCATACAATTCCAAATCACCATTTTTAAACCCAACAACTATTAAAGTCCCTCCAGGTAAAAATTTACAACATAATGCATATCCTCCTTCTAAAGCAAAAGTTCTTATCACTTTGTATGTTTTAGTATTCCATATTTTCAATTCTCCATTTGATGCAGTTGCTAATAATTTATCGTCTTCAGGTGAAATATCCATCGCTCTTATGTCAAATTTATGTCCCAAATGATCTATAAGATAAGTCTTTACGTATTGAAGGTCGTTAGACTTCTTGATATTCTCTGGTACTGGGATATTAATGAATTCAATCATGTTATTTGCACTTCCTATTAGTAGATTTAATTTCTTTCTACTGTCTGTAAAGCAAGTGGAATTAATTTTTGACATTAGTCTTATAATTGTGAGGGGTGTTATCAACATACTTATTTCTGATTTTTCTATACTTTGTAGGATTTCCTCCTCATCCATTCCTTTCTCTTGTAATCTTTTCATTCTTTTGGTAATTCCCTTTTTCATCTCATCATCTGACCTTACCCTGAATAGTTCAATTGTACGGTCAGCGTTCTGTATAAGGAATAAATCAACCTCAGATCCATTATTTTTTATTGTTTTGAAATGTATTTCATTACCTCTTGATTTACTAGTTTTTTCAAACATTCCTCTTTCATTTATTTTTTGACCATCCTCTTGATTAAGATCAATCCCCCATACTTTCACTTGATCTTTGTTTCCCGTCGTCACCAACATGGTTTTATATTTGTTCACTCCCATTGACCAACACTCCGAACTATGGGCCAAATGAGTTTCAACGCAATACTGACTTTTCAATTCCCATAATTTGATCAATCCGTCTTTAGAACAACTCAATAAATAATCTTCCATTTGATCCAAATCTTGGACCTCATTAGATATGAATTGCAATCCAGTTATTGGTCCCTTATGACTTTTCAATTTAAATAATCCACTTTCTCCTACAAGGTCCCACATTATTATACTCGAATCATTAGACCCACTAACTAACCTAGTTCCACTTCTATCGAATTTCAACATACTGATTGAAGATTTATGTCCTTCGAAAGTCATTAAAACAGATTGTGAACTAACATCCCATATCTTTATTTTCCCATTATCATAACCAGCCGCTATCAAATTAGTTTCTTTGTAGTATGTTAAGTATGATACCGGACTAGGTGGTATAATAGTACTTGAATTTGATGCTCCAGGTGAGATAGAGTCATTGAATCTTTGTAATAATTCTCCAGTCTTGATGTCCCATATTAATATTTCTTCTAAACCTGATGTTAATGCTCTTCCCACAGAGGTTGAAGATTGTGAATCTGTAGGCGGTAGCCATACTATGTTTGAATGTGAGGTTATGACTCCAAAACATTTCTCTTGATCATAACGATTGTAGGATTTGACCATTTTGATCTAGTAAAGATAGTCTGCTTTGGTTGGCCCTGAAAATTAATCTTGAGATGCGAAATTTAAAACTTCTATTTTTGTGTTCTTCGATCTAAAACTTGATCAAAATAATAACTGTACGAATAGCGAAGGATAAATTAGAATTAAAAAGTCATTTTAATTTTTTGCGAAATCTAAACTTTTAATGTGCTACATTCTATATAATTAAATAACTAAATAAAATATTGATGAAATAAAATAACGTCATTGGTTCAACTGATTGCCCTGCATTTTGTTTACTTGTAGATGAAGTGGTACTTGAAGAATCAACAGTAGAAGACCCTGAAGAACTTGATGATGTTGAAGATTGCTGTGTAGTAGAAGAAGCAGTTGATATTCCAGATATCTCATTAATTCCACTAACACTGTTGACAGCAGCAGCTTCTCTCACACCACCAGTCCAACAATAATCTTGAAAACATTTTTTACATTGATCAGATTGATCTTCACCAAATCTTTCCTGTTGTCTTCTAATAATTGCACATCCAACACATGCTAACCAATCTTCATCTTCAGTTAAATTTTTTCTAGACATAACTTCAAACCCATTTCTTATGGTTCCCCATTTCTCAGCATTTTGATATGATAGTTTGAAAGTTGAAAAATTTGACATGTAAGATTGATAGTGATTTGATATATAAACAACTAAAGGCACATCAGTAGTGTTAATATTAGAATTATTATGCCAATCAACCAAATTAGTCAATTCTGATGCATTACAACCAAAAAACACTGGCTTTGAACCTAAATCCTCGTCTAAAAATCTATCAACATCTGGTGTGAATGGAAAAGGAGTTCCCTTACCTAAAACCGAAAATTGTCTTTTATAAGTTTGCATTATTGAAGTACCATTAGGCCACAGCTGATCTGTGTCGGCAGAATTATCAAATGCAAATATGACATCAACATCTCTTGCATTTTGTATTAATGAATAAAATGGAACATTCTGTAAATCTTCACCTCCATCTACTAAATATAATGTATCATTTGAGACCATGGAATGAGAGTCGCCATGATCTGCACCAAAAAACGGATTTGGCTCATAAGATGCTATATCCCATTCAGCAAAACTTAAAGTTGATAGCAAATCCGTCAACACTGATTTAATAATACTATTTATATCATAATCACCCAATTGCAAGATTATTTGATTAAAAAGGGAGGATGAAGTTCCCATGATGAATCCGGCATTATCAAAATTTTTAACACATATACCTGTATTGTTTGGAGTACCACCATCAACAGTGCTTCCTAAATATTCAACATTAGCAAATGATCTTAATGCTCTATCCCAGGATCCTAGATCATATGCAGAAATTTCAACAATGGTACTATTCTCATTGATAATCACGGTATTCGGCAATCTTGCATTTGCAATAACTGTAAAATAAGGCATTTCATAATTCTTAAAATTAGACATGTTTTGAACACTTGACCATGTTACATTTTCTCCACCACTATCATCTTCGAAAAATTGATGACTTAAAGCTCTACCCCAAATGTCAGTAATAGTTGTATCAAATCCAGCATTATCTTTAGCTAATACAGCTTGTCTTAACCCATAGTAATATGATATAGTTTTATCAATTCTAATTCCACTTGGATTCAATATTGAATCTTCTAGTTGCCAAATTTGAGAACTTCCATTAAAAATATCAGCCACAGATATCCAATTATTCATAACTAGACTTCCTACTAGCCAGTTTCCTCCAGATAATCCTGTCAAATAAGTAGATGATTGTAATAATCCACCGACTCCATGATCGTTTGAATCATCGAATCTATCATCAGTTGCTAATAATTGTCCTGCACCACAAAGCATAGCTCTATATCCACCTCCACTAAATGCTAGTCCAATAGTAATATTATGATCATTAGAATTATCATTTACAAAACTTTCAGGATCAAAATCAGTCAAATTTGCTTTTTTCAAAAAATTAATCAAATTCTTATTGGTAATTTCTTGTCTATTTCGTACATAATTTTTCTCTTGATCTGATATTCCATTAGAACCTCTGATTAGAGATCCAGAAGGACAAGTAGTGTTATAAGGAGCATACGGATTTGAATCATCTGTTGAAGCAGCTCCAGTTTCTGTACTCGACCCACTTGACCCACCAATGAAACCTCCAATTAATGATTGAAAATATCCTTCACTTTCTGATGATGAAGCTGGTATCTCAGTACCAGTTGAACCATTTGAGCCTGATGTAGTAGTTTCACTATCAAAGGGCCACAATCCCTGGGCTTTGTGAAGTGATGTGATTAAAAGAAATAGGACGTAAAATCCTTTCATTTAGGTAGGAACTATGGTTGATGAAAGTAGGTTGAACTAAGTTGAAAGATGAATATCTTAGCTAACTTTTTATGATTTAGGATTGTGTATTTAAACCTCCCTTACCGAAAAATAGCAATTTGATTTCAAAGTTAAAAATAGATTTTTGTTTCAAATCAATGGCTTAGCTTTAAACTAGTGAATGGTGGCTATATGCTTAGTCATAAATAATTTAATTCATGTACTCAAATTTAAGCTTTACGTTAAATAAAAAGTTGTCATTAGCCTAAGCTTAAAGGTTAAATTAATAGAAATACTTGCTTACTTGTTTTAGAAACTTCTTTAGGTGAAAAAAAAAAAATAGGGTTTTGTGTAATTTTTCAGCCTAAATCCACGTTTCGAATTTTAAGATGGTTTAATCTATTAATAAATTTATATTTTGAAAATCTATATCTATCATCTAAGCTCTATATTATTAAAATCTTTTTTTACCTTTAACTACAACAGGTATCATTCCACCAGTTGAAATTGTAAAATTTCTATGAAATAAAACATTTAAAAATGCTCGAATAGTTCCAGCATGAGAATGAGTTGATATAAAAATATTTGATAAACTTAATTTTTTATCAACTTTACCATCTTTATTACAATCAGAATTAAATAATTCTTGTAAAAATTCATTAATTCTTATAGATTGGTCAACCATTGATTCTCTTGTATCTGTAAAATAAACATCTTCTTCTTCCGTTATTCCATCCGTGTTAAATCCATAAATTCCAAATCTATCTTTTATAATTGATTTAGAACTTCTTTTATCACATAAATTTTTACCTATAGTTTCTCTTAATTTTTCCTTTATGAAAGGAGTTTTCAGATCAGGTTTTAATCCATCCCAAGTGATTTTTAAAGTATTACAAGATCTTTGTAATGGTGATACATAAAATTTATCAGGAATTGGAGCACCATTTTTAATTTCATCTTCCCATAATTGATGATTTTCTTGAGCTTGTTTAATCCCTTTTTCTGTTAATTCAGGATCAGGTCCATAATGAATTCCATCATAATCTCCTAATTTATGCAATTCCTTATTCCATAATTCAATTGAATATTTCTCTACTATTGTATTATGATATCCTTGACCATGTCTTGCTAAAAATAAAAGTTTATATTCAACATCATCGGGAGCTTCTTGATTCAATTTTAATAATTCTCCTGTAATTTGTTCCCACGTTTTTAAACGTCCCATATGTTCATTCACATAATTGAAAGTTCTATCGTCAGTAGCTGGATCACTTTGTTTAAAAAAGCCTTGAACAACTTCAAATGTCCATGGGAATTTCAATTGACCATTTTCGTCCCTTTCTTTACTTAATTTGTTAGTCCAAAGTTCATTATATTCTTTTTGCTCTGCTTGTTCACCGTGAGCATCTAAATAATCGTTTTCAGTTGGTATTAATAAAGACTTGGACATCTCTAGGGTTGAGAAATATGAAATGTAGTGCTTGCTTACAAGTCAAGATGAAATTTCCAGTCCAGTCATTTTCGTGACTAAAATAATGGAATTAAAAAGATCCCCCAAGAAGTTGTTCCGTTCGCTTTAGCAATAAGTCCGAGATCTCAGATTTAACAAGACACCATGCATGAAAATTTATTCAAAAGAAAAACAAATTCAAACGTACTTACAATTGCCGTTCCAGCTAAACATTTCAAAATCTTTAGGTTTATTAATATTCGTTACATCATACATACACTATAATCAAGTTCCTTGTCTTACATTTATAAATTAAAAATCAATTATGATAAATCTCTATATATAGTCAATTAAATTTCATTCAAGTTTTATTTGTTTTTTTAATTTGAAATTTTGCTAAAATTGGTACATGATCAGATGGAAAATTAGCATCAGGAAAACCAATTGAATTAGAAGCATAATTTTCATCTACTTTTCCTAAAAGACCTTTAATTTGTAAGTTTGAAGTTGAATACCATATATAATCAATATTGTCCGTAAAAGCTGGAGTTAAATTAGTGAATGGTAATTCACCTAATGATTCATAAGCTGATTTTAATTTAAAAGGATGATGAAAACCAGATTCTGTAAATTTTCCATAATCTCTACCTGATAAATCATCATGATTTTTTGAAGATCCAGTTGAAAACATTTGATAAACTGCAGATTTTTTAACTGAATTAAAATCACCACATACAATAATTGAAGCATTTTTAACTTCTTCTATTGAACTTGCATGTTGATATTTTTTAATTAAACCCTGTAATTCTTCTAAAAGTATACCAATTTGTAATGCTTTAACATCATTAAAAGCTGGATCCCAATGTAAATGAGTATTAACAAAACATATTTTTTCATCAGTTTCTTTATGTTGAAGATATAAAATTAAAGCTATATTATCTTTATTCATAAATCTATTAAATAAATCTTTAGTCTTTTTATATTTATCTGATCCCATACAAACACTATTATATTCAAAATTTTGTTTATGTACTAAAGTAAATTTATCAATCTTATAGAAAAATGCACATCCATCAACTTTCTTTGCGTCATTCTCACTCATTGTTTTTGATCTAGTTTTATTATAAAATAATCCTTTATAACCTCTTTGGGCTAAAAGTGGTGCCCAAAAATCTTGATATGTTTTAGTTTCAACTTCTTGCATACAAATTACATCAGTACTATAGTTTAAAATCTCCTTCTCTAAAGCAGCTCTTCTATAATCCCATTGTAATGCCCAAGAAGGAGTATATTTGTACATTCTTGGAGTTGCATAATGTTGACATAATGTGTTATAAGATAATACAGTAAACGAATCACTCGGACTTTTCTCAGCTTTATATACATTTGATTCAACAACTTCTCCGTCTTCAATTGTAAGCCATTCTCTTGGTTCTGGTGTTCTTGTTGTTTTTTGATCTCTGATAGCAGCAATTAATTCTTTAGTTCCCTTTTCAGCGATTATATTTGCAACATTTCCATCTAATGGATTACCTTCAACTCCTAAAAATAAAAGTTCAATTAAATTACCAAATGAAGTTGGGAAATTTTTAATATTATTATCAAACAAATAAAGATATCTTAAATTAAAACATAATCCCAATTCATAAGGTAATTCACTAATTCTATTATGTGATAAATCTAACGTCCTTAAACTTCTTAATTTACTTATTTCTGATGGAATTTGAGTTATTTTATTATTATTTAAATATAATGATTCTAAAAAATCATAATGAAATAATTTTGGTGATATACTAACTAATCCTTGTCCACTTAAATCCAATTGACACCATAATTGACGACCTTGGGTTTTTAATCTCATACGTTGTTCCTCCATTAACTCATCATCTTGTGTTGTTTTTTTATTATGTAACAATGCTGAGTTAGTTGTTGTTGAATCATTTATTTTTTGTTCTTCAATTTTGCTAAGTATCACTTTTGTTGCCTCTATTAATCCAACTGATTTGGAATCGTATGGATTTTTTCTTGAATTAGAAGCAAATTGTCTGGCATAATAATGAGGTACACTTGATGATCTTGAAACTTGACATAATTGTTGTTGATGTTGCCAATGAATTGAATTTGGTTGCTCCACAGATGTAGTACTTTTTTGCATAGGAGTTGGAATTTGAGCACTTTGTAATTGAATTTGTTGTTGAACTTGTTGTGATTTAAGAGCTTGTTGATTATAAAATTGTTGTTGCTGGATATGAGGAAGTTGTCTTGATAATTGTTGTGGTTGAGGTTGTTGTTGTAACAGAGAGTTTATATGATTGTTAGCGGATTGATTCTGTGGTTGAAATTGGGGGAAATACTGTTGTTGCTGCTGTTGCTGCTGCTGTTGTTGTAATTGGTTTCTTTGATAATTTTGATAAAGATTTTGATTATCATTATTATAACTTTCATTTGGTTGAAATCCAGCACCTAGACTATTGGAAGTTGTATTTTGTTGTTGATTTTGTTGGGAAAGTGATTGGCCCTGATGAAGTTGTTGTAACAATATTTGCTGAGCTTGAAGATTTGATTGTGGTTGACCTTGTCCTTGCACTTGATATTTACTAGCTAGATTCATATTCATATATTATTCGACTTATTTGGGTATAACAATATATTTCTTCTTTCACTATAATTGTATGTTTCTTTCTTTAAACCCAAACAATGTCGACTTGAGTTATTCAATTTCTTCTTTCTTTTCTTATATATTTTCAATAATATAGTATGTGCGTCTCTATTATTATCATTAAAGTTCTTAAAGTTATTGAAATTAGGTTGTTAAATAATTTTTGTCTCTCTCTCTATAATATTTCATCATCAACTTTTTGTAAAGGAGAGAAATAGAAAGAGATAATAATATAGGATTCAATTACACGACTTTTTGAGTCTATATGATCAAATCGTTATATTGATTTATAATTAATTTCTGCTACTAATGGAATATGATCAGAGGGGAATTGACCATCAGGAAACCCTTTACCGTTCTTACTAGCGCAATAATTAGGATCAACTTCACCAAGAACTTGTCTTATTTCAATATCATCACTAACAAAAATATGATCAACAACATCTGAAAATCTACTAACAAAACTTGTAAAATGTAGTTTACAATTATCAAATAATGTTTCATATACATCTCGTAAGCTGAATGGATTCTGTACTATTCCATTTGAGTCCATCAATTCATTATTTAATCCATATTTGTGATTCTTGAATTCTTTTGAAGTAGTTGAATCTAATTGTCCATCTCTCAACAATTTTACAACATCTGAATCATAATTTGAATTCAAATCACCCAAGAATATCACAGTTGAATCCAATTCTTTCCTAGAAGATTCTAACTTGTTTAGTAGTAATTTTGTTTGTAAAACTTTTACATCATTAAATTTAGGTGACCAATATAAATGAGTATTTGAAACATATAAAATTTTATTAAATTTTTTATCATATAACTTCAAAATTAAACCAACAGTATTTCTAGGAATTACTCTACTTATTAAATCATTAGTTAAAGAATATTTGTTTTGATTTTTTAAAATTTCTTGACCATAATTTATCTTAATTTCATCCAAGATGTCAAATCTTTCAGTATTTATAAATATTCCAACACCATCAGTGAGATCAGTTGGTATAAATTGAGCTGATGATTTTTGAATATAAAAACTTTTAAATTTATCATTGGGGAATTTTTTACTCCAAAATCTTTTATATACATAATATTCCATTTCTTGAAAACACATTATATCACATTTTAATTGCCGTATTGTTTGATTAATTAAAGGAAATCTATGTTTTGCCCAATCTAAATGTTTTGGATTATTTTGATCATATACATGTTTCCATATATAATGTCTTGATAATAAATTATAAGTCATGATGGAAATATTGCTATCATTATTATTTGATGATTGATTTAATTTAATCCATTTACGATATTTTAAAGCATCATAATCTTCTTGAGCCATATTTTGTATAATTTTTTTTGATTTATGAAACGTATGCCTTGGCAATGACATAAGCAAAATGATTAGGCAAAATGTCAATAATTTGAATTTTGATATTGAAAACAATTTCTATTGGAAATGTATTGAGAAGTGAGTGGTTGCGAATTGATGATCTTGGGGTTTAGTTTATATTTTGAGTATTTTCGACTAAGTTGAGCTCTTTTTAAGTTCCAAATGAATCTTCAAGTCAAAATGAAGATTTAATGGTGACAACAGCCTTGTTATTCGAGTGGTTGTAACAACTTGTGGGTAGTAAATTCAAATTTACATTAAAATTCCTAATTGAATACATTTTGCGGCTTGTTAATTTTATGTGGGGGAGGGCTCATAATGAATTCATTTAAATTTCTCCAATGACCTTCATAGCATTACTAACTTCATTAAAGTATCATTTAATTCTCGAATAATGTGTTTATAATGGATTGCTGGAGATGGATGATGATCATTTGCGTAATTTACAGTTTCGTTGAGTAATATTTAAAGGTACACACGAAAGTCACCGGAAATTACCTTCATTAAACCACCAAGGAATTACAAAATTACAGAGTACAAAATTTCTTGCATCTCTTCTTGAGCAGGGGTTTCATACGATCGATCAATCTACTTGTATAATGTTGGTGTACTATCCACTTTAACGCGTGTTACCTTTGATTTCCCAATAAAGTATAATTTGATTTATTAACTGCGTACCTTAAATAGAGAGAAAATTGGTAGCATAAAATCCATGGCATTAGTAAAATGAATGAAATATAATATTCTGATAACGAAATCTCCAATAGAAGAGGAGATGCTTGAAGGTTGTTTCTAGAATGATTAATGATCAATTCTCATCATGAAAGAAGACCCTTTCATCCAGATCTATTCAGATATTGTTTGAGATTCGTGAAAATATTTAGACGGTCGATCTTTGTTTACAATTTACTTTTTGTGTAACATACGTCTATAAACCCATGTTCGTCTCGTTAAACTAACGACAAGTATAAAGTGAGTAGATATGTTGAAATTGTTGTAACTACGTGATTTATATCAGAATACGTAATGATAGGTCGGTAGTCATTAGGTTTCAATTCTGCTTCACAACAAATTTTGTAATGTTTTGTGCTGACATTTTCGTTTCAATTTTTAATTTAATTAATTTTCTCCTTTTGTTGATTTTTAAATTTATTTTTTTTTCTTCATTATTGAAACCTTTTTGTATGAAAATACCAATCAATTCACAATTCTATATCTTGAATTCTTTCCAATAGTGGTTTATTGCTTTAGTACAAATTGCTAGAATTTCAAAACAATTGTCAATGACTAGTGTCTATACATCAGATCTAAAGAGTCATAGACGTGCTCCACCTCCTCCTCCTTCATTATCAACTACAAATTTAAATAACAATTCAAATTCTACATCAAATTCAATCAGTGTAAATTCAAACAAAAGACAAGCTGGATGGGTACATGTTAAAGATGACGGATTATTTACATCTTTCAGATGGAATAAAAGATTCATGAATATAAATGAAAGATCATTAAATTTTTATAAAACTGAACCAAATATTACTGAAGTTATTACACCAGATCTTTTATTGCCTTTAAATCTTATTAGTAATATAAATTTAAAACCTCAACTGGGTCATTCTAAAACTGCTCAATCATTTGAAGTAATTCCTAAAAATAATGGTAAACCCATACTAATATCAGTAAAATCTAATAATGATTATTTAGATTGGTTAAATGCTTTTTCTACAAAATGTCCATTAGTACAAATAGGAGCAAGTTCAAATGCACCTTCTTCAAATTCTAATAGTCTGCCATCGGTGAATTCAACCTCGTTGCTAAATGGTGGAAATTCAAGTGTTTCAAGTCCTATAAATTTCACTCATAAAGTTCATGTTGGATTTGATCCAGCAAGTGGTAATTTCACAGGTTTACCAGATGATTGGAAAAGTTTATTACAACATTCAAATATAACAAATGAAGATTGGAAAAAAAATCCAGTTGCAGTAATAGAAGTATTGGAATTTTATTCAGATATAAATGGTTCATCTCCTGGAACTCCATTAGTTAATCAAAATCAACAATCTACTACAAAATTTGATCAAAATAACACAACCAATATACAAGAATGGACAAAACCACCTCCAAAAAACCATGCACAACAATTCAAACCAAATAGAGCCGCTCCGAAACCTCCAGTTCCCTATCATATTACTCAAGAACAAGCAGCTAAAAGTATATCTCCTTTGAATAATTTAATGAATAAATCAGAGAATCCTGTGCCGATTAGAAGAGCTCCTCCTCCACCTTCCTCATCATCATCACAAGCAAAACCAATTCAAACTCCACCATTGGCTCCTCAATCATTGAAGCAACAACCACAGCATCAACCTACTCCAAAAGAACCCCAATCACAAAATCAATCTGAACAACTTCCGCAACAACCACACCCAAATGTTAAAATACAAAAGAGTTATAAAACATCTACACAATTAGCAGAGTCAATCAAACCATTACAATTAAAACCTAAAGCTCAAAAAGAAACTACTCCACCAATGGGTCCTGTACCTACAAAAACTCCCAAACAATTGAAAAAAGAAAGAGAAAGATTAAATGATTTACAAATAATTGCAAAATTAAAAACAGTAGTAAATAGTAATGATCCAAAACCATTATTTAAAATTATAGAAAAAGCAGGTCAAGGTGCAAGTGGTAATGTTTATTTAGCTGAAAATTTATCAAATAATCAAAAAATTGCAATAAAACAAATGGATTTAAATGTTCAACCAAGAAAAGAATTAATTATAAATGAAATTTTAGTTATGAAAGATTCTCAACATAAAAATATTGTTAATTTTTTAGATTCTTATTTAAGAAAAGATACTGAATTATGGGTTATAATGGAATATATGGAAGGTGGTTCATTAACTGAAATAATAGAAAATAATGAATTTAAATTAAATGAAAAACAAATTGCAACAATTTGTTTTGAAACTTTAAAAGGTTTACAACATTTACATAAAAAACATATAATTCATAGAGATATAAAATCAGATAATGTTTTATTAGATGCAAAAGGAAATGTTAAAATAACAGATTTTGGATTTTGTGCAAAATTAACTGATCAAAGAAATAAAAGAGCTACAATGGTTGGTACTCCTTATTGGATGGCACCAGAAGTTGTAAAACAAAAAGAATATGATGAAAAAGTTGATGTTTGGTCATTAGGTATAATGACTATAGAAATGATAGAAGGTGAACCACCATATTTAAATGAAGAACCTTTAAAAGCTTTATATTTAATTGCAACAAATGGTACACCTAAATTGAAAAAACCAGAATTATTAAGTAATTCTATAAAGAAATTTTTAAGTATATGTCTTTGTGTTGATACAAGATATAGAGCAAATACTTCAGAATTATTATCACATTCTTTTGTAACTCATAAAAGTGGATCAATTGAAGATTTAGCTCCTTTATTGGAATGGAAACAAAAATCTGCAGCGACTGAAGTTCATGAGGTTGATATTGATGAAGATGATGGGTTTTGATTGTAATTTTTTTATATAAAAAGTATAGACTAACAATTAAAAATTTGTGACTTTTAAGGAGTTTTAATGTAGTTGATGTGACTTACCTCTGTGTCTGACTTCTTTTGATTCAAGATCTGACTTGTATGAGTTAGTAGCTTTGTGTAACTAAATGAAATAAATCCGCTTCAGTTACGTCAAAAAGATCTAAGCGCTAAATAAGATTTAAATTTCTTTTTTAGCGAAATGTTTATTTTTAAAGATAAGCAAATTATGATAAGGTGAAATATATCAACGGAAGATCTTTTAAGCCAATTTACCTTCGTAATTGGACTCAGTAATCTCAATAAATAGATAAGAACCGTCGGAATGTAATATTTTAATTTTCTAGTTGTATATAATCCTTAAAAAATAACTAAACAATTATAATACATCAAATTTGAAACCAAAGTTAATTTTTGTTACTTCTTTTTTTTTTTTCAAATTTTTCATTTCAACTTTTTTTTAGAATTTATCTAACAGGAACTTCATTGAAAACGGCTGCTGAAGAACTTTCAAAGCTTTAGGGATTTGTTACGAACATACTTAGAAGATCATTTCACTTTTGATTCAAATTTGATTAGTTTTATTTCATTTTATTCATAATTACACTTATATTTATAGGTCACACGATGTCCTACTGACATAATTTACTTATATATCTACAAATATCAACGTTTCAAGTCGAAGAGATATTGAGCATCACGAATAGTTTCAAGAAATCTTAGAATCCCTAGATCATTGCATTTTATAAAAATCCTCATCATACACATTTTTCAGCCTTACGGACCAATACAGTTTATACATTCCAAAATTTTTTAAAAATACTTTTTCATATCATAATTATGAACACAACAATTCCTTCTGAATATTATGATGAAAATTATATTCCTGGAACAACAAATATTTTAACAGGCCAACAAACAGAATTAACTTCAATATCATCAAATAAATCTTTAAAAAGAGATAAAAAAGGGTTTGTTTTAATACCTCAACCAACTGATTCACCAAATGATCCTTTAAATTGGTCAAATCCCAAGAAAATTTTACAGTTTTCATTATTAATTTTTTATACTGCATTAACTGCTGCTACTTCAAATGATGCTGGAGCTGCACAAGATTCTTTAAATGAAATTTATGGAATATCATATGATGCAATGAATACTGGAGCTGGTGTTTTATTTGCAGCAATTGGAATAAATTGTTGGTTATTAGCTCCATCAGTTGATTTATATGGTAGAAAAATTTCATATTTAATATGTTTAGCAGCTTCAGTTGGAGGTTGTATATGGTTTAGTGTTAGTAGAAAAACTTCTGATACTATATGGTCACAATTATTTGTTGGAGCAGGAGAATCTGCAGCAGAAGCAATGGTTCAAGTATCAATTTGTGATTTATTTTTTCAAAATAATTTAGGTTCAGTTTTAACTTTATATATTGCTGCTACAAGTATTGGTACTTATTTAGGACCTTTGATTGCTGGTTTCATTGCTCAATATCAAACATTCAGATGGGTTGGTGGTTGGGGTGCAATTATTACTTTTGTTACTTTGGTTGTTTTTATATTTGGATTAGAAGAATCAAGTTTTAATAGACAAGCTCATTTCAAAGTATTTGAAAGTAGTTCAATTAATGAAAGTCAAGAAAATATTTATAATGATGAAAAGACTAATAAAATAGATGATTCTAAATTAGCTTCAGATGAAGAAAAGGGGGAATTTACAAATCCAACTATTGTAAAATCAAATTTAGAAAATTATGTATCAAATGTTATAGCAGAAGAAGATAAACCTAAATCATATTGGAGAAGAATTTCACCAATTACTCCAGCTCATAATATAGAAGGTTTTGGTTTCAAACAATATGGTCAAAGATTATTATTTAATTTAAAAATATTTCAATATCCTATTGTATTATTTTCTGGTTTATTATGGGCTTTACAAGATGCTTTTTTATCATTTTATTTAACTAGTGAGGATACTACATATTATGATCCACCATATAATAAATCAAATACTGGGGTTGCGCTAATGAATATACCATGTTTAATTGGAGCAATTCTTGGTTGTATTTTCGCAGGTTATATATCTGATTTGCATGTTGATTGGCTAGCTAAAAGAAATGGAGGAGTAATGGAAGCTGAATTTAGATTGTACTTGCTATTTGTGACTTTGTTTATTTCACCACTCGGTCTTTTGCTTTTCGGTATTGGGACTGATCGTGATTGGCCCTGGCCCGTCATGTACGTTGGATTGGGTCTCGTTGGATTCGGGTTCGGTTCTGTTGGGGATTGCCTGTCAACCTATAGTATAACATCGTACCCTGACCTAGTCCTTCAATCTATGGTTGCAATATCGTTGATAAATAACTTGATCGCTTGCTTGTTCACATTTTGTTGTAGCATATGGTTAGATGCATCTGGAACAACAAATACTTACATTGCTCTAGCTGTTATAGATTTTGTTACTATCGGATTAATTATTCCCTTTATATACTATGGAAAAGATCTTAGAAAACATTCCAAAAAGAGTTACATAGAGATGGTTGAAAAACTTAATGAATGGAAATAAATAGATATTAAAGTTCGTTATAATAAAGCCGCGTAATAATTTTCAAAAAAAACCTCTTAACCTAAAATCAAAATCAAATGGTAGCGTAAGCAGTTTAAATTTTTTAAATAAATTTCTCGTTCAAAATTATAAAATCAAAAGACAATTAAAATATATTAAACCAACTTTACATATCAAACAACTCAATTTTCATTAACAATCATGTCAAATATATTAGAAAAGTCATTAGATGATATTATAGGTGAGAAACAAACACAAAGAAAATTTGTACCAACTAGAAGAAGAGGAACTCCATCAAATCGATCATCAAGATTCCAACCACATTCAAGATATTCAAGATTTTCAAGTAGACCAAATCATATAGAAAAAGATAGAGATGTATATATTCCTCGTACAACAACCACAACCGCAAACAATATCCCCAAAGATGTATTACAATTAGCCAAAGGTAGACCAACATTAAGATTAAAAAACATTCATCAAGAATTAAATGGAGAAGATTTAAATAATTTATTTTCAAGTATAAATTCAGTAGATTTTATAAAATTTGATGATTTAAATGATTCTATTGCTTATATATGTTTTCAAAATGATAATGATAGAAGTAATAAAGAAGCTATTGAAAAATATGATGGTAAAAAGGCAATGGGAAAAATATTAATTGTTGAAAATACGGTAAGTTTAGTTGATAGAATTAAATCAAATCCGGTAAATACATTTAGACCTTCACCATTAAGAAGTGTGCCTAGAGGTGCGATTAGAGGTGGATTCAGAGGTGGAAGTAGGGGAAGTTCTAGAGGTGGATTTAGAAGTTCAAGAAGTATATCCACACCAAAGAAAAGTGCAGAAGATTTAGATAAGGAGTTGGATAATTATATGACGAATACTAATGATGAAATGAGTGTGGATTAGAAACGTTATATAAGAACATTGATATTAAAACTTTAACATGAGAATATTAATAAAAAAATGTTAGCATCGTGACATTAATATAAGAACATCAACATAAGAACATGACGTAAGAACATAAGAACATGAACATAAGAACATAAGAACATTAACATAAGGACATAAGAACATAAGAACATAAGAACATAAGAACATATTTGTATATATTAAATTAATAAAAGTTTATTTGGGAAGTGAATATCTAATTTAATCTATTTTAGTAAATATCTATTTTGATTTGAAAACCTTTTAATCAGGTTTTTATCTATTTTTTATTTAGATTTTTTTGAAAACCCTTTAAAATAATCAGTTTTTTCATATTTTGTACCAATAATTTTACCTTGATTATTATAAATATATTGTTTTTTCAAATAATCCAAGGGGACTAATTTTGGCCAATCAACATATTGATAACCATTTGATAAAATATATGAAAAACTCTTGTAGTTAAACAACACCACCAAAGCTATAAAAATTAAATTTTTATAATCTAATAATGATCCCTTGGGATAATAAAATAATGCTAATAATATTAAAATTGAAGTACCCATTAAATAAGGTAATAATTGTATAATTGGAGGTCTATTATCTTTAAATGGAGAAATTACAGCATCTTGATAAGGTTTAAATTTCCCCAAAAATAAATCATAAGAATCTTGTCTTGATCCATCAGATAAATTATTCTTATAATATCTTGTTATTGAATTAATTAAATCTTGAAATCCACCTTGATAAGTTCTTTTACCTAATCTTGTAAAATCAGTTTTTAATGCACCAGTACCTGAATAAGCACAACTTACAGCATCAGCATTATCAGCCCAAAAATTTTGAAAAAATAAATTAAATTTTGGATCAATTTGGGCGAAAGATTGATCAACACTTGATAAGTATCCAGTTTTTAATAATTGATTTTGTAAAAACCAACGACCAATCATACTTTGAACAACATTAGTTCTATCTAAACAATCCATACAATTTGTTCTAACAATAGCTTTTTGAACATTTAAAATTTTTTTGGTGGTTAAATCAATTTCAAAATAATTATCCGATGTATAACCTAAATTAATTAAATGATCTAATAATTTATTAATCTTGTGAAATTTCATACCTTTACATTCATGATGAAAATCAAAATAAATATAATGAATATGTTGTTTTAGTTGCTGTGGTAAATTATTTATAGCATTTTCATAAGCTAATTTAACTGGTTTTTCATAACCATTTTGATTAACTAAGTTAACTAAATAATTATCACCATATAATTCAACTTGTTGATTAAAATGTTTTTCAGTAGCTTCTAAAGAAGATTGAGTACTAATTTCTAAATTTGGTTTATATTTTAAATTATTTACTTCTGCCCAATAAACAGGAACTGATCCTCTTGTTTGTAAAATTGAATATAAATGATTATTATCAGAAGTAAAAATTTGTTCAGTTTCATTAAAATTTGCAACATTACCATCTAAATCAATACCTCTACGAAAATATCTTGTACCAGCTCTTGATGTTGATCTTCTTGTTAATAAAGCAAATTGTAATGATTTATTGTTAAAAATTGTTTGATGAGATTTAAAATATCCATAAATTATTGGAGTTATAAAATTATAATTTAAATCAATATCAATTAATGGGGCTGATAAATATTTATTCCACCAAAATCTATCATCTAAATTATGAATTTCTGAAGTAAATTGTTTTTGTAATGAATTAGTTAAATCATATTGATTATTTATTGAATAATATAATGTTGAATTTTTCAATTGTTTATTAATAAGCTCTAGATATTTCTTTTCCTCTGATGATAAGTTAGCATTATTAACTAATGGATAAATTTTAAAAGATTCAATAAATGCAATTTCATTACCTAAAATTGTTCCTGTGATACTATGTTTATCACCAATTATAACATATGAATTAATTTTTAATTTTATAATACCAATTATACAAGATATAGGCTGAAATTTGGAATTGTTATAATTTGATGGTAATTCTTTTGTTATTTCTGTTGAATTATTACTCAATATAAGATAAGTATTTGTTAAATTATTATGAAATACATGAGTACCATCATTGTTTATAGAATGAGTTAAAACCATGGCTTACAACAGGAACAGATGTAGATGAAGTAAGACTTAGCTTAAGATGAAAAGTAAGTATGGAAATGTGTTGTTAAATTTGTTCAATTTATGTTGTCGTCTTTTTTTCACAACTTAAAAAGGAAATTAATTTTTTCTCTCACACTTTCAACTTCTTATCATGTGATAAGATACCAATTGAATAATTGAATATGCATTTATGTGGTTGAGTCTATAGAATAGTTCATAAGATCAACAAGCAACAAAGATCATATAAAATCTAAAACATATTATGAAGAGATCTGAGATCAAGGATCTAATGGATCTGGAGTAAAGAATTTTAGACAATGTGGATCATACCTTTTTTTTCACAACACGTTTTACCAAATTAAGTGAGTTTTGCAACCAATTCTGAACAATTGAATAGATTGAACCAAATACATGCCATTAAAATCACGCAGCAAGAGCAATATATATGAGAGAAGAACAACAAGAGATCTTAATAGTCCAAAATTAACTTCATATTGATATTGTTCGGATTTGTGAAAGTTTATATCTTGAGTAGGGTCATACTAAACCCGATTAAACTTTCTTTCAAATTAGACTAAAATACAGAATTAATAAGTACGTTTATTAGAGGATTTTAAGCCATCTTTTATTATGTCATAGTTAGTTTGAAAGGTATGAGGAATATTAGGGATTGCTCAAAGTTAGAAGGGTTTTGTATATATTGGATGGAGAAATTCAACTCATTAATACAAGGCTCATCAATTTAACTACTACTAACTCACAGTTGTACTATGGTATTGTACTGAGTTAATGTCAAAAATTTAATTTTATTAATTCGAGATTGAATAATTTGGATTAGAACAAATTAATTACACAAAAACATAATATATATAAGGATAAGTTTATTGGTACTTACAATTATAAAACCTTAAATTTAAAATAAAGCAATGATAGAATAAAATAGTATATACATGAAAAATCTCAGTTAATATAAATAGAATGGTTTATCCATTATCCTAAATAACAATTTAGTTTATTAACTACTCAACTCAATTCAATTCAATTACATTCAATTGACATTTACATTTAATTCAAAACTTCATTTAAAACACAAAAAAACAAACATTTATCATGGTTTTATCTAAACATCTCAGTCCATACGATTTAGAATATACAGTTTTAAAAGATATTCCAAAAATCAATTTAGAACCAGATCAATTTAGTGATGCATATGAATCACAAAAATTAATTCCAAGATTTGAAATACCTTTTAAATCAAGTGATCAACATTTAATTTATAAATATATAAATCAAGAATTAACATTAGATGGTTCTCCAACATTAAATTTAGCATCATTTGTAAATACTTATGTTGATGATATTCAAACTAGATTAGCTGCTGAAAATTTAACAAAAAATTTAGCTGATAATGATGAATATCCAAGTTTAATTGATATACAAAATAGATGTATTACAATGTTAAGTAATTTATGGCATGCTCCTCATACTATAGATAAAGTTACTGGTGAAAAAATTGTAAATTCTTTAGGGACAGCAACAACTGGTTCATCAGAAGCTATTATGTTAGCAGGATTAGCTTTAAAAAAAAGATGGCAAGAAAAAAGGAAAAAAGAAGGTAAAAGTACTGAAAATCCAAATATTTTAATGGCTACTTGTGCTCAAGTTGCGTTAGAAAAATTTGCTGTTTATTTTGATGTTGAAAATAGATTAATTCCAATTAATGAATCAAGTGGTCATTTAATTGATACAACAAAAATAAAAGAAAATGTTGATGAAAATACTATAGGTATATTTGTTATTGTTGGATCAACTTTTACAGGAGCTTTTGAACCAGTTGATGAAATTTCAAAAATTTTAGATGAAGTTGAAAAAGAAAAAGGTTTAGATATTAGAATTCATGTTGATGGAGCAAGTGGAGCATTTGTTGCACCTTTTTCTTTCCCAAATTTAAAATGGGATTTTTCAATTGATAGAGTTGATTCAATAAATACTTCTGGTCATAAATTTGGTATGACTTCAGTTGGATTAGGTTGGGTTATTTGGAAACATGAAGAATTATTACCAAAACAATTAAGATTTAGTCTTGATTATTTAGGTGGTGTTGAAGAAACTTTTGGATTAAATTTTTCAAGACCTGGTTTCCCAGTTATATTACAATATTATAATTTTTTAACATTAGGTAAAACAGGTTATGCAAAAATATTTGATGGATGTTTATCAAATGCAAGATTATTATCTGATTATTTAATTAAAACTAAATATTTTGAAGTTTTATCTGTAATTCATGAACCAATAAGTGAAGAAGAACTGAAAAAAATATATATTAAACCAAGTCATCATGATTTATCTGATGTTTGGACAATAAATCAAAAATTTAAACCTGGATTACCAGTAGTTGCTTTTAGATTTAGTAAAGAATTTAGAACAAAATATCCAGAAGTTCCTCAAGAATTATTTTCTTCATTATTAAGAAAAAGAGGTTTTATTGTTCCAAATTATCATTTACCTCCAGATCAAACAGATATTGAAATTTTAAGAGTTGTTGTTAGAAATAGTTTAGGTATGTCATTGTTGGAGAAGCTTACTCATGATTCAACTGAAATTATTGAATTATTAGCAAAAGCTGCTGATACTGTTAGATCAATTATTTCAAGTTCAAATGATGAACAAAATAAACAAGATATTCATAGATTATTATTAGCTATTGCTACTGGTGGTACTGCTGAAATTAGAAAAGAACAAAAAGAAACTCATAATAAAGATGCTGGACTTGATAAAAAATCTTATCGTGGTACTTGTTAGTGCCACACGTAGCGTGGTACGAATTCCTTGGTTAGAATAGTACGGATGATTAATTCTCACATTATAGCTAAAGTATTTTGAAATACCTGAATCTAAAAATAAAAATTTTACACGTTTATCTACATCTATACCTCCTTATATTATTTTTTTGCGGAGATCACTAAAACTATTTATTACACTAAATCAGAATATCTCGTATGTACGTTTGAATTTATTATAAGAAAAATCAATCTAATTTACGGAGTTGTCTATGAAGTTTTGATCAATAGATGACCATTTCTTTAGCTAAACTACAATTAATGAAAACAGTAGTTCTATCCCTTCGATGTTTCGTCCCCCTCCCTCTAAGTTCTACTGTGGGTACTCTAACCATACAAATTTTCTCTATAAAATTCGAATTAAATCTTAATAATTTTTAAGATTGCTATACAACTGGTTTTGTAACTCACTTATAAAGTTTAATTAAAACATAGGCATCATTTTTTCAAAATTATTCTAATTCAATTGAATCAAAAAAAAGATTTCTTTCCCATCCCTTTTTCTTCTTCTTTTGCTTCAAAGTTGTTCATCATCATCACCAGCAAACAGTCATGGCTTATAATCAAGAACAATTAAAAACTTATAAAGCAGTTTCAATAATTGCATTTATTTTATCAGTATATGGAGGTTTAACATTTTCAGGAGTTAAAGAAAATGATTTAGCTCATACTCCTTATTCAGCAAGTAGTATATTATTATATATTTATTGGGCTATATTATATATATGGCAAGCAGTTTATATTATTCAAGTATTTTTCCCAGATGATTTTAGATTATCAATTGTTAGTTTAATTGGTTGGCATTTTCCAATTTTTTCAATTTTACATTATGTTTGGAGTGAATTATTTACAAATGAACATTATTTTTTAAGTGAAATTGTATTGATTATAAATTTTTTAAATATTATTACTTTATATTTTGCTCATAAAACTTTTGCTTTAAGACCAATTTCAAATTATTTGTTAATTCATATGCCATTAGTTGCAATGACTATGGCTTGGTTATTTTATGCAATTTTTTGGAATGGTGCTGTTTGGTTACAAATTCATAAAGTTTGGGGTAGAATTGTTGCAAATGTTTTTATTTGGGTTTTCTTATTTGTACCAGGATTCTTTTTAACATTTTTTAATGATTGGGCTACTGGTGTAAGTTTTACTTATTTATTATTTGCTTTAGCTTTTGGTCAATTAGCTACTAAAGTATTTGCTTTACAATGGATTTTTGCTTTTGTAATTGCTGGTATTTTAGCTATTTGGACTATTGGTGCAATGATTGTTGGAGGAATTAAAGCTCCAAATGGTGAAAATGCTCCTTTATTAGTTGTTGAAGAAGAACATGTTGGTAATTAGAGTGAGAGAGGAAGAGGAGAAATTTTGAATGGCGCTTTTTCTCAAAAACGCCATTCAAAGAAAAGTTAAATAATCAATACAATTTTAATTTAGTAAAGACAGTTTTAGTTTTCAATCTTTTATTTAGTGAATAATTTTTTAATAAATATATTCAATTCCAGTTCATGAATATGATGTCCCTTTCTCTAATAATTTGTTTGAAGTGATTCATGACTTGAATAATTAGTTTGAATTATTCCATCACGGCACTTAAACTTCTTCATCACCTTTTATAATTGACTCTGTGTTTCAGTCTCAAAATATTTTGGAAAATTTCTCTATTATAAGATTAAAACTCAAGGTATAAATTGTCTTTTGAATGAACTTTGAAGCAATTAGTTCATTTCATTACGTAGTTCAATCAGTCAGCAGTAACAGTGATTAATGCCTTCTTCAACCTCAAAATCCCAATTTGAACATTTGGGTTTTCTTTTAATTGAAACTGTATTTGAACGCTGTAATGAATTCAAAAATTCCTCCAATACTGAAATTCAAGATGTGAATAGACTTTTGAAATAAAACTAAGATCAATTGATTCAACTATGTAATTTAATCTCTGATTAATAGTACTCTAAATTCATTACCTTCATTTAACTTTTCTTTTCATCAAAAATAGGTTTAATCTTCCTAATCATATCTTGTTTAACTAACACGGGATGACGATTTAAAATTAATGAATTATAATTCAATATAAAATCATGATGAGCTAAAGAACTTATTGTATCATTATAAACGGTGGTTAAAAATTCATTTCTTGTTGTATTTGAATTACCTATTCCATTATATTTTGATTTTAATAAATTATTTTGATTTTTTTCTTTTATTTTATCTGCCATTTTTTTGAGTTGATTCGGTTTAATTTGAGAGTTGGTTGTATAAATATTGAAGTTTATGATATTGGCTCCTTTTTGTGTTCAGTTAATAAATTTGTCGTTACTTTGATATCTGCGACAGTGTTTGAAAATTTGAGTTGAATCAAACTAGCTCGCTAAAGATTACCCATGCACGATTACAAAAGATTTCAAAATTAAAAAGACCCCTTCTAAAGGCAATGTGACGTTACACTTCACAGCGTGAAGAGCATTTTACCATTTTATGCAAGAAACAAAAAAATTGTGAAGAATTGTGGTAAAAAGAAACCGTGAGGCATTAGCTAATTTAAGATGGGGGGAAGATGAATGGACTTAAAACTCTATGATTTTTATAAAGTAATTCGTACCTTGACTTTTCAATTAATTAACCAATATATTATACAATATCAAATTGTAATATTTTTTCTTTTTATCAAACAAGTCGTCATTACAGCCCCAGACGCGTTATTTGTTTTTAAAACTATAATTAACTCGATATTAATAAAATAATAAATCGAATTAGAAATCTTCTTGTAAGAAAAATAGGGTGCAAAAATAATAATAATAATATTATGAATCTCTTTGTTCTTTACAAAAATAAATAATAATTTGGTCGAATCGATTTACTTTTTGTGTTAAAGTTTAAAAAAGAAAATGCCGTTATTACCCCGATTATGATTTAGGTACAGTTTAATGAAATACATTCACTTCAAAACAGTTTAATTTTTAGTTGTTTCTACTAGTAACGTTGTTTTTTTTTGTTAGTTTTATGCTAAGTCAAGATTTATAGATGAGAACAAAATATAGACTACTAAAAAGGTGAAATGGTGGGGTTGAATTTACATTTTCTATATCGTTGGTTTACTAAATGTGCAAAAGATAAATATTATTTCAAAGTAGAATTAATGTAGAAGACAACTACCATGAGTACTTGTGAATTACTAACTGGAATTTTATCCTACTGGATTCTTTTGGCTAGATCTTAGTGTAAACTTTATGATATAGATCTAATGTTGAACACTTAATTTTAAAATTATGAAACAATAAATTTGATATAAACATTTATGAATTAGTACACTACCTAATAAGAATATGTTTTAGAATTTTAGTGTAATGTAATAATAAACTATTATCTTTAACCAGGCTTTAAATCAAAAGAAATTGAAAATCTAAGATCTAAAGAGATTCATAAGTACCATTGTAACTTTGTTTCAACTATAAAATTAGATTCAATATAATTAATCAATAAGTAGTTAATTAAATATAAAATAGATAATACATTCTACTTACTTTACTTACAGTACTTTATATTGTAATCTTTTTTTTGTGTATCTCTTATCTCTATTTTATATTTGAAGATCTTATTGAAATTCATTATCAAAACAAAATATTGAAAGTAATTTAATACAATAAATTACTATTAAATTCAACAACTTCGTTAAAGTAAACTAGTAGTGACGATCCATAAATAATTTACGATCATGAACATAATCAACATTCCTTTAAATTTTACCAAATACCTTTTTTGATTGTAATTTTCTCGTAAATTGTATTGGTTTAAAACCAACTTTCAGCTTCTTTAAGTTCAAATTTACTAGTTGTCTAGCCTGAAAGAAGATGGTCTAGACTAGTATTGAGAGATCTCATTCATTCACTCTTATTACTATGGTTAGTTGTTGAATATTATTTTATTAAGGGTAGAACAATAATAAATAATAAAATAATAAATGTAAGAAAAAAATTATCATCAAAAAATTTATTTCTATTTCTCCCTTCTTTAAATCTAACTTTTTTATTATCTTTACATTACTCACTTTCTTATTTACAACCATACAATACAACAATAAATCAATAATCAATTAGCATTATAGAAGTGTATTAAAGGAATTTTAACATCAGCACAGGATTGTATATCATTTCCTACCTTATTATCCAATTGTCATTACAATTTCTGGGGGTTCAAAAATAATATTATAATTGGTCTATTAGTTATAATAATAATAATAACAACAACACTACTACAGTGAACAAGAAATATTTTTACTCCGCTCCATTACTTGTTTATTGAACTAATAAATTTACTTATAAGAAATTGTTGTTTGATTTTTCTTTTTTTATTAAATTGAAAAAAAGTTATATAATCTAAAGGTGTTACAAAAATCTAGTTGGAGTTGTTTTGATCATATATATATATAACACTCAGGTAAACTCAATTCAGGAACTACTTAGTATTACTCACTTAAATATCAACTGAACAGATTAGAAAAACTTCTTTCAAATTAAATTAATCAACAAATTTTACTTATTTCAATATTTTTTATTTAAATTTTTAGATGTCAATTATTTCAAATTTACCAAATTCAATACTAGAATCAGCTATAAGTTCAACTTCAACTTCTTATAAAACATCTCCTTTATCTTCAGAAGATAATAATTTTCAACAAATTTCAAATTTTAATAATAATAATAATACAAATCAAAAGATGCAATCTCAACAAAAGCATCAACAAAATAATATCAATACACCAACTAACAACCATACATTCAATGATACTACTAAAACTCCTACCAATACTAACTCCAAAAATTTCCTAACAAATTCAAATCAAGATCAACCACCATCTATATATGATTTAATATCAGATAATGATAATGCATCAATGGATATTTTTAAAATGTATCAACATAAAAGTTATCTACCTCATAATGAAAGAATTTCAAATATTGCATGGAGAATTCAAAATAAAAAAATTTTAACTAATAAAAATAATAATATTACTAACACCAGGATATCAATACAAAATTCAAGAAATAGATCTTTATCAAATGGAGGAATTAATAAACCTCAATCAACACAATCTAATAAACCATCTCCACCTTTTAAATCAAAATTTAATACACCTTCCAATAATCAAATTTCATCATCATCAATAGATAATAACCAAAATACTTCATTAACTGATCCAAATTTAGATGATTTTGATTATGTTGCACATATAAGAAGAATAAGTCAAGAAGAATATAAACAAGATTTAAATGATTCAAAAATGAATAATACTACACCAAATGATAATTCAAATTTATTATCATCATATATAAATAATTTAGAATCAAATTTTAAACATCCACAATTTAAATCAAATTTAAATTATAATAATCAATCAACTACATCAGTTTCAACAATGAATAAAAAGCCATCAACAACAACTAATATATCATCATCATCAACAAACAATTCAAATAGCTCTGTCAAAAAAATCTTACAATGTACAAATTGTGAAACTAAAACTACTCCATTATGGAGAAAATCAAATAATGGGGATTTATTATGTAATGCATGTGGATTATTCTTTAAATTACATGGAGTTTTAAGACCTTTAAATCATAATAATAATCACAACAATAACAACAACAACAATAATTTAAAAAAGAAAATTAAAAATGATAAAATGATTGGTAATTCAAATATAAATTTATTATCTAGTGATTTTAATAATAATAGCAGTAAATCATCACCACAACATCGTCAACAAAGTCAATCACCTATGAATCATCAACAATTTAATTCACCTCATCAACCTCATTCACAACACTTTCCACATCCTCAACAACCTCATCATCAACAACAACAATCACAACCACAACCGCAACAACAAATTCATCTACAACAACAAGAATCACAAAATCAAGATGAAATAGATAAATTATTAAATTTAAATCTATTTCAATCAGATTTTTCAAATGGTAATAACTTAAATAATAGTGAAATTTTATTTCAAGATAATTTTTTATCAATTGAAAATAATTCAACTAATCCAGAGCATAATTTTCCTCAACAATTGTTTAATCATCATCAACCACCGCATCAGAATATGAATCAACAAATGAATCAACAACATCAACATCATGATGAAATGGATTTATTAGATCCTAATGGATTACCTCCATCAAATGCTATAGTTAGTGATCAAAATCATAATCATCAAATATTGAATGGTCATGGTGGTGATAATAATAATAATAGTAATTCAGATAATTGGAATTGGTTACAATTTTAAGAAGTAGTTGATGGAGTTGACGGAGTCGATAGAGTTGGAGGTGGACAGAGTTAATAAAGGGTTTCGAATTAATAATTAATTAAGTAATATTTATTTATATATTCTTTTTCTTTAATTCTTTTAGTTCTTTTAAATAGAGGTATTTTCTAATTTTTTATGTTTAATATATGATATGATATGATATGATGAGGTTCAATTTTCAATTCGAATACTCTAAATTTATATCTGATATAGTCAATTAGAGGAACTATTAGAGAAAAGCATTTAGCACGAAGCGTAGGTACGCTGAACCTTGAGATTTGTTCATCCTTCATAATGTTTCTATCTGCCCCTGTTACGTTACATCATTCTTCTTGATACAATTTTATCGCAGAAGAAGTTGAAAAATTCCACCAACTTCTGCACTTTTACTGTCACCTCACTTCAAAATATATTGAATAATTTCAAATATTTAATCTTGCCTCAGAAAAAAGAAACAACTATTTTAATTATGTTGTTGATGCAAATCTGGGACTAAAAGTTAGTGTTACTTAATGTTTCAATGGTGTTTCGGTTTTACGGAGCTATTCTCGTACTAAATTTATTTTTCTCCCCCAACTTTTCGTACTAAATTTAGTGTTTTACGGGGTGCGTAAATCTTAGATCTAGGCTATTGTTACTTATAATAATAAATCTTACTTATCAAATCTGAAACACGTCTAAAAATTGTATAGTACTCGTTTTAAGTCAGTCAATTGGCAAATTTTGTACCTCTAACTTTGAAGGATAGTCTCTACGGGCTCCATCGTTAAATACTTACAAAATTTACATCTCTTTTATTCCAACTTACCCCTCAAATAACAAAATTTTTATTGATAACTTTAATTTCTTACTTTGTATGTGTGTAATACTATATACAGTATTTACTCTCACATTTTATAATATAAAACAGAATTTATAAACAACAAAAAAATTTCAAATTTTTCATCCCTTTTTTTCTATTTTTCTTTTCTTTTCAAAGGTTTATTAAGTTTATTCAACATTATTCATAATTTATCTTAACAACTAGTTTATTAATTATATCACTAACAACAACTCATACTATCTATTATTAATTTACTACAATTACACATTACATATTACATATTACACATACACAATTTTATTTTTTTGCAATTAGAAGTAACATATCACACAACAAAAAAAGACAACAAAATGACAATCAACAAAGAAACAAGCAATGGGGCTATTCATCAAACAAATGGAGATGTATCATCAAATACTTCAAAATCAACAATTAATGAAGATACCTACTATTCTAAAAAGTATCATGAATCAAATGATAAATCAAATCAATTTAAAAAAAAAGATTTAAATAATACTAAAATATATAAAAATAAACATCATCAACAAAATATGAAAAGAAAAGTTCCTGTTTCTAATATTACTGTTGCTTTTAATGCTAAGAAAGATGATACTAATGGAAATGAAATTGTTCAAAATAACGTTGATACAAACAAATATAAAGAATACTCAAATAATAATAAAATTGAAGAAAATATTGGTAACAATTTAAATGATCAAAACAACAGTTCAGTTAGTAATGGAAAATCATATGATATTACAAATACACCAACAACAACTACATCAAATGAATATATTACAGCAAATGGAGAAGAAGAAATTTTAGAAAATTTAGAAAATTTAGAAACTATTGAAAATTTAGAAAAATTTGAAAATCAATTATTTTCACAAAATTGTATAAATCAAAATAATGAAGATGATGAAACTTTAAGTTCTCCTCCTCCTCCACCAAGTGAAGTTGATTTTGATGATGATGACTTAGATAAACAAGAGCTTAAAGAACATGGTGTGAAATTTAAATTAATTGTTGAAGATAACGATGAAAATCCAACTACGAAACAAAATGAATTTATTAAAACTATTTCATCAATTTTATTAAATATTAGTTCAAATTTTAAAGTTTTTGGAATTAATAGAGATGAATTAATTAATGAAGATAATGTTATAATTGGTGAAAAAAATGAAAAAGATGAAGAAGAATTAGAAGATCAAGAAGAAAATTCAAATACTTCAATTACTGCACTTTTTCAAAATTCTGCAACATCATCAACTACATCAATATTAGATTATCCAATGCAATTAACAAGTCCATTTTTACAATTTTTAATTTTAAAAGCAAATTTTTCAAATTTAAATTTAAATTTAGGAACAAAAATTAATGAAAAATTTAATGAAATTTTTAACAAATTAAATTCATTAGATTTAAATTTTAAAAATTTTATAATTGAAATGTTTATAAATGAAAGTGATTGGGAAATTAAAGAAAATTATTTAAAACAAAAATCACAACCAACAAAAGAATTAACTATTTTTCAAATTTTAATTGAATTTTTTACAATTAATTTTGTATTTTTACAAATTTTTTCACAATTTTTAATTATTTTATTAATTTCATTTTTAAGATTATGTGTTTTTAGTTTTAAATGTTTGTTTAAAGTTGGTAAACAACATTTACATATTGATTAGCTTACTTAGTCTTGGTGGTGTTGATTGTCAGCTGGTTCTGTCGGTTTTTTTAAGGGGTGGTTTATTTTGGGAGTTTGAAATTAGGTGGTTATTTCAACTACTATTTTTCGAAAATCTTACCCAAAAAAAATATACAAGTGAATTGACTAAAGTAAAATTTTGAGTATTTAATAGTGATGGTGATGTTGGTGGTGTTTTTGAGCTTTTTCTATATTTATTTCTTACAAATTTAAAATTTTTTTATCTAATTATATATTGTTTATAATTCTTCTCTTACATATACTTACAAAATAAAAAAATTATATATATATACTATGTTTTTATTATATCTTAATCTTCATAAAATATAACTTGTTTTCCATGAGTTTTAGTATCTACAACACCTTTTAATAAAACTTGAGTTAAATCTTCACCAGATTTAAAATAAATTTTATTATAACTAACATCCCTTATTTTTTTATCATTATATAATTCAATTAATTTATTAACAGTTTCAATTTTAAAATTGGGGTTTTTATAAGTATTTGAAGTTAACCAAAATGCAACAGTTGATAAATTTTTAAATAATTGTAATCTTGAATCATATTCTATTGTTGCTCCACCTACAACTCCATAAGTAGCTAAATATCCATTAGGTGATAATGATTTAACTAAATTTGGGATTGATGTTCCAACTCCATTTAAAGCTAATCTTACTTTTGCTCCATTTGTATACTTAGTGATATCAAATTTTTCATTATTAAATTCTGATTCTGGAATGACTTCAGTAGCTCCTAATTCTTTTAAATATTCTAAATCTTTCTCAGATTTTCCATCTCTTACTATAGAAATTACTTTTAAATTATAAATTTTCGCAATTTGAGTAACATATTTACTAACTTGTGAAGTACCACCATTTTGAATTATAAATTCTCCACTTTCCCAATCTTTAATAAATTGATGAATAATTTGATAAGCTGTAGAAGGATTAATTGATATAGTAGCAGCTTGATCAATTTGTAATTTTGATACATTAATTAAATCCTTGGATTTTGCTATTGCATAATTTCTCCAAGTTCCAAATTTTGGTAACAATGGAATAACTAAATCACCAACTTTAAAATCAGAAACTTCAGATCCTACTTCAATGATCTTGAATACTCCTTCATTTCCACCAACATTTGTTGGTTTATTTGGTGAAACATTACCTAAATCAGTTCTTGGTTCCGCATCATTATATCCACCTCCAATTTGTCCAATATCAGCAGGATTTATTGGTGATGCAATAGTTTTTAATAATATTTGATTTTTTGTTAATTTTGTTGAATCAATTTCAAATTTTGTTGTATGTAAAATTTTTTGTAAATCTTTTCCATATTCTTCAAATGTTACTGCTTCTCCTTTATAAATTGTCATTTTGACTAAGTCCTTTTGTTGTTTATTTAGTCTTTGTTATAGTTGTTGAGATTGAAATTTTAATAACAGTTTAATGGAATCGAAAATAACTGTGGCAGAAGTAAAAAGGTTGATTTATATATTCTTTACTTCGGTAAATCAATTAAATGAGTTATTTCGAAAAAGTAGGTAAAGATTCTGTCTAACAGTGTTGTGGTTCCTTCCCTTCTATGAAATGTACGTTGATATGTTTAATGAGCAAGTAGATGATTACTAATTGATATTGTACTTTACATTTTACACAAGATGGTAATAGCTAAAAAATTGCTCCATATAGAATCTAACTCGGAATTATTTTTTAAAGGATTCTATCCGCATTTAGATCAAATCTTCAAATTTGATTAGAATTTTCTATTTTTCCGTAAATTTTCCACAATCGAAACCAATGGCTGAAATCAAATGGAAAATCAAACTGTAGCTGGTAAATAATCTCCTTATTTTCATTATTGCCACAATGCTTTTCACAATGTGAAGGTGAGGTAATGGATTTTGTTTAGACTGTTGAAGAATCTTAAATCAACATCGCTATATTTTTGCTTAAAATTTGTAACAAAATTATTATGAAAATTATAGCGTTTTTGGACCTCCAGCAAAAGTAGTTAATTCAATTAAGTAAAAGAAAATTCAATGATTAAATCGTCAGATCTAAAAATATGAGAGGCTCTGTCTAATCCTTGAAACTTATAGAGTACGACAAACATTTAATTAGAGACCTAAGAAGATAAAGTCTTGACTTGTAGATCCCTTGATCCTAAAAGTTTAAGGAATACGTTACAAACCATGGTTTTCAGCTGTAATCTACGAATTCTTAATCCTATCTTTTGCCATAATAATTGGCTGCATGACATTAAAATATGAGGTGATTTGACATTGAGCTTGCTGGTAAACTTTTCTTTTGCAAAGATTACAAAATTGGATATTTCGGTTTTTGAAATGAAAATGTTCAAAGTTGAGCTTTTGAAAACAATCTGGATCTCATTCCCTAATTTTAGAGTTGAGTCTTTTTTACTAGCAATGGCATAGTTTCAAATAATGCAACTACTAGTAAAAAAAGACTTAGCTCCAACATCAGAGTATAAGATCATGATCTCCGTTTGCTACAGTTCTTGGCTTTGGTCAATAATTTTTGAAAAAAGTTTTCCAATCTGTTTCCATGAATTCTAAACATCTTCATAATGCATGATTCTTTTAAATGTAAGAAAATATGCCATTGATAATAAAATTTTATGACCATCATTTCGAGATCTCTGTTTGAATGTTTGCATATTCTCTAGCATTGTATTAAGAATCAGTTTGATGTTATTGCATTTTTCCTGAGTGATCTTGATTCTTCTGGATTAGTTGTTATGTTAAATAATATCTTTCTTTCAAAAAGGTTTGGTAATATTGAACAAAGTATGTAGACGCTAAGTCCCCATTCTTGTGCCTTTTGATCTTCTGATTCAATTTTACTATGTCTTGGATTGTTATGCTTTCATTGGGATCATCTGTCCAAGTGTTGTAATTTTGAAAATATGGAAGTAGTACATACTTAGTCAATGCATTTATCTATTTTCGTTAATTTGAATTCTTTTGAATACTAAAACGACAGTTGCCTGCAAATGAAGTGGTGGTTAGGATGATAATATTGAAGTTTCTTGTGAATTAACTGAATCATACATATAGAAAAATTGTCTGTACGACTCCATCTTTTTAGTACCAAGATACTGGAACATGAAATGAGTTGTGCTTCTTTGTCTTATGGAATAAAAGGGTTGTGTTGATGTCATAAGTAGGTTCCTCAATGATTTTATTGTTCTAAAATTTGATTGTACTATATTTAGTAATTTGTTTACAATTCTTCCCAATTAAGTAATTTGGATGCAAAATTTATTTTTCAATTCGAAACATTGAAATTAAGAAATTGATGAATAACCAAAACGAATAATCCGAACAATTAGCACCTTCAACATTTAACATTGCTTTGATTCATTTTTTAACATTACTAATTTGATGACCCTTTAATTTGTCAAAAATTAAATCAATCTTTTTTATTTCCCCTGAGTTTAAATTTTAATAAAGTTTCTTAAAAGGAAGACAAATTGAATCTAAAACTAAAATATCGTACAATTATTCAAGTCATTAAACGGTAGATATTATAATTAACGTCAGAAGTATTTACAACAGCACATATACAATTCAACCGCATGGTCTTATAATAAAATTAAATTGTGAATTTACGAATTTATTTTTAAATTTTTATTTTTCTTTTTTTTTACCAAATTTATTTTTAGTTACTTGTATACATCACAAACGAATTAGTATCAACTCAACAACAACCATTCATTCATTTTAAACCCCTTTCAAGATACTTCAGTCAATATATTTACTACTACTCGTTCAATTAGTAATTTCATTGCTCATTAGTATTTATTCTGTTTCCTTAATAACCATTGAGAGTACATGCTCAACTCATAATTGATGCAGTTATTTTCAAATATAAGACATGGTGGAAAACATCAAAATACTAATCAACAACAGCCACAACTTCATTCGCAACCATTCACACCACTAAACAATCCAATTAGTCATAGAAGATCATCAACAAAACAATCCTATAGTGAAAGTGAATTCCTGAATACTGGTTCAACTTCTTCATATACATCAACTGATTCATATACATCAAATAATTATAAAAATAATATAGCACCAAATACAAATAAACAAATTCCAATTGCATTAAGACCAAATTTGGATAATTTAACTAATCATAACTCGAACAACACAACAGCTCCATATCCTACAGAACCGAAGCATTATACTCATCATAACCAATTTGAGAATGTAAATACTTCCCCTGATCACCATAGTACAAGAGAAAGTTCAATATCTCCAATTAAACTTAATTCAATTTTGATAAATGAATCAAATGTTCCCATAACTGATGAAAATATAGAAACAGAACCAAGAATTCAAAGTAGCACAGAAACTAAAGAATCTACAAAGGTAAATACTCCAAACAAAACTCAGCCTTCTCAATTTACTCAAGATAGAAAATATCATCAACAGCAACCTGAATCGTCAACAAAGCTGGTCTCTCCAAAATACAAGACTCCATCACCTGATGGGAGTAGAAAAAACATTTATCAAAACACACCAACATCCGCTAAACCTACATCATACTACAAACAAAATCCAAATTCAAGACAAAGTATAAATTCAGAAGCATATAATCAACAATTATATTTTGGATATCAACAACCACCTCAACAACTTTCACATAACTATAATCAAAACAACCATATTTATAGTAATCCTGTGTCTCCTCAACAACATCAACATCAACAATTACAACAGCAGCACCAGCCTACAATCGATCATGAACAAGATGCTGATACAGAATCAGATGATGATGATGACGCTTCTTCAAATACAGGATCTTTTCAACCTACTCAACATCCTTATTATGAGCAATGGAAAATGTATTATCAAGCATTAGCTTTTCAACAACAACAAGCACAACAACAACAAATGAGACAACCTATGTTTTATCCTAACCAAAACCAAGTGATGCCTTACAATTACCAACAAATGATGCAAATGCCTTATATGTTCAATAATCCAAATGCTTATATGATACAACAACAACAATTTCAACAGCAACAGCTACAACAACAACAAATGCAAACTCCGCAATATCAACAAACCCAACCAAAATCAAAGAATAGACAACCATCATCTTCAAATATGATTCATCAATCTCAATCATTACAAAATGTATACGACCAAACAATAGGTTCGAACTCACATATTACTAAGCAACAACAAAAACAACAAAAACAACAACAAAATCTACCATCAAGTAATTCAGAACCAAATTTGCCAAATTCTATAAATGATTCATCAGAAACTTTTTTAAAAGCTTATCAGAAATCAAGAAAATTAAAAAATAAACAATTGAATGATTCGACTGATGAATTAATTCAAAATTCAAGAAAATGTAATCTAAAATCAAATAGATTTGCTTCTGAACCACAACATCATCATTTTATTAATAAAAATTTAAATTTGGATTCAAATGTAAGACATCAAAGAGTTGCTTCTCTAGAACTGAATTTCAAACCAGGTTCTTTTAACGGATATAAAGAAGAAAATGAAATTGATGATGATGATGATGTTGAAGAAAGAGAAGATGAGAAAAATGAATTCATTGATTCTTCCTACAAGATCGATTCTGTTGCTCATTCATTGAATGATTTGAAATTGGAAAAGAAAAGAGATACATCTAGACAAATTTCTGACTATAATAAGTTTCTATTCGATGATGATGAAGATCAAGAGGAAGAAGAAGACGAACAAGATCAAGAAAATACAAAAGAGAATACATCAAATACAAAATCCATACAAACTGAAGAAGAATATGATAAAACTTTAGTAATTGAAACCTTGGAATCTCCAACTTCATTATATGAAAAATTACCATCTCCTATTGATACATTAAACAGAAAAGATACAACTTCATCAGAAGGTTCATATAATTCCATACAAAGTGAAGATAGATTTCAAGTTGGTAGTATAAGACAAAATTCAAAACAATCTACATTAAATGATATTAGAAATACTAAACAAGAACAGCAACAAACACAACAAAAGAATCAAAAACAGAAACAAAATAAACAATTATCATCTAAATCATCATCACCACCACCACATAAATTACAACTAAATTATCCATTACCACCATTACCTGATATGAATATGATGCCACCAAATCCAATGATGCAGATGCAATTACAAATGCAAATGAATCAAATGAATCCAATGGGAATGAATGGATTACCTATGTCACCATTTGCGATGAATACGGGTATGAATCCAATGCTTTATCAAAATACTGAATATTATGGAGGTTTTAATGATCAATTTTCCAACAATAATAACAACAATAATAAACGTCAAAGCATGATGGCTCCAGATTCTAAAAGAATGTCAATGATGAATATGAATGATTATTCAAATAAAAGAAATAGTATGCCAATTTTTAATCAACAACAAATTCAGCAAAGACAACAACAACAACAAGATCATCTAAAAACATTAGATCCCGTAATTTTAAAAAAGATTGAAGAATTCAAATCATTAAGATCTGAAATTTCATCAGGTAATAAATCAATGGAATATAGATTATTATGGGCCAAGATGCTTATAAATTCAACTAATTTTAAATTATATAATTATATTACTATAAAAGGAGATTATTTAAATCATAAACAACAACCTTCTGCAAATAAAGCTATATTTATTAAATCTTCCGTAACTCATATTTCAAAAATCATAAAAGAAATTGAATCATCATCAAGTCCAAATGATTTAAAATCAAGTTTAAAATGTAAAGCATTTTTTATAATGGCATGTTTATTAAAAAATGATTTTGTTGAACCATATGGACAAGATTTTGGAATTTCAAAAAATATTGAAAAAAGTATTGAATTTTTTAATAAAGTTTTAAATTTAAATAGTAAAGATTCAAGAGTTTTATATAAATTAGGTGAAATTTATGAATATGAAATGGAAAATTCAAAAGATTTAGCTATTGAATATTATTCTAATTCTTCTCAATTTGGATATGGAAAAGCTGTTGATAAGTTGGCTAAGTTTGGAATATCTATAGAATCTATATGAATATAAGTCATATGTATAATATATAGAACTACCTACTTATTTAATGAATGAATTGGTATATTTAATGCCATTTATTAAAGATTTAAAAATGTAACAGATTGCTACCACGTGATTGAGACCCAAATTTCTTTTGTTGATTTCTATCAAAATAAAAATAACGGTTTTGATCTACTCTATCAATAGAAACTAATTATAGAAAAGTCATAACACTACTTCACTACGTACAACTGAAACACCAAGAGTAATAGAGTTAGATAAGCCTAAGCAAATGATATAAGCATATCACTAAACAAATGACAAAACCCAAAGATATAAAGACAAATCAACCCATTCCAAATTCAAAAGAAACAAATGAAAGAAGAAGATCTATTGCATTATTAACAAGATCACCAATATCTAGTTCTCCCTATACTAATAATAATCAAAATTCGTCATCTCCAAGAGGTTCACAAAACAATTCATATGTTTCAAATACTCAATTTTTAAGAGAAAATACTCCTATACCTCAATTAAAAACTAATTATATGGGAAATAATAATGATAATGAATCTGCATTAATAGAAACTTCAAATTCATCTAATGATAATATTGGGAAAAAACCTACTACCAAAACAATACAAGAGTTTGATAAAGTAGATTTAAGTGAAGGTATAAATGATCCAAAAATTATATCAAAAATTTCAAAACATTTATCAAAAGATTCAGATTCAAATTTAAAAAATGAAGGTGGTGATATAACAAGAGATTTATATAAAATTCAACAAGATTTAGAAATCAAACCAAAATTAAAAAGATCAAAAAGTTTTAATGGAGAAGGTGATGATGATTCAGATAATTCTTCAATAAAATCAAGAGCTAGTTCATTTAATGTACCTGGTGGATTTAGAAGAGAATTTTTAATTCAACAACATCAACAACAGAAAAATAATCAGCAGCAGCATCAGCAACAGGTACATGCACTACATCAAGATAATGAACTGAATTATGAATATCAACAACCTTATAATCATAACAAACTAACAAGTGGTGAAGATATAGAAAATGGACCAATATATAGACCAATCTCACCTAATTTTGTAACTAGGAATTTTATTGAATTTTTAAGTATTTATGGACATTTTGCAGGGGAAGATTTAGAAGATCCAGAAGAAGAAACAGAAATATCAGAATTTCAAAAGCAACATCAACAGAAGAAGTTATTTTATCCACAACATTCTGAAGATACTCCATTATTATTACGATCTTCTGACAATTATAATCCGAAGGGAACAGCAACTGATAAAAAAGCATATTTTTTATTATTAAAAGCATTTGTTGGTACAGGAGTATTATTTTTACCAAAAGCTTTTGCAAATGGTGGATTAATTTTTTCAATTAGTTTATTAATATTTTTTGCAATATTATCATGGTGGTGTTATTTAATTTTAGTTATAACAAAAAATAAAACAAAAGTTTCTGGATTTGCAGAAATTGGTTTAAAACTTTATGGACCATGGTTACAAAAATTAATATTATTTTCAATCGTTATATCACAAATTGGATTTGTTGCTGCTTATATTGTTTTCACATCTGAAAATTTAAGAGCATTTGTATTGAATGTTTTAAACTTGTTAGATATAACGGATTTAAATGATTTAGAATTTGAATTTCCAATATATTGGTTTATTTTATTACAAGTTATTATTGTTATACCAATAAGTTTAATTCGTGATATCACAAAGCTTTCAATTTCAGCAGTTTTAGCTAATTTATTTATAATGATGGGTCTTGTTATAATAATGTATTTTATTAATTATGAATTTATAATAATGGATAATTTTAAATTTGGACCAAATATTGAATTTTTTTTCAACAAGGAAGATTTTTCATTATTTATTGGTACTGCCATATTTGCATTTGAAGGAATTGGTTTAATTATTCCAATACAAGAATCAATGATTTATCCTCAAAATTTTCCAAAAGTTTTATATAAAGTAATGATAACTATAACTCTTATGTTTATTATAATTGGAACTTTAGGTTATTTAACATTTGGTTCACATATTAAAACAGTTATATTATTAAATTTACCACAAGATTCAATATTAATTATAATGACTCAATTTTTTTATTCATTAGCTATATTATTATCAACTCCATTACAATTATTCCCAGCAATAAGATTAATTGAATCTAAATTATTTTCTTTAAATTCAAGTGGTAAAATTTCAAAAAAAGTAAAATGGTTTAAAAATTTATTTAGAACTTTATTTGTTTGTTTAACTGCTTTTATTGCATTTTTAGGTGGGAAAAATTTAGATAAATTTGTGTATGTAAACTTTACAACTAACTGAATCATTGAATTAAGTACTAACATTTTTTTAGTTCATTTATTGGAAATTTTTGTTGTATTCCATTAATTTATGTATATTGTCCATTACTTCATTTAAAAGGTTGTTGTAATGTATCATCTAAAAATATAAATGAAAAAGAAAGACATAAAAGATTTTGGTTAGGTCAATTAGATTATTTATTAATTGTTATTGGAGTGATAGCAATGATTTATACAAGTTATCAAATATTATTTACTTGAAAGATCGATCTTATGGAATATAAAGTAAAAAATTACTACTAGACAATAGAATTTAATAAACATTATTTGCATTAATTTTTATTCTAAAAATTATTCAAATTTTTTTTCAATTTCTTTCCTCCAATAATGAACATTACGAATAACATCATCATTAAATTTAACTCTCAGTTTTTGAAATTCAGAATCCCATTTTTGTAAATCTTTATTTAAATCAATTCTAGATTTATGTAACTCAGGTATATATTGCTTTTCCAAATTAGATACTTCATAATTTAAATTTTGAAAAGTTTTTGGCATATAATAAGAAGTTGCAATTCCACCAAATATAATTGGTGTAAAAAATCTTAACCCTATGTTTCTATTACGTACTAATATTGATCCCGTAAGTGTAAAAGTTAAAATATAAATTAAATTAGGTAATAAACGTTCAACAACAATTTTATTGTAATTATATTCAGCATTTCTAATTTCATTATTAAAAGCATGTTTTAAATTCTTGAGTTCATATTCAGCAATTTGAAATTTATTTATAAATGAATTACGAAGGGAATTACTAAATTTTTCTAAATTTGGAGTTGATCTTATTATCATTCCATCTATTTCTTCATATTCTCCATGTGATGATTCTTCACGGGCTAATTTTTTTGATATAGGGATAATTGTACCTGGTTTTGGAGTTATCTCTTCATAATTTTCTGAATAAAATGATCTAGTTGGTGACATATTTTTTATTTGTTGATGATTTTTGCTTTGTTTTGTTTTCGATGAGTATAAATTGATATAGGTCCAACGTTACAAAAGCTAGAAGAATTGAGTTTATGGAAGGTGGAAGTATTAGTTTGTGTTTTATATTTTTGGTTAATGCTTTGGTTAGAATTATTCGGTATATTTTTTTTCACCAATAGAAATTTCATTTTTTTGGTTGCGAAAAAAATTACAGTCAAAGCTCAAACTCTATATTTTCAACATTATAATTGAAAAAAGAATCTGGACTCAAATATTGATAATCTATGTTATTCAAAATATTAAATGATAGATGTAATTAAGAAGTGATATGTTAATCTTACTAATGATATACATTACATTACATTACTTTTTCTTAAACCTAAATACAACTAAAATGAACTAAAATCAATCAAACCCATTCAATCAAATCAAAATCAAATCAAAATTAATCCCAAAACTTTTTGTAAACCAACTAAATTGTTTGCACCTAATTAAATTATCCTCTTCCAAAAAATTTCTTTTTCTTTTTAATTTCTCCATTAACAGTATTAGATTCAGCAATTCCACCTAAAGGTTGACCAACACCATTTACATTATTCATAGTTCCATTTAACTTCGTATTTACATTTCCAGTTGAATTATTATTATTATATAAAGGAACATTTAATTGAACATGATCATCATCATTATGATCATGTAATTGAGTTGTTGGAGTATCATTTGTATTTGTTGAACTTGATGAACTATTCATATTTGGAGGTTGTAAATAACTTGAATTTGAATTTGAATTTGAATTTGAATGAGTATTTGCTGTTGTTGAATTTGATTCATTTACTTGAGTTAAATTTTGTTGTGATTGTAAATTTTGAGGTATACCTGGATGTTGTTGCTGATTATAACTTTGTTGAGGCATATTTAATAACATTGGATTACTTGATGATCTTCTTGCCTGTGGTGGTGAATTTAATTGATTTGTTAAACTCATTGATTTTCTATTACTACCAGGTTGCGGCATTCCACCTCTACCTCCCATATCAAAACCATCTAAATTACCAGATAAAATGGGCATTTGAGATCTTCTATTTGTCTTCTTTGGGTTAGATTTAAATCTACCTTCTAAAAATGGATCTATTGGTGCTGCATTATTAAAACTTGAATGATTTGATTGTTGATATTGTTGATGAGGAATTTGTTGTTGTTGTAATAATTGTTGGTTATATTGTTGTTGTTGTTGATAATCATGAAAACTATTTATACCTCCAGGCATTGAACTTAATCTTCTTGGTGGTTGTTGTTGTGTTTGATATTGCGGTTGTGCATAACCTCCATTCATTTGTTGAGGTGGGTATTGTTGTGGATTATTATATTTATTCATATTAGTCATTGATCCATTTGATTTTAAAGGTGGAGGGAATTGATTTTGTGGTAATCCACCAGATGGTAATCCATGAGGTGGTTGTTGATCTGAATATGCATTATTTGGTGGTGGACCATATTGAGGTTGTTGATTAAAATACAGCCTTTGTTGTGGAGGTTGTTGAGGGTTATAAGGTTGTTGATTATAATTATATTGTTGTGGAGGTTGTTGCTGTGGAAATTGTTGAGGTTGGAAACCACCATTACTACTTCGTCTTTCTCTTGATCTTAATGCTTCTTCTCTTCTTCTTAATTCCATTTCCTTTTGCATTATATGAGGAGGTAAATCCCCACCATTTTGAGTATCAACAAATATTTCTGAATTATTATCACTTGTTGATTTGTTTGCTTGTGGTTGAACTGGTGGTTGTAATTGGTTTGGTGGTTGAGTAGTTTCTCCATTTAAAGTAGCTCCATATTGAACAATATGTTTCAAATCAGATAAACCATCTTGTGTCATTATTGAATCTCTATATCCATTATTTATATTTCTTGATTCTTCTTGAGGTGGTACTGGTGGTTGTATTGAATTATTAGGTGAATGATTATTACCACCACTTAATTTTTGTTTTTGAAAATTAATTTCTAAATCTTTTAATTTTTGATTATATTCTTCATTTAATTGTTTAAATTTAGTTTCATGTTCAAATTCTAAAGATTTTGATTTTTTTTCATATTCATAATTTATATTTGATAATTTTGATTCAACATCTATAATTTTTTGTTGTATTGATTTTAAATTAATTTCTTGAACTCTTATTTCATTATCTTGTTTGGTTTTTAATTTTTCATTATCTTGTATAATTGCATCAATTTGTAATTGTTTATCAATTTTAATTTTAATTTCTTCATCTAAATTAGATAATTGTATTAATTTATTTGGATCTTGTTCATTTGAATTTTTTCTTTTGAAAAAAATGGCAGAACCTTGATTAATATTATTATATTGACACATTACTGAATAAAGATTTTCTAAATATGGAGTTCTTATACCATTATCATCACCTAATAAAATTGGTTGTAATAATAATAAATCTAAATCAAGATTAAAAGAATGATAAAAATTATAAAATAATATTGGAGAATTTATAAAATTATCATTTGATTTAGTAATTGGATAAATATTACACCAACTTTTTAATAAATTTGATTCATTTTCAAATCCTTTAACTAATTTACAATCCATTTTTTTAATTAATTTAAATAATTCATTTATTAATCCAGTTACTAAAGGTTTTGATAATATTTGATTTTTTAATAATTCTGGGAACTCCAATTCAAATAATATCATTATTGGATTTAATACAATTCTTGGTAATGCTAATTTCCATTGATATGTCATAAATTCCTTAGGGTTACTACTTTTTAATAAAGTTATAGCATTATTACTTTTATCTTGAACATTTTGTAAAACTTTATAAAATTTTTGAAAATTAAAATTTGAATTTAATTTTCCTGTTGATGTAGTTGTACCAAAATAAATTCTTGTATCATTATTTCTAATTTGATGACGATATTTATTTATTGAAATTTTACGAACATCACTTTCATTCATTATTGACATTACACATATGGAAGAATTTTTTGATAAACTCATTGATATAAAAGGTTCTAAATTTATATAACCAGTTGATTCAACTATTATTATTGATTTATCATCTATTAAATTTGATAATTGAGAACATATTATTTGAAAATCTTGTAATGAATTACAACTTAATATAATTACATCAAATTTTTTATTTGTTGGTATATTTTGTATAGAGTTATAAAAATAATTTGGTTTTAATTGTGATGAACCTAACAGTGATGATTGAAATTGTATGGGGAAAGTTGAATCAATTTCTGGATCAACTATAGTTAATTCGGTAGAATCAAGTTGATTAATTCTCCATGAATAAAAAGCTAAATTTGGATTTGAACCAACTATTAAAGTTGTTGTTAGTATTATAAATTCAGATGAATAAGAGGATAGCATTTTTGAAAAGTAAGTGTCAGATTTGTTTGAAATCTTGAAATTCTCTAGATTCTTAGGTGATGATGATGAATATATTAGAAGATTGTGCTTTCAATGAGGTGTTCAAATTTCCTTCTTATTTAAAGTACAATGACTATAAATGTCTCAATTGGATCTAAATTTCTGGATTAGTGTTAAATCAAGAGTAATGTGGATAATTTAGGCTGATGCCAGTAGTAATTAAAACTTTTCACCGAATACTTTGTAGAATATCACACAGTGGTTGGTGGTTCTATTTCTTCTTCTTTGACTTAATAAATATTTTTTTTTCTTGTTCGTATTTCCCAATTTCTTTTAGTCTGTAATTAAATTATTATTTAGAATTGAAACACGATGTAAAAAGATAATTTAAATTTTTGATACACTAATTTATGAATTGAATTACCAAAGTGATTTGAATTATAAATGTTGATCCAATTGTTTAAAAATTTTATCTAGATGATGAAATCTCTTCTTTTTTTCTCCAAATGATGTTCATTTGATGTATATAAATGTATAAATCTGACACTTTTTAACTTTTTAAATTTAAAAAAATTTAAACATACTTGAAATTATTCTTTGTAGTTGTTGTGACATTTTTTCTTAGCAAAGTGAATGAGTAAGTTAGAATATATATTAGCGATTGGAATAACAACTACTTAAAGAAATAATGACTCTATTGGTATGAACGTTGAGGAAGTGGTTTGGTTGGTTGTAAGATAAAGATAAAAAGAAAAAGTGTTGTAAAAAAATTAATATTGTTAATGTGTTATTGTTAAAAGTGTAAAGTGTAAGTTTACTGAATAGAAGCAATTTAAATTTATCTCGAGGAATTTAAACACAAAAATACACTCAATAATATGTACACTATACCCGTATTAAATATAAAGTTACATACAGCTATAACAGTATTGGTTTAAATAGATAATTGTTCAGTCCTAGATCATTATATTCATACGAAGTTGGTACAACTGCCTTTCCTTCTTGGCTCAAGTATTAATAATTCGTGTTAAAGCTAATAAGAAAAAGTGTCAATTCTCTTAGGCCCAATTAATAAATTTTAAAAAGGGAAAAATTAAATAGAAGATTTCAACGTTACAAAAAGAAATTCAAGATTTCAAATCAGTGTCTCAGATCTGATATACCTGACACTGATTTGGGATTATTATAGTACTGAATTTAGATTATAACAGTGTACAATTAGCCTATACTGATATTCAATCATATCCCAGTATTGTCTTACCTTTACAATATACTCCTCAGGCTTATTCAAAAAGTTGTTCGTTCCTGATTAAAGTTCGTTTTTGAAAAAGAGGAAAATCTGAATCAAACAAAAAAATTCGATTTAATTTATCACCGTCTCATCCGTTTTAAAAAGAACTCTCTAAATATAGATTTTCTTCCATAAGAACAATATATACGGGTTTATAAATACTGCCGTATTTATCCTCATCATGTAAATCATAACAATTATTCAACAGGTGCTTCTCCATCACAATCACTTTTTAACCTGAATGAGTTATTCAAAACTCCTTGTTTATATATAGATTAATTATTTGAATAAATTACGAAATATTGAATTAATTATTAATACGAATAGAATTTTGAATTACGAACTCTTTATTGATCAGATTTAAACTATGCCAACCAAATCTGTTTCAAGTCCACAAAAGAATTGAAGCATTCACCATCATAGAAATGTGTATCAATTTAATTAATCTGTCAAAGCGAGTTTGAATTTACCAACCGAGCTTGAAATTGATCAAAAAGAGGCGATTGAGAATGTTAGGCAAAACTAGTAAATACTCAGCCCATTGAAAACAATAAGAAGGAAACGAAAGTAAAACAAATCTGCAATCTGTTTTAAAATTTCGAAATTAACGATAGTCTACTTACAAAATCTCGATCTAACTTGCTTCGATTCAGAATGTATTTTTGTGTCAGATTTGTACTAGATATCAAAATTTTTTTGACTAACTTACACTTCTTGTTCGAAAGGGTTAAGTAAGGTTTAAACTTTCCAATTCAATTAATTAACCAAACTAAGTAATAATTTATACGAATTAGGTTACATAAAGTAAGTACATAAGGTACTTTGAGACTCTCATGGTTTGATCAACTTTTAAATCATCAATGTCTCAAATCTAAAGATCTGATATCGGTTGAGATCTAAACACCGATTTGCTTGGCTCTGTTTTTTTTTTGTTCTATGCATTGAGGTTATTATTGTTTTCATTTTTACAATCTTATTCAATCTAGTCTATAAATTAATGGTCTTGTGACTTAAGATAAATTTTGGCTTCTTCCTCGCTTTAGCCTAACTTTTGGTTTGACAGTATTCACTCGATTTTTAGGTCGAAAGTACACGTCTTTGAATCGAAAAAACATTAACAAAGCGAAAAAAAATCATCTAACATTTCATTTCTCTTCTTTTGAATCAACCTAATCCATCTCAATGGCGTCGTTTTTCAATCTATTCTAATTTGATGAACTTGATAGCCGTTGACAAATTCTAACTTTTATCGTTGTTTCTTCTGAAACAGAAAGACATTGCGTTCTTTTAGATAATAAGTTCAAGATATGATGGTATTGGAGAACAAAAACAAAAAGGGTGTATCTCCGGTTGATGAGTTAAAACATTGATTCTCTCGGTCATAATCCCTTTTATATTTTTACTCGATTACTGAGGGTATCGATAGAATGAAAGCTAGTTTTGAACTTAAAAGCAAGTTTTGAACTAACAGCAAGTTTAGCTGGTCTGTTAAAACGAACTTTCGTTCTAGAAAAATATCTTTCTCTCTCTTCATCTTTATTAAGCGCGTTTTATCTTTATCAATTTTATATTACTCAAATATACTATTAGATCTACAACAAAAACTAGATCAAACAAACAAAACATAATATCAAAAATGCCTAGAGGTCAATTAATACTAATAGAAGGATTAGATAGAACAGGAAAATCAACTCAATGTTTAAATTTAATTAAAAAATTTTCAAAATCAAAATTAATAAAATTTCCAGAAAGATCAACTCAAATTGGAAAATTAATAAATGAATATTTAACAAACCCCAATTTTAAATTAAATGATCAATCTGCTCATTTATTATTTAGTGCTAATAGATGGGAATTAAATGATGAAATTGAAAAATTATTAAATGATGAATATTTTGTTATATTAGATAGATATATTTATTCTGGTTTAGCTTATACATTAGCAAAAAATAAAGTAGACACTACAAATGATACAAATAAAGATGATAAATCTAAAAATATAACAAATAGTGAAAATAAAATTAATTTATCTAATTTAGAATGGTTATTAACACCAGATAAAGGTTTACCTAAACCAGATTTAACATTATTTTTAACTTTAAAACCAGAAGAAATATCCAAAAGGAAAGGATTCGGACAAGAAAGATATGAACAAGAAACATTTCAAGAAAATGTAAGAGAACTGTTTTTAAAAATTCTTAATGATTTAATTTTAAAAGGAGATGATTCTATAAAAATTATTGATATAAATAATATGAATATTGATACTATAACTAATTTATTATGGGAAATGATTGAAGATGTTGGTGGAAATAAATTAACAAATAATCCAATAAAACGTATATAATTAGAATCTTATATAATGATCATAGATTTCATTAATCAATTGAATCTAACATCTCCAATCTCTGCAATATTTTCTGTTTTGAAATATCTTGAATTTCACCACCTAAATAAATTTCATCCATTATAAAATATAATTTATAAAAATTAAAAATTAAATCAATTTCACAAACATTTTTAAAATAAATATCTAAAATTTCAACAAAAAAGTGAAGACTTTCTAAATAAATTAATTCATTTTCTTTGGGATCTATTGATATTATAAAATATAATCCTGCATATCTTCTATAACATAATTTATAATTTTGTTGTTGACCCTTCGAAGAAACAGCGTGTTGGTGGCTAGATGGATTAAATTGTACAAAATTTGATTGATGTTTTGAATCTCTACTTGATATTAATCTATGAATATCTATTATATTTTGTTGTTTTTGTTGTAATGTTAATGAATTATTAAACCATTTAACTAATCGTGATTTTCCTTGTCTATTTAATACTAGTATGAATTGAATTGACATAACCTAGGATAGTTACATCTAATATATTAGTGAGTTTAATGATGGTGTTAGATGAATTGATTTATTGATTGTGAAAAACGCAAGGAACGGATATTTCATGATCTTTATTTTTACAACCACAAAATGAGAACTAACTTTAATACTCTTTCATTTATGATACACGTCTCATACAGCTAAGTCGATTTTCCTCAAGTGTGAATTTCCATCTCATTTCCTTTGGATACTTACAACCAAATACACATATTTGATTAAAGTTAAATTTACTATGAAGTCTACCATTTTAAGCCATATTTCATAAATTAATCGGTAAAATGTTGGAGTGATTATACTGGGTGAGTAGCTTGACATCTCAATCAACAACACTTGTAGAGGTCCATTAAAAATAGTTATTAAGTTTCCTAATAGTCAATTAGAATTTTATTTTATATTCTCACAACAAGCTAAACAATTTCATCAATACGGCAAGTTTTATGGACTTTTGATTGCTAATGGTATCGAATTAAAAGTTGAATGGTCTCATCAGTAGTGATAATGGGTGCATCAACCAAAAGGTGAACGAAGATATCGAAAATTGTTATGGAGTTGCATTTAGTGGAAATAGTAATAATACAAATGTAATGGTCCCCGGTATTACACAACCATTCTCGAATATCATACCACCACCAATGAATTATACTTTACACAAATTTTTATTTATTTAAATTATATCAAATGGTTTTATAAGTTCAATTATATAGAAAACAAATGTTGTATAAAAAGAGAAGACAAGTTGATAGGATGATATTATCCAGAATCTGAAATTTCAAAATTTGCAAATTCAAGATATAAAACAAGATTTCCAACCATTTGGAGAAATAATGGCTCAACTATTTCAAAAAAATTGAACTTTAATGTATTCTATCTTGATATCAGATCTGTTATTTTAGCCAAAACTGAATTTGAAAAAAAATGGAAATAATTGAGTGACTAGTACAGAGATTGTAGCATATGGGATGGAAAAGATTTCGCTGATGGTGCTTGTGCTTGTTTTCTTTCGTTAATACCTTTTGGTTCTCAATAATATTCGTTAAGATGAATAAATAAAGGATGATGAGATAAGGACCTCTAGATATAAGCATTATAAATTTTGAATAGATATAAGTTGGTTGCAAATTAATCTTTCGCTAGTGTTTCGAGACCCCTCTTAATGACTATATACAGTACTTGAGCGCCGTAACGCAATAATTAATAAAAACGGTAGTGTCGTTACCAAAGTAACTTGAGAAATCGAGTTGGTGTTTTTCAGTGAAATATTGATTAAAAACTCAATTATCACAAATAAGTTTATGTTGAATTTAAATTTTGATCACAGAGTTAGTGAATGATGTGGATTAAACTTTGAATTTTAATATAAATATCTTTTGGAAATCAACTGAGCAACATGAAAAGCTTAAATATAGAATTAATAAAAATTGTAATATTTCTGTAAATCCTTCAATATTCGATGAATTCAATTCTAAGTAGCTTTATAATTAACCAGGAGCTTTATACTATTATATCATAGTTATATAACTCATATCTTATGCTCTAAATAAAAAGTTGTATTGAAATGTTTGAATTTTAAATTTTTTTGCAGGTCCGAATCGTAAAAAAATGAAATTTTGGGCTATTTGGAAGGATTTTGGACCTTCAAAAAAGGCATCATACTTCAACATTTTGTTACATATCAAACTGGTTTTGGCCATTAGGGGGATATTAATTTCTTCTCTCTATCCAATGTGACCTGTTCTTTCAACAAAATGCCGGTTTTTAGTTATTAACTCCAGCTCTTCCGCGGGGCCAATTTTAAATGCTTTAGTCTGGATTGAAAAAGACCAAAAATTTTAAATCATTTACCTGCTTTTGTATAAATATTAAGAAGCGACATCATTTGATAATATATCAATTTCTCTAACTCCAATATTTTCATTTAAATTATTAATTTATTCTTGATCATTTTGATTTATTCTTAATTTTCCATTTCTGATGTCCAGATCTATATTTAAAGTTATTCTGCATTGTTAATTAAAAAAAGTACCTCTATATTCGTCGTTAACAATAATATTAACTCTCGAAGTTTCACGAATTAAATTTGGGTTGTGTATTTTGGATTTTCAAAATGTAAAAAAAAATGTAAAGTTTCACCTTGACTTTCTAGAACTCATTAACAGAGACAACATTAACCAAGAATTTTCCAATACAAATCGCAGTTAAAATCTTGAGTTAAATTCAAAGTTACAATTAAATTAGAGCTTTAAAGCTTGATAAAAATTTTTGAAATAAATGAATTGGGGATACGCTCCTCCCATCCCAATGCATAAAACTCCATAGAAGGGCAAAATTTTTAATTTTTTACTAAGGTTTAAGTCAAATAAATTAGTTGTTTTAGTTGAATAATTTTAAATGTACTTCGAGTTAGAGTTTTGTTTCGATTAACAATTTAGATTGGTATATTTTTAATAATTGTTCAAATATTTGTAAACTGATGGTATGGTGCCTACGATAGACAATAAATTTTCGGGTCAAATGAGATATGGCCCTTCGGATAATTGTGAAAAAACATGTTTGTAACTCACCCGTGCATTGAGTTATGTATTTAGCTTTATGTTAATTTCGATCGCAAACATTGGAAAATCAGTCTTTCTCGTCAACACGTATATACCATAAAATCTATTATTGGGTGCAAAAAAGATACTTTGAATTCTTGAGATATTATCTTCTATACGATTTTAAGGCACATGTGTTATTGTTAACTTCGCAGGTACAGAAAAAGCAAAATGTTAAAAAAGTATGATTGAAACACCTTCGATAGTACACTAATTCAATCAACTCTGAGTTGTCAACAGACATACTCATACTAACTACATTCACATTCAAAGATTGAAATATACAGTTTTAGACTTTTTCAGCTTTAAGGTGAACTCGAAATTTGAAAACTAATTTTTAGAAAAGGGCAAAGGGCACCGAACAGACTAACTAGATTAGCCAAATATGAATAAACTTCGATTCTTGTCGTAATCAAGTAGATATAGCACTCACCGCAAGCATTATGATGAGAAATCTGCAATCAAAGAGGACACGGCACTGACATCTAAATTCCATAATCTTACTCTAAAAAACATTAAAGAATGTTTGCAGATGATTTCAGTTTTCTTCTTACAATGTGGTTTCAATATTAATATAATTACACAAAAAAGGTTGTTTCAGCTGTATGGAATAGAGTAACTTCGATCTAAATGAATACTCCCTGATGGTATGAGCCCTCAAAACGCCATAATGATTAATCATGAATACATTCAAATAAAAAATACTTGCCACCTCTGCAATTTTAAAATTGAAAACAACTCGTTTTAAATTTTAATCTATCAAGTTTTGAATATATTTTGATAATTTTCATACTACATCAGTGAAAGAACAAAGCAATTTGACACATCAAATATCAATTAAATAAGACAACGGTACCCATACTTTATGTCTAAACTTATCAAATTATCAACAAGGTATAGTTAGAATTGGCTTTGAGATGAAATCAAAATATTTGAAATGAACTATTTTTTTCAAAAAGTCCACCTCCACAAAACATGATGTCCCCATCGCCCTTTATTTGAGAGCACAAAGAGTAGTTTATGGTGTCAAATCTCGAGTAAACACCCTTACAAAATGCATTTGAAAATGTCTTTACATCGACTTTATATAATCAAAAGCTCCCTTCACCAGGCTCAAATTTTTGAGCAATTAAATTGAACCCATTAGGGATCAAGGTTTGGGATATTTGGAATATGGGTTTTTGAATGTATGAATAATTTTAATGTCCCAATAGTCTTCCAAATCATTACTTCATTTCCCTTTGTTGAGGATTTTTGAATGTGATTTGTAAGAACTTCTATGCTGTGGTGGTAAAAGTTGTTGCAATATATGATGTTCTATGTTATCACACTATCATTAACGCAAGTAATTTTGTAGCCAAATAATTTTTGCTGTCAGCGATAGTAAAATGCTACTATACAAACTGAATGAACGACAACAGTCTTGACCTGATCAACAAGAATCTCTAGGAATTCTTCTCATATATTCATAATACAAAATTCTTTAAGTTATGTCTACATAATTATACTTAGGCTAACAAATTGAATTTGTTGACTGTCGTAAATCCTAAAACCCCGACAATTAGCTCAAGACAAAACTTCTATTTTTTTTAAAATTTACTTATCTATCTGACACGTCTAAATCAAACAAATGGAAACATCAATATGAGTTCAGGATACAATAATAATGAAGATGAATATGATCCAAATAATAAAGAACAATATCGACAAACAGAAGTAAGAGAAGCAATAACTTTTTTAATTGAAATAACACCAGAAATTTTAAAACCTTCAAATGATTTAAATCAAATATCACAATTAAAAGAAATATTAATAAGTATAAATGAATTAATGCAAGAATTAATTATAACTTCAAGAAATACTGGAATTGGAATATATTTTTATAATTGTGAAACTATACCACCATTAAAAAATTTATTAATTCCTACATTTAATTCATTATTTAAATTAAATGTTTTAAATTTATCAAATATGGTTAAATTAAATGATTTATTAACTAATCATGAAGATTTAACTAGTGTTTTTAAATATAAAAAAATGAAAGAAGAATCAGAATTAAATTCAATTTTAAGTAAAATGATAAATCAATTAATGGAAAAAAAAGAATTTAACAAGAGAAGAATGATTTGGATAACAAATAATGATCAACCTTTTCAAAAAGAACTGACTTTAGAAAATTTAAAAAGAACAGTTGATGATTTTGATGGATTTGGTTTTATTATTGATCCTATGTTTATTAGTTTTAATCATGAAAAACCATTTAAATTTGATAAATTTATTGATATATTTTCAAATACAAATTTTTTAAAAATTAATCAAGGTGATGATGATGAATTTGGAGGAAATAAGAGAATAAAATTAGAAGATCAAACTAGTCCCACACTCTTTGATAAATCAAAACAACAAATAAATTATCAACAACCTATATTAAGTAATCAAATTAAAAAAAAAATCTTGAGTATAAGAAATATAAATAGAGTTCAATTTTCATGTCCTTTAATATTAAGTGATAATGGAAGTGTTGGTGGAAGTTTAGGTTGTAATATAAAAGGTTATACATTATATAATCATGAAAAAATTAAAAAATCTGAAATTTCATTATATTTAAAAGAAGAAGATATAAAAAAAGTTTATATAAAATCAAATTTAATTAATGAAAAAACTCAAAATCCAATAAATTTAAAAGAAGATAGAAATTTATCAATTGTTGAAAAAAAAGAAGAAAGTGGGATTTTCAAGGGGTTTCCATTGGGTGGTGGAGATGATATATTATTATTAAATCGTGAACAAATTGAATTTTTAAGAAATTATACTTTTGATCATAGATTACAGGAAAAAAGTGAAACTAAAGATATAAAAAAAGAAGATTTAGACGAAGTGGAATTCCCAGATGATATAGAAGATCAAGATGATAATAATTATATTTTATCAATCTCATATTCAAAAGCTCCTTATTTAAAAATTATAGGATTTAGAGATTTAAATACTTTTAATCCTTCATATATTTGTTCAACTCCAATTTTCATAAGTGCTGATTTAAATAATGGAATTTCGGCAAATAATGCATCAAAACAATCTGGAGGTTTTACTAATTCATTAAAAACTTTTGCATCATTATATAGATCAACATTAAAATTACAAAAATATATTATTGTTATTGGATGTATTAGATCTAATTCAAAACCTCATTTATATGCAATGTATCCAACTCAAACAATTTGTTCATCAAAAAGTGACTTAAAAAATGAAAATAATACAGAAGATGTTGATGATGAATTACCTCAAGGATTTTTATTATGTAAATTACCATGGTTAGAAGATTTTAGAGCATTACCATCAAATTATATTCAATATATTGAAAAATCAACCACCGAAGAAGAATCAGAATCATCATTAATTGATAGACCACTAGTTAATGAATTTAAAAATTTATTTAAAAATTTTGAAATTAATAGTTATAAACCTCGAGATTATCCAAATCCTTCATTAAATTATTATTTTAATGTTATAAAACATGAATTATTACAATTACCATTTTTACCAACTGATAAATCATTACAAAAAAATGATATAACTTTTAGGAAATTAGTTGACTTAAAAAAGAATTTAACTGATGATGATAAGTCAACTATATCTAAAATTAAAGAAAGAATTGGAGAATTATCAACAAATTCAAAAAATTCAGAACCATTATCTACTACCACCTCCAAAATTAGTTCAACAAAAAATAATGAAATAACAACTGAAGAAATTTTAATAGCTTGGAAAAATAATAATTTAAATATTTTTAATATGAATCAATTAAAACAATTTAAAAAATTAAATCCTGATATTCAAACTGCTGTTAAAAAACAAGATATGATTAATAATATTTCTGATTATTTAGAAAAAAATATTAAAAAAATGAATTAAACAACTTTGAGAGTAGTGTTCTTTCGAGAGATTTGATGATTTAATGAGAAATATTAAGTAATGATTGTCGTTAAGTATGCTATGATTGGTTTAATTTAATAAATTAATGAAGTAATGACGGAAGAAAATTGAAAATACTACTAAGAGTTTTATGTATTAAGAAATTTATATAAATAATTGAATTGTATAGTATCTAGTGATTTAATGAAAAATGAAGTAATGAGTTAAATATTTAATTGTAGTATAAATCGTATTTTTGCATTTATTTATAAATTTTTAATGCCCTTATCAAGAGCATTTACAGATTTCAATCACACAACTTGGATAGATTTCTATTTTATTTATAGCCTAACCTGTCCAATTTGTTTGAATCGAAACCTGGGAAAGCCCTTAATAAGTTAAAATTAAGCATTAAAAATTCATAATTTAACTCCAACTAAATTCAACTTATTTCGCTATAAACTCAAGTTTAGTTTAGTTTAATTTGGGTTTCAATATTGAGTTTCCTCATTATGGACTTAACTTACCTATCTCATAATACAAAATTTCAATAAGTTTGAGTTAATCATCTATACTTTTTCAAATCATCGTGATCCATTATTGTATCCATAACATTTAAATAATCCTCACTATCACAATGTAATTATGACATTTAACTAATTATCAATTAATAAATCCATAATTGTTAGTTGAGAATATCAAAACATCATTGATTCAACAACGGATCTGGACGATTTTATAAAATAGATTGATGAAGAAAAGAAGAAGTGATTAATTGATTTAATTCTTTAAGTAGTCTAACAATAAATTTATATTTATTATAATTTCAAGGAGTGAGAATAAATAATTAAGTGCTACCAACCTGTATATAAGCTTGTAGGTTGTAAGGTACAACTTTAAACTTATATTGATTCTAGACCATAATTGATTAAATTTACGATTGGATGGTTTTATTTATTTATAAGTAAATGTTACTAAATATAACTCATCAATGAATCAGATTTAAACATATGATTCAATTCAGTCCTAAATCTAGCTGTGTCCAACTGTTGAACATCGTTGAAAGACTTTGACGGTCTAATATCGAATAGACGAGCATGATCAACGTATAAAATTCAAAGTTAAGTTAGACTAGTTGAACAAATTTGAGATTTTCATAATATGTAAGTCGTGGTAACTATCTTCTGTATTATTTAAAAAAAGATCGACATAGTTTGTAAGTACTAAAGAAAGTGGGATTAAGCGATTAAACATACAATAGACTTAAATCTTCCTTTTCACAGGTAAAAAATATTGTAGTTTCATGTTAGAATGTTAATGCTCTTGAAACGAATAAAACTTTACATTATTATTCACTTTTTATATTTAATTTAAGATTTTTTTACCGGGCAGGGGCTCTTTTGAAAGTCAAAGCAAAATGTATATCATTAGGGTATGTAAGAACTAATTCAAGAAAAAAAGAAATTAAAGTTTTGATTCAATGATGTCAAAATGAGCAGTATGTTAGTATGTTGTTGGTGTCACCATTTTTTCTGATATTTGTTTTGCCGCCTGATACTACGTTATTGGTCTTACCTTACTTAGCCATGGCAAAAAATTTGGCAATCCTTTTTTTTTTTTGGTCGATCCTAACAAAAAAGACGAAGCCAAAATTCTTTTTCATGTTTTATTTATGAATGAATGATTGAATTTCTAATATCATTTGAGGTTTAGCTTAATAAGCACTTATCCATAGATCTTGAATTGTAAGATTTGATTCAGTAGTTGTATGTAAAAAATTACTCGGATCTAAATCTTCACTTTATGCACCAAATTTTGTTTTGTACTATGAAATATTTATTTTTAAGGAACATTTTAAATTTTACCTGATTATTACTTTACAACTTGAAGATAGATGAATAAGAAGAACTTAAGTTTTAAATTTAGATTCTCAATTGTTGTTGATCTTATTATTAATACAATTTCATAATTATATTTCTATTTATAATTGATTATAAATTTTTATCCTTGCTTCAGCTGTTATATTAGCCCCAAGTTTTAAGCCCTTGGCTTTATTAGTTATGTTGTATTTGAGGATCATTAATTTTTACTGAGTATAGTTCAGCGTATACAGAGAATATAAGTGGCTGGAGTAACTCTTGTTTTGAATCTAATAATAGAAGTAACGATCTTTCTCTAATTAATTCCAATATTAATTTAAACATCTTCATTTGAAACACTCTTTAACTATTGTTTTATTAAACACGTTAAAAATTAAATTAAATTAAATTTTCTAATTTGTGTTCAAAAAAATTATATTTTTTAAACTTACAACCAAAATTTATTATCATCAACTTATTTGTTACAACCAACCAAACAGAGCAACAACCAAGTATATTTAAAAATAGAGTATTAGGTTAAAGTTGAAGTTCAAGAATCAAACAGATAGTTGTACCTAGTTTTTTGAAGTTATTTAAAACCTTATCATACATTTACATTCAGTTTTAAAACTTAATCACTAAATATTTAAATAATACTATCATATCAACAAAATATATATTATCCAGGACACTGACTCAATAAATACAGAATAGTTCCCTACTTTCAACCATTCTATACGTGTAACCTCAGTTAAAGAATTAAAAAACATCATCATTACCATTAGACTAGGACTACATGTCAAACACTTTATATTGTACTACTACAACAAATACAAGTAAAAATAATTCAAAAATAAATACTACTTCTCCTAATAATTATAAAATTCATAAAAGTAGAAAGATTCACTCACCAATTAAATCAAATAAATATGAAAATATGACTTCAAATTCTTTAAATACATCAGAAAAAGATGATATACTATATAATTCAAATAATCAATTACATTTAAATCATAAAAGACAATTTAGTTTTGAAAATTCATCAACAAATGAATCAAATTTAAGATCACCTTCAAATTCACCTTCGAGATTATTATTATATCAAAAAAGTAAAAATAATAATAAGCTAGTAACCCCAAAGACTAATCATAATTTATCTTTAAATGATGATCAGATTCATATTGACGAAGAAGAAGATGATGATAGTTCTAATATACCAAAATCAACACATGGAAATAGATTTGATGAAATTATGAATGATCAAATAAACTCATCAATAACACAACATCATGAAGATTCATTACTTTCAACTTCATCATATTCATTACAAAAACCACCAACTACTAATATGTTATCATCATCACATGGTTATCAATCTTCAATTTCATCAATATCATCAAATGGTTCAATTAACTCATCACCTGGTTTAATTAATTATTCACCAAAACATTCAAGAATAATAAATTCTTTAAATTCAAATAGAAATATGAAAAATTTATCTTTAAATTTAAATGATTCAAATGGTTCTTCTTCGTCTTCATCATCAAAGCATCAACAACAACCTCAACAACCGCAACAACTGTCTCATAAATCTAATCTAGCATCAAAGAGAAATAAATTATCAATGTCTTCTTCTCTAGATTCTCCAACTAGATCACAATCAATTAATTTTATACAACCACCACAACATTTAACATCAAATTCATTTTTCAATGATGAATCTTTAAATACACCATCAGTAACTCATACTCCTAATCAGCCTCCTACTTTAAATCAACAACAAACATTAAACTCACAAAATTCATCATTAAAACAGCCACAACAAACATCATCAAATACGAATTATAAATTCCCACCAATGAATCAGCGAAATCAAATCAACAATCAATCAGAATATGATTCAATTTCATCAATTAGTGATATAAAAGATATAGATAATAATGATACCAAGATACAACAAAATGAAAGAATAATACCACCAGCACCTCCACCATTTGCAATAACTTCAAAATTACTGCCTTTATCTACCCCACCAAGATTACAAAGTCCAATAATATCAAATCATCAAATATTATCTAATTCATCATCACCAACAACAAAATTACTGAGAAACATTAAAAAAATGTCAATTGAATCACCATTAGAAACAAGTTTTAATAAAGAAGAAATAAATAAAAGAAGAAATTCAAATAATGATACCCAAACTAATAACAATAATCATAATGAATCTAATTTATCACAAAATATTATATATCAATCAAATAAATTTAATAATAATATCCCAGAAGAATTACAAGAATCAACATTAATTAACGCTTACCCAAATGGTCCAAGAAATGTATTGAATAATTTAATTTTTTTATATTCTGATCCTAAAAATAAAATTGATATAAATGAATATAATTTAATTATAAATGTTGCAAAAGAATGTACAAATTTATCACACTTACTCAAGAATCAACAACCAAACAAGAAAGAATATATTCAATTAAATTGGTCACATAATTCTCCGATTTCAAAGGACTTGGATTTTTTAATTTCAAAAATTAGCCAGTTTTACAACCAAGGTTTAAAAATTTTAATTCATTGTCAATGTGGAGTTTCAAGATCTGCTTGTGTAATAGTTGCATTTTTTATGAAAAAATTTAAAATTGGAGTAAATGAAGCTTATGAAATGTTAAAAAATGGAACATCCACCACTGACGAAGTTCGTGGTGATAATAATAACAAAAAGAATAATAATAATAATAATGAAGATATGGTGGTGGTTGATAAATGTGATAGAATTTGTCCTAATATGTCACTTATTTTTGAATTAATGGAATTTGGTGATAAATTAAATAATAATTTTGAATTTACAACTAATCAAATTTTAAATAATTCTCCTCCTACTTCAATTGGAATTTAAAAAATATATAATAATGAGATAATACAACTTTAAGAATCGGGGGCTTTGAGGAAGATAGATACTACTTGGTGTAAAGGTAATTATAACTTTGGCTTTTTGGAAATAGTTATAGTAATATTTTAAATATAAGTAATTTTATGATATGACAAATATTTATGTATTGTCTTTGAGATTTGTAGTATTTGCAATAGAAATGGTCGACACCTCTGATCGAACTCTTTTCTTGTGCTTTACTACTTATAGGCAAGTAGAAACAATAATTATTGAAAAAAGACTTATATGCATTGGTTTTTACAGAGTATTTCGACTACAGCCCTTCTCGATTGCTTTGATATTAGTAATCGTTCGGAAAGTTTGGTTACTAACGAATGAAAAATGATAAAAAGGTGAAAGATAATATAATAATATAATGTGTCGAGCTATCAGGTTGTATATGAAATGCTATTCACTTACGTATAGATAAACTGTTTTGATTACATACATAACTTCTGGCTATGGGATCTTGAATATCGTGGATTCTAGTTATTGTTTATAGGCGCTAATTACGTTTGGATTAGATTTGAAAATAGGAATTGATTACTTTTCAATATAAGTCTATGCAATCATGATTCAATTAAGAATTATGAAGTAAATTGCCAAGTAGATAAAATCACTTGCACGATTAATTAGGAAAAATATCTTTGCTTATTTTTTCTTTTGCTTTTACATATTTTACCATAATATTTTGGTCAAATATGTAAAAGCAAAAGAAAATATGTAAAAGCTAAAGAAACAATGATCTAACATTTAATCACTGATAGTATCTTTTTGACAAGGACCCAATCACAAATTATCTTCATTGATCTTCTTAAACTACTTATCTTATGATTATATGTATTTTTGATAGCTAGTTTATTATCTTCAAATATTGTAACCTTGGTACTGGTGAAATCCAATGCTAGAATTGTATCTCTAAGTTTCATAGCTCTGTTTGTAGTTTCTACTAATGCAACTATTTTCAGCATTCATTGATGAATTTGTAAGGAACCTTTGCTTTTTAGTTCCCCAGGAGCATAGGCTTCTACCTACATGATATCATTAGTCATGTATTAAAATAACATATACCATCACAATACCCTCATAATAGTCAGTCAGGATGGTCCTGTTGAATTCCAGAACCACTAGATAATATTCAACAAGACCACTAGATAATCACTCTAATATGATTCGATTGTTGAGCATAAATTTCAAATTAAATGATATTGATATTGATCAACTTTTTAAAAAGATAAGCACTTGTTCCTGTATAAGCACTTGTTCCTGTATTTGAATTGTCATTTTTGCTCCTTGTCGTGGAGTCACCGCCTATCATTTCTGATAAGATTGTAATAATTGTTCTCCTTGTCGTGGAGTCACCGCCTATCATTTCTGATAAGATTGTAATAATTGTTCTCCTTGTCGTGGAGTCCCCGCCTATCATTTCTAATAAGATTGTGAGTATATTTCCTCCTTGTCGTGGAGTCACCGCCTATCATTTCTGATAAGATTGTGATATAATTTCCTCCTTGTCGTGGAGTCCCCGCCTATCATTGCTGATAAGATTGTAAAATATTTCCTCCTTGTCGTGAAGTCACCGCCTATCATTTCTGATAAGATTGTAATAGTTGTTCTCCTTGTCGTGGAGTCCCAGCTTATCATTTCTGATAAGATTGTTCCATTGTGACCTCCAAGTTGTGAATACCAGATCTTGTTTCAATTGTTGAATGTTGTCGTTTAAATCTTGTGTGTAGTGCAAGTTACAATGATTATGTCATTTGTCTTGTGCATTAAAGTATTGTTCGATAAGTTCAGGGTAGATTAGTAATTGTGTATGCAATTGTCCTCTCCCTCATCTACTTCAGTCCCATCTTGAAAAGTCTTGTAATTGTGAATATTGTCAATATCTTCAAGATAGGTTGAAATGTTGAAAATTTTGTTTATTTGATTCTATACTGCAGTAATTTAACAAATTTGCACTACCCCTTTTTGTATGACAAAGATGTTTCAAAAATACTTGTTTCAAAATTAGACTAATTTCAGTGAAATATTTAATAATTTGTAACATCAAAAAACATCATCAAGAGGCGTAATCATTTGAAAGCGTTTTACTTTGAATGATTTTATTAATCTCACAGATTGTCATATAGGACTCATATACTACATTTATCACAAGTCAATCTTTTATTATTCGCAATATTAAACCAGCCATATAGAACTCAAAGAACATACATCAATAGTAGTTCATACCAAAAACCAAAACATGTCTTATGATGGCAACAAAAGCCACTATACTCCACGATATAATTCTTCAAGCTCAAGAAAACTTCATGATCAACAATCCAAAACCGATAGTAGTAAACCATCATCATCATCTACATCATCATCTACACTAAATCAACCATCAAACTCATATCAATCAAGAACAGCATCTAATACCACGGGAGGAGGAAGTAGTGAAACTCGACGAGATTATTATATTGGATCAGGTTACAAATCTCGATATAATGATTCATATACTTCAAAATCTTCAAGTTCACATTATGGAAACAATACTACCACTAATGGAAGTAAAAATGATAGAGAAAATGGACATAGATCAAGCACTAGCTCATATTACACGTCTAACCTGTCATCAAATAACGTACCTGTTAGTGCAAGTAGTATAAGAAGAAAAAATGAATTTTCATCATCATCTTTATCGAGATACCCTACCGAATCAAGTAATAGTAATAAAACAGGAGGATCAGATAAATTTATAACTAGATCAGGTGCAAGTACATCATCTTATGGAAGTTATAGAAAAGATTTCAATTTTAAAAGACAAACAACGCCAGAAGCTTATATCAAAGAAAAATCACCTGTAACTGATCCTTTATCTTCATTTAAAGATGAAAGAAGAATATCAAATAATGCTGTTAAAGTACCTAATTCATCAACCTCAAAGTCAACGTCAAAATCAACATCGACATATATACCAACATCAAGAAAATCAAGTTGGGAAACAGGTCGTAAAAAAGAATTTACTTCATCGTTACCACCATCAAGAAAATCAAGTTTTAGTGAAAGACCAATTCGAGATAAAAATAGAGAAACTTTTCTCAAAGAGAAAGAAAAATACGATTTAAAAAGATCTTCTTTATCTTCTACTACCAACCCTTCACATTCAAAATTAAATGATTCAAGAAAGAGTTCAATTGATTCTATTGGTAGTGGTGGTGGTGATTCTTCTTCAAGATATGATTGGGATTCAAGAAAATCATCTTTGGCTGATAAAGTTATTAACAATAGTGGTTCAAGTAAGTATGGATGGGATTCTAGAAAGTCATCTACTGATGATAAATATATTAAAAAGGAAGATCATAAAGTTGAAACTAAGAGAATTGATCCAAAGTCGGAATCTAGAAAAAAAGAAGAAGTAGATTTAAGAAGAGAATCAAAATCTAATTCAAATGATGAGAGAATTTCAGATACTTTGAAATCTAAAATTGATCAGGATAATGGTTTCAAATTGAAAGATCCAGTTACAACATTAGATAAATCCAAATCACCCTTGTCAGACGAAAAAGCTAATGCAGTCAATGAAAAATCAAATAATTCTAATGGTTTCATTCTTGATAAAAAAGATGATACCAAAGCTTCACAAACCAACAAACCTAATGACAAGTATAAAACTGAAGAAACTCCCAAATTAAAACCTAATGATTCTTTAAATTCATCTCCGGTTCAACTTAATGCTTCATCAATAAAAAGAACTTCATTTAATGATTATTTAAAAAAATCCAAAGAGAAGAAAAAAGTTAATGAAGAAAATTCAATTACTTTACCTGAATTAAGAAACAACAAATCAACTCCAGAACAAGAACAAGCGGATGAAGATCGGGAAGAAAGAGACAAAGGTGATGAAAAAATCTCGAATGATAAAGATGAAAATAAATTAGAAGATGATTACCAAAAAAATCCAAGTTTTTCTGAAAAGCTCAAAGTTGGACCAAATCAAGATGAAGATGCAATGGAAATTGATGTAATTGAGAAACCAAATGATAAGGATTCTAATAAAATTGTTGATACTGATCATAAAGAAACATCTAATCCTTTTAATGAAACCAAGGATACTTTTAATATGTTAGATGATGATGGTGATACAGAAATGAAGGATAATGAAGAACAATTACCATCGGTTCTCGAAGCCAATATTGAAGAACAGAAACGTATAGATCCAGAAGAAGATACTAAAATTGAAGACGATCACAATGCCCAGAACAATAATGAAAAACTAGACTTAAACATGACAGCTCAAACTAACTTACAAAAAGATGACTACTTCACTGATAGTTCTATTTTATCACCAATACATGACTCTCAAGTAGACAAAGATTTTACAATGAGTGATTTAGGTCCAATATCTGAAAGTCAAACTAATGACGATAGAGAACATGATAAGGATTACGAAGACAAAAGCAACCTTTCTGAAACTGAAACTTTAATAGGTACACCACCAAGACTAAATCATGGTAGAAATTTGATCAAAAAAACTCCAATTGATAATGATCGTCATTTATTAAAACGTAAAAAGACTATTGTTGATTCATCTGATGAAGAAATTGATAATAAAGAAGACATAGAAGAAGATAATGAATTTTCAACAAACAAGAAGGAAACAAAATCTAAATCTGACAAAAAATTACTACCTGGAAAATCAATGAAGAAAACTCCTTATAAAATTAAACGTGATTCAAGTGGTAGATCCTTATTACAACGGGCTTGTAAAAAAGGGAGTCTTGAAGATGTTAAAGAATATATAAGTCGTGGTGCAAATGCTAATGAAAAAGATTTTTGTGGTTTTACTTGTTTACATGAAGCAGCTTTAGAAGGTCATTCTGAAATAGTACAATATTTAATTGATCATGGAGCTAATGTGAATGCAAAAGCTGATGAAGCTGGTGATTCAGAAACTCCATTAATTGATGCCGCTGAAAATAAACATCTTGAAACTGTAAAAATATTATTAAAAAATAATGCTGATCCTACAATTTTTAATATTGATGGTTTTACTGCTTTGACTAAAATTTATAATGAACATGCAGATGAAGAAGGTTATGATGAAATTATTCAAGCTTTAGAAGAAGCTAATAATAAAATTACTAATAGACAAATTTCTCATGGTCGTTCAAAAAGTGAATCTATTGAAAATGACTTTGTTGTAGTTGATGATCCAAATGAAAATTATTTTGCAGAATTAATTAAAAGAAAAGGAATTTTTAAATGGGCTGCTGAAAATCAAAAGGAATTAGTTGCAAACCATTTTGTTTCAGGTAATAGTTTAGAAGATAAACCAGATATATTAATAATAGCTGCAAGAAATGGACATTCTGAATTAATTGATATTGCATTAGGATTAAATCCAACTCAATATAATATTGATACTGAAAATTCATGTGGTGTTACTGCTTTATTAAGTTGTGTTGGTCGTGGGCAAATTGAAGTTGTTAAATCATTATTAACAATGGGTGCAGATCCTTTTAAAATTAGAAAAAAAGATGGTTTAAATGCTTTACAAATTGCTGAACATTCTTCAAAATTTAATTTAAAAGAAATTGAATTGATTAAACAATACATGGAAAAAAAAAGTGGTACAAAAATTATATCTACAGTATCATCAAGAGTTACTTCTAGAATTACTTCAAAACCTTCATCTAGAGCACCATCTGTTCCAGTTTCGGATGAATCTGAAGAAGAAGTTGAAAAGGAATTAAAGGAGAATGAAGATAAAATGGATATTGATCAAGAAAATCATAATTCGGAACCTGAAAATGAAAATGAAAAATATATGAACAACTTGGAAGTTAAAAAAATTAGAAGCAACCAAAGCAAAACTGATCTCAAGAAAAATAAAAGTACAGATGATATAAGAAAATTAAGTGATAGTAAATTGGAAATGAAAAAAGTTAAAAGCAATGAAGATGATAAGAAACGAAAACATATTGATTCCAATGATGATGACCAACATCCATTAAAGAAATCTAAGTCCACTTCAGTTATCTCAAATTTAAAACATAACGTATCATCTGGTAAAGACAAACTGAATACAGAAACACCAACTGTTCATAAAGAAAGATCAAATTCATTTTACAAACCCCCAGTTTCACAAGTAGAAAAATCATTATCACCTGCTTCAGTATCAACTACTGCCACAAAACCTGTTGAAAAGGCAAAATCTCCTCCACCATTAACTCCTGCTCAAGAAGAATTGAAACTTAAAAATGCAGAAGAAGCTAGAATATGGCAAGAAAAAGCAGAAGCTAAAAAGAAAGCTAGAAAAGAAATGTTTTTAAAAATAGAAAAAGAAAAAGAATTAAAGAAGAAAGAAGAAGAAGAGAAAAAAGCAGAGGAAATTAAAATTGAAGAAGAGAAGAAAGATTTAGAAAATAATGACAGGACCAAAACTGAAGATGCAATCGCGAAATCAGATGAAACGATTTCAGACGAATTGAAGGAAAATACATATGATAAATCATCAATACCTACCGAGAAACCATCTGAGTCTAAAGAAGTGATAGATGTGGTTCAAAATATTCCTAAAAAGATAGAATCAACCGATACACAACAAGCCAAAGAAAATAAAAACAGAGTATATCAATTTTACCCAACTGGTTTGCGTAAAATTAAATTCAATTCAAAACCTACTACTTCATCAATTTCAAAATATGCACCACTTTATATTTTTATAATTGATGATGAAAAATATGTTTTAGATTTACAATTATCATTAATTACTTTAACTCCAATTTCAAATTTAGAATTTCAAAATAATAATTTATCAAATTCAATAATCATTGAAAATGAACAAAAATCAAAATTATGGAAATTATTTAAAAATTTTATTGGAACTGAAAAAAATGATAAAAATCTTTTTTATAATCTTTCAATTAAATTTGTTAAATATGAAGATACAATTAAATTAATTGAAAATCAATTTCCATTTGTTTATGAAAATATTAAACAAAAGAATAAATCTGTTGAAGTTTTACTTGATGATTTAACTGGGTTTGATGATGATGTTAAGAAAAGTACAATTGATTTAGTTCATGCTTCAAATGTTGAAAATTTAGATAATATTGAAATTTTAAAATTTATTCCTCCTCATTTAAGTTATCGTAAAGATATTGTCAATACCATAAAAAGTACAAATAATCCTTTATGGTAATGGATGTATCAGTTTAAAAAAAAGAAAAGAATAATGACAAATAATGCTGTATAATTTAATGAATATATTTATTGAATTTATTTATCCGTATGAATCGAACTCTTTTTCAATTACATCGAGTGATAAAGGTTGCAAAATCAATTTTTTGGTAGCAAAATTTATGGCATCGAAATACATTATTTATAAGCTGTAAAACAATATTCAAGGCTGAAAAGTTCACATTAATCACCAATGGGAGAGAAAATGTATGTTTGACATTGATTTACTGGGAGATAAATGAATTACTAACATTTTACAAGAACGAGTCGACTGAATTTATACAATAGTGAGTCTGAAGAAGAAAATGATGACAATGATCAATATATTGCACCATCATTAGATTTTGAGTTTGTGGAAGTTGATAAAGAAGATGAACATAATAAAAATGAAAAGGCTGAAGAAAAGGAACCAGAAGATGAATTTGCTTTTCCATTATTTGCATCATCAGTGTCTATTACAACAAAACCGAACACTCAAGAAACTGAGGAAAGAGGAAGATCTAAAACACAACAACATCAATCAGTACAAAAAATATCACTACGTGAACACTCTGAAGAAAGAATCAATAACGAGAGACCGGATTCGTATTATTTTGCATCATATACATCAGATCAAAAATTTCAATTTGAACAAGTAGCAGTATCATATAATGACATATATTCACAAATCACCTTAAAATTATCATCACCATCACAATCACCTGGAAAAGTAATAAACTTGAATCAACATAATCAAAAAATAGAAGAGATACTAGCGAAGGAAAAGCTAAAAAAATCGAAAAGACCTGGGAAGAAGAAAAGAGAAAGTAAAATATATTGTAAACAACGAAGATTGGAAAGAATAAAAATTGCAAAACAAGAAGAGAAAAATAGAAAAGCAAAAGCTAAACAAGAAAAATATGGTAAATTTAATAAATTCAAGACAACTGGTGGTGGTGCTTCTGATAAGAAATTCGGAAGAGTTAATAAGAAGTCTTTTAAAAACGATAAACCAAATGGTAAATTTGCTAAAAACAAGAATCAAGTACAACAAAAGCCAAAGTATAGGACTGAGTAAGTATGACTGTAATAAATCTCGGCCAGCATAGCCAACTTTGTATTATTCCTTTTTAAATTTGTACTTTTATTCTGACAAGGTCAAAGATGTTTTGTGTGATTCGTAAAAATAGATCGCGATTTGCAACATCAAACTCAAACAAATCGACCGAATTGTTCCTCATTAAAAATCTAGAAAATTTAGTCATTTTTCATCAATGGTCGTCCCTACTGCCAATTTAAGTAATGAGTTAGAAGATTTTGAAGCATATTTGGAGCCGGATTTCAATTCAACAAGTTTTGCAAACTCCCTATTAATAGCATCCAATGGTAATGAAAATCAAGAAATAGATTTCCAAACTCCAATTAAGAAACTAAAATATGATTTGATCGAGTTAGATAAAAGGATAAAAAATATATCATCAAATAATTATGAGGCATTGATTAATAATTTTGTACAGATCAATCAATATCAACAAATCCAAGAACAACAAATCAACCCTAATTTGGATACCATTAACAAACAATTTGACAAGATCAAGAAAGAGTATATCGAACCATATGATGAAGCTCAAAGATTGACTAATGCATTGAAAAATCTACTTCATACTTTAGAATTATTGAGAAGTGCTTCTTTTTTCATTTTTATAATTCAACAATTGGAAGATTTATCAACTACAAGCAATGATAGTAACGACAAAGATTTAGTAAAAATTAGTAAATTATACATTCAGCTATCTAAATTGTATGAGAGTCTGAAGAAAGATATAAAAGAGAAGAACAACATAATGTCCATCAAGCTAATAAGAGACTATGAACAAATTGCTTATACAAGAAAACAAAACTTAATTCAAAATTGTAGTTCAACAATAATTAATGAATTCAATAGAGTTGTATCCATAAATCATAAAAATTTGAAACTATACAATAATCTACGAGCATTATATATTTTAGATACCAATGAGTTTTTCACAATTTTCGATAAATCAACTATACAAAAAGAATTGAACATCAGTAATAATCAAATGACTAAGGCATTGCAAAGTCCGAGAAATTTTACATCCATAATCACTGAAATTAAACAAAATAATGATCTATACTTCGCGAGTCTAAATGAATTATTACAAAAGTGGCAGTTCAATAACGATACCGATATAAACGAAAAGCTAGGAACTATAATACTAAATCATTACAACTGCAAATCATTAGATCTTTTGTTTTGGCAAAAATTATCTCAATCTTTTAAAAGAAATATTGTTGCAACAATGGCAAGAGGTGGACCCATTGCAAAAAATCTAAGAGTTTATAGTCAAGGTTTGAAAAAATCAATTGAAGATACATTTGGAGGAGAAGAAGAAGTTAAAAATTACTTACTCGAAGCATTATCCATGATAGATTATAAATAATACATGATTCTTTCTTTGCTTTCTATTTCTTATCATTAAAGTTACTTAGTACTTATCTTATAATAGTCTTGATGTTTTAAAAATTAAACTCATCATTTTCCTCTTCTTCATTACTAAAGAACCAAATGAATATAATGATGGCCCCGTATACAATTAAACCTCCCAGTACACTCATTATTAACGACCCCATTTCAATTAATCCACAATGGTAAAAACTTAAAGGTAAAGCAATCCCACTTATAATCAATAATCCCGTTATAAACTTTGAAAATTCTTGTAATGGACTCAGATTACCTTCATTTGAATTCCCATAATCATTAAAAGTTAAAAAATTATAATCTCTTGAATTTTCTATTGAATTTGCTATTATATTTGGTAATGGAGCTATTAAAAATATAAGAATCACCCACATTGGTCTATAATTGTTAAATAGGGCGCATGATAGCAATATTAATAGAAAACCTGTGGCTAGAAATGCTGATAAGAATATTATTTTATTTAATGGATTCATGATTTTGTATGCATATGAAGTTGATGGATCGGTTCACTATCTTTGACTTGAAGTTTGCTGTAACGTGACAAAAAGTTGCAAAGTACTCGATATGGTTTCTCCAAAATCTAGTTGTTAGTTGCAATTGAAATTCTTAATCTATTTGGTATATCAATTATTTTGGTCTTAATTTTAGTTAAAGTTCGAGAGTGAGAATCAAAGAAAAAACGTTTTGGTGATAATCTTAAACATTCATAAAGTAAAGTTTGAGAGTAGATTACAAGACAAAACGTAAATAGTAAAATTAATCGTTATTCAAAATAAGCTATATACATGTATATGTTGAGTAATAGAATACTCCAGAAATAAAACCAGACCTACATCTCCAAACCAAACTTGTAGAAATAAAAAAACCTTGGAGCATAAATCAATTATTTCCAAAACCAACCTTTATTGTCAGTGGCATTACTCGAAGTATTCTCATTGTTGGTGAGTAAATTAGTGGAATTCGAGTTTTCAACACGTTCTTCAACATTCACCCAATCCCTAGCTCCAATTGGTTTTGATCTGGTGATTTTAGTAAAGATGCAATCACCATCATTATAACATTCTTTTTTGTCCTCAACCAATTTAATTTCATTAGTTTCTGAATCAGTAAACATATTTGACTTTATTGAGGAGGAGGTTATAAATTTTGATACTATTGAATCATGTTTTTCACCTCCAGATTTTGCTTGTGTATTTTGTTTTTCTTTCAAATCTTGTAAATATTTGGCTCTTGCTTCAGCTCTTGTCTTAGCTTCTTCTTCTTTCTTTTTCTTATATTCAGAATATTGATCCTTTTTCCAACTTAAATAATCTTCATACTTATTGAAAAATTTCCCATTCTTTTGTAAGTCGACAATTGGATTCTTTTCACTTTCACCTAATTGATGCATTTGATTCATGAAATCTTCTTTAGTGATAATCTGATCTTTAAAATACTCATTTTTGAATTTCAACAAATCAATTGGGATTGTAGACTCTGGAAAAAGACATCTCCAATATCCTTGGTCATCCCAAATGGATTTTCCATGTTTATCTAAACAATCATGATACTGACGAATTGATGGTCCTTTGTAGGATCTATAACCAAAAGGAGTAGCACCAAACTTCAAATGAGCATTTTGAAAGAAAGGAGAATTTTTGAAAAATTCTTTAAATGGGGAACCCGATTCCCAGTCTCCATTAAAAGCAGAATCCCTTGTTTGATAAAATGAAGGAAATTCATAAGTTTTGGAATCGTTACTCTTTTCATTAACGAAATTCTCAAAATCATCATCTTTTGAATGATTGTTGAACAACCAATTACTTGACCATTGCTTTGCCTTATCATTTAACTCCCTACCTGCGTCCATTGATACATCAACAATAGCATTTGTAATTGACCCAATGTTGGATAATACTTTATCAAAACTCTCAACATACTTATCTATTTCATCATTTGGAAATGGGAAGTTGTTTTTTTGCAGATCTGAGTGTGATTGTGATTCTGAGGCACAACAGTTATCTTTTTTGCCACACATATTGGATATAAATATTTGTTTATACTTATTTAAATGTTACAATTGTAATTGATTATCACCTAACATCAAATAATTATAATGGCAATAAATTTTGGTTATCTAGAAAAATCCCGTTTTTTATAAAAAATATTTTAGGGGGTTATAAGATAAACTTAAAATGTCACTATGCGACATTAATTAGCTCATAATGAAGTCATTTTGAATTTAAAAGGACTATCATGCCATGTAACATATTTAGCCTAATAAGACAAATGCTTTCAGTGCATATGTGGATCAATCAACTCAATCCTTTCAGTTACTAGTACGGTATAAGTTTGAGTATCGATGAGGTTCTATTGAGTATGTTTAGGGATCCTATGACGACTTTTGGTTCTAGTGAAAGCACTTGCACTAGTGAAAGCACTATAGAAGTCATATAGTAATGTACCGGATAGTATGAGGGCTCTCTAATCGAACTCAAAAATATCTGTTCATACTGCCAGCATCAAAACCAAGCTTTAATGTACCTCAGTTTAGAAGTGTGGTTCCCATTCAAGGAATCTGAAGATATCTCAGTTTGTATTTGTTTCAAGAAGAAAAGAACTTTATTACGCTCATAGTGGGCCATAAGGAGGCCCGAAAAAGTAGCCAGTGAGTAAAAGAGACAACTTTTGTTAGCTTGTTACCTCAAAGATGGTAATATGTCTGGACCATATTCATTGCCTCTTAAGGTTTCAGATGATTCTTTTATACAGGATTTATGAAAGCTATTTTAATTTTAAAACTGGCCCTGAAACATTTTGGTATTTACCATATATGGTCAATTTAATATCTACTATCACACGGCTTAGATGTCGACTACCTACTCGTACATCTTTCCCTATCAGGCTCAATTCCACTTCAACATCGACAAATCTCAATGATGACATATACCAAATAAAAACAAAGACAAAGCATTCTATTCATCCAACTGCTCCCGCTAGAACAAGATTTGCACCTTCCCCCACTGGCTATTTACATTTAGGTTCTTTACGAACAGCATTATACAACTACTTACTAGCAAAGAATACTGGTGGATCGTTCATACTACGAATTGAAGATACTGATCGATCTCGATTAAATAGTGATGCAGAGAAGAATATATTTGATACATTAAAATGGTGTAACTTGTCAATTGATGAGTCTTCAAATGATGGAGGTAAATATGGACCTTATAGACAATCTGAAAGGAAAGAGATTTATGCGGAATATGCTGACATTTTGTTGAAGAAAGGTTTAGCTTATAAATGTTTCTGTTCAAAAGAAAGATTGATTGAATTGAGAGAGTCCGCCAGATTATTGAAACCTCCAACGAATGTCACTTACGATAGAAAATGTTTGAGTACAAATGAGTCAACCGAGGATAGACCATACGTCATAAGATTCAAGTCACCACACCATTATCCCAAATTCAATGATTTATTGCATGGAGAATTAAACCTACAACCTCAATACAATTCAAAAGATCAAAGATTCGATGATTTCATTATTATCAAGAATGATGGAATGCCCACATATCATTTTGCAAATATTATTGATGATCATTTAATGAAAATCACACATGTTATAAGAGGTGAGGAGTGGTTACCTTCAACTCCAAAACACATAGCTTTGTACAAAGCTTTCGATTGGGAACCTCCTCAATATATTCATATACCATTGTTAACTTCATTAGAAGATAAGAAACTATCGAAAAGGAAAGGAGATTTCAATATTTTGGAATTACAAAAACAGGAAATTTTACCACAAGCTTTAATCAATTTTGTTGCCTTATTTGGTTGGGCACCTTCCCGAGAATTAAATGAAAAATTTAGTGAAGTTATGACGCTCGAATCGCTTGTGCAAAATTTTTCATTAAATCATTTAACTAAAGGTAATGTGAAAGTTAATCAACTGAAATTACATTTTTTTCAAAAGGAACATTTTCTGAAAATTGTGCAAACTGGTGGAGAAGAGTTTGATAAATTAATAGATGATTACTTGCCTGGATTTTTGAAATATAGCAATGGGAAAGACAAATCATATCTAATCAAAATTACAAAATTATTGGCCCCAAATATTTCGAAAATATCAGACATCAAGCAACATGAGTATTTGTTCAAAGACGTTAAGAATACTATCTTGAAACCACCAAGAGATGTCGTACTTAGCAAAAAAATCATTGATCAGGTACTTGAAAGCGCAAAACTTGCACCATTGAATCAAGTCATTGAGGAAGAATTAGGTCTGGGAATTTTCAAAAAGAAGGACATTTTCATGACATTACGAGCCAGTTTAAGTAATGGTCAAAGTGGGTTACCAATTCCGAGTATAATTGAACTACTAGGAGATGAAGAGTGTATAAATAGACTACAAAGTTATCGAGATAATATTTTAAAATAGAAATTAACACATGTATATAGAAAACTAAAACTTGTACAATTAAACTGAAACTAATTTTTGAACAAAATCCAAAAATCCTTCTTTTTTCTTATCATCATTTTCTTCAATTAAAGGACCCGTAAAAATACAATGAACAACCATATCAGGATGATAATATAATCCTGTTAATAATTTTGGAGTAACTAAGAAATATTGTGATTTATTATTTTCACAAGCAGTATGAACCAAATACCTATGAGCCATTTGTTCATTTTTAGGATCCATACCTTGATTTATTTCATCAACTATTCTAAAGGGGGCATCAGTTAATCCTTGTAATGACATTATGAAAAAAATTGTAGAAACAGCTCTTTCACCACCAGATTGTGATTGATTATCTAAAACTTTTAATTCCGATTCTTGTCTAAATTTAACTAAAATTTGTAATTTCCAATCTTTGAATCTATCACTCTTGTATAATTCAACTCTACCTTCACTTGCAACTTTTGAAAATCTTTTACTAAAAGACAATGAAATTTGACGAACTGATTCAGATAATTCACTTTCCCATGTTGTCAACAATCCTGCGATGCGAGTGTCAAGATTTGCTTTTTGTTGTTCAAATATAGGCAAGTCAGTTTCAACTATTTTTATATCTTCCAATTTCTTTTTCAATGCATCTATTGAATTTTTATCAGCAGTAGATAATAATGATAATTCATCTTCTAAATGAGATATTTTGGTTCTTATTGTTTTTTCTGTAAAAGTTCCAGTTTCAGTAAATGGTGTAGCTAATTCTCTTAATGTTTCTTTTTCCTCGAGTGATAATGCATCATTTCGTTCTTTATACTCTCTATATTCCGCTGAATCTTTGATTTTATCATACTGGTCTTTATATCTTTGGAAATCCTCCCTCAATTCATTTTCCATTGACTGCAATTCAAGAATCAAATCTTCAGCAGATTTTTTTCTATTCTCCAACATCATAATTTTAAGATCAATAAAATTACCTTTAATTTGACAATTTGAGTATTGTTCAAATAGTTCACCCATCTCAGTTGACAATTCAGATGAATTATTGTATTCCTCAAGAACCTTTTGTTCATATTGTTTAATCCTTTGACTATAATCCTTACTAGATTCCCTTTCTAGTCTTTCTATTTTTTCTGTTCTTGAAGTTATCCTAGTTTCTAAAGCAGCTATTGCCTTGATGCTTTCATGTAATTGACGTTGTTGATCCTTAAAATCGTTCATTTCACTTTTGAGATTTTGAATTGAATTGTGTAAATTAGAAGCTTCTGTCTTGTGACTTTGGTATTCTTCTCTTTTTTCTTCCATGTCCGCTTTAAGCTTTTTAATTTGATTTGTATAGTTAGCTTTATCATCTTCTGAAATACCAGATATGTTGAAAAAACTGGCTCTTCCAATATCTTCCGCGACATAAAAAATTTGCTTTGAACCATACGATGATTGCTTGACATTAAACAAGGTATCTCCTGCAATGAACTTTTTGAAACGAATACCTCCATTTCTTGGGGATCTCAACCTATCCAATTGGTCTGAAGTTAAAGCAGATCTACTATACGGTATTGCATGAAGTTTAGAAATTCCACAAAGCATACTCAAAACTTCGGCTGGTCCTTTTATCTGATCTATCACGTAACCTTCAAATCCAAAAGACTTTAATTGTTCATTTGAATATTCTGATCTTGGAATATTTGAGCTCAGAAATTGTCTAATTGGCATATTAGTTTGTGTTTTCTTAAGAAAATCATTCATCATTCTTAAACTCCTATCATTTGTTACTGTTACAGCAAAAAGTGAGTTGTTATCAATGACTTTCTCTACCACAGCGGCTATGCTCCGGTCTTTCACGTTACATGATATGACTGGTGCTTCGAAATATTGACCATGAAATTGCTCAATGGTCCTTAATTTTGAGTGATTTTTATATGAGTCATCACGAAGTTTGTATCGATTTCCTCTTTGTGCTTCCGATATCAATAATTCTAATTTATCAGTTCCCTGTAGTTTTCTTTCGAGATTCCTAACTTTATGATCCAGTTCACCAATATCACTTTTTAATTCGGTCATTTTTTGTTGACGATCCAGTAAAGATTCTTCCAATTGTCTTGATTCTCCTCTTTTTTCCTTGTATTTATCATTCAACACGTCAAGTTGAGATTGGTCACATTCATTCATACCTTCCCTTTGTGATTTCAATTTTGTTAATTCTTCTTTAACTAATTCCAACTCTTTCTTTTTCTGCTCGGCCCTGGTTCGATAAGATTTGACTGATTCCAAAAGTTTAATAATTTCATCCTGTTTATTAATTATCTTGTTTCTTAATTCCTCGATCTTTGATTGTATAGCATCACGATCTTGTCTTATTGTGAGTTTAATTCCTTTTTGTTCCTTTATTGCTTCTTCCACATTCTTTAAATCATGCCTTAAAGGATCAAAATTTTTATCAAAGGATCGTAACCTTAATTTCGCTTGATCTCTTTGTTCTTTCAAATTAGCTCTTTGATTTTTTATATCATTAAATATAGCAAATGGTATTAATGAACGATGCTTTTCTATTTCGTCTGCTTTTTTTTCATATGCTTCAAATTTCCTAGCTTCTTCTTCTAATTTTCCCTTATCTCCCTGTAATTGTTCCAATTTTTGTTTTAATTCAGAAATTTTTCTTGTTAATTCTTGAGAGTTTTTATCTTCAAGAATTAGATCTTCGTGTAATGCCAATAAGTGACCATCTCCCAAAGTACGTTCGGTTTCTATCAATAATTTTTCTGGTGATAAACCTGCAAATTCAGCAACTCTTTCTTGTGGTAGAAAATGACAAAGATTATCTAATTGAATATTGAATTTAAGTCTTAAATTTTTAACAGCAGTCTCAGTACATTCCCTTCCATTCATTGACCAAGTTGAATTTTTAGCAGTAAATTCCCTTTTTATTGTTACAGGAGGTTCACCTTCAATATTTTCAATTGTTATTTCAATTACTGCTCTTTCATGACCAGTTTTGATCATTGACTTTAAATTGTTACGCTTAATCAATTTGATATTACCAGCTAATCCAAGACATATCGCTGCAACTAATGTAGATTTACCACTACCATTTGGACCAATAATCATATTAAGTGTTGGAGATAAAACGAATTCTGTATATGAATAAGTAGTGAAATTCCATACTCTAATCTTTCTTAAAAACCCTGGTTGGAATGGAACAGGTTCTCTTACTCGTCTTCGCTTCAGTATTTGTTGTGTCAGATCCCCGTTCATTGCATATTATTTTATATTTGATTGTGTCGTTCGTTGAAACTTATTGAAATGATAAATTAAATTTGATTGATAAATTAAGTTCATTATTAAATTCAAATATTAAAAAAAAAAAAAAATAGAACGCGTATTGATTTAATCAGAGAAAATTGGTCATGACGTGTAAACTAGTTTTAAGACATTAATTGTATATACAGAATAAACTGTAGTTGATATTTGCAACATCCAAAACTATGCACCAGTTTTATGCTAAGTTCCGTTGAAATTGATTGGTATATGTAATTCAAGAATTAAATTAACCAAATATATTGCTCGACTGCATTCATTTAGAGAATAGTGTTTTAATTCAACTATTCTAAATTTTCCATGCTATCAATGATCATTTGACTCATGTTTTGATATTAAATTGTTCCTAAACTAGTTTCGAATGACATTTGGTCCAATGCTATCTTAGCTCTGGTTTTGACGTTGAATTACGATCTCACGTAGACCGATCTTCAAGAATGCAAATCTTAAATCAATAATATGAAACACTGTATAAAGTCGGTAAATGAGAATGATCCTTTTGCCATTCGGTTATTATATTCATCATTTGATCTTCCAATATAATATCACTTTCATCTTCAATATCAGGATTTTGTTCTAATTTTTTCCTTTTGAAATCATGAATCATATTAACTAATTTTAATATTCCTTTACCACCAATTATTGCATTTTCATTATCATCTTTAATTTCAATATTTATAACATGAACAACTTGTTTTAAATCTGTAGGTTGATTTTTATTATACATTCTAAACATTAAATCTTCAATAACACTATCAAAACATCTTTCTTCACATGTTATAACTAAATCAAATTTTCCTGATTTTTCATTTTGATGCCATTTTTCTGGTGCAATTTTTACTTGTTTATTTCTTTCTAACATATGCATTACTCCATTTTGTTCATATAATTTACCTTGATTTTGACTTATTAAATCTTTATACATTTGAGCATATGGTGTTCCAAATGCATAAACATTTGGTTTATCTATAGATGGTCCAGGTAATCTAACAGCAGAACCTGTACCAAATGAATGAACGTTATAACCTGCGTCTAGTAATTGTTTATGTGATTCCATTGATCTATTGTTATTTGATGCACACACAGTACATATTTTTAGACTATCTTCTATCATTAAGTTAATTGTGTAGATTGATTTGAGACAAAGAAATTTATAATGTTGGTAGTACGAAAGATTGGGATGTGTTAATATGCGAAATGTCAGGGAAGTTTGATGGAAGTAAATTGAGAATGTGATGATCTAGATGATGGTAAAGCGGACATTCAAATAATATTATTATGATAAAATTATTGAAAATAGTTAATGAGACGCGCAAAACTTTCTGCGTGCGATTTTCATTTACCTTGGCATCAAACTATAGACATTCCAAAGACTCTTTCCATTCAACAAGTTGATTCATCAAGAATTGTTCCCAGTCGTATAATAATACCATTTTTAGATTGATTCAAGAAGAAACCATGACTAGAGATTGTTATCTTCCGAAGTAAATTCCGCGTTGAATTGCACGGCTCAAAAAATTTAATCAATACCCGGACCGAAATCTAGAATTAGAAATGTTCAAAGTTTATACTTACATGATAAGGTAATGAACAATTCCTTCTTCCACTTCTCAAGAGAAAAGCAGTGAACAAGTATTGTGACTAACGAGCTTGAAACTTTTCAATTCCAAATCAAAATTTACAACCCACGCTTTCATTGACTACTATATATTAAAGTTTTAAAATTGAGATCGAGAAATTAGAATTCACATACTGATGAATTTATTGCATATTCATTTCCATTTACCTTTCAATTGGCTACCTCATTTTGAACTCAATGGATTTGAAAACATGGAAGATGATTTAAAGAATGGTTTAATTACTAGACATACTAGACGAAAATCAGGTACTGAATATTTAAAATTTAAGGATTGTCCTGTTTGTCATGGTAATACAAAGTGGTTTAAAATTATTAAGAATTGATAAATTGATCCAAACTCAGCTCAAACTTCATAATGTTAATAGAGTGAACTTATAAATAACAATCTATTTCGTCAAATTTGTTAATAAGATTGGTTATTGAATAACAGTCATATTTTAGTTAAGCTCAAGCTTTACTTATACTATATACAACTATTAAAGTTTTGTCTTAAACTTTAGATGTCGAGAAATTCGATTAATTGAAACATTACTCTAAAATTACGTAACCTCATATGAAATAATTATGTAATAGAATAAAATTTAAGGTTCTAAAAGTTTAAAGTTTTCTATTAAATTTCGATTGCTGCAAAATCCATATTTACTCCACAAAAATAAAATTTATAATTAAGTATATCATTCTTAAAGCAATATTGAAACATAAAAAATGAAAAATGAATAAATAGTTTAATCAATAAATATAAATAACTAATTATATACTCATTCTTCTTAATTCAATCATCTCAATTTCCAAGAATCTCACAATGTTGACCACATTCAATTCATTAATTTGCATAATAGCTGCAATTCAAATATTCTTATTTGCTCAAACGATTCAAGCAGATGAAATAAAACATAATGTATTATTTACTCATTCTGGAAAAAAATCACAAGTGGTATTAAGAGAAATTCATGATAATTATTGTCCATATGAAATAACATCAAAAGATAAACGTAAAGGAGATGAATATAATTTAATCATTAATTTAGATGCTATTAATCATATACAAAATATTCATGATAATACAAAGGATCATGGTAAGAAAGTTGATGATTCTGAATTAATTAATTTAGCTCAAACTTATTATTTACCAACTTCAAAATTAATTACAAAATCAGTTTTTCATAATATTTTTGCTTCAATTGGTAATAAAATTGTATCTATATTTGGTGGAAGTATTAAATATATTTATAATAATTTTATTTTTAAAATTTTAAAATATTCTTATTATTGGGCTTATAGTTTTACTAAATATACTGTTAAATTAACTGGATGGTATTATGGTACATCAACATTACCAATTCAATGTTTCTTGGGTATAGATTATATTACAACATTAAAACATGGTGAATTTTTAGTTGCTTGGGAAACTTATACTTTAAATGATAATTGTCCAGAAACTGTTTCATTAGAAAGTATTGAAAAAATTTTAGCTCATTCTAAAATTGTTGCAACTGAACTAAAAGATCAAGATATTGGATATAGTTGTAAATTTTATAAAAATGAAAATACTGTAACTTCTGGTGATTGGTTTGCAAAAATTAGAATATTTGAATTAAATCAAGAAAATTTAAATATTAATGAAAACATTTGGAATATTAATTGTGAAGATAACGATTATTCTACTCCAAGTAAAAAAGAAACATTTTTAGCAAGTATTATGAAATTTTTTAATACAATTACTTAAATTTGTTTGATAATATGATTTATGATTGTTTGCGTTTAAGATATTCTCGTATGATTCAATAAAGTACTGATTCAATAAAATATTCGTATCATTTGTTACCTAAATCTATAAACTCTTCTTCATTCTTACTCACATTTAAATTCACAAAATCATCTTCTTCATTAACTTCTTCCCAAGATTGATTAATTGAAGAATGACTTTCAATTAAAGTAATTGGATGGAAATGAATAATTTTATTATTTGTTTCAACACATTGTTTTTTGAATAGATTATATTCATTCATGTCACTAATCAATATACCAATCATCATTGAAGGATCAATATATTTTATATTTAATTTATTATAATTTTGACAATGATAACTTTGTAGATTTATTGGTGACTCAATAATTTGAGGTAAATGAGGATCAAAATATATTAGTTCATTTTCATTTTGATCAGTAGATTCATAACCAAAGAAATAAAAACTTGATGATGGTTTTCCACCTGCTATACCTACTGAATATGGTGATGCCAACAAGGTTAAAAGACTTTTAAAATAATATTCATTTGTATGATCTATTCCTAATCGAACTGGAAATAATAGTAGTATTGATTTTTTATGATTTGTGAAAATCTCTTTAATTTCATCATCATATAAATCACAATTTTCACTAATATGAATGTATGGAACGTTGATCTTATTTTCTTCAAGTAGTCGTAATCTATCATCATCATTATTATTTGATTCATCAGTTAATTTTTTAATTGAATATGAAGCAGCATTTGGTCCAAACCATTGTCCAGGTTTTAATTGTAATGAAGATTGACTTGAAACACGTATAAAATTATGAATAGAATATAAAGAATTTGAATTATCTTGAAATAAATTTAAAATTGCAGTTTCTTTATCAATTCCATTAATTTTAATTAGGGTGTTAGCTAATAAATTTTGTGATGTTCTAATCATACAACCCCAACCAGAATCACTTGTAAAATTATCTTTATCAAATAATACTTTTAAATTATTAGGATTAGTTAATATTGTTTTATTAAAAATTATCGAGGGGAAAAATTGTATTGGTTGTGGACCATCTTCTGATTTTAATATTGGTTCAAATCCACACCTATAAGAAAGCCAAAGTAAATTATTTTGAATATATTTAATTGCTTTAATTTTGGAATAAAATTCTTGACCTAGTACTATTATTGGAGAATTTAATTTGTTTTCTTCTGTTGTTTCATTAATTGATTCTTGATTAGTTGATGTAGTTGATGGTGATGATAAATTTGTTGTAGAATTTGCCTCCTCTTCCGTCTTGGTGCTATCTAGAGATAATCCAGTGACCTCGCGTAAAAATGAACTAAATTTTAACATGTTTCTTCCAATTACTGATTCAACGTTTTCAGGTTGTGCTTGCTCATCTATTATTGGTACATCTTTGTCTTGAAAGTTAGAAGTTGAAGGGTCGGATTCATTTACTTTTGGTGTGTCTATTTTGACAATATCATCAGATGTAATTGAAGAAGACGATGTTGCTTCCATTTTGAAACTGAATTGGTATTTATATAGCTTTTTCTTAAGTTAGTTTTGTTATAGTTAAGATAATGAATTTGGTTTGGGGCTGGTGAGATTTTGAGGGTTGTATATTATTAATAGAACAAGAATAATTATTCCTTGATCTTATCGTACATTGTTAAACACAAAAGCATAAAAGGGTACATGATTACACAAACACTTGCACTCGCTTTAAGCTTAGGTCGGAGATTGCACGAATTGCACTGTAATGTAATTATTTTTCTGTCTAATTCTGACTCAGATTCCACAAAAAAATAGAACAAATACAAAGCAAAAGCCGCACGAGGAACGTTTTTTTTGCTTTTTATCTAGTGTAATGAGATTGCCATCAATAGACCAATGTGATGCTTTTTCTTTCATAATTAGAAGGAAAAAATCATAGAAGAAACAATTAATGCCCAAAAGAGGAAATAGAAGGACAAGAGGCTCATCAAGAGGAGGAAGAGGCGGTAGTAGAGGTGGTAAAAAGATAATAAGAGGTAATAAGAGAAGATCATCAAATAATAATACTAGATCATATAATACTTCAACATCATCTCAATATCAAGAATTATTTAATGATGACTCAATATATATACCTGGTCAAAATGATGAAGCAGTTGGAGGACAAATGGCTCAAATGGCTAGGAATATAGGAAGACGAAAGTATGGTCATTTTGATGAAGAAATAAATTATACAGAAAATAATAGATCAAATTTAATGTCAAAGAAACTAAGAGATCAACCTATTATATTTATGAAAGCTAAAGAAATTTATGATCCAAATATTATGCTACATAAACTATCTGAGCAAAATAAGAATCAGTATATGAATAATAATAATAATAATAATACTAATAATGAATTTGGTAATATAATTGATGAAGATTTTAAAAGTATTTCATTGGATGATTCAGAAGATGATATTGACGATCAGGAATTAGCTGAGAACGACGAATTCGAGGATTTTGAAGATTTTGAAGAAGGTGAATATGAAGGAGAGGAGGGTGATGACGAAGAGGAGATTGAGGAATCAGAGTTCGAAGATGAAGAGGACGAAGACGTTTATGACGACAACGAGACTGAATTTGAAGACGATAACAAAGATGATAAGGAAAACGAAGATGAAACTGAGAAAGTAGTTAAAGAAGTGTTACTGAATTTTAAGGCAGAAAAAGAAGGTGAAGATTGGAACGAACAAGATTTGGATACTGAATTGAGTTCCAGATTAGATACTTTAGAGGACAAGATGAATGAAATAAGTAGAAGAGATGAACTTGAAGATAGTGACGTTGAGGAAAATGATGCAAAATCGGAAGAAGTTATTGAGAAAGAAGTTGAAGAAATTGAAGAAAACATTATACAGAATGAAGTCAAAGTAGAAGAAGAAATACAAGACATTGTTGAGGATGTAAACAAGGAAGTAGAAACTACTGTAACAACTACAGCGGAAGAGACTGGCACAGGCGAAGTAGCTGTAGCAACGACTCAGGAGTCGGGCATCAATCTGAAACAGAATGCAGTCGAGGAATTGCCTATTTACATTGATGGCGTAAAAGACGAAGCTCAATTAAAGGATTACTTATCAGCAAACCCTACTCAAGAACAAGATGAGAACGAAGACGAATTGGAAGAAGAACCCGATTATGGATTTTTAGAAGAAGATTATGAATTTGATGTATCTAAGATGGAAGTAGATAATGTCAGATTTGGTATACAAAATCAATATCATATAAAATGTGCAGAATTAACTGGATTTGATGATGAATTTTGTTGGATTGATGAAGATGATGTAATTCAATATGTTTTATTTAATGGAGTTAAAGAAAAGAGATTAGGTAAATTTTTATCATATATTACAAAAGGAATGATTGATCAAGAAGAACCAGAAGAACAAGAAGATGATGTATATATCTCCGATGATGAGTCACTGGAGGAAGACGATAGCGAAGCAGAATTTGATAAACATCAAGATGATTATCCATATGATTCAGATGAAGTACCTCAAGATGATGGTGATAATTTAGAAGATTTAATAGCATACTCCAAAATGAGTACTCAAGGATTAGTTTCAATGTCTGATCGTGATTTTTCAAATAATATCCCTGCAAAAAAGAGAACGAGATTTGATGATTTAGATATAGATCCTGATTTACAAGAAGCATTAACAAGACAATTGAACAACTACAATAAAAATAAAAAATTAAAACGAATCAACAAAAAACAACAAGATATAGAAGAAGCTGTATTAAAAAATGATATGTTAATAAAATATCCTGAAAAAATAACAATAAAAGAAGTTAATAAAGAATTTGAAAATTTATTAAAAGATGAAAATAGAAATTCATTAAGTTTCCCCACTTTGGATTCTCATGCTCATAAAATTATTGGAAAATTAGCTCAATATTATAATATGAAATCAGATAAATGTGGTCGTAAAAATGTACGTCATTATTTAAAAATTTCAAAAACTAAATCAACTTATAAATATTATCCAAATTTTGAAAAAATTAAAATTATATTAAGAGGAAGACCATATTTTAATAGAATAGATATAAATAAACCTAAAAAAGAAAATAAAACAGCCTCCAAAGGTGCGAATGATTCAAAAGCTAAATTTAAAGAAGGTGATATTGTTGGTGCAGAAGCTCCTGAAATTTCAACTAATAATTTAGGTAGACAAATGTTAGAAAAATTAGGTTGGATAAAAGGTCAAAGTTTAGGAATTGGTAATAAGGGAATTAATGAACCAATTGTTGCAAAAGTTAAAATGTCAAAAACTGGTATTCGTTAAATTTGGATAGAATATATTGTAATAGATCTTTTTCAAATTTTCATATTTTTGTCATTAGTTTTAAAGTTATGCATGGTCATTAATTCGTTTCTATAAATAATCTACGGATTTATTTCTTTTTATTTTTCTTCTTCTTAGAATTAGATTTGGTTTTTGACGAAGACTCAGGTGGAGCAGCATGACCTAATTCTTTTACATGATTGAATAATTGATTTCTTGAATCAAATTTTAATCCACATACAGAACATCTTTCTGTTCCTGTGCTAGTAGAGCTGCTTTGACTTTCAACTGTTGGTGTTGATTCTTTCTCATTTACCGACGTGGCAGATGTACCATTTGTTTTATTGTTTGTTTTCTTTTTGCTCTTTTTTGATTTTTTTGAAGTCGTATTCCAATCATCATCATCTGATTCTTGTAAATTTGATTTTCCTAATAGTTTTGATAATTCTTCCTCCAATTTATTCTTTTCGTTGCTTTCGGATTCATTTTCTTTAAGGTTTTCGATATTCTTTGATGATGGTTCATTGGTTTCTTCAGACTTCATCGGTACAGGCTCTTCAATTTCTTTTGAGGAGCCACCATTCTCCTCTATCAGCTCATTATCTTTATTCTCATTTAATTTTAAATCATCCTCATAGTCTCCATTTAATTTTGCGTCTAGTTCATCATCACTTAAATCATCCAACTCACTATCTTCATCATCACTAAATTCACTTTCAGCAGTTTCAAACTCCTCTTCATCAATATCATTATTATCATCATCAATACCCAATTCAATTCCTTCTTGTTTCATTTCCCATTGCATTTGTCGTACAGCTCGTTTATGTTTTTTAGATTCTTCATGAATTTGAAATTGTAATTCATTTTTTAAAATTTTATTACATACAATACATTCAAATTCATGTATTTCTTCAATTGATTCATTATCATTAGTATCAGATTCAAATTCAGAATCTGTTGATTTATTATTTTCATTTATACCTTCACCTATTTGATTATATTCATCATTTATCATTTTTTCCATTTCTTCAATTTCTTCAATTGTTAATTTTTGCCAATCTTGTTCTTGAAAATTTTGATTATTATTATTTTGTAATTTACTTAATTTATTTTGTTTTATTTGTTGTTCAATTTCCCTCGTTTTTTTCAATTGTTGGTGTTTTTCAAATTCTTCTTGAGCTAATTTAACTCTTGGATCTCTTTTCTTTATGAATGTTACAAATTTCCTTATAGTTTCATTATATTCCTTTTTATATTGATCTGCAATTTTTTTATTTTCTTTTTCCATTAATCTACGAGTTCTTCTATCTTGTGCTGTTGAATATCTATACTCATATTTCCAATTAAATAATTTTATAGTTGAAAATGAACCCCATATATTATAAAATTTTTTTATTGATAAATAATCTAAATGACTATTACCAAATAATGGATATTTTAAATATGATGGATCAATAGAATAAACATTATTTTCATCATCTTTTAAATTTGAAAATTCTTTTAAATTTTGATATTTACCATGTTGAATTTCTTCTTTTGCTAATCTCTCAAATAATCTTGATACAATAGCATAAAATCCCAGTATTGAATCATTATATTCTTGATATAAATTCGAATTAAAATATTTCAAAATTTCTTCTGTTGAAATACTTGGAATATGTGATTCTCCACCTGCTCCATCATTTTCAAAATATTCATCAATATCATCATTTAATATACTTTGTTTATGAGAATCATACCATGCTCTTTCTTGAGGATCAATTAATACTTCATAGGCTGATCTAACTAATGAAAATTTTAAATTTGATTCTTCTATATTATCGGGGTTTTTATCTGGATGATATTGTAATGCTTTTCTTCTGTATGCTTTTTTTAATTCTGTATCTGTTGCATCGGTTGAGACGTCTAGTAGTTCATAGTAGCATGTTTTCATAATTTGTGGATTGTTCTACTTTTGCTTTGATTGTGTTTGCATTAAGATGATTCTTTTTTTTAAAACCATATTGATCAAATTTGTTGCAAAAAAAACTAATAATTCAAATTATGTGTAGCCAAATGTGGTTCCAAAGATAAATGGATAATCTCGACTAATATTGGAATACAAAGTGATTGAACCACTCAATTCAATTCATTATCTGTTTAGACAAGTACTTGTAGGAAAATGTATGATATATGGTATCTTTTTTGAAGTAATATCAAAGTATGGTATGACTAGATTGGGCCAAAGCTACATATCATTTAGTACCAGATTTTTATAATAAACCAAAGAAGATTTCAAATATCAAACATATTTATAGGACTCAATACATGCTTTAAAAATAGACTTGTATCCACTTACAAGAAATAAAGGATTTAAATTTAAATTTCAGAATAAATGAAATGAAGAACAGAATCAAAACGATACACAGAATCTAATCTCATGTAAATTAAAACAGAAAACGATAAAAAACTTTTAAACCTATAAATAGTAAAATTTAAAACCTATTTACTATATAACCAAATTCAAATTAGAATTGAACTGAAAAAGCAAAAGCAAAAAAAAGAAAAACAAAAAAAATTTGCAACTTTTTTAGAATTATTATGTATAATTTATAGTTTTACCAACCTTTAGAATGATAATCATCAAAAACATCATCATCATCAACATTAATTTGATTTGAATTAATTAATTTTAAATTTTTAACTAATGATTTATCAGGCATTGCAACTTTACCTAATTTATTATCTATTAATAAACTTTCTTTTAATGATTTACTTATTTCTTCATTTATTGTCAAATTAGTGTTTTCAAGTTCAGTTGTATCAGTTGTTGTGATTTTTGGTAGTGTTGGAATTACGTTACTATTATTATTATTATTTTCATGATCATTAAATTTTATTGGTGGTGGTGGAGTATTTGAATTTTTTGAACAATTAATTAATATTGATGATGATGAAGTTAATGAACTTGGTGATTGTTTTAAAATTGAATCTGATGATGTTGGTTGTAATGATGGGATTGAATCTTCATTTTTGTGATGTTGATAAGTAGTATTACTCGTGTTATTATTGTTGTTGTTATTATTATTATTATTGTAATTTTGATCAATTTTATCTTGTTTTATATCATTAAAAATATTATTTTGATTGGTGGTTTGATTGATTTGTTGATCTTTTGAATCTAATCTTAATTTATTTTTAGATGTGATATATAATCTACTCAAATTAATTGAAGATTTTGATAATAAATTTATAAGTGAATGATGAGAAACAGATTTTGATAATTTATTTAAACTTGATGATAATAATTCATGTTCTTCATCACTAACTTGTGGATTCTTGGGGACTTTTGAAACATTAATATCTGATATTCCAACTATACTACCTTGTTTTTTCATAGGAGTTGAAGATGATGATGAACTTGAATCATCTTGTAATTGATGATCAATCATAATTTCAGATGATGTAGTTGTAGTATTTGTTTTGCCCATTGATAAATTTGAACGTCTAGTTAATTTTGAAATATCAGTTAATGAAGGATATTTTCTAGTAAAAATTATTGAAGGTCTTTGAAATTCTTGATCAATTGTCATAACTCCAGTAGTACTTGATCTCATTAATTTTGGTTTGGGTGCATGTTGTTGATTAGTCGATGAAGATAATGAATTGTCATTTGTAAATAAACCAGATAATAATGATTTTGGTTTACCTAATGAAGAAGTTTGATTTAAATTTTCTCTTTTTTTCTCTAATGATGATGCTAAAGTTTCAGTAGATGCAGAATAAGTTGGTGGTTCAATTTTTGTAAAATTTAAAGGTTGTGGTTGTTTTGGAATACTTTTACCTGAAGCAGCAGTTGAATTTAAAGAACTTGAATAAACTGACATCCATTCACTTTCATTATCTTCTTTTACTGAATCAGTAGATGATTTCCTAGTTGGTTCGGTAGTACTTTTCATTTCAATTTGATCATCTTCATCTTCTTCTTCTTCCAATTCCTCGTCTAAATCTCCAACTTCAGATATATCAGTTGATGAATATCCTTCGTCATCTTCTGCCTCTGCTTCATCATTATGAATAGAACCTTCTTTATTTATAACACTCTCCTGCGAATTTTTATTACCGACCTTGTCATCGGCTATAATATTCGATGAATTTCTTGACCGATTCAATATTGACTCCGACAGTTTATTACTAGTTGTGCCCAAAGTAAAATTACTAAATAAGGAGTTATGTCGTTGTATTGGTGGTTGTGGTTGTACTTTATCTTGTAGGTTTGAACAATCAGACGGTGATATTGATGAAATAGTGGAAAATTTTGTTTTAGATTGTTGATCATTTCTTGACGTGGAAGAATTTTCGAATTCAATATTATTATTTCGACGGCTTGTAGGTGATATTTTATCGTCCTCTAAACTTGTTCCTTGTGGTGTGTGAATTGGATTATCGATTAATCTATTTGTAGTAGATACATTCTCATCCAAATCACTTTCTTCATCTTCTTCATCTTCTTCATTGTCAGATAATTCTGGAATATCGGACATATCAGATTCATCAATATCTTCTTCATCATCATCATCATCATCTACTTCTTCATCAGTATCCTTATCAATGGCAATTTGTTTTTGATTAACTTCATTGAATTTTTCATTTAAAAATGGATTGGAATCTAAACTAGTTTGGGTACTTTTTTTTCTAGTATATAAACTTAAATTTGAAGAATGACTGAATAAAGAAGGTCTATTCGACATAAATTGTGAAGTTTTAGGTTTAAAATCAATTAAATTATCATTATATAAATCATTCAATTCATTGGTATTGACATTATCAATAAATTTTTCATTAAATTGTTTATTATTACAGTTTTTATTTTTTAAAAACCTTTGATTCATTAATCTCCATGATCTATTATTTAATCTTTCAGTAGATGATATTTTTGAACAATTTATATACAGTAAATCATTTGTTAATTTCCATAATTTAAATAATGAATTGTTTGAAGTTCGATCATAATTGAAATTTATAGAAATTGTTGATGATGACGTTTCCATGTCACTATTATGTTTATATTTTTATTTTTCGACTTGTATTTGTATTTTGAATTTGTAAATATGCTAATTTATGATGTAGATTTTAAAATCGCGTAGTGTTTGATAATGTTGTTGATGACACAGTGAGAAATATTAGAAATCTGTGCTATTATTCTCAAGTTCTGGTCAATATAGTAAAATATGATGAGATTTTGATGATTTAAACAATATTTTTGTTTTTTTATCAAGTTTTATGACATGAAAATTATAATGTGTTTTAGTGAATGACTATTTAATGTTTCGGGTGATATGAGTTGATAAAAAAAATCAAACTGACACTAATTTTGTATTGTTTCTTTACTTTTTATATTTGACAAATTGATAGAAATGTGGTATGTCTATGGTAAAATTAAAATGTGAAGGTTTTTTGAAATTTTTCCAAATCAGATATATTAGTGATAAACAATACTGTAATAAACGATGACTAAAGTTGAAGGATATTTAAACAAAAATGAGGTAACTGATTTCACCGTTGATACAGTGTCTTTTCCTTCAGACGTGTATCTAGTGTAATCTGATGGTTGGTTAGTTGTTTTGTTGTAAATGTTTAGATATAAATTGGTTGTAAAAAAAAAAGATCATACATTATACTCACATAAAAAATCTGAAAAAATATTTTTGTTGATTTAATTAAGGTGATAGAGAAATAAACAATACATTATCAACTAGTAACACAAAACTAAAAAATGAATGATTAAAAAAATTTTAAAAAGTTCACAAAATAAAAACCACTTAAGGATAAAGAGACTTCTTACAATTTAAATAAACAATATAAAGGTGGTTGAACACACTTTGGAATAAAATAAATCTAAGATAAGGGATTCATCCAATCTTGTCGTATAATCAATTAAACTAAGCCATAAACAATATTGTGTTTAAGGTGACATTAACGCTAAAAGGATCAGCACTTTGTTTTTCATCTCAACTATTAAACCCAACGATTAAAAAGGCTTCAAAAATTTGAAACATAAATTGGACTTTAGTAGTATGTAAAAAGTATTGATTATTATAAGATCATCAATTTTGTCTTGATTTGTACTTGTAAAAAAATTTGAAAATGTTGAAACAAATTAAATATTCAATATGGCCCCTTAGATTAAACCAAAATCCGATGTAAGTTTAATACCATTGGACTGTGGAAAGAATCCTTGTTTATATTACAAAGGATATTATTAACCATGGGTTAAATTAAGCCATATTTAATTTAATCTTATTATTTCATTTCTTTTCTCTTCATCCTTCTTTTGTTAAAACTACTTTGTATAAAATTTAAATTACGCCTAATGTAATAAATCTTAAAATTTTTTATAAAAAAATCTAGATTTAATACTTATCTATTTAAACAATAGATATTGTGTTAAAAATTGACATGATCACGTTTCGATACTATTAATTCATCAAATTTGATTATTAGAGGTATTATAAATCAACTGAATACTCATAAAATCTATAGTTCAGTATTAAAGTTGAAAGGGACAAAACACGGATTAAACGAAATCCTATAATAAGCCATATTATTCTGTAGATATTTGTATATTTGGACGAGAGAGTCATTCTTTATCTCAAAATCACCTAAAATTGATTCTCCTATTTTTTTTATTGAAAATATTGCTACCATATGAACTTTCACATTTTGCGAACTACACTACCATTTGATTTTTGTTTCAAAATTTTAAAACAAATTTTGGCTGCAAAAACATCTCTGCTTTCAAAAGTTTTCATAACGTATTTACATTTTTAAATAGTAATTCTCTTTACAATTACGGTTGAATAATAAGTAGGACAAATGTAAATCAATTTTTCAAAAATATGGAATGAAAGTGTGCTAATTGCTTATTTGGTAATGATCACTTATAAACCAATTCTTCAACTGTATGTAAACTGAATATCAATTTTAACATCTCCATTAAAATAAGTACATTAACTCATGACAGGGGTATTTGATGTAATGGTGATGATTGATTAAGAGCATATATACTTTTAAGCATGGTTTAAAAAGATTTGTACCCACGTCTTCAAAAACTCCTTGGAAAGGTCCCTCTCCCTTTCCATTTGAGTACGCCAGAACAAAATTAATCTGAACAAAGCTTTTGAGGCACTTTTTGACGTCCCTCATTTTTAAAAGAAGACGATATTTTGTTGCAAATAGTAAGTCGAAATTGGAGTCTTTTATTCCTCGGACCAAGTAATTGTCAGAAGAACTTGGAGACTCGACAGAGGGTATCAAGTGATTTAAGATGATCAGTGATGGTTGGTAGTTGTTACGAATTACATCTTTGAAATGTGCTTCATCGACTCTTGTATTTGGTTGAATTTCATCTGGATCATGATGTCTAAATGGCAAAGTTTAAAACAAAAGTAGGTATGATATCCTGCAGCTCTAAAATGTATCGGCATTTAATAGATCATTATAAGTTTAAGATGTTTGACAACTAAGAACACTACGGGATACAATACACTGAATTTTCAAATTCAATTATACATGGGTTCCATTGATAATGATTAATAGATTGATTGAAGATTTCGAAGTTTATTGGTGTGACGAAATTGGAGGCTTGTCTCTTACAAATATCTATATTCTAATCGCATGAATGAAGATGATAAAAAATTTATCCATATGATTAGACTATAGTTGTTTGCGGTACAGATGTGCTACACTCAAGATTATCACCAAAATATTCCAGAGATAGCAACCGACTTTTACAAACAACTGTATTCATGTGAAGACAAACGGCAACAACGAAAGATCACTTTACATTTTTTTGACGAATGTATTAATAAAAATGATGAAATCCAATTAGATAAGCCTAATCCAATTAGATAAGCCTATTACATTTTCGGAATGACTCAATGTTTGAGCTAGTATAATTTGATGCTTAAGGTTTCATGAGTTGACTTCATTGCTAATAATGTCCAGCTTCGAAGTACGAGTCAAATAACCTTAACTTCTAAAGGGGTGTGTTAGATATTTTCATTTAATAGTATCTTCACATCTTACATTCAAGTAACAAAAACTAATACAGCAATTGCCGAATCGACATGAAATATAATTCCCGTTCAATTACCTGTTTAATTACCGTAATTTTTTCAGCTAAGTTTAATCATGAGCAAATCCGATCAATCGACCGACCATGGTGAGATTGATCGTGGTGAGATTGATCTGATTTGCTCATGATTAAGTTTAGCTTTATTCTATTGTTCTTTGGTCTTTTCACTGTTAAAAGGTTTACATCTTCAATGCAACTATCTCCTTCGTCCTTTAACTTTTCCGATGTTTTGTTCTCTGCCAATCTGAGTTGTTTCTTATATCTTGAAACGGCTTGAATGGGCAGATCTTCATATGAAAACGTTGGTTCTGAATGGTCGTGGTGGTGCGTCTTTTATAAAATCCTACCCAGCATGTCTTGAAGTTTGTAGTTCATGTTTCCTGCATTTTCAACGATCATATATGGACCTTCGTAGTTTGACTGTCTTTTCTTGGTTTTTGCTCTTTCTCTGTAAACAAATTGTTCTTTTGTAAAAGCAGCAGGTTCACCAATTCCTTCTCTAATTGAATTATATAACGCACAACGTTTTGCTTTTAAGCTGTTTGTTTCTTTTCTATTTGCTTTGATCTCTTCCATTTTGTAGAACTATGTTCTCTAGCTCATCATCCCTCTCCTCGGATTGTTCAAATATGGAGATGTAAACCATTCACCAGTGGAAAGACTAAAGAAGAATAGAATAAAGCTAAATATCCTTTGAAAAGCGACGAGAGGGAAGATGTATTTTTTTTTTTATTTATAACCTATTTATATTAATATAGCTACAAGTTAGTCAATTCTTATGACATTGACTTTACGACAGTGTTGAGATTCGTGGAACAAATAAAACAAGTTCTATAGAATCTTATATACTCTTAATTAGAGAATCAACTATTATTATTTTCATTACATTACATTTTGTGTATTATTTAAATTCAACGAGGATACAAGGCTATTGAATCAATCTACTACATTTAAGTAACAAATACTAATAGCAACAATTGCCAAATCGACAAAATATAATTTTTTTTGGTGTAATCCTTTTTCTCGGACGGAAAAATAATCTTCTATTATGCAGTACTAGAGAAGCTTCTTAATGTTTTTATGCAGTCATATTTCCATTACATTATAAAATAAACTATCATCATAATTCCATTAACTATATATAAATAAAATAAGGTTTTTAAGTTTGGTAACAAAACTTATGTTTTGAAACAATTTGAAATTTAATTGGGGGGTTTATTCAACTCATCAATATTCTCTTCCTTGCTGATTAATCATTATTTTAAAGTAGTTTACTAAAACTTTACTTTAATGTTGAGGTGAACAAGAAACGAGGAATGAGGAGTTCGGTATGGTGACATCATCAGTTTATAATTCCGAATTTTACATATACGTACATTATTCATATCTGTTGCTGCCTTTCAATCTCATTGGTATTCATTTACGTTCAACTTTTACTCTTAAAAGCTTGACAAGTCTCTCACGGAAAGATCAATGCAAGATCACAAACTGAATACGGTAATATGAAATTTCTCGACGGAAATGTTGAATCCTTTTTTTTTGAAACTCTATAATTGAATTTTTGAGTTTTTGAAATTCTTTGCTGAACTTTTCCGTTTGTACTATTTTACCAGTTTGTGATTAACTTTTGATGTATTATTTCTGCATTATTTCATACAATGATTCTATTTTAAAGTTTTTTAAATTATTTAGATCAATCAGATTATTAATCTTATTAACTGTGTATTTATATATATTTGAAATTAATTGTTGCATTTTTTAAATGTTTCAAAGTTTTTATTTAACATTTATTTTGAAACATTTGCATCAACCACAACAGTTTCTACATTTAGTGAAAGAAACAAGAACAGGATAGTTTTATTATTGAATCATGTCATTAATGAAAGCTGCAGTTATTAGTGGTGAATCAGATCCATTAAGTGTAATAGCAGAAATTCCAATTCCAAAAATAAATGATGATGAAATATTAATAAAAGCTAAAGCGTTTGCAATAAATCCAACTGATTGGAAACATATTGATTATAAAATTGGTCAAAAGGGAGATATATTAGGTAGTGATGTAAGTGGAATAGTTGAACAAGTTGGTTCAAATATTAAAAATTTTAAAAAGGGAGATTTTGTAAGTTCTTTTATATGTGGAAATGTTTCAAAAACAAATGGTGCATTTGCTGAATATGTTGCTGCATCTCCTAATGCCACTATAAAATATAATCATTTAACTAATGATTCAAAAGAGAGCAAATCTGGTCCAATAAATACATTTGATGGAGCAGCAAGTGTAACCTTGGGATTAGTAACTGTTGGAATAACATATAGTTACTATTTTGATCTTGGTAAAAATAAAAAAGATGGAGATTTTATATTAATTTGGGGAGGTTCTACTGCAACTGGAATATTAGCTATTCAATTAGCTAAATTAATATATAATTTAAAAATAATTACAACTGCATCACCAAAAAATCATGAATTTTTAAAGAACTTAGGAGCTGATTATACATTCGATTATAATGATCCAGAAGTTGTTAATAAGATCAGAGAAACTTCTCAAAATAAATTACATTTTGCTTTTGATACAATTGCACAACAAGATACTTTTCAAAAAGTTTATGATTCAACATCAACAACAACTGGTGATATACATATTGATTCATTACTTTTATTAGATGATAAATCAATTAAATTAGATTCATCAAGAAATAATTCAAATATACATTGGGGTAAAACATTAGCTTATTTAGCAATTGATAAATTTAAAATAATGGGTGATAAAATTGAAAGACCAGGTGATTTATTGGATTATTATTTACCTTGGTGGAACGATGTATTACCTAAATATTTAAAAGATTTAAAACATGGAAACTTAAAAATTTTAAAAAATGGTTTAGGTAGTGTTGATGAAGGCTTAAAATTATCCAAAAAAGGAGTTTCAAATGAAAAAATTGTTTTTAGTATATAAATTAAAATGTTTTGTAATATTATGAACCTTATGATAAAGAGATTGAGAATAAAGATTCGTTCTTACGGAAATGTAATTCTGTAGATAAAAACTTTAAAACTAGATCTTGAGAAAGTTGATTTTGCTGCAGCATTTAGGACAAAACGATTATAGAAGATCAGTCTATGCCTGAATCCTTCGTCCAACAGCCTCAGCACGGTTACTCAAAGTATTATTTGTGAGAGATTGAAAATTTCGATATATCAAATTAATGTTCTATTATCATGCAAAATATCCATACACGATGAATCTAAATAATGTCTCTAAGGAACTAAACCACTACTTCTTTTGTCTAATTTTATCTTTTAATAAATGACAAACACCTGAAGCTATTATACTAACTCCTAACATTAAAACTAACATCATATTAGAATTACGATATAATCTTTTCTTATCAGCTGGCCAACCACTATATAAAGCATAAGTTGCAGTAACTGAACCTAAATTACCTAAACCAGAAACAACAGCAGAACTAACAGCACAACCAACATCACCATATCTTGGTCCAAAAATTTCTGCTGACCAAGACATACAAATTGGAACAGTTGGACCCAATCCAAAACCTGCAATTAATAAACCACCATATTTATTCCATGAACCATGAGCAAAAGTTGTTACAACCATACCAACAATAATAATAACACAAGCAAAACTAAATATTAAAGCTCTAAATTTTTTAAATTTATCAGCAAAAGGAGTAATAATTAAAATCCCACCTAAATCAAATAACCAAATTGGGGCATATAATAAAGAAACTTGAATTGATGATAAACTTGGATCATTTGTTCTTATAATTGTTGAACCAAAAACAGCTAAACCAAATCCTGTACCGACAACTCCAAAATACATGATAACTAATGGATAAATTCTTAAATCTGTCATTATATCAAATAAATCTTTCCAACCCCATTTTAATAGTTTATATCTATGTTCTAAATCTTTTCTATGTAATTCTTGTTCTTCTCCTTTTAATGGTGAAACAGGTGTAAAAAATTTTCTATAAATTTTCATAATTTTTGAATTTGACTCTTTTATAACTTTAAAAGGTCTATCTGGTAACCACCATAATAATGAAATTCCAACTGCAATAGTTATAACTCCATAAACCATATACATCCATTGCCAACCATAATAACCATGAACACCATCTAATTTTTGAAACCCAGCACTAACTAATCCTGCAACTGCTGCTGAAATTTGAGCAGCAGTAAAATAATAACCAATTCTTCTTGTTGATCTTTCATTTGGATACCATAAAGAAATATAATAACTCATACCTGGCCAAGTACCTGCTCCAACCATACCACTTATAAATCTTATAGCAATTAACGCTCCAGCTGAATGTAAAGCACTATAACAAGTATATACTAACCCCACGGTTATAACAATTCTAGCTAACCAAGATTGAGGACTTACTTTAGTCATTATTAAATTCATTGGAACATCAAATATAATATAACCAACATAATATAAAGCAGAAGCAGTTGCAGTATGATGACTTGTTAAACCTAAACTTTGAATTAATGAATGATTTTTTTCAAAATTCATTGTTAATGTTAATCCATAACAATTTGAACCAAATGATGTTAAAAAATATAAACACCATAATGCTGGAATGATTCTAAAATCTAATTTTCTATAAATTTTATTTAATTGTTTTTCATTTAATATTGGTTGTTGATGTTCTTGTTCTATTGTTGAATTATCTAATTGATATTCTTCATATTCTAAATTTTTTGAATCTCTTATTTCTGAATCACCTGAATGTTGTTCTGATGTACTCATTATGTTTTGATTGTGATTAGTAAGGATGAAGATGAATGGTTAAATGGGATAAATGTAATTGAGATTAAGGATAATCAATCAAGCTTATATAGTTTTTTTTATAGTTTGGGTTTTGTTGGGTTAATATACTTTTTGGTTTTTTTGCAATCAATTATGAGTATAAAAGTAATACAAAATGATTGTAATATAATTAATTATATTTTCTTTTTTTTCTTAATCATATCTCTTCGTTAATTAAAATTATGATTCAGAGTCATGGATGAGTACCAATTTAATATGTAGTTACGGATGTCAAAGATGAAGAGATTAGCTGCAGAATCACACAAAATCGAATTAGATCCCACTTAGATTCCGCCTTTTAATGTCCATAACCAATTAGTATCGAATAACTAAGTAATAAAACATTGTCTGTATCAAGTGGATTATAAACTGTTTAGTGTTGAATGACAGATTTAGAGTGATAAAAGACTATGGATGAGATGTTGATTGATGAATGTGTAAACATGATTCAAACTTTGATCGAATACACTACTCTGAAAGATTTCAGATCTGATTGTTTATAGAGATACGGGCATTTTACGAATAATTAGACCTGTGTTCTTCGGGTGAATCCGCCCCTGAACGATTGTTACTTTTTCCATTTAACATTCTTTTGGTTGTGTGTTATTTCTTGTCTTGTGCGTTAAAAATCCGGCCCTTGTAATTAGTTTATATTACTAATAATCCTTGCACTCCAAATGAATATCAAACAATTATCTCTAGATTTAGTATGAGTTCATGAACACGAACATATGGCGACAAGAAGATGTGTAATTCTCCGATACAAATTCAGAATTTACTTAAAGTTTCTAGAATTGTGTAAAATTTGCAACAATTTTTTTTGGTTTTCTCATTATTTGTAAGGTTAAAAATTATGAGCTTGAGTCATGTTAAAGTTTACAACAAAATTTTTGAAAGTGAAAAAAAACTTTTATTATTCTATAATCTATCTACTCAACAAAAGGTTTCATTCTATCTACAGTTATATCAGCAAATTCTTTACTTTGATTTAAAACAAAAGCATGTTTAATAGGATAATTTAAATTTTCACAAATTTCAAGTTTAGTATTTACACTTGTTGAATATTTTGAAATTAAATGATTTCTTGTATTATGAGTTACCCAATGATCATTTTGAGCAAAAAAACACCAAGTAAAAAAATTTTTATTATTAAAAATTTCATCATTTACTAAATCTGAATCATTAATTACTTTCATTTCATCTTTTGCCATATTTAAACATTGATTTAATGATGATGGTGAACTTATAAATTGAATAGTTGCTTCTAGTGAATGTTCTAATCCTATATTATGATGATTTTTACTTATAATTTCTTTTGGTGGTTTCCAATTATTTGTCAAGATGTATTTTAAAACTGATGTAGGTATATAATTCAATATCAAACTTAATGACATCGCTATCCCTACAAAAGGTACGTTCCAATTTATCAATTTAGTCAATGCAGTACCAGATTCTGATTGAGCTATATTGTTTACCGTTGGTGTTATCATTCCATTGAATTTTATATTGAATTTATTTGATAATGAATCATCTTGTAACAATTTAAGAATTACCCTTTCAGTAATGAATCCACCTAATGAGTGAGACAACAAAAAGATATTTGATTTATTTGACGAAATTGAATATCTATCATTTATTATTTTTTTAATAATTTCAAATTTATGATTTATTTGATCATCCACCGAGTAAATTATTTGATTTCCCTTTGAATCCTTCTTAACATTCTGAGCTAAGAATCCCAAGTATTCAATGCAAAGAATTTCAAATTTTGGTACCTTTTCTTGAATATAGTTTAAATAAGTTATATAATAATTTATCAAACCAGGATTTCCAGGTATTAAAATTAAAAAATCATTCTCAGAATTATTTGTTAGGGGATTTTTATGATAAACTCTAGTCCTTTGAACATTTTCCGATTCAATATATTCTATCGACATAATTTGATCTTGCTTTTTGGCTCACCGTTAAAGTGATCTTCTTCTTTCTTAAATGATTTTCCAAATATCAAAATCATTAATCTTGCTTCTACATCGTTAATTTCGGATATACATATCACGGATCTTACACAAAACGGAGTAATTTTATTTCCGCAATTCTATCGAGATAAACACTAAGAGGACTATTTTACGATAGTTTGAACAAACAGTATGTAATGTTTATTGTCCCTAGTTAACCTACGTATTAAATTCCAAAATCTTATTAAGACTATCAAACTCCTGAGACTGATTTGCAAAAGCATTCTTGATATACTTCACTCGATACAAGGCTAATTCTTCCAAAATTGTTTTGAATTGTGGATTTTCTTTACTATGTGTAATCAAATATTTTTCTAAATCATTTATTAAAGCATATGATAATTTCCTGTTATTTTCATCAAGTTTAGGTTCAGAATTCAAATTGTGAATCTTATGTTTCATTGAAATTTTTTTCAATTCTAGTACTTGGGAATTTGAATTAATTGATTGACCTATTTTAAGAACAAATTTTTGTAGTATACTTAATTGCTCATTATGATGTTTAAAAATTATAGCTGAAATATTTTGAACATGATTGTAGCTACATGATTCCCATATTATCAAACTTGTCTTCAAATTATTCAATTTTTCAATATATTGTTCTTCATTATATTGTTTTAAATATTCAAATACAAACCTCCATATGATTCTCTCATAAAAAGCAGGAAGTTCGTTTTCCTTAATTAAAGGTAAGTAAATTGTATCGAAATTCTGTTTGAGATTCCTTATCACATTTATTGGATGTTTCAAATCATGATGTTTCTTTAAAAGTATTATTTGTAGTTTTATCATATCTTCTGAGCTCAAACCTTTAATCACATTATTTGACTCAATATTTATTGGTAATTTCTTCATATTTATCAAATTTTTATTTAATAATATGTCAGCCATTACTTTAAGATTTAATTTGTTGTGATTTAAAAATAATTGAATTATTTCAAACAAATAACTTTCATCTTTTACATTCTTTATATATAGTGATAATTCCTTTGAACCCAATTCTAACAATTTTGAATGACTCAAATTTTGTGATGAGTTTAAAGTAGACGATTTCAATCCGAATATTAAATTATTTATAAAACTTTCATTTATATGTTGATGTTTAGTTGATTTAAAATCATAATTAGTTTCATTAAATTGCTCCGCTACTGAACCTTTTGTTAATGAATTGTAAAGTGATGGTTTATAATTTTGATAAGATGAAAAGTTTTTGATTCTTTTATCATTTCTTGAAGGTGATTTAGTCAATAAGTTTAATGCATCAGCTAGTACTTCATTTTCTGGTGGTTGATCCTTTTTTGTAGTACTTCGTGTTGTATTGTTCCAAATAAATCTAGTAACAAAGTTGAAAGTAGAACTTGATACCACCTTTGAGTTTGTTGCCGTTGTCGATAACATCTTGTGTGTTCAGATTTTGTTGTGCTTAAATGATTATGGTATTATATAAAATTGAGGAGTATTTGAATGACAATATTATTTGCGATTTTTGAAAGATAGACTTCCTAAATGGGTAACCTAGTGCAGATTTTATTAGATGGAGGAGTCAACCTCGTCCTAATATCCGGGTAAATAATTAACATGAAATATAAATCTGAGACAAATAAAAATGACACTAAAAGCGCAAGGGTATTTACTTTTTTCCAAATAGGGAATTCCGCTTTTACGAAATATTGTGTTACTAAGAGATTTAAAAACTGAGATTGGTACGAATCTTATGAAAGATCCTAAGATTCTATCACTTGTCTTGTAAATAATTCGATAATGCTAGAAATGACAAGTAGAAGTTTGTCCTGAAATAGTAATATTAAGCTTTTACTTCAACAAAATGTAACCTCCTTATCTTTATAATATTCAACAATGTCAAAAGTTAATTTCTCTCCGTAAAATAAAATATTTTTTAAATCAAAAGTAAAGCCACTTAAATTTATTTTTACTAGACACAAATTTAGATCAGAAAAAGGTATAGCAAACTAAATCAAATTGATTTATAATCAAATCAACGATTCAATTTAAAAAACATATTAATGATCTGACTTCTTCGTCTTGCAAAATATTTTGATTGCAACTTTTAGTTTTGGTTTCACAGTTTTATAGATCTGAACTGTTTGGTTTCAAGTTAAAATGTCTTCACCCTCACGCACGGCATCATCAACAAAGGAAACAGCCACCTTAAATTCAGCATCAGAAATTGATCCTTTATTACCATTAAACAAAGATCAAACAAGTCAACAACCATCTACTACTCAATATTCAAGTATTCCTTCAAATTTAGCCTCAGAGCAAGCCACCACAAATCTTGAAACAGCTGCAAATGATGTTTATGAAGCACTAGTTGAGAATGATACAGAATATGATGAAGATGAACATAATGAAGACGTTATTTGGTTAAGAGAACAAAGATTATTAAATAAAACTATGCATTGGTTGAAAAGACCGAGTGTATTAATGATTTCTTCAATTACATTTTTATTAGCATTTTCAGTATCAAGTGCTGAATCCACTAGACAAATTATAACTTTAAAATTAGCTTGTAATTCTTTGGGGACAAATAAATGTACAAAAGATTCAGCACAAATATTAATGTCAGATTTACAACTCGGTTATACTATTACAGGAGCTATTATAATGTTAATATCATCTGGAAAAGTAGCACCATTAAGTGATTTATATGGAAGAAAAATCTTCATAGTTGCGACTTTAACTTGTTTCTTTTTGGGAAAGTGTATTAAATTTTTATTAATGTATAATTTTGAGACTTTAAAGTTTTACCCAATGATTGCAAGTGAAGCATTGACAAATTTGTGTGGTGGATTAATGGCAATTATAGCTTTGAGTAATTGTTATATCTCGGATGTTGTTGAACCCCATCAAAGAATTTATTCCTTGGGTATAAGTATTGCAGCTATGTTTGTTGGTTTGAGTATTGGTCCACTATTTGGTAATTTGGTAACATCATTAACTACTAAATTTGCAAAAGGTATTGAAATTCCTACTACCGAATTTATACCATTGAAAATTGAACTAGTATTTATACTTTTTGATGTTTTGATCGCAGTTTTTATCTTACCCGAATCTAGATCAAAGAAAGCAAGAAAAAAATCTAGATCTTTATCGAGGTCTTCAAGTCAGGTCAATCTACAATTACAACAACAACAAAAACATGAACAACCATCATTTTCAAGAAGATTCATCAATCAGATCAATTTTTTAAAACCAATCAAATTATTATACTTACCACGAGACTTGGTGAATGAACAAAATAGACATCGTATAAATAGAGATAGATTTGCAATCATAGTTTTAGTATTAATTGATTGCAGTTTGACAACGCTAGCTATATCGTTTGGTGAGATTTATTTATTATATGGAATATATAATTATAATTGGGATCAAAGTAACATAGGTCAGTTATTAGCAATCGGATGTGCAAGTAAAGCCATTGTGTTAATCATCTTGTCACCAATGATTAATCACAAAATATTACAACATGGGTTTGGGTTTAAAGTATTCAAAAAACAAATTGATATGGTAGATTTTTCAATGTGTTTGCTTGGATTATGCTGTGAAGTAATTGGCTTTTTCGGCTATAGTATTGCTCCATCAACTACAGTGTTTTTCATATTTACCGTATTTTGTGGATTTGGTACACTTATAAGTCCAGCTGTAAATTCATCAATTGTAAAATTTTATCCTGAATCCAAAATTGGAGAATTATTTGGTGCAATGGCATTAGTCAAAAATTTGTTTGCATTGGTTTCACCAATATTTTATTTATCAATTTATAAATATTCAATAAAAACTTTACATAAACCTGGGCTAGTGTTTGTTGTAGCTGGTACAGTTTTGTTCATTTGCACATTAATGTTAATTACTGTTAAGCGTGTATTAAAGTTAGATAAAAATACTGAAGCATTTGTTCCATCAAGAAGTAATTCGTTTGTTGAATTTGATCAAACTAGACCTCCGCCATCACCAGAACAACTTCAACATAGAGGCAGTTTCAGTGAGTTGCATAAAAAGAATAGTTTTGTACAGAAAGAAAGGACTGGCCCTTAAGTAAGTAACAGTACAACAAATAGAATAAGAACAAGTCATCATATTTGTAACAACATGAGATTTGTTCTTTCATATTAATTTCATTTAAACATTATTTCAACTTAACTCTACCCCATTACTCTTAAAGCTAATTCCACACTCGCAAAAGTGCCTGCACTACATGGGACGGCTCTCAACAAACAAGGAGTCAAACCTCTCCAAAATCCCATGTATCCATGATTCTGATAAATATATCTGGCAGCTTTTGCAATACTTCCTTTAAATTTACTATTAGCTCCAAATCCATCACTTTGAATATTTGATTTTATAACGTCTAATGGGTAAGAGCTTAACCATAATGCATTACCAGCCAAAGCTCCACTAGCCAATAATTCAGGAGTTGAAATCAGATCTCTTGATTTGAATTTATGATATTTTATCAACTTTTGAATTATTGTTTCATATATTAAGAACCACACACCATATGCTTGAAATTCTCGTAGCAACGTAATATTAAAACCTCTATATATTCCTTTAAACCCTTGGGTGTTGTAAATTTGTTTTATAGTATTTAGCATAGATATTGATTGACCGGTTTTGGACGATTGACTCAAAATTCTTAATTGTTCAACAGGTGAGGCGACAGGTGTATTTACTACACCAGCCATTGCTCCAGCAATATAAGTCTGTGGCCATAAGTTCAATTGTTTCTGTCCAGTATATTGTAATATTTGTCTTTTAGTTTCATGAAACCCATAAAATTGCAATGAAACACATACACCAACTCCAATTAAAGGCGGTAATGTTCCTTTATAAAATGCTAGTATTCCTTCATTCTGCCATACATCTTTTATCACTTGTATAGATGAGTTAGCATTTGTTGTTTGTAAACGAATTTTAACTAAATCAGCCGGTTGACCTATTAAAACTTGAACAGCACCACCTATGAAACCTGCTACTATATCCTTTATTTTTCTGGATAATGTATTATCTATTGGTAAATTTTTTATATCGGCTTCTTCATATTCGTATACTTCAGCAGCATCTGACATCTCACCTACAAGTTTGAAATTGAGAGTTTTGAGCAATTAATTGAATTGAATTGAATTTATTGTGCTGATAAAGTGGTATTGTTTTACATGTTTCAAATATTCACAATAATCGTATTAGATCATGTGACCTTATGATTGGTAGCATATTAAAATATCAATTCTGTTTGAAATTATTGACCACGTAAAAAAAACAATTCAATAAATTGAAAATTCTTGAAACGATAAATCAACAACAAAAACAATTCAGTAATCATTTGTGCATAAATCAACAAAAGTCCCTCATTACCGATCGCATTTCATATCTAAACAATGTCAGGTAGAAGAAGGGCATATCCACAACCACAATACACGGCAGGAGGTGTCGGTCCTCAGCCACCAATTGGTCAACCTCAACAACCTCAACAACCAATTGGAGGTCAACCTCAAACAGGAGCACCTTATGGAGCCGATCAGTTGAATAATCAATTTCAAAATATGTATATCAACAATAATGGAGCAACAAATCCTCAATTTCAACAACCACAACAACAAAATCAGTACCCACAACAAACTGCACAACAAAGTGGATTAAGTTATGATCCATATCAACCACAACCAGGAGCTACTGGAGCAGTTTATGGACAAGGAATGGGTGGTTATCCTCCAGGAGCTGGTGCTCAAACTGGCTTGCCACAACAACAAGCAGCTGGCGGTGCAGCGTATGCGGGGTATGGTCAACCAAATAATATTGCATCAGGTATCCAATTTAATGCATTATATACCACTGATTTATCTCGAGATTTACCACCACCAATTGCTGAATTATCATTTCAACCACCACCGATCACAATTCCTGAAAGTGCAACCCTAATTCCAGGATCTAAAACTGCAAATGGTACACCAGATTATTTCAGATCTACTTTAAATGTTGTACCAAACAATTCATCATTATTGAAAAAATCAAAATTACCATTAGCTTTAGTTGTGAAACCATACAATGCATTGAAAATTGATGATGAGAATGTTCCAGTTACTTGCGATACAACAATTAGTAGATGTCGTCGTTGTCGTGGATATATTAATCCTTTCATCACATTAGCAGAAAATGGAAGACGTTGGAGATGTAATTTTTGTAATTTATTAAATGATATTCCAAGTGCATTTGAATATGATGAGATAAGTGGACAAGTGAAAAACAAATTTGACAGAGTGGAATTAAATCATTCAGTGGTTGAATTTATTGCACCAAAAGAATATATGGCAAGAGCTCCACAACCAATTGTATATGTTTTTATTATTGATGTATCTGTTCAAGCCGTTCAAACTGGCCTTACAGGAACCATTACAAGAACAATCTTGGAAAGTTTAGATAGAATTCCAAATGCAAACAAGACTGCCAGAGTAGCTTTTATTGGAGTAGATTCAACTTTGCATTATTTTAGATTTAACGAAGGTTTGGAAGGTACAGAAATAATGGTGGTTGCAGATATTGATGAACCATTTTTACCATCACCAGGAGGTTTATTAGTAAATTTACATGAAAATAGAGAAGCCATTGAAAAACTATTAATTGATTTTCCAACTTTCTTTGAAGGTAATGCAAATCAAGGTTTTGCTTTAGGTCCAGCATTAAAAGCAGGTCATAAATTAATTAGTAATGTTGGTGGTAAATTAGTATGTTTCACTGCTTCATTGCCAAATATTGGTGAAGGTAAATTAACTGTTAGAGATGAAGCAAGTGTTGCTGGTAAAGCTAAAGAAGCCAAGGCTTTACTCACTTCTGCTGACAGTTTTTATAAGTCATTTGCAGTCAATTGTAATTCATCACAAGTTACCGTGGATTTATTCTTAACTGCTTCAGCCTATCAAGATGTAGCCACATTATCAAATTTACCAAGATATACTGCTGGTCAAACACATTATTATCCATCATGGTCAAGCAACAGAGATGAAGATATTACTAAATTATCTAAAGAAGTAAGTGATCATTTATCACAAGATATTGCATTAGAAGCTGTTTTAAGAGTAAGGGGTTCAACTGGTTTCAGAATGTCATCATTCTACGGTAATTTTTTTAATAGATCCTCAGATTTATGTTCATTCCCAACTTTCCCAAGAGATCAATCTTATTTAATTGAAATGTCGATAGAAGAAACAATAAATAAACAAGTTGTGTATTTCCAAGCTGCTGTATTACATTCTACATCATTTGGAGAAAGAAGAATAAGAGTCATGAATTTAGCATTGCCAGTATCATCTAAACTAGTTGACATTTATGCATCAGCTGATCAATTGGCTATCACTGACTATTTCACTCATAAAGCAATTGAAAAAGCATTGTCTAGTTCATTACCTGAAGCAAGGGATTATTTGATTGCCAGAGTTGTTGATATTTTGAATATTTATAGAAAAGAGTTAGTTGCTGGAAATGTTTCTGGTGCTTCACCGTTACAAATATCTACTAATTTGAGAATGTTACCATTGTTATTATTCTGTTTAACTAAACATCTCGGTTTCAGAAGTGATAGAGTTCCATCAGATCACAGAGCTGCAGCATTAAACAATTTAGGATCAATGCCAATCCCACAATTAATAAAGTCTATATACCCTACCGTTTATTCATTACATAATATGCCAGATGCATGTGGTTTACCTGGTGTTAAAGAAGAAACAGAAGAAGGTGAAGATCAAGAAGAAGAAGTAACAGAAACAGATGTTGTGTTACCAGAACCAATCAACGATTCCAAGTCAAGTTGGGAAAATTATGGGTTATACCTTATTGACAACGGCAGTGAATTATTCCTTTGGGTATCAGGGAATGTTGTACCAGGTTTAATTCAAGACGTATTCGGCACCGAAAATCTTTATGAAATCCCAACAGGTAAAACAGAATTACCAGAATACTCAATTGAAGAAAGTGAATTTAATTACAGGGTACGTCAAATTATAGGAAAGATAAGAGAAAATGCACAATCGATAACATGGAAAAATCTTTATGTTGTTGTCGGGGCTTCTTCTAATGAACCGATAGAAATATCTCAACAAAGGGATTTAATGGCTTTACGAATGTGGGCCTCAAGTTGTTTGGTAGAAGATAAAATAGGTGGTGAACCCTCGTACAGAGATTTCTTGACTTCATTAAAGTCAAAGGTTAGTCAATAGAAAAGTTTTTATACTAAATATAATATTACGAACTTAAACTGGTTGAGAGGATTGTGATTTCAATCATTCTTTTCAATTTACTCTATTGATTCTTCTACTTGTGTCTACAAAACTTAATATTTTAAATAGACGACTGCTCGAATCTCAGTTCAAAACAATCAACAAAAGTATCAAAATAATTGTCAAAATAATGATGGTGAACAAACTTCCATTTTCTCTTGCCAATCGCCTAAACTCATTAATTCTGTTCGTAGCTCGAGCTAATCTAAAACTAGACCCGTCCACCCCTTGTTCCAAATCATTTAATATTATGATATGATCATCTAATTCATGATTGATATCATGACCCATCAGGTTTTGTCTCGAAATCAGTTGATGTAAAAAATCCAAATCTTGGTCTTGTCTCATCATAGTTTGTTGATGTTGTGCAAACATTTGGTGATTATTTATGTCTCTATATTGATCGTCTTGTGGATGTTCCGTTATATCTTGCTCAAAGTCTTTGTATGGTTTGAACTGATTAATGCCCATCTGAGATTCTGGAGAGTCTTCTTCGTCCGGTATGTCTTTGAATCGGACCGTCTTTGTCGTAGTATTACTTGGGTGGTTTGCAAAGTTTGTTTGTTTTTCAAACTTATATTCAGATACATCAATAGTTGAGTCCAGCTGTAGGCTGTTATATATATTATTATAGGCTTCGAGAAGTTCATCAAATTGGTCCTGAAACTCTACATTCTTGTTTTTCAATAAATAGTCATCCACTAACTTGAAGTATTCTGTAGTTTTGGTAAATAGTGTGATTAAATCAAAATTGTCATTAGTGGATGGTTCTAAATGTAATTTTGATAAGTTGTTTCTTTCTTCTATCAAATCTCGTATTTGATCAATATTTAACCTTAACTTGTATAACAAAGATTTTATTTCTTTTATTTTCACAGACGACATGATGATATCAGTCTTCAGTGGATTTGCAATTGTATATTTCGTATCAAGTAATAGTTGATAATGATTATTGAATACGCTAGATCTAATAGATAAGGCAAAAATCAATGTCGCTTCTAAATGCCATATTAAATATTTGACTTCAGACACTTAATTTAATCTACACTATAATAATATTCTAACTCATAAACTCGATCACCAATAATCACAAGCTTGAAATACAATCTCACCCGCTAGAATAAATTCTTCTTAAATCATTTTCAGAGCATTTTCAATTGTATTGCCTTGATTAAAGCATCTCCTTGGTGCATTGAAATTAATGTTCTCAAAAATTAGAAACTTTTCGGAGGATGTTGCAAAAAGTTTGAATGATTTAAATTTGTCAGATCAACAATTACAACAACAACAAAAACCAGACCCATTAGTTCAATTACAAAGAAATTCCAAACTACTACTGACAGAAACTCCAGACTCGAGCGAATTGATTCAACCGACAAATGACTCGGAAGTGCCATCAAGAATAACCACTCCAGCACCAACACCTATTAATAGATCAAATTCAAATATAGCGAGAGGTTCATCACCGAATTTGAATGATCTGACTTCCGTTCCAAAAGCTTCTGATGATCTAGATAATCTATCTCCGGTCATTAAATCAAAATTAAAGAAATTTGCAAAATATGAGGAGAAGTATCCAATATTATTAGATGCATATAAAATCGAAAAACGTAAGACAGAATTGATCAAAATATTTGAGAATGTTTTAAAGGAAAATACACCAATTTCTACTATATCCGATGCTAAAATTCTTGTGGAATACTTGAACGGTCTAAATGATAAGAATAAGTTGCAAAATAATGAAATTAGAAAGTTGACAAAAGACAATTCTGTGCTAACATTCAAAGTAGCGAAGTATGAAGGAGATGGAGAAGATAGTATGTTTAAAAGAATGGAAGATTTGAAAAAAGAAAACGAAAGTCTACGAAGTCAAATCCTGGATAATAGAAAGGAGTTTGACGAGTACAAAATTGATTTTGAGAATCGAATAAAAGAAAAAGATGAGACTATAGAGAAATTGAAGAGTGCAGAAAAAGGCGGAAGTGAGGAGAAAATTGATGGAGAGAATGATGATTTGGCTTCTCAAATTTCAGCATTAAGAAAAGAAGTTGAAATGAAAGAAGAAGAGCTTATTGATTCAAATCATAAAATAAATAACGCCAATAAAGAAATTTCAGACAAAAACGAGGAAATAGAGGAATTGAGAGATCTGGTTAAAGAAATTGGAAATGATTTAGTTTCAGCCAAAGATGAAATAAAAAACTTAAAAAATAAAAATGCCGAAAATGGTTCCAATGGAACTCATAGCAAAGATGAGAAGGACAACACTGTAAATATTGACACGTTAAATTTACAAATCACTACTTTAAAGAAAGAGGTAAATGAATGGAAGGATAAAAATAAACTAAAAACGGAAAAATTAAAAGAACTTAATAATAAGATATCAACTTTGGAAGATGAAAATAATAAAAATACTTTATCGAGCAAGCAATCGGAAAAGAATTTGAGGAAAGATATTCTACTTTTCAAAACCCAGATTAAAGAATTGGAATCAAAAGTGGAAAATGCTGAAAAAGAAATAGATGATCACAAGTCAGAAAGATCCAAATTGGAAGAAAGAATACTGGACTTATCGAAATTTAAAAGTAATGACACATCTTACAAACTAGAAATTTCATCTTTGCAATCATCTTTGAAACACAAGGATGAGGTATTAAAAGAATTGAAAATCAAATTAGATCAAGTGATGGAAGAAAACAAATCACTCAATCAAAAAATTGATAGATTGACAACATCAAACAATGATTTACAATCAAATTCAATGGAATACTTGAAATCTAAAAATGAGCTTTTAACAAAACAAGAACTTTTGATTGAGAATGAGAAAAATTTGGTGACTCAAGTATCAAAATTACAACAAGAGAAGCAACAAATCAAGACAGAATTGACAAGAACCAAAAATAAACTAGACTCTACACTAAATGAACAATCAGGAGCTAGCAATGATCTTTTGACGTATAAAAGGCAACATGACGAAATATCGATGAAAATGAAAGAATATAAGCTAAGAATAGAAAGTTTGGAAGATGATATTTCTGAATCCAGGAATTTATTACAGGAGAAAAATAGAGAATCAAGTAGTTTGAGAAGGTTGTTGGTAGACGCGGATGAGGTAAGGAAACAAAAAGAGTCGAACTATAAGTTGGAGGTAAGTAGAATACAAGATGAGAAATTAGAGTTTGAAAGATCAACATCTGTATTAGTAAAGAGAAAACAAAGGGAAATCGATGAATTGAAGAAGGATTTAGAAGAATACAAAGACAAAGTCAGTAATGCCGAATCCAAGTTAAAAGAATTAGAGACTACAAATACATCTCAAGCCAGTGGTAGTTTAAATGCTAACACTCCTGATGTCCAAATAAACTCCGACCTACAATCACAGATCACGACATTAAGAACAGCTTTATCGTCATCGTCTTCTAAGTTAAAAGATCTTGAAAGATTAAATATGAACTTGAAAAAATTGAACGAGGATCACATATTGAAGTTTGAAAGGCTATCTAAGAATTACAAGTTATTGACCCAACAGTATAGGCTAATGAAAGATCATAGAGAACAAGAACAAAGCCAAACAAGTTCGGCAACAAGTAGTAGGAATGGAAGTATACTTGATGTAGATGTGGTTAATCAAGATAACAATATCAACAAACAAGAAAATGCAAACGTCGCATACTTGAAGAATGTTTTGCTTGGCTATTTTGAGCACAAAGAGCAAAGAGATCAATTGTTACCAGTTTTAAAAACTATCTTTCAATTTTCCAAGGATGACGAAAACAAATTTTTGTTGGCTTTGAAATAAATAAATTGAAATGTTGCGTCTGCAAGACACTATACTAATCATTATTCTATTGAACATTGTTTTATGTGTAAAGTAGTAAATAGTTGAAATACTGAAAATTATTTTTGCATCTAAATACGTCTGAAAATGAAAAATTTGTATCAAATATCATGACAAAAATATCTCTTCAAAATGCATAACAACCTCAAAGCAATAATCCAATAATGTTAGATTCGTTTTTACAAAAGAAGCAGAACATACTAAGGGAGATATCTCAAAATGGTAATGATAATCTAGATGCATCACCAAAAGGTACAATCGATGAACATTGTATACCCATTATAAATTTGATAAATACCCATCCGAAAATGGTGACTACATCTTCGTGTTCTGGAAGAGTTTCCGTATATTTAGAAGGAACTCAGAATAACAAAATAATATCAAAGGGTAATGAAGGTAAATGGATATTCGTTACTCATGACACATCAAATTTGAAAAATTGGTATAAATCTATTAATTTGAACTACGACCTAACTAAATTTCCAACAAAGAATGCAAGGAAAATTCTATATAAATTCGAACCATTGATATTACATATAAAATGCAAGGACCTGAGCATAGCGAATACAATATATCAAATAGCAATGAATTGTGGATTTAGAGAAAGTGGCATTGGTAGTAATTATAATGTTGCAATAAGAATATCAATAAAATTAGATATACCGATTGGATATAAAGATGAAAAGCCGGATGACAACGGGGAAGAAGTATATCAATGCTTTGTAACCGAAGAGTATTTGAGTTACATTACCAAAGTATCATTTGACAGATTTGAAGAAAATTTTAAAAAATTGGACCAACTATACGCAGCTATTGATAAATTTATCAAAGAGTTCCCTGCCGATGAAGAGAACAATGTTGAAGAACTCCAAAAAAAAAATAAGATAAGGAAGGATGGATGGGAGAGTAAAGAAGAAAGAAGAGCTAGAATGAAAAAGGAGGGTTTGGATAGAAAAGAGCAGCTTAGACGAGCTAAATCGAACGAGCCCAATTTTGTAGTTGATGCTAGTACTTAGAACTTATAATACCAGTTGCATAATTCCTCATTATTCATCATTACATATACATAGATACTTTTTTATAAATGAGTAACTGTTTTAGCTAATGATTTTTGTACTCTTTTTATTTTTTCAAAATTTTCAAATCAGGTAAACTGAAAAGAGACATTCTCTACTATAGCTACATCAGTCAATTTCGAAATGTCTGCTCCTGTAAATATGGAAGACTTGTCAATCAAGGAAGAGCAAATTCAAAAGTCAAACGAACAAGCTCCTGAATCACAAGAAGAAGTCGTGATAGGTGAAGATGGTCAACCCTTATCAAAGAAGGCATTAAAGAAATTACAAAAGGAAAAAGAGAAACAAGCCAAAAAGGCTGAGAGAGAAGCACAATTAGCTAAAGAAAAGCAAGCAAGAGAGCAAGAAGCTGCAAATGATCCAGCTAAAGCCAACTATGGAAAGTTACCTATCATAAATTCATCTTCAGAATCAAATATCAAAAGAATTCAAATTTCTAATTTATCTGCTGCAAATGATGGAGAAACTGTTGTTTTCAGAGCAAGAATTCATAAAACTAGACAGCAAGGTGCAACTATGGTGTTTTTGACATTAAGACAACAAACTGATTCAATACAAGCTCTTTTAAAAAGTAATAAGGAAAATGATTCAAATGCTATTTCGAAACAAATGGTCAAATGGACAGGAAGTATTAGTTTGGAGAGTATTGTTTTAGTCGAAGGTAAAGTAGCTAAAGTTGATGAATTGGTTAAATCTGCCACTGTTCAAGATGCTGAAATTCATATTACCAAAATCTATACAATTCAAGAAACACCTGAACAATTGCCTTTGCTTATTGAAGATGCTTCAAGAACGGAAAAAGAAGCTGAAGAATTAGGATTACCAGTTGTCAATTTAGATACAAGATTGGATTCAAGAGTAATCGATTTAAGAACCCCAACAAATCAAGCAATTTTCAAAATTCAATCTGGTGTTTGTCAATTGTTCAGAGAATTCTTAGTTAACAAAGGATTTGTTGAAATCCATACTCCCAAAATCATCGGTGCAGCCTCAGAAGGAGGTTCAAATGTTTTTGAGATTAATTATTTTAAAGGATCAGCTTTCTTAGCTCAATCACCTCAATTATATAAACAACAATTAATTGCAGCTGATTTTGAGAAAGTCTTTGAAATTGCTCCAGTTTTCAGAGCAGAAAATTCAAATACTCATCGTCATATGACTGAATTCACTGGATTGGATTTGGAAATGGCATTTGAAGAACATTATAATGAAGCATTAAAAGTATTGGAAGAATTATTTGTTTTCATTTTCACGGAGTTGAAAAACAGATATGGGAAAGAAATTGAAACTGTCAGAAGACAATTTCCAGTTGAAGAGTTTAAATTACCAAAAGATGGTAAAATGGTTAAGTTGCATTTTAAAGAAGGTATTGAGATGTTAAGAAAAGCTGGAAAAGAAGTTGATGATTTCGAAGATTTATCAACTGAAAATGAAAAATTGTTAGGATCATTAGTTCGTGAAAAGTATGATACTGATTTTTACATTTTGGATAAATTCCCATTAGCTGTTAGACCATTTTACACCATGCCAGATCCAGAAGATCCAAGATATTCAAATTCGTATGATTTCTTTATGAGAGGTGAAGAAATCTTATCCGGTGCTCAACGTATTCACGACCCAGAGTTATTAAAAGAAAGAATGAAACAACATGAGGTTGATCCAAACGTACCTGGATTGAATGATTATGTTGATGCTTTCACCTATGGATGTCCACCACATGCAGGAGGTGGTATTGGACTTGAAAGAGTCGTTATGTTCTTTTTGGATTTGAAAAACATTCGTCGTGCATCATTGTTCCCAAGAGATCCAAGAAGATTGAGACCATGATCCTATGTATAGCGAAGTAATGTATCTACTAATTTGTAATGGGTTGTTTAACGAAGTTTTCGATGCAAGTAAGCTTATCTCTTCAATTTAGGCTACAATATCTCGTTTGACGGATTTTTGAATTAGCCGTTATAAATTCTCAAAAACCAAAACGAAATTGCAACTAATTATTAAATTGTCATCAATATCAAATAACTATCCAACCATGGAAGCAACAATTATACCGGATTCAAAATCCAAAGACTCTAACGCTCAAATTCTTTTGATGGGGTTGAGAAGAGGTGGTAAATCATCAATATGTAAAGTTGTTTTTCATAATATGCAACCGCTTGATACATTGTATTTGGAAAGTACAACAAAACCAACAAACGAACAATTCTCATCCCTTATAGATTTATCAGTTATGGAACTACCTGGTCAGCTAAATTATTTTGAGCCAAACTATGACTCAGAAAGGTTATTTTCATCCGTTGGAGCCTTAGTTTATGTTATCGATTCTCAAGATGAATACTTAAATGCCTTAACAAATTTATCAATGATCATTGACTTTGCTTACAGAGTTAATCCCAAGATAAATATTGAAGTATTAATTCATAAAGTGGATGGGTTAAGCGAGGATTACAGAATGGATGCTCAACAAGACATAATGCAAAGAACAGGTGATGAATTACTTGATTTGGGACTCGAAGGTGTTTCAGTTAGTTTTTATTTAACTTCAATCTTTGATCATTCAATTTATGAAGCCTTCTCAAGGATAGTTCAAAGATTAATACCTGAGTTGCCTTCTTTAGAACATATGTTGGATAATTTAGTACAACATTCCAATATAGATAAAGTATTTTTATTTGACGTTAATTCTAAGATTTACGTTGCAACTGATTCATCACCGGTTGATATTCAGACTTATGAAGTATGTGCTGAATTTATAGATATAACAATTGACTTAGATGATTTATATATAGAAAATGAAAAGAAAAATGGTGGAACAAATAGTGGTAATCGAAATATTGAGAATAATAGACAAGAATCAAAAGAATTGAAATCAATAAGTCATTTATCTAACGGTTCAACGCTATATTTGAAACAAATGATCAGAGGGTTAGCATTAGTTGCATTGATACGGAATGAAACGTTTGATAATGACTATATTGATCACTCACAAGAAGGAAATGAGAGTAGTTTAATAGGTACAAGTATATCAGATTCTGAAAAATCATTAACTATCATAGATTATAATGTCAATTTATTTAAAGAATCCTTGATGAAGATGTGGAGCAGTTATAGAAATAGTAATGATGATATAAAATTATAATTTGCCAAAAGAGTACACCTTTACTCTACATGAATTTTTTTTCTTTGAAAAAGTGATATGTATTATCGCCTCTATGTAGTCATGATCCAATCTAATGTGAAGTAAAAACAAATTGAATGAACATGATAAATCATCTTAGTATTTGATGAATGATGAAATCAAAAATTAAAAGATCCACACTCTCTGACCAACCAGTTTACCATGAAAAGAACAACCATCGTAGGGGACGATCATTCATATATCAAAGTAAAGGCTGATTAACCATTAATGAAAGTTGGCATTTTTCAATTCATAACGATCTCCTGAATCAAAAGGAAGAAAGAAAACGTTACTGAAATAAACCCGAAGGTTTAAATCTTTATCCGATAATCTTTCAATTCCCTTAATTCAAAATGTGCAGTGTCAATGAATCTAATGAATGATTACAAGACTACTTGATCTCTTGTAATATCTCTAGGTAAGTATGAAGAGAAAAAGAAGAAAGGGAAAAAAAGTAAAAAGAGCGAAATTTTTATTGATATTTATAGATCTTTTTTCGAGGTAGAACTTCATGTTAAAGACACGACTATTCAGCACAAGCTGAAATCTACTAAGACCAAATTTTACTAATGCATTTCAACTCTTGGTTATTATTGCTGGATAAATCTTGATTGTCTTACGAAAATTATTAAATCCAGAGTTTTACCTTCTTTAGTCAAGCAATTTTTATAAATATTTACCTATAGACCTAATCAATTCAATTAAAGACATTCAAATCTACATGAGTAGAGTTTGGATTTGCCTGGGTTCCTAATATAAACTTGTCCCCGTTTTTCCTGGCCAGAGGCACATGGTATAATTGAACCTATACCCGTGCACTTACCTTTGTTCAAATTCATTCCTCCTGTAGTGACAAACCCAATAACATTAAAATCCTTCAAATCATTACTAGAATAAATTCTAGCGTTGTTTTCGATAACACCATCCTTTAAAATTTCTAACTTTACTGCCAACACAGGTAATTTTACGTTGAGTATGGAACTCACGGGAACTGTTGTTGAAAATACTTCCTTATACAAAAATTCAAATTCCTTTTCTAATCCTTTTCCAATCTCGGTTTTATAAGTTTCTTTACCTGATGTTAATTTTTCTTCCTTTGCAAGCGTTTTAATATTTAAAATGCTAGTGTTATTTGGATTCTCACTATCTCCAGTTAGTTTTTCATTTTCAGATATGTAATACATATTTCTTAATGTAAACCAATCACATTTATAAGAGTTGAAAATCTCTGAATAATTTTCTTCCGACTGCTGTAATGTCACTTGACTTTTGGGTTTTTTGGAATCAAGCGTTTGTGCTATTTCACCAACAGCTTTATTATAGTCATCACCATCTTTTGTATATGGACAATCTGCAGGAAAAGATGGTTGTTCGTTTTCAAAATTAAATTGATATATTTGCTTCAACCCACCAGCTTTTATATGAGGAATTTTGACTAATTGAATCCAAAGAGGTAATACCCAGAACCAAGGACTAATTAATCTCCAATTAGCAGAACCAATTTTAGTCAATAAAATTGGAATATCACTATGAGAAACTTTATCAAATGTAGTGTTTGAATTAAAATACTTGCCTATTTCCTTTAATGATAACTGACTCTTATATGAATTTATTCTACCTTCTTTAGTCAACAATCTATTATTGATATTTGAATCAATTTTGTGAGATGAGTTGAGATGTACGACTGCGTCGTAAAGATTCTCTTCAGAACTTTTTGGGTAACTTGTGGGTCTTATCCAAAGCCTTGGATCATAAATGCTTAAAGCAAACGTGGTACCAATCGGTATCAATGCATTATCTTTACTTGATATCATCGAGGCCCATAAATTTTTGAAATCCTCAGATTCTTCTCTAAAATGTAGTATCTTACTCAAACATTGTAATCCCAAGGGACCACGAACATCTATGCTTCCCAATGCATAACTGCAATCCACGATTTTGAATTTACTGTCTAGCCCCACTTTCAACGATTCAACGAATTCTTTGAAGTAATTCGTAGTATCTAACTGAACCAAAATAGTAGCATTTGTTGGATCGAAATATACCAAACCTTTGTAATCTGGTTCACTTGCATCAAAGGAATTGATCCATCCGTAAAAAGACTTTTTACCTTTCAATAAATATCTGTCTGATGAATTAGTTAATCGTACGAATAGGAAAGATAAGTCCAGTTTGAAATTACCCTCTGAACTATTTTCAGAGGCAGTTATAACCAAAGTTCGTTGATATGAAGTGTCGAAACAAACCGCTCTGTGTTTGACTTGTCTATTCATCAGCTTGAAACATTTTTGGGTTGGCGTGTAAGGAATTTGAAATCCATATTTTTTGCTCATTTGAAATCTTTTTGCATGCCATATATGAGTTGGAAGCCAAACAAATTTCTTTTGTCGATTTCCATATTTTACACTGATCGATGGTGGCTCTGCCAAAGCATTGTCAGTTGATAGTTCGACCGATCCAACAGAATTATTAATTTTTGGACCAACTTCAGTAGTAATTTGTTTAATCTCCTTACCAACTTCCCGAAACTTTTTACGAACATTACCATTTTTTAAAATTTCATTTAAATTCAGTCTATCGTTCTTCAATCTTGAAGCAACTTTTAAAATTTTTTGTCTCTGTAATAATTTATACAATTTTCTTCCCTTGGGTACGTTTTTTGTTGGTGATAAAGCTCCTTTCATTTCTCTAATAGCTTTGGATCTAAGTCTCTTGGGTATTCTGGAAACATTATGAGATGCAGCTCTTCTCCTCATTACTCTTGGTAAATTTTGAAAACATCTTGATGACAATGCTTGTTTACTTTTCAATTGCGATAATTCAAATGAGTTTATTTCATATTTACGTGATGATATAAAATCAGGTACGTTTAATTTATTCTCTTTCTTGTCGTATGATGAATCAGCATTTTGAGATTTTATAGTTCGACTGTTGTATAATCTTGTCTTTTTCTTGTTGAAATGTTTTTTATCATTGCCTTTCTTGGAATTATTGTTGTTCATGTAGTAGGAATAGATTGGTTTAACTATGAATTAAATGTGAAAAAAAGGTGAAACACAAAAATTAAATTATTCACTTATTGATTTTAAGGATGAGAATGAAAATGGATCTCAAGGATGGAGCTATCAAAGCTCAACAGACGAGATATAAAAATAGATTAGGTATAGATGAATCAAGTTTAGTGGAAATATTGGAGGGATGAACTCTGTCAGTTGTGTGTTGAAGTAAAAAAAAGATATAATGCTGAAAGTTCAATATGCTCTCAGCAGGATTCGAACCTACGATCTCCTCATTACTAGTGAGGTGCCTTACCAACTTGGCCATAAGAGCAATGTACAAAACAAACATAGGCTAGAAATAACCTACCTGGCTGTGTTTTGCCTGATTCACTCGCTTCTCATAGCTATATTTAGAGCCAAAAAGGGGCTGAACGCGCCATCGATACTGAAATCCTTCATACTCACGACGAAGATAGGAAGACAGATAAATGTTTTGCATTTGGTAGCCGCAAAAATTTAAACTTAAATTTATAATGAACTGAAAGTTGATATTACATCAAGTCATTTAAAAAAAGTGATTCCATTCTTTAAAAAAATCCCCAGTTTTTAGATTAGTCCATGGACGATTCGGTCAGATCTTTAATTAGATTTGTTAGTAGAGGATTTTATTCTACTCCATACATCTTAATTTTAGATGCAGTACTTCGACATTCTGTATTATCAGAAGATGATTTAATCCATTTACTTGGTATTAAAAGAAAAGAATTAAGATCATTATGTAATAAATTAGTTGATGATAGATTATTAGTAAATCATATACAAAGAGAAGATAATGGACAACAAAAATATGTTACAAGAACTTATTTTTTTATACATGTTACTGAAGCTATTGATTCAATTAAATGGAAAGTTCATTCGATTGTCAATTTATTAAAACAAGAAATGTCTACTTTTGGAAATCCACAAGGTTATGTTTGTCCTCGATGTGGAAGGAAAGTTTCACAATTGGATGCCATATCTTTGTTAAGTGAAGATAAGACTGAATTTATATGTGATGTTTGTCAAGGAGTATTGATTGAAGATGATTCATCACAACAAGCTATATTAAAACAAGAAAAATTGGAAGATCTTATGTTACAAATTGATCCAATTATTAAATTTTTAAAAATAATTGATGAAAATCAAATTACAGATAATGATTTTGAAAGTGCTTTATTACAAGCTATTCCTGCACAATCAACTACATCAGCTCAATATACTTTATCTAATAAAGTTAGTAATAAATCTAGATCAAATGCTCAACAATTACAAGCAGCAGCTGCAAAATCACAAGCTACTTTACATGTCTCAATTACTGCCAATGATGAGAATTATGAGAAAGAACAAGAAGAAAAAGAAAGAAGAAGACAAAAATTGGAACAAAATGCATTACCTTCATGGCATTCAAATAGTACTGTGGGTAATAAACAAAATGTAGATTATGTTAAAGATGAAGACTTAGATGATATGGGAAATAGAAATGAGGAAATTCCAGAGATTAAAGAAGAAAAAATCAAGACTGAAGAGTTAGATGATGATGAAAACAACGGGACTGATATGTCTTCAGTACTACCAACTCCAGAACCATCTACTGGACCAAACGTTCAATCATTGAATGAAAATACTGGCACATCAGATTTGAAAGATAAAGAATCACAAGATGCTTTAGCTGCTTATTATGCTCAATTAGCTGAACAAGATGCAGATGAAGATGAAGATGAAGAAGAAGATGATGACGATGATGAAGATGATTTTGATGATATAGTATAACTAATTCTATTTAAGTACTTTTATTTTAGTCATCTAACGTTTTCTTAGTGTTGATTTATTATTATTTTTTCTACCTGTAGCATGACTTTGTCCAGGATTTGGAGTTCCAGAATTTGAAGAATCAAGAGAAGAACTTAAAAATTTATCAATATCATCGCTCCTATCAATTTGAGCTTTAGCATTAGCTTTTCCTTCTTGTCTTTGTTCTAAAGTTTTGAAAGCATCTTGTATTGGAACATCTTTAAATTGTGCTGCAAATTCAGGGTTTACCCATTCAGCTACATAAGGTGCAATCATTAATCCAATACAAACAAAAAAAAGCATAGTATATACTTTATTTTTGAATATAAAACCTAATGGAGAATTTAATAACATTTGCATTAGTGTACCGTTAGATCTTTCATAAAATTGTATATAATTTCTAAAACTTATTTTTAATGGTTCATTGGAAGATAGTTTTATGGTTGTTTCATTTAATGAGGGTGATCCTAATTTATCTTCCAAAATTATAAATTCATCATTTGTAACATTAATCTTAAATCTATTTTGAACCAATTCAAAATCATATGGATTTATTATGAGTTCATAATTATTATCATTTTGTAAATTTTTAAATTTTATATTATAATTTTTATCAGCTATGGATTGTTGAATTGGTTTAAAATTAATATTTTTAAATTTTTGATTTGAAGTTGGTAAAAGATATAATTGTGCATTTATTCTATTTGTATTATCTAAATTTGGAATTTTTGATTTATGTAATTGTGAAATATCATTTTCTACCTCAAGTGGAATGTTTTCTAACTTAATATTCAAATCTAACGCATTCGCTATAATAAGATGGATTAATGAGATGATTAAAATTGAAAATCTCATTGTGAAAAAAATTTTGAATTTTCTAAGACTAATGTGAGTCAGTAAACAACTAATTAACTATTTGGTTGAAGGCAATGCTTAAATCTAGTTGCTTGAAATGTGAATAGTAAACTCACAGTCAGATTCAAATTCAAATTTGATTTTTGATAAAAACTCGAGCGCCGCATACAAGTTGGTAGCGATAATTAAATGCTATAAATTGAATCAATTAAAATTTTCAAAAACTCTTCGACCAACCTTTTTCTTCTTCTCTTCTTCTCTATTGTACATGTATGTGTATTATTGTAGGGCGACAATTTCAAAGTTCATATGAATAATCTATTTTACGATTGCTGCTCTCTACAACGCATACTATAGTGATACTAGGAAAACCTTTTTAAAAAGTCTTCTTAGTCAAGGAAAATACGGGCGTGGTTGAGTCCTTCATATTTTTTGAGGATTGTTTCAACTGAGCATTCTAGCCTCCAAACATTTTGAAACCTTTTATAATTACTCTTTTTGAAGAAATGTGAAAGTTGTTGAAGAAGTAGTTGCGAAAATTAAGAGAGTTTGCTATTTATCTAATCAAACTTATCAAAAGATTAATTACTTTTACGTTAATTATTATATTGTAAGAACTATTCTACTATATGTATTTACTTTATTTAGGTTTTAAACTTCTAGAACCCCAACGATCATAACAATACAATCCTATACCAATTAAAATTAATCCAATAATTTGTTCAAAAGTTAAATTATTTATTTTTGATGAAATTAAATCAGATCCATTATTATTAAAATTAAAAGTTAATAAAATACTTATAGTAATTAATACAATTCTTTTTAACATTGATGCTATTGAATAAGATAATGCTGGAATTGAACCAAGTAAATGAAATGCTAATAAAGTTTGTAAAAAATGTGATAAACTATCTAAAACAATTAATATCATAATTTGTAAAAATTCAGTAGTATTTGTTTGTGGAGTGGTAGAATCAATTGTAGTAGATATTGTTAATTGATTATATAATGATGGTAATTCATTCATTAAAAATCCAGATATTGAAAAAGATGAACCAATTAATGAACAATATAATATTATAGTTAATTTATCAGGTTTTGATATTTTATTTAAATCGAATTTTTCAACGAGAAATCCAAATGGATTATTTATGCTAAGATTATTATTGAAAACTGCATTTTGATATGCTGTGGATGTTGGTTTTGAAGATTGTTGTAAAGGAGGAGTTAAAAGATGATTTTCTTTCATTTGATCTAATGATAAATCTGATGTTGAATATGGTAATTTTAATGAATTTGATCGTTGTTTGAAATTTAGATATTTGAACCCATTTGAATCATTATTTTTTGTTTTATGATCATTTTCATTATATGGACCATCATTTACAGATAATTTTTCTTTATCAGCTATATGTTCAATTGATGGTTGTTTTTGTAAATGAGGTTGAAAATATCCATTTTTTTCATTTTCATCTTGAAATTTAAAACTTGGTATAAATGGAGTTGAAGGTCTTGAAATATCAGTATTTAAAACTAATGAAGCAGGATTATGTAATTTTTCATCATTATTATCCCATGTAATTAATTGTTTTCCATAAATATTTTGTCCAGCAAATATTATAGTACTAATTAAACATAAAAGTATTCCATTAATTTGTTTTTGATCTATTTCATTATCATCATTCGTCAATAAATTTGTTTTAGAATTTGGGTTTTTTATTGAATCTGAAGTAATAATTAATATCACTCCAAGAAGTAATGGGACTAATGATAAGTAAGTTATAACAGGAAAAATGACTTTATATATAATTCTGTACCCTAGTACTATTAATAAAGGACTTAATGCTTTTATACTTGAAATAGTTGGTAACGGAATTAAAGAAGTTGCACTTAATGAAAAATATTTCCCTAAAAATTGAAATAAACCTAAGGGAAAAATTTTCAAAAGAACAGCAATTGATAGTATAGGTTTATCATGGGTTTCAATTGAAGGTATACTACCCTTGGGAAAATGGTTTATTAAAAATGGATTTTTTCTACTAATCAATATGAATATATAAGCCAAGAGAGCACCTATTAGAAATTGACATTGTGATAAAAATAAAGGATATGTGAATTTAGTTAAAATTATCTTCGTTAGTTGTGACGTTATTGATGAGACTAGATACCATATCAAACATGTAATTATAGTTTTAATTGAAATTGGTGGTAGTATATCATTTGTAAATAAGAATTTCATTTGGCAATTTGATGACTTTGATTAATATTTTCAACAAGTCAATCGTTTGTTTTGATGAGATGAAAGACTCCGTAAAGTAGTAGATTGTAGAATTGTGAATGTGCGTCTTAAGTCTCGAACCGTTGATTGAAGGTGTTAATTATAGTAGTTGTTTATGAATGGTGTCTTATGTATATGTATTGAATTATATAAATATATTTTTGCTATTAATAATTTTTTATTTATTTATTTTATCTTTATAGAATTTTAATTTATTTTAGTAAAAAGTTAAGATACGAGAAATTTTTAATTTTGTGTAATTATATTCTACATTAGACTAATTCTAAATTCTACAGTATTAAAGTTTTATAGTTATCTCAACTTCTACTCTCAAGAGTTGTTGTTAAGTATCAGTATTGTATCTTTGCAAAAGCAATTGGCTGTTAATAAAATCATATAAAACTAAATAAGGGGGCAGCTTTTAAATCATCCAGCATTCTCAAATGCAATGTTGCTTAATTGCTCCGTAATTCAATAGAATCCCGGTTAAATAAACGTATACAAAGACTTTAGAACACAAATACTCCATTATTTATTGCTAAATATGTGAAGTCATATTTACTTCGTATTGGTGGGCTTTATTATTTACTTGAGCACCATCAAACTCTAATAACGAAAGGTTGAATCTTTTAATGTTAGTCTTTCTGTGTAGCTTGAAAAACTTGTAAACTTTTCAGATAAATTTTGTTGCAAAACTGAGCTTATAAGTAACTGACTTGTTACTTGAGCCAATAAATTAATCAAAACTCGGTGCGTAGTTATTCATATAGTCGGGCAAGCTGGTACTTTTTTAAGTCTATCTACATCCTCCCTGAATCAAATGCTAGTTGTAACAATTACTTGGATTTGCTTGTGAACATTTCGAGTCATTGACTAGGACTTTTTAGATGATAGTCGGAAGCCTCCAAGATACATTATATTTGATTCTTGTCTGTACATCGTGAAGCTGGTTTCAAACGCTAAAGCTTGGTGAGCTCTCAAATACAAGAATTGTTTAATTCCAAATTCTGCTCATTAATGAAAGGGGTGTATTCGATATCAACACAAATTGGATCTCAATTAACCAACGTTTTACGGTTTAAAGTTTCAAGTATCTTTTGATCTTGAGGTTGTATCATTTGGTAGATTTATCCTCACACTCTTGTGACTTGAAATATCAATGTTGCAAGTTGTATGAATCACGAACCGATTTTGTGTCCACTGATTAAATAGATAAAAATCTTAATAGACAAAATTAAACTAAAATTTCGAGTAATCTATCTTAAAATTCTATTCGAAAACTTGCATGAGGGCTATATCAACTGTAGCAGTTAAACCGTTATGTCAACGATTTTATTCCATAGCAATACCAGCCACAGGTGTTGAAGGAAGATTACCACTTTATGATACGAATAAACATATTAAACCGAACAACATAAACCAAGCAGTAACCATCACTGATCCATTTCAAATATATCAAAATTACATACTGTTGGGAATACTAGAGAAAGATGAGTTACAATTAAGAGTCATGAAAGAATTTCAAAAACTTTATCATAGAGTGATTGATTATACACCACCAGAAGAATTGTCAATTAAATTAAGTCTACTATTGAGAGAAATTGAAATTAAACAATCTGAAATCAATATGAGAAGGCGAAGTAAATCACCATTCAAGTTTTTAAGTCAAAATCCAGAAAAAACAAAAAAATCTTTGGTCAAGTTTATGACGGATGAAGAGGAACTTTCAAATTTTGCTTCACCTCAAGGTTTACTAGTTCATGGTGATGTAGGAAGTGGGAAATCCCTACTAATGGATATTTTTGCTTCATCATTGCCACATAAATCTAAGATGAGGTGGCATTTTAACAATTTTATACTTTGGGTATTCAATGAAATGCATAATATTCAACAACATAGGTCAAAAATAATGGATCATACAGAGCTCAAACATACCATGGAAAATGAATTTATTTTATATGAAATTGCTCAAAAAATGATTGCAAAAAACACAATTTTAATGCTTGACGAATTCGTATTACCTGATATAGCTAGTGCTAATATCATTAAAATATTATTTACATTTTATTTTAAACTTGGTGGAGTTTTGATTGCAACCTCCAATAAATTACCAGAAGAATTATACTCCACACAATTTCATAAATTAAAGTTCAAAAGCTTTGTAGGAATATTGAATTCCAGATGTCAAACTATTGATATGAAATCAACAAAAGATTATCGAACCTATTTTGCTAGTGAATCTAATCAAGAGCCTTATTTGGTTGTACGTAGAGATAATGAAGCAAACCAAGATCAAATATGGGATCATTTAATTAAGACAAAAGCATTAGGCATACCAGAAGATTCTAATTTAATGGACAAATCTTTGAAAGAACTTGGAAAACCATCGGAAGTACGAGTGTATAACAGAACCACTAAAATCCCACTAAGTTTCAATGACGATACAATTTGTTATTTAGATTATGGCGAAATATGCCAAGGTTTAACCTCATCTTCCGATTACATAACAATCACATCCAAGTACAAAACCATCATCCTAGACAATGTACCCATAATGACAACAAAAATGAAAAATGAAGCACGAAGATTTATTACTTTATTGGATGCCGTTTATGAATCAAAATGTCAATTTTTTATGAGAAGTCAAGTCGATATTGACTACCTTTTCTTTCCTGATGCGTTAAAAACTGAAGATAAAGAATTCCAAGAGTACCTCAAATTACATTTAAAATCAGAGGGAAATGAAGATAGATTGGAGGTTCAAGACGAAGAAATGTTTGCTAAAACTTCAATTGCAATGCTGAATCCATATAGACCAAACATTGTCTCTTATGATCTGGAAAAGACAGAACATTATAATGAGCCAAGCTCCACGAGAACTGTTCCAAAATCAAATTATTCTAATATAAAAGCATTTCAAGGAGATGATGAAAAATTTGCATTTAAAAGAGCTGTGTCAAGAATCAAAGAAATGGTTTTATCTGATAATTGGAGAAAACAAGATCGTTGGATTTCATTGCATGATGAAATGAGACCTTGGGAGAATGTTAAAGATAAATCAGTTTCTAAGGTCATTCCATCGACAAATTTCACGAGTAATGATGACAAAAATATGGAGAATTTAATGAAGGATAATTCTATGAAAGATATTATTGAAAATTTAAGTGTTACGTTACCGAAGGACTATACTCAAAGTAAAAACATTCCATTCAGATTATTTAACTCAAAAATAGCACCTATTTTTGATAATTTACAAAATTTTTGGGCAATGGGTTCATGGACTAGTTCACAGGGTAAAAGATTGAAAGATCGTATAGGACGAAGTTGGATTAGATCTAGTATTAGAGATCATAAATAGAGGTAATAGACAAAAAATTTAGACATAGCTATATGAGGTTTTCTTCTCAAACGGTATCTAATCAAGTTCTCCGACCTGTCTAGTTTCGTCTCGTCTCTCTCGACTTAAAAGTACTTTACGAGAAGATTGTGGGGAAGAATTTTTTAAAATATTTTTCCAGACAAAGATCCACGGTAATTTTTGTGTATGTAATTTTTATACAATCAAGATCTGATCAACAAATCATCAAAATAATTAAAGCTATCAAAACATCAGCATGAGTATATTGACAGCAGAGAGACTAGTCAGATTAGCATATAAGTATCCAAGTTTGAAAAACACATGGTATCTAATAGCTACCGCATGTTTGACAGTGGTAAATCAACCACAAGAAATACCAATAGTTTATCATTTTGCTTTACGTCAACAACTACTAGATAATTTTCCATCATCGACTTCAAATGCATCAAGTGATAACTCAACTCAATCTCAACCTTCTTCCACAAATTCAACTAATTTATTAACTAATCGATATTTGATTCAATTAGCTCAAGATTCAATAAATTCAGCAAAAAAGTATGAAGACTTATCAGCTGTAGGAGTTAATTTACCCGATATATTGATTCCTCATACATACTACGAAGAATTACCTTTGAAATTTAAATTCTCCAAAAATACTGATATACATATGATGCAAGATCAATTGACTTCAAGGTTTAGGGAAGTGATTTTGAAAAGTGTAGCCTTGAGTGGATTACCAAGAGCTATTAATGCATTAATGATTTTGAAAACCGTTACTCCGACAAATTTAAAGACTGGAGTTGCCCCGGAACGTCCTTGCATTGTACGTCCTGGTCATATCCCATCAGCATCCATTGTAAGTGAGGATGTTAATGGTACAAGATTTGATAAAGAAGATGATGCATCAATAGATACTATTGATGGACCAATATCAGAACAATCTATAAATATTCAACAAATAACCTCAGATCTAATAAGAGGTTCAAACTTTTGGAATGCAGTATACACAAAAATTAGTAATAGAGTAAAGAATCAAATGTTGACTGCTTATCCTGACTTATGGTATTTTGCTTATCATCATGTATATGCTCCATTATTAAGTTTTACAAAAATAATTTCCGCAAAAGAAACTTCATTGTGTGTAGTTGCTTGTTTAATACCACAAGATGTTAATCCACAATTGAAAGGGCATTTGAAAGGAGCTTTAAACAATGGAGCAACTAAGGAAGAATTAAATGATGTGAGATCTCTAGTTTTTAATATTTGTGATTGGACTGGTGGAGTTAAATGGAAAGAAGGAAAAGAAAATGTTGCAAAATTGTAGAAGCATCGGTTGAAAGTTATTAATATTTGATAGAATAATGATACGATTACATGTATATTATGCTTCTCTATCGTTGAATAGGCTATCGCTCTAATCCAGACTGGGTTATCAAAATTCTACCCCAGATAATGTAAATAATAGCACAAAACTAAATTCTACAAAATCACATTCTTCCATGATCAAAATTAAACCAAAGAATAAATAAACCGTTTAATCCACAACCATTATATTACAGTACCTACAGATATGGTTTTATTGACTCCTGAAAGACTACTCAACCTTGCATATCATTACCCAGATTTACACAATACGTGGTACCTAATAGCAACGGCATCATTATTGGAATTAAATTTGATTGATGAAATTCCTATAATTTTACATTTTGCATTAAGACAACAATTATTTGAATTTTCCAAGGATGAAGAAAGTGTTGTAAGAAATGAAATTATGATAAAATTAGCCCTGGATTCAATAAAGTCCAGTGAACGTTGTGTTAGAATGTATTCTACTGGTGTGAAAATTCCTGATGTTTTAATACCTTTAGCTTATCATAGAAAAATTCCTTTAAATTATAAATATAATCGTGGAGAAGATATTATTAGGAAGCAGCAATTTATTGTAAATCAAATCAATGAAGTAGTTTTGAATTTAGTTTCGATGTGTGGTTTACCAAAGGTGATCAACGGTTTGACTGCAATAAAAGCAGCTACGCCAACTAGATTATCTAATCATGCTTTGAAACGGATTAATGAAGTGAATATTATTCCAAATGATCCAAATGGAGTTGAAACAATCGATGGTCCAATTTCGGCCTCATCAATTGATACAAAAGTTATAAAATCAAATCTTATACGTGGGTCCAATTTTTGGAATTCAATTTATACAAAGGGTGTAAATATAAAGATAAAAAAGCAAATGATAAATGCAAGTCCGGATTTATGGTACTATGTATATAATCATATTTACTCGTATTTGTTAAGTTATAACACCATTTTAACTGCCAAAAAGACTTCATTGGTTTTAATAGCTTGTTTAATAATTCAAGATGTGACTCCTCAATTAAAAGGACACTTGAAAGGGGCTTTGAATAATGGTGCTTCAGAGGCAGAAATTGCAGCCACCAAAAAAATGGTGTTGGAAATTTGTGAATGGAACGGACACTCATGGAAGAATCAGGTCAATAGTGTAGCTAAGTTATAGTGAATTTTATAGAGTAAAGTCAAGTTAATTAGTTCAAGATATCTTGTTCTCTTTTACAATTTGAGCTACAGATGTCCAAATCACTTATTTACCGTTTGATTTATTTAAAAAATTATCCCATTAGATTATAGAATCACAACTTGATTCTACTCTGTCTCTTAATCAATAAGATCTGTAATCCACAAAATGCAAAGAATCCCAAATATACAAATACACCACCAAAGACAGTTCTAGCAACGGCTTCACCATCTTCAGGATCATTTATTGATCCCATAAGTGACTCACTATTTGATTTGAATAGAAAGCCTATGACAGATAATATAACTATTGCAAATGCTGATAATATGAAGCAACAATAAGCTTGAAATGTGGATACTACTGGTTTCATATTATATAACTATTGTTGTTGATAATTGTTGAATACTCGAATGTTTAAAACAATGGTTTTCCTTTGATATAGCTAATGGTAATTATAGAAATTAAATAAATATAGGTTTTGAATTATGACTTTTGTGGTATTGACAATGGTATTGGATTGTTAATGATAGCTTTGGTTATCAATTTTGACTTCATCAATATTAATTTCAAGCAACACCAAAATAATTTTAAAAAAGATTTGGTAGCGAGCACTATCGATTGATTTATAAAAAGACCTTCTTCGCTAGATTATATAGAATGAATAGAGCTATTGAAAAGCAGTTAGCAATGAGGGTTAATCTAAAAAGAGACAACTTACTGGCGGTAACTCTTCAAAATTGAAAGATATTTTAATTGCATTCAAGAAAAAATCAACCATTTTTAGACAGGCCTTTTGCTTTGATTTACCTCAATTTGAACTCATATACCTTTCACATTAGAAAATATCAACTTCAAACATATACAAATTACGTTTGAATTTTGGTTGGTGACCACCTGAGCTTATTTTTGGTTTAATTAAAAATATTTTCGAAAAAATGGGTTCAACATATTGTTTTATTTGCAATCGGAGCTGAAATACCCCAAAATCCTTTCGAAAAAGTGGTAGCCACCACTGATTTGACTAAATTAAATTTGCAGCAAGATTTTTGAGTAATAAAACAGGTCAAAGGAAATGCTTAAAGCTATCAAAATATCTTGAGTTCAATTGGTTCCTTTTGGGAACTGTGTTTGGGAAAAATCGTTCATATCGTACCTAAACAAACTAACTAAAACTTTGTTACAAATCAACATCATCACCTTCTTCCTCATCATCTAAATTTATAGAATTTTGCTCATTTTCTCCACCACTTGCTAATTTAGTCTTTCCACGTTTCCTTCTTTCCTTAATCAGTTGAATAGTTTTATAAGTATCTTTCAAATCATGCAATCTATTAGCTATATTTATTGTATTTTTCAACCAATCAAGTTCAAGTTGTTGAGATTTTAATAGTGTTCGATTATTTCTTGATTTCTCCTTTACTTCTTCCTTTTCATTACCTTTTATTATAGCTTTCATGAATTCGTCATATTTTGATATTTCTTCTAAAGATTCAAGAACTGTTTTTCGATTGACTTTCGGTGTTGGGTGTTGTTCTTGTTCGATAACAACTTCAGTCTCGGTTGGTGTCTGTACCGGTGATTCTGCTGGTAAGGGCATTGGTGCTGGTGTAGATTTTGGTGTTGGTGTAGGTGATGGTATTGGTATTGGCGAGACTTGTTCAACGTGTGAATCTTCTTCTTCATCTTCTCTTTCATTCTTTTCTGTCTCTTTTGGTTCAAATTCTGGTACTTCTGCTAGTAGTTCGTTTAATTCTCTTTCCAAACTATCTTCTCGCTCTTCTTTATCTGGTAGTTCATTTTTATTATCATTATTTTCAACTGATGATGGTTTTTCAGTCGTTATTCGTTTGGTAGGTTCATTTGGTTTGTCGATAACAGCAGAAGTATTTGTGATTTTGTCTTCTAATGGAGTGTCATTTGTATCAGAAAGATTAATTTCTGGAAAATTATATTCAAAATCTTGTTCTGACAAATTTAAATCATGTTCAAGTGGAGCATTTATTTTTGGCAGTGGGGTTCCTGTGGATTTTGCATGTTCTAAATCTGATTGTAGCTGATTTTTAAGCGGCGAAGAGGAAACTGATCTTGATGAATCATCTATTTTTTCGTCTAAATTTGTAATTTTTGAACTTATGATATGAGGTGATGTAGTTCTTGATGTAGTTGATAAATCTTTGGGTTCATTAGATTTTTGTTTTGAAAATGGTTCCAAATTTTCTTCTTGCATTTTATCATCATCCGCTATTATTGATTTGCTTGATTTGTCTCGAGTTTTTTTATCGGAATACTGTAGTTTAACAATTTTTGAAGGAGTTAACATTTGCAATTTTTTCGGAGTGGTTTTTATAGATACAAATAAATTGGAATGTTGTTTAATTGGTGTTGTTATATTTGATGAATGTGTGTTTTTATTTTGTGGTGATGTAGGTGTTGTTGAATTGGAGGTATGTGATGATGATGACGAAGGTAGTGAGATAGGTTCGTCTTTGTTGTTTTTCTTGAGACTGATATAATTTGAATTTATTGGTTCATTTCCTACATCGATCATAGGTTCTTCATTAGTTCCCTCAAATTCATTACTGATCTTCATCGAATAGTATTTTGAATCTGAATCATCATCCAGTATTGATCGACGTTTTCTTGCTTTATATTTTAATGTTACAAACATGTATCTCAACACGATGGTTGTTCAATTGATAAGGTGAAGAAAAGTTGTAATAATAATTTGCAACTTTGATAAATGTTAAACGAAGGGAAAAAAATTAATCTTACAATAATAATAAAATTATAATATGAAACAAACTACTTATACGCATTTATCATACAGCAATTTTTAACAGATCAATAATATCCATCTGTAGCAATTCGCCATCAAGGTATTCAACTTTCCAAAATGGTAACAACTCAACTTATACCTGATGAAAAGAATCAACCACTAGTTGAAGCGTCAGAACAAATATCAAATATAATAGAATCATTCATAGAATTAGGAATTTTAGTTCATGATAATCAAGGAACTTCACAATCAAATAAAGCTTTAACAACAAAATTACAATCATTAATTACTCAATTAAGTAAATTAAATGATATACCTAATTTGAATCAAAAATTAATTCCATTAGATGTTATGTCATATATTGAAGATGGTAGAAATCCAGATATTTATACAAGAGAATTTATTGAAGTTAATGCGAAACTGAATGCAAGGATAAAAGGTAAGATGAAAGGTTTTGAGAAATTAAGAGATGTTTTAGGTGATAAATTAGTTAATGAATATCCGAAATTGGAAGTTGGAGTAGAAGATATTAAAAAAAGAACAGAATCAAATGGATTAGAATGATATGGTCATCCAGTATTAATACCCCTTCATATTTAAATCATTCGGTCAAAAATTCACCTCAAGGGATAAAGCAATCCAAGGATTACGAGAATTCCATATATTATGTGGAGGTATGTTCGTTACCCATTACAGTTGGAACCTATATTCATTTAGTACGACCTTATCGGTGATATTCGTTTTGGACAAAACTTTGTAGGGGGATTCATATTGTCAACGTCAGGCTCGAGCATTTAAAGATGATAAAAGGATAAACTATTCTCCAATCGCCAATAAACTGGCTGAACTGTAACCTGGTCAGAAAGAATTTTCAGTGTTTTGCTTGTATATGAGTAAAAGTGGTGTTGTCTATCTTTGATAAATGCAAATTTATTGTAATAACTTAGCATTACGATCTGACTAAATAATAAGAATGAGGTCTACCATAAAATTATTAACAATGTTAAAAAAATTTAAGTTTCAAGTTTACGGTAACATTTACGAGATAATATATAGATCTATGTTATATTGTCAATATAAGTTGTAGTAGAATAAAATAGATCAAAAAAAACAATTACTTTTTACCGATTCTCGTATTTATATTCATCTGTCACGAGTGATGTTATTGTTTGTCGTACGGTTTTCTGCTGATTCTTTAATGCTGGTTGTATTGATTTGATTTAAACGTTAGCGAATTTTGATGCAAAAAAATGGCTGGTTTTGACGTCAATATTGATGTCAAAGTAATACAAGATTCAAAGCCCAATTATCTAGTCTAACGAAGAAGAGAATAGAGTTTGAACGTCCAGAGTCTCAATTAGTATATACAATTATCCCATATTTTTTTTTCACAAGGCTAATGATGTGTAGTGTTGGTATATCTTAATATAAATCAATCTATTTCTCAGTTGCTACCAAATTCAAAATTTCTTTATTTCATTCAATGGATTAGAGGTTATGAATTCTAACGTAGAGATCAATACGCCATTCTTACAGGAATAGATTTGCATTAAACCATGAATTCAGTATGTAACTTTAAATGTTCATCGAACCGTCGATCAATCGTAATTACTAATTACAAGATTGTTTTTGTTGTTGATTTGATTTGTATTACTGTAGAGATCTACTGCATAATTTTTGTCGATCTTTATGCTAGTGGGGTTAAATTTAAATATACGATTTAAGAAATTTATTTAAATTTAGATTTGGAAAAATATATATACAAAAACAAAATAGTATAATCGCGTCTTGTTTACTCTTAATCATTTAACATTAAAATTTGGTCAACCTTATTGTAAACGAGGGACTAAGTTAGAGTTCAAACAACTAGGCTATATTAAGCTGGGTTCGATGGATACAAATAAGAATTACTTCTACACGTTTCCAACAAAATAGAGTTGAAGAACCCCAAACATGTAAACAAGCTATAAAAAAAGCTTAATTCAACGAAACCTAGAACGTGCAATCTCACAGTAAAGAGTTATATAATGCTCACTTAAGATTTAATTGTGAATAACCACAATTTAAATTTTGTCTAAAACAATTGTTTTAAGTAAAAAACAAACGTATTTATAGTATTGTACACAATAGAAAATCAGTTACGTGATATATTGAATCAGTGGAGAAACTACTAAAATAAGCTGAATTATATCTTAATTTGAGCAGGCTTTGATTACAATAAATTTTTGTCTAAATGTATAAGAAACTGAAGAGTCCAGATCGAAAGTACCAATATATAAGTGATTTGATGGACTAAAAACAATTAGTTTTGATAAAAACATAAAAAAATAATTACGAAAGTGTTACAAGAAAATAAAAGTATACAGCTTGAAGAATGTTACAACTTGATCCAATTGAATTGTTTATTTATTCTTTGAGAAGGTTTCATTCCAGATTTGAAAGATCGAACTCATAGTTAAAATAAAAAACGTTTCTTCGACGAATAAAATTTGCACACAAAGATTCTTTTCTTGTTACATTCCCAATTATAGTCCACGAGATAAAGAGTTTATTTTATAACTTTATTCTCATCTAATTATATTCAGAGCTTGAATTATAAATGCTATTTGAAAGACGTTTGGTTGATGTCCTGAAAAATTATATTTATTGTTATTCTCTGATTCGAATAAATGATCAGCGATGAATAAAAAAACTGTTAGATGTAAAAAAGTAAATAATCAACGAGAATCATGCATTGTCAATCTCATCATCGTTACTGTAATATGTATATGCGTGTAATCAACACTTAAATTCCAGCCTCAGAAAAAAAAAAAACAATAGAAAAGTAGCACACAACAATACAAAAAGCAACATAATATTAAAAAGGTTATGTATAATTTAACTTTTGAAATGCTTAATTTGTTCATATTTATTTCAGAATTGGCGTATTTTTTGGAATAAATTTTTAGTTACTTTACATTCAACAATACTTTTGTGCTGGTTATTTAAATTATTCTCCACCAAAAAAAAAATAAAACTAATTTACGAGATTCACGAGATATCACCTCGAAAACTTAAAATTTGAATTTGTTACTTTTATTGCAATTTTTTATTGAACAAGTCGTACATTGAACAGCTCCAGTTAAATCCTTCAAGTACTACCCTTATTACGCAGCCCCACGATGCTTGTAAAGTTAAAAGTCATAATTAATCTTATTTGAATAATTTTCCAGTTTAGAGTTGTATCATTTTAGCTCAATAATTTTGTGTAATTATTTACGATTTTACTTGAAATAAAGAAATTTCCAATTTTGTGTTACTTCCAAATTTATTTTTACTGGTTCAATACCCCCTTATGGATGAAACTTGAATGTTTTCAGTAGAATTTTCTTAGTTAGTTGAATTCTTATATAATTATATATTAATACCTTCAATTATTATTTTATTTCTTTGCATATATATCGTTTTCTTATTGTCTCAATTATTTGGTTCTTCATCACATTTTTCAATTTTCTACTTTGCATTAGTGATTTGCATTATCATTAACAACTATTCATTCGTTTTCCATCACAACATTCATTCAAACAAATCCAAAGATAGACAAATTCATTCATTCAACTGTTCATAATACTATTCCCCTAAGAAATTCATCAAAATCTATATAACAAAAATATTCAAAAATGCATTCATTCAAATTAAGTACATTATTATTTTTATCATCATTAATAGTTTCATCAAAAGCTGAAACAGATACTACTTCATATGAAGGAACAACAACTGTAACAACTATTCCAGAAGTTACTCAAACTACAACAGTTGCACAACAAGTTGGTGTTGATGGGGTTGTTTATATTTATACTGATGATAACGGTGAATTAACTACAACTACTGTCTTTACAGCTACTTCAACTGAAGCAGTTGAACAACCAGAAGTTACTGAATCTCCAAGTACTTCAGCAGAACCAATTGCTTCATCACCAGTTGGTGAATCATCAGTTGTATCAACTCCACAATCTTTCATAACTCCAACTTCTTCTTCAGAATCTCAAATTACAAGTGCAACACCAATATCAGATTCAACTGCTGTTACCAGTGATGCAAGTAGTGCAATTGCAGCAGGAGCAGGTTCAATAACTACCATATCAGTAGATGTTCCACCAGGAGATTATTCCACTTCTACTTTAGTTACTGATACCACATTAGCTGATGGATCTACTGCTGTTTTAGAATTAGTTGTTTTACATACCGCTGTTTGTCTTGTTTGATTAAATTTTAAACAAAACATTACTTCTTATATTTCTTCTAATTATTATGTATCAATAGTTAATAAACAATCTTTTAGTTCAATTTTCAAATACTCTTACAATTTTCAAAATATCTAGTCTACACTGAAATAGCTGATTGTACTTAATACATCAAATACCATATAATAATAAGATTAATATATTTAAATAGAAAAACAAGTATATAAATAAAAATAAAGTTCGAACAAAATTTTAATATTGTTCACCAATCATCATCACTTTCTCCATCATTCACAAATGTTGGTTTTTTCTCTTTAGCCTTCATACCTTTCTCTTTCGCTTTCTCAATTGCCATTTTAGCTTTCAATATAGACATTTCAATCTTCATCATGATTATATCTTTAATTTTCAAAATTATATATTTCGTCTTTAAAATTTTAAATTTAATTTTCTCCTTTAGAATCATTAGCACTAATATCGTTGCCATTTTTAGTTTCTTTAATTTATATTTTATCATTAAAATTGTTTTTATAGTTATTATTTTCACTTTAATAATAATTATAACAATAATCATTTTAGTCTTTTGTAAAATTCTTTTAGTAATTTCAATAATTTTTTTAATTATCATTATTGTTTTAACTTTTATAATCCATAATAATCTTTTCAATTTTATTATAGGTAAAATTAATAATTTTAATAAACCTTGTGCTTCAAATACAACTTCTTCCTCTTCAGCTTCTCCAATTGAAACATCAGGATTCAAATTTGAATTATATTTAGGAGTTATAAAAATCAGTTCTCCAGTTAATAATAAATCTTGTATACCATCCATACCTGATTCCATATAAAGTCCAACTAAAAATAAATTTCTTGATAAATTTGGAAATTCTCTTTTATTTTTTATAAATTCTGATATTGTATCAAATTGAAAAACATTTGATGATTGATTTAATAATTTTTTTGAATTTTCGTCTTTACTGTTTTCATCTATATCAATAAAATCTGTTGGTTTATATCCCTTTACAGATCCAATTTCAAATTCAACAAATTTAACAGGATTAATATCTGCCAATATTAATGTATCACCAGTTTCATTTAAATGTATAACTGTATTATCAAAATCTTCTTTTGCTTCTTCCATTTCTTTATATAATTTTGATTCTTGTAATTGTTCAGCATTTGCAAAATACCATGAATGAATCTCTTCGTTGGGACCAAATTCATGAGTTAAATGTTCTTCTTTTGGTAACATTGCCATTTCAAATTCATCTTTATCAACTACTGAATAGTACATTTGACATGAACTTAGTTGTATTAGAGAAATCACACATAATGCAATTAATTGTAGATACATTTTTTGCTTCTTCTTATTCTACTTCTTCTTCTTTTTACTTCTCAAGTTGCAAAATCTGATTTTTTCAACATTATTAACAATCTGTGATCTTTCACTGATCTAAATATGATTTCAATATAGCAGGATACAATAAAACTCATGGCATAACATACTTTTAGGATGGAAACTTGAAACAAGGAGGAAAGACCCTATAACTAATACTTGGTACTAAGCATAACGAGATCAATCTATTTGGTTTTGTTGTTAGATCTGGATCTGAATCTTCTTTCTTTCACTTTCTCTAAAAAACGTTATGTGGGAAACTGCAATAACTTTAAATTTTGAATAAGGAATGTATAAGCAAAAAACAAAAAACCCATTTATTCTTTCCATCTTGATGTTGGGACTTAATCCACCAATCCATATGGACTCTTAACTCCAAACTTCTTTTTAAAATCAGACCCAAAATTTTTCTCTAAAACTTTATTCTTAACCTTCTCTGATTTAAATTTAGCGTTTTTAACTTTTTTGCTTGCATATTTATTTAATTTATCTTTTTCTTCATAAACTTTTATAATAGTATCTTTTGTTGTATCTAAAACAAATTCAGTTGCCTCGACTGCTGTTATTTTAGTTTTTATAATTCCTGATTCAATTTCTTCAACTGTTATATAAACAACTTTTTTAACCAGTAATATTACTACTGCTGTAACTTCAATTACAGTTTCAACTATTCCATATGCTACATCTTTAACTTTTAAAACAACTTCAACTATTTTATATTTTATAATCATTAATATTTTCTTTTTAATTAACATTAAAATCTTTTTTATAATAATCAATGGTAGTAGTAGAATCTTTTTTATGATAATAAATGGAAGACAAATAAGTAATTTAATAAGCATCAAAATTTTTTTTAAAATTTTTATAGGAAGTAATATTAATTTCAATAAAAGCAATAGTTTTTTGGATTGATGTTCAACCTCTATATCATCTGGTAAATCCAGGTATTCTATACTAGCAGTTTGATTATCACCAGTAGGCTTCATAAAATCAATTGTAAAATCGTTTATTCCATGTTGAATTAATAAATAAGCCATAACTAGACTTGAACTAACTGGAGCCGAAATTGATGCAATATTTTTTTTCAAATCTTGTCCCATTATTCGAATACCTTCCGTATTATTCATTTGTATAACCTCATTCAACTGTGAATCTTCGTAAGGTAATAAACCAATTAATTCTAATTCAAGTTCATAAAATGTTGCAGGCTGTAAAGCAGTTAAAACTAAAGTTTGATTAGTTTCATTGAAATGAATTATAGTTTGATTGAAATTTTTAAATTTATGTTTATCATGACTTTCCATTTCTTTCCATAATGATGATGTTGTCAAATGATCTGCATTTTCGAAATACCAAACATGAACTTCATCTGAATCTATATCATGAACATTATGAATTTCAGGTGAAAATTGATTCGCTAGGATCAAGCAAAAAATGAGTTGAAAACATAGTAGTAGATCGAACAACATTATAGTTCATATTCTTGTCACCATTGTTTCACTTTTGATAAACTTGGCATCATGGATCTATAATATCTTATATACGATAAACTGATGCATAACAATTATATCTCATATACAAATTAAGGACACCCATTGCTAATTTTTTAACGATTTAAAATCTGACATTGTAGATATTCAGGTCTACTTTCACAAAAAGGTTTTTGAGATTTCATTTCATTAATATTGAAAAATAATAAACCTAATTTTTTATATCTGTAAAAAGTGTATATGTCTTCCCATTTACCTTTAATCCAATATCCCGATTTTTTGATACTTTCAATATCAAATTCATTTTCTTCTTCAATTGAATCTTCCTGTAAATATTGGTGTTGATGATATTTAAAATCTTTAACTTTATCAAGTATTCTCCCTTTCAGAATTTTATTTTTAATTTTAGTTTTTGGTAACCAAATCAATTTTTTAATTTTAGCTAAAGGTAATGATATAAATTTTAATTGTTTTTGAATTTGAATTATTTGATCTTCTGATGCTCTACATATAACTGTATCACTTAATAAAACTCTAAATCCAATACCATCCATTCCAAATTCTTGTGCAATATTAACTAATAATAAACTAATTCCAAAAAATATACCAGGAGGTGGAAAAATTCCAATTCCATGAGCTTCAATATGTGTTATAGATGATGTATCATTTTCCATTGTTAAACATCCTGTTACTGGAACAATAGTTGTGAATCTATCCATGATTCCACCAGATTGAAATTCATAAAATGTTAACGGATTTGTAGATGATAAAAATAAAGTTTGATGAGATTGTTTTAAATATATAATTGTTTGATTTAATACATTTGAAGTTGATTTTAAAAGTGATTTCCATAAATTGGAAGAAAATAAATGTTCTTCATTTGTGAAATTCCATGAATGAATTTGTTCTGACTCAAATTGTTGGATCTTGTGCTCTTCCATGAAAATGGCACTGGAAAGACCAACAATTAAGCTTAAAATTAAAGTCAATAACATTGTACTACAAATGTGTCAGTATTGATGTATGTTTCACTTTGGTTGCAAAAAAAAAGTGTTGAAAATTAGTATTATTTTGTTGCAAATTGCATTCAATTTTGCTGAAATTAAAAAGTTTAGTCAAATCACTACAGATGTAGTCGTAGCAAACTTTTACTTTTGAGTCAGACAACACAGTATTTAGATTTCTGATTTAATAAACAATCAATAATGAAAAAGAAATGCTACGGAGGTGGTTGCAAAATGGATTCAAATGCAGTGTCGAAAGATCAAGTTTCAGGATTTCAGAAACGTCATTTATTTTTGTATGGGAGTATTTCCGATAGATTTTACACCATAAATCGGATACTCTAAGATCAGAAATTATCATCTTTTAAAATCATGATCCATTATTTACGAAACTTTGACCATTTTCAACATTCAACGATGGCGATGCTTATCCACAAATTTAAAAAGTTCGAAACTACGATCTTTTCATTCATTAATTAACAATTAAATTAATTCTTAACTCTGAATCATCTTATAAGAAAATTATAACATCATTTTTTAAATAAAATTTCCCAAATCATGTGAGTCCTGTTCCGGAATTTCAATTAATGGTTACAACGTTTAATTTGAGTCACAGTTACACCAGTCGGAAAGAGAAAAAAGAAAATCTTGCATTAAAAAAAAAATGAAAAATTACACTAAACGAAAAAGTTTACTTTTGATACAATCCATTTGAATCATCAATTCGGAGGTAAACAACTTTTGGTAATAGCTCTTCTTTTCATTCAATTCTTACTATATTTTTTACATTTCAAATAAGCTAGTTCCAAATACTCAAAATGTCAGCTCCACAAAAAATAGCAGACTCATTTCAAAAAGCTTTAAATATTTCATCATCTCCAAATGAAGTTTCAACATCACCAACTCAATCATATTTAAGTCAATATATACCTTCAAAACCAACAAAAGCATTAAAACCTTTTTCAACAGGTGATATCAAAATACTATTGTTAGAAAATGTCAATCAAACAGCTATTAACATATTCAAAAATCAAGGATATCAAGTTGAATTTTATAAATCTTCATTACCAGAAGATGAATTAATTGAAAAAATTAAAGATGTTCACGCTATTGGTATAAGATCTAAAACAAAACTTACAGAAAAAGTATTAAAAAATGCTAAAAATTTAGTAGTTATTGGATGTTTTTGTATTGGTACTAATCAAGTTGATTTAAATTTTGCTGCTAAATCAGGTATTGCTGTTTTCAATTCACCTTTTTCAAATTCAAGATCAGTTGCTGAGTTAGTTATAGCTGAAATAATTACTTTAGCTAGACAATTGGGTGATAGATCTATTGAAATGCATACTGGAACTTGGAATAAAGTTAGTTCAAAATGTTGGGAAATTAGAGGTAAAACTTTAGGTATTGTAGGATATGGTCATATTGGATCTCAATTATCTGTTTTAGCTGAAGCAATGGGTATGAATGTTATTTATTATGATGTCAATACTATAATGGCCTTAGGTAATTCAAAACAAGTTGATACTTTAGATGAATTATTGAAAAAAGCTGATTTTGTTACTTTACATGTTCCTGCAACTGCTGAAACCAAGAATTTATTAAGTGCTCCGCAATTTGCAGCAATGAAAGATGGATCATATGTTATAAATGCTTCAAGAGGTACAGTTATTGATATACCTGCTTTAGTTCAAGCCATGAAAGCTGGTAAGATTGCCGGTGCTGCTTTAGATGTTTATCCACATGAACCTGCAAAGAATGGTGAAGGATTATTTAGTGATAATTTAAATGATTGGGCAAGTGATTTAGTTTCTTTAAGAAATGTTATATTAACCCCTCATATCGGAGGATCAACTGAGGAAGCTCAATCAGCTATTGGTGTCGAAGTCGCTAATGCTTTAACCAAATATGTCAATGATGGTACATCTCTAGGAGCAGTGAATTTCCCAGAAGTTGCTTTAAGACCATTAGATTTAGATCAACAAAATGTTGTTAGAGTATTATATATCCATCATAATGTTCCTGGTGTTTTAAAAACTGTCAATAATATTTTATCAAATCATAATATTGAAAAACAATTTTCAGATTCTCAAGGTGATATTGCTTATTTAATGGCTGATATTTCTGATGTAGATATTAGTGATATTAAATCATTATATGAACAATTAGAACAAACTCCATACAAAATTGCTACAAGATTGTTATATTAGAGTTATATACATTAAAAAATCTATAAATGGTCATTAATAGAAGGAGTGTGAATACTTAAATAGTGTGTTATTTTTATTAATAAACATTAAAATAATAATTATAATTTCTTGATTATTTTTTCAAGCGATATGAAGCTATGACCGTAAGCTATATTGAGACAATTCGATCTAAATCAAAGAATTGTTAATACGGTTGCAAAATTTAACTTGTTACAAGTTGTGTCGTGATTACGTAATGGTAGCAAGCTGTATTACGTAATACATGTAAATAATAAATTTGAAGTGGCAACATAGAAAAAATCAAATCTGAAAGAAATCAAATAATTCAATTTTTCAATCAACCTAATCAAATCTAACATCAATTATCAAGAAATAAAGCATCAAAATGGCGTTAGTATCTGCTGCTCCATATTTAGCACTACTTGGAGAACCAGACACTAGTCTCAAATCATACGCATTAACATCCTTGAATGACGTTGTTGATCAATTATGGGCAGAAATTGCAAATAATATAACTGAATTGGAAGATTTATATGAAGACAAACAATTTAAAGAAAGATCTTTGGCAGCATTAATAATATCTAAAGTCTATTATAATTTGGGAGATTTTGACACATCTGTGAAATATTCATTGAGAGCTGGGAATGAATTCAATATTGAAGAAAAAAGTCAATATATCGAAACTATTGTAAGTCAATGTATTAAGTTGTATAATTCATTGTCACGAAAAAAATATAATGATGACTCTGTGACTATAGATCCAAGATTACAATCCATCTATGAAAAAATGTTGAGCAAATGTTTAAAACTGGGGGAAATTAAGTTAACATTAGGAATAGCCTTGGAATCATACAGGCTAGATTTAATAGATAAAATATTGAAAGAACAAATTCAAGAAAATGAAGAAAATGGATTGAACTTGATCAATTATGTTTTGATTTGTACCAATTCAACCATAAGTGATCAAAATTTTAGAAATGAAGTTTTGAATGAATTAATATCATTATTATTGTCATTGAAAAAGCATCAAGATTTTTTCACGATTATAAAAATCATTGTACAATTAAGTGATTCTACTTTAGCATCAAAAGTTTTCCAAGAATTAATCAAACAAGAAGAACAATTGATTGCATACCAAGCGGCCTTTGATTTGGTAAATACTGCGTCACAAGATTTATTAGATGATGTAATAAATTCATTAACAGCTGATTCAGAGAATTTAATCACCAAAAAAGTTTTAAATATCTTATCAGGTGTACCAACTTGTGATTTCGATAATACTTTCCTTTTTAAAAACAACAATACGGATATAACGATATTAAATAAAACCAAAAATCTTTTGGATGGTAGAAGCTCAGTTTTTCATTCAGCAGTTACTTTTGCAAATGCTTATATGCATGCAGGTACAACAGATGATTCATTTTTCAGAAAAAACTTGGAATGGTTAGGTAAGGCAACTAATTGGTCAAAATTTTCAGCCACTGCTGCATTAGGTGTGATTCACAAGGGTAATTTATCTCAAGGTCGTACTATTTTGAAACCATATTTGCCAGGATCAACTAGTGCTGCTCATACAAAAGGAGGTTCATTATTTGCATTGGGATTAATCTTTGCTGGTCATGGAAGAGAAGTTATTGGATATTTGAAAAACTTTATAGATGAAAATGGAAATGCTACAGGATCTAATGACATTGATGTACAATTACACGGGGCTTCTTTAGGTGCTGGTGTTGCTGGTATGGGTTTAAAATCCGAAGAATTATATGAATCTTTAAAAGTTGTACTATATTCAGATTCTGCTATATCTTCACAAGCTGCTGCTTATGGTATGGGTTTAATCAAATTAGGATCCGGTGATGATATTGCAACAAATGATATGTTGACTTATGCTTTGGAAACTCAGCATGAAAATATAATTAGAGGTTTAGCTATAGGATTGGCATTGATACATTATGGACGTGAAGATAAAGCTGATTATATTATTAATGACTTGATGAAACAAGAATCCTCAATTTTGAGATATGGTGGTGCATTCAATATTGGGTTAGCATATGCTGGTACCGGTAATAGTGGAGCTATAAAGAAATTATTGCATTACGCCGTATCTGATCCAAGTGATGACGTAAGAAGAGCTTCGGTATTAAGTTTAGGTTTTGTTTTAATTCGTGACTATACTGCTGCTCCTCAGTTGGTTAAATTATTATCACAGTCTCATAATCCACATGTTAGGTATGGTACTGCATTAGCATTAGGTATATCATGTGCTGGAAGAGCTTATGCTCCAGCCATTGAAGTATTGGAGCCACTTACCAAAGATCCAGTTGATTTTGTTAGACAAGGTGCATTAATGGCTACTGCCATGATTTTAATACAACAAAATGATTTTATTTTCCCAAAAGTCAAAGAATTTACAAAACAATATGCTGATACTATTAAAAATAAACATGAAGATGCATTGGCTAAATTCGGAGCTACTTTATCGCAAGGTATAATTGATGCAGGGGGTAGAAATGTAACAATAAACTTGGAAAATTCTCAAACTAATACATTAAATATCAATGCTATTGTTGGGTTAGCAATATTTGCTCAGTCATGGTATTGGTATCCATTAGCTCATTTCTTATCTTTATCATTTGCTCCAACTTCAATAATTGGAGTAAGAGGTGAAGATTTAAAAATTCCAAAGTTTGAAATCAATTGTCATTCAAACCCAGAATATTGGAAATATCCTGAAAAAATTGAAGAAGCTAAAGAAGAAAAACCGGATAAATTGACGACTGCAGTTTTATCAACAACTGCAAAAGCTAAAACAAGAGCTAAGAAGAAACAATCAAATAAGAAAGTCGAAGAATCAAATAAAATGGATATTGACTCAAAGAAGGAAGAACCAAAAAAACCAGCAGCAACTGAAGAGAGCAAAAAAGAAGAGTCTAATAAAGATGCATCGAACAAAACTAGTCAACAATCTCAACAACCTCAACCACCACGTTACACTAAACAACCGTACAAAATAGAGAATTTATCAAGGGTTTTACCAGCTCAAGTCAATTACATATCCTTTAAAGATGAAAGATTCGTACCCGTCAGGAAATATAAAGGCAGTGGTATAATTGTGTTGAATGATACTAATCCTGAAAGTCCTGTGGAGTTTATTAAAACTGTTAGACAATTGAATATCACTGAAGCTCCATTACCTGAACCTTTCACATTATCTAAAGAAGACCTAGAAGAAGAAGAAGATGATTAATAAGTATTTGTACATTATAGTAAATAATTCAATCAAATAAAAAATGTAATAAACTTATTTACACCTAAGATTTCGTGGATCAGTAAAACAAGCAATTTGAATATCATTTTTATCTATAGTCTCAAATCTATTAAACCTTTTCCATTCACCAAATTTAATCCTATTCTTGTTCCAAAAACTTCCTCTCTTAATTTCTCTATATTTCACTCCATCAACTTCATATTTAGTGAATAAAATAGCAAATTGTAAAGTATTGCCTGGATCTAAATCGCAACCAAAACTACCACCAAACCCTTTTGCCCAAATAAAATTACTTTTGTATCCAGGTCCAAAATTTATAAAGTATCCACCATAATTTAATCTATAATCTACTCCAAAATCAAATTCTACTGACCAAGTTTGCCTATATGTTGCTTTATCTCCAGCATAATTAGTTACACAGTCACCTATGGGATACCATTGTGAAACTAAATTAATTGTTGTATCTTCCTCGATTTCTTTTGAGTTGAGTTCCAGGTATGAAAGCTCTATGAATTGAGGTTGAGTGTTTGGTTTGAGTATGTTTTGATTGAATATAATAGAGTTTGTTGATGGTAAATGTAACACCATATTTGGTTGTGAAATTATAGTATTGTATATGATGTCTTTGTAATTACTCAAAGTTTGATGAACTGTCTTTAAATTTGCAAGTTGTTCAATTACATTTCCATCTAACTTATCCTTATCATAAAATGGGTAGATTTTGAAAGACCAAGCAATACATATTACGTGTAAAAAAGAAATATATTTCATGAATTTGTTATGCGTGGAGAGAAAACTGTTGCAAAAATTTTGCAGCCAAAAATGAGAGCTTTTTGTTGAAAAAATAGTCATCATCATTTCGTGCACATATGGTACATTTACATAACCCAATATTCATGAGGAAGTTCATCATCATCAGAGTCGGCACTTTCATTGGTAGTATCGTGTCTAGCACCTGTAGCCTCTTCATCTACATCTACTTCATCACTATCATCATCTTCGTCCATATCATCATTGTCATCATCATCATCCATATATTCGTTGAATCGATCTAAATGATTACTCGTTGCCATTTCTTCATCTTCGTTATCATCATCTTCCTCGTCTTCAGCATCATTTGCAGTCAATTGAGAATCATCTTCTGAATCAATAGCGTCTCGTCTTCTTGATCTTTCGTATCGAATTTCATCATCTGAAATAACCTTTTCTTCATCATCATTATCATGCATGGCATCAACTTGATTGATGGTTGTATCTACTGTATTTGAAACATTGTTTTCAATTTTTGAACCCAAGTTTTTGGAACTTGTTGCTTCCGTGTATTTTTCAGGTATGTCAAATCCTTCAGCAACAATTGGATTTCTCTTTTCCGTTAAATAGTTAATTTGACGCAATGCAGATCTTAATTTTTCAAAGACATCATGTTCTGTGCTTGTTTTAATAGTTGTATTCACTTTGTTATCTTTTTTGAATGACTTTTCAGCAACTTTGTCCAAAATATTATAAATGGCTTTAGTGAATCCAAACGCATCCAATATTTTGGCTCTTTCAGTAACTGTTAGTTCGTCATCAGCACTTGACTCTTCCTCTATTGCATTTTGATGCTCATTAGATTTTGCAGCACCATTACGTTTGGTTTTAGTGGATGTGTCGACAGTTTGATAAACTTCATAATCAGTATAATTCGGTAAATCATATCCAAAAACAGTGGATTTCCATGTCAAATTTACCAATATCCATGCAATTGAAAGTTTAATAAGATTTAAATTGTCAACTAATATTTCTTTATTACGAGTGATTGAATCCGGAATTTCAAAAGATAAATATCGTAACCAAACACTTAAAATTTGGTCATTTGGAAATAAGTCTTTTTTCAAATTATCAATAGCGGTAAATGTATGATCTTCAGTGAAATTTATTGATCTGACTAATCGAACAAATCCCTCGTTTCCCAACAATGTGATCAATGTTTTATCATCAAAAATGTCGTCTTTCTCACCTTCAGGCAAAAATAGCCAAACTTTAGTAAGATTTTGTAACACAAAATCCGGCCAATTTATAGGAATACCTTGTTTTCCATCATACCCACTGTCCCAATAATCAGTAACGTATGACTCTCTCAATATTTGAGTAAACGAAGGCGAACCAGCAGTAAAATTTCTTAATATTTCAAATGCAACTATTTTTTGATCAATCTTTAACTGTCTGACTTCCGTGGACCCAAATGGATCACGACCATAACCTCCAACACCATAATTTGCCGTGTGAAAAATGAAACTGACAGGAAAATAATTCAAAACTTCTCTTTTATTCTCCGAGGCTTCATTAAACATAAAATTTTTGATTACTTGCAAGATTTTTAATTGAATAAGACAATTTTCATAATTTTCCTCAACTGAATTTGGTATAATAACTATCTCAGATGATTTTTGATAGATTGTAGATAAACTGGATAAAAAGTTTTCATAACTAATTATTTTATATCTGAATGAGCTAAAATCAAGAATGAAATTTGCCAATAGACTAATACATATAGCTTTGTTGGTCATGAAGGTTTTTCTAAACTGCTTTTTATTGATAGCACTGTTATTATTGATCTGAAAAAAAAAATTCAATTTCTGATCAAGACTTTCATAAAGCCTGATAATCTCTAAAATATTCGTCACAAATCCACCTGGGGATGATCCCAGTAAAGCTTCAGGTGAAGTAGCACTACTTTCCGCATCAATTCTTGGACGCATAGTAGGTTGACCAGATGATAATAAGGACGCTAAATTGGATGTATGAATTTGTAAACCTTCTTTACCTACTCTCGAAACAAAACTTTTGAACTCATTACATTCAACAAAGAATGTTCTTAAAGCAGAAACTGATCTAGAATTCGATCTAATGAAATAAAAGCAATTTGTATACATAGCCGAGTTTTCTAATGCACATATTGCCCCTAAATTTTTTCCCAACCAAGTCAAATGTTGTTTTAAATTTTCTTTCTTACTACCTTGTGAAACAATTTTATAAGTTAGTTGTATCTGATTGCATAGAAAATGGTAATTATCAATGATCTCAAATATAATTTCTGGTAAATTAATCTCATTTGTTTGTGAACTACTCAATAGTTTGTGTCTTGATTCTTCGCTATCGCTAGTATAAACACTTAACAACAAAAGCAAGTCCGCAATTTCTAAATCGTAAGCATTATTAACTTTCAAGGATGTGAAATCGACCAAAACTGTCCCATGTTTTGACTTCATTTTCAAAGCTTTGAGTTTCTTAAGTAGAACACTTGCATTAAAGCATTGACTTAATTTTGTCGATAGTTGATTATTTATGTTGGTATCACTTATTTTCTGTGTCATTGATGGATATTGAACGCACAAGTCAGCTAGTATTTTCGCGGCTGATTTTAAAAACATTGGGGAGTTAAAAGTTGATGCATCACCAGAGTATTTTTTATATTTCCCTTTTTGAGACTTTGAAGTTGCTTCCTTATCCAAAATTGTGCCATCGTAATCAACATCAAAATCCAATAGATCAATTAGTTTGGGGAATAATTTTTCGAAATTTTTATAAATTAATGGTTCTGCTAACACCTCCAGTGCATACATCTCTTCTAGTAGTAAAGTCAATAAATTGATTGCCGAAAGTCCAACTTTTTTTGATCTAGATTTTAGTAATAGTAGTAAAGTGAGATAGATATGTGTAATTGGAATCGGATTCGATTCATCATAAGCAGTCAAACATATTGGATCCTTTGTATCATTTCTAAATTCCATGACTACATGATAATTTTGAGACTTCAAGAAACTAATGATTTGGGAGACGCTCGTGACTAATTCAATTATTATTTTCATATCAACTTTTTTTTCAAGTTCTGAATTCTTTAAATTGGCATTAGGCAACGTTTCATCTTCGAAAGTCAATTTGAATAGTAGATTCTTTGAAAAACATGTAGTTCCATCAATATGACTATAAATGATATGATAGCAATCATTAGATAACCTCTTCAATAAAGTTTCCAATAAAGTTGGAATATAATTTTGGTCAATCAGCAATTTTTTTGAAGAAAGTAAGATGGGGACTAATCTTAACAGTTTAACTGTTAATGCAGACTTGATATAAATGCGACGACTAGTATCTTGATTACTTGACAATAAAAGTACGGTAAGGTACCTCCATAGCATTGCTGCATCAATCTGGGAATGTCCTAAATTTGATAAGCCTATTACCATATCAAGACTATATCTCATTATTGCCTCTATTTTAAATAATACTCCATCTTCAAATTCTGATACACTTGGGACATGTTTTTCAATAAAATAATTCAAGAGTGAACAAATTGGAACCAAAATTTGTTCTAAAGTTTGAATAGATCTTAATGTTTCTTCATTATTGAACCCAATCAATTCCAATGCAAATGATATCAAAATATTCAAAATGACTGCTAATTTTTCAAGTTGATCCAATAATAAATTATCAAGATTATTGGATTTCAATAAGTTCGCCACTATGCCATTAAAATCATGTACTATTTTATTCATAAATGTTACATCATTAAATAATCGGAATTTGAGATCTTTGTTACCTATTATATCAAAACGTAGCTGGTTGTAATTATATGAATCTTCATTCTCCAAGGATCGTGTCAAATTCAACGGCATGAGTTAGTCTTGTAATTGTATATGAAGTTGTACTGTTGTTGTAATTAATCGTAAGTTAATTTATTGATTAAACACTATTAGGTAGTTGGTTGTAAAAATGTTAGAAATTGTGTGGTGATTGTAAATTTGTGCAACAATTAAAAATAGTAAACCCGATAAGAATTAAAAGCAATTTCGTTTTATAAATAACACCAGTCTACTTCTACAAGGAGTACTACATATCAACAAACACCACTACCGCACTATTACAGCACCGCTATGTGTGTTTTATTTTACACCGTTCTGTCTACAAGTTTATAATTGGTTAATGAGATTTTATTTTTATCTAAAAATATTCAAATTTTACCACGCCAAAATTTTTGGGAATCAGTGGCAGGTTTACCAGTTTTAATATCTTCACTAACTTTTATATCAGCATCAACTCTTTTTGGTATATAATCCAAAATTTTATTCAAATTTTCATTATCTTCTAATTTCACTACTCCATTTTCATCTGCAATTATATAATCACCAGGATTAATAACTAATATATCTTCATCCTTGTCAGAATCAATTGATGAAACTTTAATTTCTATTGGAACATTTATTCCAACAACTTTTACTAATGGGCCAGGAGCACTTGTTCCAACTCCATATGACCAAACTGGATATTTCAAATCATTATGTTCATCTAAATCTCTAATTCTTCCTAATATAACTGAACCATTGGCTTTTCTATATTGAGCTCTAGTTGACATTAATCCTCCATATAATGCATTATTAATTTTTTGATAAGGTGCTGTTGTTAGTTGTATATTTAAAGGTAATCCAATAACAACAATTGAATCCTCTGGTACTTGATCAATGTATGATTGTTTTACTGCAGGTCTTGGATCAGATTTGGGAGCATATAACACAGTATAAGCTTTACCAACAGCTGAAGTTTTTGTTTTACTTGTTATTACCGGTGATCGGTTAACTAAGTTGGGTATAAATCCACCATTCGAAATTCCAAATTGATTAAGTGAATCTGAAACATCACATGCACTAAATTTTGATAAGAATTGAATGACTTCTTTTGTTGTAAATTGTTTTGTTGAGATGGAGGTTGCCATTTCTTTATTTTCTTCAAATAATTTATCATATAAATGTAATGCTAAAACACAAATTAAATATAAAATCAATAATGTATATACAATTGGTTTTGTGTTTAAATTATCTTTCCCCGGATTTTTCAGTTTTGTCATTTGATAAACCTGTGAAGTCTACTATGAAGCATTGAGATGAAGAGAGGAAGATAAACTTGACAAAGACTTTCCCAAGATGAACTTTAATAAATAAATAAGCTTTTCGTCTATATACATAACTCAATTTTGGTTGGAAACTACTATGAAACATCTATGAAACAATTATAAAACATTTAAAATTTTAATCATCTAGACTTATTCTCTTTTGCAACTTCTTGTAAGTACTACTATCAATACCTTCATTTTCATTCTCATCTGGCGTTTCATCATCTATTTTTCTTGATTTAAATGTGTTAGACTTTGATTTATGTCCCACTTCATCCTCTTTAGATTCTTCTTCAAATTCAACTATATTAGTGGGTACTTGAAAATATTCTAACCCAATTAAAAAATCAGGTTCTAATTGATAATCTTTTAAAATTGTTTTATTATCCACTCTTGGATCTTTCAAATCCTTTAGTATAGATGTCAAAGTTTGTGGATTTACCATTGTCTTTTGTAATTGTTGTGATTCGGGAGTTTGTTCCATTTGTTTTCTATTTTCTTCTTCTCCTAATTCATATAGTTTTTTTCTAGATCGTAGTTGTTTTAATACTAATGCATTCTTATCATTTGATGTAGGATTAAATTCAACTGTTTTAATTTGTTTCCCTAATTTATTTATTGAACTGAGAAAAGATTGATCGTATGTTGAAGTTCCTACTTCATGTGGATCACGACCATCTTTTCCTTCGGGTTCGATTTGAGATTGAGATCGGAGTTGCAGTTGTTGTTGGATATTGGTTTTTTGATTCTTAATCTTCTTATGTAAAAATCGTGGATCAAACGACGTGGAAGTGTTTGCTCTAAATGCAGTTTCATTCTGATTCAAACTTTCATCTGGAGAAGTATTATTCAACGGTATTGAACTATTTGAAGTAGGAATGACGTGATGAGAGTCTTGATTTTCATCTTGATTTACTTGAGGTTGTTGTTGCGATTGTTGTAGATGTTTCGAATTCGACAAAGGATTGACATCACTTCGTTTGATATGATTCGTGGCTGCATCGGAGACCGTCTTGGCTAGCTTCCTACTACCTTGCTTTGAAGCTGATGAACCCATATTGATAGAGCCGTAGGTAAATAGGATGTATGTAAAAACGTGAATGTAATTATAGCGCTTTTTGTGTTCCACAGACTTAATATGACACTGTTGATATCACAGCTTATAACGGAGCTTGTCAAAGGAATGTCTCATATAACATTTAATAGTTCACTTTATACTGATGAACCTGCAGTTTATTATCCATTCACTACATAAACGTCTATATAAATCATCAATTTTTATCTTTCTTTGATTTCTTCTTATCCTTTTTATCCTTCTTGTCCTTTTTATCTTTCTTATCTTTCTTATCCTTTTTATTCTTTTTATGATGGTGATGTTCTTTACTTTCATCATCATTCTTCGTACTTTTAGTTTTCCCATCATCATCAACTTTAGCTTTCTTCAAAGTTTTCCCCACTGTTTTATCATTTTCATCTATAATTCTATCCATTTGATCTTCTTCTTCATCATCACTAGTTGATGAAGATCCATATACATCAAAATCATCTTTATCATAACCAGTTGGAAAATGTCTCATCCTTAGTTTTTTTAATTTTGGAACATCTTTTCTTGGTTTTCTTACTTTATCAAAATCAATTTGTGGTATAGATACTACTTCTTTTATATTATAAAATCTTGAAAAATCTGTATCAATAGGTTTATAACTATCATGTTTATTTATAAATATTTTATGTTTATTATTTATTTCTTCAGGTATTATTTTTGATTTATTATCATTGACTATTAGTTCTTCATCAATTTGAAAAGATGATCCATTAAGTTTGAAAATTTCACCTTCTCTATTTCTTGTAAATATGATTGGTAATGATTTTAATTGATCAAGTGGGAAATTTTTAGGTGTTTTTATTAACCATAATTCTTTATCTTTTAATTTAGTTAATGGTTTTGAAGATGAAGATGTAGAAATTTTATTGTAATTTTTTGGTGGTTGATATTCTTTTGGTTCTGAATCGGAGGATGAGTCATCTATATCCGATTCTCCAACATATTCATTCGATTTGTACGCCGGCCTAGCCATTTGTTGTTTTATAGTTAGTTTTAGGTGTATCTGATCGGTCTTGAGTTGAGAAGAGTAAAAATTTTAGAGTGCATATAAAAAACGAAATTGTTGCAAAAAATAAGTAATACAAACAATTATATTAAAGGTTGCAAAAACTTATTACATGTAGACACCAACGTTGGCTAGACAAAGTAGGTGTACATTATTAAAGTATAGGGAGTTTTTAATTATAAAATAGCAATGTATATTAAAAATTGTAAAGAAAAAATTTTTATATATAAGAATCTTAAACTGGTATCATAAAATAACTATAACTAATATTAAATTATTTGAACAATTTGAAATTATAACGACAAGAAAATGAAATTAAAACTGAAACTATTTGTAAAATGATAAATCCTTGTTGGACTTAAACATTTGTTACGTTATGTAAATGCTTTTTCAAATTAATTCATCAACTAAGTAAATTAAAATAATCTTTTAGCTAATGATTGAAAAACATTACCTCTTTTAAAAAATCCAGCAGTATTATCTTCTGGTGAAAATGAAATTGGAATTGATAATTGAACTAATAATTTAACATCATAACCAGCTCCACTTCCACTTGGACATTTAGTTTTATTTGATGGGTTATGATATAAATCATATTCACCAGTTTGATTTGAAGCTGATGAATTTCTAGTTATATTTGAAGCAATAATTTCTGGACAAGCTAAGAAATTAGTTGAATTTAAGAATGATAACCATCCATTTGTAATTCCAAAATGTTCACTTGCTGATCCATTTTTAGTTGTTGTTGAAACTAATTTAGTTGAATTTGAAACAACAACATCAATTGGTGATGATGAATTTGAACTGTTGGTGAAAGGCAAGTTTAAAATATAACCTTTATCAGCTTCAATAGTTCCGAAAAATGCTTTATCATCTGATCCTAATTTAATTGCAGTACCATTAAATTTAACTAAATTTGAAGTAAATTTGTCACCTTTATGAATTGCAATTAATGAAAAAGTTGGTGATGCTGGAGTGAAGAATCTTTTATCAACTGGAGCAGCTGATACTTGTAAGATTAAACAGTAAATAGTTACTAATAAAGTTGTGAAGAATTGCATTATGATGTATTAAAATGTACTTAATTTGAATTTCAAAGTCAACTATTAATGAATTATCGAGATTAAAGAGGTAGAAAGAAAAAAACCGAGAAGAAATTCCATAACAATAGCATCTTGAAAGATTATTAGGATTGCAATTTGTATTTATATTCACACAGCTTTAGCTTTTTCATTAGGTCATCTATGGATATATTTTTTGCAATTGAAACTTAACCATAGAACATTTAAAAATAGTAATTTTGTGTTACAAAATCATTCTATGAAAAATTTAAATTTTATATTTTATATAGGGGGTAATTTTAAAAATAAAATAAAAAAGTCAATCAATTCTAAAGCAATCAAGGCAAGTCAGGAATATAACGTTTCTATAGTTCCAGAATTTAAGTTGAATCATATCGAAAATTCTTTAAAACTTTAGACCAAGAGACTAATCGGTTCCTCGACTCATGGAATAAATGGAGTATATTTGAAACGGAATCGTTGGGTCCATTTCGGATCTTTCGCCTGTCCATTTATGGATTTAAAATTTTAAAATACAGCCTTAGATGGTGAACCGATCTAAAAGATTCTTTGATTTCATATTTTGTATTCATTAGGACCTAAAAACTGTGCATTGAATTCTTACTTTTAGAGGCAAAGTAGATTAAATTGTATTTTACTGTTCCATATCATCAAATCAAAAAGTCTGATATTGTGTACTTTTTCATTATCATAATAATTAGATTCAAATCATATTCCAAATAGTTGATAAATCATACGAATTCGGTAATCATATTGTATGACAGATTCCATTCAATTTTAACTGAAACGTACGAAATAATAAGTGAAAAATAAAACAATCAAAATTTTTTAATGTCTCACTACTTATTACTCTTAAATTTTCAATTACATTACACACATCATTAGATTGTTTACTTTCTTTACTAATACAAGTTTAATTTACTCCGATTTATCCTCTTTTTGGATAATTAATTGCTATATTTAAAAATTTTATTCATAGAACTTACACAGAATCGTTGAGTTACTTCATGGCTAGATCGTTCAACAAAACTTATATTTATAACCGATTGACCACACAAAAAAAGAAAAAATCTATCGGTGAGCAATGATTTCGATTCAAGATATAGGCGATGCAAACTTTAATTTTATTTTCTATCATAAACTAAATTTAAACTTGAGTGGTTATGTCTTTTAAATATTCACTTACAACTTTTTAAATTTTAATTATCAAGAAGATGAGCAACTCTTGAAACAGACAACAAATTTTGAATTTAGGTCTCGGGTCACTGAGAACAATAAGGGTGCTAAAACGTTCCAGTTTCATGATATATTTTGTGAACTGAATAATAATTAATTTCTCGTAAAAGATGTGAAAAATTATCAAAAAAATTGTTGCCGATTACCAAGGGCAGAGGAATACTTTCATAAAAGTGATTAATTGGGTTTTCAGTTAATTTAAGTACATATAATTCGTAAGAAAGCTTATCCTTTAAATCAAGATATCGTCCACTAAACTACACCTTTATTACTAAATATCAATTTTATTTTATGGACTTGATTGCTGTTGAGCTTACGAGTATGACGTAATTGGAAAAAGTCTCAAAAGCTCATTTCATGCACGTGTTTAGTCACATGATATGGCAAATGATTTGTCCTATTTTCTCCGAGGTTGTCTCGACCAATTTTTTTTTTCACGAATTTTCTCGGCCGATAAATATGAGAAGGAGTTTATCAATAGACTTAGACATAAAACCATATTTATAATAATTGTAAAGTTTATTAAATTCTTTACTTAAAAATTCTATATAACAAACACTGAAATGTAAAGAGAATAGTTAAATGTAATTTTTATCATTAATTATTTATAAGCAAAGATCTATAATGTTTGTAATAATATCTTAAACTTATAATTCGACACCTGGTGGACAATGTAAAGCTTTTTTCAATGAACCATAAATGGTGAATTGTAATGAAGTTAATGTACCAACCATAACCAATCTTGTTGGTAAACCGGCAAATGAACCTTTAAAACCTAATTGTTTAGCTAATTGAATTAATAAACCAACAGTAGATTGACCTGGAGCTTTTTTAGTTTTATTAACTTTTGATAATAAAGTATCAGCAGGTTGTGAAACAATTGCAGCAGCACAACCAGCAATAATACCAGCACTTAAATTGACAGCAGTATTAGCACCATTTGATAATTGATTTTTTGGAGTAGAAAGTGAACCATAAATAGCTTCTTGAGCTCTTTCGAAAACTAAAAATTTAGCAATATTATAAGGAATTTGTTTAAATAAAATTGGAGTAAAACCATTATAAAATGAACCAATACCTTCTTCTTTTAAAATTCTTGAAAAACCACCAACTAAACCATTTGCAAAACTTGGATTTGAAACTAATCTAATTCTTGTAGCTTCTAAAGGACATAAAGCAATATCAGCAAAAAATTCAGCTAAAGCAGATGAACCAATAAAAATAGAATTTTTATATCTTTTAGCAGTATCAATTCCTAAATATTCAATAAATTGTTTTTTAAAAAATTCATAACCTCCAAATTTAAAAGCACCTTGTAATGAATAACCTAAAACAGTTGGACCAAAACCAGTTAATAATGCACCAGCACCTTCAGTTTGAATAACTTGTTTAAATGAACCAAGCATACCTTTGTTATAAACTTTTGGATCTAATTGAATTCTTGTTTTAACAACATCAATTGGAGTCATGGCACCATGAGTAGCACCACAACCAATAGCACCTGCTAAAGCAAATGATGCATAATCTTTTAATGTATATTCTGGTAATTTATAATTATGAGTTTGTGATGCAGACATTTTGTGTTGATCTATCTATTAGATGATGTGTAATGTAAAAAGTGTGTTGTAAATGTAAGAAAGAAAACTAATTGATAAAGTTGATAAAAATTTTCAATTTAATCTTTCATTGATAAATTTGATCCAAGAAAAGAAAAATAGAATTATTTTACTTACACAGAACAAAAAAATAAAAAAGAAACAGTGTAGAAAGAGATAGTAAGTACATTTATATTCAAAGTTGGATCTAGATTACTAATATAAAAAATAAGAATCAATTGGTGTATGACCATGAGATCAATAACGGCAAATTCAGTCATGAGTGATGATGAGAAGTAGATGATGTTTCAGTTTATAAAAGGTGTATATAAAAAACCCTTTTGACATAATAAAACTTAATTAATTTGATTGGACGGAAAAAAAATTGAATGACGTTTTTGTGTAAATATAAACACACACGCACATGTTTCAAATTAAACTTATTTAGTAATTACTTACTGATCGTAGTATTCATTAAACTATATACTAATGATACAAGAACTTTTCTTTATTTTCAACGTATTGGAACACCCAATTCTCTTAAAGCAATCTGATTACTTAATGCAGCCATAGCAGCTTTTTGACCAGATTTTTGTTTACTAAAATCAGCTCCATAACCTAATTGTTTACCTTTACATAAACATAAAGTATAATATTCTGAACCTTTTTGTTCAACTATATAATCTGCTTTTAATTGTAATGGACCTAATTTTGCATATAAATCAGTTTTGGCTTTCATATCTATATCTTTTATTGATAATGAAATAATTGGACATGTTATTGGTTCATTAAATGGATTACCATTATGATTGATGTTATTATTTGATTCTTGATACATATGTGATGGTATTGGACTTTGAGTTGGGTGTTGTATTTGATTGTATGGTAAAAATTGATGTGGTGGCAGTTGCAGTAGTTGCGTTGGTGAAGTTTGATAATATGATTGTTGATGTGCATATACTGCTGGTGTTCCTGTATGATATTGTTGTTGTTGTTGTTGTACTTGATGTAGTTGTTGTAAAGGTAGTTGAGATGATGGATATTGTAAACTTTGTTGTGATTGTGAATGTTGTAAAGGTTGTTGTTGTTGTTGTGCTAAATGCTGTTGCGATAAATGCTGTTGTGGATGTGGTTGCTGGTGTTGTTGTTGTTGTTGATGTGATTGTGATTGTGATTGTGATTGATCAATCTGTGATTGAAACTGTTGTTGAGGAAAAGGTGATTGTAAAGTTTGATGTAAATTTTGATGGGCTTGTATATGATCCCTATCATGATGTGATTGTTCAGGTGGAGCATAAGCAAAAGCAACCATTGGAGTAGTACTTAAATCACCACCCAATGATTGAATATTACTTTGATTTTGAATTTCATTTTCTCCTTGTATAATTTTTGGAGACAGTGCCAGTGTAGTATATTGAATTTTATTTTTCATATAATTATCTTTTAACATTACAAATATTTTATTAATCTTACTTTGATTATCCATAACATCCATTACAGCTCTATCTTTTGCATCTTCAAAACTTATACTTGAAACTCCAAAACCTAAAATTTCATCATTTATAACAACATGAGCAACATATGGATCAGTTTTAACTTCTAAAATTTCATATTTAATATTTTCATAAGGTAATTTAGTTAAATTTGTTATAGATTTAAATAAATTATTTAATTCAATTAATGCAATTTTTGCAACTGGTGTTGTAGTAGATTCTAAATCTATAATTAAAGGTTCATATAATTTATTTAACCATGTTTTAATTTCTTCCAAAGAATATCCATTGTTTTGTAATCCTGCAATATAAGCTAAAAAAATATTTCCACATATTTTCATTTTTTGTTCAATTTCTGCATTTGATGATAAATTATATTTCATTGAATCAATTAAATTATAACCAAATGAAAATTTTGCTAATTGTTCAAATGAAATTAATCTATTTTTTATAACAATTAAGTCATTTTCATATAAATTTGGTAATTTTGTTTCTAAAATTTCAATTAATATTAAATCTAATATTGATTTACCTTTTATTGCTAATTTTCCATTATGTGAATTATTATATTTTGTTGATGATGATTCAACAAAATCACTTATTCTTCTATATGATTTATCAGTACAAATTTTAATTAAAAGTGTTTCATCATTAATCAATGGTAATGTAGGAGGATATGAATAATAATCTGTAGATTTTGTTAAGTCTTCTTTCTTTGTATCCTTCAGTTTCTTTTTCTTATCATCAAAATCAGAAACAACATCCAAAAATTTCTCCAAAGATTGATCATTTGTTGATGTTGTTTTAAAATTAACATTAGATAAAGCAGTTAAAAACGGTAATTTTTCAACTTCATATAATTGACGAATTCTAACTGCAACTTTTATTTGAGGAGTATCTATTAAACCTTTTAATCTTTCTATAGTACTTGTTGCTTCACCTAATATGTCATTATTATTCTCACTTAATTTTAAATATTGTATAAATTTTTCTGGACTTGGAGACTTTTCAATAATTAATTTAAAAGTTGCTTGAAATTGAGATACACTTGCTCTTAATTGCGTTAGTTCGTCTAATACTTGAAGTAATGGTTTATCTTGTTTTGACATATTAATGATGTATTAGACACCAGTTTTGGTGATTGATTATATAAAAAGAATGTGTGATAAATAACTTTGAGTTTATATATTTTTTCTAGTGTACTCTAGATTTATGAAATGCGCTTTTTGCTTACTCAATTTAAAAGATGATATATTATCGCGTTTTAACATACAGGAAACTTCAAGATCAATACTAAGATTAAGTAATTCTTACTTTAGATTTAAAAACTATTCTGATTGCTCTTAGAGTAGAAAAATCTTTAGTATATCACGTTTTATTTCAAACTACGACTGATAGAGTTTGTTAAACAACCGGCCGAAATTTACATAGGTAGTTTTCACATAACCGATACTTATGAGAAAAGCACCATACATAGATCAATAATTTCTCAAAAAGAATTAATTGGCGATGGACAATGTTCAAAAAACACAGATATAGCTTTAAAAAACAAGTATTCAATCCAAAAACTTTTTTGGCATGGACTTTTTGGATATTTGAAGCGTTGACGTAATTGTTTTAAAAGTTTTAAAAAGAGACAAGTAAAATGTAGGCATTGTTGTAAACTATACTTATCTTTCTAATCAAATCTTCAGTCGGAAGTAGAATTGTTGGTATTACTGTAAAATTATACTTATCTTACAAATTTGTTAAAGAGTAACATGTATCAAAACCCAATAGCATAGTATACCGTAAAAATGAAAAGAAGACGTAAAAAAACTAACTATCAACGTCTGCTAGTGGTAAAAACGGGAAACAAATATGAGCGAATATGAGCATCTGCTAGTAGGGTAAATAGATGAAGTAAAAGTTTGATTACGAGGTTCGCTCATACTAATAGTGATAAAACTAAAAGTGACAGAAAACAACAAATTCTACAATGAAAAAAAATTATATTAAAAAACATGCTATAATCGTAATAACAAGACCAGTCCTTCATGATAAACTAGGTTAAAGTAGAAGTGTTGAACAGCTTCTTGATACACAAAATGTAAATTTAGAAATTAATGATTTGAAAATTAGATATTAATACAAATAATTGGAAAAAATCACTTCGGGTAAAGTATTATAAAGATGTTACTTCATAAAAAATAAAAACACTTCAAGGAATATATAAAAGTACTTGCGTACATAAAAAATAAAATTAAAATAGTAAAAGCATAATAACATTAATGGCACATAGGTTGATGGTTGACTAAGACTATTTACGAATGATTGATAAATTTAAAAATTATCTGTCACCATTTCATTCGTATTTAAACCAGTCCCACATTTTGCTTTCTCGTCCGATAATTGGTGATATTAGTAGGATGAACTTGAGATTCGAGTGGATCATATAAATAAATATAAAAGTTATTGATTTTAGCTTGTAAGAGTTATGTCCCATGACTGATCGTCTCTATGAAAGTTCTATTATCTAATGAATTTATTTATTCTAGAGTTCATTTCTACATCGTTTCGTAACCCTACTAAGTCACTTACACAAAAACGTTGTTTTAAATTGAAGAAATCTGGTGAGCATATTTTTCGGTAACCTTTCCTAGTTTTTATCAATTTCAATACAATTAACGTTTATTAGAATTTTTATAAAGTCAAAATAAACTAACAAAGTTAAAAAACAAATCATTCAGGATATTCTTTTTACCAACAACAATCTGATTATTTTAAAACATGGAGAAATTAATATATTTTCCAATTGATGTTTTGGAAATAATATTTCAACAAATAAATCAACATATGGTTTTGTCGTTGATGCCCTTACATTCCAAATTTTATGAGATTGGCCGAAACAAGCTATACAGAAATATTTATCTTTACCGCAAAGATAAACTAATGGAAACAAATAGTCGCGAAATAAATGATGCAGAGAAATACTACGAGTGGAGAGTTCATAAAGACATTTTGAATGACTTTAGTAAAAAGTTTACCGTAATTTCATCAAGTACTTTTACTCGCAACATCATTAAAAAGAAAATGATCAGGAATCAACATATACATCATCTTAGTATTGAAAAGTTGCGCCCTGTAGTGTATACCGGATACAAGTTATATGTAGATTACAATGCGGTACCCACATTATTGAAAGAAATAATAAGATATTTTGAAAGTATAGATTATGTTAGCTTTGGTTCATTAAACAACAAATTTGATATGAAAAACAAAAATTGTTCTATTGATGTATTGAAAAATTTAGAATTTTTGAGTCCTGACTATATTCCTGGCTTGTATGAACGTACATTGTTTTTGGAGAAAAATAAACACGGGTCATTTGAATTCTTGTATAATAATCTCAAAAGTTTGAAATTTCCGCTCGAAGGCTCTACATTGAGTGAGCATAATGATGATGATGATGATGATGATGAATTGCCAGATAGTATCGAATTGTTCAACCAAATCAACTTATTCAAAAACCTCGAAGAATTACATCTTCAATTTGATAGACTCATTGATTTATCGGATTCACTGTTTCTTACAAATTCGAATAAGCTAGAATGCAAATTGAAAAAACTTGATCTGATGTTTTGGGCTAAGCTAAGATTCGGTAAGCTGGTAAGCTTAGAGAAGATAGCTACGGCGAGCTAATGATACCAAAACCTAAAAAATGATTAATTACTTTGAAGGACTATTTTAATACAGAACAATTAAATACATTATCATTATATTACCTAAATGATACAGCAATCGACGAAGACGAATACTTTTATCAGAAATTCGAGTTCAAGGAATTATTAACCAATGCCAATTTAGCAAACTTGAGAACTTTAGTTTTAACTTCACCTTCTTTTGATTTGAAATCGATTAAAGTGAAAACATTACTTAAATTAATAATATGTACTGAAACTGCTGATGATGAGGATGCCATTGAAATTGCCAAGCTTTACCTTAAAAACCCAACATTAAGATTATCTTGGTGGCCACGATATATGGATACACATAAATATGATATATTTGTTTATTCTGAGTACTTACAATTATACTCACCTGAGTATTACCAAATTATATCTTGTCAATGGCCATCTTACTTTTTCAAAAGCAATATTATTTCGATTGGTAAAAAACAAAAAAAAAGAAGGTTAACTTCTCATAAGCAAGATAATAACAGCTCAAGAAGACTAGATATAGTTTTAAAAACCGAATATACTATTGAAGAACTTTGTGGCATGCACCTTTTTGAGACATCAATTGTTTACGGAGATGTTTTAGATGTTTTCAAGAGATACGAAAAAAATTTTAATTTTGAAGACTGTTTCTAAGCCAAATATGCATGTATTAACTGAATTTACCGTTGTAATACATTTGCTAAAGCAACTGCTTTTTGTTACTTTTAAACTCCAATTCAATGCACATTCAAAATGGGCATACTCAGATGTCTAAGGATATAAAGTTTTGAATTCAAACAATCTACAACAAATTAAATAAAAATCTAACGAATGAATTCTATTTTCATGAAGATTTATGCTGTCCAAACCGTAATTGAAAATTGAGACCTTAAATGCTTGAAGAAAAATTTTTTTTTTTAAGTTAATAAAAACCTATTTTAAAGATGCTAAATTTCGATTGGTATCCATATTCGAACTGAATCCAATTGCGTAAAATCGTTTGTTAATTTTCAAAATCAGGTAAGTATAAAAGTATAAAAGTGTAGAAGAACGAGCAGAGATTTGAGCTATTGCACTATACTTAGTCTATAAAGTTGTCATAAAAATAAGACCAGCCAATAACATTGGACGGTGGAAAAAGACGGGTTCATAAAAACTTAATTTGATCAAACGAAGAATAAAAATAACAGTACTTATTATTGAATATCAAGAACGTGATTGATTGATTGACATAGAAAAGTTGATTTAAGACTTTTTTTACAAATACCGAAATAATACGGAAAAACTAAACTTACCAGGTAAAATATGTTTATCCATGAATCAATTTCATATAGGATATATTGGAGGAGTTTGATTAATTACGATAATCTGAGACGAATGGAATATGAAACTATTCTATGCGCTCTAATGTACTGGTTGACTTAAATTTTCTATGTGTAATAATTTCTAACAATTTCATCCTATATTCGATACTGCATATAAGTGCGGTTGCAAAATCTTACATTTGAAATAGCATATCAATTTTAATAAAGCCCCGACTTGTACAAAAACATTTAACCCAAAATCAGAGATATATCACTAGTCAGTATCTGAATGATAAACTTCAAAAGAAATTTCTCAAACAGTCCGAAACTCATTGCATGCAATGACAAGTAAATTCAATTTTCAATTATCAAAAAAAGATTTAGAAGAATTTGCACAATATTACAATGATCTTATTGATACACCAGATATTAATTTTTATGGCAACAGATGGAACAGTAACTCTTTACCGGAAAACCTCGAAGGCAATCAAGTTTTGGAAATATTAAACATATTTGATACGATGTACTATCCTCCAGTCTTTGTTGACGAAAATCTGCTCACAGTCCAAATTACAATGGTAGACGAAATATTTAATTTCTTACCTAACCATATTTATGGCAACGAAAAAATTGAAAACATTAAGTTGTTCTATAAATTGTTGTACATTAGCTGGTATTTCAAATACCCAACCATTTTTCGTACACAACTGGAAAATTCAAATATAAGAATTCCAACGACGAAAATATTTTTAACACATGGCTCTGAAAACTTTACCTACATTCATACTCCTTATTCTAAAGATGAAGTCATTGGTTGGTGTGAAAACTTTTCAATAAATAGAGATTGTATTGAGAATAATATGTTTATTATCACTCGCAATGAAGAGTCTTTTGACAACGAGAGGGCGTTAAATTCGTTCGTCAGGGACAAATTGGCACTTTTGGCCAATATTGTGAATTTCAAAATAAAAGAAGAACCAGAAACTTCTTTAGAGAGCTGCAAAATCAAACCCGATATTCATATTGTGGGTGATTACCATTGTTCAATACAATTGAAAAGAAAATTGATAAGTTATGCCATGGAAGAGGAGGGACTAAAAAATGCTGAGCAAAAGCATCGTTTGACCTTCCAATGCTGGAGCGAAGCTCTTGCTATCGGATTGACTAAGTCGATCGTGGTGGACTTTGAAAAGATTTGTCTTTTTCGTTTTTCATATTCAGAAGAGGGATCCGTGCAAGCTGATTATCAAATATTCGACTATACGAAAGATTTTAATTTGTTTAGTTTATTGGCGTTACTATTGAAAGAACATTTTACAACGGACTCTTGTAATGTTAGTAAGGAAGAAAAAGAAAAAATGGTTTCTGTGATGAAAGTAAAATATACAGGAAAGTTGAGACCAAGAAATCCACCCAAATATTATGGTAATCAACGGAAAAAACAGACGAAACGAAAATAGAGAAAATTGTGATGAGCTATCGATTACCGGAAACAAATAAATCCGAAGAAAACACAAAACTAGGTCGAAATAAGCAATAGGACAGTATGAGAGAGACAGCAATTTAGATATATTAGTCTATATATAGAGTAGATAATTCCCATTGGGATAGTGTAGAGGGAGGAAGAGGCAGACATTTGTATAATAAAATATCATTTTACAATCTTTCTTGTGTTACTAATTTGCAGAACTCTATCAAATTATCAATAATGTTCACCTTAGTTGTGGTTGAGTGTGGTTGAGTAGAATTGGATATTGTTAGGATGTCCAATTCAATGGAATCTCAACTCATTATTGGGTTATGGATAAAATAATTCGATGATGGGTATAAAAGCTGATTTTCCCAAAATGAATTGGAAAGAATCGTCATCTGACTTTGAAGACCTACATACTGAAAATTATATAGTATTACATACTGGTATGAGGCTTTTTTAGAATCGCGACTTAATGGAAATATACACCACTCTAACCATCACCAAAATCACAAAAATGAGTGGAAAAGTTGTCAAATAGAAGTTGTATGACCCAAAGGACTTATACCTAGCTCTCAAGGAATATTTTGATACCTTGAAAACTGACGAAAATTGCAGTAAAGCGTTTTTTGCTCAAAAGTACACCAGCTCATTCTGTCCACGCAAGTTTGGGTCAACGTCCAAAGGGAAAAAACTCAATAAAAATAGAAAATTGACAGATGTGGAAGAGAAAAACTTGCTACGTTGGGTAGACAAGTTAGTTGCCGAAGGAAGGTCGGTTTTAAGAAAGAATCTTCAAAAACAAGTTCAGGAAATTGGCGAAAATTTGACGATAGGCCCAGAATAGAGTAGATGGTTTATTATCATCAGACAGCGAGGAATATGAAAAAGACGACCAAAAGTTCAAGGCTCTAGTAAAATATTTGGTAAAATCAAATGAAAATGATCAAAAAATGTAACAAATGTACTAATATAGACAAAATGCAGTTTTTTTAAATAGACAAATTGAAAATTGGAGAATGACTTTGAACTCCAGGTGAACAAATTTCAAACTTTTCATCAATGCAAAATAAATTGGTGGAGTATGTGATATCCTCAAAATTAGAACGTAGACAGGGTTCATATACAAATTACATTACGGAGAAGAACGAAATATGGAAATCAAAAATACTATCTTCGAAAATTAATAATGAAAAAGTGTTGATCATTGAAGAAGCTTTTTCATCAATGGAGTATTTGTATATAAGTTGAGTTGTTGAAACTTGGTTAGTTTTATTTAAGTTTGTCAATTATTCAAAAACATTATTCGTGAATTTGGTGAACAAAAGCTTCAGACAATTATTCATATAATTTAAAAATGGGAGTTGATCAAAAGGGTATCCACGATAATATACGAACGTCATGTTACATACAAATATTTTTACAATTTCTTCACGAATTAAGTTCTTTATGAAGAATTTTCAATTATGCCTAGAATCTTGTTTATTTGTGAACTCTCCAAAATTACAGCGAGGTGAGCAACTGAAAACTCCATAAAGTTAATCACACCTCATATTTCTGAGAAATGTGACTCTCACTAAGGGAATGAAATTGGACTTATATCTCAACTCTTCTTTTGCATTTATCAAACATTTCAAAAAATCAAAATCTCAAAAAAAAACTCTTAAAATTTAGACTGCAAAAGCATTTCCATGTATTAAAAACTGAAAATAACCATATTTCAGCAACAAGAAGAACTAGAACAAGCAATATAAATCCCGTGATGCGATCATCATATCGTAAACAGTCCAGTCCGTCATGTTGATCAGATTAAAATTATAATGCTTGCTTAAAAAAATATTAAAAGGTACAACAACAACCACTAAATATTTTATTATCATGAGTGCATTTGGTGACGTCAAGTTTTGTACTTGGCTAAAGCGATTTAATATTTTTTCGCGAGATTGTTTTTTTTCCTTCGTACAGTACTAGACTAAATGTTTCCTTGCTAAAATTAGTTGGACCCTTGTTCAGAGAAATATTTAGGGGGTTGAGTTTATTACCTCTTAAATTAATATTAAATAAAGTTATTGCTAACTATATTCAATTAAGAATATATCTAAACTTAAAAGTGTTTCAATTAACAATTTGTTTTATAATTGAATGTTACTGTAAGCTGAAACATATGATAAGCTTTTTTGTCAGGGACATAAAATGATCCGAATGAAGTAAGAACATTTCAATTCAATAAAATTTATGCTTTTTAAGCATAATTAGAATTGAAAAATAATTATTGTAAATTTAAAAACTCAATTTATTTGCAAAAGTTACTCAGTTTAGTTATGAAGTTATTATTTGTACCTTAAAAAAGCAAATTAGTTTTTGCCCTTGAGGTAAAGTTTTATATTTGACAGGTACAAACGGTAATTTATGTTTCGAAATAGTTTATTATATTTTGAATGAGATTCAGAAACGAAAACCCATAATTTTAATTGATAAGGTACAATTATAAACCTAAAGAGTCAAAAAAGTTCAAATGAATCTTACTTTATTGGGTTAAGTTTTAGACTAAAATGTTGAACAAGACTAAATTAAGATACTAAATGCCGAAATTGGGAAAAATATTCGAGGAAACCAACACTAACCAGGAATGGAATAAATTCATATCAGATAGGATTCTTTGTACGACCGGCTGCTTCAGTAGTATGGAATATAGTACCATATATGCAATAAAATTTACTTCTACAAATGTATTGTGTTTTTTTAAAACTGAATTAAAGTTTTGTGATGACGTTACATATTTATAAAGTCTATAAGTACGTCCTCAAATGTATTAAATAATATCTCAAATACAACCAGACATGTGGTAATGAAAGAAAATAAGTTGATAAAATTTCATAAAATGACCCTCGATGTTTTCTTGATTAACAATTCAAAAAATTCATTTCCGTTAATAGATACCGACTTCATTTGTTGATCGATTCGATTTATGTTTGATTTCAAATATTTACGAAACCAAAAGATTAAAAATCTAAAACATTTCAATGTACAAAAATTAAATTTCAAAAGAAAAACTCAAATCGCAAAACTCAAATATTGAAAAACCAAAGTGATAATATTAAATTAAAACCATATCTCAGTAGTTAAAATCGTATACAAAGTTCTTTAAAATCTTATACCCCTTACTAATTTTCAAGTGAAAACAAACTTTAATAATTCAAACCAAATACTTAAAAAATCAGGTGATACTATTACCAACAAATTTGGAGTTAAGAGAAGAAATAAGAATTAAGATAAGAAAAACCATTAAAATTTAAAATAATAATTATATAATAGTTATTAAATAAAGTTTATTCCAAAAGTTTAATTAAAGTTTAAACTCAAAAGGATCATGTACAAGCATAGAAAGAAAGTTTGATATTAAAATATTCTATACATTTTGAGTTCAATTTTAAAACAATAGAAAAGACAAAGAAATTCTTTTCATCGATATATAAGCTCACATTTCATTTAAATTTATATGAAAATCTGCAAACATGATGATAAATTTATATTGTGTTTAATCTAGAGATCTATGCAATGAACAAAAGTTTATAATTAAGAGATTTCAGATTTATGATGTACATACATATTCAGCTAATGAATTATTCTAGGTTGATTCTAAAAGATCATGATACATTTGTATAACATTCAAAGATGGCAAAATGCACAATCCATTCACTTTTAAAATGTGACTCTTATATTGAGCCATGTACTAATTTTTTAAAACGCACCAGGTTGTATTTTCTCCTTGTCAGTAGTAAGAATCAGTGATTACAAATAAAAGATTTAAAAGAATTGAAAAAAAGTCTCGAATTCCGCTACTAATCAATACAAATTGATTCATTAATCTTTCATCACGTTTTGCTTTCCCAAACATTTGAAAGAACCAAACCTTTTTTTAAAAAAATCATCACAATATGCATTTACATCTGTATTTAAGAATGTGGCAAAGTTATTGTTCTTATCCCTAAATCTCGAACTTTAATAATCAAAAGAATGAATGCAATAAATTAATTAATTTAATCATGTAAGATTGAACATTCGTTTGTTTTTTTTTTCTTACTTTGTTCTTTATTAATTAATTAATCATTTATCCGCTTAGTTCTGCCTAGCTTTATTCATGATATGCATGGGTTTTCAGTAATTAACACATTTTGCCTCAACTTAATAATCAATTTTCTATTACTTGAGTCTTTGTTGATTGAGTAGTTTTTGTATGTGTAAATTTATATGTATGTCATAAGTCCGGAACATAAATTCTTTATTAATTAATTTAATGGAAATATGATATTTTTTTTTTAACTATGAGTGAGAAAAAGCGGCAAAATTTTAAACCATTTAACAATAGAAAAATTAATAAAAGTTCGAATATTTTCGAATAATTTAGTTGTTATGATACTTCTATATATCAAATCAATTAATTAGCCATAAAGTTATTACTTACTCCAAATTTTGAATGATTTATTGGGTTTGATCTGAAAATTAACTCATGATACTTTCTTCCTTTAAGTTTAGTTGAAATTTTAATCTTTTTTTTTGACAGGTTTCGTTAAATTATTAATTTTTAATTTTTGACTTATTATTCTATTTCTATTTCGTGGTTAAGAAATTTTTGATTCATGATTTTTTTTTTAAGATTTTATACATGTGGAAAATATATGAATTAAATAGAATGGGATTAATAAATTAAAGGAATGGTTTTGATTAACAAAATTATAACTTTTTCTGGATAAGTATTTGGTATTAATGAGTTATGCATTCTTTATTTCTAGACTTACCACGATTAATATGTTGAGGAAGGACAATCTTTCAAGAAATTTGACTAATTCTTTTGAAAAGAGCTATTGATTGTTTGAGGGAGAAAGAGAGACTAGGATTATGTGTCCTTACTTACTACGAATTAAACGAAACTGAATAAAAAAAATCATATGCAACTACTAACCATGAAAGTCTAATTTTCAGATTGTAATGGAACAAAAAAAAAATTGGAGAAAAAACAACATAAAATAGAAATTTAACTTTTTAAATTAGAGTTTTATAATTTATAAATTTTTAATGCCATACCACTCGAAATATTTCAACAACAGTGTACAAGATTAATCTGTAAACAATAATCTGTAATTCGTTACGAGATTAAGTATTAATAACTAATCAATTTGAAATTCGTGTTTATATTTTCCCTCTAACCCTTATTGAATAATAGACTATAAGGAAAAGTAAAAAGTGTAAATTAGTTTTTTAATTGGTCTGAGTAACTAAATTACTCAAATCAAATTAACAAATTAATAATATCACAAATATAATATGGATTTTTGACATATATAATATAAACCATTTTGTGTTAGGTTCAACTTAAATTACAGAAATTCAAGTCTAGTACTTGATTAATCAAATTTTATAGCCGATGCTTTAGTTAATAAATGTCTCAAAACAAAATTCTGGGATGAACTATTGAATAATCAGAATCAAAAATTAGTATACTGTTCAAAGATGGGAAAACTCAGTTATTGAATGATTAATCTTGATAATTATATATCTTTAAATGTAGTGTTATTGTAATTTAAGTGTTTATAAGTACATTTTTAGAGTGAATTTGATATAATAGTCTACATAAAACTATTTTATATGAGATTTTATATTGTACTATAAAAGTTTAGATATCGTAAATGCATCATGTGTTAATAAATTACATAATTAAGAGATTTACAAAATAAATTTATAAAAGTTTAGATTTGTAGGTAGTGTATATAAGTAGAAATTAAACAAATATTTGGTAGCTTCGTTCAATAAAATACATTAGTACAAAAGCATTTTGTAATATATACACTAACGCATCAAATTTATTAGGTGTATAAACACTCCATATTTTGAGACAAAATTACATACTTTTCACTCCTTTACTTTGTTTTTATGATCTATTGCATATTTCCGAAAAGAAGTCACTCTTTTATTTTGAATGTCTTATAAATTGAATTATCCTTAATTTCTGAACCCATGATTCGTTAAATCCTCCTTTTTAATAAAAACATACATTGGCAATTTGAAAATTAACTCACGTTCAATCTTATGCAATCTACTAATCATGTGAGATTTTAAAGTTTATCTACTTTTATCCTTCGTACCAAAATATAAACTTTCTTTTAAACAATATCTATCAAGCAAGATTTTGTGTTAAGTACTATATGGCTTATAATCTTCAAAACGTACACATTCTACAAAATACTGAAAATTAAGGTTTTGTTAAATAAAACTAAACTATTTTCAGGTAATTAATTTTACCTGAACTTTCAGTTTGAATCTTTGGATCTACATGAAATTCGTTACAAAGAGAAATTTATTTATGTATGAAAACTAATAATGTATAATAGCTCAAAATCATAAATTACCCCAATATACAGTTAAATCTGTATATCCTTGTATCATATTGTTATTGTTATTATTGTTAGATATGTAATGTATAATAAAACCTTGTTTTAATTTACATTTTAAAAGATTTACACAAACACTACTTACTCCAATTTAAAGTTTTTTAAAAACTTTGTTTGTATTAATTTGAATTTAAGGTTTTGGTATACAATATTAATTGATTACTGGTAGTAGTAGTAGTAGTATTACTTGCTTGTCTTACTTAACACATAATTGTTAGTATTACGTTATATAAAAAATGGATTCACTTAATAAAATAAAAAAGTTTAAAGTTTAAACAAAATTTTTATAAAAACTTTAAAGTTTGTTCATATTTAAAAATTTCTTAAATTTTTGGTTAAGAGATATATTGTTCATTACTTATTCAACTGAGACGTACCAATTCAGTCTATTGATCAAATCAAATAAATCAATCAATCAACTTCAAGTTTTATATTGTGTGAATTCAATTGTTAGATCTCATATAAATATTCATATTTGTTACTCAATAGTATAATTATAGATTGGGAGTAATTTATCACCATTTTTAAAGATTTACATTCTTTTACAACCAAAGTAATAGTTTACAACCAACAATAACTTCACAATATTGATCAATTGACAACAAAACAAAGGTCATTTATCAATCGAATCAAAGACAAATCAATTTATTACAAATTTTAAGATATTAAAAAATACTATTTATTAGTATGTTAAACATATAAATTTCCATTCAATTAAGTTTATCACAATCAGAAAAGTACCTCAAATCAATATAGAGAAAAATTAAATAAACTAATCATAAACAGAAAGGTGTAAGATATATCAATATTTACATCTTATCTTCAACTTTAAAGTTTTTAAAATCACCTTACTTTACCATTACAAACTCCTTCATTTGTTTTTGTTTTTTTTATAATTTAACTTTTCAAATTTAACTTAAGTTATTTTGAATACTCAATTGCGTAATTATACACTTTCAATTGCAATTTTTTAAACTTTCGAAAGTATCAACAAACATCAAGAAATTGTTGGGAGAAATATTTCAAATTTATCAATAGCGTTTGTCCTTGTTGTTTACATATCGAATCAATTGATCAAGTGTCCTATCAATTTGAATAAATACTACATATTAGAATATTTTAATACTGCAGATATCATATAAAAAATATTTATAAGTCATACATTTTTACCAAGGGCAACTTTTTCAAGAAATTTCGTTTGATCATTCAATATTTTTCACATTCATCAAATCAAAATCATTTATTTCAGCCCTCAATTTTGGTTAATTCTATCAAAATTTATATGTCAATTTGAAAATATAATATTGTAATTTTGTTATAATATAATATTATATTTTTTAATATCCACGAAATTCAGGGAAAAAATAAAATTTATTGTATTCAATTTTTTTAAATTTCTTGGTCTAGTCAAAACGGGGAAAGAATCCGTCAATTAAAATATTTTATTATTTACAATCAAAGTTTATTATTTATTTATCAATAACAAGGGTAGAGCAAAGCAATAGAGTGAATTAGAATCCATTTTTTTTTTTTTCTTTTCAGTTTTATACAAAGTTAAAAGCCTTTTGAATTCATTTATATAAATATCACATTGATTAAGTATTTAAAAAGTTAAATCTAATTAGAAAGATTTTTTTTTTTTGCCCCTACTACATCAAAAATTAGTTTTATTAAACCAGATAATTTTGTCAAACCAAAGCATAATATCAACAAGATAACCAACTGATTCAAACAAGTTTCATAAGTGGTCAAAAATAGTTTAATTCCATTTGTTATCACCAAAAATATTCAAAATTAAGGAACAAAAGAAAGAAGAATCAAATTAAAAATTTAGATTTAGATTCAATTTTAAAAAAAGAAAAAGAAAGAGAGAAAATTATAATTACACTTTAAAAACTCACTTAAGTATGTCTGCATCAAAAATAAATCCAACTTATTATGGTTACGTTGGATCTACTAAAGATGCATTATTAATTATTCAAGAAGCATTAAATAAAAAATTGGAATTTATAACAAGAAGACCTCAAGATAGAGAAAGACAAGAATTAATAAAATCTGGAAATGTATTTGTATTTATTGAAGAACAAAGTGGTATAAAAAGATGGACTGATGGTACTGCTTGGTCTCCTTCAAGAATATTAGGAAGATTTTTAGTTTATAGAGAATTAGATAAAAATTCATTAGATGAAAATGATAAAAAGAGAAAGAAAAGAAAAATAAGTTATAATGGTGATTATAATAATAATGAATCACAACAACAAACACAAAGTAATACTTCACAACATCAACAAAATTCACAACAACAAGATTATCAAAATCAAAACCAAAATCAAGCTGGATTAATACCACCAAACACAATACCTGCATCAAATAGTTATAGTAGTACGGATTATAATAAAGGTTTATTAAGTGGTCCATTAGTTACTTCATATGTTTTTAAAGATCAAGGATTAATTAAAAAAACTTTATCACTTACAACAAAAACAAGAGATTTACATTTAAATAAATTAAATGAACAACAAACAATACATTTAATAAGTTATTATAACGCTCAAGAAGTTATGAATAATAGATTACATAGACCATCTGAATATGATTTAAGTAATGTTAATTTATCACAAAATCTTTGGACAGCAGTAAAAGAAAGTTCATTAGGTGGTAAAATTCCAAATGAAGATGAAGCATTTTATTTTCTTGATGGAAACTATCAATTACAAAATATGTCACATTTACAACATCAACAACAACAACAACAACAACTACAGCAACCACAAAATAATTATTCTCAATTACCATTAAATCCATTACAACAACCACATTCTTTACAACAATCATCACCTCAACAGCCACAACTACAACATCAACCAGATAGAATGGGATATCCTAAATATAGTAATGGTAATCTTATGATGAATCCACAACAACAACCTCAATATTTACCAACAGATCCACATGTTAAAAGAGAAGATGATCCAAATAATACTGGTGAAACTACATTCTTAAATCCATTTACTGGATCTCAACATCAAGTTCCAACTGCTGGATATCCAAATAATAATAATACTATTCATAACCAACCACAAACTCAACAATCTCAAAATACAAAATCTCAACCACAATTAGATCAACCATTCAATCATGTTCCTCAATATGGTAATTATATACAACAACCACCTCCAAATAACAACAATCATCAATTGAATTCAAATCCTCAAGAGTTATATCCATCCTATCATCATAATATAAGTCCACAACAGTATTCAACTCATCAACAACAACAAGCTACAACATCAACTCCATCAAATGTCGGCATATCTCAACCACCACCTCCACCACAATCGATAACTGGTTATTCAACATATCCATATCAAAGTAATGATCCATATTATAACAACAACAATAATTCATATCATAATTCAATATCATCATCATCTAATCAAACTAGTTTTTCAAGTATTCCAACAACAAATAATTCAAGTATATCATCAACAAATTCAAGAAATTTAAGTAGTGGTAGTAATATTAATAATTCATTAAGTTCAGGAAAATTACCAACAGCAAAACCTTTAAAAAATCAACATTGGTCAACTAATGAAAATTTACCACAACAACCACAACAATTACCACCACAACAACCACATCAACAGAATTCAGTCACTAGTAATAATAATGACTACGAACAACAACAACAACAATCGAATTCAAATTCCTCGAGTTCTTCAGTAATACCAACTATGAATAATCAAGTAACTAATAATCAATATATTCATGGTTCTTATCCTCAACAGCAACAACAACCAGGTGGTGGCTCTTATTATGTAAATCATCCACAACAACATCAACAACATCAACATCAACCAAAATGGGGTAATTCAAATTTAAATTCTACTGTCAATAATACAACTACGAATACTACTAAACCTGCTACGACTACAACTACAACTACAACTAGTGTTGGAGGTCAAAATAATGATGTTTAAAAGTTTGGTTTGGCCTAATGGTGGCATTGGTTGATACATATTTTTCTACATGCGTTGGTTTTTGATTATTACAATATGCTAATTTCAGCTTTGATTAGTTAGAGGTTATTGCTTCTTTTTTTTATTCATTCAGTTTATTTTCATATTATTATTCATTTCAATTTTTATTAGTATATATATGTTTTAGATTTTATATTTTGTTTTTAAAAAAAATTTATTGAAAATTTTATTTATTTAAACTTTGTCAAATTTCGTAAATTCGTTTCCTCGTTTCTCTCCTTTCTATACTTTATTCTCCTATTTCCTTTATTTGGTTTTTTGCTTTCCTTCTCTCTATCGGTTCTTAATTCTTTAATTTGTTTCTGTCATATTGTGCTAAATTAAACTATTAATGAATATTGCAGAAGAGAGCATGAAAAAGTTTAAATTTCCAACGTTTCATAATTTTTAAGAACAATTAAACTTTAAATAATTTTAGTTAGGTTAGTTGCATTATTATTAAAGTTTCAAGTTATAAAATTAAAGTTTCTGAATGTTTCATGTATATGTAATTACGTCAATAATGATAAGCGGCTTTTTTTTTTTTTTTAAATTCGTTTATTTTTCTCACGGAAATTTTTTTTAATTGTTTCCTACATGAATCTTGTTTTAACTTCTCAATCAACATCAAAAATTAAAAAAATTAGATTTATGAAGTATAAAAACTGTAAAAGTGAATAAGGTTGAATGTTACAAAAGTAAATCTGAAACAAGATGTACAAGATATAATATATGTAAAAAATAATAGTGACATAATAAGACAGCATAGTCTAAATTTAACCGAAATATAATTAAATTTGAAACACTTAACTTAAATAATATTATGTGCATTTTGGTGCAGGGAAGCGTTTGTTGAATCGAAGAAAAAGTAAAAAATTAGGACCAGCGTTGCATCATTCTTTCTACATTTTAAGGCGGACTCCGCGTGCGGAGTTGGTCTAAATTACACCAAGCTTTGGCTTGAAGTCCGAATCTAGCGGTTTGCTGCGCAAAAGTAAATCAACAATACAATAAGTTATTAAATTTAAATTATCCATCAACTTGTATGAATACGTGGGTAAGAACACAGGATAATACATTCCGTTAAGTCGATTTAATGAATATTATCCTTGTATTTAATTCCAACTCACGTTGCAAATCTAAAATCTAATCTATCACTTCCTTCATCTTTTGTATATTTCCTATAATCATCCTTTTCATCTTCACTCATATTATTCCAAATCTTATTCCTCTTTTTATTAACAAACACATAATAAAATTTAATAATTAATAATAAAGGAATCAATCCAAAAGTAATCCAAAACAATTGCATATTACCTCTTAAATATAATGGTTTATCATCATTTCTATATATGAAATTAGCAATAATATTACCAATTTGTCCAAACATGTTATACAATGCACTACTTATAGATCTTGATCTTACTGAATTTGAATTTCTTGATACCCAACTAACACAAATTGCATGAATAAAAGGTTGACCTAAAAATAAAGTATTTAATACATATGTGCCCCAAATATTTTTACCAGCTTGAGGCCACCATCTAATAATACCAATTATCGGAGTTGCATACACTGGAGCTATTAAACAAACAAATCCTCTATCATTAATAAATTCTGAAAACCAAGTTATAAGTAACAAGAAAATAATATGTAAAATAGCTTGAGGAATAGTTAATAAATTGGTATTAAAAGTTGAAAATCCAAGAGATTTTGTAATTAATCCAAAATATGGAGTAAAAGTATTTATACCCATAAATGCATAAAATCCAATAAGATAAATTGGCCATAAATGATAATCACAAAGACATTTCCATAACATTTTTGAAGATATAGGTTGTCTATTATGCATTGTACCTTTACTTGGATCATCTCTTAATATTCTATTAACAACAATTTTAATTTCTCTATCAGTAAACCAACCTTTAGGATTAAGAAATTTTTTAGTTTGTACTGCAGAAGGTACCATTAAATGAAATGATGCAATACCAACAACTAAAGAAAATGAACCTTCAATTAAAAATAAAAATTTCCAACCTGCCCAACCCCAAGTATTTATTCTTAAGATTCCAAAAGCTAATAAACTTGAAACAATTTGACATAATGATAATGACACCCAAAACCATGATAAAACTAATGGTAATTCTGAACTTGTAAAAAAATAAGATAACCAAAGTACTAAATCGGCAATAAATCCACCTTGCAATAGACCTATAAGAGCTCTTGTTATATAAAATCCAGCTTTATCTTTTAAACCAATTTGACTTATAGAAACAATACTCCAACAACAAATTTGAATTGGAATAAAAATATCAGGACCTAATCTTTTTGAAATTAATTGAGAAGGAACTTCAGATATCATAAAAAATACAAGACTTAAAGTATTACCAATATTATAATCATTTGAATTTAAATTTAAATCTTTTAAAAAATTATCTGTAACAGCTTGTGCAAGATTTCCTCTATCAATTTGTAATGATATAAACATTAAACATGCAGTAAATGCAACTCTATAATATAATTTAATTTTAACAGTTTTTTCTTCTTTTGGTGACCAATTAAAAAATGGATCAAATGCTGAATAACTTTCATAATTTGAATTTTTATATAGAGTTCTATAATATTCTTCAATTTTGGGATTTAAAAATGGATTTGAATGTTTTTCATTAATGATGGTGTTTTCTGAGTTTTCTTCTATTGATGAACATGATTCTATATTGATTTCAAGATCTTGCTTATTTGATTTTTCATGATTTGAAATCTTTTCAGATGTACTTGATGATATTATATCAATCAGCATTGTCTTCTTGTGTTGAATTGATTGAATCTATTTTTATTATCTCTTTCATCACCTAAAGATTGTAATGTCATGGACATTATATAACCAACGATTCCGAAACAATATCCCATTTAACAAAAATTAAATCAATTCAAATAACCCCTGTGTGTTTTTAGCGTAGAAGATACAATAGCGGATCAATTGAGTTCAATATTATAACATCATTTTGCCTCCATATCAACCACAATAGCACCAATTTAGTTTTAAATTTGACTATATAACATAACCGTTACATAATCAGAACATCAATTGCGTTAAAAGTAGTTTTTCCTCGTAGTACTGTCCTTGTGTTGCATTTAGGTTGACTGTGGTGGCTTTAATTTAGGTTTCAAATAGATTTGTATAAGATTTAATGCAAATTTAACTAAATTTTTTCCGTTCACATAATCACAAGATAAGATCCCATGAACTTTACCCAGTGTTAATAACTCAATTAATAGTTATATTTTATAAGTTGAATGCTACTTGTTCAATGACCTGAAAGAATATGCAAGCGAAGAAAGTTTATTTTAAAACATAAATAATTGCTCAATAAAGCTTGTAGAAATTTCTGTAGTACGATGGATAGAAGAAACATCACTATCCTTTCAATTCAATCAGATAAAGAAGAACAAATTAAGATCAAAAACGATGATATATAAATATATTTTAAATTAAAGAATAATTATATGAATAAACTAATTAAAAACCTAATATAAAAAAAAAAGATACGAAAGAAAAATAATATGCAAATAATATAATCTTAATCAAACCTTACCAATAAAACCCATTAACCACTAAGAAACTAAGATATATCTTCTTGAAATCTAGATAATGAATTATTTGAACCATAACCACTTGATCCAAATACATTATGAATTGAAGGACGTTCTAAAGGATTTGTAGTTTGATTAGGGTAGTTTTGTTGTTGTTGATGATGCGGTTGATCTTGACCTTGACCTGTAGTTGATAATCTTGTATATTGATGATTACCACCATTAAATTGATCACTTGGTAAAATAAATGATTCATCATCATAATCAGAAGGATGGAAATCATCTTCATCTGAACTTGAACTTAAATCATCTTGTTGATTATGTTGATGATGAATTTGTTGTTGATGATATGTTGGGATTGAATCATCATCATAATTTGAACTTTGGTTTGAATGAGGTCTTTGATCTGAATTTACTAGATCGTTATATATGTGGGGATTTATTCCAGCTCCTATTGTTGTTGGTGCTTTAGTTTGAGAAACATATGGGTCTTCTTGAAAATTAAAATCATTTGGACTTGCTAATGGATGACCATAACTATTCATTCTAGTTGGATTTTGATAAGATTTATCACCATTACCATTTCCATTTCCATATTTATTATTATCATCCATTGAATTTACCATTGTACCACTAGTACCACCAAATGTATCACTATTAGTTAAAATTGAAGAACCTCTTGTAGAATCTTTACCACCAAATAAAATTGAATTTCTTGCATTTGAATTAGTATTAGTATTTGTATTAGTATTTGATGATCTAAAAATAGAATCTAAATTATTTGAATTTGTAACACCTCTATAAGCAAATCCATCATTTGAATCCTCAGTTGTGTGTTTATCACTAAATGTTCCATATGTTAAACCATTTTGATTTTCTAAATCATGTTGATTTGAATTATTTCTAAATGATCTTAATTTATTCATTGCTCCTAATCCTGCAACAGTTCCAGCTGCACCTGCACCTGCTCCGGAATTATTACCTCTTCCGGAACCAATACCACCACCACTTGTTGGACCATTACCATTACCACCACCACTTAATAATTTTGAATGTGATGAATTACTATTACTTCTAAACATATTTTTAATCCAACCCATTTTAGATTGTTGCATATCACCATTTGGAGAATCATGATAAATTTGATCGTTTTTATCATCTAAACTAGTATCTTCTTCATCATCATCATTATTACCACCAGCACCGCCAGGTCCACCTAATCCTGCAGCTCCATTACCACCACCAACAAAATCTGGTGATTGATTAGTTACATTATTTCTTTTCCTCTTTTTAAAGAAAATAAATAATACTGCCAATATTGCAATAACTATGATTCCACCAATTGATCCAACTAATCCTCCAATTAATTTTGAATTTCTTTCAGATGTTGAATTTCCAAAATCTGCTGATACAACAGTTGATGTTGGTATAGCAACTATAGTTGTTATTGTTGTATCTGGATTTGTTATAATTGATGTATAAGACGATGTGAAAGATGATGTTGAACTATGTTTATCCGTAGATGTAGTTTCTGGTGCTTCTGTTGTGGATGAAGATGGAGAAGAGGATGATGATTCACTAGTTGATGATGGTTGAGATGATGATGATGATCTTGATGAGCTGGATGACGAGGATCTTGATGAAGTTGTTGAAGCAGCTACTGTTGATGAAGAGGATGAGGATGATGAGGATGATGATGATGAAGATGAACTTGAATTTGAACTAGAACTTGTGCTTGAGCTAGTAACTGAACTTTCTGAAGATGAAGTTGAAGATGATGATTCACTTGAGCTTGTTGAAGATTCACTAGATGATGATGAAGTATTTGAAGTACTTGAAGGTTCTGCTGATGATGATTCTATAACAATTGAAGATGATGATGATGTTTCAGTAGTACTTGAACTTGGGACTTCACTTGATGTTGTGTCGGTAGAGCTAGATGATGGAGTTGTTGTGGATGAGTTGGATGAGATAGTAGTTGATGAGCTAGGTAGTATAGTAGTTGAAGATGATGGTGGAGTTGTAGTGGAACTATCTGAACTTGAAGTAGGTGTTGTAGTAGAACTTGAATTTTCACTTGTAGTTGATGAAGAACTTGTGGGAGAAGCAGATGATGAATCTGAAGTTGCTGATGTAGTTTCCGAAGTTGATGATTCTGAAGTTGTTTCTAATGATGATGACGATGGAGATATAGTATCAGAAATACTAGTTGATGGAGTAGTTGTTCCTACCGATGAAGAAGAAGGTTGAGATAATTGTGTATCAGTTGGTTCAACTAATGATGTTGTCGTATTAGACATTTCTGATTCTGAAGAAGTAGATGTATTTGATTGTGTAGTAGAAGTATTTGAGTTTGAATTTGAGTTAGATTGACTTGTACTTGTAGTAGATGAAGTTAGCGAAGGACTTGTACTTGAATTTGTTGTAGAATTATTATCAGTAGTAGTAGTACTGGTATTTGAATTATTAGATGTTGGAGTAGTATTTGATGTTTGTTCTTGTTGTGTTGTTGAAGGAGATTGTGTAGTTGAAGTTTGTTGTTGTGAGCTTAAAGCTGTAGTAGTTGGGGTAGCAGTCGGGGTAGATGATGAAACGATGGACGACACTTTAGATGTTGTTGTTGGTGATGAATTAAATGATGAAGAACTTGGTGTATTTGTAAATAAAGAAGGAGAAGTATTAATAAAATTTGAGGATGATGATGAAATTGTGTTTGAAATCTTAGTACTGGGATCTTGACTTATATGCAGGGAAGTACTACTTTGTAGTAGATTTTGTAGATTTTGTGTTTCTTTTGAATTAATTGAAGTATTTTTTAATGAAGTTTGAGAATTTGTAGTTGTTGGTGATGATGATGATTCAATTGATGAAGTATCAAAAGAAGAAATAGAAGTAGTATTGGTAACTCTTTTTTTCAAATATTTTAAATATATTATTTGAGTATAAATTTGTGATTTGTCGAAATTGAAATTCATTTTGTATTTATGTATTATTGTTGTTTCTTTTTGTGTGTTTTATGGTCCTTTCGAAGATTTTGATTCCTTTTGCTAATAGTTAATAATAGTAACTTAATAGTTACTATAGTGTTAATGTAGTAAGGTTTAAAGTAGCTAATGCTTAATTAATTGGAAAGGGTTGAAACTTTAGTATAGTAGTTTGATTTTGTGTTATGTTTGTTTCTTTGTTTATTATTGCTATTAATAAATTTTTTAAAATTTCATTATCTTTTTTTCTTTCTCTCGAGGAATATTGTCAAAAAGTTCTTTTTTTCTTTGATTTGAAATGAATCAAGTTATAATATGCCAGTTATCAGTGTCCAAATGTATGATAATGTACCTTTATTTGAGATCTCTTTTATCTATCTACTCCTAAATCTGGTAATAAGTAAAATAGAATGAAAAAAAAGTTTAGATCCGTAACTACCAAATGAAATGTAGTTAATTAAACACAAAATCAAAGTTTAAGTAAAAGCCTTCTCCCCCTTTGATGTAATATTAATCAATGATTTCACTATTGATTCTTTATTTTAATCAACCCTGATGACTAGCTAACAACAAAAGAAATACAAATAATATAGAATTTTTATTCGTATACCTAATTAATTGGTGAAACTCTTTACGAATAATCTAATCAATTTATTATCGTGAATCAACTATTGATAAAGAAATGCCTTGAAGTTTTATGAATCCACCAAGTTTGAAACTGAAATTGAACCTGTGTAGAGTAGTAGAATCTACTGCTCCTTGAAATAAGCTTGGTTATTAAAATTTTTTATTAGATAATGTATGTGTATACGGCTTTTATGATTTTGTGTTGATTTATACGAGATAAAATGGAATTAACCAATATAAATTTTATCCGAGATTTTGATTGTAGTAGTATGTTGCCGTAGTAGTTATGAAACGGATTTAGAACAGTGATGTGATGTATTGTATTGACAAATTGAAAAATGGAAAATGACACACACTCAATTGATGAAACAAATGTATAAAGAATTGAAAATTGTAGAACTGAATAAAGTTTTTAATAAAATTGTTTCAGTAAGTATTGTAAGAGATTTGAAATGATATTTAAATGAGTTCAATACTCTAAATAATAATAAAACATTATTTTATTATTTTTCATTTCGTATTATCTTTTGAACGCAACTTGTATTGAAATTGTTAGCAAATGTTTGAAGAATATTGAAAAATATTAATTGAAACAATAAAGGAATATAGGACTTTTGCATACGTACATAACATACAATAAAATTAATTAATGAATTTTTGAAACAAATTATAAGGTTATCTTATTTGAAAGTTTGATTTCACATGTGGTTGATTGATCTAAATATTTTATTTTTATTTCTGTTGTTTTATTTTACACAATTGAATAGCCTTACGCTACTACATTTAATTTTTCTTTTGTTTGAATTTTTAAATGCCTATAATCACCCTTGTGTTTACTTAAAGGTACACACATGCTCATTTATTAAGGAAAGCTCTAATTACTTTAAGCAGATTTAATAATTTGAATGTATATTGAAAAAGTAATAAAATTTACTCGTGTTTTTTCGTATTCAGGGGTTCAGGATTATTACCATATTCATCTATTATTCTACTATATTGGGTTTAATTAAATACCTACAATTAGATAATTTCTTGAATATTCTACTCTTTTCCATATCCTTCTATTCCAGTGGTGGAAGTAGCTTTGAAACATCCATAACTTCCTTGATTAAACATTTGATTAATTGATTCATTCATATAATTAAATCATAGATTGCACTGAATTTAACATAAGTTGCATGAAATAAAATAGAAGAAATTTTGATTTGCAATTTAAAGTTTTAAGTTTTGAAAAAAACCTTCGCTAAATTTTAAATTTTAAGGGATTAAACAATTCATACTCAGCTTAGTTTCAACTATCTCTCCACAAAATTGAAAAAGCTACGAGGGATATTTTGACAAGAATCAAGAATGGCCCTAAGGATAATCCAAAAATTGAATTAAAAATAGGGTAATGATATATACAGAAGTTTTTTCAACACTTTAAATTTCAATTAATATCCTTTGATTTGATTATAATCATATAGATTATGTACAAAGACTAAAAAACCTCGAGTTAAGAATGTGATTAATGTTTCGAAAAAAGTTGTTAACTACGTAATGAAAAGCAAACATAAATGAAAACAATTGAAACAATAAAGAGAAATAATAATAGGTACTTATTGTTTAGTTCATCAATTCTCGAGGTTTACCGAGTTTAACATCCCCGTAATTATTATAATTATAAGTTTAACCGTTTTTACCTTCATAAATCGAAATCGAGGAATACAATATGATTAATTAAAGTTAAAAATTGAAAGTTAGTAGCTGTTTTATGAAGGATAGAGTTATAATCTAGCTATATCAATTTCCAAATTAAGTGAATTGATGGTGATTCTAGGATTTGAATTTATCATGGGAATTGATATGATAGTAAGGTTTTAAAGATTTAACTCAGTTTAAAAGTAAAAGTTATCAAAATCTGTACAACAATGTTAGTGTTGATGATATTTCTTCCCTTAGATCCCCCGATTTTTATAAATATGGTTATTACATTAATAGTAGTGTTCATAGACTTACCAAATTGTTAGTGCACGATGAATGAACGAAATGTTACCCCTAATTATGGCAATTTTTGATGTTTTACACAACAGCTTTTGATTTATATTTTCTAAGACTGTTTCTGAATCAAGTTTTTGACCATGAATCTGTGCAAAAAGAAACATACATGAGTTGGCATTTCAACTAATGGATAGTCTAGTAATTGATTTACTCTGAATCACTTTGTCGCAAAATTTATTTTACTTTTGTCATAGCTCGATTTAGTGACAGTGAAAAATTAAAAATTGAATCGACAAATAAATCTGTTGAGATTTTTTGTTCAACCCTAATTCCATCAGGAATAGAAGACAGATACATTATAAATGATTAGTATAATCAGCGTGTTTGATTCTATTGAATTTAGTGAGAAGAGATTAAAGAACTAAAATAATAATTGGAAAAAGAGGATTCAATAGGTGAAACTAATGCTGCTGTGGACTCTCCAAGAAGCAATATAAGTACTAAATCATGTTGATCGAAATTCAACTACTTGAATATATATGCACTATTTTTGATTTTGAGGAGTAAGTAATGAGGCGAGATTATTGGATTTCATGTTATCATTATGTAAAATCAATTGCTTAAAAGAATTTGGTCAATTGAACAACCAATATGTTGTCAATTCGGCTTACAGGAGACTATATTAAGAAATACCAAAAAGGTAAAAAAATACTCATTAATAGAATTATAAAGTTTTATCTCATCTGCTTTCAAAACGGCACTCCGAATTTGATGTTGATATCCCTCCAATGCTTTGCTTTTACCACTTTTTTTTCTTTGAAAAACGATTGAAGTGACAATAATAATAAATACCAGAGTCGTTTTGGTAGCAAATGAAATGTAAACTACAAATTATAATTAAAGTCAAGAGAAGGACTCATAACCTGTTCGAGCGCAGTGGTTCTGATCTTGATTTCATCTTTACTTATTTGTATTTTATTATTGGAGCTTAAAGATGATATCAAGATCAGTACTACTGCTCTCGAACAAATACAGACAATATTTGATTTAATAACAAAAGCAGTTGAAGTTTCAGTTAATGTTTCAATCTTGGGTGTAGTCACAGATATTAAAACAATGCTTTTCATAGTATTTTGAAATCCAACTATTTCAGAATAAAGAATTGAAATTTTCATTTAATTTATCGAAGAGAGAATGGAAAATAATTTGGTTACATTTTAAATAAGAATCAAACACCCGAAGAAAATTGAAATAAGATTCACAATGTTGTTGTGAAATTATCACCAGATAGAACAAACTATTTTGTCGCAAGTATAATTATATCACAAGTTAATAGGAGTAAATCAATTTTAGTATCAGATTTGAATTATGATGATCCATTATGCTGCTAAAATATGTCGTGCATTGTTTTGATAGCAATGACTTGGAAATGGAATAGAATGGATTATTATGTTTGTATTATGTAAATATATTGAAGAATTTGGTCATCTGATCATCCAATTTTACAATTTGACCTAACGGGGACCACAACGGGAATTATCAAGAGTAAATAATCATCAGAGGAATCGGTATATGATACAAGTTTACAAAAGTTGCCGATAGTAATATAAAAAACTAGACTATTAGCTGAAGAAAATAGATGGAGGATTTGGCATACTTATTATTACCAACGTTGAACATTTTTGTCCACATTGAATTCTTTTTTGAGAGTGTATGTGAAATAACTTTATTTTATCATGGTGCCTTTGTATGAAGTTTTAATAAAAGGGCATACTGCACTAGAAGCGATAAAAGGTGGGAAATTTTGACACATTCTCAAAAAGGAAGGACTCAATATGGATCAAAATGTTTAACAATTCGGAATTTGACTAATTTCAATGCATGGTTTGTTATGTATTTTGATTATTGACTAGTTGCTATGTAGTTCCTGATGGAATATAAAGTTTTATTCTTGATTGAAATTATTTTTACAGTACAAAATGGCCTTATATACAATGATTTAGTCAACATATTTAAAAGCAGTAGTTTCACAATTTAAACTGGTCTTCAACGAATACAGAATTTCTTTCTATATTCCTTAAATGTCAGTTAAAATTGTGAAATAACTGGCTTTAAACATATCAAATCATAGAATAACCTTTTGAAGATGAATCCATTTTGATAAAGCACTGCCTTGTTCATTTTATTTATACTAACTATTCTAAATTTATAATTTCCAATTAGATTGATTTGATCAGTACCTGAACTTATGTTTCTGTGTTTTCACATTTCTTTAAACTAAACTGGTCTGAACGTTTAATCAACATCACCAAACGGAATTCGATTGTTGGTATGTTTGCACAGTTCCACTAATGATATTAGTGGTAGTAGTATCAATGGTAATAGTTTGTCTATCTAAAAAAAAAATCAAATTACAAAAGGTAGTGTGAAATTGACCAAAAGTTTTATTTAAGTAGTAACAAAAGAAAAATCATTTCAACGTTTATGCAACAATTTATAGTATAGCATAATCATTATCAAACCCTAAATACATATCAACTCAACCAATACTTTACTTCATCTGTCTTATATTCCGAAAACCATTGATTCAATAGTTTGTTTCTTTGTTAACTTCAATTCTTGAATCATATAAATTTATAACTACTACGTCAATTTTATATCTTCAATTTGTGGGGAAAGCAAATAATCAAATCAAGATCAAATAATCAATTAAACACAAACTAAACATAAAGAATCATGTCTACAAAGATTAATGATAAATCTGTAGCAGCATCATTATTAAAAGTTTATCGATCTAATAGATCGCTTTTTTTAAACACATCATATATTGTATTAATTACTGCAGCGTTTACAGGTGCAGCAAGTACTGGATCATCATCATCATCAAATCAAAAATTAGATAAATCAATAGATAATTCCAAAAATGATATTAAAAAATCAAAACATCCAAAATTAAGTAAACAAACTGTTGATCGACTAATAAAATCTATTGTACCTCATTGGTATGATAAAACAATAATTTATTTATTAAGTCATATAATTTTGTTAGTAATTAGAGCTTTATTAACTATACAAGTTGCAACTTTAGATGGTCAATTAGTTGGAGCATTAGTTTCAAAAAGGTTAAAAGTTTTCAGTAAATATCTTTTAATATGGTTATTAATTGGTATACCAGCATCATTAACAAATGCTTTATTAAGTTGGACAAAATCAAATTTAAGTAAAAGCATAAGAGAAAATTTAAATTCATCAATAATGAAAAATTATTTACCTGCAAATTTAGATGCAAATTATTATTCATTAATTCATTTAAATGATAATAAAATAAAAGATCCAAATCAAAGAATTACAACTGATGTAACAAGATTAGCTCAAGCTTTAAGTGCATTACCAGGTCAATTATTAAAACCTACTTTAGATCTTGTGTTATGTGCAAGAAAATTAAGTCAAAGTGGTGTTGGAAATGGTGAAGGTACTTTAGCTTTAGGTATATTAGCTCATTTTTCAACAATGATTATAAGATTTTTTTCTCCTCCTTTTGCAAAATTAGCAAGTGAAAGAGCTAATTTAGAAGGTCAATTAAGATCTGCTCATTCTAAAATTGTTTCAAATAATGAAGAAATTGCATTTTTAAAAGGTCATTATAGAGAATTAGATTATATTGATTATTGTTATTATACTTTAGAAAGATTTTCAAAGGGAGAATATTGGAAAAAAGCCATACATGAAATTGCTCAAACTTTTATTGTTAAATATTTTTGGGGTGCTGCTGGATTAGTATTATGTTCTGCTCCAATATTTATAAATAAATATATTGGAGAAGATCCAAATAATGATACAGCAAGTAATTTTATAACTAATAGATCATTATTATTAAGTGCTTCAGATTCTTTAGATAGATTAATATTTGCAAGAAGATATCTTTTACAAATTGTTGGACATTCAAATAGAGTTGCACAATTAGAAGATAGTTTATATGAAGTTCAAGAAAATAAAAAAAAAATAACATCAAATGTTAAATATAATAATGATGAAATATGTTTTAAAAATGTTAAATTATTAACTCCTGCAAATGTTACATTAATTGAAAGTTTAAATTTTGAAATTAAAAAGGGTGATCATTTATTAATTTCAGGTCCAAATGGGTCCGGAAAATCTTCATTATTTAGAATGCTTGGTGGATTATGGCCAGTAAAAGAAGGTACAATAACAATTCCAACTTCTGAAAATATGTTTTATTTACCTCAAAGAGCTTATTTAGTAACAGATTCTTCATTAAAAGAACAAATAATATATCCACATTCTTTACAACAACAAAAAAAATCAGATGAAGAATTAAATGAAATTTTAAAAGTTTTAAAATTACAAGATTTTATACCACAATTAAATGAAATTAAAAATTGGAATGAAGAATTATCAACAGGTGCACAACAAAGATTAGCAATGGCAAGATTATATTATCATGAACCAAAATTTGCAGTATTAGATGAATGTACATCTGCAGTATCACCAGATATGGAACAATTTATGTATCAATATGCTCAAAATTTAGGTATTACTTTATTAAGTGTTTGTCATAGACCTGCTTTATGGCATTTTCATAAATATTTATTAAAATTTGATGGTAAAGGTGGATATTTTTTTGGAAAATTAGATGCTAACAAGAGATTAAATTTAGAAAATGAAAGAATTGAATTGGAAAAAAAATTAAGAGATGTTCCTATTTTAAAAGAAAGATTATCTGAATTAAAGAAAGTTTCAAAATTACAACATGATAAATATAGAAGTTAGTTTCTAGTATGTAAGTGTATATTTTTTATCTATTTATCTTTTGTTAAATTTGATTCTGTAAATTTTCCATCATATAATAAAGTAGTCATTATTCCATTAATTATTTCAACTTGAAACAGTTTAAAAGGGAACAGTTCACCATCAATTGATATAAAATGTTTACCATTTTCATCATTTAATTTTGGAATTAATCTATATCCTTTAATTTTAGAATGTAAAATTTTTGAACTATCCATATTTATATGTGTTCCCTTTTCAACACTTAATAAAATTGATGATAAATCAATTATTGAAGTATTTGAAGAAGTTATTATCATATCCATATTTCCATCATTTGGTAATGCTGCGGGGAAAAATTGAGCATCTGTTGATACATAAGGCATTTTACCAACATATAAAATATTCAAATTATTTGTTAATGATGAAGGTAATTTTATCCAATTTGATGGAATCTCATCATTTATTGTATTTGAAAGAGTTAAATCTTCAACATCTAATTCTTTGTTTTCATTAGTATCTTCTTTATTTGTATAATCTTTAACATGTTTTTTAATTTCATTTTGATCTTGTGTGACAAATTCAACATATAAATCACAAGGATATTTTGAATTATTAAATAATCTTTGTACAATTCCAATTTCAAATCTCATGGATCCTAACCATCTTAAGTGTTCAGTTCCACAATCTGCATCAGCTATAATACCAAAACATTGAGATAAAAAACTAAGACTTGTTGTGAGTTCATTATTTACGTTTTGAGTTATACACATTAAATCTAATTTTTTAGGTATTGATTTAAGCATTAACCAAGTTGAAATTTCAGTTGATTTTGATCCTCCTAATGTAGATAAACTGAAAGCATTACCTGATCCACAAGGTAATTGAGTTATTATAATTTTATTAAATGCATCAATTCCTCTGTGGGGTCTTTGATAAAATCCATTTATTATTTCATGAGGTATTCCATCTCCTGAACAACACAACACTATATCATATTCTTCAATATTTAAATTTTTTGCAAGATCTATTGCATGTTTTGAATATTTAGTTTCAATAAATGTAATTTTACAATGTGCTGCTTTCAATATTGGTTTTATTTTTTCATTATATATTTGAATAGCTTTTCCTTGACCACCATGAGGATTTATAACAACCAAAATAGAAGGTTGTTGTAAAATTTTTGAAGGATATGATTTATTCATTATATATTGTTGAATAGATTTACCATTTGTGTTTATACTATTTAAATTTTGAATTTGAATATTTATTATTTGAATTGATAATTTATTTGCTTTTTTTAAAATATCATCATTATTTGGTATAACATAAGTTAATTTAAATTCATTTATTTCTTCATCATTATAATTTATTGGTTCTATGAATAGAATATTTTTGAAAGATATAAATTTTGGAATAATTGAATTTATATTTGTTGATGATTCATTACCAAAACAAGATTTAAAAAAAGATGTAAAATAATTTGATTGTTGGGTTGTGGTTGTTATATCTTCTCCAAAACTTTCATGACTTGAATTACTTGAATTATGATTACTTTTACTCAAATTATTATTATTATTATTTATAACTAAACCTTGAGATGATAAAGTAACTAAAATTAAATCTTTTCTTTGAAATAACAAAGTTTCAGATGATAATTTTTTATTTAAAAAATTTGAAGAAGAATTAACATCATTTTGGTGGTTTTTTGAATTTGTTTTTGAAATTGTTGATATTGACATATTATTATCAATAAATAATATAAATTGTTTTGTTGTATGATATAATAATGAAGTTAATACATATATTGGTTGTAATAATACTTTAATAAACATTCAATGTTTGGAAAGTATCTTCTTTCTTTATTTGATATTTCCTTTTTTTGAATGTGCTATTTTATTGAACTATTGTTGGTTATTGTAAGGTAATATAATTTGGTATAAATTAATTAAGTGTTTATCTTTATAAATTTAAAGAAATAATAATTAGACCGAAAAATTAGTTAACCTCTATAAATCAGGATATACCTGTTGAAATGAGACAGGGTGTTTTAAGCTACAGAAAATCCTGAATTTTAGAGGTTGACTACATTATAAGAAAGACTTAGTGATCAATCAGTCTATTTAATTTGAATCCTGGAGAGAATCTAACGTAGTCTTAGTAACTATATAAGCTAGTTGAGACTCTTTCTATTCACTCAAATATTCAAAGGTTTATTATGGTTTGGAAGTTCAAAACTATTAAACAGAATGCTACTATCTTTCTGAATTTAGTGTAATACACGTCGATGATGATACTCTATTAAGTTTTTAGTATTGATAGTATCAAGATCAAAAATTTATAGAAAAATTTAAGGATAAATCGGCTCAAAATAAAAATAAGGGTTTGATCTTTTAAAACACGTATAACATTTTTATAATTTTCGTTATGAACACTGTTTCAAAAGTTGAAGAACAATACGCGTTAAATCAAAGATGAGATCAAGTGACACTTGATTTACAAGCTTTATAAATTATGATTCGTGAAACACGTCTTATAATTGCATGAATTTTAAAAAAAAAACGTGAGAAAGAGGCTGCAAAATTAAAAAAATTCGACTATAATTTTATTTAGCTAATTGTTTCATATTCTTTTCACTATAGATCGTAAGACAAATTACTTAATTTGTTTCCTATTTAAACATTTCTATGTTAGTTATTTACATTTTTAGAATTTGTTTATTGAGAGAGTTGTACTATCTACATATATCATTTTAATCTTTAATTTGGTGAACCTATATTAGCCTATTTGTATTTTTTGGTTATAAAATTAAATTGAAATTCAGATAGGCATTTCTGTTAAAATAAAACTTCAATACACATTAATAGACTTGAATCGACCTAAATGGCTCTTCTCTTCTTTCTCTTCCTTCCTTTCTTTCCCTTTTTGAGAAGCATGTTATCCTTTTCATTCTCCTCTACCACACAATCACTAGTTTTGAAATGTTCTTCCAATATCAATGCTAATAACGTGAATAAGTTGAATTCTTCCCCTTGTCCGTAATTGAATATTGTAAGTTGTACTAGACTTTGGAAAAATATGCCTTTTCGAATTTTCGGCTATCTTACCTAGCTAGAATTTTACTGCTTGGATTTTTCCGATAGCTGAAAATTCGAAAAGGCAAATTCTTTTAAGTTTAATACAATTGACTTCTATAATCCAAAAGCAAGGGCCCCAATCCAGCACTGAAAAGTTAAGTAATTCTTTTTGCATAGGGCTACCTTTGTTTTTCACTTGTTGCAAAACCAATTAATTTTCGCTTCACCTGTATTTGGTGATTATGAATGTACTATTTAGGTAATTGTACTATCGTAATCACCAAATACATAAATATCGGGCTTTATTAGGTTTTTATCTAATTCCCCTTAGACTCTTCTTTACTTTTAAATTTCATGAAATTCGACAGCTTCAACCAAATTGTTCACAACATGCGTTGTTAAGCATCTTTCATTTTTTGAAATGATTTGCCACCAAAAATCAGAAAACTTAATTTTTGTATCACCATTGATAGAAGTACGGTATGAATTCATTTATATCCTAGCTTGACAAATAAACACCTTTTCTATATGTCATGATCTGTAATTCTCTTGAAAAAAATTTCTAGCTTTTGTAGTTTGATAACTGATTAATAAAATAAGTTTGGAAGGAAATTACTTTTTTTTTTATCTCAATTATAAATTTGATATGTTGTTTCAGATTTCAAATTTTGAAACACACGTATATGCAGTATTTTAGAATCTCTCAATTTTTTAGTCTGATAAATCCAAATTAGTATCAATCTCTGGTTTTATAAAAACTCATACTATTATACCTATAGTACCTCCCCTAACTAAGAACCATCTAAATAATTAATGGATCCTCTTTGAAAAAAAATAAATGATCATCATCATGTCAGAGTCGTAAAAGTATGCTAAAGTTGGTAGAGTCTATATTAAGCAAATAGCCCTATGATAAAGTGTTTGAAAATTACGTAACCCATTAGAATGAGTATTGCGAGCCAAAACAAATAAGTGCATATTTAAGCGACAAAATAGTAAAAATCTTACGAAGGTGACTTCAATTGGCATTGAAAGTATTACTGAACAAACCAATTGCTTAATTAAAATTATAAAGGTTGAAGACAGTTTTATTTATGTATCAAGAATACAAGTGTCGTGGAATTTCAATTAAAAAAAGTTTAATTCTTTACCTAAACTAAATCTGCTCGTTTTATTTTAAAACCGGTTTGTCTTTAAATTTAAAAGCCAACATGTCCATACCGCGTTGTTCTTTAACTGAATAATCATGTTTTAAGGTTATATTTAGTTTCTTTGGATTTTTGTCCTTTGATTTACGAGAATTCCGATTATGTTTTTTAGTAATTGAAATTATATCACTTTCGAAAAAATATGATGGCCATTGACAAGATATAACTTGAAAATAGTCAGGTGTGAATATTTGTAAATTATCGGTTTTGAAAAATATCTCTCGATCATACCAAATATTAAATGTTGGCCACCAAGATAACCTCAAACTTGGATTTATGAGATAAAGTTTGGCAATTCTAGTGGCATACCCATCATCAGCACTTTTTGTACATATGATCAATTTATGTAACTTTGATACATCAATTGACTTCAAATCTAAAAGTCGAGAAGATAAAACTAAATTTCTCAATTTTGGTAAACTGGCATTGCTTAACATTTCTTCGAACCTAAATTTTTGAAGGTAAAATGTTTCTTCAATATTTGATTCGCTATGATAATTTAATGACAAAGTATTAATCTCCTTTGTATCAAAAAATTTATCCAAAGTAAACAACCATTTTCTAGGTTTTGGTTTCGGACGTAGGTGGTAGTAGTAGTAATCCCAGTAATCATCTCCTTGGAATATGTGTTTACCCCAAAACAATAAATCAAGCTTTTTTAATCTGCAGTTAATTTTATTCAATCTTTCAAGTAATAATGGATCCATTAAATTAATAAATAGTTCAAATATAAGATGTAACTCTTCAAGTTTTTTAAATAAATTGATTTTATTAAATAAGTCAATGCTTTTAGAAAGTTCAAGGGGATTAAATTCTTTTACATGGTTATTGGGTGGTTCAAATTTGAACTTTAAACTTTTAAGATTATTGTACAAAAATTCATATGAACTTTGGTTTTTTTCCTCTAAAAACAATACGTGATCATAAAAGTCGGGACGTTGACGAGGAATTTTAAAAGTTTTACCTTTTAATCCGTCATCTGTTTTGTCTTTGTTTGCTCTATTAAGTTGATTATTAGATAGTGCAAAACTAACATAATCTAGATTTTTGAAATATCTAAATATTTTTCTTAAAAATGTAGGAACTTCTCTTTTATTATCAAACTTCAAGTGTGATACATAATATAAAGGATTAACATTTTCAATACTAAGATGTTCAATATGTTGGTATCTATTCATTTTATTCTTATTAATATTGTCATAAAAACTACAAGATGAAATCACAGTGAACTTTTTAGTAAAGTCATTCAAAATATCTTTATGAAATCTCCACCTATTTTCTTGTTTGTATCTTGGTTCACCTGCTTTAGTATAGGCAAGTTTCATTACATTATGTTTGAGGTAAATATGAATATTTTTGTATAATTTTTTTTGACCGATTTCATTGAATTTAGAATGTAATGGCATTAATGCTATTACCATATGATGATTTATCTGTTGGAAAATCATTTCCAATACTTCATATGGAAAATGCACAAGCTTTTCCATGTTTTCAAAGCTCTTGAACTGTTTAACTATTGAATTGTATAATTATTGAACTATTCTTTAACCAATTCAGTAGATCGTACAATATCGTACATCTCCAAAGTTTCTGCAATCTTTGGATAAAACATTAGGTTATCCACCTAAATTATTTAGGAAACTTTAACTTGCAGAATTTAGTATGGCTGCAATATAATGACAACAGACAAAAAAATCACATAATTATTATTGAGTGAATGTTTTGAGTCTTGAAACACTTTGATTCAATCTGTTTTTAAAGTCCTATCCACTTCTTTTTTTTTTGACTCCCTTCCATCTCTATAACTTACTTAATTTCATTGATGTATATCTTATAGTTGGTTCTACTTTTTTAAAAGTAATTCATTCAAAATTTTGATGATTTTTTAGTTATTTTGATTTGTCTTGAAAAACTTTGATTGAACTTGATGTCTTTTATACTTCCTTTGTTCTTCCATTTGATTGTTGTGTTGTTGTATATATTATGTCAGTTAATAAAAAATTGTTTGCTCAAATAAACTTATAGATGATTCGTAGATAGTGTTGTTTTTTGCAAACGTTGTCGTATTAAGTGATATCACTAAAATGAAATAATATTATTTTCATTCATTTTTTAACTTTTGTTGCAATACTCGACAATCAAGTTTGTTTAATTATAGAATATGTTGTTAAAGAAATGCTAAAAGTTTTAGTATATATCACTCGTAAAATATTGCAACAAAAATTTTACAAATGATAGCCATACAAGTCAAAGTAGAGGTATATGATCGGAGGTGCATATGATAAATTAAGAATTGATATTAGAGACTGAAGATATGTCAATTTTATACTTATGGTGTTGATCAATTTAATGAATTACTTTGAAAGCAAAAAATCAATCGTGCCACCATATTTGTGATTTTTGCGCAAGACAGAAATGAATCGTGTAATGGTCCATAAGATTTTAAGCAGTCAAGTCTCCATTTGTCTGAGCTACGTATGATTGTGAATCGAGATCTTCTTGAACTTTAGATAGACTAAAGAAAACGTAGAGAATATTAATTTCGATGGACGTAAGAATATAATAGACTGTTGATAATTTTCTACTATAAATTTAAGATATCAACTTCCCAAAAAAATTTGCTCGTGTTTCTCAAAGATTTTAAGAGTTGGTTTATCAATATGAAAAAATTCAAACATGTCCATACCATAAAGTTCTTCAACTGAATAATCATGTTTCAAAGTTATACTTAAATTTTGGGAATATTTGTCATTTAAGCTACGAGTTTTCCGATTATGTTTTTTTGTAATCGAAATTATATCACTTTTAAAAAAGTATGATGGCCATTGACAAGATATAATTTGAAAATAGTCAGGTGTGAATAATTGTAAGTTATCAGAATAAAAAAATATCTCTTCATAAATCCAATCATTCAATCTTGGCCACCAAGATAACCTCAAATTTGGATTTATAAAGTAAAGTTTGGCAATTTTTTTGGCATACATATCATTAGCCACATCTGTACATATGATCAATTTATGTAATTTTGAGACATCAATTGACTTCAAATCTAAAATTCGTGAGGATAGAATTAAATTTCTTAATTTTGATAAATTGGCATTGGTTAACATTTCTTCAAACTTGAAATTTTCAAAGATAAATAGGTCTTTGAAATATGCTTCATTACGATAATTTAATGACAAGGTATTAATCTCTTTTGTTTCAAAAAATTTATCCAAAGTAAATAACCATTTTGTACCGGGTCTTGGGGTCAGGTGGTAGTAATCCCAATCATCATCTTCTATGAATCTATGTTTACCCCGAAACATTAAATCAAGCTTTTTTAATTTGCAGTTAATTTTATTCAACCTTTCAAGTAATAATGGATCCATTAAATTAATAAATAGTTCAAATATAAGATGTAATTCTTCAAGTTTTTTAAATAAATTGATTTTATTGAATAAGTCAATGCTTTTAGATAGATCATGGTATGTAAGTCTTTTTACGTCATTCTTGGGTTGATCAAATTGAAATTTTAAACTCTTAAGATTATTATACAAAAAGTCATATGAGCCTTGGTTTTTTTCCTCTAAAAACAATACATGATCATAAAAGTCGGGACGTTGACGAGGAATTATAAAAGTTTTACCAATTAATCCATCATCAGTTTTGTCTTTATTTTTTCTATTGAGTTGATTATTTGATAATGCAAAACTAACATAATCTAGGTTTTTAAAATATCTAAATATTTTTCTCAAAAATGTAGGTACTCCTTTTCTATTTTGAAATTTCAAGTGTGTTGCATAATGGAAAAGTTCGAGATTTTCAATACTAAGGTGTTCAATATGTTGGTATCTATTCATTTTAAGTTTAATAATGTTGTCATAAAAACTACATGATGAAATCACAGTAAACTTTTTAGTAAAGTCATTCAAAATATTTTTATGAAATCTCCACCTATTTTCCTGTTTGTATGGTGGTTCTCTTGATTCAGAATAGGTACCATTTAATAAATTATGTTTGAGGTAAATATGAATATTTTTGTATAATTTTTTTTGACCGATTTCATTGAATTTAGAGTGTAATGGCATTAAGGCTATTACCATATGATGATTTATTTGTTGAAATATCATTTCCAATACTTCATATGGAAAATTTACAAGCTTCTCCATATTTTCAAAACTATCGAATTGATTAAATATTGAACTATTTCCTAACTGATTCTGCAAATCATGAACCATTGTGATTTTCCAAATCCTTTTGTAGTCTTTAGCTAAACATACAAGGTTATACACCTAAATTATTTAGGAAACTTCAACTTGCAGAATTTGGATTGGCCGCTAAATAATGACTACAAACAAAAAAATCATGATTGACTGAATTTGATTCAATACTTGACGTGACAAAATTCATAATTGAGTTAATTCGACCAAGCTCTCATTACCTGTACCATACCTTGCATAAATACTTCATATCAGCATTTTAAGAAAATAAATACATGTTGCAATACAAATGAGAAAATTCTTAGGCTAAAATGAAAGAGAAATTTGGAAATTTGCTGGGAATCTCGCTTTCCTAGAAAAACGCGATTTTTGTTACATAGTTAAAAGCGCAATTGAATTGAAGATTGGGATGTGATTGATAATTCTTTGTATTTCATGAACCTGTCTAAGACTATAAAGCTATTTTGAACACTGGAAATTAATATATAGGTCAAGAGAACTAAACTAATGATAAACTTAAAATATTTTGGAGAGAAAATTCCATTCATTTCCTGTACTTTTTCATTATGTGTTCACCTCTCATATTCCTTAAATAACCTTAGGGAGATGTTAAATGAGTCTATAACATCCCTCATCCCGCACTCAAACAGTAATCTTAAAATGTTTCATTAAAGTAAACTGATTGGAAGAAAGAAATTATTTGAGAGCATAGAGCAAACATAATTCTAACCTCCTTCGAAGTAAGTGTAATCTCTTGGCAACGACAGTTGAAAATGTAAAAATATATCTTTAATTTGACGTACTACAAATGATTCAATGAGCTGTTTTTTCCATAGCCTTCTTCCCTGTTCAATCTTTATTATGAAATAATATGTGTGAGAAAATCTACATATTATTGATTCTTTATCTCATCTCCACACATGCATTACATATTTGTTTATTTGTTTTTGTTTACTTTTAAGATAAAATGCTATATTTAGAGACAAATTATGTCCAAATGAGTAAGGGCAATCAAAACTTTCAAAAAAGTGATAAAAAATATTTATGAAAAAGGATAAAAATAATATTTTATTATTTAAGATCGGAAATTACTGCAAATTGTGGCACAAAATCAAAACATCAAAATTTAGATAAAAAAGTTCGTAAATTGAATCTAAGATGAGTGATTTTGTGTTATCAAATCATTTACATAGTAAAAGTTATTTTTGAAATTATATATTTATACTGCGGCCAAAGCGGAATATAGTATTAACTATGTTGGTAGGGTGGTAATTTGAATAGATTGTTGTTAAGTAAAATTTACAAGCTTTTATGCACTTAATTAATTGAAACTTCAATTTCAAATTCATGTCTACTAAAACCGATTGTGTAAAAAAATTCTGTACCTGACAAATCATGTCTTATGATCTAATATTACAAAGCAAGTATCAAGTTTTTCACTATCAATCCTTTTAAGTGAACAACATTGGTATGTGGGAAGTAGGTCATTTGGACAATGTTAACGAATCAATCATATTTTCCACTACAAAACATCATTTGGAAAAAGAATTTTCATATTTCTTACTTCTTATACAACAAATTAGTCGAAAGTGTAAGCCATACGAAATTATTATTAGATCACATTATTTAAAAAGAAATTTTAGTTTATACTATGATATAATAAACAAAGGGTAAAATATATTTTATTGTAAATTATTGCTTAAGGGTTTCTTGCTTTGTTTAAACGAAAAACGTTTAACTTTTTTTCTTTTCAAAGGGGTCAAATTTTCAATCATATGAAATCTACTCAATTTGAAAGGACTTTACGCAATAAAGATGCATATCCGGTCATAACACTTAAAATAGAGTAGAGTAAAAATCTAATAATAGATATGGCCAAGAATATGGTTGAAAGGTGTTGCTGATTTGAAATGAACTCACACACACTATTAATTAATTGTTTAAAAATTTTCAATTTCGACTTGCATAAAGGACATAAAAGGATTTACAACAACAAATTGATACAATTAAGATGCGCTCCTTTCATTCATTATCAATAATGGTATTGAGTAGAGACAGATTGCTTTTCATGAATTAAAGGAATATAAATATACCATAAATCCACATAATTTGTTAGATTAAAAAGTAATAACTTAATTCTTCAAATAATTCAAATTCACTCGCTTTTTTATAATCTTTGAAATGAAATATACTTCAATAATTCCTTTTGCTTCATTTGTATTTGTTGCTTTAGCATCAGAAGATAATGAATTTTTAAAAAGAAATTTAATTTCTCATTCTCCATCACCACCATCTTGGTCAAATACAACTGCTTCAGATACAAAAACAGATATTAAGACAACAACGCTTACAATAACATCTTGTAAAGAAGATAAATGTTCAACTTCAACTTTAACTACGGGATACACCACAGTGACAGAAGCTGAAACAACATATGTCACATGGTGTCCATTACCATCAACTGAAGAATATCCAACTGAAACACCAACTACTAGTGAAGAAAGTTTAACAACTATAACTGAAACTAAAAGTCCAGGTGGTGAAACTCATACATATACTTCAGGGTGGACTGTTATTACAGAAGGAGAAACAGTTTATACAACTTATTGTCCACTTACTGTTCCAACAACTATTATAACAACTACTAAACCAGGAGGAGAAATTGAAACTCATACTACAGGTTGGACTATAATTTCAGAAGGTACAACAACATATACTTCATATCATCCAACTGAAGTTCCAACAACTGTTATTGAATCAACAGCTCCAGGAGGTGAAGTTCATACTATTACTACTGGTTGGACTGTAGCTACAAAATCATCTAGTGAATATACTTCATATATAACTTATTCAAAAACAACTGTTGCAGGTCATTCACAACCACCAGTACCAGTAGTTGGTGAATCAAAAACAACTGTTGCTGGTGAATCAGTAACAATTCACTCATCAGTATCAGTATCAGAACAAATTCCAGGTGGTGAATCAAGTGCTGTTTCAATTTTACCAGGTTCAGGTGTTATTAATGTTGCTTCAACATTTGCAACTTTATTCGCTTTAATTTGTGCTATAATTTAAAATTGAATAAGTTTTCAAATTTATCTTCGGTTGAATCTAAAATAATTTTATTCTTTCGTACTGGTTCAATATTTATTAATTTATTTATTTATTAATTTTCAAAAAACGTTCTTGTTTGTCATTCAATGGTTTTATTTCAAGAAAAACAATTTTAGATCATTTCGGTAATTTTTGTTACAAAATTCCAAATTTCTTAGAATTCTTTATAGATTTCTTTAATATATTAATTTTTAATTTTCTACTTAATATTACCGTCGTAATTAATTATGAATCTCTCTGAGTCTCATCATTGTCTCTTTTGGTTCCAAAATATGAATTTGAAAGCCAAGTTTATAGATTAAGTTTATTCTTTTACTGTTTAGCAAGCTAGACTACTAATTTAATTAACAATTAATAAGACTCGAAAAAAAAAAAAAGTTTTGTGAAAGAAATGGTCATACTTAATTATTCCGCAACCGTAGTCTAAAATTAGTACCAAAAGTTACAAAATTTTCAAATAACAATCTTTGACATTTGACCTTAAATGTTTGATCTTATCCTAGCAAACAACTTAAAAATTTAGAAGATGTAAAGGAAAGATGGTCACGAACCACAAATCAAGGTGCTTCTGAAAAGTTGCAATTATCTATTACATGCAATAGTGACACAAAATCAATGTTTTGAAGTTTGCCAAGTGAACTTAATTAATATTCAATCAAAGATATCTTCAAGATTCAGGTTTTGTTTGCTTTTTTTTTTTGTTGTCAAACTATTTTCAAAATAGCAATTTTTTAAGAATTACATGGAACAGTTTCTGGGCTGAAACGTGCCACTCAAACATTATTTTACCAATCATGTGTACAAATTCACCAATATTAAGCGACGTTTGAAAAGTATTTATACTAACTAATAAAAAAACGAGATGTACCACACATTTTCAATCTTCAAGAAGTCGAAATAAATGCTAATCTACGTTTTTTCATTTTTCATTGTTTTACAAAGCTATAGCAGTGTTCCCATCAACCTAACTGTTGCCACATTGAAACTCATTACTCGAAATAAAACAGTCAGAATTGTACGATTATTTAATGATGTTTTGAAATGTTTTGTTTGCATTTAGAATCGAAATTTTTAAAATATCTGATTCCCGCTTTTGTTTGTCCTTGTTGTTCTAAATTTCCATTGTTTGTTATTTTGAAAGCCGGAATATACAATAGATTTACTGAATGTAGTCTGAAGTAAAATTTGGGTAATCATTTCTCGTATATTTAGGATTTTCATCATTTGTTTGATCATATTCTGCTATCAATTCGGTGAATACAGTTTTTCGTACTTTTACATTTACTAAATCAATTAGGTTGCTCATAAACAAGCAACATTTCAAATAGTTTGAAAGATTGATGCATCTATCGTGGAATATTTGTTTATTTTTTTACAAAAGTAGATTGTGAAGTCATAACAGTTCGTATTCGGTTTTGTTTCAACTTAATTCAAAAATTGCAACAAATTGATAATTCATGACTAGGTTGAGTTTGAACAAAAAATGAACCATAAGCATTGCCTCGCTATAATATGCATATGTTTTATAAAAACTATACCCAAAAGATGACATCTTGTTTCTAATTAGTCTTAAAATGGACTGTTTCCAGTGAATTCATTACTTAAATACTTATAATAATGAGCTCGCGAATAGCATGTTAAATTAAATTCAAAGTTCGTATTTCCAAATCTGGTATAATTTGAAAGAATTTATTTTTTTCAACGTGTTTTTCAGATAACACATTATGCATAAATATAAGATCTCAATAAATATACCTAAGTCGATTAAGCTTAATTGTAGATATGATCTAGATGAATTCAAAAAAGACCATACACGTCAAGTTAGAAAATCAATCAAACTTTACGAATTATTACTAATTTAGATAAGCTTTGATTCTAATATTTTTGTTATTTTAATATTGCAATTTTTCGTATACTAATTGCATCTCTTCTGAAAATGTTTTGGAAATGGACTCATTGAGATATGTATCAGCGTAAACAGTAGCCTTATACGAACATTGCTATTTTGTATGTACACCTAAACAACTAATCTAGATAAATCGAAATTTACATTAAAAATTTTCTACACATTATTGTTAAGCTTTTTAGTGATTTAAGGGGTATTGATTTCTAAGACTTATTCAAGACTAAATCAATTTAGCCTAAAGTTTATTGCTCGTCTAAAAATTCTTTGTATAGTTGAAAGGGGGTAGTATGACGAAACTAAATCAAGAGTTACTTTTATTGTCAACAACTTTCTAATTTGTATAGTTTTACGATTTACGGTTAAATTATTGTTAAAATTTGAAACACAAAATCAAAACTCTTAATAATTTAAAGAAAGATTTGCGAACGTTAAACACCAAATCTTTTTGATTATAAAAATCATACACACACAAATGGGTTTGATTTGGCGTCAAACATGTTGTTTGATTTACGAATGGCACCATTTTGCATTGTCAATCTAGATCATGAATCGAAAATCCTAGCATATATATCATGAGTTAAATCCCATTTTGAAATAAAATAGAAAATAATTTTTTGAAACTCCAGTCACTCTTTTAAATTCCAACTCAAACCAACTGTTTTATTCACTCGTTTAATATAAAATATTTAAAATAATTCAATATCAAAATGAAGTTATTATCAATTGCATTATGTTCATCAGTAACTTTAGCATTAGGATCATTTGATTTTTCAAATTCAAGTTCTGTATCTATACTTCCAGCATCAACAGGTATTGCTTGGACTAATTCAACTTCATCATCAATTACTTCTGATAAGAATGGTGAAGGTATCAGTACTTCAACTGCAACTAACTCAAAAGGTGAAGAGGAGAGTATCACTGTAATTTCTGGTGCTACTATTACTACACCAGCTCCAGTTAGTACTGGTATTGTTGCTCCAGGAGAAGGTGAAGGGTCAGGTGAAGGATCAGGTAATGGATCAGGTAATGGATCAGGTAATGGTGAAGGTAATGGACAAGGTAATGATTCAGGTAATGATTCAGGAAATGGTTCAGGTAATGGATCAGGTAATGGTGAAAATTTAGGTTCAAATGGTGAAGGTTCAGGTTCAGGTACTTTAGAAACAATCAAAGATATTCAAAAAACTACAGTCACAATTTCATCATGTAAAGGTGGTGTTTGTACAGCTGCTTCAACATTTACTACGGGCCTCAAGACAATAACTCAAGATGAAACAGTTTATACAACATTTTGTCCTTTAACAGCAACTGAATCATCATCAAAAGAAGCTGGATATGATAAAGTTATATCTACAACTTTAATTACAATAACTTCATGTCATGAAAATAAATGTAAAGCTGTTTCAACTTATGCTACGGGATTAACAACAATCGTTGAAGAAGATACAAGTTATGTTACATATTGTCCATTAACTTCAGCTGAAGCTGAAGCTACTATTGAAACTAATTATGTTGCTACTACTACCGCTGCCGCTGCTAATAATGATTATGTTTCAACTACTGTTGTTTATACTTCAACATTAAATGCTCATTCATCTTGGGAAGCTGCTAGTTGGACTACTGGCTATAAAGTTGTTGAATCAGAAGGTATTTCATATACTACTTATTGTCCATTAACTACTAATGCTGCTGCTGCTACAACTAATATTGCAGTTGGCTCAAATCCATCAACTACTATAAAAGGTCAAATTATTGCTCAATCTAGTTCACAAGCTATTGTTGGATCAATTTCAACTTATGAAGGTTCTGCAAATGGTAATAGTATTGAATTTATTTCATTATTAGCTGGATTTTTCGCTATTATTGGTTTCTTCTTTTAAATGAAGAAAACCTTTTCAGATCAAAATAATTATTTGTTTCTTGCATTTTAATAATCACTTTCATTCACTCACGATGGTGGTGGTTATTTTCAAATTTTAATTCTGTATTATATGTATGAAAGTTATTCGGTTATTTATTAGAGCTTAATTTATATCAAGTTAAGACAATCATTATACCCCATTCTCATCTAAGGTTTTTCAAATATCGATTTTTTAGTATATATCTTTCTTGAATGGTCAATTTAATAGACAGCTTGTACAGTTTCTTGTATTGACTGACACCCTGAACTTCTTTTCTTCATTTATTTCCGGAATTTAATAAGGCATAAATACTGCATGTAAAACCGAGCTACTCAGATTTTTTGGTCGTGTACATTATGCAAAAAGTTTCATAAAGTGACCTCTTACTGGATTGGTAAATATGACTCGATCGGACTAAAAGAATCCTAGGCTCGATAAAAAGAATACTACGATGAGTTAGTGGATCCCAGCATAACGAAGAATCAAGTACTTAAATGATCAAATTTAATCATTTAAATCTTCAGAGTAGACATCTAAATCAATTTCTAGGATTTCTATGAGAAGTTTGGTATACATAGAAAATAGAACAAATTTTGAACGGCAATTAGATTTATGAAACAGGGCTTTTTGTAAAAAAAATTATACTTAAGGTGTAGAATTCAAGATAAGAAGTATTAACAACTTGAAACAGAAATTTATTTTAAATTCTTAACGGCAATTTCATATTTATTATATATCTCGGATAAATAGGTTTTAAATATCAAGACTTATGCATATGCATGAAACAACCTTAAAAAAGTTATATTATAATTCAATTTCAGTAGCAAATATAGTCCGCAAATATTGGAATTTTATACTGTTCTACATTTACGATGTGAGTATGAAATACTCATAATATACTTGATGATGGTTTCATTCTCGCATAAGTCAATATATCGAGGCTATACTAATAATTTTAAACTTTTTGTATGTTTTAACTTCCATATCGATTTCAAAATCTTAGTTTCTTTAAATTAAAATACTATACCTTATTACTCTTACTAGTGAAAGTTTTACAAGTGAACAAAAGGGACTAAATAAACCTATACCTTTCATGAAATGAGTTCAGATTCAAGTAAAAGCAGTTTATCCTAATTGACAACTCATGGCGAAGATAAAAGTCAATTTTAAACAATTTTTATTATTTTATATTTTTACCCCTTAACGCAAATGAAAAGTTTTTAACCGAGTGAAAATTGCTTTTTTTTTATATCAACATTACTTAACAACTAAGTAACCGTTTAAAGTTGAACTAATTCTGATTTATACCAGAGGTAGGAAGATGAAATTTCCGGCCACGAGTGGCAAGATCATCTTCAGGCCCAAATTATTCAGCTCCGTCTTACTCTTACTAAATGGAGTCCATAAAATATGTTTTCAATAGTATGGAAAAATGAAAAAAAAAGTGACGTATTGATTGATACATATTTTAAAACAACATTGGATTATTGACAACAGGAGGTAACTCTGAGAAATTGAAGCATTTCACATATAAAGGAATTCGTCGTTGTCTAAATTGAAACCTAGGTTTCAGCTAGTTTTAAATGCTTGCTTCTTGTCTACCTGTTTTTATCTTTCACTCTACTTAATATTTCGGTTCGGAAAGTCGACAAGCATGGTATTATTTAAAGTAACGAGACAAGCGTCGTTTAATTGATTCGATTAATCATAAACACGCTACTCAACTGCTCAGGTTTGAAGTATCTTTTCGACTAAATTTGATCAATTTTTCATTCGATGTAACTGTGCCGCGTAGACCCAAATTTCTTATTCTTTGTTCTACTTAATTTATTCAAATTTTAAGTAAGTAATTTCCATAATGTTATTAACTGTCGTCTGAACTATTTATGCGTATTACCAATATTTTTCAAATTATAAATAATAGACTGTACTACTTATCCTTACAATAAAATGAAATTTAAATTTCTTTTCTCTTTGAAATATGTCTTACTCTCACTCCGCTCAAGGTGTTTTGGTCACTCTATTTCAATACACTGGATTTCTTAATTTATAGTTAGATAAGCACATCCATTATTGTATATTCCATTCATTCATTCATACATTCAAACATTGACGTGTGATGGAAAAAAAAACCGTTTTATTTTCTTTCATTTCCACTTTATTATAATAAAAATAATAAATTACGTAAATTTAATTTTTTTATAGTTTAAATGAAAAAAGTAAAGGACTAAAATTGTCAACATATTATTTCATTTTATATAGACAACAACAATATACTCTTTCACATATCAACTAATCGATACTCAGACAGATATCATCATTCATCGTACATAGTATAGACCCGATAGACAATATTTAGATATCCCAGATATCATTCTATTTCATATTCCGTTTATTCTTAATATTCACTCAAACTAAAACAATAGTTCCTTAATTTTCCAATATTTACTTATACCAACCTCCAACAACAACAACTTTGACAATCAACTTCAATCACACACTAAAATAACTCATAATTTAATCAATCTGTATATATCAACGAAAAATTAGACAAAATAAGGCAACAAAATGTCTTCAAAAGATTCAACTATAAACGAACTATCTAATAAACCTCAACAAAATATATATGCATCAAGTTCTCCTTCACTAGATAATAATCAAACTTATAATAACACTAATGACAATGGAACCATACATCAACAACAATATAATAACAATAACAACTCAAATATAAGTACTAGTAACAATAACAGTTCACTACATAATCAAAATAATCCGAATATACCTAATCAATCTCATCAACAACAATCATTTCAACCACAATCACAACAACAACTACCACAGCAACAACAAACACAATCACAACCATACTCTCATAACAACTCCTCATCATCCATACCGTTGACCAAAAAAATTTCAAGACATGCAAATAAAGATACAACAACAAGAGGTAAATATAATCTTAATGATTTTCAAATATTAAGAACTTTAGGAACAGGATCATTTGGAAGAGTTCATTTAACAAGATCAATACATAATGGAAGATTTTATGCAATGAAAGTTTTAAAAAAAGAAAGAGTTGTTAATATGAAACAAGTTGAACATACAAATGATGAAAGAAGAATGCTTAAATTAGCTCAACATCCTTTTATAATACGAATGTGGGGTACTTTTCAAGATTGTCATAACTTATTTATGATTATGGATTATATAGAAGGAGGAGAATTATTTTCTTTGCTAAGAAAATCTCAAAGATTTCCTACCCCAGTAGCAAAATTTTATGCAGCTGAAGCCTTTTTAGCTATTGAATATTTACATGATTTAGATATTATATATAGAGATTTAAAACCTGAAAATATCTTGTTAGATAAAAATGGTCATATAAAATTAACTGATTTTGGATTTGCAAAAGAAGTTACAGATGTTACTTTTACATTATGTGGTACTCCAGATTATATAGCACCAGAAGTTGTTGCAACAAAACCTTATAATAAATCAGTAGATTGGTGGTCTTTTGGTATATTAATATTTGAAATGTTAACTGGTTATACACCATTTTATGATCCAACTCCAATGAAAACTTATGAAAATATTTTAAATGGTACAATAACTTATCCAGATTATTTACCTCCTGATATTTTAGATTTATTACAAAAATTAATTGTAAAAGATTTAACTCAAAGATTAGGTAATTTACAAGGTGGTTCAAATGATGTTAAAAATCATCAATGGTTTAAAGAAGTTATTTGGGAAAGATTATTAAGTAGAGATATTGAAACTCCTTATGAACCTCCTATTACTTCTGGTGTTGGTGATACTTCACAATTTGATAGATATCCTGAAGATAAAGATTTAGATTATGGAATAAGTGGAGTTGAAGATCCTTATCATGACCTGTTTGAAGATTTTTGATAGAATTACTTGAAAAGTGGAATGTTTAAGAATCAAATGTCTATAAATAATTTATTAAATAGTCTAGATTAATTAATGTATTATTATATGAAATGCCTACATGTAGATTCAAAGTTAACACACCTCAGTAGATGTCATCCAATCACTTTTTAAAAATTCATCAACTGTCATTCTTGTAGATGGATCAATATCTAATAATTTATAAATACACATAACTCTTAATTCATTTAATTCACTACCTTCTTCTTCAATAATTTCATCTTCTGGTTCCAGATCAATAGTACTTGTACTTGAATTATCATCGATAGTATTATTAATGTTGGTGGTTGGTTTTATAGGTAAACATATATTATTAATTGGTTTAAACGTTCCCTTTTGTCGTATTAACCATTCTTTAGTTTTATTTTCATAATCTGCAATCATTCTCTTTTTAGAATATTCATTAAATACTTTATCTTTATATTCTTGCTTTGTTGAATTTTTTAATTCAGTAGTTTGCCATAAATAACCAGTACTATAACCATATACATCATTTCCTCCAATTAATTTATTACCTGATCTATAAGCTCCATTTTTTAAACCTGAATAATAATGTCTTCTTAAATTTAATATAACTAATGCTATAATCCCTAAAGCCCAATTATCTTTTTGTAATGATGAATAGTTGGTTTTATTTTTTACTGCTATAAATTCTTCTGGTGGAATATATGGACCAGATCCAATTAAACCTTGATTTCCATTAATTAATTGTTCTTGCGTATCATAAGCAGTTCTAAATACAAAAGATTTTCCAAAATCACTTAATTTTAAAATTATTTTAGTTTCACAATTTTCATTAGTAGTGGTTGTTGGTTGTTCATAACTAATCAAAATATTTTCTAATTTTAAATCACAATGAGATACACCATGATTATGCATATATTTTAAACCTTTTGAAATTTGTTTTAAAAAACAATCAATTTCATAAAGTGACATAAATTCAATTGATTTATTTTTTAAATTATATCCAGTTAATAAATAAGAAAATAAATCTCCTCCTTGACTACATTGCATAACTTGACTTAATCTTAAATTTGAATCTATGAAAGTACCCATTAAATCAACTGTTTCTATTATATTCTTATTATTTAAAGTTGATGATATTACAAATTCACTTAATATTCTTTCAATATAATTATTTGGTTTTTCATCTTTTCTTTTCGCTAGTTCTTTTACAACATATAGGTTTTTACCAATTGGAATTGAATTAGGATTAGTTATTGATGACGAGCCTTTGCTGTTTTTATCATTAATATCAGGATTTATAATTTTAATTAATCCATAAGCTCCCTTTCCCACTACATTTCGAATAACTCCATACCTTTGGTATAATGATTTATTACAAGTAATAATTGAACAATTTTTATTTTCAACTAAATTTGAAATTTTAAAACTTAAATTTTTAATTAATTGAATTTGATATTCTCCTATAACAGATTCATAATTATTAAAATTTCTAGATAATTTTTTAATCTTGTTTTCTGAATCTAATAAACTATAAGTTTTTTGACTTTCTTTATTTGCTTCTTCTGTTAAATGTGATGAATTTTTTAAACCACAATAATCCATTATTGTTGATAATTGTTTTGCTAAATCATGATGTGTTGAGTCATATTTTGGTTTTATGGGATGTAAATGATCTTCTTCTTCATCTTCATCTGTTTCTGAATCACCAGTGATAGAACCATTTTCGTTGTTGTCTTCATCATCGTCTGTATTTTCAACTTCGTCATCAGATGTATTATCCTCTGTTTCAATTATAGTACTTACTCTCTTCTTAAATCGATTAGATCCATTCCCATCATTCGGCACAGCTAGAGAATTTTGACTCAATTGTGGTGGACTTGGATTTAAATTTGAGTTTGAATATATATTTGTATGTTGTAAATCAGATGTTATAGTTTTAATGTCATTGTTTTTTGATTTATTTGTCTTGAATAAATTTTTAACTTTATCTCCTCCACTTGATATTGATGATCCTGATTTTATTGATTCATTTGAAGTTGTTAATTTTAAATCTTGCTTCGTTGGTGACAGTGGAGTTGATTTCTTTTTGGAAAATAACCCCATTTATTATTAATTTTTCAGTTAGGTTCAGCTTTTAAATGAGTCAAGCAAAGTAGGTTATAGCATCTATTGATCAAATGCTTTTTTGGTCTTGATATTCAAATATATGAAGTAGTAAAATTATGGTTGCCAATTGATTCTTCTACTTTAATATTAGAAATTCCATTACTAATAAAATATTTTTATTGTTTTTAAGAGGTAATTTTTATTAAGAGGTTGTACATAATAAATTTTTGTGTGAATCAAAAGCGTTTAATGAATGAATTGGTATCAACCAGAGCAGATTAATGCTCTTTGTTAAGTACTATGAGTTGTAGATAATTCTAGAGCGAACGATAAACTGACTATAGAAAAGACAGAGTAGAAACTTATGGTATTACAAATAATTTTTTGGCAAATACTTACCTATTCTATTGCTCCTACTCAACCATATACCTTAGACCAATTATTTAAATCAGGGTTTAATAACAAACTACGTTGAATATTTCTTAATTTTCCTGTTTTAAACATAGCATTTGAATATTCATTACCAGTAATTTTATTATCATTTAAACCTAATAATTGTGTAGACATTTCATTGTTAATATTTTTCCAAACGTTAAAACTAAATGGAAATAAAAATGCATATCTATTCCAAATTTGTGAATCATCATCTCCTAATCTTTTATTTATTTCATTAATTAATTTTGGAATTTGTCTTGATGTATCTGCTGTTATTTCATTTAAATTTAATGCTAATAATTCATCCTTTATTGGCTCAAAATACTCTGGTAAGTTATCAACCAAAGATATAGCGCCCAAAGTTAATACTACTAATAGTGAAGATCCATTTTGTTCTATATGCGAGAATAATTGATCAATTGATGCTTGTTTTGTTTCTGGTGTATTATGAGCATATAATATTTGAGAAATTAATGTAATAATAATTGAAGATTCAGAATTTTTTGATAATATTATTTTCAATTCATCAATTGAATTTTCAAATTTATTTTGGAAAAAATAACATAATCCTAAAGTTATTCTAGTTGATAATTCAATTTTATCAGATTCAGGATCTAATTCCAATGCAGTTGTAGCTTCTTCTATTGATTTATCATATTGACCTAATCCAAGATAAAGTCTAGCTAATTGAGATTTAGTTAATGCAAATTTTTCTAATATAAGTTCACTTTCAGTTTCTTCATATTTTTTTTCATATAATGAACATAATTTTTCACCAATTAACAAAGCAGTATCGAAATCTTTACATCTTTCAGCAATCGTAAGTCCAACACTCAATGCAACTTCATCTTCAGGATAATATTTTAAATATTGTTGCATGGCTTGATTACTTATACTAAACTCTTGTGCTGTTTCAACATCTCTATTATCTCTTCCTGAACTTCTATTAGCTACTGATAAACCATATAAAAATTGAGCTAATGCTAATTTACCTTTAGATAAAGTGAAAGCATGAATATATTGATTAGAAGCTTTTTCTTCATCTCCTATAATTTCAGTAGCTAAAGCATTACCAAGCCATGATTGAGCATCTTGAGGTGCAACAGATTGAGCTCTTAAAAAAGTATCTTGAGATAATTGTGTATCACCATATTTTAAATACAATGATGCAAGATTAATCCAAATTTCAGCATCTTTAACTTCAAGTGTTGTTGCTTTAATATAACAATGTTGAGAAATTTGAGGATTTGTTGTAAAATATGCATTACCTAAAGCAATCCAATAATTCGCATTATTATTCTCGATTTTTATAGCACGTTTTAAATATTGAATTGAAAGTTCACGATATTCTACGATATCAAGATTTTGATATCCTTCTAATAATGATAATCCAAGATTATAAAAAGCGGTTGCTTTCAATGCTTTGTTTGACTTTTGTGGTAAATTTTTCAAAGCTGCTGCAAATGATAAAATAATTAACAAATTTAGCAGTTCAGCCTTTTTACCTTTCTCTAGGTACTCCTTAGCATTAACTAATGATATTGAATCAGGTAATTCATATTCGAGATTTTCATAATTGATTTTGTCAAATATAGCAAATAATTCATCGTATGGCACTTTATCCATATAATATTGTATTTTTAAGAAAATTTTTAAACTATCACCAAGAGCTTTCCAAACTTTTTGAGATTTTTCATTTAAAGATATTGCTTGATTTATGAAATTTAAGGCTTTCGAAATTGCATTGATGGCTCTACCATAAAATCCAGTTTGCATGAATTTATTTGCATTTTCAATATTGGTTTCATAAATTGCACTTATTATACATTCTTCATTAGGCTTTGATTCCAAAGCAGCATAAAGATATGTCAAACCTTCATTAAATTCTTTCATCTCACATGTGACCACTCCTAACATATAAAGTACAATCCACAGTTGTTCTTCCTTCATTGTTAATGCATGTTGAAATACTTTAGCAGCAGCGTCAAATCTACCACAATTAAAATAAGCTTCACCTAATCCAACCCAACATTCATAATCACTAGAATTTATACGGAGTGCATTTTGAAACCATTCTACAGCTTTGGCATCATCTTGTATGTTTAATGCTCCACATCCTAAAACTCTATATGCCCATGAAGGATCTTCGATATCACCTCTCATTATCAATCTTCTAGAAGTTTCATTTGTAACAACTCTCTTTGCGAGTACTTTTGCAACTTCCCACTCATTTTTAGCGGTTGCTTGCTCAACTAAATATTTAGCTGCTATGATTTCATTCTGATCCAAATCAAAAGCTTTGTAAAAACATTTTTGAGCTCTTCCTATATCATTATAATGCTCTTGGAAAATTATACCTAATAATGTATATGATGGTGCATGTAAATCAGAATCTTTCAAAGAATCAATCAAATATTTGTAACATTCATTTATGTCGCCTTCATCATAATAACTTTTTGCAATTCTCCATTTAGCCACTGCTTTTATTTCTCGACTATGTAAATCTCCACCTGTGATTTTTTTGATGAATTCTTGTAGACCCTTTTGACCTTCTTTATATTCACCAAGTTTAATTAAACACCAATAGTATTCAGATTCAGCTTCCAAATTATCGGGATGATCCTTAACTATGGTACTTAAGATAGCTTTGGCTTCCAATAATTCACCTCTTTCGACATATATTAAACCTTTACCTACTTGTGCTTTCACGTTGTTTGGGTTCGATTCAAGAATTTTATCATACAACTGTATAGCACGATTGTAATTTTTAGGTGCTTCATAATATGTATAAACAATTGCTAATGAACATAAGAAATCTTCTTTTGTATTCTTCAAATCTAACCCAACAGTTCTTTGAATATCTGCTAAAATCTTTATACCTTCTCGACATCTTTCTGATGCTACTTGATATTCTCTAAGATGTATGTAATAATTAACTATGATTCTGTTAGCTAGTACAGAACCTTTTGCTTTTGCATAACCTTGTAGCATCACACCCAAAACTTCATCTTGTGGTAAATAATACTGTGAATGATCTTCTTCATCAACCAATTCCTTTGGCTCATTTATGGTTTCCTTAGATTTCGTTGATTTTTGCTCATCGTTAGCAGATAAGCCTTTGACAATTTTTTCTTTGTTATAAGGTGATATATCACTCATTGCAAATGCAAATAAAATTAAACCTAATCCTTCGTTTTGAAATAGTTGTAAATATTCTATAATTCTTGTCTCATCTAAATCATTCACAGTTCTGTCATCGTTCCAATCAAAATATAAATTCCAACAAAATAAACTAGTTGTTTTCAAAAGTATCATATCATCAACTTGTTGTCTAATATTTTGAATTAATTCTTCTTTATTAGGTGATATTTTTAACAATTCGTATTTGAACTTCAAAAATTTCTCTTCATACTTTCTTCGTAATCCGTCATCATCACACACATTTAAAAAGTTTTCATAAAGATTTATAATGTCTCCATCTTCGTAATACAGCCATGCAACAGAGTCTAACTTGTTTTTTTGCTCCGCTGTTAATATTCTTCCAAATTTAACTCTTTCTCTAGAAACCTTTCCGGCTACTTCTTTCTCGACCTTAGTTTGTTTAAAATCTAAAAGCTTTTTATATGTGAAATCTGGATTTTCAATTGATGTTCCAATTAAATCTCCCAATTTTGTTCCAGGTAGTATTGATCTTAAATAATATTCATAAATTTTATCATTATTTTTGGCATTTTGTTTGTCCAAGTATGATCTTAAATCTTTTAGTACATCTGCAATAGATATTCCTTGATCAATTAACAAAGAACTTAAAGATGTTAAAATTTCAAAAAATAATTTATAATCATCTTGACTTTTCACAATTTGAAAATATCCTTTCCAAGCTAATATATTATTTGGTTCTATTTCAGTTGCTCTTTTAAATGATGTTATGGCTTTAGGTAAATCATTTAATAATTGGTAAGCTTTTCCTCTAAATACAAATGCATAATATGATGAAGGATCAATTGATATGACTGATTTTGCATGACCTAATGCTGCTTCTGGATCATTTTGTTCTAATGCTCTTTTGGCTAACTTCAATAAGCTCTTCGCGCTTGACATGTGGTGTTGTTTGTGAAGTCTGTGTTGTATTTGAATTGTTTGAACTATATTAAATCGATGAAATAATATTACAATTTTGTGAAATAATTTTTGACAAGCTTGAACTCTAAAGCTTTTTACTCAATTTTATGAAGGCTATAACACTCACAGATAGTGATACATTCTGAAGTCATCTATGACTTACGTGTACAAGTAATGGAAAGTAGAGCTACAGCTTAAAGGATTTAAATTTATGAGTTCTTCTTGATAATAAGTGAATTGTACACCTGTTCTTAGCTCTTACTCTTGCATTAAATCAACTCGTGTGGAGATCTTTGTAAAAGCTATAGTGAAACTCTTCATGAGGGCATGTTACATCAAATATTTGGGTTGCTTATTGTATCAATTTGCTTTGCTTCACTGTCGATAAATAATGTTGTGAAATTTTACTGAATAGATGAGAAATCTATTTTGCAACCATTTCGCAACAAAATTTTGGTAATTCTTTTACCAAAAGTATGTTATGTCAAACGCAATGCAAAACACAACAGATGAAAACATCCGGTCATATGCAAATGCAATGATCCATTGGCTCTCAGAATTCTCAGACTCACCAATTCAAGCTGATGCAGAGATTGATGTTTTCACAAATCCAGAGATTTTATATTACTTAATCAAAAGCTTATTAAAGAAAGAAGATTTTTTAGACTATGACGATATTTTTAGTACCAATCTAGTCGTCGAAAAAAATGAGACAACAATATCGGTTAATCGAAACATTGAGTATCAAATCAATCAGCTAGATGTAATTTTAAATTTACATTTCAAAAGATTTCCATACTTAAGTCAAATACCCAAATTAAATTTATACAAGTTAGTTTTATTCGATGATATTAACGAGTTGGCATCAATGTGTCAAATTTTATACATAATAGGAACCTATACTTCGCATTTGGCTTCTAGGGGACAGTCATTCATCGAATTTTTAAGCGAAGAAGACCAAGTTGTGATGAAAGCCTTTAATTTATTATCGGGTGATATTAGCGACAAAAAGGTCTCGAGTCTGACGATTACTTCAAATGGTGTGGAAAAGTATGGTGTCTCGTTAGATGAGTATAATGCTATCAAATGGGAGTCGAATTTATTTGAAAAAGTTATTCAAGCTATAGCTATTGAGAAAAATAAAACGGAAGCATGAAAATTTGTCTATTTGAATCTTGATAATGCAGAATCTAACGCATCCGACTCCTCTGGTATTCCTTGAGCCAAAGCTGCTCGTCTTGCTCTTGCTTCTTTTTCGTTCCTCAAATTCTTTTCAATTCTCAATTTTCTTTGATCAATTACATTTTCTCTTTTCCTTCTCAAATGTTTACGCAATGCTGAGTTTTTACTTTTAACATCAGGTCGAAGTTCCATCTTATTATTACTTGATTCCAGATCTCCTAAAGTATTAATTTCACCAGGTTTTAATCGTATTGATTTTGCACGCTTGTCAACAGTACCAATAACATTTGGATCCAATGTGATAGTATCTGAAGGAAGTTTATTAAGCAATGATTTAACTTCTTGTTCTTGTCTTTGTTTTGTAGTTTCAAATGGATTCAATTCTAATGCATCGTAATTAGCTTCACCGGCACCAGGAACAATTATTGAACTATATCCTTCTTGATGACCAACTCCTAATATATCTTCAAATGGAGCAAATTTAACTTTATCCACTTTCGACCCTGGTATTAAATGATTCATATATGGGTCAGCTTGATGATTTCCTTTAAACATGTTTTTCCATATTGTAACGTGTGGTCCCCATCCTACTGATAATAAACCACTATCCGATATGTCTAATGAAGTTGCTGGAGTTTGTGTATAATATTGATCTACTTCTTTAAACTTTCGTATATCCCAGATTTTTAATGTTTTGTCAGCACCAGCTACGGCCATGTATTTACCTTCTCTATCAATAGCCAAATCTCGTATTGGTCCTCGTGAAGATTGTAATTTGACTAATGGTTCTGGATTATTTGGGGCCCATAATGTTATTTGACCATTCCCATGACCTAAATGCATTACCGCATTCCATGGATTTTGTTTCATTGCAAGTGTTGGGCCCAATTTCGTCCTTATTTCACTAACCAATTGACCTGTGGAAACATCTGTGTATTTTAAAAATCCAGTATTACCTGCACTCACTAATAAGAAATGATATGCCAAAAAATCTAATAAAGTTGCTTCTATATGTTGTTTTAGTCTATGAATCTCAGTTCCTTCCTTATCATAGATGAAAGTATACTTCTTTTGGGCAACCGCGAAGTATTGGTCATTATGCAAATATTTCACTGCATTGACTGTTTCATTCAAATGTAGTTCACAACCTAGAGTTCCAGTTCTCCAATCGATTGATGCCACATGACCCTTTTTGCCTCCCAATAGTAGATCTCTACCATTTCTTGTAAAATCTATTTGGTAAGGTCCAAATTCTGGTAATTTTAACTCAAACTTTTTATTGGCCATACTTGCATCCACTTCTTTAACTATTTCATCTTGTTTGATTTTGAATGTTTTTTCCATAGGACCATCGGCTTCTAAAAACCCAGCTTCTTCTTGAAGAAGATAATCGGTTCCTGCTTTTGACTTTATTGCATCTTTGTATTGTTCTTCGAGTCTTTGTAGTTTGGAGTTTAATTTCTTGTCTTTTGAATATTGTGGACGAGTTGGTCCTCGTTTCTTGTTGCCATACTTTTTGTTTTTCAGCTTCTGAGTAGTATTACTCTCCATCTTGGTTTTTCAGGTAATTGTGGAGAATACAGATAGTTTCGATATGTTGGTTCATTTTCAGGGAAGATCATCTCCATACATTTGATAATAAAAATTACAAAGGTTAGATATGCTACCAAATTCTTATGCACAAATAAGTCGCACTACATAGATAACTTTCCACTGAACAATTCATAAATCAGGTCAGTGTGAGGTTTGAACTCGACTGGAGTTAAAATATCAACTAGCAGTCTCACAAGATGTTTGGCAGAAGGTTATATTCCGCTTTTAGAAAAAACTTAACCAAAACAAATCCTACCATCACCCATTCACAACGCATTATTTTAAAATCTAGTGTAGTTCCATCTTCAATTACACTCATAACTGGATTAGCAGTAGCTGGAGTTGCTGGTTATTACTTATATGATGCACGTTCATCTGTACATGAATACCTTATATGTCCACTTATACGATCATTGACTACTGCTGAACAAGGTCATAAATTAGGAATATTTTTATTGAAACATGGAATTGCACCGAAATTATTAGACGAAGGAATCAATGATCAAAGTGATGTTTTGGGAGTTGAAGTATTTGGACATAGGTTAAGAAATCCAATTGGGTTAGCTGCTGGATTAGATAAAGATGGTGAAGCCATTGACTCATTATTTAATTGTGGGTTCTCATATGTTGAGATTGGATCAATTACTCCTGAACCACAACCAGGCAATCCTTTACCAAGATTTTTCAGGTTACCCAGAGATGACGCTGTTATAAATAGATATGGTTTCAATTCTACAGGACATTTTAATGTGATAGCGACCTTGAGAATTAGATTCAATAAATTACTTGACATGTTCCAAAAAAGTCATTCACCTAATGAGAAACCATTCTCGAATGCTTTTATCCCAGGAAAATTATTGGGTATTAATTTAGGTAAGAATAAAACAGGTGATGAAGTTGAAGACTATGTTAAAGGTGTAACAAGATTAGGTCCATATGCAGATGTTTTAGTTATCAATGTTTCTTCACCAAACACGCCGGGTTTAAGAGACTTACAAAATGAAAGTAACCTAATAAATTTACTTACCAAAGTTGTTAAAGCAAGAAATGTATTGGGTACCAATTTATTAGGTGCCAAACCTCCAATTTTAGTTAAAGTAGCACCTGATTTGACTGAACCGGAAATTGAATCTGTTGCTAACTCTGCAAAAGAAGCTAAAGTTGATGGTATAATCATTTCTAACACTACTATTCAAAGACCGACTGAAAAGTTATTAACATCAGATCAAACATTAATAAATCAAACCGGTGGTCTCTCTGGAAAACCTTTGAAACCATTGTCTTTGAAAGCTTTAACCTTGCTTAACAAATACACGAAGGGATCAGGGTTAGTATTGGTTGGATGTGGTGGTATATCTAATGGAAAAGACGCATTAGAGTTTGCAAAAGCTGGAGCTACTTTCGTTGAAATATATACTGCTTTTGCTTACAAAGGTCCTGGGTTGGTAGCTAAAATACGAGACGAGCTAGCTTCAGAGTTAAGAAAAGAAGGCAAAACTTGGCAACAAATAGTTAATGAAAATAGATAATGTAGTCAAAAATAAAAAGTTGATCCATATGTTTCAAAACCTGCTACCAAATTTTGTGGTTACAAAATCTCGTCTCACAAATTCTAAAAAATGTAAACACAAATCTTTTTACAACTCTTTTTAAGATTTATCACACTATCTGAGAGATTGGGTTCATAAATATGGCTCCATCAAGACCCACTACTCCAATTGGGGATAGAAGAAGAAGTGGACGTTACCTGAGAAGATCTTCAGGAATAGCATTACCTTCACAATCACCTAGACATTTTCCAATTGAAGTAGATAATTTACCAACTGATTCTACAGACATACTCAATAAATTCAAAAATATAGCAGATTCAATGGATGATTTATGTGTAAATATGAAAGATTTGAATCATATTCATAATGCTATTTCTGGACAATTTAATGAATCATTTGCAAGTTTTTTATATGGTTTATCATTAACAATGTGGTGTGTTTCATTACCTAAATGTCCTTCCAAAAAGGCATGGCAAAGATTACAATTAAGGAAAAGAAAAAGAGAAAAAATTCAAGAATTAAAAACAAAATTAATTGAAGCTGAAAAATTAAATGGTGAATTGAAAAATAAATTAGCTGAAGAATCAAAACTGTTTATTAGACCAAGATCTCAACAGGGAACTAATACTATTCAATTAAGTAATAATAAACGGTTGAAATTTAATAATGAAAATGTCAATAATACATCTATTCCGTATCAACGACTGCATAATATTCCTTCACGTATTCCACAACCTATTCAATCAAATCAAACACAACAACAGAAACAATTTCAAAATAAACGAACTCCAAATTTGAATCAACCTCCAAGGTATATGCGTGGCTTATTTAATGAAAATATTAATCAATCACAACCAACGACACAAACGAAAAGTATCAACAAGCCTATAAGTCAAAGACCTCCATTTAAGTAAGGTGTGTAAAATTCTATCAATTCCATAATTAATAAAACATTGGTCCTCTTCCATTTATTAATTCTAATTTTAAATCATATATTACTTCTTCTACTGATTTTTTTTGAGCTTCTGCCACCGATAATAAATAATCCATATTTTCTATCGAATGCATGATTTCAGTTCTTCTTTTTAATTCTATTTCATTTTTTGGTAAAGAATCAGTATCATTTGGTTGTTGTTGATTGTTTGTAGACTCCATTTGTTCATTGGTGTTTGAATGATAAATTGATAAATTGAGTTATTATTTCATTCGGAACACTTTTTTTTTCAGTCTACAAATTGAAATATTCATAATCATTACTATTACCCCAATCAATTGACAATGTCAGAGGCAAAAGATATACCACAATTGTCGGAAGAAGAGAAAAGAAGAATACTTCGAGAAAGAAGACAAAATAAAATGGCCAAAGGTAAAGCTACTGATAGATTAAATGATATACTAAATCAAGGAACATCAGTTAAAGCATCATCAGTTACTTCAGTATTAGACAAACCAGAACCAAAAACAGCAACTACAACCATTGACTCCACACCAACATCAAACAAGATTACACCAAATACTAGTTCCCACGATGATGATCCAGAAATTCAAGATATTTCCGATGTAGCCTTACCATATAAGCCAATGGCAGAACAAAACCCAGATTTTGATGATATGTTTCAAAAATTATTACAACAGCAAGGTCAGCATCATCAACAAAATCATCAACAAGGAACAAGTGGTCATAATCCTATGGACGATTTATTCAAAATGTTTGGCGATTTAGGAGGTAATGAATCAAATGAAAATTTTGATTTTTCAAATCAACCTCAATTTCAAAATCCAAATGAATTAAAATATCAAAAGGATTTATCTAATTATTATATATATCAACAAAAATTATGGAATTTTAGATTTTTAATTATAAGAATTTTAGCAACTTTAATCAATTTTATTTATCATTATATAAATATTCCTTCATTTATATCTTCAAAACATTCATATGTTAGAGATTTAAAAATAGTTTATCCTATAAATGGATTTATTACATGGTTTTTCACAATTGAAATAGCTATAATAGCAAGTTATTATATAATTTTTGAAAAATTAGGATTGTTTCATGCTTCCAATAAAAAAAGTTTTATATTACAAGGTATTAATATGTTATCAATGTTTATACCAAATTTAAATAGTTATAAACCATTAATAACTAGATTATTAGGTTATAAAGCATTATTGGGGATATTTTTAGGAGATTTATCATTAGTTATTGTGTTATTTGGACTACTTAGTTATAAGAACTAATTAATAAATAAATGTGATTTTTTTGATTTACTATTTACAAGTTGTGTTTTAATTATATTAACTTCTTCATATCTTTTCTTTTAGCTTCAATAATTCTTTCAGCGCTTGAAAATTGTTTTGTTTTCCAACTCATATATATTAATAAACCTGTACTTGCAATACATACTCCAAACCAAGTTATAAGATATTGTAAATGATTATTTGAAAATTTAATAGTTGGTTTTGCAGCTATAGGAACTCCTTGATTTATAAATTCAAATTCTTGATAATACATTGAATCATCAGAAAGATCTTGAATATATTTTTTATCTTTTTCATTATTATTTTGTTGATCTGCCTTAAAAAATATTTTATTCCAAAAAGATGGTGATGTATTTTGTCCTTTTGATTCTAGTGCTTTTTCGGTTTTATAATCTAAATGATCACTTAAATCATAAATCATTTGACAATATATTGGTAATGAACCACTTTGTATAGCCATTGCTGGTATATCAGGTATATTAAATAATTTAGCACCAGGTTCATGATCAAATTGTAAACTTGATTTTTTAGGCATACATCTAAATAAAGCTTCTATTTCAATTTCACCTTGTGGCATAGCTAAATGAGATAAATAACCCTTTGTTCTTTTTGATGGTATTACTTTATCTTTATGAATCCAACCTCTTTCTACTAAAATAGGTTTCCCACCATCTGATCTTATAAATGGTGTAACAATTAAATATCCTAATACTCCATCTTTTAATCTTGGACCTAAGAACATTTCTTGATCATAATCAAATTTTCCTTTACATTTAAAACGTCTATATTCAAATTCTTCAATAACATTTGGATCTAAATTAGCTGGTAATGACTCTAGAACAGGTGAAGCTAAATTAGTTTCACATTTTGTAATTAAATCATTTTTCCATTTTAATCTTTTAATTTGCCAACATCCTAAACCAAAAGTTATTATTGGCATAGCATACATTAAACCCAAAATAAATTTTCTTATTATTGGCATTTTCTTTTGATGTGATATTGTTCTTAAATTTCCAGGTACTGATTTTATTGGTTTCCAATCAATTGTTGAAGTTTTCACAGATCTTGTGAATCGTAGTAGATTTGGAGTTGGTTTAACCAACAACATCTTCCTAACTCCAAACATCGTTTGAAGTATGAATTTGTTTTGTTATTGGTTGCAAATAAATTTAATAGTACAAATATCAAGGAGATATTTAATTTTCTCTGATCCAAAAAAACCCTTAATTTTGAACTCCTTCATTTCTTTCTTTATAAAATATGTCAAACGATCAACAAACCTCCCAACAACAACAACAACAAGAAACATCAGATCAATTAATTTCAGAAACAAAACAACAAAGAAATGAAAGATTTAAAAATCAATTATATCAAGCAGGAGCAAAAGGTTTATTTAGAGGTACTTTAATTGCTTTAATAACTGGTTATGCTCTTAGTTATAAATATAATCATGGAATAAATAGTCAATATTTTAGAAATGTTTATAAAGTTTGGTGGTTTGTTGGTTGGAATGTTGTTAGTATTAGTTTTACTACTGATATTGCTAAAATTAAAATTAGTAGACAAGCTGCTTTAGAAGATGAAATTAAAAGAAATAAAATTTTGGAGAATGAATATAATAAGAAATAATGATTTGGGTAGGAGGGTTGAAAGTGGATTTGCATTTGATGTGATGGCAGTTGAGTTGGCAAACTATAATCAATTACGCTTTAATTTTGAGCCTTAGTTTGGAGCGGAAGATTAGAAGAGGACGTTTGCAAATCAATGGGATTGAAAGAGTGAAGTCATTACTAGTAATACTGATGTAGTATATAGTGAGGTAGGGAGTTTGTCAAATAGAGGAGATCTACAGCTTATGAGTCGGCTAGTTATCACCTTTCAAAAATTTAATTGTTATTTTTTACGGACAGAGCTCAAGACTTTGATGAGTACATATTAGAAGAAGGAAAGTTAATTGCTGATACACATAAATATGATATGTTAATTGAATCAATCAATTCAGCGTACAGTGAAACAAACAAAGTATTTTGAGTGTTTTTGAAAGTCAAGAGTTAATTGGTAAAGAAGTTCACTCCTTGATTTTTGAAGATTACGAGATCTTTATAGTTACTGATCAAATTCAACAAATATAAGTGTGTATATCTTTACTATTTGATAAACTCCATATCTTACTTGATACTTCATCAGTATTACTAGCAAACATTTGGGTCTAATATGATATCATCATCACTCATATCTTATTATGATTTTTAGTTAGTTCCTAATTCGATAATTCATCATCTTCAAAGATAAGTAGCTATATTTATCTCGTTATTCTTCTCTTTACTATTAAATCTATTTCTTGTTCTTGATTTTGAACCGTTCTGTTAATATTCAATTTAACTTTAACACTCTACATTAATTACCGTATAAACTCATTATATCATATATTAATCTCAAATATATTATACTTGATATTTTAATCAGATTAAGTCTCCCACAAATGTTGACTGTCTTCTACAAAGAGTTGTACAAACAAAGTACTACAAAAAACTAAATCAGAAAGATATGAATGCCAAAAATAAAAAAAAATGCAAATGTCATTAACGTCTAATCTAATAAAAGATCTAAATATGTAATCAAGAATCTAATCTTACGCATAAAAAGCTTCTTCATGAAATTTTAAACCATTTTCACTTGACCATAATTTAACATTTTCAACTAATTTTGATGGACCAGCACTAATAACCCAAATTTTTTCACAATTTAAATCTTCTTGAATAATTTTATTTTTTGATAAATCTTTACAACATATTAAATTATTATTTTCATCCATCACAGGTCCTGAACATTGAGTGAAACCTTCATTTATACACCAATTATAATAATTTTTATTTAATTTTGGTCGTCCTTTATATATTTTTTTATTTAGCTTAAGAGATTTTGTTATGGTTTTGAAAGATTGAATATATGATTTTATCGCGTCTGTTGAATCTGTTCCATATTTTGGTATAAATCTTTCATTCATTGATGATTTTCTTGAATGATGATGTTGGTGTGTGGTATTTATTGTTTGATTAGTTACTTCAAATTCATCAGCTTCGTCATCGTTATCTTCATCGTCTTCATTTTCTTCTCTATTAATATCTATTTCATTGTTGGATTTATTTGTTATAGGATCTTCTTCATATTCTAATGATTCTAAATCTTGGTCTAATACATCATCTAAATCATTAAAAGTTCCTGGTGAAAAAGATTGATTACAATTGGTATTGTTATGTCGTTGAGTACAATTTGAACAATTATCATAATTTTCATCATCTGAATTAACACTTATATCAACATCTTCAATTTGATTTTCTTTATTTAAACTTATAAATTGATTATTATTTGTTAAAGAATTTAATAAAGGAGTTTCTTCATTTTCTAAATCATAATGCATTGAAGGTTGTGATGATCTTTTCTTCAAGTTAGATGAATATTTTGAAGTTAATAATGATTTTTCTTGATCTAAATTATCATTTCCTGTTATAAAAATTTCAAAATCATCTCCATGAATATAACCTTCAAAATATTTTAAAATTAAAACATCTCTAAAATCTTTTATAACCCATATTACTTTTGTTGGTATACCATGATAATTCATACTTCTTAATATTGGTAAAGCAAATGATATTGCTGATCCTCCTACTACTATAAGGACTCTTTTTGCATCTATATGTAATTTTGATAATGTAAAATTTGTGTTTGATGAATTTTTAGGTTGCTTATAATGAATAAACATTAAATGAGGATCAAATGAACCAGTTATTAAATATCTATAATTATTTAAAATTTTAAATTTACTTTTTCTAATTATTAATTTTTGTTGTTTATCTTGTGGTAATGAAACTAAAGTATATGGATGATAATTTGGGATAATTTGTTTCCAAATTCTAACAATAAAATTTGAACTATAATTTGTTATTCTAATATGAGCACCTGGAGCAATAGCAGGTTTTACAATTAAATTATTGGGGAATTCAATTAATGATAAATTTGGTGATACATCTATAACTTTAACTTCTGATTTTGTTGAAACTCTAGTAAGATGTAATCTATAAATTATTTGACATAATAGTATTGAAACATTTGCAATTGTATATAAAGTATATGGTGATGGTCTAATATGAAATTGTAAACATGCCACTATAATCCAAGTACTTGCATAATGACAAAAATAAAACGTTTTATACCATCTTGCTCTAAATTTTGATAATGATGTAAATATTATGACTAAAAATCCAAATAATGCAATCCAACCATAAATATTTTCTAATTTCCATGCTTTAAACCATGTATTTGAATAATTAAAATAAAATAAATAAATAATTGTATGAATAACAGCTTGTACAATAATTAATCTACTTAACCATTTATGTATTGGAATTAAAGTTAAATATAAAATATTTGGTAATGGAGAAGGTCTTAAAGTTAAAAATAAAACTGTTGGTAAACAATTTGCACAAACTCTACCTAATCTTTTGGCTAAAAATATTAAATCTCCATGATATATATCAATTAATGATAAACTTGATAAAAATACCACCCAAAAGATTAATTGTATAATTGTTGAAAAATGTAATAAAATTTGAAATGCTATTTTTTTAATAATTATTGCTAAATTTGTCACAATTTTTTCCCATATTGAAGCATTTAAACAATTTGGTTGATAATCATGAATTATATAATAATTTAATTTTGAATAAAATCTTTTTAAAAAATGAAATTTTGATCTATAATAATGAATTATAAAGTAATTGTAAATTGGTATAGATATAATGTAAATTATTAATAGTATTGTTGTAATATTACCATATTTTATAGTTGTTTTATTCCGTAGATCTGAATATTCTTTTGTTTTACCCTTTGGGAAATGGAAATATGAAAACCATGATGAATTTGTTGTATTCATCTTGTTAACTACTATAGAAGCATGTATTGGTATTGTTAGATGAATATTGGTTGTTTCAAATATTTATACTGGGTTTAAACGGCGCGATAAATTTATTTTTCTCTGTTTAAAATAAAACGGAATTTTTCACTAATTTAAATCTAATGGGGATTTATGATGAGTTGAAAGAAAGATGAATGAGTTGTTCGAATGAATGAATGAATGAAAAACTTTTCAACTTGCCAATTATTTACAAGGCTTTTCTTATTATATATTAGTTTGTGTACATCTTTTCTCCTTCAACTTTATTAAAGCTTATTAAATAACTTACTAATTTGATTTTGTGTTACATAGATTAAATAGATAAAATTTTAATGATCATTTCTTATATACAGAATATTCTACTATACAGTATTTTCGGATTTACTACTTAATTAGGAGAGAATTCCATTATAATATTATAATAATACATATTACACAACATGGGATGGGCATTAACTTTAAGAAATATAGTTAGAAATAAGCTAGACTTTGAACTCACAAGTAACTTTAAACCAAAAGTTAAAACTTTGATTCCTTAAGATTTATAAAAAAAGCTGGGATTCATGAATTCTACTTTTATTCTCCGAAGTTGAAAAAAATCAGAGCATAAACTGTGTTATACTACTTTTGACTTGGTGTAACTCTATACAGAACGATTGGGGAAGCTAGAATTCTGACAATTTTAACATTTTTTTCTTGTTTACTTTAACCTTAAATTAAATGAAACGCACGAGGTCACTGTAGGTTGAGTTGTTGATTTACGTATAAACCAGTAACTATTCACATCTTTGAAACTGCTTTAAAATCCTTCTTTTCAGAGATATGCAACAGTGACCCTCTGCTAGATTTTAATCAATAGTCTATGCTCATTATAGAATACTTTTTATGATACTTCTAAAATTCAATATCGTAAATGCTTACCTTTTTTCCTATTTTTACTAGAATCAATTAATCCAGATCTTGAAGGTTTTGATATTCTATTTGATAAACTTATAACTCCACTTCTTGAAGGTTGATTATTATTAGTATTACTAGACGATATTCTACTCTTTAGTGATGCATTTTGAGGATTATTTGTTCCATATGGGGTTCTAAATTGATTAAAATTGATATTATTGGTGTTATTATTATTATTATTATTGCTTACATGATTCCTTGGTGCAAAGGGTCGAACAGGTAGCTGATTTTGATAACCAGTATATGAATTATTATTAAAGGATGCAATGTTTTTGTTTCCATAATCATTACTATAATTATTATTGTAGTTATTGTTATTGTAGTTGTTATTGTAGTTGTTGTTATTATTGTAATTATTGTTATTATTGAAATTCTTTCTTACTGCGATAGATCTGACAGGTTCAGCTTTTTGATTATTCCGTATTATATCATAATTTGAATTAAAATCTCTTGTTGTTACTTGTGGTTCATATTCATCATTAATACCATTATTTTTTAAATTTAAAAAATATATTGGTCTAACATTTCTTGGTAAATTATTTCCACTAAATGCACTTCCTAAATTTGGAATTCTTGAAGATCTTGTTTGTTGACATTCATCACCATAATGATTATCACTTCCACAATTATAACAATATATTACAGGTAATACAGAACTTTCTTCTTCTTCATTATTTTTTGGTATGTGTTTAGTTAAATATGATCTCCATATAGTTGGACATTCATCATCTCCATGTTTAAAAGTATCACAATTTCTACAATATTTTCTTTTTCTATTTTTACTTTTACAATCCAGTACATAATGTCCCTTTTCACCACATTTTAAACAAATCATTGTAGTTGGACATTGCGATTCATAATGATCATCTATTTTACCACATTTATGACATATTACAATTTTACAATTTGCTCTTTTATGACCTCTTTTATGACAATTATCACATATTGGACCAGATGTTTTGCTATTTCCATCTGGATCTGTTACTCCAAAATATCTTCCTTCTCCTCTAAGAGATATTAACTCTTCTGCATCATTATTTACATCTTCATAAGCGAAAGAAGTAATTGGTTCTGCTTTGGGAAATGATGATCTATCTAATTTTTTCTTTATTGGTTGTTGTTCTTGTATTATTGATTCTATTGTTTCTGTTGCTACTTTATGTCTTTTATGTTTTTCACCATTTGTATCTTCTATATACGGTAGTATTCCTGACATAATTATTTGATATTTGTTCTTTGTGGTTAATAAAATGATTGTTTATTTATATTAATTTTGATGCTCTGATATTTCTTTTTTTCTTCCTCTAAGAAGCGATAATCATTTGTATGAGAGATAGAGATATAATATTGTGTGATAGATTGATAAATGAAGACTACTGATTTATTAAGAATGACCCGATAGGAAACATCAGGGATAACATATTGAAGTATAATCATTCACACTAACTCATAAAACGTACATTTAATCAAACATTAAATTTTTAATACCTATTTTGGTTTCTACAAAACATTTCTTACAACATGTTCACCAACTTGAGCTTCTAAAGCACCACCTTGACCAGTTCCAGTTACATCAATTGAAGATTTCAAATATTCTTGATTTTTTAAATGAGCTAAAGCATAACAACCACTTGATATTGTAAAAAATATAGCAACAACTAATAAACTTGTTGCTTGTAAAGTTAAACTTAAATATTGAATAGTAGCATTTAATAAATAAAATCCACATCTTGGTAAATTACCATCAAATTTTCTAATAAAATTTGTAAAAGTATCAGTTAATGGACAAATTCTTAAAAGAAATGGAATTTCAACAAATATAACAATTAATCCTTGAACTAAACAAATTATTGAAAATATAATAACTAAATTAAAATGAAAAATATTTGCTATACCTAATGCAATACATAAAAATATTGTTAATATACTTATCCATTGGCCATATAATGAAAAATTCTTTTTTTTAAAATCATTTGATAATCCTCCAAAGACATTACTCATAATTGATTCACCAAGTGCCATTTTGAATTATTAATTTTTTATAAATATATATACAATCGATTCAATTCGATTGATCAATTGACACCTTTATTTGGTATTTGAGGATTATGGGATAAATTTAAAATTTGGTTTTAGATAAATTTTTGTTATGAATTCTTGTTTCGAAAAACTCCTAGAATTGTTTATGATCAAATTGGGCTATAGTATTATATACAGGATGCTTGTCTCAAGAAACATGTCTATTCTATATTTAGTACATTTTGCAACCATTTAGGGATTAACAAAAGTCCAAACTGAAGAGGCATAAAGCCAAAGCCAAGGATAATGATGAACAAACTTACAGCTATATATTCAATTGGTTCCTTGTCATGAATGTAAGAAGATCTTTAGGTATTTTGTTGATTTTTTTTTTTTTTTATCTTGTAAACACGTAATTTCAAGTCAAAGCTCTTTCCAAGGCTCAGACGTCTTTCATCTACGTTTCTCAAGCTTAATTAAAAGTTAACATGCTTGTGAACTGATAACTCTTACTTCTCGATGTATGATAAAGTAGACTGCTTCAAGCTGATCTAATCCCATACTCGAGTGCTACCAAATTCTACTCGTAAATTACATCATTGAAAATTTAGAATCAAATATGATTGCAAACATTTATCAAACATTAAGAGTGCAGAATAATCAGAAAGTATAATTAGCTGAGATTAGTTAGTCAATGGGAAGGGAGATAGTAATAGGACTAGTAGGGAAACCATCAAGTGGTAAATCAACAACCTTAAATTCATTAACTGATGCCAATGCCAAAGTTGGTGCTTTCCCATTTACAACAATAGATCCAAATAAAGCAACAGGATATTTAGAAATAGAATGTGCATGTAAAAGGTTTAAAAAAGAAGATAAATGTAAACCAAATTATGGATATTGTCGTAATGGAAAAAGAGGAGTTCCTATAATGCTTTTAGATGTTGCAGGATTAGTTCCAAATGCTCATTTAGGTAGAGGTTTAGGAAATAAATTTCTTAGTGATTTAACTGAAGCTGATTGTTTAATTCATATAGTTGATGCAAGTGGATCTACAGATGCTGAGGGAAAGGCAACAAGAGGTTATGATCCATTAAATGATATCGAATGGTTACAAAATGAAATTTTTCAATGGATCTTGGGAAATTTAAAAGAAAAATGGGGTTCTGTAAAAAGAAGACATATTGCAACAAAATCAACAACATTAGAAACATTAAGACAACAATTAGGTGGATATGTTGCAAATAAACAGTTAATTGCAAATGCTTTAGATTTAATACCGAATTTACCACCATTACAAGATTGGGATGATGAAATGTTAGAAAAAGTAGTTTGGGCATTTATGGAAATTAAATTTCCAACAGTTTTATCATTAAATAAAATGGATCATCCTGATGCTGATAAAAATGTTTCAAAAATTATATTAAAATATCCAAAATCAAAAGCAATATTAACATCATCAATAACAGAAGTATTTTTAAGAAAATTAGCTTCACAAAATTTTATAAAATATGATCCAGGCACTGAATTTGTTGATACAAAAGAAGATTTACCAGATGATCCAAATCTACGAGATTTAGATGAAAAGCTTGCAAATAGAATAGAAAACATACGAGATCTTGTGCTATATAGATTTGGATCAACTGGAGTAGTTCAATTATTACAAGCAGCTGCAGATTTATTACAATTAATTCCAGTATATCCAGTTAGAAATATAAATAATTTTACTGGTGGGAATGGTGATCAAGTTTTTAGAGATTGTATATTAGTTAAAAAAGGAACTCCTGTTATAAATGTTGCAAGAAAAATTATGGGTGATGTTACTATTGCTCATATTGAAACTATTGGTGGAATAAAAGTAAGTGAAGAAGATACAGTTGATAAAAATAAAAATGATATACTATCTTTTAAATTGGTACCTGGTAGTAGGACTTAAGCAATGTAAATAGACAATTTAATGATAGCATGACTTACCTGGATTTTTAAAGTAGGGTTTATTGACTTATCTATTGGAGAAAATATCTTGATTCTCAATTATTGATATCACACGTATAAGAATCAATGATCTCCTTGATCTCATAGATATGAAGATTAGTTTGATTTTTAAAAAGATAAGCTGAATTATATACTGCAAATCAAACGATCCTTCAATTTTGTAAATTGAATTTCCATATTGAAGCTATTCTAGCCGCCAAAATATTGTTCAATTCTCTGCTTGTCGTCTTAAATATACGTATACTTATTGTTATTTAAATCAAACGAACTGCTATGAACAATAGCATGTAACTAGTTAATAATTGTTAATTAATTCGGGAACGTTGATAACCCGATCGCTAGTTACTAAATAGGTAATTAAATCAGATTTATTAGCGTCTTATCACAAACGTAATTAATTTTGATAAGATAAGAATCTGAAAAAAAAAGGACGGAATAATTTCAGTGTATTTTTCAGATTACCTAATTACATTGTCTACCAATTTAGAGGCTCAATGATTGTGTTACAACCTGAAAATGAGCATATGTTGCAGGATGGAATAAACAAAATAGGATTGGTGTAAAGATATATAACAACGCATTTCCCATCTTATTGTTCTGCTTACAACATGGTTTTTGAAGAATTGAATCATCTGAAACTTAAATAGAATAGTTGTTCTTCCTAATGTTTGGAAAGAATGAAGAAGCAAAACCATTTTCAATAGATGATTATGAATTTTTACCAGGAACCATACATCTAGTAGACATAAATCATAATTTAGATGTTAAAAAAAATGGAAATGATAATAATGGAGATATAATTTTACATCCTCAACCAACAAATTCCCCCAATGATCCTTTAAATTGGTCAACTAAAAAAAGAACTTTTCAATTTGGAATTATATGGTTTTGGGGTTTTATGGTTGCTGGTTCATTAAATTTTATGACTCCTTTATATTCAAGTTGGATTACAAATTATGGTATAACTTTAAATCAATTATTAATTAGTTCAGCATTAGGTTATTTATTCTTGGGAGTTGGAGTGACATTAGTTCAACCAACTGGTTTAAAATTAGGTAAACAATTTGTTTATAATTGTTGTACTGTTATTGCAATTATTTCATGTGGATTTGGTTCAAAAACTAGTAATATAAGTTATATATATGCTTATAAAGCATTAATTGGTATTGCAGCTGCTCCTTGTGATTCATTAGTTGAAATTTCTTCAACTGATATTTTTTTTCAACATGAAAGATCAACTGCTATATCTTGGTTATTAATGGCACTTTATGGTGGGACGGATTTATTTCCTGTTGCAGCTGGTTATATTGCTGATTCGTTACCATGGAGTTGGTGTTATTATATTCAAATTATCATTTATGGTACTTTATTTTTAGTTCAATTGTTTTTTATGGAAGATACTACTTTTAGAAGAGATAATAAAATGGAATCGGAATTGGAAGAAGATATTTTAAATCAAATTAAGTCTTATGAAACTATACAAAATCAAAGAATAAACACTAATACCGAGGAACGTGATGATAAAAAGAATCATAATTCAGAAGATATTGATATTCATTCAGTAGTAAATAGTGGTGATGATGATAGTATACCAGAAAAGACATATTTACAAAAGAGAAATTGGATTCATACAGAATATAATGATATAAGAAGTTGGTTTAATATTTTTATACGTCCATTTTATTTAATTACTTTTCCAGCAGTAGTATGGAGTGGATTAATATATGGTGGACAAATGTGTTGGTTATCATTATTAATAAATTTATCATCATCAATTTATTCAAAACCTCCTTATAATTTTTCAGATGGTATTGTTGGATTAACTAGTTTAGGTATATTTGTTGGTAATCTTGTTGGTATGTTTTATGGTGGTCCATTTGTTGATTGGTTAGCGGTAAAATTAGCAAGAAGAAATCATGGAATATTAGAACCTGAACATAGATTACAAGCAATGTTAGTTCCTACTATTTTAAATGCTGCTGGAATATTAGCATTTGGATTAAGTGCACATTACGGATCTGCTTGGGAAATTTCTGTGTTTTTAGGAATGGGATTTATGGGCTATGCAATGACTGCTTCAGGAGCAGTCTCAGTAGTTTATGCAGTTGATAGTTATGAAAAATTAGCAAGTGAATCAATTGTTTTAATGTTATTTATTAGAAATATGATTGGAATGGCTTTTACTTTTGGTATTGGTCCATGGATTGATCAACAAGGGATTTTTAAAACTACTTGGGTTATGTTTGGACTTTCAATTGTTATAAATGGTTCTTATATATTTATGATTATGTATGGTAAATCATTAAGACGTTGGACTAGAGAAAGATATGAAAAAGTTACTAAAGGTATGACGGCTTATTAAAATTTGGTGTAACTCGTGGAAATCATTCGAAATGATCAATAGGTTAAGTACTTAATCAATATTTATTGTTATTCAGGAACCCCAACGTCTAAGTAAAGCTTCATTATCCTCTACTACCTCGTTCATCGTCTCTTGCATTTGTATGATTGAATCTTCTAATCTAGCAATATATGATCGTGCTTTTAGTAAATCCAAACCCAAATTTTTCATAAAAGTTTCATGTTTCTTAGGTATAGGTCCTAGATGAAACATCATTTCAAAAAACTCCGACGAATTCTTTGGTGTTCTATAAACAAAATCGCTCCATTTTTTCTCTTCTTCTTCTTTGGACTTAACATGTTCAGCAGCAGCACTTAACATTTCTTTAGTAAAACCTCCACCTGATGAGCCAATTTGTTTTATATGATCACAAAGCAGTAATTCTTGATCTTTAGTAAGTTTAAATCTATTATCATCTGTCTTTCTTTCAATAATTTTACCAGTTTTAATTATTTTTCGAACTGTTGTTGGTGGTACTGATGTTCTTTCAGTTATTTGACTAGTCGAAAGTTTTTTTTCTATTTTCTTGGCTTTGTTCCAGAGTCTAAGAACTTCTCTTTTATCTGGATCATCATATCGAAAGTATTGTCCTTTTGGTGGCATATTTGATCTTTTGTTTTGGTGATTAATAGTGGTTTAAATTTTGATAATTCTTTTGTTTACATTTCAATTGTTTATATTCGACTATCGCGTTATTGATTATTTTTTGTACTAATAAGATTATGTCATATCTGGAGATTTTTGTGTAAATAAAACTTCAGGGGTAGGTTCTTAAAACTACGCGCGTAAAATCTTATCTGCACAAGAGCAATAATCTGATATCAGCCTTGCATCTTTCTTATCCTTAACTTACCTACTTAACGAAACTCAATTGATATATTTCATATCACAACTTCATTAAAATGAGTACAACACCATTATTTATACTAGGATCAACTGGATTGGTTGGTGAACAAGTTGTCAAATATGGTCTCACATCAAAAGATTTCAATAAAATAATAACTTTAACAAGAAGTAAACCAGATTTTGCCACCAATGAAAAAGTAGAATCAATTGTAAATACAACAACATCAGAATGGCCTAAATTAATAACTAGTTTGCAAACACCTCCAAAAGCTTATATATCATCATTTGGTACAACAAGAGCAAAAGCAGGATCAGCTGAAAATTTTAAAAAAATAGATTATGGAATAAATTATGAATGCGCAAAAGCTGCAAAAGAAGCAGGAGCAACTACTTGTGTATTAGTAAGTGCAATGGGAGCAGATTCAAAATCTCCCTTTTTATATATGAAAACAAAAGGAGAATTAGAAAATGCTATAAAAGATTTAAATTTTGATTATACTATAATTTTAAGACCTGGAGTTTTAGTTGGTAATAGAAAAACTGATCATGGTTGGGGTAATTCTATAGCTATGACAGTGGGAAGATGGACAAAGGGAAATTGGTTATCTCCATTAACTAGAGCTATTGATGTTAATGATGTTGGGAAAATTGCTATTGATTTTGCTGAACGTGGATTAAAACAAGATTTAAGAGAGAATGTATTAATTGTTAGTGGGGCTGAATTGTGCGAATTGGCTGAAGATTTAAAAGTTGTGTAATTGAAGATTTAAAAGCTGTTTAAATTTGGGTGTGGGCTGTAGTTTTATTGAATTTATATCGCGATTGACTTTTCAAGGAAGATGTGCAGTGATCTCTCACAAGACCCAGCTCTAACTAAGTGTAGGAATTGGAAGGAATCTCTGGTAGTTGATATGGCTTTGGTTAGAGCATACGGAGATCTTTTAGATAAGAATGTAAACAGAAAAAATAAAAATGAAAAACTCAACTTCTTAAATCCGATTTAGGATTTATCATCTGATATAAAGTTTAAAAAATTCAACAATTAGGAACAATACGGGTGAACAGCCGTACAAACCAATAGTATTTTAAATTGATTCAATCAGGTCCCCACACTCATTAAACTCCTAAACTTTGAAGATGTCTACAGAATTAAAAGATACTAATGGAACTATCGCTAAACCAACATTAGATTCAACTCCTCAATCAACCGATGAATCAATTGAAAAAATTCAACAATCTATAACTTCAACAAAACTTACTTCTGATCAATTAAAGAAATTAAAATCATTAATTGATTCAATACCTGAAATTTTACAAAAATTAGATAATCCAGAATATGATGAAATATTTGGATATAGAATAAATACAAATGAAAAACCACACGTAGATTATTCCATAAGAAATGAAATTTTATTAAAATTTTTAATAGCTGATAAATATGATTTGACATTAACAAAAGAAAGAATTATAAATTGTTTAAATTGGAGAAATGAATTTCAACCATTAAATGCAGCATTTGAAGAAAAATTTGATATTGAATTAAATGAATTAGGTTTAATTACAGATTTTAAAACCACCACCAAGTCAAATTTAAAAATTATAACTTGGAATTTATATGGAAATGTTCGTAATCCAAAACGAATATTTGAAAAATTTGGAGATAATAATAATAGAAATTTACCAGGTAGTCAGTTTTTAAGATGGAGAATTGGATTAATGGAAAAATCTTTACAATTAATTGAATTTACTGACCCAACCAACAACAAGATTGGTCAAATTCATGATTATAATAATGTATCAATGTTTAAAATTGATCCAAATATGAAAAAATCAACAAAAGAAATTATTGAAATTTTTTCATCGAATTATCCAGAATTATTATCAACTAAATTCTTTATAAATGTTCCTTTGATTATGGGTTGGGTTTTTACATTTTTCAAAACTATAAGAGTTATAAATGAAGATACATTAAAAAAATTTCAAGTTTTAAATAATGGTGATTTAACTTCTTATTTACCTAAATCGGATTTACCTAAATCATATGGTGGTGATTTAAAAGATAAAACAATTTTTAATTTAGATATTAGTGATAATATTAAATTAAGTGAATATGGTGAAATTATTTTGAAAAATGTTGGAGATTATGAAATTCAACATAATAATGATGATGTAGAATAATCGTTTTGAAAAAGAGATAAAGTTGTAATGATAAGAAGAAAAATATTAGTAAATTAATTACTAGAAAATGTAGAATTAGATTAATATAATAGTTATGGTATGAGTATAATGTCAAAACATCGTTACAGAACTCAAAGCTCAATATCCTCTACACATTTAAACTTTTGGGGGTTTAAAAATGGACACTAGGTGCCAAAATTATTGCTTTTGTCTTTCCACTGGCTATTCTAGCTTTTTCAAAAGCCCAAAAAGAGGTAGTTTCATGGTATAATGGATCATTTCACTACAAATTCCATACGAATGTAGTTTAGATCAATTTTCAATATCGCATTCAAGACATTTTAATACAACAACAAAACAGACAAACCATCGACTCCATTAAACAGAGATAAACACTTCATACAATTTCATTCCTCCAATTGCCAGATAAATAACCACACACTAAAGAAATCATGCTATGGAATAGTACATCCTACTGTAGTTCTGATATGGGATTATCCTTTATTGACATTAGTTGAATCAAATGGTATGAAAAGGTCCTTCTCCGCTTAAAAAAATGGATGAGTTGTATTGTTAGATGTACTACTAAATCTTGTGTATCTCACTTAGATAATAAATTCCCTTATTATTCAATTGATAAAAAATTTTTCAATCCAATCTTTCATATTTGTACGTAGGAAAATTTTCATCTTACTTTCCTTGCTTTTCTCTATGAATCCCCTTTGATAATTTTGCAAAACATAGGCTAGTTTGAAAATCTATAGTTAGTATTTGACATATATCAACCAACCCAATAGTTTTGAGAATGTAATTCACAACTTTTACCGGTGGTAGTAGCTGTTTAATGAGCTAGTAAAACCATTTATTTTTGAATGAATTGTTATGATCACCTTTACTGAATAAGTCCTGGAGTTATCCCAATTTTAAAAAATGGTATATGATTGATCGCTTTTTCGATGGCGCGACTTACTTTCGAATCAAATTTCTCAACAATTCAATGGTTGATTTCATCTTTTTACCTGATGTAGAACCCTTCTTAGAATTAATTATTGTTGATTCATGTAGTTTATTTGAATTGTCATCGATTCAAGTTATGATGCATAAAAAATATATAATTTTGATGATCAAGAATAAAACTTTAACTTTAACTTTAATTCGTGTTGAATAATGTAGTATTGATAAAATTTATCCACTTTTAACCGTTCAAGATTTACTATAAATCATCGGGATTTTAATGAAATTTAATTCCATTTAACAGTTAGGCTAATAGAAAGAAAGGCAGAGTAATTTAAAAGAGGAGGCTAAATATTTTCAAGTATTTTGTATCATATATCATCATATAATTAATTAAAAATGGGAACAAACGGTTAGTTTCAAACAATTTCTTTTTCTTTACGATAGATAATACTAAAATACTGAGATATATCATTAGAAACTATAGAGTAGATTCAATATAAATTTATCGTCATAGCAATTCTGTTGAATGATGAATATTAGTAATCCTTTTTGACTAGGAAATACTTAATCTTTATGTTAGATCCACACTATATACGAAAGATTTATAGTCTAGTCTATCAGGATTTTTTGAATAGAGTACTTTGAAATCGGCTCATAACTCATAATCCTTTTTTATAATTTTGCATAAGTTGTTCATACATTGTTTCAAAAGGACCAAAAGGGAATCCAATGGTCCATTATTACCATTTTATTTCAATCAATTCGTCCATATTCTCTTGTCTACTCTACTCACTTAGTTCTTGTTATTTCTAATTCTACTTTCATTCTAGATTATACCAATCGGTTATAAAAGCTCTACTACACAAAGTACTGTTTATTAAATTCATTTACTACTGTTTTTGTTACTACTTGAAACTAAGCATTACAGCGGAAGAAGAATAAGAATAGGTAGGAAGTATTGTAAGTATTAGCTTATTCATTTAAACTTTTCTATTACGATAAAGTATGATTTATTAAATTTATTGATACAACTTACAATATTCATTACATTTATTAACATTTGAATTATATTTGATTGATTTGATTCAGTCCAGTTCATTCAAAATCAATTTGATTAGTAAGAGTCAGTCAGGGAATAGTGATTCTTTTATTTATAGCTTAATACTTATACTCCATATAAGTCCCTACTAAATATATTTGATTAATAGTCTTAAATAATTTTGGAAATTTACTTGGTATAACCAAGGAGGCTTTTTTACATTAAATTTTACAACCAGTTTAAACCAACCAAATTATTTCCATCCAACTTTCATTTACTCATTCACAAGCAATCATTAATACATGAACAATAGCTTAATGATTTATCATTTGTAACTGAAAGTAGAACAATAATAATAATAAAACACTAAGACTTCCTTATATAATAATTTATTATCATACATCAAACAATCATACAAAATACAAAAATCAACCTAACTTCAACTTACATATCAAAGAAAAATTAATATACTTAGAAGAATCAAAATTAGATCGTAACATATTTAAAATTCAAAGTGTCAGTTATCAATAACCATCATCAGAGTTCAAGAGTATAACACGAGTTTAAAACCAAATATATTTTTACAACCAAAACTTAATCACATACCATTAAAAACTACAACACCAATAAAACCAAATACACAGATGATAAAATGCATCATCATCATCCTCGAGGTTTCAGTTTTAATAAACTTAAAAATAAAGTAGTTCATAGACATTCAACTGATTCAAATTTAGATACAATACATGGTAATAATAATAGGAGGAATAGTTTAGATAATAATACAAATAATTCTATTCTTCATAATAATAAACATAATTCTCATTCTAATCATCATAGTTATTTCCATAAGAGTGAAACACCTCCCCGAGAACATATATCAGCTGCATCAAGATTAAGATCAACTTCATTAACTTTTCATCATGATTCATCAAAACATAATAATAACACAAATAACAATAATAGCTTAGATTCACCAAGATCACGATCTAGATCGAGATCCAAATCATCAACTAATCATCATTCTCAAACTTTATCACCTTCAAATATTTTTAAATCAAATAAAACTAAAGAATTAATTAAACAAGAAACTTCAAATGTATTACTGAAAAAATTAATTAATATGTTAAATGATATAGGTTTACAACAACCAATTCCTTTAAAAACAACAACTTCAGGTTCATTATCAAAAACAGTAAAAATTTATGTTTCAAATTCAAATGATTGTATATATTTACCACCTGCAGTATCAACAAGTTTTACATATGAAGATGTTGAAAATGGAGGTAATGTTCAAAGATCAATGGATGAATCATTAACAACTTCTTCTTCTTCATCTTCATTAATTAATGAGGCTCAGTTAGTTGAAGATCAATTTCCTAATACTAATACTAGATCATCATCATTATCAACATCCAATACAATGATTGATGAAAGTTCAATAATAAGAAGAATGAAAAAATTTCATAGTCCAAATTATTTAAATTCAAAAATTGATTCAGATTTACCAATACCTCATACATTTGCAGTAATAATAGAAATAACAAAAGATTTAACAACTTCAAAAGATTTAATTTTTAAATTTCAATCATCAACTCAAATTTTATGGCCAACTGGTGATGCATATAATAGATCCCAAGTTAAAGAAAAATTTAAAATTGGAGATATGGAATGGAATACAAATTTTCAAAATGCTGATTATTTTATAAGTTCTTTAAATTCAAATGATTTTAAATTAAAAAATATTGGACCTGATGATTTAGCTAGAAGATCAAGAGAATATAAATTAATTGATAATTCAAAGACTAGTAATTCAAAAGATGATGAAGATTCTTCTCCTCCACCAACACCACAACCACAACAATCGACATCATCTTCATCATCATTAAATGAGTCAGAATCAACAACCTCACACACATTTCCCCATTCACATTCAAATTCACAATTCAATTCAGAACATAAAGCTGGTCTTTATGTATTCTTATTACCAATTTTATTACCAGAGCATATTCCACCATCAATAGTATCAATTAATGGTACTTTAAGTCATACATTACTGATTAATTTCAATAAAATAAGTGATAAATTAAATAGAAAATTAAAAGTAAATGCATCATATGCTATACCAATGGTTAGAACCCCTCCGAATTTTGCAAATTCAATAGCTGATAAACCAATATATGTAAATAGAGTATGGAATGATTCAGTTCATTATATGATTACTTTCCCCAAAAAATATATATCATTAGGTTCAGAACATGTTATAAATGTAAAATTAGTTCCATTAGTTAAAGATGTTATTCTAAAAAGAATAAAATTTAATGTATTAGAAAGAATTACTTATGTTTCAAAAAATTTAAAAAAAGAATATGATTATGATAGTGAAGATCCAAATTTTTTACATCCTGCTAATAAAGAAAATAAAATAAGAGAAAGAATTATAAGTTTATGTGAATTAAAAACAAAACATAAACAATCTTCAAATTCAATGGGAGATTCTTATAAAGAAGAAATTATAAAATGTCCTGATAATAATCTTTTGTTTTCTTGTTATGAACCAGAAAATGATTTAAATAATAATAATAATTCAAAAAAGAAGAACAATAATAAAGATAAAGATAAAACTATGATTGCTTCTCCAATTGATATTAATATTGCATTACCTTTTTTAACTACAAAAACTGATAAATTTATGATGACTAGTTCTTCTTCAACTTCACCAACATCGACATCATTTTTAGATGATGACCCTATAACAACAAATACTACAAATACATCCTTTTCTAATTCTACTACAACATCCACAACAGCAACTAATTCAACATCAAGAAAAGCTTCAGTAGTTGATACAACAAATTCTTTAAATTCACCAAGTTCACCAATAATAGGAGCATTAGAAACAAATTTATCAAATGTAGATGAAATAGGATTACATGATCAAAAAAAACATCCAATATCACAATATTTATCAGATGATTTATTATCTAAATCACAACCACCAGAAAATATAAAAAATGGTTATACATTAATTTCAAGAGCTTTATATCCAGATTCAAATTTTAAACATATTCAAATAAATCATAGATTACAAATTTGTTTTAGAATTTCAAAACCTGATCCAAAAGATGATTTTAAAATGCATCATTATGAAGTTGTTGTTGATACTCCTTTAATTTTATTAAGTTCTAAATGTAATGATGGTTCTATTCAATTACCAAAATATAATGAAGTTGAATTGACAAGTAATTCTATTAATAATTCTAGTTCAACTTCATCGAATAGTGCATCATCAAATGGAATTCTGTTTAATACTCCAAATTATAAAAATATTAAAAATGGAATTATAATAAAACCATGGAATCCAAATGAAGAATCACCAGGAAGTGGTGGTGGTAATGATGAACAATTACCATCATTTGAAGAAGCAATAACAACATCAACTATATCAAATCCTTCTTCTCCTTCACCATTATTTAAAACTTTATCAATACCTGAAGATCCCCTTAGTAGAATTCCTTCAATACCAATGATTTTACCAAATGAACCTGCTCCTGCTTATGAAATTGAAGATCAATCTTCATTATCTCCAACTCCTACACCTCCAAATGCTTCTTTGCAATTGCAGCAGCAGCCACAGCAACAACAACAACCAGTACATCAACATCAACAACAACAACCAAGGGATCTGGTAAGTTCATTAAATATAGATGAAATAGTAAATATAAATGATAAAAATTTAAATTTAAATCAAGTTAATAATTCAATTGGAAATTTAGAAAGAAGACAATCAAGTATAAAAGAAAGTTTATCACAATCTTTTAAATCTAATCATACTATTAATAATTCGAATCAACTGAATCAACAATTGAATCAGAATAAAAATGTTGAATCTTCATCTAGAGATGATGATGATGAGGATGGTAGTATTCAACTGAGTTCTTCTTCTTCTTTATTGTTGAATCATGGTATTAATACTGGGGTAACTGGTATTGGTGGTGTTAATAATAATAATAATGATGTTGGTGGAAATGGTAATGTTGACGGTCGTGATGGTGAAGGAGTCAGTCCTCCTTCTTCAACTGTACCTGATTCAACAAGTATAGTTAGTTCATTAAGTAATGAACAACGAAGTGAAGAAAATCAAGAAAATAATTCAACTAATTTACCTGGTCATTTTGCCAGTTTTGAAAATCGTGAAGAATTTGAAAGCTCTGATAATGAAGAAGCTATTTTGGATGATGAAGATGAAGATGATGATGATGCTTTAATAAACGATGGATTAGATGATGAGAGAAATGAAGAATCAGATGGATCAGATGATGATGATGATGAGAATTTAGTTATCAACAGTTATCAACCTCAATTTTCAACTTCATCATCAAATACAATTAATACAAATGGAGAAATATCAAAAATTATTCTGGAAGATCTGGATGATGATGAAGATGAAAATGATAATGAAATAAATAAAAATAAATTTTATAAAGATGAAAATGATTATAATGAAGATGATGAAAATGAAGAAGAAATGAAATTTAATCAAAGATTACCATTATTAAAACATATATCAACAGAATCCATAAAAACTATAAATTCAACTACTTCATATATTTCATCACCTAATTTATTAAGGTATCCACAACAACAACAACAAAATCAACAACAAAGACCTCAATATATGAGAAATAATACAATTTCATCATCAACTTTATCATTAAATCAACAACAAAGACAATCAACTGATAACTTATCTTTGGTTCCTGTATCTACTAGTTCTTCAAGTTTACTCAATTTAAAACCTCAAGATATTCAACATTTTGATTAATTGATGATGGGTTTTTGAATATTTTGATTAATGATATATTTATGTAATATGGTATGACATTCTGTAATTAATGAAACATTTTTTTTTTTCAATTCTGCAACTTTAAATGTAATCTATATACTCTACTTGAATATCTTTTTTTTCCGTTTGTAAAAGTGTAGAGTTTGAATTAGAGTAGAGACAATTTTGATATAAAAAATTTATTGAATTGTACTTTTATAAACTATAACTACAGAAACTAAAAGGATTAAATTGAATTAATCCAAACTTTTGAATAATAAATACTCAATAAATCATTCATTTCTAATTAATGATGATGATAATAATAAAAAACCGAAAAGAATTAATTGAAATTATGGAAAGTATCTAATACAAATTAATGATTAATTGAAATTATAATATTTTTAATTTTTCTTTTCTAAGTCATACAGTTTTGATATTTGGTAGATGAATAAGGATATCAATGATAAATTTTGAAATTGAATATTAATATATTATCTTAAATGAAAATTACAAATATTGCAATTATTGAACTTAATAAACTTAATTTGAAATTTGAAGTTATTGAAGATCCAGCATTAGCTAATTCAGTAATATTTGATCCAGTTGATGATGTAGTTGAACTTGATTCTGATCCTACTTGTGATCCTTCACCAGCAGCAATACCTTGTGAGTCAGAAGATGATGATGGTGATGATGATTCAATATTTGGACCTGAACTTATACTTGAAACTAATGTTGATTCAGCTGGTCTTCCTTCTCCTGCAATTGTTTGATTAGATGATTCATTTCCTTCGTTTGCTTGCCCACCTTGTTGACCTGATTCAGCTGATTCAGTTGATTCTCCATTTTCAATAGTTCCTTCTGAAGTACCAGTAGTTTGAGCTTGTTGACCTTGTTGAGTTTGAGCAGCAACAGTTCCAGTTTGTTCAGAATGTATAGCAGTTTCAGTTGATGTAATATAAACAGTAGCAGTTTCTTCAGCTAATTTTTGAATATTTTCAGCTTGGGATGCTTCAACTTTAGCTTTAAATGCTTCATAAGCAGCAGATTCAGCTTGAGCTTTTATTTCAGTTGATGTTTGTAAATTAGCTTCACTTAATAAAACTGATACAGCAGATTGTTGTTTTGAAGCAGCAGATTTTTGAATTAATACTATTGATTCATGTTCTTTTACAATTGATTCTAATGTTTCTTTTGCACCTTCTTCAATTGATGATAATGATTCAATTTCACTTTCACAACTTGCAATTATTTCTGTTTTAGTAACAACTTCAGCAATTGATTTAACTGATTCTAATGATGATATAGCTGATTCACATGATACAATAACAGTAACTACACTTTGTTGATGTTCAATTATTGTTGATTGAGCAGCAGCAGCACTTGTTTGAATTTCATTGGCTTCACTTTGTTCTGAACTAGCTGATGATAATGCACAATATATACTTACTTCAGTAATTGTTTGAGTAGTAGTAAAGATCAGTTCATTTCCTTCTATATCAGTAGATGTTCCAGTTGATGTAATTATTGAAGTTGATGGATATGTTGTAGTAGGAGTAATTGAGCCACTTAATGTTGATGCAGATGGTAAAATTGATCCAGTTTGTGATGTAGTTTCATCTGATGCAGTTCCTGTTGTAGCAATTGATGAATTCCAAGCAGAATTAGAACTTGTATCTATAACTGAAGTTTCACTAAGATCATCAGAAGAAGTTGATTCAATTGATGTTATTACTTCACTTGATGTTGGAATTGGAACTTCAATATTACCAGCACTTACTTCAACTGCTATACAACCTTCACCACCAGTAACACGTACATCATAACCTACTTCAGCTGGACAAACATAGAATTGAACCACTTCTTGACGTTTCAAAAATCTAGCCAATGTAGTAGCTAATGTTAATTTATTATCTTCAAGTCCCCAACCATTTGTAGCATTTTCAATATCACCAATAATTAATTCACCTAATTCTCCTAATTGAATATATCCAACATTGATAACATGTAATAATCCATCTTCAATTGCAAATTCAGCTAATGATCCATCAAATAATTTAATGTGAGTTCCATTTGATTCAAATCTTGTAACTTCTCCATTGAATAAGACAGATAATGTAAATGATTCATCTGGTGAGACAGATTCAGTTGGTAATGAAGTTTCTATTGTAGTTGAAGTATCTGAACTAATTGATGCTGAGTCTGTAGTTGTGATTTCTTCGTCTGAGGCAGTTGAAGTATCTGAGCTAATTGAGGCTGAGTCTGCGGTAGTAATTTCGTCTGAAGCAGTTGATGATATGGTTTCACTTCCTGTGATTGTTGATGATGTTGAATAGGAATCAGTAGTTTCAACAACAGAAGCAGCAGATTCTAATAATGAACTAACACTTGCAGGTGGCATCCAATAAGGTTCCCAAACTCCAGCACTTGAACAAATTGATGTAGCTAATGATCTTGCATCTAATACATCTTCACCACGACAGTTTTCAGCAATACATGATCCAACTTCACCTTGGAATGTTGGCATTATACATAAACATCCAGTATCCCAGTATGGACATGGTGTAACTCCTGTATTTTGAAACATACATGGTTTAGCACATTCTGGTAATTGATCATAGATTCTATCAGCAAATCCATTGATTGAAGCAGTTCTTGGAACACTTGGATAAGTAGCATATGGATTATCAGTTGATTCAGATGATGGAGCAGAAGTAATTAAGGAATCTGATGATGTGGTTGGTTCTTCAGTTGTAGTTATTGATTCAGATTCCATGGCTGAGTCACTTGGATTGGATGAACTAATTGGATTTGATGATGATGGAGAAGCTTCTAAACTTGAAAAAGATGAAACAGTTGAATCTGGAGTTTCTGATGATTGGGATTCTGATGAATTAGTAGCATCTGTTGTTGTTGAATCTGATGAAGTTCCTGTAGATGTTGATGATGAATCTGTTGTACCTGTTTCGGAAGCTGGAACAGCAGTAGCAGCATATTCTAATGATGAACTAACACTAGCAGGTGGCATCCAATAAGGTTCCCATACACCAGCACTTGAACAAATTGATGTAGCTAATGATCTTGCATCTAATACATCTTCACCACGACAGTTTTCAGCAATACATGAACCAACAGCACCTTGGAATGTTGGCATTATACATAAACATCCAGTATCCCAGTATGGACATGGTGTAACTCCTGTGTTTTGGAACATACATGGTTTAGCACATTCTGGTAAGTAATCATATATTCTATCAGCAAATCCGTTGATTGAAGCAGTTCTTGGAACACTTGGATAAGTTGCATATGGGTTATCAGTTGATGTAGATGATGGAGCAGTAGTTATTAATGTATCTTCTGATGTTGATGATTCTTCAGTTGATAATGAGTCTTCGGTTGATAATGATTCTTCAGTTGATGTTGTTTCTCCAGTTGATGATGTTTCTTCAGTTGATGATACTTCTTCACTTAATGCAGTTGATTCTTCTGTTGTAATTGATTCTTCAGTTGAATTTGGTTCTTCAGTTGAATTTGGTTCTTCAGTTGAGTTTGGTTCTTCAGTTGATATTGATTCTTCACTTGATTCAGTAGTACCAGTTTCAACAGCAGGAACAGCAGTAGCAGCAACTTCTAAAGCAGAACTAACACTTGCAGGTGGCATCCAGTATGGTTCCCAAACTCCAGCACTTGAACAAATTGAAGTAGCTAATGATCTTGCATCTAATACATCTTCACCATAACAATTTTCAGCAATACATGATCCAACAAGACCTTGGAACATTGGCATTATACATAAACATCCAGTATCCCAGTATGGACATGGTGTAACTCCTGTGTTTTGGAACATACATGGTTTAGCACATTCTGGTAATTGATCATAGATTCTATCAGCAAATCCATTGATTGAAGCAGTTCTTGGAACACTTGGGTAAGTAGTATATGGGTTATCAGTTGAAGTTGATGATGGAGCATCTGTAATTAAAGTATCTTCTGATGTTGACGATTCTTCAGTTGATGCAGTTGATTCTTCAGTGGATGATGATTCTTCAGTTGATGATGATTCTTCAGTTGATGCAGTTGATTCTTCAGTTGATGATGATTCTTCAGTTGATGATGATTCTTCAGTTGATGTTGATTCTTCAGTTGATGTTGATTCTTCAGTTGATGTTAATTCTTCAGTTGATGTTTCTTCCGAGGTAGTACTATCTTGAGTTGTAGTTTCATCTGTTGTAGATTCTTCAGCTGTTGTTGATGTGTTATTTTCTTCAGTTGTTTCACCTTCAGTAGTTGTAGATTGTTCATCATTATCAACATTTTCAGCAGCAGCTTCAATTGAAGTACAACCTTCATTATTATCACCAATATGAACATCACTTCCTTCTTCAGCAGGACATGATTGGAATTGAACTTCATCTTCACGTTTAAATAATCCTCTCTTAGTTTCAGGTAAAGTTAATGATAATCTATTTTCAACAATTCCCCATCCATTAGTTGCATCTTCAACATTTTCAACAATAATTAAAGCACCATTTGATGTGACTTGAATAAACTCGTTTTCTGATACTTTAAGGTAACCATCTTCAATTACAAAAGTAACAACAGCACCACTAAATAATTTGATTGATCTTCCATCAGTTGTGAAATAAGAAAATGATCCTTGTAATGAAAAAGTAATTGTGAATGGTTCTTCAGGATTGACTGGATCAGTTGGTAAGGCAGTTGGTGATGCAAAAGATGTAGTTGATGATGTAATTGATACTGAAGATTCTTCTGAAGTAGTTTCAACAATTGATGAAGTTTCTTCTATTGATTCAGTAGTAATAGTAACTGTAGCAGGAACAGCAGTAGCAGCAACTTCTAATGCAGAACTAACACTAGCAGGTGGCATCCAATAAGGTTCCCATACACCAGCACTTGAACAAATTGAAGTAGCTAATGATCTAGCATCTAAAACATCTTCACCATAACAATTTTCAGCGATACATGATCCAACAAGACCTTGGAACATTGGCATTATACATAAACATCCAGTATCCCAGTATGGACATGGTGTTACTCCTGTGTTTTGAAACATACATGGTTTAGCACATTCTGGTAATTGATCATATATTCTATCAGCAAAACCATTAATTGAAGCTGTTCTTGGGACACTTGGATAAGTAGCATATGGATTATCAGTTGAAGTTGACGATGGAGCATCTGTAATTAAGGTATCTTCTGATGTTGATGATTCTTCGGTTGTTATTGATTCTTCACTTGATGTAGTTGATTCTTCTGTTGTAATTGATTCTTCAGTTGAATTTGGTTCTTCAGTTGAATTTGGTTCTTCAGTTGAGTTTGGTTCTTCAGTTGATATTGATTCTTCACTTGATTCAGTAGTACCAGTTTCAACAGCAGGAACGGCAGTAGCAGCAACTTCTAAAGCTGAACTAACACTAGCAGGTGGCATCCAATATGGTTCCCATACACCAGCACTTGAACAAATTGATGTAGCTAATGATCTTGCATCTAAAACATCTTCACCATAACAATTTTCAGCGATACATGATCCAACAGCACCTTGGAAAGTTGGCATTATACATAAACATCCTGTATCCCAGTATGGACATGGTGTAACTCCTGTATTTTGAAACATACATGGTTTAGCACATTCTGGTAATTGATCATAAATTCTATCAGCAAATCCATTGATTGAAGCAGTTCTTGGAACACTTGGATAAGTAGCATATGGATTATCTTCAGTAGTTGAAGTTGGAGCAGTAGTAATTAAAGTATCTTCTGATGTTGATGAATCTGGTGATGATGAACTTTCTTCTGATGTAGTTGAACTTTCATCAGATGTTGATTCTTCAGTTGATGATGAACTTGATAAAATTTCTTCAGTTGATGATTCTTCAGTTAATTCAGTAGTACCAGTTTCAATAGCAGGAACAGCAGTGGCAGCAATTTCTAATGCAGAACTAACACTAGCAGGTGGCATCCAATAAGGTTCCCAAACTCCAGCACTTGAACAAATTGAAGTAGCTAATGATCTTGCATCTAAAACATCTTCACCATAACAATTTTCAGCGATACATGATCCAACAAGACCTTGGAACATTGGCATTATACATAAACATCCAGTATCCCAGTATGGACATGGTGTAACTCCTGTGTTTTGAAACATACATGGTTTAGCACATTCTGGTAATTGATCATAGATTCTATCAGCAAATCCATTGATTGAAGCAGTTCTTGGAACACTTGGATAAGTTGCATATGGATTATCTGCAGTAGTAGAAGTTGGAGCAGTAGTAATTAAAGTATCTTCTGAAGTTGATGTAGTTTCTTCTGATGTTGATGAATCTGATGATGATGAACTTTCTTCTGATGTAGTTGAGCTTTCTTCAGATGATGATTCTTCAGTTGATGTTGGTTCTTCAGTTGATATTGATTCTTCAGTTGATGTTGATTCTTCAGTTGATGTTGATTCTTCAGTTAATTCAGCAGCACCAGTTTCAACAGCAGGAACAGCAGTAGCAGCAACTTCTAATGCAGAACTAACACTAGCAGGTGGCATCCAATATGGTTCCCAAACTCCAGCACTTGAACATATTGATGTAGCTAAAGATCTAGCATCTAAAACATCTTCACCATAACAATTCTGAGCAATACATGATCCAACAAGATCTTGGAACATTGGCATTATACATAAACATCCAGTATCCCAATATGGACATGGTGTAATTCCTGTATTTTGAAACATACATGGTTTAGCACATTCTGGTAATTGATCATATATTCTATCAGCAAATCCATTTATGGAAGCAGTTCTTGGAACACTTGGGTAAGTTGCGTATGGATTATCTGCAGTAGTTGAAGTTGGAGCAGTTGTAATTAAAGTATCTTCTGATGATGATGATGATGGATCTGATTCTGTTTCTGTTTCAGCAAACACAAAGGAAGCTAAAGCGAATGAATAAACAAATGATGATACCCTCATTTTTGAATAATGAGTTTAACTTCTTTTGTGAATATGATTTTGGTTGATGAATTGGTAATTGATTTTCAAAAATACATGAAAAAATTATAAGATTATTAAATATATGGAACTTTCTATTGTTTTATGTAATTCAATTTTTCTTATTCTTGATCTTCACAATAAGATCTAATTTTAAGATTCGTTTAACGTATGTTTATTAAAAAAATTTCATTGTAATTTTTAAATCATGTTCTATTTTTTAAGTTTCAAATTTTGCAACAATATTAAATATTGGGCTTTTGTGTAACACTTTTGATACTAGTGAAGCGTATATCGATCTAGTTGAAAAACCTTGGAAAATTGAAAAAATAATACAAAACAGGAAAATATATCCAATCAGAACTATTTTTCAATCTATGTGACAGTCAATTTAGTAGTTGTAGGATACATGCGTACGGCTTTAGGTGTGAACATAAATAAAATAAATATAGTATAGTGCTTATGTTTGGAATAAAGATTTTAAAAAAATAAATTGATTTCGTGTGTTTCAAAACTCTTGACCATTAGAAAACACGAAATAATCCATTTCTGATCAAATTTTAACCAAATGTGATACCGTAATTAAATAATGGAATGCAAATTTTGTATGAATGAACGTTTTACTCCGACGATGGAAACTTTGAATGAATAAATCAATTTCTTTTTAACGCGAAACTCAGACATATTAAATTTTGGTTTCATAAATATTTAAATTTAATTCTAAATTCAAATTATAATATTGCATTTGCCAAGTTCTAAAACTTTGTTTTGTGCTTTCATGTAAGTTATGTATACTCATTCCTTCTAGTGTGTTATTTAATATTTTGTAACCCGTGTTTTCTTATCATTAAAAAATAATTCAAGCAAACAAATTACGAGAACAATGTATGCAAATGCAATAAAAGTCAAAACAATCATCGGTAATGATAAAATCAATTGTTGAATCTCTCCCATTATGATGAATAATAGCATGTTCATCCAAGCAATTACTATGAATATAATTTAAAAATGGTATTGTCTTTTTAAAACTTTAAATTATTTAAAATACGAGAATACTAAATTTGCATTGGAGAATATATCGGGGATTACTTAAAAAGTGAAACCTAATTCCTAAAATCATAAGAAATAGTAATTGATACATATATTGCATTTTTAGTTTGAGCTTTGACAGGGACTTAATTGAATGTTCAATTGAGTTCTGTGAACTATGAGTTTGGTTTGAATTGGATCCCTTGTTTGCAATCCATGTAAGACGTGTTCAAAATCTCCAACAAACGCCAGCTGAATCAATGGATATCATTTACAAACTCATTTTCGAGGGTTTTCAGGACCATTCCTATAAGCTTTTTTTTTGAAGATTCATAGTTTTTTCTTATTGAAACTTATTTTATTTGTTGATATTTTAGTAATTTGCTTGGTAAGTGAATGGTTTAGATATTTTATTTTTTTTTTTTTTTTTGCGCACTTTTTTTACGTAGATGAATTTATCGGTATTAACAAAACAAATTAAAATCAACCAATAATAATAAATCTTGTTCTTAGATTCCAAAAATCAAACTTTTGATCTTTTAGATAAACTTTTCATTTCTTTTTTTTGTTTATTTCAATTGTTTTTGGTTGCTCAATTTTCTTAATAAAAACGGTATATTTCTAGAAGTATTCAAAGGAATAGTAGTACTAATAGAGTTTATAGGAAGGGAAAATTTCAGATTGCTAGAAAACTATCATTTGACTCGATAGATTAACATGTAATTTACAAACTATATTTAAGAAGCTTTTGCATTGTTTTTCAATCAGGAGTCATAAATAAAGGGTTGTTACTTGGTAACTACAATAATAGAATTGATCAAACTGATAAAATTGATCTTTTAGATAATTTTAAAATTTTTTAAAATTCTGCATATAAAGAATATGTTGCATTTTTAAGTTTCAGTAAAGAATAATAGCTATGAAGATATTTTATATTAGTAATATGGTACCCTATATCAATTTTTTATAAAATTGATATAACTAAGCTAATGCTTTTTTAGTTTTTCCGAAATACCTGTTTTCCGAAAATTTTTACCTAAATTCTTAATTTGTTTTCTAGATTTTAAATCAAAATTGTTGCAAATTTGCATTGAATTTTGAATTTTGAAACAAGTTTCATTTTAAATCAGTTTGAACTGTTAAAATTGTAAACGAGTTCAACGAATAGGAAGAATGAAATTTCAATATCGACTATAATCAGCGACTGAAGTTGTTTGATGTATACTACTGAATTCTAATGTAACATCATAATTTCAATCCGACCAATCATCATCAAATACATCATTTTCGAAGTGTAAAGAGTCAATCATCAAAATTGTCTATTCATAAAGCTCATTGCTACCCTAGAGAAACAGTGGTAAAAAGTATGTAAAGAAAAGTATTTTTTATTCACTAATCATGCTAATATTGGACTTTATCTTCTATTCTTTAATTTCTTTGCTAAATTTTTAACATCATTATAATCGTCTTTATTACCATTACTTTCAAATTTACGTTTCTTAGACGACGATTTATCATTAAATTTATCATTTTTATTTTTCCTTATTGATCTTTCTTTCAAAATTTTATTCATAATATTAGACTTTTTAAATTCACTACTAGTTGGATCAATAGCATATTCATGATTTTCAAAAATTTCATTAAATCTATCATCTTGTAAATCAACATTAAAATTATCTTGAATCATTTCTGAATCAATTTTTTTGTTACCCTTTTTATTTTTGGTGTTTTTCAAATTTTTTTCATTTTTCAAAACATCTTTCATATTAAAATGATTATTTTGTTGTTGTTTTTCATTATCCATTAGAACTAATTCTAATTCTGCTTTTTGTTTATCAGTCAAATTGTTTTGTTCTTTTGATCTCCTATTATGCTTTTTATCATCTCTTTTTTTGTTTGATTTTGATTTTGATATTTCTTCTTCTTCATCTTCTTCAACTTCTTTACTTTCTTTGTACTTATTTAATCTTCTTTGACGTCTTTCCTTTTCTTTCCTCTTATATGCATCTATGGTTGTTTCTTCTTTTTCTTCTTCTTCACTATCAACTTTTCCATCTTTCAAACCTGGATCAAATGTAATTTCCATATCTACATCGTCTTCATCTTCATCTTCATTTTCTTCTTTATTTAGTTTTGAAAAAGTATTTCCCAATAGACTCTGATATTTATTTTTTAGATTATTATTCTCATTATCTTTATCATCATTATCATTTTCAGAATCACTAGCTAAATAAGCTTTAAAATCATTATCTTCAATTTCTCTTTGAGATAAAGGTCTAGAAGATAAAGTCAATCTTTCCTTTGGTGTTTCATCCCATGTTAATTTTACTTTTGAATGTTGTAAAGCATCTGTAACAAATTTTGAATCAGGTCTATAATTTTTTGAAATTTTAAAACATTCATCTTTTACATCGTTCTCATCAAATTCCATATTATCTGGTATATATCTTAAATCAAATATATTTGCAGTTGATTCATATTCTGTACCATCTACGTTTTTATATATATTTTCTGAAGTATTAATTGAATCACATTCAACAACTGCATAAAAATATCGTAATCTTTGTAATTGATATCTTCTTAATGCCTTACTATCATAATCTTCTTTACCATCATCTTGTTCATAAAGTTTCTTGGTCACTCGTTCCAATTCTTTTGCGTCATTTATATCAACATCAGAATCCAAATCTGAATCAGAATCAGAATCATCATCTGAATCATTGTTCTCTGATTTTTTTGATTTTCTCTTACTTTTGAAAATTTCTCTAGATGGACCTTCAAGTTCTTCTTTTTGCATTCTTTCTTTTCCAAACTCTGAAGGATATATTTTAACTGATTTTATAGATCCACCTTTCGGTACAAATGATATAAATGTAGCCATTAAATCTTCTGCTCTTAAATTATCCCAATCCATATTTACTACAGCAAATGATTTCGTTGGTTCTGATTCTTGTGGTTTATTTTCTTCAATTTCAACTTCTGATTCTTCCTCTTCTTCTTCGTCTTCGTCTAACGATAAATCACTTTCGTCTGAGGAATCGTCTTCTTCTTCTTCTTCGTCTGATGATGATGACAGTATATCACTATCCATCCCTTCGCCTCTAGCTCGATCTAATTCAGACTCTTCTTTTCGAATTTTCTTCTCTAGTTTTGAAACTTCTTCATCTTCTTCTTCTTCTTCCTCACTTTCCTCAGCCTCACTAGTGGATTCTTCTTCCTCATCTTCATCTTCATGTTCAATAAATTTATCAATAACTTTATTTCTTAAATCATCTTTATTTAATTTTCTACCATATCTATCAATTTTAACATTATTATTATTATTTAGCTTACTAAGTTCTTTTTTACTAAATCTATCATCAACTTTTATTTTTAAACTTTTAAAATTTGGAAATTTAAATCTTGGATCATTATGAACTTGTTTAAATCGACTATCTTCTGTTATTGGTTTTATTTCATTCTTTTTGGATTTATTTTTGTTATTGTTGTTGTTGTTCTTTTTATTGTCTTTGTTATCTTTTGTCATTTTGGCTCCACTATGCTGTTGTTAGACTTGGTTGAATTGAGTTTATGATTCTAAATTTACTGTTAAACTACTTGATTCTCATCTCTTATATTAAAAATTTGTTACACAAAAATTTAGATAGTCTAACCTAAAACCTAACCACTTGTTATAGCGTGTACAGCTATACAGTAATCCTCGATTCTTCATCACCGTGTAATTTGAGAGTGAAAAGCTCGTGGTATCAAAAGGATCCCAGTTCTAGATTTAAAATTAAAACGTAAATACTAAATATGTCCTTATATAAAGAATAGCTATTAGACGGATCCACCATTACCAGCATGATTACCAACTAATCCAACCATTTCCAAAAATGCTCTTTCTTCACCCATATTTTTAAGATTAATATTTTGTCTTTCATTTGCCATTTTTTCTTCCCATTCCCATTGTTTTCTTTGATCTTCAAGATTTTTCAAAGATCCAATACCCCATACTTCTAAATCTATTATTGTAAATCTATCTTCAAAATTTTTATTTGATAGTTGTGAATGAGTAGAACTTTGAAAAAATTTAGCAGATGATGTTGATGTACTCTTGGTAACTGAAGATTGACCTACTAAATGTCTAAAAATTGCAAATTCTAAATTAGATTCGATTGTTAATGATACATCACCAGGATAATATTTTTGTAAATTATTTTTATTTAATGGTTGCATATTTCCAAATCCAAGACCCATTCCTAAATTATTAAAATATATCAGTTTATTTTTTAAAATATCATTAGCAGATGAAGTTGTAACACTTTTATAGTAATCTAAATGAGGTGAAATACTTAAAATTATTGTATTTTTATCACCAAAATTATTTTTATTTGAATTAACCCATGGATGATTTATTAAAACACAATAAGTAATTCTATCATTTGGTTGTTGCCAATCTTTTAATTTTGATTCCAGTTTTAAAAAATAATTAGGATAAATATGATCAAATTTTTCATATCTTTTATTATGTTCTATAGTTTTTTGTTTAATTCTTTTACCACTTACAATAAATAATGTGGGAGATTGCCATTTAAATATTTTGGTTTCTAATGATCTAATTGAAAATCCAGATTCTGCACCAGAATATAATTTAAACATATTTTCTGTTGTAATTTCAATCTTACTTCCAATGCCCTTTAAAACTGCTGAAATATATGATATGAATGGAACAGTTACTAATCTTGATTCTTCAAATTTATACGAATGTTTTGAATTAGTTTTTGGTTCATTATCATTTGAGTCTTTAGGCTGTATTGCTTCTTTAGGTTGATTTTGCTGTGATCGTCTTTCATGAGAATTTAAAATCCAATTGGTCATAAGTTTTGCAGCCATTTGAGAGATGAAAGTAAGTAAAATTCTTTGTATACCATTATAAAATTGATCAAATGTTATCTCATTTTTATCTTCCAAGTCCAAAAATTTGATTATATAATTCGAGTAAATTTCAAAATCTGACCATTTAGAAATGTAGGATTTGAGTAAATCATTCATTTTGTCATGTTTTTGCAAGGGGATTGCATTTAGGATCAAATTGAATGTAAGTATATTTCTTAAATCATTAATTTCAAAATTCAATCGACTGTAATTTATATCATTATAATTTTTAAAAATTTCAAGTTTTTTCCAATTGACTTTTTTAGATTTTATTTCAATTGAATCTGATTCTTCAAATGATTGATTCACATAAATTGAAATTTCACTTTCTTCATCAGCTTGTTCTTTGCTGGTATCAGCATTTTCAAAATTAATTGATATATACCACAATTTTAAAAAACTTAAACTATTATCATCGTATTCATTTCCTCCAAATAATCTTGCAAATCTACCCAATAAAAACACTAAAGATATTACAAACTCTTTAAGATCCAATGTTTCGACGTTCTTGTCTATTTTATTTCTCAAAAACGGTAGTTGTCCAATTCTTTTCATTGATTTGAATAGTATGTTTATGTATTTCGAGAATTCTTCTTTTGAATACTGGCTAGCAGTATTTGATTCTGAGCTATCCCCCTCGCATAGTATCCAATTTTCTAAATTGACTTTACTAATATTATGGCTAGTTATTAAACCTTTTTCTTCATCCCGTTCACTCAATTCGTTTTTGGAAGTATCCCGATAAGCTTTATTGCTTTCAATTAATTTTGATTTAATTATTGAAATTTCAATTGGTTTTAATAGTCGTAAACATCTAGTATAAAATAAATCATATAATTCTTCCTTGCTCACTTTGATTTTGATACCTAGACTTTTGTCAATGCCTCCCCCGTTTTCAGCATTATTTGAGCTAGCTGATTGTCCCATTCCATGAAAGTCTTATAGTTCTCTCTAGATTCGTTTTTGGAGTGAAACGTATAAATTTAACATGTATGACCTAGATTCAATTGCTAGCACATATAACTTTTCGGATTTTGTGTAACAAATATACGAGATGAATATTACATCTAGATTTCGTATTATATTCAGAGGATATCATGAAGTTATAAGAAGATCTCAATAGAGCTGTGAATAAGGTATGTTGTTTATGCATTATTTGTTTTATTCACATCTAGAATCTAAATGATCTTCTAAAAACTATAATAGATAATCACTCAAAAATTCTTTAGCTCTAATTTCGATATCCAAAACAACTTTTCGAAACTCTCCATAGATTCCCTTGGAGTCTAATATTTCTTGTTCTTCGGCATCAACTTGATTGTTTTGACTTGAACTATTCGTTTCATTGTGATTATTATAATCTCTCAACGTTTGTTGTTTTAGTAAGTTTTTATTAAAGCTTATTAAAACTAATGTGAAATATATTCTAATTACCGTCATTATTAAGCTTGTACTGAAAATAAAAAACAATTCCCTATGAGCTGATGCAGATTGCTTGGATAAATCCGCTCCAGCATCAGTTTCATCCATTGTTCTTTTAAAAAAATTTAATCCATTACCTCCAACATCAGTTCCACTTTCTTCTTCTGAATAAAACCAGAAAACCATAAAATACAAAGTATATAGTATTCCAATTAGGGTATCAATCAAATAAACAACGGTGGATAACGAAATTTTTCGTACATTATTCTGTTTGTTGGTTAAATTAATTAATGCATTAGCATAAATAGGTAACATGATTAAAGCTAATGAATTATATAACCATTGCCAAAAATTTATTGGATGACCTGTAAATAATGATAGTATTCCATATAAACCACCTGCTTTGTTTAAAATTGTTATACCAAGTATTATCTCAACACCTATAGCTAGTGGAATATATCCAAAAAATTTCTAAATTTGTTTAGTTAGCCTCGAAAATTCTCATTTTGATCTATCAAATACTAATTGAAGTTACGTACTTGTGGTAAAAGGCCAGCTACCACACCAGGTAAAGTCATGATGATACTGGGAAGTTTGTATTGTCGATTGTCTGATACTTTAGTGTTTCTCGATAATATGAGAATTTTAATTTTCAATTCGTACTAGTGAAGGAGCCAAACTTAATGCGGTTAGAATTGGTCGGATTGGTAGCAATGTCGGTCCACTGGTTGCAAAACCATCTCAAATGTTAAGTCTCATGAATCCAAAATGCATTTACTATATCTTTCTTATAACTTAATACGAACGAAACAACATAAACCAATATCGTGATAAACTCAATCAAGCTAGATTTGGATTTTACTGATTTTGAAGTTTTTTTAGGATCTGAGAAAATAAATCATCAGACTAATTTTTGAGAAGATCATCTTACATAAATTTATTAGGAGTAATATATAGAGAACTATGACAGCCATAAACGAAGAAGAGGTGAAAAATGGATTCTCCAATCTCGAATTGAACGACAGGAACGAATTCACGAATGACGATTTCTACACTAGCTCCTCAGATGATAGTGATTTTGAAGAGAATGAAGAATCAAATTCAAAGGTACTGAACACAACTAGCTCGAACAATACACAGGTTTCAAAACCTTTGGAAAAAGAGGACATCGTGACGAAGTATGCAGACAAAATCAAAACCGAGCCTTTCAAGAAAGGTCAGCAGATAAACAAAGATAGAGCAAATAGAGCAACTGTTGAACAAGTGCTAGATCCAAGAACAATCAGATTTCTAGGTAAAATTTTCAATTCGAATATTATTAGCAGAATTAATGGATGTATTAGTACAGGAAAAGAAGCAAATATATATCATGGAACCAACGATTCAATACCAAATAGTCCAGAATATGCTGTTAAAATTTATAAAACTTCGATCTTGGTTTTCAAAGATAGGAAACGATATGTTGATGGAGATTTTAGATTAAGAAATACCAAAGATCAAGGAAACCCCAGAAAAATGGTAAAAATTTGGGCTGAAAAGGAATTTAGAAATTTGAATAGAATATATTATCAAAGTAAAATTCCATGTCCCAAACCAATTATTTTAAAATCTCATGTTTTAGTTATGGAATATTTAACAAAAGGTTCCAATCAACCATCCCCTAAATTAAAAGATTATAAGTATAAAGATACCAATGATATTATAAAGTATTATTATCAAATGTTAATTTGTATGAGGAGATTATTTCAAGATTGTAAATTAGTTCATGCTGATTTAAGTGAATATAATTCAATTGTTCATAAAGACAAACTATATATTATTGATGTTTCACAAAGTGTTGAGCCAGATCATCCGATGGCATTAGATTTTTTGAGAATGGATATAAAGAATGTCAATGATTATTTTAGTAGGCAAGGTATTAATGTCTTCCCTGAAAAGTCTATCTTTAAATTCGTAACCGATAAGAATGATCAACTAGGGTTTAAATCAAAATACAGTACTGAAGATAATAATGGTAATAAAGAAGTCGAAGAAAGCGTGGATGATGATGAAGATGATACTAATAATGCTGATGCTGGACTATCTAAATCTACAGAAACGAAAGCAACTGGAGAAGACGAAGGGGTTGATGAAAACGATGAAGATACCATAGATATGATCCGATATTTGAATGACTTGCCATTAAAATTGACGAAAGATCAAGAGATTGAAGATGAGATTTTCCGGTCTTTGCATTTGGTTCGATCGTTAAATCACTTAGATGAAAGGGATTTTCAAAAATTCTCCGAAGGGAAAGTCGATACAATGAAAGAGTTGGTGGCATCTGAGCCCAACATTAACGAAGTTGATAGTAACTCAAATATCAAAGATATAGAAGACGAGGATGCTGTCGGGGCTAGTAGTGACGAAAATAGTGAAGAAGATAGCGCTAATGAAGATGAGGACGAGGACGAGGAATCAGGATCAGATGATTCAGAATATGATGAAAGAGAACAGCTGGTTCCTAAAGGTAAAAAATTCGAGGACAAAGACGCTAAAAAGGCAAGAAAAGAAGCTGCAAAATTAGCGAAACAAGAGAAAAGGAAGACGAAAATGAAGAAACATATCAAAAAGAAAATTATTAATAAAAGAAAGACAGGTAAGTAGATTATATAAGAAATATATCTATTAGATTAAAATTGTCTTGTATATTGTTTAACTTTTGAAGACTGTTTGGTCTGTATAATTGTTGGTACGCGTTAATTAACTATTAGGAAAATTGGTAGCTCATATAATTTTATACGTGTCTATCTTTTGGAAATTTTCATATAATTTTTTCATACAACAAGAAGCTTGATCTATCAACTAACAATTCCTTATCCTAACTCAAAATGATAGGACAATTGTATCAAATCATAATCACAGCTTTGATAGCGTCAGTTCAAATTACGAATGCATTACATTTTTACGTTAAAACTGGAGAAACAAAATGTTTTTTTGAAGAGTTACAAGATGAAACTTTAGTAGTTGGTAGAATTGATGCTTATGAAAAAAATGATTACTCAAACGAGTATTTCAAAAATAACAAGTTAAGAGTTCAAATTACAATTGATGTATGTAATTATTTTTATAGGGATCATGAAGGACAAACTTTCGAATTTAAAGACAATCATACTAACTTCCATGTGTAGGAAACATTTGACAGTAATCATAGAGTATTTGATCAAAAATCATCACCAGATGGAGAATTCACTTTCACTTCCTTAGATTTAGGTGAACATAAATTCTGTTTGACTCCAATCTACACCGACAATACTCATAACAAAATTCACAGAATATTTTTTGATGTAGCTCAAGGTTCTACTCATGATTATGTTGATTCAAAATCGACGAAACTGATTGATGATTTAACTAAAAGAGTAAATTCTCTTTATGAACAATTGGATAAAATTCACTGGGAACAAGAATATATGAGACAAAGAGAAGCTATATTTAGAGATCAAAGTGAAAGTACCAATTCAAGAGTTGTTAAATGGTCGATTGTTCAATTATTTGTTTTGGTTGGAACTTGTGTTTATCAGTTACGTCACTTGAAATCTTTCTTTGTTAAACAAAAAATTGTATAAAAAAAACTATCATTAATAAAAGTAATAAGAAATAGCAGGATTTTCGAATTATCGTAGCCTTGTATTCATTACCTAGAGTGGTAAACTAATCTTACAACGTAATTCTTTATCTTCTACGACTGTTGTATATTTTATTTACGATTACTATTACAGTATGTGAAAAAAATGTTTCAAATTAATTTTGCAATCAAAACTTCATAAAAATGACTAGTTTTGAACAAAATTCTAGGCTACTACAACGAATAAAAGAGTTAGAATTGGAGAATGAGATTCTACGAGGGAAAATTTCAAATGATCAAACGACAATCAAAGAATTCCCTAAAATAGACAGTAACTTTAGTTTGGATGAGTATAAAAGATATGGTAGACAAATGATTGTCCCTGAATTTGGATCATTGAGTTCACAAATAAAACTATCAGACTCAATAGTTTTAGTGGTCGGAGCTGGTGGCTTAGGATCACCTGCGTTACAATATTTATCTGCGGCGGGAATTGGATCTATTGGAATCATTGATGATGATATAGTGGATACTAGTAACTTGCATAGACAAATCATTCATAGCACTTCCACAGTAGGAGAGTTCAAATGTGAGTCGGCCAAATCATTTATCACGAAATTAAATCCTCATGTTCATGTTACTACATATCCTACAAAACTAAGTAATGAAAACGCATTTGAGATAATAGAGCAATATGACTTAGTTTTAGATTGTACAGATCATCCAGCTATAAGATATCTTATCAATGATGTTTGCGTCTTGTTAGGTAAAACGATAGTTAGCGGATCAGGACTAAAATCGGATGGTCAATTTACTATTTTAAATTTTGAAAATATTGGCCCTTGTTATAGATGTTTTTATCCGCAACCTCCAAATCCTTCAACTGTTACTTCATGCTCAGATGGTGGTGTGATAGGTCCAGCTATTGGACTAGTGGGCACGGCAATGGCGATGGAAGCTATCAAGATTTTGACGAAGTTTTATACTAAAGACAATTTTAAACCATTTTTAGCATCTTACTCCGCATATCCCAATCAACAGATACGTACGTTCAAGATGAGACCCAAACAAGAGAACTGTCTCGTATGTGGGAGGAAAAAATCGATTACTAAAGAGCAGATCAAAAACGGTGGCATAAATTATGTTGAATTCTGTGGTAAGGTGGTTATTGATCCGATTGATGAGAAATATAGAATTTCTGTGCAAGAATATAACGATAAGATAAAGAATAAACAACGACATACATTGATTGATGTGCGACCAAAGGAACAATATCATATAACAAATTTGCCTGGTTCCATCAATATTGAATGGGACCCTACATTCAGAAAGCTAGACTCTTTGGAAGAATACATGGACTCAATTAATAAGACAGATGATATTTATTTAATTTGTCGATTTGGTAATGATTCGCAACTAGCCGCTAAAAAATTAATAGATATGGGATATAAAAACGTGAAAGAATTAAAAGGAGGTCTCAACAAATGGACAGATGAAATTGATCAAAATATACCAAAATATTAAAGGCTCGTACTGATGTTTGGAAAAATTAATCAACTGAAATTCGGATCTAATCTTTCCACAATTAAGACACCAGATGCTGTACCAGCAGCATAAATGGATGATCCTTTTACATTCTCATTCCATGCGACTGAAGATATCATGACTTCTTTAGGCATAAAAGATGCGGGTGTACTATTTTCAACCACGGACTTAAAAAAATTGGTATTCAAATTCAAACATTGTATAGACTTCTTCTTTTCCTTATTAACCGTTAATGTAAATTTCCACATTATCAATGGACTCAAAAATTTATTTCTACTACGGCTCGAGAAAAACTTTCTGGTATAATTAATCAAAATGACTTCACCATTCGATGTACCTATTAGTAAAAATGGATGACTTAATATCTCCGACATTTTGGCACAAGTCATCCAACTGTCCAATTGAAACATATTTGTGATCCCATCTTGTAATGACCTAAAGCTTATAATATTACTATACTCTAAATTATGAGACAAGAAAATATCTCTCAAAAGGCTGTTGTATGTTGGTTTGATACTTGATCTTTCCACCACTGGAGCAAAGACTTCCGATATAGGATTCTGGGTTGTATAAGCATTTCCTTTGTATCCTTGACCATTTATGATATTTATATAATTATTATCTTGATCCGGAATTTTAATAGAAACCATGTTTGAGATTGGACCATTCGTCACGAATGTTTTATAATTTGGTTTAGTTATGTCATCCAGTCTGTAATGAAACGGTAGTTCAAACTCCAACACATATCCATCCGCTGTTCCTGCTAATATGGTTCTTGTGCCGTTGAAAGAAAAACAAGTTAAATTGGATCTTTTATTTTCATTCGAGTCAGACGTATAAACTAGTGACGAATTTTCAAGAACACTATATTTGGGTAGATCTTTTTCAATTCTCAATAAATGCACTTTACCATCCTTGAAAACGCAACTTAATATTCCAATAGTTGGATCATCTGTGTATAATTGAGCCCAGTCTAAATCGGATATTGCACCGAATTCCGAAGTTATCAAAACCTTGTATAGGCTAAACTCATTTGTAGTTGTATTATATTCCCAAATTTGTATCGAGGAATTGATGTTTTTCGTTTTTGAATAATTATTGAAAACATTTAGTTCTAAGTTTGTCGGATTTATATCTTTGAAGTCAGGATCTTCTCCGGTTATTACCCCAATTGCCAAATAACTCAAATCAGGATGCTCTTGTTCGTCGTCTAATTTCTGAGGTAACCATTTCATTGTCGTAATGTGTCCACCAACTGCTATTAATTTTGCATTTCTCTTTGCAATTGGTATCAAATTGTATGGGTCTCCATTCTCCAATAAAACTTCTTGTTCATTCTCATCATGTTTTATATTTAGTTTTAAATTCAAATTAAATCTATATTGAGAATACTGTTTATCTACAGTCTTGATTTTTAATTCGGGCAAATTTAACTCGTCTCTTGGTATGGTTTCATAATTTATGAGATATGGTAAAAACGATTCAATTGTGTCCTCTTTTAAAATATACAATTGATTGCCCCATTTTTCTTTATACCATTTAAGTAATTCATAATGCTCTAAATTGTAACCTATTTCTGAGACAAATCTGGCTCTCAAACTCATGTAGATTTTTGTAAAATCTAGCTCTTGAAATGCGTATATTTTTTCATTTTTCAAATCTGAAATGTAAACAACACAAAAAAAGCGAACTTATTCTAAAGTAGATAGGAAAGATTAACATCTGCAAGAAATGATATAGTTATTACGACAAATCAAAATGAATAACAAAGAATCTACTGATACATCATTCACGGAAACGAATAATTCAAAGCTGAACAAACGAAAAGGTTTACTAGAGGATGATTTTTTCTCATTAAGTGGTGGTCCATTAGGTTCAAGAAAGAAAAAGAAGACAAAAACCAAGTTACTGCCAAAATCAAGCTCACCGACTTCAAATAATCCTGATTTATCGATACACATACAAACAGAAGAACCTGTCGCTGTAAAAACAGAATCTTTCACGGAAACTAAATTAATAACACCAAAATCATCCTTTACAGAAACTAAAGACTCGGAGACAACGATTAAAACTAATTCACCCACAGTCCTAGATAAAGAAAAAATGAGAAGAGAGATCGAATCGCAAATAAATTTGAAGAGAGATCCAAAACAAGCTTCAGCTCCAGTACTAGACGATTCAGATGACTCAGATGATGATTTGATTCCAAGAAATAAAAGATCACCTTCAATACCATCAGCATCACCATCAACAAATACCAATGAATCATCCACTGAATACAAGTTTACAGAGGCAAATGAAAAGAAAAGAAAATACATCATCAGAGTTACAACAAAATTACCAGTTCCGGAAAATGTGACTGCTCAAGTTGACCTTGGTTGTAAGGGACTTAAATCATTTGCAAAAATTTTGGAGTCTTCAGTTGAATTTTTTAAAAAGACTTATGAGAAACTGCTACCTCAAGTATATTTAGATCGATACAACAAGGAGTATAGTAGTTTGGTATGGCTCGAGGGTAAAACCTTGATTCACTCCTTTTATTCACCAAAGACTTTAAGAATCCCACCACCAGGAGGTCAATTCAATTCATTAGTTGATAAAATTGAAACATTGAGTCCGACATTAGTTCTGGTGCTATTAATACCTAGGACCAATAGTGAGAATTTTATGCATGTTTTTCCTGAATTTAGCAAAGAACCTGAAGTGGAAGAACCGCCTTCAGTTGATATAATCGAGAAAGAAGACATTGAGGAGTCAAGTAGTGAAGATGAAGCTGATCCAAACATTATGCCGGACGAGCCATCAAATGCAGAGGCAATTGAAGTCGAAGATGGAGTCTTTTCGGTCGGTTTAAAGGGTAAAGATAATAAGAAAATATCGTGCAAAGTTACACCTGATACGAAACTAAAAAACCTTTTAGCATTCTATATACAAAAAAAAGGTTTAGTGGTTTCTGAGGACAAAATACAAAATGCCAGATTGATTTTTGATGACGAGGAAATGAATTTGAACGAAACAGTTGGTGACACGGAACTTGAAGACGATTTTGAAATTCAAGTTATCATATAATATACACTGTAGGGTTATGTAGTAGTGCAAAAAAAAAACGGATTCTCTCGAAGTGACCTCTTCACAGTTCTCAATAAGCTCAAGTAGACCTTGGCTTGAAGAGACGAAAGCTAAACACCTTATCTTATCTATTGATGCTACCAATTGAAATTTAACCTTCTTTTATTTTAACTGGTTATACAAATTGTACAATAAAACCAAGACTTAATTCGCTTTTGATTTTTAACAATACAACTAGTCGTTTCATTTGATCAATTGAAAATTAATGAGTTATAAGTATGATTAGATTATGACTGAAAATAGGAAAAATGAAGACGAAGAAAATGAATACGCAAGAATCATAAAAAATTTAACACATTTAATACCTTCATTCATTATTGATGAAAGAAATTTAGTTCAATGGCAAGACATTATATCCGAGAGATTCATAAACCTGGGTATTTCTGATGTTATTCCTCAACTTGTAGAATACGTACCAGACAGAGAGGGTCCAGTTCATGCTGACAGTTTGACATCAATTTTACAAGAACTAAACGATACGAACATGTCATTGGAGTTTAAATCGATCATTTTGGAAATTATCTATTACATGGTTTCATTTAATTATAATGTCAAGTTGAAATTTCACAAGAATTTATATTTATTTGTCAGTTCATACATATCTCATTTGAAAACGGTTGAAGTGACAAACGTTTACTTCGAGAACAATCCCAGTTACGTGGGTCAAATGCATAAAATTATACTATCTTTGATGGAATTGGGGTGTGATAGCAAAATATTTAGGGAAATTACATCAGTATTAACCTCAACCTCGCTACCTTCATCAAAGTTCATCATCTTAAATCTTTTAGATCAAATTTGCGAAACATATCCAGCTTACTTTCCGTGGATGTCAACAACACAGCAAATCAATTTACCTTTTGATGGAACCATAAGTAAATCATTTACGTTTTATTCGTGGCTCAAACTTGAAGATTATGGACAATCTCAAGATCCTATCATAATTTTCACTTTATCAAGTTCCGATCCTTCCAGTATACAGAGTAACATGACTTTAAATTTCAAACTTATCCACGGTAGTCAGTTCATGGTAGAATTGAACAACTTGAGTAACAAATCAAGAACTCAATTTGTATTTAATCAAATAATTCACGATCCACTGAAACTTTCTCAAGTGGTGTTGACTTTTAGTGAAAATACTAATTTGAACTTATATTTAAACGGAGAATACAGTGAAAGTATTCCTTGTCCGGCGATTCACAACGATTGTATAAACTGGAATAAACTATCCATTGGTGATGACATTTTAAAAAATAATGCTGAACTTATATTGAGAAATTTTACTTTGTTAAACACATCACTTACCATAGAGTGGATCCGGTTTTTATTTGGTTTGGGCGTTGGCTATAATTGGATCATGAAAAATCAAGATCCAGAAACAATAAGGAATTTGATTAATCAATTAAGTAAAAGGGCTTTGTTTAATTATAACGTCAAATTACTAGAGAAAAATCATTCAGCTTCGAATAGTTTTAAGCATTCAAGAAGATCTTCCATTGGGAAACTTACATCATTAGCCAAAGACTCAAATAATACCCAAAATATTAGTTATACGAATAAAGACAACCTTGTTGATTCTCTAAACAAATTCAGCGAGGAAGGAGTGCTATACGACTCCAATAATTTTTTCACTGAAACAAACTTTCAACTGACCAAACCTGACTCAAAATTGCAGTTTCATAACCCTCATTCCATATATCAATATTTCCAAACATTCAATTTCTTGACCACTTTATTACAAAATTTGGAAATGTCAATGGAAATTACAGATACCAAATTAAGAGATTCAACTTTTTATAGAACTTTAGACTTATTGTTGAAAACAGTTTTAAATGACTGGAGATTGTACAATGAATTTCAGTCAATCAATGGTTTTGAAATATTAATGCTTTTATTCAAGAAATACAAAAACATAAATAACAATTTAGATTTCACCTTATATGATTATATGGGTGATCAAATTGCGGAAACGTCAGGATGTCGTGGTGTCAATTTGCTTAATGTATTGTTGAAATTTTGTGGGTTCGATTTTGAAGACAAATCAAATTCAGCTATCTTCGATCTAGATTGTTATCGAGTACTAGTTCTTGATTTCGACTTATTTCATGGAACTTATTCATTTGGATTCTTATTAAATCATGTACAGAGTTTGATTTCGAGCTCGAATTACAGGAATCACAATTTGATGAAATTGAAAAAGGCGAATTTATTGAAGAAGTTGATTTTTTTCATGCAAAGTCTGAAGTTGAAAGATGTTCAATTTGAAGAAGAAGAGAAAGAGCAGTTATATCAGCTTTTGAAGACGATACTAATATTGGACTCCAGTGCTGATGCAATCATAATGGTTTCGTCATATATCATTCACGCACTTTACAATACTGAAAATTCTTCTACTTGTGGTATTATAGCATTGCAAGCTTTGACTGATTGTTTGTGTGATCCCAACGTTTCTATAAAACTACTTAAAAAATTTTCCAGATCTATCACTGTGCATTGGGTACTTTTATTATTCAATTTTGAATCAGACGTTGTTGTATGTTGTGGGATTAGATTGTTAGTGAGATTACTTAAATTATTGGGTGGTCATGTCATGAAACAATTTTTCATAGTTAATAGAGGGTTAGATGTGTTAACACTGTCACTAAAAAATTGGTGGAATAACGAAAAGGTTTTGTGCTCAATTTTTCTAGCATCGTACTCGAATTTCACTGAAACTAATTTCAAAATTACAACGCTTGAGCCACAAAATCAAGATAAAATTGAAATGCCAGAATTTCTTTACTTATTGAATTATCTTGAATTAAATGCCATGTATACCATGAGTCTGGAAACGGGAAAGTTGATGGGAAGTGCTCCTTCAACACCAATTCAATCAGAGTCAGCTCACAATATTTCATTAATCTTAGACGTTATACATCTGATTAACCGCTACATAGATTGGTTAAAGGCATACAAAGTTTTATCCAACTTGAAACGACCGAAGGAATTTATAGAAGGACTTGTTGAATTACTTGGATTTTTAAAATTAAGTACAACTTGGTATGAAACCGAAACAATTTGTGAAAATTTGAAAAAAACATATGAAAAGTTAGTTGATTTTGTGGCCAACTTTTACATTTCAAACCTATCTACACCAAACTTTAACCTTCTGCTTAAAAATTTGACGGAGTTTTCGAAAATCATTTTATTGGATTTAGTTTTCCCACAAATATTCAAACATGTTAATGAATTTATATCTATTTCAAATTTTGTTCATAATGAAAATTATTTTTTCAATAATGTTGCTCAGTTTTTAATAATTTATGAACAAGAGTTGATCTATAAAAAATATTTTATTAACTTTGACAACATGACTTGTTTTATTATTTGTACAATATCCGTGATTGACTATGGAGTAGGAATTGAATCAAATAGATTGAAAAACATTCTTAGTGAGAGTATTTTATTGAATCTTTTAAAAGTTTCATCTGACGCTGATATTGTTCTCAATTCATATTCAAAAGAATTGACTAAATTTTTGAAAGATTTATTATACCGACAAATAACTATTTTTGACAAAGCAGTATTGACTAAAGAACAGCTTGTTGTTGCAATTAAATTAATTTTAGGTGTCGTACTTTCAACAGAGCAGGAAGTCAATCCAGAGATACCATTCAATTTTTTAAGAACCGCTTACTTACTAAGACAATATGAATTTGGTGACATTATTTTACAACTAAATTGTGATAAGACACTTATGGAGGATTTCTTTCAAAATTTAGTCCTGAAAAATGATGATGAAACACTCATGAAATTAAGAAAGTATCCACCATTTGTTAAAAGTATTCTTCATGAATCACAAATCTTGAAACGATGTTTTGCCAAAAAGGAATTCATGAGGGTATCAAATATAATTAGTGTTAGTCTTCATAATGGTGGTAAACTTGGTCAAATGAATAGTATTTACATCAAAAGTTTTCAAAAAGATTGTGAACGAATTAAAAAGACAATCATGATTGGTGAACTGACCAAATATAATAGAGCCGTTCAAGATTTAAAAGAAAATACAAATCATTATCTTCAGACATTTTATTCATTGAAACTCGAAACTAAAAGAATTTTGGATGACAATAAGACCAAAAATGGATATGTACTAGATTATATTGAGAATTTTGATCGAATGAGAACAAGGCTAATTCAAGAGGAGCAATTACCACATTCTGAAAAATTTGGATATCATTTTGACATACCTTTGAAAAAAGTCGATGATTATGATGAATCAAATGAATATGATTTTGCATTTGTAGGTCATGACATTGATACAATGAATTTAACTAAAGAAGATAAAGATCATGTAGATAACGAAATTGATTCTGATCCAAATAACAATGATGAAGACACTGCAACAGAATTTGATGATAAAAATAGAAGAGTGAGTAGAAGCTTATATGTTGGAGACAAAATTACAGCTCTGTGGAACGTAAGTCGAATCAACGCTTTAGTTCCTGTGGAAAGTCTTATGATCTTGGGTGTTAGTCACATATATTTGATTGAAAATTATTTTCATGGAGAAGATGGTAATATCATAGATGTAGATGATGCACCTGATGAACAAAAAGATCCAATATTGAAATTAGTGAATTCCCAATCTAAAACACTTGATAAATCAAATTTTAAATCTCATAGATCAACAAATTGGAGTTTAGATAAATTAAGTTCAATATCAAAAAGACAATTTTTATTAAGAGATAATGCATTAGAAATGTTTTTCAGTGATGGTGCTGGAATTCTAATCACTTGTTTGACTACAAAAGAAAGAAATGCCATTTATAACAAACTACAAAATTTGGCAACTGGAAAGGGAATTGATTATGAATTAGCCAATGCATTACTATTTAATTCTGTATCTGATTCAAATGAAAGTTTTTCATCAAAATTAGTCTTTGCATTTTCCAATGTTTCAATAAATAATTCATATGCTTTATCAGCAACTCAAAAATGGAAAAGAGGTGAAATTTCTAATTTTTACTATTTAATGATTATTAATACATTAGCTGGTAGAACTTTTAATGATTTAACTCAATATCCAGTATTTCCTTGGGTTATTGCAGATTATACTAGTGAAACTTTAGATTTATCAAATCCAAAAACTTTTAGAGATTTATCAAAGCCAATGGGTGCACAAACTGAAGGGAGAGCCAGTCAATTTAAAGAAAGATTCGAAGCATTAAATAGTTTAAATGATATAGATTCTCCTGCTTTCCATTATGGAACTCATTATTCATCAGCAATGATTGTTACTTCATTTTTAATAAGACTAAAACCGTATGTTCAATCATATTTATTATTACAAGGTGGAAAATTTGATCATGCTGATAGATTATTTAATTCTATTGAAAAAGCTTGGTCATCTGCTTCAAAAGATCATACAACTGATGTAAGAGAACTAATACCTGAATTTTTTTATTTACCTGATTTTTTATTAAATTCAAATAAATTTGAATTTGGTAAATTACAAAATGGTAAATCAGTTGATAATGTTGAATTACCACCTTGGGCAAAGGGAGATCCAAAAATTTTTATTGCTAAAAATAGAGAAGCTTTAGAAAGTCCTTATGTTTCAGCAAATTTACATTCTTGGATAGATTTAATATTTGGATATAAACAAAATGGTATTGAAGCAATTGATGCATTAAATGTTTTCCATCATTATTCATATAATGGAGCAATAAATTTAGATCATATACATGATGAAGTTGAAAAAAAGGCAATAATTGGAATGATAAATAATTTTGGTCAAACTCCAATAAAAATTTTTCAAAAACCTCATATAATGAAAGAAGTATTGAATATTCCAAATTATTATTTGAATTTAATTGATATAAACTCAAAACCAAATTTAGAATTTGAATCAAAATTAAAATCACCTATTGTAAAATTAGAATTAAGTACAATTAAATCTAATCGTTGGGTAGGAAGACAACAATGTGTATCATGTGAAGATAATCTTTTAATTTATAAATCTAAAAAATCAAAATTTTCAGGTGGTTCTATACTTGTAAATAATAAAATATTTGAAAATTTACATTGTTGTGAAATATCATTTATTTTACAAATTGGTTCTAAATTTTTTATAACTTGTGGAGAAGATGGATTAATTAATGTTTGGAAATGTAATTTAAAACCAAATATATCATTAGAATTTGTTGCTACATTAAGAGGACATTTTAATCGAATTACAAGTATTGTATGTTCTAAAAATTTTAAAATTGCAATTAGTATTGATGAAGCTGGGAAGTTAATAGTTTGGGATTTAATTAGATTTAAATTTATAAGAAAAATTGAACCACCTAATGATTTAACATTTAAAATTCAAAAAAGTTTAATTTCAATTTCAAATACTACTGGCAATTTTACTGTCTTGTATGAAGGAGAAAATGATAATTTATTAAAAATTTTTAATATTAATGGTAATTTAATACTTAAGACAAAACAATTAAATCAGAATAAAATTAATGCAATATCATTTGGATTAACAGATTTACCAAATTTAAAATCAGATAAAAATTCAAATCATTATAATCATGTATATTGGTCAAATGAAATTTTAGCAATTGCTACAACCACCAAGATAGAAATATTTGAAATTACTTACGATAATGATACAACAAAAGATAATTGGTCTTTAAAATTAATTCAAAATATAGATCTACAAAACAAGATTCAAGGTGATATTACATCAATTCAATTATTTAAATGTTCAGAAATTGATAATGATGAAAAATTAATTCGTGGGATGTTAAAACTTGTAATTGGTGATTCTTTAGGTAAAGTGTATACTTTATAATGTGTATTGAACACTGCTGAGAAGGTGATAATGATGTAATGATAAATTAAATAATGAAATATGACATGATCTTTTGTAAATCTCTAAACTCCGTACACCAATTACTATGATTTTCGAGACCCCCTTTGTGCCCCTGTTTTATCCGAGAGTTGATCTTTCAATTAGGTCCGACACTCAATACGATACGACTTTTTTAATACACATCTACTAGCTTGCAAATGATCTACTTATACTGCAATCACACTAAGTTATTCGTTCTCATGAATCTGATTTGATTGATTTTCACTTTGAATGCAAAGAAGAGAATCAAGTAACGTTCTTCAACGCAAATTGAAAGAAATCAATTTGTGATGGGACCTTTTTGAAGCACTGACGACCCTTTATAGAGTTGTAATACATGTGCAAGTTTTTGAACATAATTTTAGTAAATTGGCACTTACGGGCCATTACTATTTTAATCAAGAATTTTGATTGAAGGTAGATTGCATACTACAGACAATAGCATTAGTCCAACTAACTCTATGTTTGACCGTCAAAGTCAAAAAATATGATCGGAACAATTCGTTTTGTGTCAAATTTTGAAACAGTTTGATACAGTTTTATGGTTCCAGAGTGAAAGGTTAAAAAAGAAAGCTATCGCCTAAGTCATCGAATGACCCTCTTTTTGTTTCAAACAATCCGGCACAATATCTTGAAGGACCAAAACAAACTATATAATTTTTTCTCTAGTTTATACATAAGACTTGTCAAGGGTCAATTTTTATGAAAATTTGCTAAATATTTTGAGGGATTAGTAAAAATATATTTATTGTGTATTCAGGATTGGATTTGAGAAAGTTTAAATGTATCTTAATAAATGCTTGTAATTTAATGAATCAACACCTTGACTGATTTTACTATGAAATAGTAGTTATCCTTATCCGTCCGAATTTTTAATATGATTTGGTGCAAAATACATGCCAATAGGATCTTTTGAACATTAATACTTGACACTCTTTTGGTAGCACAATTTCAAATCATTAAATGTCGTCCAGACATTCTACTGTACAAAAGTCGTGTAATTAGGTTCTTAATTAAAATTATAAGTTTGGGGATAAATTACCGATTGAGTAGAGTTAATTAAGTACTTAAGCACTATTAACCATTAGATCAAGAGTGTTATAACCATTTAGGAGCATTTAATACCACCTACTGTCACTAACAATATCCCTAGCACTACTTCCAAATACGTTACTAGCTAGATTAGGATTTGTTTAAAAATCACTACTTACAATATCATTACACATTTTACCCAAAGTTGCATAATTTAAGCAAACAACCAAGACCTAATGACAAATTCAGGAGTAGTAACTCCTCATTCAAGACCAGGCACACCATCAGGTTTAATAAATAGTCCCCCGTTACAGTTAAATTCAACGTCAAACATAAATAGTTCACAATTACAAGTACCTAATAATTTATCAAATTTATCGACACAACCAACGTCTACTACATCTTCCGTCGTATCATCAAACAAACAGCAACAGCAACAACATGTACCATCATATGAAAAACCAATATATGAACAATTGTTTTCCATATATAAATCACTATTAGATTTAAAAAATAATAGAAATAAATATATTAATTCAAAACAAGTATATTCAATTTATGATTTATTTTTAAATGTTATAAATGACCTAAAATTAACAAGAAAAGATGAAGAATTAAAAGGTATAACTTTAAATTTACCAAATGGTAACGATTTAATAATAGATGATATTTTTCAATTATTAAGTTTATGTTTTGTTACATGTGGATTAATTAAATTTGCTCCTGCTACTTATCTGAGTTTAAGTGCAGTAATGAAATTATTAACTCATTTAAAAGAATGTAAAGTTTATACAATGGATGATTTAAAACCTGTTGGTGTAAGATTAAATGAAATAAAAAATATTTTAATAAATTCAAATAATCAATTTGAAAATGATAATGATGATGAAGATGAAGAAGATTATAAAATGTCAAGAAATCATCAAATTGAAGAAACTTTATTAAGAAATAAATTAAATAAATGTGAAAATCTTTATGCTCAATTAGTTGATAATTTTAAAAATATACCATCAGATTTAGAACCAATATATCATGAATTAATTAAAATAAGAGCAAATTTATTAAATTTTGTAACTCAAGAAGATTCAAAAACAATATCAAATGAAAAATTAAATGATAAAATAAATCAATTTAAATTAAATTTGAAAAATATTGAAAAATTAAGAGATGAAATAGATGGGAAATTTCATAGTCAACAAATTCAAAATGATGAAAATAAATTAGATTCAATACAAGCTATATTAAATGGATTAATTGATGATTGTAATAATTTAATTGCTGATTTAATGATTCATGATGAAGAAATAAATTTAAAAAATTTAAATATAAATGATGAAAAACCTAATATAGAGGTTTCATCTGATTTAAAAATACAATATGATTATATATATAAGACATTACAAAATTTAAAATTAACTTTAGATAATTTATTAGTTACAAGAAGATGGACATTAAGAGAAACAGATTTATATACTTATCAAAAAACTTTAAAATCAATTGATGAACAAAGAATTAAAATAGTTGAACAAACTCCAAAGGGTACTTTTAAAAAATATCAAACTTTAATATTATATTTATTAAGAAGATGTTATTCAATAATATATAAATTATTAGAAAGTAGTGAACCAGTAAGTGAAAGTTTAACACCAATACATAATCAATTACAAACAGTTAAAAGATGTTTATTAGAATTAAAAAGAGTTGATGGAGTAAATAATTTAAGAGAGTTATATCCTTTTCAATTTAAATTAGCTTCAATTGATAATTTAAAGAAAGATGGGAAATTTATTGTTGATAGAACAGTACCTGAAGGACAAGGTGCTTTATGTGCTTTATTAAGTGAATGTTTTGATATTATACAAGAAATGAAAATTGAATTAGAAGAAAAAGAATTAGAAGAAGAAGAAGAGGAAGAAAATGAAGAAAATGCAAAGATAAATGAAAATGAATTAAACAGTCTAAATAGTAGCCAGAATCATAATGGTACAACAAATGGAAGTTTAGTTTCAAAAATTGCAAATGGAGGAAGTTTTACAAATTCAAAAGAAGTTTCTGGAAGTGGTGGTATTGATGAAATTGATGATGTTGAAATTAAAAGAAATAGATTTCAAGAATTTAATGAAGCTGATTATGATTTAGAAAGTGAATCTGCTTTTGATGATGATGATGATCAAATTAGTGATAGTGAATTTGAAGGTAATGATTATTATTAATGGGTTGAGGACATATTTTATAAATTTAAAACTAAGAGTTATTTATTTTGATTTGGGTAAAAGTCAATTACAATGTACAAAGCTTTTTTTTTCTCATATAAAACGCATCCACTCTTTAAATTGGGATTATGATGTAAGTTCTGTTCCATTTCATTCACCATAATTTCTCTGTATCACTTCATTTGACGAAGATATCGTGATTAGACGAAGATATTATCACTGTATGGTTAATTCATGGTGTGAGATGCTACCAACTTTGAAAAGAAATTAATTGTAAGAAAATATCTACAAAGAGAAAAAAAGTTATTCAATTTACTTAACAATAACATTAAACTACAGATAGATTACATTAATCATCAAACACTTCATTATACATTCAATAGCATTATTAGCATCAATCAATCAATCATTCTTTGCTTTAAATAAAGTAGAAACGTATTAGATTAGACATTCAATCACTCACTTACACATATTCAAATTTGTCAAAATTTTTTCATCAACCTCAACACTAATTTCAAATTCAAAGGCAACATACTAGCTTACCAATAATAGACACAAATTTCAATTCAAGATGATGTCTACTGGGTTTCAATGGGGTCATAATAATAACAATTTACATAATAAATCAAATACTCCATCATCACCATATTCTTCATTGCATTATACTAATTTAAATCAAATACCAAGATTATCAAATCTAGGGAATTATCAACAACAACAACAGCAGCAGCAGCAGCAGCAGCAGCAGCAACAACAACAACAGCAAAAGAAAAGACGAAGACTAGATGATGACGAGAATGATGATGAGAAACTGAAATTTCCGACTTATGATTTCAAACAATTTCAATCAGAAGTTCATAATTCATCTTCATCTTCATTTCATCCTGCTACTTCAACTACCATATCTCCTTCAACCAATAATATCACTCATATAAAAAAATCAAGAACTTCAAGAATAATGGGTCAACCATTACCAACAAATAGAATAATTGAAACATTAGATCAACAAAGTTTAACAAATTTAATACATAAACTAATAGATTTACATCCAGAATTAAATAATACAATCTCAAAAATATCATCATTACCAACAATGAAAAAATTAATTAAAATACTTTCCAAAAAATTTGACAACATAATCAACAATTTACCGTATAAATGTAATATAGAAAATGATTATTCATATCTTAGAATAAAACCATATTTAATTGAATTTTTAAATTGTTTAGAAGATTATATATTATCAATATTACCACCTATAAAGCATGAAGAAAATTCTTTGGCGGTATTAGAATTTTTAAATGAATCAACTAAACTTATTCATAAATTACCAAATTTTAAAAATTTAGAATTTCAATATAAAAAACAAAAAATTTATGAAAATTTAATTAATATTTGGTTTTTAGTACTTAATAATTTAAATGATGAATTTTATCAAATTATAATTGAATATAAATTAATTGAAAATTTAAAAGAACATGCTACATATAATAGTAATTTTGAAAAATTAATTGATTTCATAAATGATAAATTAAGAGAATTAGAAAGTTTTGGTGATCAAAGTGGTAATGGTGAAAATGGGAATACTTCTAATTCTAATACTGCTGGTAATCCATTAAATGATTTAATTACTGTTGATTATTCTCAATATTCTATACAGTGAGAGTTTGGAAAATATACCACAATATAGAAAAACATATAGTAATAAAAAAAGAGCATACAACAAATTGCTGAATTATTCTTGGGTTTTTTTTTAGACTGACTTTACTCTGATGACGCTATGCCTTGATTTTCAATCATTCAATCTAATTCCACTTCTATTATTGTAAATCATTCATTTGTATATTGTTAAATTGTAATAGAATAAGGCGCAAGAACATTCACTCGTAATTGCCTTGAAAGTGTTGTGCGTGCTACCAATTACTATAGTTAAATTACAACACGTAAAAAAAAAAAATAATTCAAATTTCAAATTTATTTTTTATCAACAATAAAAGTAAAAATAGAATTAACAGGCACAAGTAAAGAGTGATTTGATACAGGTTTGATATAGAGAATAATTTAGTCTGTCATAAAGTTTTGAAAAACACACATAAAAACACATATAGTATCCTCAAGTTCACAAATAAATCAATTCAACATGGCAAACCTTATCAATTTATCAGTATGTTGCACCTAATAATCTTCATGATCTACTAAAGAGATACTAACCATATCAATCCAGCAATTTAATAATTTATCGGAACGTTTAAATATAGATAGATTAAAATCAGATTTTTCATCAATTCAACAAACATTATCAAAATTAAAACCACCACAAGAATTTTTTGATTTTAGAAGAATAAGTAAACCAATAAATTTTGGTGAAATACAACAAAGAATAAGTTATAATTTAGGTTATTTTCAAGCTAATTATTTAGCTATTGTGTTATGTTTATCTATATATGCATTAGTTACAAATTTATTATTATTATTTGTTTTAGGATTTGTTATCTTGGGTATATTAGGTATAAATAAATTAGGTGGTGAAGATTTAGTTACACCATTTGGTAGATTAAATACAAGTCAATTATATACTGGTTTATTAATTATTGCTATTCCATTGGGATTTTTAGCAAGTCCTGTTTCTACATTAATGTGGTTAATTGGTTCAAGTATTGTTGGAGTTGGTGCTCATGCTGCTTTAATGGAAAAACCTATTGAAACTGTTTTTGAAGAAGAAGTATGAGTAAATGTTGAGATAATCCGTATTTGAATTTAGAGAAGGAACAATTTGGTGAAGAAAATTTACTTACGCTTAATTAATAGTAAGTATAGGTAATTCACGCTTAATTAATAGTAAAGACAGTTGATTCACGAGCCCGTGGATAATATCAATCTTTGGTTTTTCATCTTCTCTGATAAAGGATTAAAAAAGTCTTTCTTTCCTTCTCATGCTAATTTCTTAATTTCGATCGAGTAATGTGGCTTCTATTGGATATTCTTCGAGTTAACGCTCTTGACAAATGCGCAAAGTATTATTGTCTCTCCACAATTGTTCAAAGAACTGGAAGTCAAAACTACTGTGACTAACAAGGTAATAGAGTGAATAATGAATATACGGTACGTGTTCATGAATTTACACAAATTTTGAATATTATCTAATATGCTTTAATAAAAAAAGTAATGTATTAAAAAGTTATATTAATAAATTATAATATCCATCTTGTCAAACTATTTCTAAAGACAATCCAAAACTATTGCTCTAACAAAATACGAAAATCAATGAAATAACTAAAATGTAACTTTCCTTATACAATTACTTTTTCCCTTTTTTTATATTTATTTTATAATTAATGATAAATGCTTGAATGACGGAATATTGGTAATTTTTAAATGAAATGACTTGATTTGATGAATGGAAGAAGTTGTGGATGTAAAAAAAATATGAAAAGTAACCAAAAATAGCTTAGATACCTAACTTAGTTCTTCTCCAATGTCTTCTTTTAGCATTATATCTAATTTTATTATCAGTTCTTAATCTAATCCATTGTGGTAATGGTCTATTTTGTTTTTGAGCCTTAGCTAATTTTTGTTTGGTTCTAAATGATTTTTGAGACTATATGAATTTTTGTTAGTATGAATGATCCTTAGTTGACTCATTGAATTAGACCGTTGTTGATTTTCTGCTTCTATAGTGATTCTTCAAACTTTGCTCCCCAAATGGCTTAAGCTTTGCCATCTGATTGTGCTAAATTATCACCATAAATAACTATTCCTATTCCTCTATTTGAGTTTTAATCCATTTCATGGCTCTCATTCAATGTAATGGTACTTTCATTAATGGTTCATATGTACATACAGGCATCTTCAAATGATTGATACTATTGATGGTTTTATTAAAAGGTTGTAAAAAATTTTATTAAGTTAACTTAAAAATTGAAAAATTGAGAAAAGAGAAAATGAAATTTTCTATGGTTGAGTTGGTAGCTGTGTAAATTGTACTTATATACAGTATTTTGTTAACATTTTTACAGTTGGTAGTACTAGTGAAAAATTTCAAAGACTGAAAATTTACAATTGAAACAAAAGAATTTTTATTATTAGATTTTCATTTTTACAGACCAAAGTACCTGTTCATCAATTTATACCATCAAGTTAGAGTATTTAAATATTAAAAGATGACCAGAACTTCAGTTTTAGCAGATGCTTTAAACGCAATCAACAATGCCGAAAAAACCGGTAAAAGACAAGTTTTAATTAGACCATCATCAAAAGTTATTATAAGATTTTTAACAGTTATGCAAAAACATGGATATATTGGAGAATTTGAATATATTGATGATCATAGATCAGGTAAAATAGTTGTACAATTAAATGGTAGATTAAATAAATGTGGTGTTATTTCACCAAGATTTAATGTTAAAATTAATGATATTGAAAGATGGACTGATAATTTATTACCAGCTAGACAATTCGGTTATGTTATTTTAACCACTTCTGCTGGTATTATGGATCATGAAGAAGCTAAAAGAAAACACGTTGCTGGTAAAATCTTAGGTTTTGTTTATTAAATTAAATAATTCATCAAGAACAAGAACAACAATTCATCATCATACCAATTTAGTATTTACAACCTACGACTAAATATAGTTTTGTATTATAGATCAAATCAACAACATTTAATTTTAGCATTATAATCAATTAACATATAATGTAGAGACCTTCTTACATCAACTCTTCACGTACCTTGATATGGCTAAAACAAACTTGAACTCTAGGTTAGGGTTGGGTCCTATTCTTAAAGTTATGCACGTGATAGCTTTTCTACATAGAAAGTCTCGCTCTGGGAAGTACTAAACTATGTACTAACTAAAATACACCTACTACCAAATGCATCACTATGAAAATTTACTAACAAAAAAAAATAACTGAAAATTCATAACGTTAAAGAGATATCAAATCATCAATATCATACACATCGAATAAAGTAAATATGTCAGCTGGTATGTTCAATCTATAATTTACAAGACTGGAGAAATGAGATATGGAGAAATTTGGAAATAATTAGGAGAGTAATATGGACCATATAGAGCACTATTGAGTAGAAGATGAAGTAAACTTAAATCAAAATCAAATGTATTAAAGTATCGAAAGTCACAATCATATCATCGAGAAAGAGACAACTACATTTAAATAAATGGGTTTGCAAAAAACGTCTTCAATGTACCCGGAATGATGATCACTCTTTAGGACGTTTTAAAGTTCAGATTCCATTACCATAGTGACAATCACGTTCAACTTACAATTTAAAAGGTTTCGTCAGGAGTACACTTTTTTCTCGGAGTTACCTATTTACCAACTCAGTCCTTCATCATATAATTTTTCATCATATAATTCTCCGTCATTCAAATTTTGGATTTTAAATACTAACATCCTTACTAGATCGTTCACAAGTTTTTGGTGTCGCAAGAATCTTTGCATCATTCAATGATACATTCGTCCACGTTACTGATTTATCAGGAAAAGAAACCATTGCCAGAGTTACTGGTGGTATGAAAGTTAAAGCTGATAGAGATGAATCATCTCCATATGCTGCTATGTTGGCTGCTCAAGATGTTGCTGCTAAATGTAAAGAAGTTGGTATAACTGCTGTTCATATTAAATTAAGAGCTACTGGTGGTACTAAAACTAAAACTCCAGGTCCAGGTGGTCAATCAGCTTTAAGAGCTTTAGCTAGATCAGGTTTAAGAATTGGTAGAATTGAAGATGTTACTCCAGTTCCATCTGATTCTACTAGAAGAAAAGGTGGTAGAAGAGGTAGAAGATTATAATCTTTTTTGTTTCATTTCAATTATAATTATTATTTTTCCTCATTTAATCACATAATATCATTTTAATCACGACATACACATAAAGAACAACCACATGTGTCCATTTAATATCATCGAATCAAGTTATATGGGCTGTTGAATACTACAATCTCAACGACAAATTTGTACTTTAATTAGTTAATTAGTTATTACAAAATATACAATTACGTAAAATAGTCAAGCATTCTAGCTCTCGCCATCTTTTTAATGCGGGTGGTGCTTCAGCTTTTCATAGCATTCGTCTCGTAGATCGGTTTTCAAAATTCGTACCTGAAAACTAAATCTAACGTAAATAAAATTGTACATCCTGCAATTATTCTATAGTCGTCAATGCACGCCAGATCGAGTTGTTGAGATTACAGAATTCCCGAAACTGGAACATTGATGTCAAGACTGTTCAAATTGTCATTGTGCTTATAATTTGCAAGAATAATTTCAGAGTGCTATATTATTTGAGATTCATTTTAGAACAAAATTTACTAAAGTATTATTCAAAACTCACAAGTAATACAAGTGTACGTTCAATAAAATTCATTTAAGTGTGTGTTACGTGTTTCATAATGTTGTGATACAAAAGTCCAAGAAACACTAATAGAGTTGCAACAGGAGAGATCAAAATTTCAAACGTGTTTCAGATATTGTGATAATTTTTTCCGTTTTGGGTTTCAAAATCCAGATTTCAAATTGCTGCAAAAAAAAATGAGTTTTGTGTAACACAACATTTATCTTATCTAACTCCATAAGAAATAGGTCAAACAAACAAACTGACAGGTTTTTACTCAATATGAACATTGATTCCTAGTTCCTTGTTCTTTGTAATAGCAGCTATTGAATATTTAAATATTCATTTATATCCTTTTAATTTAATTGAATTTATTCTTTGTCATCAGTATCAACACACTTTACACAATGGCTACAATATTAGAAAAAGGTATATTTTCATTATGTATACTTCTAATCATTTATCTTTCAAAAGATCAAATACTTGCTTTAATAATAAAAAATAAAAAACCATTAAGTGATAAAGAAAGATCTCCATCAACATCATCATTAGAAAAGCCAAAAATACCAAAATCAAGCTATGCATCAAATGAAACAATTCAAAAACCAACACCTTTATATATTAAACCAGAAGATGTTAAAAATTATGATGATAGACCTTGGAGACCATTTAGATGGCCATATCATCAAACTATGTCAATTTTCAAATTAGATATAAATCATTGGTTAGATATGGATAAATATTATCAACATTATATTGATGAAAAGAAAAGAATTAGATTAAAATATGGTAAACAAAATTTTGATATGTTACCTGAAGGTAGAGAAGCATGTACTGAATTAATGGAAACTGTTGTTGATCATATGTTAGTAAGATATCCATTGTTATTTACTTTAATGAATAATGGTTCTTGGGAAAATGAAGGTAAAATAGTTAAGAATGAAATTACAAATGAAATTATTGATATGACATTACCATTAAAAGAACAACCATTAGTTTATGTTTCAAAATTTGCAAAAGAAGATTTTTATGTTGTTTTACAAAATCCAAAAGATAATTTATATTATTTAGTAGGTGGAGCTGTTCCTTTCCCAGGTGGAAGTTTTAGTGTTAGTGAAAAAATGGGTAAAAATTTAGATGCAATTCATGTTGGTGTTCCATATTATAAACAATCTTTAAAAAGATCAATGGAAAGATGGTTTAGTAAATTAAGACCACAAGATCCAGTTGAAAGAGCAAGTTGGTATATTACTTGGGATACAAAATTAAAATTTAATAATATTTATCATACTCCTGAAACATTTCCTGAATTATTTAAAAATCTTGATGAAACAAGTCCAAAACAATTTAATGTCAGAGTTGAAAGACAAACATTAAGAAAATTACCAAAATCTCAAGCTGTTATATTTACTAATCATCCTGTTTTTTATTCAATTGAAGAAATGAAAGATGAACCAATGATTCCATCATTATTAAAAAAGATACTTTATGAAGGTCCAGAAGATATTTTAAAATATAAAAATTTCGAATTAATAAGAGATAAATTATCTCCATATTTAGATTCATTAATAAAAAGACAAATTGAAAAAGGTATTATCACGGAAGAAACTCCTTTAAAAACTCAACCAAATTATCCTTTTGCTTGTTGGGTTAAAGATAATAAAACTTCAAATGATCAACAAGGTTGGAATAATCCAAGTCCATTTTATAATAAAAATCATATGAAAACTGAAGGTTTTGATCCTTCGAAATTAAATGCATATGAATAAGTAAAATTATAAAATTAATGCAATATAGTTGATAGTAAATAATATATTTAACAACCTGAGAGTTGTTAGTTTTTATGATATTTGTTTGATCTTTGATTCGATTGACTTATCTCTGACATTGAATACTGTTCATATGAGTCGTTTCAATGGCAAGGTATTAAGCTAATTGGAATTAATTTATTCTTTAAATCCATAATCTAGTTAGACTCAGAGAGATCAATAGCGGATCAATCTAGTTTTCTATTTCAATCTGTAGAATTGAATGTATAATTATATGCATTTAGTTCATCTATCGTAACTTTCCAAATATCGAGACATCCTCTTAAAGCTTCATCTATGATTTCCCATTTTTAAAAGTCATTTGTGCAAATTTTTTATCTAAAGAATTTGATAATCCATTCATTTCTTCATCTGATCTACCATATAATTCAAACCACCATCTCATATCAGAACAATTGAAAAAAACAACTTCTCCATCTTCTTCTAAATTTGGATTATAATTTGGATTTTTAAATTCATTTGGTCTTGAATTAAAATAATCCCATACAGATATTGTTGAATCATAAATTTTATAAAATTCTAAAGATTCTCTTTCTGAATCACATAAAAATGAACCATATTGACATGAATAATAATGATAAAATAATCTTTTTAAAAATCTAGTATTAAATTCAAATTTATTTGGTTTTTGTCGATATATTTGATAAACACAATCTAAAAATTGATGGAAAATTGGAGATCTTTCGTTGCTCCCACCATATATGCTACTTGAATTGGAAACTTGATATGGTTTGTCGTTGAAGTCACCTGCATCGTCTGTTGTTTCAGGGTAATTCGATAATCCATTTTGAGCACTGTTTTTTATATCTCTTGCTGCTTTTGCTGCTTTTTGTAAAAATGAAGTGACACTTGCTGCTGCTCCATTTCCTATACTAATATGTTCATTATTTAATTTATTTTCTAATTGGAAACTTTCACTTGCTGAATCAATTGTTTCTTCTTCAATTTGTTGTTGTGGAGGTGGCCGATGGTGTTTGGTAGTATCTTTTCTAATTAATGAACCAATACAACCTCCATGATCAGCTCTAGTTTTAAATTTGAAACCAAAACTAGCCCATTCTTTTTCTATCAATATCATGAAACCCTTTGTCGTTCTATAAAATGGATCTAAACATAATTGAGCTAATGCAGAAACCTGTGACGTTCTATCCCAACCATCAGAACAATGTATGATTACGTTGGTATTATTTAAGTGAATTGATTTGGTGATTCGATCTACCGATTGTAAAATTATAGAAAGTCTATTTAACCATTGGGTCTTGGTTAATGCTTGTTGTAAAGATGCAGGTGATGTATATGATGATGATAAGGTTGAGTCATATTTATCTAAATCATTTAAAATGGTCGTAAGTTTGGTTAATGAATCTCTAACGACATGAATATTATCTATATTACAAAATATCTTATCAACTTGACGTGATGTTTTCGAGAACAGATCATCATTTGATTCATCTTTATTTGGTCTTTTATTTCTATAATTATCTACATTCTCAGTCCCTGCTCCTAATGCATGTTGAGCCATTGCATTTGTTATTGGTCTCAAATCCACCAAAAGATTCCTTTGTGGTTGTTGTGCTTGATATTCTGTGTCTCCATCTTGACTTTCCTCGCCTTCTCTTAGCTTTGTATTTCTTTCTAATTCTTGACTATGAAAAATTTCAACAATTAATTTCTCATCTTGTATAGATCTATTTTGTAAGTTCAATCCAACTAAAGGTTGAGCACACCTTGCAATAACATTTCCATTTACACTTGATTTATGCTTGTATACTACTGCCGGTATTCTTTGTTTAGATCGAAATTTTCCTGCATGTTTCAAAACATTGTTCGTGATTGAAGCAGGCACAATCATAATCAGTGGATAAGATGGGCAAAATTTATAATCTTCATTTATTGTTGTTTTTCTCCAATATTTTTGATTACTTGACAATAATCCTAATCTGGTGTATTCTTCGACTGGGTTATATATATCCCAACCTTTTATACTCAAAATTTTTTCCATATTGTTTGGAATGTATGAATATGCATATAACGATTTAATTCCATTATCTGTTTTACTTTTATTTATTAATGCACTTAACTTGTTAAAAACTTCAGTACAAATTAAATCATTTCTAAAATCAAATGAAAAATACGTGAAATCTTTACATTGTAGTCTAATATGAGATGCTCTATAGTTATCAAATCCCTCAATCTGGGGTGGTTTACTTAATGGTGGATTAGGACTATGACTTGGACCGACTGATGAAGATGATATAGCAGAAGTAATTTTATACTCTAAACTATTTGAATTATTGTTGACTATTGATGAATTGTTAGTTAGCCAAGTTGATCCACGAGCTTTTAATATCCGTTCAATTATGGGATAACATATCCATATTTCTTTTGGTGGTTGAGGTTTGGAAGTGTTGGGAGTGAAGATGAAGACCAAATGATGTGATGATAATATTAATCTCCCTAGTATATGTGAACCTCTTCTATTTAACACAACATCGTTAACTGTGAAAACATTCTCCATATCCAGTGCTACTCGTATGTTAAATTATTTATGACTGGATAACTAATGCTATGAAATGCTATGTACAATTACCCACTAAAGTGAGTTGTAGTGGGATTTAATTAGGTTCAGAATTTTGGAATTGTAACTTAGATTTGATAGACTAATGATTTTGTACGCAAGATAAAGAGACGACTTTGTGTCACTTCATAGAGATAGAACATTTTAGTTTGAACTTGGACTACTACTGAAATAATTTCTATTAATCTATTTACTTAATTCTTTTTGTTCGAACAATTCAACCACTAGATCTACACTTGTACCATCAAGGAATTCAATATCATCCAAATTAGATTTTGGCCCTTTATAAATCTTATAACCATAAATGAAATAATAAAGTAATGACAAAATCCAAGTTCCAACATTAATAACAACAGTATAATTCATTGTTTCCTTATCAACTTTCTTATTATCGGGAAATAAACACATCATGATGACAAATAATAACCATGCTACTGCTGTAGCCATTATACCATAAGATAAAGGATTATAAAACCAGAATGGACCAGGGATAAACTTCTTTCTACCATAAGGCAAAAGAACTAATAAAATAGGAACTAAAAATGCAAGACTATTTGAGCATATTCCTAAACTAAATAAAGCATTTGAACCAGCTGGACCAATCAAAACAAGTAATCCTATTAATAAAGTAATGACACCAGCGAATATGGTAGATCTAACAGGTACCCTTAGTTTCGGATCAACAAACTTGAGATATTCAGCTATGAAGCCTTGACAATCCCTATTGAATGACCATATCATCCTTGCTTCCACAATGGTTATGGATGCGCTCATAAAATATTGGCCAAGAGCTATCAACGACATAAATGCCACACACCATTTCTTCCCCAACGCATCATATATTATCTGAGCCATACATGAACCAGAACTGGATTCCAAAAGTCTTCCAACATCACCATCTTTAACACACAAGACAATAATTGTAACTATTATGAGACCAAGCACTCCACACAAACCAATCAGGCCAAGAATTCCAATAGGTGTCAGCCTCTGTGGGCTTTTACACTCTTCCGAACAATGAATGACTGAATCAAATGCTCCAATAACCCACACAGCTCCTAACAAACTTAAACAAACACTCCATCCAATAGGCCAATCTCTGTAATTAGTTAAATCTGAAAATATCAATTCTCTAGAATTAAAATTATGATTTCTTGAGTAACCAATGGGAACAGCAATTACAAATAACATAACTAAAAATACATTCAAGTAAACAGATACTGCTTGTAATTTAGCTGATTGTTTAGTAGCTAATGAAGCAACAATAACAGTGGAAATCACACTAGCAGCGAAAACTCCATAACATTTAGCATCTGTTACTTCAAATTTTCCATCCTGTTGTATTGATACTGCTGATAAAACTTGAACTGCAAAACCATAATTGATCCCACAAGCCCCAGCTATTAAACCTAATGAATTGGCACAACCTATAAAAAATGATAATGGAACTCTTATTGAATCTGGACTATAATAATTTGTGTAATAATACAAGCCACCAGAAGTTGGAATTGAGGAGCCAAGAAATGAAAGTCCAAATCCAACCAGTAATATAAATATTGAAGATATTAACCAACTTAACCAACATCCAAGTAATCCACTTTCAAGTAAAATTGGTAAAATAGATGCAATCGATGGTAATAATGACATAATTGAGAAAGCAATTCCAAATGTTTCAAAAGTAGAATAATGTCTTCTTAATTCTTGTTTATATCCAATTTGATTTAATAATGCTTCATCTCCATCATTTCGATTTGGATCGATGAGTCTTGGTGCAGACCTATTTGACAAGACGTCATGTAAATAAGTTTCGGTTTTTGATTTTATGGTTTCCATTTACAATAATAGTTGAATCTGAATAGTGTATGGTGTAAGATACATTTTGTATTTAATTGAAGTCATTTTGATCCTTTATATAAAAAGTAAGAATGATTGGTTATATGAACACCGTCAAAGAGTTTAACCATATCTCTTATCAGAAGAGTATTGAAATGATCCTGACGTTGATAGTATAATCAAATCTCATTTTGTTGGGTAACAATAAACAGATTTTAAAAACCCCTTATCTTATCTTTTTTTCATAACTGCTAGATATATGTACGCTGTAGATCTGATATCAATAGACTAATTTAACATCTTTAACATTATTTGTGAATACAGTCTCATTTGAAAATTTATTATTATGCACGTAAGTGAATTTGTAGTTACAATCTATTGTCTGAAAGAAGTAAGTCCAACAGATTAATACAATGGTTATGATAGTTGAATCTAATAAATACTATCTTTGATATATCTACAAATACTATCTTTAATATATATTTTTAACGGGATTGCATTTCCTAATATTTGACAGTAGGGGGTAAGTATACTTAGTTATAAAAAACATACATTTATTTCTCCATATAATTCACCATATGACTTGAATCGGAACTTCAAAACTTCGTTATTAACGACATGGAGATATCGAGATTACCATAATTCTAGCATGAAAATCAGATCATCATTTGATACCATTTCAATTGGATTGTATTAAAATACTCACTCAAGTGAAACAGATGAAAATATCATTAAGATAGTAAACTAGATCTTGAAATGAAGTTTCTTCAATTTTTCATTTTGTGTCAACATTTCATTACATATCTACATTATTTTTTTTCTTTTTTTTTAATTAGCTAAAGCCCTTCATTCAAAATTTTTCTTGAATTTGAAACATGAAACATTAAATCTGTGTATTATAATTCAGATTTAAAAATAATAAAATAGCTGAATTCCAATAGTGTTTTGGTTACTTTCTTCTGAAAATATTGGAGTAGGTTTTAGACTGTGTTGGATTTACAAGTTATATTCGGAATTTTGTCAAACCCCCTAAAAGCAAGTTAAATACATTAATTAATCGTATACAAATATTATACTAAATCAAATACTGTTTGTTAAGTATATTATGCTCCTTAGCAATTGGACAGAATCCTCATCTCAATACTTCAATTCTAGAAGTACTTCCACAAATTTTATCAATCTTTTAACTCCACAAGACTAGGTATGGGATTGAGTATAGAACGAATGCAAGTGAGGCTAAACAAAATTTAAATTTTGCCATAATTCCGGTCTAAAATATAAAATTTCATTTAATTTCACACAAATTGTTTTAATTGTTTTAAATTCGATGAACTCTTCTCTCTAGATGTCTCACCTGAAGCTTTAGAGAAGTGGAATTATACAATTAGCATCACTCACCCAATTCTTATTAGTCAAAAATGACATCTGATTCATTGAATAGTCAGAATAAGTCCAACTTCATTAATTCTTTAGATGACAATGATCTTAGCCAAGGACGAACTTCAGATGTAAGTCATGCAAGTCAAACTTTTAGATCTCATAGATCTCATAGTCCACCAATTGAAGATTTACCATTAATTGATCAAGAAATAACAGATAGTGAAGATGAAGATGAATTTATTAGAAAATATGGTGATATTCAATTTCAATATATTAAACCTCCAAAAGATAATGTTTGGTTTATAAAACCTCATGCATTAAATTATTTTAAAGATGGTATATTATTTAGAACAAAAGGTGAAAGAGGTAGTTCAAGAACTGAATTATTTTTAGATTTATTATATGTTGGATTAATTGCAAATTTAGCTGGAGAAGCAACTGAAGAAGCTAATGGTTTAGCATTATTAAAATATTTTTTATTTTTTATGCCTATTTGGACAGTTTGGGCTGATATAAAAGATTTTACAAATTATTATTATAATGAAGATTTATCTCAAAAATTATATATATTTTGGATTCTTTGTTTATTAACATTATATATTAATAGTCATTATGATATTACTGAAAGTTATAGTAAAGCTGCTGTTACTATTGTTCCTTATATGTTATGTCGATTATCATTAGCTGCTTCTTTGGTAGTTTATTCATTTTTTATACCTGAACATAGACCTCAACAAAGATTATATGCTGCTTTTATTGTTGTACTTTCATTATGTTGGTTATCTGTTATATTTGTTTCAGTAAGAGTTAAAATTGCCTTGTCGATTGTGTTTTTCTTTTTAGAACAAGTTACATTTGTCTTTTGTTATCATCCTTTTGTTAAAAGATTAATGGGATTAACAATGTCAACTGCTTTAAATATTGAACATGAAGTAGAAAGATTTTCAACATTTGTTACTATTGCTATTGGAGAATATTTATATAAAGTTGTTGCAACAGGTCCATTAGGTGTGGGATTTAGTGGAAGTTATGCAAGGGGTGTATTTTTATTAGCTGATGCTTATATTTTATTTTGGTTATATCAATATCGTAGTCATTCAAGAAAAGCAACACATCCATTAAGACGTAGTGGAACAACTGCAATTTTATGGGTTTATGCTCATTTACCATTAATTGCAGCATTAGTTTTATCAGCTGATGCAGGTGGTGAATTATGTGCTGAAAGAAACACAAGTACTAAAAAGCATCAGCATCATTCAGAAGAATTACATGAAAGAGCTGAATCATCATCTGAAGAAGAAAAAGTAAATATGTATGGACTATCATTTTATTATACTGGTGGTATAACAGTATCTTTATTATCAATGTTTGTATTAGGATTTATTGAAAAAAGTAATGATCCACCAGGTTTATTTATTTTTCTGAAATTTTGGAGAATTATATGGAGAATACCCATTGCAATTATAATTGTAATGATAAGTTTTGCTGAAATGAATTCAACTTTATTAATGGGGATAGTCACTTTATTATTAGCTATATTATTAGTTTTTGAAAGTATTGTTTCAACTCCTAGAAATTGTTTATTTGTTGGAAAACAACCTACAGTAAATACAGTGTAATTTAATATATATTAATTAATATCGTAATCTATCGTAACATTATCGTATAAATTTCATTCAAAAATGCATTATTAATATAAGCATTTCTATCAGCTTCAAAAGCTCCTGTTTTTTTATCCCTTGTTAAATCTGACCATTTCAAATTTAATTGTTTTAAATTATTTATTTTATCTTGAACTGAAATACCTTGTGTATGTAATTTATCAGCACAAATTGTGAATATTAATTCAATTAATAAATTACTTACTCTCAAACCTGACTTTATGTTTTCAGAAATCATTTCCAGCTCATCCTTAGGAACAAGATCATCTATCAACATCTTTATCGAAATTTTTAATTCCTCAATTCCCCAATCATCTCTTTGTTTCAAACCTTTGAAAATTTCCAAATACAATCTAGTACTCATTCGTTGAGTTGATAAATTATCTATTATATACTTTAACTGTTCTACTTTATCAAATGATTGACTTTCACAATAAGCTGTAATTAAATGTAAAAAAGATGAATGAGTAGCTGATAATTTGAAAAATATGGAAGAATCATTTGTGATTTTTTTCAATTGTGTATATATATATAGCCATTCTGAGATAATTGTTGATTGCTCACCTGTATATTTGAAATATGCTGTTTCAAATAAAATTTCAGCATGTTTAATCAATCCAAAATTAGTTAATAATTTTATAATTTGATCAATTATCTCATTTGTAATCACTGGTAATTTCGTTATACAATTGATCGTCCTTGAAAGATATTTAAAATGATCTGGTCTGTCAATATGAGTAGTGAAATATTCAAGTAAATTAGTTAATGATATATCGATTAGTTTGAAATTGTCAGTGTCTTCTAAATCAATTATATGTCCTAATCCTACTTGGGGAAGTATATCAGAAATGATATCAAATTTATCATGTCTAATTGCTAAAAATAGTAATACACCCAACAAATCATTTCTTTTGCCAAATGTTTCCAAAATCAGTTGATAATCCTTAAAAGTGAATGAATTATACAAGTTTAAATCGTTTAAATGTTTTGCAACATCATCTCTATCTTTGAAAAATGATAAATAAATCATTCTAATTTGTTCTTGTTCAGTAATTTCAAATCCTGCTTTTTTAACATCATTTAAAATTTTTAAACAAATATCATGATATTCTTTTCTTCTATAAATTTCATTTCTCATTGATCTTCTAATTGCTGATTTATTTTCTTTTATGAGGTGACCTTCTATAACATTTCTATTTGCAAATTTTTGATTATTTAATATAAATTTTGAACTAAAATCTTTCAAAATTAATGGTGGTAAATATTGTGGTGCAGGTTTTGGTAATTCTAAATATTTCTTGTATAATTTTTCATGATTGATTTTATCATATTTCTTATGATTATTTTCAAGATTGAAAAATTTAATTTGAGTTTTGAAAGGTTGATTATCTAATGGATATAATTCCTTTATGAAATTATGATATTCTTTTGTGAATTTTATATTGTTTAAAGGTGGTTCATGTTTCAATCGTCGTATCAATTTTGGATCTAAATCTGTCTTTCTAGTTTTTAAATTATCCCATATTTCTTGTTTTAAATCAAATGGATCATCTATATCAGGTATCTTGTACTTTTTAATTATTTTTGATTGATTTTGATCAATTAATAAATCTATGCATCGTAATAATGCTCCTGAGTTTTTGGACTGTTCTTGATCTATTCTGTTTATGAACGCATTTATAGGTTTTTCTAATAATGAAATATCCTTGATTGCTTTTGCACGTCGTAGTAAGTTCATATCATTTTTGATTACTTTTGGTGATATATGCAACAACTGAGATCTGAAAAATTTAAAAAAAAAAAAAAAAATTGATTTTAAAGAACTACAATCAATTTCAAACAAACATTAATGAAATTACAAGCTGATGCAGCTAATGTGCTCGCGAGAGCGTCTGCTTACTTACAATCAGGTGTCTTAAAGAATAAACCAATATGGTACGATGTAGTAGCTAGAAATCCACCAACTCATAATCTTATAAAAAATTCATATATTTATCAACAAGAATCAAAAGATCCAAGAAATGAATTAATAAAGCCAAAACAGAAATCATTAAATAAAAATCAAATATTCAAAACACGTCCACATAAAGAAGAATCAGCAAACAAAAATAATCAAATACATAAAATACCAAAATTAACTTTTTTACAAGATGAAATTCGTAATTATTTTTATTTACAACATCCATGGGAATTATCAAGACCTAAAAATTTAATAGAAAATAATGGTGATGAAATTTTGAATAAATGTGATTGGAGTAATATGTTACAATTATATAAACCATTAGATGGAGAATCAGTAGTTCAAAGAACAACATATATTTTAGAAAATGATCCAGATGTGAAAAATATATTTGAAGCTTATGATTTAGCAAGATTTGAATTTTATAAATTAAGAATGGAAGAAGAAATGGAATCTCATATAGCAAAAGAAGAAAGTATAATGTATGGAGCAGTATTTGAATCCACGAATATAGATTGGAATTTAGAAATTGAACAAAAATATATTGATGATTGGGTTTCATTAGCTTCTGAACAAACTAAAGTATTAGAAGCTAATTCAAATAAATCTTTTGCTCCTGTTGGTTCAATGGTTGATGAAGAGAAAAATAAAACAAGTTTATTTGAAAGTTTAATTAAAATGAATAATAATGATATTGAAGATGATTTAGGGAGTGGTGTTGAATCAAAAAAAGGAGGATTTAAGGATTTGTAAATAGATTTTAAATAAATATCCAAAGTTCTTCGTGATAAGCTCTGTGCTATACCCTTGCATTTTCCGAATTAAACATTTTATTAATAAATACAAATCAACAATGATTTATCTGACCTTACCATAAATCAAATCCTCAAAATTCTTTACCCCAATTAATCTCTAATGATGTTCTTCATGACCATGATTTTCATCTTTTTTAAATACTAATTTTTCAACTCCAACATATATAGTGAATGCAACAATAGCAATTCCTAAACCAGGAAATGCGCCTTTAAATCTATTATATCTACTAAATGGACCTTCATATCTCCAAGCATCTCTTTTGGCCCATGGATTATGACGAGCTTCTACCATGGTTTTCTGCTTTTTATGATTTTGAATGGTTCAATCTGATATTGTGATAGTAATTTTTTTTATTGTAAATTTTATTGGCGTTTTGGTTTAAGTGGGTTAAGCTACCAAATTATCACCAAATGTTACTGGAACCAGTTCCAGTTCAGTCCCACTCCACTCAACTTCCTAAGATCCTAAGAGATCCTAGATCTAGATTAATGTGCCAAAATTGTAAATGAAATTATTTGGCTTTGCAAAAGATTTTGTAATGCATCAAAAGAAATAATTTCAGATATATGAGATCTACTTCAGCAAAACTATTTAATAAGTTGGATCCCCAATTTTTGGCCTGACTTCAATCGATTCTATAATTCTAATTCAATAAATAGTATCCAAATTGTTTCTCAAAGCTATATTGATTGCATTGTTTTTCATTAACGTCTTGACTTTTATATTCTAAAACTCAAGGCTCACGAACCCACTAAAAAAATGAGATCTTTGCCACCACCAAGAATAACAAGAGCACGAAGATGGAAAAGAATAAGACGAGCTATAATAAATTTAATAACCAAAGGTTATATATCAGATTTTAGTGTATTTCATGGAAAAAGCTTATATTCACGTCATTTCTATGCAATTTCAAAAATACATAAACTGACAATTTTAAATAGAATGAAAACTAGAAAAACTGATTTAAATTTTTTACAAACTGCTAGTTCTGGATTAAGAATAATGAGACATATAAGTTCATTTTTTGCAAGGTTTTCCAGACGAGGGTTAAAAGACGATTTGCTTGGATTTAGACGGGGTAGATTGAATATGTCCATTAGAGTTTGAAATAATACTACCTCATTTGTAAGTTTATCACCAGACTCATATATATCCACGACTTAATGGGCCAAAAAGATTTATTGACTGACGTTGGCATTTATAGAATTTTTAAATAGGCTGCAAAAAATCAAATGTACAACAAGTTCAATTTTGTGTATCAAATCATATTATGTATGAGATGAGATTTTGAAACCTCTAATGAAAAATATCTAGATCGGTGAACCAATTAATTTCGAACCATACCAACATCAACCAATAACATGTCTAATGATACGAAAAACCAGGTTAAGATCAAATTCACCACTAATGAACAAGATGACAGTTTAAAAGTCGATGAGACACCATTATACGTTCCAACATCATTAAAAAGATATGGGTTATCAGAAATAGTGAACCATTTACTTAGTAAAGACGAAATAAATGAAACAGAAGATCGAAAACCAATACCTTTCAATTTTTTAATCAATGGAAATTTATTAAGAACTTCAATAGATGATTACTTAACAAAAAATGGTTTATCAAATGAAGCTTTTTTGAATATTGAATATACAAGAGCTATTCTACCACCGTCTTTCCAAGCTTCGTTCAATAATGATGATTGGATTAGTTCCATTGATGCAATAAATAATTTAAGTCCCGCAGTAACGGAATCACAATTGCATATAAGAGATCCAAAGATTTTAAGTGGATCATACGATGGAGTAGTACGAGTTTATAATATGTCTGGAAAAGTTGAAAAACAATACATTGGACATTCAGCTCCTATAAAATCAGTTAAATGGATATCACCTACTAGAATAGTGAGTAGTGGTAATGATAGACAAGTAAGATTGTGGAAAACAAATTATGAAGATATAATAGATCAAATTGATGATGAAGATGATATAGAGGATGGAAAAACTTTAGCCATATTGGAAGGACATAAAGCACCAGTAGTAGATTTAGATGTAAATCAATCTACAAAAAGAATTTTGAGTGCTGGGTATGATAAAAATGTTGGTTTTTGGTCAACTAATTATAAGGAAATGTCAAAGATTGAAATACCTGAATATGATTCAAATGTAGTTTCCACATCATCTAAAAAAAGAAGAAAAATGGCACTACAAGATTCAACTATAAGACGTCGTTCACCATTGAGTTTATTACAGGGTCATACAGAACCAGTGGAAGGGGTCATATTTGATTCATTTGATAATACCGTTGGATATTCGGTTTCACAAGATCATACAGTAAAAACTTGGGATTTAGTTACTTCAAAAAATGTAGATACAAGAACTACTGGATTTTCATTATTATCTATACTACAATTATCACAAGTTAATTTAATTGCAACAGGATCATCAGCTCGTCATATAAATTTACATGATCCAAGATTATCCAACACAAATAGTAATGAGGTTGTTAATACGAAGTTAGTTGGGCATACAAATTTTGTTGTAGGATTAAGCGCGTCACCGCATAATGCCAATATGTTTGCATCAAGTTCACATGATGGTACTGTAAAAGTTTGGGATATTAGAGCTGATAAATCATTATATACAATAACTAGAGAAGATGGTTCAAGAAATAAAAAAATATTTGATGTATGTTGGGATAATGATATAGGAATAATAAGTGGTGGAGAAGATAAAAAAATACAAATCAATAAAGGAAATGATATATCTTAGATTTTTTTAAATATACGGCCTATCCTAATGTAGTATCTTTATATGATTTATTCTCTTTTCTTGAAGTTGTGAATAAATTTAATCCATAATAACCTTGCCACATGCTTTCTTTGTCTGTCAAATAACCAACTAAACCAGTTTTATTACCCAATGATAAGGGATCATAAATAGTATAAACACTTTGAGCATCAACCCAGCCTAAATTCTTACGAGCTTCTGCTAATTCGTCAGCATTTAATTCAACTTGAGCAGCTGATCCATATTTCAATGGGCCTGCGTTAATCCAATAACCTCTTTCAACATTTCCAGAAGGTTTGGCTAATTTTCCAATTGTATCTAAATAATTGAAAAGGTTTTCAGCAGTATCTAAAAAGAATACTGATACAATTACAACATTTTTATATTTATCTCTATCTGGTATTTCAAATTGAGTGAAATCTTTTTGTGCTATATGTAATGATTCTGGTTTATTTGTTTCTCCAATTGGTTTATATTCAAATGTTCTTAATTGTGATTTAGTATTATAAAAATCTGAATTTGTATGAATATATGGATGAATTGTATATGGCTTTGTATTGTTGCTATAGTTAAAGTCAACAAATAAATTCATTAATCCAGAATTTTCAACAGAATACACAGCACCATAATCCCATTTAGCAAATTCATAAGCTAATCTACCTAATCCACTTCCTGGAAACACCAACACGGTATCTTTTTTTTGTCTATAATCAATTAACATTTCCAATTGTGATGCGATATATTCAAAAATTGGTAATAATTCCAAACTTATATTATTTGGAGTCCAATCACGAGTATAATGTCCCAATGCTTCAATAACTCTATAATTATTACCACTTGAATTACTTGATTCATTTTCTAATAATTCGAAATCTTTTTGACTTACTCCATAATTTGAAACAGCATAATTTGCAACATCATCAATAAATTTTTGATTTGTATCAATTGCTTTATCAATTGATTTTAATTTTTGTAAATAACCAACTTTTTCACCAAGATTTTGTTGAGTCCAACTCATTTTTTTAAATAATTCTTTTCTTCTTTCATTTACTCCCTTTGAATTTGTTTCATAACTTTTTAAACTTTTAATAGCAGATAATACTTCAATTTTTTGTCCATTAGTTAATTGATCAAATTTTGAATAATTACTACCAGTAGTATTAGGAATATTTTTTAATGCTGATGTTTTACCTTTTATTGAATTATGAGCATGTTCAACAATTGATCTAAACATAGATGTTCTCGAAACCATATTTGTAAATGCAAACGTCGTTATTAGAATTGGTAATTGAGATCTATTACCAAATATTAAATTTAATATATGAAATAATATAAAACAAGTTGTTACAATTAAAGATATCGGTTGTATAAATTGTAAATTGCTCATACTAATTCTCTCCAGATTATTTAGATTTGAAGTAGATTAATATAGAAGTATGCATTGAGTGTTATTAATCCATCTCATAGGAATTAAATTATTCAATAATTAGTTTGTTCTGGTCTTTATAGTTTAATATTTATTATTCTATCAAGTTCTACTAAATTTAAGAATTGACATTATTCCGATTGTACCTACTGAAATTTAAAGATTTACGAGGTCACGTGTTGATAAATTTCATCAAAAAACTCTTTCAATTGTCAAGTCTTAAAATGGTAATTTTTACATGTCACACCAAGCAAAATATTTGAAACATATATAGACCAATTACATTTGGTCAACAATGATATAATCAAAACACAATATATATATATATATATGAGAGGCATTCTCAGAGAAAATTAATTCATAAATTAAACACACAACACCAAAATGACTGAATTTGATTTTTCAAACATTAAACCTGTTGAATTAAATACAGAAGAACCTCAACTATGTCAAATTTTATATGATGAAGAATATAAATCAATAATGGGTATGCTTTTGGCATTAATGAAACAAAATGAATATTCTGAAAGAGCACTATATTTGACTGAATTGGGAATTGAACAATTAGCATCTCATTATACTACATGGATCTACCGATTTAATATATTGAAAAATTTACCAAACAAAAATTTATTTGATGAATTAGATTGGTGTGAACAAATTGCTTTGGATAATGAAAAAAATTATCAAATTTGGAATTATAGACAATTGATTATAAATGAAATATTAAAAGATGAAAATGTTAAGTTTGATCCATATAGAGAATATCCAATTTTACAAGCAATGTTAGATTCAGATCCTAAGAATCATCATGTTTGGTCTTATCGTAAATGGCTTATTGAAAAATTTGATTTATATAACGATCTGAAAGAAATTAAATTTGTTAATGATATGATAGATGATGATGTTTTAAATAATAGTGCATGGAGTCATAGATTTTTTATTAATTTCAAACCAAAAAATGTCAATTCAGACAAAATTGATAAAGAAATCAATTATGCAAAGGAAATGATTGAAAGATGTCCTCAAAATGCAAGCTCTTGGAATTATTTTTTAGGAATTTATGATAAATTCGATAAAGATATTATTGAATTGAAAGATTTTGCTTCAAAATTTGTTAATGTTGATAAGAGAGAAGTTTCTAATTCTTTTGCAATGGAATTATTAGCAAATATTTTCAAGAAAGAGCATAAATACGAGGATGCTAAACAGATTTATCAGTTATTAATTAATGAATATGATCCCATAAGAAGTAATTATTGGAAATTTTTAATAGCTGAATGTGAAGATATTTAATGTCAATAAGTTTCAACAAAGATCGAAAACGATCTTACGAGTTTTTTTAAATATATTAACGTAAATGATGAAGAGAAATTAGATATGGGAATATTTTGCTTTTACATTTGTAGCATTGTTTTTCTCCAAACTAATGTAGTATGTCAGTAGTAGCAGCATTTTCTTTTCTGAAACTAGAGTTTTGTCTCCGTTGAGGCGATATCTCCTGTCAAATTCTTTGTTTAATCTTGTGTCTCGAAGTAACTGATTCGTATCATACTCAGGTATTATATCCGGAATAATATTTACACATAATTCAGGAGATTAGTCAAGTTTGGTAATGATTCAAGCCGCGTGTAAATACGAAATTAATTAAATTTATTTTACTCCGTCCTTTTTGATTATCAAGACTTTTTTGTGGATTTTAAATTTCTCGTAAATGACTATCAAATCGTAATAATTTAAGTTTGGGATAGTTTAGTTTATTCAAATTCGACAATCACTATTCATACACTCAATACGGACTTACGAAAAACATCAAGAAGTACTGTTGTGGTAGAATTTTTACATTTTAGTAAAATATTACTCAATCGAGGAGGACTTTATAAAATTAAAAATTTGACCTAATGGAGTTAACAAAGTTGAAAAAAAAACAATACGGCTGTTTATCAAAAATTGGTAGCATATAAAATTCTGAAACATTTGATATCAACGTTGTTGTGATTCATGCGGATTTAACTAGGACCGCACCTATACAAGATCAAAATACAAATATTTCAACTCTGTAGACTTTATGTGAATACAATGGTTGATTTTCCAGTATATCTGGTCCTTGCTATGGGACTCACTTTAGCCTGGTCTTTATCTATTCATGTAAAACCTCTGACTTGTATCTCCTAAATCCGCACCCTGCATTTAGTGTTTATCCGAAGCAGCTTTTTGTGTAACAAAATATTTTTTAATTGTTTTTCAAAAACAATTAATTTCATATAAATAAACAGAATCATCTTCATCAACGAGATGAAAAAGCTTGAGATACAATCAAATCTACCTTATATCAATTATCATTTGTAACCTCAAACACAATGGCTAGGGAGCAGTTTAATTCAAATATAAGTTCTGCTTCATCAAATAATTCAAAAGCCGCAATCATAGAAGAATATACCCCACATGATCAACAACTACCAGATATGGAGGATCAACAATCAGTAGCTACAAGTGAACATCGTCATTTTAAAGAATCAGACGCCGGAGATGGAACAAAAAGAGAAGATCAATATATTCATGGATTTCAACTAGTAATGTGTTTTGTTTCATTATTCTTATGTTTATTCTTATTTGCATTAGATCAAACGATTGTTGCTACTATAATATCAACTGTTGGTAATCAATTTAATCAATTTGAGAACATTGGATGGTTATCTTCTGGATTCTTATTAGCTATGGCTGTATTTATTCAACCTTTTGGAAAATTATCGATTATTTTTGGAAGAAAGTGGACAATGGTTGTAGCTATTGTTATCTTTGAGGGTGCATATACTAGATGAGTTTCAAATTAAACTATTCCTCAACAAAGGGCCTGTTCTGACGAAGATTTTAAACCATTCGATCATAATGATGATGCGCAAATCATGTTTGGAAGGGTGTTTTGAGAAAATGAAAATAAATGCATTGTCGATCTTAATCTATAGTGAATACTACGATTAAATGTGTGGCATAGAGAAATTGATTCCAGTTTGCATCATTATTTATTAAACTAGCTATGAAAAGTGATGATAACAAGAATAATTGACAATCTTGACCTTTTTTTCAGAACTCTCGTCATGATGGACTTTTTTATTCTGAATCAAGGTACTCCTTCAAATTTTGGTACTCATCTTGTACAAACAAAAATTCGAAGGCTTTGATACCGGCTGGTGCAATTACATATCGTTGCAATTTCCTCAAGGCGAAACAACTTCGAACAGGTAAGATTTCAGCAACCCCTAAATAGAATTCCATTTCCAAGAATTGAATTGGTAAATTTAAATTCCTATTATATGCATAAGTGAGAAGACATCTTAAATAAATTATTTCTTCTTCTTTTTTGTATGGATAAGATTGAATCTCATGCTTTTTTGAATTAGTTTGAAATTGAGCTCCATATTCTTTTTCGAGTCTTCCCAAAATATTGAATGGGGTACGAGCAATAAGTTTTTTGTTGTAAAGTTGTAGACATAGGTCTTTATTAAAAGGTACCAGTTCCATTTGTTCTATTATTTTAGCATGTTCTTCTTCAGTAAGTTTTCCATTTTGAAATGATACTTGTGGAGCAGCAAAACCTAGAAAACTAAGATGACGCAAACCAAGATTAACTAAATCACTTTCTGAATAAGTAAATACCCTGTATCTGTTATCCACATTGTTGAATAAATTTTGATAAATATTATATTTCATATATGCCCTAAAATTTGAACCAAATTTACTATTAAGCGTATCCAATGCAAAATGTATAGCTTCTTTCAAATGAATTAAGATCAAATTATAATATTTTCCTCTAATCACGGCTGACGAACTCCTTGTTAATTTGGAAACAGCAAAAAAGAACTCTTCAGAATTACCAATCACTCCTATTGAATGAGTGTTCAAACAATGAGTAGCTAAGCATCTAATGAGGTGTAGATCGTAACTTTGTGGATCACTGTCAAGATCATCAGAATCGGATTCGTCTGATAGTTCATCTTCTTCAATTATATTTTCTGAAGTCTCAAACACTTCTGGGATATCACTAGAATCATTAAGACGTTGATCGATTCTTTCCCATCTATTTTTGACATACAATGGAACTCTATTAAAAAGAATCCCTAACTCTTCAAATGTGCTCCAGATAGCTCCCTTTTTACGTACCTCTTCTAGTATTTTCTCGTTTTCTTGTTCATAGAAAGCACCATGATTTAGATTATCTTCCTCATTACTGAAACCAAATTGAAATAGATCTTCGCATCCCATTTGAATCAAGTCTTCTTTGCTGTAACATATATGTTTTAAAACACTTTCCTGAAAATAGTTAGCCAATTTGCCAAGTGGTTCATTGATTTTTGCGACTGAATCAAACTCTAAACGATTCAAATTTGATAAATCTATAAAGACTTCCTCATGATCATTAGTAGTTGGAAGTTCAATAGGAGTGATCCCATATATTGGAGGATGTCTAGCACTGCTTGTTTCTAGTGGTAAGTTATTATTCAAGCTTGCAACGCGATTTAATTCGACTACTTCAAAATATTGTTCATGTTCTCCAATGGTTTCATCATCTAATCGGGTACGAGGAACCACTTTAATGACTTTTTTCTTATTTTCCAGTACATGAGGAGTCTGAGGTTCTTCAGCATTGGTTACTTCGTTATGTAAATTGAGTGCTCCATCTTCAGTATTAACACCTTGTTCCTCGTCATGAGTGCTTACCAATCTTTGTCGAGAGCTTCTGGTCCTTGCCATTGAATGGATCGATAACTAGTGGCGGTAAATCGGTTGAACACTTTAATTAAAGTAAAAAAAAAAATGATTAAAATTGACGCAAATTTTAAGACATAGGCGAACCCACAATAACTTCAAACATCATTCACAAAAAATAGTGAAGATGAAAATCAAAGCGACCATCCTACATTTGTGGCCAACTGTGGGTGATGAAGCTAGTGGTGGTTCCTAATCAATGGTAAAATCTGAATTGGGCTCTCATACTGCATATGAGGATAGCAATATAAACTTATTCATCTTGTCAAATATCAATTCAAATTGTTGAAAATAAAGAACTTTATCATGAAATGGAAAAATTTAGCCGAGTGTAATTGATTTAGAAACAGCTGCTGCCACCAATTGCTCGCTAAAATCTTCAATACTGATGAACGTTGAACTATTGAACTACAGAGACCCTATTCGAATGAATCACTGAAAAATATCTCCGTTGCTGTGATGATGAGGCTTCTGGTGAGGGGGTCATTCTTATAATGTTCAAAAGAAATTATCTTGGAATTTTGAAAGAAAAGAGATATATTGAAGGTAGGCCTTGAAAGATCATTGGAATTAGAGTTCAACGTAGTAGTTGGTATTGTGCATCAGCTTGCTTAGTATATGCTCAAAGTGTCAAGTCTGCTGAATCATTTGTAAATACCTGACTCACCCTGCACAATTTACCTACATTCTTGAGAAAATTTTCGTCGAGATCGACCGTCGTTCCATCAATTGATTTGACTATTCACAAGCAAGTGTTGAAAATAATTTGATCGGTAACTGAAATTAAAACAGTCAGGTGAGTTAGTTATATAATTTGTTTACTACATTTGGGTATATTAATTACTTATTAATTCATTACTTATTTAATTCATCAATTATATTGATTTATTATTTACTCAATTGATTATCATTCTAACTCATTAAATCAGTTTATTCATTAGTTATAGTATTCATTAGTCATTGTAGTCATTACTCTTTACTTCATTGTATTCATTAGTCATGTTATTTAAAAGTTTCACTCTAGTTTCCAGCCGTTAATTCGACATAATCTTTCACATGACGATATGTTTCCTGCACAGCTAAAAATTCAAATGCTTTCAAACCAAAAGGTTCAAGCTGTGTATCGTAGAATTCTCTAATGTCAAAGCAATTTTTGGTCTGAAAAAGCTGAGCAATACCGATAAATACGTGTGGCTCCAAATGAGTCAATGGAATAGGGAAACTCATATTAGATGCGTAAGTTAATAGACATCTAATTACCATAATTAGTTGCTCTTTATCAAAATGACGAGAACTTTGCGAAGCCACTGTATTTGCACCATTGGGAAACAATTTCTTCCTTTCTAAATTATTTTTGAATCTAGCCTCTATATTAAATGGGGTACGATTTATAAGCCCGGTATTGAACAAGTGTAAGTACAATCTTCTACCAGCAGGAATGGTGGACATTTCGGATCTAATAGTACTTAACTCTAAATCGTCAAAACTGTTTTCTTCTTGAAAATACTTTGGTTGATCAACAAACCCCAAAAAGCCGACATCGACTAAGCCCAAATTTCGTAATTCTTCTTCAGTATATAAATATTGATTATAAGCAATATTAGCCGGTACGAATTTGTTCAGATAGTACCCCATCTTTAGATATGAGTTAAAATTTAACGACGTTTTTCCTTGTAAAACATCTATAAGATAATGCACTGCTTCTCGAAGATTAGGCATGAGTTGAACTTGGACTCGATGCATTGATGCTATCGATGTGCTCCTCATGTATTTTGATATTACGAATAATAACTCAGATAAATAAGGTAAAGGTTTTCCTGCTTCTTTATTGAAGCAAAAGGTTAAGTATGACCTAATTAGAAGTACATCTTCTATATGTGGTGTTGAATAAGGGATTACTGGGTAGATTGGTTTGTCAAGAATGGTTTTCATCACTTCTTCGTCTACTTCATTCTTAATATTATCCCATTGTCTGATAACATAGAAAGGGATTCTATTCAATTCGGTAGCTAGACTATCCCACGAATCATTTGAAATTCCGTTATCTGCAAGATATTCTATGATAAATGTATTTTCGAGTTCCGTAAATGGTTTATAATTGAATAAGTTTTGACTGTCAAAACCAAATTGGTGTAGATCTACTATTCCAATTAGCCTAAGTTCATCCACCGAATAAATTAAATGCTGAAGCACTTCGGGTCTAAAATAGTTGCCAACACAACCCATAGGGAGGCCCAAGTCTCGAAGTGACTGAAAATTGAAATGATCCACCATTTTTTGTCTAGGATCAAGGGATGTCAACCCATAATTCAATGGAACCCGCTCCAAAGGAATAACGGCTTCATTTAATGACGTGAGCTTGAAGCTTCTTTCATTTCCATTTTTTAGTACCAATGCTTGATTATTGATCCCTTCAGACTCGGTTTTAATGAAACCATATAGATTATTGTTGATAACAGCAGTTGCAGCGACAGTTTGTGATATTGGGATTAAATTCAAATTTGTATTGGTGCCATTAATAGATATTCCATTTGTTTCATTTCCATAATTATGATCTGATCCTTCTTCTAAATGACTTTCATTATTATTATTTGATCTTCCTTCCAATTCAGTTGCAATATTATTAACACCTAATCCTCTTTCCATATTACCTTCATCACTATCTACTTCACTTTCTCTTGAACTTTCAACATCATTATAGATTGAACCGCTGTCTAATTGACTTTCTTCATTATTACTTGATCTTCCTTCCAATTCAGTTGCAATATTATTAACACCTAATCCTCTTTCCATATTACCTTCATCACTATCTACTTCACTTTCTCTTGAACTTTCAACATCATTATAGATTGAACCGCTGTCTAATTGACTTTCTTCATTATTACTTGATCTTCCTTCCAATTCAGTTGCAATATTATTAACACCTAATCCTCTTTCCATATTACCTTCATCACTATCTACTTCACTTTCTCTTGAACTTTCAACATCATTATAGATTGAACCGCTGTCTATAGAACTTTGCAATTCTTCTAACTCTAACTGTCGCCTAGATCTTTTCATTGACGTATATAGTTGAAAATGTTGTTGGTCGTGAATAAAAAAAATATCTGGTTAATGTAAACTAAATATAAAAAGTCACGCGTCTGTTTTATGATGTCTAGTAATCACAAAAAAGCTCAGGCAAAATCAACTCATCAACTCATCGAAACAGTTATCTAGTCCATATTAAGATCAACATCAACCCTCAAAACAATATCAAGATCGACTTTTCGCCCATACTCGCGAAATTAGCATCAACAACCACTCGTGAAGTTACAACAAAAATTTAGATCTAAGTACTTCAGCGAATTAATAATTCCACTCAACTCAGGTATAAATTACTATTCGACCCACCATGCGTTCAATATTTATATTCACGACCAAAACTTGTTTATGCTGTGGACAGTCTTGAAAGAATTCAGTATTTTAGAGTGACTTTTGTATTTGATACAATTTACACATGTCACAGCAAATGGACTATCACAACAAATTGTTCAAGCCTGCAAAACAACATACTGGAAATTATAGCACGGTTGAATGTTTTAAGACCTACTTCATGATTTGAATGAGAATATACCTTTCGAGGAAGTGTAATAGCTTGATTTGATGTTGGTGGTCATGTGCGTGCACTAAATTTAATGAAAAACGTCCAGTATTTGGCAACTAGCTCAGTTACATTGGTATCATTCAATTCAACTCCTTATACGAATAGGATTCCACTACGAGCTTTCTATTTTCTATATTCACCAACACAGCTGACAAAACTAAACTTTATAAAAAATGGGAGTAACAACAAACGAGTGCATATTTCATTAAACACATAAAATTCACTTGTACAAAGGATCCCTTGGATCTTATTGGAGTTTTAACTACTATTCTACATTCACCATCATCAAATTGTTGAATTGCATACAGAAAAGTAAGAGGGAGAGGATTAATTTGCGACGCACTAATACTAGATATATGATTTTGGAATCCTAATTTAAAAATTCATATCATCAAAACCCGTTATATGCGGCAGCTAAAATATAAATATGGATGAATGAAGATGTGAAAATTTTGAAAAAAAAACTCAATATTCCATATGGGGAAGGTAGAGTTGATAAATTGGGTTTAATGGACTCGCACGAGTTGGAAGGAAGCAGCAACGATAAATTTGTCGAGTTTGAAGAATTATACGGGCATTGCAGTATATTTTAAGTTGAGTTTCAAATAAACCTTTAAAGTTTAGCCGTACAAGAGAAAGGTATTAGCATTATCTAACAAGATTAATTTTGGTGCATGTGCCAATATTATAGACAAAAAGATGATGTTGATGATTTATATGGAGGCGGGTGTTCTTATTTTGAATATGCCTACTGTACCTAGATCTATAATATATAATCACTTTATATAACTTAAAATGTGTAAGTCATGAAATCGCATCACGACTTCATAAGTAAGGAAACAGAAACAAATCTAGGTGAAGAATCAAGATCAACCAAACTTGATACAAATTCCAACTCTAGTTTTAAGTCTATTTAAATTCCAACTCTAGTTTTAAGTCTATTTTAGATCTTTTTCCATTCAAAAAATTCAAACTTTTGATACAAATCTTAATGGCCAATTGAAATCTTTTCACTTTTCTTTCTCCTCATAAACAAGTCATGATACCAGGATGTAAGCAAGTTCGTTAAAACTCCCTTACTTACGTAATAATGAGTAGAAATGATAATAAAGTAATAATAAATTACAATAATCAGAACTGACAAGGTTCCCAATCTTTTGATTGCAACTGATTATCAAAAGTAAAATGATTAATGTAGATGATGATAATGTAATCTTAATTATAGGTGTTTGATAATGTTGATTAACTATGTACTTCTATGTATATGAGTTGTTGATGACTTTTGTCTTAATTTCCTTAAAGATTAATTTCCTATAACACATTCCTAATCCAGAGGATATTCAACCCTTTCGATTAACTAACTTTATCATTGACTTGCACAATAGTCAATCTTCCTAATTCATAATAACAAAAACAAAATAGTAATATGTGTTGTTCTCACAGTTTGCAATTTTCAATATAATATCTTTAATTACTTTGTTTGGACCTTTCTGTTCAAACCAATTTATTTATCATCGTTCAAACAAAAACATGAAAACATATATCAATAACATATATTTGAAAACGAGGTAACTCATAAACATAACTTTAACTTAATAAAGATTTAAAATAAACATCTGTGTTATATCAACTTTAATAATTCTTATCAATTTAATTTCTTAACTTGCATAACTATTTTAAATTCAATTAAAAAGGAAAAAGCATAATCACTTATTGTAATCTCATTATGTACTCCATTACAACTACCAACAAGATCTGAACATCAATAGCCTAATTTACTCTCCGCCCGGAATGAAGTCAATTGTCCTCAATCGAACACCAACAACAACAAAAACCGGAAGGATGAATGAATGGTTGAATCATTACTAAGATTTGATCAGGATCTTTGAATGATGTGATAGCTTGAACTGGATTGATGAAATATACCTTTGTCCTAAGTATGGAATGGAAACAAAAAAATGGTCTGAAGGATATATGTTGTGCCAAATCCCGAATAAAACAGAACCAAGCGACACGCTAGATTGGAAAAATAAAACCAAACCTAACAACTCAATTAAAAACTAACTTACCCAAAAAAAAAACTCAAATAAAAATAAAAAAATTTTTGAAGAGAATATAATATCCAATTCCAAAAACAAATGATGTGGAAAACCTTTTGGTAGAAAAACCACAGATGGTGAGATCAAAAAACCAATACAATTAAAATTATACATACCTTTAACATCTTGTATTAAATTGCGCGGAGATCTTATCTTTTAATTATCAATTTCACTGACAGATACTTTTACAACTTCACCTGAAGATTTTTCAATTTCTGACTCAAGTTTAAAATTATCTAATAATTCCTGAAAATAACTAGGTTCTATTGTATTCTTTGTATCATTGAAATCAAATACCATTGCATGTGATGGGTCACAGTCCATAAAAGTATATGAAACAAGTTCTTCTAATAAATTTAACCCGACAATTTCTTTAATTAATCTTTCTCCAAATAATGATTACTAGGAAGAGGTGATTCTTTTAACATATTTTGAAAATTTGTATATTATGGTTTCAAATGTTTTACATTAAATACTTTATCATAATCAGTTGATATATCCACCTCAATTCCATAAATATTTAGTTTCCTTCAAAAACTATACTAATATAATAAGGCCTAAAGTACAAATTAGTTTGTTTAAATATCTTAAATTTTGTTGCAAACAATTTAGAATCACGATGAATCGATTCTATGCTCCATACTTTTTACTTTTTAGTACTACTAATTTCATACTCGCCTAAAAAATTCATCCACATTGAGTCCAACATTTGATTTGGCTAAATTGATAATGATTATATGGAAAATAAAATGAAGAAAATTTTAAAAATTCCGGCTACCACATCAAGTCAGATTTTAATAATTTTTAAGATTTCAATAATTTTTTTACAACCAAAATAAAACCCACATTAACTACACTCAGCGCTGATATTCACAGTTCAATTATAAAGTCATATTAGCTTTTTTTGGCACTTTCTTAGTGAATTCTTATAAAAAAAACAACAACATCCAATATCAAAATTGTTTCAAGTGATTTTTTGAACCATATTTAACACTAAAATACCTGAAGGTCCAGTTGAATAATTTTGTATGACAACCATCCAAAGTGATAATCTTAAAGATAATACACAGAAGGTGACTCTCCTGGATTTATTATTCGTACCACCGTTAATTTGTTTTAAATGTGGCTTTGCTCATGAATATGTAACCACCTTAGTTAAACATTTACAAGAATACCATGATTGTGAAAATTTAGTACCTCCAATAATAGATAGTGGGAAATATATATGTGCAATTTGTGATCTAGAATTTATTGATGAGGCTGCTTATTTACTTCATGAAAAAACTCATTATGAGAATGTCTCAAAAAAAAATCTTCTGGAGGATGAAATGAAAGCCAAACGGGAGCAGCATCTTGCTATTGGTTCTGTGGTAGACGTTCCTGAGGCAGTTTTAAAAAAAGGAAAACTTTATTGTCAGCTGAGACATGATGACGTAAATGCCACCGTCTGTTCCCTTAAATTCAGATCCCCTGCAAAATACAGACAGCATTGGTATCATACCCATTATCGAGTTGATTGTGATCATTGTGGTAAAAATGTGCTATTCCAAAATTTAAAAAAACATCAACAAACGATCAATTGTGGTAAAGTTGAACAACTGGAACAATTTATATGCAGAAAATGTAAGAAGTCGTTATTTGATAAAAAATCGTTGGTTTATCACGAGGTGGCTTGTGATCCACTGAAAATTGTTAAGACTAAAAAGCAACGTTGTGGTTTATGCAATTTGGAAATTGCAGAAGGATCAGAAGCTTTGGAAAGACATCAACAATCAGTTCGATGTAAAAGGTTAAGCAATAGACCATTGGAAGAATTTCATTGTGCTTTATGCAAAAAAGTGACCAATACCAAAAGAGGTCTTACCACTCATTACAAAAACCAGCATAATAACGAGCAAAACAAGAAAAAATCGGTTGAACAACATGTAAATGAAACAATTTTGGAACCCCTTTATGATGCATTTGGTGACTTAAATCTTAAATTCCAGAAACCATTGAAAGTGAATGATTCGTTCGAAATGGATGAAATAAATGATAGTGATGAAATATTGGAAATGATGCCTAATGTTGACCATATGTTAAATGATAATGATGAGTATATTTCCCTTGATGATCAAACAACAACCCACAAAGAGTTAAGTATTGGAGATAAAATCATGCAAGCTAACAAGGTTTGTAAATTTTGTGAAAATCAGTTCTATTCCAGTATGCACCTACTTCATCATTTCTTGAAGCATCCATTATGTTTGATACAAGCTATTGCAGAAACAGATTATTTACAAAATATAATCAGTCCACAGATTGTGTATGATATTACGGTTGAGCAAGCAGTTGAAAAAATGACAACACAACAAGAACCAATTGACTGTGCATTATGTATCGAGTACCTGGTGGAAAAGCCTGCAAACTTTTATACAGTAACAGCGTATAAATATCATTTAGCTAAAATTCATCAAATGATTTCACCAAAAGATCAAGAAATTTTCCTTGCAGGTGTTGAAAATTCATCTCATATCAAGGATTTCAGATGTTCAGATTGTAATTTGAAGTTTCATCGGACTGACAGGTTAAGAAGTCATATTGAGTCTCATCACATTAGGTATTCTCATAAATGTCCGGATTGCTTGGAAAATTATTCAAGTCTGTCATACATGATTAGGCATGAACGTACACATTGCAAAGCTGTTAAAAATTTGAAAGAAAAAATGATTGAACGGATCATAAAACTAGGACTCTTGTGTTTGTCTGCAATTGCTGAAGTAAATGGCACTGATATAAAATTGAAAAACTATTTGGACAAAAAAGCTGGTGTATATGAGAAAGTGGAAATTTTTTCGCACGATGAAAAAAAATTTGGTAGGATTATTGATCAAATTCCAAAGCCATTTTATCTCAAGAAAAAAAATTTTGAACCAAAAGAAAAAATTTACAAATGGATTAACCAGAACATAAACAAAAGCAACAACAAATCGGGTAATCTTGAAACATTAATACATGGCTCAGATATATTGACATTTCAGGAATTGAATAATCCGGATACAGACCCCATTGGATATATTCCCGGCTTTAATGCTTACAAGGCGGCTTCAGAACTGCAGGTAATCACGTTCATAAGAAAAAAAACTTTTGAAGTTTCAGAACCTGGTATCATTAATAACAAACTTAGTGAAAGATTCAAAAGCCGCTTTTACGATATTACTATTTCACGTGAAGGATTTGAAAGAACAATCTTAAATATATACGGGCCTCAGAATGATAAAAAAGAATTTTTAGAAGAAATTATAAGCATAATCCCAGACATATCAGATCCAAAATATATAATAGTTGGGGATCTTAATTTGAGTATCAGAGAAAAAGACACGCTTTTTTCGTCATACAGCAGAGGTTTCAAAAAACTATTTTATCAATTAGTGCAAAAGATAAAGGGAGTAGATGTACATGCTCACTTGGATCCTTCACATACATTGATTACTCATATTGGGCACTCATTCGCTCATAGATTGGACTATGTAATAGCAGATAAGACGTTTTTGAATCAAATTCTTGAATTCAAAGTCAGTTACCTTGGAATTGGAGATCATCTTGGTATTACTATTCGTTTCAGTTGTTCGGAAATTGATGCAGAATTTGAACATTTAGATTCGTGTGATTCCGAATTATTAATGTTAAGATTGGTCTTGGGTGCTAAGAGAAATAAGATTAATAGAGATTTTTTAAAGGTAAAGTTTTATGACTATAAACTGACTTCGGAATCAACGTTCATGGATACGTTAATAATGGGTTTTAAAGATGGCTTTGATCCAGAGTTGCCTTCTGTAAGTATCGAAGAAGAAGAAGAAGAAGAAGAAGAAGAAGAAGAAGAAGAAGAAGAAGAACAACAAGAACAAGAGCAAGAACAAGAACAAGAGCAAGAAGAGCAAGAAGAGCAAGAAGAGCAAGAAGAGCAAGAAGAGCAAGAAGAAAAGAATCAATTGTTGGTAGGATTAGATGCCGATGCTGTTGATACTCACGATAAAGGTGTTACGGTTAGACAAAATAAAGCTATTTTTACATCATCAATGCCCAAGAGAAGAAGAATTGCTCTAGCTCCAATAGAAAATGGAGTTTCCCAGATGTCTCATGGAGTTTCCAAATCTATACTATGAATTTTTTTCGAATATCTTGCTTCATAGTTGAGATATAGCTATTTACAAGATGCAAGAATCATAGCTATTTCACACAACAAGAAACATATAGATTTAGTTAGAAATGCAGTTATCTTTTATTTTTTTTTTTTTTTGAAATCAATATATATTTAAGCATAAGTATAAAATTATAAACTTAATCTATATAAGGGGCACCTGATGCACATGGTGTCTTAAGCTATTGTATTCGTGGAATAAAAATCAAAACGCATTGAAAATGAGCCTTAAAAAAACCACCTTTGGTTGATTTGTGCTTTATATAAGTATCTTGGACATTATGGTATATGTAGGATTATCAATATCCATCTTGCATTACTTTCAAATCTAACCAAAACTTCATCTTGCCTTTTCAAGGCTGGTCTTGGTTATGCCGTCAAAAACGTACCTTATTTAATACGTTTTCAAGATAGTTATTGATTTTGATGATTTGATTTTTTGATAATCTAGGATTTCCTATAATAAACTTCATTCCCCGATTTTATAGATTGAAGATGGAATGAACAATAAGTTTAGCCCGAAAGAACCTCATTACAAAGTCTTTAGTCTAGATTAATTAGCAGTCCACGTAATTCAATTTTTACGCTACTACTAATTATTTCTGCGTACCATTCAATTTTTTATATATCACATCCTAGAGAAACCAAATTTTATTGATTTTTTTTTATTTATCAGCTGCTAGTCATATATACATATTTCAATGGGAGTAGTATTAAGTTCTGTTGATTTCTCATTCTATGAAATTTCATAGTTTTAGTTTTCTATAAATATATGTAAAGTAAATATTTGTTGTGACTGAAGAGACATCATCTTATAATGCAATGCTTGTATCAAATATTTCGCTTTTGGTACTTAATAATTTTGATGTAATACGATCCAAACTAAATTTACCATTTATATATTTCAAACATAGTAGATATCATTTAAATCTTAAATCCTTGGACTTAGACCATTACTTTTCTCCCTCCTAAAATTATGAATTGGAGTTGAAAAAAAACGTCACTATTCATGGATGGTACCTGAGTCAAATTAGACAATTATTCTAGTCTTTTGGTAATATTGATCATTTAATCATTAACTCTAGACCTGATTCTTGAATATAATTGATAGGTAAACTATAATTGATTAAAGATTGTTTGATTCTATTAATAGTTTTAGTAATACTTGAACTTTAAGTAAATATGACTTTGTTATTGAACTATGTAAAAATACTATTATAGATCAATATCACATCCAAAACCCCAGAATGATTCCAGTGCAACTAGCGCTAAAGTTTTTCATGTTCCTTTTCAAACACAATTAATTATGCATTATTTGATGCTTTAAGTGATACAAGTATGCCAAATGATTATTCATATAGTTGATATTTCTTAAAACGATGATGTAATTCAAAAACGTAGTTTTATGTTATCCATATCGTGTAGTATGATTCATGTTGGTTTTTCTTTAATTATTACATGGTTGAATGGAATTAAAATATGAATAGGTCATGTAAATTTTCAGAAATAAGTATAAATTTTTTTAGTGTGATTAAGCTTTACTCTATTATATCTTTCAGGGATTCGCTTCGGGTGAATGAGCTTCTATTACTGCCTTTTCCATGTCTAGTTTTTGTTTTGGTGCATCGTCTGATCTATTTTAGACATTGTAAGTTTATTATTCCAAAAAGTCAAAACATTCAATACTTGTTCATTCAAAATTTAGCCCAGTGTAAATATGAGTTATATTAAATAACAAAGCCATTCATCAATATCAATAGTCAAATAAATTTTTAACATTCAATATGTACCGGCCCAATTGTATCCTGATGTATTCGTCTGCATGGACATTTGACTTGTCGAAATGTTTGATGATTGTGCAGTTTTATCTCTGATGTGTCGTTTAGTTGTGATTTAACTTTGAAGAACCCTCTTTCGACACAGGTTAGTTTATCTGAAAATATATGGTTTGAATTATTTCCAACACCATATATATAGGACCATGTTCGAGCTCCTATTATTGATCCAATATACGGATATACTCCTTTCTTTGCAACAGGAATTGCATTTTCTATTTTATCCCTTACGAAAAGAACTAGATTATATTACAAATTTGAATACCTTAGATCAGTGTGATACGTGTAAAGTGTTCACTTCAGCGTGAGTTATAGAACAGACATTGGGTATTTTTATTTGCAGATGATATATATTAATTTGTAACATTCCAAATAGTAGTGTTGTGAATTCAGTGTTAGCAAGCTTGTATTTCCTTTCCAAATCTTTATATAATTTATTAATAATCTTTAACTTATTTAATATCTCTGAACTCCTTGCTTTTGAATCAGACGTTATATTTTCTCCATTTGATTCATGTGTTGGTAAAAGAAACAATTCGTGAACTTCAATTCATTTGTTCTTGTTTTCCAAATCTTCATTAATGATTTAGCACTTTTAGTTAATGCTTTTATGTAGTCATTTACTTCACTACAATCATCTCTCTTTTCTTTAACAAGGGCGTTTGATCTCGGATGTTGAAAAACTTTGAAAACATTTGGGTGAATTTGATTTTGATTAGATGATAATCTACGAGTTGGTGACAGACTTGATAATATGATCTATTTCTTATCAGAATTTGGTTTCATTGGTTATTGTTATTAACATCATTTGTCATATTATTCGTTCTATTGTTTGAGGTCGTTGATTGAATATAATCAATACATTCTGATTTATTTATTTAGGAGTGAATTGAACACAAATTTTCACTGTTGTTAGAATCTCCTCATTATTTGGAATTTTGGTTAACTTATATTCTTTTCAATTTTTGAAATATAAATTTGATTTTTTACAAAACAATCAATAAAATCCATAATATATTGCTGTTTGATACTTATCGCTAAATTTCTACCAATTAACCTTCACTTAAATATAAAACAAATTCAGCTAACTCGTCACTTTATAATAATTTTTCGTTGTTTCTTCTTTCTCAGCGAATAACTTATAATAAGGTGTATTAAATTTGATAACTAAATTTGAGCAAATTTATTATGGATAGTATTTGATTATTTAGGATCAACATATTTATCTAAAAGATCCCCAAAAAAAATGTAGAACAATATCATCCCGATGAGTTTTTTCATCTCTGGTTGATTACAATTTTCCATCTTGTAAAGTTTTGTTCGGTTTTTCATACAAATATTCACCGAAATATTGTGCTGAATGTTCAAAATGTATTATTTTATAGTATCTATTTTAGGACTTAATTCATTTAATGTTGTGATTGCTTCTTCAAAACCACTGTAATAATCACGTATATCATCATGTTTTATTTCTATTTCTATTTCGTTAAACAGTCCCCAACTCTATATTCAATGATGGCATTTCATCAGTAAAATGTTTGTTCATATTTTTACATCCTCTATTTACCCAATCTCTTGCCGCTTGAAAAAGTATACATTACAGCAGGTTCTGAATAATTATTCTCTTTAAATTAAAAGCTATGGTCATTTTCCTTAGTTTCTGCTTTTCGTAACATTTTGAACTAGACTCTATATCGTCGATTAATTGATTACTTTCACGTTTTTTTCTTCTTCATTCCTCTGAAATAATATCATGATTTTAAGTTGTATTCTGATTTTGGTTTAGCTTTTCAATACCTCTCTTGTGTGAACCTCTTACGCTTATCCTTGATAATTCATCTTCATGATTTAATTTATATTGATTTTTTAAAATATCGAAAAAAAATATGACCATACTTCAATGATCTATTACTATCCACTAAGTGATAATCATTACTGGCTTTGATTTGTCGTGATTTGAAGCAAATGCGATAAAATCAGTGATATTAGTTTCGTTGTAATTAACTTCTTACCTAATGATCTTTTGAAACTTTCAATCTTTGCTTTTGTGTAATTTTACTCAGTCCATCGTCTTCACGATAAAAAAATACGAATTAGATTTACCTATTATTTAAAAATAAACTCCATCTATAATTTCATCTATTCAGTGTATAATTTTCAACTTTCCATAGCAAAACTAGAAAAATCAAAACAATAATAACCAACAAATTCAAAAGATAATGTTGTCTCAATCATCTTTTATGGGGTAGATATTAACATACAATAATTGAACTATTCTTTGTAACAATCCATTTCATCTAAAGATTTAATTTTAACAATTTATCCGACTTATTGACGATCAAGCTGTGGTAATTTGATTGATTTGTTACGTTACAGGAAAATATTAAATCATAGCAGGATATTGAAAAAGAGGTAATTTGTGGTAAATGGGTAGAGCCTATAGTTGAATTCAGTCATTGACAATATGAAAGTGATATTTAAATCTTGAAACTTCCTATTTTAGTAATAAAACCTGAAGTTAATACATCGTGTGGACAATGAGTGATTATTGAGAGGGAGAAATTTATATGGGTTCAGTGATTCTTTTCTATCTGGATATCGAACACCAGATACAAAACTCATGATTTCAATCTTTAATTATCAGCTGTTATCATATTTATTCAAACGTGAGGTAAAATATGGTTTGTTATCTTATGACTTACTATTTTGCACTTACAATCTGATTTCCATGTTGATTGTCCTGACAGTGAATTCGGTCTCCGTCAAACTATGATTTTGGGAAAAACAATAAAATGATGACCATGAAAATAGAAGTAATTGACCTAATTATAGGAAAATATATTTACGAAGATTAAATAACGTGAAATTGTGATTTGATTCAGTTGCTAGCACTATGGTCGTATCAATTTTATTAGTGTGATCTTTTGAATTTTTCACAGGAAATAAATTTAAATTTGTAAAGAGTGATTTATTTGCAACAAAAGTTGAGATTTTTTTACAGCAAAATCTTTCGCATCAAATTCAACTCCATAAGTTTATTGCAACTCTGCTTTCAAAATTTAGCCTTAATATCAATTTTTTTTTTTGCCTTTTTAAAATCAAATCTAATTTTAATTTCACGATTAACCATGTCCAAAAGATTTGCAACAATTGATGATGCTGTTGCAAAAAGAACAAGAAGCTCTTCAAAATTATCAAGGGGATACTTTCACAGTCAACCTGATGGAATTGACTCATTATCATCAAATTTTACAAGAGTTTCAAAATCCAAACTCTTAACCGGAATCAAACCTATGGTGAATTTGAAAAGTGACTGTGGTAACATTCGTCGAACTACTAGAAAAGAAACACATTTATTTGATGGACCAGATATTAATGTGGGCTAATCATCTTCACTAGCAATTGGTATAAATAAAGTCTTGCTTAAGTAAAAAGTATGTTGACTTATTGAAGTTGAGCATTGAGTATAATATTACTAACGCTGTTCAGATTATTTCTCAATTATCACAAAAATTAAAAGGTAAGGAGAACTTGATTGTTAAATCTTATAAAGCTGTATTAACTCAAATCATTACGCGGATTGTTCACAAAAAATGTTAGAAAATGAGGTTTTGATTGATCTATTTAAAAAATCCTTCGATACACAAGCTCCACCAGAATTATCAACACAAGACATTGCAACATACAGAAGTCGGAATTACATTAAAGGTGAATTGAAACCTTATCAACTCGATGGTTTACATTGGCCCATATCCCTTTATAATGGCCCCGGTCTGGTGTTCGGGTGATGATATGGGTCTTGCTAAAACACTCCAACTGATTTCTTTTTCAAGTTATATAATTCACTTCAAACAAAAAATTTATCGTTATTAATTGATCCTTTGACTACACTAGACAATTTATCTCAAAAAAATGGAATACGAAATAAAAAAATTTATCTTGCTACAAGGTGATGAAGGTCACGTAAAGAAATTACAAATGAAGCAAAAAATAAAACATTTCAAGTATTGATAACCTAATTTGAACTCGCTGATATAGAAAGTTCGTTCTTGAACAAATTCATTTAGGAATCTTTAATAAAAGACGCAAATCATTGTGTTAAAAATTATGACTCCGTTTTGTTTCAAAAATTACAGTCCTTTGAAACATCATTCAAATTATTTTAACAAAGTGAAAGGAGTTGGTGGTTCTTAATAAACTAATTAGTATTTTGAGACCAGTAATATTCCGTCGGTTCAAATCACAAGTATTATTGTTACCACCTAAAGTCGAAACTGATTTATACATAAAACTTAGTTCAGCTCAAATGGCCATTTATCAACAAATTTATGGAACTAATACAGTAACAATAACAACAAAAAAAATGGTCAGAAACTAGAAATTTAAAAGACAACAACTTGCAATCATCCTAATTTATTTGATGGTATTGAAAAAGATCCTCCATACGATGAAAATCAATTGATTCAAGCATCACAAACAATAATTGTTTTTGATCAATTAATACAAGAACTTAAGTCAAAAGGTTCAAGAATTTGATTTTTTCACAAATGACATCGATGCTTGATACTTTGGTGAATTTTTGTACTATAAAAGATTTTCAATTTTTGAGAATTGATAAAGATACTACCCATACCGAAAGATATTAAGCAATTGATCAATTCATTGCTCAACAAAGTAATAAATATTTGTTTTTATTGAGTACTAGGGCTGGTGCTCTAGGTATTAATTTAACAAAAGCTGGTTTTGTTATATTGTATGATTCTGACAGGAATCCACAAGTTGATCTTCAAGCCATTAGTAGAGCTCATAGAATTGGACAAAATAATACGGTAAAAATATTTCGATTTATCACTCAATAACGGTTGAGGAACATATGTTAGAAAAAGCTTATAAAACAATTAAATTGGATCATTATATATTTTCAAACAATTATTCAGATAGGACTCATTTGGAGCAGGATCAACTTGAAATTCTGGCCAATTCAAATGTTCAAAATTTACTTTATAATTCCATTGTCATATATTAACATAAAAAGATCCAAAGTTTATCGATCAAGGATTGTATCGATCCTGATATCAATATTTTAGACATTGAATCATTTCACTAGGATATGGTAATAAAAAAGAAGAAAGAAAAAAAAAAGAAAATATTATACTAGAACGAAGAAATAGAAAATTTGGATTACATTGGTAAAATATTTTGAATAGATTAAAACTTGTATAAGAAGCTCAATTCATGAACTTATGAAAAAAGTTCATGTAAACATTTATCTAATAATGGAATTTTTTTAATAGTCAGTCATTCATTAAACTTGATCAACTCTTTGTACTATGTATCTTACTCTCACATAAGCAATTTCAATGAGCAGCTTAGATTGGGCTTTCACCTTCGCTTCACACTTGTAGTTCATTTTGAATCCCATGTGAATAACCCTGTGTAACAATATTAACTCTTACCCAAAGTAACTCGCTATTTGAAAAATATATGTTATTTTTCCATTGTGGCTATATCAGAGGCAAACAATCAACATCGTATCAATTTGAGGTGTTTTAAATCATAAACACGTATTTGGTCAACAAGAAATTTTATTTCCCAGATACTCTTCCAGTGTTCGTGGCATCCCAAAGATGATAACCTCCCTAAAGAAATTAATACCCATTGTAAACTTTTATGGAATAAAAGTCTATAATATGTTGTACGAATTCATTTCTAAGCATTTAAGATCATTAATAATCAAATTTGTTTGCAAATGGTAAAACTCTAATTTCAATTCAATCTATATATCTCCAGCTATTTGAATGTTGATGCAATGGAAATTTTCACAAATCCTTTAAACAAATATTGTTTTTGAAAACGTGCCGGCTTTGAACTTTGAAATATTTGTACTCCATTAACAGTTAAGTTTAAACGCTGAATAAATTGATGAGGATTCGGTTTAGGGTAGTAGTGATTTGTGATTTGTTAAGTGCTTGCTTCTTAGTTTGTCTGGTCTCAATATCATTCAATCATCTGAGTATAAGTAATTCAACCTATAACAAAAAGTTTCGAATGAATTTCTATAGTATGAAAAGATAACATCTGAAATACAAATACTAGTGATTAAATCTGAATTCATGCTGAATATGGGTACTTCTATGTTCTTTGATGGATGTGTGAAAATTAAATATTTGTGCTGATGATAAAGATTGTTATGAATTTATCGTACTGGTTTAAGCCAAGCTGAACACATGATTGTACGAACCTTGAGAGGAGTGGTAGAAACGTGATATCAATGAAAAAACTATTTTATTTGGATGGTAATAATTGTTGAATTATATATGGCTTAGTTTTATCAATGAAGTGACAAAAGACGACTGATTTTTATATCTCATAATCAATAGTTCTCATTACAATTAATCATGTCATTTGTGTTGTACACTTAGTCAGTCATGTCAAAAACTTACAAATGCTTTATATTGTGGTCAATGTTATTGCAATGATATATTTACAGACGGCAATCTATTATTGTTGTTTGCACTTTTGGTCTTGTTTGTAGCTAAAAGCCTCTTTGAAATGAATTACAAGGTTCGAAGGAGACTCTTTCACCTTTGACAACCTCACTATATCCATTCTTATTTTATTATTAAAATATTCTTGCTCAAAATCAGAAATTATTTATCATCTAAAGTTCATTCATTTGAATCATTTTAATTAAACCTGGTTAAAAAATTTTCCATGCAGTGGTTTTTAGTTATGCCATGCTTATGATAGGTAATCAATTTTTTGTAATAGCAAGTCGATATACTAGTTACGTTAAAACTGTTATCGATAATTTAGTATCGTTGACTTTATAAATCTCAGTGATAAATTACATGCAGCTATATTATAAATTGAATCAATGACGTTCGAAGTATATTTCTGTGCGTTACACATTTTTTTTCCCAACATGCAGAATCGAATCAACAACTCCTTGGTAAAATATGTTCTTTGGTTCTGTTTTATCAATAGTCGTCATTGAGAACCTGATGAACATAATCTACTATGCTATACTAATGTCGCTACCTAAGCATAAGAAGTCGTATTTGTGGGAATTGTAGCTTGTGCTATGACAACAAGACGGATATCATGATACATGATTAAAGCAATTGCTAATAAATGAATTTTTGTAGTTGTATATAATCAGCGAGTATAAAGCGATGTGTTTTGCAACTAAGACTGATTAAAGATTTTTTTGACTTAAAAATACGAAATAAAATTAAAATTATGATTACGTAGTGCAAAAAAATCATTATATCACAAAATCGTTTTGGCATGACTTATATTTCCTATTTAAATTACAACTAAATCCTTCTTTTTATTTTTTACAACCAAAAACAACTTCCTTTTGATAGTAAAGGGTTTATTTTCAATCATTATAGTTATTTCCAAAAATAAAATTCATATTCTTTCATAAATTATATCATCATTCAGCTCATAGAGTTGAAAAACTGTTACAGTACGTTATTGAATGTTGTAATTTTTGTTTAAAGTTTTGAAAGCATTTCATTTCATAATGGATCAAACTCCTTCAATGCCTGGTGCAGCTTTAATTCCGGCATCGGAAACTTCAAATATCGCCTTAAGGAATATAACTAATCGTGAACAAAGGTATAACAAAAGACTTTTAAGAGCTTCTTCGACGTCTATTAGAGCAAATGCTTCAAATTTGGCACTAGGTAGTAATGGGGTTACATTAGTTCAAGGTGATCAATCGGTCTCAACGTCATCTGTTTCAAATTCAGCTGAATCAAATGGAAATGTTTTAAACGGAACTGTTTCAAATAGTCGAGATCCCACTACTGGCTTGTATCATTGCCAAATCCCAGGATGCGTGAAAAGATACAATAGTAAAGGTAGTTTAAGATTACACAATCTTTCTCATGGCGATAGAACTTATCAATGTTCTACTTGTGACAAATCCTTCTACAATCATAATGCTTTACGTGAGCACCAGAAAATTCACACAAGAAGAACAAAGACTTCATGCACTCATAATGGATGTTCAAAAACATTTACAAACCCTAAGTCGTTAACTCAGCACATAAAAGATGTTCACGAACGCCATACCTGGACATGTAAAATTTGCAACAGAGCCTTTCAAACATTTAATGATCGCAGATATCATATGAGAAGTCACAAAACTTTCGCATGTGCAAACTGCGACAAAAGATATATATCTCAAGAAAATTTAGACAGACATGTCAGTTCAGTTCATTCTTAATTTGTTTTTGCTGAATTATAGCTAGGTGAGGAGATGATGATTATTTCGATCTGATTTGGTTTTGGTTGCTGTGATTACAAATCTATTAGTTTGTCCTTATTGCTTTTTCTTTTTTTTTAAATGGTTAGGGGTTGTTAAGCAACTGGTTGCTTATCGGGAGTTGTTTTAATTCTATTTATACATTGCTTATATTTTAATTCTACTTATAAATTGCTTACAGTATCTTTTAATTTTACTTCCAATTTATTTCTTGATTATGAATAGTTGCGTTATTACGGACTTAAAATATTTTTATATGTAATGAAAGTCTTTGATGAACTGAATCTAGTGTGTGACTTGGTGAAGGACTCAAACAATTATTAGTACACCTACATGTGATCTGATTCATGAAGAGGTATTTCACTGTCTTCACTTTAACTTTTTACTCTCATCTATGATATATTTTTTTTCTCGAAGATTTGATTCATCGATGTCTTTAGAAATTTACATGTTTGATAGCGTTACCAAGCGAAAAAGTGGCTAGTTCCCCTCATAAAATTAATGTCTATTCAAGCATTTTAACCTCGTTTTATATCAATTTACCAATTGGAGGTTTTGCTTTACTTGTTTTTTTGTTTTCATTTCGTCCTCCCGCTCCAAAAGGTGATTATTTTAAACAATTGAAAGAGTTTGATTACATTGGATTAGTACTAATGATTGGAGGTATTACTGTTTTTATGTTAGCTTTAACATTTGGTTCTTCTAATCATTCCTGGAATTCAGCTGCTGTTATTGCATGCTTTGTGGTTGGAATTGTAGTTACTATATTATTTGGTATTTGGAACTTTAGATACTCAAAGAATCAAATATTGGGAACTGATATTGTCATTATTCCTCAAATTATTGCAAGTACTGTTTGTTTATCTGGAGTATTCAGTTCATTTATTGTTACAATGATATATGGATCTGTGTATTTCCAAGTTATCAGGGATTCCAGTGCAATGGGCGCAGGGCTACATTTATTACCCTGTATTATATCAGTTGTTGTATCTTCAATAGTTTCAGGAGTTTCTATTCAAAAATTGAGATTCATCAAACCTTGGAATGTGTTATCAGGAATATTAGCACCGGTTGGAGCTGGGCTTTGTAGTCTATTACAAGTGGACTCATCATTTTCTCAACAAGTGGGTTTCTTGATTTTAACTGGGGTCGCTGCTGGTACTCAAATGCAACCAGCTATTATTTCAGCACAAATAAAGGCACCAAAAACTCCAGGTGGAACAATTATGACAACTGTTTTTATCAATACAATGAGAAGTTTAGTCTCAGCAATTGCAGCAACATTATCAGATGCGGTATATACATCAAGTTTGAAGAACAACTTTAAATCTGCATTACCACAAGCTAGTCCGGATATTCAACAAACATTAGCTAAAATAAATTTATCAAGCATATTGTCATCGAATACAATTTTAAAAGAATTAGATCCTGCAAGTCAATTATTCATCAAGCAACAAATGGTGAAAGCTATTCACAATGTCTTCTATATGTGTATTGGATGGTCAGCGCTAACAACTATATCATGTGTATTTATTACAAATCAAAAGTTACCTGACATGGTTGCAATGGAAAAGAAAAAAGAAGAGGAAGTCAAGCAATTGGAGGAAAATAATCAAGAAAATGCAGTTAATGATGAAAATACTAGTGATGAGTCAAAGGCTGTTAACGATCATAATTCAATTTCTTCGTTGAGTGACGGTGTTAATGAAAGTGAGAAAGTTAAAGGCATTGATGACAAGTAAGGTTTAGTGATGTAAATAATAATCCTTGTATATAGTTAATAATTCATAAAAAATAATCAGTAGCGTAGTTTAAATTGTAGCACAAATAATCATTAATGCAATTTAAATTTCTAACAGTTTAATTTTCTTTAAACTATTTTATAATCAATATTAATATATCATTTATTAAACGAGAGAATAAACCTCAACAAAAGAGATTGATTATAATAATGATAGTTAATGTGATATTAATCACCTGCAAACAAATTACTATTATAGTTTCAATTATTGAATTATATTATTCCTTAACCTTGTTTATAAAATCTGGCTTGACCTTTGGCTCTTCTAATCATTCCTGGGCTTCAGCTGCAGTTATTGCATGTTTCGTTGTTGGAATTGTAGTTTTTTTTCTTTTCTCTCTACTATATACTATATAATTTCGGATTTGAGTAACAAAAACCTTGTTTCATTTTACGCTACCATTTTTTGAAAATCTTATTCTTTTTATGAATTTGTAATAGTAATATAAAACATTCATGGCTTTCTTTTTCATTTAATTTTTATCGAAAGTGCATGCGTTTGTTTATTGTCAATTTATTTTGCAGAATCTAAAAAAATAAACCAAAAGAAATGCAATTCATTAGTAACGTTCTATTTTGCATCTCATAGCTTTGGAAAACTAATATGAATGGATGGATATATACATGTTTGTTAAATCTGAATAGATCAACACTAACAAAAAATAGATATTTGAAGCATGAGTTGCTTAAAACTATAGCCACCAAGAATTCGTCACAGCGGTGTTGTTTCGAATATTGAATTATGGAATAACACCCCTAAAGCCGCTGATAAGTATTCTGCTCAATATTATACTTATCAATAATATTAGCTCCCAGACTTGAATCAAGCACTGTCCCACTTTAATTACAGCATTTCACAAAATTATATTAATTGATTGTCAAAAAAATATATTTATACCTACTAATTCTCTACGTTTAAATCTCAACAAGTATATATCGACTATTCAGAATAATTTGTTTTTTAGTTGAATGTTCCAGCAAGGAAAGTGTGCCGTATACGTTTTGAGAACGTCTTCTGCAATATAATTAAGAATGAATCAATAAGATCACATGATAAATCTCATTTAGACTCGATTTTGCCACTAATTTTGAAGATAATAGTTTTCCGTCAAAATAAGACTTTTACTTTTCAAGATACGATAACCTGTACTACTAAACCGATTTTGGGTAAGTTTGAAATTTAAAAGCTCACCTCGTCTTTCTCTTTAATAGGCTTTGTCTTTAATAGTGATTACATAAAGTTAAGAAAAAACTTATAGTATTGAGGTACGGATGTTTTCTGTAAATTAGAAAATGATTTTATTATACGGGACTAGTTTTAAATATTTATCATTCAGAAGGTCTCATGTTCTGCATGTTACTGTCAAGGTAAATTCTTTAACTATCAAATCTGATGTGATCTTCAAATTCTAAAAATTACCAAACATTTGCAACACTTTAAAGAAATTTAGCACAAAATATATAGGTATCATAAATTGCATATGTACTGATATGTCAGCACTCGAAAAATTACCAAACATTACTCACTGACACTTTAAAGATAATATAAATGATATACAAACTGATTACAGATTATTACTGTGATTTAGTTTGAATAAGTTCACTAAAGAGTTCATAGGAGTATACTTTACTTTAATCAAAGTATGTAGTGTACCGTACAAAATTTAGAGGTCGTACGACCGTTAAAATTTGGTTTTTAGCACAAAAATTGTAAAATATTTTTAGATTTTGTGATTTAAACCTAAAAGTTGAGTAACCATAGATTTTGTGGTAGTAATTAAGAAGTAGTGAGAAAAGATGAGCCATTTACAGAGTATCTTAAATCAAAAATTAAATTGATGAATTTGCAACTGAGCCAATTGATGATTTACGAAATTTGAAAAAGTGTGAAAATTAATTTTTCAGATTGAACGACTTGTAGTTGGTTATATTTTTAAATTTTTAATAAACCATTCTAGAACTTAAACTAATATAAGTTTAAAACGTTTGATATAAATCAAAATACCTTATTTTAATTATCCTTTCTAATTTAATCATTTTGTATCAACTAAACACTGTTTAACAACTTTAACCGTTATTTACTATTCAAAATACTGTCCTGTCAAACAATATTAACTTATGTATGCGAGAGATCGACGATTGAGATCTTACACTTTTAATTAGAGTGACAAAGTTGAACAGAGCCTCATGAGATTTTTGTAACCAATAACATAGCAAAGATAGGTCAATTGTAAATCTTCAAAATAATATAAGCTTTTATTGTTTTATTGTTGAGTAATTAACGAGGAAATAAACGGGCATTAACTTTTTAATTTTGCACAGTTACCCTATCGTTTAGTTAAAGCTTTGTAACGATAGAGTTTTGTGATGCTCATTTATTGATGTAAGTAATTAATTTTGTAAAACATTCAAAGTCTAAAGTAAAACAAGTAGATTTGTTTTATAGATTTTGTGATGAATATATTTTTAGTTTATTATTATATTCAATTCGTTAGTTCTAGATTTGTTTAATTTTAAACCTTAAAAAATAAAGGGATAGAGAATGGAATTGGTATTACCATGAAATTTCAAATTTTCACATTTCAATTTATAAATTTTCCTCCATCACACTTACGAAATGATAAATGAAGTTTAAATGTTTCTTAAATAGAAGTAATACCTCGCTCAAGAGATTGCATAACGAATGATTGCTTCTGCCATTTCTATTATTTCCTCCCTTTTAAGCGCTTTTTATTTGAAATGTTTTCATATTTAGGAACCAGATCTAAGCAGAGAATAAAAAAAAGGTTGGTCTAGGGGTAGTTAAAATCTAGTGAATTAAACACAACTCCATAAAATTCAACTATTATAACTTTTTCACGAACGGGTTAATTTTCCTCATTGAACCCCTATCCTCAAGTTCATTAAACATAAAGTTACATCAATGAAATAATAATAATATATTATTCTTAAATTGACTTGTGAAAATGAAAGATGTGTAAGTTGAGATTTATACAGGACCCAAAGCAATTTAAAGAGTTCGAAGTGTTGAATTCCATAAGTTTATCTAATAGGTTTGATGACATGTGATAGAAGAGTCGATCATGAAGCCGTTCGTAAGTATTTGATGTGATGCAATTTAAATTTATCAAAAACCACACCTGATTTAATTGATATATTAACAATCATCGGTTTTATTAGTTAGTATAGATAAAAGAGAAAATATAGGTAACCCTGTAGTTAACTTTTGACCAAATTCAGCCTGAAAAGGATTAAATAGTGGAATATAATAGGGGATGAAAATGAATGAGATGTGTGGTGTGCATATAAAAGAACTAAATGAAAAAAAAAAAACAAGAGGTAGTGTGAATCTGACTGAAAAATTTGAAAAAATATTTTATTATTTTTCAAAGGTTTGTATAATCCAGTAGTGAAACATGAAATATGTTCAAACACAAAATATCATAATTTTGAAATTATTATCAATTAATAAAGAGTGTTTCTAGACCCCTATTCTCATAGAGAAAAAAATTAAGGATGAGGGATAAAATATGAACTTTTTTATTGGCCCTGGGTTTAAAGTTGATAGATTAGAAGAAGGTTCAAATTTCAATTCAAATTTAAAAATAAAACCTCTATCTACTCATAGAAGATAAGCATAAATGATTAACTCTGCATTATGTCTCTAATTAAAAATGACATTAGGAATGTAGGAGAAATGATTATTGATACACTTCAAAGGCAAATCTTTTTATGTATGTACTTACATACCGCTATTGAGTCAAAATTTTATTTTCTTTTGTTTTACTTTATTTTACCCTGACCATTTTTTTCTTAGACTAAGTTTGAATTTGATGGACCTGATGATCAGAGGCGAGATCCACTCTTAGTTATGCTTTTCACTGGAAGGCATTCAAATGATACAAAGGTGAAACTTTTTATTAATATCTTATTGTTTAGTGTTTAATTTAATTTAAACAATCAATATTAAAGAAATGTAGCCTCAAAGGTTAATCTTAACATTAAACTGATACTTGATAAAACAATAGAAATATACAATTTTAAACTTTCTTTAAATTTACGTTAAAGCCATTACATGTATAATTACTTAACTAAGTTAATAATTAATTAAAATTATTATAATTGTATTTTAATTTTAAATTCTTTATCCGATACAGAGAGATAAAAAAAAGGGAGCAATCAGAAATGGGCTAACAAATAAGAATAGCTCAATTACAATTGGTTTAATGCTTTTCTTTTTGAAATAACAGTTATGGATGAAAAGATAATTATCGATGGTGCCTTTGATTTGTTCCAAATATATTTAGTTCAATAGTACATATTTTAGAAATATTACTTCTCTCTACTAAACACTAACAATACTTTAATGAATTTAACATAAATTAATTAACTCTAATGTAATGTATATTGAGTTATAATAATTTCTAATAAATTAAATACTTATATAAAAAATTATTATAATCTGTGTTTTGTATAACTTTTATATACAAGTGGTAGCTTAACTAATTCTATTAATTAAGAAGGTGATAAATTAAATTTATACGCAGTAACTTTGAGATAGATTTCTTTTTTTTTTTAATTTTTGAAACAATTCAATACACCTTTTCTTTTTTTTTACAACCAAAATAATTTCCAATTTCATCAACCAACTTCATCATACATCAACTTACCAATTGAATCACATTTGCCATCCCCACAAATATTCTTGGTCACCAGATCTCAACCGTTGAAAAGCACCAAAAAGTAAAAACAGATTTCTTTTTTTTCTGTTTATTTTGATACAGGTATTTGAATAACACACAGTCGGATTAACAGTTCTTTTAATCACGTAATTCAAGAACTTTGTCGTTTCTTTTATCAAGGGTTCAATATAGTATTTGCATTCGAAAAAGGAGATACTAAAATATAACAGCAGACCAAATATACTAGTCCAAATCTTTAAAGATATATAATTTAAATCAACTATAAAATAAATATATAATCAATTACACACACATAATAGTACATTATCTCATCAATTAGCGATTAGTAGATACTAAATTTTTGAAATATAATGAGTGATTTTGGTGGACTAGGAATTGTAATAGAAGAAAATGAAGATAACAAACGACATATAGATCATGAATTACCAAAGTTGAAATTACAACAACAACAAATAATTCAATCAAATTCAATAGTTTCATCTCCGTTACCAACACCAAATCTGCAACAATCATTCCATCAACCAAAATTAAGTATGTCATCAAAACATTCAAGTAATGCTAGTCTATCTAGTATATCACACAAATCATCTTCTCAATCATTAAATCATCCAATAACGACGAATCAACAAATTCTTCCTCAACAAACTTCACCAAAATTAAATTTACATATACAATCACAACAACAACAGTCTCAACCAATTTCACAACAAATCATAAATGATAATAAAATTGAAATGTTATTACCTCCATTACCAGATGCACCTGAAGATTTAAGATCTCCATTAATATCAAATTATAATTCAAATATACATGATGATCAAAATTCAACTTCTTCTATAACTTCAAACGATAATCAACAACCAAGTAATCATGATGATACAAGTACTAGTCAAAGTGTTTATTCAAATGAATTTAATCAAATTTATCAAAATAATAAAAGTTCTTTTTCAAATTATGCATTAGATTTTCCAACTATAGAAGAACAACAACATAATCAATCACTGAGTAATTTAAGTTATTTTCCAACTTTAAAAAGTTCAAATCAGACAAGTACTGTTAACTTACATGATTCATTATCGAGTATACCATTAAATAATAGTTCAAGTTCAGTACCACAATTATCATCACTAACAACTAATTTAAATCAAACTAATTCAAGTGATTCATCTACAACTACCGAAAAGACTAGTCCATTAAAAAAATTAAAAAGTTTAAAAAATGGTATAAGGAAGTTATCTTTGGGAAGTAATAATAATTCGAATTCAAACATATCAACTCCGATTACTCCAAAATTTCCTAATTTAGCTTCAACAAATTCAGTTACAAAATCTTTTACATTAAGACCAACTTTAACTCCATTACAATTTGATAATGATAATAAATCTTCAAATTTAACAATTGCTACACCAACTCCAATCCCGCAACCAAATACTTCAAATACGAACCATCAACATCATCATTCATCTTCTTCGTCTGCATCTACATCATCATCACTTACTTCAATACTACGTGCAAAAAGAGTTAGAGCTTCATCACAAGGTAATTTTAACAATAACAATAACAACATAAACCCAGTTTTTACACCAATTACTCCTCCACCAATGGTATCACCAATTATTACAATAAGTGAGAATTTACAATCAAGTAAAACAACAATGAATAATATGGAACAAAATTATTTTGAATCTTTAGCTACTCAAACAAATTCAACAATTTCATCAACTACATTAACATCATCTCCAAATACCAAAACAATTCAACCAATAACATCAATTGAAGAAATGAAAAATATAAATGATTTAATAAATTATTTTCATTTTTTATATAATCAAAAACAATCAATAAGTAAAATATTTGAAAAAACAAAAGAAAAATTAAATAAATCTGGTTGGTGTTCAACTACAGATTTAAATAATTTACAATTACAACAAGATTCTCAAAATTGTCAAATTGATTCAACAATTGCTAAAATTGAAGAAAAATTAAATAGAGATTTTAATTATTCTATTATAAATCAAAATAATTATTTTACTGATGATGATAATGAAAATGAAAGAGAAGATGATGATGAAGAAGTTGAAGATTACGATATTAAAGATGAATTTAAAAATACTATTAGTCCAAGTTTAAAAGTTTTAGAAAGTAGATGTTTTTCATTCAATGATATTTAATTTTGGGATCCATGGATATATTTTTACGAATTAATGATACTACAAAATTTAAATTGTAATTTTGTTTATTTCAGTTCTGTTTTTTTTTAACTTAGCTTAGCTTATGGAAATTTTTTTTTATTATAGATTAGGATATAGATTATGAATAGATAAAAAGATTGATTTTTTTTACTTTAAAGTTTAGTTTACGATATTTAGTTTACGAATTGATGAGTTTAAGTGATATCGATAAAAATGTAACAAGTGAGCAATTGCTGAATAACCTCGCTTTTTCTTTACAGACTCTAATTAAAAAATTACTTACATATGGTTGGAAACAGTCTATCCTATACTGGTTCATAACAAGTAATACCTTACAATTTGAAAAATTTCAATAAAATGGAAGTTGAAGTTGAAAAATTACAGGTTATGAGATATGAAGTTGTGTAAACTCATCAAAAATTAATTAATTGAAAAATAATTTTTAAAGGTTTGGCCTTAAGCTATTTTACTCAAGATACATTAAATTTAAGGCACTTTTTCACTTTTCCAAAGGTATTGATTCTAGACCATGTCTTATTGTTTTATTTTTGTACTATATTGTATTTTTATTTTTATTTAACCGGGTTATTGATTGAGATTGACGAGGAAATTGATGTATCAAAGTATTGTATTGAAACAAACTCGACATATTACTTTATTGTTTTGTATGCTTGCTTTTCAATGTATGATGTATATCTGCGTTGTAAATCATTATTCATTTGCCAGTCCTATAATATTAGTTTAATTGGCTTTTTCTTGTTTCCATGATTTACATAATTTTTCACTTAGTTTCTTGGTTTGAATCCAATTCATCTCATTTAAGTGGCTAAGACGAAAAATTTTTACTAATAGTTTTTAAATTAAAATTTGATGCACTTTAATCAGACGACTTCATTATAGTGCTCATGAAAGAATTACGAAAATGAAGGTGTTATTGCCATTAAATCACAGAATTTGAATGAGCTATGTCATCTCATATCTATGAATTTCAATTTTTAGTTTTTGATAAGCAAAAACAAACCACTTCGTTAGCTTGAATTTCTTTTAATGTTTCTTTATGGCTTGAGTTTTCATTTTAATAACTCTTCAAAGTATGTGTAGTAAAAATGTTTCGAAATATTAAGATCCGAATAAATACATAGATTAATAAAAATAAGCATAATTCAGTATGAGGTATATAATTCGCAACTTTTAATTTAGCAATTCTTTTCCCCTCCACTCATTCATTGAAAATATTAAATGGTGCAGTGAATAGAATGCATTCGTATCAAAGAAGAAAAGAAGAAGGGTAAAATTAATTAAATTTGGTGATGTTGTAAGAAGATTTATAGTGAGAGAAAATTTTTGGAATTATTTAGTCGTGTAATTTCACTAGATCCATTTGTTCTTAAATGAACTAAATTAACTATTAAAAGTTTCAATAGGATATGGGACTAATTATTAGGTATATCTGTCATAATTATTAGGTATATCTGTCAAAATGCTGACCAGTAGTAGTAGTAATAGCCAGGCGAGTTGAGAAAATGTAGGTGATTAAAATTGCTTTAGCTTTTAAATTCGAGACATGAATTGTGAGCCTTATTCAACCAAGAATTAAGATATACCCTTAACAAAAGCTTCCGAATATCTCCATGAATATTGTTTATAATAGCTGATTGATAGCATTAAGTACGGCTAGTCTATTTTTAACATTCGTGACATGTTTCGAAAACCCTATTCATTTTGCAAAGTAGTTTGACTCTTATTATCATTTGAGATACAAGCGTAATGCCTCAAAATCTAGAGATCAAGCTCATATTTTTCATAACATCGATTGTTTTGAATCATAAAACATCAATTTCAAATTGGCTATTCAGACTCCTGATGTTGTGGGCATAAACTGATTTTGAATATTAGAATTAAAATTATCAATGTGTTGATTTTAAATTATCGCGTCTCAACTCATTTGATAAAAGTACAGTCCAAACCTATGATTTCAAGCATCAATTATTTCATAATTACTACTATTTCTTATCAATAATCGTCTTGAAAATGAGTCAATCTCAAATAACCAATCCAAATTCTTATACTTTGAGGGACGTACTTTTGTTATCTCAACTTCTACATATAAATCATATATCAAATTTAGACAAGTTAGAAAAGATTGATAATGCCTTATTAGTTAGCATATTAAGTACTTGGAAAACTCATATATCAACTAAACTCGACCACAGTAATATCAAAATTAATACTTTAAATCAATTGATAGATCTTTACAAGAAATTATTGGCAAAGTATAATGTTGAAAATACGGAAAGTCTTGCTAATGAAGTTTATTTTACTAGGATTGATGAATTGGAAGATACGATAGCAAAGAAGAAAATTGAGTTCAGAAATACATTGGAAGAAGAATGATTGGCCACAAGTAAATTTGAATTTTGATGTTTCTTTCTACTATGTGGAGGTTTCACCGAATATTTCTCATCGCGCCAAAAATTCGAGATAGATTCTAAATTTTGATATTATTAAAGTCTTACACACAAACTTCAAACCAATACAACCATCATGGTGAAGAAAAAATCAAAGGAGACCAAAGAGTCATTGGAGTCATCAATCGCACCACTTTTGGAGATAAACTACAAGGAACCACTTTTCACGGCAGCTGCACATCCAACTAAACCAATATTGATATCAGGATTAGCAACAGGTCACTTATATTGCAATACATATGATCCCACCATACTAGAAGCAGAACTGGAAAAGAAAAAAGAAGAAATTGCTGAGTTGGAGGAAAAAGTGTATGCTCTGGGTTTAACGCCAGTTGTTTCAAAATCAATATCTGAAACTAAAAAGAAATGGTGGAAAATTGTTGAGGATAATTCAGAATTACCGACCGATAGTTTAGATATCAAAACAAATTGGAAAACTAAAAGGCACAAAGGATCATGTCGCCATGCTATTTTTGATCCGAGACCAGATCATTTAGGTGAATACATATATACTTGTGGAACCGATAATGTGATAAAAAAAGCAAACACCGAACTGGGGAAAGTCGTAGGAAAAGTAGACGTTGTTGAAGATTATTACGATTCAAAAGATAAATTAACAAAATTATGTCACTCAAATACTCACTCATTTATTTTGTCGGGAACAGAAGATGGGAATGTATTGGTTTACGATTCATCAAATCTCTCAGCCAATAATTTGAAATTCAAAGTTCAATCAGCACATGATGATTCGATAAATCATATATTAAGTATGACATCTTCGCCTTATCATTATTTAACTTTAGGTTCAACCACATTATCTCACATAGATATAAGAAAAGGTATAATAACTCAATCTGATGATCAAGAGGATGAATTATTATCAATGTCATACACTACGGAAGAAATAAGTGATGGTAAATCAGATACTGTACTAGTAAGTCATGGTGAAGGACTTATTACAATTTGGAAAAACTCTAAAAACAAATTAAGGGATCAATTATCAAGAATTAAATTAAATAAGGATGTGAGTATAGATAGTATCATTCCGACAATGAATAATAGTGATGAAGACATGGAAAATTCAGTTTGGTGTGGAGATAGTGATGGAATGTTACATAGAGTCAATTTCAAAAAGGGGAAAGTGGTTGAAACTAGAGTACATTCAAAAGATGGTGATGAAGTTGGGATTTTAGATATTGATTATGATTATAGATTGATTAGTGCTGGAATGGATACATTGAAAATTTGGGGTAAATAAGATTTGATTTCAATCAGTTCACAATGCAAGCGCTCATGAATAAAAGTTTAATTTAACTAATTTGATTGGAACGTTGCGGCATATGATTTAGCATGGTTCGAAAATTGAGTTATGATCCAACTCAAATATTACACTGAATTCAGACGAAGATCATAGAATGATCTGATTTCCTTGATGCGTGGTATCAACCTCTAACAAAGAATGCAATTAGTCTTGAGAGGAACTTGAACGGTTTAAATCTACTCGTAGAAAGAAGCTGGTAGGAATTTACATTTGAAGTGGGAAGATCTGAAAATCAAGTTAATTAAGAGACTTTCGGTTATAATCCAACAAAGGCCATGTTCATTCTCAAAAATATATTTAGAACTCATAACTTTAATTCATGTTTCAACCTGCAATATCAAACCGTGTTTAATAGACGAATTCTCAACAAGCTTGTCATTTCTACCTCCATTAATCGTCATCTCTATCGTAAAGTTCCTCATTGACCAAAGTTATTGGTAAATCCCAGACTCCACTAGGAGCTTTTTGAGCATAATCCAAAACAACTTTATTCCTTTCAGCAACCGACAACTCATCAGCTTTAGATTCGCCAGGAAATTGAGAATTCAGATCCACAAATGTGTTGATATCATTCAATTTCAAAGTCAAGATTTCGGTATTATATAACGCTAATGCAATGTAAGTAAACAACATTAACATTAATGAGTAACTTGGGATTGCTATACTCCAATATTTATCAGGATAATAATCAATTGATAAACTAGTCAAAATATGAGGAGGTGTTAAAGACCAAAGTATATAAAGTATTAGCGATAACGAACTTAATACATATATTGTAAATCCACTATATTCTGCTTGGGATTGATGAATATTGGATACTGTAACATCTGATTCTCTTGCTAATTTATCTTGATTTGATAAGATTGTTACTTCTTCTGCTTGAATAGCTTCTTCGATTTCATCGTCTTCTATTGTTCTAAGTATTGGTTTCGGTGATGCTGATCTTGAAATACCAAAGGTGTCATATCTTAAAGTCATTCACTATCATTCAAGGTTGGTTTTTTTGTATCAGTTTGGTGGTACCGTGCAAGAAATATGGATAATTTTAAAAATCCTGTATGTAAGTTCGTAACTACAATTCTACTTGTACTGTCCAAACTTTTTGTTTGAACTACGTGGTTGGTGAGAGATTTTAAAATCTATTTTCATGAATTATCCTACCTTTTCTTTATTATAGAGTGTGTTCTATACTAATTGCTTCCTTGATCCTTTGAAAAATAATTGAACAATTGTTATTTGTAAAAATCCCATTCCAACCATCAACAAAACTTCGAAAATTGAGAAATAAAATATTCTTGATTCAGTTGACCTAACAGTTGCTTGATTTCTATTATTTCTAGTTTTATAGAATTGTAATGTTTTACTTAATCCGTCCAATTGACCCTCGATCTTATCAACAGTTGCTTGCATACTTTCAACATGAGCTAAAGGTTTTGTGTTTGGTTGATCGGGTAAGTTTGCTTTTATTCTATTTTTAATACTTTCTTCATTTTCAACTTCTATTTGGAAATCAACAACTTTTTCAGAGAAAGTTGACATAGTATTTGAAAAACAAAATTCATATTCACCAACTGGATGAGCAGTAAAAACAAAATCTCCATGTCTTTTTTTATTTTCTTGATATATAACATTTGAGTTTGGGTCAGTTATAACATAATCCACGTCAAATGATCCTCCACTTTGTACAGCAAAATAATATCTTATTTGAGTTTCTGGTTGTTCTGTGAAAATATAAAAACATGATTTTTCATTGGCTCCTAAAATGAATGTAAAAGCAGAAGCTGATATTAATTGCATCAATGCAAGTAGACAAACCAAGTATTTGGTGAACATGATTGCTATGAATTGAATTGAATTGATAATAAAGTTGAAGCTAACAGTGATCTAAATTTCTATCCACAAACAATATTATTTTTTTATTGAAAAATTTTAGTATAGACGTGTTTTATCATGACACTTTGGTTGGTAGCATTTGCAAAACTTTGAACGTATATCGAAGTTATAGCTAATAATTAATTCTTGCTAATAACAAAGTAAAATAAAGTGTTTATCATTTCGTCGTGTCAATTTCTATTTAGTTTGATATATACAAGTAGAAACTTAATTGATCAATTTTATTGATCCGGATGCAAATAGATCATTTTACCAGAAGCATCGAATCCAACTGCTCTATCTAACTTAGTATCTCTTCTTGAAGCACCGTAACGATGACCAAATTCTCCAACATTTTTCATTGTAAATCTAAATAATTTCTTCTCATCTTTTCTCTTTTTACCATAGATGACTTCGATTTTTTGATCTTCAATAATTTGTTGTTGCTTTTGGGCTTCCTCTAAATTAAATTCTGTTAATTTCTGTAAAGTTTTTGAGGCAGGTTCTAAATTCAATATCTTTGCAGCATCAACTGGTCCAAATGGTTCATTCTCTTCTATAGTCAAAAATCTATCTGTTAACGTCTTGTGAGGTGTTGGAATTTCCGTCAAATTGTCTGATGTATATCCACCTTTGAAAATTGGGAACATTCGTTTCATCACTTGCGAATATGATTTTAAATCATCAGCTATTTCATCCTAAAAATGTTTTGTTAGTAAAATACTTTAAATTTCATACTATTTTGAATCAATTTCAGCGCTTTGAATTGTAACCATATGTTTGTCTTAAAGACTAATCGAAAAATATTTATAGGCATTTTCATCATAAGAAGATTCAATGAGTTCAAAAAATTACATACTTTTGGTTTGAAATTTTTTTCAATTGCATTTAATTTTATGATAGCTTCGACTCTTTGAAGATTTATTCCGTATTTGTGTGCAATCTCTTGAGGATGTAATTCGTTTTTTGTTGCATCATCGACTATATTCTGTTTCATTTCGTCCGTTATTATGTAAGATGTCTTCGTGTATAAATTATGAGGAAATGGATGAAGTGATGGATCTCTTGAAGAATCATTGATATTTCTATTGTTTCTGTTAGCATTACTCAAATTCAATTTGTTTTCACCCACCAAAGGTTTTCCGTCATTTACTATGTAATTTGGTTTGTTGTTTTGCGGTGGGTAAAAATATTTATTCTTATGATAGTCTCCCGTTATACTTCTTGGTCCTAGAAAATCACGAAATTCTTTCAATAAAGTATTTTTATCCATGAGTTCTTTCCTGCTTATTCTATGAGTAACATTACTGCTTGAAAACAGCCTTATCTGCGCCAGACTTCGCGAGATTGATTTGAGACATTTTGCACCCATTGTGAATAGCTAGGTTCTTGGTTAATACTTTACCATACTCTCATTGAAAAATTTTTTGGTGTAAGTATCAAAGTACATACAAATTTAATGTCGTTAAAATTCTGTCACTCAATTATCTCGACACATACTTTTCACATTCATTTATATGCAGTTTATTTATATCTATAAGTTACTTTTAATGGTTGTAAATTTATTCATCTAAAAAATCATTCAAAAAGAATATAAATTCAACACTCAATGACCTCATCAGCTGTATGTTAAGTTTAGTATCAATCATTTCATGAAAAGATACAATTAGCACATCAAAATATACGGTCAGATTGAAAGACAAACAATGAATCTGAATACACAAAATCATAGTAACGCGTCAATTAAATCTTCAAAGACACATCGAAAAGCATCAATTAAAGGGCCACTTCAACCTTTAAACCTCAATAACGAAAAGAGGAATAGTGGGGTAGAAAATATGAATGAATTTGAAGACAACCCATTTCGAGATACAGGTATAGTTTCAATAAGCAACAGAAAATTATCATCTACATCATTCTTGCAAAATCAAAATATACCATTCTCTACAACTGCAACCACGACTCAAAAAGATTCACATAATCCTAGTAATCAACGTTTATACCATGCAAATCCAGCCACTAGTACCTCACTCAATACTTACAATGATCAACAAATATTACCGTCTACGTATGAAAATCCGAATGAAGAAGATGATGACATTTCACTTGAAGTCCTTGAAGATATGCAAAAACTAGAACAAAATTTCCCCGTTTTAGCTAGCGAATATAGATTAATTGATAAAATTGGAGAAGGAACTTTTTCAACTGTATACAAAGCGGAAGCACTCAATAATGAAATTAATTCAAAATATGCAATGTGGAATTCATTACCACAATTTGTAAGACATGATCGAACATCAAAAAAGTCCAAAAAAAACGCAATAGTTGCATTGAAACAAATCTACGTCACGTCTTCACCGAACAGAATTTTCAATGAGTTGAATTTACTTTATGTCTTATCTGGTAATCCAAGGGTTGCTCCTTTATTAGATGTTTTACGTCATCAAGATCAAATATTAGCTATACTACCATACTATCATCATTACGATTTTCGAGAATTTTATAGAGATTTACCAATAAAGGGCATAAAAAAATATTTATGGGAATTGTTTTTATCATTAGAATTTGTGCATAGTAAAGGTATAATTCATAGGGATTTGAAACCAACAAATTTTTTATATGATCCCTTCAAAGGTAGAGGAGCTCTAGTAGATTTTGGTTTGGCTGAACAACAAACCATAGCATTACCTTCCTCAGCAACTTCATGTCCTTGCAATCTGAAAACAAATGTTATAAATCACAAATCGTTATCCAGAAGAATGAACGTAAAAGGTGCCTATCCAAAATCCGACAATAGACCGCCAAGACGAGCAAATCGAGCTGGAACTAGAGGTTTTAGAGCACCAGAAGTTTTGTTTAAATGTACGAACCAAAGTACTCAGATCGATATTTGGTCAGCAGGTATAATTGGGTTTTCCCTTATATGTCGAAAATTTCCATTATTCAATTCTCCTGATGATACAGATGCCATTGTTGAGCTTGCCTGGATTTTTGGGTATGACAAACTAGTTAAATGTGCAGAATTGCATGGTTGCGGGTTGGAAATTTCAATGAGTGAAATACATAAATCTCAAGGGAATCTATTAAAAGTACTTTACAATTTTTTGAGAGTTGAAGTTGAAAATGAAAGTGTTCCTCCTGATAGTGTTATTTTTGATACATTCAATATGTTTGACCAATCTATGGATGGTGAAAAATTCATTAAGCCAAGATTTGTTGAAGGATCATATAATGATTACGAAGAAGCAGAAATGAGAGATAAATATGACAGAGATGTTGAAAATTATAAAGATCACAGATTACTAATGGATTTATTATATTCTTGTCTAAGATTAGATGCTAGTAAAAGATTGACAGCAAGACAAGTTTTAAAGCATCCATTTTTTCAAGAACTACATGATCTATAAATAAAGTTGCAACCATTAATACATATCATGTCTCCGTATTGCTTTAAAAAAATAAATAAATACAAACTAGAAATAAATACAACGAGTGAAATGAATTGTTCCACTCATGAGGTGAATTCTTCATAACTTTCGTATTCAACATCATCATCGAACGATATTCTCCTACTTCTTTTCCTTTTGTTTGGTAAAATTGCCAAATTATTCATCCACGTTTCATGGTCCTTTTTAAAATCTTTTAAATTGTTCTTCTCATACATCATTGCTTTATTCCATTTCTTATTTAATTTACTAATTAATTCATTTTGAGCAGTAATTGAAGGTAGCATTGGAGTATTTGATTTCGTGTTTGTTATGATATTAGACTCTAGTGGAGGTAGACGAATTTTATCATTTGTAGATGACGTTGACATGTTGTTAGAATCGATTAATGATGGAGCTAAAGTCATATGATTCGAGGAAGATGGGTTTATCGTTGGTGATGATGGCATTTTGAAAGATGCTGAGGACGGTGAAAATGAATTTCCTGAGTATTCTAATTGTAGGTCTTTTGAGAAGGCTAACTTTCTTTTTATGTATATTGATTGTTGAATTAACGTGTTATTCTTCACCTTTTTGGTGTTGGATGAATGTGCTTGAGATTTTGGTGGAATGTTGGATGATATTGAAGTAGTCTTCTCTCTCTGACCCCTTAAAGTTGACACCTCTTTTTCAGAGTTGGCATGTTGATTAATTGAAACAAATTCCGACGTTGGACTTGCATTTAAACTATGCAAATTGGTGTTCTTCAAATGGGAAATAGGTGAAGTCGGTACCGCTGCTTGGTTTGACTCATGAAATTTGAACCTGAAATCTTCCTTTAAAACTTTAAAAGAATCATCTTTTATGCTTCGCCTTTTTGGTCTATTACTTATGTAAGACTGTTTATTTTCCGGCACAATTTTTCTGGCACTATCATTGTTTTGAATCTTTGTTGGTATATTTGAATTCAAAAATGAGCCTCCTGAGTTGTAATCAGAATCATCATCTGAGATAACAGCTGAAGAGCTTAATTTATGATGTTGTTGTGAGATGACGTGACTCCTTGATTTGTTGAAATTATCAATTATATTCGAATTCTGATTCATTGAGTTTGAAGCGGGTGTCATTGTGAGAATATTACCCAAATTATTCACATGTCCTAAGGAAGCTAAACTTGAGGTACTATTATTTCTTGTTCGTAGATTTTCATCGAGAGAAACAATTGAATTTCTTGGACTTCGGTCTAAACTTATGATCGACATACTTCTCGTGGAATTTGGAGTTGGTACAATGTTACCATTTTGACTTGTACTTAGACTTGTTGATTGTAAAATCGGAGTCTGATTAGTACTATTGCTCGATATTTGAGTGGAATTTAAACTAGTGCCCGATGTTATATCTTGTTCTTCATTTCTTTCAGAGCCTAGTGATTGTTGTTGAGGAATTAATAATGGTGGTGATTCAACTTTGGGAGAATTTTGAAATCCAACCGTTGGTTGATAAGTCAGTGTAGTGAACGAAGGTTGTGGACTTGAGAAAGACGATTGGCTGGATGTGATGGATAATGATCTTTGCCTTCCCAGAGTAAAAGGCATTTCTTTAAATTGCAAAATTGTATTGCTCAAACTCTATAAATATCTGATAATTGGATGACTTATTGATCATTCATTTATGAGGTGTATGGGATAAAAAAATTGTGATAAATCAAATCCGATTCTCCAAATTCTTTTCTGAATTACTATTGTTTCGTGTCTTATAGTGAAGTTCAATTGTTATTGAATTGTTCTATAATTATTTGAAATGATTGACGTGAATTATTATAATTGAGATGTGGAAAAAAAAACCCTTAATAATTTATTTTGATAAATTTAAATGTTTTGTTTCTTTTTTTATCAAACTATTCTCGTTATCTAGTAAATGCAAAAGCTTACACAAAATCCCCGTATAGATTGAGATGATGACGTTAAGAAAAGATCATAATCTGTTGTACCACTCCACTACTGCTTGTTTTTTGAGATTGCTCAGTATGCATCTGATCTTTTCAAAGAGAAAATGGATTTTGAGCTATCTTGAGAAAAAAATTTGAAAACTCGAGAGCTTGAACAAGTATTTAGAACTGCAATTTGAAACCTTAATATCATTTTCGATGCATAGAGTGTCTGCGTTTAATTGAAAAGGACACATCTTACTTAACAGCTATACATTCCAACTAGAATTTGCATCAAAAATCATAGTACTCAGAGGTCGATTGGTTCTGCATTTTAAACAGTAAACCAATATTAAATCTAACTTTTTTGCACCCCAAAATAAATTCTGAAACAACTGCGGCTTAAGTGGCACGCATCTCTCACTAAAAAATCGGACTTATAGAGCGCAAAAATATTAGTCTACTGGACGTTTTCTTTTTCAAATATTGCAGCAAAATCAACACTTCTTCCATTTTTCCACATAAAATGGAATCTAACTTTTAAACTTTATTCCCAAATTTCTTTATATACAATCCTAGCGCTTTAATTGTGAACAAGAACCTATATGAAGGGTATTCAATGGCACAACTATGATTAAAGACTCCTTCGATATCTTCATATAACCATTCTCCTGTCGGTAATTGTCTTTCCATAAGTAACTTTATTCCTTTTTTTATAGGTTCAACGTTCGGGTAGTCGGCTAGAATAAGACCAATTAAAGACCAAGCAGTCTGAACAACTAATGATTTTTCACCATTTACATATGTATGGGTTTCACAAGATCTCATAGATTCTGACCATCCACCATCTTCAAGTTGTTTGGAGATAAGAAAATCACAACCTCGTTTGACTGATTCTGAATTACCATAAGTTTGACCTACACTGGCTAAGGCTTCTAAAGCAAACATTGATGCGTATGTATAGCATATACCCCAGCATCCATACCACGATCCATCAATCTTATCTTGAGCTTGAATGATGTATTGTATTGCACTTGAAATCGTTTTATTGATTGTTTCGGTTTTATAGTTTGGGTAGTATTTCTGGAAGTAGGTTAAGCCTAAGACTGATGAGTCGGTACATTCCACGTAAGGATATTCGACCATAATATTATTAAATACTTCAGCTGGGTTTAACTTTTCTAATAACAAAGTTGATTTAATACCTTCATAAGTTGAAAATGAACCAAATTCCCAATCACCAACATTTTGGATCTGTAATAGTACATTGACTGCGTCGTATAGGTTTTCATCTTTGATTTCATCCTTAATATCAGAGAATCTTTCATCATTTCGTACCATTATTATAGCTTTCATTGCTTCTGCAGTACAATCACTGACGGTATACCCTTGATCTTTTGTACTAAATGGCCAAGCTCCTTTCCTCTTATCTCTAAAACTGCCTTCAACACAATCTTCTGTGAATTGGGATCTAACCAAAAACAAATATGATTTTCTTATCATATCTTGATATTTAGGATTGTCAACTAATCCCGTCATGAAAAAATATTGAACCATGAAAGCGGCGTCCCAGACTTGAACACCATTAGTTCCCATGACAGTCATCCCTTGTGGTCCATGAAATAAAACGTCATTCATCCTACCAGCTAAATTTTTAAAAGTTTTGGATCGTGGTCCTTCATGGTAACATGTAACAACCATATTGAATGCAAAACTTACAGGAGCAATACATAAATAATCTGTGTTTTGATACTCCTTTTCAATTAATTTATAAGTTTTAGAATTAATCCATTTCAATAACCAATTGGGTCTTATTTTTTCCCAACCACTCAAAAAATAATTTGCAAAATCCAAAACTTTAGTGTGGGGGTAATACAAATCGATCCCACACACATTATTTCTATTTGATTTGAATTTAATTGAATCATAAGGTAATTGACTTGGTAAATATATTTCATTTCTTATCTCCTCTAAAAGTGGATCCAATTTGCATTGAACTTGATTAGCCAGTAAATACCCCAATGGTAAATATATAGCTCTGGTATGAACCCACCATCTACCTGGATGTATTGGTATAGAATACGGTAACGCCCATAACTCTGGAGGTGCGGGGTTTACACCATCCCATTCATAAAGATTTAGCACAGATAACCAAGCTTTTCCCCAATGAGGATTTTTTAAAGCACCACCTAATTTATGCAATGTCTTTTTAGCTTTTAATATCACTGGATGATCCTTTGGTAAACCCAATAATCTTAAACAAACATAATTCATAGTCGTTCCAAAGCACGTGGATTTATCAACAGAATGTAATCCCCAACCACCATCTATTGGATTTGCTGTGTTCACAATATATCTAATCATTTCTTGTTTAAAGGGAAGTGGTATTGATTGTTGAGAATAATAATTGGCTGCGACATACCCAATTGTCATAAACATCGGTCCTTTGTATTGACAGGGAAAAATTCCATTTTCTAATTGTAGTAATTTCAAAAAATCAGCTCCTTTCTCCATTGCTTGTCTCGGTGTTTCAAGAGATTCAGATTTAGGTTCGGGAAAATCATCACTTTTTAACAACCACTTCACAAAATTTGATTGAGGTTCATGGGCTAGTTCTTTTTCATCAGTAATGTAGTGCCATGTTTCCCTGCCTACTTGGTCTGTTCTTAATCTCCATCTCGATGTGTCCGTTTTAGGTAGACTTAATTCTTCTGAATAGTACATGTGATATTAGATAATTTCGATGGTTATATTCGATTCTTAAATCAAGAAATTGAAAAATACTGAATTAATATTTGCAAAGAACGACTATAGTGAGTGCAAATTTAAACAGCTTGGAAAAGTGGATTTTTTCACAAGCTAATCTCTTGTAAATGAATTGTTGACATGAAATGGTCTAACGACCCTAAATCACAAAACTCGTTTGAAATCTTTAGTTCGTATAATTTATTAAGATCCGCCTAATGTCCTGAGTTTGAATGTCTAACATTTTAATTAATTGTCACAAAAAATGGACTGTATATAGAATCTCATGATATTGATTTAGATATTACACAAAAACTTTATTTAGAAAAAAAAAAAAGTACAATCAATTTATTAAGAAGAGAAAGGTAAAAAAAATCAAAATAGAAGTTGAAGGAATAACTCATTCAAGTTTCAAAGTACTATCAAAAAGATATCATCATCAAGTTATCGTTAACGGATTAAAGATCAGTATCATATAAAAGGCATTAATTTGAACTTTATCGATCAAATAACAAACCGAGCAACCAATCCTTTTCTACTTAAAGTTTTCATCTGTTTCAATTGTGACTGTTAAAAGTTTTTCACACTTACGTATAAGTAAATGATCGAGTAAACTAATAAAAATTTGAATCAGTAATATGAGCAAAAGAAAATCGAATGAAATTGAAAACAAGACCAATCACTCTAATTCAAATGCAAAGCAATACAGCAACGGCAATACAAATGGAACAAAGTTAAAACAAAAATTTTCAAAAGAGGTGGACACCGAACTAAATGGTAATGGCAAACAAGCAGTACATGTGGAGAATAGGGATGAAGATGTTCACGAAGAAGGCGGCGATAGTTATAGTGATAATGACGAAGATGACGACGAAGATGAGGAAGATGATGAGGAAGAGCAAAACTCCGAACCTAAAGCCAAAAAAGCTAAAAGAGAAAATTTAACAGCACAGGAGATTAGAATAGCCAGAGAAACTGCAGAATTATTCAAATCCAATATTTTCAAACTTCAAATTGATGAACTTTTAAAAGAATTAAAAGTCAAAAAAAGTCATGAAGAAAAAATGGAGAAAGTATTGAGAAGACTACATGATTTGATAAAGCAAATTCCTCCTGTCGAAAATTTATCTTTACAACAAGCAGAAAATTTATTCAATCCAAAGAAGATTGTTATCCCATTTCCAGATCCTAAACCAGTAAATGTAAAATACACTTTTTCATATTTACCTCCTGAAGATTTGTCATTAGTAGGATCGTATGGATTGAAAACTGGAATCAGCCAAGGTCTGAGCATAGAAGTTTCAATGACAATGCCTTCAAGTTTATTTCAACCTAAGGATTATTTAAATTACAGAGCTTTATACAAGAGATCATTTTACTTAGCATATGTTGCGGAACATTTAATCAGTTTAACAAAGAAAAATAATTTACCTGTAAAAATCACATATCATTATCTTAACGAAGACATATTAAATCCTGTTCTCAATATCGAAAGTATTCAAACGGAGAATAAAGAAGATTTATCATTTTTCAAGACTAAATACACCATAAATTTAATTGCAGCTTTTCCATTTGCTATATTTGATGGAAAAAAACTATTACCAGACAAAAATTGTATTAGAGTTTCAAATAATATAGAGGAACAACCAGCAACTACTTTATATAATTCAAGCATTTTAACCCAATCATCATATGACTATTATTTGAAATATCTATATACAATGAAAAAATCAACTGAAGCGTTTAAAGACGCATGTATATTGGGAAGACTTTGGCTACAGCAGAGAGGATTTGGATCTTCATTCAGTAAAGGAGGTTTTGGACATTTTGAATTTGCAATTTTACTTGCAGCTCTTCTTCAAGGTGGTGGTGTAAATAGCAACAAAATCTTATTACATGGATTTTCATCATATCAATTGTTTAAAGGGGCTATTCAATATTTGGCAACAATGGACTTGAACAAAGGTTACTTATCATTTTCTTCTTTAATTGGAGAAGAGATACCATCCAAATATAAATCTGATGGATTCAATATTCCAACCATCTTTGACAAAAACACTAAATTGAATATACTATACAAAATGACAACTGCCTCTTATGAAGATGTTAAAGCAAAAGCTAATCAAACTTTGGACTTATTAAATGAGGTGGTGAAAGATAGATTTGATCCAATTTTACTTCAAAGATCAACGCAACCAAATTTAAAGTATGACATAACCTTATCATTGACATTACCTGACGAAATACTTGATACATTTGGAGCACTTGAGAAAATCACGTTCTTAACTTTTAACAATTTTTTCAAGCATAAATTATACAATTTGATAAAAACAGCCCTAGAAGATAGAGCAACATTAATAAGAATTGAAAATGATAAAGTCAATAGCACTTTTGCAATCCAGAAAAGGAAACCTGCTAATGGTGGTTTGACATTCAACATTGGGTTACAATTGAATAGTGACGAATCAGACAAATTAGTAACTAAAGGACCAAACAATGAAGATAAGGAAAATGGAACTAAATTTAGATCTTTTTGGGGCTCAAAGGCTACTTTAAGAAGATTTAAAGATGGGTCAATTCAAAATTGTGTGGTTTGGCCAGTTTCTGATAGAGAACCAATAGTTGTATCGATCATTAGATACGTCCTTGACTTACACATTCTTAAAGATTTAACTCAATCACTTCATACTGAATGTGGACTTTTTGATAAAATATTACCCCTTTCCTTATTACCAACTGCGTCAAATCAAACTACAAATTCATTATACAGTTTTTCAATATTAAGAAGTTCTTTTGAAAGTTTGAATAAAACATTGATGAACTTAGAACTACCATTAAGCATTAAATCGATAATGCCAGCATCTACAGCATTAAGATATTCATCAGTTCTTCAACCAGTTCCATTTGCTGTTTCTAATCCAGATTTTTGGAATGAATGTATTTTACAATTTGAAATTTCCAGTAGATGGCCTGATGAATTATTAGCATTGGAGAAAACTAAGACAGCATTTTTATTGAAAATTGCAGACGCCTTAAGAGATACAAATTACACTACTACAATTGTTGATGATCACTCGATTCCATTTAATGAAGACATAAAAACATTAAACATTTTAACACCAGAAGGATTTGGTTTCAAAATCAAAATTTTAACTGAAAGAGATGAATTGTTGTATTTAAGAGCTGTCTCAAATGCAGGAAGTCAAAAATCAATTGCTCAAAATGTCTACTTAGCATTTGTGAGAAACTATCAAGCATCAGTGAAACATACAAGAACAATTACCCTGTTGGCTCAACATTTTCATTATTATTCTCCAACTGTGAGGTTGGTAAAACAATGGCTAGACTCACAACTACTTTTAAATCATTTCACTGATGAATTAATAGAATTAATTGTTTTGAAACCGTTCGTTGATCCAGCACCATACTCCATTCCCCATTCGGTTGAAAATGGATTCTTACAAGTACTTTCGTTCTTGGCTCATTGGAACTGGAAAGAAATACCATTAATACTTGACTTAGTTAAAAGTAATGCGGCGGATGATGGAATTCATAGTGATAAATTAAGCATACAAACTTATAGAATTATAGAAGAAAATTTCAACAGAATAAGACAATCAGATCCTTCAGCAATTAAGACTCAATTTTTCATTGGTTCAAAAGATGACCCTTCAGGAATCTTGTGGTCAAGTGAATTGGTATTACCTATAGCAACAAGATTAACTGCATTAGCAAGAGCAACAATAGACTTATTGTTAAGTAAAGGTATTGATGAAAAATCATTAAATCTTATTTTTAAACCAGCATTAAAAGATTACGATTTTACTATCAATGTAAAATCTCAAAATTTAACTACATCATCTGGGGTATTGCCTCCAAACACTTTCAAAAATTTAATACAACCATTAACTTCATTTCCTGAAGATATCACTTCAAAATATGACTTAACACAATTATATACTAAAAAGTTGAATGAATATTATGGAAATAATATAATCTTTTCAAGTAAAAAGTTCATTTGTCTAAATAATCAATCAGGAGAAAATGTAAACATTGTTGGTGGTTTATTTGTACCTTCAAGTTTAGGAAAGAAAAAATTTAGAGTTAATTTGGAAACTAATGTTGAACCACTAAATGATGAAAATAATGAAGATGAAGTCAAACTTAACAAAGCTGCTATATTTGATCATATGAGATTATTAGGTGGGGAATTAGTTACTGATTTGAATGTAAAAAAATAAGTATTGTCTTCATATCTGTATTAATAAATAATTTAATTTTCTTAATTTAATGTCATTGCAATCTAGTCAAGATGCAAAAATGTATCTTTCCTCTTTTAAATTGATTTGAGGATTAGCTTCGTAGGGTGAACCACGAAATTCATCTTAATTATCACGAAGTACACTTCTTTTTTTTTTTTTCTATTATGTATTTCTTTTGTGTGTATTTTGCTTTTGTAACTAATTTTTTTATTAAACACAAATTTAGATTTAAATATTCACGTCCATAATTATTAGAATTGTTATACCAAATTTAACTTATTATCACATTACTACTACTGAAAAAAATTAAAATCCACATACTTTACTAACGTTTATCAAATGTCGTCATCAGTACTTCGAAGTGGTCGGGATCGACAACAACCGCCACCTAGGAAGAGGAGAAGAGTTTCTCAAAGTCGAGTTATTGATATTACATCAGACGATGAAGGTTCACCTATTAATCAAATTATTGATGGTGCAGGTAATAGCGCGATTCCTTTAGCAAATCAGCATCGAGATGTTCAAGAGCCAGAAGGTGATGATGATGATGATGAAATTCAAATACTATCTGTGAATGATAATACTCCTACAGCTTTAACCAATCTAAGTAGAGAAGGGAGTGTGGGTAATAATAATCGTGATTTTGATGGTAATAATCAAACAAATCAAATGGGTGGCGACATTAGTAATGAAGACGATGACATAGAAATTGTTGATGTAAGAGAAGCATCAGAACCTTTAAGGTCTCAACCACCACATATAGATACACCTTATGGTCCTTTTATATATGAAGTTAGAAACTTACACAATTCCAGGCAAGACTTTAGCGAAATACCGTTGAGGACGCTATATGCTAGTTTCATGAATGAACCATCACCACGTCCAGCAGAACCGTCACAGCAAAGAAATTTGAGGTCAAGTCGTACAACTCGATCTACTACTACACATCCCGATCAAACTCAAGCAACAAGTCGTAGAGGAAGAGGTAGAGGTAGAAGCAGTGGCAGAGGTAGAGGTGCAGCTAATCGAAGTAATCCACCACGTGAAAGAAGTCATCATAATACAAATCTCACACAACTACAACAGCAACATCATCAGAATTTGCAAATGCATATGCCAGAACAATACAGATCTTTCATAACCAGATCTTTAGAAAGAATCAATCAGCTACATTTTCAGTTGGGAAATCCATATTTTGATTCTGATTTTGAGAATTTCGAGGATTATGATTCAGATGATATTGCTCAAATGTCTGATAGTGAAAGAGATATAATGAGAAGAATTGAAGAAGATAATAATAGAACTTTGAATGCAAGATCTGATAGAGAATCAAAATTCAATCAAAAAACAATGCTTGAAAAAAAGCAAGCATCTGATCGATTAAATAAATCAAAAAATTATACAACTACTATTAGTTCTAAAGAATTATTAATTTGTGAATTATGTGGTATTGAATTAGGTGAAGGTTCACCTGAAGGATTTAAATCTAATACAGAATATGATAAAAATTTTGAAAAACATTCAATGAATTTAAATGTACAAGCACCTTGGTTTTGTACTAATCCATTTACAGCAATAGATGCAATATTAAGTAAAAGAGTATTTGCATCAAAATGTGGTCATTGCTTTTGTGGAAGATGTGTTAAAAATATTGCAAATAGATCAAAAAAAGTTCCAAAAGATTCACCAAAAGGTTTTACTATAAAAAATCCAAATATATTTGCTCCTCCTAAATGTCCTGCTAAAGATTGTGGTAAAAGATTTGTTTCTAAAGCATTTACTGAAATTTATTTTTAATTCTTTCTATTATTATATATATATATTATTTTTTGTATTGCATGAGATAGCACAAATTAATGATTAAATGATTTTAATTCTTTTTGTAGTTATTATTGTTGGTCGATAAAACATGATTAATTTTTCTAAATTCTTCAACAGTAAAAGTAATTCTTTAGTTCATCAAAAGATTCGTACATTATGTACTTTGTTATAAAACTTGTTGGTTATAATTACGTCAATAGAATTATTATCAAAGCATTGATAGGCACTACAAAATTCTAGTTTTCATGCTTTGTTATTTGATCAATCAAAAGTCCCTTACTCATTCATTTCAAGATGTTGTTGCTTCTTAGTATATAATCCAAAAAACGTTAATTTTCTATATATCTTGTGGTACCGTCAAGATGATTCGAACACTCGATTAAAGACTTTTTTTTAGTTTGAACCCTATTTGACCACTACGCCACGTAATGCTTAAAATTTGCTGTATTTCAGAGTCGAACCTACGATTAGGGACTTTAATGCAAAATGTGACGCATCTAGCCACTACGCCACGGATTTTTTAAAAATTTTGTGGCCTAGTGGTAAAACACTTGGTAGTAATTATTTCCAAGATCTGTGGTTCGAGACCATTTGTTGTCTTTCTTAAAAAAAAATTACATTTTCGTGGGTTTGAACTCAAGATTAATTTTCTTTCATCAGATCCGATCTAGATTTGACCACTATGCCACAAAAATTTTCAGATTTGGCGTGGCGTACTTGTTTTTAAGTGGTAGCGATGGCCCAAAAGTTGTTGTTTCCTTGTTCGAATCCTAACCCATGATAAGTTAATTCTTTGAATTCAGAGTCCCCCCTCATGTTTTAAAATCTATTGAATTCTAGTCACTTCAAATTTAAAGCTCTAGATTCTTCATAAAGTAATTGCTTTATTTGCTTCACATATATTTTTGGAGTGCTGCACAATTCTACAATTTTTTAATTTAAAATGAACCGGTTTTACCTAAATTTATAGTTCTTTCGTACCTGCTTCAACTAAAACTACTTCATAAAAACGTTTGAGGCTATTTGTTTCAGATGTAGTCTTGGCGGAAGTTAATTAAAAACCTCTACGTTCGGATTCAATTTATGGTTAAGCTCGAATAATGGTGAAACTACTAATAATTTTGAAATACGTAGAATCAAAAACCTAAAAATAGACAGAATGGGGGCTTGTCTGTGTCAATTTGCCACATAATATTATTTGTATTTCATGGCAATTTGAAAATAAATTTCTTAACAGCTTCTTTTAAAATAGAATAAGTTGTAAATAAACTTGAAATTGAAATTCCGTATAATTCGGTCTAAGCTTTAATGTACAATTTTGTTTCTCTATTATTCCTAAAGTAATAAACTTTTGATCAACGAAATCAACTTGCTGTATACAATAATAAATATCTCCATAGAGGAGATCTCGATCTAAATCTTAAATCCGAAAGTAATGTTTAGGAGATCTTACCCTATATCTCATGAAATATCTTAAAAAGAATTGAGAACAAGAACAAAATTCTCAATCCTACGGAGAAATAAATAACTTTATAATTAAAGTTGAAGAAGATGTGGGATGATATAAAAAAATAATATTATGATTATCCTGAGTACAATAGAAATATGAATTTAATTTAAGGCAATTTCTCTCGTGAGGCTTAGATCGAAGCCGCACCTAAAGATACTAAACTCTAAATTTAAATTTTTTCATTTTGTGTTTATCAAAAGATCTTTTGTACGATTTTTCAAGCTTCACCCTAATCCTTGAAACATTCAAACATCGTTAAAAAATAGATAGATGTTGTAAGGAAAAATGTGTTTTATCGTTGTAATTTTGAATATGACAATTTAATATGCAATTTAGCCAGCATGTCTCGACGCAAGGTCTCATATTCTGCCTCGAAAATCTTGAATTTATAATAATTAATAATTTTTTTTTTTGCTTTGAATTAAAACCCCTATTTGTGTTTGTTAGTAATGTTGAATAATGGAATAATCTACCAAATATATTGTAAGGAAATTGAGATACAAATGGCAAGTCAATCACTGGATTTTCTATAGCTTAGTATCAACGCCTTGCCTTACCCTCTTTTCTTGTAGAAAGAATTATTTTTTCTCGACTGTAGGAATTGTCAATTTTCTTGAAACTCCTACGATATGAAAAGAAATTTTAAACATGCTGTATCAATAAACCTCACACTACAATTGAGTTAATTTAATTTATCAATTTTGACAAGTCTTGTTCTATTCCTTCTATTATTTTTCAATTTTTCAAATTAAATTTTAAAGAATCAATAACAACAAATACTCAAGTATATTATAATAAAAAGTGTTTTAAATTGCTGCATCCTCGTAATTAACTTAATAACAGTACTTACATATTAAATACTCAATCTATTATTTATTTATTATAAATTATTTTCCTTATCAATTTTAAAACTTTATATTTTACAACCAACAATTTTTTATCAACAACAACAACAACCAACCAACCATTCAACAACCACAACAATCAATAACCGATCTTCAACTATAGACTTTGTATTCACCATTTGCATTTATAACTTTTCACGATTATTTATACAAATATCAATTCAATTCAAATTTTACTCCTATTCCCCACACAAATATTCAATTCAAAAAATACTTTACCACAACACACAAAATAATTAATGATCAAAGCTGAGTCTATTGATTTTCACCATCATTTACCACCTTATCGATCTTTATTAAATCCAAATGCTAGATATGATTATAGAACTCATCAATTAATACCTTTGAGTCAAAATGATTTAAATTTTTTACATTCAATTTTTAGAAATGGAGGAAGATCTACTCCTTTATTATTAAATGGTGATAATCAATCAAATAAGAATAATAGTAAGAATAATTACAACAACAACAATAAATATAAGAACAACAGTTTTACAAATGACAATATAAATCGTAATAATTCACAATATAATAGACAAAATCATCAACAAAGTCAACGACCCTTATCAAGATCAAGATTCAATAATGCAAATTCCAACTATTGTTATCAATCAAGCCAAAGAGACAATGAGGATGATATAAATGGTCATATGCTTCATGACTGTGGCTCCAATGTTAACACGACTGACTTACCACCTTCCACAGCATCTTCATCTTCTTCAATTAAATCCGGTTCAACTTCAAATTTTTTATTTGCAAATAATAATAGAAATAATCAATCAACTCCTTTTAAAATGAAATATCGAAGTTTATTGAATGATGTTGGAAGAACAATTTCTTTAAGATTAAGTAATAGTAATTTGATTGCCAATACAATTCAACATTCATCAACTATTGGTTCAATTTCAAGATCAAGTACTATATTGGGAACCGCAAAACAACCTACAGTTGATAATATTATCAATTTACCAATTGAAGTATTGGATTACATTTTCTATTTTGTTGATGATAAGAGTGATTATAAAAGTTGTCTTTTTACATGTAAATTGTTTTATCATATGGCAAAACCTTATTGTTATGAAAATTTGGAATTTACTTCAACTTATAGATTTGCTCAATTTATTTCCTATTTAAGATTAAATTCTGAAATTGGTCAATTTGTGAAAAAGATTGATTTATCTGGTATTAAACCGGGATATGATGGAGATGCTGAAATTGAAGAAAGTCAAATTAATGAAACAAATGGAGAAACTGATACAATTGAAACTGAAATTTCACCATCAAATAAGGTTTATGCAGGTTGGAGAGATTGGAAATTTAAAAACAACCCACTTTATACAAATCATCCATCTCCAAATGCGTTATCAAAAATTAGATCAAATGCTTCAAATTCTCAAGTTCTGATTGTTTCTTCTAAATCAAATTCATCTCAAAAATCTTCTTCATCAAAAAAATTTGCAAAACCTTTCAAATATTTTAAATCAAGAAAAAGAAGTAGACCTTTCAATAGTGGTCGACCTAAAACAAGAAAAACTCCAAGATTGGAATATTTAAAACTTCCTCCAAATGCTGCTGTATCCGGTTCAGATAAGTATTCAACCCCTCATCCATATATCAATAAATTCTTACTCAATTACTCAACTTCAAAAGATGTTCCAATTGGGTATATTTTACATATGATTAATCTATGTCCAAATGTAACTAGTTTAAACTTAGGTAATTTATCATTATCCACAGATTATGAAATCACAAGGTCAACAATACATAAATATCAAAATTTTGATCTAATGAATAACTATCCAAAAGATCTTTTATCTAAAATTGAAAATTGTCTGAAATTTGATGGAATTAATAATTTGGTCAATTCAGAAGTTAATAATATTTTCAATAGTCATCATCTTTTCACCTTTAAACCTCATGCATCAAATGTTTCAACTTCTTCATCCATTTATTCAGTAACTACATTTTCAAAACCAATAAGAAAATATAATAGTTTATTACCTCCATTACCACAAACTTTATCTGATATTTCATATTTAAACAAAGGAGATAAAAAAGTTTATCTTTCAGATTTAAATTTAAAATCAATTAATAATACATATTTAAAAAAATTAGATGAAGTTGAAGTTTTAAGAGCAATTACAAGAAATCATGGGAAAAGAGTTTTATCTTATAATTATGATATGAATCAACAACAACAACCTATAGATGCTGATGTATCTGGTAGTTTAAAATATTTAAATTTATCTTCAATGATTTGGTTAAATCGTACATTAATTGAAAAATTTCTTAAAAAATTATTAACTAAAAGATCAAATAATTTAACAGCATATGGATTTTATGATAATGATGAATTTTCTAAATTTGGAAAACATGATTATGATGGAGAAGAAGATAAAGATCATGAATTTCAATCGGATAATGAGTCGGAATCAGATTCAGATTCAGATGAAGATGAAGAAAATAAAATTGAACCAATAGTCTATAAACAAGATTTAATAATTGATTTAACTGATTCAGGAATGTATAAAAATTTATTATGGGCAAAAATTTTAAATTTTAATACTTTAGAAGGTTGTAAATTAGCTAAAAAAATTATTTGTAATGAATTAAAAACACCATTTGAAGAATTTATGATAAGAGAAAGAAATAGAAGAGGAAGACTTGGTGAAAATTATTTAGCTTAAGAAAAGAAATCAAATTCAACCTTATAAATAGATTGATCAGTTCTAGTATACCCCAATATATGAAGTTATTTGCATATATCCCCACTTCTTGTAGTTAACTCTCCTCTTTAAGATGTGATCTTCTCGAATCTCAAGTACTTCTTGTTGTTTTAGTAGACGTCACTATTGGGTGAAAATAAAATGTTCCAGACTTCAGGTCATCACAATTTCATGGATCAGCCAAGACCCAAGTGAAAAAACTTAGCGGCAACCTCCAATCGCAATGGTTTTAAAGCTGGGGTTATAATCAAGAAACTGCTTCCTTGAAAAAACACAAATAATTAATCTCGATCAATTAAATACTAAAATTCTTTTTATATTTTCCAATTTTTTAACCGTTGGATTACATCATAAATCACTAGCTCTATTTTGTTAATGCTAATATTACATATGATAAACCTTTGATAACGGAAATTGGAAATGTGAATTTGATTTAATTGATCTTGGTTGAGAAAAGAAAAAGAAGAAGAAGAAGAAGCTGTAAATCATTGAAGATTTTTTTAGTGTTGTTGTCTAAAATTTATCAAAATTGTTACACAAAAGTCAAATATTAATCTCAGATAGAATTCTTCAAAAGTATTTACTTGTATCATATACTAGTGTTTCATTGATCATTGAATCAGTCAGCCTCAACCACTCAACCATACATAAGTTACTCATCTTTGATATACAGTCTTGCATATAATTCTACGTTCTGTCACCAATGTCCAATTTATCAGCACAATTATCTGCTTTTAAAAACAAAATTAAAAGTGGTCCTTCAGTGGCAGTTGCAAGAAAACCAATAGTGAAACCATCATCTCCATCAAATGAATCACCAAATAAACCAAGTAATAATGAATCATCAAATAATACTATCAAACGATCGACGACTTCAACAGATTCTACTCCAGAAAGAAAAAGACCAAGAATACCTACGACTCAAGAGATGAATGGAGCTCATTTATCTACTCAATTACATTTAGCCGTTGAATTTATCAAAGAACAAGATCAACCTGTTAGCATTTACAAACTACAAGATCATTTATCTATAGATGTTCAAAGATCCCTACTACCGTTATTAAAAGAGATTGATAGAGTTAAATTTAATAGTAGTAATAATACTTTCACATATGTATCACTACATAATATTAAAAATTCAGATGATTTATTAGAATTTTTAAGAAAACAAACTACTTTTAAAGGTACATCAGTAAAAGAATTAAAAGATGGATGGACAGGATGTTTAGCAGCAATAGATGAATTAGAAGAAGAAAATAAAATATTAGTATTAAGAAATAAAAAAGAAAATGCTCCAAGATTAGTATGGGCAAATGCTGGTGGTAAAATAGGTGAAATAACAGATGAATTTAAAAAACAATGGAATGATACAAAATTACCTGAACCAGATATTTTATATCAATCATTAATTGATCAAGGTTTAAAACCTACTGGAGCTGATCCTTCATTAATTAATAAAAAACCTCAACAACAAGAAAAGAAACAAAAGAAAGCTAGACGTGGTAAGATTACTAATACTCATATGAAGGGAATTTTGAAAGATTATTCTCAACTAATGTGACGAATTTTTAGTTTAATAGATATTGCATTGAAAAAAATATGATCAGAAACAAAACTCTTTTCTCAACAGCATTATTAATGCGATCCAACTTCTTTCTTTCATCCTGTTTTAAAACAAGGTCTAGTCTCTCATAATTGATAGAGATATAAGAGATCTTTGGGTCGTGTAATTTGAACAAATATTCGTAAGTATAAATTTTGTTTACGATACTCTACGATTTTTAACAGATTGGCTACAACCACCCTTGAACTAAGACACGTTCCTACAATGTCTAGTATGTACTAATGCCTGAATGGACAGGTTTGAACATGAGTTTGTGAACTTTTGAATTATATACTAACCAATGAAACAGCTGACTTCAATTCAGTTGCAGAAGAATTTTGCAAATTTTATTACAATCAATTTGATAATGATAGATCACAATTAGGTAATTTATATAGACCTGAATCAATGTTAACGTTTGAAACTTCTCAATTACAAGGAGCAAGAGATATTGTTGAAAAATTACAAGCATTACCATTTCAAAAAGTAGCTCATAGAATTTCAACTTTAGATGCACAACCAGCTTCACCAAGTGGTGATATTTTAGTAATGGTTACTGGTGAATTATTAATTGATGAAGAACAAAATGCTCAAAGATATTCCCAAGTTTTTCATTTGATTCCTGATGGAGGTTCATATTATGTTTTTAATGATATTTTTAGATTAAATTATTCATAAAATTGTTTAGTAGAAGGATTGCTAGAGCCATTGTCGTAAAGAAATTAAAATAGCTATTGTTATCTCAATAAATGAACGTATATTTATGAATATTTTAGATTGAAGTAGGGTCAAATTATTTTAAATCTTTAATCGTAAGTTCGATTGTAATAAACATCAAGTAAGAATTTAAAACTATCGCGTACCTCTAACACTATTCTTCTGATAATATTTCAATCAACTCAAAGTACGTACAACCTTTTATTTGAAGAGTTTGGCATGTAAAATGTTAATGTACGGCTGAACGATAAGCCAATTCAATCCTCTTAAAATTCAGCCATCTTATATCAACCTTTCTTTTGCCTCAATATGACAGTTTTAATTGAGCCTTATATTGAGCCATTTAGAGCTATTTCAAACAATTTTTGAACAAATACAGAAAGTGGACGCAAAGATATCTTTAAAAATGAGTTTTTAATTTGAATGAGCGGTATATTTGTGAGTTAAAGAAAGAATCATCACATGCATCAGCTGCATAAAAATTATCTATCAATCTGTTTCTATACTGTTGCACTAATTCAAGTTTCGAGTGTTGTTAATTCATCGATCAATCTCTCGTGGAACCGTGAAAACCAGCACTTTTTATTTTTCCGTGGAGCTGTGAGTGGGACTGTTTTGAGGCAACAATAAGTCATAAATACAAACTTATTTTTAAAATCAAATTATTGAAATGAGGAAGTAGCTTATGAGATTGACTATTACTCATTGGAGAAGTATTATAAACCTTGTTAATCCCGACTTTTTAATGCTTGTTAATTTTTTGGCATTGAAATTATTGAAATTTTGCAACAATTTTAGAGTCAAATACATGTTCTTTTACTTAGCCAGAATAATTTTAACTACAATTTTTTTCCAACTAGACATCCTCAGTGACTATTGAACATTTAAAGGTTTCTGGATATCCCACATGCTTTTAAAATTCACTAGAATTTCTCAACTTAGAAATTGGATTTTGGTATTAAGCATCTTGTACAAGTTCTGGTATGAGTGAACTAATTTAAAAATTATTGAATCTGGAATCAGTTTGATTTCACTTAAAAGCAAGCTATGTATTTTAAAAATTATGGACAAATAGCATCAGAACACATTACAAGTTCTTCTTTAATAAGCGTTTGCCAAATTTTATTGTCTTATCATAGTGATTTGCGATTTCCAAGAAGACGCCGTCCTTTCCACTCATTCACTGAATATGGTTGGTAGTAATAGATTAATTGCTCGTAATTGCAAAGTTTTGTGGTTAGACAATACATTAGACTATCGTCTTTCTGAGTTTTAGTAGTTTGATAAGGTCACTACCCATCGAAGAAAGGTCAGTTCATTGACTTATTGATGCAAAATGCTATAGCTCTAAGATAGAGATAGAGTGAATACCACAAATTTTCATCTTGTGAATACTTATAGTGCCACCTAGGGAAATTCTTGGTCCATTACCAATATTGTATTACATCATTATTACAATAACCGACTTAATGTAAATTTATTGCAAGGATTGTTACTGTTGTAATTCTTTTATCTCGGGAAAAAAGCAAACTGGCTGTAGTATTAATTCGTCTCAAAGTCAAAAATTAGAACGGCTATCATAGTAAAATTATAATAATGGTTTGTACAATGAAAACAATAACATCAGAGGAAAAGTTGATACTTGAGCAGGATCCCATTTCAAAAATGAATCATTTGATTTACGTGTTGTCATGAACTGATGACCTAAAAGTTAAATAGGATATCCATTGCTACGAAATGAGTTGTTTTAAAACATTTATATGATTATTGAAAATCTAGAATGAAAAAATGTTCTAGAGTTACTTGAATATCAGCGAAGTCGGCTTGCGGAATCAAACATAGTTAGAATCACTCTGTTGAACACGTAGGTGGTAAAACATAAAAACTGCACATATGCTGCTTGACAGGTTTTACTCAACTTCAATTATTTTATATTTCTCATTTGTAGCTTGAATCACTCAGCTCTTTTTAAGTCTCAATTCATAATCATCATAGATGAAGATCATACTGCTATCGCTTTTCTGGGCTGTATTGAAAAATAGCATCTTATAACAACAATTCTATGATTCTGAAACATAACGTGGTAGCATCATGCATAGAAAAACATGAAAAATATCATCAACTATACATAGCAAATTCTATTTGCTACTCAAGAACTTTCAGTATGCTTGTTTGATATTAATTCCTACAAGCAGTGGTGGGGTATTCACCTAATGGGTTGATTTCGGAAATGTCCCATGTAACACAAGTAGCATTAAGTAGTAAACATTTTTTCAAGCATTAAGCCTCTATCACAAATATGTTAATCAGAATTCGGGAGCCGTAACTTTAAGTAAATGGGTTGTCTAAATGCAACCTGTTTAATTTGGCCTACTTTCACCAATAATAGGTTTGTCGAAACAATAAATGAATGCTCCAGTAGAATCACGCTAATTATCGAACTGAGTGGCTACAACAATATCTTTTTGAATCTTACTGACAAATGTTGAATATTTGTTGAAGCAACTAGTATACATATTGATGTCCAGAAGTGAATCAGAAGAGTTGTCAGACATTTTACACCTTTCAGCAGAACATGGGATCGTACTTCGAGCAAAAATAATCGAATTATATCATGCAAATTGCAACGTATTCCAGTAGATAGAAGACAGTTCATCAGAAGTACCAACAGATAATAAAAGCTCACCGGCCAAACAAAAACAATCTATCACACGAAACAGAATAAAGCTCAGAATATTTAATGACAGAAATTAAGCACATCAAATAAAGTAAACCCATACTATAGAACAACCAGAATTTCAATTGAATCGAGTCTATGAGAGACAGCACATCAAACGATTGAATCAAATAATGGAAGCACAGAACGTGTAGCATATCAAACAAATGAATTCAGCATATCAAAAAAGCAAAATCTAGCATATCAAAAAAATGAATTCAAGCATATCAAACAAATGAAACCAGGCATATCAAAAAAACAAAACCAAGCATATCAAACAAATGAATTCAGCATATCAAAAAAGCAAAACCTAGCATATCAAATAAAGGGAATAAAACATATCAAACAAACGGAATTAGCATATCAAATAAATGATTTCAAGCATATCAAATAAATGAAATCAGCATATCAAAAAAGTAAACCCTAGCATATCAAATAAACGAAATCAAACATATCAAAAAGCAAAACCTAGCATTTCAAAAAAGCAAAACCGAGCAAATCAATGATTTCAAGCATATAAAATAAATGAAAGCAGTATCAAAAAAACAAAACTAAGCGTATCGAACTGGAGATTCCAAGTATATAAATCATATGAAACCCAGCAACAAACCTGTGAATTGTTTTCAACAACTTAGACTACATATCAAACAACAAAAATCACGCTCAACTTGACAATGTCACCAGATCAGATAAATTAAATGTAACTGATCAGCTAAGTCAAAATTTTAAAACGAATATACACAAACAATTTAAGGGACGAGCATAAACAAAACTAGGTAAATCAAACATACTAAACTTTGTGAGCAATCGAATGGAATTTCAAGATACAAATTGATGCATGTCATTCCGAAATAAATGTCTCCAAAACTCTTCACAAATGTTCCAATTAAACATTTTAGTACTGGAACACTCGGCATGGGTCAAGTTCATGCCTGAAATTCATAAATTCATACCTCACAAACGTATCAGGTAGGTAATACTTTTTTCTTAATAAAATCAAAAGTATGTATTTATTTTACAGGCCAAATCATGTAGGACATTAAGCAGAACTATTGCTCGTACAAAACAATAAAGAACTCAGGTAAAATGATTCAACGTTGACCATTTACGTCGAAAAATCTGATTTACATTATGCAAATAAAAATAGCATGTCAATTGTAGTCCGAATTGATGTGAAACAAGTTGGAAGAATAATCATTGAGTCACTTATTGAATTTTTTAAAGCATGATACTTAATTCAGTTAGATGGTAAACAAGTTTATGCATTACTTAACTACTTTGATCGTATATATGGTATAGTTTGCGGCGGAATTTTGCATTAGAACTTGTTACATAAAGATAGAGATGTCCAATTTCATTCTTTTGTTTAAAAAACGTTTCTTCGCTGTAATTGCAATGCTTCATGAGTCGTTGGTTAATTACTTGCACTATATTTTACATTTAGTAATAATGTTGTTTCTGACACATTATAAGTATAAAGCTTACCAATTTTTACGTGTTTGGGATTTGTAACATCAATACTTGCTTTTAGAAAATCCGAAACCCTCCCTTGTTCTCTTTGGTTAAAGCTCAGGTTCGGATTTTGCACATGTTTTCTTTTCTACCGTTAAGTTAGTTGGAGGTAAAGTTAGGAATGAATAGTTTTTGTATCTGAAAATTGCGTTAGATACGGCGCAATTTTACTCTTTTATAATTTAAGGTTGTTTTACTTTCTTTCTATATCATTACGATAACGAAGTGTTAATGAAAAGCGCTAGACTTTCAGTTTGTGGCTCAAAAATTTTGTTCCATAACATTTCTGTTGTGTTTATTTATTATTGAGAATGCTCGTATTTACCCTGAGTTGAAGTTTGTATGAGGCTGGTATTTTGTTTTTACATGAAAAGGGTTAAAGGTATGTTTTGCTCTAAAAGAAGTTGGCTTCTTATGTTTTGTTCTTTAATTCGTCACGAAAGCGTTTTCATGTTTACCGTTCCTTCTCACATGATTTTGTCTTTTCAGCCACATCATGATTGTATAACTGTACTGGCGTTTGGTTTCCCTGGTGTTAAGATTTTAAACCCTAAGGCATGAGTTATCAACGCTGTGACGTTTAGGTCCTTAGTCTAGCTTGATAATTGGTCGGCTGTTGCTCGCATGCAAGTGGGATTTTGTCAATAATTTGACTCCGTCCCATGCAAATTCAAGAGATTCGTATGTTACTGGATAGAAAGCACCATTCTCTTTTTATTTTCTTTGTTATCTTGTTGGAAGTTTTGTTTTATTGCTTCCGGTGATTGAATGCAGTCTGGATTTACCTCGTTTTGCGTTTGATTTATGAGATAATTCATTAATTTGTTTTGTGAAGCGTTTTGTATGCGATATACTATATTTTCAGGTAAATTTGGTTTGGTATAGCGACAGTCATTTGTTTATTTTTTTTAAACAAATTAATTTGTAGCCTCACGTAATAATTCTGGTGAGTTTTTATGTATCCTTAGAATTTTGTTTGTTGAGTTTCACACAGGTACGTTTGCTATATCTCAATTCTGTATTCAAATTGGATGATATAAAGTCAATATAGAGCTGTACAGTGATGTAATTATATATTATGTCATGTTTGTCTCCTGTCCAGTCGATTGATATGGAATATTTCATCGCTATACTAAGCATAGAGGAATTTACCAGTTGTAAGCTTATTATGTACCAACGTTGCCATTCCTTTTGTTTTAGTATCATCTTTCATTTCATTTGTTCCATGAGAAGAAGATTAAATCATTTTCCAACATGACTTTTTCAAAAATGATTTTACTTCTGGGTATGTTTAATTTTTGTGGCTAAGTGGTTTGTTGTATTAAGAATTCAAAATAAAAGTAGATAATATAACTAATTTATTGTGACAACGACTCTGCAATTAATCTATAATTACATTATCCAATAGTCATTGTCACAATAGATAGTTATATCATCCAATTTTATTTTGATTTCTTCAAATAAACTACTTCGCCACAAATGTTCATTTGCGGGAGACCTTGATTTGTAGTATTCTGCTTCAGGTGTTGATTGAGCAACTTCTTTTTGTTTGTTGGTCCTCCATGTTAATGGACCATTATTATATTACAATATATAACCTTCTGTGGATAAACTTGTATTCTTATTATCAGACCAAATTAGATCACAAAAACTAACCAATAAATTAAACCTGGAAGGTGAATATTTAATTCCAATAATGTACTAATAACATGTTTGGCAGCAGCTTCATCTTGCTTAGGTTGACTTAAATCACGTGATACTTGATTCACAGCATATGCTAAATCAAGCCTAACTGTATTAGTTAAAAATAACAATTTTACCACAAGACTTCTAAATTTCATAACTTCCTTAGGTTCTAATATTTTCAATTGTTCACCGGATTCCATGTTCAGACTTGTATTAACAGGAGCTCCAACTGATTTCATGTTATCAGCAACACCTCTTGATTTTTACATATCATCAATATAATCAGTTGCAGCTATTCCGTTAGTAAATTTCTTATTGCCTCCCACAATTGCAAATAACATTTTCTACCGCACATTTAGTATTAGGTTTTACTTCTTTGAGTGGAGAACATTGCATTTTTATTCGTCGTTCTGCTAATTCGATATCTTTAATTGGTTTATATGGTAATGAATCATTAATTGCTTAACTGGATTTGAATGAATAATCTAATTTAAAATCTTCTTTACAAGCACGGTATCGTATGACAGATTGTGGATTAGTTAATAAATATCTTGGACTAAATATTTTTGCAATTGTGGAAGGCAATAAGAAATACACTTATGGAATAGCTTGTTTAGAAGTATTTGGTACATAATCTGAGGTAGTACTAAAATGCAAGTTCTAATCTTGATATCATCTTTACTCATTTGTATTTTATTTAGAGCTTGACATTGTTGTGGTATGTAGTTTTAATCTCAATTTTTGATGTTCAGGATATTTTCTTTATTATGCATAAGGCTTGTTTAGTCCAGTATGGACGAGTGACATAGAATATTTTCCTTGTCATAAACATAATAAACCCGACAAACATACCAAACTCATATAAGACTGATTTCGTTGATCTCAACATTTACAATTTAGTCTAGGAGCTAGATTTGCAATTTCGATGAAAGGCTTACGAGCTAGAACTAGAAAAACCTTGAGAATGTTGGATGACCCAATCTAGCATGTCAATTGGCAATATGATGCCTCATATTATAAACGGATCACTAATACTATTTCTCAGCAACAATATTAAAATCTTGCTGCTATTACAATGCATCTGAAATAATTAGGATATATGATAGTTGTCACTGCATTTAGAGCTTCATCTGTTTTATTCTTTGAAACCAATGGAATTCATGTCAATAATCGTAATTAATTGGATTAGACCTTTGTTAGAACAACATGGTTATATGAATTTGATTGGTGTATTTGTTATCGGTATAACTACACAAGAAATTAGTGCCAGCACCACCGTTTCTTTTATGTGCTACATCATCAGTAACATCAATCATTATTACAGATGGAGAGAACTTGATGTTATGGGAAGAGAATTCAAATATTGCTGTGAAAATAATAACATACAGCATATTGCAACCCCAAGTGACGACCCTATGTCAAACGGAAGGGTTAAAAATATAAATGAATCAATTGAGAACATTATAGGTGGACTCACTCATGCTACTTTCATAGAATGGGATTGTATTTATATAAGGCATTTCATACTCATAATGAGAGGCCGTCAAAATTTAATAGATCATCCTATTATTTGGCATTAGGTGTAACTCATGATGGACCCAGTACGGGACTTTGACACTCAAATCTTCAAAAAGTTGGATCACAAATGGACAAGTCTCAACAAGAAAAGGGATTCAGAGATCAATTATACTAGAATTATATGAATTAGAGGAAATGGAACAGAACAGAAATGAACACATTGATCTAAAATTTAGGAAAATACTATTGAAAAAACTGATGAAAGAATATTACGGTGATCCTGCAAGCTTTAGTACAATGGGGGGGCGTTGTTTCTACTGTCTATGATTTTTGACTGGAAAGGTGACCAAGAGCTTGAAAATATTGTTTCAGAAGTCATTGTTACGAGTGGTGATGAAAATGGTTTGAACTGAGTTTCCTCAATGGGATGATGTGTAGTGTAGCACCAGAATCTATAAAAAAATTGCACTGATTTCAGTGAATTCTACAAAGAAAGTTATTCAAAATCGAATTACCACCTGACTTCGCTCCCCACACGAGGCATGTTCTAAAAGCACTTGTATTGGTGCAACTCACGTTTCAGTTGCTAAAGATATTAGCCTTCGATGCAATTTATGCAGTTGTCATCCGACTTCACTCACTCCGAGTATCTACTATTCTATTTGCTAAGTCATCCTATTCAAAATTTAATTCCTGAGGAAATTTAATTCCTGAGGAACTTGCATGAATTGAGCACATTGATCAAGAGTATATAGTTAACAGTGGTAAATATAAAGTCCATTAAAGTACGTTAAGATCAACATATTTACTTCCAATTTAATAGGAGAATCCACTTAAATTAATTCATTTTCATATCCATATTCTAAGCGACAAGGATGTGAGGGTATTCTCAATCTTAACTAGAGGTTTTGATAGTTCTTCCGTATTAACTGTTTTGTGCAGAATCTGTTACGAAGGAAAAAGTTTTGCGGTGCAACAAACACATCTAAACAAGTCTTTGCACCACCGTGTGTTTTTACTATGATTTTATTGTTTTTTGTCATGCCAGCTTGCACAATTTTGATATGCCAATATTTTGATATGCTAGGCTTCTTCGTTTGATATGCTAGATCTTCTTTGTTTGATATGCTAGATCTTCTTTGTTTGATATGCCAGATCATCTTTGTTTGTTATGCTGGATCATTAGATTTTGTTATGCTGAATCATTAAATTTTGTTATGCTGAGTCGTAAGATTTTGTTATGCTGAGTCGTATGATTTTGTTATGCAATACCACTTTTTGTTATGCTAAACCATCAATTTTTGTTATGCTAAAACATCAATTTTTGTTATGCCAGACCATCACTTTTTGTTATGCTAATTCATTAATTTTTGATATGCTAGTCTACCAGTTTTTGGTATGCTAAGCTACGGGTTCATGATATGCTAAAGTATTGCTTTATCTCCGTCAACTTTTTCAATAAACTAGTTGGATTCGTCGTATACTCATAAGCTTCTGAAGAGAAGTCGTGTTGAAGGAAGGAGCTAAAACTGAGTCTCCAGATTTTACAGATAAAGCGAAAGTTTTGACAGCATAGTTTAACATCTCGGCTGACATAAAATTGGGATTCATCAATTCTGTACAAAATTATATTAATATTGATTTCCTTAATCAATTAGGGTATCTTTCTACTTCGTTGACTAGTCTCTATTTCTCTTTTTATTTGATCAACGAAAATATAGTTCTACCACCTAATACAAACAAGCTGCAAAAGTACCAGGTAACTCAAAATGCAAAAATTTTGGAAATATACTTTGACTCTGTGTGAATAAGCTCTTCATCAACAAGGGTGATTGATATAAAAATTTTAACTCATTATGGTGATGATTAATTAAATATTATTTAAACATATTATGGTGGTGGCTTCCTACTATAGTTTGTAAGTTTATGAGTGCATAAGCCAGTACAAAGTGCTTGTAAGCTCTGTGATTTGTCACGTTGCTAGAATCTACTTATCAGTTTCTGTATGTGACGTTTTACTTGCTTTGACGTTTAAACTTAGATCATGTTGGTATGTTTTCAAGATGATGAATGATTTTTCATAATGAAAACTTATTCAAATTAGAGATGATCCATATATATAGCATCATCCAAAAATAAATGAGATATTATACAGCTCTGCTTCTGTAGTAATTGGAGCTTAGTATTTGAACTCAATTATCACGTCCTTTTTGAAGATGATATTTGAACCATTGATATCTCAACTATATGATATTTCAAAAATATAATTATTGAGAACACACTATCCACTGATTGAAGCATTAACTAAAGATAAGGACTATCCGATCTCAATACTTTTAATGAAATTGAGCTGATGTCGTTCATTAATCATCGTCAAGTCAATTGCCTAACTATCTGAAAAATTATTAATTAAATATGGCCAAACCTAAAATTTGGCAATACAAACAACGGTCTTCCCTTTAGTTTCCTTAGATCCCTTGAGCTATTAAAGTGAAGTGGTTTTGACAAACGTTAGCACAAACATTGAACTTTTCGTCTTTATCAATAAATTCCATTATCTCCTTTAGTACCGGTTGAGCACACTGGAATATCTCAATTTGCCAGGTTGATGTATACATTACATTGGTTTCATGTACATCATGTAATACTGATTTCATCTTCTCTATTCTCTTCATGTGTGTAACATCTTTGGTGATTAACTGCTAACTCGGGAGAGTAATAAAAACATCAGTTAAAAATGTAATTCACCCTTTGTTGGTATTCTGAGCCATTTACAAAGTTCGAGTTATCGTCAATTAATTGATTCAATGAGTTTAATTAGGTTGCGAACAAGTGATGCAAGAGCGAAGAATCAGGGGGTTGGAATACATATTCAACTACAATTATCACAAAGTGTTATTTATTATTTGTTTTTAAGATTCAGGCTTGAGCCATTCCACTTGATTGTTGACAAAAGTACATACTTCTTCCATGTCATGGTCTTTAAAATGTTCAAATTTATACTTATTAATACAAAGGACATCTTTCATGTGTAGCCATTGCTCATATTCAAAATCTGTTTTTACAATTTCCTCTTCACCAAGGTTATTGATCACAGTTTTGTCATAATGCATTTTGTCATATAATCTATATTTTAATCTCTTCTTCGTAGCGTCATAGATATCATCCTTAACCATGTAATTTAATGGGTCTAGCTTTGGATAATTACAGTGCAATGCAAAAATGGGCACATCGTTGTGACTATTGAATTCTTTTTCCGCTAAAGCCTTGAGTTTTGTTATTTGATCAGGTATACTCAAAGTTCGACCACTTTTGTCAAATGCATCAACTACTAGTTCATTAAATAGTTTCTCGTCGACTAACGGATTCTTTTGAGCCATAGCGACTCCTTGGAACCCACCGTCTGCTTTGAAATAACCAGGTGATAGGATGAATGATTTAACCTGGTAGTATGGTTGTTGATTAACTATCGCAGCAGTGACAAAAGTGTCTTTATCACCTTCTCCTTGCTCACCAAGCGAAAATAATTTGTAAAATATATCAGGACCATAAATGTTATAGTACAATGACAACAATATTGTTTTCCCATGTGTGGCTTTATTAATCATTAGTTGACCAGATTCTGTAGATAAATCCGGAATAGCATTTTCTAAATCATGATAAGGAATTTCATCAGTCTCTTCAACATTTAAAGCCCCTGGAGAATTTACCGGTTCAAATAATGGGAATCTATCATATCTTACTCTTTTACCTTCATTCACTTGAATATCTGCAATATCATAATACTTTGGAAAGATTGTTCTTTTCCAATAATCAGGCCAGGTTATCATACCATATTTCTGGTATAGTTTACTTTTAAATACAAGATCTGGGTTTGAAACTAACATGTTATCTGAATCCAATAATAAAATATTTTGAAAAGATGATATTGCTAAAGCTATTGACTTAAACTGAAAAGATTTAAGTTTTCTTCCTTTCACGGTTGTTTCTCCCAATTCCTCAGGAACAACTATACATTTGGCTCCAAGTTCGGGTAGTAATTTGTCACAATATTCTCTTTCCCTTTCATAGTCTTCCTTCTTGGGCATTACTACCTCGATTGGTAACTTTGATCCCGTCTCCTTCAAGGACAATATAGCAAGATAGGTCAACCATGAGAATTTTGCCCCACCTATGAAAACGACACCAGTAGAACCTTTTTTAAATATATAGTCAGGTATAGCGTTTGGTAAGTCTTCAACGACACGTTTATGTTTCTTCTTCAATGACGCCACTACTTCATTTGATATTTTGGCCCTAGATAACAACGCTTTTTTTGTTTTTGAATCATCCAAATGTTCCAGTTTATCTGTATAGTGTATAAGTGGCCCATCACTGCTATCCATTTTGTTTGAATCAAAACCTTCAAAAATACTATTCCAAAATTTATGCTTTTTGCTATCTTTTTCAAGACCAGGATTTGAAGATAAAGGTATAGTCGGTTTGTGATTCTGGTCATCATTTAAATGATTGTGGAATTCAGATAGTTGTGGGTTGGTTGCAAGAGTCTCCTCATCATGTATATCATTAATGTTATATGAATTGATGTTTGTATTTATTAGCGATCCGAATAAAATTAAAGTTAATACTGCAATGACTAACACTTTTATCCTATGTCTCGATAGTTTTTGTAGATATATCCCCTTCATTTTTTGATGTAAGTTTATCTTCTATTTGTATAATTTCTGACGTGAAAGATAAGCAAAATGATGAAGATTTGATGACTGATGTTATTTTGCTTCAAAACAAGTGTTTTGAGTGTGATCTCAACGATGAGCCCAAAATTTTTAGTAAAGTAAGTGTGAAGTGTGTAGTCCTGCCTTATATTTAGACAAAGATATCTGAATTAAATATTTTCTGAGTTTATAAGAATTGATTGATGCTTGATATTAGTTTGGTGTAGACGTATTATTATTATTTTTTCGATATTTTTTTCACTATTATGTACAGTTTAAGTTATAAAATTAGAGTGGAGATAAAGTAGAGACTTTGAGCAAAACACGTTCAATGCAACGAGTGTCAGAGAATAGGAGCATCAATGTCAAATTGAGAAGGACAATTTCAATTCAGTCTCATGATTGTCTAGTGGTATGCTAATAAGTCTTCCTATTGATTTTAAAGTATACTGCAATCAACTTAACACGATTATAAAGTATTACACAAAAGCAATGTTTAAAAAATTCATAATCACCAAATGTTTCAATATTACTCGAGTCCTTGATTAGCATCAATTAAGCGTTAGGTAGAAATATCTTCTTTCAAACTCTTCAAAAAATTTCATGCACCATTTCGCAAACTTCAGTTAATTAAAAATGATTGATTTAGCTATTTTTTATTTAATCATTGAAAGACGCGTCTTTTTCAACAGTATCAGGAGTGGAATCACCGATTTCGAGTTGAGTTTGCTCAACCGGACTAATTTCTGTTTCAAATGTTGGTGGGTTTGAAACCGTGTTAGAACTATTATCCGATTCAATGCCCTCAGGTTCATTACTTAAAGAAATTTCAGATATATTTCTAGACCTTGAACTAATAATCTCAGTCAAATTATCTTTTATATGAACTGTAGTTGATGGAATCTTGTCTTTTTCACTCATATGTAAAGCGTCTGGTTCTTCTTTATCAGATGCTGAAGTATTAAGTTCATTCCCTTTAAAATCGGTTTCTGAGGTCAGCCGTTCGTCACTCTCTAAAACGTTTTCTGAATTCTCGTCCAGTGGATCCTCGAGTTCATTAGGAACATCCTTCTGCAGTGATTCAGGTGGTTGTGATCTTAGTTCTGTATCTGCGTCCACTCTCTCATCTTTTGAAATTTCAATCTCATTCTTTTTTAATTTTCCAAAATTGAATGACCATAAAGAACCACTTTCCCAATTAAAATTATTTTCAGCTTCAACAGATGCATTGGCTATAGCTTTTGGTAATTTTTTACCTTTTGGTCCTCTTGTTCTTTTGATGTTGCTAGTAGCAGCACTAGGTATCGATTCTGATGCTTCTGCTGGTTTTTGTTGTTGATTCACATGTAGCATAGCCGGATTGAACATACCTGGCAAGGGAATACCATTACCCTCGAACTTTTTAAAATTTATCGGCCTTGATTTTGGTGTTTCCTGAATCGAATCTGTAGTATTATCAGAAACATCTGTTTCCAGCTTGTTTTGGGGTTGAAATAACTGCTGCTGAAATGCAGCAATCTTACTTGATAATTTCTTTGGTTTTGGTGGTGGTGCTTTAGGTTTTGCGGAAGAATTTTCCTCTTTTTTTGGTCTGGAAGGAATTTTAGGAACAAATGATGTTGGTAACTGACCGGTGTTCGAGGTCTTCGAGTTAACACTGCTATCCTCATTTGGTTTTAAATTCTCGGTTTGTGATTCCGTCAAGCTCAAATCTGATGTTGATTCTTTTAAAGAAACACTTCCCGCACGATCTTCAGCATTTATTTCATCTGAATTATCCACGGAAGTAGTAGATTTTTTACGGCTATCACTTTTTTTAGGTCGAGTAGGAATAATTGGGCTTGCCCCTTCCAATCTTGGAGAACTTGAATCTGAATTCTCCGAAAGTACTGGCTTTGCAATATTTGATAACTCAGTTTCGTTATTTTTGCTTTTTGTTGGGAATTCAGTTCCTTCAGCTTCTTTTGTTAAATCAGCTTTACCCTTACGATCAGGACGAACGGGAACTGTGGGTGTTTGAATTTCATTCGAACCATCGGATACCTCTTTGTCTGGGATTTGCTCAACGCTTTCATTGTTTTGGGACTGCTCGGGATTAGGGGTGCTGTCGGTGTTTACAGCTTCAATATCGGTACCATCGACTTTCTCACAAACCTTGAGATCATCTTCACTATCGACCGAATTATCATGTGGTTGTTTTTCGTTAATTTTTTCATTAACTTGATCTGCTAATTGATCTTCTTGGCCCAAGACTTCCTGTTTTACTGGTTGATTTTCTTGCATAATTGTTTCCTCGTCATTATCAACACTGGCTCTCTTGTCTGCTACTTCTGTATTCTCTTCAAACGTACCTTTATTGGAAGATTTCCCCAATGTGTTCTCTCCATCTGACAAATTTTCAACAATCAGTTGTGTGTTCTCACCACCGTTATGCTCATCCTCTATCTCGTTCAGTACCTCAAAAGACTCTTTCATTTGCTTACTACTATTGTCTTCCGTTCCTCGAATTTCCTCAATTTCCTTATTTTCACTTTCTCTATGATCTAGTTCTGACTCGTTCTCAGTATTGGTATCTGTTGTTAATTCATGCCTTTCGGAAGTCACAGTATCATCATTAATCTTCAATTGATCAGAAGTCTTTTGTTTTCTTGGTCTTGGTGGAATTTTTGGAGGTGAGATTTCGCTTGCATTATTCATCATTGATAATTAGTTTGCAATTGTCTATCTATTTAGTGCATAAGCTCACCAAGCAAAGAGATACTTATGTACCCCAGTTTGAAGTTAATTGATGGAAGATAAGGTTCTATTACGTCTCACGTAAATTTTTATGAATGGATGTTTAAAGGTTGACAATCAACTTCTGATTTTATCAATAAACCGGATTTAAATTTGATACTGTTTGGTAGCTCTATTTTTGCCGACAGAAAGCCATAAGTACTACTTATATAAAAAAAAATAAGACTAGACGAAAGGTCTTTTATATTGAGATTGACTACGACGTACATGATCGATCACTTCAAAAAAGGGGAATTATACATTCCTTTCATTAACTGCCATATCAAAATTTAAAATCCGTGCGATTCAACGTTCGATAAGTCATATTGTAAAAGAATGTTACCAGATCTGTTTGCAAAACTGAAGTTGATCAGAATTGGCTGCTTCATCCTAGCAAAAGATGTGTTCTAACCTAGTCTTACCAGTTACCAGTTACATGACCAAGATTAAAGTCAGTTGCATGAGGTAGATCAAGCCAAGCTATACTGTTATAGTTTTTTACCTAACCTTCAGTCATACACTCATCACACCATGATTATAATTCCATTGTTTCGTATTTGCAATATCAGCCTCAAAAGGGATCCAATTATTAATTTCACATAATTTAGTTCGTCTCGAAAAGATCATTAATAATATATGATAATAGGAGCTTTTAGATATGGTAATCATTTCTCATTACTCATAACTTTGCATCCTAATCATTCTCAAACATTAACTCAAACTTCAATCTGCCATGTAGTCTAAAAATTACATTGGCATGACCGAATAATATTAGATACTGGACTCCATCTATGCAATTTGCTTGTCCCCTCAATGCACTTATTGATACAATTTCATGATGTATCGTTTTGGTATGGTAGGGTAATTATCTTTTAGTCTTAAATTGATTTTGCATTTAGAATTTTCACTAAGATGTAATGAAGGTTTAAGACTAAAAGATAATTACCCTACCATACCAAAAAGATACATCATCAATGTGGTTAATGAGTTTTTGAGTTGACATGTACTTATCTTTCCCGTGTCTTCTCATAAGTTTTTATTAGAGATAGTGACCTTTTTCGGAGCAGATCAATGTATAGATGTATTGTATCATGTACTTCATGCTACAATTGTACTTCGAGTTCTCTTTCGACTGTGTGATACAAATGAGTAAATCTAGTACTCGATCCTTTCATCGTGTGATACAAATGAGTAAATCTAGAAGTCAAAAAAGTTCTGCGACAATCTATACCATCACTACAAGAAATCAATTCGAATAATTTATTTCTTATATTATAACTAACTACAAGGGTATGTTTAATCCACTATTACAACATTGATTCAATCCAATCATTTAGTATTGTTGTAGTATCTTCATTCTCTAGGATTTAAATGAGCCATTTATTCGACATCATCAAATTTTTGATCAACTAAATCTGGGATATCTTCACTTCCTTCAGCTTCTGATCCTGCTGTTGCTGTTCCAGCACCTAAATCCTTTGGTGTTTTACCAGCTTGAATTTGTTCTGCTAATTGTCTTAAAATCTCCAAGTTTTCAGCACCTAATTGTGGTAATATTTGAGGAATCAATTGAGTAATGTTTTTTTCTTGTGGATAACCAGTGAATGCAAATGTGTTAGAAGTGGCAGCTCCTTGAACACCAACTCTGTTAAAATGTAATACTTTTCCATCTTCTTTGAAGAAATTGGCTTCCTCTACACCTTCAATTTTTGTAGCTTTTAATTTACCTAAAGCTTCAATTAATTTTGTATCATCCTGTTCAGTTTTAACACCTTTTTTGGCTTTAACTCTTGATCCACCAACTTTCTTGGCTGATGATTTTTGTAATTTGGCTAATTTTTCTGGATCAACTGGCATGTTGAGAGTTGAATTGGGTTCTTATAAGATTTTTATTCAATGAATTTTTCATTTTTTTTCAACTGTTTTGTTGAAAAATTAAATTTTTTTGTATCAATTTTGTTCTGTGATACACGACCAGGTGATACTGTATGTAAGACATAATTGTACAATTCAAGGTACTTACAAAATCATCAGCCATATGTCCTAAGTCAAAGGAGGTAATTGGATAAAAGTTTTATTCCAAAAGTTGTAACAGAAGCAACAAATACGCTGTTTATTTTTTTGGCATTAAAAACCAACTGATTTTGGTTTATATAGCGTTTGTTTATACTTTATACAGTATTTATTTAATTTTGCAGCAAAATTTACTTCAACCATAAAATTCAACCATTTCTGGTTTCAAACTTTTCCATTTTAATCTATTGAGTTAAAGTTCAAGCTCGAATTAGTTAGTCCCATAGATATCCGCTCGTGGGAATGTAAGTGGGTCGGCCTGTTCATCTACTTTTACTTATGTATTTCAATAATTTTTTCAATACTTAATAATGAAACAGAAAAAAAAATGGGAGCGAATATTTGTATCATATTCATTTAACACCAGATCTTACATCGAAAAATACAACGACATCCATACATCCTGCTCAGCTTACTTTTATAAAACCATCACCTATAGATAATTAAAATATAGAAAAAAGTCAATTACATGTCCTAGTATTTTTCATTCGAGAATTAACAAACACATATAACGCAGAATAAATGGCTTTTGTTTCTTCATCATTAATGAAACAATACATAAATAGCTTAAAATTTAAAACATATGTGTTAGATTGGATAGTTGCACTTATATTGGCATTATATTTTTTTTTAATAGCAGAACATGCAAAGCCCTTCAACAGACAATTTTCAATTGATGATTTGACAATATCACATCCATTTGCAATTAAGGAAAGAGTTTCAGGACCAGCTTGTATTATAATAGCTTCATTATTACCATCTACTGTAATTGCATCAATTTTAGCTTTCAAACATTTTACAGGAAAAGTAGATTCAAAATTGGAGATGCTCCATACTTTTCAAATCAGCATTTTAGGATTAACCATTTCAATTTTTTTGGACGGAATTATAACAGATATTTTAAAAAATTGGATTGCTAGACCTCGACCAGATTTTTTAGCAAGATGTGGAGTCAGTATCGAGAATAGAGTAAATTCAGAGTTATTAGATATTAGTGTTTGCACAGCACCATATGGACAAGTCGCACTTATAGATGGTATGAGATCAACCCCATCTGGTCATTCATCAATTAGTTTTGTTGCATTTTTGTATTTAAGCTTATGGCTCCTAGGTCAATTTAAATTAATACTGATAACGCCTCAACCTATATATAAATATTTATTAGCTTTTTCACCATTATTACTTGCCTCATACATTGCATTAAGTAGAGCACAAGATTACAGACATCACTTTATTGATTTAATATTAGGTTCAATTTTGGGTTGTATAATTGCTTGGTTTGTTTATCATCATTATTGGAATAATATATTTCTGAAAAATTGTGATTCACCAAAATTCGCAGACGAAAATGAAGAATCCATTTTACCACGGTAAGTACTGTAAATAAGCATTACTATGTACTTACCAATTGATTTGTGGTTTTTCTGGGTATAATCTAAAGGACAAGTTTTGTGATAAATCTTTTCGGAATCATATTTTAATGTTAAAGAATCTTCAAGGTCTAGATCTTGTTGTCAAGTGGAAATTAATGTTGAAACAATTCTGAAACACGTAATAGATTTAAATTTTTTTTAATAGAATGTGATAATCTAGTTAATTTATTACTACTTAATAAAAAAAACACTATATACAGGAGATTTATGCATAATGTGTTAAAAGGTTTTTTAACTATTAAATTTTCAGGTACAAAATTTAATTAAAATCTGAAACAATAAAAAATAATAAATTATTATATTTTACAATTACTTAAATAATCAACATGCATTACAATTATGAAACATCATTACGAGTTTAATTTTTCCCCTGATTGATTGATTAGCGATTAAATAACGTTTATTTATAATGAGTTTGATATCCCTTTATTTATTTTTCCTCAAAAATTTTGTTGCTACTTTTTATTTATTTTCATCAAATCATTTTAATTACATGGTAAAATCAACAGATCTTGATACTGAAACTGACATAGACACTACAATATTCATGACATTAACAAGTACAACGACAGTGGCTACAGATACTGCCCAAATATCTTGGTCAAAAACAACTTTAACTACTCAACAAGTAATTTCACGTGCTATCACAATTTCAAAATCATTATCTACATCAACTGAACCATTGACGGAATCCACATCAGCAACAGACGATTTGGAAACTTCATCAATTCCAATCAAAAAGTCCACTTCAACTACAGCTTCTATTGCCACTACAGTACATCCATCTGATTATTCAACAAGATTACAATTTGGGGATATTCCATCATCAAATTCTTCTCAAGTAGGAGTTGCTATAGGTGTACCAATTGCTGTATTTATAATTTTTTTCATTTCATTAGGTATATGGTATTTTTTAAGATTGAAAAGGGCCAAAAATGCAAATAAAACAATGGTGGCTAATAATAAAGCTTTTACATTTGATCCATTTGATGATTATAACAATAACTATGTAATTCCAAAACAACGTCATGCATTTATGAATCAAAGTTCTGATACATTAAATGAAAAACCATATCCTAATTTATTTTCTCCAACAAATTATTTAAATACTGCAAAAGAATTGGAAATGTATCAACAACAACAGCAACAACAACAAGTGAAAAATCAAGGGTATGGACCAAAATTTAGGAATCAACTTAATAGATTAAGTAGGATGTGGCCAAAAAGAGATAAATCGCAGGAATTTTCATCAAAGCCGTATGAAAATCAAGATTATCAATCAAAACTTTCACACCAAGAACCACAAACTAGAACTCATCAGGTTATAGAAGAACCTCAACAACCAAATTGTGTTAAACAAATGTCAATGATTACTCCAATTTTTCTTAAAAAATTTAATTTGAAAAATTTACAATTAAATGAACAAAATCCAAAAATCAAACCTCAAACAATTAATATTCCTCATAGTCAAGAATCTCAAAAATTAAATATACAATCACATTTTACATCTTCAAATTATTCAATTTTATCTAATCAAAGTAAATATATAGTTATAAAAAATTATAATAAAAATTTAAATGATGAAATTTCTATAGAAATTGGTCAAAAATGTCATATTTTGGAAAAATATAGTGATGGTTGGTGTAAAATTAATTTAATTAGTAAGTCAAGTAATGGTAATTATCATGAAATTACTGGATTGGTTCCTAGAATGTGTTTACAAAAAGTTTAAGTATTTGTTTTATAGTTAAATAAAGTAGAGTTTAAAAATAATATAAAAACCGTCAAATAAAATCATTAAACATTGTACATTCTTACACTATTTACTTAACGTCATAACTTGAAATGTGGAATTTAACTACTCTCCATGCCTCTTTCAGTATTGTCCAAAATTTCCACTATTTTGTTGCGAATATTGAGCATATGGATGCTTCGATTGTGACTGTTGTTGTTGTTGTTGTTGTTGTTGTTGCTGTGGATGTACTTGACCTTGAGCTGGGTGTTGCGGTTGACCTTGATATGGATGATGAGGTTGATAATTTGTTGAGTATTGATATTGTTGATTTTCATAAGCTCTTAAATTTATATTTTGATTTGAACGTTGTTGATTTGGCATATTTGAACCATATTGATTTCTGTTTTGTAAATGATTTGCTATTTGTTGATGACCAGGTACTCCATTTGATTGATATTGTTGTGGTTGTTGATGTGGTTGAGTATTTTGAGATGGTATGGAAGTATTTTGTCTACTTCCGTTATTAATCGGATTCGAATAAAGACCTGGTTGTTGTTGTTGCTGATGGGGATTGATTGGTTTTTGTCGTGTTTGCTGAGGTTGTTGGGGGAGTGGTTTTGATGATTGATGCAAATGAGTTGCATGTTGTTGAATTGGATGACTATGCGGCGTTTGCAGATACTGTTGTTGTTGTACCGGATATGAATTATTCAATTCTGAAGGAGGTTTACGTTGATGAGAGTTTGGGTGTGATTGATATTGTTGCGGTTGTTGAATCACAGGAACGGGTTGCTGATTTTTATTCTGTTGTGAGTATAGCTGCTGCTGTTGTTGTTGTTGTTGCTGCTGTTGTTTTTGAGCAATCAGCGGTCCACTTGACTGTGGATGTTGTTGTTTACCAAAAGTATTAATATTTGAAACTTGATAAGTAGCATTTTTATCCTGGGAAGTAGGTAATTGAGCTGAAGGTTGGATTGAAGGACTAAATATTTGTTTATTTGATTTAGGTATTGTAGTAACTCTAGGTTTAGATTGTTCAACTTCATTCAATTGATCTCTTGATCTATTATTCACATTTGATGGTGATAAAGGATATTGTAAAGATTTTTTAACATCATTACTAGGAAATTTATTAATTTGATTCTGTGAAGAATTTGGTGAGGAAATAAATCTAGGTTTATTAACAGGATATGGTAAAGGCTTTTGAGGCAGTATACTACCTTCCTTTTTGGTAATTGAATCTGATGATGAACCACTACTAACTCGGCCAGATTCTGAATGAATTGATCTTTGTCCTTTAAAATTTTCTGTAACTGGAGTCCGTTGTGATACTTCATTCAACGTACCACCAAATCTATCTTCAATACTAGTTGTAGTATGTTGAGGTACAGGTGGTGGAGGTGATTCAGTTTTAAGTCCATAATTGGGAATATTTTCAACTCTTTTGTAACTATCTTTCAAATCATTAAATTGAGTCATTGGTGATATAACTGAAGAATAACTACTATTCTTGTCTTGAAAACCTGGAACTTTCAAATTACCAAGAGATGCATCAGAACCATTTGGTAAATTTTTAAGACCAATTTGTCTTACATCAACTAGATTGGAATTTCTTTTTTGTGAACCTAATTCTGCTTCTTCATCATCATCATCGCTAAATAAACCATCATCATTCTTAGGGTAAGTGTTCTTGCTACTATCGCTTAAGTTCAATTGTTGGAACCCTGCTGGGAAATCATTTTCATTTAATTCTTCAGGAGCTCCATTCAATATCTTAGATCTATCAATGTAATTGTCTGATGGTGTCTTCAAGTCAGAATATCCTTGATATATATCCGCTAATTGAACTGATTTATGAAGATCAATTTTGTTTTTGTTTTCTTTTCCATTGTATGTAGTAATAGTTGGAACATTCAATGATAAGTTGTTAGGATTTTTACTGAACCCTTTATGTTGTTCTTTTAACTCTGGTGCAGAATTATTAGTAGAATTTGAAACCAGTTGAGATAATGATGAAGTAGGAACTGGTTTTCTTGAGCCAGAAAATTGACTACCACTACTGGATAATCTTGGTGAGCTTGATAATGTAGGACTATTCAAAGAGCTGACAGCTCCAGCATAACCTCTTTGACTTCCACATCCTTCATATCCTCTTTCAATTTTTGATTTCAATAATGATTGTATTTGTTCATTCCATGTCTTCAAATCCCAATTCAAAAAATCTTCCCTTGTAATTAATTGTAATATGTCTTGCAATTCTAAATAATGAACTCTGGGTAAAGTTGGTAATCCAAACAATAATGAATCAATATCATTTCTATTAGCTTTTAATCTTTTAGGTCTACCATATAATCCGAATGAATCTAACAATGGAATCAAAAATCTAATTAATGTATCAAATCCAGGAACTGCTGAATGTTGTTCTGGCATGATAAAAATCGATGTTTGTCTGAAATCTTCAGCTGATTTTTTGGATATTTTTGTAGATAAACTAGGGGAAGTAAAATTAATATAACCTTCCATTTTTAACATTGTTGAATGATCAATTAATAGATGGGACTGTGGGTAGACCGCAGATACTGCTGAAGCATTGGTTATAACTGCCATTAATTGTTTCTTCTTTTTCTGTTCATTTTCAAATATTAAAATTCTTCCTGGTATAAATGTTTTTTTTTTAGTTACTGATGGTTCAATTACTGCATAACAACGTTTCCAAGCCATTCCACTTCCATATCTTATACTTACCCAATCTTCATGATCAAATCTTTTTTCAGCTAATATAGTCTTTATATCTGATAATCTTGAACCTCTTGCTGATAATAATGCTCCAGTATATGCTTCTTGTAATGATTTATATTCATAATTTGATAATCGAAGTGCAGAATACCATTGAGTTAAATCCCTATAAGATTTGAATTGTAAAATATATCTGTTTTTTAATGTAGTTGAAACAATTATAACATTATCCAAATTTTGTTTTGCAGCAGGTAATGATTTCATTGCATTATAAATAGAATCAGTGAAATTTATATAATTTGGTTTTGCTGAAAATTCCAATAAAGCATCTGGATTATTTTTAAATTGAGCTAAATTTGCTGCATCCCAATAAGCTAATTGACAACCAGTTAAAATCCCATAAATTTCTTTCCATTCTCTATCAGCTGGTTTTCCATCACCATTTAAATCATAATATAACATAAATATACCTTCTGTATAGCGTCTATGAGATTGTGATGATAATAACGTTACAATAGGTATTAATTCAGGTGATAAGCCATCTAAATTCTCTGCATCCCTAGTGGCACTTGCAACTCTTACTAAATTTGCATTGTTGTTGTCGATAGAATCATGATGATCACTTGAATGAATTCTTCTTTTTATAGCTTCCATTTTATTTTAGCTAAACTTTGGTATGTTTTGTAAATTTAATGATAATATTTATTTATCGATGCTTGGTTAATACATGCAAATACTTTACAACTTAAAATGCAGTGTTGAAATCAATATATATATATATAGATTGACAATGATTTTGCAAACTTGATCAAATCTGAATGAGCTCGGGAGTAGTAATGTAATAATTCGGCTGACCTGAGTATTATAGTGATTGTAACAAACTGGTATTAGTAAGTCAAAATAATGTTGATATAAATGAGTGACTTGACTTGACAACTTTAAGAATTACCTTCCAACGATCGAATGAATGAGTGCAAAATTTGATCTAATGATTTTGATCTATCAATAACACTATGCTTATTTATTACTCAATAGTTAAATAGTATAATACAAAGTTTGTATATTTTGAATCAGATTATATGAATGGTTTGTATTTAATTTGAAAAAAAAAACTAAGTAAAAATTAAATGTATTTTTTTTTTTGTTTATTTAGTTTTGTAACAGAAAAAAATATTTAATTTTTTAGTAAGACTAAATCAAAGCATATACTAAAGATGGGTTCTATTGAATTTAGATCAATAGTTTAGTCTATATATGTTTGGCTTGAAGTATTTGATGCCGATCTGCAAATGTTAAAAAGAGAGATCTCTATTGAGAGATATGTGTGCATATTAGAGAGATCTCTTCCAATTTTTTTTTTTGAGAGATTGGATCTGAAAAACTGTGGGGTTCAAAATGAAGGATCTTCTAGATCAAGATTTGAATAAGATTACTAATTCTAGCTGTAACAAACTATGTATTAATCGATAATGAAGTACATCATTGTTCAAATTATTACCATTGAAAAACAATTTCATTACTTAGGCTAACCTTATTTTTTCTTTTTAATCTTTGTTGTTATGCATGAAATTTATCGTATTGTGCCGTATAATTTATAATTTTAATCTAACTCAATTTAAAACATATTACATCATTCACTAATTATCACCATAATCATCACACTACAACTTGATACCGAAAATTATCAATCCATGATGACAAAGTTGAATACATAATAGTTGATAGATAGATTTAAGAGAGTTAGGCTGGGTATGGCTATACGGAAAAAAGCTTTCATTCAACGAAATCTATGACGCGAGTTATATTACTCTAAGGTTAGGTTCACCTTTTGGAATTTTCTTATACAAATATGAATTAGAAAGGCTAAATCAAAAAATAATAATCGCGATAATTTTTTTCATTGACTTTAAAGATCTAATTCATGAATTTAAATTATAATAATTTATTTATCATGTTATATCGGCTTTCAAGTTCTTACGTGTTAATTTGTACAAATTACTCAATTTTTAGTTGATTACATTGAACAAAAATACTGGAATTTTTCAAGGCGAGTTCAAATAATACTATAAGCTTACTGCCTCCTAGATTTGTATGATGATACTTAGATTTCATCTCTTTTCTTTGTTTTTATTGTTTGTCGATGCGATATTTCTTATTTTTAAAAATTTTTGTACTTTTGTTCCAATTACTATTTTGGGAACATCCGAACCACAACTTAAGGACTGAATCATAGGTTGTTGGCACTCACTTTCCAATTATTAGTTTAATAAATACTCGATATATTCAGCGAAAATCAGAATAATCCAGAGACATGTAAGTAAATTTATCAGTAACCTTGTTTAATTTGCTATTCAAATCATAAAACTAGGAAGAAAAGAGAGTAAAATTAGTTTTCATATCAATTTGCAGCCAAAATTTGAGGTTTTATGTAGATTAATGTGATGATGGAAATGTTACAATGACTTGTTTTTAGTGCTTCTTAAAGCTATACTTCTCACTATATGTTATTCTCATTCAGGGAGAGGATATTAGCGGCTGTAAAAAAGTTGTTCGTCTAATTGATCATGTTTAATTTTATGTGTGAAAAATCAAACATACAAGAGTATATTACGAGTCAAATTGTGATCGCATACAACAATTTTGATTTCAAAATGTTGAATATACAAGTTTAGTGAACAAAACACTAATGCTGGTTGGTTCTACAGTATACAATTCTCCATCAACTGACTATTCCAAAAATATCTGGAGATCGAAATGATATTAAAAAAGATAGTGCATCCTAACAACAATATGTAAACAATCAAACTTTAAAACACAAAGAGATCTTAAAACCTTTGTTCGATTGCGCAAAAGAATTTAAAAAAGAGTATGGTTGATGGGATATAATCAGATCCTGAACATCAAAGTTCTCAGAAGAGTCACGTTGATATTAAGATCTATATCGAATCTGACATGATAGAATCTTGAATGTTTAGTATCTTGCATTTTTAATCATTGTGATAATCTTAGTTTTTTTTCTCCAAAAAGAAATGATTCTATCATATCATTTATTTTGTTCATCAGTCAAATCATCTTATTCCATCATTCGTTTAAAATATGATTAAAGTTTGCAATTTGTTACAAAGTATAAAGTCACGGATGCTCTACTCTCTTCAGTAAATCAATCTCAACACTTGTAATATTACTTATTTACATTTCCTTCTCCTCTTCTGTTAATGATACTTATAATTAATTAATTTAAATTTCCCCCACCAAATTGCGAAATTTATCAACAAAAATTTAATTCTTAATTATTTGGAGTTTTAAAATAAACGGACTTCTTTAAAGTAATAATATCTCAAGTTTGATATTTTTGACTTTTATATTTCAATTCCATTCAATTCATTCATTCATCATTGCCCTTTTCCCGCATTTCAACAGCAAACTAATCAAATACAGTTTCACCACCATTTAGTGAATAAATTCAATTCTTCAAAAGTCGTCTCGTTACATTTCAAATTTCATAACACACATTATCAATTCAAACAAACAAAATAGAAAATCATGACAAGAGATATAACAAATCATTTACTTTTTGAAGTAGCTACAGAAGTAGCTCATAAAGTTGGAGGAATTTATTCAGTATTAAAATCAAAAGCTCCAATAACAGTTGCAGAATATAGAGAAAGATATACATTAATTGGTCCATTAAATTATAATTCTGCTCAAATTGAAGTTGAAGAATTACCAGTAAAAGATCCATTAATTAAACAAACTTTAGATTCAATGTCTGCAAAGGGAATAAGGTGGCTTTATGGAAGATGGTTAATTGAAGGTGCTCCAAGAGTTTTATTATTTGATATTTGGTCAGCTGGTCATTATTTAAATGAATGGAAAACTGATTTATGGAATACTGCTGGAATTCCTACTCCTGATCATGATTCAGAAACTAATGAAGCTATATTATTAGGTTATTTAGTTGCTTGGTTTTTAGGTGAATTAGTATATAATGATACTGATAGAGCAGTTATTGCACATTTCCATGAATGGTTAGCTGGTATAGCATTACCATTATGTCGTAAAAGAAGAATTGATGTTACAACTATTTTCACAACTCATGCTACTTTATTAGGAAGATATTTATGTGCTGGTTCAATTGATTTTTATAATAATTTAGCTAATTTTGATGTTGATGCAGAAGCAGGTAAAAGAGGAATATATCATCGTTATTGTATTGAAAGATCTGCTACTCATTCTGCTGATGTTTTTACAACAGTTTCTCATATTACAGCATTTGAAAGTGAACATTTATTAAAAAGAAAACCAGATGGTGTTTTACCAAATGGTTTAAATGTTGTTAAATTTCAAGCAGTTCATGAATTTCAGAATTTACATGCTATGAAAAAGGATAAAATTAATGAATTTATAAAAGGTCATTTTTATGGAAATTATGATTTTGATTTAGAAAATACTTTATATTTTTTTATTGCTGGTAGATATGAATTTAGAAATAAAGGTTGTGATTTTTTTATTGAAAGTTTAGCAAGATTAAATCATAGATTAAAAGAAAGTGGATCAAAAATGACTGTTGTAGCATTTATCATTATGCCAGGTCGAACTCAATCATATACTGTTGAAACATTAAAAGGTCAAGCAGTTATAAAACAATTAGAATCAACAATTGAAGAAGTTCAAAAAAAAGTTGGTGAAAGATTATTTGAACATTGTGCAAGATATCCAAATTCAGAACATTCAGGTCATAAATCAAATGAAGTTCCTTCAATAGATGAATTAATTAAACCAGCAGATAGAGTTTTATTAAAAAGAAGAATTTATGCATTAAAAAGAGACGGATTACCACCAATTGTTACTCATAATATGATTGATGATAATAATGATCCAATATTAAATCAAATTAGAAGAGTTCAATTATTTAATAAACCAGAAGATAGAGTTAAAATAATTTTCCATCCAGAATTTTTAAATGCAAATAATCCTATATTATCTTTAGATTATGATGAATTTGTAAGAGGTTGTCATTTAGGTGTTTTCCCATCATATTATGAACCATGGGGATATACACCAGCTGAATGTACAGTAATGGGTATTCCATCAATAACAACCAATTTATCAGGATTTGGATGTTATATGGAAGATTTAATTGAAAATACAAGTGATTATGGAATTTATATTGTTGATCGTAGAATGAAATCTGTAGATGAATCAATTGATCAATTAACTAATTATATGTTTGAATTTTGTGAAAAGACAAGAAGACAAAGAATAAATCAAAGAAATAGAACTGAAAGATTAAGTGATTTATTAGATTGGAAAAGAATGGGTCTTGAATATATAAAAGCTCGTCAATTAAGTTTAAAAAGAGCTTATCCTGATAAATTTAAAAATGGTGCTAATCCTTTTAATAATTCATCTAATTTAAAATTAACTAGACCTTTATCTGTACCAGGTTCACCAAGATCAAAAGTTGGATTAATGACACCAGGAGATTTAGGAAGTTTACAAGAAGCTCAAGAAGGGTTAAATACTGATGATTATGTTGGATTTAAATTGGGATTAGGAGCTGATGATAATGATAATGAAGAAGGAGAAACTGATCAACATTATCCATTAACTTTAAGAGGTAATTCAATGCCACCTGAAGATAAATCTGCATAAAGAGAATTTTATCATTGAAAAATGTTTATTTCGAAAAAAATCAATATAGATAATGTTCTTTTCCAAAGTTTTCTAAACAATTAGTAATATCACGAAAGAGTTTACATTTACCTACAAGCTATCTTAACTAATATATTTAATTTCTCATTCCTTCGTTACAAATTTATACACATCTAAATAATTTCAAAACTTAAATGCTTTACCAATTCAAAAGTTCTTTTGCCTTTTCACAATAATCGTTAGATAAATAAGTAGAGCACAGTCCTAATAATTTACTTTTCTCATCTTTTTCATAATTTTCATTTTCTCCATCATTAGTAGTAATTGCAATATCAGAAGAATCCTTGAATAATGCATGAATATATCTCAAAATCCCTTTAATATGAATCAATTTATTAGTTCTATCTGCTTCACTGAAAGTAATACCCATGTAATCTATATTTTCCTTTTCATTAAATTCCCAATACGAAATTGAATTCGGTATAAGCACAGATTTTCCATCTTGACATGTTCCAACTGATTTTTCTGCATTTTTCTCATACCATGGTTCAGGATTTATATTGAAATCAATTAATGAACTAACATAATCTAATTGGAATGATTTTTCATTAGCCGCCATTCTTGACATTAGAAAAATATGAGGTCTATATAATTCTTGTACACATCCACAATCATTTATATGAGATCTTCCTATTCCAATCCAAAATTTTCTTGAACCGGTTATATTATTTGAAGGCAAATAATCATGTGGTATTTCAATTATATTGGTTCCACCTCTTAATTTACCTGCATTATCATTTACCAGGATAGAATTAAATGGAGGTCCTGTAATTCGATTACAATCACCATTAGATAAATCACATTTTATAATTCTTAAAGGGTTGAAATTGTAAATAAAATTCATAAATTTGCCATTACTATCATCAGCATCTCTATCAAAAAATGGTGCCCAATTTTTTTCTCTAAAACTTATCTTTTTATTCTTAATTGTCAATCTAGTAATTTTTTTTGCATTGGTAAATGGTTGATAAGTATGCATTGCTCGAGCCCAATTTATTTCCGTACTCCTAGCATTAAACACAATCACTGGTTCTTGAAACAATTCTTCATTCTTTATATATTCTTTTAATATGACCCTTGGATCTTCACTTCCGATAACTTCTTTCTTAGATCTTTTACCTAAATCTATTTCATGAGGTAGAACTGTTGGAAATACCAAATCTGATATTGGAAATTTATAATTTTTTAATTCTTTCCAACTTTTATCAAATACTTGTCCATGTAATATTGAAATAGTTGGTGAATTTTTTCTCAGATCTTTAGTATAAATGATTCGATTTACCATAAAATAAACTTGATATTTACTCATCCATACTGCACTCCCACAAAATTTAAACCATTTATTTTTCAAAATTTCTTCCTCCAGTTGATGTTTATCATCTTGAAAAAATAATTTATAAGCTTTTTCAGTCGGTAGTAATTCTTTGATTTGATCCCTAATCATTTTCAAATCTTCTTTTTTATTTAAATCAATTAATTCACCTACTTCAATTGGAACTTGATTATCAACTTGAATGGATGAACAAGTGAATTTTTCTTCTAATTCTTCATCGTTACTCCCATCATTGTTTCCATTACTAGTTAATGGTAATTTATTTTGAAAATTTAAAAAGGAAAATCCGGGTATATTAATTTGATTAAATTTTTGATGTAAGATGTCTTTATGTAAGGGAGTTTTATTCAATCTTCCTTGATTTTGATGTAATGACCATATTAAAAACACCCAAACATTAAAATTCAATATTATTAGACAGATAGTACTTAACAAGCTATATATTTCATGTGTTTTCCTATAACGTTTGAAATTTTTGAATATTATTAATAAACTCAAAGGAGTTACAATACTTGCTGCTATAATATAAATTTGAGTTGATCCATCAAAATAATTAAATTGATTTAAATTAGAAGACATATATCTAGCTCTTGGCAATTCATATAATAATCAATGCTTTAAAAAATAAAAAATTATATTATTATTGGCTATCTGAAGGGATACAGTGGGAGGTTCAAAAAGTTGAGTTAAAATGGTTTAAATAATGCAAGATAATGTAGGCTTATGTTTAATATAGACTTATGTAAGATTTAGTAGATTGTTAAAAATAGATTTATAGATCTGCACCATGTGACTACACACGTGAAAAGCTAGATACGAGCAGTTTCCGCCTTTTTATTTTTTTTGATTTTAATTCCAAGGTCGTACGCGTTCCACAAAAATCGGTGCTTGACTTGTCTCGCATTAAATTTTAGGTCTACCCCCTTCAGGCTTGATTTATTTTTAGATTAAAATATCAAAACAATTACGTAGACTATTGGAGATTTCTTCAATATTCAGTATTTCATTGTTACATTACAAATTATAATATTTAACTGGAGAATTAAATTCGTCATTCGTACTTTCTATATCATTCAATGATTCAGCATAGCTTGAAAATTTATCTCATGATTCATACATAAACTAGAACCATCATTTAAGCGTAACGTTAATGGATGAACAACAAAACCATCAAAATTTGAATTCAGATTTGGAAAGTATATACTCATTTGATTCTGTGGCAACAAATGAAAGATTACTAGACAGGTTAGATTTTGATACAGCATCTGTGCGTTCAAACAAATCAACAAACTACCGTGATCGACTGTTAGATCTGGGTAATGGTCAACTTAACCCTAAAAGCTCAAGATACCACGATGTAAACTATTACAACAATTATTTAAATCAAAATAGACACAATGATCTAAGTTCAATTGTTAAATTAAGAAATCAGGATCGTCACAATGCTCGTAGTCAGAATTCAAGTGGAAGAGATGTAACTGGCAACAATTTGAAATTTTCATCCTCAAGATACAATACAGCAAGTCCAAATATAAACACACGAGACACAAATTCATATGCAAAACTAAAAACTATCCCGAAACATTCAAGCTTCTTTGCTAACAATGCAACATCAGAAGATATTTCTTCGGAAATAGTGTCATTGAATTATAAATCAGTTGAGGATTTACCAGCTTCATCATCATCTAGTGCAATCAAGTCTCTGAACAAAGATATGTTCAACCATTATACAGATGATTTGGCAAAAACAACTTCAAAATTGAGTTTATATCCATCAAATCAAACAAGACCACCGCCACATTTGTTTCAAACTCAACAAAGGAGTGTCTCTGGATCGTCTATGACATCTAATTCATCAATACCCAGCAATAATTCTATAGATCATCCAGATATTGATTTTGGAACTAAACCGTCCCACAGTGCATCTATACCAAGTCAACCCCTTAGAATGTTCACGTCTAGAGATGAGATATTCATGCTATCTAGAGGGAATTCGCATGATAACATCAAAAATGAAGAGCAATCTTCGCAGATCTCCCAACCTCAAATACAAACTCAATTGACACAATCGACATTTCACAAGTCGAACTCAAGGTCTGCAGACTTGACACCAAAGGAAAAATCTATTATTGCGTTGGAATTGAGGAGCAAGGGAAATCATCGAGAATCTTCATATCAACTACAAATTTTGGCAAATGATCCATTCAATTATCCGAAAGCGATGTACCATTATGCGATTGCATTAAAATATGGATATGGTTTGAAACAAAATTATGCTTCTTCCGTAAAATGGATATGCAAATGCATTTTGGTGAGCACTGTGGACGGTAAAGGGAATCATGAAACAGAACAACAACTCAAATCGAATCTTATAGTCAAATTAAATAAAATTACTCCTACAGAAATTGTCGATTTAATCATAAAAGATTTGAGGAACACTTTTGAAACGGATCCATATGGTAATGGATCAAATCCCGAATCGCTTTATTTAACATTCAAAAAATTTGATAAAAATCAGATAAATCGAATAATTTCAAACAATAAAAGCAAATCAGATGTGCTAGCATTGAGTTATTATGAACTAGGTAAATATCTTCTTTCAAATAATATTCAAATGTCAAAAGATGATGAAATGAATGGGATTATATGCTTATCAAAATCAGCATCGTTAGGAAACGTAGATGCGATGGAACAATTGGGTGAAATATGGACAACTAAGACAAAGAATCATAAGAAAGATTTGTTCAAAGCCGCCGCTTGGTTGAGAAGTTCAGAATTATTTGGAGTAAAGAGTATTGGCAATAGTTGGATTTATAAGGATAAATATCTTAATTGTTCTTGATTATTAATGAGACACACATTCAACTAGTTTTATGAATAATTTATTTGTCTCTCTACGTATCGAGCTCTTCCTTTGCGCTTTCATATTTCATCATTGACGTTTTTCAATTTGATTACATTTACTATTGCATCAAAAAGATGAATGAGTGTAAGTGTAGTTTTTGGCCAATACTTACAAAATATTTCAGGAGAAAAATATAATAGTGTAATACACGTAGTATAAAAAGAGAAAACGAATTAAAATAAGTATCTCATCATCTACACATCAAAACAAACCAATCTCTCTCATATTCACAACATAATAGTATCTACAATAGTCATTATTTTCACTTGTGTTAATATCAATATCAAAAACGGTAGTTTGAAACAGTGAAATTAAAATTATATCTCTAATCATTTCACAATCACACGTCATACTTATAAATGTCAACTTACAACGAAGTACAGCTGACGAGTTTGAAGAAAAAGAAACCTAGAAATAGAGGCAAGAATAGGACAAGACCAGAACAAGGTGATGGTGTTTATGCAACTCCTACTCAAGAACGCAAAAGAAAACTAAACATGGATTACAGCACTCAACTGAATACAAATTCGGCATTTAGTTGGAATCAAGGAACCAGTAGTTGGGGAGGTAGTAATGAAGATCAAAATGGGGGCAATCCTTGGAGTGAACGAAACGATTGGGCACGTAATAATGGGGATCAATCGGGGGATCAAAGTTGGAAACAAAATTTGCCTAGATCGGAGCCGAGTACTAGCTCTTATTTACCACCAAACCCAATTAAAGCTCAACAATTGCAACCTATGAGTTATAGTGATATTTCAAGAAGAGAAATCAAGGATGATTTTCCACCTACTCAAAACCCGTCACTGTCTACTTTAGGGAACCTGCAAAGCAGACCATTACAAAACAAGAAACGAAAAGTTCAATATAACACAACTGCATCCAATTTACAGCTGAAAAAACAAAACAAGAGTAAATCAAGCACTCAAGCTAATACCAAACTGAATCCAAAAACGGTTGATTGTATCGAGCCTATACTTAGCAATAGCAATCAGTCCAATACTAATGTAATTGGTCAAGACGGTTCCGGAAATGGACCAAATAATGATTTAAACCAAATTTGGCAAGAAGACCTTTCACCGGAGGTATTGAAGTTTGTTGAAACAAAATTAGCAAAAATGGAGGAAAAGATCAACCCAAGGAAGCATGAAATTGCAAAACAGCAAGTGGTGGACCTTATAAGACAGGCAAAAGATGAGAATCTTTTATGGGAAAATGACTGGTCAAATCAATTAGTGCCACTACTTGATGGCGGTGGTCCATTAATATTAGCATGTAAAAAACCATTGAAGAAAAAACATATCAATACTCTAAACTCTCAAGAATATGGAAGTAATGTTTCAACAACAGTGCCAGAAAATGTTCCGGAAAATTTTCACTCAAATAACGAAAGTGGTTCTAATGAAGTGGAAATTATTGAAGTTGATAATGGACCCTCAGACCTTGGTGGCCACGCCATCACCAATACTTTCCAACAATCTTCTGATCAAAAATCCTCAAACTTACCCAAGCTACCTCCTATCCCAAGTGGAATTCAACCTATAAGCGGTAGCGGCGACATATATATTGACACTAACGCTGCTCAAGTACCTCAGATGATGCCCTACTCAAAGATCAAAAGCAATAATTTGACTGATGACTATATCTCGGATGAAAGAAAGCGTCAAAGGTCAGTAAGATTCGACAATACGGCAACCGTAACTCCCACATACCCTATCAATACGGAAAGTATTAATAAGAGTGGTGCAATTGTTGGGCTCAGTACTAACCTAGAAAAATCTTATTTGAGATTAACTTCAGAGCCAGATCCAAGAAATGTTAGACTGCAGGAAACACTAAAATTAAGTTTTGATTTTGTGATGAAGAAGGCTAACTCTATGGATCCCAAAGATGCATATGGTTATTTAATAAATCAATTTAAGTCAATAAGACAGGATTTAACTGTTCAACATTTGAAAAACGAGTTCACCATAAAGGTATACGAAACTAATGCCAAAATTTCAATTCAAAATGGAGATTTGGGTGAATTTAATCAATGTCAAACTCAGTTGAGACATCTCTATCACATGGAAAGATCACTGAAATCACTCAATGAATTTATAGGATCTGAAGTTGAATTACTTTGTTACAAGGTCATATATATGATGATTACGAGAAATAATAGTGAAATATGTAAATTGAGAATGACAATCCTGAAAGACTACAAAGGTTTTTTGAAGAAAAATTCAGATTTGATTTATTTCAAATTTATTACAACTTTGTTTAAATGCAATGATTATTTGTTATTGAATAATTGTTGCATGTTTTTTAACAATTTGAAAAGATTTGAAAAGTTCAATGAATTAGAGGTTGCCTTGACAATGATTAAACAATTTTTATTTGAAAAAGTCAGAATCTCGGGTCTTTACCTTATCTGTAATAGTTACAGACAAGTCAATGTCCAATTTGTGCAAACATTTTTGAACTTTCAAGATGAGGCCGAATGTGACACATTTTTGAAGAAATATAAACTTGCTGGATTTTGCGTGAAAGAATTTTTAGCAGCTGCTGCAAAAGTCAGAGTTACCGAGTTATATAAAAAGATTTCGAAAATAGATATTAAAGGTCAACTTTGAGTGTTAGGATTCATGCGAAGAAACAACATTGTGAACAGACAAAATTTAGTCTACTTATGTAACTAGAATTATTCTTTTAATCCATAGTGGGGCCCAATGCCATAATTGCAAAATTATGCTTGTTCGCCCCATCTGCATTATCAATATAAAACTGAATTTTGTCAACTAATTTTGGTTCGTTTATCAAATTGTCTTTACCTATATCATCAATTTTTCCCAAATCGATTGGGCCATTTCGTCTTCCATCTAGTTCATATAAATGATCATCTTTTCCTTTTATGAAAGTAATGAAGTGTAAATTAATTTGTGAATCTGCCGGCGGAGCTTCAGTTTGACCTTTCGTGCCAAAATTTTCATCTGTTTTTAAACTAGCTTCTAACTTTTCAACTATTGAACTTACTTCTTCAACTGATAAATCTGAACTTTCCAAACTAGATATTAAAGACTTTATTTGCAGATTCGATAAGTTCAAATCATTCAGTAAATTGATTAAAATATGTAGTAAAGCATATAATCCACATCCATTCCCAATCGTTTGCTTTAACCATAAAATGTCCTTGCTCTTTTCGTTTTCGTAAGTTGGTTTTGATGAATCCTGTTGAGCTCTATATGATTCATAATTCTCAGTTAATGGAAATAGTAGTATTATTCCGAATATAGGTTGTGGTAAAAAAGACAATAAATCCGGATCTGTTAGTGAATATACGTCATGAAATTGTAGTATTTTTGAAAGACCTAAGTTATATGCTAATTCTGTAAAGATCGTAGGATTTGATTCTAAGGGTATTATTTGCTTTGAATCGGTCATAATATGTTTTGGTTGTATCAAGGGGCAAACTATTATAAATAAATGAAAAAGTTATAAATCCTTCACTTCACTTAAATCTGCTTTCCAAAATTCGTATTTTCAGTTAGTTGAAAGTTCCAATCTTTAAATCAAATCAATTACTTAAGTTTTTGTAGCAGCCTAAGTTTGATCCACTCTTAAATAATTTGTGACACTCGCTTTTTTTAGAATATGGTATATGCAGTATTAATTTTGTCAAATATTTAGCTACAAAGTCTTGTAAAAAATATCAACAAATCATCATCAAGATAATCATAATTACTAATACAAATTTAACATTGTACAATATCATTTGTTTCAAATTTGAAGTCAGCGCAGTTCAAAATTAATTGATAGATAAAGCATCAAGGTAACATCTTCCAAACTGTTCAGCTATATGAACACAAGATCATATTATGGAATTTGTTTAGTCTTGATTGTTATTTTATTCGTTATACTTGATGGATCATATTTAATTGAAAAATGGCTGCAAAAACATGATGATTCTGAAAACTATACCAATTTGCTCGAATTTTGCAGGGTTTTCAGGAATTTATTGACTGGATTTATAATATTTGCCACAAATTATGTAATTCAGTTCTTGAATCAGTTATTCCACCATAAAAATAATGCTTTTGCAACTATAGAAAAGTCCAGTTTTGAGTCATTCTATTTCCCCATTTTGGAATTAGTTTCTGTTATCATAGCATTATGGATGAGAAAGAGGGAAGACTCAAAGTATGCAATACGCAACCAACTTGATATATGCTTGATCACGATTGGTTACCTTTTACCGTCGCTAGATATTTATTATTATAATCCTACACATTATTATGAGATATATAAAGTATTTGTGAAATATTTTAGATTATGGGAAGCTGAAAGAATTACTAAAAATCAGCAGAACGTCGATGAAGCATATGACGCACAAACGATATGGAATGAATTTAAAAAGATTCAAGCAGTTGAGTCATCAGATTTATTTTCGAAAGATGAGGAAAATAAGCCCTATGACCAATTGCAAATGCCGTACTTCGTCAAACAAGATCAAATCGATGTTAATAGTCACCTTGCTGAAGGAAGTGTTAGTATAAATTACCATTTACCAAATGAGTTCAAAGTAAGTGAAGATTGTAAAGAAAGAATAATTCACATTAAACCTTCTTCTCAAATCTTAAAAGACTCCTGTACCGCAAAATTGAATAGATCGAATGTATTAGACAAATTATATTCTGTTTCACCGAAGAATAGCTTCCATTTGAATACAGCAATAGCAATGGCATTCAATGCAATTGAGGAGGAAGAGGCAAATCGAGTTGAAACCGAACTGTCACCAAAATTTACAAGCAGTCAGAACATTGATGATTTTTTACCTGATATCGCAGAAGTTTATGAAAATATTGATGAAGAAAGTAATCATTTGAATAAGAATAGTAACATTGCTTGCCTTCAGAATAAGAACAATGCTAATTACACTCACCCCAACAACACCGAATCGAGTATATTCGAATCCAATGAACACAGTTCTAAATTACAAATCATAATCAAGTTTATAAATTGGTGGTCGTGGTTATGCACACCATTGTTACCAGTTGGTGACCATGCAACTAAGCCGAGACTATCACATACTGGGAATAACGCGTTAGTAAATGAAAGATTTCCTTTGCTTAAAACAAAACTATCATACTACAGTTTAAACGAGGTACCGACATTCAGCGATACAGGTTATCACAAATCATCTCAAAGTGATTCAAAATCAATAAAAATCTCATACGATTTTCAAACTTACGTGTCTTATTACTACGATTTAACTTTCAATTCAATGATGAGTTCAATTCCAGTGGATAATTGGTTTTTAAAGTATGGCCAAATTTTAATCAAAACAAATTGGTATTGGATTTTGATAGATCAAATTAATTATATTTCTAAGCAATTTTTTGAATTTGAAATTATTGGATTATTGATTTTACATCAACATTACATTTTCTTAATCATTAATTCTACAATTATTTTAGTTTTAAAATTATTTTGCTTGAATTATCTTCATTCTTATTCAAAGGGATTGGATTACCGAATAATCATGATAAGTGAATTATTCATTAATTTAATTTTACTAGTCAATTTAATTCTATTAAGTATATTTTTCAATAAATAGGTAAGTCTAATTAATAATACAAATTTTTATCTATACAAATTCAATCTCGAAACAGAGCAAATGACACTGTTGACTTTATTTGTGTATGATATCTATGAATTTTGGATTTATATATGAAAAGTCTTTCATATAAAATGTACCTTGTCGAGGAGTTGAATTTAAATATTTGGAACTTTGATGAGGAGTAAAATCCATTTCTGTAAACTCTGAATCAAAATTTTCAGCTAATATAGGGTCTGTGATAATCGGTAATATTGGTGGTAGTGTACAATTATCTGAATCTTGTACTTGAACAGTTTCAATATTTTCCAAATGTTTCCAATCAACATGCCTGAAAAAATTATGCTTTTTGAATTTTTCCCAATCTTCATCTACATTGAATCTTTTCTCTGGATCAATTTGTAATAATTTTCTCAATATATCTTTTGCATCAGTACTTAAATAAAATGGGAATTTTAATGTCTTTTTAGAATTTTTGATTTTTTGTAAAACTTTATCAGGATTCAGACCAGAAAATGGTGGTGACCCAGTTAATAAATCAAACGCGACACAACCCAAACTCCACCAGTCAACCAAATAATCATATTCTTCACCTAATATGACTTCCGGAGCCATATACTGAATTGTTCCAGTCATTGAATTCAATTTCTCTTCTTCTGATGCGACTTTACTTAATCCAAAGTCTGTTAATACTAAATTTCCATCTGAATTTAACATACAATTTTCAGGTTTCAAGTCCCTATAAATTACTTTGACTCTCGTGTGTAAATAATGTAATGCTAAACTACATTGAGCTAGGTAGTAGGCCGCATTTTTTTCACTCATAAACTTTTCCATTGATAAATGATGAAATAATTCACCACCTTGTAAATATTCCAATATTAAGTACAATTTATTATTATCTTGAAAGGCATAAAATAGTTTAACAATATTTGGATGATTGACAATTTCCAAAATTTGTTTTTCATTTAAAGTTCTTTGATAATTTTTGTTGTGAAATTTTGGATTATTTGGATCGATTGAGTCAGATGTCTCTTCTTCATCATCATCTTCTTCCCTATTAACAATCATTGATGCTTTTAAAAGTTGCTTTTGCGCATACAATTTTCCATTTCTTAAGTCTCTCACAAGTAAAACTTTTCCGTAGCTTCCTTTACCCAAAACTTTGATAGGTTCAAAATCAGTTAGTTTAGGTTTATAAACTTCTAATGTTCTCAAATTTTCTTCTGATAGACCCGACAACCTTGGTGTATTATCCACGATTAAACTTGATGAAATGTAATCTTCTTTCCCTATTGTAATTTCGTATGAAGATACAATAGAAGACTTTCTGCGTGGTCTTTTACCTGGTTCAAGAAATTGCAGTTGCGTTTGAAAAGTACTTCTTTGACTATCGATATGTATTGGTTTGCTCTGCGATGGGAAATAATCATTAATATCATGGTTATCCGTGTCACTCTCGTCTTTTTGTTTTGGGAAGTTGTCAAGATCCGGTGAGTCTAATAATTTATAATTTAGATTTGAAACAGGCTCTAATTCTCTATCTCTAAAATTCAAATTTTTGAATCCATTTTCAATAGGTATTCCAACTCCATCCATGTCAAACAAGTCAGTCATTTTATCTTGGAAGATGATTCTATCTTTCTTGATTTGAAATACGTCAAGTTAGTGTAATTAAAAATCTTCTGCAAAAATTTGTAGTTGATAAATAAATATTATACAAAACCTGACTACCTATACTGCGAAATTGAATGACATCTTATTAAATCAGGTTAGTAAGTAGTTACAGCAAGGTTCTTTAAAATTAAATAGTATTATGGTTGTATTTCACGTTTGACTTATGAGTTGTAAGATAGTTTTTATCTCGAAACAAAAACAAAAAAAAAAAGTGTTGCTAAACAACTCAATTAAATACGAGGACTTTAATTTGCAACACTCGCTACCACGTTTTTAAATGACACGGTCCAAATTCATCCAAATTTATTATTTGGCTAATATAGTCTGATATATTTTGTAGAATGAATAAGATTAAAACATCTATTTTTCACAGATTAGTCTAAAAGGTGTGGGTTATGATCGTAAATACTAAATCTTTGAAATTTGAGAAAGATCAAGAGATTTGCAGATCCCACGAGGTGGGTGGTGAGATTCAATTTATAATCCACCTCCAGATCTAGATGATTATCTTTCCAATTCGTTCTCTAATCTTTCGATCCTTTTTGCTTTTAAGAACTTCATTTGATTCAACAACTTAGTTCATAGTTCTACTATAACACTAGGTTGCAAGTTTTGTCCGGGTAAAGAAATGTATCTTCTTCAAATTTTGTGATACAAAAAAAAATTAGTATAAAACATTGAGAAGATGTGAAAAAATTCTTTACTTCTTAATAATTCTTTTCAACCATCATGCGACAACAAGAGAACTCACTTTATAGATCTTGCATATCATCAATCAATTGTTAAAGTTGAAAATGATTTGGATTTATGGATTGATTGATCCATATACTAAATTCAAATTAGTTATCAATAATTCAGTCTAATTCATTAAGTAATGATGATGTTTCATAAATTGGTGTTTTTGTATTTGGATGATTTTGTTTAAATGATGAAACTTAGTTCACTTCTTTCCTGGTCTGATTCTCGACTATGATTTTACAGACAACGTCAATAACTTGTTGTTTGATTTTTAGTTGATTTCTTGCGAATCAACGGATCATTCAGCTTATACTTGCCAGTATCTACATTTCTGATAAACAAAAAAATTCCAATACTAATGCTCATTTTATGGATTTCAAATTTCAATTAAAGTCGCAAGGCAGGAACATTTTTGATCCGTCTTGTGATTTGAGTTTTACAAACAAAGAAAAAGGTTCATTTTGAAAATATAAATCTTTTTGAAAGGATCAATGGAATAAAAATTTTTTAAATGATGAAAACATACCAATACATTCGCAGTTTCCTCGGTAGCATACAATACGAACCTAATCTATGTATGTCAGTGACCGTCGAAATGACCTTCCTTTGGATGTCTGATTAAAAGTTTTATTACCATTACCCTCATTGAAGTTTGTTTGATTATTTTCAATTCTGGCCATTTTTGGATGATTTCTGTAAAGCTAGATTATGTAGAAGAGCAAAATATTAATGGATATAAGCTAAACTTAAACTACATTTGATTTAGACATTACTTCTATAAAAATTCATTTCCATTTGCAGAATACTAAAAACTCATTACCTCTAATTAAATTTTTCCTTTAACATCAGGTTCAGTTAATGGCCATTGATAAGTACCAGGTTCAGCAAATACATAACCATGTTTTGATAAATATTTTCTTAATTCTTTTGGACCTTTTGAACCATATGGATATTTTTCTAAATTTAAATTTGGAGTATTTTCTAAAGCTTCCAATAATGGGGTGAATAATTTCCATGAAACATCTAATTCATCATCTCTAACAAAATTAGAATGATTACCATGTAAGACATCTCTAATTAAAGATTCATAAGCTTCTGGGATCCAAAAATCTTTAGAATAACGTTTTTTATAAGTTAAATCTAAATCAGTTAATGAAGTTTCAGTTGATACTCCTGGGATTTTGGAATTAATTTTTAAATAAATTGCTTCATCTGGTTGAATTCTTATAACTAATTCATTTCTTTGAATATCTTTAAACATTCCTTTTGCTACTGGTTTAAATTGAATTCTAATTTCAACTTTACCTTCATCTAAAGCTTTACCAGCTCTTAAAACCATTGGTACTCCATCCCATCTTTCATTATGAATGTTTACAGTGAAAGCACAATAAGTTATACATTTTGAATCTTTTGCAACTGTTTTATCATCTAAATAACTTGGTTTTGAACCATCTTCAGATTTATCATATTGTCCAACTATAACATCATCTACATTTATTTTATCAAAAGCTTTCAATACTTTTACTTTTTCATCTCTTACAGCTTCTGCATCAAATGAATTTGGTCTTTCCATTGTTAATAAAGTTAATACTTGTAACAAATGATTTTGCATAACATCTCTAATTATACCAATATTATCAAAATATCCACCTCTTCCTTCAGTTCCGAATGGTTCTTTAAAACTAACTTGAATTGAAGAAATATGATTTTTATTCCATACTCCACTAAATAATTCATTACCAAATCTTATAACTAATAAATTTTTAACCATTTCTTTTCCTAAATAATGATCAATTCTATATATTTCATCTTCACTAAATAATGGAGCAATTGATTCTTGTAATTGTCTTGCTGTTTCTAAATCACGACCAAAAGGTTTTTCAATAACAACTCTAATGATTCCATCTTTAGGGTAAACATCTTTTTTAATGTGTTCACAAAGTTCTGTAAAAGTTGAAGGTGGTAAAGCTAAATAAAAAATTCTTTCCGGTTTTTTAACATCATGTTCTTTTTCATAATCAACACATCTTTTTTCTAATTTTTTATATCCTTCATCTGTATCATAAGCTCCTCTAACATATGATGTTAATTTTAAAAAATCTTTTTTGGTTTGCTCATCACCACCTTTAAAATGTTGTGATATTTTTTCATGAAATTTCTCTTGACTTAAATCTGATCTTGCATATCCAATAATTTGACAATCAGGACTCAATTGCTTTTCTCTATATAATCCGTATAATGCTGGGAAAGTCTTTTTGGCTGCTAAATCACCACTAGCTCCTGCAATGATGAAAGTAAAATATTTTCCAAACGAAGTCATTCCGGAATCGCAATTATTATATAAACGATGTTCGGATATTCAATGAAAAAGTGAATTCAATTGTACTTTGGAATTTAATACGGAATCAATTGATCAATTAATATGATTAATTTATTGATGAAACTTATATTAATCAAACTCAATTGATATATAATTGATAAATTTCAAAAATTTATAGATTAATTTGTTGAGTTTGTAGTAGTATTAAAAATAAATTTCTATAATATTGCTTTTTTCTTCACAGAAAAATAGAAATTGAAAAAGCCCACTAAAAACTTATATTAGTAATAAATTAGTTGGAAATATTGTATTTTATCCTTAACTTAGTAGAAACTATCTATCAATATTTGTTTCGGATCTAACTATTATGCAATTGATTAGTATCTTTTATCAAATTGACTAGTGGATCTTAATCAAAATGAGTAATTGAACCGTAAACACAATGAAACAAGAATAAAAAGTGATGGAAATATTAAAAGTTATAAAAAATTAGAGAATTTAAATAATCCAGATTTTTTAACGCTACATATACCTCTTGAATTAACGTAATGTATCTATTGACACATTCATCATAATTCTTACCACTTTCATGGAAATTAAGGGTAAATGGCAAACTTAGATTTATGATTCATTTGGTTTTGAGTAATATCTTTATCCCGTGATTTTGTACGTAATTACGAAACCTTATTGAAAAAATTCAGACCGGTGAGCCGACAGAATCTTTTATCCATAAAACCGATCATCCTAAGTTACTAGCAAGAACATGATTAAATCAGCACGAGAAGTAAATAAGCTACAGGTTTGTCGGTTGCAAATTCAAATTAAAAGAAACTGTCTGATCCTCTCTATAGTTCTTGGTATACTCTATAACAATTTGATTCTCCCATATCGGAAATCGAGTTTCTGTTAATCTTCGCACGACCCTTAACTTGAAACCGAGTATTTGCAACCATTTTTGGTTGTATAAAAATCCTATTATATATGAGAAATTGAAAATCTTTGAAAATAATTTATGTATATTTATATATAGTATATTCTATCCTCACTAATTGAGTAACTCTACCTAGCGTATTTAGATCTAGCTCTAAGTTTTGGTCCATTCAAATAAAATAAAATTGGTATAGCAATCATAGCAGTTGCAATGAAGCCCAATATACTCGACCCCCATGCCACTGGGAACTTATGAATTCTTGTGTTGTTGAAAATCAGCGCACCAAAAATGGGAAATGCTGCAGCAATTGTTGACCTCACTAAATCGTTCGAAGCATATACAGATGCAGCATATTCACTTTTAAATGAAGCACCTAAATAATTGAACAAAGTTTGAAACATTAAAAAAGTTCCCGCAGAAGTACACATTACTCCAAATAATGGACCAACCCAATGTGTATATGTAGTAGCTGACCATCCAAATATGAATAATCCTCCCGCAAAAAATGTACCTCCAACTATTGCTATAGGTATAAATACTTCTGGATATAATTTTTCACCTTTTTTAAGTGGTACTGTAAACTTATGATGAATCACAGGAATATAAATTGAACAAGCAATTAAAACACCAACTAATAATGATAAATATGAAACTCCTAATTCAATAATAGTAAAACCTTTAGTTTCAACAAAATATATTGGAAACACTTCAAAAAACAAATACAACACACTATACACCATTGCAATGTACATATCAATTAAAAATACAACAGGCTCTAAAATTGTGACTTCAATTGGTCTCCAAAATGTTTCAATCATAATTTCTCTTTTAGTTCTTCTTTCGTTTTCTAAAATCCCTGCACTTGTAATTCTATCATTTCCCGTCCTTGCTCGTAATCTTTTAGCTTTTCTAGCTAATAATGTAGGTCCATAAGTTTCTGGTAAAAAGAAAAATAATACAACCATTGTAGCACCAGATACTATTAACATGAACCAAAAACACCATCTCCAACCTCCTTTAACAGATAATATAGCTCCAAAAAATGGACCCATTGAAGGTCCGGCAACTGCTCCAATACTCCAAGTTGCTAATGCAGCTGGTAAATATAAATCTTTAGTAACATCTCCAACACTTGCAGCACCAGTTGCTAAACATGGACTTGCAAAAAATCCAGCTAAGAAACGTAATATAACAAATCCTGCAATATTATCAACTAAAGCAGTTGGAATTTGTAAAATAACAAATATAAATAATGTAACAATATAAATTGATGATCTACCAAATATTGCATTTTCAGACATTGGTGACCAAACTATTGGTCCTAAACCATAAGCAAATACAAATGCAAAAACTCCTAAATTTGCTACTGGTTGACCAACATGAAATTCTTTTCTAATTTCTAATATACCTGGAGTATAAATAGCTGATGCCATATAAACTGATGTAGTTAAAAATGCAACTTCTAATATAAAAAAACATCTTTCAAATGTTGGCCAATTCTTTGGATTATCAGGATCATTTGGTCCCTCCCAGTCAACAATTATTAAATGCTTATCTTCTTCTTCATAATCTTTTTCCTTGTTATTACTTGTATGGTTTTCAATTGTTTCATCAGAATCATTTGCATTCAAATCATCACCTTTGTTTTTTTCTGATTGGTAGTCCTTATAATATTTTTCAGGTATCACATAATCATCCTCTTCTTCTGGATGTTTGAAATATTTGTGTCCTGATAAATGATAAACTATCCTCCCTGCAAAACTATCTCTTAAAAATCTATGAGGCATCTCTCTCAAGAAGAAAGATTGAAATTATCTGATAAAATTTATTGAAAACATATTTGATAAATATAGTCAAATGTATATAAAATTTTTAGACCAAAACGTCATGGCTTCGAATTCCATTATTCAATTATTTGACCTTCTTTTTAAATTCTATTCCTTACTAATTTGCTATTAAATTATTAATAATTTAAATTTTAAAGTTTGTTTCGCAATTTTAAAACCACATTCTAACGGTTTTTTCTGTATGAAAGGTTAAATTTTTAGATGGCACGAACGGATCGATAACTATAATAAACCCGAATTTTGATACTCTTCACGATGAAGAGGCTTTTGAAATTATGGACTTAGTAATGTAAGCTAACCTTGTATTTTATTATTTGTGGAACTGTTTACATGTGGATGAATGAATCGATTACTTTAATTAACTTATGACTTGTTTATGAAACTATTTGAGTAAGTGTAGGAAAACAACCTGTGTCATAAAACATAACTAATTATGCTATCGCTTAGTGTCATTTATATACTAAGGTTGTTTATAATGATCAGTTTGAGAATTGTTCGGGTGTTTCTTTAAAAGCTAAATCAAAAATTTGCATGAGTTGTTCACTTAGTGAAATCAAGACATAAAGAAAATTAATGTTTGAAAGTTTTAAAGAGTTAACTACAGATAACCAAAAATGTAAAAGTCACAAGGACCAAATCAGACAACATCAATGAAAATGCCCAGCCCTATAAGCCCTATTAAAAAATCGTTCACGGCTGATACCTAAGAAATTGAAAAAATAATGGCAGTAAATGCTATTTAAGGTACGTGAGTCTTTCTTTGCAAGGTCAAATTAAGGTTCCACCGCAGCATCTCCAGAGATACTATATAGCTACCTTCTTCGGTAAAAGTTAGAAAGTATTGGTTATTAACAAATAGGTGAGCTAGATTGATCATGAAAAATAATAACAGCTCTTTTACTAACTACTCCGGCATTATACCCATTTGATGTGGTCAAACAACTACAAAATTCTTATACTTCCATTGCTCAACATGTAGCTACAAAGCTAGTGTGTGTTTTTTTTGGGACCAATTAGAACTTAACGTAGGGTTTAAAAATCAGAAGTTGAATAACTGACATAGAAACATCGTTAATTGGCCCAAATTGGTAATCGCTAATTTCTTTCAACCTCAAATTGTAGATAATAAAGTTTAATTGATCCTAGCCTTCTCAGAAAGCTTCAAAATGAGACATTGAGTCACCAAATGCTAAGATTCGAACAGAAGATCAAATGAAAAGTTTGGGCAGTTGCTACCAATCAAAAACAAGTACGCCACGCCAAATCTGAATTTTGACGTGGCGTAGTGGTCATTTTCAGATCGGATCTTGCAAAAGTAATTAAACTCAAGTTCAATCCGTTTAGTGAGTAAATTGTTATAGTGATAAAACAGGGCTATTTTGCATCTTTCAAGAAATGTTAAACCACTAGCTCCCTAGAATTTGCAATATTGCGTGTTAGGTATGCTCTAATCCAATTATAAGTGTACAATTAATTGGGTTAGAGTGAATGGCTGTGCTTTCCCTACGTTTTTGAACTCATTATAGTGATTTCCTAGTAGATGATTAGTTAGCAGATTAATAGCACGGTCCTAGATATTACGGTGTCTTTTAGGTTCAAAGTTAAGACGGTTGGACCATATGCTGTTCAATGAAAAATTAATATGAATAGAGTTGGAAATAAATGATGATCAGAGCATGAGAGAATAGATAGGTAGAATTAATTAACTTTTCCAATACATAGATCATATATGTAGTCATTGGGATTAACAAATTGCGGAATATATACCGAATTTTATTGAACTAACTATAATTTTCATTTGCGCTTCATGAAATTACAACCCATAATCATGTTTCAGATTTTGCTACCAAATGCAATTTTATTTTTCTAATTTTGTATGATACAATCGTAAAATCGAAACATTTTATATGAAATTACAAATTTGAAAACTTATCTTCTTAATTTAATTCAGTTTCTCAAATTATGAATAATCTCTGGACATGTAGATTTATAAAGTTTAGAATGTATGACTCAAAACGTATCAATATAAGAATGACAATACTATAGCGTTATAGCAATTAAAAACAGTACTAATCAAGACACTGATTAAAATAATTGAAACTTAAATAAAGAAAATGTAAACAAATATATGTTAATTAACTATAAAATCATTATTTAACCAGTAAATAAAACTAAAAATAAAAAAAAATACGAATTGAATTAATACCTAATATCAATAAAAAAAAGTTTAAAAATCAAACTTTAAAATCATGAAATTTGTTAACCAACCAATTTCCCAACTAATTTCATTTTCAAACTCCAAATCATCAAAACTCTTACCAAACTCCTTCCAAATTCATTAAAACCTAACCACTTACTCCTTTTTTCTTACTACTACCAATTTTTTTATTATCTCTTTTATGATTTCCAACATTTCCATAAATAATATAATTATTACCCATTTCATCAATTTTTTTATGAGTTTTTAAATGTTGAGCTAAATTATCACTTCTTGAAAATTTTTTATCACAAAATTTACATAAAAATGGTCTTATATTTGAATGTACACTTCTTATATGTCTTTTTAAATGTTCTGATCTTTTAAATTGTTTTGTACAATCTGAACATGGAAATGATCCTTGATTATTTTGATGAATTGTGGTGGTGGTGGAGGTTGTAAGAAGTGATGAATCTGAAGATGCTTCTGGGTTTGTTATTGTTGATTCTTTTGTAATGGTTACTGATTTTGGATCTTTCTTTTGTTTTGACTTGGTTGATGTTTTTGATTTAGATGTTGGAGCAGTAATATTGGAAGATGTTGGAGAAATCGATGGTGAGTTTTGAATTGGATTATCATCACTTGGTAATAATTGTTGTTGTTGAATTGATATTTTAGATTGAGCAATTGAACTTTTTCTTCTTTTTTTCTTTTGTTGAGTTGAATTAATTTCATTATTTGAATCAATTAAATAATTTGCATTATTAATATTTAAAAGATCTTCTTCTTTAATTTTATCAAATGTAGAATTAGATAAATTTGTTGGTGAATTTTGTAATGAAGTAGTCGAATTTGATGATACCAAGATTTCATTTTGTTGTTGTTGCAACAGTTGTTGAGATGGAGATGTTTGTAATTGTTGTTGTTGTTGTAATTGTTGATATTGATCAATTGAAGAAGTAGAATCATTATTAATATTTGTTAAGAAATTAATATAATTTTGTGAAGATAAATTATTACCACCAGCATTAGTTTGACCAAATTGTATAGAATTTCTTCTTGTATTACCTCTACTACTATGCATACCATTTGTGTAAGAATATGATCTTGTTTTAGAAGGTGGTTTAATTGGAACTCTTATTGAACTTAAAGGATCTAAATCAATATTTTCATCAATTATTGCATTACTATTGTTATTATTATTATTTGGTAAACCTGTAAACCAATTATTTAAATTTGATGAAATATCATTTGATAATTTATAATCAATATGAGATGTTGATACACTTCTATTATGATTTGGTGGAATAAATTTAGATTGTAAAGGTGAAGTTAATGATTGATTTTGATTTTGAGACTGTGATTGATATTGTTGATGCTGTTGATTTAATTGTTGATTTTTAATAGAAAGTGCATTCAATTGTTGCATTTGTTGTTGAGTTAATTGATGTGGAAATGATTTTTTTCTTTGTTGTAATTGAGCTTGAGCTTGAGCTTGGGCTTGAGCTTGAGCTTGTGCTTGAGATTGATTTTGATAATTTTGACGTGATAATAATTGTTGTTTATTACCGAAAATAGTTGTTAAACTAGGTGAACTTAATGATGTTGTTAATTTATTATTAAAAATTTCTAAAGGATTTATAGTTCCTTCATCATTTAATAAATCATTTTGATCACCATTAGTACTACCATTTGTTCCATCACATGAACCAATTGAACTTCTTGTTGAACCTGAACAAGCTTCAGCTGCTGCAGCTGCAGATTCAGCTATTGTTTCTGGATCTAGACTAACTATTGATCGATCTAAAGATAAAGCTGAATTTTGAACTTGTTGATGATGATGTTGATTTTGATTCTGATATGGTTGTGGAGGTGACTGCTGTTGTGTTTCTTGCTGTATTTGACTTTGTAAATGTGGAGCTTGAAAATTTAAAGAATTTGGTGAATTTAAATTTTCAATTTGATTATTATTTTCAAATTGTTTAACATCTTCTTCAATTTGATCAAAACTTGGTTGTAAAATTTCTTTTAATTGATTTGTTAAATTTAAATTTGAATTTAATGGAGTCATAGATTGTTTTAAATTTGTTATTGGAGTTCTTAAACTTAATGAAGTTAATTGATCAATTGGTACAGTATTTGAATTTTGTCTTTTATGTGTACCTTGAACAGGTCTTGCAAAATTATTTTGATTAAAAACTGGAGTTGAAGGTACATTAGAAGTATAATGAGTTTGTTGTTGTTGTTGTTGTTGTTGTTGTTCGTTAATTTTATTACCATTATTATTTTCAGTCATTATATCATTTAAAAATTCTTGATGTTTAATTGTATTTAAATTTTCACCTTGTTTTATAAATTCTTTTTCATGATTTTCAAATTCTTGTTTCATTAATTCTAAATCATTATTTATAGAAGTATTTTGAAAATAATTATTTTTAAAGAATTGTTCATCATTAAATTGTAAAGAATCAATAATTTGATTTGTTGTATTAGTAGTTGAAGAAGTTGAAGGTAATGATCTTGCTGATGAAGTTGTAGAAGAAGAAGAAGATGAATTTGTTATTGAATTTGTTGATTTATGTGAAGTTGTTGGTGATGAATTTTGATCATTTGTTGTAATTGATGGCAATTCATAACTATTTATATCATAATTTAATTTATTTTTCATATTATTATCAAACAAATTATAATTATTAGTTGAATTTAAAGAATCAATTCTTAATAAATCTTCATAATCATTATTAGGTATATTATTCGAATTATTTGAATTATTCAAATGATTTGTATTAATATTATTTGAATTTCCAAATACTGTATTATAAATTGAATTATTACTTGTACTATTATGATTACTTCCAGTATTTGTTTCAAACATTGATTGATAATAATCCAGTGACATTTTGAATTCTATGGTTGAAATTGATTGTTAGATTGAAGTTTGTTTTTGCTATTTTTTAATTGTGAATTGATATAAAAACTTAAACTAAGTCTTTGAATAACTGTTGAAGATTGATTGTAAATTAGGACTAAATCCTATTCTTTGAATTGATTGATTTTTAAATTTGAAATATATATTTTTATTAGACGATTGAAAATTTAATTGTGGAGTTTTTAAGTTGAAAAATAATAAAAGATTGTTATATAATAGTTGGTTTGATTGTTGTAAGTTGATTGACAATTGATGTGGCTAATTGATTAGATTGAATATTGAGTATATTTTGGAAGTGGATGTGATTGAAGTTATTGAATGAAAAGAATGATGATAAATAAATAAATTGATAAAATTAATAATAAGATTATTATTGTTATTTTAATTTTAAATATTATTTAAATTGAAATTTGGAGTAAAAAAGTATTATACAGGTATATACTATATTATTAGTACTGTATTATACTAGTTAAACGTATGTTTTCTGTGGTGTTCATACAAAAATATTAAAATAGTATAATAACCACTACTATTTAAGAATATTAATTATAGAGATACATGCATTACCTATAGTTAACAAGAGATAGTTCGAGTAGTAGTAGGAGTAGTAGGGGTGGCAGTGAGTAGAAGTTGATATCAACGGTAAGCTAGAAAGGATAATTGATCTTTATGATTAATCTTAATACTAGAGGTTTGTATAGTCAATACTAAGTTACTATACTATTATAGTAGATAGACTAATAGATAAGATAAAAAAACAAGATTTGAACAACGTGAGTAATAAAAGAATTAATTTAATTAGTGAGACATTTTAATACATGATTTCTTATTGTTTTTAATGTTAAGTGTTTTAATATTTAATATACTTTACATTAATAATAATAATTAGTTTGTTTCATAATCTATAGTCTAATCAATCAATTCATGAGTAGTATGTTACGGTAATCTTTCATACGAGATATACAACATAAGAATGAACAATTCATTGATTAGATTGTGAATTCAATTGATATATCTTCAGTTCAAAATGATATTTTTAAGCTGGGCTAAGTAGAAAGAACAAAAGGAAGTGTAATTGTTTCAAATTTTAATTATATTAATAAAATGTATGGTGAGTAGTGTATTACAGATCAAAAAAATACAAAACTAAGTAAGTAGTGTACTTTGTAACAAATTAGAAAACGATAAAAGAAAGTTATAGAACAAAAATAATTTTAAGTATAAAATATTACACAAAACTTGAAATTAAAATACGATCAAAACTAGATTTAAAACAATAAAAGTTTAAAATTAGTTTGATTGAAATAAACGATTATTTTCAATCATCAGAATATGAATTATATCATACTTGATGTCTTTGGTGTTAAACAACCAGTATTAACTGCGTTGAATGTCCAAACACTCAGAAGTCGGAATACTTGAATACCACTAATCCGAACGGAAGGATTAAATCAGAATAGGTTGTTCTTTCTACGGAAATAATATTTCTAAAGTTTAATTTGAAAAATAATAAGATTTATTTTATTCATTGGTTAATTTAAGTTTTCTCAGTAATATATCTGTAAGCACTTAAGTTAAAATTTATTTTAAAGCCTATTTTATAAAACTGTATTTGAAATAGAGTCTAGAGCTCAATTAGGGGAAATTTAAATTTTATTATTCTTTATCCAATGTCTGTCTTGTTTCAAGTTTTTATAATCTCCGAATTTTGACTAACGAGCTAATTACTATGTATATAATTGTTATTAGCTGAGTTCAGACTCTCTTAGTAATAATAACCGAATCAGTTTGTAAGTATATATATTTATTCAAATTATCGGCTCCATCATCATCTTCTTTTCCTTCATTATTTGTTTAATTTGAGTATATTACTTATATTTCGTATAAATCCCTTTAAATTAATGAATTATTTTAAATAATAGACCATTCTTCGACTCGAGTATATATTCCTTACAGGATTAATTTTGAAAATTCTACGAACTTTTTAGCTATCCCTTATATTCATGTTAGGTTCAAACTTTTATTTACGTGAAATTCTTCAAAATTTGTTCACGTTTGGTGAGATAATTTAACTGCGAGAGGGAATTAGTTTACTAAACAGATGGTGGTAAGGGTAATTCAAAAAAGTATTAATTAACTCTTATTCATCTCCATTTTAACCTTACTTATCACAAAATTCTTACTTCATCAAGGCTCGTTTTGCACAATGGAGCAGGGAAAGACTTTGCTTTTTAAAAAATCATTAAGCCTTGGGATTAATTATGAATAAAACTAAACAAATACATATATATATTTATCTATATTTAATAAATAGGTGATTCTTCAAAGTTATTGGTAGTTGAGACAAGAACAGACTATCATTTGAATCTTGATGATATTTCATAAATTATTAATCATCATTACGTAACCTTTCTGAAACAAATATCGTATTAATTGGTTATTTCAAAATTTATAATTTGTTTCTTAATTTAATTACAGATCACTCATCGAGCTATATAGTTATTGTAACTTCTCACCTTAGAAACTTGTTGATCTAGATTTTGACCGAGTCTTTCTATATAATTGCATTAATTCATGATCTAACTCAATTATGCATTTAAAAAGCCAACTGTTTTAACGTTCATTCTTCTTGAAATTTTCGTGTTTTTCCATGACTTTTAAAACTTGTTTGAATTGTATATGTGGGATTTTAAATTATATCTAGTTTATCATATTTATTCAGCTCCAATAGTAAAGCTTATTTAGTTAGAATCAACTCGTCGGATTTTTTTGCAATTGAAATAGTGGTGGATCTAGTTTTGATAAGGCACAGAAAAACGGACTTTCTATCGCTTATGAAAGTACTCCAAATATCAATCCATTTATCAGTAAAATTGACAAAACAGTTGCAATTTGCCGAAATATCATTTAGCAATCATTCCTTGACGAATTAATTCGAAATTGGATTTTGATTCAATATCATCATTTTGTAAATCAGAATTAATAACTATCATTCTTGCTAAATCTAACCAACAAAATCCTCTATTAGGATTAGGGATGTATCATAACATTTCTATAAATATAATGAACATTTCCTTGGAAATATTCTACTGAATTGATTGCCCAAAATCTGGTGGGAACATTACTACCCTTTTATATACATTGAATTCTGAACATTTTGTCAATCTTATAAATATCTCTAATTCCATTTATGATTAAGTTTGAAAAAATTTTTGGAAAATCTAGTATTCCAGTTACCAGTTGTCCATCTTCTGAAAAATCAAAACCTTGGAAATATAATTAGAGTTCCTTTTGAATTTCAGTTTCTGATTATACAAAAGCTTCTTCAAAACAGTATTTTTTTCATTATTAATTGTTTATTAGATCAGTAGTTCGCTTGCTAAACAGTAAACAATAAACTTAATCTATATCTAGAGGGAAAATTCCCAACTAAAAATTTCTATATACCTGTTTTGTAATATAATCTTAAATTAGCAATTATGGTTCCTAGTCTAAATACAATACACCCGAAAAGGTTCCTTCGTATACATTTGCAGACTGTGATTCCAATTCATTTAATCTTTGATATACTTCCCCAAAGTCGAAATTTAATTGATCAAGAAAACTGTCGGGTAGATCGTACTCAGACTGTGATTCCAATTTATTTAATCTTTGAGATATTCTTTTAAAGTTGAAATTTATTTGATCAGTAAAACTTTTGGATAGATTGTTCAAAGATAATTTTTTTGCAGACTGTGATTCCAATTTATTTAATCTTTGAGATACTTTCTTTACGTTGGAATCTAATTGATCAAAAAAATTATCGGATAGATTGTTCAAAGATGATTTCTTTGCAGACTGTGATTCCAATTTATTTATTCTCTGAGATACTTTCTTCACGTCGGAATTTAATTGATCAAAAAAACTTTCGGATAGATTATCTAATTGATCAGAAAAACTTCCGGATAGATTATCTAATTGATCATCTAATTGATCATAAAAACTTCGGCATAGATCGTTCAAAGATGATTTAGTTGCAGACCGTGATTCTAATTTATTCAATCTTTCAGATAAATAGTTCAAAGATGATTCATTTGCAAACTGTGATTCCAATGTAGCCAATCTATAAGATAAATAGTTCAAAGATGATTCATTTGCAGACTGTGATTCCAATCTAGCCAATCTTTCGGATAAATTGTTCAAAGATGATTCATTTGCAGACTGTGATTCTAATATAGTTAATCTTTCAGATACTTTCTTTACGTCGGAATTCAATAGTTGTAAAATTTGTTTTAGATCAATCAAAGTTTGCAATAATTGATCATTAACATGATTTAATTTACTTCTTGTCTCCTTTGTATCATCTGTTGTATCATCTGTTGTATCATCTGTTGTATCATCTGTTGTATCATCTGTTGTATCATCTGTTGTATCATCTGTTGTATCATCTGTTGTATCATCTGTTGTATAATCTATTGTCTCATCATTTGTATCATCTGTTGTCTCATCATTTGTTGTCTCATCATTTGTTGTTTCATCATTCGTTGTCTCATCTATTGTTTTATCTGCTGTCCCATCTATTGTCTCCTTTACTGTCTCTTGCACAGCATTTCTGACCCCCTTCCTCTTTCTTTGCACGTTTGGAAATACTTCATTAAGTAATTTATTAACATTTTCATCTTTAAAGAATTCTTCAAACAAAAGTTTAAAAAGTTTGTGTCTAGGATTATTTAGATCAAGATCTCCTAATGATGCCACGTCTGTCAAAGACCCATTTTTGATTTTTACATCTGCTTCATTATCCAAATCATTTCTTGATCCTGGATTGATTGATTTTTTCAAGTCTTCTGACATCAAATTGAAAATTGCTTAATATAAATTAAGTTATTTAGGAAATGTAATTTGTTGTAAACAATAATTTGAAATTAAATCCAGCACAAACATTTTGAGCGAAATTGCAAAAATATTAAGGGGAACAAAGAAAACAAGGGATAAATTAAATTTTGTCAAGGATCAATTGAAATTTATGATAGTGATTGGTAGCATGCATTATAATTTGTGTAGAGTTAATTGAAAGTTTAGTTAACACAAACTCGAAAATAAAATTAACCAAAAAAAGCCGCTTAAAAATTGGTTTATTTTAGTTTGTGTAACATGTTGATACATACAAACTACTTTAAATTGTGTAATGAGTTTCGAGATAAATGGTCTGAAAAAGTTTAGATCAAATAAGCGTATTGAATATGCTTAAACAAACACCAGTTCGTATTAAAAATTGAAACCTATGTTGATGATAAATCCAATTCATTTGCATTTTTTTTGAAAAATTTTCTATCGTTGAAATGAGAACTGAAAGAAAATAAAATCTACACTCAAATGTCTTTTTTAGCTGAACTGTAAAATATCATACCTCTTTAAAACAGTTTGAGGGTTGGTGGTTGAGTTATGGAAGTTCCAATTACAATGCAATAAGGTCCAACAAACTATTTGACACTTGATGTTCTTCATATAAGAAGTCTTAAAGCATAAAAAAAACTCCGAGTTAGTTACTACAATATGCAGTACAAAGACCATTAATAATATTATTCAATATTAAAAGCACGAGCTTAAAATTTTCACTTATTTGAGGAATATTGACTTCATTCAAATAAACATGTTTCAAAATAAGTTTCATAAATTGATTGATCTCATCAGGCAGCCCTGGTCTTGATTTTCGAAAAATTTTAGTACAATCTATTTGGAACCAGTTATAGTCCCACCATAATAAATTACTAATAAAAGCCAATGGAAAAGAAAATATATGCTTAATAAAAAATAATAATAATGTCAAAGTGTCATTATAATTTTAAACTTTTATTTTCTTTTTTTGATCATACAAAGTTAGATTCAATGTTAGTTTCTTTAAAGTTTCACTTCGCAGAAATTGATCAAGATCCAAACAGTTTCACATGTAGATTTATAAGCCATTCAGTTTATATTGTTCTTGAATAAAATAAGAAATAAGATAGATCTACTTATTGTTTAATTTCTTATTTGGTGTAATTAAGTAACTGATAAGTAATTTATTATAATTAGTGTAATAGATAATAATAATAGCACTACCAAATTTTCTTTCTTTTTTGAGTAAGTTGCCATTTACACAACAAAAATTAAAATATCATCATAAATTATAGAAGTAATAAAACAAAAGATTATAGACTAAACCAATATTAGTCTTTGAAACTAATCAATCGATAATATCAATAATAGAGACATAACATATTTCTAATTTCAATTAGATGTCCTCGATATCAAAGGATACAAATTCAATTAACTCATCTTCATCTCCATTAAAAGATAAAAGCGGTCAATCGGATCATACACAATCGAAACAAGAACAATCATCAACGTCCTCATCACAACAACTAATAGAAGATAATAATTATAGACCACAACCATTGAATTCAAATTCATCATTAAATACGAATCATCAACATCATGAATCAATACGAAATTTAATTGCATCTAACTTTAAACAACAAAATGATAAACAAAATCCTAAACCGAATAACAAAAACCCATTAGTTTCATCATTTCATTCCCCTGATTACAATGCTAATCCTTTGCTATCATCATATAATAGAAAAAAATCTAATTCAATAAGTAATGGAGTTTTATCACACTCAAGATCTTTAAAAAAAGTAAGTTTTTCAAATTTTAATTCTAAAAATACATCACAAAATTTTGAAAATGAAACAAGTTCTTCTTCAAATGTTTCAATAGATAATACAGATAATGAATCAAGTGATGGAAAAGATGATGATGAAGAAGAAGAAGACTTATCATCTACTGAACATAATGATAAATTTCAACAAGGTGATGTGACCCTACGTCGACCTGATTTTAATGGTTCACATTCATCAGAAAAAATAACTCGAAATCATCTACATAATAATCAACAAATTAATGATGAAGAAAATTCAAAAAGATTAGCACATTTTACAACTAGTGTTACTCCATCACCAGCAAATTTATCACCAGCAATGTCATCAGTTGCATTACATAATAAAAGAAATAGAATGAATAAATCACCAAGATTTCAATATGGTGGTGAAAAATTAGCATTATCAAAATCTTTAGATTCTCAATTATTAGATTATAGTGATTCAAATAATTCAACGACAAGTTTTTTACCGGAATTTAATAAACGTCCATTAACTGATACTCCAATGGTTTCACATGTTGGATCACCAGAAGTAAGGAATGATGATGATGGAGATGATAATGACGTACAATTTGGTGATGGTGAAGATGAAAATTATTCAGGAGACGATGAGGAAGAAAATGATAAAACTATAGAAAATATAAAACAAACAACAAAAGACGAAAAAGATTTAAATAAATCCAAAAAAAACATATCACATTTAAATTTATCTGAATTAGTGGATGATCAATCATCTTCAAATTCTGAAACTGAATCTATGAACAGAGCAAGAAATTCAGCAGCTCATGCCGGTGCTTCATTAGTAGGTACTCAATCAACATTTACAGGTGATATAAGAAGACCAACTTATGTCCCAGCATCATCAACTCCTAATATCCTTAAAAATTCTGAATTTATATCTGATGAATTTAATCGTTCAAGTCTGATAAGTCCAATGACTTCAATAACTGAGGTTGAAAAACATAAATTAAATCAAAAAAGAAATTCAGAATTAGAAAATAAAAAACAAAGAAATTTAGAAATTGAAAAAGAACAACAAAAACAAAAATATGGAGATAAAGAAATAATACCCAGTGGTAATAAAAAATTAAATATAACTGAAGATATGGCAAAATTATTAAAAGATGTTCCTTCTCATATGAAAGAAGAATTTGAAAAAACTCCATCAATTGAACAATTAAAAAATTTATTATTAACAAAACCACCACCATCTGCAAGAAAAACTTATACTTTAAATATACCTGGTCAAACTTCTTCAAAAACTTCACCAGATGGTAAAATTGCTTCAATTGATGTTGGATCAAAATTAGTTATTGTTATGGTTGGTTTACCAGCAAGAGGTAAATCATATATAACAAATAAATTAACAAGATATTTAAATTGGTTACAACATGATTGTAGAGTTTTTAATGTTGGTAATACAAGAAGGAAAAGTAAATTAAACGCAGGACCTGAAAAAAATCCATTACCTGATTCTCATACACCAACAGAAGCTCAGTCACCAATTCAAAATGGAATAAATGGAACTAGTAATAATAATAATAATAATAACAGTGATGTAAAGGCCCTAACATCATTTAAACAAGATTCTGCAGAACATGATGCAAATTTTTTTAATCCAAATAATAAAGCAAGTACAACATTAAGAGAAAAATGGGCCATGGATACATTAGAACAATTATTAGATTATGTTATATTAGGTAGTGGATCAGTTGGAATATTTGATGCAACAAATTCAACAAAACATAGAAGAAAAAAAGTTTTAAAAAGAATTCAAGAAAGAAGTAAAGGAGAATTAAAAGTTTTATTTTTAGAAAGTATATGTAGTGATCCTCAAATTATTGAAAATAATATAAGATTAAAATTAAGTGGACCTGATTATAAAAAAATGGATCCTGAAATTGCTTTAAAAGATTTTGTTGGTAGATTACAAAATTATGAAAAAGCTTATGAAACTATTGATGAAGAAGAAGAAAAAATTCCAGGATTTCAATATGTTAAAATGATTGATGTTGGTAAAAAAGTTGTTAGTTTTAATATCCAAGGATTTTTATCATCTCAAACTATTTATTTTTTATTAAATTTTAATTTATGTGAAAGACAAATTTGGCTTACAAGACATGGAGAAAGTAAAGATAATGTAAATGGTAAAATTGGTGGAGATTCAAAATTAACCAAGAGAGGTAAAAAATTTTCAAAAGCTTTATCAAAATTTATGAATTTTCAAAGAGAAGAATTTAGAAAACAACAATTAGAAAGATTTTCAACAAGATTAGAATTAAAATATAATTCAATATTTAATGAAAATCAAGAAGAAGAAGATGTAACTATGATTCCTACAGAACCAAATTTTTGTGTCTGGACTTCAATGTTGACAAGATCAGTTGAAACAGGAGAATATTTTAATGAATCATTATATTCAATAAAACAAATGAGAATGTTAAATGAAATTGGAGCAGGAAAATGTGAAGGTATGACATATGAAGAAATTCAAAATAAATATCCAAAAGAATTTCAACAAAGATTAGATAATAAATTAACTTATAGATATCCTGGAGTTGGAGGAGAAAGTTATTTAGATGTTTTAACAAGATTAAGACCTTTAATTACTGAAATTGAAAGAACAACTGATCATTTATTAATTATAAGTCATAGAGTTGTTTTGAGAATTTTAATAAGTTATTTTTTAAATTTACAACCTTTAGATATTGTAACATTAGATGTTCCATTACATTCATTATATAAATTAGAAACAAATCCTTATGGTACAACATATTCATTATATTCTTATAAAGAAGAAATTGATTGGTTTATTGAAACAAAACCTGAACATCAAAAAAATGTTCAAGAAATGGGATTAGCATTTAATGAAAAAAGATTTTCTATTGTACCTACTGTTCCTTCAAAACATTCATTATAGAAAAAGTATAAAAAGAAAGAAAAGTTTTAGATTTTTAAGGAAACAAATTTTATTTGGTATTTATGGGAAGGGATTGTTTATATAGATAAATAGGGTTGATTAATAAGTGTGGTTTTTTTTTTAATTAGCAGTGACTTAATATCTGTAAAATGTTTATGTCCAAAACTAAAGTACCTTTTACAACTAAAAATGGGGACAAATTTTTCTCCCTAGTACTGAATTCACGTGCAGCAATATATATGTTCGAACTCTCTCAACAAAAATTGAATGAGAGTAGCTGACTTGTTTTTGAATGAAAGTTGGTGACTTTTTTTGAAATCAAATTAATATGTCTTGCATTTTATTGTTAATTTTAAATTTGTGCAATAAAATCATTATTTTTTTATTTTTGTTTTGTGCAATTTCATTTTTTTGCAGCCAATTTTTGTCTCAGTCTTGAAAACTGATGTTTCCTAAAATTATTTAAATTGAATAACTAATGCTAATTGAACCAAAAACTAGTATCAAAATTTGAAAAAAAATAATAATATATCAAAAGTACATAATCAACAAGCAATTAATTCATGACTTTCAAAATATGGAAAAGCTAGTATACTTTCCATATGAAGTTTTGGAGACTATATTCCAACAAATAAATCATCACATGGTATTAAATTTAATGCCATTACATTCCAAATTTTATGAAATTGGTCAAAAAAAGTTATATAAATTTATCCATATATATCTGAATCGTTGCACGAAAGAAAGTTGGAGATTTCATAAAAATATATCAAATGATTTTACTAAAAAATTTACCGTGATCTCAGCATATAATTTTTACATGAACTTGATTGAAGGTAAAATCAATAGGTACCAATATATTCAGCATCTTAGGATTGAAGACGCCCATTGTATAAGACATTTTGAGAACAATTCATTCGACTATGAAACAGCACCACCTGCATTATTGAAAGAAATTGTTAATTATTTTAAAAAAATCGATTTTATTAGTTTTGGAAATTCAAACAACCAACTCGAACTAAATGATACAAAGAATACGTATAATACTTTAGAAGGTATAACTTTTGTGATTAACAAGTATTTAAAAGGGTTCTACAGAGATGTATTGTTCTTACACAAAAGGAAACGAAGGCCATATAGATTCTTGTATAATAATCTCAGAAGTTTAAAATTCCATTTTAAGCCATCCCATACAGCGATACAAAAATACAGAGATGATTATGATTTAGGTAAAAGTATTGATTTATTCAACAAAATCAATGGTTTTAAAAAACTTGAGGAGTTAAATCTTACTTTTCCAATGCTAGTCGATTTTACAGATCCAACTTTACTTAAAAAATTGAATAGGATAAATTGCAAATTAAAAAAACTTGATTTGTTATTTTGGGGTAAACTCAGATTACTTGAATGGGTTTTACCCAACCTGGAACCAAAAAAGTGGTTATTTACGTTGGAGAAATATTTCCATACGGAAGAGGTCACATCATTAACATTAATTCACTATAATAATGAATTTTTTGATGATATTTTCCAATATGATAAGTTTGAATTTGTAGAGATCTTAACCAATGCAAATCTACCAAAATTGAGAAATTTATTATTATCGTCACATCTACTAGATTTGAAATCTATTGATGTATCGAAATTACACAAATTAATAGTATGTACAGGTATTGCCAATGACAAATATGCCATTGAAATTGCCAAACTTTATTTCACGAATCCAAGTTTGAAAGTATGTTGGTGGCCCCGTTTTATGGATTTAGATTCTCTTGAGGTATTTTTCAAGTCAGGTAATTTAAATATATATTCACCTGAGTATTACCAAATTATATCTTGTCAATGGCCATCATACTTTTTTGAAAACACTGCCTTTACAATTGAGACCAAGGACTTAACTTTCACTGAACAAGGTTTATTGGACTTGAATGAAAATAAGAAGATGAACATATCATTGGAATTTGAATATTCTTTGAAAGAAATTCGTGACATGAAATTAGTGTGTAACTCCATGATTTGCGAGGAAGTTTTAAAAATCATAAGAGAACATGAATAGTTAAAAATGAAAGCACTTTATCATACTATTACTGAGCTAAGATACTACTAGATAACTGCAAACCTCAAGGAATAACATGTTGCAAAACTAGAATAGAGATAATGATAATTAGCTTCAAGCATTCGCGTCTGTATTTTCACCATACGCTTTGCTCCTCACTTTTATTGCACCTTTTTCCCTGCTCAAGAACAGATGAATTTTCAAGTTCAACGAATAAGTTTTAAATACTGAAAGTTATTGTACTTTGTAGAATTTTGAATAACATTAGTATGAGAGAAATTGCAAAATTATATGGGCAAGCAGGCAGTAGTTAAAAATCATGATAGCCAAAAAATTTTTTGGGTGATATGAACTGTCGCTCCAGGTTTACATCAATGAACGTAAAATATTGCAAATTAATTTATGTAAAGTGAAAGCATTTTAAACAGAAATTCCATATCATTCTAAATAGTGTTTGTATGGCAAGCTGATCCAAATTTAGACATTTTCATGTATTTATTAATGATTTTTCTTCATTTTTGCAACAACACAGATTTTTAAATCTTGAATAACTCCTTAACTAGAACAGTTGAGAAGAAGCACCAATACAATTTTCTGAAATTTGGGAAATTCTGAATCGATTGAGACGAACTTTATATTTAGGCAACATTTGAGGTTCCAATCGCACCATGACTGAAAATCGTAATTAATTCTCATAAGTTATCCATGCTCAAACTAGCTGTATGAGCCAGTACAAAATCATAGAATAAATGTTAATTGTATGAGAAACTTTTTTTGAAATGAATTGTTGGGACCATAAACAACGCTCTTCCAATATTAAAATCATGTTCAGATAAATTCTCATAATTAGACACAGTTTAACTTCTTTCTGGCTAAAATCAGCTTTACTATCATCAATTGCTCTATTGGAAAATTGAATTAATTCACTACGAAAAAGATACTTCAAAGTATCGTTTATTTTCCGTTGTTTCGTTTTGTTTATCGAAAACATTGCAAAATTCTTGAAACAAAACCTGGTAGCACACTCTAAAACAACCCCACAAATTGAACATGAAAATGAGTTGAAACAAAGTAAACATAAGTCGTTAAATTACAAATCTGCTAGATTAGTAAGAAGTGAAATCTTTAACAACAAGGGTGGATGTACATAATTGCTCATACGGTGGAATGATCATATCTTTGTGGGGCAAGACTATAATTAATTAAAAAGATGTACAGTTTTAAAATTTGGATGTAACGAATAATTACAAATTTCGCTAAGGGAGGTGTAAGACTAACCTACTCGAAGACAAGAAATATTTAAAATGAATGAAATATTTTCAATTATTGTTTATTATTCAATAATCTTATACTATCTTAATCCATTTTCATTAACAGATTCCCATTGAGCAAATACATACCAACTATTACCATTATCACCAATAACTAAACCTCTATATAATCCAATTTCTTGACATTTAATATTTGAAACATATTTACCAAAAGGTTTTTGTACAATTTCTTGATCTTGTTCTTGTTCTTTAATTAATTTAAAATATTTACCTGATGGAGATTCAATAACAATTTTAAAATCTTGTATCATCATCATTGAATTATTAGTAATTCCAAAACTTGGAAACTGTTCAATTTCAAATTGATAAGAATTTTTAAATATAATTTTATTTGATTGTGGTTTTATTATATATAAATCATTATTTAAACTTTGAACAGTTGGAAATCTTTGAACAAATTTTAATTTGGGGAATTCTTTACCTTCATGAATTAATGGTATAACAATAGATAATTGATGAATATTATTAAAATGTTTTTGTAATCCCTTTTGACCTGAAAAAATTTGTAATACTCCAATTGATTCATTTTTAGGTAATATAGCTTTTATTTTGGCAATTCTTTTGTTATTTATCCATTTAATTTGACATAATGTTAAATCATTTGTTGTTAAATTTGAAGTTTTAATTAATGTAAAAATTTCAATATTTATTGGTATATAAATTTCAATTTCGAAAATTTCTGAATTTTTTAATCTTGTTAAAGCATTATTAAAATTTAAAATTGATAAATTATTTAAATAAAAACCTGAATAAGTTCTTGGTAAATAAAATGCAATACTTGGATCAATTGGTGGCATAACATGTTGTAAATCAATTATTGAAGGTATATGAGTTGAAATTAAACTTAATGGTTTTGATAAAAAATAAAATTCATTATATTTTTTATCAATTAAATTACAAATTTCAGGTTCTTGAAAATTTAAAATATCAATTAATTTAAATTGATTTTGAATTAATACAGATAACCAACAATGATTAATTACATATTGTTCATTATGATAAAATTCATTTGGTTTTTTCCAAAATCCTAATACAATTTCACATGGTATTTTTAAAGCATCTAATATTTTTTTAAAAATATAATTAATTTGAAAAATTGATGCTTCATTTTTTAATTGAATATCTATTAATTTTGGTTTTTGTTGCAGTATAGTTGATGATTCTTCTATAATTTTAATTTTACATAAATGTAATAATATTGCTCTTATTTTATTTAAATTTGATGTATAAAATTTCATTGAAACATCTGAAATAAAATCATTTAAATCATGAGTCATTTCATAATTTGATACAAAATGTTCAACTTTATCATAATTAATATTGGTAAAATCTATGTCTTCTATATTCACTTCTTCTTCACCTCCTCCATGTAATTGAGTTGTTTCATTAGTATTTATTTCTGAAACATAATCTAATGGTTTAATTACTAAATTACCTTCTTTTCTAACAACTCTTTTAGTTCTTAATTGTTTTTCTTTTGATGTTAAAGAATTCATTCTGTTTATATCCATTTTATAAGTTGCAATATCTATTTCATCTTGTAATTGTAATTTTCTTTCCATTGGATTTAATTGTTCATGAGTTGATTTTTTTAATAATTTTTTAAATATATTATTGTTTTTTTTTCTATCTTCAAATACTGATTCCATTACATTTGATTTTAATTCTAATTTTTCAAGTTCATCTTCATCAACTTCACTTTCTTCTTCGACTTCTTCATTTAATTTGAGTTTACTCATGTTTAATGAACTTTCTTGAAATTCTTTTTCATATTTATGTCTCATAAAAGATCCAGCACTTGTTGCACTTAATTCTGATAAATTCATGACATCACTCTGTAATGATTTTATTGAATTTTTTAATTCTTCTTGTTGTAAATATAATTTTTTATAATCTTCTTCATTAAATAATTTATTGTTATTATTGTGATCTTGATTACTTGAAATTTTAAAATCATCACCATCGAAAGGTATTCTCATTTGAGATTTGGTCAATTCATAATTATTTCCAATCATTGAATGTTTTGGAGGAGGTGGAGGTGGAGGAGATTCATTATCTGATTCACGATTCATATAGTTTAGCAATGTATGATCTTTTTCTTCATCTTCATCTGAAATGTATTTTGACATTTTCTTACTAAGATCATCTCTAGATTGGTATCGTTTTTCATCATTCATAGTTCCATATGAATCAATTGAATAATCATCCTTTGATCTTGTAGGTGATGATCTTTTATTAGGTGAAGGTGATGGTGATTTTATTGATGCTTGTTGTTCATTATTTCTTTTCAATCTTTGTAACTCAATTTCTAACTCAGCTCTTTTTTTAGCTATCTCTTCATATTCTTTTAAAATCTCTTGCTCTTTTGGAACTCTATTACTTTTTCTTGAATATGGAGACAGGGGATACATTTGAGATGCGATATTAGGATCATTTATCCCAACATATGAATTAGATTTAAATTTGGGACTTGTGAAATTTTGCTGAGAATGATGATGTTTTAATAAATTTGGGTCTGATTGATTATGTTGTTGAATCCTTCGTTGATCTTGAATATTTGGTGATTTTATATGATAGTTTTGTTGTTGTTGCATACGTTTAAAGTATTCAATTTCGTGCTCTCTTTCAAGATCATCGTGTTGCAAACTTCTTCTATTTGCATGCTCGTTGAAAGACCACCTATTATTAGAGTTATTGTTTAACTTATTGGATCGTGAAGGTTGTCCATCAAATGTTTGATTAAATCTATCATAAGATTGCAGCGTAGGCATATCATTGGATGAAAAATTACCAAGTTTATAATTCATCATTGAATTATCATTTTTTGTATTTTGAATGTTGTTGAAACTCCCATTGATATTTTTTTTAATAGGTGTTGCTAAATTTGAATTTGATGAATTATTTGACAGTTTATCTTCTAAAATTTCAACATAATCTTTTGGAAAAATACCTTCAGCTCCATTTCTTCTCAATTTCCCACTCCACCAACTTTCATCAACTATTGATAATACATGAATCATTTCATTTTCCATAAAACCTAAATCACCAGATTCTTCACCTGGCCATGATATTTTAGTTTTAACTTTGAATGGTAATGATGGAATTGACATTAATTATTATGTTATATTAATTGGTTTGAACAAAATGCAAAAAGTAAATCAAATCAAAAAGTCAAAGTAGTAATATATATGCAAAAATATTGAATGAATGAAGTAAATGAGTGAACACTATTTTGAGGAATGCAAATGATTGAAAAATGAAAAGAATAGAATGAGTATTAAAATTGGTCTAGCAATCCATAAATTAAAAGTAATTTATGAAAGGCTTTAGTCTCAAATCTAATGCTTACGTTGATTCATTATATGATTCTCATTTTTCAATTTAATTATCATTAAAATAGAACTAAATTTCGATGTTCATTAATGTTGTCCTATTTAAGACGATTTGTAAATATAGGTAGATTTTGTGCAATTTTATGCTATATTAATTGGTCTACCAATTGTCTGGCACGTGACTTGATTTTTGTATTATGAAAGAATTGACAAATATGCAAGTCCAACGTTTGTTATTTTAACACCTCTATGTACTTTAACGAAGAGTCTAACATAAACGTTACTGCTCCATATAAGACTTATAAGTACTTGACTTTACTTCAGTTACCGAATTTTTTTGTTCGTAAACTTTTTAAATTTGTCTTTCTAATTCTCGCCTTACCAAAAGTTTTGCAACCAAATTCTACAAATATGCCGTGGTGAAAATGTACAACGTGATGCATTGGACTTGTTGATAATCAACCAACAATGACTCGACCCACACAATTTGAATTTTCATGAATAGAGATACCAATGAAAGCAATGTGCCAGAATGAGCAGATATGACTCGATGATCAACATAGTTTTAAAAAGAGGACTTAATCTTCATACCGTGCTGCTTGCAAGAAATCGTTGCTAATTCTAAAATTAAAGAAGTATCTCATAGTATTACACGTTAATATGTCCCATTAAACCAGCGCTGAATAGCTCAAATAGTCACGGTTGCTTTGTATGTCGAGATAAATCGAGGTCTCGAAAAATGTTAAGCCATATCTACTTGAAACATAACTTTGTGTCATTTATACTTAGATCAAGAAAAGTTGATTTGGCAATAACCGAAACTATACATACAACAAAGTTAATTCCAATAAGTAAGTAAATTCGTATATACTCTCCAAGAGTTGGAAAATTGTACCTATCAAATGAGGAAGTAAGTCTAATTAAAAATTGTTCCTTTCTTTTCACAAACTTCAAATTCAATATATATTTCATTTCATAGGCTACCTGTTCAACGAATTACATGCTTCTATGATCAAAGCATTGGAGAGTGTACTTTGAGAACGAATTATAGTATTAGCACAGAGTTCTTAGCCTAATTTTCGATCTAATCTAGTCGGTTGATCAGATCTTTTGCGTACCAAGCTCAAGAGCAAAATTACCCCGACGTCGAGTATTAATTTCATTTTTCAGAAGTAAAGTACTGACGTAATGTAAATCTATTGTTTCAATTTCATCAAATTTTTCAAAATTAAAGTTAAAACAATAGAATATAAAATTGAACAAAGATAATAAATTTCTTAGACAAACTCGTAAAAAATGACTTAAATCATTCAACATACATAATTGACCTAATGCTTAATAGCAAATATGTTGAATTATTTAAATCTAGATCTTTTTATTAAAGATAATTAGGTATATCCCTTTATGCGTGTGTCTTCAATCAAACTTTTGTATATCTATTGTTGTTTTTAAAAATCGTCCCCATCCGTTCTTCCTATCGATCTTAGCCTATCGACTTTATTTTTCAATTCTATTGTGTTGATCAATATAAATTTGTTGTTGATTACTTAACCGAAATATTACTTGGTGATTTAAATATATAATAAATTTGATAATATTGATTACCTATGACGTAATTGAGAAAAAAAAACACCAATATGCAAAAGTTCGCCAAATCGTTAAAAGCTATTATATTTTACTCAAAATCTAACTCTAAAGTCAGTGATAAGTATCTAACCAACTAACTTTGACTCCTTAAACTCATTGGTGAATTGGATTTAAACCTATGGTGTGTATTAAAAAGCTGTTCATTTCATAAATATTTTCCAGAGACAGAAGAAAAAAAATTTCAAAATTACTAAAATTGATAATCTCTATGTCAAACAGACAGTTTAATTTTAAAGCCCAATACGGAACAATTCAAGATTAAGAGATACAACAAACCTTTCAAGTGATGCTATTTCTAGATAATCTCTCACACATCCTAATCAGATGTATCTCCATATCAATCTACATATCTTCATGAACTTGTATCAAGAATGAATTGAGAATGAATTATAATAATATTATTTTATTTATTTTCGTATACACAATGATGAATTTATTCTGGATTCACTTTTCTCTAATCATTTTTTTTTGAACTAAAAATATCTTTATGTCCATTTCTTTAATCAACAATATTTTATAAATTTCTTTACTATTTACAATCGGTTTTATTTACCTTTATTATCAACATTTATCGGTCTAAAAAGAACTTCAGGAAGGCAAAAAAGTGTTTCAGATTAGAAGAACTAGTCATCATTCATTCAAATTGTTTCTTTTTTTTTAGTTTTTTTGTCTTTTTTTTTTGGTCAAAACATTTAATCAAATCTTAAGCAACATATTTGGTCCCCTTTTACAAAAACATTACTTTACTTTTCTTTCATTGATTTCCAACCTTGCCACCACCATTCAATCAATTTCATCAATCATCAACTTATAAATACTAGTTACTAAATTCATTCAAACCATACATTCAATTTAGATTAACAATAGCACTGTTTTAATCTCCACTATACACAATTTATATATTATCAAACACACTCAATAAAATAAACAATGTCATCATCAATAGATTCAAAAACAAAATTAAAAAATTCAGGATTAATTGATTGGTCAGTTTTTCAAGAAATTTTACAAATGGATGAAGATGAAGAAGGTTTTTCAAAACAATTAGTTGAAACATTTGTATCACAAGTTGAAGAAACTTTTGAAAAAATTGAAAAATTTATAAACGCTGCTAATTTAGATGATTTATCAAAAGAAGGTCATTTTTTAAAGGGAAGTGCTGCTGCTTTAGGATTAACTTCTATATCTGAACAATGTGAAAGAATTCAAAATTATGGTCATAAAAATAATTTTGATAATTTTAAACCTATTGATTTAAATACAAAAAAAATAGAAGGAGATGAAACTAAAACGAAGGATTCAAAAGATTCAAAAGATTCAACTATCACAACTACTACCACTAAATCAGAAAAAGAAGAAATAAATGGTAAAGTAGTAGAAGATTCAAAAATAACAACATCATCAAAAACATCAAAAATACCCGATACAAAAAAACCACAAGAAACCACAACCCCAGAAACTTCAAAAGATGAAACAAATGATGAATTTTGGATACTAGCAATTGAAGATGCTTTAACTAAAGCAAAAGATGGATTTTATAAAACTAAAGAAGCTTTAGATGAATTTTATGATGAATAAGTATAACTCAAAAATACATAAAATTCAAAGAGAGATATTTCAAGTTTAAACTAAAAACAATTACTTCGATGAACTCTATAATATGCGTACTTTTCATTAAACCCTAATTTATCTATAAACTCTCCTTAAACTTGATCATCAATATCCTTTTTTATTCGTTTCAATAGACAAAATTCCATATATTCTACTTTATATGGTATGTATTTTCTTAAACTGGGAGGAATATAAATTAATTTCCCAATCACATTATGCTTCCCATCAGGATTAATCAATTTCTCATGATTAATTAATTTCCAGTTCTTGTCAACAGTTAAACTTGGTAAAATTAATTGTGGTATACTATTTAATTGATTATTATCAATAAAATAATCACAATCCAGTAAGTCAATTACCTTATCTTTTTCAAATTTATTTTTATTATTCATATTTTTTGGAATATATGTAATTGAATCAATTAGACTACCAGATTCATGGAAATTTCCTGGTAATAATCCATCAAAACCAGATTCAACAAAATTTAATCTATATTGATTTGGTAAGAAGAATGATGTGGGAAAATGATACCATTCTTTACCCATACAAATATTTATAATATCAGAATTATCTGGTTCTGGTAATTGACTAACAGTTTCAAATATTTTTAAAGGTGCAGAATAATTTTCAACTAAATTTAATATTCTCAATACTGATACCAAGAATACAGTAAAACTAAACCCAAATTGTAATAAATAATAAATAAATTTATTTAATTTTATAGATTTTTTTAAAATTGTAAAAAATTTTGATATAAATATTGAACTCAGTAATATAATTAATGAATAAATAGGATAAATAAATCTTTCTTCTTTATGAGGTTGAGATCCAAATATAATAAACCAAATTAATAATTGACTTGATAATAACCAATTAAAACTTTTTAGCTTCGCAATGAATGGATTTATCAAGATTCCAACCACTGCAATAGGTAAAACAATATTAAAATTTAATAATAAGTTCAAAACATAATAACTAAATGGCTCCGTACCAAAAATTTCTGGTCCTTCTCCTTCATTTCCAAATACATTATATAATACAATATTTAAAGGTATAAATACTAATTTTTGTAATAAAATTGAATCAATAATTACAATTGGAGTTATAACTAATCCCAAAACTCCAATAATTTTAAATAATATAGTAAAATTTAATTTTTGATAAGCTATTTGTATTAAAACAAAAATCCCCAAAGGTAACCCTAAAGCTAAAGCAAAAGGCCATCCTAAAATCCCACCAATAAAATACCAAAATACAGCTTTCAATAAATTTGATTCTTTATCTTGTTTAAAACTTTTTAATATATAAGAATTAGCTAATAATACAGTTTGTAAAGCTAATGAACTTGGTAATAAAGCAACTCCTGCATGATTCATTCCAACATTAATTGAACTCAAAAATAAAAACCAATTGGCAATATTCCCTAAATTCAAGTCATTCAAAGTCCAAAACATTTTAATTTCACAATAACTAGTAAATCCAACAAGATTAATAATTCGTATAAAATAAAAAATTTGAACCGAATTTAAATTTAGTAGTTGACAAAACTTACCTGTAAAAAAATATGGAATTAAATAAGCATAAGATCTAATATTAAATTCAGGTGAATATTCCCAAGTTTGTTTACCAAATCCACGAATTAATAAATTTAAAGGTTCCCAATAATTAAAAGTTTCATCACAATCCATTATTATCATATTCAAAGCTGAATATAGTCTAAAAATTATATTAAGCAGTATTAGTGCATATTGTAGTGAAGATAATTTTTTTATATTAGATTTAATTGACATTATATCTGGTTCATTGGTGTAGATGCTATTCTTTTATTAAAGCATAGATCAATTAAATGTGAAACGTAAATAATATAGAATATTTTTTGCGCTTGAAATATTTTGAAATTTATTTATTTGGACCAGTAGCTTGGTATAGAGAACATAGTCTACAATGCTTTGTCTATCCTTTATTATATACTAATTTACATTGAAACGTCTACAATCCCTTCATTGAAGATAATTTATACATTACATAATCCTCAAGATCATAAAATATTCCCTCCAAATCATCATAACTCCTTCTCTTTCTACTCTTCTCATTCAATACTCCTTTAAAATCCATATCTAGGAAATCTAAATTTACTATCATCATTATAAATAGGTTTTTCAACTTTTGATTTCAATTCAGGATCTTTAATATCTTCAGAAACTAATTTTTTTCTTTCAATTTCAGCAAAATAACGTCTTACTAAATTTCTATCATCTTCAGCAACTAATAAAGGTTCTAAATAAAATCTTGCCCATTTCTTTTCTCTTGTTAATTCTCTTTGTTCATTTACTCCTTTATAATATCTATAAAATCCAAATGACATTATTGTGAATATACCCCAAAAATATGTTGTTCCACTGAAACCTCTTGATGGTAAATTTCTTTTCCATTGGATTGGATCGTACCCTCCTATAGGTGGTAAATCTTGCATTGTGTGTGTATGTGTTAATGTGTTATGAATTGGGATAAGTAGTGGTTGGTAATTAAGAGTTGTTTGACTAATGATGAATTTGTAAAATTTAATTGGTGCGAGTTTATGAGATTATTGAAAAAATTAACCACTACCAATCGCGCAACAATTTTTCAACTAATAGAATCCAACAACATTCTTATACTTCTACAGTATTATATTCTGGGGATAATGTATTTGTAGCATTCAATGTGGAGGAATACCTTGTTAGTGAAAAACATTGAAAATAATTGATACCACCGTCCCATTTCAAAATGATAAGATGTGGATTTGATAAGGAAAATTAGTGCTTGGTTGATTATTTACATTTGTTTTAATAGTGTGATTTTTATGACGCTTGAGGGTCTTATCAAGCGGCATAATAGTCATGCTATTAAGGAAAATATGAATTATCAAGTATAGAAGGTTAAAGCAAATCTTAAGTTAACAATACCAGATGGGTCAATGGTGAAGGCAAAGAAACAAGATATATCTTTAGCAAAGTTGGAATAGCAACCAAATCAATGTTTAGTGGAGTTTGGTAATTCATAGACAAAAGTTATTCTTAGATAAATAATTATCTGCCCCCATATTTAAATTGTCATAGCTTCTCCTTGCCGTGGAGCCCTGGTGAGAGTGTTTCACGAGATTGAATATACTACAAACTGAGAGAAAAGTAAATGTACAGATAAAGGACTATCTTAATACGGTATTAACAGATTTTGACTTGATTTGGATGATTGCAATGGTTCTTCGAATCCAGTTCTACCAAAATTGATCTGGCCTAGTTGATGAGAGGCTACCCAACGTTGTAATGTCACAATGTTTTAGTCTCTGGTTAATCAATCATTTTTGCTGACAATGTCCGATTCAATAGATGCTACAAAGTGACCTTTGTAAGCATATGTTAGTCGGACAGTGTTTGCAACAAATAGTAAATTCATTAATGAACCAAAAATCAAGAAAAGATGTCAAACCAATTACCATTACAAATACTACAAACTCTTCTCAAAAAATTATACTTTTTATTATATTTACACACCTATAAAGATTTAAATGCAAAATTATTTTTAACCCATTATCTATTTAATATCAAATACAGTTTTTAATTTTTTAATTAATAACCAATCATCTCTTGAAACAGTATCTCTAAAAGCAGGATCTTTTAAAGTATCAATTGATCTTCTACTAATTAAAGAATATAAATTATCATTTTCATCAACATGACGACCCCAAACTGGTTGAGCTGATGAAGGATTTTCTAATCTCATTGCAACACCTGCTGCTGTTTGACCCTTTTTAACTGAATCAGCTGGTTTATGATTCACTTCTAATGATGAAACTTTACCTAATACCATTATACTTGGTTGTTTTGTTACTGGATCTTGACGAACTGCACAAATTGGAGTACCAATTCTGACTGCACCTTCAATTACATCAACACCAATAATCATAGGATTTCTTTTATTAATAATTTGTATAGTTTTTAAAACACATGGTAAAACTGCATATTCCATAAATTCTTTACGTCTTGCTTCTAATAATTTTGTTTGATAAGCTGTAAAAGCATCAAATAAATGATAAATAATATCAGCATTAAAAATTTTAATATTATTTTCATCAGCATAATGTTCTGCTTCTTTATCAACTTTAACATCAAAACATAACATAACTGCTAATTCAGGAGCTTTATCCAACATTGTAACTGCTTTCATAACATCTCTTTTATATACTGGACCTAAACCAATAGACATAACTGGGATTTTCATATCTTTCAAAAAATCCAATAAAGCTTCTAATGAACCTAAAGTTGATGCTTGAACAACTACACCTTTACCTGAAGTATCAACTGAATCTAATAATCCAGTTAAATCATCCATAACTTCATCCATTAATTCTTCTTCATCATCATCTTCACCAACAACTAATAATCTAGAACCAGCAACAGCTTTTTCTAAATCATTTGCAGCAATCTTAACACCCAATGCTGCTTTAACTTCTTTATGATGTATATATTCTGATTTAATACGTAATTCTCTTGATGGTGGTGGTGTTAATAAAGCTCTTATATTTGTCGCTATTGGACCATTTAAACCACATAAAACAACACGATCACCTTCTCTCAATATACCATTTGATAAAACAACATCAATAGTATAACCAAAACCTTCAACAACTTTGACTTCCAAGATTGTAGCAGCAATAGTAGACAAGTACATTAATTGTTTTGACATTCTCTTTTGAGTTAATTCTAATAATAACCATAATAAATCTGGAACACCTTCACCAGTTACAGCTGAAGTAGGAACTATAGATACATATTTTGACATATTTTTATTTTGGAAATATAATTCTGAATTTAAACCTTGTTCAGCTAAAGCTAATTTAATTTGTTCATATCTATTATGAAATTCTTGTTGAACAGATTTAGTTTGTTTTGAAAATGAATCTCTAAATGAATTATTTGGAATTTCTTTCCAATCATATAATCTATCAATTTTATTTAATGCAACAACAAAAGGAGCTTTTCTATCTCTAAGAAGTCTTATAGATTCAATAGTTTGTTGTTCTAAACCATGCATAATATCAATAACTAAAATGGCTATATTACATAATGATGAACCACGAGATCTTAAATTGGTGAAAGACTCGTGACCTGGTGTATCAATAATTAATAAACCTGGAACTTCAAAGAAACGTTTTTCATATTTTTCCATGACTGCAGTTTTTTGTTTTATAGCATCAACTGGGAAATAAGTAGCACCAATTTGTTGTGTGATACCACCAGCTTCTCCACCTTGAACATTTGTTTGACGGATTTTATCTAATAATTTGGTTTTACCGGTATCAACATGACCCAATATACAGCATATAGGTGAACGTAATTCTTTTTCTGTTGAAGATGCAGTATTATTCGTGGATGGTTTTGTAACTTGTGCTTGTTGTTGTTGTTGTTGTTTAGTTTGTTCTTCTTTTGCTTGTCTTTCCGATTCAGCTTTGGCTGCTGCATCGGCTTCCTTTCTCTTCCTTTCAGCCTCTTCATCTTCTTTACTGTCTTCTTCCTCTTCTTCTTCCTCGTCTTCTTCTTCCTGGTCCTCTTCTTCTTCTTTCTCTTCTTGTTCTTTGGCATCTTCTACAGCAGCGGATTCCCAATCTTCAACAGCTTCGTCATCGTCAAGAGCCATTTTCTCCCAATCGTCAACCACTGGCTCATCACCTTCTTCTTCCTCTTGTTTCTTTTCTGTTTGTTTTTGTTGTTGAGGTTTTTGAATAAATGTCTTCGCTTTTGATGATTTCTTCTTTTCATAAACTATTTTTTTAGGTTTTGGAGTCTCACCATCTTTGGCTTCTTTTTGTAATCCAGGTACTGAAACATTGTTGGCTTGTAATAATTGAGCACGACGACGTTCTTGTAATTTTTTCTCTTCTTTTTGTTTCTTAGTAAGTAATTTACCTTCGGCTTTTAATTGCTCTTTCTTCAATCTATCACGTTCTTTCTTTGCTGCTCTAGCGGCTTCTTTCTTTTCTTCCTCTTCTTTGGCTAATCTTTCTTCTTCTAATCTTTGATTCTCCTCTTCTTCTTCAGCTTTACGTTGTTCTTCTTCCAATTGCTTTTTCAACTCCAATTGTTTTCTCAATGCCGCAAGACCTGCTGGAGCTTTTTTACCACCTTTTTTAGCAGGTTTAGATTTTTCTTGTTGATCTTCAGATTTTGTGTCTTCAGGTTCCGGTGTTGCTGACGCTGAAACTGAAGCAGCATTTTGTTTATTGGCCTCTTTAATCTGCTCTTTCTTAGTTGCTTGTTGTTCCTTCTTTTTCTGAGCTTGTTCCTTTTTCTTTTGCTTTTCAGCTTCTTTCTTCAATTTTTCTTTTTCCTTTTTGGATAAAATTTTTGGAGCTCCATTTGATTCTGCTTTAGATTTGTCTTCTTCCTTTTGCGCTTTCTTTTGTTTATTTTTACGGATAGATCCTAAAAAATCACCGGCGATATCATCTGCTGAAGCTTCTTCTGGAGCATCACCATTAGTTTCATTATTTGATTCTTGATCTGGATTCGTTGCTTCTGCTGTATTAGATTCAGTATTACCAAATTCTTCGGCTTCAGGGACGTCTTCCTCAGCCCAAATATCTTCGACTTGTTTCTTCGACTTTTTACCCATATTGTATTATTGATTTATATGGGGTTTGTTACTTGAGAAGTATTAATTTAATTGTGAATTATGGTTGTATTTTTTTGCTTCATACTATATATTTTTTTACTGATGCCTGTTATTGTGTCAGAATCAAATATAAATTTTTCAGTCTAAATCACACGACCATAATTTTTCAATATGAGATCATCATTTAGATTTTGAATCATCTATCAACTAAGATTTATACATTCGTATATCAAACACCTCTACATTATTCAAAATGACTACAGTTGAAAAAATAAAGGCCATCGAAGATGAGATGGCCAAAACACAAAAGAATAAAGCAACATCTTTTCATTTGGGTCAACTAAAAGCAAAATTGGCCAAATTAAGAAGAGAGTTGTTAACAGATGGATCTTCTGGTGGTGGAGGAGGAGGTGTTGGTTTTGATGTTGCGAGAACTGGTGTTGCTACAGTTGGGTTTGTGGGTTTTCCATCCGTTGGTAAATCAACTCTATTATCAAAGTTAACAGGTACTCATTCAGAAGCTGCTGCATATGAATTCACAACTTTAACTACTGTTCCAGGAACTATCAAATATAAAGGTGCCAAAATACAAATGTTGGATTTACCAGGAATTATAGAAGGTGCAAAAGACGGTAAAGGTAGAGGTAAACAAGTTATTGCAGTTGCCAGGTCAGTCAATTTATTATTTTTGGTCCTTGATGTCAACAAACCATTACAACATAAAAGAATAATAGAACATGAATTAGAAGGAATGGGGATAAGGATAAATAAAGAACCACCAAATATTGTAATAACGAAAAAGGAAAGAGGAGGAGTTAATATAACGAACACTGTTCCTTTAACACATTTGGATAATGATGAAATCAGAGCAGTAATGTCTGAATATAAAATAAATAGTGCAAACATTGCATTTAGATGTGACGCAACAGTTGATGATTTAATTGATGCAATTGAATATAAAGCAAGAAAATATATACCTGCAATCTACGTGCTAAATAAAATTGATTCATTTTCAATTGAAGAATTGAATCTATTAACCAAAATACCCGACGCTGTTCCCATATCTTCGGCAAATGGATGGAATTTGGATGATTTGTTAGAAGTAATGTGGTCAAAATTGAAATTAGTTAGAGTATACACAAAGCCCAAAGGTAAATTACCTGATTTCAGTGAACCTGTTGTTTTGAGGAGTGATAGATGCACAGTTGAAGATTTTTGTAATTCTATCCACAAGTCTTTGGTAGAGGACTTTAGAAATGCATTAGTTTATGGTACCTCAGTTAAGCATCAACCACAAATTGTTGGTTTAAGTCATGAATTAGAAGACGAAGATGTTATAACTATATTGAAAAAATAATGTTATAATCAATAGGAGCCACAAAGGTTAAACGAGACAAGAATCTCTTCTCCACTGAATTCTCCACCATAATCTCTGTCTATTGAATCCACTTAATCGAAGTTTCGACGATAGCCTATTTCCTTAATTTTGTCATCTTCTCTCGAACTTCAAATTTTAATTTTTTTTTTTTTTTTTTTTTTTTTTCAATTAAATTTTTACGAGATATGAACATTATTATAGAAGTAATATTGTGTAATAATGCATACAGTCATTCTAAGTAACTCTTATCAAAAACACAGACTGATAGGACATTTGATTCCGATCAATTGAGCGGTCATAAACAGGAAGTTGTAAGCAACCTCCAGTTGCATTCTGCTAATTAGTGTTGTGTGTTATTGAATAGACACTCATCTAGTTACTATGGCTTTCCTAAAAGATATCAGATGCAAATTCAAATCAAAATTCGGATCTTGCTACCAACCGGTCATTCGGAAATTATCGGTATTAAAAATTAATACAGCCATCACACCAATTAAGTCGATTGATGACCTAGTCTTTAGCATTAAACTATCGAAAAGTGACCATCAAATTCATTTTTATAGACGGTTCTAGTGCCGATCGGGTGGAATAACTTTAATCAGAGAACTGTACTTATCTCTTAATCAACTATCCTAGCAATATACTTTTGTTTTTGCAGCCATAAGAGTCGTGTGAGATTTGTTTATAAAAATGTCTATTTATTTTATTTATAATCTATACCATAATCTATCAACTTTATAATCAATTGTCTATTTTACTTTTTATATCTTTTATCATTCCATAAATCATAATATAAATCAAGTAAACAAGAACTACTCCAAGCTTGAGTAGGACTTGAATCATTACATAATTCACCATCTTTATTAGTTAATTCAGTTAATCCTATCCATGGACTTTCTTTTAACCATTTTATATGATATTGAATTCTATCATTTAATAAAGTAAATAATTCTAATGAATTTGTGGTGGGAAATTTAAAATATAAAAATGCTCTTAAAAAATAACCAAAATTCCATACCCATTCTGGACCTTGATGATAATTTCTTCCTTTTGATGTTGCAAAATCATCATTATCTATTGAATTATTATAATATGGTCTATAATTATAATCTGATGGATCTAAAGTTTTCATACCTACTGGACCTCTTATTATTTTATCTGCATTATTTATTGCTATATTTGCAAATTCTGATGTAAATAATTCTGGTGCAACACACATTGCAATTGGAAAATTTGGTCTTAATTGATAATCTTCATATGGTTTACCTGTTTTATATAAATCTTTATATATACCTCTTCTATTGACTAACGATGGATCAATGACATATTTCTCATCATCTTTTGAATCTTCAGGTATATAATAATATTTTTCAAAATTATTTTGTAACAATTTTTCCCATTCAATTAATGAAATTTTATCACCATTTGATTTTTCAACTTCTTTATAATCAAATTTACCTTCTTTTTGAAGTTGATTAACCCAACGTAATGAACTTTTTAATAATCCTTGTAATTCAACTGCATAACCATCTCTTGGTGTACCGGGAATTCCTTTATTATGAGCTCTTTCACTTTCTCCCATTTTATCCATCCATGTACCACAATTCAATTGTGAACCACCTCCAACAAATCCTGTATCCCAATCTATCCCAACTTGGACATTAAATCCTTCATCTTTCATTTGAGAATCTAAATTTGGTCCAGCATTATGTTCTCTATATTTTATACCTTTTGCATGTCTTGCAAAAATTTCATATATGATTTCTTTTATTGTTGATTCATATTTAAATGCTTCTTCAACTGGTACATAAGTATCATCTAATGGAAATCTTCTTGAAACTTTTTTATCTAATATATCAATACCATTTGGAACATTTATAACATATTCTTGTATTGCTTGTAAGAAAAACCAAACTGCATCTCTTGCATTATATCTTGGATTTCTACCAGCATCTAATAAATTTGGAATTAATCCATGTTTTAAAGTTTTAGCAAATCCCAAAATATGTTGTTTTGCATCTTCATTTCTTTCAGGTACTATTAATAATCCTCTAAATGATATAAATACATCTCTACCCCAACATCTCATATAATCATTACTAAAATGTGGTAATCCTGCAGCTAAACAAGGAACTGATTTATTGGGAACTAAAGAAGTATTATTCATAAACCCAACCATTTGAACTGAAGTTAATGCTAAACTTTGAACAAAATTTGTAGCTTGTTGAATTTGTTTACTAAATTGTCTTAGTACTCTAAATCTTGCTGCTTCATATGCAATACCAACAATTAATGCAAAATAATGAGGTCTTAAATAATAAGGAGCTTTTTTAACAGCATTAAATCTTTCTTTTAACCAATTTTGAAATTTACCTAAATTTTTTGATTTAGCGACATATTTATTTAATCTTTCAACAACATTATCTAAAGCCCATGAACCTTCTCTTAAATGATCACATATAGGATGACCTAAATTATTAGACCATATAACATGTTTTAAAGCTGATTGCCAACCTTCTAAACCTGCATAAACTAATTTACCATAATTTGGAATATTATAAACATCTTCTTTACCTTCACTTGCATCTAATTCTTCTGGGGAACTCTTATATAATAATGCATTTAAGTCATATAAATCTAAATCTAATGATGCTTCAATTGCTCCTTCTTTGACATAATTATCTAATGATATATCAACACCTGGAATTTCTGTTGAAAAAACTGATATTGAACCAGGAACAAATGTAGAATTTACATGAATTATACTATCTCCATTTTCATAATCAACTTTTGGTTCTTCTATTTCTTCAACTTTAACAGGTATACCTGTAAGATATTCTTTATTTGATTCATATTCACCAGTTTTTTTCAAAGTATAACTAAATTCATGTTTAACTTTAGTACCTCCTAATGTTGAAGGTGATAAAATTTGTTCAGTTTCATTTGGATGAAATTTAGATCTTGCAATTAAAAACCAACCTTTACCAGTTCTTGCATTATATCTTTGAATTGTTATATATTGACCTTCATGATGAATATACATTTCATGATCACGTGCAATATCTTCACTTTCTTTTGCTAAATCATTTCTTATTTTATATAATTTTGATTTCACTTTACCAATTCCATTTGAATCATTTAAACTATATAATCTATCTTCATTAACAACATCAAGAATATGAGGATAACATTCATCATAACCATAGACGGAACCAATTGCAGAAGAACAAAATGCAACTAATGCAGCATTTGGTAAAGTATCTTCAACAGTTCTTTTTTGAGCTGGCATTTCATTATCATGAGTACAATCCATAAATATAGCATGAGGTGCAGAACTTGTTAAAACTTTTGGAATTTCTAATTCTGTATAACCACCTCTTGTTGTTGGTTCTTTTGTTGCAGGATATGAAAATTCACTTAATGGTAACCAAGTTAATGAACCAATTGGTCTACCACCATGTTTATGAACTAAACTTGATAATTCTCCAACACTCCAAGCTTGCATTGCTTCTCTAACTAATGAATTTATAGATAATCTTTCAACAAATATTTTATCCATTTCTTCTGAACCAGAAAATAATTCTGCAATAACATATAAATTTGGATTTATTTTTCTTGCTTCATCTAATAATCTTTCTCCAACATGTAATGGAGTACTATGACAATTATCAATTCTAAAACCATTAAATACTTTTGCTGATTCTTTGGTGTATTCAATCATTCTATCCCATAATTGGGGGGAATCTTCATATTTTGATCCATATCTTAATTTAACACAATCTCCCCATACTATAACTTCTCTTCTTAAATAAGCTTTTGATTTGTCCGATGCAAAATCAACTAGTGGATTTCCACCCCAAATCCATCCATTATTTGCTAATGCTTGTTTTTTACCTGAGTTATCTGTGAATCTAGTAAAATATGGTTCAGTTAATGGATGCTTTTTGGTAATTTCTCCCAATTTTGGTCCATTATCATCTAATCTTAAAAATTTAATTCTATCTCCTATTTGTTGTTGAATAGTTTTTAAATCATCATCATATTCAGCGTATAATGGTTCATTCAAAATATCAATAATTTCTCCAGCTTTGTTTGTGTTACCAAATAACTTGTTTAAAGTTGATGAAAATCTTTTAATGTTTAATTTATTTTCAAATCTTTTACCTAATTTTGGTTTTTGATCATTTAATATAAATGATGAAATTTGTTTTAAATCGTTTTTATCAATGTTGGAGACATCAATATCTGAAGTTTCTGATTTTTCAACTTCATTTAATGTTTGTTCTCTATCGAATACATAAAATTGCCATAATTTTAATTTATCTAATACTTCTGGTTTTATTTTGGAAACAATTTGACTTAAATCAGATTCATTCTTTATAGATGTTGGTAAATCATATTGATTTAAATTTTCACTAAATTTTAAAAGTGCTTCATCCAATTCAATTGCTGGTATTAAATGTGGTGCAGTATCTTGATTATAACCAGAATCTGGTGCATCTTTTAACCATTCAGAATTATTTGCAGTATGATTCCATACAACATCAGTTAAACTTAATAATTCATTATCATTTAGAACTTTATGAATTTTTTTAGTTGCATCTTTTTCATCTTTACCAAATATTGTTGGATCCCATTTTAATTGATCATATATGGAATATGGAGAATTTGATTCTCCTCTTTCTTGTAACGGTGTGAAATGAATCATATTATAACCCTTTTCCTTAATATTTTTAAAAATTGTTGGCCAACGATCATATGATCCAATCCATTTTGATATTACTGTTTCAACATTTATATCATTAAATGGAACAAATTGTCCATTTATTGATAAATGCGGTGGAACATTGAAATAATATTTCTCTGTGGTCTGTTCTCCTTTTTCATCTTCATATTTTATATAGTAGTTGTAAGCACCTGGTTTATATATTGGAATTTCAATTTTAATATCTTCATGGAAAGATGAATCAATAGGAATTTCTCTATATTTATATCTATCAAATTCTTCATCATATGAATTTGGAACATTTATATAAAATTTTCCATTTCTTGAAACTTTACTCGCAGCATTTAATTGAAATTGTAAATTAAATATAATATCACCTGGTTTATAATCTTTAGGATAATCATTTGAAGGTAAACTTAAAACTCCATTATTTATATTTTCATTATTTACTGGTGTTCCAAGATTTGATAACCTGAATAAGATAGTTTGATCCATATATGACTTTGGTTGTTCAATTGGTGGTATTGGTTGTAAAAAAGTATTACTTTTAAAGTTGAAAAATTTCTGAGTTTTGATAATTGATTGCTACTTACATTAATTAACTTTGTGATTCTAATTTTCCGATCAAATTTAGTCCGAAGAAATTATACAAAGTTTTCATATATCAAGCGGAAAACTTAGTGAGCAAACAATTGATGAAAAAAAGAGAAGACGCTGTTCCGTTATATGCCTCTTCTTCATCAATCCGATCATCGAAGTAAACTAGGGTAGTTTGCGCTAATGTAGCACTACTATTATATATGTGGGGTTGAAAAACTACAATATAAAATTTACGAGGATGAAACACAAATTTTAATTCTATTACACAAAATAGATAATGAAACTGTCTTTTAAATGTATTAATTTTGAATAAGGTCTAGGTGAACTATGGATGTGAAAAATTATTAAAACATTGCTTCATCAATTTCCAATATTAAATTTTGTAAATCTTGTAAATCAATAATTGGCTTTTGTTTTTTATCTTTTAGAACATTTTTAATAATTTCATCATCTGAATCAATATCTGAATCTACGTCTGAATTAATATCTGAATTAGCATCTGAATTATTATCTGAATTATTATTATTTGATTCAACTGTATCTAATAATTTAAAATTTAAACTTTTTGGTCGATCTATGAAAATACTTTCCCCCATTGAATTACGTTCAGAAATTGGTAATTTTGGTTTTAAAAGTATTGTATTTGTAATTTTACTTCCTGGTAATTCTAAATTTAAATCCATTAAAGCAATAGCCCATTTTTCAATAATATAATTTATTTCTGATTTAATTGATATGGAATTTTCAGGATTTTGTATTGTTATTATTGAACCTTTTGAAATTATTTTAGTTTCTTTCATTGAAAAATAAATTGGTTGTGTTTCATTCCATATTATCATAAAATTTTCAAATAAATAACAATAATTAATTAAAAAATTATTATTAATTTTAATTTGTAATTGATCTGCTACTCTTAATTTACCTAATGTAGATAATTTAGATAAATTAAAATTTGGACAATTATCTAATAAAAATTTAATTAATTGATTTATAATATTTTCGATTTCTCCATCATCAAAATCATTTGGATTATAAGTTTCAGTCATTATTGTTGAAATTGTAGTAACAGGTGAAACTGATCTCAAGCTAAAATCACTAGTATCTCTTTTCAGTTTCAGCAATTCTCTTTTTATAGAATTTTGTCTCAGTGATTTTAATTTAATCATTGAATCTCTTTTCAGACTTGGTTTTCTTTGAACATCATTTAATGTAGATTTTAATGCCTCAAAATTAATACTTTGTTTAATTTCCAGATTTCTTTTAGGTTGTGCAGGAGCTGGTCTTTTTGGTGTTAATGATGATGATCTTCTTGACATTAAGTTTAACTTTTTATTATCTATTTCTATGGTATATTCTCCTTTACAAATATTACCATTACATAAGCTTGATAATTTTATAATTTTATTTTTACTATCAACTTCTTCTAATTCCTTTGAAAACATAATTTTAAAACATTCATAATGAACAGAATCTCCACAATTTAATTTTAATACTCTTTCACTTTGAAATACATTCAGTAATAATTCTGAACATATAAAACAATTATTTTCTATTACTACTGGTGAAGGTGAAGTTGTTTGTGAAAAATTACTTCTATTACTTTTCAAACTTTCTGGACTTTCTAATTTTGTTTCTTGTTTAATTTGTGGACTATTATTATTTAAAATATTTGCAAATGATATATTTAATCCATCCATCTGAATTTGTGATGATTGATTTAGTTCTCCAAAATCAAATGGATCTTTATTTGGTAAAAATTGATTTCTTGGACTAGAATTTAATTTTATTGGTGATGTATTTGGAGTTTTATAATTTATATTATTATCAAAAGTTGGAGTTGAAATATTTGAAATTGGTGATTTATTATTATTTGATGATTCTTGTATTGATAAAGTTGGAAATAATTTTGATGAAGCTAAACTATAATCATAATCTGAAATATTATTAGTATTGATATTTGTATTAATGATATTTCCCAGTTTGTGTTTATTTGGTCGTAGTATTGCTTTCCAATTTTTTCTTGATGGTGAAGGTGAAGATTGTAAATGAGAAGGTGAATTTGTTGATGAATATGATGATATATTAGATGAAGATGAAGTGAATGATTTCATGGTTAACGTGATGATTTGAATGTTATTGGTACGTGGTAATGTATGGATGTTGTTGGTTTTGATATCAAAAACGCTGAATAAACTATGTGTGTTGCTTATCAGGTTTTTCAATAATTATCCCTTTTTATAATTTCATTTATGATTATTACTATTTAGACGATAAATTAACTTAACATAAGAAAAAATTAATTTAATTTGTTTCAAGATTTTTAATTAGGAAATTATTTTAATGAGCCTCATCATTTGTGGTGGAGAGTAAACAAAAAATTTTAATCAGGGGAAAAATTTGAATTCATCTAATTGGAATTATAAAAAATCTTTATGTTCATATTGATGAGTCAAATATAGGAATCAGCTAAATCTTATAAAAAGATGATGTTTGTTCATAGGAAATTTTACTAAAAAAAGTACTTCAAACTCCAGGTTTTTATCATGTGATCACGATGTTCAACCGTCGTTTATTGATTGATGTTGAATTTTTTATATTAATTAGTAGATGTTGAGTATTTTAAATTGGTTGATGCTTACATCATGGGTCATTACTAGCATCAATATGTTGAACTAATTGAATTATTATTCCACTTCCAATCTTTGGAATCAAATTTGGTTGAGCCTAAATTAGTGAACCTGGCTCAAAGGTTTAAACTAATTTTCAAATGGCTCTAAGGTTTAACTAATTTTGATTCTGAAGATTGGAATATGGTTATATTGGTTCTAATGGTTCAGCATATGCCTCTACTAATGACTCGATTTTATTAGATAGTACTGTTTCAATTGATTGCGGTTAAACTTCTACGGGCTCAACTAGTATTGATTTAATATTGATGTTAATACTTTTCTAACGAACTAGCACAATAAATATTTTGTCTCTAACTAAAATTTTAATATATGTTTTTAAAATGGCATTTATGATTCAATGAAACAATTTATGGCTTGAACATATTAATGCTTTTGAGTGACAAAGTCTGTTTGAAACTTTGATAAATTCGTTTGTAAATCCTAGTCGATTGTAAGAAAGATTTCTCTAAAAATATCCGGAAATTAATCACCGACCGTACTTAATTATTTAAAAACGGAATACTGTCAACCATTTAATTTTGTTACCGAAAATTTCAATTTTTAAAGTTCAAAAAGATAATAAAGAAAGAGAAGAGAAACCGGACTTTAATTTTCAATACTACAATATAATCAATTCATCACCACCAACCAAACAACAACAAATATAATTCAATCCATCCACAAGATGAGTCGTATTGTCAATGCATCAACTACAAGACAGTTGATGAATTCAACACGCTCAAAGTCACTCAATGTACTCAAAAGATCTATGGCAACTGAACCATCAGTTAAAGATGGTTCAGATTTAGTTTCACTTACTTTACCAGAATCATCATTTGAAGGTTATAACTTAGAAATTCCTTCTTTAGAATTTGAAACTGAAAAAGAAACTTTATTAAAAATGTATAAAGATATGATTGTAATAAGAAGAATGGAAATGGCAGCAGATGCATTATATAAAGCCAAAAAAATAAGAGGATTTTGTCATTTATCAGTTGGTCAAGAAGCTATAGCAGTTGGTATTGAAAATGCTATTAGTAAACAAGATACTGTTATTACATCATATAGATGTCATGGATTTGCACATATGAGAGGTGCTTCAGTAAAATCTGTATTAGCAGAATTAATGGGAAGAAGATCAGGTATTTCATATGGTAAAGGTGGATCTATGCATATGTTTGCTCCAGGATTTTATGGTGGTAATGGTATTGTTGGAGCTCAAGTTCCATTAGGTGCTGGATTAGCATTTTCTCATAAATATAAAGGTGAAAAAGCTGTTTGTTTTGATTTGTATGGTGATGGTGCATCAAATCAAGGTCAAGTTTTTGAAGCTTATAATATGGCAAAATTATGGAATTTACCAGTAATTTTTTGTTGTGAGAATAATAAATATGGTATGGGTACTTCAGCAGCAAGAAGTTCAGCAATGACTGAATATTATAAAAGAGGTCAATATATTCCAGGTTTAAAAATTAATGGTATGGATGTTTTAGCAACTTATCAAGGTTCTAAATTTGCAAAAGATTGGGCTACTCAAGGTAATGGACCATTAGTATTAGAGTATGAGACTTATAGATATGGTGGACATTCAATGTCTGATCCAGGTACTACTTATAGAACAAGAGAAGAAGTTCAACATATGAGATCAAGAAATGATCCAATTGCAGGATTAAAAGCTGTATTATTGGAAAAAAATATTGCAACCGAAGATGAAATTAAATCATATGATAAAGCAGCAAGAAAATATGTTGATGAACAAGTTGCAGCTGCTGAAGCTGATCCACCACCAGAAGCTAAAATGGATATTTTATTCGAAGATGTTTATGTTCCAGGTAGCGAGATTCCAGTTTTAAGAGGAAGAATTTCTGATGATTCTTGGGATTTTTCAAAGAAAGATTTCTTAAATAAAGTTTATTAAATTAAATGAATTAATGTAAGTAATATTAATATATATTCAGATAACGATTGAAATATTAGGTTGTATTAACTTATCTCTTTTAACAATTTCCGCGCGCAGTTTATTTGAAACATCGGATTTTTTATGTTTACTTTAATTTATTTACAACCATTCATATTACTATCATCATATATAATGAAATATGAAGAGCAGGAGATAAATAGGGACCAAAGTCAAAATCACAATGAGTTAGACAATATATATGATATATTTTTAGATAAAATACGGAATCATTTATTAGATTCATCACCTGAAGTCATAAATTCTGCTGTTGAAGTACTACTAGAATTATTAAGTTCAAATATTCAAATAACGACGAAAAGATCGGAGATTAATCAAATACTAAACATATCTATTCAAAATGAAGAATTAAGTGATTTGATAAATCTAGCAATTCAATACCAAAACATTTTATCAAAACATAAATCATCTGACGAAACTGATGTTGTAGCAGTTGAGATAAATGAGTCAGAAGATGAGGATGAGGAAGTTGAAGAAATTGAATCCGAGCATGAATTTGAAGAGGAGGGAAATAATGTAAAAACATTTGATTGGAGAAATTTACTGAGTGAAGAAAGAGCAGATGAGATTTATAATTTATTGCAAAATAAAACTATGTCTGATTCAAAACTAAATAGTGAACTTCGACATCTTACAGGAGACTTTCAAACTATCATCGACAATAGATGGAGAATAGTATTTTCAAAAAGATTACAAACGGAAAACAGAGAAGATTTATTTAAAGAAATGCAGGAAATGAATTTAACTTATTTGATACTAGACTACATAGATATTCAAACTACTATAAAACGACTACAAAGTAGAAAAATACCCGAGACTTATGAAAATGATTTAAAAGTTGCATTACCGAAAGGAACTTTTCAAGAAAAACTACCGAAATATGACATTATTACAATTCCACCAAATACTACACCAACAGAAGAAATTGAATTATTACCAATTACGAAATTACCAGAATGGGCAAGAGAAGTTTTTCCAAGCAATGAAACTACTACATTTAATAAAATTCAATCTAAAATTTTCCCCATGGCTTTTGAAAGTGATGAAAATTTATTGATTTGTGCTCCGACTGGTGCAGGTAAAACAAATGTTGCAATGTTGACGATGTTAAGAACTATCGATAATTATAGAAGTAATCATATACGGAAAGATGAATTTAAAATTGTTTATATAGCACCTTTGAAAGCATTGGTACAAGAACAAATGAGAGAGTTTCAAAGAAGATTGACTTCAGTATATGGATTAATTGTGAATGAATTGACCGGTGATTCATCATTATCATTGAAACAAATACAAGAAACAAATGTAATTGTTACAACCCCAGAAAAATGGGATATTATTACTAGAAAAAATCATGAATATATAAAATTGGTAAAATTAATTATTATTGATGAAATTCATCTATTGCATGATCAAAGAGGTCCAGTGTTGGAAGGTATTGTATCAAGGGTACTACGAAGTGGAGATGATGTAAGAATTGTTGGGTTATCAGCAACATTACCTAATTATCAAGATGTAGCAAAATTTATTGAAGCTGGAGAAAATGGTGTTTTTTATTTTGATTCTAATTATCGACCATGTCCTTTGGAACAAAAGTTTTTTGGTATAAAGGAACAAAATGCAGTTAAGAAAAAAACAGCAATGAATGAAGCTTGTTATGATCAAACTTTAAATGTATTAGAACAAAATCAACAACTTATAATATTTGTCCATCTGAGAAATGAAACATTTACAACTGCTGAATATTTAGTTGATACTATTAGTAATGATTATATAAATGAAACATCAAAAGAAATACTACTACAAGAAAGTGAAAGAGTTAGTAATAATAAACTTCGTAAAATTATGGTAGCTGGTTTTGGTATTCATCATGCTGGTTTAACTAAAGAAGATAGAACTTTAGTTGAAGATCTTTTTGCTCAAGGTCATTTAAAAGGACTTGTTTCTACTGCTACTTTAGCTTGGGGTGTTAATTTACCTGCTCATACCGTCATAATAAAAGGAACTGAAATTTATTCACCAGAATTAGGTGGATGGACTCAATTATCACCACAAGATATTTTTCAAATGCTTGGTAGAGCTGGTAGACCTAGATATGATAAGAATGGTGAAGGTATTATTATAACAACACAAGACAAAATTCAATATTATCTAGCTGTTTTGAATCAACAATATCCAATTGAGTCACAATTGATGACCAAATTAATTGATAATGTCAATGCTGAAATTGTTGCTGGTACAATAAAATCACTCGAAGATGGTATTGATTGGTTGGGTTATACATATTTGTTTGTAAAAGATCATCCTGATAGATTGAATTTGATACATGCAGCCTTCACAGTCTTATTTCAACATGGGTTGATTTTATGTGAAAAAGACAAAGTTAGTCCTACTCAATTAGGAAAAATTGCTTCTTATCACTACATCAGTTATGAAACAATTAGTAAATATAACAATTTATTGAAATCATGGCATACAGAAAGTGATGTAATTAGAGTTTTTTCTCATTCTGATGAGTTTCAATTTATACCAGTGAGAAGGGAAGAAAGAATAGAAATAAACAAATTAATGGAACAATGTCCTATACCAATTAAAGAATTACCCACTGAACCTTTAGCTAAAGTTAACATTTTGTTACAAACTTATATCTCCAGATTGAGTTTGGAAGGATATGCTTTGGTCTCTGATATGATATATATTAAACAATCAGCTGATAGATTATTACACGCACTTTATGAAATTGCAATTAACAAGAAATGGTCTTCATTAGCTAAGATTATATTAAATTTATCAAAAATGGTGAAAAATCGACTATGGATTAGTGATTCTCCTTTGAGACAATTATCAGCACCTAACTTTATAATAAAAGCTTCTGAATCATCACATTTACCATGGTATCAATACTTTAATTTACCCACTGAGGAATTAGCTGAAATTTTAAATCTTAAAGGAAATCAAATTGGTGAGTATATGAAAAAATTTCCAAAATTAGATATAAATTATACAGTTCAAACTATTGATAAATTTTTATTAATTAAAGTTGAAAGTATACCTAGTTGGGACAATGGGGTTGAGCCATTTGCTTTATTTTTGGACGACTGTGATGGTAATTTGATTCAATACAAAGAAGTATTGTTGAATGAGCAACCTCAAATATTTGAATTTTATGTATTGAATAATGACTTACCAAATTTGATGGTTTCATTTGTAAGTACTAAATGGGTTAATTGCACTTGGAAACGTTCATTGGTAACTGATGTAATACATCCCAAAGACAAGACTTTTTTCACTGAAAAGACATCAACCTATGATCTTTTAACTGCTGAAGAAAATGCATTTATTGGTACAAATCATGGGAAAACTAAAATGGTTGAAGATGCTCTTGAGAATGATGTCAATGGAAGAATTGTTTACATTGGTTCTGAAGAAGTTGGAGCTCGATTGATAGGTGATTTAAAGAAAGATATTAAAATTTTCAATCGTAATAGAGTTATATCTTCTTCACCTGCTCATTTCTATGGACTTATTAGAAGATGGAAAAATTTAAAGGATATAAAATTGTTTATTTTTGATGATTTACACTTGATTGAAAGTGAACCAACTTATGAATTTTTAATTACAAGAATCAAAATTTTATCTCAAGATATTAGGATTATTGGTATATCATATCCCTTGATTGATGCTCGTGATATGGGTCTGTGGTTAGACGTATCAAAAACAGATATCATTAATTTTGCTGCTTCTGAGAGAGATGTAAAACTTGAGGAAATAAACTTTAATACAAAAATGGGACCAATTGAAGGAAAGTGTATAATTTTCACAGCACCTGAAAATATCAATAATGTAAAGGAGAGTTATCAAGATGCATTAGTTACTACTCGAAAAGACCTATCTTGTCCTAAATCAGAATTGGTGGTTATTGATGGAACACAAATTTTAGATGAATTTGGATATGTTGATTACGGTATTGTTGATATATACAATATGATTGATAAAAGCACCAAAAAAGTTTCAATTACTACATCCTCAGAAATGATTGAATATTATTCCTCCTTTATTAATACTGGTATAGTAGTTGAAAGTGCTTTAGCTACATCAATGTATGAGTTTTTTATAGATGGCATTGTCAATAAACTTTTAAAAGAAAGACAAGATTGCATCGATATTTTGACACATACTTTTTTTTACAGAAGGTTGATTAGTAACCCTAGTTATTATGGTTTGAAAAATGTCTCATCATTGGGAATTTCTGAATATTTATCTGGTTTAATTGAAGATACATTAGAAGAATTAGAAAGTAATGAGTTTATTGAAGATATGCAACCTTTAAATAAAGCATTGATAGCTTCACATTACAATTTATCATTTGATACATTGAATTTATTAAGTAAGCTTGGAGGTAAAAGTAAATTGAAAGAAATTTTGTTGACAATTAGTAAAATTTTACATGTACCAGTCCGAACTGGTGAAGAAACAATTTTGAAAAGTATATCTCGAAAAATGCCAATGAAAGATTTTGATAAGACATTCATATTGATTCAAGCTTATATTTCAAGAATTAAAATTCCCAAACAATTGGAACAAGATCAAATATCAATTATTGAAAAATTGACCAAAATTTTAAATGCTTGTATTGATGTTTTATCTGGTGAAGGTTTGTTAAATGCTATGATTGCAATGGATATTATACAAATGATTAATCAAAAAGTTTGGTCTTTTGATACGATTTTAAAGCAAATACCGAAGTTTAATGAACACATTTTATCAAGATGTAAAGAGCATAATGTTGAAACCGTCTATGATGTTATGGCATTGGAAGATGATGAAAGAGATGAAGTTTTACAACTATCGGATGATGACTTGAATGAGGTTGCTATGTTTGTAAATCAATATCCAAATATTAAACTTAACTATGAAATTGATGAAGAATTAATAATAAGTTTGGAAAGAGATGAAGAGATGGAATCTTTGATTGTTCCTAATACTGGTAAAGAAGAATATTGGTGGTTAGTTATTGGTAATGCTTCAACAAATCAATTATTTGCTATCAAAAAGGTTCAATTACCACATTTAGAACAATCTTTTAAATTTGAAGTACCAGATGAAGATTTTACTTGTTGGGCGATTTGTGATTCTTATTTAGGAGTTGATAAGGAAGTAAGTAAAAGGTAAAACAACGAATGATAGTTTGATTTGAGTCTTGTTTGAATGCACATTGTAGTTAACTGCCCCGAATAAAAAGGTAAGTTGTGTTCTGTTTTAATGTAAAAATGATATCGAGCATTTCCACTTCAGTCCGATACTTGTTATTCCTGTCAAAACCCTTTCATTGACGAAATACATAAACCGAATTCAATTACCGTAATTCGTCAAGGCTTTGAGTCAAGATGCTGGAAATCAGTTTAAACATTATTAGTCGGTCCACAAACCGAATGCGTGTTGATCTTCATTTTCAAAACAAAATCATAATAAGCTACTTCAACGGGTAGCTAGTTTAAAACGTTTCAGGTTCCAAGTATAGTGTTTGATAAATGAATAAGTGGTTGACTATTTCGAATGTGTTGATCTTAAGCTTGTGTGGAGAAATTGATTCATAAAAATTATTTTCTTTTTTTTTTGTTACAATTTTTCAAATTTGACTAATAGTCATAATCAACCATAATCAACCATGACTTTCGATAACAGAGTCTTGACTCCCTACATCAAATCGATTCTACTAGATAATTTTACTCCGTCCGATTTGTCAATTGTTATAAAACTTGTTTTCAAAGGTTTGGCATCAGATATTCAAATTGCAGCCTTCTTAACAGCTTTGAGACAAAAAGGATTAGATCAAGAATCTGAATATATAGCTGCAGCAGTAAATACTGTGATAGAATTTGCTGAAACTATAGATAGTAGTTTAATTGATGAAAATGGATATATAGATATAGTGGGAACTGGTGGAGATGGCCAGAATACATTCAATGTTTCAACTTCATCTGCTATAGTTGCAGCAGGTATTGGATTACCAGTTTGTAAACATGGTGGAAAAGCTAGTACTTCATCTTCAGGTTCAGGTGATTTGTTGAAATGTTTAGGGGTTGATCTTTCCAAGATAAACGTTGTTACATTACCAGAAATTGTTAAAAAATCAAAATTTTGTTTCTTATTTGCTCCATCTTTTCATCCAGGTATGGGAATAGTTGCAAATGTGAGGAGTCAGTTAGGTATACCCACAATTTTTAATATTTTAGGTCCTTTGATCAATCCAATACCGATACAATCTAGAATTTTGGGAGTTTATAGTGAAAAATTGGGTGAAAGTTATGCAAGAGCTGCTTCAATACTAGCAAGAGAAAGTCATGTACATAAAAGAACAATGGTTGTATTTGGTGAATGTATATTAGATGAAATATCTCCGATCGGTTTTACAAAAATTTGGTTAGTTGAAAAAGATGGTGAAATTAAAAGAGATCGTATTTCTCCAAAAGATTTTGGATTAACAGAGCATTCATTAGACTCGGTACGATCTGGGACTCCAGAGGAAAATGCTAAAATTTTAAAATTAATATTGAGTCAAAACTCAGATGAGTTTAAAGTTAATTCTTCAAATAATCATCCAATAGTAGATTATATTTTATTGAACACTGCTGCTCTTGCATATGTCGCTGGTTTAACTGATAATTGGAAAGACGGTGTAAGTCTAGCTAAAAAATCAATCACAAGTGGGAATGCTTTAAAAGCATTAAATGATTTAATTAGATGTATAGAATAAAACATTTAGAATGATAGAATTGAATTCTATATAGCTTGGAATGTCCTCTTTGATACTTTTGGAAGAATCTGGGAGCGAAGATATTTTGAATCTTTGAAATAATCTATATTATGCTTGGCTTAATTTGATTTTAAAATTGTTAGATGAGTAATATTTGAAATACAATAAAAAAACTGTAAGTCTATCTTGTTATTGAACGCTTAATCAAAATTGAGAGAAACCAGAGAAAATTGTGATATAGCTATTTACAATATGCAGGAATCATAGCTATTTCAGACAACAATATATAGATTTAGTTAGAAATGTAGTTAACTTTTATAGATTGAAAATTGAATGAACAACAAGTTCAGCTTTAAAGAACTTCATTACAAAGTCTATAGTTTAGATTAATTAGCAGTCTACACGACGACAATACTTGTATCACAAAAATTCAAAGTTTCAGAATCCCTTGGGGCGAGAGGGTGGGAATTTGATTTTCGACCTATAATCGATTGTTTTTTCATAATTATTAGATAAAGTTAATTACTTTTCGAAACATACAAGTAACGAGATCAGACAATTTCATTGATGTCCAACGCCCAAGTAGAAACTGAGGAAGAAGCCCTACTCAGATCAGCTCAACCGTACATTGACATTATTAGCAAGCACGACTTGTATCTTGCAGAAACTCATTGGACAAGTAACAAACTAGATTTGAGAAGCTATACTTCAATTATACATGAAATCTTTTTAATACATTCAATTACTTTCAAAGGTGCTAGAGACTCGTACAAAGTAAGATGTAAAAATCGAACCTGCCCTTTCAGTCTCAATTTTGAAGTCAATAGTGGAATGACTTTGAACTTGAAGCATAATCATGATTTAAAAACGAAATCACCAACTGATATATATATATTAAAAGTAGCATTAAGAGTCATTAATTACAATCTAGATGAATCCGTCCTTCATTCTATTTGTAAAGAAAAGATGCGAGAGGAATACGAAGATCTGCGAAAATTGATAGATAAAGTGATGAATGAATCGATAATTTACAAGTCAAATTTGGCTAAAATGATGACAAGGAATGACAGTATCGAGGATATATGTGAAAAACTAAATGACACTTATTATAAGTTTTATGAGAAGAATGAGATTTCGAAAGAGTTGTATATACTACCAATACGAAACACTTGTACTATAAGAAAGACAAGCTATCACACGTTATTACTATTTCAAAAGTTGCAAGAACCAACTGTTTGTGGGTTCATTATATTGCACAAAATGGAGGAGTTGATGGATGTCTTGCTGTCAAAAGAACTATTGGATAGAACATATACGATTGAGTTAGATGCGGATTTAGCTGAAGTGTTCGAAGGGAGCAACGTGCAATTCAAAATAAATGACGTTTTCATTAAAGCGATTTTGATGAAGAACAATATTTTAATAGATGAGTTAAAAAATGTTGAAGAAATGAATTTACCCTTGAGGTTTCAATATTTACATCATATAATAGAAAACTATGAAATTGACGCTGTCAGGACTTCCCATGTATTTATTGCCCTTAAACATTTCATTTACAATCAGAGAGATAATCTTGTCACAAATGTTAAGATTCTTGTACAGTTGTATAATGAAGTGTTTGTTAATGATGCTGAAGATTTGGCTGAAGAACACTTTTTGGACCTTCTATCACGACTCAAACTGGTTTCATCTTCTCTTGAAAGATTTGAACAAATAGAAGAGACGGAAGTAGAACGGGAATTCGCCAATATTTTAAAAACTCTATTACGAAGTCAACAAGAATGGCGTCATAAAATAACGCCTGAAATCTTGGAGCTGTTGAAGAAAATTTTGAGTCCATTGCTTAAAAGTGATGAGGATGAGATGGCAGATGCTATTTAATTAATTTGTATGTTGTGGCAAAAAAGATTTTGATTTTCAGTCGAATGCTGATCTGGCTCGATATTAGTAATGGGATAGCTAGTATGTTATTAGTTATGGCGTCATAATTTGTTTCTAATTTTTGCTGATGTCGTAGATGTTCAATAAAACAGTAAGACTAAAAGTTTCCAAAGCCTTAACTCTAAACATAGAGATGTAATATATTTGCGAAGTGGTGTATTCGGCACTTAGCTGCTAATCTACCGTTATACCATTGTCAAGATCAAATTTCCAGATTTAGAAAGCAGATGGTCGTCGAGTTGGCGAAAAATGCTTTGTAATGGACAGTAGACTTGATTTGTAAATGACTCATTAATGCCACGAAACGTTTAACTCAAGAAATGTAAGTGCGATCTCTCTATATTGTACAGCTGGTAATTTTATGGGGGATCAGGCTACCCAGATGCAGACAAAAGGTTAACTGTTTAAAGTCGGTAAGTATTGAGTTGACCTCGTACAATATGTATGGTACATCAAGAAACAAAACTGACAATTTTGTCCTGTAGAAAATAATCAAATTTGTCCAGGATAAAATTAATGAATTTGTCTCTGGTAAATATGGATGTAAGTAGTGCATATTGTAAGAGAAAAGCTCAACATGCAGGATCAGCTGATTGTTGAGATTTAAATATTTAAGCAATAAAAAAGATAAAAAATTCGACTAAATCTTTTATTTTGATTAGATAACTAAGCAACATCTTAGTACATCATCAAGGTTCCCTCCAGTTCAGTAGGAGGTACCTACTTATATAATTAAGACTCAGGAAGGTTTAGTTTAATATACTCACATATCAACAATCATCTATTTTAAACAACTAAATCTACAACAACAAGAATAAGATTAGAAGTTTATAAATTTCAATTCAAAAAAGTTCACTACATATTACTCACTTTAAACAATAGAAATATCAAATCCAAATTTGTCAACAAAGTCAGCACTCATATGTCTATATAAAGCATGAACCAGTTGTAATGAATTGAACCATTGGATAAAAAATATGAAATGAAATGACAAGAGTACACATCTTCAGTCAAATTTGAATGAAACATAATATATAATATTCGAATGAACATTGGGCCATAACATTTTTTTCCTTTTTCAAGTTTTTTTCAACACCACAATGAACACACGAATTACCCAAAAATGTTAAGTGTGGTGTTGAAAAATAACATGAAGTAGGTAAAAATGTTATGGTTTAATGGTTATTTGAGTGATATATATTTTAAATCATTTGGTATGTTTGGTGGATTATTTATTATTAATAAAATGTTAAGGTTTAATGGTTATTTGGGTTTTATATATTATGATTTAAGTTTTATTGAAGATGTGTACTCATGTCATTTTAAAAAAACTGAATGACCCAAAAAATTTTCTCCACTTACCAAGTTCAAATAGTTCTTTTCAAATAAATTTTATCAATACCAAATAAACAACAACACAGACCAATTGATTCAAATAATGAACTAACATATTCAATTCTTTCCAATTGTATATTTGCTTGATTCAATTTTTCATGGACAAAATTTTTATCTGTTAGATTGTCAATTAATTTTGTAAAGTTTGTTAGATCAATACAATTCAATCATAATTGTTAACTTTGAACATATCAATATACATTTGAGTGTTTTCAACAAAAAAATTTTCATCATATTCTGATCCTAGGGATAGTTTTTTTCTTAAATTTCCATGGTTCAAAGTTGACAAATCTATACATACTTCATCATGAAACTGATTATTAGTATTTATTGTAGTTGAATTTGAATTAGCAATTATTGCTTCAGCATATTTGTCTACTTTTAGCCATGGGAATTTAGCAAAAACATTATCCTCAGGAGCAAAACCATTGATTTTTCATTGGATGATACACAACATTATAAGAATTTAATTTGAGGCTCATGACTTTAGTAGCATCAGGTAATCAATGACTTGAGTTTGAATTTAATTTTAAATTACCAACAGATCTGATCAGATGAAATTCCTCGATTGAACTTCTTCCAACACATACCTTCGTTTGTTAATATTTGTTTCATCATACCTTTCCCAATAATTGATGTTATAAAATTTACAAATTTGTTGGTGTATGGTCACTTTTGAGAAGATTTTGATAACTTGAATCTTTCAATAAACAAGAATAAACAGTACCAGAACCTCTTAATCTCTCAATCACTTGGATTGTTTCATTTATCTATTATATGTACCCACTAAAGACAATGAATTTGATGTTTTCAATAATTAAACCAGGATAACAAGTCAGAGTGCCAAATATTATATGATTTTTGTTGATATCTTTTGAGATTTGATGACTATAGTAAATGCTGTATGTTTGATTGATAGTGTTCAAGTACCTTGCAATCACCAGTTACAACAGATTTTGTATTAAATGAAACACCTTCAAATGGAAAATCATTGATATAATTGATAATATTTATATTTGTAGCAAATGATGTATTTAATTTATTAATTGTTGATTTTGTTGGTGTAGCAGATAAATATAAAGTTTTACAAAAATAATTAAAAAATTCAAATTTTATTTCTCTTAACTTTTGTAAATCATATTCAGCATCAATGAGATGACATTCATCAAAAATAGAAAATACTTTAACTTTTGTAACCTCAAAAATCTAATCAATTGATTATCCTTTAAATCAGAAAAATTATAAACAACAACATTTGTATTATTTTTTATTGAATGAATGTAACTGCCATTATAGTAAATCAGTAATTACAGTAAAATAACGATCGGTTTCGTCTCGTGCTGAACCAATACATAACGAATTTGTTTTGGATATTGAAAGAAATATTCATTGATGATTAATCTATGAATGGAATTTAATCATGCAATTCAAATAAACAATTATGAAAACAATTTTGAAAACAATAATGAAAACAATCATGAAAAAATTGGAAAACAATTATGAAAGAAATACTTGTTTTGACTTGGCAACAAAGTCATAACGCTTTGCTCATTTTGACATTTTGGTCATAAATCAACATTTGAATATAAATTGAATATGAAATTAATTATTGAATCAATTATGGGTTTAGTGTTGGAAAATAATTAAGACCAAATACGTAACTAGTACATTCTTGAAATTTTGGTTCCGGAATATTATATCTAGTTATGGATATAGGGTATCTAATTTTGATAAAAAATTAGCTCACAAATTTTCTTAATTTTGGATATGGAAATACTTTTATGAATTTTGTTAAGGGATCTCCTTATGGAATCGGTTTTAACAATCAACATATGAACAACTAGTGTGGTATATTTTTGACATTTGATTATTATTTTCTTTAATTTGCTTATGGAAAGACACTGTATTAAATCTGCTAATGGAACCTCGTTATGGAGCATCACTTTTTCATATCTAGTTGTTGAATTTCATTAAGGAATCTAGTTGTGTACTTGGTTATAGATTTATTGTGGAAATTGAATTGGAATGGTTTATGGGGAGCTAATCGTTTAATTTTATTCATGGAATTAATTGTGTAAATGGTAGTGTAGGAGTGTTGTAAATAATACTGTTTTGGCAATGAAATTCTTTATGGAAAAGGACTTATTTGATTAAAGAATGAGTTATGTGAACTGTGATGGATTACTTAATTATTCAATTTGAGATTTAGTTAGTTACTAAAAATTTGGTTATGGTGGAGCAGTAATATTTATATTTAGTTATGAAAATGAAAGTAGTTATAAAATTAGTTATTGAATAATTATTAAAATAGTTATAAAATTAGTTATGAAAAGAGTTATGAAAACGCTATAAAATCTCGTTATGGAATCTAGTTTTTTAAGTAAAACCTACTTTTGTACAAATATATTGGTGGAGTTTTTCCTTAATTTTATTTATGGGAATTGTTTTGAAGTCTAGTTCAAGTAATTGATTTACTTGTTTATTGAGTTATGGAATTAATAATCGACATAGTTATGATTTAGTTATTGAATTAGATATATAATTGGCTGTTGACTTAGTTATTGAATTTGATTATGGACTTTCGTTATAAAATTAGTTAATAATTATAAACTTATAGGATTATAGGTAATTAAAAAGTATCTTTAAGTAGATAGGAATTTTTGTATTGTAGTTGAGTTGTTAAATCTTGTCAAGAGATGAAAAAATACTTATTACTGTTGTTTGGATTTAACAGACTAAGACCTTGTATTTCTAGATGATAAAAAAGGAAGAGATTAAGCTATTTGACTAGAAGAGAATACTGTAATATGTGTATTCTGTTTATTACGTATCTAGTTAGGGTTACCTATAGTTGTGAAAGACCTTGTTCTAGTCTTTTTGATATTTAACCTAACTTGTTAGTATTTTGTCTTATAATTAATCGAAAATAAAATGATTTAATTCTCTGAAATCTATCAAAAGTAATTAAATGAATAATTGTTTAATGTAGGTTAGAATTAGTATTTATGATAAAGAATGGATACGTTGATGAAGGTAAAGTTACTTGTAGACTATATGGTTAAGTTGAAAAAGGAAAAATTCTTAGTTTATTAGAATAACTACCGTAATAATTATTAAGAATAAGTGAAATAATAGATTTTTAGTGAGAAAAAACGGGTTGAATGTGAGTCTAAGAATGAATAGGATACTTCATTTTGTAGATTAAAATTATTTGACTGGGGGGTTATTAGGTTTATGATTATAAAAGTTGACGAAAGTTATTCTCTTAATAATTGATAGGATAAGTGAAAGAGAACTTAATGAAAAGTAAATTAGAATTAAAAGTTTTCAAAAGAAAGTGTGGACTAATTTGATACAGGTTAGGTTACTTGAAAAGTATTTAATTGTTAAGTTGAATGATGAGTAGATTGTCGATGAAAAGTTGATGATAGTAAGTCTCTCGACAATTCTTGAATATAAATTATATCGATTCTTTGAAATAATTTAAGAATTCTTACTAATAAAAAGTAGATGGAATTTGGAGTTTTTGTAAAAGAATGAAGATT